CCAACATCCGGACCTCAGTATAATCAACATCCGGACCTCAGTATAATCAACATCCGGACCTCAGTATAATCAACATCCGGACCTCAGTATAATCAACATCCGGACCTCAGTATAATCAACATCCGGACCTCAGTATAATCAACATCCGGACCTCAGTATAATCAACATCCGGACCTCAGTATAATCAACATCCGGACCTCAGTATAATCAACATCCGGACCTCAGTATAATCAACATCCGGACCTCAGTATAATCAACATCCGGACCTCAGTATAATCAACATCCGGACCTCAGTATAATCAACATCCGGACCTCAGTATAATCAACATCCGGACCTCAGTATAACCAACATCCGGACCTCAGTATAATCAACATCCGGACCTCAGTATAATCAACATCCGGACCTCAGTATAATCAACATCCGGACCTCAGTATAATCAACATCCGGACCTCAGTATAATCAACATCCGGACCTCAGTATAATCAACATCCGGACCTCAGTATAATCAACATCCGGACCTCAGTTCTCAATTCAAGAACCCCATCTATCTACACTTACACACACCACTATGAATTAGTTGGTGTATCCATTGTCTTACCTGCGTCTTACAATAACTTACCCACTCATCATCTTTATTTTTAGTTTATTATGCATGCAATTAGTTTTGACGTTTATGATGTTTCTCTTGATTTCTTTACAAAATATAAAAGAACAAACAATCTGTAACTTGTTTGATAGAACGTAGATAAGACTGTCAAATGATGGCTACTGTGCCCTCTAATAAGAGACACATGGTCTTGGTCTCTTTATAAATCTCACTCTGCACTTGAATGGTATACTTATTGAGTCTTGACAGTCTCATATTCTACTGTGCAGCGACATATTTGCGACAAAACACAAAAACGCGTGTTTACGATGAAAGAAAAGAGGATCAACAAAACCACAACAAAACTACAACAAATGAATACACATCAAATAGATACACAACTTTGTATGACACGGTAGTAAGAAGATGCAAACATCATAGTATATATCCATGTGGTTGCATACTGTCACTACTAGGAATGCATAATGTCCAATATTGATGGGGTTATTAGAAAGTGGTTACTTGTCCCCTATCTACCTATAGAGACCAATAGGCTGACGTAAAATGCTATAATGTTTGACTTGGAAATGGTCTGTCTATGATTCGAGAATTGAAACCTGAGATCCGGATGTGAAAACACCGTAGCACAGCCTTGCAATATTGCGGGCATGTAATAATTGGTGAAGTATACAAAGCTATACTTTTGAATGAGAGACATCACTGGAAGTCGGTACTTGTCGAATTTACAGGATGCAAAGTAAAACTAACCAGATCCATTTCAAAGCATTGAGATTTGATGCGCATCGTCTTCGCTACATGAATGCTATGCTTAGACACTTCAGCTGTAGCTTCCCTTTTGACAAAGTAATATACAGTCTCAGTTTCTTTTGCTTCATCGTTAGGAAACAATATAGACGATAGCATCGGACACTTGCTCCATAAACAAATGACTTGATGCTTTAACAAGTGCGTCTGGTATCCGTCAAACCCTTAACTTCCGGTCAAACCGGTACTTTCAGCTTAGTCCTGTATAGGACACTATCTCCAGCGAACCTCTTTGTTGTCAAATTTCATCAATGTGTGAAACCTTTGTTTACACAAAACAATTATCGGATCAAAAAAAAAAACACGGGAGAAAATTTTTCGGATTCTTTTATCCCGAAAAGCAAAGAAGGCCGTGTTAATGTAAACACTTGCAATGGGAAGAGTTATACTGGTTCTTATCTTTGATGCGTTGAACTATCGGAAAGCTAACAATCATGGTGTTTGGGTAGAATGAGAAGTGCATGCATGGAATCAAAGGCGCATCATAACAAGTTCATTTTATCAAATCTTGTTCTGCGCCGACATATTTCTCGTCAATATGGGATGTAATTGTACACAAAGACAAACTTTAACCGACTTCTAAACATCATTATCCAACTTGGCGGGGGAAAAACAATAAGCAGAATAATGGATAGCACTCCTTGTACAGAAAAAGAGTTGGAGACACGTTGAAAGAGCTCACTTGAACATGCCACTATAATCAAAGAGATTCTTAAGTACTCTACTGAATGTGAAACCCAACGTTAAGCAAATACACCACGAATCACACACAGCAAGATCGTAAGACCACACCCCTTTAGTCTCACCATACACAGTGTTGTTCTCAAGGCAGCTAAAGGTTTTTATGAACAAGAATAGGTTACGAACCAAAAATAATTCGTCGATCACGTTAATTTACCCTGTATTTTGCTCATATTACCCATTTTTAAATCTATTGGTACTTTGTCGAGGTGAGTGATCTGGACCATAATTCCCACATCATTTGTATTTCAGGCTATAACAGTCTTCACTGGTCTGCCGTACGAACTTGCGGTCGGAGCAATTGCGCACCTTTTCCCGTACTACCCATTTGAGTCATATGCACAAATTGATCCCACTGACTTTGTTGATCAAAAAAGTGTTGTGTTGTGTTTAATTAACAATATCCACGTTCATACTAGCACCATGAATCTCTTATGCATCTCATTTCTGATGGCCTCACATGATGCCGCCAATTTTGCAACGCTTTTATCCAGAAGGCTTAAACTTCTGCGGCTGTGTGCTTTGAAGTTGGCGATGCATTGTCGGGGTTCAAGATATTCATCTAAAATGTGCATTCTTCTGCGCTCAGTGACATAAGTATGATTGCATATTACATTCTGTGATGTCATGATAATAATTATGCGAGCTACAATATAGATAATACTGTATCTAAAGTGTGTTCGCAGCTTCTTATGCTCAATCTAATGAATATTTAATCTCCCGTATCTGTGCATTATATATTATTCCGTTAATCTGTAGTTACACAAAAATAAGTAAAGTGAGAAAACTTCTTTTCTAAAGTAGATTCTCCGTAAATTGTCAATATGTCCCCATGAACTAAGGCGTAATGTCAGTTTACGATCCCTTTACCCTCAGACGCTGGTGGTGGCTACATGGTTAATGTTTACACAGATAAAGTGTACCTTGTCCCTTTTCTTTTTTTTATTTTCGATTGCTTTTCTCCCTTACCTTTTCTTAATTTTAAAAGTGGAGAAGAATACTTTAGTCTTGCAGATAATTGTTTTACTTTGTGTGCCACATCATAGGTTAAGTTTGTATATCTCGATCTATTACCTAGTAACGGTAGCCTAACAGCATAGCCGATTTCTTGCAAAGACAGTGAGAGGGCTTTCAAACACTTGTGTCTGAACCTGTATCCGCTTGCATGTGCTTGCATTACACAAAAGGCCCTGACTGTATTTCCACCCACCGAACTTTCCTAGATAGGATAAAGGACCGAGGGTAAACAGAAAGTACTCTTACCATGATAGGCAGCCATCCGAACTTTCTCTTATCGTACACGACCAAGGCTATAAGTAGCGCGGCTATAATTCTAGTTAACAAGGGCCGTTTTTGGTGCTTGTTGTCATGGATCGCAGTTGGTAAGGAAGGGTATAAAGCATTGTACCATATGTTGAGTAGAACTTTGAGTGGGGTGAGCACATTTGTGAAAAGATGTTCTCATTACCCTCTGCATTAAGAGTGTATGCTACTCTCTCCAGGTTATTGCTTGTGCGTGCTCAATTTCAGCATCGCCATTTATAGTAGTCTAAGCAAGAGCTGAATTTCAAGACTAGAACTACCAACCTTTTGACTTGGCGCTTGTCGGGGAGGGGGGATACAATAGCGAAACAATACACTTTTATTGTTTAAATTGCTGTTTTTTTTTTTTTTCTAGTTCTCTTTTCTTTTCTATGCATTCGTAGTTTTAAGTTTCGTTACGGATTATTCTCTACTTCTAATTTTGTGACCCAAAGTGCATATCTCCGAGTGCAATTGTCCATTACCAAAATCAAAAATTGAACAATGAAAGCAACGTTTCTGTTTCTTCCATCCCTTGATGAGTTAGACATATAAAAAAGATCGTAAAGTTCCAGCTTTTGTATTCATTGAGTCGATTACATTTGCCAACCCACTTTTTTCAATTATGCCAACGACAGAGGAGACTAACGAAGACTCCTACAACAATTTGGAGAAGCAGCAAACTTCTTCCTCATCGTTTGATGCGCCATCGGTACAAGAGTATACAGGATTTGGAGCTCAAGATGTTCACCAATTGGCAAAAACATTGACAAATGAGGATACCACTTCAGCTGCAAGTTTGAAAAGGTACCTCTCACACATGTCTCAGGTTCCTGGTGTGAACCCTGCGGAAGAGGTTGAAGATGAAAGATTAGATCCAAATTCCGACAAATTCGAATCCAAGTTCTGGGTAAAGAATATGAAAAAGTTGATAGAGACACATCCTGACTACTACAAGCCTTCAAAATTGGGTGTTGGTTACAGAAACTTGAGAGCTTATGGTACCGCCAATGATACCGATTATCAACCAACTGTGACAAATGCGCTTTGGAAGTACGCTACAGAGGCGCTAGGTCATTTGAGGAAAGAAGACGAGTCGAAAATGTTCAACATACTTAAGCATATGGATGCTATTATGAGACCTGGTGAGCTTACTGTTGTGTTGGGTAGACCAGGTGCTGGTTGTTCCACCTTGTTGAAGACAATTGCTGTCAACACATATGGTTTTCACATTGGCAAAGAGTCAAAGATCACCTACGATGGATTGACACCAAAAGAGATTGCCAAACACTACCGAGGCGATGTCATCTACTCTGCTGAAACTGATGTCCACTTCCCTCACTTGTCGGTTGGTGATACTTTACAGTTTGCAGCCAGAATGAGAACTCCACAAAACAGAGGCGAGAATGTGGATAGAGAAAAATATGCCGAGCACATGGCTGATGTGTACATGGCCACCTATGGTTTGTTACACACAAAGAATACTAATGTTGGTAATGACTTTGTCAGAGGTGTTTCAGGTGGTGAAAGAAAAAGAGTGTCAATTGCAGAAGCATCATTGAATGGAGCTAATATCCAATGTTGGGATAATGCCACCAGAGGTTTGGATTCGGCTACCGCATTGGAGTTTATCAGAGCATTAAAGACGTCAGCAGCAGTCTTGGACACCACTCCGTTGATTGCCATCTACCAATGTTCACAAGATGCTTACGACTTGTTTGACAAGGTTGTTGTATTGTACGAAGGGTATCAAATCTTCTTTGGTCGCGCTGACAAAGCGAAGGAATTTTTCGTCAACATGGGGTGGGATTGTCCTCAAAGACAAACCACTGCCGATTTCTTGACATCATTAGCGAATCCGGCAGAGAGGAAAGCTCGCCCAGGGTTTGAAGATCAAGTTCCTCGTACAGCTGAAGAGTTTGAAGCACGCTGGAAGAACTCACCTGAGTATGCTGCTTTGATAGAAGAAATTGACGAATATTTTGCTGAATGTGAAACACACAATGTCAAACAAATATACCATGAGTCTCACACAGCAAGACAATCGGACCACATTCGCCCTGCTTCTCCATATACAGTGTCATTTGGGTTGCAAGTGAAGTATTTGATGTACAGAAACTGGTTGAGAACCAAAGGTGATCCGTCTATCACGTTATTCTCCATTTTTGGACAATTGGTAATGGGTCTTATCCTATCATCAATCTTTTACAACATGCTGCCAGATACAGGATCGTTCTACTTTCGTGGGGCAGCGTTGTTCTTGGCTGTGTTGTTTAACGCGTTTTCGTCTCTTTTGGAGATTTTGTCACTTTTTGACGCAAGACCGATTGTTGAGAAGCATAAGAAGTATGCACTTTACCGACCATCTGCAGACGCTTTGGCCAGTATTATAACCGAGTTGCCAACCAAGCTTATGATGTCCATGTCATTCAATTTTGTGTTCTACTTTATGGTTAACTTCAGAAGAAATCCTGGCAGGTTCTTTTTCTATTGGCTCATGTGCGGGTGGTGTACGTTGGTTATGTCACACATGTTTAGATCTATTGGAGCTGTGTCCAACTCGATTGCGGAGGCATTGACTCCAGCCACGGTGATATTGTTGGCAATGACAATCTTTACCGGTTTTGTTATTCCTACGCCAAGTATGTTGGGATGGTCGAGATGGATCAATTACATCAACCCTGTTGGATACGTGTTTGAGTCATTGATGTTGAACGAGTTCCATGGTCGAGAGTTTTCGTGTTCACAATTTGTGCCTTCTGGACCTGATTATCAAAACATTGGACAGAACAATAGAGTGTGTTCCGCAGTAGGGTCTAGACCAGGGAGTAACGTGGTCAATGGTACAGACTATCTTGACTTGGCATATCGGTATTACAACGCACACAAGTGGAGAAACCTAGGCATCACTATTGGATTCGCGGTGTTTTTCTTGTTTGTTTACATTGCCCTCACGGAATTCAACAAAGGAGCTATGCAAAAAGGTGAAATTGTGTTGTTTTTGAGGGGATCTTTGAAGAAGCGGAAACAAAAGAGGATGGAAGAGGCTCATGATTCTGAGTTTGGTGGAATGCCAAACGAAAAAGTGTCACGTGAAGCCGAAGGAGAAGCAGCCAGATTCGAAAAGACCGGTAACGCAGATGAAGGGTCCGTAGGATCAGCTGAGATACCAAGCAATAGGGAGATTTTCTTTTGGAAGGATTTGACTTACCAGGTTAAGATTAAGAGTGAGGATAGGGTCATCTTGGATCATGTTGACGGATGGGTCAAGCCTGGGCAGATTACGGCATTGATGGGAGCATCTGGTGCTGGTAAGACCACATTGTTGAACTGTTTGTCGGAACGAGTTACTACAGGTGTGATTACGGATGGTACAAGATTGGTTAATGGACATTCTCTCGACTCGTCATTCCAAAGATCTATTGGATATGTCCAACAGCAAGATTTGCATTTGCCGACATCGACCGTTAGGGAAGCATTACAGTTTTCAGCATACTTGAGACAATCGAACAAGATTTCCAAGAAGGAGAAGGATGAATATGTTGACTACATTATTGACTTATTGGAAATGACGAGTTATGGTGATGCTTTGGTTGGTGTTGCCGGAGAAGGATTGAATGTTGAACAAAGAAAGCGTTTAACCATTGGTGTTGAGTTGGTTGCCAAGCCCAAGTTGTTGTTGTTCCTTGATGAGCCTACTTCAGGATTGGACTCGCAAACAGCATGGTCGATTTGTAAATTGATGAGAAAGTTGGCAGACCATGGACAAGCTATTTTGTGTACTATCCATCAACCTTCGGCATTATTGTTGCAGGAATTTGATCGTTTATTGTTCTTGCAGAGAGGTGGGCAAACAGTTTACTTTGGAGACTTGGGCAAGGATTTCAAAACTTTGATCAACTATTTCGAAAAGAATGGTGCTGATCCTTGTCCACCAGAGGCGAACCCAGCTGAATGGATGTTGCAAGTTGTTGGAGCTGCACCAGGTTCCCATGCAAAGCACAATTATTTTGAAGTATGGAGAAACTCACAGGAGTACCAAGACGTGAGAAAAGAGATTGCCACTATGGAAACCGAATTGTCTAAGTTACCAAGAGATGAGGACCCGGAAGCTAAATATACTTATGCTGCACCACTTTGGAAACAATACCTAATTGTTACATGGAGAGTTATTGTGCAAGATTGGCGAACACCAAGATATATATACTCCAAAGCCTTTTTGGTCATTTCATCATCAATTTTCAACGGATTTTCATTTTTTAAAGCCAATAGGACACAACAAGGATTACAAAATCAAATGTTTTCAGTGTTTATGTTCTTCATCCCATTCAACACCATGGTTGAACAATTGCTTCCTCAGTATGTGAAACAAAGAGATGTTTATGAAGTTCGAGAGGCACCTTCCAGAACGTTTAGTTGGTTTGCATTCATCACCTCCCAACTTACTGCCGAAATGCCATACCAGATTTTAGTGGGAACAATTGCATTCTTTTGCTGGTACTACCCTCTTGGATTATATGCAAATGCTGAACCTACCGATGCTGTTGATCAAAGGGGTGTTCTTATGTGGCTTTTCATCAACTGTTTTCATGTATACGCCAGCACGATGGGTCTATTATGTGTTTCCTTTATGGAACTTGCTGATAATGCGGCTAATCTTGTGAACCTTTTGTTTACAATGTGTTTAGCATTTTGTGGTGTGTTGGTAACAGGAGATGACATGCCTCGATTCTGGATTTTCATGTATCGCTGTAACCCATTCACATATTTGGTGCAAGGTATGTTGGCTACAGGCTTGGCAAATACGTCGGTGCATTGTAGCAAGACGGAACTATTAACCATTGAGCCACCTAGTGGACAGTCGTGCTCGTCATACATGGAATCGTATTTACAAATGGCTGGTGGGTACATTGATGAGTCCGATGGATGTCGTTTTTGTCAAATGAAGTATACCAACACATTCTTGGACTCGATCAATGCCCGATACAGTGAAAGGTGGAGGAATTTTGGGCTTGTGATTTGTTTCATTGCCGCTAACATTGTGCTTACTGCTGCATTGTATTGGTTAGCAAGAGTTCCAAAGGGAAATAGAGAAAAGGGGAAGAAGAAAGAGGAGAAGTAAGGTAAGGGTGAGTGATATTTAGTTGCCTACAGATTTAATAGTGACCAAAGAAATTGAATAAGTTTAGCCTTTCTTCTCTCAAACACTCTTTCTTCGTTTGGCTAGAGAATACTTTAACGATTTCACAAACCCCGCCGTGAAGAAACCCTTCAAACCTTGTATGATGGAGCTATAGATAATGGTCGAAGTTATCAAGCTCTTTATGTTTTCTGGTAGCTTTTCATCTCTAGCTATTTCCTTGACTGAAGATTCTGGATACTTTCTGTAGAGCTGAGTACGGAATTTCAATGGTAGGCTCGATATTAAATTAATCCTCGTATTCGTCGTTAGGTTGGTTTTGAAGGTGCGGTTAGTTGAATCGTCGTCGGTGATAATTAGGTAGTTTCTGCGAACAAAATATTGTAGTATAGGGTCATACAATTTTTTGAAATACAGAAACTGCTTTGATACAATATTCTTTACCTTGTTTGGATTCTCTCCTCCAATGTACATCCGAAAGTCTCCAAGATATGATATGCTTGTAATTTGTTCATACAACTGTTTTTCGGTAAACAGGTTCGATCGTATAAGGAATATTGCAATGGTCATAGCATTTTTCAAGTTGTACTGATTGAGGAATTTCAACATATCGTCCTCTTTGATGTAATTAACAGGTTTTTGCATCCTTCCTGCAAAATACAACGAGCTCCATTCGCTAAGGTCCATGAACGCGGACCTTCTTGTTGTCACACCGTACTTGGTCAACTTGTTTTTGATAAGAATATAAGGATTGAAATAGATTCCACTTCCTTGCAAAAAGTTGATCACTGTTAGTGACTTTGTTGAATAATGAGATGGATTCTGTTTGACATTTTCATGGTGAAACTTGGCAGTATCATTCACTAGAAAGATGAAATCTAGTTGTTTTTCTTTATCTGGTTTATCATACCCATTTTGGGGAAGTATCCCTGAACCATACCCCACTGCTGCGGAAATTTTCGAATCAAAGGTATTAACTAGATCCACCAATTGCTCCTGTGTTTCCGTTGTGAGGCATTGATTGTCAGCACGGAAATCCTTGGGTATCACTAGTTTGTCGAATCCAGCTGCTCCTTCAGTAATAATTGGCTTATAGTATTTGTCGGAATAGGGAGTTGTCGAGGACACAAATGTCGAAAGGCGCGTTGCAGTGTAGTGGAGGGAACGGAACTGACCGATGATTGCCCGTTGTACGCATATTCGTGACATGGCCGTCCGGTGACTAATTCAGGTGATTTTATTTTATATCGGGTGAAAAATTTGTGAGAAAGAGAAAATTTTAGATCCAGCGTGTAACTCCAAATCCAACAAACCAGCAAATGTCGCCACAAGTATATAGATCAACGAGATCCGATAAACCAAAAGAGTCATCTTTTGAGGATGTCGTAATGACCGGGTTGGCTCCAGATGGAGGTCTTTACTTGCCATCTGAGATCCCCAAACTACCATCCGACTTTCTCGATACGTGGAAGAACATGTCGTTCAATGAATTAGCCTTTGAAATTATGAGATTGTACATCAATGAGCGTGAAATTCCAAATGATGATTTGAAAGATTTAATTAAGCGCTCTTATTCCACGTTTAGGTCACCAGAAGTCACACCGTTAAAGAAGCTTGATGACAAGTTGTATTTGTTGGAATTGTTTCATGGTCCTACTTATGCCTTCAAAGATGTGGCTTTACAATTTGTCGGTAATTTGTTTGAGTACTTTTTAACGAGAAGAAACAGTAAAAAGGGTGATGGAGAACCAAGGGATATCATCACTGTTGTTGGCGCCACTTCTGGTGACACTGGATCGGCTGCTATCTACGGTTTGAGAGGTAAAAAAGATGTCTCTGTATTCATCTTATATCCTACTGGTAGAATCAGTCCTATTCAGGAGGAGCAGATGACAACTGTAGAGGACTCCAACGTACATACGTTATCAGTAAAGGGGACATTTGACGACTGTCAGGATATTGTGAAACTGATCTTTGGAGACAAAGAGTTTAACGACAAGTATCATGTTGGTGCTGTTAATTCAATCAATTGGGCAAGAATTCTAGCCCAACAAACATACTACTTTTACTCTTTCTTCCAGTTGCAGAAGCAAGTCCAAGGAAAAGTCAGATTTGTTGTTCCATCGGGAAATTTTGGTGACATTTTGGCTGGGTACTACGCGTACAAGATGGGATTGCCAGCGGACAAGTTGATCATTGCGACAAATGAAAATGACATTTTGGATAGATTTATGAAATCGGGAGAATATGCCAAACAACAAGAAGTTGGCGTAAAGGCTACTTACTCGCCAGCTATGGATATTTTAATTTCGTCTAATTTTGAGAGATTGTTGTGGTATTTGATTAGAGACAATGTGACTGGAGGAGATGATGAAAAAGCTGGTTCTGTTTTAAATGACTGGATGAAGCAATTGAAAGAGAATGGAAAGTTTGTTGCTCCTCAAAAAGTGGTGGAAAAAGCGAGGGTAGTTTTTGATTCCGATAGAGTTGATAACGATGCCACAATTGAGACCATCAAACACGTTTATTCCACTAACCCGGAAAAGTATGTCATAGATCCACACACTTCCGTTGGTATTAAGACATCTCATAGGTTTATCGAAAAAGATCAAGAGCCTATACAGTATATATCACTTTCAACTGCTCATCCGGCTAAATTCTCCGAGGTTGTCAACAAAGCCCTTCAAGGATTTGAGGGCTACTCTTTCGAGAAAGATGTGTTACCAGAAGAATTGAAGCAGTTGAGTAACAAGGAAAAGAGAATCAAACTTATTGATGAACCAAGTATTGAAAAAGTGAAACAAGCCATCAAAGATGAATTGAAGTTTTAAGTACGTTTATTTATACTCACTTTTCCATCAACGATATCTACCTTGTACCCTACTTCTTGTAAAACACTATCGTCTACCGTTTTCTGCGCTTCTAGGTCAGCGACAAACTGCTGATTTTTCAGATTTTGGTCCAAAAGATACTTCACACATAGAATTGCCTGTTCTTTAATGAATGGATTGTTTTCATCAATTTGGCAGTTTGATAGGACCAACGAAAGCCCACCTATTTCTCGAATGCATTCTTGATTTTGAAAAGACTTGTAGCAATAGTAGGATAGTATTATGATAATGTACGACTTTACATGTGAATAGTTGACGACTTCTTCAATCTTTGATTTCATCGCAAGGCGCTTGACATTGTCGTGTATAACCTTGAAGATTGAGATCAAACGAGGGAGGAACTCGCTATTATGTTCAAAATATTGGACTGTTGCTTTGAATTTTGCAAGCTCAGCAAATATTTGCAAAACATTGGACAATACGCGTTCCAATGTCTCCTCTTTGATAGTCTCGGGATTGAGCTTCGGGGCATACTCTGAATAGATTGACTCAACCCAAATCAATAATCCAAGCAATTGGAAATTGTTCCAGTCTTCCTTTGTCTGAACAACAATGGCTGTAAGATCCAACCATTGGATTTTAACTTCCTCGATTTGCTGGTTAACCCAATTGGAAAAGCTTTCGTGTGTTATTATATCATAAAGAAGATGTACAAACATCTTTGAATCATGGTCAACATTTTCAAAGTCCACTTTGAGGAACAACTTTTGAATTGCACCCAACACATGATTCTCTTTGATTTTTAGGAGACGCAACAAGCTTTCATTCGTCACGTCCAAATCCTCAGTATAAAATTGCCTAAAGAGAAAGTGAATGACCGGAGATGGAAAATCGAGATCACTCCAACTGAACAAGTCATTAATAGACACAACATATTGATTTCGTTGAAAGTTAGCTAAAACTTCCCAATATACTTGTCGTATTTTGATTACCCATTCGTTTACCTCCAACTTCCAAATCTCGTGAAAACTTTGTATCACAAGGGGAAAATAATCAGGATTGAGTGATGGCGCTAAGTTTCTGATAACCAATAAGATACCTCGGTAGATCCGCAATTGTTGCACATTGTTACTAGGGCAATACGCCAATGCAGGTCTGATGGACTCCAAACTCTGCACTTTCAAACTAGATGAAAGCTCAACTAGATTAGATAATACGGACAATTGTTGCTCAAAACTACCATCACTTGAGCTCTTTAACCATTGTAAGCTCAGTTCTATGCCTGCATTCACTTCTGATGCCATTGAAAATGAAGAGAGAAGTTTACATGTTTTATTTCCGCGTTCGATTTTTTTACGTCTCTATCGACTTTTGCATCACATCACAAGCATGTGGGTTTAACAAACAATATTTAGGTGACAACGGGGACACATGATACCCCAACTTCACTAAAAGCTCTCGAAATAGAAGTATCCTCGTGCTAAAGTCGTACAACTTCAAACCGTTTTCGTCTCTGTTTCCACTCCATAGGGACTCTGCCAATGCAGCTGATCTCGGCCATAATTTAGTTGTTAAAACTGTCAGGTCCACTTGCTCTGACCAAAGTACTGCCTCAGCTCCTATTACCCTACCTCTTTCAACCTTTGTTAAGTTTCGCAAAAAATCAAACGAGTAAATTCGTTGCCACGTTTTGTACGGGCTGCACCAGCTACCACCTTTGCCTTCATTGAAGTGCTCATTCTCAGGAAAGTCTGAGTATCGAAAGTCATTTGTTAGAAACCCGCCATATCCGCAGTCGAGGTACAAATGGTCTGCCAGAGACACTATAACGTCATACCCCTTATTGGTTATGCTTTTTATATGAGAAGCTTCGTGCCACACCTGCACTGTGATATTTTTGGGAAGCTCTGCAACAGCGCCCTCAGACGTTAAGACATCATCCCACATAATCAATTTTCTTCCCTGGACACCGTTGAGAATGGGCAATGCCAAACGGAGATACCTGCTCGTGATATCGCTCAACGTTTGATTGTTGAACCACTCTTGTGGATAACATTTTTCTTGTAATTCATCATTTCCAACATGAAAATATTCTTCAGTAAAAATCTCACTTAATTCATTGTACACATCTTGGATCACCAGGTAAGTTTTGTTGTTCAAAATATCAAGCTGACCTGGAGGCGGTTCCACAGCATACCCATTCCAAAAATTGCATCCACACATGACAAGTGCGGGATCAACTTGTCTCCAACCCGCTCTAGCATGGCCAGGTATATCGAGCTCGGGTACGACTCTAACACCTCTCTCCCTAGCATATGTTAGAACTAGTTTCAAGTCTTTGATCGTGTACGTCTCTTGCGCGGAATATGCGTCAAGCAGCATTTCTGGGTGACACTCTAAAATCAATGGCCAGCTTTGCGTATCAACCAAATGCCAATGCAAAGTATTCATCTTGACGGTTGACATAATATCAATTTGCCGAAGGATCGATTCCACTGGGAGGAAATTTCGTGCAGAGTCAATCATTATCCCTCTGTGTGGAAATCGTGGATAATCTCGTATCAGCACCGACCCTTCTAACATGAACCGGCCGTGCTTGTAGATTATCAACTGCTGAAGTGTTGTGAATGCATGCAATGCTCCCCAAATTGTTCCACTCTTGATCGTTACACCAGCTTCGGAGACAATCAAGTTGTACGATTCATCAACACCAAGTTGTAATTCAGCCTTGTAATCAAGTATCTCTACATGAATGATAGACGACTCCATTTTCGAAAAAGTTTCAATTAGTCTTTCACTTGATTTATACTCGTATGGTGACCACTCGGCCCTTTCAATGTTTCTCACCATTTTTTGAAGTGCTTTATCAAGCACAGGATTAGCAACATTCAATTGTAGCCGCTCAACTTCAATGCCAATCAAACCATCTTCTATCCATTTCACTCTATGTGGCTGCGGTAACGGATTCACATCTATTGTCCACACAGTTTGAATGATAGTCACAAACAAGAGTAAGTGATGCAAGTGCATTCTTTTTGTATCAAAAGTTTATTAAAAGAATCTATAATTTTTGTAATCTATTGGATTGTCTTTTCAACTGCTGAAGCCTACCTTCAAAAGCTCCAATCATGATGTTTGTTACTTGAGGAGCAAACATAAAGCTAAGTTTATCGTAAATCGGGTTCTTGAACTTGTACAACAATGTAAAGTCTACTCTGCATTTATCGCCACTTGCTGCAGGGTTGAACTTCCATTCCGTCTCCAACTCATGAAACAAATCTAACTCAATACTCCTTGCGTGGACTTTTTCATTCTCTTTACACGTCAACAGACATTCAAACTTTTCTGTGATATCCTTCCATCCAACTTTCAACCCCGCTTTCCTTGGTTGTTGTTGCTCATCTCTTTGCGATACAAATGAGTCTTCAACAAATGGCACGAAATTTTTGTAATTGTTCACTTCACTGACAATTTTGTAAAGTTGCAGGGGAGTTCCGTTAAGAACTCGAGTAATGCTATATGCCTGTGGCTTTGTAGATCCAAAAAATGATCTTGTGAAGCATAATAGTTGTCGTTTGTACATTTGGTTACCTGGTGATGCAAAATAAGAAAAAGTTATAGCCCACCGTTTTCCACCAGTTTATATCTACATCAATTATTGCTAACTTTCAAAAACGAGAATGTGTTTTATTACATGATTATAAAAAAGGTCGTGATAATTATACATTTACCAAAATTTATTGAGCACGAGTGTAGATGTATTGTTTAGAGTGCTTCAATACTGGAGTAATGATACCATCACTTTCCAATTGTCTCAAAGCAACACGAGCGAGGGAGCCACCAATCTTCAATCTGTCAACCAATACGGAAACTGAAACGTATTTATAAGTTGGGACATCCTTCAAAATTCTGTCGTATTTTTCTTGGTCCAAAATGACAAGATGTTGAGCCTTGTCCTTAACCTTTCCTTTGTTCCACTTCTTTTTACCCTTTTTACCACCAGCTAAAGCGGCAGCAGCTTTAGCAGCTTTAGTTTGTTGAATCTTTGGTGCCATGCTAAATCTTTAGTTAGTACTTCTGGATTATAAATGTGACTGATATTGGCAGACAAGAGAAACAGGACACGTGGGAAATGCCTTCAGTCCTGTTTCGTTTTTTTTGAATCACCCATCCAATATCACATATATTCCTTGTGGCTCAACATACTTTTATGGTTGGTATAAAGATAACTTAACTTAAACTGAGGTATTTTTTTCAGTTATCAGTTTTGAAAACGGGTGTGGGTACTTTTTCTTTTTTCTTTCTCTCAATTGTACACGACCCTATTAGAGGAAAGTCCCAATAATGCACGTGATTAGGGCTACAGACATAGATGATCACGATGGTGACGTTAATACACCATTGCATGAAGGTAAAGCACTTTGTCTATCTCGTCAGGCGCATGAAAATGCTGACGGCAATGCATGTCCTTAATTCTGCATTGTTGAGCTCAAAGATTGGTGTAGAATCCGAAGGTATTACATGGTAGCGTTTCATCCTCTCTTGATGCCCAATAACAAATTCACAGGCACCGGAGCAATATCATCGCATACAACTATCGTCTGCATCAACAACAAGTCATGGCTAAGAGACAGGCGACCGAGCAAATCACGCGAGAAGCGTTCCACGACGATGTTTCGGATGATAATGAAGAGCGGCCAAAGCAAGCCACATCTCAGATATTAGCTCAAAGAAAGATCCTAAAACCAAGAGGTAAATTAGGGGAAGGTACTGGCAGTGCAAAAAAGTCAGTTTTTCAAGCACCACTGGGCGACACCTTCCAGTTCAACCCACCAGCTTCAAACACTGTTTTTCCAATTGCACGTCCGAAAGCCGATGATGAAGCAAACAAGATTAGGGCTTTGAATATCAATTTCGTCAACAAAATCAACGAATCGAATAAAGCAAGCGCCATCGCTGACCTTACTCCCATAGCTGAAAAGTATATCAAGTACTACAAGGAAATCAAGAATGGTACTATGCCAAATGTGGCAACTGTCAGTGCAGCTCAGTCAGAGAATATCCGGGAAGACCAATCAAGCAGTGATGATGAGGCAAATGAAACAGAAAGCAAAAAGGAGGTCAAAATTGAAGGACCAAAGTTTAGTTTTAACCCCAAACCTACATCATCATCATCGTCTCCATTCACATTTGATCCCAAGAAGATTGCAAAATTGAATGAAAAAGATTCGGATGACTCCGATGATGATGTACCCATTCAAGGACCAACATTTAAATTTGATAAACCTATACAGGATAATATATTCAAATTGAAAGGCGCTTCCAGCACAGATAAAGAAGTTGCCTCTAATAACACAGATAAGACGAATTCGGGAGTATCGACTCAACCACTATCACAAACTACATTCGGGGCAGGCCCTCAATCGACCCCGTCGATTTTTAGCTCGGCCTCTAATTCTGCATTTAATATTGGAGCAAATCTGAAAGAAACAGGTGAAAAAGAGATTGCCAAACCAGCAGATGCAAACTCTCTTTCCAACCCAACAAACACGCCTGGGCTATTCAAGTTTGGATCTACTGGACCAGCTTTTGGTGCAAGCTCCTCTGAGAAACCATCTACTATTTTCAGCTTTGGTGCAAAGACTGAGCAAACTGCACTGGGAGCAAATGCATCCAATCCTGTATTCCCTTCTTTTGGAGAAAAACCAGCTGGATCGACATCATGTATTCCAGCTTTCAATTTTGGAGCAAAGCTGGCGACTACAGGTCCACTGGCTGGATCAGAGAAATCTTCTAGCTCTGAAGGAGCCACCACTTTGGGACTATTTGGAACCAAGCCCACAGAAAGTGCAACGACAAAGTCATTTCAATTTGGTGGGAGCACATCTTTTGGAGGAGCCAAAGCATCCAGTACACCATTCACGAGCAATGCATTCAACCAAAACGCAACCGACAAACCCGCTGCTTCCGAATCAAGCAAAAGCGGATTTGTATTTGGACAAAAGCCTGAAGCCTCTTCCGGTCAGTCGCCCGCTAACGCTTTTGGAAATGCTACCACAAACATTTCTGCTCCCTCTGGTAACCCATTTGGTGGGCTAGGGTCCACTTTCCAGTGGGGCAAACAAAGCGCGCCTGATAAAGAGGAAGACAAACGAGACGATGATAAGGTTGAGGAACACGAAGTGGAGGGCAATTTTATTCCCGTAGCTCAAATGAATGATAAAAAGGAAGTACAATCTGGTGAAGAAAATGAAGAGGCCAAATTCACAATTCGAGCCAAATTGATGGAATTTGATGCATCAAACACCACCAATCCATACGTAAATAAAGGCTTGGGAGAATTGAAAGTGTTGCGAAATGAGGAAACTTCAAAGTCTAGAGTAGTCATAAGAGCAGACGGCAGTCTCCGTGTACTTTTGAATACGTTATTGTCCAAAGATGTTTCTTACAGTTCAATGGGCAATGGATCATTGGTTCGTATACCCGTTTTCAGCGGTGAGAATAAAATTGAGACGTACGTGGTCAAAGTAAAGACTGCCGATGACGGCAAAGAGCTTTTAAAGACCATTGAGGATTTGAAGTCTTAATTTGATTATAAAAACCCTAATCTATGTACATGTAAGTCTATCATTTCTCATTGTCTTTGTTCTGTTTATCTGCGTCAAAATTGAAAAATTTGCCCAACACTTTTCCAATTCTTGCCAATTTTGATGGATGCAAATCTTTCTCGTCAACCTCTTGGTATTTTTCATTATTTAAGCTATCTTCAAGTTCCGATTGCCAGTCTGCGTCAGTCCTGTTTGCAAGCTTATCATTAAAAGCATCAGCCAATGCTTCAAGGAGAGCCGTTTGTGTGGGATTCTCGGGAACCAAAGTTCTCACATTTAGCACAACGTCCAAGTTACCTCTGTCATTCATGTTCCTATTGATCGGTACACCTCTTTCTGGGATAGTTAATCTCCTTCCTGATTGAACGCCAGGTCTGATTTTCAACTTGATTTTTTGTCCATCCAATGTTGGCACCACGATCTCACCACCCAAAGCTGCTGTAGTCATAAGAATTTCTTGATTCACTACTAAATCATTCTTTTCACGTTTAAACACAGGGTCCTTTTGCACACTAACTCTAACAATCAAATCACCGTTGTGAACTTGGTTATACTCGTCTTTTGTCACCATTGGAGCATCACCGGCCCCTGGGACACGAATTCTGGCACCATCACTGATTCCCGGGGGGATATCAATGGTGGTGGATTTTGGCACTTCTTGTACTCCATTTCCATGACAAGTGCCACATTCGTCAGACCTTGAAATAGACACACCCGAACCTTGACACGTTGGACATGTGGATGCCATATGGAAACCTCCCATTACATGAGTTGTTTGTCCAGATCCATGGCATGTTGGACAAGTCTTCTTTTTGGCACCCTTCTTCAACCCACTACCCTTGCATGTCCCACATGAGTCAACGACTTTGTAGTTGATTGTGACTTTACTTCCAAAAATACTATCCTTAAATGGTATCAGCTTCAAAACCTCAACATTGTCACCTACGTGCTCAGTGACAAAATGTGCTCTTCCGCCACCTCTTCCTCCCGTGGTACCTCTTCCTCCAGCAAATGCTTCTCTAAACAAATCTTCGAAATCAAATCCCATACCTGAAAATGGGTTGCCACCACTGCTTGATCTGCCAAAGCCTCCTGCTCCTCCAAAACCGGCAAACGGGTTTCCACCTCCTGCACCTCCTGCACCTCCACCAGCTCCACCAAATGGATTGGGGTTCCCATTTTCGTCAAATGCACTAGGACCAAATTGGTCAAACTGCGACTTCTTTTCCTTATCTCGTAAAATTTCATAACTCTGTTGTATCTTGTGGAATTTCTTTTCGACATCCTTTTCCTTATTCACATCTGGATGGTACTTCTTGACCAAATCGTAGTATGCCTTTTTTATCTGCTTTGCGTCTGCTGATTTATCTACACCTAAGATTTGGTAAGGATCGTAATCTATGAGCCTTTTGATTGATGGATGAAAGAATCTGGCCGCAATTAACGGTCTGAAATGCGCGTGGCCTCCCTTCTTAATAGCATTGCGTCGTAATATGAACGCTGGTATTCTCATTGTTAGCTAATGTTAAATAGATTTCCTGTGTGGGGTGTAGTTATGATGATGGTCCTTAAGATATAGAGATGGAAAATTAAAATGCATCGAAATTTCTATGTGATTCCATTTGTGAGAGTTGGTAGCGCTATATCTTCATACCGTCAAGGGCATCCTTCCATTTCAAAAACACCTCCTTGAAGAAGAGAACACCTATGCCCACATCCTTATACCCCATAACACTTCTTATTGAATGCATGCTCAAAATTGGCATACCAACATCTATGATGAGTTTTGCTCCGTTTAATCCTCGTCTTGCGTCTGACATTATGGGACCGATTGTTCCTCCAGATCGCGAATCGTTTCTTATATGAAACTCTTGTAATCTGATTCCTAGCAAATCCTTCACTACTCTATCCAAAAATTCTTTACCCAAACTGTCACTCAATACATGGCCGTTCGAATCAAACTTTATCGAAGGACCCACATTGGGCAATGGGTAGTTTCTTTTCAAATAGACCTCTCTAAAATTAGGGTTGAAAGCGTGTGTGACGTCGCTGGATAGGAGTACTGTATTTTTGATCAATCTTGCTGTTTTCTCCTCGATGTGTTGTCCATTGCATTTACCGGACACCAACGACTTTAAATTATCAATTAGAAACCCACCAAACGCACCGGTTGACGTCAAGCTTCCAATTTCTTCGTTATTTGCCAAGTAAACTCCACTGAGGCCATCGTAATCATCAATACTAGCACCATTGAGAAATTGTTGGGAAAACTCAAGCAACCCATAGATCGAATCGAATGCGCATAACCTATCATCCAAGCTGGCCAGATATATAAACTCATTCTCGAGGCCGCCTCTGCAACTGGGATGAGCATCAACCAAATCCAAATCAATGTCCACGATAGACTCCAAGGTGACTCCAGATAGTTGACATATGTACCGAAGCAAGCTTAATGGGTGACGCTTATAAAATTTGGATTGCTTTTCTTCCTCCGTTGGCTCTAGTTCCACCGACATATATGAGCATATTGGCACGGCTTGGGTCTGTATGTTGTATTGTTTATCATCACCTGCGAACCCGGACTCCGGTACAAATGCAATTGGTTTGGGATAAGAGTTGATTAGTTTTCGCGATACTTTTCCAGTTTTAGAGTCACGTATCAAAACAGCGCCGGCCAAACTAAATTCCCTATTGAGCCAATTCTTGTTCAAGCTTCCTGAGTAAGGTACAACTCCAAGCAACTCGTACCCTTTTACCTTCTCCCTCAACAGCCCCTTCGGATTTAATTTCACACTCAAGGCATCACAATGGCACCCAACAAAACATGAGCCATTTTCTGGTTTCCACTTTCCTCCAATTACAAATGCTATCAAGCACTGGTCGGAACGATTGGTGTAGTAAAAGCCGGGAGCTAACTTTTCTATTGGCACAGATTGTGGTAGCCATTGAAAACCCTCGTTTCCCAAGACGGACTTAAAATGTGATATTGTATGGTACGTTGTGGGGTTCTCATTCATGAAGTTGATGAATTTTACTGCGTAATTTTCGTAGTAGTTATCGTGCGGGTCTGCATGGAGGGCATCTGTAGTTTGCCTGCCCAGCATGCGACTCGGATCAATCCTTGATTCTGGAGGTGCAGTGTATGTAGCAGTTTCAGCACCAACAATTGACCAATTCTCGAGAGACTCAGAGCTGATCGAGTATGGGGTCGAATAATCCTGTGTCAAATCTTCTTCACTCAGAGTGTTCTCTTTAGAAAGGGCGCAATCTTCGTCATCTGTGGTGAGAGATACCACACTTTCCACGTCATCCATGATGGCGAAGTTTCCATTGATCGACTATGAATTGAAGATTTGTATTTGTGCGAGAAAAGCTACCGTGAATTATTTGTGCTGCACCATACTCTAATTGGTAAGAAAATACAGGAGCACAGCTCGCCAATAGTGACGAGAAATGTTCAGTATCAACTGGAAAGAGCATTCTTGGAACGATTTGTAGGATGGAGGTCATACTCGGGCCTTTCGATGCAGTACCTCAAGTTGTGACAATTTTGGCACAAAATTCAACTGAAAAATCGGAGTGGATACTTTCATGGATTATACAATGATGTTTGATGGTTAAAGTTCATCTTTTTACGCGAATTACGTTCATGATCATCTTCTTAGAGTGAGCAACAACAATCTCTTGGAAAATGAGCAGTTAATGTTGGTGCAAGCTCTCACCATGACCAGTGAGCTCAATTGTTGCATAATTACGCAATTGCAACAATATTGCTTGCCTAGAATAAGCAGCAAACACTGTTTGTTTCCGATAATCTTTCAGCGAAATCCATCACTTTGAAATTGAATTCTCCTGTGGTTACCCCGAACCACAGTTTGTGTCTCACACTGTGAATGTTGCGCTACAAAACATAATTGTCAATTTCTCGGGTATCAATTGTATTACGAGCCCCCATCCAACAGCACTGCCTTATGGGCACATATATACTTGGACATTCCCAACTTTGGTAATACCGATTTTTTTTCAGAATTGGATTTCCGAATACTTTGGTGCAGGAAGGTGAAAATCGTATGGTACATAGTTGCTGAATGCGATTCTTTGTTCGCGTTGACACAATGTCAAAAACGTTTTCTGGAAATTTCAATTGCTCGGCCGAAGTTTCTCGGCCGGGAATATAGCAATTTTAATCTTTGCAGCCACAGCGTTGTATATCTGTGAAATATAAAAGGGGCCACAATGCCCTGCCTCTGCAATTGACTGCTTAATAACTTCTCACCCAACATCCGAATGTCATCAGAAAACGTTGTATTCATCAGTGGAGCCACTGGATTTATTGCCCAACACATTGTCAAATTCTTACTTGAAGCTGGTTATAAAACCATTGGATCCGTTAGATCAGAAGAAAAAGGTAAACACTTGAAATCATTGCTCAAGTCTGCTGGTCTCAAATCTGATTTGTTCAGTTATGTCGTTGTTGAGGATATCGGAGCCAAAGGTGCATTTGACGAAGCTTTGAAAGCCAACCCAGATGTCACTGTTTTCTTACACACTGCATCACCATTTACATTTGAAGTTCACGATGTTGAAAAGGACTTGTTGAAACCAGCCATCGAAGGTACAACCAATGCACTCAATGCCATTAAGGTATACGGTAAGAATGTAAAAAGAGTGGTCGTTACCTCATCATATGCTGCCATTACGGGCTTTGCAGATTCGGCCACTCCAGGTAAAGAAGTTAATGAAGATTCATGGAATCCAATTACCTATGAACAAGCTTTAGCCAACCCATTCACTGGTTACGTTGGATCAAAGAAACTTGCCGAAAAGGTTGTGTGGAACTTTGTTGATGAACAGAAACCAAATTGGGAGGTTACTGTTATCAACCCAGTTTATGTCTTTGGACCACAAACATTTGAGGTTAAGGACAAGTCTAAGTTGAACACCTCAAATGAGGTTATCAATAACATCTTGATTTCTGGAAAAAAGAAGGAAGAACCACAACAATATGTCGGATATTTCATCGACGTCAGAGACGTTGCAAAAGCCCACATTGTCGCTTTTGAAAAGAAGGAGGCTGCTGGCCAAAGATTGTTTTTGGAAGAGGCTTCATTTACTACTGCCGAAATCTACAATATTATTGAAAAAGACTTCCCCCAGTTGAAATCTGAATTACCCAAATTGGATGAATCAAAGGCTCCAAAATTTGAGGATACTGAAAGTGTCATAAACAATGAAAAGACAAGAAAAATCTTGGGCTTTAAATTTATCGATTTGAGAAAGACAATTGATGATACGATTGCACAATTGGTGTAAGCGTAGCATAGTAGTAAATTTTATATAGATTTAGACAGTTTTTTAGTTTACATATTCTAGAGAAAGCAAAGCCCATCTTTTGCCCAGCATATTTCCTCTGCAATTCATTTATAAATATGTCGACTTTATTAAACTAATCTATAGCCGCCAAAGAGTCAAATAAAACCGAGATGGACTCCCCAAAATGGTCTCTTCTAATACATTCAGCAAAAATGGGCGACACATCAATAACCACAAGCTTTTCCTTGTGTTGATCAATTTGTTCCTTCGAAATAGGATACGTATTTGTCACCACAATTTTATCAATACATTCAGAGTCAGTCAAACGTTGCAAGCATGAGTCGTTAAATACACCGTGTGTACCAACAACATAAACAGCTTTAGCTCCACAATTCAACCTCAAATGTTCTGCAGCAGCAATAAACGAATTTGGTTTGTCAATCATGTCATCCAAGATAATGGCCACTTTGTCCTTGACATCACCCACTAAAGTGATTAACTTCTCCTCGACCAATGGCTCATCCTCATCGTCCGAGTTAGCAGCATCGTATGAGCCACCTAAAACGTCGCTGTCAATAATGTTTGAGTTGGTCAAGTGACCACTGCCATTGGAATTGTCCTCCTTTGAGTCTTTGCACTGATAATCATCATCAACAACGTGCCCTTGAACAATACGAGCAGTTTGCAACTCGTTAACAATATTGTCCTCTTCATCCGCTTCTATGCCATCATCATTGACAATTTTGGCCCTCTTTAAAGCTTTTTTCTTGGCATACTCGTCCTGAGTTCTTCTCCTGTCAGTGTGAATCATGGCAAAATTGATCTTTAGACTATCAGCCAAAGCCGTCACTCTTTTGGTTCCTCCAGGGTTTTTCGATACAACAACTGAAGTCTCCCATGCTTCTATGTTGTGGCGAATCCATCTTGCCAATGTGGGAGCCCCAAATAAATTGTCCACTGGAACAGTGAAAAAACCTTGCATTTGACTAGCATGGAGATCCATACTCACGACATGGTCGGCTCCTGCCATTACCAACAAGTTAGCCAACATCCTAGCGGTGATTGCGCCTCTGTGTTTCTTCATTTTGCTCTGCTTGCTATAAGGAAACTGAGGAATCACTGCAGTAATCTTGTTTGCACTACCCCCACGACAAGCACTTATCAAAATCAAAAGCTCCATAATATGATCATTTATGTTTGACGATCCACTTTGGATAATGTATACATCTTCATCTCTCACACTAACACCAATTTGGACTGAAGTTTCTCCATTGCTAAATTTCTTCAACGTACAAGGAGCTGGCTCTACCCCCAATCTCTCACAGACCAATTGGCCCAACTCCGGATGAGATGATCCAACAAAGATCTTGCACTTGCGCATTTCAATAAGTGGCGACAACGTGGCTGGGAAATTATATGTGTCGGTGGTATGATCTTGACGAGATAGAGCTCATCAGAATGGAAAAAAGAAAAAAAAAAAAAAAAGAAGGCACGTTTTGTGGGATGGAGAGTTTTGATGAATTTTTTTTCCATCATTGTCACACTATGCAATGGAAAGGTTGCAGCAAAAGATTCAGGCAAATAGAGATGTTGTAAGAAGATCCAAATTCTTCAATGAAATCAAATCATCAATAGATGTTCCTTTCACATGTATACGGTGTCTCGCTTTAGGCTCGCCGACACAGAGCTCCGATTCCAGATACCAATACGCTTTGTTACTCGAGTTAATTGATTGGTTAGGAGTTACAAACGTCTCCATCTACGATCCAGTGTTTACAGAAGACGACAAGCAATTGTTTGGCAGCTTCAGTATCGAGGAAACGTTTGACCTACCGCAGGATCAAAATGTGCTCTTTTACATACCTCATTTACCGCTTGAAGTTATGGAACAGGTAGTTAACAATGAACAGCCAGTCTATTTTTTAGGGAATGATGTGATTGTTCATACTGATCGCTTGACAAAGAGGAAATTAGCGGAACTATACCCCAGCATGGCCGTAATGGTCCAATATTCAAGCAATGACTCAAAATTAGATGACGGGTTTACAAAAGTTGCAAAAACTAGAAAACTGTATAAAGAACCCGAGGTAACCTATAATTTCGATTCCGTTTACTTTAAAAAAGTTGAGATTGTTCGTTACCAAAACAACTTCAACAAAAGTGATCCCTGGGGCAATTCGTTTTCAGATTTAGCACTACATAGACTTGTCACGAAATAAATTGTTTTACTCTAATCTTTGTTTCTTACTTAATGGCTCCTCGTCGATTTTCTCGTCCTTCAACAAATGCTTTGCAAGTATGGAATACAAATCATCCTTGGTAAATGGCTTTGCTAAAATATCACTCATACCATTCTGCAAATACGTGACTAAATCATTGTCTTCTATGTTTCCGGTCATGGCAATAATAGGCGTCCTTGTGTCAAAAGATCTAATGACACTGGTTGCAGTAGCCCCATCCAAATTAGGCATAACAATGTCCATCAAAACTAAATCGTACTTGGTACTCTCGACTGTGGAAATGGCATTTAGCCCATCGGTAACAACAGTAACCTGGCATCCATATTTGACCAAAAACTTTCTGCACAATTGTATACAAACATTGTCATCTTCAACCAAAAGAACATGAAATTTCGGATTAGAAATTGATGTGGTGCTAATTTGTGGAAGAACATTGCCACTTGGTGAAGCGGATGTACTAGTCATTGGAGATAAAGGCTTATTAGACGGGGATGGTTGAATAAACTCACTTGATGTTGGAAGATGGTTGCTGTTATTGAGCAGGGACAGGTCCGGGTTGTTTAATATACTCGCCTCACCTGACGGGGAGTTGTTATCAGATTTGTTTCGTTTTTGAAGCATGGCGATAGCGCGCGAATCATTGGCTTCTACTGAAGCTTTATCTTGAGGAAACGATGGTTGTGGAAGTTGGTGAATGGACAGCAGTCGACTCAAAGATGCCAACCCACTAATGGGGCTTGTTGCTGCAAACGAAGTTGGAGCAGGTCTGCCTCCGGGGATTGACAAGGCCCTGTTGTTCAGACCAAGTAAGGACGATTGTGCTTGCGCATTTGCCGCCGCTGATGATGCCGTTGCCGATTGAGGAATCGGCAAGCGAGGGGAGCCTGATTGAGTTGGTGGAATTAGTGGTGATTGTAAATTGTTTACACGAGGGGATTGCAGTTGCAAATGTTGAGATATGCTGGGCAAAGATGAGGCAGGCAAGGAGTTCAGCGACATTGGAAATGAGGACGATGTTGAGTTGGAATTTGGCTCTTGAAACTGAAATGGTCCTGTGTTCGGAGGAGGGAAATCCAATGGTGGTACCTTGATTCCAGCTTGTACCAAAGAGTTGAGCAAAACACCAATTGATCGGTAATATCTCTCATTGAACGAGTTTATGGAAACAATGTGTTCAACCAATGTTTGGTACTTCCTTTGTAGTATGCTTATTTCTTGGTTTAACATTTGATTCGTGTCTTTGAGATGATTGATTTGATTGGTTAACCTATTTTGACTCGAAGTGAGCTGACTAATACGTTCGTCATAATGTTCATGGACTTCAGTTTCCTCCACAACTTCTGCTTTACTGTGCTCATTAACCCCACTTTGATCTGCCTCTTTTGAATTCTCGCGTTTTACAATTCCTGTATCAGCCTTTAGTTTGGTTTTTGAGCCATTTGGAATTTGTTTACTATTCTTTTTACTTGAAGGCCCCTTCCTTTTGATATTTTCCAATGAGACACGATCATTCATTCTAAAATCTGGATGTTTGAATTCCCAAGCATCTTCACCATATGGATAGGACAGTTTGGCCTCATTTGGAATTTTAACCTTGTGAAAATCATACTTGTTCAATTGTCGTACAAAACTGGCAAAATTGGAATGTTTGAAATGACGTGGTAGTATATTTTTGGTGAAATTGTTGGTATTTATAACAACAAAGCTATCCCCACTCTGTGTCCATCGAACAACGTCTTTATAGCTATCCTCTTGTAGCATCAAGAACAACTTCTTGACGAAATCATTGGATCCGCTTTGATTTGAGCTTGCAGTAGTTGCAAGTGTCGAGTTTGGAGCAATGGGTTTATTGAGGGGAGACATTGTTTGTAGACGTTAAATTAGCAAAAAGATGGAATCAATAAAAATTGTAGTGATGTTTTTAGTAATGTAGTATATCTGATTGCATAAGTGCAGAGGCGGGTGATATAATGTCTGATAATTGAAATACCGTGACTCTATTAATGGGTCGTAGAACGACTAGTAGTGTATTGACTGTGTGATTCCTAAGTATTGGTTGATTGCTTCTATGCACAACTCACTGCCCGAGTTTCATCATTGATTGTTATTTTTTTTTTTCCCCTTCTCACTGTGTTCCTCATTTTTTCTGTTGAACTAAACGAATAACCAAAAATAGGCAGAGAGAGAGAGAGAGAGAGAGAGAGAGAGAAAATACCTCTATTTTGTGTAAGTGTTCAGGACCTTAGTAATTGAACCTTGTTGTATTGACAAATAGTATGAAGATCTTTTACGGAGAGGAAATTGATGTCATAAGTTTTTAAAGAAGAGACACCGTAGAAGCACCTTGAGAATGTACGAGTGGACAATACGCAGTTTATGCATTTTGTCTACCAAAGCGTAAACCAACAACAACCTACTTAACTTTTTCAATTTTACAACTCATCATGCTTCCGTGACCCACGTCCAAACTTTATAGGAAACTCTCTTGGATTTTTGATTACAATCTTGTTTGATTCTTTGACCAATTTACCAGAGCTAACGGTATCAACGACAAAATCAGCACCAACCATGATTATCTTTTCAAATTCAACGGGGAAATCATACAGTCCCGTGGAATTAGCGGCAATACCATGTTTATCAACAGCAAAAGATATTAGCTTAAACTCTGGATCAATTGATTCACCATCGTCAGTGTACAATTGGCCAGTGGCTTTGCCGTTCCTATTCAATGCAATTATCAAAGTGTATGGATCATATTTCATCAATCTTGTTGATCTTCTGTACCTATTCTTCAATGGTACAATATATCCACTTTTCAACAACATTGGAACATCACTCAACTCAGCTTTAATTCCGTTGGTGTAAATTGTATCACTAATTATTCCATTGGTAAATTCATAAAAGTGTTCCTTGTCATAGTTTGGTGCAACAAAGGAAACCGTTTTCGCTCCTTCATCTGTCACTGGCTTTACCAAAATTCCTGAATTTCCAACAAAAAACTCATCTTCAGTGTTGTAAATTTTTGCATCATCCAGGTCTTGGTATTCATAAAATACTGGTTTCAAAACCGGTGCTCCTGTTTTCGATGCCTCGTAAAAACTAGTGTAGAAAACAGGCAATAATTTATATCTCAATTTGATTGCATCTCTGATATACGACGTATATGGATCGCCAATCAAATAAGGCTCTCTTCTTCTAGAGTCAATGTGAGCATGTGCACGAAAGAATGGATACCAGATTCCTGCTTGGTACCATCTAGTGAGTAACTCACTCAGAGGATTACCGAAAAACCCCCCTACATCAGCACCGGCAAATGGCATCCCAACAATGTTTGAAGTGAGAACCATTGGTATGGATATTTTCAAATAATCCCATTTAGACATATTGTCACCTGTCCACATTGCCGCTGTTCTCTGACTGCCAGCAAAATAAGAACGAGTTAGAATGAATGGTCTTTGGCTGGGTAGCCTATTGAGTAGTGAGTTAAATGTCGCTTCGTGATAGGTCAAACCATAGACATTGTGGATGGACCTGTGTTCCCACTGTCCGTGATGTATATTATCCTTTGGTGCACTCGTTTCAGGCCCATTGAATACAGATGGTTCATTCATGTCATTCCAAAGTTTCAAATTCTTGTACTCATCGGAAATCATAAACGTCTTGTGTAGATCGTTCCAAAATGATTGACTTTTGGGGTTGAGTGTATCTATCCACACTGACTCTCCTGGCCAACAATGTCCATAATACACATTGTTTTCATTATTTTTCATGGCAAGGTCTTTTGAAATTATTGCATCACTTACTTCATACCCGGTTTTAATATGAGGATCAATAATCACGGCAAGGTTCCTACCAGTGCGGTTCAACTCTTTTAGCATGTGTCCAGGATCAGCAAATTTTTCTGGATCCCAAGTAAAGTATTTCTTCTCATCAGCATACTCAATATCCAACCAAATCGTGTCATAAGGAATTTCAAACTCATCAAACTTGGAACTGACCTCTAATACATCCTTTACATCGTTGTAGTTCCATCTACATTGATGATAACCCAAACTTGAAAGTATTGGCAATTGAGTGTTTCCAGTGAGTTTTCCATACTCCTTGTTCACTTGCTCAGGAGTATCCTCAACAATAATTACAAATTCCAAGACACCATTCTCTGACATCCAGTGAATGGTCGACTCTTTACCCTTTGTGATGTCAATATATGTATCAGCACCATTCACCCAAAATATCCCCAAAGCTGCCCCGGCATTAACTGCCATTATTAATGGTATTGACCCATACATGGGCAACCTTGAATCGGTTTCATACTCAAATATATCGACGTTGTATAGTCTATAAGGCTCCTTTCCATTGGTGTCTTTTAACAACAACGAATCCGCATGTTCAGGAATACCATAGAAGTTATTAAAGCCTTTTAAGGAAAAGTCTAAGCCAATCGATTCTGGTCCTAGGGGAAGCTTGTCATTTTTGGAATCAGCAAAATCATCGGAAAACATATTAAAGGATGATTCTTGAGGCAAAAGATGGTCCCCATTATGTTCTTCTAGTCTATAAGGTTCAATGTTTAAAAACTGTTTATCGTTGATGACCAATACTTCTTTGTTTTTGTAAAAGAACGAGAGTTTGACTGGGTTGAATTGAATCGAAACCTTATTGTTTCCATATGAAACATCAATTGAGCTCTTGCTTTTATCAAACTTTGCGTCTTTGTTGATTTCTACCCCTTCTGCAAATGCCCATTTAGATGTTTCATTGTATCTTCTATGATTTACTATCTGTTGGTGGGGTTCTCTATTCTCATCCAATTTGAAATGAAAGCTATCACCAATTACATCTATTTCGAAAGGAAATTCCACACGAGCACTTATATGAGGTGATTCCTTTACTACAATTCCCTTGACAACACTGCCCTTTACCGACACACTCTCGGGAATGATATTGTATGGTGATTTGAAACTGGAGTCCAACTTTACTTCATTAGCATAGTGTCTATTTCTATGACAGAATCCATTTTGTTCACAAGACTTGAAAAGGTAATCTTTAACAGCAAAGCAAGCGTTAGCCAAGATAAATATGGCAAACACTAGATTTTGATGTAGTTGCATTGTTGTTAGGGAAGAAAATTTGGCTTGTTGGAGTTCATTTTTCTAAAAGGGGCAACGGGATAGATGTTTCGTTCAACGCGCGTCAGAAGAAGGAACCGAATAAAACCAATGCAAGAGGTAGTAAACCTCAAATTTGATGTCATGATTACATTAATGAACCGCAACGCGAGCGAATACTCGTTGTGAGTAGAGAGTGGGTAGTTTCCAACTTTGTTACAAGTGGCTTGATGCATTGCGGAGCAATTCACTCAAAGTGTCACAATATGTATGCTCAATTGAAGCTATATGGGAGCGAGTGTAAAGGCTAAAGCTTGCTATCATCAATTTTCAGCCACCTCAATAGCCTCCCTTCTCCCTGGCGCGAAAGTGGCTGCGTATCACCTTCCCATTTGATGATCCTTTCGACCTTATTTCCATTCACCCAAAAGCAGAAACAGAAGAAAAAAAAATTCCCTCATCAAAGAATCCAAACTCTTAAAGTTGAAAAGTAATAGAGCATTCAATCGTTGGAGTAGACGACTGAAAAGAGTCTTATATGTGGGGAGATACTATTCGTGGAAGGTGGCAGGAACACCATACGCAATAATGTATGGAACAGCATCGATACTACTTATATATAAGAGTTGATGGATTACATTCAATCATTGAATAATCAAAAAGCGTCCTATTTTTGCCAATTTCCCTCCCTAATTGGTTCTGGCATCACGAACTTTGGTCCCACCAAGCTAACTTATGTCAGTCATAATTTATTGCTGGTTGTTTCATCAAGGAAGGCTATCGATTGCAGCTGTGGAGTGCTTTAATGTCACAAGAGTATCAAAAGGTAGTGCAATATTACACAATTTCTATTGTATGCAAAAGAACCAAAAAGGAACAAAGAAAAACTAAAAAAACCAAAAAAAACCAAACCAAAAAAAAAAAAATCTTTCCTTTGGATATAATTCTTTTCCAACCAAGGATAGAAGTTTAGAAAGAAACAGTCATTTAGGTTCCATCTCATCTCACCTAGCTTTACCTTATTTTGTCAGTGAGTATCTAAACCTTGTATATATACCTAGAGTACTCGCTCATTGAGAAGGGTTCGAAAGAAGGTCACGTTTTGTTTTTTTTTTTACAACAACTACAAATAGAATTCACAATGAATGCAGAAAGTGAGAGAAAGAGGTCTGTCGATGCAGTATCACAGCACGAACCAGCTTTCAAAAAGCATAAACCACTCGAAGAATTGAGCACAGAAGGTCCGTTGACTCAAGCTGATGTGGTTTACTTCAAAAAGGAAGCCATATGGCGACAAATGAATCAGTATAAACTGCAGGTACTTCAGTTGAAAACTGAGGTGCTGAAGTTGACTAAAGAATCCGAGCTTCAGAAGCATATAGTTGGGGTGCTAAGTTCTTGGTATGAGGAGATTATCAACTTGTTTGATGAAATAGGCGAAGATGAGAATATTTTAGTGTCTTTTAATGAGTCAGAAGATGGTGGTTTAGTGGATAAAAAATTAGAAGATATCAAAGTGAAACTTTCAAAAGCCATTGCTTCAAAAGTGTCTCCAAGTTCAGACTTGGTGTCTCTAAAACAAGTAAGTTTACTAAAGAGTCAAAATGAGATTCTAGCGAAGGACAAGCAATCCTTGTCGGAGAAATTGGATCTTTTACAGTTGGAATTGCTTGATTTGATAAACACAACGTCAAGAAACGAGTCTGTTACATTGAAACGAGTCGATGATAGTAGAAAGGAGAGTACAAGTGAAGAGGAAGTTAAAGATGAACCTCAACAGAGTAAAGAAGGTGCAAACAGTGGTGAAAACAAATCCGAGGTACATGCCAATGGTGAAATTTCCTCTGATGATCAGAATGGCAAAGCGATAATCGACACTGAAGTGTTGTCAAATTTGAATAATGAAATTGAACAATTGAAATTGGTGAATAAAGAATTACTTCGACAAATATCAACCCTTCGACAAGAGAATCAAAGTTATTTCGAAAAGTGTAATCGTTTAGAAACCAAATTGCATAATCTTGAAGAGATTGATTTGGAAGAAAATGTTTATTACAAGAAGTTGGTGAAGAATAATCAATCCCTTCAAGATCAAATCAGTAAGGTTAATAAATTAAATGCGGCAAATATTGCCAAAATAAATGAATTGGAAAAGAATCAAGTTAATTTGAAGAAAGTATTGGAAACTGATTTGATGAATGAAAATGAAAATTTGAAGCAGCAATTGAGCAAGAGTGAACAAGATTTGGTAAGAATAAGAACCACCAGAGATGAATTATTAGCCAAAAATACCATCCTCACTAGCCAATTACAAGACCAAAAGACAAACAAGTCATTGCTCGAATTGAATGAGATTTACTCTAAGCGGATTGATGAGCTGACCAAAGAAAAATCAAATTCAAACGCAGGTGCAAATGCAAATGCAGGTGTAGATGCACCAGGATCGTCAAGTGATGTTGAAACGATTCAATTGTTGCGCAAAGAGATTAATGAAATTGAACAAGCTTTTAAACAAACACGAGAATTGACTTTCCAGAAATTAAACTCAACCATTGATCAAGAAAATCTTGTTAAAAAATTGACTATTGAAAAGACCAAAGCTGATCAAAAGTATTTTGCATCAATGAGAGTTAAAGATTCATTAACTAATGAAAATAAAGTATTGAAACAACAGGTTGCGAAATCACAAGAGTTAATCAAGAACGTAAATGAGCTAGAGACAACTTACTTGAACAAGATTGAAATTCTTACCAAGTCATTGACTGATTACAAAATTATTAAAGAAAATTCTTTACAAGAAAATTCCAATTTACAAGATGAGTTGAAAAATGTCAACATAGTCAAGGATTCTTTACAACGAGAAATTGAACGATTAACTAGCAAAATTGATGAATTGACTATGGAATTGAGCAACTTGAAGGATTCTAATCAAACTCAATTAGCGACAATTGTAAAATTAAATCACAAACTCAACCATACAGAAGCAACCTTACAAAAGTACAAGAGCAACAATACTAGTCTATTACTACAAGAAGATGAACAACAGTTGGAAGCGTTGAGATCAATTGCCAAATGTTCGGTATGTACCAAGAATTGGAAAGATACAGCCATAACTGTTTGTGGACATGTTTTCTGTTCCAGTTGTACTCAAGAAAGATTGGCTGCTAGGTTGAGAAGATGTCCTAGTTGCAACAAAGGGTTTTCAAGTAATGATTTATTGACAATTCATTTGTGAGTGAAATGTTGTCGTTGCTGTTGTGTGTATGTATGACGTATTTCTCCTCCTTTTAATAAAATGCTGTATTAATATATTTGAAAATGTGGGGCGATGGTGTAAGTGGGAGTTTGAGAGTGAGTGATGGCAGAAGAGGAAGGAGAAGCTACATCCATCTGAGGTGTATCTCATATCTTGATATCTCTTGTTATCGGTGTATCATTGTAGTCAACAGGGTGGCAATTACGCGATTATGCAAATTACAACACAAAGCTAATAGGGGAAAAGAAAGAAAAAGAAGATTTCCATACATGAGTCATCCTTTGAGAAAACCAGGGTAATTCCAAGCAGGTAAAGGTGGGAGCAGGCACCACTATGTCCATTGAGCAAGCAGTGCGGAAATCTTTATCTGGATCTATTTACTTGTGCGTGACCAACAGTTTTAAATACTAGAAGGATGGCTGGTTGGTGAGTTTTTCAAAAAGTGTGTGTTTCTGTGTGTGTTATAATAAATCATCTCAAAATCGATTAGAAAGGTAGTGTACTTTGGACAAAGAGAAAATGAGAATATCAACAATCTATTCACAAAATACCAACTACATCTAAATACTAGAAAATGTATGACATAAGTTTGGGTTACAACAGGTTAAAGGGTAGCTTCTGAGTAATAATAACTATGCTATTTTAGAGAAATGCTCATCATTTATTAAGATAAACATAAAGTATAAGTTTGATATAATTTTCAAAGTCATATTGTTTGTAAATTTGCCATCGAAGGTCGTGTAAATAGTAACAGAAAAATTAAAAGTATAATCTCTCTCGCAAGTATAAAAGGAACAACAAATTTCCAACAAATTTTTTTTCGGTTTTTTTTTTTTCGCAATTTCGCATTTTTCGCAATTTCGCATTTTTTTTTTTTTCCAATTTTTGGCGACATATACAAATTAAGGTCTATATTTTTTGTTCCATACTTTTTAGTTTTCAGTTTTGGGCAATCAATTTGGCTTTAATCTAACGAGTTCTCATAAAGGAGGTGTATTCAAACACATACGCTCACACACTAAAACTTTTGTTTACATTTTGTGTGGCTTATTGAATATTTTTAGTTCGCAAGTTTTTTTGTTTGCTTTGGTTTAATTTCAATTTACACTTCATACTGTTGAAAGAGTTTCTGTTTCATTACATCGACTCAAACTTTGGATACTCAGTTGTAAAAATCTTACTTCATCCTATTTTTCCATTCACCATATCAACCATACGAATCGTAAATTTATGTCACAGCTTCTGCCGGAAACCAATACTCCGGTTCAAACACCATCGGCTGAGAAATTTTATGATGAGCATCTAAGTAAGCTTGATGAAAATACTGAAACCAGTCTAGATAACAAATCCAATAGTCTAAAGCAAGATGATGGTGAACACAACACAGCTGAGGAGAAGATAGACACTTCGCTATTCGAGTCACAGCAACAGCAACAGCAACAACCATCTCATGAACCACTTTCACCACCCAATCCATCTCCAACACCAGAAAGGAGAGGATTAGAAGAGAAAGTGGAAGGAGACGTAGCCAATGGGGAGGAAGGTGTTACTGAAGAACCGGAAACAAAGGAGACTGAGCCAAAAGTAGAGAATGAAGAAGATGACGAAACGCAAGAGCAAACAGATATCGTCACTATTGCAGCAAATGGATCAACTGAAGCTGTTGAAACCTTCATCAAAAACGACAAACAACTTGAAAATGAGGAAAAGAATCGGGATCAACCAGAAGAATCATCATCCACTGAAGAAGCAACAGCTACTCAAACACAGCAAACACAACTTCCTGTATTCACAGAACCAGCTCCAAAACCACCAGCAGAACCAGATATGAATAACTTACCTGAACATCCAATGCCTCCTCATCAAGCCAAATTTGCATTACACACAATTAAGGCCATCAAACGTCTCAAAGATGCTGTTCCCTTCTTAGCTCCGGTTGACACTGTCAAATTGAATGTGCCTTTTTATTACAATTATATTCCTCGTCCCATGGATTTATCCACTATTGAGAGGAAAATCAATGCTAATGCATACGAAGATATTGCTCAAGTGGTTGATGATTTTAATTTAATGGTTGAAAATTGCAAGAAGTTCAACGGAGAAGCTGCTGGTATATCGAAAATGGCAACCAACATACAAGCTCATTTTGAAAAACATATGCTTAATGTGCCACCAAAGGAATTACCAGCTGTGGTTTCTGCTTCCATACTGAAATCAGGTTCTGGTAATGATGCGGCCTCTATAACCAGCAGGAGGAAAGTTGCAACTGAATCAAATTCACAACAGCATAGAGATTCAGTGGCCACTGCTAGACCCAAGAGAACTATTCATCCACCAAAATCAAAAGAATTACCATATGATGTAAGACCAAGGAAGAAGAAGTTTGCTGCCGAATTGAGATTTTGTAATCAAACCATTAAGGAATTGATGTCAAAGAAACACTACAACTACAATTTCCCCTTTTTAGCTCCTGTCGATGCTGTTGCTCTTAATCTTCCCAATTACCATGATATTGTCAAAGAACCAATGGATCTTGGAACGATTCAATCTAAATTGACCAACAACTTGTACGAAAATGCCGACGACTTCGAAAAGGATGTGAGGTTGGTATTTCGCAATTGTTATGCTTTTAACCCAGAAGGCACTGATGTCAATATGATGGGACACAGGTTGGAAGCCATTTTCGATAAGAAGTGGGTCAATAAACCAGTACCTGAACCAACACCCCAACACTCTGAAGCAAGTGATGATGATTTTACCAGCGATGAAGAAGAGGAAATCACAGAGGCCGTACTCTCCGAAGTACCAGCAATACAATTTTTGGAGAATCAATTGATTAGAATGAAGGAGGAATTGGAGAAAATGAAGGCTGATCATTTGAAAAAGTTGCGAGAACAACAAGCTGCAAGGCGCAAGAGAAAGAAGGCTCAGTCGGGCAAGCGTGGATCCAAATCAAAGAGATCGAGAGAACGTTCGCATACTCCATCGGGTCATCAGCATCAAATAAAACTCACTCCACCACAGCCAGTTGTCACTTATGAAATGAAGAAACAAGTTTCCGAAGCAGTGCCTACTTTATCGGATAAGAAATTGAATGCACTAATCAAGATTATTCAAGATGACGTTCAAATCACTAATGAAGATGAGGTTGAATTAGATATGGATCAATTGGGAGATTCAACCGTGCTCAAGCTCTATGACTTTTTATTCGGTGAAAAAGCATCACAAAAGTCACTCAAAAGAAGGAAATTGGCTAGTGGCAGCGCTGGTGCTGGTGGCATCAGTGGTGCGGGTGGCAGCAGCAGCGGAGCAAATCTTGATGAAATGGCTCATTTGAGACAACAATTGGCCTTGTTTGATCAAGGAAATGGGCAAACGGCCGAACAACAATTTGCCAATAATGGTTTTATGAATATAGCACATGAAGAAAGTTCGGATGAGGATGCTGCTTCGTCCGAAAGTTCAGAAGAGGAGTAGCAGTGCTCGATTGCGAGGAACATACACATCACACGCAGCACATACTCACAACATCATTTCCTGTACAATAGTTATCTTTCCCCCTGTTTCCTTTTTTTTTAATATGTATTATGTATAAATATTTTCCCCAAACGAATTGCCATTATTGTAGAGAGCAGCTCAATTGGACTCTGGTTCGTAGTACTGTGGGGCTACACTCCATTTGAAATGCTACCTAGTGATGATCTTTAAAAATCTTTTTCTCTTCGCAATCCTAGTTTCTGCAACACAACTAACTAACCAACCAGCGGCCTAACTCTTCCCTTTCACATGCCATCACCAATCCCTAAACGACCACCCAGTAATCGTCCCACCTCCATAATCAAGAAATGTCAAGACCAAAACCGACCAGCTTACATTGCAGGCCCCATGGTTCGTTACTCCAAACTACCGTTTCGTGAACTTTGTCGATTTTACAATGTTGATATTGTTTACACTCCCATGATTTTAGCTCGTGAGTTTGTTAGAAATGATATAGCCCGGTACTCTGATTTCACCACAAATGACAAAGATCAACCAGTTATTGTTCAAGTTGGGGTTAGTAACGTTGAAGATTTTATGAAATTTATCGAAATGATTCACCCATACGTTGACGGAATTGGGATAAATTGTGGATGTCCTATTCGAGATCAGATACGTGAGGGTATAGGAGCAGCATTAATGAGTAAACCTCGACTTGTTTCTGATCTAATTGCAACCGCAAAAGCCAAATACGGTGATTCTATATGCATCGATACCAAAATACGAATTCACAATGATATAAATGAAACGATTGAATATGTCAAGCTTATTGAAGAAGCTGGCACTGATATCATAACCATTCATGGACGTACCAAAACCACGCGGTCATCTGTTCCCGTGAATCTAGATGCAATAAAAACAATACGTCGACATATTAAAACTGTCCCTGTGATAGCCAATGGTGATTGCTTCACCTTGGATGATTGTAATCTGATTGCTGAATATACAGGGGTTGATGGAGTCATGTCCGCCAGAGGAGTGTTGGCAAACCCAGCTTTGTTCACGGGTTTAAATAAGACGCCCTGGGGCGCCGTGGAGATGTTTATGCATTTAACAACAAGCTATGGTTTACCATACAAGTTGTCACAATACCACGTGGTTCAGTTTATGGAGAACATGGATATACCAAGAAGAATAATTAAAGAGATCAATGAATGTAAAAGCATGATTGATATGATTGACTTGTTGGACAAGTACTTTTATGTCAAGAGGAAATTGGAAAAGGGATATGCAACAGCAACCGAGCCCCAATGGAAAGTAAAGTTGAGCAATGAAGCTACATAGACAAAGAAAGAGACTTTTTTTTTTTTATTTCATTCTATTCATCTACTCTATACTGTTGAACTCGATATTCAAAATTGGTGTACTCCTAGTCATGTTATTGACTTTGTAAATCCCAATCAACTTTTGTGCCAATTCAAACATATTATTCCTCAATGAAATCACCACAAATTGGGCATTCTTTGTCCGCTCTTTAATGTAATTCGCAACAATTGAAACATTTCGAAAATCCAAGGCAGCATCAATCTCATCCATGACATACAATGGAGTAGGTTTGTACAGATGAAGCGCAAAAACTAAAGCCAATGAACTCAATGTCTTTTCACCTCCAGATAAATTGGAAATGTTTTTCCACGATTTTTTTGGTGGCATGACACTAAACAAGATCCCTTCTGAAAATGGGTCCAAGCTGTCAACCAATTCTAGTTCAGCATTCCCACCCATGGTTATCATTCGGTACATGTCTTTTAAAGCCATTGATATGGCGCTGAACCCATCCATAAACTCGTCCAATCGTTTCTTTTTCAAATCCTCGCAATAATCTCTCTTTTCATCTCGCTCCTCAACGGCTTGATTCAAGTCAGCTTTTCTGTCAGTATACTCTGCAATCTTGGTTCCATATTCCTTGAGCATTTCAATATCTATCTGCACAGTGGACATGTACTTTTCCAACTCTTCAATTTCAGAGTTGACCGCATCCAAGTCGACATCTTCTAGTTCAGATTCACTCAAACGTTCAATGATTGATGAATCGTATTTCTTTTGTTCTTCTTCTTCGAGCCAATAGATGTAGGGCATAACATCCCGTACCACTAAAGCATTCAAGCTTTGCTCATTGTGCTCAATCGCATGCGTCATCTTTTTCAATGTGTGGCTGACTTTTTCCAACTTGTTTAAAATTTCAACTTCAAACAGTTTGAATCCAGAAAGCTCCTCTTGTTTCTCCTCTATTTCAACCCGTATAACTTCGAGCTCCTCTTCTTTATCTTGTTTCTGTTGATCAAGTGAATGTAGCTTCTCTTCCAATTCTTTCACCTTCTTTTGTAGTTCTTGTTGTGCTTGCTTGACTTCTTCATGGTCAGCTTCCAACTTTTCCATGGCGCTTTTTGAATCTTCGACAATCTTTGTATGTCGTTTGATGTCACTCTCCAACTTCTTTAATGCAATTCGATCACCACTGGTTTTGTCATTTATTATTGCAATCTGTTGCTTGATTGATTCCACTTTGGAATTTTGAACTTTCAAGTCAACCCCACCAGCTTCCATTATCTTTTGCTCATAAGTGGCTATCTCGTGTTCGTAGCCCGCCATTTCTGCTTTCAATTTTGCTTTAACAGCTTCGAGCTTCTCTAGTTCAGATTGTTTTTCCAAAATCTGTTGCTCATAAGGATTGTTTGCTTCCATTTGTCTCTGTTCGGCTACCAAACTTTTACAGGTCTGAGACACCTCCTTCATTTCCGAAGCTAATCCAGCAATGTCCAACCTGAGCTTCTCTAAAGAGAGCCTCGTCTCAGGCTCCAAACTTCGAACTTTGTTCAATGCATTTATCGCTTCGTTGTACTTTGTCTGCTCTCTTTCAAGCTCTGCTTCCATCTCCTCAATGTCAGCTCTTGCACGTTCCAAGCTTTCCTCATCAAGACCAGTTGCATCCGGTGCATTTGCTGACTTTAAACGCATGGCATTTCTCATTATTTGATTTCCACCACCGGACATAGTCCCTGCTATATCTATCACTTTCCCATCTAATGTCACACATTTCCATCTTCTTGCTCCATATGCTACTTTCTTTGCCTCATTCAAGTCTGGTGCTACAAGTGTATTGAACATTTTACTGAAGAACGCGGGTGCAAACTTGGGGTTAATCGGATCAATCAAATCAAAAAGCCGTTTGATTTTGGATGGATCGCCGGGGACCGTAATTGGGGACAAATCGTAATTCCGTAATTTATTCAAACAAATAAAATTGGCGTATCCAAGTTTGTTCTTCCGCAAGTAATCAATGCAAGCTTGTGCTGTCTCAACTGTTTCCACCACCATAGAGTCTAACCCAGGAGCGGCTGTAGAAACCGCTATATCATACTTTTCATCAATGGTCCCAAGATCACCCAACTTTCCGTAAAATCCTTCAATTCTACCAGATTTTCCCAACTTAGTCAAAGCCGCCAAAACACTGCTTTGATTTTGTTTGCTTTGAAAAGCTTGTGCGGCGTCATGGTATTTATTCTTAGCGCGTGTAATGTGATTTTTCATCTTTTCCAATTTTGTTTTCATCAATTGTGTTTGCTCTTCACCTAATGAGATTTGCTCTTCAATTGTTTCAAGTTTATCTTCCTTTTCCCGGCATTCGTCTTCTTTCTGCTTACCTTCATGTTTGATAGAGCTTAACCTCTCCTTGTTCTCTTCGAATTGTTTCCTTGTACTGTTCATTTGACCTTCAAGAAGATTAATGTTGGAATAGATTAGCTCAATCTCATTTTCATTACTCTTTAACTTTGACGTCCAAGGCTCCAATTTGTTTTGCAAATCTTCTATACGTTTGGTGAAGCCGGATGTCTTCTCTGCCATCTTTTCTCGGATTCGAATCAACTTTTCCTCCTCATCTTTCAAAGTGGAGTCAAGTCTTTTTATATCGATCTTGTATTGCTCAGATGTGTTGGAATAGCTCGACAAACCGTGATTCGCATTCTGTAGTGAATGTGTCAGTGCATTGATGGTTTTTTGTAGTTTCTTTACTTTACTCTCAAAATTTTTTGATTTCTCTTCCAATGACACATTTTGCTTGGTCAAGTCTCGTTTTTGTCTATTTAGTCCCTCGATATCATTCAAAATCTTTTTCAATTCCTTTTTAACCTCCAGCTGTTTCGAAGTTTCGGTGTCAATGTGTTTTAGAATTGCCTCATTCGCTTCCTTCTTCTCGTCCAATTGTTTCTGTAACTCATTAGCTTCCTCTTGGTATGTTCCAATCTTGCTCTGTAGGTCGCTGATGTTACACTGAAATTTCAAGCTTTTGAAATTGTTTAGTTTCCTTTCTAGCTCTAGAAACTTCAATGCTTCGACTTTCTTTTCGTCTAATAGTTCTTTATCCTTCTCGACTAGCAGGAACCTATCTGATTTTTCTTGACACACGGTATTCAACTCTTCTATACGAGCCAAACTATCTTCAATCAACAGTTTGTACTTTGTGGTGCCAATAATATCTTCCAAGTACTCTAATAATCCATCCTCACCTTCCTTTTCGGCTTTGGCTTTCATTTGTGCAATGGATTCTACTTCACCCTGAAGAATCAAAAATCTCTTGTGGTCCAAGTCAATACCCCTACCTCTAAGCAAAGCTGTAACATCAGTGTAGTTACTTTTCTTGCCATTGATGTAGTAGACAGACTGGTTATTGAGAAAAGCCTTCCGCGAGATGATCAACTCCGAATTGGGAACTACCACAGACAACTGAGGTGATTTGGGATCATCAACAATCATATGAAAGTGTATGTCTACTTGACAAAAATCCGGTCTTTCATTACCAGAATTGTGAATCAATTCAGAAATCTTACCTTGTCTCATTTTGTTTGCCTTGAATCCAAACACGAAAAGCATTGCATCTATAACATTTGATTTGCCGCTTCCATTGGGACCCACAACTGATGAAAATGATGAATGGAAAGGCCCGATGACTTGCTCACCAGCGTAAGATTTGAAATTAGTGAGAATAAGCTTATTTATTACCAATCTAGGTACATTTTCGTTCGTAGACTCTTTTGATTGGGGCCTAATTGTTTGCTCTGTCCTTTTAGGAGTTGATACCTTGATTTCTGGTTCTGATAAGTTGTGAAGAACTTCCCCAAAATTAGAGCCGTCGTCATTGTTTGTCGTGTCGGCCACATCGGTGATGACTTCAACCTGATCTACCGGCTCATTCTTCCGCTCTCTTGTTTTCGGTTCCAATTCAGACTCACTTGGAGAATCCTCCAATTGAATGTCCATGTTTGCTGAATCATTGTTCTTAGAGGCTCCTCCATCAGGGGTATCTTTATGATTAGGTATACCCTCAACGCTGTTACTTTCCTTGTCGTCGTAATCACTATTGTTTATAAATGTACTCTCCTTTTCCTCGTCCAGAACAGTATTTCTCTTTCTCTTCATCGTTTTAGTTAATGCCTACAACTCTTTGGTAAAGGGAATGATCACTAAAGACGTGTTTTCGATTGATCTACAAAATGTAAACAAAAAGAAAAGTTTGGAAATCATATTTATGCGTTTTACACTACCCTTTCCATTACATACGCTACCACCTCCCTCATCACAAGGTGACACTTCCCATCCACTACAGCGAAATTCACGAAGTTTTTCTTATCGATTGGCTTCATCGTTGTTATTTGACGCTTCTGGAGTTTCCAGTGTTGACAATGGTGGCAACCCTCTCAAGTTTCTCTGTATCCTCTTCAACTGGGACGCTACGGCTACTGTCTCACTGTTACTGGAGAATCCTGTTTTCTGGTCCTGGTCGTTTAAATTCAAAGGGTTTCTATTATGTTCACTAGCATCTATGAATTGTGTGAGAAATTGTTCAGCTTGTTCTTGAGTTACGCTTGACACGGCATTCACGTTGACAGCTGTGGGAGTATTTAAAGTTGAGGGAACTGCCCTTCTACTTCTTTGATTTAATGACATCTTTCAGTTTGTAAGTCTGATCTATCCGAGAGGGTACGGTCGTGAATTTGGCAGTAATATTGTAAACCCTTTCCACCTGATGATGAGTTTAAACTGGAGCTGATTCAACTTGAAAAAAAAAAAAAAAAAAAAAAAAAAAAAAAAAAACTAGAAAAAATTCTATCCGAAATATTTACCCAAACTATCACCAGTAACCCACACCCTAACGCAATGTTCCAACATATCCTAAAACCGCAGCTAACTAGCTTATTCAAATCTCAAGCAAATACATTTAACAAATTTCCAATCAACTTTGCATTTACTGGGGTCTCGAATATTTCCGCTATAAGTTCCAGTTTAACACCAATGCAATCTATCTCGGGACTTATGCAGAAGAGATTTAAATCCAGGGGTAATACGTATCAACCATCCACATTGAAAAGGAAAAGAAAGTTTGGTTTCCTAGCCCGATTAAGGACCAAAGGTGGACAGAAAGTTCTTAGTAGAAGAAAGGCTAAGGGAAGGTGGTACTTGACCCACTAGAGGCGCAACAAAATACACTTGTATATAGTAGTAGTATTGAGAATATATAACTACCGTGCAATTTTGAAAAATATGTAGCGATACCTCATACTTCCTGGACATACAACCTCATTTATGCCCTACCAAGGGTCTTTGAATAACGTACTTCAATCTCGTGAACCAACTTTTGCAAATTTACAATAACCAACTCATGCGTAAAGTTTGGAAACTTGTCACGATGCAAACCAAACCATTCCAATGGAGGTGTTGCATTTCCTAATTCTTTGAGTTGTGGAGCTTCTATAATAGGTGGGGCCAACGGTACGTATTTAAATTTGGACATGGTTTCTGCTTTTTCAAGTCGTTCTTGAATTGCATCATCAATATCCTTGGTTGGATCCTCGGCATTCAATTGCTGCTTCAAAACAGATTTCGAGTTTTCGATATCATCAAGAGTCCTCATTCTATGTCGATACTCCATTCTCGAAGCTAACGCATTTGAATGAATCAAATACATCTCGCGGATAAAGTTGACGGATCCCAAATTCCATCTAATGTCAACAGTTCCGCTGAAAGTCGATTGATAGTAATACTCAATCACATTAGTGCCATTCTTTTGAAATGTTCGCATGGATATCCTAAAGGAAGGAAAGACAAAAATGTTACCACCTTTGGCCTTGTGTGCAACTTCAACAAACTCATCCACGGTACACTTTTCTGCAAACGCTTCATCTACCGGGGGAACTGTGGATAACGAAACCTTCAAGTCATTAAACTTCACATCCATTTCATTTGCCACTCCATGTCCATACTCATTTTGTTGAAATTTTATTCGAGACTCGTCCAAATTTATCACCAACACTTTAGTATTATCGATGGATGATGGGTAAATATGTACCAAGATCTTTCCAGCTGAGAGATGAATTTTGGTCTGCAATTTTTTGATAGTCTTTAGAATTGCATCACTTGAAAACGATCTGGACATAGTTTTGTTATTGACGGAATTATCCCTGCTTGAGTCTCTCAAGGTTTCCTTATATGACCTTCGATTATCCTGAATCATACGTGATATTGTGTTGCTAATATCAACAAAATTCGAAGCGGTCAATGAAGTCATGTATAGCTCTGCAACATTGAATTTTGTAGTAACAAACAAGTGATCCTTGGCCATTGCAACTGCCCCCTTTCGGTTGTATATATCCATCGAAAAGCATTCGACGTTAGCAATTGCTACAACGTTGTAATCAAATGACACTTTTGCGGCTAGCTTGTTGACACCTCCCGATAACAAAATCAATGGTACATCCAAAGTGTCTCCATCCTTGAGTTTCCAGCTAATAGCGGTGTGCAAATTGATATCGTTTACGGTCAAGAACCCACCTAATCGCCCCTTTGATGATAAATTGATGGAGTTGATTCCTGCTTTCAAATCCTGGGACCAATCGAGACTCTTTTTGGACACTGCCCAAAAATTTTCGATTGTCAAGGTTGACACACCTAAAGACTGACCGAAATCAACTTCGAGATTGATAACATTTGCAACGAAAAGAACAATCCAGGGGAAAGCGTATGTGGTCGATACTTCTTTGAATTTAGATGAGATGTTTTTCTCTTGAGCCAACTCTGAAGCAAATTGGTCCTCCTTTTCATGGCCACTTTCATCCTCATCTTCTGTTGCATAAATCGCAAACAACTCTTTTGGAAACCAAATATCCTTGAATAAATCCACGTCTTGGTATTGTTTGACATTTACAAATCCATCCACTTCAGACATACATCCAGACGTAATGTTTTGGTTTTTTGCTCCAATTTCAAAGTTACTCAGCAAAAGTATTTTCTCAACCTTCATTGAGGCACTGATTTCTCTCGAGTATATATGCTGCAACGAAGCTGACATCCAGTCCAACAACAATGATGTTGTAAAGCTTGGGTTCGTTCCTTTGTCTGTATTCAATTGCAACTGAATACCATCAAGTCCAACAATTGCAGCAACTTTCGCTGTAGGCTCACAACTAAGTGTTAGAAATTGTTTTTCAATTCGAAGTCCAAAATGAATATCCATTTCTTGAAGTAAACTTTCAATAAACTTTGTATTATTTGAATTATCATCCTCAGTTTTTTCCTTGTCTGTTTTTGGACTACGCATCAAGTCTTTAGTGCTAGTGGCCAAATCCAAGAAAACTGGAACACATTTTGGAAACAAAACGTTTTCGGATTGTGATATCACCAATTCTCCCATAAGTTTGTTTTTGGAATCCGTGATTTTTGTAAATTTGAAAGAAGATCTAAAAGCAGGGGCATGCAAATACAACGATGGTGTGTTTGCTTGTTCATCGTCCTCCACTCTATAGATTGACACATTTGATCCAGCAAATGTGGAGCTGAACTCAATTGATTGAAAGGAGGTGTTGACGGTGGGCTGCTTTGTTGTGTTTTCGGTGATGTCCTTCTTTTCTTCCACCGGGAGTGTCCTTTCCCTCCCATCTAAGAATTTCTGAATTCTAGAAGCTTGCTTGGCCGATTTTTGGATAGTACCCCCAACTGATGTGGACAAGAATTTAACATCAACTTCATCACCACGTAAAGTGATCCTCAAATGTTTTGATGTTTTCGAATGTTTTTCAATCATGAAAATCAATTGCAACATTGGAAGGAAAGCTCTGTTCAAACGAGCTTGTTCTGATTCCGTACTGTAGAAATTAGACGACTGGTTGCCATTAGCAATTGAAACATAGGAACCCATCAAAGTGAATTTTCCTAAACTTTCTTCCGTTGCCGCAAAGAACTTTTCAGCACCAACGATGATTCCTGGATTCTCCTTAGACTCGTCATTGAATAGCCAACCTACACAAAAGTCATAAAATAAAAATTGGAAGGACAGAAACTTGGTGTATATCCACAGCTCTAATAAGTTCCTTTGAGGATCAGCAGATTCGGTTGCATCGGGTGTAGATTGCAGTTTTTCTTTTAAATTTGAAAAATGTTTCATGACCTCGTCAAGCACCATAAGTGAAGAAGCCACAACTGGCTCAGACAAACACACTCTAAAATACTGCGACTCAACTTGCAAATTCTGCCGGTTATTGGGGATGTCCATATCGTTGAATAGTCTCACTGATATTCCGAGTGCTAAGATGTTTGATAGACTTATTGGTATACCTTTTTCCAACAATGTAAGTCTAATGGCTGGTAGAGCAATATCACCGTATAATTGAACCATGCCGTTTGTGAAGTTACCTTCTGAAACTTGAGTGGGGGAAACATTACTCAAATTGATTGTCGATCCTTCCAATGCTAAGCCAACACTGGCCTTTTGAACAATGGCAGATATTTCAAGATAGTCATTCCGAAACTTCATTTTGAAAAGACAGGGTATTTTTTTTGGTTTGTTTTGCCTCACCTTCTTTGCAGGTTTAACCATGTCAATTAAGTTTGAGATATTCTTGACTTTTTCCTCGATCAATACCTTATCCTTGGTTGCCAATCTTATGGCTCGGTTTATATCTGGTACAACTGCCTTGAAATATCCCACATAAACATTGGAGTTTAGGGTTGAAACCTCTTCTTGTTTTGCAAACGAGACTGAAGCCATCAAGTCCGCGGAATGCAATTCAAATATGTTGCCATTCAAAGCCAAGTTGCTTCGAACTTTTTCCACTTTTAACCTGGTTGATAGAACTTCATCCACAACAGATGCTGTGAGGGAGGTGTTCAATATGGCCCCTGAGAAGTGAAGGGGGTGAAGCACCCCAACATTCCAGATTACCTCGGTCATCTTCACCGACGTTGAGACGACTTTAGTCGGTTTTGGCAGGGAGGATTCCCCATCTGCATCTTCTGGAAGTAATTCCACTAAATCCATCACGTACAAATAATCATTTTCCAAAACGGTACGCAACGTATTCACAACGTCGTCGCTTTTGTCGTAAAGGAATGTCTGTAAAGACTCAACTTCAACATCCATATGTAGAGCCGTGTCAGATTGCGCAAATAAAAATTGCATACCCAAGAGCTTCTGCGTCAACACGTTGCGTGAATTGACAGTGCTCCTTATCTCCGCTTCATTGGCACCAATAGCATAAATCAGTCCTTTCGAAATGTTGCTGAAATCAATATGAGTGAAAAAACTATCCAATCTAATACCCACTGACGTGGTAAGCAAGGATAACGTTTGTTCAAATGCTTTCACATCAATGATAACATTTATTGATTTCGTAAGGGTGCGATTTATTGAACTTGTTTCTCCAGAAGCGGGCTGTTGTGTTACGATAGACGTGGCATTTTCGTTCGCAGTGGACTCACGATGCCTCTTCGTGCTAACCATTTTTACAAGATCGAATATGTCTTTTGTAACTTTACTTTCATAATTCTCCAATTTGACAATAATCTCAGCAACCTCGGAAAGCTCTCCTCTTGAATCGTTGAACAAACTCTTGAAACTAAGATCAAGCTCATCAAGACTGACAAAAGTAGGGTCTTTGCGATTACTACTTCTTAGTGATGTCAAGATTCCCGTAATGTTAAACTTGGAGCTCTTCTTTGCAACTGGTACAACCTCTTTGCCAAAGATTCGCTTAAACATGTAAAGTCTTTGTTGTTGATTGGCCTCCCATGCTCTCCATCCTGAGAAGATGTCTAGGACCTGCTCAAAAGCATTCTTAGGAAGCTCGTAAGCGTGCGCTTTGAATTTGGATGACATTTCGTCGATCCATGACTTTGGTAAAGTACGAAGAATATGCTGAAGTCGCGCCACTACTTTCCAACCATCAAAGAACCTCACATGTTCTGATTTCAATCTCAAAAAGTACGCTGGACGCGTAAGAACATCCGGGTCATGATCAATGGCATATTCGGAGGAGGCAATTGTCAAGGCATGAACTAGATTGGCATGTGTTTCTTGCTTACTTTGCAAGTTTTCAAACACTTTTAATTCATATTTGAAGCTCTCACTCATCTGCAGAAGTTCATCTGCCAACCAATGAGCCTGTGCGATATCAAAATCGCCATCCAAGTGATCATACTGAGCCGATCCCTCAACATTGTCCTTACTTTTGCTCAACCACCCTTCGATATCTTGCACATTCAAAACCAAGGCTGCTTTGTGTATATCCTTCTGTTGACAGCTCAAGGACAAAAAGCCCAAATGGTAGGCCAAGGTTATGCTCTCCTCTAAATCGATTTGGCCGGTCTTTGTCGTAAATTCCGTCTTGCTCGATATGGCCAAAGATAAATTCGCCGTCCTCATGGTTACACTGTTTTTGTCACGATGGGGAGCATGCAATGCATTGTCATTTTCAAGAGAGTGCCGGCCAATTTGTAAAGCAAGATTATGATTGACCACTCGTAAATTTTTAACTTCTTTGGAAGAACGCATAAGACTTTGAAGAACCTTGATGGTTGTGGATCCTATTTGGTCCATTATCGATTCCAAATTAACATCTTCAAACTCTCGAATGGCTTTGTAAACAGCAGGTAAGGACGCAGAACTGAGAAACGATTCTACATCACCAATCTCGACAATAAAGTTGTCGTACTCAGTATCGGGATCCACTGGGTAAGTCGGGCAAAAGTCTTCATCACAATAGCTCACTGTTGGCAACTCGATATCCGACATTTTGCTTGACGACGTGAAAGAAGTAGTGTCAGACATGAATGACGACAGCAGGTCTTTTGGCATCCACCTATCTGATGTTGCTTCCGTTAAGGGAACGTGCACCTTGGGAAGAGACATCGTTGTCAATAAGCAGCCCTTGTTTCTCTTGTAAAACGAATCTCTGAAATCTTCAAATAAAAGAAATGGGGCTCTATGGAAAGGTGCATCCCCATCCCTGACGTGAAACTCTCTAGTTTCTCTCAAGCCAACCATATCCGCTTTCTGACAAATATTGGTAAAGACCAAAGACGTTTTGACAATAGCTAATAAACTTTCGTTGTTGTTGGCATCCACTTCAACCACCTTTGCACCGATATCCGGTATAGAAACCACCAACTTGCTGGAGTATCTCATGTTAGGCACATCGTTCATGGACAACAAAATATCGTCCAACACTACTTCTACCATAGACAATGCATCCGGCCTCAATCTCAAAATGAATTTCGAAAAGCGAATGGAAAAGTTTGCTGCGTCAAAAGCCGGCGGGAATAGTTCTTCCAATGCGTTAGCTTGATCTTTGAACCCAACGCCAAAGTTCGTTAGACCTGAGATAACGTACTGCAAGAACATAGGACTGCTATCAATGATCCAATCTCCAAAACTAAAATCCCACTTGCACCAAAAAGTTACTTCTTCAGGAGGGGCACTGAACATACGATGTGAATGAACTGTAAATCCGTCCACTTGCATATCAACTCGGTGCTTCATATATTTGTCAACATATTGCATCACATTCATGATATCTTCGGACTCCTCTGATTCATCATTCATAACTCCAGAAATTGGACCAAAATCGACTTGCATATCCATGTAATAATTGCAGAAGCGCATATCCATATCCAACATATTAAAATGCAAACCTATGTGACTTGCACAGGTATACAAGTTACGAGGCAAAAGCATGAGCCCATTCCGAACTTGGAATCTGACAAGTACATCCACATCGTTTTCAGTCTTGAGCAATTTCCATAAGTCTTTCTCTTCTCGTACGGAACTGCTTTGAGATTGGGTATCTTTCATAGACTCAGAACTCATGCTACCGTAGTTGTACTCCTCGAACGTTTTGAAATGAACATGTTCTCCAAAATAGTTGTCTTTAACTGCAAACAAGTAACGAATGACAAACCCATAAAATTTCAAGCATATGTCATCCCCAATGCAGTTGATTTCTATGCAGTTTGACGTATTGACCTCAACCGCGCTATAAAAAGTGTAGTCACCTTGAACCAGAAACGGACCACTTTTTCCAACAACATTCGAGCCTTTCAAAAATGCATTGACGGTATGCCAGGGAGGAGTATCGAGAATCAAATCAAAGTGCGGGGTCTCCAAAGAGTATGAGATTGTTGTTTTTTTGGTGCTGGCACCGTTCAAAGGAACGGCAATGTCAATGTTGAGTTCTTCACCCTGAAATGATAAATACTTGTTACTATTGAAATCCAACGGATTGTTAATGATATTACAATCGTTCACGTTCAAGTATAGTTCAAAATTGATCAATTTCCAATTTATCCTGTACAAAAATTGGCGAAAATTCTCATATGGTTGTGGATCACCAGAAGCAAAATCAGTGAAAAGATCTGACAACAAGAAAAGGTGTTCTCTTAGCAAAAACAATCTCGGATTCAAACTGACTTGGTCAAAAGACCAATTACACTGACCATTCCATTTCAAGGGGAGAGCTATGTCGGCGTTGATTTCATGCGAGTCTGCCGAATACAAAACATCATGATTCACTGATGATCTAATTTCGGGGCTGCTTAGGTTCACCTTTAACTTATTGGGGAACCCCTTTTCAGGATTCGATACGAAAGAAGTAAACAGTCCCACATTTGAGCCTTCTGCTACCTTAAGTTCAAGCCAACCAAATGATCTAGTAGTTTTTTGAAACGCTTGATGATTTTGATTTTGTTTTAAAAATTCCTTGTCTTTACTTGCTTCTCTAGTAGGTATTCGAACCACCAACTCATCTTTCACAATGACGGTTACCTTAAATCCCTCATAATCCCTCTTAAAACCTGTCTTCAAAAAATCGGATGTAGGACTCGAGTCTCTCGCAAGTGACGGAAATAGCATGTTTTGGAGTGGTATTCTTTGTCTATCTGCCCATGGGCCATAATGGATTGTACCAAATGATATTTCAACTTCAATTCCCAGTTCCGGTGCTGCCATTTCCATACATTTTTTGCTAGTAGTTTGTAATCCTTGTGCGTCATAATAGTATACAAACCTTGTCAGCGTTGAATCAAGAATCAAACTGTATTTTGCATACTGCTCATCGCTGGTGAGAACAGTAGTTATTATCGGGTCTTCCGAATCACCAACATACCTTTTCAAACCCTTCCAATCGAGCTGATCTGTTGGGTCAAACTCATTAGGTCGTTGTTTCCTCAAAACTTTTTCCTGTACTTTTCGGCTAATCCATTTACTTGCAACCAAAAACTTGTACCAAAGCTTGTATGACTTTATGTCACGTAAATTATCCAACCTACCACTGTCAGAATGCATTTTTTCGTGGTCTTCTTTTCCATACCTATACTTGTCGAAACCAATATTGGGCCTAATCCAAACTTGGAAGTCATCAAATTGCAAGTCATGCAAAACTCTATAGTGGTCGACAGGGTTTGGTGCTTTGCTAATATCCAACAACCCTTTTCCATATTTGAAAGATGCCACCAAAATGGACGGCGTGGTGACGTTTCCAACAACAAATGCCCCCTTTTTTATCCTAAAGTCCACGGGTAATATTTGTAATAGAAGGGGTAAGGAACGTTTAGTGTGGGCATTGTGGTCTTCTGATGGTTCAGAATCTGTGGCATTCAGTTCTTTTTCATCACTTTGACCATGTACATCATACTGCGCTGAGGAGGAGCTTGATTCCTTTTCTTGTTCATCTTCCCCCTCTCGTCTCTTTTGTCCCTGTTCCTTCCCCTGATTCTCTTTGTCGTTCGATTTTTTCCCATTCAAGATATCCATTATGTTGTCATAGGCCGCCGTCTTATTATAAGTGAATATTTCCATCCCCTCAATTACAATCACAAACCTGCACGGCAGCTTGTCATTCTGGCGTTGAGAGACACCACCAGTCTCACTGTCTGTATCCCAGTAAAATCCTGACAATCTAGTGAGTGAGGATATCCAATATCTCCAAGTGAAGGTGACACTTAATATCGAAACCGTTGTATCGGCAGTCACTATTGTTAGATTTTTCAAAAATAGTCGACCCCCTAGTGGCGACAATTTAAATGCATCGATATGGACACGGATGCGGTAAACGTTCCATAGCACAAGCTTGCAAACTAATGTGACTATGAATCCTAGGAGTTTATGAAAATAAAATATAAAGGCTAGTCCCAAAACCAAAGATAAGATCCAATCAACAAAGTAGACCCAAAAAGATACACTATAGTTTGAGTTTGAGGCAACGGCCATGAATTGTGAGTCGAAAGCCATCTTGGATAGCTGGGTGGGTATGTATCTGAGTCAACCGATGAATGGTTATAAGTTTGTATGATGGCACTGGTAAAAGGCTTGGGCTTCTTGCGCAATGCACGCGCTCCCTTTGTAGAACAGAAATGGATTATCTAATTTATTACGTAAGAAATGTACAAAAGGGAGAACCAAAAGAAAAAATGATGCTTTCATGAAGAAAAATGTAAACAAAAGGAAAGGAGAGAAGAATACAGAAAGCAATTCTTGTCCACCCAATTCGAACTATTTCTTTCCTATTCGGCAAATCAATTGGCGAGCTGGTTCACAAGTAATACTATACTACTTTAATTACCCAAAGCACATTTTTATACCCTAAAATTTGCATCATAAGCTACTATGTCCAGTCGAGTTTTTGATAATTCTGAGAACAAAAACTCACTCAAACCGTTCAATAAAGAATCGCAGAATGAAAACGCCGCTATATCGAATAAAGGGGGTAATTTCAGACAAACACTGAGGTTCAAACGAGTGCCATTAGGAGGCAAGAATCAAAACACAAATACATTTGAGTTGAATAGGTCAAAGTCGACAATAAATCCTAATTTAAGCTCGTTTAAGTCTACCAAACCACCAAGTTTAATAAAGTCCAATTCGAGTTTAGGGTTTCAGTCTGTACCTGTATATCAAGAGCACAGACAAGAACGGAAAACTGTACAAATTGCGGCACCGGCACCACGAATCGGTGAGACAACAGAGAGAAAACCTCAAAAAGATAGTGTTAGAAGTACAGGGCCTAGATCCACCAAAAATGTCAGGAAAAGACTCAGTTTGGATGAATTATCCCGTCCTACATTGCTTTCACCGAAAAAGCAGAAACTATTTCAAACTGATTCCTTGGTCAAATCAGAACATATGAAACACGCGCCAATATCCAATATTCAAAGTACGCTTTCGGAAAGAACTGAAGCTATAAACGCAAGACATATAGTAAATAACGATATCACAAGGAATAACATGGACCCTATTAAACGATCTATTAGGCGTCATTCAATAGATACAATGGTTGCACAACACTGGAAGGATGAAATAGAGTTTGTGCCACAAGATTACAACAAGAAAGATGGCGATTCCATTGTTTCATTCAATGACGATGAATTGCAATATTTTTCAACTCCAAACATTAGTCATGAGCATAAGCTGACTCCACCTAATGAGGACTTGGATTTGGATTTGGATTTGGATTTGGATTTCGAAAATGACGCAGGTGATGAAGAACTTGGAGCAGAAATGACTATTGATGGGATCGAGAATGAAGAGTTTGGATTAAATGACGAGGATTTGAGAAACCTATTAGATTAATAGCTATATACAGATAATGCTAAAGTAAATGTCTAATAAAATTGTTATGATTTTGATGGTAAGACACAGGCATCCATGACGTTACTACTGTTGAGTACATTGAGGTCCCTGTTCATACGCACCATTTCCTTGATTGGTGGAGTTGTGGTCCCTATAGTCAGGTAAATCCAGTGATGTAACAATTGAAAAATCAGTAAACAACTCAACGTTCGGTTCGGGTACTGATACTTCATGTGCTCTGTCCTTTAGATTGGTGGGTAAAATATTTCTAATCGTTATCAAGTCGTTCTTTTCAAGATACCAGTTATCACTAGGGAATTCAATATCCACCTTGATGTATAAATCACCTTTACCATCACTCCTTGAAAACCAAGATTTTTTTCCGGATTTGGGCATTCCCTCACCTTCGATTTTGATGTAGTCACCAGGTCTAATCACTTTCCCCCTTGGTGTAACCACTTTGACTCCGCGTCCATCTAAATGTGACGCCACTACTTTCGAAAAACCTGCAAGTGCGTCAGCCAATGGTATCTTTAGCAGCATATATAGATCATCGCCTCTTCTTTCAAACGTTTCATGCTTTTTACAAGTATATTTTAGGATAATGTCACCTGCAATTTTACCGGGATACTCGTCACTTTCACCTTTTTTAACTACGGTCCCTTCATTAGGAGAGCCCTTTGGTATATCAAATTCCAAAATTTTTGTCTCCTCACAAACTCTTGAGCCTTTACATAATTTGCATCTATCCTTTGTACGATATATTTTCCCCGTTGCATTACACGTTGAACAATCAACATATTCTTGAGCCACAAATCCAGGAGCAACTCGTTTTATTTTTCGAGTGTATCCTTCTCCGTGACAGATTCCACATGGCTTACTCACTGCACTAGCTGATTTAACTCCTTTACCTTTGCATTGAAAACAAATAATATTCCTTGTGGAGGTGGATCGTACCACTTTGCCAATATAGAGTTCCTCTAATGTTACTTCCACATTCAAGATAGCATCTTCTGTTCGCCTACTATTCTGTTGGCTCGATTGTTCTCCATTCATCCCATTAAAAAAGTCATAAAAATCGTTGCCTCCGTATCCATTGTAATCGCCACCTCCATAAAATTGTTCAAATGGGTTTCCTGTGAAGTCATAGTGGCCAGGACCACCATTGCTATCAGTGGTACCGTAAAGATCATAATTATGACGTTTTTCCTCGTCAATCAAGACTTCGTATGCAAATGAAATTTTCTTGAAATGAATCTCTGACTCTTCTCGATCTTCTTCCGATGCTTTATCAGGATGATATTTCAATGCAAGTTTTCTAAATGCTTTCTTTATTTCAACATCCGTGGCACTAGAGCTCACTTCTAGTATCTCGTACAAGTCTTCCATTGTCACTGAGTAGTATGGAGAGTCATTCAACCGTTCTTTTTTATTTCAATGTTAGGTTTTTATTTTTTGGTCTCTTTTTTTTTCTCCCTGATGCCACAAACATTACTCAAAGAAGCGAGAAAGATGACATAAGAGACATCATCGTTGTTGATGTAGGGCCTGGCACAAGTGGCTTTTCGGCATGTAGCAGCCTGATCTCGTTAAGTGACTGGAGCACATCTTGCGTAAAGCATTAAGGTTTCAAGAAGGAAAAAAAATTACGACGCGAGCAGGGTTCGAACCTGCGCGGGCAATGCCCAAAGGAACCTGCATCCTTCACCTTAACCACTCGGTCATCGCATCAGTGGATCTTTTACGTGTTTGACAACTACGCCAAACCGATATAAAGCGCCAACTTTTGGTTGTGAGATGATGCGCCAAAGTTGATTTGGAAATTTGTCTGTCCTAAAAACTGGGGTTGTAAAGCCCAATATAGGCCATAATCTTTCCAATTACGATACTTTTGACAAACTCTCACTAAGTAGCGACTCAGAATGTGACACAAGGTAAGCGCTGGCTTCGAACGATGTGAAATGTGTAAAAGCATTCCACTGAACTTTTGAAAGAAAGCAAGGTCAAGAAGGTAAAGAGGCAGCCTTTAGTTGCTCTTTTCACCTACTCTAGCCATGTTCTACCACAGATTGTGCAAGATTGGCTTCCTTCTTCGGGGCATTGTCCCCTTAAATACAACATGTTTTGCTCCCTGGTTTGGTTGGGGTGCAAAGGGAGAAGATTTGGGTTGTAGTGAGTTGTTAAATTGAAATTAGTATTAATTTTGAATAACATTCACTGCTTCATAAGTTGGAGTAATCATTTTTGCAAAAATTAGTTGCAAAAATTTTGCAATAAACTTGATGCTTATGATCAATCCATAGAAGTGGACAACTTCACACCGACTTAATACACCACAACACAAGAATTCAAATTATCGATCAATTATAAGTCTTTCAACCCCCCATTATTTCAATAGTGGTTTTCTCTTTGCGTAGGGCACAAATATTGTAGAGTGTAGGCTGTCGCTATATCGCTACCACGTAAGATCTTGAAAAAAGGTAGTGTACATGTCGCCAACAAAAGTTACAAAAAACAATGGCAAAAAGGAAAAAGTAAGAGAACAACAACAATCACCTTTTTCTCGTCTTGGTCGAAACTTTCAAATTTCGAAATTCTTTTGATTGTAACAGTTTCACCACTTTAACTACCAAACACACACTCAGTTATACAAAGCACAATAAATCTTATCAAAAATGGTATGTCCAACAAAATGTACCTCAATTGTCAATTGCTGTCCACGCATTTTGTGATCAAGCACATTATTAGACAATTGATAAACTCAATAATTTGTTTCCAATATTAACTTTTCATAACTAGTCTAGATCAGGGTATGTTTAACTCAACCCCCGCTCCTCTCTCAATCCATTTATTCCTTATTACTAACAAACACACTAGAGTTCAAGTTGCTGATGAATCATTGACCGCATTCAACGATTTGAAATTGGGTAAAAAGTACAAGTTTGTCATTTATACCTTAAATGACGCTAAAACCGAAATTGTTGTTGATGAAACTTCCACTGATTCAGATTACGATGCATTCTTGGAAAAATTACCAGAAAATGAATGTAAATATGCTGTCTATGATTTCGAGTACGAAATTGGTGGTGGTGAAGGTAAGAGATCCAAGATTGTGTTTTTCACTTGGTCCCCAGACACTGCACCAGTTAGATCGAAGATGGTCTATGCTTCTTCAAAAGACTCTTTGAGAAAAGCTTTGAATGGGGTTGCTGCTGATGTTCAAGGTACTGACTTTTCAGAAGTTGCTTACGAGTCAGTCTTGGATAGAGTCAGCAAAGGTGCCGGATCTCACTAGAATATATATATGGAAATTCTACGGTTTTATAAACTTATGTGTAACACGTATATGCTAAGCTAGAGAAATCTGAAGGGCCAAATGGGGTTATTTTTGTAAATGCAAAAAGAGTGTGCTTTGACAGAGCACTTTTTCCTTGCGATAAGAAATTCTGTACCACATAAACCAATCCACTAATTACCGCTAATGACTTCGAAACGAGAGCGAGCAACGCTTGCACAGAAGATACAAGTATTGGACTATTTCCATTCATCTGGGAGTTCACAGTTGAAAACAGTCAACAAATTTAGAAACGAAATATCAATATCAAAATCATCACTCAGTGAATGGCTCAAACGAGAAAACGACCTACGTCAAAGCTTTGCTCAAGACGAATTCAAGCTGTCAAAGAATAGTCGACGGAAAGTGAAGTTCAAGTACGAAAAGATAAACAGAGCCATGGACATGCTAGTTCAATCGAGATTGGAAAAGAATGAACCAATAACGCAGCCAATTTTACGACAACATTGGTCGGTGTACGCTCACCAATACGGAGTTGATGATCCAAAACGATTAATCTGTTTTAGCCACGGGTGGTTGAATCAGTTTAAAAAGAGACATGGGTTGAAAAGAGGATCTCTGCTTGCTTGTGGGTCGCTAATACAAGAACCTCGCACAATGGGGGAAAGTGAGGAGGCTAATGAGGGACTGTTGTCCGATCTGAGCTTTGACTCTGTCACGAATAGTAAAGAGCTTGGTGTTGAAACAGAGAAGGAACCCGCATATCAGCTTAATAGGAGTATGGTCATCGACACACAGTTGTCTGAAGTGGCTGCATCACCATCGCCAAACACTAACGACCTTGCTGAGGATTTGAGAATGGTTAGAGACACAGGCGTGAGTACTTCCAATACTCTAGAGCCCAATAGAGCTTCTGGTACACACCTACGACCAGATTCAGATTCAGATGAAACAAAACTACCGAGTCAAACCCCACCTTCATTACTAGACTTTCGTATACGTAATAGAATACGCCCGCTATTTTTAAAGCATCCATTGAGCAATCCATCTGTTGAGGTGAGCAATGTGCCAGATAGTGATACAGAAGCAATCGAACGTTTGAATAAGCATCACAGACTGAGGGAAAAGCAACCAGTTCAACAACAATCTGATACCACTCTTGATCACTTAAATACCAATGCATCTTCACCCACTGGCACGGCTGATTCTATAATTGGTAATGATGATACAGTTGATTTGACCACTACAGTGCTGAATACAATGGATACGGCGTCAAACCATGCCACTCAGCAACAGACTGAGTCCAAAGGCGTACAAAGCGCAAATGACAATAAACACATAGAAAATCAAGTCGATGTGGAAACTTTTATTCTCACTACTGCTGATAAATTCTTTCGGATGAATTCTCAACAGTATCCCGAGACATCGAAAATATACCAGAGCCTCAAGCAAGCTTTTATCCGTGAGCTAGTAATTGCCAGAAAAAACGTAAACAAAACCCAGCAGCAGCTGTGACGAATTGGAGTTTTTCCTTTTCAAAAAGCTAGAGATTTGTTGAAACAGTATGTATATATTATCGAATTAAATACTTTTCCAATGTTTTCCAAAAAATAGTAGCTTCCAATCGAAACAGCCATCCAGCGGCTGAACCAAAAAAAAAAAAAGTCAGTCACATGACATTAGTAAAGTCAATTTCATTGTCGGCCACTTCAACCCTTAAACTTGGTTCAACATGACCTTCATTATTTTCAGCGGCTGATGCACCATCTACAGCGTTATTTCCGCTCTTTTCCTTTTCACACGTACACGAGTCACACAGTTTTGTGCATTTATCTCCATCTAGTTTGAAATCATTTAAATCTCGAGCGACTTTATTCACCTGCTGGGAAAGAAACTCATGATCTTGAGTGTGGTGATTGTGAGCGCTTCTTGGTATATGCCTAGCAGTACTAGTTGATTTTGAAGATGCTATTTGATTCATAGTATCTTGCTGGGATGGTGTTGGAACTTTATTGATTCTAGCACTTATATCAAGATGGGCATCGTGTTTCGCATAAAGGTAATTTCGTAGAGCCATGGCGTTCCGGATTTTTGCTTATATATGTATTGGCGGCGCCGATGTGTAAAACTCTCTTTTTTTGTGTAAACTACCACTCAGTAAGTGAGGTCCGAATATGGGTTTAGTATAATTCAGCCTATCACCAACGTGGTAAATGATTAGCAACTTAAAACTAGGTAACTACGTGGAAAAGAAAAATAAAAGAAAAAATTCATTCGGAAAAGACGATGTGATTATATATAAAACCCACCACCTTTCTGCTCCATCTTCAAATCTCGTTTGACGGAAATCATGTCATGTTATCTGACATGAAAATGCATTTCTTTAACCTTCTGTGCGTATAGTGTTGCAACAAAAAAAGAAAAAATTAAGACAGCATTTATTAGAGACAATTGTCCAAGTTGCAAATACGATGTTGACCGACACGAAAGGGAGCAAGGTAAAAGATATCATATATCATCAGTTACAATAGCAGAGACCTATGTTTCTCACAACCCGGCTTATACTATACAATCTCTTAAATAACCGTACAATCCCATCACTATATCGTCAAAAACAATGCCAAAACAATGCTGACAGACATAAAAAAAAAAAAGTGGGGTGATCTTTTTTTGCACAAAATTATTTCGAATCTACCACAGATAATATATGGTAATGTAGGTACACACATTAGATGATGCCTTTATACAGAAAGAGATGGTTTAGTTTGACTCATGACAGAGTTAACACTGAGGGATTTACGTGTTTGTGGTTGCTTTTTCTTTACCCTTTTTGTGAATAATCCTATGAAAATATTCGGTTCGATAAAACCTTATCGATGGTCAAATCGGACTTATATATTAAAACCGAAAGTAGCAAAGTAATACACACCCAATGCACTCTTCATCTCAATTAAAATCATTTCAACCACCAAAGCTAATGCTCTATTGTCCTATTTGTTGCGATTTAGGTGTCAATTTCAACCCTATAATAGCAATGCCCAAAGCAATCGTGAGAAACTTGAATTTCAAATTATCATCAATTAAATCATCCTTGCGCTTCTTTTTAGAGCTGGTATCCTTCGGTGCACCCATCACAAATGATTTGATTTTATGAAGCATATTCAATTCTTCCTCCGATGATGATGATGATGACGATGACGTTGCATAATACTCGCGTGTGGTTTCATCTTCACCATCAGCAACTAGTTCCCAATTGTCATTTTCGAAATCAGAATCTGCTTCGTCTTCACTTAGTGAGTACAAGTTGTTGGGGCGGAAAATTTGTGATGCAAATTTTTTAACTATTTTATCATTGACAAAGTTGGACTCCAGGATTTGGTCTTCATTGGAATCATTGTCGTATGGGTACAACAGTTCTGGAGCAGTATCAAATCCATTATTTGAAGCACCCGCATGGTTGATTCCCACAGGATTTGCGGCAAATTTTTCATTCTTGTTGAACACAGCATTTATAGATACCGACCTCAAGACCCTCTTTTTATTAATCAACATGTTTTTGGACTCTTCAATGAGCTTTGCATCTGAATACTCCATTTGTTTGTTCAATGCTTTAACAGAATTGGCAGATTGTTTCTTGGCCAATTTCTTTATATTCTTTTTCTGTTTTTGCAACTCGAATCCAATATACGATAATAGCTTCTCATTATGAAGTTTCAAAGATTGCAACTCAAACTTGAGTTTAGTGATTTCTTGTTTCGTTTTGTTATCGGCGTTGAAATAACTAGATCGTTTTGAGGACAGGTCGAATTCATCATATGACACCCGCTTACTGGTGTCAAACCCAGTATCTTCAGAACCCATGCCATTGAGAGCAAAAAACGTTCCATCTCGGTGGTTCAACTTGGCGTAGTCCTCAACAAATGACTCCTCAATAACATCGAATTCCAGATCCTGCCTGTGCACCTTTTCGGGCATAGATGTATATCTCACCGAGTCAGGCTCAAACTCGACTTTTATCGGTAGTATATCATGACTGTTGTACCTAATGTGTGTGGGTTTTGTCCTTGAGTATCTCTTTACAATTGAGTTATCTGGATTATCAAAAGCACCATCCTTACCTTCAGGGCTTGATAAAGGACCTGGGGTCAATTTGAATGGAGACAAAACAAACTCGGCTGATTCAGGAATGGATTGCGATTTCAAATTTGTGGGTAATGATTGCCTTTTCTGTTCTTTTGATTGTGGGTCTGGCGATGGTGGGAATTGAAAATGTGATGTCACTTTGATAGAGTCTGATGACTCTTCCCCGAGGTAAGAGTGGTCTGCTATATTCATTTGGGCTTGGCCGAACGCCTCATTGATGTTTCCATGAGTTGTGTGCTTTACAAAATCATCAATGCTCTTAGCATCACTTTCCAAATCATCGGTCATGGGACTCTCCAACTGATTAACAAGTTCTTCATTCTTATGAGCCAAAAACTCAATCTGATCCATTAAAACAAGTTTCGAGCTTTTCTCAACTTCAAATTGATGTTGAAGAACTTTATAATCGCGAAGAAGCTTTTCGTATTTTGGTACCAATTCGTTATCACGATCTCGATGCTCAATATGTTGTTGTGATGGGCTAATGGTGGTTGAAAGTTGCAAGCTCAAGTCTTCCACTTTATTTTGTAATGTTTCTATTACTTTCTTGTACATTGCTTCATTCTTCATTGACGCCTCCTGTATTACTTGTTTTTCCGATTCCACATCGACGATAGTTTGTTCGACTTGGTTTAAATGAGACTTTAATGACGCCACTTCGTCCTTGTTCAGTTGTAGTTCACATCTTAGTCTTTGATTTTCGGACTTTAGATGTTCATATTTGAGTACGGCATCAGCAAATCGTCGTTCCAACTCATCATACTCCTCTTTACTTGTTTCTTGTTGTTGTTGTTGTTGTTGTTTCATCTCTGTATTCAAGTCCAATGAGTCCACCGACTGATTCTCCCTCTGTATTTGCTGCAACTTATTAGACGATTTGCCAAATCTTGACTTTGATGGCAGACCTTTCCCCCGTTTCTCAATTGAGTTTAGTAAGGAGTGATTGTTCGACAATGGAATATTTTTAGGCGACGATACTGCGCTATTGTTGTTCAGACTATCAATCGAATTTTGCATTATTACTGTTATGTCATTATTCTCCTTGGTATCTCTATTGTTGTTCATATTATATCGGTATCAGTGATGGATCGAATGGGTGTCTTGGTGGGGTGGAGAAGGAGAATGTCAAAACGTTTTGCGAAATAACAATGATGGAGTAATTAATCCGGCGGCTTTTATTGCAGTTAAAGGAGTGAATGAATGAATGTAGAACTAATCTATGCTGTTTGGGTTGATCGATTAACAAGTATCCTGTAATGTCCTGAGGAAGGCAACTTTATGGTTTGAGTCAAGGAGTCGGAGGAAAGATTGAAGTCTACTTTTTTGATGTTTTTTTTTTTTTTTTTTTTTGTAATTGTAGTGTTGAAATTCACTTTTTTTGTTTTTGTTCTTTATTTGTTTATAGTTTTTCAACACAATAACCAGAAAAGACACTCAGATTTTACATTTAATTCCCTCATTGAGTTTTGCTAACCACCGAAGGACACACTTTCACTTGACGATGGTAATAAGAACTAGGCAAAGCTGTACTCTACAACACGCTCATTCCATGATGTTACAAAAAGAATACATTATGTGAGTTCTAACACTTTGGGGTCTTGGAATCTCCATGACGCCGAATTAATCTGTACTTCATAAACCACATGGTTTCTAGCTCTATTTTTCCCGAGGAGGACGCTAATTAAACTAAACTAAACCTCATTGGCTATATGCATCTATGTCTCTCTTTTATCATTGTCCTTAGTTCGTAAGAATTGGGTCTTCTTACTTGACATTGACTATTTTTGTGTATTGAATACACTTCGAATGTTTTGATTTCTTCCTAAATCAGTTGATTTTCTAGAGATACAAAAACACAAAAGCTAAATAAAAGTATTTTATGTGCTCATTCCAATTTTCACATTTGTCACATTCCTTCATCGTCTATTCTGTACATATATATATAATATGTACTACAACTGACAACTCAAGTTATACGTTACATGACAACTTACGAGCGTTTATTTTAAGAAGCTTTTTATCAGGGAAGCCGTATTCACAAGCATGACCATTTGACATGAGCGAATGCCATAAAGCACTACGCGCCTTGAAAACTCAGTGCGCCTGATTATGAGTTGACCCAGCTCCAATCTTCTATCGTTTTGTAATCGTTACTTCATTGAATTGGTATAAAATATAACCATCTTTGGCTAAAAACCAACCACCTATGTACATAGCATCCACCACACCATACTTTTCCACACACCCCTTCAGTTTACTCCTAAAGTTTGATCTATCGATGTACCTGGATTCAAACTCTTTCTCAAATCGTGCTTGATTATACTGGCACGCAATATTCTAGGATCTTTTCTCAATGTTCTCAACAATTGAGCTTGCACTTTACTCGATGAATCGAATCCCATAAGAAAATGATAGCCTTGGAAATGTCTTTCTTGTTCTTTTGATATAATCTTGGGCAATGGTTTGGCACCAAGACTCGTTATGTCTCTGATTATACCTCTATTGTTTAATATTAATTTCCCCACTGTAGACGCAATCTTGGTGGCTTCTTTAGTAACGTGTAGTGGATCCGTGATACGGGCAATAGCAAATAGTTCGTAATACATTTAAAAAATGTTTGGGGAATGTTCTTGTCGTGCTTGGTGGTATCTGGTGCTTGATTAGATTTTGGTAAAAATTTTTCTTCATCAACATTAAAGGTGCTGAGCTACCAATTTACACATATATATCCTCTAATCAAAATGGAGTCGACTTCAACGGCAGAGCATAAAGTGAAGCGGGTCGCTAGCAAGGTCGACAAGACTAGATTGGAGGTATCGAGACAGCCGCTACATAAGATATGTTGCATTTGAGTCATGTTTGTTGCATTGATTCACGGATGTTTTCTAAGAGAAATGTCGAAACAGTACAACGAAGCACAGGATTGTTACCAGCCCTTTACGGAGTCCTTATTTAGAAGCTAACACACTCTGTTGCCTCACTCCTTGGCGTTCAAGATGGATTTCCAAGTTTCTTGTGGTAGTAGTAGTATTCACCCACACCTGCACTATGTCACGTGCAATGATTAATTGCAACAATTAACAATTTTTCTTTTCTTCTTATTCCCCAACAATGGGCCTAGCCCAATTTTTTGCAATGAAATTTTTCACATCCAGAGTTTATCCTTCTTACAATATAACCCAACCATCATCTACACACTACAATGGCTACTAATATCACCTGGCACCCAAACTTGACTCACCAAGAACGTGCACAATTGAGAAAACAACAAGGTGTAACCGTATGGTTAACTGGATTATCAGCCAGTGGGAAATCAACCATTGCTTGTGCATTAGAACAGTCGATATTGAACCGTGGATTGAATTCATACAGATTGGATGGGGATAATGTCAGATTTGGTTTAAACAAAGATTTGGGTTTTAGCGAACAAGATCGAAATGAAAATATTCGCAGAATTAGTGAAGTTGCTAAATTATTCAGTGATTCTTGTTGTGTTACCGTGACTTCATTTATAAGCCCTTATAAAGCTGATAGAAACTTGGCTAGGGAGTTGCACGCCAAGGATAATTTGCCATTTGTTGAAGTGTATATTGATGTGCCTATAGAAGTTGCTGAACAAAGAGATCCCAAGGGATTGTACAAAAAGGCAAGGGAAGGAATCATTAAGGAATTTACTGGTATCAGTGCTCCTTATGAAGCACCAGAAAATCCGGAAGTTCATGTCAAGAACCATTCAGGACTTTCAATTGAAGAAGCTGCTGAACAAATTATCGATTACCTTTTGGAAAAGAAATACATCAATTAGGAACAAACCCCTACACCACCCCCACCTTTAGAAGCCCATAGATTTTCTAAAACAATCTTAATATTTATTAGTTTCTCCATCACTTCTTTAAACTATCTAATCTCGCTTGTAAGTCGTCTTCATCGGTATTGGAAGTAAATCCACCTCCAGCACCACCACTGCCACTGTGAGCACCTACACTTTCTGCAACTCTCCCATTATCGACTGTTTCTTGACCTGCATTGATTCCAGTCGGAGTATCCTTCAAATTAGAATTCAAATCAACACCAATCTCATCAAGCACTTTACCCAATATCTCATCAATTTGTTCTTCTTCTCCCAACTCATCTTCATCCATAGCCATAGCATCATCAATGGCATCATCCATAAAATCTTGCTTTTGATCCATCATATCATTCTCTTTAGCAAATTCTTGAGCTATCCTCGATAACTGCGGTAAGTTCATTGATCTATTCATTCCTGATAATACTCTAGTCGCATCCCTCATTGACATTGCCATTTGTTGGTTCGATCTCACACTTTGTACTCGTAAGGAAATAGCTTGCAACTGTGCCTTCATTGAGTTAAATTTGTTGATATATGATTTGGTTCTGATTAGATCCTTGGCTTGGAGCTTTGCACTCGATATTTGTCCCTGTTTGGCTGATTTCTTGATATCACTTATCAATTTCTTTTCTTGTTGCTGTAATTTCGTCACTTCTCGTGTAAGTTCACGTTGAGTCTTTTCCAATGCCCTCTGGTTCTTCCGAAGTCGTTCTTGCGGAGTAAGCTTCTTGCCGAAAGCCCATTCAAATAGTTGCGACATGCTCAGTGTACTGATATGTGCATATGTATGTATGAGTGTAGTTTCGCTCTCTTTCAAAATCCAATTTTAATTTTTTCTACATTTGTTGACTACACACAATTTTTGAAACTCTTTTGTATTTTGAATTCTACAACTTAGCTCCATCTAACGCTAATTGGACGGCCTTATAAGCCATACCTAAACCTGCTTGATAACCATACCCTCCAGCACCATAATTATGCACAAGCACTTTTCCCTCATCGAATTTTTCCTTTTCAATTCTCGTTCCACCATGTCTTCCAGGACGCAAACCTGCGACAACTCTAATCACTTCCAAATCTTCGATCTTGTTTCCATGTGGGTTGTCGTTGAGGATCTTAGGAAACAAAGTTGTTGTTCTTTTCAACACATCATCAGTTTGTGCCTTCAAGGTATCAGAAGTCCAATCACCCTTTTGGTAAAATCCACCCAAAATCAACTGATCGTGAGAAAATGGTCGTTTGATAATGTAGGTGGGCTCATCTTTACCCCAACGCATAACATTTTCCATAATGTGAGGTGCTTTAATCACTACTACTTGACCTCTGGCTGGGTAAACATTTTTATCCTCAACTCCACCTAATGATCTGGCTCCTAATCCGGTACAGTTGAAAACAAGCTTGGTATCATGTCCATATGCTTGCACGATGTGATCTAAATGTTTTCTAACTATCTTCACCCCCTTTTGTTCTAAACAGATTTTAAAATTCATCAAGAATTTAGGACAATTGAAATTCCATGAGAGGAAAGTGATACCAAATGCAGCACCACTAGGCAACTTGCTCTTGTCAATTTCTTGATATTCTTGTAAATAACTCTTTAAAGAATCGTATTTGACTTTTTGCAAACTATAATCCCAGATTTCGGTTGACTTGTATCTGTCCAATCCTTTAGTCTTGCCACCAATGGCCTTTTGCACTTTGGCAAGATTGATATACGTCAATCGATCATATTCCAACACATCAGGATCATCACCAGTTATGCATGAGAAATTCCCACCAGCATACGGTGAAGTATACTTGATTGATTCATCTCCTGGCAAGTACTCGGCGATTATGGTGATATCTTTTGCATCAACTCCGCGTTCCAACAAGCAAAAAGCAGTATAAAGTCCAATTATACCAGCACTAGAAGACAAAAAAAAAGGTTAGTTTTGGAAGTCATATACAACAGGGGTCTTTCTAACATACCCAACAATCACAATCTTTGTCATCTTTGAGGATGTTGCAATCAAGTCAACGATTTCACGCTTTGAGTGGGGCCCTCCACATCTTTATATTCTAAATCGGATGATTTTTAGCGCGTTTTTTACTTTTTCATAGAATTTAACAAGGGTAATACTAAGCGACAAGAGCGGAATATTCACTACCCCGATTCATAAGCACTTAAGTACGTTACTTACGGCACTAGCTATACACTACCTTCCACCATCATGCTCATCAAGTATTTTATATAACCGTTCAATAACTTCAGCCGAGTTATCCTTACTCACATCCTCAATTCCGTACTTGTAGATTGACCAAATTCCATACAAGGCAATCAATGTACACAATGCCATGGCAAAGTATCCCTTGGCAGTGAAACCTTCAGGTAATGGCGGCTGTTGCAAATTCTGCCCTGATAAATCCAAGAAATCCATATTCGCGGCCGCATTTCCCTGGACGGGTACGCTGACATTGCGACATACTTGAACATGATTGGCACTAATGTGTTTTTGATGAGCTTGAATCTCTTCTGGTGCTTCCACCAATACTAAGGCCAAACCTTGTTCTAAATGCCAATCCACATGGCAATGGAAAAACCAAACTCCTGGGTTATCAGCCTTGAAACGTAAAACAAAGTATCCATTAGAGTTGACTTCAACAGTGTCGCGGATCATGGGGTATTCAGGATAATCGGTCATGGTGTCATTATTAGGGTTAAACTCAACTGGATGATCTTCATCATCAGTACCAGGACTCCGTGAAATGACTTGAAAATTGTGTCCATGTAAGTGGAATGCGTGTTTACCAGGATCATGATTGTTTAAGATCAACTCCACTGTTTCATTGCCTTGCAATACAAAAGTGTTTGTGTTGGATCCATAGATTTCAGGATTAGTCGATAACGCACCACTTGATAACACAGTGTACAAGATGGGTACTTTTGGTGGTACATAACTCTTGTCATTGAACAATGCATAAGTGACACCATTACCCAAAACTTCCATGGAAAAATTCACTTGGATGGTGATATCGGGCTCGGGTAACAACTTCTCTCCACTTAATGGCTTCAAATCAAAATCATTGAATCCTTTTAATGAATTTGTAAATTTTTCAAAATCGTAATATGGGTAATGCTTTGGCTTGGCAGCATCTTTATCATAAACTAGATAGTTTGTTGATACTAGTTGTAAATCCTCTGGCAAAAAATCCAACATTTCGGCATCCAATGCATTGATAAATCGGTAATTAACATCACTGCGTGATTTGGTTTTAACAAGAGCCACGTATCTTTGCCCCACAGTTATATAAATTGAATCCACTTCGTATGGTTCTACCGCAACTCCATCAATCTCAACAATGACAAACTTGTGATCCTCAATGTACAAATATTGCGACACAAACAATCCCATATTGACAATCCTTAACAAGTATGTGGTATCTGGCTTGACATACCAAGTCACATTTTTCGTCTCATTAAACAAACTATTTTGTGGTATTGGTTCAGCACCAGTAGGATTAAACCTCGATAAAAATTGTTTGATGATTTCAGGCGACTCCAAGTGATAATGATCATTCACTGTGAGTGACACATCTTCGTCATACAAATAAGGCTCATCTTCCTTGTCGGCATATTCAATAATGATCATACCTCTCAATCCGTCACCGTATTGCGTTCCACTATGCGAGTGGTACCAATAAGTACCAGTTTGGTTACCAACATTGAAATCATAAGTTATAGTAGATCCAGGACCAATGGGGCATTGCGTAACCATTTCCGGCCCATCTTCTCCATTGAAACCCCTTTGCATCAAACCATGAAAATGCAACGATGCATTCCTATCGGGTAATCCATTGTAAAGATTTACAATCACTCTATCATGTTGTTTCACCCTAATGGTAGGATTGGGCCATTGGTTGTTTATACCAATCATCCTGCGCTCATGCATTCCATCAGGATTAGCCTTGACATAGCCAATATCCCAGTTGTAAGTGTGCGTTTTGGAAGCCACAAGGCTGTAAAGAAAGCTTAGTAGTAGAGTCACCTGGAAAAGCATGATCTATGATGAATCAGGTGTGTATGTGGTTTGGATGAGGGGTTGGTTCTAAATATGGAGAGACTTTTCTTCTGGCCCTTTTTTTTCTTGATCATCGTTGATCTCGCTTTTGTGTAACTCAGAGACACTTCTATAGTTTTTGCAACTTTACAACATTTCACTGTATATGTTGGCAACTACTACTACTACTACTACTACTACATATACCCTGGAAACAAACTCAACCTGGCTTAAAGATCGACGGTGGCTTGCACTTATTTTCAAGAGAGTTTCTCGGAAACTCATAACCAGCATCATTCCAAGTACTCAATTCCCAATTCAAATACGCATTTTCATGAGAATCGATATAAGAGCTTGTTGGGAAATCATCAGGATCACAAGTCATGTCAATAGCATCCAGTGGTTGGTAAATCCTAATGTAGTCAATGTAAAACTTGGCTGGCAAGTTTAATCTATCCGCTTGCAATTTTGGATTCCAGATTTTCGATAATCCCATATTAAAAATAATGGACATTGGCTCCCTAGTGATTTGTCTTGATCCAATTAGCTCATTGGCTCTCAAAGCAGACTCGTTTATTACAAACATGGGAGAACCGTTCATTTCAAATTGAGCATAACTTTGTCCCAGTGGCAAACTCTTGTACTCCATGGTGAATTTAACAAATTCATCCTTCTTCAACGGTGTAGCTAATGAAATTGATTCTTGATATACCGTGCCCACATCTTCTCTGATGTAGGTTAGATTTTTATTACTGATATCAACGTAATCGTAATCGGGTCGCCACCATTCGTCAAAGGGGGCAACTTGCACTGTTTGCACTCCCACTACATGTCCATGCTCATACAAACCTTCAATGATATCAATTTCAGGGGCACCACGACCAACGCCAAGATTTGGATGATCTTCACCAACACAAGTACACATACTCAATCGTTGGCCTGGCAAATACGACATATTTTCATTCAAAGTTGATTGATTTCGAGTTATACCTGAATCACATTCATTATAAGTATATGGCCATAGTCCATCCGTGGTTGCCAAATATCCCGGCCGAGCCAAGTTCCCCAAAGACCAAACAGCAGGCCATAATCCATACTCAACATCATGGGGCAATTTTGCACAAACTTCGACTCTTGCTTGTTTATTGAAACACAACTTGTTCCAGCTTTGCACCATTGCCGATATGTACTGAAAATTGGAATGATTAAACTTGTCAAATGTGATTTGTAAGCTGCCATTCTTGGTGGTCGCCATATGAGGTAAATAATATTCTAAATCTTGAGTTGCACGATAATGTAAATCAACAGCAGTAAAGAATTGGTCTTCGAACGCGCCAAATGTTCGATTTTCTTTATTGAACTCATCTGAAAATACCAATTTCCAATTGGGTAACTTGTTGTGTTGTGCAACTGGGGTATCAGGGTCCACTAAGCTTGTTCGAATAGCCTTTAGCTGCAGGTACTTGATGTTTGTCAATTTCTCAACTTTAATTCCATCTTTGACAGGGTCATTTATCAACCTTGTTGAAGTAATGACAAAAATGAGTGCAATCACAAGAACTGCCAACACCACAGCAACTGCAATAACGTATCTTCTCCCGTTTGTACTCCAAATCAGCTTTATCCTTTCAAAGAACTTTGTATGTTTTTGGGGAGTAGGGTTAACTTCTGAAACATTGGTTGCCAGTTCTTCAATCTTGTTTTCATGTAAATTTTCATCTAGATAGTAATGGGGGTTTTCAATGTGTTTGAACCTTAGACTCAGAATAACATTATTGTCGAGATCACTCAGCGACAGCAGTGACATACTCAAAGACGATTCTGATTGGTAAAAGAGGGGTATGAAGCCCAGTGGTGAAAATCTGCCATCTGAATTGTAGCATGATGATCTAAAAGAACACTTTTTTTTTTAGCAACAACCATAGTTCTAGACTTAGTAGCTCAAAAGATACTTCTTCCATATGTGTGTCCTACATTGTCTTGCATGCCTCCCTTGAATTCACGTAAATAGATGTATTCTCTTTATTCTTTCCACAAAACATTAAACAATGTGCTCTTTTCTTCGTATTTTGCAACACTTTGCAGTAGTCACAAAGTCGGTTAAAGTATCTCTTGCTGCTTGCACTTTAGGCAACAACAAACTCAATTACGCGATATTCTACATCCATCTCTTCAAATATGACTAATGAATTCGCTTCTATAATATCATTTGTAATACTTAGAAAAACAACCATATAAACAAACCAAAAAAAAAAAAAGGAAAACAAAGGTCAAACCAGAACAGCTAAACACCAGAACAGCTAAGCATTAGCTTCCACAGTGTCTATCTCTCCTCTGCCCTAATCCTCTCTTCTATAATGAATTTATCCCTCTTCCTTTTTTTATACATCGTAAGCTTTTGGAGCTTCACCTTCAGGACCAATATATTCGGGATCTCTCCAAGGACCAACGTCTTTCAAAAGCAAATCATCATCACTAACATCATCAGCACCACCGAATCTCTTTGGCAAATTTTGAGGTGGAATTTGTTTCAATAATTCCTTTTGATATGAATAACCCAATATATGGATCTTGGAAACAGTGACTGGATCCAAAAATTGTTTAAACAATCTGAAAGCAGTAGCAAAACCAAATGGTGCATTGATTAAATAGAATTTACCCATTCTTTCTGGATAGTAATCTTGACCAATTTTCGAAGCTTCTCTGACATAGCCCATGACATTGTATGCTGATGAGATGGAGATTCCATACAAGTCTAAAACTGTACATGAGGTTTCAACTAGGTAACCAGCTTTTCTTGAACATGCAGGTAAACGAAATTGAACCATGCTTTCATATTCCCAAACCAAGTTTTTAAGCATTCTTTCTTGTGTTGTAACCTTCAACATCTTGTGCAAATCAACTTTACCCAATTCTTCATAGTAGACCGGACGTCCATCTTTATCTGTCTTGTGGTAATAAGTTGGATACATTTTGGCAACAATTGGTTTTTCTTCATAGTGGAAATCTTGTAAAATGGTATTGGTACCAAACTTTTGTCTCCAATTTTCACAATCAATAAACATTTGCTTGGCCAAGTTCAAATCAAATTTTCTAGCCCTCAAGAATCGCAAAAGTGTAGCATCATCCAATCTGTCTTTGTACCCTAAAGCAACCAACTGTTTACGCAATTCAATGGTGGTATTCTTTTGATCCTCAGTCAAGTTGGATGTGAAACCAGTCAATTGGGTTGGTTGACTAATTTGTGGGTATGATGCTAAGATTTCTTCTTCGGATATGGAAGGCATTGTTTCAGTAGTCATTAGTGAGATAAATCGTTGTCGAATTTAAAAGTGTTATTTAAGTGAACAAAGACAAAATGCAGTCTGTTGATGCAATCTAAACTGTGACAATTGAGGTTTTGTGTGCAAGTGTTAGCTACTCAATCAAGTCAATTGTGGTTATTGAGTTTAGTGAGTCGATCTGAAGTGTTGTACCAATCCAGATAAGCGTCTAGCTTTAGTGATGATCTGGTCCCTTTTCTGTTTTCTTTATGAAAGGAATAATTGTGTTGTCCTACTTTGTTAAAAATACGCAGCAGTGTATTGATGCAATCTCTATGTAATGACGAGAAAGACGGTGGTGGTAGTGTTGTTGAAAAAAAAGGGAAAGAAAGAACGAAAGAAAGATGTGTTTTGTTTGTTGTTGTTGTTGTATTTTTTTTTATTTTATGAATATTGTTGTGTATAGAGAGGATTACACGGAAATTTCTTTTTTTTTTTTTACTTTTGCTCTATATTCAAACTCTTCTCCGACTGAGTGTAGTTTCTTTTTTGTTGGCTCTGTTGGGCGTCTAAAATATCAACAACTCAAGATCATCATTTACACTTGATCAACTACACTCTTTTAACTCTTCATGATAGTGCCAAATACACACAACTCTCTGACAGCAGTGTCACCTAGTGTTCAATTCTCACTGACCAATTACGTCAGAGAGAAATCTATATCACCACCCTAATATATGCATAGCGCGTAAAGCACCTCAAAAGTAAAAGAACAAGAACAAGAAGAGTAAGAGAGAGAGTAGAAAGATTAAGAGACAATAAGAAAGCAAACAAGAATATAGAAACCAAAGCCGTTGAGAAGAAAAAAATGGAACTGTTTCTTTGTGCTCTCGTAAAGAACATACACGTGTTCATAACAATAACAGAAAAGAATACAAGCCGATCAAATGTACATTCAGTCGATAAAGACATACAAGATCCCTGAGAAGAGCAAGTAAGCACACATGCCAGTTGATATGCAACCAAGACTACATTTTCTCTTTTTCATCACCCCTATCTCGTTTACTCTCTTTGAATCTGATACATCATCCTCTTGAGAGATTTTTTTTCTCTTTTTTTTTTTTTGCATTGAAAAGCCTAAGATTTAGAATATATTTAAACGCCGAAAAGTTAAAACCAGACACAATCGCATTTTTGTCCGAATCCCGTGGTACCAAATAAAAGACCGACGCAGGTTATAAGTAAAGAACAACATTTGAAAAAGAAAAATTGGTTAAGAAAAATGACCTTGTTAGACAGTAACTGATGTCAATGTTGCTCATTGTGATCAGTAAATATAGTAGCCCTAATAGCAATCTTGGAAAAGCATCATCACTACCTCCTTCCCTTACCCATTCCCCCAAAAACAGGGCTTTGATGAAATGCAACCTGATAAAAAAAAAAAAAATAAATAAAAATGAAAAAGAAAAAACCACTCTCCTACGCTAAAAAGGGAAGGAGGAGAAGCTCATTTTATTTATAAATAGTAGTGACCACCTCCAAAAAGAAAAAAAAGGGTAGGATAACTACAAATATGCTGCACACTATATATACATTCATTCACTCATTCGAAAATTAAGCCCAGCTGCAAACGAACTAGTTATACTCTTGATATCATCTTCAATATTCTCATTAGCATAACGATTGCCACCATTAGCAAAACTCTTGTCCAATTTGTTCAACTTGCTATAAAAGTTGGCACTAATTGAATTGGCTTCGTTGTAGTAAGCTTCTGCACCAGTATTGGTTCCTCCTCCATGTGCACGCGCTGCTGCTGCTGCTGCTGCTCCTCCTCCTTCTCCTCCTCCTCCATTTAGCGCTGGCCAAAGTTCGTTCTTGAGTCTTGCAGCTTGAGTTGATGCATAATCACCACCAGCGCCTGCATTGGACACGGAATCGAAGTTACTCATTGACAAATTAGTTGTCGAAGGAGCGCCAAATTTATGATCTTGCCTCTTTTGTTGTGCGCCGCCTCCGCGATTATTCAAATTTCGATTAGCAGTGGTGTAATTATTCAATTGAACCATTGATAATTGTAAATTATCCAATGGACCATCCACCAAACATCCCTTTTCTCTAAAATGAACCAATAAATGATTCCACAACCGATTACGACTCAACGCACGAGGGTTACCAAGCACCAATAAACCATATTTAGCTCTAGTCAATGCAACATTCAATCTTCTTGGATCACTCAAGAACCCAATACTTTGTGAATCATTAGCACGAACACAACTAAGAATAATGAAATCCTTTTCACGGCCTTGGAATGCATCAACACTAGTAATTTCAACTTCAAGATATTCATCACGCTTACTCAATAATGTTGAATTCATTGACATAAACTGCACCAAGTAAGCTCGCTGTCCTTCATATGGGGTAATAACACCAATTTGCTCGGGTTTGATGCCATCTTTGAACAACCGGGTAATGATTCTTTCCACATTCATGGCTTCAACTCTATTCAAATAGGAATTCCCACTACTACTCAATTCTTCACGGCCATAATTGGCCCAAAACATCATTGGAGTATCAACAACTGGCCATGGAAATGATGAATCAGCCACTAATCGATCAGCATTGGTGACTCCATCTTGTAATGAACCTTCATAAAACATGTTACTGGGGAATTCCGATAAGCATGGATGCATTCTATATTGCACCTCTAATCTAATGGGGATATGTCCAAGAAAAACCAACCGTTCAAAAAGTGACTGCTTCAATCCGGCATCAGCGGCTTTCCTATCCAAAATCACCGGTCCCAACTGCTGGTGATCACCAACAAGAATAACTTGTTTGGCTCCTTTCACTATAGGGATAAGAACTTCTGGTTCTGAAGCTTGAGTACTTTCATCAACCAATACTGTTCTAAACTTAAACTGTGATAATCGTTTATCAGCAGCACCAACACAAGTACAACAAACAACATCACATTTGTTTAAAATCTTCAATTCTGATGAACGTAAATGTTTAATGTATTTCTTGGAATCTTCAGACGATAACTCACCAACTTCATTCTTCAACTTTATTAGCTTCTTCAACTCACCTTTGCTTGTCTTGTTGACGATATTGTGTAAAGCCAAATGACCCACTGAACTTTCGACATCTTCTCTTGATTTTGCCGTTAATCGGACAACTTTCAAACCCAATAAATCCAATTTGGCAGCCAAATGATCAACAGCAACATTAGATGGAGCACAAACCAAGATTTTCTCCTTGTTCAACTTGGACAAATGGTAAACAATGGTTGCTGAGGTGACAGTTTTACCCGTACCTGGAGGGCCTTGAATCAATGATAATGGTCGTTGCAAAACTGATCTAACGGCATTGGCTTGTGATATATTCAACTCAGTCAATTTAGGATGAGAAAATCTCTTGGGCAACTCAATATCAAATTCGACTGGGGCAACATCATGCCCCAATAGCTTATGGTAAATAAATGACGAGACCGATTCATCATCAATAGCAAAGTCCTTCATGGCTTGTTGCATACGGTCATACGACGTCCCCTTCCAAACAAATTCAGCAGTGAAATCAGTGGTTAAATGAGTGGGGGGAGCTATTTTTGATGGGTTCAACTCCAAAGTAAATTCCTCTTGGTATGAATTGGGCAATCGGAGAATATAACCTTGTCCTTGCCAAGCGTCACCTTGACTACCACTATACCTCAAAATGATCTCATCACCAACCGCAACTTTTAAATCAGTCGTTTCAAAAGTTGAAAGAGTAAAAGACGCCAAGTGCCTATTATTCAACCCCAATGCCCACTTCACTTGTATATGTTCCAAGGCTTGCGATTCCTTTAAATTCTTGTCACAATCAGCTTCCAATTTCACCAATGGTCCAAATGATTGTTGATACTGAAACCCATCGGTGTATCTCATCAAAATTGGCAACACTTCCTCTTCCTTTTTATCGGTATTTTCAATATCATTGATGGTGGCATTTCTATTCAATCTCCATTGTGCCTCCAATTTGGTAATTTGCTGAGGTGTAATCATTACCGAATTGATCAATGCATCTTCTGTTGGTGGAGGTGCCAACCATGACAAGAACTGGCGATCCTCAATCAAGGCTTGCCAATGGCTAGTATCCCAATTAATATCTTTTGATCTGGCACATGGCAATCGGCACAAGATAACAACCACTGATTCTTGTTTAGCAGAAACAAACCCCAACATGAAAACATTCTTGTTACCACAATTGTAACATTCCAAAGTGGTGTCACCTAAATCAGACTCTTCATGTAAACTGACCTGATTGTGGCGAGACATGACCAAATGGGTGACAATATGAGAACTATTGGAGTTGGATTTCGAATTACAAAACCATTTGTTACAAGTGTTGCACTTGATAACTGAATTGGGGGTGTGTACTCCACAATAAGCACAAGCATGTTCATGGTGTTGCGCAGCTTCCAATCCTCCTTCTTGTTCTTGTTCTTGTTCTTGTTCTTCTCCGTCGTCACTGTCAACTAACGCACCAACATTAGCAGTATGTGCCAATCCAAGTTCGTGATCATGATATGAAGTGTCATCATCAAAGTCACGCTGACGATCAGCACCACCAAAGTTCTGTGCGTTTGCCATAGTATGCAATTGTTGTTGATCAAATGGTGAAAAATTATTCAAATTCGATGATGACGATGATGGCAAAGGGGCCGTAGTTGCACCTATAACCAAATTATCGTAATTGAAATTACTCATATTCGTTAAATTCAATGCTTTTTAGTACGACTAAAGAGTTATTATAACCAGTTTGGGTATATTGCCTTTTGGAAATACGTTGTATGGCAAATATTCCCTCGGTTCTTTTGTTTAATAGTATTTCCTTTCTCGGTGTTTTTTTTTTTTTTTTTTTCCTTCTTCTTCTGTATTCTAGTTATATCCCAAGTAGTTGTTAACCTAATAGATACATCTGGTAAAGCAGTAGTAGGTTGTTGTATGTAAGGAGTGTTCAACAGATAAACTCTGATGGGGAAAAGAAGCTGTTAGCTTTGTAAGTCGGGTCTTTTCATAAAATTTTTTTTTCTGTCTTTCTTCTTTGGGAAGTCACGACTTTTGATACAAAGTACACGACCATATAGATTATATGGTGGTGGCCATGATGAGGGTGTATCTATGTAGTCTTGGATGGAAGATTACTGTTGTGTTGTTCAATACTAAGATTAAGCTAGCTAGCGCCCATAATCTTGGAAGTGTGTGTATGTATTGATGTGTATTAGTGTGTGAGTGTGTGAGTATGTGAGTGTGAGTGTTGGTGTGAGTGTGTGAGTGTGTAAGTGTGAGTGAGTGAGTGTGTGGGGGAGTAGGGGACCTTTTTTTATTTAACTGAAAAGGAAATTCTCATCTACTCAATAAAGGTTGTGTAGAGGCTCCAGAAGAATTCAGAGAAGAAGCACTATATCTTTTAGTGACTCCTAAGCAGTTTGACTATCTTTGTTGTTGATGTTTACTACTTACTAACCAGAATGATATGTGGTTTGGTTGCATCTTGAAGTGTAAAAAAAAAAAAAAAAAAAAAAAAAAATAAAAAAAAAATAAAAATAAATTGTCAGGGCCAAATTGCGTCTGAGACAAATCCGGAGTTTTTGCACACTCGCTCTGCATTAGGGACAAAGTGCGCACAAACAGCAGCCCAGCCAAATAAAAACATGTCAATCGCCTGAAAAACGCACTTTCGGCTAATTTTTAAAAAGAGGTACACCCAACTGTCAATATTTAGAGTGATACAAAAATTAGCATCTATCAAACACACGTATCATTTGATAAAAGGTGGGTGTGGTACATTTACTACTTGACAGTAGGGTAAAGAGAATTAACCCAAACTACAAAGCTAGACTACGCTGATTGTAATTATCGTGATAAAGTAATGTAATTTTGTTCTTGTTCTTGTTCTTGTTCTTGTTCTTGTTCTTGTTCTTGTTCTTGTTTTTTGTGCGTGTGTGTGTGTTTGTCGAATATACACGTGACCTAATAGTGTAGATTGCACAAATGACAATCTTAAGCTAACAAAACAAAAGGAGTGTACTGTTGTTAGAATTAAGTTTCCACATCGTGTGATCTCTCTTTAATAAAAATTGTCGAATCAGAATCATAATGACGCGTAACAACTTTTTAAATTGTTTGCATAACAAAAAAAAAAAATAAAAACCTACATAACATAACAGAACATAACATAGATTAAAACCCCAATGTGTTCCAAATTAACCATAATGCAGTCTGCCTCTTTGTTATATACAAGAAGAATGTAAAGACGTATACACCTCATCGTTCTTAACCTCTGGCATCCATATCAATAAAACAAAGTGTAAGATACGTACTTAACCATTTACTCCAACAGTTTAAAGTTTTTTTTATTTTTTTTTATTTTTTTCTACTTCGTCAAAAGTAAAAAAGTAAAAATAAATAGGACAGCCTCACTCACAAAAATATAACCAAGCACACTACGCACTACGCACTACACACTACGCACTACACACTACACACACAAAAAAAGAGAAACTTAGTTTATAACCAAAACCAAAACCAAAACCAAAAAAAAGGGAGAACAACAAAAACAAAGACAAACAAACAAAAATCAAAAACCAAAAACCAAAAACCAAAATCAAAAATTTTCTTTTTTTTTTTTAATTTTTATTAAAAAAATAATTGACAACCAGAAGGAGCTCCTTTAATACAGAGGTAATAACACACCAAGGGAGAAGAGAGGGACCCAGCATTGCTACAGACAGACACACCAACTTTCACACACTAACACTAACATACACTAACACACTAACATACACTAACACACATACAATTGAGAAGGCACCCTGTACACTTTACTCATACACGTACAATCTTACTACCACCTGTTACCTCCTACTCCAGGTCATTCTTTATTGAAACCACTGACTTTGGAAAACACCAAAAAAAGAAAAAAAAAGAACTATCTTTACCAATACCAATACCAATACCACCGACACGTCTTGTATACACACACCACAGGGTAGCAATGTCACATCAATCAGCTTACCACAGAGCAGTACTACGTGACAAGGGTACTTTTGAAGGTAAAGACTTTTTGGTTTCAACTGATTCCATTAGTTGGATCAATGTGGATTCACTATCAATCACTGAACACGGACAATTGTACTCCTCTGATGAACAAGCAAACCACTATTTACTATTGCAATCACTACAATCATGCCATATACAAATTATGACCAGTGTACAATCCCCCACTGGTAAGTCACAAATACAACAACAACACCACCACCACCACCACCAGACTTCACCACCAAGTAAACGAAGTTTAATGTCGAAACGAAATGGACACCATCACCACCAACAACAACAAAATGAATCCTTTGAAGACGAACCACCAACTGTATTTATCAAGACTTTTGATAATGACAAGTTGTACATTCGTGTAGCATCAAAGGCAAACTTTGGTAACTTGATTAGTAGTTTGATTGTATGGCAAAACTTGAAACCACAAGGGTTGGCCAAGAAATGGTATAGTGAAAACAAAGTGCTTAATCAAGTTGATGTTCCGCCTAATGAATTGTTGGTTTGTCGGTTCAAAATTTACGGACCATTACCAAACAAGTACAAAAATCTACACATTATTCATGGCCCACTGGCTCCAACTTATCAACCTAAAATTGATGATTTTGTTGCCAATTCACACAATGGTTCTGTTTTCCAACAATCGGGCGATAACAATATCAATGAGGGTTGGTTTTATACCATGGGTGCGTTAAACTCTAATGGGATACTAAATATCATTAGTGAATTGGATGGAACTTTATTGTACTCGATTGATATCAAGACATTGTTGGCTAGTGAAGTACGAGAAATGCATCATTCTATATTCAATAGCTCAAATGTATTGTTTGTCGGACAATTGAAGGAATTACGATACAACAACACCATACGAACAACAACAACATTAACTGCTGATCAATTATTAACCACTTTTCTTACGCGAGAGGGGAAAATCATTCCTAGTAATCATCGTATTTTCATTGAGTTTCCCTTGCATATCGATTTAGAAGATTGGTTTGTGGGATTAAATTATTTTGCCAAACGAGAATATATTGGATCATTCAATGCTGAATCGAAATTGATTACGAGAAATCGAGAAAATACACCTCAATTGCGTGACTTTACTAAAGCTCATTTCCGAGTATCGAAAAAGCTCACCATTGATATAATTGAAGCAAAATTTGAAAATATAAGTACTACTATTCCTACTACTACTACTACAACCACCACCACCACCACTACCACCACCGCCACCAATAATGCTAAAAACCATTCTGCTAAAATATACGCTGAAGTACGAATGTGGGGGTACCCGTGGTCAAGAACTGCCATTGTTAACCAGTCAAATAATCCATTTTGGAAAGAAGAGTTTTCAACAGATTTACCAATTTCAACGCAAATGATTCATATTTTGATAAAGAGATGTAATCATGATTCGGTTTATTCACCACTGGATAAATTAATTGGAACAATTTATGTAACACCCGATATTTTAACCAAACAGATCAAGACTAGCTCAACAATAATGACCAGTGCAGGATCAGTTAACAGTATACAAGTCAATTCAATCCCATTAACCACCACTGCCGACAATTTCAACAGCACCAATCTCGATATTATGCGGTTAACAATATACGATCCAAACAATATCCCCATTGGTAAACTCTTGATTGAAGTTAATTTACGAGAGTATCACATTTTGCCACCACAGTTTTTCAAACCAATGGAAAAAATGTTGGTTAATGCTCCCTGGAAGGATTTGATCAAGTTTTGTAATGAAAATGTGCCATCGGCGGAATTTGAAAGAATAAGTGTTGTTTTACTTGACATATTCCAGAGTTTGAAAGTTGAAGATGAATGGTTTAAGAATTTGATGGAGAGTGAGTTGGTGAATTTGGATATGGCTTCGAGAAGAAGTTATCACAAGAGAAATAGTCAAGACAAGAAGGATACCACTACTAGCTCGACATCGCTGAATAATGTATTCAATACCTTGTTTCGAGGATCATCAATATTTTCCAAATCACTTGAAAAGTATAATTTACGTATTGGACAAGAGTATTTGGAAAAAGTATTTGGTGATTTCTTTGCCAAGATTGATGCTGAGGGCAAAAACTGTGAAGTTGATCCTCGATATGTACGAGTTCAAGAACGAGCATTGCGAAAAGGTCATCGTGCAATTGACGATACAGCTGATGATTTTGATGATGATAGTAGTAGTGACGGTGAATACGATTCCGATTTGGAGCGAGAAAAGGATGAACGCGTGAAACAAATGGTTGAAGAAAATTATCAAAACTTGTTGGGGTATGCTGAGGAAATCTGGCACAAGATTTATATTACTTCAAAAGATATGCCTGATCAAATCAAGACGCAATTGAAGAATTTCCGCAGTAAAGTTGAATTGGTTTGTGAACCAGATGACAAAACCACTAGTTTGAATTGTGTTTCAGCCTTTTTATTTCTCCGATTTTTTTGTCCAGCAATTTTGAATCCGAAATTGTTTTATCTCGCCAAGAATCATCAAACTGGAAGTACTCAACGAACATTGACTTTGATTGCCAAAATTTTGCTCAATTTGGCCAATCGACAAGAGTTTAGTGTTCATAAAGAACCACACTTGATCAAATTGAATCCATTTTTACGCGCACACAAGGATGAAGTTATCACCTATTTCAATCGAATCACTGGCAGAAGCAATGATTTCAATGAAAAGATTTTGGATCTAAGTCATGAACTCAAGAGGATAAATCTTGGGTTGGATGCAAGTTCAAATGAACTTCCCAGTACTCCATATTTGATTGATCATTATTTACGATTAACTGAATTGGCAATTTTGATTGCCAGTGGTGGTAATGGTGGTGAAAACTCAACCAATAATCCATTGAAACCTACCGGTAGTATCACTGGTGATGCAGTATCGAGCAATTTCTCCAACTCAGTTTCAGCTACACCACAATCAGAATTGATTCACCCCAATTTGGATGAGTTGGATGAAGGTGATGAAAATAAGGATGTGTACAAGATTGGTGCATTGGAGTTTGAACGCAATGATTTACTTGATTTAGCCGGTGAAGATAATGCTGATGGGTTTATCCATTCATTATGTAAAGATAATGAACACATTTTTTCATTTATTAATGAAAATATCACCTTTAAGGATATCAAAAATCAATGTCGCAAGTTGGCGAAAAAGATTGGTGATTGGGATATGTACCTTGAAAACTATGAGTTTCCCATGAATTATTATTCATCAAATGATTTGTTGTGGCAAGTGTTTGGAAATTATATTTTAAAGAATACTTGGCTTGATTCTCGTGGGTGTTTGTGTAGCTCAAGTTCATTGGGATTTTCACAAACACCAACTACTGGTAGTGGAGTAAGCGGAGCTAGTGGTATCAGTGGCGCTGGTGCCACTGGTGTTGCTGGTGTTTCGATATATCGTCAACGTGGTGGATACAAGAATTTGATTGATGATCATGCCATGGCTAGTTTGAAGTTGAAGTTTGGTGATGAACAATATTATCGTTTAAAGTCAACATCATTATCGAGTTTGAATAGTACTGGCAATGGTAGTAGTACTGGCAATGGTAATGGTGGGATTTTCAGTGGAAGTAGTATTGGAAGTTCCGAACGATCATCGGGTAGTGATAGTTTGAAAAAGATTAAAAGTTGGTTCAAGAGATGAGAAACGAGAGAAATAGTTTGTGTAGACAATATTTTACATTTATGCGTGGCTGAATGAATGGAGTGGTGGCGATGGTGGTGGAAACGGTGGTGGTGGTGTAGTTTCTCTAGGGATGTAGGGTTTCATTGATATCCCAGGTTGGGTAGTGGGAGGTAAACCATTCCTCTCTTGTTGTGATTGGTTGTGATTGGCTGTGATGTGTTAAACTTTGCTGGGATTGTGTACCAAATTAGGACTAAACACCGAGGAAAATAGCGACATGAAACAAATTTCAGAGTTCAAATTCAATCACAATAAGCCCAATAACATAGTAAAACAATAGGCCCAAGTGGTGACTTCACAAGACAATAAGAGAAACAAGGTGGAGGAGGATCCGTAGATGTAGTACTATAGTGTACAGCGTCTATTGTTTTGTGTCATGGTGGCTTTTTGTGTTAAGCTTTTATTGAGGAGAGCGAGACATTTAAGTTATTTTTAGTTCCGACTTGAAATTGGGGGAGGATCTCTTGAATTGAGTACATAAAAAGAGGAAGACTAAGTTAGTGTCGGGGTTAGGATCTCATATAGGTGAGCTTGTCAGGGTGTGAATTTCACATTCTTCTTTGGTTTTTTTTTTTTTAATATCTTTTTTTTTTTTTTTTTTTTTTTGGCTCTTTCGTCATGTTCCTCCTCAATGGGTAAAAACAACAAGACAATTATGATCCGGAAATAGCAACAATAGTGGTCTCTATTATTGTCCAATTCCGGTATTTTACCAATTGATATAGGTTCTTGAATTCCATTCTTCTTTCTTTGTCCTTTGAATGGTTATGCGTGTGTGCTTTTGTATGTAATTGACGTAAGTTGCAAGAAATACAAAGTTGAAAACCGTTGAATTACAAGAATTACAACTTACAACCTCAAGTATAAAGAAATTGGGGGAGGGGGGGGAAGGGGGGATCAAACAATTTAAAATAATGCATGTCGTTTAACTCAATGTCACAGTTTCTCAAATCACATACTATCTATATATTGAATAGCCTCTCTCCCTTCTCGTGGATGCCAAACTGTTGGCAGTTCCGGCTGCCATTGTAAAAGTTAAAAGGACTAACTTGAATGGGGTTTGTATATGGTTTCTCATTATACCTTTTTTTTGTTTTTGGTTCCTGCGGTTACGGTATCATAACCAATTTATTTTTGGTAGAAAACAATACTGACAAACAGCTGATTTCATTCAATTGAACGCAAAATTTTCATCCGTTCTCCACTTCACCCTCCCCATATCAACTTCTTTAAGGAGCAAAAAAAGAAGACCATGTCGTAGGTTGGTAATAGTGTATGTGATTCAAACGACAATACACAATAAATTTTGTATGTGTTATATCCATAAGCCAATCATATAACGTGATGAAGAGTAAGTTACATAAAAATTATAAAAAAGACACGACACTGGAATGTCTCTCTTTCACTCTCCTTTTTTATTTTTAGTCTCTCTCTTAATAATTTTTTTCTTTCTCTGTTTCTAAATTTCTTTATTTTTTTTATTTTTATTTTTTTCACCGACATAACCAAAATTCAAAGTCACAACAAATAAAGAAGAGACAAAGCACAAGCGAAATTGAACAAGAACCCACTAACCAATTGATTCACCAGATTTACACTTCAACCCCTTCTTTTTGATCACATATTCAAGAAGGAACATTAAGTAACATAGACGTCAGGTAAACGACAAAACTAGATAAACCCAAACAGTGGGAAAAAGAAAATTTCAAGACACTCCTTTTCTTTTTTTTTGCATAGTTTTAGGGTCTCGATACTGTTTATTAGCCACATTCATATTACTGCCATTCACTGCTAGCAGAACTATTATCGTTTACTTTCCGCTTTCATAAACACTGGCTATACAAGTATGTCTTCCCATCGCGACACTAGAGGAAAAGAAAAGTTGCACCATCAAAGGTCAACGAATACATCAAGTATTCTGCCACTGTTGAGAGGAGCGACAGCACCAGCACCACCAGCAGCAGCAGCACCACCACCACCCGCAGTTGATCAAGATGCCTCTAGTTCAGATCAACACGCATCAATTGACTATCAAGGGTTAGCTGCTGAATCTGCAGCTGCCACTGCCTCTGCCGCAATGGCTGCGTTAGGACAACGTCCAAGACAAACACGCCAACCTCAAAACCAACGTATTCAGCACGAACAACATCTTCAGCTTCAACAACAACAACAACAACAACAACAGCAACAACAGCAACAGCAACAGCAGCAACAGCAGCAACTGCAGTACTCACAAGCTCTGAGCCAACCTCAAGTGGATATATCTACCCCTACAACTGACGCAGAATCAGCTTCAGAGTTGGACACTTCTACCGTGTCACAAGCTCTAGCTCACATCAACAACATAAAGAATCCTCATAGAATTAAGTTGTCCACTCAGGATGTGAAATTAATCTTGTATTTAATTGTCGAAATTAAACCTTTTAAATATGTTGGTAATCGTGCATTGAGTCAAACCAAAAAATGGGAAATTATACAAAACAAATACTATGATTTAAAGTTTAGAGAACATAATGATACCAATTTCATTATTCCCACTGTTCGTACTTTACAACGTCAACTTGCTGGTGCCGTTAAAAAGGCCCAAAAACAAAGAAGTAAAGAAAAAGCTAGTGGCAATTTAAGAACAACACATACAATCCCACAAACTTTACCAGAGATTGATGCTGATGACTATTACAACTTTAGAAATATTTCCCCCAATAGTCCACAAGAAGAATTGGAAAGTGCCTTGTTGGATTTACACGAGTTGAGTGATAAGATAAAGGAATTGAAATCACAAAGTAATAATCTTGTCAAGGTTAGTTATCAACCACGTACCAAGTCATCAACTACAGGAGGAGGAAGTGGAGGATTTGATGCTGTGGTTGATGCTGCTTTGGATGAGGAAAATAGACTCTCGAAGAGAGGATCTACTGGAGAACTAGCTATTGGAAATTATGCTAGAGATGCAGCTACTTCTCATTTAGAGGAGGTTTCGGCAGCTTTAAGTCAGCGTATTTTCAATCTAAAACAAGAACTTGAAAATGATGCGTCAATTCCATCGAATCAGAAACAAACTTTTGACTTATTGGAATCAGTGTTTCAACATACTAATGAGATGAGCTTAACGGTTGCTCGTGAAAATGAAGCTTTGAATAGACAAATTAATAAGTTGGTTACTAATCACTTGCAAAAGATTCAACGCGTTAGATTAGATTTCAATGCTCAACAATTGGAATTGGTTGACAAGATTACTGATACGTTTAAAGAGGATTTTAAACATGCTGGAAGTTCAAAGACTATTTTGGAAAAACTTGATTCAATAAAGGAATTACTCAATTAGTGAAGCTCTGAATAAGACTGTGTTTTGGTGGCTGGTTATGAAATTGTATTTGTGATGGGGGTGGGGGTTTAGTTAGGCATTTAGTAGCTTTGTTCATTCTTTTTTTTTTATATTGAAACATTTAGTTGTATTATTACGTATTATATATGTTGAACAAAAGGTGTAGAAAATAGCCCCATCACACTTCATCAACCCTTATTATCTGGTACTTGCAAGCATTGCGGTAAAGCGTGCCGTTGCCTTCGTCTTTAGCATCATCTGCATGGTTCCGCCCCCTTGTCCCCCCTTCTCTTTCTGCCATTCTATTGTTCCCAAACTCACCACCACTTAAGAAAAACAAAGGGGAAAAAAAAATAAAATAAAATATATTCGACAGGAGAGTGTTGCAAAACTTTTGAAACTTCCATCCAAGATAGAAGAAAGGAAAGCAAAACTCACCAAATGATATTCACAGGGGTGCTTGTGCTTCTCCATATTGGTCTAAGTTGCCAACAACAGCAACAGCAACAACCACAACAACCACAACAGTCACAACACGGCCATTATTACCCACCAACTGATCATACACTTGGGGATGATGAAATTGTCAAACGAGGAGTTCAAGAACTACATGATATCGATGCTGCCACTGATCTAAATGAATGTCTTACGTGTAAGACCAGGTTGCAAGTGGGCAAGTTCTTGGCATTAACACGACCTGATTTGGTCCCACAAGTGTTTTCCACATGGTGTGTTGAACTGGGGCATGATGAAGTACAATGTCACATGAATTATGGGTATCCTGATGATCAATACTCTGCAACTGGGAATGATTTCACTAAAATGGTTAGCTTGATGAATCCATCAGGATTAGATGGTGATTATTTCTGTTATTATCATGATAAAAAATGTCATGTTTTGCCTGAAACACCAATGGTGGATATGAGTAATATGTGGCCACCAAAACCAAGAAACTATTTACCACCAGATAGTAGTGGTGAGGTGTTTCATGTGTTACACATTAGTGATATTAATTTGCAATTGGATTATGAAGTATTTGGCGAAGCCAATTGCACTCAAAGCTTGTGTTGTACATCACGTAGTCGAAATTTGAAACATCAAGCACCATCAGTGAATGAAAATGCTGATATGGATGGATATTACGATAGCAGCTATAGCAAAAACCATTTTGAAAAGGGGCGGTACTTGGATATCACCAAGATTAAAAAACCCACTTGGTCACCAGCAAGACAATTTGGAGAATACACTTGCGATACACCAACATTGTTATTGAACAGCACTATGCAATGTATCAGGGACTTGCATCAAAATCATTTGTCGTTTGAATTTGCTATATTCACAGGTGGAACGGTAGATCATTCTGATAGAAGCTTTATGACCAAGGATAAGATTATCAAGTCTCAAGAGACAAGTTACAAAATTCTCAAGCATTATTTAGATAATGTTGATGTCATTCCAACGTTTGGTACTCGTGATGTTTTCCCCATGAATCAATTACCTCAGAAAAACTTGAGCGTCAACTCCAACGTATATCAATGGCAATTTGATCTTTTAGCTGATATTTGGCTGGAATTGGGGTGGATAGACCATGAAACTGCCAAGCAAATTAGGTACACACAAACTGGGTTCTCATTGAAAACATCATTGGGATTGAAAATTATCTCATTAAATTCCAATGTTTGGAATGTGAAAAACTTGTATGCATTTTGGAATGTACTAAACGTTGATTCCTACGGGGTTTGGAAATTTTTGATTAATGAATTGCTTGAATCGGAACGCAACCATGAACGGGTATGGATTATTGCTCATTTACCACCGAATCATCAATCACTAGCACTCCCCACCAAAGTATTAACCCAAATAATTGCTCGGTTCTCCCCCAAAGTGATTGCTGCCGTTTTCTTTGGTTGTATCCAATTGGACTCATTTATCGTTCAGTATGGTGGTGATGGGACCAATGAGCGTGAATTGCAAAATGCATTCAATCATGCATTGATTGGTCCTCTGATTAGCCCCTATGGCGGAGTTAACCCTGCATGGCGATATTATGCTGTTGACAAACAAAGCTTTAGTATAACAAACTCCTTCACTTATTACACTAAATTGTCCAATAGTTTCCGTAATGATGGAGCTGAGCCCAACTGGGATTTTGCTTATTCTGCACGAGATGTATACGATCCCGACCAATTGTGGCCCCTGGATTGGGGGTTAAGCACTGAGTGGTGGCATCATGTGGCAAATAGAATTTCAACAAACCCTGAATTGGAGTTGTTGTACCAAAGATTGGAAACCCGATGGTCTCCATACACATTTATTGATAAGGACAATCATTGCAAAGTCACCAGTTTTTCTCTCGAGGCAAGGAAACAATGCATGATAACTGAAGACCAAGATGATTATGTGGAGCCAGTGGTGGCCAATGACTATATCCCCATCGTTCACGTTGCTGATCAATCAGTGGAGTATGTTGAAGTTGAACCTGAAGATAAATGTGAAGGTGATGGTGAAGAAGATGATGACGAAGGTGAAGAAAATTTGGAAAAAAATTATGCCAGTTCGGATGAATGCATTGAGGAGGAGAATAATTCAACTACGACTTCCATAACTAGTACTGCTGGAACTTCAGTGTCTCCTACTGCTAAATCCGCTACTATTGCACCAACCCCCAAGGGTAAAAACCAAAAAGTAAAGGGTAAATCACTCCATTTGAAAAAATTGAGTAAAAAAGTAAATTATGCTAAACAACATGTTATCCATTTGTAGAAGATGACGAAGGGGTATGGTTCTTCACATTTGCTAGAAATAAGAAGGCTAATTAAATAGTGTGTGTCTATAGAATCGTTATAAATGACGAGAATTGGTGGGTCTACCTTGGCCTGCCATGGAGCAGAAACCCTTTTGGTAAAGTGGTTTTTCAATTTTTTTTTCTTCTGATTACATAATTGATTATAATCACATACAAAATTTGTCTCACGGCACTTTACAACAATCATAGGAACATGTAAATTTGATATGATATTAGAGATACGTGGACAAACTTATGATGGGGTGGGTAGTAAACCAAAATTGCTTTATATGCCGATGGCTGTTGGAGATTGGGAGACACTCTAAATGTATGGTCAATTGAGTACAGCGTCGTTTGTGAAAAAATTGGCGCTTCCGACAAAGCCTTCCCTCCACTCAAGCTCTGTTTGGTTTTTCTGCGTCAAATATGCACCGAATCTCCTTTGACGAACTTGTCAATTTTTCTCCAAACCACAAACAGAATCATTTGAAAGTAAAATTAAAAAAAATTTCCTGAATAGGAAAATAAATTTTATTGCATTTTTTTTTTTGTCAGTTGACGTAATTACTCGCGACATTGGAAACAGACAAAGATGCGACATTGGAAAAGAATTACATAGTGAAGGATTTCAAAAAGTAAAACGTTATTATTATTTTGTAGTAAAGTAACGTAAGCTTTATATCAAGAGCTATACAATAATCATCATCATCATCATCATCATCATCAAAGGAGTAAATAAACCGAAAACGTGGTAAAATTTTGTAAGAATGCAAAAAAATCAAGTAGGCAAAAGATGAAACCGAAATAGCAAATTGACCGAAATGCGATATTATAAGAAGAATGAGTAAAACCGAAAGTAGCAGTGGTAGTAAACGCAGCATCAGCTGGAAAACCGAAATACGACGAATGAATGAAAATGAAAATGAAAAAACCAAAAAAATAACGAAATTAGAAATGATGACCGAAATGGATGATTTGATAATGATAATGACATGACATTGATAACAAGATAAAGCTCAACCGCACAAACGACAGACAAAAAAAAAAACGCACGCAAACTCGAATTGAATAAGAAAAACCTCAACTGAAAAAACTGACCAGCAACTTCAAAGCAGTTAGAAAAACCCATTTACTTAAATCACAAAAGAACCCAAATCAAATTCATTATTAGTATCTTTGACAGTGACATTTGAATAAGTTTGCATAAACAACTCTTCAAACCCACAAGCTGTAATTCCACTAGGTTTACTAGCACCAGCATTGCCACATTCTTCACTGGTTTCCGAGTATTCAGATACCGGAGTAAATGAAGAATGTACTTGCTCTTCTTGATTTTGGTTCATGTTCAAGTTCAAATTCAAGTTCATGGCGATTTGATCATTGAGCATCATAAAGTCGTCCAAACTTACATCTGAGCATGATGAATCAGCAGAGTGCATTGGCAAAGCACTGTATTGTTGTTGTTGTTGTTGTGGTTGTGGTTGAACAGGTGTGAATGGAACACTGTTGGATCTGTAGTGTGGTTTTCTGACTGGTTTCTTTATACAGGCTTCAGATGCTGATCTTTGGTGTTTTGGTTTTGGCTGGTAAGTCTTGAATTGCAACTGACCGGCAGTTTTTCTTGACTTTTTAACCGGCAATGATGATGGTCCTTGTTGTTGATGTTGTGTTACGGATGGCTCTTTCAATGGTGATTGTAGTTGAAATTGGGGTTGTTGTGATAAAGCTGGAGTTGAAGTTGCTGATATTATTTGTGATTCAATGGCTCTTTGTTGTTGTTCAAACAATTGTTGTTGCAATTGTTGGATTTGGAGATGTTGTTGTAACATTGCTTGTTGATAACCATACAATTGATGGGAGATGTACTCCTGGGACATTTGTGGAACTGGTGGTGGAGGTGGTGGTGCCATCTGTTGTGGTGCTTGTTGTAGTTGTTGTTGTTGTATTGGTTGTGGTTGATTCCAGTCAACATCCAAGTTCATGATTCCCAAACCTAATTCTTCTGTTGGGGTGGTTTCACCAACATGTGAAGCATCATATTCATCATATTCATTCAAGGCAGGTAAATCAAAGATTGATTCTTCGACCGACACTGTTGGTGATGGCAATTGTTCATTGAATGGAGTTGGTGGAGTGAAAGTTGTGTTACCAGCAGCAGCAGAAGCAGCAACAGCAGATGATGGTGGAGTATAGTTTTTGACACCGGCAATAGCTTCAGTTTCTAACATATGTGTATGTTCATGAACCTCTTCCTCATCACTCTTTACTGGAGACAAGTCAACAAACACAAAATCTTTTGGCTTACCTGGTTTGTTCTTGGGTCTTCTCATTGGTGGCCTCCTAATGGAAAATTTAGAAGCAGCAGCAGCAATTTTCAATGAGTTATTGAGACATTCGACTGAGGTTTGTGATTGAGTTGAGTTTGATGAATGCGACGACGACGACGACGATACCGATCTCTTAACTCTCCATAACTTCTTACCATTGGCAGGTGGTAAAACAGCAGCAGCAGCGGTATTGCAACTCATTTTTGTATAAATAATTTATGTGTATGGTTTTGTTGGATATCAAGTTAATGAATGAACGCGTCAAATTAGCGACTGACTAGCAGTGGGGGGTATCAATTGAGTGGGTATAAACGAAAAGCGACTTGTAAGGTGTGTTTCAACTAAATTACCTGAAGTAGTAGTCAAGGTTGTTGTAGTTGATGCTTGGTATTTTGGTATTTGGTATCTTATAATTGTCTTTTACTGGAAAAGGAAAAAAGAAAGAAGAATGAAAATGGGAATCCAAAAAAATGTGAAAACTTGGTGGATATAGCTCTGGTTATATATTCTTCTGGATTTTCCCTGAATCCATATTTCAAAGGATTCATTATACCAGGGATGTGGTTTTTTTTTTTGTATTAGTTTGAGTTTTCTTTTGAGTCTCGAGTATTATTTTATGATATTTTGAGTGAAGTTTCGATATTGTGTAATAGTCTTAACATATTACTTTCTGCACCATATGTATGATGTATTATATGATTTAGGCGTTGATGCTTACTACTAAAAAGCCATTTTGATTTTTGTATTCCTTCATACTTACCCTTTATTGCCATACATTTCCAAATTAGTCTTCATACTAACAATCGTGAGGGGCAATCGAACAATAGGATTTAAATGGAGTTAATTAGAACAAGGTGCATATTCCCATTATATGCAGTACATGAGAAAAAGAGGAGATTTTTAATGGGTTTGTGCTTTATTGATGCAGGGTGTCCTAAAAAAAAAGACAGTATCCAAAATTAAAGTTTACACAAACAAAGGGTACTAAAGTTTAATTAAATTGACTAATTAGGAAATATAAATAAAAAAAAGCTCTACTTTGGATTTGCATGAAACTAAAAAACAATAGAGGAGTTGATACAATAGACTTTTTGTGGTAAAATGTGATGATGAAAGAAAAAGAATGAGGGGCTTGTTAGTTAACGAAGTGCCTGTCTCCTCTTTGACCCCCAAGGGAGAAGGGATTAGTAGAGAGGGTTGGAGGAAGTATTGTTTTTTGACGACAAGGAAATAACGATAAAGGTGCGCCCCTTTTTTGACCGGAGATAGGCGGATTGACTGTACTGGCTTATACATTGGGTAATATTGGGCTTTGATAGTGGGTGCGTCGGCTTGATATACATTTACGTACTGTCTAGATCCACTCGAATGCGCATCGTTTCTCTTTTTCCTAATTAGGCACATTCTCAAAACTTTCGATTACGAAACCTTAAGCAGCCTTGATATAGTTACGTCAGAGGGGATGCTATAGTTTAAGTCTTTTTTACTAACCATGTTGCGAACGAGGAGTTGGAGGGGTAGGAGATGATGGAAATAGGTCATTCGGCTTTTGAGACATTGCTTTTCTATCGCCAAATGTGCGACTTTTAAGTGCAACATGCTTGGTTTGTCCTCCCTTGTCCCCTCCCCTTGGCATCGATTCCATATCAGCAAATCTCATGTGAGAGAATACGTCTTGCGAGGGGCAAAATGTGGGATATGCATCACCGTAGAAGTAGGATTCTAGAGTCTAGTTGTAGTGATATTTTCCGATTAAGGTATACTTTAAAACCAGGTTCCACTTATGACTATTTGATAAACACAGGGGGTAGATCGGGAATATCCTTTCTTGAATGACCTGTTTTCCCTCTTCAATTAAACAAGGATGGACATCTATATTATTGCACCAGTATCCACGATTCACTCTCTATTTCTGGCTCTGCTACTGCTTGTTCTATTTTCAATTCGAACAAATCAAGTAAAAAGTGGAGTAAAGAAACAAAGACAGCCACTAATTATTGTGAGATGGTACAAAATCGACTCAAACTAAAAACCGCATTTTAGGTTTAAATTTTTTTTCTTCTCTATTTTTTTTTTCCTTCGCCCTTTGCCTCTTTTTTACGGCGTCTAAGTTAAGCCATTTAATTGCATGCGTTTTTACTTCATAAAGTATGCAGAGTAAAAATGTATCTCCCATCACAAGGCGGCTCTACTGAAAGTTTCTAGAGATTGAATATGTGGAAACAGATAAACCATATGTCAGTAAAGTGGTACGATGAGTCGGACATCTGCGGCATTTTGACTTTGACTTTGCTGGTTATACAAAATGTAGAAGAAATATATTTTCAAAGATCGGCAATAGCAATGCTTTTGTTCATTGTAACCATATATGCCATAATGCTTAAAAGTGTCTTCCATAAACATAAGACTATGTACGTAAATAAAATAAGTAAGCGCGCATTCATAATGGAAGAGATGAAGTGCAATACAAAGACCATTGTTCCAATAAATTTCCTAATCAGGTTATTCAACAAATAGACTATACATATATACAATGCATTCAAAATTTTAGTTTCAATTAATGAACCTAATTAGGAAATATTTTACAAACAAAGCAATTCAGTATAATCTTTGCGCAATGTAAAGCTCCAATGCATATGAACTAAGCGATGCAGCTATTCCCGTCTTAATTCCGCAACTGATTTCGGTAATTGATCTAGCGGTGTGATCGTTAATCATTCGTGATTACCTTGCATTTTTTATATAAGTCAATTAAACTGTATGTAGAGAGTATATTCCAAAGTGGGACGATATTCACAAACTAGGTAATCCAATTGCCATTGTGTTAGAAGGAGCAATGTACAATCAAAATGTACTCTCTATATATGATATTGTGGAATAAAAAATACATGTCAAATGGGTTAACATTATTTCACAATAAGTGATTTAAAATATATAGCACATAACGCATAGAGGTTTCAAAAGCGGTTTTGTACTTACTACAATAGGTAAGTGATGTAATATGTCAAGTGACTTAACCTCCGTGAAACAATAGTAGTGTATATAAGCATACCCCACATTTCAATAAAATTCCACAATTGATATATACCAAATTCCAAAATGCATTTACAACTATACAATGAAAAAGTCTGGATGTTTCTTCCTTCAAAGGGAGGGCCCTCCTTTCTACATTCAGCTTTAAGTTGGACTATGTTCTAGGGAAGTTTAGAGTTTAGTTGCACCTTAAAATTTTGGAGCAGAGACAGCATAACAATAGTTTGTTTTCTTCCCTCATTTCATGTAAAAAACTTAAGAAAATTAGCCAAATACTGCCCTAATGTTTTACTTCTATTGTTCGACTTGATTTACAATGGCTTTATGAGTCTTAATTACTATTGTGAATTTCTACTTTATTGCCCCACTCCTCAGCATTCAATGAGTCTGTTTTGTTACCCTTTTTTTTTTTTTTTTCTTTCTTTCCCGCCCTTTCCCATGAGAATATGCCCCTCGTCAGTGCCCCACCATTTAGTTAGACCCCCACCAATTAGTTCAAAGAACATAATTGTGACTTCTAGTCAAAAATAAACCGAGGTGTTACTAGCTCTTTCTCTCTTGTGTGAATGTATCTACAGTAAGGGTATTTTGGGAAGTTTCGGAGTTCTTATTTTTGTTGGGAGAATCTGCATCTCAATTAGAAATTGAATGTCTTTTCCATTCTTTTCTTTGTTGGGTACGCTATGCAAGATACATTACCATCAATTTCTTTTTGTTTTACAATATAAATTTCATAAGATTGCTTTTTGTCCAATTGTTCTCCTCTTTTTTGTGTACGGCACTAAAAAAAAATAATTAGAGCCCACCTTCCTAAATAGGCCAAATTAGCTTAATTGGTAAATCTTTACTTAAAGTGGCAAGCTTTAAGCTTTGATGCATAAACTTCCAACAGGGTAGAAGAAGTAAGTTCACCAGAAAACATCGGTCGATTTTGAAAGGGTTCTGTTGTGAAGGAAGGAACAGTTGTACCCAAAGCTAGCCGAAATAGCTTGTTCCCTTGTGGTTGATTTTGAATTGAAACCCAATGAGCACCAACTGAAAAGCCGAGTGCGATACAGTAGCTATATCATAGAACACTTTTTAAGCAATGCTTCCAACTACTAACCACAATTTATTATATCAACTACAAAAGAACGTCATTCTTCTGATTTGGTATTATAAAACAACAAATCAAAAGAATGGGAAGCAAAAAAATAATCAGGTAATTTCCAAAGCATAAGGGCATAAGGTTTGTAGAGATCAATGAACAAAGTATAATTGTTAGCAAAACTTTAACAACAACGCTAACCACCAAAGAAAGGAAGAAAGGTCATAACTTTTTTTGCTCTTTCGTTTTTCGTTTTTTAGTTGTAGGTTAGGCTCATAACCATTCATTTTCTCCACCAGTTAATTTTCCACTAAAAAATTTACCAAAACCAAAGCAATTTCCGGCTGGTGTGTTAACTAAGTGCTTTTCAGATATACGTCTCAACCAATTGAGTATCGAGAAGGGTACGACAGCCCCCTCGAGGCCAATTGAACACTATCCGCTACCCGATTATAACAATTTCCATTTCCACTTTGTCGTCTAAACGAGCGAGAACGAGAACAAGATCAAGAACAATAGAGCAATGGCTCGTAGTTTTAGGCGCCCTACGTTGTTCTCCCCTACTATTACATTTATGACGGTGAGGAGAAAAAGCAAGTGCCATTACAATAATAATCCCAAAAGTCATCCATTTTGCAATCCCCATCCTTGCTCTTGGGAAAAGCCTTCCTCCCATTACGAACTGGATAAATTCAAATATAGAAAGGAACGGTAGCCTAGAATCATATAGCAAAGTAACTGTTCGTTTATCTTGTACGTTTCAATACAAACGTATGACCTCATGCAACTCCTCTTGCCTAATTGGGCGCCATATCGACCTTTTTGGATGAAAAGGAAAACAAGCTGTATTTCCAGACTTATGTTCTATTGGAGTTAAAGTTCTGCGATAAATCCTATACTGAGATTGGGTTCTTTCGAGGATTTTTCTGTAATGGGTATTCTGGTACGATATGAGAACACTTGTAATAGAGGAGATGAACCCAAACTGGATCTACTAATGGGAACATCAAAGTTAAAATGCAATAAGCTTGTTCAAAGAAAAGACTATCGATTCCTAAGCAACTTCTCTCTTCATTGTCCGTTTAGCATTCTTCTGCGAAACGATTGAAAGGGGGGGGGTGAAGAAAGGGCAGGAATGAAGAAATCCAGAACAATTTCAATTCAACCGACTAACAATACTCCACCTCACCTTTTCACTCCCTTTATTTGTAGGGTTTTGAAACATACCTATTGTTCACATACGCAGTGCTTCAATTAATCAAATCCCTTGTTTCTACTCTAGTACGCCAAGAAATACTTCAAGAAAGTTAAAAATAACCTTCTTTTTGCGAATGGGCACAAAATTGGGGATAAATGAAAACTCCATTGGTGTATACCCCTCACTGACTAATTAGGAAAGTAAATTGAATAGTACTTTATGGAACAATAGAATCTCTCACAAACAATCCATTTTTTTGCTTGTAAATTGTATTGTATTATGCGTAATGGACTAAATGACATTTTAGCATTATCTCTCATCCTAGTTAATTTGCTTTCCTAATAAATGCAAAAGGTTCAATTTTTATATTAGCTCTGCTACATAAAGCACACAAACTTGGTAAAACAATGGAAACAACTTTTGTGAACACTTGAACCGATTACTATGCTACAAAAAAAAAGAATCAAACGTTTGATTGACACCTCAGAAAGAGACGAAAAATGGGCCAATTGTTTACTTTCCTAATTAAGCACAATCGTCCTAAATAGGATCATCAACTCCAAAGGGAACAATAAAGCTATGCCAATCTAGGGATGTTGGTAAACAAAAGAGTCAGAAATCTCCAATAATATAATTGCTTAAATGCATGAACCACCAATAAAAAATTTTAGACGGCAGGCGAGGAGCACAGCAACGCCACCTTTATGAATTTAGAGTAAGTGTATTTGAAAAGTCTTGGACGTCGTGGCTAGGCAGGAACGAGCCTTACAAACTAAAAACCAAAAGAGATGACAGAAAAGCGAGGCACTAAACATTTCTCAGTTATAGTGTCTACAAGGCTATCTTTAGTCTCCTTAGAAGTGTGGGAATTGAAGAGCTAGGGCAAAAGATCAACAATCTAAATTTCATTGCTTCGGTTGGATACAACTTCCGTTCCGTAATGTGAGCCCAAACGCCGGAGTGGTTTGATCTATGAGAAAATTTGGTAAATTGTTCACTGGGGATTATCAAATTCTCTCTATTAAGACCAGACAATGGGATAACTGCAAGCCGAAATAACAAAGAAATCACTGTCAGTGACTATTGTTCCATCCTGTTGGCTCCACAACGAAAATTGATTATTGATACCGACAGCAACAAAAAACATAGTCAAGTTTTGTTGGGCAAGAGATCACAGATGAATCACACCACAAACAAACGAGCATGATCATCACTCACTGTTGTCTAGACAGCATCATGGGCGGAGCGCTGCAATTGGAAAATTTTTTTTTTCCATCAGGCACAAAAATAGTGGTTTAATGACAGGTCCTTTCATGGTGGACAAAAGCAAACTAAGGGCGTAGTAAAAAAACTGTCAAAGTCTTGTTTTTTGTTGATACACTCTACCACGCCACTAGCTTGTTTTAGCTAAGCGAGTAAGTGTTTCCTTTTCACCCAGTGTACAATTCTAATCTCAGTGGATGAGCGAGGGCAGCTGAATGGGCTCTATGCATGTCATAGAATTTCATCACACATATGCAAGTAATGAAAATGTAATCACCTGTCCCAATTAGGCAGTTACGTCCTAATCTGGAAGAAACATAAACAAATACACAAAATAAAACCATTTGGTGCACATTGGGTAAAAGTACTGAAATTTCATCACTTGATAAGAATTTGTGCGTATTATACACAAATTTGTGCAGAACAGTTACAAACTCATTTCTGTGTTTATGAATTGCATGCATTGTCAGTCTTTTAGAATCTGTGCAGGTTTTTCATTCGAGTGGGATGCTTACTGTTTGTTTCTAAATTTCATTCGTAATTGAAACGAGTCAAGAGGGGAAATTAACTCAGTGCTCAGAACCCACATACATGTGCCACGAACGAGAACAGGGTTATTAAGAGAGTAGGGAGCTTCTCCGTATGACGTCAATATGAAACTGATTGTACAGGAGAGGGAGGGAAACCTTTTGTAGCATCATTTACAAACAAATCAAGCTAAACTCCTATTTAAAGTGGGGCTCATGGCACACAACTTTCTGAGTTTGTCGAATAATGCCCATAGATATATTACGTTACAAACAAAACAAATGAGAGACTTGGGTGGGGCAAGAAGTGCGCATACAATTATCAAGTTCTAAAACGATAATGTTCTGTGTCTATATCAACATCATCACCATGGCAACAACCTTTGTTGCATTTTGTGAACCGGTCTGTCTCAAAAGTCCTCAATGAGATGGGTGCTTTGTACAATTATGAGATATATTATTCACGATACAATTTTACGAAATGAGCTCCAACGACTGTCATGGGTACGTTTGTTGAGTCCACCCAATCAAAGACACCATTATTGTACGACTTTATCAAGACGTTGGCTTGAATCAGTTGAATACGACCAAAGGTATAGACACAGATCAAGCAATTAATTGATTTTGGTTTTTGTATTCTCTTCGACTCTCATTATCTAATGAACATCAAGACCAGTTTAAACTTTCTTTGAAAAAAAAACTCATAACCATCCTATCACCGATACCCCTCATAATCAATCGTAAGGAAAGAGGGGCGGGGAGATGTTCCGATTTCAAAAATTCTACAATCGCTCACCTTACAGATGCAATGTTCTTGCCTAACCATCTCTCAAACTGTTTATGGCTTTTATCCTTTGTGTAGAGTTGAACAACCCTCCTATTCATTATAGTTACTCCGCATTTCGCAATTGTGTTCTTGGTCTTGGTCTTGGTCTTGATGCAAAGTAAATGACGCCGTTCTACCACCACCAAACTTTGTGACTTTATTAAAAATAGCCCCGCCTTCTCACAATACGCTTTCCACATTCGTACTCTCTCCTGAGCCGAGGTCGTTGTCGAAATTAACGCATTAGCCTTATTCACAAAGAAAACAAAACGTACGCACCTTTCGAAACGAGAATGTGGTGGCACTTGTCGTCACTTTTGTGAGTTTAATAGAAGATGTTGAACGCTCAATAGAGAAAACAAATTGCTGCGGGGCAAAGCAAATATTGATCAAAGGCACACAAAATGACAAATTCAGTTAATTAATTAATTACTCATCCTTCTACCATTGAGTGTAGACCATGACGTAATCACAATGTATCTCGTAACCGCCTCAAAGTCCAATGGGCCACACAGTTTTAACGCAATTGACTCCTCACCCATATACTTTTGCCAGTCGTAATTCTCATAACCTAATTGCAAGAATATTTCATTACCTTTTTTTTTTTTCGTTTTTCCCCACATTTCGTTTTTCTGTTGTTTCTATTGTTTTATTCCAAAGTGGAGTAAAATGATACGGGAATACGCAAATCATCGAATAAGCAATTGTGCATTTCAACCTTCAATGAATTAGAGTTTTGAAAGCTATATACGCTGCATCATTTTCTGTGTATCGGAATTTAAAATAAAAGGAGGGTATGAATAAAGCTAGACACATTTTGCACAGAAGGTGACGTACAAAATGAATTTTCAATGCCGTCCAGAGACATGTGCATACAAGTTCTTTACTGTTATAGTGTATGCTTTGATTACCCCTATTTCTCAAAGAATGCAGCATTTGTAAAGCTTCAGTATCGTGTGGTTCATAGGGGGAATTGGGGAGATGGCTTAAATTGAAATCCTAGTGATTAATAATAGAGTTACCTGAATTGAATATTAAATCAGTACACTTCTCTATATACCCATATGTATGACCGAATCCGTAGCTCTAGTTGATTGAGTACCTTTCACAAACACCAACAAGTTTCATTATTCATATCAAAGATTTTCTTTACCAAACAAAAACATGCCAAGTGTCATGAGCATTCCAAGATTGGTAAACTCTAGTTGCAAGAAGTGAGCAATTGCTGGCCATCTTCTCTGTCATTCTGTTAGAACTGACCAAAAAGACAACACCAGGCTTGTGCCTGTGCCGACTCGAAAAGAGAAACCCAAGCAGTCCTCATCTTAATCATTACATATCGCATTAGCTTCCTAATTTCCCGATTGTAGCATCACAACAATGAGACCCTCAACCACTTCGATACCACCAACAAAATAAAATGAAAGTCCAAAGCTACTACTATTTTGGCGAACTTGACTCTTGTTCCAATTGACGCTTCATCCTCTCCTTCTCCACGTGCTGTTCTTGGGATTGTTTCAACAACATCTTTTTACCAATCCTTTCCTTAGCCTCTGGAGTCAAATCCAAAGTAGCACTCTCCAACACTTCCATTCGTGTAGGTATCTTCTCCCGTTTACGTCGAGCTACTTCTTCAGGTGAATGTGGTTCAAATTTTACAAATTGGAAATCTGATCCGGCTTTGTAGGTGACGTAGCCACCTAGAAGGATGGCTATCGTGCCTACTATGAATTTGTGAGTCATGGGTGCCCCTTGTGACATGATGAGTTGGGGAAAGAAATCTAAGGTACTTGTGAGTTATAATATGACAAGTAGTTGTTGTTCTGAGTTTGATGCTCTTCTCTTGTTGGAGAATCTTATAGAAATATCTTTTCTACATGTCGTGTGCAAACTCAAAAAAAAAACAAAAAAAACTGTGTTAAAAGCAAACAGGCAATTTATTTGTCGAAATCAATACGCATACTAAAAGTTAAAAGATATATACACAGCTGTTACTAACCACGAATAGATACCACACACATCACCCACTACTTATTCATCACTACACACACACACACACGCACACACACACACATATATATATATATATATCCTACAAAATGGCTGCACTTCCCAAAAGAATTCTTAAAGAAACTGAACGATTAGTCAGTGATCCAGTACCCGGTATAACAGCAGTCCCATCACAAGATAATCTTCGACACTTTAACGTTACTATTGATGGACCAAGTCAATCACCATATGCTAATGGTATATTCCAATTGGAATTATATTTACCTGATGATTATCCCATGTGTGCACCAAAAGTTCGTTTTTTAACCAAGATTTATCATCCAAACATTGATAAATTGGGTCGTATTTGTCTTGATGTTTTGAAGGATAACTGGTCACCTGCATTACAGATTAGAACCATTTTGTTGAGTATACAAGCATTGTTGGGTGCTCCTAATCCTGATGATCCTTTGGCTAATGATGTGGCTGAGGATTGGAAAAAGGATGAGAAACAAGCCATTAAAGTGGCACAAGAGTGGACAGAAAAGTATGCATTGAAAAAGGAGTAGTGAAGAGGTTGGTTGTTATTGTGGGACTGGTTTGAGGGGAGGGGGTTACTATATTAAAGCAGAAGGACATGGTTGTCCCGGAAATAGCTGCTGGTAGGCAACAAAGGAAGGTTAACAGTTCCATTTGACAACTCCAATAGTGAGAGATCTAGAAATATTTGGTTTACCAAATTGTTTATTGTACAATAAATGTGAAGCTTAAGTAGATCAAAAGCGTTATGCTGACATTTTGAGACGTAACAGTGGTCTAGTGTAAGTTACTCTAGTTTTATAAAATTGGCCACTATTGTTTGGTATCGAGTTGCGCTTTATTCATCAGTCAAGAAAGATATTTGTGTTACAAACTATTGCATAAAATAGTGAGACACCAAAATTTCCTCTTAGATTTCTGATGCCTTTGCATTCATACTAAGGGTCCTGAAACCAATAATGTGGTTGTTTGATCGTTAAGCACAATTGTCCTCGTGCAAAGTAACTGGATATGATACTCTCCTCCACGCTCGGCGCTCGGCGTTTAGGTTCTCCTTTTTTGTTCATTTCTCTCGCTTTAAGCGTCGCCATACGCCGAAAATCCCTCTTAAAGATGATCCGAGATTTGCGCAGAGAACAGGAAGTTAGTTGATGAAGTGAAGAAAACATTTATGAGAACAAGCTTCAACAGTTGCCAAGTGAGTTAATAGAGCTTGAGGCTGTGTTATGCAACACCCAAGTCAAGAAATTGAAAGCCATGCATACTGTTTTGGCCTAAGTCATTTTTCTGAAAAACTTTCTTGAGCCGTTACATCCTCTCACTCATTCTGCTCCGAAAGGAAAAACGGGGCCGAAAAAAAAAAAAAAAAAAAAAAAGAAAAAGAAAAGAACACCTGTGCAACCAATCAAGTGATGTTAGTGAGGAAATTCCGGGGAGCAGTGGGAATGAGACTTTTCTTAGCAACTCTCTATTTTACAGAGCAAAAGAATATAACAAGAAAGAAGAATTGAGACTTAAACTTGCTACATGATGGTTGCAACTTGTCATGAAAGTCACGCCCATCCCCCAACTGAAACCTACAAAATAAATAAACGCCGAATCTCTCCTCATTCACTCCTTCTCTGTGACTTCTTCTGTCTCTCTTTTGAGGGAGTTTTTTAGTTCATGATTTTGGACAAGTAGTACACTACCACTTCTGGTGCATATAGTTGAGTTACACAAATAGCGTTTCAAACAATTAAAGAAAATCGGATATAAATTTGTAAAAGTAAAAAGTTTTATTAATAGTTACTAATATACAACAACAACAATAATATATCATCAACACTATTCAATCTCAACATCAACAAATTAGCACAAACCAACTAATAGAAAGAACAAAAGTATCATTCACATACACGCACACACACACACACACACACACACACAATCTATAAAGCGCCTTACAAGTAAGAGATCAAACATAAAGATCTATATATACATATAGATATTCCCTCGTGATATATTCCGATTTAGTGTGCTGTCTCGGAGAGAGAGTGTGCAAAGGAGAACAAAAAAAAAAAAAAAAAGAAAGGAAGAAAAGGAAGAAAAGGGAAAACTGTAAAAGACTTCAAAGATTTCAAAGATCGTCTTTCTTCTTTTCACTTGACAAGCACATTTGGATATAACTAAACAACAATTTTAGGGTGGGGGAGCAAGATTACTCATTATCACACTAGTCAAGATTCAAAAACACACACAAACACACAGACCCTAGTTTGTTCAAGATGGTTAATCAGAGGAGTGGATCTCAAGACAATAGTAATGCCCTGGATAGCCCCTTTAGTGATCTGGCTGCTGATTTTGACAATTCATCAATAGTACAATCACCAACTGAAGAACAGTTTAATAGACACAATTTTCGTAACCACCAAGGCCACAGCATTGATGATGCTTTATCGGATACTTCAGCACCAGCTACACCTCAATTAAACACTGATCGATTTGAAGGTGGGAGGTCATCTTCATTACGTTTCCAACTACCTGAAGAGTCCACCACTGCATCATCCTCATCAGCTTTTCCTACACCGCCAGCATCGTCTTCATCATCTTCATCAGCCACGGCACATTACCTTCATAGTAATCCAAATAAATCACCCTTTCTTGATCAAAACGATACAATACTTGAAGATGAAGTATACGAAAAACCAAAAACAATTGACGGTTCAGAAAAGACTGATGAGTTGAGTGATGATAGTTCGGATGGTGTTACAAAAAGACATAGATGGGGTACTAAAAGAAACAAACAAGGTAGACCAAAGAAGGAGAATGTTAGTCGATCCAAGACTCTTAAAAAAATATTACATCCTCATGGAGATAGGGACAATACAGATATTGGTGACAGAGACCACATGCAACATCGTCATCGACTGTTGAAGAATCGAATAAAATCAATTCGTAAACCAAATACGCATTCCATTAGCTTCCCTGAAAGCCATCGAAACGATTCAGATTCTGACGACAACAACAATGTTATAGACCCCGAGGCTAGTGATCAGAGAAATAGGAAAAATGAAAAACGAACAATTGTGTTTAATAGACCATTACCTGAATCCATGATTGATCCAGAAACAGGACATCCAATTATTGAGTACCCCAGAAACAAAATCAGAACTACAAAGTATACACCACTATCATTCTTGCCAAAAAACATATTCAATCAATTTTTCCACAACATTGCCAACATTTACTTTTTGGCATTGATTATATTGGGAGCTTTCCAAATCTTTGGTGTCCCTTCCCCTGTTTTGGCAGCGGTGCCCTTGATTGTTATTGTTATTATAACTGCCATCAAGGATGCTATAGAAGATTCACGAAGGACGATTACTGATTTGGAAGTAAATAATCAATACACTCATATCCTCACCCAAGTTGATGATGAAACCGATTACCATTATGAAAATGTCAATGTTAATGATGAAAAAGTTAGTTTATGGAGACGATTCAAGAAATGGAATACAAAACAAATGGTTAAACTATGGGGTGCATCTCGGCGTAATTTAACAAAAGAGGGTAGAGCCAACAAGGAACGTGAACGGTTCAATCGTGAAAACAATATTGTTGAGGAAAATGTTCGACATTCATTTGATAGTGACGTTGGATCGCCAAGAACTTCAATGGATGCAAGTAACCCATTTGGTGATCAGTTGCGTAAATCATTTCAACAACAACGTCATGATGCTAATCATGAACACCACCACAAGGTATTAAAGTTTGCCAGAAGGTATTGGAAAGATGTCAAGGTTGGAGATGTGTTGCGTATCTATAATAATGAAGAAGTGCCAGCTGATGTGGTTATCCTTTCGACAAGTGATGATGACAATTGTTGTTTTGTTGAAACAAAGAATCTTGATGGTGAAACAAACTTGAAAGTGAAACAAGCCCTCAAGTACTCTTCAGTTAATGATAAAGTTGCTAAAGCTGATGATTTAATGGATCATTCATTTGAAGTAAACTCAGAAGGTCCACATGCAAACTTGTACTCTTATGAAGGTAACTTGCAGTACACTGCTCGTGATGGACAAGAATTACAAGAAGCAATCACCATAAATAATCTACTTCTTCGTGGTTGTACTTTGAGAAATACTAAATGGGCCATTGGTATTGTTGTATTTACTGGATCCGATACCAAAATCATGTTGAATGCTGGTATCACTCCAACGAAGCAATCGCGTATGTCGCGGGAATTAAACTACTATGTGTTGCTCAATTTCATATTCTTGTTTGTCATTTGTTTTATTTCCGGGTTGGTCAATGGTATATATTATCGAAAACATGGTACATCACGAGATTTCTTTGAGTTTGGAACCATTGCTGGATCACCAGCGGTAAATGGATTAGTATCGTTTTTCGTGGCATTAATCTTGTATCAGTCATTGGTGCCGATTTCATTATACATTACTATTGAAATTATCAAAACTGCTCAAGCATGGTTTATATATTCCGACGTCGGGATGTACTATCCTCGATTGGATTTCCCCTGTACTCCTAAATCATGGTCCATTAGTGATGATTTGGGCCAGATTGAATACATATTCAGTGACAAGACCGGTACATTGACGCAAAATGTCATGGAGTTTAAGAAATGCACCATCAATGGTGTTTCTTATGGATTGGCGTATACTGAAGCCCTAGCTGGTTTACGTAAACGAATGGGTGTCGATGTCGAATCGGAAGCCGCTCACGAACGAGCCGTTATTGAAAAGGATAAAGTTGAAATGATTGACAAGTTGCATGAGATTCTGAAAAATGGAACTTATGATGATGAAATTACATTCATTTCGCTGAAGTTTATTGACGATCTAACTGGTGCCCTGGGTGATCTTCAACAACAATGTGATCATCATTTCATGTTGGCTTTGGCCTTGTGTCATTCAGTATTGACTGAACAAAGTGAAAAGAATCCTCACAAATTGGTTTTGAAGGCGCAATCACCTGATGAAGCAGCATTGGTGGGTACTGCACGTACATTGGGCTTCAATTTCAAAGGCACTACTAAACGTGGGTTTCTTGTTGATGAACATGGCGTAACTAAAGAGTATCAAGTGTTGAATACTTTGGAATTCAATTCAACTAGAAAAAGAATGAGCTGTATAATCAAGATTCCCGGGAACGGGCCCGATGATGAACCGAAAGCATTGTTGATTTGTAAAGGTGCCGATTCTATAATCTATGATCGATTATCCAAAACTGACAATGACCCAAACATGCTTGAACTGACCGCTAAGCACTTGGAAGAATATGCCACTGAAGGGTTACGTACTTTATGTATTGCTGAACGAGAATTGACTTGGTCACAATATACTGAATGGAATAAACGTCATCAAGTGGCAGCATCAGCGTTGGAGGATCGTGAAGATAAGATGGAGGCAGTTGCCGATTCAATTGAACGGGAATTGATTTTGCTTGGTGGTACTGCTATTGAAGATCGATTACAAGATGGTGTCCCTGATGCCATTTCACTTCTTGGTGAAGCAGGAATCAAATTGTGGGTATTGACTGGTGATAAAGTTGAAACTGCAATAAACATTGGGTTTTCATGTAATTTATTGGGCAATGAAATGAATTTACTTGTTATCAAGACAGCTTATTCTAGCGAAGAGTTGGAAAAAATGGAATTGAGTTTAGGACATGGTAATGCCGAAGCACAAGTTATCGATACTGTCTTGTCTCATTACTTGCGCATACATTTTGGGTCCTCAGGTTCAATTGATGAGCAAGAAGCGGCAATTGGCGATCATACACCACCTGATGAACGATTTGGGGTTATTATCGATGGTGATGCATTAAAATTGGCGTTGCTTAACCCTGACACCAAACGAAAGTTTCTCCTTCTTTGCAAGAAATGTCGTGCTGTCTTGTGTTGCAGAGTATCACCAGCTCAAAAAGCCGCTGTGGTGAAGTTGGTCAAGGATACATTGGATGTAATGACTTTGGCTATTGGGGATGGATCAAACGATGTAGCCATGATCCAAGCTGCCGATGTTGGTGTTGGTATTGCTGGTGAAGAAGGTCGTCAAGCAGTTATGTCATCGGATTATGCCATTGGGCAGTTTAGATTCCTTGCTCGATTACTATTGACCCATGGACGTTGGTCATACAAGAGATTCAGTGAAATGATTCCTAGCTTTTTTTACAAAAACATTATTTTCAATGTGGCATTATTCTGGTATGGAATTTATTGTGACTTTGATGGAACTTATCTTTTTGAATTCACCTATCTTATGTTTTACAATTTGGCATTTACGTCATTACCAGTAATCTTTTTGGGTATATTTGATCAAGATGTTGATGCTAAAGTATCATTGCTTGTGCCGCAATTGTACCGATCTGGTATCTTGCGGACAGAAATGAGTGATTGGAAATTTTACATTTATTGTCTTGACGGGATTTATCAATCGGCAATTTCATTCTTTTTCCCATATTTGTTGTATGTGGTTGCATTCCCCAGTTTTAATGGAAGACCAAATGATCACCGGTTCTGGATGGGTGTTTTGGTAACTTGTATTGCATGTATTTCTTGCAATTGTTACATTTTGTTTCATCAATATCGTTGGGATTGGTTAAGTTCATTGATTGTTGCCATTTCTATCTTGATTATATTCATTTGGACAGGATTGTGGACGGTTAATGTATCATCCAGTGGTGAATTTTACAAAGCTGCTCCACAAGTATTTGGAATGACGTCATTTTGGGCATGTATGTTTATTGGTATCTTGTGTTGTTTGATTCCGAGGTTCTTTTATGATTTTGTTCAAAAATTCTTTTGGCCCAAAGATGCTGATATTATCCGTGAATGTGTTCAACGTGGTGATTTTGCCGCTTACCCTGAAGATTATGATCCTACTGATCCAAATAGACAAAAGATCAGTTCTTATTCCAGCAACGTATTGACTCGGTTAAGTATGAGTTCGAAACGACACCTGCTGGGTGCTGGTGGTGGTGCTTCTTCCCCTAAAGGTCACACTACATCATCATCAAATGATGATTTTTCCAATGGAAGTGGAAGTTATAATCGTGCCGATGTATTTGATCAAATCAATAGCAATGGCGCTCTGAATTATCAAAATCCACCCACGCCACCACCAGGCATTATGATGTCACCCATTAGGAAAAGAGCCCAAAGTACCATGAGAAGTATATTTGGTAAACGAAGCAGTTCTGATCCATATTTCCAAAGTAATGGTACACAAGAATCGGTGCAGACTGAAGAGATTCCATTGGATGACTTTGATACGAGTCAGAGAAATATGGCTAGAGTCAGTTTTGATAATAATCATAAAAGAGTTGCATCGTATCAATGAAGGATGCAATATGTATAAATAGAGTTTTGAAAAACAAAAAAGCAAAATAAACATCTGTATCAATAGAGAGAAAGGACGATATCTCGTAGCACCGCCTGAATGCAAGAGATGGATCTTCTGGCGTAAACGCAACGTATTTTGCAAAAACCAGTTTGGGTTTTATGGTGTAGACCCGATCGGATATAAAAAAAAAATGAAAAAAAAGACATTGAGTAGATGTTTTTGTGACATGTTAGATAACGCACAAAAAGTAGATCCAATGAATCCTCCTGACTGATAAAATTTCGCGTCTTTAGGGATGCAAAATGAACCCCCACAGAATTCAATTCATCAACACAACCCTTTCAAATGAAGATTTCAAGATCTCGTAGCATATGGTTGTGATACTTCTTTCTTAATTGAGCTGACTGGCGTTTACCTTGCACAAAGGAAAAGTTGCAAAATACTTCAATCTTCTAGGCTTCGTTGCAGTAGCAAAAGTAGAAGTAGACCTTACAATTGCGAAGGACTGTGGAAAGACAAAGCTGATTAGAAGACAGTAAATTAAGATGAGCTGATGATGTTACTTGTAGTTAGCAGTAACAGGCGTCGAAGGAAGGACAGATGAAGTACAAAATTGAGCCACAATTTATTTTTTTTTTTTGTCAAAAGAAAATGAGTCGCGTCGTTATACATCACTTCCCCCGTTCGGGGGCCAACAACGAATCATCATTACAACACGACCCTTTTGGTGTGTAGTCGACTCCCATTACTCATTCAATAAGAGCCAGGGTATACAATTCAGTAGCATGTACTTGTTTGAGTTATTGCAAGGCATCAAATGGTTGCTAAAAACCCTTGAGCTTGATGATTCAGGTGTATGTATTTACTGGTGTCTGATCTTTTGTGGTTCCTACAATGAACCAATCAAATCGTACCATTTCGTTGGATGTGTAAATTGCTATTATTGTTTTTGGTCCTTAACAATTGTTGTTTTCACGAAGTCCCGTGAATCACCGATGACATCCAAACACACATACATTCCAGTAGAGTAGTATTTCTTTTTTTTTTTCCTTCTTGTGTGTCTGGTAAATAAATTCCGACATTGTTACGTTTTGTAGACAAGTACACGACTTTAACTAGTCAGTAGCTCACTCTCTCTTAATAGGATCTATGCTTCATCAAAGTACTATATTGTTAAAAAATTCCAGCACTGAAAGGATGGCATCTGAATTAGATGGAGCTCACTTGATTTCAATTCGTCATATTTTACAGTTGCATCCATTACCAAACTGCAACCGCAACTTTTTTCGTTCCTTAAGAAATTAAAAATTTCAGTCATTTTTTGTATTTTGTATTGTTTTTCTTTTTCCAGCGTTAATCCAAATAAATTTTTCTTTTTTTTTTTTTTTTTTTTTTTTTTTTTTTTTTTTTTTCAATTCAGCGTTTAAATGTACCATGTCCCCAATTGATTTAAATAGAGAAAAATTTTTCCTTCTCCCTTTAAAACTCAACAACTTTTTCCCTTCTTTCTCTTCTTTTTTTCTTTTTACTTCAATCAAGTTAATACATATTCCCCCTTATTAGTAAACCATGGCTACTGATTCTAATTTCCTCATTGACTTCTTGATGGGTGGTGTTTCCGCCGCCGTCGCCAAGACTGCTGCTGCTCCAATTGAAAGAGTCAAGTTGTTGATTCAAAACCAAGATGAAATGTTGAAACAAGGTAGATTGTCTCACAAATATACTGGTATCATTGACTGTTTCAGAAGAACTGCTGCTGATGAAGGTATCGTGTCATTCTGGAGAGGTAACACTGCCAATGTTATCAGATACTTCCCAACCCAAGCTTTGAACTTTGCTTTCAAGGATCAAATTAAAGCTTTGTTTGGTTTCAAGAAGGATGAAGGATACTGGAAATGGTTTGCTGGTAACTTGGCTTCTGGTGGTATTGCCGGTGCTTTGTCTTTGGCATTTGTCTACTCTTTGGATTACGCCAGAACTAGATTGGCCAACGATGCTAAGTCTGCTAAAGGTGATGGTAAAGGTAGAGAATTCAACGGTTTGATTGATGTTTACAAGAAGACTTTGGCTTCTGATGGTATTGCTGGTTTGTACAGAGGTTTCGGTCCATCTGTTATCGGTATTGTTGTTTACAGAGGTTTGTATTTCGGTTTGTATGATTCCTTGAAACCAGTTGTTTTGGTTGGTCCATTGGAAGGTTCTTTCTTGGCTTCATTCTTGTTGGGTTGGGTTGTTACTACCGGTGCTTCTACTGCTTCTTACCCATTGGATACTATTAGAAGAAGAATGATGATGACTTCTGGTCAAGCTGTTAAATACGATGGTGCTTTGGACTGTGCTAGAAAGGTTGTTGCTGCCGAAGGTGTCAAGTCATTGTTCAAGGGTTGTGGTGCTAACATCTTGAGAGGTGTTGCCGGTGCCGGTGTTATCTCATTGTACGATCAATTGCAAGTTCTCCTTTTCGGTAAGAAATTCAAGTAAATGTGATTAACATTTGTACTTGGAACTTCTTTGCCTAGGGAGGTGAGAGCAAGAGAGAGAGGTGTTCTATAAATTTTTGTTTCCTTTTGTATATATATTATATATAAAGTTAATATTGTAAAACAAAATTACACTTTTAAATTATTGAGAGTTCTGCAGAATGAGGAGAAATTGAACCTAGGCGATGGGCAATTGGCTTCACTTTACGGGTAGTTTTGTTATCGTGTCTAACCGTCTGAAAAATTTTCAAAACAATTTTTATTCCTGAATGGGAACAAATTGATTTGTTGATGGTTATATGCAGGAAATGTGGCTCAATTAGTTCTTGCATGTCGCTTCCTTTTTTAATTTTTTTTTTGCAACCAACTGTTCCATTGGCCAATTAGATCAAACTATATTACATTGGAGAAAAGTTGCTTTTGGAAAGCTTGATAAAACTTAAAGCTGGCCAAAGCTATGATCTCAATGATGATCACCCGATTTCTCAAAATTTAGAGTTGCTTCAATACAAACTTTTCACATTAAAACTAAAAAAACTGTCACAACTGTTACTTTTTCAAATCTTTTCAAAATTCATATACAACAAATGATACTCATTTTTCAAATCATAAACCACTTTCTCATGCTTCTTGTACCCCAAATCTTTCAACAACAACAAATCAGATTTTAACAATGATTGATAATTGGCATCATATTCACAAATTTCGTTAATCAACGTCATTGAAAATTTACGAGGCATGAAAATTTTTAAAATTTTGCAAAGTACATGAGTTATGGGGTACGAAGATTCATTAAAGGGGAAATTGGTTTCAAATGATGCATAACTCCACCCAGATTCCGGCGTAATATGTAATGTGTAATAGTAGCCTCCCTTGACGTTGGAGCAAATGGAATTGGATGAATATCCACATGGTGTAAACGCAAACGCATCGTGAATAAACTCAAAATTGGTGGCTTTAGTGGTTGGTTGGGAGACGCCATCATAATCACCACTGGTAGTAACACACTCATGCTGATCGCGGTCATCATCATCCTCAGAAAGATCAGATAATGATGGTGAAGGCAAATGAGTATTGACATTGACTGGATCAAAAATAGAGTCCAATTCAGTTTCAACCATGGTATCGAATCCTAAATTGTGTCCCAAATCATCGTTTTCATTTTCGGCTTCATCACCAGGTTTTCTCGAATAAATGAATTTACCAGCACATTGAGGGTCCAACTCAGTCATTAAAATTTCAAAAGTTTGATCAACAACCTTGTGTTGGTGGCGAGTCACTACCCCCTTTTGTTGGTGCTCTTCTTCTCCTTCTTCTTCCATTCCACCAACATAAAGATACCAATGATCATCACTAGCAAAATTTCCCACAATATAGGATTTACCCAAACTGAAAAACTCATTCAATAATGAAACTTCACTTTTCCAATCCCGGTGCACATGAACTTGTTTATCAGGAAACATAAACGATCTTCTTGAGTAGAAAATCTTGTAAACATTTTTGCTATCAATAGACGTGTCAAGATAATTTTTCACCGTTTCAAACAATTGCTTCAAACAAGCCAATGTAGTTGTAGTTCCACAAGTTTTCAATATAACCTTGTGAGGGAAAACAAATAATGAAGATTCACTTAGTAAATAAGCATCCATGAATTTACCACTCTTCATTGACAAAATTTTACAATTGACAAGATCCAAAATCTTGACCCATGATTCCATGGGGATGGCTCTCAATCCTTCAGTACTAGCCTCACTTGGCACATCTGTTTCGGATTTCCAAAACCAAATTTCCAATAATTTTTCAGGACCTTCAAAAGCAAAAGTCGAGTCTAAATTCTTTGATAATTCATGATCAACAAAACTATCTTGGTAGTAAGCTGGAGGAGCAACCATATCTTTCTTGTACTTACTGGTATATGTGTAGATTCTTTTTGTTTTTTGATTCTTTAAGCTCGGAGTGTAAATTCTTTTCGCTATTCTGCTTTTCAATTGAAACTTACTCTTGTAAAAATAGATATGTCTAATAATGTCTTTTTCTTGATTGATATTTCCACAAATGAAACGAAGAGAGAAGTAGCAAGAAACGTTTCAAATTTAAAATATCAATAAGGCTGGGTTGGATGGATGGATGTCTGTTTGTAATAACGTAACTTCTGGTGACAGCTTTTTTTCGAAAACTTCTTTTATGCTATAAGTGGGGTGGACAAATGTCAGCAAATTTTGATAGTGGAGACGATAAATATAAAACTCTCGAACGACACGATAGGCAAAATGAGTTTGTATTGTAAAGTATAGGAAGATAAATTGAAATTTGGGAGGGTAAAACTGTATGATTTTCTATTACCCTGGTTCAATTAGTTTAGCAATGTAAAATATCTGATTATTCAGTCGTCGTCCTTTCTTATTCATGAAAACTTTTCAGCAGTATTCAATTCCCAAGATGATTGAAAGCAACTTGGAAAAAAAAACCAAAAAAGGGGTCTCTTTTTAACGACGTACCTCTTTTCTCTAAGCAAAGACTAAACCTGGTGGATGAAGCTTTGCAAAAATGGAAAACAAGGGGTAAAGGTGCAAAGCAAGCAAGCAATCAAGTAGATGTTGTAGTGCACCAAGTGAAAAATTAAAAGTTTCAAGTCAAGTTAGTTCCTCTAGTGAAATTAATAACAGTAGTTACCTCTAATTCGATTGATTTATAAGGTCTTTTCAGCGTTATACGTTAGCTTTGATTGAGTTGGTTGAAATTTTTTGAAAATAATAATGAAATCTCTTTGGGTAATAACAATGCAGATGGAAATTTTTTTTTTTTTATTTTTCATCATCCAAAAGTCACGCGCAAGGAACTCCTTTTGTGAAGAAAAAGAGAGAGAGAGAGAGTGTGTGTGTGTGGAAAATTTCTTGCAAAATTCAATAAAGGTGGAGAATGAAACTAAACAAATGATTTTCACAACCGATTGTAGGGAAGAAAGTGGTAATTTTCCAACTTGAATGGTAACGTACTGTCTCAATAAGATGGTTGTTTCTTTGATGGAGTCTCATCACCATCATCGACTTGTCTTTACATCATACCAAACGGAACTCCTTTCTTTCAAATGATTTGGTAGCAGCGATTTGCACTGCCATAACACCACCACCGCCACTAACTTGGTTCCATTTGAAATCTTATCAAATATATTTTCTCTATTACATCTACACACTAGACACAATTTCACTAGCATTTCTCAACACTTCAACCATTCTAATACACTCTTTCCTCTTTTGCACCGTCAATTCATTCTCCTTCACCAAATCAGGCAATTCAGGATTATTATACATCTTTTCCAACAACTCCTTTTGAATTTCTTCCTTGGATCGGTTAATCAATTTCAATACAATGGCCTTGGGAACAATATCAGCCACTGTTCTCTTGACAATGTTGTAATATGACGAAATCAACAATTTAATAACTTCAGTCTCCATTGTTTCTCTTTCTGTCATGGTACCGGTGGCTCTCAATACTGGTGGAGGTGCTTCCATTTGTTGTAATCTTTTCTTGTTTTTTGATGAAAAGAATCCGCCAAAAAATCCATTACTATTTTCTTCATTCTTGGGGATATTAGAGTTAGCAAGTGCAGCTTGTTGTTGTTGTGCTTGTTGTTGATTAGGTAATGGTTTGCCAGTCTTTGGGTCAACGGCAACTTGTGGTTTTGGGTGGAATTTCTCTTCAACATATGCCATTGCTTGAGTACCAGTTAACAAGTCTGGATGTGCTGTATTGATGTAAGTTTCCTCCAGCTTGATAATATCAGAAACAAAGCTATTTGTTGGGACTAAAGCTTCTCTCAAATACTGGATAAAATGATTTGACAATTGTTCTTTTAAAGCTGGGTACCTTGAGTATTGAGGTTGACTGATAATTTGTGACAAGATACGCACCAATTCATCAAAAATCAAATTTATACATCTAATTGCGGGATCTTCCATTCTTTTAATTTGTTGTTTAACCAAAACAGTGAAAGCAGCAGTGCCCACAAACAATGAAGGTGCAGAACCTGAGGTATTGTGTAATATGGTTCTTATATCAGCATCCTTGATTTGGTCATATGGGTCCAACGCAGTAATACCATTCTTGAAAATTTCATGAAACACAAACGAAATACGTGCACCACCAGTCAATTCAGCCGAACTCAATTCTTTTGATTCACCATCCAAAATTCCCGTGTAATCTTTAGTGAAATTTGTAATCATATTCAACGCAATCGAAGCTGGTGATTCGGACATTTCAGGTCCCAACAATTGTAACTCCGATTGATATTTTTTCAAAGAATGTTCAATCCTCATCTTGATATCAGGTAATGTGCTCTTGATATGATGCAACAATATACCATTCAACTTCTTGGCCAAATATGGAGTACCACAAAATTGAGCCTTGGCTCTATACGACGGATGGTTTTCAAAAAATGCCGCTTCATCTCTCAATGCATCTCTAATTGTCTTTTTCGTTTCTATATCCTTTTGACCTCTATTAATCACAGGCACATACCCAAATCTCAAGGGAATAACTCTGCCCGCCAAGATGTCAATAACATCGGTACCTTGATCCATAAGATCAACTTTTGTCAAGACACCGATAGTTCTTGATCCTTCTGGATCCACTTCTCTAGCCAACTTCAATCCATCAGAGTTGGCCAAATCAGTATTTGCCGCATTCACAGACAAGATAATGGCATTGGGCTTGGAAATAAACTTCATAATCATATCCCTAATTTGTCTTTCAATATCCTTGGGTTGATCACCAACGGGAACTTTTGTCAATCCTGGCAAATCTACCAATGTCAATGTCAATACATGTGGTGAATAAATCCTCAAATTAATAGGCACTGGCGAAATGCCCAAATTCTTCCCGGTCTTGGCATCAGTCTCCCGAACAATCTCATTTCTAATATCTTCGAAATTGTAAAACTTCTTTCCTGGTAAATGTAAAAACTCACCCCATTCATCAGCATTGTTTTCCGTTTGTCCTCCATCTTCGGTCGAATTGATGTCAAGCAAATCCTTTTTGTCTTTATTTTGAGATGCTCTTCTATTAATCAATTGTAAAACCAAAGGTCTCCTAGTAACAATACCAGTACCTCTTGGTAAGAAATCACGACCAACAATATTTTCCAAAACTGAGGATTTACCTGAAGATTGGGATCCAACAACAGTGATTTGTGGTAAATCAACTGGTGAAGAAGAGCCTCCACCAAGAGGTGCTAAAGCATCCTGTAACTTGTTAATAGTTGCAATCAAATGTTCATCCATGATGGTGTTTTGAGTTGTTGCTACTTTGTTATCAGAAGTATTCGTCGTTTGTTTCTTTTTTTGGGTGGCACTTACTTTGATTTTGAGAGAAGAAAAAACGTTGCATTTTTGATCGAGTGAACACGACTATTGATTTTAAGAAGAGATAGTGAAAAGGCAAGAGCCGACTACTTTACGCCTCGTATGAGTCAAAGCAGTGGCACAATATGATTCTGAACAGTACTAGATCCACCACACTCTTGCTCTAACTCTAATTCCCCCTTTAAAGAATATAAACATTGAAATCTAAATCTTTTACTTTCTCCAACTCAGCCTCGGTCAACTCCCATGGAACACCAAAGATGCCAGCATTGATCTTTGGCATATTGACAACTTTACAATCACCATTACTTTCAACATCAGGAATCAGCTCTAATTGCTCAGCTAGGTCTTTCAACGATTCATAAGTATACGAAGCAATTCGTTCAGGTGATTGACTGAAATCACTAGTGAACAAACAAGCAATATAGATCTTGCTGTCACTGAAATCATCTGCTTTCAAAAGTAGACTCTTACCTAGTAGGTTGTGATTGTTGTGACAAAAATTGGAGTATTCGGAGTTGGCTTGTGGGAATTTGGTTCGGAAAACCGCAGCTATTCCACCTCCCCAGCTACCGCCGGTATTACACGCGTGTGCTAAAACCACAGCTTTGCCTGAATGAGCAGTATGACGAAACAAGTCTCCAGTTATGTATTTGACCACCATTTAATTTTGGAAGATGCAGAAGAGAGTGGTTTGGGGGAGAATGTGGAGCTATTTTTTTCTAGTTGCTCTTTACGTGGTATCGCTGGATGCAAATAAGAGGGAAAAGGGGTCAAATGTTGTCAACGATCATGCATTGAAATAGGATATACTTGAACAAACAAATCTATCCCCAAGCTCTCGTTCTACTTGAACTTTATATAAACTATTTCTCCGGGCGAATGATGCTTTACACCATTGAAAAAAAATCCTTGTTCAGATCCACACCCAAAAGTTTCATAAACTCTTTCAACTTGAGAATCAGTATCGTCGTTACCATACCCTGTCTCCTCATAACTGCTCATGAAAGCAAAAGTTTGATTAAATCTTTCTACAGCATCATCTTTCTGCTTGACAAATCTATCGTCGGGTGTAACCATAAAAAACTCAATCTCATCACCTCTTTCAGGTTTCGCTTCTGGTGATAATGCAATAATGTCAGCTTTTGCACCCCATCCACCACCTCCCGCGGTTACTTTGAATCTCTCCACTATGGTACTCCCGCGTTTTCTCAACTTCACAAACACTTCAGTATCTTTACTCTTTAAACTCATCAATTGCTCATTATTCTCCAAATACTTTGCCGCAGGATTTTTATCAATCGATTTCAACAAGTTCCCTACACAATTTGTAATCTTGAACAATTTTCCCGGGTACAATGGCGTCCATTTGTCTTCAATTTTCGCTGTTGCATGGTTGGGAACTACACCTCTTGGTAATGCAACTTCCAATTCACATAAATGTTGACCTGAATGAGCGGCATTTGTCTCTGCATCAAAATAGAATAAAGTAAGTATTGATCCAGTTGAAAAAACAGTATTGGCCAAGCTGATTTTTGCGTCCATTTCATGTCTCAACTTCAAACTCAAATGACCCTGAAGGTTTTTCCAATTCTTCCTAGCAGTGACGGGATTGATACCATCGCTTTCTGGTGGTGGTGTGTTCAAGTCATCTCGTTCTTCCAAAAGCAATGAATTAGCGATTTTCATACGATGATCAAGCCAAAGCTCACTAACACCATTTCTTGATGAGGATGGAACCATTGTATCGATTCCGGCTACCACAACTTGCAAACTGTGCTTTTGATGTAGTTCAATAACATCTTCAATTATTTGCGGCAAGTTCGTGGGGGTAGAAAATATGAGAGCCGATTGCGGTGTGAAGCTCGATGGAGGTTGTAGTTTGAATGCTAGTGGGCTTATAGTAGATTTGGCATAGAATTGAGAACTCTTGGTTTTAAGAAATCGAATGAACTGTCTTTGCATTGAGGTGGAAGCTTTATATATGCACACTACACATAGAGGATCACCATTTTTTTTTGCGTGTTTCTCATTTTTCAACTTTATCAATTGTTCTCTTTTCTCCTCGTGGTGCATCATCATCATCATTTGATTCTTCCTTAGATTCTATTTCCCCTTTTCCCGTAGTTTCAACCTGTCTATCTAATGCAGCAAACTCTGTTGCCAAGTCTACATTTTCTCCACCTTGATCCAACACTTTTTTCAAAATTGGACCCCATATGTCCTCACTTTTGTCAAAATCCTCCATTCTAAATACATTTTTCTCCAATTGCCACTCCGACTGTTTAACTCTGATTAATTCAACCATGTAAGCTGCAGATTCCATGGCTCTGCCAATATCACTAATCAAACTTCTAATGTATGTGCCTGATGAGACGTCCGATACAAAATGTATCAATGGCAACTTCTCCGGTTGGTGCTGGTCATCTCCTAGTAGTTTTGGCCTAACATCACCTAGATCGCCTTCCGAAGATTCTAAGTACTCTTTGGAATAGTACAAAGGAGAATCATTCAAGGTGGGATTATTCATCAATCCATGTTCCTTTGGTACACCATTTTCATCCAACTCACTCTTGAGTTTGGTAAACTCATGGTCTGTTGAAAGCAAATCATCGTCGATGACCTTGATATCGTTTATTCTTACTTCTCTCACTTTTATCTCCTTCGGCAACGGTAATCCTTGTCTAGCATACTCATAAAGTGGCTTCCCATTAACCTTCAAAGCTGAGAAAATGGGCGGTGTTTGTTTAATATCTCCCACAAACTTTTTCACCGTCTGCTTCACCAATTCAGGGGTTATATGATCAACATTCGTCTTTGTTATAATCTCACCTTCAGCATCACCTGTTGTTGTGGATATACCTAGCAAAGCTTTTGTTTCATAAGTCTTTTGGCATTCAGATAAGTAATACTGCAACTTCTTTGTACCCAATCCAACTCCAACAACCAAAACACCGCTAGCCATTGGATCCAATGTCCCACCATGTCCAATCTTAATCTTGGTACTATCGGCTTTCTTTTGTGCACGGTTCTTCCATTTCTTGTCTCGACTTAGATCGTACAATACTTTATCTTTCATTGCCTTTAAATCGAGAGCAAAAGTTTTGGATTTGGTAAATATCTCTTGAAGTTCGCCTATACATTTTGCAGAGGAGATGCCCGATGGCTTGTAAACCGCAAATACTCCATTCATTGTAGATAAGTTGTGTACGATGAGGGTTTGTAACAATTTTCATTGTCGAAAATTTGTGAGATGTCGATGCCTGCGAGAGTAGCATCTACACAATCAACAAGGCATGTTATCAAGCATTTGTATCTACTTTCGGTACATAAACTATACAAATGGATAAATATCCCATTTTTCGAGGCGATACAATCGTCACATCCTTTGGCTGTAACTTGACATTGACATTTTCCACATATTGCTCTAATTCCAACACTTTTCTCTTTGTAAAAGTTCGTATTCTGAGCAAGTTCATTATCGAAATAAATAGACCACCGGTAAGTACCTCCATAATGTTCTCTATCAAAGTAGCCACACGGAATGGGTAAAATGCGTCATACAACATTCGGTTGATTGTATCGATAATATCAAAAAGTTCCCCCTCCGATATGATCTCCTTGAACCCAATAATGTCTGAAGTCGTCCCAAATACACCTCCATCATACAATCCAGTTGTCACCTCTCCATGTTCCTCAAGTTTTATTGCTCCTGCTTCTTGACCAGGGTATATCGTTGAAAATTGTGGTGTCAAATCTGAATAGGGATTATTGTCATAGCACCTCGGTATTCGCACAACCCTCGTATTACGAAAAGTGCTGGATGACTTATCTGCGAAATAGTTAGGAAAATGGTTAATCACAAGTGCTGGGTGCGATGATGATGAATCTTGAGTTGGTGCTAGAAATTCGTGGTAGTTGAAAAAAACCAATTCGGGGTCCTCTTCCTTTCCCTTCAGCAAACTGTATTTGTCATTCACAAAGCCATGTCCATTCTCATTACTCATAAACGCAACTCTATGTGGATAAATTGTGATGCCATGGGAAGTAATTTATTTCAGAAAAAAGTTGAATCCTGTATACAAAATGCACAGATCTCGGCCACTAGGGATACATATAGGAGGAACACCTCTGCCCAAGCAAGCGGTTTTAGCTATTCCATATGTCCTTAAACTTTACCCTCTAGTAGTCAGACTATCTATTTAATGCACACACGCCTACTTCATTCGCACCATTAGCTTTGTCTCTTTTTGATCTTCATCTATTGGTGCATGAAGGACCACCCAAAAGAAGAGAGAAAAAGTGAATCAAATTTTTCAAACCTTTTTCAGTTCATTTCAACATCACTAAATGCTTCCCTATAGACAGTGTATCAGCAACAGCTCAAGAGTGGTCAGTCAGTTAAGGCGACCTAGTGTGAGAATTGCTACTCAGATCAATGTGCTCGTGAGAGCTCAGTCTACTCAAGCAGCCGCCACGGAGCCAGTCTCAGTCCCGGAAACTTCAAAGTCTTCAATCACACCACAACAAAAGCCGAAATCTGCTTCCACCCCTAAACCAAGAAAAGTAAATCACAAGTTAAATGATATCTCCCAGCAGATCAAGCAGACAATGAAGTCTGACACCGGTTTGAATGAAGCGAAGGAAATTTTTGAAGAGGGTATTTCATTTCTTCGTGAAGTTCAACAAAACGAATATATATCAGACCGAGACTTGTATAATGCTTTCTTGCCATTGGCCACGGAACTCCTCAAAAGAGCCAAGCAATCAGGCGCTGATTTAGAAGAGTACCTCGCATTGTTTGTGAAATACCGTGTCGCCCATCAATATCATTTTACTGACGTTGCTGCAAACTTGTTGAAAAATGAGGATGGGAAATCAGCCACTTACCAAAAAATTATTCAAATGTGGGTTATGTTTATTGAATACGACAAGTTGAATTTTATACCAAATGCGTTTGTTGAAACTAGCGATCCAAGAATCAGGTACAACAAATACCAACTCCCCCACATAGTTTACTACGCTTATGTTTTGTCATGTATGTTACAGAGCATACCATATTCAGAGAAAGATGCACTTCGGTTCTTTGAAACTAATAAAGTGCCCTTTTACAATGAGGTGAGGAATACTCTTTCCAACTATGGTGTTTTCAATAGACTTGAGTTTGAAAAATTTAGAGAATGCCTAGAAGATGATAGAAAATCCAGAGTTGATCCGAACAGTTTACACATGTTGAGTAGAATAAATCGTGCCACTGACCGAAAATTGTTGGATGTGATTTACGCTGAAATTGCCGAGATTTGTGAAAAACGTGATTTGAAAATTGAGGAGAGGATTATGGTGCAATTGATGGAAAAGTATCTTTATTATGATGAATATGATCAAGTGTTTAGCATGTTTCAAAACATTATGAAGTCTGGCATTTCACCCTCGATTGATGCTTGGAATTTGGTTCTCAAAGCCATGATTAATCCTAATAGATTCAACAATGCATCACCAAAACAAAAGGAAGAGTTTATGCAAAAATTTGAGCGTACCCTTAAAACAATTCTTGCAAGCGGTCTCAAATACAACGTAAATACTTTGAGTTCAATCATTAGTGCTTATGCGATTGCAAATAAATTCGACATTGCTGAAGACTATGCTAAACAATACGCTGGATTAGGAATTAATGATGCAGCAAAAGATGGAATTTTGAGAGGATTGATTTTCAATGATAAAATCGCTGAAGCTGAAGCGAAAATGCAAGAGTATATCAAAGACGGCACCAATTACAAACCAAATGTTGGTGTTATGAATGATTTCCTCACCTACTATTTCAAAAAGCAAAATTACAATGCCATCTTTGGTATCAATGATTTTATGAAGCAACATGGGATTGAGGAGAATGTTGTTACGTTGACCACTATGATTAATGCATATTTCAAGTACCTTGTTTCCATTGGGAAAAGTCCTAATCTCGGGGACTTTTTACAATCATTAAAGGGTGCGAAATCACTCAATGAACACTCTTTTGCATCTGTATTGAATGGGTTGATCCAGTCAGCCAACATTGATGCTGCAAGACAGTTGTATAAAGTGTTGAAGAGAAAATTCCCTAGATCTGCGTGGATTCAGAGTAACATGTTGACAGCTGAGATAACCTTGGGTGATGTCGTCGCAGCTGAGCAAATTTTTGTCCATTACATTACCAAAATTAGAAATGACCCCATTATTTGGAACACAATGTTGAGAAACGTTTTACTTCGTGATGAGAATAAGGCATTGGAATACTACGAAAAGATGAAAAAAGCTGGTGATGTCAAGCCCAATGAGTATACATACTATTTCCTTCTTGATTATTTTTACAAGAAACAAAACAAACAGGTGGTGAAGAAACTTGTGGATGATTTGGCCCAAAGTTCCTTAACTTCGTATGGCACAAAGTTACCCAACGTTCTTTCTCAAATCCATAAAACAGTTGTCGAACTCCCATCACCAATCTTGGTCAAAATGAAAAGAAACTCGTAAAAAGCAAAAACAATTATATACACATGTAAATACAAAATTAAACCTGCATACTTCGACTTCCTCAAAACTCATCAACTTCACCCATTGCCTTTTTCCAAACGGGACCTGCAAACGTGACAATCCTATCGCGGATACTACCGAAATCATCCAAGGCGGGTCTGGTATCCAACATGAACGCTGGCATACCCGTTTCCTCATCATCAGGTGCACTATAGTAATCGATAACGTACCTAACTTCTTTCCAGCCTTGGTTCCTTCCTTGACTTCTCAACACGGTCCAATCATGTCTATCAAATGGCGGGATGGTGTTGAAAGTTTCAGGAAACAATTGACCCAACCACAAGTACATTCTAGCTTTTGGTGATAAATCGTGCGGTCTTCCAGTAAACTTTTTCAACCGTGGTTCAACCTTGGTTTCCTTTGTGTACTTGTCCTCCCATTCCAATATCTGTTGCCAAGCACCTTCATTGAGAAAATTGTGTACTTCAACCATAGATTCTACGGCATCTTCTGGTATACCATCTCCTTTGCCCTTGGCTAGCATCGCATTAAGCATTTGTTGTGGAGATGGGTACTCCCATTGGCCTTGATCAGGTGATTCGCCTCTGGGAATGGTGGATATGGTTCTTTCCGTAGACAACCTGATTTTCTGTCCCGGTGCAAGTTCACTTGATATTGCCATCGGCATATTGTTCATGGGGTTCAATACCTCGTCAGAATCTTTTGCAAGAACTGGGCATGTCGGTGCTGCTGACGAAGGTGAGTTTGATTTTGTGAATGATGAATGATCAATAGGACAAGCCAGTAGCGACGACGACGACGATGATGGCAAAGCAGCAGGTTTTGCTGTGCTTAACTGTGAAGAAGATGCTATATCAATCTTGTCTGCCCAAAACCAACCCATAATAATGCGTAACGTGTGTCTGTTGAATATGTTTTCAGCTCTGTCCTATGGAGATGAGATTAATTTTGTTTACTAATGACGTTTTAGTGTAAAAAAAAAAAGAAATTTAATTCCGAGCGATTGGTTGGGGAACAGAGTTGAGGTGAAAGCGTGTTGATACTGTTGCAAGCGTACTAGAGACTCCATAAACGAGCACCACTGAAGGATATTCTGAGCCATCGGGTCTTCTACTGCTCACTCTCATTCTGAGTCTTGGCTGTAAGAAATACATACATATTCCGTTAACCAAACTTTTCCACCCGTATATCGTTTTCATTCCAATTTCCAAGCAGACTCTTTATTGTTTGAGATTCAGGGAGGGGCATATTCATACGTGTTTCAAAGCAGCATCAAATCTGCACCAAGTCCTTTGCAGTTTTTGTAGTAATTTGCACGAAATCTTTTAAAAAGATTTCATTGTTGTCCATTCACCCTTCAAGAGATTCTTTTATCGGAGGCATAGTTACTGTACCGATTATACAACCGCATAGCCTACCCATAAGTAAGCTTATATTAGTTAACAATTCAGACAGCGTGATTTTCCTAAATTTATTATACGGATAAGATGTAAAGGTGAGGGGAATAAGTCCGGTATCACATATATCACATGAAGGTAATTGTACCCCTTTGGATCAATTTGCTTGAGGAGCACCCTTTAGTCATAGTTGAGAGTCTAATTTCAAACATTATTGAAAAATCGTTTACATTGTTGTGCTGCGTTAGACGGCATTTAAGAAACGTTTGCCTGTGGTTGCAAGCATGTTGCAACAGGAAAAAATTTCTAAAATTCCATCGTCTAGAGGTATGGTTTCTCCGCAGTTACTTTAGTGTGCCCATGAGTTGTAGACTCCTTTTGCACTTGGGTCTAGTTTCAAGCAAAGAAGGACAATCGTGATCTGCTCTACGATACCATTTCAATAAGCTTTGTTATCCGCGTTTGCATTACATGGATCCAAAAGGGTATTTTCATCACAAGGAATGTGTAGTTTCAAACGTGCGATGGAGAGTAACCGTATCCATCAGTTGTTGCCTTTGAAAGCCACAATCTATTGTTGGTCACTTACAATCGATTTACAGCGTTCGCCCGTTGAAATTGGTTTCCCTATTTGGAAAAATTACACTCTTATTGTCAAGGATAGCTAAAATCAGTGTCGGTGATAAAAGCGACCACAATAGATGACAATTTAGAGCAGGAACGAGAAGTTTTAGTTTGTTGGTTATGAAAAAGACAACTACAAATTAGTTTCAACGCAGTAACTACAACTAGTCGAATATCAATGACATTCTCGTTTCATTTTGTCAACGTCACATTTCAGTGATCCGGTCCAAAATCGAAAATCGGTGTTTTCATTCCGGACGGAATTCGTTTTCAGCTACGGAGTTGAAAATGGAGCTGTAGCAACTCTTAATCCCTTTGCATCCTTGTATTAGTGACAACGACATGGGCAACGACACAAAATTTGACAAATAACCATCAAACGCCCTAGGACCTGAGAAGAATTTCAGTTCAACTAAGAAGGTTTTTTTTTTCTCCCGGTTTAGTAATTATCCAAAATGTACAATAATAAACTCAGAGTATAATCATTTTTGAGTGTTGTTGATGAACTAACTTTTCTTGCGGATCTTTTGTGTCTTACGTCTGCATAATAGATTGATTTGTGTAATCAGACAGAAAATAATCAAAGACACAATTTTTTCTTTGAGTGAAGCAGCAGTCTATCACCAGATTGGAGAAGTAAAAACTTCATAAAGTAAACCAGTGGATATACAATTAACCTTGTATATAGTGAGAAGAAAGAGAGTGTGTGAGAGAGTTGTCTTGTGAAATCTCAAAGAAACAGTGACTCAATTGAGTACTCAATTTATTAATCTTTTCCCCTATTTACTGATGTAGTCTCTTGAAAGAAAATTACGTTTATCTTGCAAACGAAAATTTTTAGACCCAAAATCGCTTGAGATTTTCATTCTACGTCTATATTTCCTTGAACGAGACGGAAATGTAGAGATATTCCTTCTGGAACCCCCTCGGCTCCCAAGACCCGATCTTCCCTTCCCCACATCAATTCGGACAATTAAGCGCTGTAGACTTGGTCGATCTCAATATAAACCACCTCAGCACAGTTTCGTCAGCAGATGGTTTATAACTTTTTTGTGTTGGTAATAGCAATGTTGATGGAAAAACCTTATTTCTTGTGGTGAATTCCGTGATTGTTATTTCACGGTCCTATTCCTTTTTTTTTTTTTATTGTGTTGAGAAGGAGCTTGTTAAGAAAACAGTGGTTGCCTTGGGATGGTGAGATTTCGATTTGTGGCACGTGATCTTCTTATTTTTGCAACACAAAATGCGTTACGGTTTAAAATCCTGCAGAGTTTAAGGAGTTATAATATATAATTCGCGACAAGTGTCTACTATTTATATCCTTCACCCAAGCCACAATTTACGATAATTACCAATTTTAGCTACAAGATGCAAGACAGCTTAATTATATAAGCAAGTTATATTATAATGCAAATACAAAAACAAAAAGGTTTCAATTAATTAGCCCAAATAGGATCAGCAAAACATAGGAGAAAGCCGAGATTGTCCTCAATAACGATCGGTGTTAATATTGTCGCTGTGGGAGGGAAGAGAGCCTAGTATCGAGCAATTATGCGTGTACCTGAGTGCTTGATGTCATCGTGTGATTCCATCAACCCAAAGGTTGTCTGTATCCAGCATCAACATGGAACCTCTCAACTATCTCATCGGTTAAAAAGCACATTCACGCATCCCTCAATGAATTATAGTGCTCACCCAATCCATATGAATGCTTATAATATCCCAATTGCAACTCTTCTTTAACACCTGCACAATCATCATCATCATTATCATTCCTAACGCCCCCTGCGTTTGCCTCTTCATTGATCTTTATAGTTGCAGCACCAGCCATATGAATAGCAATACAACAGTTAAACACTTTAGCTAATGCCAAGATTTCCATATCTGATCCCCACATTGCCGTCGTAGTCAATTCATGACAGTATTCTTCAACGTCTCTAATCTCACCAGCTTCTTCATCAAACAAAAACGGCACAAAATCATCCTTGTGTGAAAGAATGTATTCTGCTGACAAGTCTCGCAACTCTTGTATTGACTTTTCAATGTGATGTCGTTGCTGCAATTGGTCTTGAATGGATGCAAAGAGACAATGGCCATCGGGTTTGATTTCGTGCAATTTCAAATTGTTCACAGCTAATAGCTGGTCCATTGAATCAACCTCTATCTGTCTGTAATCGACTGAGTTGGCAGTTTCTTCTCTCGCTTCAGTTTGCATTCGTTCGATATCAGCTTTACGTTTGGCTAATCTTTCTTTTTGACGGTTTCGCCTCTTTGGCCCAGATTGATTCCCGGCCAGTTGTTCATCAGTGGATGAACTCACGGGATGTTCTACTTTATCTTCTACCGATAGCTCTGCCAACAACTGTTCTGGCGTCAATTCTTCCTGCCCGTTTTGCAGTCCATCTGGGTTCTCTAACTGTGCTAATTCCTCAGCATGCTTTCTCTTCAAGGCATGCTCTAGTTCTTGACATTTGCTCAATACCGATTTTCTTGTTTTCTTAGTCGCTTGTTTCTTCAACCCTGTGATAGTTGCGATGAGGTCCTTGTTTTCCTTTTTGTGGCGTTGAATCAAGTCGTCCTTGGTCTCGGTGCTCATTGTCATGCTCTACTCTATATCTTCTGTTATAGCCAACTAGCCGGCACTACCTATTTTTTTTCGTCCTCCGGTGAGATGAGCTGAGATGAGATGGAAGGGGGTACCAGTAATTGATTGTTTGTGTAGTGATTTTTTTCAACTCGACTGAATCACAAATCACAAGTCAAAACACATTTGTCGGTGACATTTTCGTCGATGGAGGAAGTTTTTTTTTGTTGCAAGCTTTGTACCAGCAAACAAAGACAAAGACAAGACAAAGACCGTTGAGAAATGGGGCACTAAAGTCAATTGACATAATAACGGTGGCGACGAAATGTGACTACATTGTGGCTCAATTGATGAAATGAAAGGCACCCAAAAAATTTATAAGTTGGTCACAAGACTTGTAATAGAAAATAAGATGACACAATTGAACACCGCTCTTTTGTTGAATTGATTTGCGATGAGCTAAGAGGGGCGATGCTTGTTGCCTTGCGTGTTTGATTTATCCTCGGATAATATTGGCGAAAGGAGCTGCTATAGCATACAATCGGTAAATCGTATCTTGTGCTCTAAGTGATTTATGGGTGGTTTAGTCGACTGGTTACGAACTGTCAGAGACAGGTGATTTACTAAGTATTACGAACATAATCATTCATAGAGCCTACGAAAGAATAGTATCAGGTGGGAATTTCACTCCCTTTCCCTTGATTACAGTAAGCGCCTTGATCAGCTGTTGAATAAAAAGACAAGTACTACTAACCATTGCATAAGAAGGGCGTACTATTGTGAGCCTCGCTTCGTCTCTTTTCTCCGTTTTTGCCCAATTTTTGTTACCAGTTCATGTGGACAGTGAATCATCCGACTTCGTGCATTTTGTGAAGTTATGAGACCTCATCTCTCACGAAAACTTGCTTTCAACGAATTGAGTTTTTCACATTACGCAACATACCTGATTTAGCTCAAATGCACAAACTAAATCAAAAAAAAAAAAAGACAATTACGATGTAGGCATCACCTGAGTGTTTAGCAAGGCAGTTTAATGTAAATTAGAGGTGATGGTGATGAACATGACCAACGATACACTTTTGTTTAACTCAAGAATGTGAAAGGTGATAGGCAATGTCTAAGTTTTAAAACCCATCGAGGCATTGCTTAAAGCTGAGCTAAACACCTGCACTTGGTCTCTTTGTCTCTCCTCCCACTCACCTCCTCTTTTACTCATGCAAGTTACGTAATTTTTGGTTATAATTACAACGCTTTTGGAAGTTGCGCAAAATTAGATGGAAAAGGTGTAGGTGATGACAAATTATAAAGATGGAAATCAATTGGAAGGATGCAAAGTCGAACTCATTACGAACATCAAGAATGGGAAAAGAGGTGAACGGAATCACGTCAAATCAAACACAAGAGAAACACGAACTACTTTTTAGCTCCTGCTACTTGAAATAAAAGCTTGAGTTATTCACGGCGGAGTTTAACCTCTACAGTATCTAAAAATAGTTAATGGTTATCAACGTCTCCTATCTCATAAAGACGACTATTTCTTTTTTTCTGACTGTCTGTTTTCCAAAGATGCTTGAAGAAACGTAATTATACAGTTACAAAAAGAAAAAAGTTTCCAACTTTATGCATGGTATTCCACAATAGAAGCATACAAAGCCATTGGAGACGAAGAAAAAGGAGACAGAATGAGTATTGGTTACTTACACGTAGTATGAAAAAATGACTCGAACGAATTGAATATGGTAGCATCGTTTGGTACACGGCATCATCATGTCTCTGCATATGGAACCTTCTACTGTAGGATCAAACGTTTGCTCCAACAAAATTCTCTGCCCCTCCTCCCTTGACCGCTTAGTTGACAATTTCCACTATCGGTAATTCGATCCTCAATATCAAGATTTTTCTTATTTTTTGCATGTCTGGAGAAAAGTTAGAAAAAAGAAGAAAAAAAGAAGTTATAGACACAGTGTGTTTTTGTCCCACAAATCTGAACTTACCAAAATGGAGTACAGGACTATAACTTTTAGTTTAAATAGCCCATTGGGCAATGGAGTTCTGGTTCTCCATTTTTAAATCATGGTGAGTTGAAGTGACGGACGAGTGTGGATGCCGTGAGTCAATACGGGCGCCAATGTTGGCAGACACATTTGTTTGCATAGCATTCACTTAGAACGAAAGGTGAACCAAAATAGCTCCTGTTTTCTCCCCTCACTTGCAAAATTTCAGAATTAATATCTTTGTAATTTGCTCTCGGAGGTTAGCGTATTAATCGGAGAACAAGCTCAATATTTGCCTTTATTTAACTTTGTGTGTTATCATACTGGGCTTTCTGTGTATTCTTTGGAAAGTGTGAGTCGTCGTAAATGGTAGCATCGGCTAAATGATTCAACAATTCAAGGAATCAGCGCTAAAATAACAAAATTAAAATTTTAAAAGACTGATTAAAACAGACAGACACATACACAACAAGAAAAAAAAAAAGATTTCTGAGCACACGATTTCGATAATCCCGATTGGATTAGACGCTGAGCACCAAGATTCATGAAACATATAATAAGAGAGGAAGAGAAAATATGTGTTGTAGCCCTGGCACTCAATACTTTGTCAAAATGGAGAGAAGGGAGAGCGCTTTCTTTGCTGAATGGAAAGTTTGCTCTTTTTACATACGTATACGCCAGAAAAGATAAATTGCGCTTTTTTTGTACAACGGAAATTGATTTATTTAAAAAAAAAAATGGTAGTGGTTACCGAACTTTAAATTTTTTTGTCTCTTCTCCCTTCGCTCTCCTTTCAAATTATATAAAAGAGTTTTGCAATTTTGCGTCGCTGGAAAGAAAAAGGCATTCTAATTTTTTTTTGAATGAGCTTGTGCAACCTTGCAACTTCTTTTTATTTCTTTCAACCTTTTCTTGCTACTATTATTATTATCTTTTCCCGGTATTTAACGATCAGAAGTAGTTATCCTTTTGTGTAGTAATTAACAAAGAATAGTAAAGACAGAGGAATAAAGAGAGAAAAACAAACGTTTGTGGGTTTCCTATATTCCATTGTCAAATTTGCTGTTCAAAGTGGCGTATTTCGAAATTTGGAACGACAGGTGGTAGTAGTGGTCGTGGGTCTAGCCTGCATCTTACGTTTTGGTCGCCTTGTGGCCAAACGTTTATGCTTTTCATCCTCGTCAAAAACAAAAGGAATATGGATTGTTCAATATCCTCGTCAAAATGAAAAACAGCCGCTCCAATGTTTCAGATGAAGGTGATCAAGCTATACATTTTTTAAAAAAGAAAGTTAAATTGTCGAGCACTACATCTCACTTAGCTGTGCCTCTCTCTCTCTCTCTCTCTCTCTCTCTCTCTCTTTTGGGTATACTTGTTTTAGTTAAATTGCCTATCTTAATGTTTATTGTTTGCGGCCCCCTTTTTTTCTGCTTTTTATATTTTGTGATCATAAGCAGTGGAAGCAGACAGTGAAAACGATTTGGAATAACTGAAAAAGAGAAGTCTAAATGTGTGTCCTCTACACACAGGAGAAGTGGAGGAGGAGAAGCCAAAAAAAAATATATATATATATATGTAAACAACCACTTTTTGATTTTTTGCACGACCAAAATCAGGACAATTCCACTTTGACACTACATTTTATCAGCTCACACCCTAATTCACACAAAACATAATCCCAAAGTTGAAAACCAAACAATGGAATGGCATTTAACTCTCTACGGTTGACTCTACTCCTATTTTCCAAGGAGATATTGGTATTTAACAGACTCTTTTTTTTTCTCTCTCGGGACACGGAGCTAAAGATAACTCGGCGCAATAATTGACGACGAAAAGCACGGAAGCAGCTAATTGTAACTGAGTAGTAGAGAAGCAAACCATCTCTTGGTATCTGCAGTTGCCAACCAAAGTAGCTCGTCACAACTTTGTACAGTCAGGAACTATTGCTCTCCTTTTTACTATCGTAAACCAACTTTTTACGTGATCGTGTTGTAAGGTTGAGTTCAGGCTTTAATGCATAGTTGCGGAACAGTGTCTTAGATTTTTCTACATATAATAAAATGCTTAATTTAAAATCAGTTATGGAAATGTGCGTAACACTGTTGATTTGAAATAAAGCCGGAGTGAGAAAACTTTAAAGTGTGAACAAAGCCACTGAAGGTAACGCGTCTTGTATATATACATATGTGTGTGTGTGTGTGTGTGAGTTACTTTCTCATTGGCATTTGCAAGCTCAGTTATGTTGTGGTTGCTATGCCGTATATGTATCGGCGAAAGTGTATGTGGAACCACAGTTAAGCGCACACTCCTGTTCTTTAGTCCCATGTAAAAAAGCCTTTACTAAACAAGCTATTCCATTGTAAGAATGCCCATACAAGTCTAAGGACACTAAGAATACAATGTAGCTATGTGGTTACCCCTTTGTGTCTTAAATGATACGGCAGACACTTTTTTTTTTTGCTATTCAAGTTGAGTTTTGTGGAATGGACAACTTTTTTATGGTGAGACCTGTTTCTCTCTCCTTTAAGAGCTGTTGTAAAGTAGGACTGCATAATGGCACATATAACACAAAGCAAAGGGGACTACACAAAAACGAAAATTCTCTTTTTAATTTTTAAGCGTTTAAACAGTTTTGTATATACCAGACACACACATACAGTACAATACAATCCAATACGTTTTAAAAAAAAAAATTGCAAAACTTGACTTCAATTCATATAAGAATAAACCAACATTCCTTTCATTTCAACCACTACTGGCTCTCAATCACCTACCTTTTCATTCTTCTTTTTGATATATTCATTAACCCAGAAAGTTCATCAACTTGCATTCAACCACATCCATCATAGCCATCGTCACCATCATCATCATTACCCGCTATTACAATTCACCCAGGGTTATTTCACTTTGTTTCTTTTAAGAACAACCACCTTTCCTCTTTTACCAAAGACACAATTCTCATTTCATCCACAATCACCGACTAGTTTACGTTCTTTCACTTTTTCTGTTTTTGTTCATTTGTCACGTTTTTCAATTGGTTCATTTGCGGTAGTTTAAATATTCGTCCGTTCGTCATTATCATCATTGTCTTTACTACATTCACAATCCCACCTGCTGTTACTTTCACTAGTTCAATCACAAGAGGGAAAGAGATATAGTATCAATATCGTACACACACATACACACATTATTCACATTGAGACACCCACAAAACTACATCAACATTGACAAAAGTTTCCAGTGAACAATTTCATCATCGCTATTCATTTTGTTTGCTTTTTTCGTACCTTGTGTCCTTCATTCACTTGATTATTGCATTTTGTTGATTTTGGCTGATACCCATTGTCATTTCAACTTACTTACCACCAAAACATCACGTAAAAGCGGACACTACTAGAACCACAATTGACAGGTCGTAGATTACAAGGACAATCTTTTAACCCAATTGCCCCCACGTTCTTATATTCAGTTTATTTTTTTGCATTCACTTTCACGGTTTACGGCTACATATACACATACACATTTCGTTATCTCAGGTTTTACCCACCCACCCCAAACTTTTTGTTACAATTATAGATTAGAAATTAACTTCCTTAGCTCAAGATTAGGTTGTTATTGCAAGAGTTGATACAAGAAGATACACATACACGTTACAAACACACACACTAAACATTTTTTTTATTGCATTTGTTGAATAGTACTGGCTGCTATTCGATACACATAACACATAACACATACTACTACTACCATCACAACTTTGCTGCTTACGATTGGCAGCTTGGTACTAGTCATCACCACATTGGACAATTTACAGGACATTACGTGGCTACATTTACGTCATACATCATTTTTTTTTGGAGGTCAAAACTTTCGTGTGGATATAAACCATCAATTTTTTTACCACCACATTGGAAACTAACCACATCGTTAACACAACTACATTGATATAACATAGACACACACACACAAGTGCTTTCATCACATTGTCATGATTTCGTCTTCTTCACCTGATGTTTTCCATCAGACAAGAATTGTACAGCTGCAAATCAAGTCTTCGAACTCCAATTTGCAACAAATGGAACGCAAGACTCATACATCAACAGTTTCTGAATACCAATTGGATATGTTGGAACACCTATTATCGGTTGAATCACACACGTTACCCAATGTATCGTTAATTGAACAACAACCAGAGATTAAATTGAGCATGAGACCTTTGTTGCTTGATTTCTTGATGGAAGTAATTACAATTCTTAATTTATCAAGATCGACATTCCCGTTGACGGTGAATTTAATTGATCGTTATTGTTCTACTAGAATTGTCAAGAAGCAACACTATCAATTGTTGGGGTTGACCAGTTTATGGATAAGTTGTAAAAACTTGGATCCTAAATTTAAGATACCTACATTGAATGACTTGCGCAAGATTTGTGTTGATAGTTATAACAAGGAGTTGTTTATTGAAATGGAGAAACATATTCTTAAATCCTTGGAATGGGTTGTCAACAGCCCTACATTCGATGCTTTTGTTGATGTATTTCTCAACATGTTGGTGTCAGTAAATGATGCCAATTATTCATCAGTGATCAAGAAGCACTACAACAAAATCAAACTTTCATCATACTACCTTGGTGAACTATTTCAGTTTTACCCAAACATGTATTTTGAGTACTCGTCATCACAAATTGCCATTCTTGCGATCATGTCAAGTATATCAACCTTGAAACTTCCTATCAACATCATGACCATTATGAACTTTTACAATACATTGTTGGATAATGGAACTATGCAATTGTCAATTGAAAGTTTCCAAACTGTGTTTAGAGCCATTAGAGTATTGTCGTTGCCAAATAGTTTACAACAGAAGTACTGTGTCAATCATCGTGGTAACAGTAATCACAACAACGGTAATAACAGTACCAATGCAAACCAAAATCTACCACCAAAAACACCCAAAGTGTCAATGCCATTGACGCCGGGGCCTAGTCCTGAAGAGAAGGTGTCACGGAAAAGACACAATGGTCATATGGATTCACTGATGATGGTTCATGAGAGGAAGAGGAGCTGTATAGATTTAGGAGTAAGAATATAATGATAATAGTTGTATGAGAAAAAAAGGTGAATATTGTAGAGTTGAGAATCTAGAACATGAAAGGAGAGTTTGGATATGCACATGTGTCACCATCGTCTCCCCCATTGTTCAAACGATCGACACTCTGGTATCGGTTGGCCAAAGGCTGGTGCCAAAAATAATCCTTCCTATGTTGGGCATGGGCGTATTGTTGAAAAAAAAGATCTTCATACAACAATTGATCTACACGTTCATCGCACGACGGTTAAATGAAAAGCTTCCCTTTTCTTTTTTTTTTTCTAGTCCTGAAAGGAGGACTCTAAGGCGACGATGGGGTTTCTAGGGGAAGGGGGAAGGGGGTGAACCGTATAGACCTATATTTCGATAGTCGGAGTAAAAGAATGACAATTTCATCGTGTTTCTTTCTATTAAAGTTTAGTCTCAGGAGTAGGGACATTTCATTACCGTGTTTGGTTATATATATCTCTTTGATACTCTAATTTAACCGGATTTAGCACATTGCGCATTATTTTCACAAAACACAACTGTGTCTGTTGAGCATGTAGTTTTCTGTCTGGTGCTTGAAACAATGCCACACACACTAACACACACACACACCCACACGTTTTACTCCCGATCCCATTGCGTCGTCGTCAAAGCAGCATGCACCAGAGAGCAAACGTTCACGTTCATTAACTAACAAAAACGCCTGGAAGTTTCACGAACTTGGTCCTTCTTGCTTTGATTGACTGCACAGTATCCCTCTTGTCATCGTCAAGAAATAAACGTATATGGCTAGAAATAGGATCGAAAGGAAAAAAATCACATGACAAAAGCTGAGCTTTACTGCTTCATTACGTGACCACCTCGTCTCGTAAACTTTTACCTGGTTGTGGAATAGCCTGGGAGGGGAACTGATAAGAAAGAAGGAAAAAAAAGCGACAATAAGTCGAGCATAACTGTAACTTTAGATCGGTGTCTGAATTTAGACACACCTCCCCCGTAGTAGAGTGTCGCTCCATACAAACAAGCACATGATACTTTTCTTCCCAAGCAAAGACCTTAAAAAAGCACATAAGAAAGACGCTTTTCATGTATGCGCTTCTATTGCTTTAATCCGGGATGCAGTCGCAATTAATACGAAAAAAAAAGCGGAAAAAGAAGAGAGGTTGTACATATAGAAAACAGGAGACTTTTATTTTTTTTGAAGAAAAAAAAAAGAAACACCCAAGATCCTCTTTTTCCCAATCTGTAGCATTTCTAAAGCTTTGATGCTTACGGGATCACTTGATTTTTATCTGTAAGCTGAAATTGCATACGACCCACAGAAGAAAATGTTTCATTTGCGCTTGTTTCAACTAGGAATTCACATGCTGATCAAAACCATAGTTGAGGATGTTAAAGGGTTCACATGAAAACTCGTTGTCACAGTTGAGAGTGTCGAAAGAAAAAAGATATCGGAAAATTTTTAGTCCTACCCGTGTGACAGTGTTCTCCTCTTCCAAGTTTCTTGTCAAACTAACGGGCCTCGGTACAACACTCAACAGCAAACGTTTGGTCAGATGGAAGTTTAGAGCTGAAGAGGTCTTATTATGGGAGCAGGAGCCATTTATACGAACAATCTGTAAAGACAATAGGCTCAATTACATTGTAATCATGTGTGTGTGTGTGTGCGTGTGGGCATAGTTCTATTGTCTAGCAACATGAAATAGAACCAGCAGATAAGGAAGTCGAGAATTGGACAGGCGTAATTTTGTGCGAATGGGAGTAAGAATAGCCGCATTCAGTAGTGAAGGAGAAGGGCGGGTAAATTTTATACACTCAACATTACTCTGGCTGCACAAAGAGAAAACAATAGAGAAAGCAAGAATTCTTATCGACGATCTAATTGGATGGGGGTGGAAAACAAGAGTTGTCCGAGAAGTTTACTATAACCAAAATCCCTTTGAGCATAAACTACTCTTTCCATAATTTGCGAGTCGGAATAAGAGTTCTTCCATGTGTGGTTAACTTCTGCTCAATTTATTGTCCCCTTTGTCAAGATCACCAGAGCTCTCCTAATAGAATTCTCTTTATATCCGTGTCCGCCCTCACAACTTGTGTCTGAAAAATCTCGACCAAAAGGGAAAAAATAACACCATGTGCCACAAAACACAAAAGCTTCAGGCAGCAGACAAAAATGTTCTTAACCTTGTCTCTGTTCCAAAATGTAACGTGGTAATAAAGGTCAAAGAAGAAAACCAAAAAAAAAGGGGGCCAACAATAACCTAAATGCATTGGTTATAAAGAACACCAAAGAATAAACTAACACACAATGGAGGAGACAGGTGACGCAATCCGTTTTATGAATAAAAAGGAAGATCTCATAACCAGAACCCAAACTAAAACTAAAACCTAGCAAACCACCTTCCATTTTTTTTCTTGTCCTTTATTTTGCTTTGTTCCTGCTGCAAAGAAAATGGAGCTTTACGTCACTATGACTATAAAGTTGAAGAACAACAGAAAACTCATATTCTTAGTCCAACAATCCGAGAGTGCTTAAAATTGAGTCTGAATTTAAACCGGTACTATCGTGAGTAGACCGGAGTAGCTCATAACCATTTCGGGAAATTATCGCCGTACAATAACAAGAGGGGGGTCAAGGAAATTCGTTTATCCAATGCGGAAAAAGAGATCAAATAGACGGAACGTTTGTCGTTTCAGTTCCGATGGGACAGAAAGTGAGTCCTGATAATGGTCTCTCAAATCGCGAAGGAGAAGAATAGAATTTTCTCCGTTGGCTCTACACCCCATGCCCCCTCCCCCGAAGTAGTCTAAAAATAAATTAAAATATTGTCTTGCTGAACCGAGTTCTCCTTCTCTGCAGTGGTACACCTCTTTTGTGCACATGAAGCCGACACAACTTAGCCACAATTCTAGGAGCTACCATGTCCACTATTGTCATATTCAAGTTCATTACGTTGGGATTGATCGTCAAAACCTGCATAAAAGTAGGAGATTGGCCAGTCGAACAAGAAAATACAATTGATTGTTCTTAAAGGCCTCCCCAATTCGAGTCCTTGTGTGCTACTTGAGAAAAAGTTGTTTCTGCCTTAGAGACACATACAAAGTTTGGGAGTAACATATTGCTACCGACAATGCAGAGAGACCCTTTTCCTCATTGAATGTCTTTCACCCCCTTGGGTCTTCTTCACTCGATAGAGCTCATGAGAAAGCATGTAAATTGTGAAAGCTGGTTGGACTTCGCACACCAGACACTTTTAGTCTATCAGAATACACTTTGTGATTATTTTGCAACAATAGAAGAAAAAGAAAAACAGAGAAAAAATAAAAATAGTTTTGGGTCGACAAAAAGATTTCTATTGTGTTGACGATTAGTTCAATTAGTTCCATTTGATTGCTCGAGACAAGACAAGAGTAGGGGTTTTGGTTGTCTGTATTTGAAAAGTCACCTCACCCGCTTTCTATTTCATAAGATCATGAGACTTTTTTTCCCATAGCCATTGTGAATCACGAAACAATAGGGAATTGTCTCATATGCAAGTGTTATGTGCGTGTGTCTCATTTATTTCTTTTTCGAATGTCTCAGAATTTACGACGTCTCGTTCTCGTCTTTTTATTTTTTCTTTGGTGCTCTTTTTGGCGCTAGACGATTTTCTGGTTATGAGAATATCGTTGTGAAATTATACTTTATTTTGCATTGTTTTGACCGAAAGGGTTATATATAGAAAAAAGAGGCGTATAAGTTTATATATAGGAGAGAGAAAATTTTACTAAAGGAGGGCTAGGCGGGAAAAGTCAATGACGCTTAAAAACATCACAGGGGGGAAATGATACGAGTTGTGATTGAGGGACCAATAGACCACCCTTTTTCTTCTTTTCTCTTTGCTTGCAAGCTTCTTTTTTATCGCTTTTCTTGAGATCTCATTACAACGCTTCACCAATTCGATCGGACTTGGTTGCACGGAGTTGGAGTTGTGGCCTCAAAATGCTTTTGCGTATCGATTTTTGTCGACAAAAAGGACTTCACAAAAAGAGATTATAAGTGAGCAATATAGGAGAAATTCAGACATTAAGAGAGGCGTACTATTTCTCTCAGACAGAAAAAGAAAAAGAAGAAAAATTGTTTTTACGACACTGTAGTAATTTGCGACACTGACAATTGAATTTTCTAAAGAGATGAGGTGGGGTGATCAAGACAGAGTTAATTCATGGCAAAGTATACACCCTAAAGCACACCGACCCTAAACCCTTCACACCCTATTGACCATAGCATCGATTCACCTCCTACAATGTCTTCTTCTTCAACTCACAAGAAACAGAAAATTGCCCAAAATCAATACTCAGGATACATCATTCCATCGTCAACCATAGAAATAGCCACCATTGATTTATCAAAGACGTCAATAACACCGAAAGAGTTTTTCAGCCACTACATATCCCAACGTAAACCCGTGAAACTCATCAACTGCAGTAACAGTAGTGATGAAGATGATTACAATTTTATTGATGTTGTCAAATTTCAATTAAAGTATCTAGAATCGACATTGAACTACAATATAGAGCCATTGCAAGTTGAGGAATTGTTTAAAGGTGGATTTGGACTGGGTCAGAAACGTATTGATATGAAATTGAGTGATTTGATTCATGAGTTTGAAAAAGGTGATCGTGAATTGTACTTGACTACGCAATATGATCGTGAAGGGGAAGAAGACGAATGTGCAGAGGTGGATTATGATGATGCAGCAGACAATGATGAGGATGCATCACGTGAAGAAGATCCCAATGAGGAGGAGGAAGAAGAAGGTGCTGCTATTTTGGATCAAATATCAAATGCATCTTCAATAGACATGAATGATCTTCACGATGATTTCGATGATTTCGACGACTCCACCAACAAAGAAGAAGAAGAAGAAGAAGTGGATCCAGAATACGATGCATATCAACGAGTCAAGACATTATATCAACCCCCCTTAACCAATCTTGCCAAAGCAACAACTACAACTTTACCAACGAATCCACCACTTATACCCAACTTGATCCCGCAACAAATCAACATTTGGATGGGCAAGACATCAAACATATCTACAAATAGCAAAACATCTACCATGAACGCGACGTCGACAGACTCGACAGATCAACCTATTGAGACATTGGATCGAAGCATACCCAATAATGGTACTAGTTCAGGACTACATCATGATCATGCTGATAATTTGTACATCTTAGTCCAAGGACGGAAACGATTTACAATCTTCAGTCCAGCAGATGCCTTGAAATTGTTCACTGTGGGGAAAATACATCGCGTGTTCAGCAATGGAGTCATTGATTATAAAACTGATTGCAATTTCCCCAATTGGCGACTGATTCGTGATGATGGAGCCATGATTGAAGATGTATTGAATTGGCAAATGAGTCAAACTGAAGATGAGAAAGAGATTGAGCGTTTGAGTGAGTTGCTTGATATTCATGAAATGAAACGGAAATCAATAGCCAAGGAGAAGAGTGCGACAGAGAAGAGTGCGACGGAGAAGAGTGGGGCAGAAGACCAGTCGCGCGACCCCCCTAGTTTTTCTCAAATCCCGCCATGTTTACTACACATTGATGAAGTTGAAGATGTCAAACAACAAGCAAGATTAATTGAATTTGCCAATACCCATTTCCCTGGGTTCTTAGAGTTGAATAAAATGAGTGTGTGGTTGGATCCAGGTGATATGTTGTATCTACCAGCAAGTTGGTTCCATGAAGTTTCCAGCTTTGGTGTTGGTGTTGATGATGATGATGCTGGTGCTGCTGCTCGAGTTCATATTGCCTTAAATTATTGGTTTGTTCCCCCAAACAATGATGATTTTAAACATTGTTATAAAGATCTGTATTGGGAACAGGATTGGCAAGAGACAAAGAAGGCAATTGAGGTATTTCAACAAAGCGATAAACAGAAGAAGAAAGAGTAGATATATCGTTTGGTGGTAGCGCTAGCACTAGCACTAACACTAACACTGTCACGTGCAAATTTAAAAATTGCAAAAAAAAAAGAATAACCAGAAATTGGTTGCGCTACAACAAAAAAAAACGAGAATTTTCTATTTTTGGTTGCAAAAATGCAATAGCAAAACAAGAAAAATTAATAAATAAAACAAAAATAATAAAATCGCTAGGAATTAACCTTTTTCGGAAAATGCGCTTCCATTTTTGTAACGAAGTATTTTTTTGCTGCTTTAAATCCGAGTGCGCATTTGAACAAAAAAAATGAGTCACTTTGACATGGTTATAGCCCTAATCTTTAAAGATCGTGTACGTACTGCACCGCCACAAAAAAAAAAAAAAAACAAGAGCCCTTTTACAATTGCTATGTAGTTAAACTCGTGTCAGAATATGAGGGATGTAAAATTTGCTGATTTCTAGCCTGGGATCTCCTCAGTGAGGACTACTTCGTATATACACATATGTACCAATCAGGGTTAGTGACCTGGAAATTTCATTTCTCTGATAACATGAAAAACTGTATACGTGTCCTTTTCCCCTCACCATATGATTTTTTTCTTCTTTAGTACACACAAAAATACATGATTGCGTCATAATGAAATAATGATAATAAAAAATGCCGTTCTTGTGATAGAGAGAGAGAGATAAGAAGATGGGGAGATCAATCAATTCCAATTTTTAGATTACGCCTAATAGGTGAGGTGTTAATGTGCATGTTGAACTTCATTAATTGCTGTTCCTTACTATATACATAAGAAGTAGAGGGCTAATATGGAGGAGGATACAATCATCGCACGAGAAAACTATTCAATCACTTCATTGGTTAACCATTTCGTAAACTTGAATATCAATGGTTTGTAAAGTTGGTGCCGATTGTTCCATTTCTGAATGGGATTCCAATTTTGTGTGTAATTCTTTTTTCTTTTTTTTTTGGGGTGAGGAGTGGGGGTCGGAGGAGACAAAAAAGAAATAAGGAGCGACCTGGACCGAAGTGGAGCGAGAGAAAAGGCAACAAAGAAAATCAAGAAAAAGAAAATTAGAAAACCCGCCTTAGAAAGCGAAGTTTACAAAAATTGTGGCAACTGGATTGATACAGTGAACAATAGGGGTACACTACGTACAAACTACTCTCTTTGCACGGGGATAAAAGTCACCCGAACACCCCCTTCCTTCCCTTGGAGCTATTCTACAAGTCAAGAACATAAAAAAGAAACAACAGAAAACTGTGGTTTGATTTTGCTAAAATTATCACAATCGTAAACAAACAACAAAGTAATTAAGGAGGATCGGATTAATTAATTTCAAATTTATTGAAATTTATTGAAAAACGTGCGCCTTGAGATGAGGTTGTGGACTATGAATAGAGATCTAGAACATGTATCCTTCCATAGATAGACTTTTCATTATTCCACACCTGGTTCTTGGGAAAAGCTCTCTTTACCATTATATTGCCAGTGGTAGATAAAGAAGTAGCCTCGTAGACTATATCGTGTGATTGAGTGGTAAGTTGTACTGGTCTTAGGAGAGACAGAAATAGAGATAAATATATATTACTGCATACAAACCATGAACTGCAATGATGCGAAATAGGAGTAAACCAAATTTGTGCAATAGTACACTACCCTCATCTACAATAGTGTGTTTGTATATGCAGTACTACTATTACTACTACTATAACTAAAAAATGCAATGCAAAATTACATAATCCATTACATAATACAATTTTAATTTAGAAAAAAAAAAACATCTCACAGAAACGAAGATTATATAACCATTTAACAGAAAAAAAAAAACCCATCAAATCCTAATCTAATCCCAATCCAATTCAAACCACATCATCATATTCATCCCCTTTTTCTTCTACAACTTTTACAACTTTGTTGACATTACATATTCCACCGTCGAAAAGTAGACACTAACTACCAGAAACAGACCACCAATACTACCACCAACGCACCATCTTATAACTGTTTCTTAATTTTTTATCACCAGAAGATTGTTTTCATTATCATTGCTCACGAGCTCAATCCGATCTCCTATCTCATAGAGTTAACTAATATTTCATTATCATTCGTTAACTACATCTAAATAACCGTCAACACAACTAGACTGAATTGTCTCTTGAATTTTGCCGCTAAATACTGCTACAACCAACAACCAAGCGCAAGTTTCATTTGCAACAGATCCCAACTGTTTTTTTACATTTAATATTCCTTCCATCTGTTAGCTGATCAAGATATACCAAGTTATGAACTAAAATCTAGAAAGATTTTTCAACTTTTTTTTGATTACGATTTTACAATTCCCTTTTTTTTTATATTTTGATACAGCTTTGATCCATCCCGAAATAATCAACTTTACATCTACCTGCTATAGCTGTTTTTTTATTTTGTCATTTACCACCGGTTTTCTCCCCTTTATTCACTTTCAAATTTTGTTGTGTTATTATAACTTACCTTTATTACACTAAAGGTATTTTGATCAGAGACATTTGTATATTACTACTACTACCAAATCTACTAAAACACAGACAAACCTAGTCCCCCCCCCCCCCCAATCATGGCATTAACTGATAGACGTCCTATGGCTTTATCTACAAACACGCCAGTTTCTTCATCACCTACTTTTAATCCAAACACTTTGGGTAGTATCACCACCAATAGGAAAACCAAGACTAGAAACGATAGTTTATCATTACATGCTACTGAAAAGACAGATACCACTGAAGATCATAGTGACGATGATGAAATCAAAGATGATGCAAGCGAAAGTCAAGAGAAAGCAGGAGAGGAGGACGACGAAGATGCTGACGATATGGATCATGATCTAGAACAAGATCCCAAACCTCCGAACCATAACAAAGACGTTAATAATCATGATCAGGATCATGAAAATGACTCTTCCAACGACTTTTCGGATGACGACGACGACAAACACTCAATTGCTTCTGATTTGGGCAAGATGGGTCTTGCTAATGACTCGGAAACATCTTCAACATCAAGAAGCACTTCACCAGATTCGGTATTGGATAAGAATAACAACAAATCCATTACTAGAGAATCCACCCCACCAACAACAACATCAACTCCATCTTCGTCACAAGGGAGTGACACATCATCTTCAAACACTGCAGCTACTGCTACTGAGAAGCCTTCTACGAAAAAAGTCAAAAAGACCAAACCAATTTCCAGAGCACCAATTGCCACTGGTATCTCCACCGCTATCCCCGTCACTGGAGAAAAACCGAAACCAATCCAAGAAGGAGATGCATCATTAGAAGACGATGTCTTGTATGCAATTTTTGTCATTCTTTATGAAAGAGATCCCCAAGGGTTCGGTTTCACCGTTAAGCAAATTTGTGATGTATTGACCGAAGAACACCCTCAAATTGCTCAATTATCAACAAAGACTTCCAATTTAGTTAGTGCTAAATTGAATGCGTATGTGAAGCGAGTGGAAAAGGGTGATACTAGTTTGAAATATGCCATTTCTCGTGATTGGGCTGATGCATCACCAAAGCGAATGGTTTATGTTTATCGTGGGTTATTGGCACCTGGATTCGAAGTTGTTGCTAAGAAATTGACTGATGAATTGAAGCAACAAAGAGGTGAAGATAAGGAAAGAGAGAAAGCAGAGAGTGGTGAAGTGAATGGCGAAAATGGCGAGGGTGAAGCCAATGGCAATGCAGACGCTGCTGTCGCAACTGCAGACACCGTTGGTGCTGGTGCTGGTGCTGGTGCTACCGCTCGCAAATCTTCATCAGGTCCCGCATCTCCCAAATCTGGTAAAAAATCCACCAAAGAGATTGCCCCATATGTTGATGATTCACTTGAAGCCGGTAAACAAGCCACATTGGCCAAACCAAGAAGACAAACAATGTTTGATTTAGGAGTCACCAAGAATTCATTTTTCTCCGACAATGTGTCAGCTTTTGAAAAGACTAACTTGTTTGTTCCATACGCCTCAGCCCCCGTTACTGCTGCTTTGACTAATGACATCAATAGTATGACCACTGCAGGAGCAACGAGGGGAGCAACATCTGATATGATGGATCTTGATGTAGAAGTTGGTACCAATGACAACAGAGTGGAAGTCGATGATGTTGATTTCGCTGATGATGATGATGACGATTTTGCCAATGTGTTTGCTGATTCCGATGACGATGTAGAGGATGTTGACACGGATTACGCCATGATTGAAACTATGCGCAAGAATGGTAAACGATCAAAATCAATGTCGTATTTGTCAATGACTAAGAAAACCAAGGTGTTGACTGCTGCTGCTGCTGCACCAAGAGCTTCTCGTGCTCCTAGTTCACATAGTCCTAATGCTGCTGCTGCTGCTGCTGCTTTGCATGCGGCTGCACTTAGAGCTATTTCTAGATCATCGGCTAGTGGTCATAATACCAGCAACAACAACAACGCAAGCAAAAGCCATACGTCTCCATGTTCGGAACATGTTGGCGCTGCTGCTGCTGCTTCCGCCACGTCTACAGCTACACCCCTGACTGGCTCCCTCTGCGCAAACAAAAAGTGGTTGAGTGTAATCAGATCAGGGTTTTTGAGTCAAGATATCGGCGCTCCTGAAGATACCAGTTTATCAGACATTGAGAAATTTTTTGCCTAAGGAAAAGAGAGATTCGTGGAGCCCACGACTTTTACTACTGACTGCGTCTACCACACGCATCTGCGTTTCAGGAGCCCATTTCTTTTAAACTACAAAAAAAAAACATATATAATGTATAACGACTCTTATTACTACATTTTTCCTTACACATTCAAATTAAAATCAAATAAAATAAATAACCCTCCCGTCTCTTCTTTTCCCACAAGCAACTCCTAAGTCATGTAGTATTTTGGTCCATCACCACCTTCGGGTACCGTCCAATTGATATCCTGAGAAGGAACTTTGATATCACAAGTTTTGCAATGAATGCAATTTTGCGAATTGATTTTAAACTCAACCCCCAATTGCCCTTCCTTTTCATTTGGTAAATATTCATAAACACCAGCAGGACAAAACCGTTGTTCAATTCCTTGATACTTGGGCCAGTTTAACTTTGCATGTTGTTTTAAATCTTGATGAGGTACTCGTAAATGACATGGTTCATCTTCATCGTGATATGTACCGGTTCTTGAAACTGAAGTTAGTAAATCAAATGTTAGTTCGTTATCAGGTTTGGCATATGAAATGGGCTTGAAATTGGATGCTGGTTTAGTTGCGTCGGCATCGGAGTGATGGTATTGTAATGTCCATGGTTCGCTACCTTTGGTGATCATTGTTGTTAATCCGGAATGGGCTAATCCACCAAGGATACCCAATGGCGAATTGAAACTTGGTCGCACATTTCTCACTTGATGAAGTTCTTTGTAAGCCCAAGAATCTTTAAAACTTGACTCATATTCAGAAAGTTCAACTGGCTCATTAGCAATTTGACTAGCAAATTCTTCTTCATCATCCAACTCCATGTCTTGTATACGATTGAAAATAGCTTCAGCGGCAACAATACCTGATTTGATTGCAGTATGAGTTCCTTTAATCTTGGGGACATTCAAAAACCCAGCGCCACATCCAACTAAAATTCCACCTGGGAAATACAATTGAGGAATACTTTGATACCCGCCTTCATTTAAAGCTCTAGCGGCATATGAAATACATTTACCACCACGTAAGACATCTGCATAGTATGGATGGGTTTTCATTTTTTGAAATTCTTGATAGGGGGAAATGTATGGATTGGCATAATCCAATCCAATGACTAATCCCACAGCAACCAACCCATCACCGAAATGATAGATGAATCCACCTCCATATGCAGCGGATTCTTTAGTCAAAGGGTATCCCAATGAATGGCCCACGTATCCAAGTTTAAAATTCTCTGGCTTCACTTCCCAAACTTCCTTGATCCCGAGGCCATAAGTTTGGGTATTGGCATTCTTGCGTAAATCAAATTTCTTTATCAATTGCTTGGTCAATGATCCATGACACCCTTCAGCAAACACAGTAACTCTCGCATTAAACTCCATCCCTCTTTCAAATGTATCCTTAGGTGCACCAGTCTTGTCTATTCCCATATCTTTAGTCGCAACTCCAATAACAGTGTCATTAGCTTCATTATAAACAACATCGCTCACAGAAATGTTCAGATACAATTCCACGCCTAATTCTTCAGCTTGTTCGCTAAGATATTTTACCAAATTGTTTAAACTTGTGATATAGTTTTTACCCTTGTTGGCCAATTGGGGAGGTTCTGGCAAGGGCCAACTCGACTTTTCCGTTAAATACTTCATATGATCTTCAGTGACTTTTGTGACTAAATCGGATGGCAAGGGTATATCTTCATCAGAATCGGGAAACAATTCACGCAAGGCACGTGGTTCAATAACGGCTCCACTGACAATATGACTGCCAAAATCAGCTGCCTTCTCCAATACAACTACTCGTTTATCTCCATTTCCTTGTTCGTTATCCAATTGTTTTAGTTTGATTGCAGTGGCTAATCCTGCCGGACCTGCACCAACTATACAAACATCAACATTATCTTTGGGTCTCTCTTGATTTAATATCTCGAGTTGTTCTTCTGTGAGATTAGCTAGACGGCGTTGTGAAGTATGGATGAGTCTTTTGCAAAGGGTGATGCTACTCCGAGATGCTATATAGTGATGGTGATGAGGATGGTACGGCTGATGAGCCAACGCTCGCGTGGTAAAAGTTGTTGATGATTTAAGGAGTCTTTTGAACATGCTGGGTATAATTGCAACCGACAATAAATAGGATAATGCAGAGCTTGAATCAAAGCTTGAAGGTTTTGTACTGGAAAGATGAAAAAAAAAATTAAATAAATGGATCTGACTCAGTTTATCATCAACCCTGCATATAAAGCCAGGCAAATCAAATTGCGTAAATTAATCATCCAAGTAGCAATAAGGGAGCCTGGCCTACAAAAGTGTAGTAGATGATAAACTCCCGGAGAAGAGTTGTGGTGGGTACATCGTACTGCTTTGCTGTTTTCTACGTTGACGATTTGTTTTTAAGTAGCAAAAAATATCACATTGAATTTGTATAAACTTTGAAAGTCATACATACCTTTTGCCATGCTATGTCGTGGTCTTTCAGATGAGGTCAGTTTACCTCGACAAGATGGTATAGAATTGGTCAAATTTTATTTGTTAACATACTTCATTGCTTTGTAGATGAATGGCTTGAAACATAAATTTTAGATACAGGCACTGGTATTGATGCTTTTTCCAGAATGCTTCGCTATAACCCTTTAATGCAAGGGACGTTCAAGCATTGAAAGCGGGATCTTGACCTTCAACAATTCCGCCATTCGATGCTGCATCATGATCACGAATTGCCATGCGATTTAGGGCCAAATAATGCTGAAAAGATGGGAGTGTTCAATTAATATTCGAACCATTCCATGGGGTTCAAAAGTGCTTTTAATTTTCTGATCCTCTTTCCAAATTGTCGATATATACATTAGTACTTATACCCCAAAAAAGAACTTTGTAAACCCTAGATTTAATACCAACATCACCCCACACCAGAACCGTGGGCGTCCGACAAATACCCCTTCAATGACCTTTATTCTATAATACAATGTTACATCGCAAAAACGATTAACCTTATTTCCATTGTGGCACGTGCCATCAAGAAAACAAACCCCGTTGGATTGTAACCCAGTCCGAATACAGAGACAATTACGACACAGCCAGACATTTGCAACAGATTATAAGGTTTGACCTTGCTGTCAAGCCAGGCATCTGTTGTATGAGTAAAAATGTTGGGGAGGGGCGACTTAGGTTCCACCTTGGTCAAAATGTAAAATCTAATTTGATGACAGGTCAATTTCAGCATAGAAGGATACGAGTCCACGTAAGATCCACTCATATTATATGCTACTGTAGCTGTAACGACATTATCAATTCTGTATCCCCTTGGAATGACGAAACAACTTCAACCCTGTCCAAGAAATAAAAGCCCACCACCAACAAACAACATAAATGCACCATAGTTTCACAACAAGACCATCAACTGTTGTAAAAATCGTAGTCAATTGAGTATGAAACGGTGTTCCTGCCATTGGCGAAATGATGAACTTCCAAAGCTGGAAAAACGAAGTTATTGTAATCACAAATAGTAACCACGTGGAAATAAGAATTGCATAGCCATAGAATTTTAGGTTCGGGTAAGGTTCAGCTAGCTCTTCTTGCTCATTGATAGTAGTGGATGAATGCTTTGCATCGACCATGTGTGCCTGTGGAACTCTTTAGATGAAGGTTGTGCTCTTTGTTACGTTGACATCTTTTTTTTTGTTATCCTTCATAAACAGCGGAGAAAGTGTAAAACCATTACGAGAAGTATGTAGTTTAATGATTACACTAAAGAGCCGTCGCCAATATCTCTACATTAAATCAGTTGCTTACCATCAAATACCAATTAACATTTATCAAAGACTATAGCCTAAACATTTCATTCTCGAGCCGTGTAACACGTACCATTATTTGTTTGCTATTGGTGAGTCATATAAGTGTTGTGATGTGTCACTTGAGAGACCAACACATAAGATCTATAACTATGCGTATAAACTCCTGGTTTATCTTAGTGTGGGTAGGTTTTCAATTAAGCGAATTGGATTTAGTTAATAATAGTCAGTCACATTAGTGTATCACACACTGGTCAATATCGTAGGTGCTACTCTTTCTCATTGACCAGTATACTCAACCGAGTAATTTTATCCTCCAAATGCTATCCATCAAAACTGAACAATGCAATCGACCTGATGGAAACCTTTAAATAAATTACGATATGGCAGAACAACTGTTGACTAGAATTTGAAAAAAATGGGGGTTTGTTTGCTTATTTATACACTTTTCTTCGAAAAAGAGTGATAATTTACTGCAGATTCGTCGTGTCAGGTGTTACATGCATTGTAACCATCTAAAGTCACATGCGATTATGAAACGTGGGTGTTTATACTGGCTTGTTGAAAGGAGCTACTTCTACATATCGAGAGAAACAGCAGTTAGCTACGCAAGACAACTAGTTCATTCAGAATGACAATTTGTCGATCTTGAAAGAGGGGTAAGAACAAGCGCTAGGGCTGAGTCGGGGTACTTTAAGCTCTAACCTAGTCACTAAGCTGACCACAAACTGGACCCTATGTATCAACAAAGTCGATCGAGCAGGCGAATAATATAACCTAGTTAGAATGTCCTTTGTGTAAGGTTCACAAAACCTCAAATAAATCTTCGGCAAAGGATTAATGAAGATGTTGTCGCTGGACGAGGAAATTGACAACGCTGAAACGGGCGTAGATCTGGTGTTGTGGTACTAATGACTTCAATTACTGCAATCGCTTTATCTAGTTCGATCACTTTCGAGCAGATGATGAAACTTATTTTGATTATTCGTATCAGATCAGTTTTGTGCAAGGATCGCAGATTTTGTTTTCTGAATTACGAGACTGCAAACGGGGCAACTATAAGAGATTGGGCAATTGGTCTTTTTTTCAAGTCACAGTGTTATTGAGGTAAAACATCGAGGGGGTTGCATTTACGGAGAAGGGCGTTTTCAAAAAGCAATTGCCAAGAAAGTCTCAGACGACACCTTCAAAAATTTGATGCAAAAGGTAGACAGGGTCCTATAAAAGTGAAGGCTACAAAGTGGCTCTCGAGGGACATCGATCCTGGTATCTATTGGGCGTAAGCCTTGTCCATACATCAAAACCTTTCAGAGAGGTATTAAGGGGCCAGGATCAATGGGCCAGGATCAAGTAGCATCCGCCTTATTGTTGAAATTTCAACACAAAAGCAGTGTTTGGCTATACAAAGACTCACTCTTTATTGCTCAGTTTTGGCAACAAGAGGGAAAAGAAGGGAGAGAGTTTCATCTGTAAACCAGAACGTATGACCAAACGTATCTCTATCGGATGATTGTGAACTGACCCTTGTTTTATCAACGAGCACAATCACTCAAGAATGGATGCTCACTAAAGCCATCAATAATGATTACACTTTGCCCAGAGAAATGTTACAGCATGTGGATTATACAATCTTCTTGTACATAATGATTTCTACATCAGTAAACTGTCGTTGCTTTAAATCGGGATTTCGGCAAGAGAGTTGAAATCACTAGATGCGTACGTAAACCACTTGAGTAACAAACGTTTATCGGATGATTTTAAAGCACCTTTGAGCCATTCATTATATCCAGTATATCAATATTACTCTCAGCCCCTTTAATTCTCCCCCAGCGAAAAGCGCTGATCATAATAATTGGTTATACCTTTCTCTCAAGCACGTAAAGAAACAACGAATTTCTGTCTCTCTGTATTTTCCCCAAAAATCTTGCCAAATCTTCAAAAATCCTCTTACCTACTTAATATGGTCGTAAATAGGCATATTTTAGATACACAAGACTTACCCTAAATTCGTGACCCTCACTTTCTTTATCAACAACCCTGAATGACACTGACAATAAGATTGAGGAGGGGTGGGACCCTTTTCGTAAACGCGAACCCTTTGACACTAAAAAATTTAAACTTTTACTTTTAAAAATATTTAAGCGGCAATGCGTCAATCGGCTCAAATGCAAAGCGAGACAATAATGAACAAAAAAGCTTAATCCTCGATAAAAGTTGACCACAAGAGCACAGATGATTCACATGCGACCAACAACCCGTATACGTACTCATAGGTAGCCAAAAGAGATCCTAAATGAAACGTTTCAAGGGATATAGCATGTTTTGAAAATGGCTTTTTCTGGATACAGTTTGCCCCAATTGGCAAAAGCTCCATTGTTACTTTGTTTACACTTTTCATCGAGTCTTTGCAAAGCAGAGTTTACACTGATTTTGCAATTATGGAAGAACGCCTTAGTTTAACAATGACCCCCCCTTAAAAGTTCACTATGCCCACCCGAGCTCACTTTGCTTGTGTTTCAAGCATTTACGAAAAACTAAATCAAGGGGGGACTACGACGAATCAAAGAGTATATAAAGGGGTCATCACTCTCAGTCAGTTCCAACTTCGAAAATGATACCCTTGGCATAAACATCATCATGAGGTTAATGATTCTTCAATTGTTGGCCTTTATCGTCTGCTCAGTGCATGCTTTTCAAGCATTCTTTCCGGGCTCATTCAATGATTGTACACCGCCAACCAAACCCAAACCCATCTGTTCCATCGACCACATATACTGCGACAACCCCAACAACCAACAACAACAACAACAAAGAAACATCAATGCGGCATTTGTCATTTCAGGCGTTGAGAAAAATACAGATAATAGCTACAATATATTTGCAAATTACCAAGCCGAAAACTACAACCAATTGTATACCAATTTTGCACAAAACGTTGATCAAGTTTATGTTAGTGGTACGGGAGTTAGTGATGCGACAATTTATGACCAAAGAACCAACAATCAGGTGAACCCGTTTCGCTGGTCAGCCAAATTCACTTGCAAGCCTCAGGTGAAAAATGGGAAATGTTGCATTCCTGATGGTTTAAAGCTTTGGTGTAAATTTAAACAAGGTGGTGCTGGAGGAGCCGCAATAAATCAGGTATTTGGTCAACAAGTTAGCTACTATTCAGTCAGTCCATTATCAGGTGGTGTTCAACCATATGACCCGAATGGTTTGTTCAACCAACAATTGCTGTTTCACAAAAGAGACGAAGAAGTTCAATCTGATTTGAATGTACTTGAGAGGAGAAATTCAAATGATTTATTCAATTTGTTGAACGGCTGTACTGATAAACATCGTGGCATCAAGCAATTCTGTTGGGATTGCGACTGTACTCCACCCTCGAGCTCATCAACACCACCAAGCTCATCATCAGAGCCACCATCCAGTTCAGAGCCACCAAGCTCATCAGAACCACCAAGCTCATCAGAGCCACCAAGCTCATCAGAACCACCAAGCTCATCAGAACCACCAAGCTCATCAGAACCACCATCTAGCTCAGAGCCACCATCCAGTTCAGAACCACCAAGTTCTTCAGAGCCACCAAGCTCATCAGAGCCACCAAGCTCATCAGAACCACCATCTAGTTCAGAACCACCAAGCTCATCAGAACCACCAAGCTCATCAGAACCACCAAGCTCATCAGAACCACCAAGCTCATCAGAGCCACCAAGCTCATCAGAACCACCATCTAGTTCAGAACCACCAAGCTCATCAGAACCACCATCTAGCTCAGAACCACCATCTAGTTCAGAGCCACCATCTAGTTCAGAGCCACCATCCAGTTCAGAACCACCATCCAGTTCAGAGCCACCATCTAGTTCAGAGCCACCATCTAGTTCAGAACCACCATCCAGTTCAGAGCCACCATCCAGTTCAGAGCCACCAAGCTCATCAGAACCACCATCTAGTTCAGAACCACCAAGCTCATCAGAGCCACCATCCAGTTCAGAGCCACCAAGCTCATCAGAACCACCATCCAGTTCAGAACCACCATCCAGTTCAGAGCCACCATCCAGTTCAGAGCCACCAAGCTCATCAGAACCACCATCTAGCTCAGAGCCACCATCTAGTTCAGAACCACCATCCAGTTCAGAGCCACCATCCAGTTCAGAGCCACCAAGCTCATCAGAACCACCATCTAGTTCAGAACCACCAAGCTCATCAGAGCCACCATCCAGTTCAGAGCCACCAAGCTCATCAGAACCACCATCCAGTTCAGAACCACCATCTAGCTCAGAACCACCATCTAGTTCAGAACCACCAAGCTCATCAGAACCACCATCTAGCTCAGAGCCACCATCCAGTTCAGAACCACCATCTAGCTCAGAGCCACCATCCAGTTCAGAGCCACCAAGCTCATCAGAACCACCATCTAGCTCAGAGCCACCATCCAGTTCAGAGCCACCATCCAGTTCAGAACCACCAAGCTCATCAGAACCACCAAGCTCATCAGAGCCACCATCCAGTTCAGAACCACCAAGCTCATCAGAGCCACCATCTAGTTCAGAACCACCAAGCTCATCAGAACCACCATCTAGCTCAGAGCCACCATCCAGTTCAGAACCACCAAGTTCTTCAGAGCCACCAAGCTCATCAGAACCACCATCTAGCTCAGAGCCACCATCCAGTTCAGAGCCACCATCCAGTTCAGAACCACCAAGCTCATCAGAACCACCAAGCTCATCAGAGCCACCATCCAGTTCAGAACCACCAAGCTCATCAGAGCCACCATCTAGTTCAGAACCACCAAGCTCATCAGAGCCACCATCCAGTTCAGAGCCACCATCTAGTTCAGAACCACCAAGCTCATCAGAGCCACCATCCAGTTCAGAGCCACCATCCAGTTCAGAGCCACCAAGCTCATCAGAACCACCATCTAGTTCAGAACCACCAAGCTCATCAGAACCACCATCTAGTTCAGAGCCACCATCCAGTTCAGAACTACCATCTAGCTCATCATCATCGACGCTTGAAAGTACTACTCCGCCATTCACAGCTGTAAGTGAAACGTCAACCACAGACTCTACAACAGTTATTACGATTACATCTTGCTCGCATGGAGACTGCACCACAATTACTGAAACAACTGGATTGACGGTTATTACTGAAGGTACTACTGTTTACACTACTTATTGTCCGTTACCTGGGTCAACAGCCACTTCTTCCACTGGTGGAGCTCCTGGAAACGGATCCGGTAATAACAATGGGTCAGGTAATAATAATGGATCTGGTCATAATAATGGATCCGGTAATAATAATGGGTCAGGTAGTGGCAATGGGTCAGGTAGTGGCAATGGGTCGTCAGGTAACAGCGGATCAAGTAATGGCAACGGATCTGTCCACGGCAATGGATCGGGCAATGGTTCAGGCCAAGGATTGGGTAGTGCCAATAGTTTAGGTGAGGCTCTGGGATCCACCTCGACTACGATTATTACGATTACAACTTGTTCGAATGGTGGTTGCTCCACGGTGACAATGACCACCGGTGTAACTGTAATTACTGAAGCAACAACTACTTACACCACATACTGTCCTCTCACTGGAAAGCCGACAGCTTCGTCGTCAACCATTCTACCAAGTCATGCCTCAGGTGCTGCATCAGGTAACGCTAATGGAGCAGGCAATGCAAGTGGAACAGGTAACGCTAATGGAGCAGGCAATGTAAGTGGAGCAGGTAACGCTAATGGAGCAGGCAATGCAAGTGGAGCAGGTAACGCTAATGGAGCAGGCAATGCAAGTGGAGCAGGTAACGCTAATGGAGCAGGCAACGCTAATGGAGCAGGCAATGCAAGTGGAGCAGGTAACGCTAATGGAGCAGGCAATGCAAGTGGAGCAGGTAACGCTAATGGAGCAGGCAATGCAAGTGGAGCAGGCAATGCAAGTGGAGCAGGTAACGCTAATGGAGCAGGCAATGCAAGTGGAGCAAATAACGCTAATGGAGCAGGCAATGCAAGTGGAGCAGGTAACGCTAATGGAGCAGGCAATGCAAGTGGCGCAGGCAATGCAAGTGGAGCAGGCAATGCAAGTGGAGCAGGCAATGCAAGTGGAAGTGGAAGTGGAAATGCCTTAAATAATGAGTCAACAACACCAGCTTCGAGTATTTCTGCTGTTGCAACGAGTGAAGGAGGACAACAAAGTGGATCACAGCCAAATAACAACAATGAGTCAGGGTCTGGTGGTAGTAATGAATCAGGAAGTGGATCAGGAAGTGGTGAAGAATCTAACACACCGGGATTGACCCCACTTGCAGGTGTTGGTGCTACAGTGGAATCATCCATTGGAGCAGCTTTGCTTGCCGCTGTACTTTTATTGCTTTAGATCCAATCAATCTTCATCAAGACAATTCTTCAACAGCTTTGTCAACAATTTAACAATTCGGTCAACCTCATGGGTTTGAAAATTTCGCTTTACTGTTTTGACTTACGTTTCGGTTTATAGTTTAATTAGTTTTATCTGCTTTTATGTTATCCAATACATTTGCAATTCGGTTTTCAAGATTATTGTACTGATGGGACCAATCACTTCATCCCAGTTGGACATACTTATGATCGACTATTAGGACAGCACAATAGTTACTTTGGCGCAAATTACGAGTTTCAAGGTCTTTGTGCGGTTTAAGTTTGAGCTCAGCTTAAGCAATTTTCATTGATTGCTCCCATTCAAGGCATTCGCACTGATTTACATGTCGATCTAATGTAGTTCCGAGGTTAATTAAAGGCTGTGCCAAGTTTGTATAATAAACTATCGGTTGGCTAAGAATTGAAATAATGAAGACCATATGAAGGTCACTCCCTTTATTTCAAAATAGTATTCAAAAATCCATGGTAGAGTATCAATATACGATAAGTGGTCAATCTCTAGAGAAGTATATATATGATTTATGGTGATAAATCATCCTATATATAAAATCTATAACGATGTGTGAATAACACATTCTTTTTGCAATACTAATATTTCTGCGACACTAAATGTGACACACTAGCAACAATGTGTAGAATTAACCCAACTCGTATCCTCATCCAGAGTACCGTATTCGCCGCACAATATACAACATAAGTCAAAGGTTAAACTAAAATTTTTGGAATGGAGAGGTAGTTTGGCATCAAGTAGTGTTGAGTCTGCAGATACATTCAGTAAAGCGAGTTGGAAACTCCGATACAGAGTATCATGATGAACAACAGTACCGAAAGTAGTTTTGCGCATAACATAGGCACAATACTGGTGACTGTACAGAAGCCGAGCGTGGGGACCAGCCACATACATTTCCAACTCGAGAAAAAACCTCGCTCTGTTGAGTATTAGTACGGGAAGTGTTTGGGGATAGTACCTGCAGGTTCGACTAGAGCATACGGATAATTGGGTGAAGTCAATCATAGTAGAAGAAATCGGACAGACAGACAGAATGAATCACAATAGCAAAAATTAGGGAAAAGTTTACTCAAAATACTCCCATTCTACAAAATCCCTTCCTCAACGACAATCTCAATTAAAAGCTCTAGTTATCTACATATATGTATGTATGTATATATATATATATATCCTCTTCTCTCTACGATACCCAAATAGTCAAACTCCTTCCTTCGCCTAAATCATCAATAGCCAAATTCCAATCTTCATTCAGATCCATCACCACAAAATCCCCATCTTCATCTTTGTATCGTAATTTGCTAACCAAGATATCCTCTTGAATCAATTCACTAGTGGCAATCTTACCCGATATTTTCTGATACAATTCATGAAACCTCGTTTGATTGGATACAACCAACGGGTCAGGAAGTTCCAACCTATTGTAGATTAATTTCACTTTGATATCAAATAGTGGCAAATTGGGGGCTGAAGTAGATACTGGTGTCGTTGATGCTGTAGTATGGTTGATTGAGTTTGACCCTGAGGAAGAAATTCGCGATAGGTCGCCTGATTTAACGCGCGAGTTTGGTTGCATCATGCTATAAGTTGATGATGAAGAGTAATGGCGCTGCTGCTGTTGTTGTTGCCCCGCTGAGTAAAACTGTTGTGGTGATTCAGCAGTGGTGTTTGATCCATTGTAATCGTAAATTGAAGAATCATTAGTATTGACTGATGATTGTGAATCGCGTAGCTTTTTACTTAAATGATAATTCATTTCGTTTGTTTTCAAATTGCGTAAACATTGTTCCCATTGGTTTCTAGTTTCTTCATTACGATAGCGTAATTTAAATGATCCACTTTCCTTTTTACCAGACCATGAAATTACCAAGGTGTATCCGTGGTTTGACGAGGCGCTAATGTTGTATATCTCCAGGATATACACCCTTCCTTTCAACTCCAATGGACTACTGTCATTGGTGCCGTTTATGGATTCAAGTAAATTTGCCGTTGAAGAGCTCAATCCCGACCCAGAAACTTTTCGTAATCCAAGTTTAAACTTCTTTTCATGTTTTTCCTTATCTTTATCCAGTTCAATAAAAAAGAATATAATCTTTTCAAACAAGTAGGCAACATATTCCTTCTCAGTGTCTGCATCTCGAACGCCCACTATTCCATGATAGAGTAGTTCCCCTTGATCTTTCAAATTGAAGCCACGCCAGTTTTTGACTCGTTCAACTAATTTGCGTAAATACTCGACATTTTCAGCTCTTCTTTGTGCTTCATTAACTCTATTGGCCACTTCCTTCATTGCTTCTTGAGCAGCTAGAAGCTCATTATGAGAAGCAAATGCCGCATCCAGTAAATCATCCGATGAATTAAAAGTTTCTTGTGAAGTTTTGATCAACTCCTTTAATAGTAATGGATATTTACACAATCTTTGAATAGGCTTGAGAATATACGATTGTAGTTCAAATCCGGGATCAATCAAATTGGATGATTTTTTCAAATTGGATGCTTCTTTATTGATGAGCTCTATTGCCGTTAATTGACCAATTGTCCAGGGTTCATACGTCTTGAAAGGACCTAGACTAGCATGGATAAACACTGATCCTATTCTTTGGTATCTAACTGGTACATTTATATTGCATTCGAGTCCATTTAAAAACCGTCTTTGGAAATCAATAATTTCATTGAGGTTGGGGAACAATGTGTGAATTTGCTCAGACAGGAGTAGTTCCGCTTCAACCAATTGGTTTCTATAAGTTACCAAGAGTTCCAAATCCAGGACATATTTTCTCTCAGTTTCTATAATCTCGCGAAACACCTTGGACCGTTCATTGGTGATTTGCACATCAACATTGATATCTGGATCTTCAGCCACCTTCCCATCAAGCAACTTATTCACAACAGAGATAATCTTTAGCAAATCTTGAGTGCTATCAGAAAACACATTTGATATGGTAAATAAATCATCATCTTCAAACTTCAAATTCAACTTCATGGCAATAATAAACTCATAAACTGATTTTTTGCATACACGTTGATCATCAGAGCTAACCACGGCTAGTTTGTGATCAGATGAAATCTCATTATACAATAGGCACAAGGGAGCACCTTGTTGAAACAATTGCCACAATTGCGTTGCTGAATCAACACTTATATTTAGTGGTAGTACCCCAGCAGTAAAAGTCAAGAGACTATCAGATATACTGTTGCTACTACCCTGTGATCCACTTGTTCTATTTGTATTGTTTGTAACCAATGTACCACTTCCTTGAGAGCTCATGGACGACATTGATAATCTACTCATTGATTCAGTATTCTTTTCCTGTGCGAGCGACAACGATTGTTGTTCACACAATTTCTCAGCCTTGTTGAATGCCATATCCAAAAATGGAGCCATTCCTTCAATTTTTTGTAATCGTTGTTTTAAAGCTTCACACTTATAAAACAAATGGTCCTTGGGCGAGCTTTGTTTGTTGAAGTTATTCATATTTAGTGGTCCAGCAGAATTGATACGCGAAACGGATGGTGATGAATTGTTACTAAATGACCAGTTTGAAGGCAGTGAAAAGGAGCGAGACGCCTCATTACGTTTATCTTGCCTTGACATGGAGTGTTGTTTTTAGCTAAACCTCTGCTGTGGAAACTTGCAATTATTTAATTGGCGTTAATTAGGTTATAAGAAGAATGTTTCCTTTTTGTATAGCTTTGCGGGTGGGTTTGACTGTGGGTGCTTATATGTGTGTATAGTAGCTTATACACGTCTGAGTTTTAATTGGAGTTATTTTTGTTGATAAAGTACCCTTTGGGCTAATTAGGTAGATTCTCTCTTTCTTTCTTTCTTTCTGTTTTTTTTTTTTTTTTTCTTTTGTTGTTTGTTTGTTTGTTTGTTTTCTCATTGTCGTTGTTGAGGTGTGTCTGTTGTTTTGCTTCTGTGTCAAAAATTGGGCGAGACAACAATGTCACGTGCGTGGAGTGTTTTTCTTTTTGTCTGTCTGTCTGTCTGTTCTGTCTGTTATGTCTGTTATGTCTAGTGTCGGTATGTGCTTCTTTCTTTCATCGTCTAATTCTTCTATGCAATTTACTATTGCAGGAACTATAAGCAAGATGCTGATTTCTATAACCCATTCTGTTAATGTAACTTTCCCAATCTGTCTTAGATTGAGCAAATTAGTAATATGGACGTAATTATACACCTTTGGCATCTTGGGGACCTGGAAAAAGGGGGGGGGGGGGAAATGCTACCAATTCATAGTACAACTAAAACCACATTCTCAAGCTACAAGCCATTCCCCGATTTTCCCCTTTCTTCCTTTTCCAACTCTTCTCCGTCCTCGTGACTGGGTATTTTGGGTGTAGACGATATTGGCGCACCTTGGTGGAAGTAATTTGGGAGATTACTACGTTTAAAAAATATTCAAGTTTTGTGTTTGCGCACGAGCTGAGCTTAATTTATACGATCTCGTTAGGATTGGCATCACTTTCCATTTGACATTGGGCCCAGATCGAGTTATTGACTCACCAAGGAAGTGTCTTTTTTTTTTTCAACTAAAGATTACCACTCTTTTCTTGCCTTATTGCCTGTGTGTGTGTGTGTGTGTCAGATGAAGATCTTTTATACTCGCGTCCTGCATGTAGTCTCCATTAAATCGTATCTATTAAGTAGCTTTTTCTCAGATATCAAAAATGAATATATTTCTAATCAATCATCATCACACAGCATTGCAATTACCCCTTCACCATAACTACCTCACAATCCACTATGTTGCAAGTAGCAGAAGGTCAGTATATTTTACTCGCATCTACACCCACCACACGTACTAACTCCTTTTTCCCCATAGATGATCAGCTAAAGGACATGTGTCCCATTTGCAAAACTGACAAATACCTATCTCCCAATATGAAGTTTCTTGTAAATCCAGAATGTTACCACAAGATATGTGAATCATGTGTTGATCGAATATTCTCCCTTGGTCCCGCACCTTGTCCATACCCCAAATGTGGGAAAATTCTTCGAAAGAATAAATTTAAACAACAAATATTTGAGAATTTGGTGATTGAAAAGGAAATTGATATTCGACGTAAAGTTGGCGCCATATATAATAAGACGGAAGAAGATTTCCCCAATTTGAAAGAATTTAATCTGTATTTGGAAAATATCGAAGATATTGTATTTAAATTGACCAATGGTATTGACGTTGAACAAACAGAGGCTGAATTAACCCAGTACGAACAAGAGCATCGAATTGAAATTATTGAGAAAAATATGAGACAATCGCAAAAGGATGCTGATTTAATAAAGTATCAAGATGCAATGGAACGTTTAAAGCAAGAAAAACTCAAGATTCAAAAAAAGATGGAGTTGGAAGATTTGGAGTTTAATAAATTACAACAACAAGATTTACTAGATCGAATGGCAAATAGTTCAATGCCGAGTGAAGAGTTGATTAAACAACAACAAAATCAATTAACCAAACGAAATCTGCAACGTAAACGTCAATTGCAACAAATTAATAACCAACTTGAACAACAATTTAATCAATCCAATCCATTAGCGAAATACAATGTTACGGATCAAGATGAGTCCAACTCGACTCCATTTACTCCATTCCAAGGAGATAGAGAAGTTCACAAGAAATATGAATTGTTGCATATACCTCAAACTATTGATGAAGTTGTCGATACTGAAAATACTGCAACTGGAAGTTATCATGATCCATATATATATGGATTGGCGAAAAATAAAGAGTATCTTGGTGCTGGGTGGAGAGCCACCAATGTTTTTGAACGAGCTTTGGATGAGGCATTTATGGGATTGGGATGTAATATAGAAGCAGAAAAGTCCATACATGTATAAATGTACACAAGTCTTTTTAAAAGTCTATAAATTTAACCTCTGGATGATAATAAGTGGGACAAGACCAATAACTTCTCTTTACATTATCCCAAACACTTGCATCACCATCTTTATCACCATCTCGATCATCATCGGCGCTACTACCACTGCCACTGCCACTGCCACTGCCACTGTTTCTCCCATCTTTAAACAAAGTTTCCGGCACATCAACATCAGTAAACTTACACACCAACCCATAGTTTTCCAAATCCAACTCAACCAATTTGCGATAAACTTGATAGACAACTTGTCGATCAGCTCCCAAACCATTAAAAAACGAGAAAACACCATGCGGTTTCAATAACCCCACTACTAAATCAAATAATTCCAACATATCGGAATAATGTTCAGAAAACGTATCGTAATAGATTCCATTGAAAAATGTACCCTGGGTGAGCAATTTGGGTAATTCATCTTGCCATCGACCAGCAAGAATCTTAACATTTGGCTTGGCAAACCATCCATCAGTGCGTAATTTCTCAATTACATCAGGATGTGCTTCACATATATAGTGCATGGTTGGATGTTGTTGCTGAATCATGGTATCGATTATTCCCATGCCAAATCCAATGTTTAAAATGTTGATTTCGGAATCGAGTTCATTCTTTTCAATGTATGCCCCCTTTTTAAAAAGCGTGTTTGCTCCTAGTTGCATTATATCTGATTCCCATGACATCATGACTCCATCTTTCCTATCCTTTGTCACTAATGCATCATCATTGACATATTCCAATTTGGTATTGAGGTATGATTGTTGGTTCTGCGATGGTGCATCCGGTGCATCATCTTCTTGATCCACATTGGATGCGTTGTGTGGCTTCTCGGGTGAGGTTTTTGCCCTTAAATCCACAGCTTCCTCACTTGCCGTCTCCGTCTTGTTGGCCACCCCTACAAATGCCTCATGATCCAAATCTTCTGTATCGCTAATTACTTCCATATCATACTCCCCCACTTTCCTCAACAACAATTCCGCCCTCACTCCAGCATCAACAATCTGTTGATATATCGGTAAATCTTGTAACCCCCTCTTTATCAAAATACAACCAGGAGTCTTATTATCCACATCAGTAAAACACCATCCAGCACCATATTCAAACAAGATTTCAACGAGTTGCGAAACAATTCCCACTTCGTCCGCCGTTAAATCTTTAGGAACATGTGTACAGATCAAATGCAATGGAGTCGTTGTCGTGGTGGGCTCTTCTTCTATCCCATTGTCGTAGTTGTATGCTTCTTCAACGGTATAAGTCGCTGGTATTCCATTTTTTAGATAATACTTTAAATTGTCTACGTATGCATCGGTAATTGGACGTTGTGGGAATTTGCATAAGTCATGTAGATCTGACATATTCGAAAAAGTCACAGCACTATAATAACGGACGATAATGTGTAAGCTGTCTTTGGCCACTGCGTATACCGGGGATGATCATCTCACAGGGTCTTTACTTAATTTTTTTTTTTTTTTTCTTGCGCACCAAAACGCTACCACATGCATTTCTAATACCGAAAATAGATTAAACATGAGGCTAAAACATAGCAGCAACTAACGACGGAGATTATTAAAGTTGCTCCCGGAGGCTCCAAACAGCGTAGGCTAACACTTAGCTCCTACTTAGACTATTAGATGATGTATCACTAACTTTTTGTGGTTTTACCGATATCATCATGTGTTATTTTTAAAACGATGAGGAAACAAGCACATGGGGAAATAGAAAATTAACAACGTATCTCACTTTCATAAAAGCGGGCCCGACGCATCTCCGACGCATCCCCGATCCCATTCTTGAACGCTGAAATCTAAACCCGGGATTTCATTTATCCAAACCTCATTGTTTTGCATTTACGAACTCGATTGCGTGTGAACGCACGCGTTACGAGCCCCAAAATCCACTACTGTTTAAGCCAATTTGCATAACCAAAGGGGGTGTGGGATTAGAAGATCTATTTCGAGTTACCAATGGTTAGGAGACTGGTTATATTTTTTTCCATTTTAGTGCAAGCTTCTCTATGTGTTTTATTTTTTTTGCCTGTCTGGGCTAAAAACGCAGTCGTAAGTTCCGCTCCCACATAATGCAAAATCTAATAATTGAGCGCTTAAAAATTAAAAGATGAATACCCACACGTGAGTCTGTCTATGGGGAGTGATACTTTGACTGAAGACAATATTTAGCTGTGCCTCCCCGTACAGTCAAACTTTCCATCGGCAGTAAAATTGTCACTCTTACCCTTGTGGGGCAAATCAACAATAAGCAATACTTCAAAACAAAAGGTTAAATCCCATATTGAGCCTTCCTTTTGTGTAATTCAGAATGTTGCATGACATTGCATACTCAATCGTATGATTTTTTGTTTATTTTTTCTGTCTCTCTTGTCTTTTTGCAGCTTGTGCATAATTCCGCATATAAAGCCAAACAACAACTTAAAAATAAACCCATTTATAAAACCTTGAACGAAGGGTTCTGTTTTGTAAGCTGCAAAATCTTAAATCGCCTAAAAGTTCGAAGATCTGAGCTTTAAAACTCTAGCCAGTAAGATGCAAACGAAAGTTGATTACCACATAGCCTCGTTTTGTAGGAACCAATTGTTCTCTTGTTTAATTTCATCGACCTCGTGTGTGGGCGTAGCACCGTCATTCGTTCAAATGATGATGCTCTCGTGACCTTTTTGTGCAATCCCCATAGACACTCCCCTCACTTTTCTTTTTGAAAGAAAATTTTCTTTTCTTCCTATATGCTCCTCCATTTTTGTGTACTCGCTAGGATACAAAAACAATGTAACATTCTTTTTCAAGCGTCGGATATACGAATCCAAATGCATCTAATGTAGATAATGAAACAATGAAGAAATGCCCGGACTTGTAATCTAACGTCTCTGCACAAGGGTTTAAAATAACAATAAAATACATTACACAGAGAACAGGGCAATGAGAGATAACACAACCCGTATCCAGTGCATCCAGCGTATGTTCGTAAATCACGAAAGGACAGCATATCATTAACAGTGGAACGTTTTCGTACATCACGTTGTATTTCTAAAAGCTTTGGCTGTCTGCGAATGGTAACAAAAAGTATTTGACACATGCTACGGTTTTGCCACATAATCAACACCCTAGCAAGAACACTCGGAAGACTTTTCTTGATTTATTTTATGGCCGATGGTGTGAGGGATATATTTGAGTAAAAAAAAGCAACAAACGGCTACAATTCTGGGGTAGAGATTAGTAGTTCACTCTTGCAAAACCCCACACCTTGTCTTCTTTTCCTTTCCCCAGGTAAAACTTTTCTAATAATCAAAGTCAAAGCCATCAAGAAGCATTTGCATTCGAAATTGAGGCACTTCCCCAAGTCTGCGTTTCTTAATCAAAACCTTGAAATGCAATGAGAGCTTACCCAATGTATTTTTTGTTTATCGGTATTTTCTAAAAGATCTTTTTTTGGCGCCGAAAAAGAAAAAATCGAAAGAAAAAAAACGTTTTATTTTTCTAATGAATGATGCAGTCGAATGATCGAATCACAACATCGAGCTTTTGTGTCATTAAACTTCTGGCTTGGGCTCATTTCTTTTGTACCTCAGATACCACTTAACAAAAGTACCCAGCCCAAATGGAAATATCTTTGTAGGCTACGAATATGAGGAAATTTTCTTTAAGCCAGCACAGATAGACCTTGCGCCTTCATGCAGCTCATGCATTTTTCTCGAGGTAGTGCACCAAAAGTTAGTTAAACCAAAGAAAACCTTATTCCTTACTAAAATTAGTAATGAAAGTAGACTAAATGGGCGTGTAATCTACATACCCACCAATCAAAGGACTCCGCTGAGCTCCTCTCGCGTGTTAGATACTGCGCTCCCTACTCTCTAAAATTCCTTATCACCCCAAAAGAAAACGTACTACAATGACGTCTTTCCGTAGTCATCATACCCCGTCATTTCTTTTTTTGCCTGAACCAAATCGTGACTTTCTTTCTTTTTTTTCTACCCCAGATATATATGGTTAACCTGTCATGGATTGTATTGTTTTCTTTACAATTATTTTTTTTCTTGGGGGTCTTGCATTTCGTCTGTCCTCAGAGAAAGAAAAAAAAAACATTCCTTTTTCTTTGTCCTGTTTCTGTGTTATTGAACTTTTAGACGCCTTTCATTCACAAAGACAGGGTTCCAAATAAACTTATAGCCACTGCGGGTAATGTTGTAGGTTATGAATAAAAAAAAAATTCTATTGCAGTTGGTTACATTATACATCGACATACATATATATATATAGGTCCCTCTGAAGAAAAGCTACTCTGATAATATCCAATTAATATTTTCTCATTTCTTTTCATATTCAAAAAACACAAGCTAATATCTCACCATTATCAAAGGGTTTTCTTTTTTTTACTTATCAACAACGACAACAGTTTGCACCTGACAGATCATTCATCAGGAACAATCTGAGCATACTATTGAATTCCCAAAGAAGGAAAAAGAAACAGTCAAAACCTAACGCTGAGTTACAAAAGAGGTAATTTTTTTTTTTCAATCGTGTTTATAAAGGATATCCATATCTCATAACCAAATATCACTTTTTCATAACCAGTCTTCTTTATTGTTCGAGATTCAATGACGTATAGAGATAGTCATTATACTGCATTTTTGACAACAACACCAATGTACGACAACGAACACCAGCAAATACTAGAACAGCAGTTGCAACAACAACAGCAGCAGCAACAACATCAGCAAGAGCAGGACCAACTACAGCTACATGGTCATCACGATTCCCAACAACATCAATATCTGGGACAACAACCACAAATGTACCATTCGTCACCTGTACCACAACAACAGCAACAGGAATGTACACCAACACCAAGTTTACAACATTATAGACATACAAATGCCGCAAACTGTTCTCAAAATCAAGACGATAATCAGAGTTTGTCGTCAAACAGCACTGAGCCTCAACATAGTCCTAGCTCAATGCAACTTCAAATGAAACAAGAACAACAGTGTCGACAACCACAACCATATCCAGTAAAGATAGAGGAGAATCCCTGTTTTGTTAGTTCAGATAACTTGATGAAGGACGATACCATAGATAACAATAGATGCAATGAATTTCCTGATGATTTTGATTTTACACTTCATCCAGCTTTCCCACAATACATGACCAATGGAAGAGCCAAAGCTTTGAGCTTGCCCTCATCTACATCAATCACGAATGAGTACCAACAAAACAACTTTAACTATAGAGAGTTACCAAGTAATACAGAGTACTTGGGTGACGAAGTTGCTCCATTTGCCACAACTACTGATGCTGCCACCGTTATCAACTACAATCAGTTGGAGGGTGACTTGCCTATACTGGCACATGACGTCGATGGTAATCAATTTCAACAACAAAGCTTCATTGGAAATGGAGCTATGGTATTTAATGGTGGTGCTCAGAATGGGTTCGAGTCCAATATGGTAAACAATGGAATTCAAGAACAAGAGTTTGCTCGTGTGTCACCAAATACTCCCTTGGGATCACCATTAACGGTACAAACAACACCTACCAGCAGCAAAGTTACAAGCCAAAACAACGGAAACTTTGTCTCAAACTTAGCTGGTGTCAACAGTTGCAACCAACAAGGTGATCTCTCGAGCAACGGAAGCTTGGATGAAGAATCAAACAATAGTTTCCAAGCTCATACACCAACTGGTAATGAATTCAACATGTCCACTTCATCAGTATCATCAGCGTCTGCATTATCAGCCACCCAACATAATGGTATTGCAACAATAACCAAAGCTAGATTACAAAATTTCACCATCAATCGCAGCAACAGCGTGTCGCCTTCGTTATCACCATTGAACAACGAATCGAGACAGTTGTCCGCGACCCCATCAGCTTTACCACCATCATTATCATCGAGAGCACAATCAACCACTAGACAAAAAAGAAGGAAATTGCCAGCTGGCAATAGCAAAGACATCAAGCAAGAAGGTGATTCCACAACATCAACACTCAACTCATTTCGTTCAACTCAAGATGCACCACCAACTGTGCCTAGCCCAGGAAACACCTATACCCTGGCAATTAACACTATTCCTCCTCCTCCTCCTCCACCACCAGCAACAAGTACAACAATTACAGCTTCCAGTGCAAGTCTTTTGAGAAGAGGTCATATTGGTCGTCCAAGAGTCAAGTCAGCCCATAATGTAATTGAACAAAGGTATCGTAATAAAATCAACAATAAATTTAATGCATTACAAGAATCAGTACCTACTTTGAAGGTGTTGCTATTACGCAAGATACAAGAAAAGCAACGTCAATTACTTCAACGACAAAATGGGGACCTTGATGTTAGTAGCTGCAATGGTGCTGCATCTGCTGCTGCTGCAGGTGATGAGAGTTTATCGGATAACGACGATATAAATAACTTTGATGGAATGGATTTGCTGATTCTTGATGATAAGGAAATAGAACAGATAGATTTGGAAGGTTTGGAACCAGCAAGGAAATTGAACAAGGGCACAATTTTGGCTAAATCTATCGAGTATATCAAATTTCTTGAATCAAAGAATGACAAATTGAAACAGGATAACGAAGCATTATTGGAGAAAGCAAAGATGTTGGGTGTTGATTTTGATGAAGAAGAAGTTAAGGAATCAAAAATGGAGTAGACAGAAGAGATGGATGTGGTTTATATAGTGTATACTTTTATCTCAGTATTTATACCTACAAAAGTGTTTAATAAATTTCAGTTCTAGAGAGAGAGCAAAAGCTTAGTAGTGGGATCGGTGGATCTTGTGGCGATGATCCCTCGTAAAATACCACGGGCACGAAGAGCGAAAACAAAACTTTCCATTGATGTGATGGGATACACATCTTTGGACGAAGTAACCTGATATATACTAATCTTTTATTCATTGTAAAATAGGGGTGGGTCTCTGTATGTCTTAGTGTATCTCTTTCTCTTACACGCGTCAAATGTCAGCATCGTCGTATAACTTTTTTCGTTTATACGACATAAACCTCATCAAAACATTACAGCTGGAATTTTTTTTTTTTTATGTTTTCTTTTAACAAAGATCATACGACTGAGTTTCCCATCGTTTAAAACATCCAAAGACCTTAGCTGAGATATAAATAGTAATCAAACTGGTTTCTATTTGCTACTAACTTTCCCTACCTTCGTTCATCCAGACTTATTTCTTATTTCGTTTACAAACCATGGCATTAGTTGATTTAGCCCTTCATGGGTACAACTACTTTATGACTCTTAGTACCCTTCAACAATTTGGTTTACTTGTGTTTGCTCCTTTCATTTACAACATCATTTGGCAACTACTTTATTCACTCAGAAAAGATCGTGTTCCATTAGTATTTTATTGGATTCCCTGGGTTGGTTCAGCCGTATCTTATGGACAGGATCCATATGGGTTTTTTGAACAATGTCGTGAAAAATATGGTGATTTATTTTCATTTGTTATGTTGGGTAGAGTAATGACGGTGTACTTGGGTCCCAAGGGTCATGAATTTGTGTTTAATGCTAAATTGTCTGATGTTTCTGCTGAAGACGCCTATCAACATTTGACTACCCCTGTTTTTGGAAAAGGTGTTATTTTCGATTGTCCGAATGCAAGACTTATGGAGCAAAAGAAGTTCGCAAAGACCGCATTGACTACCGATTCTTTTAGAAGATACGTGCCATTGATTAGAGGGGAAATTTTGGATTATTTTACCAAATCTAAGGTGTTCAATATGAAGAAACAGAAAAGTGGCGTTGTTGATGTATTGCAATCACAACCAGAAATAACCATCTTCACTGCATCTAGATCCTTATTAGGAGAAGCAATGAGGAAAAGATTTGATGCTTCATTTGCTCAATTGTATGCTGATTTAGATAAAGGATTCACCCCAATCAATTTTGTTTTCCCACACTTGCCATTACCTCATTATTGGAAACGTGATGCTGCGCAACAAAAGATTTCTGAAACGTATATGACAGAGATTGCTAGAAGAAGAGAGACGGGTGACATTGATGAAAATCGTGATTTAATCGATTCTTTATTGGTAAACTCTACATACAAAGATGGTGTTAAAATGACTGATCAGGAAATTGCTAACTTGTTGATTGGTGTTTTGATGGGAGGACAGCATACTAGTGCCACTACATCTGCTTGGTTTTTGTTGCATTTGGCTGAGAAGCCACAATTACAAGATGAATTGTATCAAGAGGTTCTTAATGCCTTATCTGGTAAAGGTGGCAACTTGGATGATTTATCGTATGAGGATTTGCAACAAATGCCATTGGTTAACAACACCATCAAGGAAACCCTCAGATTACACATGCCATTACATTCCATATTCAGAAAAGTTGTTTCTCCCTTGGTTGTGCCAAACACAAAGTATATTGTCCCTAGAGGACACCACGTATTGGTGTCACCAGGTTATGCTCATACAAACGAAAGATTTTACAAGGACGCATCTGATTTCAACCCTCACAGATGGGATGAATCAGCATCCACCAATGACGCAGGTGAAGTTGATTATGGATTTGGTAAAGTTTCCAAAGGTGTTAGCTCTTCGTATTTGCCATTTGGTGGTGGAAGACATAGATGTATTGGTGAACAGTTTGCCTATGTCCAATTGGGAACAATCTTGACCACATTTGTTTATAATCTTAAATGGAAATTGGCAAATGGTAAAGTGCCTGATGTTGATTATACTTCAATGGTTACGTTACCTCAACACCCAGCAGAAATTGTTTGGGAAAAAAGAGATACATGTGTAATCTGAGGGCAGGAGTCAGTGGTGTGTAGTTATGTGTATCGATGTATTCAGTATTTAATTATTTATAGAATCAATGGGGTTTAATGCAGAATGTTCGTTGATGATTATCTCGTTATAACACATGACACAAAATTATTAAGATTGTCTTCTTTGTTGACTCACCTCGAATGATTTTTTTTTTCTTTTTTTGTCAAAATTTTTCACCAATTATCTAAGTAAAACCACCACAATTCTACGTCGCTTCTGTTTGTGATGGCAAAGTCATTTCAAATCAAAGTACCCGCTTCTTCAGCAAATATAGGTCCAGGGTTTGACGTACTTGGTGTAGGATTACAGCTATACTTGACCATCAGAGTAACTATTGATCCAACTATAGATACTTCATCAGATCCGCATAATGCTATAATCACGTACGAAGGAAACCTAGCTGAAAAAGTGCCATTACAGTCGGATAAAAACTTGATTACTCAAGCTGCATTGTATCTACTTCGGTGTAATGGTGTGAAGAACTTTCCATCAGGAACTCATATCCATGTAAATAATCCTATACCTTTGGGAAGAGGGTTGGGATCAAGTGCTAGTGCCATAGTTGGAGGTATATACTTGGGAAATATCATTGGTGATTTCAGTTTTGACAAGATTAGAATGTTGGATTATTGTTTGATGATTGAAAGACATCCTGACAATATTGCTGCTGCCATGTTGGGTGGATTTATTGGTTCATACTTGAATGAATTGGGGGATGAAGAAACAGAACAAACTAATGTTCCATTGGATTATATATTGCCAACTGCGCAAACTCCACCACAATGTATTGTATCAAACTCACCACCAACAAACATTGGTGAATATTTGCAATACAATTGGAACAAAAAGATCAAATGCGTTTGCATCGTACCCAATTTCGAAGTTAGTACGGATAAATCACGTTCAGTACTACCTCAATCTTACACTAGACCCGATATAGTATACAATTTACAAAGAATAGCCATTTTGACAACAGCGTTGACGCAAGATCCACCAAATCACAAGTTGATTTATCAATCAATGAAGGACAAGATTCATCAACCATATAGAACAGTATTGATTCCTGGGCTAGATCAAGTATTGGAAGAAGTTGTCCCCAAGAAGCATTCTGGATTATGTGGCATCTGTCTTAGTGGAGCTGGCCCAACTATTTTATGTTTAGCTACTGATGGGTTTGAAGAGATTGCCAAAGATGTGATTGATATTTTTGCCAAAGAAGGTATTCATTGTGATTGGAAGTTACTTGATTTGGCATACGATGGGGCCACTGTAGAGTACTTGTAGAGTTGCTACTTTGCTGTGTATAGACCTATAGAACTAATACTCATTTTCACCCAATTAAACAAGCGCAATCGAGAGAAAGAAAAAAATAGAAGATTTCATATCACCAGACAAGCCGAGGGTAGTTTTCAATTCTACGCTTCTTCCTTCAAAATGGTGCTGTTACCAGTTGATAGCAATCCTGATCTCAAGACCAAGCTCATTGAGCAAGATGTCCTCCAGGAATCCCGATTGCAACCAATTTTCTTAACTCGGGTCGAAGTCAATGGTGGTGAAGATTTCAGTTATCAATTCTTTAACAAGTTGTTATCCCCCTTGTTAACCACTGGTGATTACACCTTAGCTCAATTGACTTTTCGAATCAACCAATCATACCGCCATTTGAAAGATACGGGGGTTTTCAAAGATGTTGGTGTAGTATTGGAACCAGATTACTATTCCAATGTACCTGCCCACATCACCTCATTCAATCGCGAAAAATCCATTCCTACTAAAGTCATATTCGATGTATCCAATGTCAATTTAAATATTAATGATTTGTTCTTGAACTTCAATAATGAAGAATATGTCAATTTAAAGTTGAACCATATCGATCACAATTTCAATGAAAATGCCGAGTTGGTGTCTGTTGGTGTTGACTACAACCCATACAAACCATATGACCATTTATTAACCAATTTGAAATTCATACTGGGCTTGAAAGACCCTCGATTCAAGTTTTTAATTGACGTGGGGTACAACACTAGAGATGATTTAGGTTGGCAAAATTTTTTCAAACAGAATCAATTAGGAGGCAAAATTGGGTTGCTATACAAGACCCGACGTGAATTTGATATATTCACTGGGTTTCAATTGCTCAAGCGAAACTTGTTTGATATTGATGACGGAGCCAATGATGAATTGAAATGTTTTGGAGGAGATTTCTTGAAATTGAGCGTCTTGAATAAGTTTAGATATCAACATATCGGATACTTGAATCATGCGACAAAGAATTTCCCAACTAGTGGTGGTAAAGTTCAAATTGAGACTGAGTTGACATCTGTACAAGAACAGAATAATGCTGCCAACAGAGGTGAATTTATCAAGCTGCAAATAGGATTTGATTTGTACAAATCGGTATTCAACAACTACATTACAGCAAAATTCCAAGGTGAGCTAGGTGGAATCTTTACATTTAACTCCAAGTTCCCCATCCACCCATTAGATAAATTCTACCTCGGTGGGTACAATTCATTTGCCGGGTTCAAGAAAAACAGTGTTGAACAACAAGGCGGGTTACAATTTTACAAATTACAAGCAACTATATTCACCAAGATTCCTCATTTCTTATACTCCCCTAAATTGAATTCTGAAAATAGTGAGTTGTTAATCGAACTGAATCCATTGAGATTATATGCCACTGCATTGATGGGCAACTGTATCCCGGCCACATACAAACAAAATTTTTGGAACGATGAGAATCCAGCAGTGTCTTATGGGTTTGGGTTGAAATACTTCAATCGTTGGGCTAATTTTGACATTGGTTATTATATTAGTCAAAAAGTTGGAGTTGCAAACTTTGATGGCGTAAAGAATGGGTTGCTGTTTTCGATATCAATTGGTGCATCTGATAGTTAGTGTGTAGATGTAACAGTAGATCTGGTAGAGCAATAGAGTAAACTGGGGTTGTCATGATCAATGTAGCGGATGCAGCCGATTAGGTGCAAAAAGAAACAAAGAAAAAAAGAAAAAAAGAAAAAAAGAAAAATTGAAATAAAATAAAATAAAATAAATAAAGCAAAGCCCGAAAAGCTTGTTTTGTTGTGGTTTCGTTTAAAAGCTACATCTGCAGCACCATTTAGGCAAAAAGACTACTCCACAATTATGGGAGTCAATGGTCTACTACAGCATCTAAAAGAAATTCAGGAACCATGTTCTTTGGAACGATATCGTGGTAAAACATTGGCCATTGATACGTATGGATGGTTGCATCGCGCGTTGGTATCGTGTGCTGAGGATTTGTGCCTAGGTAGGCCAACAAGAAAATACATAACATACATTATTAACAAGATCCAGATGTTGCAGCATTTTGGTATTACTCCTTACTTTGTCTTTGATGGAGCTTCATTGACAACTAAGCAAGATACAAATCTGAAACGACGCGTGCTTCGACATGAAGCAAAGAAATTGGCGGAAAAGTATGCTGAGAGAGGACATCTACAGTTGGCATACAAGGAGTATATGAAGGCGGCTTATGTGACCTCTCAAATGGCTAAACTGATCATGTGTGAGTTGGACGTTTTGAAGATAGAGTATGTTGTCGCTCCGTATGAAGCTGACCCACAAATGGTGTATTTAGAAAAAATCGGAATTGTTGATGGGATTTTAAGTGAAGATTCCGATTTGTTGATCTTTGGTTGTAATAAACTAATAACTAAACTAAAGGATGATTCAAGTTGTGTGGAGATCAATCGCGAGGATTTCCACAAGGTTAGACAAATTCCATATTTAGCCAGCTATACTAGTGAACAATTACGATTAGTTGCCATGCTTTCTGGTTGTGATTATACGAAAGGTGTACCTGGTGTTGGACTTAAATCTGCATTTCAAATGGTACGAAGGTACCACACATTGCATAAAGTTACAATTGCATTAAGATCAATGGGGAAGAAGATTCCTAGTGATTTCGAAGACGAGGTTATTAAAGCCAACTTGGCATTTCAATTTCAAAAAGTTTTTGATCCGAGAATTCAACTGCTTGCTACCTTGAACGAGATACCGGAGTCCATCTTTGAACAATTTGATTTGTTGGAATCGTGTTGTGGCAAAACACTCAATGAAGAGTTGGTGAAGAAAGTTTGTAATGGTTTAGTTGATCCAAATACTCATGAGCTACTTGTGTCGCGAGAACAAAGCATGAGTTTGCTAAAATCGGTGTCTGTCAAAGTGAAGGCAACACAATCGGAAGCACAAATGGCAGTCCGCTCCCAGTCTGAACCGGTTGCTCAAAGAAGCCAAAGAAAGTCGGTTTTAGATATGCTTAAGGTTTCAAAACATGTTGCCAAACCTTCGGAACTTATTGAGTGCCCGACGCAGAAAGATGCTACACAAATTAATAAACAAAAAATACCAGAGTTCAAGAGGCCCTTGCCTGTTTATTCCTCAGCAAAGCAAAAGACATCACCAACTTCAAACAAGATTCGGAAACTACAAGGCAGCATAAATGATAAAAAGGGTCAAGCTAGCAGGTTTTTCGCTATACAATCAATACCTGAAAAACCATCACTTCTTGCCTCCCAATCGAATTGCGACTTGATAGAATGGAATTCAAGTTTGCTCGATGATTCCGAAGTACCGGATGAATCACCAATAAAGAATGTTGAAACAAGAAATATCTTGAATGAGATGACTGACAATGATGACGATGGGGAACAACCCAAGGAGCTGAATGAGAGTGGAAAAGAAGAACTCGATGAAGCGGATGATGAGATTGTTGCCTCGTCGGCCCCAAGTGCACTATCGCAAGCACAGGTGAACCCCATCTCAGAGGATTATAATGAAGAGGATGCTAAGTTTGACATTTCATCAAAAGACGATGAGATTGATGAATCGCCAGTAAAGAGAAAAGATTCTTTTAAAGTACACGAAGACTTGGAAGTTATTAATCTTCGACTGAAGTTTCAATTCCTGCCTGCCAAACTTGCCAAATTCACCGAGCCTACAAAGAGTCAAACTGGGTTGAATGCAAATCGGTCAAGACAAGTGTTAAAAGACAAAAGCTCAAATATTAATCGCAGTACCACCAAGGGGATATTGAAAAAACCAACAAACATACACAGTTCAAAGCTTATGCTTGACAAAGTCATCAAATTCAGTCAGCCTACATCATTTCCAAAAGTTCAAATTGCAGCTAGTCAAGAAGATGAGTACGAACTCAGCGAAGATGAAGTCACTCTCGAGCCTTCACTCAAGAAGCATCCACCAGTTATAAACTTGAAACAATTTGCATTTGGAAAAACAAAACTAGACTCAAATTAGACACATTTATGTACACTATTCTATATTAATATCCACGCAAGAGACACGCACCAATGGCTAATCTAGTCAATTGTGCTTGAAGGTTTGCCTCAGGTGCAATGACTGCATCGTTCAACTTGTAGACCTTTTTAAACTTAGATACATCAACTAGATCCAACAAGACCTCATCTTTCGTTTCTACATTGTCCCCGTCAACAATATCGTCTAGGTTTTTCGCAATCTGGGAAGCATCATCATCAGGCGAAATTACCTTGACAATTATGGTGTTTGCACAATCATCCAGTATCCCAAATCTCTTTATAGCATCGGAAATGACGTTCACGGGTGATAAGTTCAACAAAATCTCCGTATTCAAGGTTTTAGCTTGCATTGAATTGTTGGCTTTGTTGAGTATTGATTTATGGATTGAGTTTTGAAGCTGTTCTAATGAAATTATGTATTTTGTGTTTAAGAAGCAGTAGTCGTAGTTAGGATTAGCTTGCATTAGTTCGTGTTTTATGGTTCTGATGGTTCCTTGTGACACATTTTTGTATAATGTTATGAAAACTTTATGGTTTGGGAACTGAGGGAAAGAAACTATTTGTGAATGTGGCATTTTCAAATGAGGTTATAGCTTCATCAACTTCCTTTATGCTTTTGGATCTTCGTTTAGTAGATGCTCTCAGAGATGATTTCGAGATACTTTCTCCATTCGCAATACAAAAAATTATCGCCGAGTTTTATTCATCAAGAGGCTTTTACAAACCACATCTGGGCCTTATTCTCTTCCTTTTTGAGACATCATAATGGCGCCTGATCAAACTAGTCAGGTTGATGTTCCCAATCTACTAGATACCCTATTCGAAGAGGTGACATTGCCAGACCCCACAAAACCAGAACCTAACCTACGACTATACCCAGAAATTATTTTGCAAAAGTCAGAAAAGGGAAACAAGCTATATGCCTCCTTTCAAAGATATTCCCCTCAGTTTATCAAGGAAGTTGAAGAAACGGATAAGAAACAGGTATTGCGATGGCGAAACTCAAATATAGAATCAGTACAACAAATAATACTTGATAGTTGGATAGCACAAAATTCAGGCATGAGTTCAGTCAGTGATCGAGATAATTTCAAATTGACAAAGTCAGTACTGACGACAGGTCGGGCTAATAAGCTTTTCGTTTGGTCATCCAGTGATTCGTACATTCAAGAGAAAAAGAGGCAATTGCAACTGCGGAAAAGCACGGAGGGAAAGCCATCATCACAATCGCACAAACCTAGTGCTCCAGCTGAAGACAAACCAGTTGAAACCGATGCAAAGTTCTCAACTTTGCAAAGTGAATTGCATTTGCGTTTATCAACTGAGAAAGTAAACAATAAATTGTCGAAAAGTATTGAAATTGAAGCCAATAAATTCATTCACGCAAGAATACAAAAGATACGAGACCACCATAGTGAACAAATGATGAAGCAGATAAATGAGCGGAAAAGAAAAGACCATGAAATTTATTTACAGAGACTTAAATTGAAGGAAGAGGAGTATGAAAAGTCCATAAGGCAAGATCAAGATCAAGATCAGGTAGGTACAAAGAAGCTGAACTTTTTTGAAACCTTGTTTGGACTTGGGGGTAGTACAGTGCCACCAAACACTGATGATGAGAATGTCACCCCTGCCAATAGCACCACTTCAAAAAACACTCCTAAGTCTTCAAAGAGTAAACGTACAACTTTATTTGGGATGCAGTCATTGTTTTCTAGCAGTAATGGTTCAAAGAAACGAGTAGATAAGACAACCATGTTTGATGCTGAGGATAAATCTGATAGTCAATCGATTGTCGACTTTAACCTTGATCATTCCGCGACATTTGCGTCTGAGGAGCCCGAAGAGCAACGAAATTCACCATCCATGAGTGACTCTTGGCGTCCGAAAAGTCCAAGAAACCAAGAGATGAATATACCATTATTTAACGTGGACGAATTAGAGTCATTGGAGTTGAAACGATCGCCACAGAAATCAGGTAACTCCAAGCCTAGCGGATCCAGAGCCAATGGGCATAGCATAGGCACCAACGAAGAAGATGGTTCTGACGACGAATTTACCGAGTTTACTGCAGCCACATCAGATTGTTATCTGACGTCGTCGCCACCCCCTCTGACCCTTGCATCGGCCCCAAAGTTATCGCATAACTTCTTTTCCGTCGAAAAAGCCAATGCTAATGCTACACCAGCAACTTCAGGGAACGAATTGATTGATTTGTTTGATACAAAAGAACTGCGACCATCATCACTGGAGATCAATTCACCGACACCTTCCCAGTTGCATTCTAATATGGATAACTTGTTAGATTTGTAGAACAAAAAAAAAAAAACGACTATTCCTGTATGTAAATTGTTTGCGCTTCCAGATTCAAAATTTCTTCATCTGCCGCTTTTTTTTACTAATCGGTGATAGATGAACCGAATAAGCTTCATTCCTTCATATTCCCTGGTCCATTTGTATATAGTCACACAATGATATCGAGGTCAAAATTACCTAGATATAGCGCAGCTGCTGCTTTGAAACGGTTCTATGCGTCTGCTACCATCCAGACTAACCCAAATATAGAAATGACAACCCTCGCCAATGGACTAAGACTAGTTACAGATTCCACACCAGGGCATTTCAGTGCACTTGGAGGATACGTCGATGCTGGATCACGTTATGAAGACCCAAAAAATCCCGGTCTTTCCCATATCCATGATCGATTAGCATGGAAATCAACTGAAAAGTACAGTGGATTGCAAATGATGGAGAATCTACTGAAACTAGGTGGCAATTATATGAGCTCAGCACAACGAGAATCAATGATTTTCCAAGCCAGTGTTTTCAATAAAGATGTTGATCAGATGATGGAAGCTATTGCTCAAACTGTAAGAAGTCCTCGCATCACTGATCAGGAGTTCTTGGAGACTTTACAAACTGCAGACTACGAAGTACAAGAGTTGCAGTACAAGCATGAGCTATTATTGCCTGAAGAGTTACATAGTGTTGCATATAAACAAAACACATTGGGTCTCCCATTGTTTATCCCTAAGGAACGTATACCGTTGGTGCAAAAGTCCGATATTCTTGATTATCATAAGAGGTTCTTCCAACCTCAAAATATCATTATTGCAATGGTTGGTGTTTCGCATGATCACGCCCTCAAATTGGTGGAGTCCAACTTTGGAGATTGGGTATCGACTGGTGAAAAAACAAACCTTACACCTGCTCATTACACTGGTGGTGAAATTGCATTGCCTCATCAACCTCCACTTTACGCAAATCAACCCGAATTGTACCATATGCAAATTGGATTCGAAACAACGGGTTTATTACATGACGATTTGTATTCTCTTGCGACTTTGCAGAAACTATTAGGTGGTGGGTCCTCATTCTCCGCTGGTGGACCAGGTAAAGGTATGTTTTCTAGACTTTACACCAAAGTGTTGAACAAGTATCCATTTGTTGAGAACTGCATGTGTTTTAATCATTCGTATTTAGATTCAGGAATCTTTGGAATCACATTGAGTCTTGTCCCTGAAGCAGCCCACGTGTCGTCACAAATCATTAGTCATGAGTTGGCCAAACTTTTAAACGTTGATACCAAATCAGGCGGATTGAGTGAACAAGAAGTGAAGAGAGCCAAGAACCAATTGACGAGTTCGATCTTGATGAATGTTGAAAGTCGATTGGCCAAATTGGAAGATTTAGGAAGACAGGTTCAATGTCAAGGTAAAGTGACATCAATTGATGAAATGGTAGAAAAAATTAAAGCGTTAACGCCTAGGGATTTGCAAAACGTTGCTGAAAAAGTCTTGACTGGAAATGTTGTTACAACAGGAACAAGTTCGGGTGTCCCTTCGGTCGTAATGCAAGGTGATAGAGAAGCATTTGGTGATGTTGAATACATTCTTCGTAAATATGGTTTAGGAAAATTTTCCACTCCGGAAATTCCTGAACCAAGGGATTTCTCACGGAAGAAGAAAACTTCATGGTTTTAGACGACTAACTTGTACATAAATGACAACAGTGCCATTCTACAAAATATGTGTTTGTTACTCTATAATGTGTTAAGTTTATTTCTACTGTTTTCACGGCAAGTGTAATCTTTCCTTCAATTCCAAGTTTTCCTTTTGCAACATCAACATTGACTCCTTCAATTGGTTATTTTGTTCTTCGTATGTTTTCAATTGTAAGTCCTTTTCAATATTTTCCTGATCTAACGAATCAACTGCAACTTTATAATGATTGATTTTGTTTTGATAGTCAAAATTTTCATCGTTGTACCGCTTGCTCAATTGCGATTCGTGCTCAACTCTAGTTTCCAACTGTTTGATCTTTCTTTCTAATGTTTTAATCGTCTTGTCCGACTCATGCTTTTCTTGTAGTGAGGTATCTAAAGCTGATTGTAACGAGTCTGCGCGAGATTCCAAAAACTTGATTTGATCATTGCTGTACAACTTCTCCTCCAATTTATGCACTTTGGCACTCAATTCATCATTGGCTTTCTTCAAAGAGTAATTCTCTTCATTGGCAACCAACAATTCATTTCTAATTTTTTGCTGGTCACGATAATCTGAAGTGGATGACATTCTCGATTGATTTAATTCTGACCGTACTGCTTCTGCATCTTGACGTTGATTCTCCAAATGGGTTTTAAGGAATGCGACTTCTGATTTGCTCTGATCTAAGGCCACAGTTTGATTTTCCAAGTTGAGATTGACTTTAAATAATTCGTCCTGTAGTTGCTCTTTTTCCTCAATCAATCTTTCCTTTTCTTGAGTGATTTCAGAAACTAACTCTTTTAGTCCAGAAATTTGTTTGGAGAAGGAGACGATTTTTCTTTCATTTAATATCTTATCATTCTCAAGCTGTCTCAGTGAATCAGTCAAGCTGACAATCTTTGCTTCCAATTTCTCTTCTCTCAACAGCATTTCCTCCATTTCCTTTTCAGTATTTTTCCTAATCAAAATCGCCTCTTCAAGGTCCAATTGTATTTGTTTATTCTCCTTCACCAAGGTGGTTTCTGTTTGAGTCTTGAAGTTTAAATCTTTGTGCAAATTTCGCAAATCCTCGCGCAACTTCTCCGTCGTCTCTCTATTCTCGTAGTTCTTGACATGGTATGACAATTTGTCCTCCAATTGCTTTATTTGTTTCTTATTTTCCTCCATAACAAGCGTGTTACTATGAATCGTTTGCTCCAATTTGTCAATTTTCAAGTTGCAATCTCTAAGCATAATCTGTGATGTTCTTGCCTCTTCCTTTGACAACCTCAACTGACTTCTCAAGTCGTCCACTTCTTTCTTTGCCAGCTCTTCTTGACGTTTGGATATAGTAACAGCTGACTCCGCCAATTCCAATTTCTTGAAATACTCATCTGAACGTTTTTTGTACAACTCCAAACCTTGAATTAAATCTTGATTTCTTATGGAGACGTTGTCATACTTTACCTTTAAATGGGCAATTTCCTCTTCGAAATCCTTCATTGAGCTCTTGAATTTCTCTTGCTTCACTTGGTACAATTCCTCCTCCGACTCGCGAAGTAAAGCCTTTAACCGTAAAATCTCCGATTTGGATGTACCCAATTCCTCACGTGTGGATTTCAACGTTTTGTTGATATCTTGATATATTTGTACAAACTCAGGATTGACACCCCTGAACGCAAGTTGACCACCCATGCTTTCACTTCTGGACACAGTTCTACCATTACTTGGAGAGCTTTCGTTACTAGTCGGCTCGTTGGAAATGAAGCCTTCAATTTGTTTCTCGAGACGAGCCACGCGTCCTTGAGATTCTTTAAACTTCTTTTCATAATCAGTGGAGCTATTCAAACCACGGCTCGATTGCACCTTGTTTAATTTTTTTTGTAATTCAATGGCATAATTCTCTGCACGTTGGTAGTTACTCTGCTCCTGTTGCAACCTCAATTTTAAATCATTGATTTCTTTGTTTAGTGCATCAACACTACCATTGACACGTTCACCAATTGCTAGTGACCTTCTCTTGGGTGTCAAGTCACTACTCATCAATGAACCATTCATAATCCGTTCCTTGATTAAGCCTAACTCCTCTGTCAACTTTTTATTTTCAAACTTTTCTTTTCTTAGCGCTGCATTCTGTTCATTCAACTTCAATTTGATATGGGTAAATTCTTCCATCATCTGACGACTGGGTGGTTGATTCTCCTTCTCCAGTTCAATAGATTTGTAGTCTTGCTCAAGTCTCTGTAACTTGGCATTCAAGTCAGTAATCATTGAACTATACTCATCTCTAGCTTTCTGGGTTTGCTGGAGCTCGAGTTTGAGTTTGGCATACTCGTCGCTCAATTGTTTGTGATCAGAGGTTGATTTGGACAAATTTGATTGCATCAATTCAATTTCTTTCAAGTTGCGCTCTTCATTAACTTTGATCTGTGATAGTTTAAGCTCTACCAGTTTCAGAGACTCCAAATCACGTTGTGCTTTAGATAACTGCGTCTTTAATGAATTCACCTCTTTCTGGTATTGCTCTATCTCATTTGATTTCTTTTCAACGCGTGATTTCAAGGCCAGCACCTTCTCCTTTGCCTCTTCAATTTTCTCTTCATACTTGGACTTTTTCAATTCATCTTTACTCAAGTGAGCTTTCAATTCTTCAATGTCTTTCTTTTGCGTAGCACATTTTGTCTCTAAATTCAGCACGGTTGACTTTAATGCGGCAATTTCTTGTTTGTATGTATCGCCAACAGCTTTGAGTTTCTCATGAACTGATGCTTTTTCTGTCAACTCTCTTACTTGCAACTCGTGCGCAGAAGCTTCCTGTCGTAACTTTTCAACCTCACTCTGTAGCTCCTTGTTTTTGGTTTCCCATTCTGAAAATTGCTTCTCATGCTTACTCTCCAACTCGTCGACCATAGACGCGTGTTGGGACCTTTCCAATTCAATTTTTTCAAGTTGCACTCTCAACCTTGTCAACTCGCCTTGTGCAGAATTGTGTTCGGACTGCCTCAGAGCCAACTCCTTTGATCTCACCTCGTAGTCGTCATGCAATTCTTTCAAACGATTGCTCAATTTTTTCAGATCATCGGACAAGACACGATTTGTTTCTTTCAATTCTCGAATAGTGACCTCCAACTCCTCAATTCTCTTTTTGGAAGCTTTGCGTTCCAGTTGTAGCTTTTGTAGTTGAATGTCTTTCTCCTTGATGATGTCGTTGTTGGCAATAATTTCATCCTCCAATGTCTTTAAAGAGTCACGCATCTTGATGTTATCATTTTCCAACCCTTTATTCAACCTTTCGGAATCCTTCAACTTGACAGTAACATCCTTCAAGTTATTTTGCACCTCAGTCATGTCCATAACCTTCACTGAATCCTCAAGTAATGGCTTGATTTGATAAAACAACGCCATCCACGGATTATTCGATCTTGCTTCATGAACTTGAGTCATAGTCTTGGCTATGAGCTGCGATGATTGTAGTTCCTTAATCTGTTGACGCATATTGGCCCTGGTCAAATTTCCTCGGATACGTTTCTGCAAATCGGTAAAGATTGTTTTTAACGCCATATCTCTCATAGTCTCTAAGTTTGCTAGTATTCCATTCTTGAAAAAAATTTTGGTGAGTCCGATTTTGTAGACGTCAGGGTCCAACCGTGACAGCTTTAATATAAGTTCACAGTTGGTCTTGGTATTTTTTGTCAATTGAACATCATCACTAATGATTGAGTACCGTTGGATAAACTCATCAAACGTTAATTTGTTCGGATATCCAGCACGAGTAATTCTTATACCTTCCAAAACACCATTGCACCTCAATTGGTTAAGCACAAGATTCTTGTCGAATTTCTTTGCCCTCTTGTCCAAGTTGGGTAATATACATCTAACAAAATGAGGCTCGGTTGTTTCCAAGCGATCCATTAAGTCTTTTAGCTGCCCCTTGTGCTTTTGAGAAACAGTTTGCATCATTTTGGAACCATTTTGAGTTTTCAGCGGCAGCATTTGTTGTTGCTGTTGAGTAGTCTCGTCGTTGATCAACTCACGAAGTGACGCATTTTTGGACTCCGTTGAAAGCAATTGCAAGATATTATCACTGACCGGATCTTTGTTTTTCTGTAACCAATTGTCGACATTGTACTCAACCTCTCCGGCATAATGTTGAATAATGAATCCATTTTTCAACTTGTTCTCGGCAAATTTTTTATTCTTTCCAGCAAAGTTGGAGCTTAGCTTCTCCATAAACATCTTGTCTGAAGATTTTGGCATCATGCACTCTTCATCTAGTAATTTCATAACTCCCATGGGATTACGTGTTTCGATTAAATCGATTGTTGGTTGTAAGTCTTTACCAAAGTCGATAAACTCCCATTGAATATTCTCTCGTAGATATTCGCTTTGTTCTAAAATAAATGAGTGGTGGTTGAAAAACTGTTGAAGCTTTTCATTAGTGTAATTGATACACAATTGCTCAAATGAATTGACCTCAAAAATTTCAAACCCGGCGATATCTAACACTCCGATACAAAGATTTCCCAGATTAACTTCGTCGTTGTTCAAGTTTGAATTTATTTTCTTGATAATGAACTGAAACAACCGTTCATACAAGTATTTGGCCAAAGCATCAATTGTGAATTTAACTTCTCCTGCCTTTTTTGATTTGGTGACAAATTCTCTACCAGCTTTAACTTTGGGTTTTAAGAAACTCTCTTTTAACTTCGAAGCGTCTACTGCTAAAAGTTCAGCAATCTTTTCAATTGGCGAGTCTTTAGTGAAACTGGCTTGCTCAGTTTTCCATGAAGTGAATTTCAAATTACCCAAGTGTAAGATAATAGCCAACACTTGGAAGATAAATTGCATTTCTTGTGATGAAAATCCAACAATTTTGAATGCCTCCACAAGTAGATTGAACTCTTTGAAATCATCAACTTTGGGTATATTTGTCACCCCACCATTCAAATATTTATATGTAGATACGTCCTTGTTCAACCCAAGACCTGACAAGTTTTCGTATCCTTTAATAAAATGGTAAAAGATGTGATAATTTCTCTCCTGATCAGCTTGATGAACTACTCTTGACTTTTCCAACAAATAGTAATCAATATTAGCACCGGCCAAGTCCCCGGCAGAATCAAAGTAGATTTGGATAAATTTTCCAAACCTTGATGAATTGTTGTTCTTTATTGTCTTTGCATTACCAAAACTCTCTAAGATTGGATTAGCTTGAAGGATCTTGTCGTCGATGTTGTCCGTGTGAGATGCAATGCCATTTTTCGGCGTTAGTGTAGTAATACATGAAAGATATTGAATAATTTTCTTTGTATTTTCAGTTTTGCCAGCCCCTGATTCTCCCGTGACCAATATACTTTGATCTCGCTTATTGCTCAATAAATTACGATACGTAGCTTCAGCAATGGCAAATATATGCGGTGATTCTTTATTTGTAGGCTGATTACGAAATTTTCGTACCATTGGCTCATCATAAATAGGCAACAGCTTGTAAGGGTTGATGGCCACCAAAAACAACCCAGAATAGGTGTAAATCAAATCATCCATATATCGCAAGTACAAATTGTAAACAACAGAGGGTTCATTCAAATGTGTCAACTCGGCCATATCCTCGCATTTGTTGAACTTGGCTGGATTGCAATTCTCCAACTTTGATTGTTCAATTTCCATGGTTGACTCAACATGGTTGACATTATCTAGCGAAACAACCGACACCTTACATTTCCCATTCTCAAGATAATCTGTTATATAAGCCTTTGTGAATAAATCCTTCTCACTGGGTACCCAAACCCAATTTTTGAGTGTGGCATCACCATCGGACTTGGACATGAAAAAAAAAGGTATAGTAAAGGCTTGGTAGTAAAGGTTATTATTGACTGGCGGAAATTTCTGACAAACTCTGGGGGGAGGGGGGGGTTGGTACACGATAGTATAGGAATGGGTATCAAGTGGTATTTCTGTATAATAAAGAATGTGTAATGGTTAGTTTATGTTAGTCTATGGTTCCTCAGTTATCTTTACCATTTGACATTCCTATTCTTTGTTTGGTGTTTACTTCAACGGTTAAGAAAGCAGTCGGTAGCTGCGCTCCTGTATATAAATACGATGTTTACATTGTATCCATTTTAGGAAATGTGTGCGTCTTTTTATATGCAAACGAAGGATTGATTGAACGGAAGACTCTTGAACGAGTGGGGTGGGGTGGAATAACGTTCACTACCTCATGGAAGCTCCTTCAAGCGTCAGGGTAGAGATTTGTTGTAACAGGCCCTTCTAGTTGCTGAGCATGACTTATTCTCAAAACAGTTTATTCTTTTTCTTTTTTTTTTTAACCCAATCGGGAAAGGTGTGTAGATCAAAGTTTAACATATTAGCTTGGCTTAATCACCGTGATGGGTATATAAACAAAGAAACACCATACTGTAACTGCTTTCGTTTGTTCCTGAGTTGGAATGACTTTTTTCCATACTGGTCTGATAATATGTGTTTCACGAAAAGACGCGTCATTAATCATTGGTTCTACCAATTTTGATTTTTTTTTTGCAACAATTTGAGGATATATTCTCAAAAAGGCATGTGAGTTGAGTAAATAGTTTTATTGCAGAAGACAAATAGACTTCTTTCACAGTAAAAGAGCAACGTATAGAGACGGTAAGCATAAGCTGTGCTGAAGAACAAGTCATAAATTGCTAAGCTTTTTATGTACCTTCAATAGGGTATCATTTTTGCAGCCACTTTAATTGAGCTGACATTAAAATAGTTAGAGCCAAAACACCTACATACATTTCGTACAAAGAATGTTTGTGAATTATACATGTATATACACATATTTATATAGTAAGAACTGAATCATTAAATTCATAAGCAACCAAGTACAACCAAGAAGACCAAATCAAAAGTATTGATTCATCAAAGGTGAGCTTGTATTCAAGCCGTTACTACTACTAACCACAGGTTTTATTGGAGAAAGTTTATCTCCTGACCTGGTTTCGTGCCCTGTTGTAACCGTGGGCAAAATTGGTGGAATCATAACCGATGGACCATTACCAGCTGATGACTGCATCATGGCACGTTTCTTCCTAATTTTAGACTTGGTTCTACAGAGCTGTAACAGCAGCAGCAGCAGCAGCAGGCCCATCATCACTGCTTGTTGTTGTGATTGTTGTTGTGACTGTTGCATTCCCGAAGTTGATGCAAATGACGACACGGGGAAATGGGTGGGAGTGTTACAATTAGAAGTAACACTATTAGTTTGACTTCCACCTGATCTCTTGTTGGAAAACACCGAGTACTGCGAAGTTGCTGATGGTGGAGTCACTGGTGGAGCAATCACATTGGAGTCAAATCCCAATGTTGATGGTCCAAAAAATGGATGAGGTGATTTGGGTGTACGTAAATGACCAGCGCCACTTCCCCTGACACTAAAATAATCGTCGGATTCATAAGCCTTGTATGATGAGTATGGGTTGACACAATATTCCTCTTCGTCGTCTTCAGAATCAGATTCGGAATCAGAGTCCAATGTGGGGTCACTCAATTGGGGAAACTGCAACAATATTTCGATAGTTTGAATAAACCGAGAGTCAATCGTGGCCGTGGCCGAGTCGCAAGTAGCAATGATCTTATCCTTATTTTCATAAATCGATTGGATCAAGAATGAATTCTTTTCATGGAATTTTTTTAACACGTGGATAACCCCAACAGCTTCATATTTTTTAGTCAATACCTCAGTCACTTTGTTCAATTGGATAATCAACAAAAGAGCAATCTTTTTTATCGTTAATAGGGTTGATTCATCTAATCCATTGAGAAATGCTCCATGAATCTCTGGTGATTTATTTTCAATTTCATCGTGTTCCTCATTATCAAATGTGGTATCATTGGTGTCATTAAACACGGGCTCTTCGTCGTCCAATGCATCGTGGTCGATATCAGCATCCCTATCAGTATCAGTATCAGTATCAATATTTTCTTGGTCATTTTCTTCATAATCCAAATCAATATCGTCGGCTATACTTGAATGTCTATAAATGTTTGTTTGATGACTGTAGTTGCTATCATTATTGTTTGAATAAAGGGTATTCAACTTTTGTCTCAATGGAAATTTAGGAGCAGCACCAACGTTTTGAAATTTGGTCTTGATCAGTTGTTGTTGTTGTTGCTGCTGCTGTTGCCTGCGCAATTGACGCTCCTGTTTCCTTTTCAATCTATTTTGCAATTTGGCTTGAAGGTATTGTTTCCTCTTTGGTTCAATTAAGACATTTTCCAACAACTCTTTCAAACTGATCGATGCGTTGGGAATCTGTAACATTGAGCAAGCCAACAAATTGGCAGTGTATGCAACTAAACTTGTTGGAACCAGTAAAAAGAATTTATCATACAATGACAATTCACACAAGAATCTCCCCACAACAGTAACAGCGCTCAATGTACTAGCGGAGGCTGATTTTAGAACTTGGTCGTTAGCACCATTACCATTAGCTGCGTGCCTAGTTTGTAGATTGTACTTTGGTGGTGTTATGCTAGGACTGATAATACTCGAATGTTTGATGCTCAATTGTAAACAATCCTCCAATGTTGGATGACCAATAGACCATTCCAAAGTACTAAGAATATGCATTTCCATTTGCACAAACATCTCTTCGTCGTAGGCGTTACGACACATGATGGTTAACTCCTTCAACGTAGGAACTCGTGATTTTTTATCTTCGTACTTTCCAGCAATCCACAATGCAGTGCAACCTACCAATTGATAATGACGCTTGAAAACAATTCTTTTAGCACAATAACGATCAATGATGTTTAAGCAAAGAAATAGTGTTTGTGGTTGTAATCTGAATGACGAGTGCAATTCAATCAAGAAATCCAACAAAAATGGACGCATAAACCATTGAATTTCTGGTTGCAAATCAATCATTGCTGGGTTGACCGAAGACACTGATTCTAAATGAGACATAGTTTGAACAAGTTCAGTGGAGTACTCATTGGTTAGTTTTTTATTAGCTTGCGATTCCAAAAGCTCAAGCAGGGCATGGTATTGACGAGGTTTGATATGCTGCGGCGGCCCATACTTTGGTCTATGGTGATGTTGCTGTGCATGTTGTTGTTGTTGTTGTTGTTGTTGTTGTTGGTCTTGTGAGGTCGACATAATGGTCTATATATGTATCAATGCAAAATGAAAAGATTAAGGGTTTATCAATGAAATGATGTATATGCAAATCGTAATGTGGGATGAAATCTGACAATGAAAGCAAAGCGATTGTTGTTGCTGATTCCAAAAAATTGTGAGTGTAAACGAATGTAAAAGTGGGAAAGTTTTTTATATCTTTGAATTTATCATAAAACGTACAACGAAAAATACTTTGGATGAGGCAAGTGGATCAAACTAATTGGCGAATATTCGAAAAAATGGATGATGTGGCAATGACACTGGTCCGGGTGGTGGTGGTGATGTAAGGGTAATGCCAAAAAGCAAGGTCGATCGTTGAATAAAAATCAATGAGTAAAGAAGATGGAAAAAGCTGGTTGAACCAATTCGAAATAATATATATAAATGAGTAGAAAATGTATAGATGTATAGATTATTGAATCCCTCCTTTAAGTTGTTACTCAATAACGAAAAAGCGAGTAAGTTAAAAAGGTATGCCAATCCATGAATTCTTTTTCTCTATTTATTTTCGTATTTGTCGTCTTCTCAATTTTCGAGCGTGTAATTTTCTAAAAATTGATGCAAAATGGAAATATCAAAAGTAACACAAAAACGTCTCGCGACAGTGCATCACTACAAAACGCCAAAAAAAAATATATAATGAAAAGTTCTGACAGGTAGTGGACTACAGTAGCGAGAACCCTATTGGGAAATAGAGGAGGGAAACAGGAAACAATGGGGAATGTACCTTTACCCATGAGGGCATCTCACAAAGGAATGATCTTTCCTCCCTTTCATATAACTTTGGCGCAGCAAATGTTAGACGCTGGAAGAAAAAGAATAATAATTCTTTTTTTTTTTGGCGTTTAGCCATACATACATAACAATACGATTGGCCCTCTAATGAGTTACACAAATTCTGTCAAAAAATAATACAAAAATGTAAACAATAAACTGAAGAGAAAATGTAAACAATACCAACCTGCCTTTTCCCCCCTTTAATGCATGTCCCCCTTTAGTCTTTGATTCCCGCGTTATGGATCTATTTTTTAGTAGGGGGACTCTAAGAAAGGGTTGGCTCAAAAGGTAAGACGATTAGAAACTCTATAGATTCACCCATTTCATTCCCAAACAAAGGAAACGCTTGAGACTATTGTCACTGAAAGCGTGTACAAATGCTCTTTTTGAATGTTGTGATAGTTATTGAAAACATTGATAAAATGACAGACTTTTAACAAATCACTATATGATCCATTCGAGTTACTCGTAATGTCTCGAAGTAGTTGTGTTGCGAATGCGGCTCGTGGCGTGGTACCAATTCGTGTATGGAAATTGGCGAAAGATATTTTGCGTTTGGGAATTTTCTCGCGAATGTCACAAACAAGGTTAATGTCACAAACACTCATCTTGTGACATCCCCTTCCTCGATTATTGTGTAACTTTACCAAAAAGGAATGTCGCGTGCTTGTTTTTATTTTTAGCCCAAATGGAGATGAAGTGACAAGCTCAAAGCACGGCATAAGCTCATACAAAGAAATATTAAAGGGAAGCTTATTCACAGCACGGGGCAATTAATGCAGACGTGTGGCATAAGTGCATGTCATATGTGTCCTTCTTGACCCAGAATTAGCAAATCTGTGGATCTGATTACAGTGCAGAACTGGAGTTTTCCGGTGGCATATATGACCCTACTTTATGGTGCTATCGATGACAGATAGACCAGCTTTACAATTCGGTAGTGGTCTATTCTGAATACATAGACAACAGAACTGTGCCCTTCACAATGGAACATCAGTTTTTTTTTTGGTTGCAAAAACGTGAAAAGTGTAAAAGCACACTTCTCTGCGAAAGGACGCAAAAAATAACGCGTTTATTATCCATTAATGAGGTGTAATTACAGCCCTTTCAATGTCACCAACAAATGTACGAAATGTATTTATAAAGGCACAATCGCGCAATTTTGTAAAAAAAAAAGCATTAGGAATTGGAAAGGGAGAAGATGACGCTTACATGTTGTTATCATTTACTCCAGCAGCCAAAACGTGTTGTTCCAATCCCTTGAGACGCGTGAAACACTCTCTGGATTTAACACAACCACGTACAGATTACACGCAATCCATGGTTTGCTGTATACCAAACTCACCATGAGAATTTACAAGTACATTGCAACGAAGTTATACATTTCGATAATTCTTCTACCTCACCACCTAAAAAGCGCCTCTTCCCCTACCTTGTGGAGCACCACCTTGCTCACCTTGTTGATCATTCGTTATAGTTTCATCAATACTTAGTAACAAAGTAGCAGCTTCAGTCGCTGATTCAATAGCATTAATTTTAACCAATGCAGGTTCCCATATAAAACTCTTCATATTGTTACCAATATTTTCCAATTGGAAATCAATCCCACACCAAATATCACCCTTGGCATGAGCACTTCTCAACTTGTTCAACAATTCAATGGCATCAAGTCCTGCATTTTCACACAATTGACGAGGAATAACTTCCAATGCTTTAGCAAATGCACCAATAATCAATTGCTGTTTCCCAGCAATGGTTCGTGAATAGTCACGCAAGTATTTAGACAACTCCATTTCAATCGCACCACCGCCAGCAACAATTTGATGATGACTAATGGCACGCTTAACAATCATGATGGCATCATGTAATGATCTTTCCACTTCGGCAATAACTTGTTCAGCACCACCACGTAATATTAATGTACAAGTTTTGGCTTGTGGACATCCTTTAAAGATATTGTATCGTTCACCACCAATTTGCACTTCTTCAAATTTCTCACAAGTTCCCAAATCCAGAGGCTCGATTTTGGAGCAAGTACTTTGAATGTGTCCTCCCACTGCTTGAATCACCCTATCCATATCCTCACTACTCACACGACCAGCACAAAATATATCTCTGTCAGCGAAGTATTGGGTAGCCAAATCACCAATTGGTAATTTCGACAATACAATATTAGCTCCAGAAGCAACAATTGCTTCCAATTTGTTCAAAATGATCTGCCATTCTGCGTCAACAATTGCTTGATAGTCCTTGACTTGGTCGATTCTCACTTCTGCATTATCCTTTTCCGCCTTCAACTCCAATTCCACATTCAATGCAACAATCTTTGGGTTTACAAACAGTTTAGGCTGTTGTTCAAATCCAGCGTACGAAAAAGTCTTTTTGAACGCAACACCATCGATGAACAAACTCTCTTCCAAAGCACCACCAGGCACTTTTTTAATACCGATTAATTTTTCATCCAAGTCATTTTGATCGAGACTTAAAACAGCATCAACCACCATCTTGGTGAAAAATTCTGAATTGCTACTAATCAATTTCGATGACATTGCAGTTGTGGCACATTTCTCCAATGATTGTCTAAACTCCTCCTCGTTCTCCTTTTTCACATCAACAGCAATCTCTTTAATCCTTTCAACACACAATTCACAAGCCTTTCTATATGCCTTGGTAATCAAGTATGAGCTTACGCCATCTTCAATGAATCCCTTGGCTTCTTTTAACAACTCTCCGGCTAAAATGGTAACTGAAGTAGTTCCATCTCCAACTTCAGCATCTTGTGATCGAGAAATATCAACCAACATTTGTGCTGCTGGGTGGACAATGTCCAACAATTTCAAAATTGTAGCTCCGTCATTTGATATGGTGGTTTTCCCATTCGATGATACTATAAGAATATCAGATCCAAAGGGACCCAATGTTGGACGCAATGTATCTTGTATTGCTAGACAAGCATTTATATTTGTAATGATCTGCCCTTTTCCTTGAGACGTGTCGGTCCCTTCTTTCAAGACAACAATTGTTGGTGTCTGGTTAGAAAATGCCATTGCAGTTGGGCTATGCTGTGGTGACAATTGAGTAAAGAGGTAAAGTAAATCTGGGTTTCCTTTGTGAATAGAAGATGGTGGAAAAGTTGATGATGAGAGAAAAAAATTGTTAGACTGAGCGCTCCGATTTGGGAACTAGTGCACTACCAACCCTCCTCCACTATCTAAAAAAATTTTCAACTATAAGCACACAAGCACCACTGAAAAACTGCTGAGCTATATAGTATACAGAATCCACCATGTTGTCTCGAATAATTCCCAACAGAGTCATAATAAATGCTGGAACTTTCCAGCAAACCAGAAACAAACAAACAATATCAATGGTTGGGGAAGTCAATCTATCTTCGCGGAGAGTTATGCGTAAGATCAAACTAGGCAAAGCACGTCCAGCTATAATGTATCAATTTGACACATTAGTTGAACTTAGTGATGGGTCCGTAATCAAGCGTCGATCGCAAGCTCCCAAGGACGAGATTAGAATGATTAATGATCAAAGGAATAGTTTAAGATGGAATCCACATAGAGCTGATTTGGATACGTCTGATTTAACAGCGACTGGTAAAATTGGTAAGTTTAGAAGTAAGTATGCTGGTTTCAGTGGTGAAGTGGAAACTGCAAGTGGCAAAGAAATGAAGAATACAGAAGCAGAGAAGGAGTTGTCATTGGAGGAAGAAGAAGCATTAAAGTCGAAAGAGAAGGAATTGAACAAAGCAAGAGACCAAGAATTGTTTGATTTGATGGGTGAAAATGCTGAGGAAATTGTTGGTGGTGGTAAGTTGTACGATAGGAAAGCTGATAAAAAGAGGTTCAAGTAAGGTGGAGATACGCAAATGCTATAGCTAACTTGTAAATATATATATATATACATGCACGAAAAGTGCACTTTCATAACGCCTATTCAAATGCCCTTGGTTTTAATGTTTTCCTCAAATATCCGTTTCCATCAAAATACTCCAAGTAGTCCATAATGGTATCCACACGCCACCCACTTTTCCTAAACTCTTCAATACACCATCTCAAACTTATATCATCGCCATCATTAACTGCATGCTTGGACATCACTTTCAAGCACTCCACCATTCCAAACGGAGTTAGACGAATTAATTGAGCAAACTCATCTAAAAACCCATACCGCCTGAAATCAATCTGTTGATAAAATTCATTTGTTTTGTATGGTTGGAAATCAACCTTTTTCAAGAACTTTGTATAGTATCGAATGGCTTGCCTGTTATTGATGGATGAAATTGCTTTGATGAGCTCAATGGTGAACGCCTCTAGCACTTGGTCGTCACAATCCAATTGCATAAATTTTAAATACAACTCTTTAAAAAACACTTGGTCTTTATTTTTCCACGTGTGTTTAAATACACTCAAATAACTCCTTTTGGTAGTCTCCAAACTCATTCGTCGTATCATCGATGTAGCTTCGGTAATTTTATTTTGTTGTAGTAATTTCTCCACAATCGTGTATAATTCCTCACAATTTATACTTGAATGTGCAAAAATCGTTTCCATAATCTTCTCCGCATTGGCTTCATCTCGTAGGTGAATGAAACTTTTGAGTAAAGCGGTGAGCGATGATCTTCGTAGTGGACTGCGAAGTATATTCACCAACGCATCAAATTTATCACGCGAGTGTTGTGAATAAAATGAAAGCTTGTAATCAATCATGAACTCAGTGTCTAGACAAGCAGGCAACTGGTCTAGCTCCTTCTCAATAATGTTTTTGTCATGATAAAGTTGAAATGCTGTGGTCAACTTTTCCACATATGACAAGACTTGACTCCTTGATGGAGTACTCCTCAAGACGATTGGATTCGCTATTCTCCAAATTTTTGTTGCCATTAAAGCATCATTATTTTCCAAATTGACCTCCAACATTGAAAGTATGACACTGTGTTGCTGCGCAAACGACATTTCGAAAAACAAGCCATCTTCGATGCATTTGAAAAACAAATGATTTGCAAAATAGTTGCCGTTAACATTTGAACTCAAGTACATCAAACTAGTAAATAACTCTGTAGGGTCTATTCGAGTAGTAATTCGAAGTACCTGTAACAAACAATAGGCATTCGTGGAAAAATCTCGAAACGGGCTGGAGCTTATGACATCGATAAACAACTTTGTCGTCGAGTAAGGCACGTTGATGTCATGATCAGTGAAGCTTAAAATACATATAGTCGCCAATGATATACGATTCTCATTCATCATAAATTGCAAAAACTCCATCCTTAAGCTGGCTGCATCCACACCTTGAGACTCATACCTCGGAAGAATTCCAGTTCGTTGTAATATCTTGAAACTATTTTTAATCAAATTGGCATCATCCTTCAATACGAGTTCACAACAATCTTTTAGTATATATTCCTTCAACTTCTCATTACGCAATACATTCAACGGTAGCTTCTCTTCTTTGTAGGTAGCAGCAATATCTTGAATAAACGTGGAGTCGATTGTCGAATAAACGTCTTTTAAGCTTTTTACTATCTCATATGTCGATTTGAGTTCCGATAGATGTTGAATGCGAGCAGATGCAGTGTCGTAGCTTGGCGAATTCGTGGTTACACGTCGCGTGCAGGTAAAGCTTCCTGGTAGGGATCGTAGTATTCGTCGTAAAGGAGTTCTAATATACATATTCAGTTTGTCATCATGCTAAGTGTAGATATTCAGTGGAGTACTAGTTTTGCAATTCCTGGTGTTTTGAATTTTTTTTCTTTTGTTTTCGAGATGATGCAAAAAACTAGAGATTCTATTGTCCTACATAATTGCACAATCACCAAATCCAAACCCATACATAACCTTTTCCACATGTCTTTTAATCAATGGCCAGTCTTCTCGTCTTTGAACAAACTCGTAAATCTCTTCTTGTCCAAATATACCGTTGAATTTGGACAAGTCGCTAACCAACTTTCCGATCGATTTTGAGTCGTCACCACTAATGAGGTACAAATTGCCAATCTTCTTTAGTGCTTGATACAACGGCATTATTAGTCTCTTGTTTGATTTTATATGTTCCAACATGAACTCATAGTATAAGTTCAAATCTGAAATCAAATTTGTTGCTCCAGCAACTGATATCATACGTTTCTTCAACAACTTGACAATCACTTGAAAGAATCTTTCAGCAATTTCTTGTTGAAACACATCAACAACGGATTTATCGGCACTATCGACAAGAAGGTTCATATTCTCTTCGAGGATACTAGTGGCTTTCTGGGCCGCATTTGTTGGACCGAGACTCATTACCGAGTCAGAAGGAGGATTATAATCAGTGTCTAGTAGTAATTCTTGATACGTGGTCTCAATTTGATGAACAAGCAACTCAATTCCAACATTCAAACCATCAGCAACATTCTTGTCAACCAAAGCCTCAAGTTTTTTTTTACTCTGAAGTGAAGGGTTCAATATACTGTTTTCATGTTTGACAATCTTCTTGTTCAACATTTCCTCTTTGTAAAAGAAGTCCACCATTTGGATAATTACGTCTGCCATATTGATCAAGTCAAAAAATAGCACAATTGGTTCTGCAAATTTTTCGTTATGTTGTGTCGTGTATGTTGAAGAGTTGGGGTTATACGTTTGCAAATATGTCAAAGCTTTTTCAAAACCTGGTGTCAAATGCTCAATGCCAATTGTATCCATCACATCAATGAATATCTCTTGCGTTGACAGAAAAATGTCGTTTCTCAAAGATGCAATTGTGAAGTCCTTGAAGGTTAAAAGACGGTTCAATGAAGTTGTTGCATTGTTTATAATTTCAAGTACAACTTCAGGACTAAGAATCTTGTTCAAGGATCTAATGTTTTCGGATAATATCTTGGCTTTTGCTTGCATCTCAGTAAAGTTTTCCTTAGACACTGGATCTTTGGCGGAGCTGATGGCAAATACACTCTTAAATGAGGTTAAGAAATCATTTTTAGACTCAATCTTGACACTTTCAAGAATCTTCAGTGACGTCTCTGCTTCTCGTTGTAATATTTGCTCATTCCACTTGATTAATTTCTCTTGAGCATTGACACGAAACTGAGCCACTTCTTCTCGCATGTACTCGGCGGCAAAAGATTCAAACATCATATCAATCAACTCAGCAACCAATTTGTGATAAAAGTCGCCAACATTGTTGGAAGGAACCAATGCTTTAATCAAATTGACGGTCAACTTTTCATACAAGAATGGCACAGTATTCAAATACAAACCATGCTTTTTAGATGTTTCAAACACAAATAGTACTAGCTCTGATAATTGGTTCGAGATTATTTCCTCGCACACCTTGTACATCATAGGAATAGATTGTGGAAATATCTTGTCAATAATTTCGCATTGTTTATTGAACACCAGGGCTACGTTTGCGATCAAGTCATCAAATAATGCTGTGTTTATACATTGGTTGGCGAAGTAGTCATCAATATTCAAAGGCGTTAGCCCAAACATCTCCATATCCTCGTCAAATATACTCTTTTGTAGGAAGAAATCAATCAATGTTTGTTGATTATTAAGCGACACCAAGATTAATACAAACCTTTTCGTTTGTTCATAGTCCTCAACATCAAAATGAATTTCCAACTCTCGCAACAATGTATTTTCAAATTGTTCAAAAAGATCACTTAATTTATCGTGAGCAAGAGCTCTAGATTCTTCATTATGATCAACCCTGTTGTAGCTGAGCAAATTCGTTAATATCTTTGCTTGATCTTCAGGGGTTTGGAAATCTTTTAGTAGCTTGAGGTTGTCGTAGCTTTTGGTCACAAGTAAGTCGTTGTAGTACCGAAACAAGCACTTGTGAATCTTTAACGTTTGATATTTGGCATTCTTTAAAGATCGATAGACATAGTCCAAACATGTCAAGGGGCTGTCTAGATACGGCATTTTTGCATTCTTCCGTATATCTTCTTTGGTGACTTGCCTTGCGTGGTCCCATACGCCCATCTCTTTTAAAATGGAAACCCAAAGTGTGGGATCATTTACAGCCTCATGAGCATTTTTCGATATTAAACTAAAGGATAGAAGATCTTGTATGGGTAAGTAGTTGGCAATGCTCCGTGCTATCAGTAGTGGAATAACAGTCCTATTGTAGACGTCAATGTCTGTATTCCATATCACTTGTGCCATATCTTAAAGTTAGCATTGGCTAGGAGGTTATCTCAGTGTAAAAAAAAAAAAAAAAACAAAACAAAACAAAAAAAAATTACATCCCTCTTCATTCAATATCCAAGGGTCCTTAAATGTTACTACAGTGATGCAAAGATGGTTCAAACAACACCGAGCTATTGTTTTGAACACCTACATACGACGTCATATAATACTCCGCACTTACTCCACCAAGATAACAACATTCTTTGACAAAAACCCAACTCAATCCCTTCCAGAGAAGTTATCGACTTACTTCACCAACCTATTGACCGAGCAGCACGATAAAATGTTGGACCAACCGGTACAAGGGATAATCAACAAAGTACCGAATCTTGCCCGTGACTTGAAAAAGTCCATCGATATTGAAAACAAACTTTTCACTGTCTTATCATATGATCCTGTATTGATTGATCCACGTCTTTATCTTCATTTTTATGACTCAGGCGTTGGGTTTTCAGTCAAAAAGTTACTACTAGAAAGGCTATTGTACCATCAACAATATGCCGCCTGCTGGCATCTATTTATGGGAGATACATTGGATGACTTGGATTTGTTCTTGGAGACGACAAAGAGATTTCTACAAACACAAAAGAATAGTTTTGCCGTTATAGACCTTGTTATAAATCTACCAAATATGGGAGAGAATGAAATGTACAAGGCACTGGTGTTGGATGCATTGAACTACACGTTTGATGTGGATGTGCGACAAATACTACAGACTCATTACGAAATTAATGATTTACGAAACCTTAATGATATACTTGCATATTCAAGCAAAGACCTTACTTCAGCAATTTTATGTTTGAAACGAGCCATGAAAGTTTTGTATTATGAAGGGACAACCTCTTCTCAAGTACAAGAGATTTTATTGCAATTTCCTGATATTTTAATTCGTCCAGGCTGGATTAGCTCAATCTTGCCCAAATTTGAATTCTGGTCTTGCATGGACTTTTCACACCGACCCCAAGGTATCATACCCTTTACCGATGCAATTAAGGAGATTTTGTCAAGAGGTGTCCGCTTGAGTGATATGGACACCATATACTTGCTTCACTCAGATGTATCGCCATTCTCCGTGTTTCTGGTATACAAATTATCATCAATGCAAAGACTGATTGTCAACTATCTCGTCAAACTTTTAGTAAATGAATCAAATCACGAAGAATTAAAAGCTGCTTATTTTGTCTCAAGAAAGCAACTCGAATTACCGGTTCTTTTTTCATGTGTCAACAAATTACTTGAAAATGAATCGTCGGTATTACCATTGTTGAAGCAAATCGGAAAATCGAAAAGTGAAAAGATTGTCATGGGAATTGAATTCCAAAACGCTTCACAATTTTTGGAATTGATTGTTTACTTTAACAACAATCAAAAGATTGCACGATATCTTATCACTGCATTCACTAAATCACAGTACGTAAACATTGAGAGCTTGACTTTGTTAGCGGCATCGAATATCAACTCAAAAAGGACAATACTTGAAATATTTCGATCCACGTTGCTTCGAGCGAAAATAATTAACCCAACATTCATATCAGTTGTGCTAAATGTTATTTTGAAGAAAACCATTCCAAACAAAGGTGGATTCAAGAAATCCTTTTATGCTCTAAACAAAGAGCAAAAGACACTTATGCATAATTCTCTAAGGTCAATGGGACAAACAATGTCTCTTCTCAGCAATTCTGACTTGGCGTATGCATTAGACTGTGTATACACTGCAATACATCACACGGACTCGCCTTATTTCAAAGATAAGGCCGGGCAAGAATATATATTCAAGTCATTGTCGAATGAAGTTTTCAGATTTGTCGCAAAAAACGATGCACGGGTACAGATACTCGAAAGTACAATGGCACAGATGACTACTTCCACTCACTGGATAAAATATTGGCTCATCTACACAATGGTTCTCGACGATGTTTCCAATGCCATCAAGCTCTTGAAACTTTACCAAAAATCGAAACGAAAATTGGTTCAATTTTTCCCCGCCATGAGTATGGGTATTGTACAATCTAAGCAAATGGATATCAATAGCAAAATGAAGTATCTTGACTACTTTCTCACGCAAGCTGAAAAACTTCAATACGAAAATGTGCTAAAATTGACAGCTGGAACCGAAATAATTTGTCAATTACAAAAAGCTGCAAAAGATGAAACCTTGAACAAAGAATCTGTAATGTTACTTGCTACTTTTAGTCGGGAAAACCGTTATTTAAGGAGAGCTGTCTACATAAGACACAAAAGAAAAGAGGCATATGCTGACCTTCAAAACCGATGAAAAGGGGCGAGATGATGACTAGTTTGTATTGCACACTAGATTGTTTGCGTATGATTTCCCTTTCTGCCTCAGCTATAAATTCAATTCGTCATTGAGAGCGCAATTTATCATTTCTTGCAATAGTCTCAACTATTCTTGTCGGACTGTAAGAAAATATCAAAACCAAACGTACTTCAGCATCGAAAAAATTCTATAAAGTTCATCTATCAAATAACTCAACTCTTCGTATTTACGATTAAAAGACTTGATGATATTAGATCAGTGGACCTTATATCGTATACACATCCAAGTCCGTGTTTCCTTAATGTTTTTTACCTCTCATTCTTTTGTTCGCGAACCATAATGAGAGTTTGTAAATAAACCCATTGCATTCGGTGTCAAAAATTAACATATATAAAAGACATACACACACTCGAATTTACAACGGACTCAGGCCACATCTCTATGCTATAAGTTCCCTTTGTCGACGATGGGGGGAGTGTTTAACGAGAAAAATTCTTACAAGAAGCTCCTTCGGGGACGACGATGATTGTTGGCGTGGTTTCTTTGGAGCGCCCCAACCCTCATGCAATTCCTTAACTTGAAAAACGATATTTTTTGTCACAGAAGTTCCCACTAAAAAGAAAACTTGCCACAATAAAAATTTTGATTCGAAATTTGTGGGGACGGAAACGCGATCCTCCATTTCGACACAAGCCAAACGAATGTAAGGTCTTGGGTAATTGACCGAGTCCCCATTCGAACCTTGGGTTTATAGGACCACATGTATCCTAGAAAACGCGTTAGTATATGTGTTTAATTCAAGGATCTTTCGACAGACCCATAGGTCTTGCAAGACCTGTTTTGGCTCTTATCGCACTTCACTACTCCACTTGATATGATTGTCACTTTCTTGCGGGGTGTTGGTTAGCTGCTCTAAAGCGGTAAAATTCTCCAATAGCGTTTTGCTTTTATAATACTCGGAACTCATTCAAGCTGGCATAGTTGTATAAGCTATTCGAAAGACATTGCCCTTCTCATAATGAAGATCGATGACTTTTGTTGGAAATCTGAAACGCGAAAGAGCTACAAAATTCTCTTCAATGATTTATTTAAATATGTCCTCAGTGACTATACCATAATTGCAACTCAAGGATGTACTACTAATTTTGAACCCACTTTCATAATTTCGAATTTTGGGTCTCTTCGTTCGACCACTAAGTTTCTTTACCCTGAATCTGTGCCGTTGTGGCATGCTATCATGCGCATTGTTGTCGCGACTTAGTGGACTTGAGGAGTGTTCACTATTTGTAAGTGTGTGCACTTTGTTCACTCGTAATATCAGGTTGTAGGACGATCTTTTCTTGTCGTGCCACATTGACTCAATCAAAGACAAATATTTAAAATATGTTTTAAATGACGTGTCGACGTGACTCCAGAGCTTGAAATTAGTTAGTATCATTTTCTTACTATTTACACCAGTTGTTACTTACGTTGGAGACACCTTTCGATACAATCTTAAGTTCGTATGTATTTTCTTTGAGCAAACTCGAAAGTGTGCTTCTTGCAATGATGAAACTATTCCTTGACCGAAACTTGTTTTCATTTTCTGCTAACGATGGGGAATTCTGTACGAACTTTGAAACAACTTTTTTAGGTGTTACATTGATTGACAGGATGGGGAAGGAGTCAATGGTTGTGAAATCCTTTACACCTTTTAAAATGTTTTTTTCTATCTTGGGAAAGCTGAACGAATAACCACGCATTGGCACCGGAAACACACATTCACGAAATTCGCATATATTCTTTACCGCTGAAGAAGAGGAGGAAGGTGATATTTTCAGTCCTAATATTAGTGTTTCAAAAGTCACTCAACAAAAAAAAAAGGGCAACCCCCGTGACGCGTTCAATAGAGCAATTTGGCGGAACTCTGAATTCTTTGTTTGATACTCTAGTTCAGGAAAAGTAAATAACTGCAATAACTAATAATTCTAGTGTGCAAACTATCAGTTGCTCGTATACGAATGTGTGGCATATGTTAGCTGATGCCTTTCATTTACACTAATAACTGATGACATTACTTAAAAGCATCAAATTTCGAACACAATGTTGATCTTCTTGGTATGAGCCATGCCGCTTTTATCGATTCAGCTAGCTACATAAGTTTTGTACCTATGTCCATGAAACGAAAACGTTTTTGGAATTTGTAATTGGCAATGAGTTTCCAGTTCGTGCCACTTAACCCAATTCATAAGCTTCTTAGAAGTTGAATAGTAATTGGTTCCATCGATTTTCAAGTAAGGCAAATCGTTCCACGGCATTTATATATATTGCCAACATCGGATTACTTAACGATGGAATCTATGTTATGTGATTACCCTTCAGATATGAACTCCAAGCTTCACGGAGGCTAAATTACACTAGTTGTATATGCCTTGTGTTACCATCTGGAATTGGTCGTACAACCTGGTGTACATGCTGTTTAAACTCTTACCCACCAATGATGTCTCAACAAACTGATTAATCGACTCATCAGGCAACAGCAATTGTAGCCTCAGTTCCAACATCACACTAGTGTTTTCCCCGTTGTTGAAGCACGGAAGGCTCGAATCCTTTTGCATGAGTTCGACTATACTTACTATTTGGTCCGACTCTTTCCTCAAGACTTTAAAACAATCTTGACAAACTTCGACAAAAAGTTTATAAAACTCCGATTCCGTGCCTCCCAATATATCAACATACTCCGTTGTCAACTTGAATGGGGCTGCTTCAAACCCGATATTCGATCCTGGAGAATTGCCTAATAAGAACCCAAAATCGATATGAATAATATGACCTTCGTGATCAAGCATGATATTTCCATTGTGGCGATCTTTAATTTGTAATACATAGCAAATTATCGAATATGAGGCCAAACTCCTGGCGAAATTTTCCTGCGCTTGCCTATATTTCCGAGAACTTTCATTTCCGTAAAGCCTCTCAAAGTAGTCTTTCAACGTGAATATTCTTCCTCTCGTGTTAGAGCCGCTTGCAATCGATAACTCGGTGAAAGATTTCTTGATAGAATGGATCGACATGGCATTGGTAATAGTTTCAACTAACCCAGCGTTAGCACTGGTAATGAGGATCTTCATTCTCTTTGTCCAAAACAGTATCCCATGTTTCTTCCATATGTTAGATATCATAGTAATCAACTGACACGCAAAAGCCTCCTGCGGCAAATCATCACCATTCTTCACGATCACAGAGCACAAATCCCAGTTACTAAGATGGCCATATGCACTCGCCTTGCGTATTCTTTGTTTCTTGGAAGCCCAATCCTCGCTGATTTTAAAATCATTCTCAAGCTTTCGCTGACCAGCATCTTGCTCATCCGTCTTTAACTCTTTCATCGTCTCGTAATCGATACTTTCAAATTGATCTTGCAACGAAATCATTGAGTCAATAATCCGGTTTTTTATGGCGAGAAACTGTTGCGTATTGGCTTGTCCCGAGCTCTCCAACTGTTGAAGCATCACCGATGCAATTCGCATTTGATCGGCAAGAACCAGCGATTCAGGAAGGTTTGATGTGCCAGACGTTCCAAGTAAAGGGCTTCTCGGTTCATCCTGTGATAACCTCGGAGACATGGATCCCAACTTTGAGTTAACCCATTCACGACTTTCTCTACGCGATCCTAATATGGATAGTTCCCCCAAGTCTGTTTCAATATTTGCAATGCCATTCAATCCATCTCGCGCCGAAATGCTTCTCACATCCGATACGAGTGACTCTGTATCGTTGTTGTTGGATTCATAACTGCGCTTGGATTCGGTCTCTTGAAGCTTTCCGTTGATCAATTTTTGGTTGTACTCAGTAAAGGGATTGAAATCCAACTCGTCGCTTAAATACTCGATTAACAACAAGTAAGGAACTCTTTCCGCTGAGTTAAGCACGCAAGCTTCATTGATACTCAATTTTAAAATCTTATGGAACTTCTTGTTCTTGTTACTGGTAACCGGTAATAATTGAGGAATATCAATCTCGGATGGCAAAAGTGTATCATTGATGATCGCTAGTTCTGCCCTTAGCGCTGACAATCTTGCAGCTTTGGGGACCAGCGATAACCTCATAGAAATATCTTGAAGCGACATAATAAACTCGGTTTCCTTTTTGGAATAATTGACCCTGAGTATTTTGACAAGTTCCAGATACAGTTTGGTCTTTGAGGAAGCACTCGGGGAATTGATTCTTTTCGTACCTGCATCGGTTGAGTACCTGCTGGAATGAAGAGCCATTTCTGACTCTGTTGATAAAAGATCAGGTCTAGAGTGTGACCTTGTAAGATCAGGCAAGGACTGTGCGCTTCTATTCATCTCGTTTCTCAAAGAGCTAAAATCTTTCCCAAAACTCTTTTTACGTTTGATGGTAGTATTGATTTTCAAGGTATGTCCAACATTGGAAAACGCGGCTTCTTTGGAATAGCCATGTTTGAAAGTTAATTTCGTGTCTTCATCATCAGTCGTGTTTGTTTCTGAATCATCCAGCAGAAAATACAGAGGAACTTTTCTACCAAATCTGGAAGAATCAATTATCTTACCCCCTGTCTCATAAGCTTGCTTCTCTTCCACAGGGACATCAAATTTTCGATCGTCTGATATCTTCTGGTTCTTTAATGTGAGATTTTTAGTTAAGTTTTTTTGAAAATTAGCTACGTTGAATACAAAAGACTTTGGTTGTTTTGCTTGTGACTTTATTATTGGGGTAACGTAATCATGAGCGAGTGGCAACGCGAATGATGATAGCAAAGCTCCACTGAGCACTAATGCAGGATCTAGGTTTTCCCTAAATTCCCTTTTTCTTGATACACTGTTGCCCACATTAAAAAGGATACTTTGTAATTTATTGATGAAGTTGCGCACTGTTTGGAATGCATACGAAGCCGGCTCATTTCGAAGTTCGAATAAAAAAGCCTGTAGACACCAAAAGACAATCAAACTGAAATGATGGTAGTTTTCACAATATCTCAATAAGAAATCTTCTAAGGCCATTGAGTCAGTTTCAAACAGGACAAGAAGCTGGATAAACTGGGGAATGAAAAACTCTATTTCGTCATATGAAAACGAGTGTAGTCTTTGAACTAACGCGTGGTGAACACCTATGTTTTTCCCATTTTCTGATAGCAATCTGATGCAGCTAAGTAGCGAAAGCAGTGGCGAATAAACCTCCTTCCTCAATTTTTCATTCTTGAACATGTTGGTTTGCCGCAACTTTAAAATCGTGTCTTAATAGTAAATGAATGTTTCGACAGCGGCTTTTTCTTTGACCAATTTTTCAAAGGAAATGTACACGCACAAAGAAAAAACACCTACGTAGTGCAGAACAACAAAGAAATTTGTACTAACAAAAAACAAAATAGAAGTATAGCAGTCTAAAAAGTTACTTGACACCACCCAGCGATCGAAATTAGGGGCCATTTGTGACAGGCGAAGTGCACCTACAGAGACGAAAATTATCTGTGTCCTGTTGGTACTGAATGCTCCACGTATGGCGGGATATCGAACTTCTCAATGTGTTTCTGACCTGGTAGGAATGGAGCAGTAGCCAACACACTTTGGGTCAATTCCTCTGGTGAGTCGGCAAGATTGACGTGCTTATTGAAAATAACACCCAAATCCTTAGACGAATGATCTTGAGTATCGACTGGCCTAAAGTATCTTGGGCGAAACTCAACACCATCCTCCAAACGCTTTTTTGCTTTCTCACGCTGCTCATTCTCCACCTTGAACTTTTCCTCAGTAGCCGTGGAGTGATCTCTCCGTGCAAGAGCATCGGTTGTGGGTTTCCACAATCTTCTAGATTCATACTCGGATTGCTCCTCTAAGGGTCTGACTTGAGGTTTTACTTGAATGGTTTTGTGGGTGTCAATAAGCACCAGTTTCTTTCCCGTGCTCAAATCCTTGATATCGATGACATCGTTCCACTTACCGGTTAATTGAAACAACTCTTTCGAGGTACCAATTTCCTTAATGAATCCCTCGATTGCATCGTATGTTCCACTAATAAAGCCCTTGGTCTTAAATTCAATATCAGCTTCGAGTCCCAAAGCCTCGCATCTAACAATCATATGGTCGCCCAATTCAGTTTTCATCTTACCAAAAAGTATTCCCCTCACGTAAACGTTTGGTTGGCTCAATACATACTGTTCTTCATTCCAGTTTCCAAACGTGACTTGTCCTAACCCTTCCATTATTGCAGCTGAGGAGTTACCCAAAAATTTCGATTTGGGAATGACAGTTCCATCAACTCTGATCTTTTCTTTCGGAACCAAATAAAAATAAGATGATTTTGGGGGATGGTGAGAAGTTTGCTCAGACAAGTAGTAAGCATCACCTGCGTTGTATGGTAAATCCTTCCAATAACAAGAAAATGTTTCACCAAGTACCGGATTGAGAGGTTTCTTCACTGCTTTTGGCGCAATGTGCCACGAAGCGAGGTACCACTTCAAAACATTAACAAACCTTGCTACTGGCTCCTGGGTGTGGTTGGCTTCAAGCAATAGATCTGGAATCTGAAAAAAGTTCGTTATTCTTTCCAACATCGATTTCTTCTCCAAAATGAAGGTTGGAAGAGTTATTTTTGTTAAGTCCATGCCAGGTCTCAATTGTGCAATGATACCCATCAAGATTGATTGCCCCTCATTGTCCATTTCATCGATATCGTCTGTGTCACCTTCAGAGGATGCATTGGCATTGGTTGCTATAGCTTGCTTAGATTCCGCTTTCTCGTGATCGCCAAATTTAAGCTTTTCGAGTTTAGAAGTCAATCCCATCTTGTTGGCGCTGATGTTATTATGAAGAGCAGGTTGAAGTGTTGAGATTTTTGTAAAACACAGGGATTCGCAGGGAAAAAAGAAAAAGCAAACATATTTCTTCCATGAAAGTTCAAAAGTTCCTGCGCAAATATATTATAGTATACAAAATGTAGTTTGACTATCCCTTGTATTTAGCGATACGTCTGTAGAGGAATTACTACTATGCTGCTAAATACGTCGCGGCACAAAAAGGAGGGGGTTGGGGAGAAAGTGGTTTCTACATGGTGATTAGATACGACATTCTGTTCTCTCCGTCAAATTGGGTGTCGAAAATTTTTTCTGATTCAATCTTTTACCAAAAGAAAATACAACCTATGAACACACAGTCTTACGGAGTAACTCCTCCCATATCCTTATCGGATCCCACATCGAAGGAGAAAGAGCTAAATGACCTATTGATAAAGGAGTTAAAATTAAGGGGTTCATATGAAAGCGAATCTGCCACGTTAAAACGAGTTGAGGTATTAACCACACTTCAGAAGCTTACAGAACAATTTGTTTACGAAGTTTCGCTTCAAAGAAATATGTCTCAGGGTATGGCAAAGGACGCAGGCGGAAAGATATTCACTTTCGGCTCTTACAAACTAGGGGTCTATGGTCCTTCCTCCGATATAGATGCACTCGTGGTGGTGCCACGACACGTCACAAGAGATGATTTCTTCACGGTTTTCGAGAAAATTCTTAGAGGTAGACAGGAACTTGAGGAGATCAACTGTGTGAAGGAGGCATTCGTTCCCATTATCAAATTGGAATTCGCGGGCATCTCGATTGATTTACTCTTCGCCAAATTGGACATTCCTAGAGTTCCTCATGATTTGACGTTAGACGATAAGAACTTGTTGAAAAATATCGATGAAAAAGACATGCGTGCACTCAATGGTACTCGTGTCACGGATGAAATATTGAGATTAGTACCTAAACTGACCGTGTTCAAAAATGCATTGCGATTTGTAAAGATGTGGGCACAGCAGAGAGCCATATACGCCAATGTCTATGGTTTTCCTGGAGGTGTTGCTTGGGCTATGTTGGTGGCTCGTATTTGTCAGCTCTATCCGAATGCGGTTAGTGCAGTGATTCTAGAGAAATTCTTTCAAATATATTCACAATGGAGCTGGCCCCAACCTGTGCTTTTAAAGCAGATCGAAGATGGGCCATTGCAGGTAAGAGTATGGAATCCGAGGCTATATGCTATGGACAGACAGCATAGGATGCCAGTGATCACTCCAGCGTATCCCTCCATGTGTGCGACACACAATATTACTAGCTCAACGCAGAAGATAATTATGAGCGAATTTGATAGAGGTGTGGAGATCATGAATGGAGTGGTATCTGGTCAAAAGCTGTGGTCGGATTTATTAGAGAGGCATGATTTTTTCCACAAGTACAAGTTTTATTTGTGTGTCGTGGCCGCAACAAAGTCAAACACTGAGGAACACCTGAAATATAGCGGTATGGTTGAGAGTAAGCTAAGATTATTGGTTCAAAAGTTAGAGCAGGTTGAGGGAGTCGAATTGGCACATCCTTATGTCAAGTCTTTTGAAAACGGGTATCAATGTAAATCTGACGAAGAAGTTCACTCCATCGTCAATGCATACGGGACTTCACGAGGTGATGAAATTGCCACGCAACTTGTGTCTTTGAACGAACCCAAAGCGGAAGATAGTACAATAGAAGTAAATTTGACTAAACTTTACATCGGATTGAAACTAAATTTGACAAAAGATGGCGAGAAAAAGCTAGATATACAGTATCCCTGTGCAGAATTTTTTTCCATATGCAAAAATTGGTCAGAATTCGACCCCTCAATGCACTTTATTCAAATCAAAAATGTAAAGTTGTATGACTTACTGTCTGCTGTTTATATCGAAGGCGAACAGAGGCCCGTGAAAGCGGCCAAAAGAAAGCGTTCGCTATCAAAAGACGTAGGAAAGAAAAAAGCTAGAAATTTAGAATCCATCACATCTACTAGTTAAAGTTATATCAATGAAAAATTTAATCTTTTCAAAACCAGTAATTCCATATCCGTTTGTAAAGTGGCTTTTGCTTATTCAACAATCTCTTTTCCTCAAGTTCTGCACGAACCAAGTCCAAATCCACTTGTCGTCTGCCAGTATCTAGATCAATTTCGTTTAGGCTCTTGCAAATTTTCCAAGTTCTAGCGTATAGTTTGTGACCAACGTAAAAGACCAATATGACAACGGCTCCTAAATAGTTTTGGAAAAAATGCTCTGCATCTGCATTCTTGGAACCAATTGGAAACAATGCGGTCCAAAATTGTATGCCCAACACTACTAGCAAAAATCCCATTGCGTAGATGGAGCCAAAAATGCCTGTAATGGAAGTAAATGTCAACTCTTCTAAAGATCTTCCTTGTGCATGCATTGCTTGTCTGAAACGAAAATGACACAATGCAATGTTGAACCAGGAAAAGATTGTAGCAAGTCCTGCTACACTTAAAAGCCAGTCAAACACAGTTCCTTGATCCTTGTACGCCGCTAGGAAGCATAGTAAACCAAACAATGCCGAGAGGGCCAATCCTCCCAAAGGACGGCCTTTACGATCAACGTATGCTAGAATTTGGGGCGCTAGTCCTTGTAACCCCAATGATTGCACCGTACGTGAACAACCAAATACAGCTGAGTTTCCAACAGAGAGGATTGAAATCAATATACAAGCATTGAAAATTGAAGGTAATGCGTGAATGCCACCATTTTTGATGGCAATGACAAATGGTGAAGTGGAGGATGTACCGGCTCCAAGAAGATCTGGTGAGTTGTACGGTACTAATAAGCTAATCATCGTCAATGAAAGGAAATAAAACAAAATGAGTCTCCAAAACACTTGGCGAATTGCCTTTGGTAATGTTTCTCTTGGGTTTCTCGTTTCTGCGCTTGCCAATCCCACCATTTCCGACCCTGCCATTGAGTATGAAGCCGTGACAAAAGTTGTTGCAACTCCTTTAAACCCGTTAGCAAATGCACCTTTTTCAACATGCCAATTCTTGCCCCCAATGAATTCGTGTGTTGGACCACCACCACATACCAACACCACTCCCAATATAATAAACCCAACAATGGCAATTATTTTGAGAATGGTCAAGTAATATTCAGCTTCTCCATACCCTTTGACGCCAAACAAGTTAATGCCGTAAATAAAAACATAGAATATGGCAACCCAACTAGCAGGGTTTATATCATCGTTCCAATAAGTTATACACATCGCTGCAGCAACCAACTCCAACGGCATTACAAATAACCACATGATGGCATAATTCCAACCGACAGCAAACCCCCATGATGGGTCAATAAATCTTGTAGCGTAGGTGGAGAATGCACCATTGACTGGAAAAGCAACACATAGTTCACCCAAGGCATGTATGACACAAAACACCATTGTTCCCACGAGTCCCCAGGCAATAATCAAACTGGCAGGTCCACCTTTACTTAGTGAAGCTCCAGATCCAATCAACAAACCTGTTCCTATTGACCCACCAAGAGCAATCATTTGTACATGTCTATTTTGAAGGTCACGATGCAAGTCTCCTTCCTTTGTGGCATTGGCTTCTAGGTCAATAATTGAACACTTTGAAGCTAGTTCTGGTTCCTCGGCTCTTTTAAAAGAATCTTTGAACCGGCTCCATCTTGAAGGGCTGATTTCAGTTGTGCTTATCTCCCTACTTGTTGTAGACTCTTCTTTTAAACTCATATCTGGAAGAGATTAGGGATTTGAAACTGGTCAAAGTTGGTGAAAAGATACTTTATTCCAGTGTTTTAGAATCAGGAGATTTAAAAGAGAAAACTGACTCATGTCAAATCATATGGGGAAACTGCAAAAGAAAATTTTCATGCGCTAAACAGTCTTATTGTTAAAGCAATTCGAACGGCATTTTTGCAGTCAAGAAAAAAAAAAAAATTTCCTGAGTGGGTGCAGCTGCAAAAGCGGAAAATTTTATGAACGAATGAGGGAAACGAAAGCGCAGGACCAAAATGACCACTTGTAATTCAATCCTTGTGCGAATGGTAAATCTCCAGGCATGCTGACCAGTGCCGTTGTTATGAGACCGCTGAATATCATTTATTTCTAAGGAAGCTGGTGGTTCCCGGGCCGAAGACTCCTACAACGGGATTGAAAAAAAAAATTCTTTAAAATCGCCGTGTCTTTTAGTAGTCGTGTGCGACCCAATGCCAATAGATGAATCCGTAATTGAGTGGGTGGTAAGTGTAATGTCTGGCCAGGACTACTCCAGTGAAAAAATGGGAGCCCATCATGGTGAAGGAGTGCCAACATAAAAAAAGAAGAAGAAACAAATAAAAATTGATGGGGGGTACAGGGTCCTATTTATATGTTGTAGTTTTGTAAACAATACCTCGCTTATCGGCGGGTATGTCTGAAAAATGAGCCGCACCAAACGTGGTAAAGTGAGATTCGAAACTTCTGATTGCAAAAATCTACAACCACACGACATACAGCGATATTACATGATGAGGTTTAATGGATTTGGTTGGTAGTATAGGGCACAATGATGATACTTTTAGAAAAAAGAAGTGTACTTTTACCATTAACGATATTTGTTCCAAAAATTGATGCAAAAAAATGAAGTTAAAGTCATTTGTGAGTGAAGAGTTGACAGTGCTAATCTGTTTAAGGTCCATAATTTGTGAACAGCATTGGCAAATACAGTTACAACACAACGCTACACACATGGGCTTGTTGAAGAAAGATTGTGCAATGTTCACTCCAATCAAGTGCTTGTGCTTCGAAAGTTCAACACCAAAAAAATCCCAGTTGTGCTGCAAGTACAAGCAGCTGTCTACACACACTTGGTTGTGCAATTTCTGGCCCTACTCAAACCCTTCCTGATCTTCCACAGTTTATAAAACTACAAATTTAAAGTTATTTTGTTGTCGTGTTAATGGGCTAAGGAAAAGATTTTATCTTTTGTTTTTGAACATCATTCCACGACTTGCTTTTTTTTTACTGAAAGGTCACACTGCAACGACTAATTTCAAAACTCTTCTTTAGGATTCTAACAGACAATAACCCATTCATCAAGCCGCTTTTGTATCAACACCATTTCACCCATCTAAAGTTGAACTGTACACTGATACCCTTGAATACGCTAACGTTTCATTTTACAGACATACCAGCTCAAAACCACACACTTTTTCACAAGCAAATGTCATTCAACGCCCAAACTACGCCTATGTTTTGGAATAACGATCAATATCTGACACCAAATTTTCCAAGCCTGAAACAACAAGGTGATCCATGTTTAGAAGAAGCCGAGTTCGCTGAGTTAAACCAAGAAAATATTGCTTCTTTCAACCAGCAACAAAATGATCCTTGCGATACATTGCTCGGACAAACTGAGCAATTTCAATATCATCCAACAACTTTTCAACATACTAATGACAGCTTTGGGTATCAAGAGCAACCAGTGACATATCCTGTTTCAGGTTCACAGGGTGATTTTTCCTATCACAATATACCACCACAGAGTACAACCCACTCACATGATTCTCAGCAGGGCAATACAAGCTACGAGCTCAACAACTTTTCTCCACAGCAAGTGAATCCCCATCATCTTGCTTCACCGGGTACCTCAGAGACTTCTGCAAACTACGACATTGATAAGAAAGTTTTGAGCGAGCAAATCAAAGGAAACAAAAAGAAATCAAAGAGACAGTTGTTGGATGAAGAGGATGCCATATTAATTGCTAAGGATGATTCTGAGTTAACAGAGGAGGAGTTACAGTTGAAAAGGAAAGCTCAAAATAGGGCTGCACAGCGTGCATTTAGAGAGCGTAAAGAGACAAAGTTAAAAGAATTGGAAGCTAAATTATTACAAAGTGAAGAAGAGAGGCAAAAGTTGATGGAACAACTTGAAATGATTAGAAAGCAGAATTTGTCAATTACTACTGAGAATGAGATTTTAAGAACCAATGAAGGCTCGCTAATATCAAGTAAGACACCCATTAACAAGTTTCATTTCCCGCAATCACAAGATGATTTTATTGACGAAATTACGCGTGGCACGAATCATGAGGTAAAAAGAGAATCCATAAACAAAGTATACAACAATATCGAAGGAGAAAAGTTGCTAGCGCTTGGGGCCGTGTGGGATTACTTACAAATCAAAGCTGAAGAGGCAAATTTGGATTTGGCAACCATTGATGTTAATGAAGTTATGGATAAATTGAAAGGTAATGAGAAATGCCATGGTTTTGGTCCAGCATATCCCTTGAGTTTAGTTCAAGAAGCAGTGGAGGCCAGTTTTAAGTGATGTAGTGATTGGGCTGGATTGAATATTGTATTTTAGAGTAATAAAGGTGTAAATTGAGAAAATTCAATGTAGATGGGGGAAGCACCGCATGTGGAGCGGCTTCTCAAAGAATGTTCTAGCAAAAAAAAAACAACAAAAAAACACTCAGTAATTGTAAACTGTCGCAGTCTTATAAGGAGAGATTAATTTTCAAAAATACATCGCAACTCACTCACCAAGAGATAATCAAATTGCATCATCAAAGTTCCTACAATGACCACAGCCGACGAGTACAAAGCAGAGGGTAATAAATACTTTGCTGCAAAAGAGTTTGAAAAGGCAATCGAGGCATTCACAAAAGCTATCGAGGCCTCACCAGAACCGAATCATGTACTTTACTCCAACCGTTCTGGCTCTTATGCATCATTGAAAGAGTACGATCAAGCATTGAAAGACGCAGATGAGTGTGTAAAGATTAATCCATCATGGGCTAAAGGTTACAACAGAGTTGGTGGCGCTCAATTCGGTCTAGGAAACTTGGAGGATGCCCAAAAGGCGTACGAGAAATGTTTATCATTGGACCCCAGCAATGCTCAAGCTAAGGAAGGATTGAAGTCTGTTGAAAATGCTATTAAAGCACGAAACTCTAGTGGTGACATGGGACTTGGTGCTATTTTTAACGACCCTAATTTAATCACAAAATTAAGGAGCAATCCAAAAACAAGTGAGTTGATGAAGGATCCTGATTTGGTTGCAAAAGTGCAGCAGATTCAAGCTAATCCCAAGGCAAATGCAACGCAACTTTTATCTGATCCAAGATTGATGACTATAATTGCAACATTGATGGGCATTGATATGGATTTTCCATCTGATGCAGGCGATGTCCCGTCACTGAGTGAACCCAACTCTTCCAAGCAAGAAAATGAACCAAAAAAGGAAACTGAATCAAAAGAGGAATCAAAAGCAGATCAAGATAGGGACTCAAAGGAAACCAAAGTTGATGAAGAGGGGGACGTGGAGATGAAGGGCGCAGAACAAGGTGACAAGGAAGCTGCCGACAAGGCAAAAGCAGAAGGCAACACACTCTATAAACAGCGCAAGTTCGATGAAGCAATTTCGTCCTACGATAAGGCTTGGGATTTGCATAAAGATATCACCTATTTAAACAATCGCGCGGCAGCGGAATATGAAAAAGGTGATTACGACGCGGCCATTGCAACTTGTAATAAGGCTGTTGATGAAGGAAGAGATATGAGGGCTGATTACAAACTAATTGCCAAAGCTTTTGCTAGGTTGGGTAACATTTACTTGAAAAAAGATGATTTGGAGCAAGCAGTCAAGTACTTTGATAAATCATTAACTGAACACCGTACACCTGAAGTGTTGAACAAATTGAGAAGCACACAGAGGGAAATCAAGACTAGGGAAGCAGAAGCATATATCAACCCAGAGAAGGCAGAAGAAGCTCGTTTGGAAGGCAAGGAGTACTTTACCAAACAAGATTGGCCAAATGCAGTAAAAGCATATGGTGAAATGATCAAGAGGGCTCCTGAAGATCCAAGGGGTTACTCCAATAGAGCTGCAGCCTTGGTTAAACTCTTGTCTTTCCCCGATGCAATCAGAGATTGTGATGTTGCCATTGAAAAGGATCCAAATTTCATTAGGGCATACATTAGAAAAGCCAATGCCCAATTGATGATGAAGGAGTATGGTCATTGTATGGAGACACTTAATGAAGCTCGTGAAAAGGATTCCAAATTGGGAGGAAAGAATTTGCATGAAATCGATCAATTATTTGCCAGAGCCAGTACTCAGAGATTCCAAGCTATTGATGGTGAAACCCCCGAACAAACCATGGAAAGGGTTTCAAAGGACCCCGAAATTGTTCAAATTTTGCAGGATCCAGTAATGCAAGGAATCTTGGCACAAGCAAGAGATAACCCAGCTGCATTACAAGAGCACATGAAAAATCCTGAAGTTGCGAAAAAGGTTAATATGTTGATTGCAGCAGGAGTTATTCGTACTAGATAAAATGGGAGAAAATTTTGTAGATAAAGCAAGTATGGTATAAGCTTGTTACTTGATCAATGTAGAAATCTCGTGAATTTTAGAATCACAGACCATCTCTTGTGTACTGAGAATTCTTCTCGAAAGCGTGCGTCTAGACTTGGCTTCACATTTGGAATTCAAGTTTGTGCCTTGCAGTCATTTAACCATGTGACAACAATACAGAGTCGTCACTTCTCTTGCATGAATCACAAAGCATATTTAGCCATGCTTCATCGCCTATTTCTACAATTTTTGATTATTGTGTTTCTTGGTCGAATTAGTAAGCTGGTGGTAATGCTACATTGTTGGGGACAAAGCGAGATAAACCTTTTCTCAAGCTCAACTGACGGTAATAAGATTTATTTATTGAACTACTCAAGTTGGGGTGGAGAGTTTGGATAACATGATACCCCGTTATTGAATCATTTGTTCGTGGCACTTTCAAAATCCAAGAATCGTAAAAAGTCTGAGCCGAACAATACATACTAAACTCGATAACGCTTTTACGTGATACCATAGTCTTTGGTTCGTTAATTCTATGTATAAAACTGGTGACATGATTACCGCACGTAGAAGGAACGCATTCTACACACGTGCATCGAAGTACTCTATACATTCCTGGTATCCTTAAACAGTTCCTCAAACTCTTCCGTAATTGACCCACCAATGAAATCATACTCAAATTGAGCCGTAACATCCAGTTGAGGATTGCCACTTGTGGCTATATTCTCAGTGACAATAGGATGAAGTGATTCGAAGAATGCTGGTGGAGCAATCACTTGTTCAAGTGGTGGATTTTGTGGATTTGACACTGGAGGAGGGGGAGGAGGTTCAATGGACGGCTGTTGAACAAATGGTTGTTGCATTTCGACTGGGTAAACTTGTGGGATGGAGCTATGCTGGTATTGTGAAAAATGAGATGCAGTAGATGACGCATCCAGGTACCTCGGAGCGTAGTTTGCCATGTAGCCCAGTTGAGCAGGGAATTGTTGCTGAGGGTGAGGTGGCTGGTGCTGGTGGGAAGGTTGTCGATATTGATGCTGTTCTCGCAGATCTTGCATTCGGTATTGGGAAGGGACACTGGATTGCAAAGTCAGCGGGGTACATTCCACTTGATGTCGTTGATCGTTTGAATTGAATCGTTGGTGGAGATTCTGGGGTGTATGAGGATTCTGCTCAGTCATCCAGTGCTTACTAAATTGTCTTGTTCTGGGTGTATACGCTTGAGGGATTGCGTTGGAAGGTGGAACAAATTGTGACGAAGAATTAAGAGCCTGCCGCGAGGAATTTGGCATACCTGATTGTTCATCCAGAGGTTGACTCCCTTGTTCTTGAGATCTCGCCCTTGTCGAATTCAGTGGCGAGATGGCTTGTTTCAAAATATTGTCGATTTTCCTTTTGGTGGAACTGCTGTCGTTATGAGTGGCGCTATCAGTTTCGTTGCTGGTTTCACTGCTAGCACCGGTAGCTGTGTTGCTGTTCCTTATGCTGTTACTTCCTCCGCTGCCGCTGCCACTGCCGCTGCCGCTGCCACTGCCGCTGCCACTGCCACTGCCGCTGCCACTGCCACTGCCGCTACCACTGCTGTTGGCATTACTTTCGCGAGTTCTGTTAGCACTAACTCCAGTATCAACCTCACTTCGGGACGTGCTTACCCCCAAGATCTCCAGTCTTGTAACAGAATCAGCACTTGGCTCAACATCCGAAAAGTTGTAGGCACGAAACCACATTTCAAAAATTTTTGAGGTGGAGCTGCTGTTTATACCCAACTTACCCTCTGATGTGTAAAATTCGGGGAATTGTACAGGCAAATCCAAATGCTTCTGAAGAGCTTTGTTACCAGCAAACAATTTCATTCTGACTTCTTCATTCGTTATATTCATAAAGACACGTAACAAGTATCTAGTGACCAAATCAAACAAAGTTTGTCGAATGCAATTGCGTTGGATTTTGACACTTTTAGTCTTGTTTTTGTAACTAAAATATTGTAACGAAATTTCAATCATAAGTTTCAAATCCAGTTCTGCTTCGGGGGAGTTGGGATTGGCAAAGTGGGAACTCGCCAAATGACAAAAAGCAGCAAAAGGTTCGTATAGATACCAGCTGAATGATGAATATGGCATCATTCTTAAATTGAAACTCTTTACAATGTGAAGAATAGTCCTGGCACTTTCAAGGGAAATATGTCTAAACCCTTTCACTCTTTCAATTGTCAATTCATTCTCTTCTGTAGGTGGTACTTCTTGAATACCAGTTCGATTGATAGTCATCAAGTGCATATAAAAGTTCATATACATGGCGAGAAAATTTTCTTTTCCACAATCAAATGCTAATACCTGGTCCAGAGGTTTGTTCTTTGGCTTGTAAAAAAATCGAGGGTCATTGTAATAACATATCGTGATTGGGGGCTCAATAAAGTCAGCGAGATCTTGCATATCTTTGTTTATCTGATCAATGTAGGTCAAAATAGTGTCTAGCCTAGCATCTTGTGAAGGAATACCATAAATCAAGTCGTATGATTGCACTCGAATCTTTGTAAGGCGATACATGAAATAGGCCGCGCATTTATGCAACGTCTTATCCTCGCCTAGCTCACTCAACCTTGAAACGTCATTCAGCTTTTTGGCATCATCCCACAAGGTCCGCATCAGCCGGATACTGGATTGCACAATAGTGGCTGTGGATTTGTCGCCTTCAATGAGGCTAGCCAAACCATCTTCCCTCACTTGCAAAGGTTTCCCATAACGATAACAATAGGAAACCTCGTAAGTCAGACAAAACCACCATAATCTTTTGCGCATATTGCGTTCATGCCAGCTCAATCCTTCATATGACTCCATGCGATGAAACCCCAAGTCTTGTGCATACCTAACAGCTATAGTCACTGGCATAAAAATCAGCTTGACGGAGGAAATCACAGTTTGCATGTAAAGTATGAGCAATGCAAACGCTTGAACCGTTTCAACCCCTTCACTGGACAACACTAACCGATTGTAATAGAATATCGCCGAGAAGAAACATTTAGTATCGATTTCAACCAATTGCTTATCACTAAGTGATTGTAATATATGCGGCGTCGGTTTTTTTTTCATCTTGTTTACATTTCTTTCGTCCACGAGAATCGATATACAAAGTCCTATCAGAATCGTCATAATCATCAATTCTGACCATGTAAAAGACCTGAGCTTTGAATTCGGTCCTTTCGTATAAACCTTTTTGTTGTTGTTAAAGTAGCTCTCAAATAATGACTTGACATATGATGAATCACAAATATAGGATGCGATGTATATGTCATCAAAATAGGTGAGAATCTCGAGCGGGATCGATGCGTTGTTGAATGTGTTGTCTATAAGGTCCGTTCTACTACGAATAGTGGTCTTGATTGGCTGACAGATGGAGTCCATGAATGCATGAGAGAAAAAGTTGTATATCGAACCAATGTGTAGAATGTCCCTTACTTCAACTCGATTACACGGACCCAACCCTTGAAACATGGACTCCAAGGACGACTTTGAAAAAATGTCCAAAATGGAATGTGATGCAAATTTGTTACTTGTTATATGAGGTACATTTGGTTTATGATTCCCTTGGTCGGTAGATCTTGCCACATCTTCAGTTTTGACTCCGGTATCGTCTTCATCAATCTTTATAGGCGGGGATAGTGGTCGATTACCTTTTGATTGTTTTGTCCCGCGTATTTCATCAGTCAACACTCCTAGTAAATTCTCTATTTTGTCCAACTTCAAACTTAACTGCTTTATTGTTTGAGCCTTGTTCACTTTTGGCGATTTTATAGGAGCGGTTTTTGGAGGGTTTTTGGAACTGGGGTTTAACGCCCTGGCCTTGGGTTTCTTTCTGGGATCGCCAACGTAAACACAATCGCCATCGTTACTTTCTTGACAATGAAAACATGGCAAGTTCCCATCACACTTGACCTTTTTTAAACGGCAATATGTACAGGCTTTTGAAACCCGAGGTCGTTTTCGGTTCACTTCCTCCGATGACAGGTTTTGTTCCTGATTTGATGAATTTACTTGTCGTGGCGACAACGGTATGGTGGTACTATCCTGAGTGATGGTGCTGCCATTGGTGCCCGATGAAAGTAGTCGTGGCCGACGAAATAGCCCTGGCTTCGGCTGTTGATCCGTCGAGGAGCTCATCGAGGGATCTTGTTGTTGGTCTGACGAATTTGTTGTAACAGACTGCGATGCCAAACTAGACTGTTCCTGATGCAGTTGCAGATGGTTCAACAAGGGATCAGGCATTTAAAGTTTAATATGTTGTTTGGATAATAAGAAATTTTGCATATGAGGGATATCAATGTTTATATTTGGTTAGCTAGTGTCCTGTATAGCAAATCGATTTTAAAACAACAAGGGAGTGATAATGCATTCAGTGGGATAGAATGTATTTCCGTCTTTAATGTCGGCCTAAACGGATTCGCTCTCGAGTTGAATCGTTATTCCAACCAGCACAATGAAGAATGTAATTGGTAATTAGGAGATCTTTGTTGAACTATTGGACAATTTTGAAGCCACTGGAGATTGATGTTTTTTCTTTTAAGCACACTTTCCCATTCTTTTACCCTTGGTTTTATTGCTTCTATTATATTGTTGGTAAATGTACAAAGAAGGCGAATAATTGTTCTAGTACAATAATAATAATAATAATATTATTATAATTTGGGTTTTTGTACTTGTTTCTTTGATTTTAATCCGCATGCATAAATTGATTCAGTTTGCAAGCAGAATTTTGATTCCTTGTCTTATGTGCCATAATGAACACAATAAGAAATCACAGGCTTGAACAAGTTATATGAAGATGAAAAGAGGGGAAACCAAAACATTGATATCAACGAGAATGTTCCTGGTTATCTGTCGATTGCGTGACTCGAGGATAAGTTGGCGGTAAAACCGTATTCTGCACTATCGCAGGGTTCCAAAAATGTCAACTGGTAGTGGTGGCAATTTAACTTTTTTTTATGACAATAGTGAAGGTGTTCCCGGTTCACTGGTATAGACTACAATCTAATATAGTGACACCTCAGTGGCATTTTTCTAATCCAGGGAGGATTTCCCAGCACAAGCCGCTAACAACTTTTCTAAACACCGCTCGTATTTCGTTCCCTATTCGCAGAGGTTTTTCATGCAATTCTTCAAACTACTACAACGTCTGAAGGCGTTTGATTTGATATGTCATCTTGACTAAAACCGAAGAAACACAAAAAGAAAACCAAAAGAAAAAAGGGCTAAAGCTATTCGCCTCACCGTTGTGTTCTGTGCACCTTTTGTCCTTCAACCGTCCTACCCTTCGGCTTTGTCCGCATGAGATCCTGCGGATATTTCTTTATCCCCAGTTGCATTATATATAGAGCGGATGATGTCACTAGGCGGTGCAGCTAAAAGAGTTAGATTTGAACTAAAAGTATTTAGTTTTGTCCACGCCTTGATTTTGGACAAACACTTGGCGTTCGGTTTCGTATCCAGTTCATAATAGGTAGATGTTAGTGTCAAGCAGGGAATAAAGTTTGTGGTATACGAGACAGGGAAGAAGACGTTATCTTGATTTCCCCAATTGTATACGAAACAGGATTACTAGGAGCCCTTGTGATGGGCAGTAAATTTTTGGCTGTTTTACATACATACTTTTGCCCTCCATTTCTATTTCTCCAAAAGTAACTACTTGTTTTTGTTTCAAACATTTTAGTGAACCATTGAGTTTAGAACTTTTACATCATGTAAGGCTTACGCGCAGGTGGAATAGGGTGAAGGTACACAACACATAGAGCGAAGTGAGACTTTTCCCGAAACTACATGCTCTGGCGAAACCGTCATTATCTGTTTTCTTCACAGCACCAAGACTTGGCCTGAATTTAGCCTGTACCTACTGAGAAAAATTGCGGATAAAAAAAAAAATACAAAAAAATAATTACAGCTGCTAAGCGGCTTTTTCCACGGCTAGTGTTTCATTTGATTTCGAGCCTATAGTTTTCTTTTTACAGGCAATATTATAAAACCTCACAGAGATCTTTAATTCAAAAATACACGTTATGCGTTTACGACAAACTCACCAACTTCATGAACAGATCGGGTGTTTCATCTCGGAGGTAGGTCGTGTACCAATGTGAAACATTCTGAGGTTATTTTTTGACACAAAAACAAGGTGAAGAAACAACATTACACAATGTCTCACCCAACTTAAATAACGCTACCTTCTTCTCTTCTTTCGCCGACAAAGAGAGTGGGCGCTCTTTTCCTTTTTCCTGCTGCATGGGTTAAAAGATAATATTCAAATTGAAAGACAAGTGGGAGTGAGCTTTGAGTAACACATATCTAAGACATTGTTCTTCCTTTTTCTATGCATGGAATTTTCCATGGCATTCATAACGGTTTTTGTTTGTAGTGGGACCTACTCGTATACGTTACTGGTCGATGGTTAAACCAACCTGCTCTAAATTCTTGTGGCGTATGATCGACATCGTCTATTGTTTCCTCGTTTGGCGAAACCTGAATGTGCGGAGATTGATAAGATGTATAGAGCTGGCTATAGTTTATTGCTTGAACATTTATGCAAAGTCATTTAAATTGGTATCATCTCTATGTAAGACTAAACACCCCACTTGAGATGCTGAGACATATTAACTTCTCCATCCAAAATGGTTATCAAATGTCAACATTTCTCAAACTCTATTCATACTACATCGTCAAAATTTTACTATTACCAGTTTATGCATTAAATTCTCTAAAATACAGCTCTCATAAAAAATCAAACAAAGTGGACAGGCACAGGCGCCTTTTCTATATACCCAAGTTGTTATCAAAAAAGAAATTTGGCATACTGTTCATTTGGCTGAATAGCATATTCAGCACCCCGTCACTAGCCGGTTGGTTTGGTACATTGTAACCATTCATTCCCGATGCCGCTGAAGCTTGGGCCGCGTTTCCTTGCACATGCGACATTGAAGCATGAGTTGATCTCAAGTGAGACCCATTCGACTGATGATGCACTTGCTCCACCGGATGGACAAATGAAGGGACTGCGTTTCTGGGGATTGGGGAGATTCCAGGTAACTGATGATGAGGATGTGACAGTGGTGATGAATAAGCTTGAAGGGGTTTCTGTGGAAGGAATCTAACACTTGATGTAGTTGCATGAGGACTTTGGACATTATTTGTGTTACCATGATCAGGATGCATGATGTTTGATACAGCAGGATTGTATCTCGGAGATGATGCATAGGGACTTAATGTGTTGCCCATGGAACAAATTGACGACGAAGCCTCCAGACTCCATTCATCGCTAGTTTCAAAAAATGGTTGGCCAAAAAACGTGGGGAAATTAACCGAAAATTCAGTAGTTTCTTGGTACAATTCGGGAAATTTTACTTGAACACTATTCAAATGAACCCTCAAGGCTTCATCGTTCTGTACAACTGATATGCCCGTCTCATTTTCGTATGCACTTATTACAACCTTTAACATCAATCGCACAATTAATTCAATAGACACTCCTCCACGTGTACGAAGATTCTTATCGGGTTTGGCAAAATCGTCAACAAAATCGAAAAATCCCATTGAAGTCTCAGTCATTAATTTTATATCATTGGCAACATCGGGTGAGGTTGGGTGATTCAATACCGATGCACCAAGTGTTAAAAACGCAATTATCGGATAGTACACAACCCAATTGATAAATGTCGGGTCAACTGTGTCTTTGTTCAATTGCTTCATCAACACCAAAATAGTTCGAGCTGCATCCAACGATGTATTACGAAACTTTAAAATCTGGCTCCCGGCATCAACTTTGTCCGTTTGCACAACAAATGGAAATCGATTGATTACCATCATATGAGCGAAAAAGGCCAATTGGCCAGCAAGTATAGTTCCACGTTCAGGCTCGGGGATCTTCAGGTCAATAAAATGAAATAATGGATCATTGTAGAACCGAGGTCTATCATCCTCCGAAACGTATTTCGCCAATTCCGACATTTCCAGATTCAAATGTTCCAAGGCATTTGCCAAGGCATCAAAGTCACGTAGCCTTGCTGAAGCTGAGAATAATAAATTGTACGATTCGGACTTGATTTTGGCCATATGCATACCATAGAAATGATAATAGAACGATCCATCTTTAAAGGATTTCAACTTTTTCAACAATCGAAAACTGAGTGGTAGTGCTGGATCTCCAAGTAATGCCTCATCAGCCACTGCAATCGACATTTGACGATCCAATTCGTCGCCGTCAAAGTTTGGATCCAAATAACACGTGGATCCTTGAATGCACGCCGTCAACACATCCGTCTCTGTACAGGTTGTGACATCATCAATATTGATTGATGGAGGCTTACCAAACCTAAAACACATGTCAGTGTCATAATAGTAACAAAACCACCATATGACTCTTCTCCGATCCTGTTCTTTATCACTCAACTTGTTGAAATATTCAATTCTATGCAATCCAATCTCCTGAGCATACCTAACGACAACAGCTTTGGGTATATAGTTTATATGACTGGTAATCCAATTAGAGTCACAATAGGAAATTAGCAATAATATTGCTTCAATTGTTTCTAATCCCTCACTTACAAGGCATAGCCTATGATAGTAATAAATTGCATTCTCCAAAAGCTTCTCTTGCAAGTGATTTAACTTTGCGTCCTTTCGATGCCTTGTTTTATCCATCATTGCATCTAACCCCATCATTAAAACCGACGTCATCATCAACAATTCTGAAGCGGTAAAGTTTCTTCTCTTTGATGTATCACTTAATCCATCATAATACGAAATAAACAACTTTCTTATTGTTTCCGCCTCAACTAGAAAAGTGATCATGGGTATCGATCCATATAGGTCGACCAACTCCATCACGAGCTTTGAATCAGATGGAAATGGTCGATGCATCAATTTTTGTCTTGTATGAGCATCATTCAATGGTGGTTCAATCCATTTGTTCAAAAAAGTACTCAATTTATTATGACAAACGACCAAAGTGTTTTTCAATGGTGTGATACATTCAGCCCCACGAGGTCCCAATTTTTGCTCCATCCAATCCAACGAATCTCGCGAGAATATCGAAAAGATGGACTGGGTACCGATATACAGTGCATATCCCGTCATTCTCGGTAGGTTTGAGCCACCATCTCCTGTTCCATCAGCTGAAGCGACACCTTCTCTCGAGTGAGCAAATCCTTCTTTCTCGTGACCTCTATGACCTGCATCTGATGTTGCTGATGATGCCTCACGCGAATCTATATCCATGGAGTACCCGGTTTCCAGATGATATGGTTTGCTGGGTTTTTTAATCCGATCTGCGAGTAGCTCTACAGTGTTTGTTAGCCTCTCAAGGACGCTTTCGAGCTTTACCATGCGTGATTCCATCGAGCTAGATGAATCTCTGTTAATGCCTTGCTTTACAGGCACCGAATCTGTTTTCGAACTACTGTTGTGGCTCTTGTGACTCAGTTTGTGTATCCTAGGTTGCCTCTTTGTCAGTCTTTCGGAGTACAGACAAACTTTTGGCTTTTTTGACTGAGCACAATTTTCACAGGGATAGGACCCGTCACATTTGATCTTCTTGCGTCGGCAAATGTCGCAGGCTATTTTAATTCTCCTTTTTGAGTTATCTTTGGAATCAGTGTCGGTTCCGGGGCTATGATTTTCTGACGTTAATGTAGTCGAAGCTTTCGCAACTGAGGAGTTGCTGAAGTTGGAAGTGGTAGGGTTGTTAGTGGGTTCGCTCATGTTGCAGTAAAACCAATAGTTTACAGCCGGAAGGGTTGTGCTGTAAGGAAGATCTGGTGTATTTTTAAAGAAGCTAAGGTTGGACTCAACGCAATCTGTTAAACTCCCAGATATGGTTCAATTTTTGTTGTTTTTGATATTTTTTTTTCCTTCGCCTATTGACCTTTCATTTTAGCACTATCTGTAGGTCTCTTAGTTTAGTCATACATCATTCGTTAGTAAATTGCGGATTTTAAGTTATTCCTTTACTTAGAACATTTCAGAATTAATTCCGTAGACACAGACTGGATTAAGCCATCGTCATGGAAAACAACGTAGAGTTTGTTGAATGCTTCAATCGAACAAAAACACGGAACTTAGCTAGTGCCGAAAAAAAATATCCACCCATTATTCAGTGCAACTTTGATCTAGATTCATCTTCGGAGTTAGCACTCGTGAATGACGTCGGATGGGGCGCAGCATTTTCTGCTATTATACGATCGTAGGACACGAGTTAAATGGTCACTTTACCACTGGCTGTACTCTTCAACATTTCACGCAATGGTCGATTTCTACACTTTATAGAGGAGGTGAATAAACTGTGTGCGCATAGAACTAAATACGCTACCGTCAATTACTCAAATCATAGTTGAAGAACTCCGACAACTCATTGATTTCTCCAAACACAAATTGATTGAAATTTTCCTCATGTAACAACTTATCCAAGTCAACCATTTCTCCAGCGAGTGGCACACCAGTATCAAAATTGTCATGGAGCTGACCCATCTTATTAGCAGTCTGACTGGAATGTATTGAATTGCCACCGGCATTATACGTTCGTGATGATGAGGACGAGACAGGGGGAGCCGATTGCACAGGAGAACTCAGTTTCAACTCCGATTCAGGTTGAAACATTTCTGGATACTTTGATTGTAATGATTCAATATGTTCCCGCAAACCTGGACGCATTCTGTAAAAATACACATTGGCTTTCTTCTCCATAGTATCAATCAATATTCTCAAAAAAGAGCGAGTAACCATGTCGGAGAAAACTCTCTTGTTGTCAAGATTCGTTGACTGAGGACCGTTATAAGCGAAAAAGTTCAACGAAGCATCAATTAAAAGTAAGCAGTCATAATACGATGAAGCCTCTGTTGGATAAATTAAACAATTGCCCACAACACTCAAAAACGCAATAAATGGATAAAAAAGTAGAAATGGGAAACTGGTGTCATCAACCTTCCACAACAAGTTTGGATTGGAAACAGCTTGCAAAATTGATCTGGCAGCTACAAGTGACTTATTCCCATATGGTAAAAGCCTGTCATCCTCAATATTGAACTGCTCCAAAAAGGGAACCCGGTTAACCGAAAGCATAAGTGCATGGAATGACAAATGATACAGAAGAACATGGAATTTGAGGATTCCTTCATCACAGTCAAACATAGATAGTACAAATGGGTGGTCTTTGTGAGGACGAATAACTTCAGGCTCAATAAGCCGCGCCAATGTTTGCATGTCGTCGTTTATTTCATTGACAACGGTGAGAGCACCTTGGGTGTTGATACTCGATGGAAGCTTTGAATACAACTTGTAGTAGCTCTTTGCTTTAATCCGTGTCAACATGAGCAAAAAATGGCAAAAGTAAAATATTGCACCTTCTCTTTTCAAACTCTCAATCAATTGCGGTGCATTTTGTTCGTAATCAGGATTCACAAACAAGTCCCTTGGCACCGAAAAGATACAAGGGTCAACTTCACTCAAGGTGGTCACATCCTCATTATTAATCAACATTGGTTTCCCACTTTTGTAACTAACTTCAACACTCATGTACTCGGTGAATAGCCACATTTTCCGACAAGCTAAACCAGTGTCACGATCTTTGTCTTGTAATACTTCGACTCGGTGTAAGCCAAGCTCCCGTGCATATCTGACTAACGTGCCAACTATAATGTAGTTGACATGAAAGTCTGATATGAAAGACTCCTCAATAACCAAGCTCAACAAAGCAATTCCTTGAAGTGATCTGTACCCCTCATTGCGTTTGGAGACATAGTTGTACTCTTGCATAGCATTATCGAAATATTTTGTACGTAGTTGCTCAGCATCGGCAGTTGTCAAGCTTGCCAAATTGGGATGTTGAGAACCAGCAACTCGATTTAGCGACGTGAATTTGGATAGAGCTAATACCAAAGCTGAGTTCATTATAAGGTACTCGCTGTGGGAGATGCTCGACAACATTGATTGGTTGTTGGTTGAAATTCCATAATAATACTTTTCAAATAAGCTCTGCACGTCCACCAATGGACAAACGAATGCGCCAATGTATATTCTGCGATAGCAGGCTTCCAATAGCTCCAATAACATGGCCTTGTCCTTTGGAGCAAAATACTTGTCAACTGATCGTACCTGTCTCTGCTTATTCAACAAATTTGATGAGCGATCAACATCATTGCTTAAAAGAAGTGGAGCATTCTTTAAAGGAGCATATAACAGCTGGTCAACTAAACCTAATTGAGATCCCTGAAGACGCTCTTTTACCCATTGCAAAGAACGCGCAGAAAGTATATGCATTAGCGAATGAGCACCACAATATTCAGCCACACGTTTCATCGCCTTCTTTGCCACGCAATCTTTGTCCATAAAAGACGACAGGGGCCGAAGCATCTCCTTCATTGATTTCGAATCAAGGACATACCCTGATTCTTTGTGAGAAGACGAGCTGTCTGTACTTCCGTCCATCTCCTCATCACTCATGTTAGCACCTGAATCCTGCTCTGCGCTCAGCTCTTGTGTTCTTTGCATTTGTGAATAAATTCCCATCTTGTCTGAAGGGTCTAGATTAGAGACCAATTTTGTCACTAGACTCTCCAAAAGGGAAATTCTAGAATTCAACTCTTCGATAGTTTTTTTTTGTTTCGGCATCTTGTGTGGTTTCTTGATATCGTTGCTATCAGACGTGGTGATGCGTTTCTTTCTCTCCTTCGGAGTAAATGAATATGTGCATTCACGTTTGCGACTTATGCATTTGGAGCATGGTTCTTCGCCATCACATTTGGATTTTCGTTTCCGACAATAATCACAGGCAACTTTAGTACGAATTCTTCTTTCGCCATCCTGAGTGTACTCTGGGTTAAGTGGGTTATGAGTATTAGACATCTTACAGTAGCTTGTTCAAGGTAAGTTTAGTGGCACCGAGATGATGTTTTCTTTTTAGCAGCCAAAAAAGTCGAGTTTAAGATTTGACTTGTTTTGTATTTTTTTATTTTTTAGCTTTTCGTTTTGGTGTTCTATGCAGGTGTTCTATGCAGGTGTGTTAGATTCCGAGGGTATTCCCATGAGAGGACCAAAAATTAAACGGAGGCCTGCTATTTCCAGATGAGTCTCAATCATCACTACTGGAAGGGGGGGAGGGGAGGATCCACCACATTAGAGCTAGCAGAGAACACATTCTTGCGTTGCTTCTGCAGCCCTCTGATCCTGACATGGTAGTTGTCTCAGTGATTCTTATGGCGATTACAAATACAATGGTGATGATCTAGACCTATAACTGATGTTCTATGTACAATACGTTAGAAGTGATAACTCTATTGAAATCAATTACAGCTTTATACCTCTCACTATCACCTTTGTTGTGATGATGCCAACAAACTTCAGCAAGATCTAATGCGGATTATTTAAAAACTGTGCCAAGTTTGTATGATAAACTGTCGGAGGGCTCAGGATTGAAATACAACCGTATGAAGATCACCCATCACCATTTCTATTTCAGATTAGTTTTCAATAGTCTAGAATATTAAAATACGATAAGTGGTTAATCAATGGAAAACTATATATATAATTTATAATATCTGGAAGGATTTGTGAATAACACACTCTTTTTGCCACACTTATGGTTTTTGCGACACTGAACGAGACACTTATTAACCGACGCATGGCTACTACAAAATTTTTTTTCCGTCGTCCTCGAAGATATCCAACTTCCGTATCTTACAATCTAAATTTACAATAGCTAAAGTCCCGATGGCGCCAAAGAAAGCCACTCCTATCTTTGTCAACAAGGAAGATGGAAACTTCAGAGAAGCTTTGAAATTGTACGATCAAAAGCAATACAAGAAAGCTTTGAAACTCGTGGATGCAAATTTGAAAAAAAATTCAAATCATGCTGAATCACTAGCATTGAAAGGGTGTATATTGTACTTTACGGGGAACAAAGATGAAGCAGCAACTTATATCAAAAAGTCAATTGATAAGGATTCATCAAACTATCTCGTTGATCATTTGGTGGGATTGTATTATCGTGCATCGGAGAATTATGTCGAAGCTGCAAAGTGGTTTAAAGCTACAATGGATAATGGATCACCAAACAAACCAATTTTGCGTGACTTGTCATTCATGCAAGTACAGAACCGTGATTATAAACCATTGATTGAGTGCAGACAACAATACTTGGAGCATGCCCCTGGATTTAGAGCTAATTGGACTGGACTCGCTGTTGCTCAACATTTGAACAAGGACTATTCAGGAGCAGTCGCCACGCTCACCAAAATAGAAGGCATTATAAAGGAACACTTGACAGAGAATGACATGTACGAACATGGGGAGGCTATATTGTACAAGAATCAAATAATCTTCGAATCGGGCAATATCAGCAAGGCATTGGAGGTGTTGGAACAGGATCTTGAAAATATCAAAGATCACTTATCGTACTTGGAATACAAGGCCAAGTATTTGATGTTATTGGATCGGAAAAGGGAAGCGTCATTGGTGTATAGACAATTGTTGAAAACGAACCCCGACAATATGCAGTACTATGTTATGTTGGAATTGGCACTAGAAACAAACACCAAGGAATTGGAATTGAGAGTGAAATTGTATGACAAACTCGCATCATTTTATCCAAAATCAGATCCACCACAATATTTGCCATTGACATTTTTACCCGCTGAGTCTCCTTTGTTTGTGGAAAAATGTAAAAAGTACATCATCCCACAGCTTTTACGTGGAGTTCCAGCGACCTTTGTTAACGTCAAGCCATTGTATGGATATAAAGGGAAACTCGAAGTCATTGAGAAGGTGGTTACCGAATTTCTTGAAATAGAGGCACCAAAAAACTCAAATCCAACTGTTACCGTATGGACCTATTTTTATCTTGCTCAGCATTATTTATACAAGGAGGAGTTGGACACAGCCTTGAAATACATCAATTTGGCAATTGAACATTCTCCTACTTTAGTCGAGTTGTACATAATCAAGGCTCGGATTTTAAAACACCAGGGCTTGTTTGAGAAAGCATCGGAAGTCATGGATGAAGGTAGAAAGTTGGATTTGCAAGACCGTTTCATCAACTCTAAAGCCACAAAGTATATGCTCCGTGCCAACAAAGTTGACGAGGCCATTGATTGTATATCCTTGTTTACAAAACTCGATGAGGATGCTGTCAATGGATGTAAGGATTTGCACTTGATGCAGGTCAATTGGGTATTGATTGAAAGTGCAGAAGCATACACGAGATTATACCATACACAAGAAAAGAAGCTTGCACAATCTGACCTTGATAAAGAGAGCGAGGAATATGCATCTTTGGTGGAGAATATTGCCATGTACAAGGGATTAGCATTAAAAAGATTTCAAGCAGTTGTGAAGAATTTTAAGACGTTTTACAACGATCAATATGATTTCCACTCATACTGTTTAAGGCGAGGAACTCCTCGCGATTATATTGATATGTTGAGGTGGGAAGACAAAATCCATGCCACCCCTGTTTACATGCGTGCTGTAAAAGGGTTGTCTGATCTTTATTTTGAACTTTATGAGGAGCAAAAGGCGAGTCCAGAGAAGGCAGTTGACCGCGCAACGATTAAAAAGAATGGCAAAAAGCAAAAGAAGGCCAAAACAAATAAAAAGAAACTAGACCAAGCTGCTAAAGTCGAAAGTGAGAAAGATGATCAAGACCCATTTGGACTCACTCTTTTGCTGGATCTAAAGCAACTTGACTACATTGAACAGTTATCGAAGCTAGTCGAACCCTTGGCAACAGAAGCGCCTCGATCGAAATTAACTTGGGAATTACTTTTCAAGATTTATGCCACCCAAGGTAAATACGTTTTGGCATTGCAAGCAATCAAGAGTTTGGATAAGGTTTTAAACAAATATGGTGATAAGAAGTGCAAACAAATTGGAGATATGGTGATACAATTATCTGAAGCGAGCAAGAATGACACCAAAGCTAACCAAGCCATTGTCAAGGTTGTTGAAAAGGGATTGTACTCGGCATTTCCAGATTTTGAAAAATTATCGCAAGAGGAGTTTATAAAAGTATATAGTGAATAGAGCAAGATTTCATAGGCGCTTTTGTATTTTCAAGAATTGATCCAATTCTCCACTTGTCCTCTGGCGACGCCACCTGCAAGGTTAAGAGTTTGCCTACCCAACGGGAAATAACTGACTGTATACCACAACGCAGCCACTAATTGAATTGCAGCAAATATAATTGACAATAGGGTACTTTTCAAGCTCAAACTGCTAATCAAGGTCAATATTATACTAGCACCAAACACAATGGTGAATATGATTCTTGTTGATGAAAATAAATGCACCAAGTAAGCCTGAGCTCCTTGCAATACACCAAAGCTAATGAGAAAGAATATCAGCCCCAATGACCAAAGCAAAGCGAATTTGCGTGGTTTTAAACTCAAAACGGGGAACAAAAAGATACAAATGAGCCAACAACATAGGGCACCGGCAAAACATAACGCAAACACGAGCATTCTATCCCACCTCGATAGCTCAAACATCCCTGGTTCGGATGTGACGTAGTTTTCGTCGTCTTCCAAGTATACTGATTGACTGCGGAACGGATTTAGTTTTTGAAGTCTAGTTTTAATTGAGTTGGAAGAACCGGGTTGCGTCACTGGGGGTGGCAAGGGAGCGCCATCTGAAGTTGGGTTCTGACTCAATGGCGTATATTTCAGGAATGATTGGAAGAATGACATTTTAAGGGAGAAGCTTTGGTTTCGTAGGTGTAGTTGTTCGAGTAGTGGAATAGTTCGTAGATAAGTTGCCGCATTCGACTTCCAAAAATTAAAAAATCATTCAAATGCGTCTAAGCACTAAGGCCTAGTTCACATAGTTAGCACTACCACAATTCAGCTTCACAATGTCTACATCAGTTTCCGCTGTCGAGCCGATCAACCCAGAGAAACAGTTTGTACAAACGTACGTTCAATTGATGGGCTTATCTGAAAACTCATCCCCCAATCAATTTTACTCAACTCATGATTATGATAAGTTACAATCATTGGGGCCCAGTTTGCCCAAATTCAACTACAAGTTTCCTACTACCAACAGAAGGGAAGGAGGAGAAGCATTCGTCAAGTTGAAATTTAAATCAATCAAACCCCCATACAAAGTATCGTGTGAATTTGATGCGTCCACAACCACAACCATCTACAAAATCAAATCGGCATTGATTGCCCAAGCCGATAGTTTACAATCAGCTGGTATAACACCAGACAATGTTAAATTGATGCTCAAGTCCAAAGTTGTTCAAGATGCGACTACGTTATCAACATTAGTTGGTGACAGCACTGAATTATCATTTAATTGTATCATTACACCACCTACGAATAAAGATACAGACATATTACCATTAAATGAGGATTCACCATCAATTGTACCTCGTACCACCCTCAGCGCATCAGCATGGGAGCAAATTTACAAAATTGTCAAACAAGATATATCTGATCCAGCTCAATCCGAGCAATTATTCAAGAAATTAAAGGAATGTGAATAGTTTACAAATATAGGTTGTCTCAATCATTCTATTTCTTTTCTCATTCCTCTTTCTTTCCATTCTTTAAACCTTTTTACCACCAATTCATTCAATGAGTGGCCCTCAGCACGCCCAACCCTTTGCTCATACAAGTAATATGATGCGACCCCCATTCCAATGCCAATAATAGGATCAAGCGATCTTGAAATCAAGTATGGATACTGCATTGCGGGGAATGTGTCTCTTCAACTAAGTTGCACAATGGTTTTCATCCAATATTTCGTAATTGCCGAATTTAGTTGTATCCCTCAGACGGCTCCGATAAACAAAAGAAAAAAAAATACAGAAATGGGGTCGTGTACTTTTGCATCGATTTGCCGAAAATTTTTCTTCTTCTTCTTCCACTCAGCGAAAATTACGTGACTTATAACATCATTTCTTCATAAAACATCAAAGACCTAGAAAAACTACGTTTACAATAGTGAACTGAAAGTTGTTGATAGTAGAGGAAGAGGTTGAAAGAGTAAATAACCAAAAGAGTTTTACAAGTGATAAAGATGGCTGCTGTATTTCCAAGAACGTGTTACAAATGTGGTGAAGCTGGCCATGTTGCTGACGATTGTACCCAAGAAGAAAGATTGTGTTACAACTGTCGTAAACCAGGTCATGAATCAGGTGATTGCCCGGAACCAAAACAAGCCACTTCTAAACAATGTTACTCATGTGGTGACGTAGGTCACATCCAAAGTGAATGTCCTAACCAAGCCCAAGGTGCCAAGTGTTACAACTGTGGTCAATTTGGTCACATTTCCAAAGACTGTGACCAACCTCCATCTGGCCAAGCTCCCCCATTTAGGAAATCCTTTGGTGGTTCAAGAGGTGGTGGACACTCTGCTTCAGGCACCACTTGTTACAAGTGTGGTGGTCCCAACCATTTTGCTAGGGATTGTCAAGCTGGTACTGTCAAGTGTTATGCTTGCGGTAAACCAGGTCACATTTCCAAGGATTGCCACTCTGCTGCTGGAGGTTCAAATGTTGCAGCAAAGACTTGTTACAACTGTGGAAAATCAGGCCATATTTCTAGGGAATGTACCGCTTAAGATTAAGTTAGTACATCTTATTGCTGAAAGGTGCTGTGTTTTGGGTGACACTTTTTGATGTCATTTAAAGTGGTTGCTCTTTGGTTCTCAACAGGAATTTGTTTATAGTTAAATGAGGTTTTTTAAAAATTAAAAATGAAAACGGTATTTAGCGGAAACAATCAACGCGTAGGATTACTGGCGACTTATATATGAAGAGGTTTGTAACTACAAAGGTGTATTTTTTCATAAATGTTTTATTTGTGTTGCACCTTACTGGTTTTTAGTCTTTTTGTACCTTACTAGTTCTGATCTACTAAAAGAATCGGAAAATTACCCAAAACGAGATTACAACCACCACCAGAAATATCCTTCCTTGTCTCGTCAGTCCTAACCATAGACCATACCCAATGATTGAATTTGACAATGGGCGGATCAATGTTTGAGTAATTCCATCGAGCGTTGTTGGTTTCAAATATATTGTGGTTGGCCCGCTAACCACATTGGAACTACGTTCAAGAGCTTCAAGCAGCGAGAACCCATCAAATGAGATATCTGATCTTAAACCGGCAGGTAGAATCTGCAAACAACCGGACAAGGAAGATATCACCAGCTTTGGTGGATTGAACGGAACTGTCATTTCAAGATAAACTGGACGATGATCTGACATCAAAAGCGATTCTAATGAGTTGTACTCTTTAACCACGGGGAGATAATTACCTACTCTTTCCTCATTGTCAGATTTACCTCCATGAGGCAATTTCAACAACTGCTGTCCCAAATTGTCTTTGCCAACTTCTTCGTACGAGGAAAGATAAACAATTCGGTCGCACCACGACGGAGACCGCTTTGTGTTGTAAATTGCCGTATTCACATGGAATTTGTATGTTGGTGGAAACGTTATCCTACCTTCGGAAAAGTTTTGCAACACGTCTCCATTCCTCATACTCATTTTCAATTCATCGTACTTGTCGACTAGAGTTTCCACTTTTTTAAAATAGCTGGCATCAAGAATAGATCCATCAATCAACGAAAGCAATTCTTGACTCTCGGCACTGGTCGTAGAATAATCTTGAGTAGTTCTGTAGTTCATGTCTCCCAATATAAAAACATGATTCTTGGGCTTGATTAATCCATACCCATCACCAAAATTCAAAGATCGCATGATGTTGTAAAGGTTCTTGTTCCGTTGAAGATAATAGTATTCACCCTCAAATGCGTTCAAATGCACCGTTGCAAATGACAACTCAACAAAGTTTGTGCTATCAAATGCTCCCTCGGGGAAATACGAAATTCTAGCACCAACGCCACCTTTCAAGCTTGAATAAGCATAACCACAGCTGGTGGTGGCACTCCTGATATTTTTAAACTTGGCAGCAAAAGGTGTTATAATTATCATGCCTATAGCTCCAACAAAAGTCAGCGATATTGTCAGAAAGCCAGTGGGTTGTTGGTACTTCTCGTGTAACGCCAGCTGCAATAACTGATTTAATTGGATTAGCTTGGGATTGGCCGAAAATGGGAATAGCCCCTCCAATACGGTGCAAAACTCTTGAAACCCAAAGACATAAAGAGATGACAATTGGTCAGGTAGAATCTGAAGTAGTTTCGATTTAAACACCTCTGGTATTATATCTTGTTGATTGCAATTGTAGGTGAAAAAAAACAATGGAATTGGATCTTGGACTGCAGGGTGAGTTGAAAGTGAGCTGGACATTGTGGATAGAAACTAGTGTGGTGTTTGCTGGGCTGCGAAAGCTTCAAAAGTGCAATTTCATATCTAGTCTCGGTATCTTTTAGTTTGCTTCATCACAAAACCACCTTTTTTTTCTGTGTGTTTTTTTCTGTGTGTCTGCATCCACATCTATCAACACTTTTTATCACGCATGTGTAATTCACTTGAGAAACAGAGATCCGCATTGGAAAGTCTTGATGCAATCGAGGTTGCTTTATCTCGGAGATTTTTGAGAAATCCAGATCTACTTCCGAAAACATTACGCCCTAAACATGGCAATATACTAACTGAAAAGAGAAGAGTACATACTAAGCGCTTGTTTCGTCTTCAGCAGCATGAGTTGAAGCAGTTACTGGACGAGTACAATCTATTGTTGAAACAAGCTCTGGCGTCATTTGACAATGTGGCCCCAATAAAGCAAGACTTGCAGAACCTTAAAGAGGAGGACGACTCGCTTGTAAAATTCGACAATTTGATCGCTCCCTTGATAAACGATCCCGATGAAGGACGAAATGTTCAAGACACGCAACTGAAATACTCGTTGTTTGGTAGTGCTGACCCTAAAGATATAAAGATCAAGTTCAAAAAAGGAGATGGCAAGGAAATAACTATGGCAAGAAGAAAAGCTTTATTAAGCTCGGCCGCATCTCATTTACGAGATATTGAAATCAACGACATTCTTGACTTGAAAGAGTTTCATCAATACTACAATAAGTACTTTTCATCTAGTGAGGTTCCCTATGTCCAGTATTTGTACTCTTTCCACAAGTTTCCTTATGAAAAGGTCAATCAAGACATTTATCGTCCATATTTAAAGTCCCTTTATGAACTTTTGAAGCGGAAGCACCAACAATTGTATCCATTGTCGGATACAGATCATGTCCTTGAGACAATTGATACCAACATTAACAGGAACCCCAACCAAAATGAGGCTTCTCCTGAGCTTTATTGTGCTATTTGTGACAAACACTTTGCTACTGAAACAGTGTACAAAGCTCATCTTGAAAGTAAAAAGCATCTAAAAAAGGCTTCCAAAATTGAAGGTGAACTGAATAAGAATAAACCTAATGCTTGGTATGAGCAAGCTATAAAAATCATAGCCGGTCATCTAGAGGAAGTTATACACCAAACAGAAAAATACTTGGTGCTGTCTGAAAGAGCCAGGTTCAATGAGAATCAAGATGAACTAGATATCGAGAATGAGTACACAGAGGTTGATAGTAGTGGATCAGATTCTAATGGGGAATCCAATTCAGATTCAGAAACAGATGCTGATGCTGATTTGTTCAAAAATCTCCCATTGGGTACTGATGGTACGCCAATTCCATTTTGGCTTTACAAGCTTCAAGGGTTGCATAAAACATACACGTGTGAAATATGTGGCAACATTGGATACAAGGGCAAACAAGCTTTTGAAAGGCATTTCAGTGGTAGTAAACATCAAAAAGGATTGCAACTTTTAGGAATCGCCGAGGATATGTTTCCATATTTCAAAAACATCTCGCTGATTGATGAAGCTCAAAAGTTGATGCAAAACTTGAAGAAGGAGTTGAGGACAAAACAGAGCGAAATACATGATGCTATTGAAGTCGAAGACAAACAGGGAAATGTGATGAGCTATTTAGATTATTTAGATTTGAAAAAGCAAGGACTAATATAATTAAATTTTGAAGAGGTCATTATTATAAACGTGATCTTGTTTTCTTCTTCACTTGTCGCGATTGCAAAATCTTTTTCTTTTGATGTGACAAAATCTTGTCTCCTCGGTCAACGCTCTTTCATCATCAAGTTGCGACGAATATTGAGAAACATGTCAACAAATGGTGCCCCTTCTGGAATAAAGAGAAGTGGGTCGCCCTCACAGGGGTCCCATTTACGAGGTTCTAAGGTTCGCGATGCTCAAGGATTCAGAATACGCCAACAAGAAAGAGATAAATTTGAAAAGACGGCATTTGATCAGATGGGTGGCTCCAATAGCAGTGATGACACATTGATCGAAGGCAAGACCATTGCTGAAGAAGAAGCAGAAGGCGCAAAGTACATCATTGATGGGAAGTTGAGAAGAGTTACACCTTACTATTTCACGTACTTGACCTATTGTAAACTTCGTTGGAGAGATCGAATATTGTTGGATATATTCACCGATGAGTTTAGAGACAGAACACCAGAGGCATATAAAAAGGCAATTGAAGATGGAATGGTGAGTATCAATTCGAAAACTGCCAATTTGGAAACAGTTGTCCGAAATGGGGATCTTATTAGTCATCGCGGCTTTAGACGAGAGCCACCAGTTAATTCATCGCCAATCAAGATTGTGTTCGAAAATGATGAATTACTTGTCATTGATAAACCTTCCGGTATCCCAGCTCACCCCACTGGCCGATATCGTTACAACACGATCACAAAGATTTTACAACACGACATGGGCAAAACGGTGCACCCATGCAATCGGTTGGATAGATTAACATCGGGATTGATGTTTTTGGGCAAAACCGCGCAAGGGTCAAATGATCTTATGAAGCAAATAAGGGATAGAAATGTTTCCAAGGAGTATATTGCCAGAGTTAAAGGACAATTTCCCACGACAAACCTTACGATTGACAAGCCGTTGTATACCTTGAGTCCCAAACACACATTGAACGTTGTTGATGAAAAACAAGGCAAAGAAGCTGTTACCGAGTTCAAACGTGTCTCTTATGATCCAGTCACTGACACTAGCGTGGTAAAGTGTCATCCTTTAACTGGAAGAACGCATCAAATTAGAGTTCATTTGCAATACATAGGCTATCCAATAGCAAATGATCCAATATATTCCAACCCGTATATTTGGGGTGATCAACTCGGCAAGGATGGGAATGCAAATTATCTCGAAGTGATTTCCAAGTTGGACTCTATCGGAAAAACCAGGGCAGCTTCGAGTTGGATACACCCAGAGGAAGATGGCGAGGTGCTTTCCAACGAAATATGCCCACATACAGGATTGCCGTTATACACTGATCCAGGTTTTAACGATCTCGAGCTTTGGTTACATGCGTATTCATATAAAGCTGATGATGGATCATGGTCGTATAAAACCGAGTATCCTGAATGGGCCCTTGAATATAGCAGAAAATTCATGCTTCAAGCATTAAGGGAAGCAAACAAATGCGGTGAAACGCAAACACAATTCAATGTGGGGTGCGTGATTGTCCATAATGGTGAAGTTCTTTCAACGGGACATTCTAGAGAGCTTGAAGGAAACACCCATGCTGAGCAATGTGCATTGGAAAAGTATTTTGAAAAGTCTGGGAAAAGAGAAGTACCATTGGGAACTGAGCTTTTTACAACCATGGAACCTTGTTCCTTTCGTTTGAGCGGTAACCTCCCGTGTGTTCAAAGAATTTTACAGACACCTGGAATTAAAACGTGTTTTGTTGGGGTGGTTGAACCTGACGTTTTCGTAAAGGACAATACTTCTTACAAAATCCTCACCGATTCAGATATTGCGTACGTCCATATTCCTGGTTACGAAGATGAATGCTTAGAAATTGCAAAGAAAGGTCATGAAAAGATTTAATACATAGTAAATAACAATTTAAGGTGTTAACGTTCTTCTTCTTGACTAGAAAGATCCACGACAACCTCTTTTTTGGCATATACATAAACGTTTCTTCTGTTTCTGCTAGTTGTGGATGATGCTGTATTGAATTCTGGCTGTGCTTCGTGAGTGGCATTTTCCCCGCTGAAACTGCCGGCTCCAGCATTGGTATTTTTAGTTCTAGCATCATTCGCTTCATCCAAATCAACTTGATGATTTTCCCTCAGTCGTCCACTAAATGAATGAGTAGACACACTAACAGACCTCGGTATAGCAAAGCCAGCTGCTATAATATTATCTGTTAGTGTCAAGAATGCTTGTTTCGAAGCTTGCAATGCATGCAAGACCTTTGTAGCAGCTGACAAATCACTTGCATCAATGTCTGGTCTATCAAGGGTAGGGTTAGTTCTTCGTGAAAGAAGTTGTCTGTGGTTCTGGGTTGCTTCTTCATCACCACGTTGGATGGCGTTCTCGCCACTTGCATCATCACCATCACCATCATCGTCATCTGCTGGCATCTGCTCTTCAACGAAAAGCTCAAACCTGTCAAGCTCATACGATTCATCCTCATAAAATCGTCTTCCAAGAACACCCTCTTTTTCTTTAGCTCTCATTATCAAATTGAATTTGTTGCACCATTCCCATGGGATCACCACGCCAATCACATAATTCACAACAGAGAAAATCTCTGATAATTCATATATGAAAGCATTAGAAACATCGGCAATGAAAAAGGCAACCGGGCTATAGATCAAGATCAATGTGAGTAGGGTTAACAACCAAATTCGTCGATTAGCTATAATGATTTGTATTTTACTGATGAAATAGACGGTGATGATAGCAGCATAGCATAAAGCCATAGCAATTCTCACCAAGTAAATAAATGCGGGCAAGATATCTCCTGCTTCGTTGTTGACGTCAAAGAAATGAAACTGTGACACACCCCATATGACTTGTGATGTCAAAGATGCAGCACAACCGACATAAAACGTGAGACGTTTATCCTTTTGTCGCTGAAATAATCTCATAATAACTTGCACTTGATTGATTTGTAGAAGTAACACTACAATCAAGTCGATAATATTAACTGCTTTATTTTCGTTTATTTCATTCAAAACCTTTGCTCCATGAAGATACCCTTCCCTTTGTTGCAGGTGGAAAATGATGATTGATTTAACAACAACCACAAGAATATAAACTGAAGATAGCAACGTAGATAACTTCAACAACCACGATGGCTTAATGGTATAGTTGGTAAAGACAAAAATGGTGAGAAACCAAGTGATAACAGCCAGTACGGCAATAGCATATACGATAGATACCACACTGTAACTGAAAGACCCTCGAATGTTGTGATGAGTGAAATTTGCCCATGACTCAGCAACGATAGGTAAAGGCTTTGTAAACTTATCAATAACTAAACCGACGTTGGTGTTCAAAACGGGTATGGCGTCGCGGTAACAGTTCTGTACGTAAATAGCTTTCAAGATATGTTGTACTGAGTAATCATGATCATGCGATATTACCATGCCTTCATTCAATTTGATTTCCTCACACGAAGGATAGGCTTTTCCTTCCCACCATGTATTTTTCCAATACATGGTATTCAACGGTTACGTTGTGCTTAAATTGGAAGCTATCGGCTTTATCAGTGTAACACTAAAACCTCGTCCGAGTGTAAATCCCTCTCCAAAGGTAACTCTGTTTTCTATTTTTGTTTTCTTTTTTTTTTGCGCAGCGCTTAAAGTCCCTGCATAGCCAACTGATACACAACTAGAGAAAGATTTCCATGTTCTAGTCTTTCTGCAAGGAGAATAACTGAAACACTGACGAGGGGGAGGCAAGGAGGGGGGGGGGGGACCTTCGCCGAAAACATCAAGAGCCGGGAGAATCTTCTTTACATCTACTAGAAGTTTATTCGTCTCGTCCGTTGTTGTTGTCGCTACATCCAAACACGCGCAAATGGTAAGAGGTTGGATCCACCCTATCCTGGTGTCCCTGAGATTCAGACCACCAACTTCCGTCCTCTTCCCTTACATCGTAGAGTGTTCTACTTTTTCTTTCCTTGAAACTTCCCCTTTGCTCTTTTGTTTCTTTTTTTCCAAAAATTGTGCGTTCATGCGCCTGATCCGAAGTGTAACAAATTGCTGCATCAAGGTTTTATGGAATTTCAGGTACAATAGCGGCATAGCAGATCAGACTTTTTTCCTCTGCCTTTCATAACAAAACCTGAGCTACATCTCAATCATAGACTCAAAGGCTTTCATCAGATGGGTGCAGGCAGTTACTTGTAGTCTATGATTTACATTTAAAGAATTATCCGATCAAGAAAAAGTCTAGAAATTCAGGAATACATAAATACAAACATCTACTATGGCCACTACCGTTGACCAAAACATTGAACAATATCCTTCTATTCCAAACAACCACTTCGGTCCTAACAATGACGAATATCATACACTAGATCCCGGGTCCCTGACAACAAGCTTTGAACGAAATGTCCAACATCAACGCAATGAATCATCCTATTCGCGAAATTTTTCCATTCTAGATACATATGCCCAAGAGAGTCCATCTCGACGGAATAGTTATATAGATGTTGGGATTCCATCACCATTGCAAGATATCAACTCAGATACCTCCATCATCAAAAGTTTTGACGTCTCTACTCAAAACAATAGTACAACCAACTTGGATCAAAATGGGTTTGTCTCGATTGATAATTCTTCGGCAACGGCACTTGACACTTCATCTGAAAGAGACAGCTATATCAAACCAACCACAGAGGAGTCAGATGCAGAGATTTTAAAGTCCGACTTTGATCGGTATGGCTTCAAAAAGAGCACATCTCAAGGACGTTCTGTTGCGGAATATAATGCCTGGTTTGAACAATATTCGGAATACACTATCAGACGCAAAAAGAAGTGGGAAAGAGTCATGAAAGATCATGGGTTGCATATATTAACCGCGAGTACCTCATCATCCGCTGGTCGAAATAACGAGGAGATACCGACTAGGTTCCCGCCTAAGTCGGATAAGATAAAGAAAATGGTGAGGCGAGGTATTCCATCAGAATGGCGTGGCAATGCCTGGTTTTTCTACGCAGGTGGATACGACAAGCTACGGAAACACAAGGGACTTTACAATAAGTTGGTGGTTGAAACAAGAGATATCCAGAATAAAGAAACTGAAGTGATTGAAAGAGATTTGTTTCGAACATTTCCTGACAATATTTACTTCAATGCATCTATTAGTAAAGACCCTCCGACTCGTGAAGTCAGCTATACTAGGGAAGAAACCGCCCTAATCAAGTCATTAAGGAGAGTTTTGACTGCTTTTGCTCATTATCAGCCACAGATAGGCTACTGCCAATCGTTAAATTTCTTAGTAGGCCTTCTCCTACTTTTTATGGATGAAGAGCGTTCATTTTGGATGTTGGTCATCTTGACCGAAAGAATAATCCCGAATGTTCATCTGGCAGATTTGGAGGGTGTTCATACAGATCAGGGAGTTTTAATGCTTTGTGTAAAAGAATACTTGCCTACATTGTGGGACACCTTGGGGACGGATTTTGAAGGAGAAAGATTGAAGGAGGATAACGTATTGGCTCGATTGCCTCCAGTGACGTTGGTTACTTCGTCTTGGTTCATGTCGCTCTTTGTTGGTGTCTTGCCCATTGAAACCGCATTACGTGTTTGGGACATTTTATGGTACGAAGGCTCCAAAACCATTTTCCGCATATCATTGACAATCTTTAAAATGTGCATAGACTCTCCTGAGTTTCAAAGTCAACAAACTCCGGGAGCAGGAGAAAATCAACAAGTTGAATTATTTCAGTTTATGCAAGGGTTCCCCAAACAGATTTTAGACCCGAATTTGTTGATCGATCATTGTTTCAAGAAAATTGGTGGATACGGATTTGGTTCGTTATCTCAAGGTGAAATTGACAAGTGTCGGGATTTCGTCGCAAGACAAAGACAAAAAATGCATTTGAATACAAAACGGAAGGATTTAACTGAAATGACAGAAGAAGAGAAACAAAGCTTAATGAACTCGACAAGTGGTGCGGAGAAGGAGAACATACATGATGTTTATGGATTTCATAGATCTATCATGAGTGGAATTGTATGGAATAAAAGCATAAGCAACAAGATGAAAAGAAGATTTACAGGAAAAAGGGCGTAGTGTATTGGGCAAAATGTGGAAATCAAAGCGACTATATAGATATTTGTCTAGAAAATGTTCTTATAAATTGCGTCACTGGTTTTGATAACATCTTTGCATGCATCGACATCGTGAACTCTTACGAAATCGGCATGCTGCTGAATCGCCGAAGTGATGGTTGCTGCAGTAGCCATGACTCGATCAGACGGTGAATCTGGTTTGCCCGTGATTGTACCTAGAAACTTTTTCCTCGAAGTACCAATCAATACACTCATTCCGTTGAAACTGAAGTAAGACAGCGACTGATTTGGATTACCCCCAATACTCGTCTGCTGGTTAACCTGAATGGAATACTTTTTAAAAAATGACCCATTAGCGATGATGGCTAAATTTTGGTTCAAATTTTTCGCAAATCCAACTCCTGGGTCCAATATGATTTGCCATTTCTTTACACCAGCACGGAAACTTTTCAATATTTGAAGGGACAATTCTCTAGAAACGCCATTTAAAAAGTTATTCAACTCCGGGTCATTTGTGGTTTCTTGCTGTCCGGATTTGGGGTCGATAACAAACTCTACAATGTCGTCATTTTTATTTGCTTCATATTTTGTCAACTTGGACATTGTTTGTGGGGTTCCCTTTGAGTGATTCATGATATAAGGACAACCATATTCTGCCACCACATCAAAGATACGTTCATCATACCTACCCATCGATATATCATTGATAATGTCAGCACCCACTTCAAGACACTTCTTGGCGACATCAGATCTATAGGTGTCTATTGAAATCAAAACTTTGGCCAAATTTTGATCTGTTGACTGCCTTATTGCCTTGACAAGAGGGAGCACGCGCTTAAGCTCTTCTTCTTCCGATGGAGCGACACTCCCCGGTCTAGTTGAAACGCCTCCAATATCAATGATTTGTGCACCCTGTTTCACAAGCTTACCAGCCTCGGCGACAATTTCCTCCAAAGAAGATGAGTAGTACTTACCTGCATCACTAAAGGAGTCTGGGGTCATATTCAAAATTCCCATACAAAGAGTGGGCGATTTATAATTGATCTGATCAAACCTCATCACATTCTCATCTGTTGATATTCTCGGCACGGGAATAAATTGTAATAAGCTTGAATCCTTTTGAACGTGATCTTCAGGCTTATTGGTTAACAATTGTTGCAAATGGTCATGAAACGGTTCGGCACTAATGGGGTGAGTTTGATCAGGTGGTAATAGCTCACAAAGTGGCTGTAAAACAAATGTTCTTTCCAACATCAATTTATGCGGTATAATCAAATCGGCTGTATTGATTTGAACATTGTCGTAAAGTAAAATGTCTAAATCAATTGTTCGAGGTCCATTTTCAATCTCCTTGACTCTCGCCAAATGTGCATATTCAATTTCTTTTAGAATCTGTAGCAATTTGTGTGGAGAGTGGTCAATGAAGGACACTTTTGCAACTGCGTTGAAGAAATCAGGTTGGTCAAGATGATACATTGGTTTTGAAATATACATGGACGATGTGGATTCAAGAATGATACCATACCCTTGAAGCTTCTCTAGTGCTTTCGTAATATTTTCCATTTGGTTGATATTGGATCCTATCGCAATATATGCAACGTGTCTTCCCTTATAATTGTAACCCTCTTCGCTCTCTACGGGCAAATTAAAGTCCTCCTTATCATGTGCCACATAGTTCAAAGCTAATGGTTCAACGTTAGTAAAGTTTTTTGGGGTCATCAAAGAGCTCACACCAACACCCTCGACGTGACTGAAGGCATTTGGCTTGGTAACCCTAGCGTCAACGGACTCTATCCCAAGATTGGAGTAGTTTTGAAACGTTAGCTGCCCGATCTTGAACACCAACGCTTCAACAGTTTTGAAGTTGGATGATTCGACATAATCAACAATATCACGGACAACTTTATGGAAATCCAACCTCGGGTCATCCTTCTTTATCCAAATCTTCAAATCAACATCCACAATTTGCTTTTGGAGTCTTTCAAAAGTGAACACCCCGATGATAGTCAAGAGTCGTAACTTGGTGACGTTGTAGCTGTCAATATTAGCTGCCGAATCAATTCTACTACGAACCAACTCATACTCTACACTATTGGCTCTAATTTCTGACTTGGGGCTCTTGATTATTACTTTCGCAACTTCACTTCCTCCACTCTTTTCATCAAGGGCAATCAGTGCTACTGCCTCTGCTATACTTCCCAAAGACTTGAAATTTCTGTGTTCGTTTGACTTGAGAAAATCCGAGATGTGTCTCGTCAAGACCGCGTAGTTGACGCTATATTTCAAGTTGTCAGTAACTGAAGCTCTATGGAAGTCAGTGTTGAGGAACACGGACACGGTGATTGGTTGTGGGGCCGGTCTATTCCATGCATCTTTTCCTGTTATTGCAGTCGCTGAGATTTCTTTGACAAACACCAAGTCTGTTGACATTGTAGAAGTGTTTCGCAATTGATGAATGAATATCCGTTTCGGTAGCTGAACCCAAATGGGTTTTAGTAGTCTAGTGAACAATATTGTGGATGATGATGATAATTACTTTATCGAAATTTATCTTTTAATCATTTGGGTTCATTTTCACGCAAGAAAACTTTTTGCCCATCATTTGCACCCAAGCAGTACCCAACAAGAAAAACAAGCTCTACGTGGTAAATACCTGCATTCTCGCAATAATTCCAAAATGGATGATGACTGCAGCTTCAAGTCTGGCCTCGCTCGAAGTTTCTCCTACAATCAACATCTTCAAGAGAGATAATTCTATTCACAGATCTATTAACTCTAACTACCAACTAATAATCATCCTCTATTTCGATTTTATCTGCAATCGCAATTCCGTAATCAGTAGTTTCAGTGCATACAGCTTCAGCCGCATCGTAATCAAGCTTCAAGTCCTCCATAATCATTCGTATTATAACTTCATTGGCTAGCACATGAGTAGCAAAACTAGGTATGGACCAGTAGCTAATAGTTGGGTTCTTCCTTTGCTTCTGCAACTCGTTTTGACACACTTTGGTTATTTCTTTACCAATGATCGATTGCCTTTGAAACCCATAGTACCCGCCATAAAACAGTTCCCAATCTACTCTTGTTTGTTCTTTAGCTGTCATGGTTTCATGCGAGGAGTTTTTTCGTATCCTTTTGGCTCTCTCATAGTATATAGATGGGGGACACTTTCCCTCAAGCACAAGCTTCATCTCTTCAAAATGAGCTCGTGCTCGTTGCAAAAGCTCAGAGCGTGATGTTATAGGTTTAGGAATACCTTTCAGTTTGTGCTTCTTGGCGATATCCTGTTTAGTTCCATACTTGGCCTCCTCAAAACTACGAATCAAGTCTATTCGCCCATCACTAGTTGTAGATACCTTTAACTTTTTACGTTCGATCTGTTTGCTATCACCATCATCACCATCATCATCATTTAAATCGAGTAATCCTTCGATCTCGTCATAAATAGACAGTCTCTTCTTCTTCCTCGGGCTCGGGGTGATTTTGGATACATTGATTACGCCAAATTCTTTCTCGTCATCATCACTGGAATGCTTCTCTGGTTCCAACAGCGTGGGGTATGATTTAGTGTCTCGCATTCCTTGCTTCCCTTGCCTCCCTTGCTTTACTTGCAGCGGTTCTATCCTCTTATCTTTGCCATCTTCACTATGAACGTAAATTGGCCTCTTTTTTCTGGAATAAGTCTGTCCTTCTTGTGACTTCTGAGGTGAAAACCGCTGAGCGTTCATATACGAACTATCCCCCTTTCTTGGATTTGTATAAGACACTATACCTGTCTCCTGCGCATTGGGTGACCTTATGGACTTCTTTGGGTCGGTAGATGGATGATTTTTCCTTTTAATATCGAGACTCGAAAGTTGATTTGTTCTCATCTGTTAATATGGTCTGGCCGCAGCTACAGCGTGAAGAGAAGAAAAATAAACAAAGGATTAATTTGTTCAATGAAGTTTGTGCGAAGATTTGCGCCAAACAACGCGTTAGCAAATACGAAACGATACAAAATTCATATTAAAACTACTATACAAACTCAAGCACACCATGTCTATGCGCACTAACTCTACGTAAAATACCGTACTCCTTTTATCGAATTATTGTGGTGGTTGCTGCTGCTGCTGTTGTTGTTGTTGCATCATTTGCATAAACATCTCAGCTACACCTGGAGGAAATTGAGCAGGATTGGACATCCCCTGCATGCCTTGCATTCCAGACATTTGTGACATCGAAGAGAAGTTGTTGCCAACTGGTTGCTGTGCTTGTCCTTGAGGTGGAAATGATGGAAATGGTTGAGCTTGAGGGAAGGTAGGTTGCTGATGTTGTTGTTGGGGAGAATTGTTTCCAAATAATCCTTGCAATGGATTCACTGATGATTGTTGAAAAGTATTGAATCCTGGCAGGGACCCATGACTCATTTGAACTTGCTGATTTGGGAGTAAAGTTGTCTTCACGAACTCTTCATCCGGTTCACCTGGCCTATTTGATTTTGGCCCATTCCTTGCCGAATTAGTGGGCATCTTTTTCGACATGGCTTTGGAAGATATACCAGCACCAATTTCAATATCAGGTTCATCAATTACCATACCACTCGATATTGGTTGGCCACCAGTGCCTCCCCATTGTGCATTGACAACCCAATTCCTATCAGCTTCAGTCAATCTTTCTATAGGGATAATGGAGATACCATGTTGGTAATTGCAACACTCTCTGGGACCAAATCCAACACCCCAACGAGTTCTTAAGGGCAATGAGTTATCTTTGTTGAAAGAGGTAATAATCTTTTCCGCTTCGCTTCTTGAATACACCTTGACGAAAGCATGTTTTCTTTCACTGTTCAAAATGACTGATTGAATTTCAGCAAATGGTCTCAATACTTGTGCCAATGCTCTCTCATCCATATTTCTCGGAACACCACCAATAAACAAAGTTCTCGACAACACTTTGATGGTTCCTTGTGGCACACTCGGATCAAACCCGAGATTCCTTGGACGGTAGTGCGGAGTTCCCGGAAGATTCATTTCACCATTCATTGCCGAAGGAGGCACAAACGCAGGATCCTTGTTGAACTGATGAGAATTGGCATTACGGTGATGATTTTGTTGATATTGTTGTGGTGGTGATTGGTATCCTTGGTTGTTGTTGTTGCTGTTGGCAGCAGCAGCCGCCTTTTGTTGTTTCAAATTCTGAATATTCTGTTGCAACGCAAGGACTGAAGGAGCAGCGACAGGGGATTTGATTTGTCTGGTGGGTGACCTGGATCTACTCCTCTTGTAATTATTGGTTTGATCACGACTACCGCCACGTCTTCCTGAACTGTATTCATCAATTCCACCAGAGGAGTGGGTGCCACTTGATGAGTGAGAAGATTGCGCACCACCAGCTCCACCTTGTAATTGTTGCAACATGTTGAAAATAGCATTCTGGTCGTTAGGCTGTTGTTGCTGTTGATGTGGTGTCTGGCTTCCAGCACCTGCAGCCAAGTTGGCCAACAAGCTAGCAGTTGGGTCAGTGGCACCGTTTACGGGAACTGATCCTGGAGCTGCAGAATTAGAAGTGTAATCGGTAGCAGAGTTGTCAGCATCACCCTTTGCCAAAGAAGCCAAAGCCAGTAAAATACTATTGGAATCTTTAGACTCGTCAGAGGTGGGTTTTACCGGTTCCACACTTGACTTTGGTGGGGTTCCTGGAGGAGTAGTTGACTTAAAGTGTTTATCTTTGATCTTTCTCAAAATCTCCGAATCAAAGGTATGATTCTTATCCCAAATCTCCACCAATTTACCAATTTTACTGATAGTTACTGGATCCAATAGATACTCCATAGCATCATCCATCAAACTTTCAATTAACTGACCAATTTTGTACACTGCCGACGCAAAAGTTCCGTCTGGTGCAGATGCGTTAATTGTTTCATTGGAGGCAACAGCACCATCCTTCAACTTCCTCGTAACTGAATCAACCACGTATAAAGTACCTAATTTATGTGAAGGAGCAGCCGATTTACAACTAGAATAAAGCGCAGCAATTATTTTACTTTCTTTTTCCTTGTCAAAGTCCGTACTGGCAATAGTAGACAATTCTTTAATACGGGAACCTGAAACCCCTGGAGCCGCTAAAGTGGGCAATTCCTTGAGAATTTGGTTAAATCTTTCTATCAGCATCTTTGCCTAAGTTTGGCTTAACAATCTAATTTCCCTGTTTCTTTCTTTATTCTTAATTTTTGGTTTCAAATTACGAAATACAAAGCGTTACTTGCTTTACGATTTGATCAAGAAAAAAATACAATGAAACGACGTTGGACTACTTTGACCTGTGTCTTATTTTTAAATATTGAATACGTGCTTTGTGTTCCTAGTAGTGATTCTTGATACCCCGACTTACTGGTTGGTGTTTTTTCTTGTTGTACTAGTAGAAAAAGAAAGCAACGACAGTTGACGTCCCAGTAAAGCTATAAAGAAAATTTAAAGTTGAACAAAAAAAGAAGGAATCTTATTAATAACTGGTGTCTTACCTTTTCTTTTCTAAGTTTAGCTCTGGCTTATACAAAGTCAGTCTTGAGTGATTGATTGGTTGATTGTTATGCTCTTGGTTAAAGAATGCTTCTTTCGTTGGCCCTCTTGTGTTGAACGATTTTTTCTTCCTTTTCTTTTTCGCCCCTTCTTCACTAACTTCCCTCACAAAAAAATCAGCTGGTAGCATTTTTTTGTCTGCAAATTGATCGTGCTTGCACTACCCACAACCAAATACGAAAAATTTTCAGAAATATGTATACAGAAGGTTGGTGGAGACTAAACCAACTGGAATTAGCAATGAGCTACATCGGCCCTAAAGTAAGGGGCTTTCTAGCTACACAGATACGTTGCTACGCAACTACACAGTCTGCTACAGCAGCCAGCAGTACATCTTCCACTACACCACAATCAATATCACTGACTTTAATCTTATCTCGTCCTCCAATCATTACTCAGGACCTCACCCCGTTTGAATCACAATTTTACAAATACCAATCGGAGCTATGGAGAAGACTCATGTGGACATTCCCCAAGTGGTTTTATTTCAAACAAGGTACAATGGCTGAATTGAGATATCGACAAATCAACAAAAACCCCATAAGTTACAACCCAAAAATGTCATATCCTAGAGGCAAACCTGATTTGAAGCATTTAAGAGATAGACGTTTTAGACAATACATTAGATTGCCCAAGACCTACCGAGAAGAAGATGAAATTGTTGAAGGGCAAGATCAATCTGAGTTCAAAGAGAATGAAATATCACGTAAAATTGTCCCTGCTTCACGTATCACAGAAGCTGATAAACGAAATGATGTCACTTCATTGGAAAGAAAACTAAGTAGGACGTTGTATTTGATTATAAAGGAAACTAATGGTCACAACGAGAATTGGAAGTTGCCAAATTTCAAAGAACTGGGTGAAAATTTGCTTCCATTGCATACATTAGCTGAAGAGGGCTTGTATGAAATTGGTGGTAAAAGAATCAACTACTTTAATGTATCCAAAGTCCCATGTCATCATAATCAGAATAAAGAATATTTCATTAAGTCACACATTTTGTCGGGAAATTTCGAACCTCAATCGGATTCAATTCAATACCAATGGACTACAAAGGAAGAATTAAAGGATTTGTTGCCAAAGGATTATTATTCTGATATACTGCATTTATTGAGTGATGTATAACACGGAAAACACGCTTGTAAATAGGTTTTCATATCGAAAAAAACATCATCTTACAATCTATGCAACACGCTATCCGCAAGTAAACTACATAATCAGTATACAACTTTTTGAATCTAGATCTCTTTCTCTATAAATCTTTTTTACCTTTTATTGCTTGCTGAGCGGCGAAAACACTACGATCCATCAATGATCCAACCATCAACACTCCAGCAATCGAGCTCACAACACCCAAAATAAACCCCAGTCTCGTCTTGGCATACTCTTCCCGATTGATAATCTTTAATGGTGATATATCGAAATTGAATGCCACACCAGGAACACCACCTCTTGCATGTAACGTATGTTGATGATCCTCGTCTTTACCTCCAGCTAAGGGGCGATCATGGGTAATGACCGAAAACTGATTAGTGTCAAATTTGTGCTTACCGTCTAAGCTTTCAAAACGTGTAGCAACAATCTTGAGAAAATAATTAATCAGATGATATTTCTTGTGCTGAAGAAACTTGTGGCCATCTAATGGGGTGATGGATCCAGTATCAACTAATTTGCTCGCTGGTGGGTTATTACCAAATGATAAGTGGTTAATAACATGATCGAAGTTGAACTTGTCCTTGTATTTCTGGTACAACGATAAATCATGAACATGACGACCATCTTTGGTCATGGATGCACCAGGAGCAAAATCCATAGTTCCGGAAATACGATTAATCTTGGCTGTTCCCTTAACGCGGCATCCTTCATTTTCACCTATACGTTGTTTCAAACGTTGTACATAGCCCTCTTGTTCACATTGTGCGATATTTTCTCCGTCAAAAAACTGCCAATTGGCTTCAGCATAAGCCCGACGTACAGCAGCACAAGTATTACAACAGTATTGTTTCTTGTCTTGAGGGACTGCTCCATAACAAGAACCACATTCACCTTCGGTTTGACCTTCTGGTAAACCAGGGGCAATTTGTTCCAATGGTACTTCCCGTTGCAAAGCTGGTTGTTCATCTTTAATCTCCACCGGTTTTGATGAATGACCTTGTTTGATAATTCTGAATTTTTCCAATTGTGAGTTTATGATATCCAATTTTAAATCACCCGATTCATCAAACAAGTCAATTGAAACCAAATCACAAGGTAGGTTCAAGAATGAAATATCTAAATTTATATCCAATTGTTTGTTGATATCACGATCAACTACTAGTTCCGGTCTAGCTATCACTGTTGTGTAATCAATATATTCATTACGGATCAAGAATAATGCAACGAAAATACAAAGTAAAGTAATGATCCCACCAGATGCAGTCTTGATTCTGGCATCTTCAACCGTCTTGGCAAACGCATCAAGCGAAATTAATTTGGGTCTTTGAGATGACATCTATTAAGGTGTGGACTCTATGTGTATGCGTATGCGAAATGAGCGACAACTAAGGTGTATAAAGATGAACAGCGTGTTGTATCGTACGTGGCGTGAATTCACAGTTGGTTTAATTTTTTTTTTTTCATCAAATGATTCCAACACGACTCGGGTCAGATCCAGTACAAATTTCATACATCCAGATACACTTCCCCTCGTTCCGGCTGCCTTTCAATTACCTCATCAGACGATATCACGAGCAAAAATTTCATCCGAAATGCTGCTGGCCGATCCTGCTGTGAAATACCATAAATTATTCTTCCAAAAGATGTCGCCACAGGTACTTCGTGACAAACCATTGGCAGGACACACATCTTCTTCATCGGAGATAATCACCATCACAATTAACAATTGTGGCACGCGACTTGTCACATCGCGAACCGACAAATCATTACGGATCTGGAAATGCCAAAGCGATCGAATTATTGACCCTATAATCATTGAAGATGCTCATTCAAAAGCTGTTGAAAGTATATCATGGGATCCAAATAGTGAATCCACGTTTGCTACTGTAGGGAGAGATGAGTATATCAAGATATGGCGAGGCTCAACTGGCGCTTTGGAAAACGTAATCAAGACACCTTTGCAAAATTTGAAATTGATACGATATTCACTTGATGGCGAATTGGTTATTGTTGTTGATCGAGAATCAAATGTGCTATGCTTTGCCACTAATCAAAATTATAAAATTGTCAATCAGTTCAAAGTACTGGACTATGTGTATGACTTGAAATGGTTTAATTATAAGCACGAGTTTTTCATAATGGCACTACATGATGGGTCAGTACCGGTTTATAAAGTCACTGACACAAATGAGAGAGATGAAGGAGGGAATAGTGCAGGTGGTGGTTCAGGAGTTGACATCACTTCAAAAACAACCTTGACTGGTCATCGATCATCAGCTACATCACTTTCAATATCACCTAGAGGACACTATTTCACTATTGGTGCCAGTGAGGGAGTGGTTAGTAAATGGAGTACCAAATCGATGGTCAACTCGGGAGTCATGACAAACATCGATGAGGTTGTTTCTTCAATAGATATTAGTCACGATGGAGCTTTTGTCGCTGTTTCATTTGATAAGGATTCTAACTCGATAATTTACGATCTAGAAACTTGTGAAGAATTGTTTCAGGTACCAAATAGTGCTAGTGGTGACATGACTTTTAGCTCCATTTGTTGGTTTCCCAATAAAGCGGCATTCGCTTATAGTTCTGATTTTGGAACAACTTTATCTTGGATGAGGAAGACTGATAGAGGTGACAGGGCCGAAAGAGTGGAGAGAGGTGGGGGCCTAACGGGACCAAGAAGAAAATAGAGAAAATAGAAAAATACATTTTGTACTTGTAAGGATGGACTGTGGCGACTCCTTCAATTTATCAAAACATTAATTACAACTCTAATCTCAACCTCCCGTAGTTCCGTTTATATCCTTTCAGCAGTCCAAATGGCACCTCTACAGATCAACTTGATTCCCTCAGTTAACAACATATATGGCACTGCCTTTTCTGCATCATGTTCAACGGCAGTATCCAAGTGTTCCAACTCGTCATCTCTAAACTGACTAATTTGATTTTTCAAACTCTGCAACTCATCACTAACTTGTACACTCTTGCTCACATCGTCCTTATCCAAAACTTCCCCAGTTTCTTTGTCTCGCAATTTAACTCCATATTGATTAGTCAAGACTCGCAATTGTTGGTTATAATGACCACCAATCACCGTCTCTACAGCAACAGTGCATGCCATCGCCGCTTCTTTACTGATCAAAGCAGTACCCATACCTATCCCCATAGCACCCAATTTCCAAAGCGGAGTCAAGAGTGATGGACGCACACGACGTTGTGTTTGTAAATTGTTGAACGTGTTGTGATGATGGATTTCTTGGTCCCACATGTGTTTTAAAATTGGTTTCAAATGAGGGTACTTGTTGGCAAGTACGAAGTATTGACCCCTGTAGATATAGTTAGCACCTAGTTCACCAGCTTGATCAACGCGGATGACACGATCAAGGTATGCTTGTTGCGCTTGTGAAAGTGGACCGTACTTTACGTCATTCTTGGTGTACTCTTTCTTTTGATTGGTCTTATCATTGGATTGCGGTGGTGGTGGTGGGATTTGCTGATTATGCAAGCGTGAGGGAGCATATAGGTACCTAATCCCAGTGCGCTGTATATTATGTCTTGCTAGCATTATGTGGTGATATTAATGATAGAGCAAAAACAGGTGATTAATTTTTTCTTTTCATCAGACTATTTAATTTCACGCGGAGATCTAGACTTGAAAGATTGTTGGCTGCAAAATGGAGGCCAACAATCCAAAAGCATGATAATAAAAAATATTTACTACGATATCTAGCCATTACATCTAAATGAGCTAATTATTTTGAGCATAGAGATCCCAATATCGAAAGGAACCTCTTGGGTATCTCTTGAATTAGTTACCGGTTTGAACTCATTAGCTGGGATTTTCAAATGCTGAAAAAACTTGTTGGGGACATCTTTGATCAATAGCCATTCAACAGGAAAAATGCCCTTCCATCGGGTTTGCTCACACCAAATATCACTTGTTTTATTGTAATCGATGCAATTTTTCATTTGCGATACACCACAGAACTTACCCAGTGAATTAACTGAAAAGAAGAGAAAAATCTTTCCATCAAACTCAGGGTTGCCAGTGTTTTGCAATTCATGAAATGCCCTATCTAATCTTTTGTTTCCAAGTTCAGTAGACGTCCATATTTTGTGTTCAAACGATGCATTGACGTCAAGAATGTTGTATGATTTGATAACAAAAAATCGCGATTTTGGGGGCACAGTGAATATGGAGCCGCTATACGTTCTGAAAGTGAGTGATTGTGGGTTGGTCTGCCTAGTGGTGAGACTATTAGCGATTATGGGTGATTGGAGTGGAGGCAATGAGTTCATAGTAACAACTTGAGGCATATCCATAGCGGGTTGTGGCCGTGTAACCTCACCTTTAAATGCATATCTGTAGTACTTTTGAGTGAACAAATCAAGCTGTTGTTTTTGTTTTTGCAACTGTCGCTCCTTGCAAAATTGCGCATGTTGACATTGTTCCTGTCCAAGTTGCAACTGTGACAGGAGTTGCTTTTGCAATTCAATTTGTTGTTCCTCATGCTGCATCTGCAACTCCTGAAAATCTACTTTCGTGACATGGCTTCTAGCAATTGGCGAACTTTCGGCCCAAATATTACGACTCAATGTAATTGGTATTTTGTCAATGACAGATTCAATTGATTCAGTTGCAACATGGGATCTTGGTGTACAAAATAAATTAGTCAGGTGGTGGCTATTAGAACCATCATTACCATTCCCGCATTCTCCATCACCACCTTCCACGAGATAAAACCATGAACTATTTGTGGGTGTGTATATCGAAGATGTATGCATACAAAACTCTTCCATAGAAGGAATAAAATAATCCAAATTGTCATTGATATCATCATCATCGTCATTGTCATGGTGAGAGCCATAAGCAGCAGCAGCGATGGCAATCTTGTTGTCGTTACTGGTGGTGTTGCCAAAATTGTTGGTACTCGATTGATCATCAGTGGTGAAAAGGCTGTCATTTTCCGAATGAAATTGGGTTGAAGCAAGAGACATTGTGGTTTGGTGGGTGTGGTGGTACCCCGACTTCGCTGTAGGTGATATTAATAAAAGTCTCTTTTGGTAACCTTATATAAACTGATGAACGCACATAGAAGGTGTGTTCACACCCGCTAACTTTTTGAAAGTTCAAAGCAAGCTCCACTTTGAGTGTTGCGTTGGTGTTGTAAAACAAAATGCAGAAACAAAAAAAGCGGAGTAAAAGTTGATTGTACTAGTTGATGTGGTTTGCGTGAGAGATCTAGTATAGAGTCGTGTGGTAATGGTAGTAGTAGCTGTCGTGTACGACTTCCTTTTCAATTGATGTGGTGATGATATTAGTGGTGTTAGTGGTGATCAACTATTTAGCTTTTAATTGGTTGCAAAGTGTTGATATTTGTTTTCTGTATGACAATTGCGGGGATTGGCATCTGTCAGCAACAATTGTGCGTGTGTGGTGCTAAAGTTGTAGAGTAATCGCGAAACTCAACACTTTTGAGTTAGTAAGTTGTATATCATCAGACACCTGCCTTATGTAAGTGGGCATTGTGTAAGGTTTGTGTGTATTGCTAATTCCTAGGAGATATAAAGCGGGTGGTTACTACCGTGAGAATTATTAATGTTGTAACGTTGGAGTTGTCCCCGATGCTTAGTCTTGTTGGGTCCGTGTATAAAGTGAGTACGTTTGCCAGATATCACTAATATTGGACTATGTGTTTGTTTATGTGTTTGTTTGTACATCAGGCGGGATGTTGATACTCGTAATCTGTTTTAACTAAAGTGGAAAGCATAAACAGGCATGAACACATACAGCTACAAAGTATGAAAGTGTGCAATATACCCAACACTTCAATATTGCAACCTGTCCCTACTCCTTTCAACCCTTAATCAATTTTTATTTCAAAATGTAGAAAGATATGTGTAAGTTAATTTGGTGGAAAGTTGCGTTCCACTAGATTAACACACACAAAAAAAAAGCAAAGTGTTACGAAACGACATCAAGCACACAATGCACTTCAACATTTCACTATCCTTCAAACCTTTTGAGTTGGTAGTGTAATTGTAATTGATGTTGGAGAAATCAATGCTCATACTATATAGGGGCTCATTCGCTGATTGAAGATCCAAGTACTAGTAAGTACACAATGAGCGTTCTGTGCCACTGATCTTCTCAGGAAGGTATTTGCACCACGAACTATTACTTTCAAAAATATTCTTTAAGTCTTCCACTTAAAATAGATTGTATCAAGTAAGTGAACTACTTGTGTATGTAAAACAAAGTTGCAAAATAGTTAAAGTCGCAACTTGTGAAATAAATGACACTGATTAAAATTTTTGAGTCACACAGTCAACAAAATCCCTCCGAACAATATCCATTTCCTACGAGTGTTTGGCACCATAATCTATCAAACTCTTACACCCAGTATACTTCATCAAGCTTCAAACGAAGTATAAGAAACTTTGTACAATATGTCTGAGCCCAATGATATGCAAGTGGATCAACAACAACCACTGACCCAACAATATCAGCAACAGCAACAACAACAATCACAACCTCAACAAGCGATTCAACAACCACAACCACAACAGCCACCACCACAACAGCAACAACAGCAACACCATCACCATCATCACCATCATGGACACCACCATCACAAGGATCAAAATGCTCATACTGCCAACTACATTGGTAAATACCAAGTTCTTAAAACCCTTGGTGAAGGCTCCTTTGGTAAAGTCAAGTTAGCTCAACATACAGTTACAGGTCAGAAAGTTGCTTTAAAGATCATTAACCGTAAAACTCTTGCTAAATCGGATATGCAAGGCAGAATTGAGCGAGAAATTTCCTATTTGAGATTATTAAGACATCCACACATCATTAAACTTTATGATGTTATCAAGTCCAAAGATGATATAATTATGGTTATTGAATATGCCGGTAAAGAGTTGTTTGATTATATCGTACAACGAGGCAAGATGCCCGAAGATGAAGCTAGACGGTTTTTCCAGCAAATTATCGCTGCTGTTGAATATTGTCATCGACACAAGATTGTTCATCGAGACTTGAAACCAGAGAACTTGTTGTTGGATGATCAATTAAATGTCAAGATTGCTGATTTTGGGTTGAGTAATATTATGACTGATGGTAATTTCTTAAAGACTAGTTGTGGATCTCCCAATTACGCTGCACCTGAAGTTATATCCGGTAAATTGTATGCTGGACCTGAAGTTGATGTTTGGTCAGCTGGTGTTATATTGTATGTGATGTTGTGTGGTAGATTACCATTTGATGATGAATTTATACCGGCATTGTTCAAAAAGATTAGTAATGGGGTTTATACATTACCTAGTTACTTGAGTTCCGGAGCTAAACATATTTTGACAAGGATGTTGGTGGTTAACCCATTAAATAGAATCACTATACATGAAATTATGGAAGACGAATGGTTTAAGCAAGACATGCCTGATTATTTGTTACCACCAGACTTGTCAAAGAGTAAACATAAAAAGATTGATATTGACGAAGATGTGATTAGAGCATTGAATGTGACTATGGGATATGATCGTGATGAAATTATCAATATCATCACAAAATGTAACAAGCATTCGTCACCACAACTGCAAAAGAATGAAATATTGGATGCTTATTTGTTAATGAAGGAAAATCATTCATTGGTTAAAGATTTGAAAAAATCAAAACTGGATAAAGTTGATAGTTTCTCGAGTTCATCACCCCCACCAACGTCAAGTTTGGGTGGTGATCATGGTCCTGGTGGATCTTCAGGAACATCTGCTGGAAGTAGCATTGAAGCTGCCACTGGTGCCACAGGTGCTGGCGGTACTTCTTCATCTTCTTACCCGTCACACCCGGCCACAAGTTCAGCGCCAGGAGTTCAGCAATCGTTAACTTATCAAACATTGGCTGGTGTGCCTGATTTGTCACAACTTCCCAACTCCACTATTGCTATACTACCAACCAGTTTGCCATCTATCCACAGGGCATTCATGAGTGAACATCAACAAAATTCTCAACAACAGCAATATCAACCAACACCGGTTAAAAAGTCGAAAACGAGATGGCATTTTGGTATAAGGTCAAGATCGTATCCATTGGACGTAATGGGTGAAATCTATCGTGCATTGAAGAATTTAGGAGCTGAATGGGCCAAGCCTACTGAAGAAGAGTTGTGGACTATACGAGTTCGTTGGAAGTATGATGTAAGGTCTGGTACAGATTCTGACAAGACACCTAATTTAATGAAGATGCAAATACAATTGTTTCAGTTGGAACCAAACAATTACTTGGTTGATTTCAAATTTGATGGATGGGAGCTGGAGCAGGAAGAAGAGGAAGGAGTAGGCAATACAGGAGATAAGAAGGATACTACGTCATCGGCTAAAGATCCTCACAGACATCAAGATTTAGATGAAGTTGGTAGTTTTTCAGCGTACCCATTTTTACATTTAGCTACTAGATTAATTATGGAATTGGCTGTTAATAGTCAAGGTGCATAAGAATAGTACAGTTGTTGTATAGTGTTTGAGATTATATAATTGCGATCATTTGCGTGTTTTAGTGTGATGTATGTTATGGTGTTCTGTTGTATGTTTTGATTTAATCCCAATTAAGTTAAATTCAGTGATAGTGGTACAATAATGTTGTATACAGGAGAAAGAATTTTCCTTTGTGTTTTATTGCACACACCAAAGAGGGAAGGAGGGAAAAAGAGTGAGAGACAGAGAAAGAACCCATCAATCAACAAAAAGACTACTAAAAAACTGATATTCCTTTAGCATAGTACTTTCCATTAGAGCAACTATTCCCGTCACATTCCTTTAATCAATACTCCACTTCAAAAGTTTGCTTTTATATCGCTACTAGGAGAGTTGCTACATTATCATCGAAATCAGGCAATTTCATTTAGCAACCAACTGTTAGCACCTGGCAAGAAAACAGAAACAAGGGCGCTTACAGGCAACAAAACCAGGTTTTACCATAAGGGTCCCCCCCCCCTGGCTAACTCATCAAACTGTTACCTCGTATCTCAACACCACTAACCACAGAATCAATACTCGACTATACACATACATACAATAAAATGCATACGATAAATCTTGACGACGGCAGCAACAAGATATCCGCCGATTGTTCAATCAAACTAAACGAAGCCATTCGCTACATTTCAAAATCGAAAAAGACAACAGTAATCACCGGTGCAGGGATCCTGTGTAATGCAGGAATACCCGATTTCCGATCAGAAAATGGGTTGTACAATATGATTAAGCATAAATACCCAAAACAAATTGTACGAGGACAGGATTTATTTGACATCAATTTGTTTCGTGATGAAACGTCATTGGAAATATTTTGTACTTTTATGGAACGATTGTATCATTATAGTTTATTAGCAAAACCAACGGAATCTCATAAATTCATTAAACATTTGAAGGATAAGGGGAAATTGTTGCGATGTTATACGCAAAATATAGATTCTTTGGAGCAAAATGTTGCCTTGAATTTGGGGATCAATCAGCAAGATTTTGAAAGTGAACAAGCGCGGGCCGGAAGTTCTGTTGGTGGTAAATTTCGTCAATTTTGGAATAATTTGGATGTGGTTCAATTGCATGGAAACTTGCACAAATTATCATGTACCAATTGTTTTGCCGAGTTTGAATGGAATAATGAGTTTCAATCGATGTTTAATCAAGGTGTCAATCCGGAATGTACAAATTGTTACAACAAGTATCAACAACGATTATACGAAGGGAAACGAATGACTGGCCATATTGGTTTACTAAGACCAGATATCGTCTTGTATGGTGAAAACCATCGACAACTGGAAATTCTAAGTCAAGGATTAACCAATGATTTGAAAAGTAAACCGGACCTATTAATCATTATGGGTACATCTTTAAAAGTTGATGGTGTAAAGAAACTAGTCAAGAGTTTGAGTAAACAAATTCATGAACGTGGAGGTAAAGTTTTGTTTATAAACAAGACAAGTTTAAATAAAATGTGGCATCAATATGTTGATTATGAGATCTTGTGTGATTGTGATCAATTTATACGTATATTGAAGGCAGAAATACCTGATTTATTCTTGACTCAAGAACAATTGGATTCTAAAAAGTTGAAAAATAAAGCTCATGAAGAGATTCCTGCGTTTACTGATGCATACAAGTTGATCGTAAAACAGGAAAACGATGAAGATACTAAAATGCAAACAAACGGCAAGAATGTTCAAGTTAAATTGGAATCAGGATCAGCTGCAGTGTGTTCGTCGTCATCATCTACATCACCAGTACGAATCAAACAAGAGGTTCATAATGATATCCCCACTCCACCTGATACCCCGCCTAAAAAAAGAAAAAGATCAACGATGTCTACACAGAGGAAGCAACCGTCATTGAAACGAGAACCAAAAGTGAAACTAGAAAAGATTGAAGGGAAGAACAATGAAGACGGAAGAAAATTGAAACGAGCAAGAGATTCTTCTTCCTCTTCCTCTTCTTCCTCCTCTTCTTCAACACCAAATACATCTGTTGCTGTAAGTGCTGTCGCAAATGCTGCTTCGGCGTATAGGACACCTCATTCATCATTTGATGGGTCAATACCGTTGAGGCTGTATTCGCTGCTGCGATTGAATCAATGTTGAAAAACAAAAAGAGCGAATGATTATTACTATTTTCGTTTTATTGTATTAGTATCAAAAAGAAATAACAATATTAGTATCGAAGCTTTCTATACTCTTTAAATTGGTCTACTTGTAGCCGCTGTTGCTCTTTGAACTGTATATACTTTGGTTATGTAGCATTTTGTTAATCTTTGACTATGTGGATTTTTTCTTTTTTGCAGTTGCTAAAAAAAAGGACTGCAAGCAACCAAAGCCACTTCAAGAACTCCTTGAACACCTTACCGATCTCCATTGATACCACCCATCACACGATATAATAGATACACTTATCCCTCTGGTTTTTGTCAATAGATCCCCCACCCTTTCACAACGACCAAGTTGTTCGCAATTGGTGGCAAGAAGAAGCAGAAGAAGGGTGATCAGACTTTGCTAACTAAATCAACTCAAGCTAGATCAACAAGTGACACCGATCAACTAGAATACGCACATCAACAACAACGCCAACAACAACACCAGCATCAACACCAAACTCGTCTCAGTAATACCCATCGCAAAGGAATTAAAAGAATGGAATCGGTAACAAACTTACTAGGTAATATCCTATCCCTAGATGATGAAACCAAAACCACTAGTGGTAGCACTAGACACAATGCAAAACTGAATCAAACTCATTCGACGGTGGTATCTTCGTCACTGATACCAGCAAAGAAACGCCGATCTTTAGATTTGGATTTCAGTTCGTTTTGGAAGGATAGTAAAGAAGGGAATGGAGAGAGGCTATCAACATCAAAGGCTAAAGCCGGTGCCACTTCATCCACCACCGGCACAAATGCCACAAGCTCTTCCGGTGGAGGTGGTGGTGGTAATGAACATGATGGAGATGAGTCAACTGATGCATCAGGTGGTATCACCGGTGGTAGTGGTGCTGCTGCTTCTGCTTCTGCTTCTGCTTCTGCCGCTGCAAATACTGCCTCTGCGGCGGCTGCCACTGCCCCCAATGTCGCAACTACAAGTCAAAACTATTATGCTGATAAGTTGATGGAAAAAGCCATTTCCATGATTATACCAAACGAAATCTATGATGATCAAACCAACAAAATGTTACAAGATCGTCAATTGATGGCTAAACTACGTCCGCCTTTAAGCTTTGCTCTAATGCAGAAGAACTCCAACAATTTGCATCAACGAAACTCTGATATTTACATTGTTTTTAACCTGATTTTGAAATACGTCAATTGGATGGATCCATATTATACTATTGGAATAACGATGCTTATCACTCATATGATTTTGAAACCAGTCTTGTTTATATGTTTACCATGGATGCTACTAGTTGTTAATACTTTGCTTCCTCATTACTTGATGATTTACCCACAAGATACCAGTTATAATAATGAATATTTGGAAGTGAACCCCACGCCACTGCAACAAGCTTTGGAGCCAGCCAAATTACCCAAACCAGTTCCATTGTTTAGTAAAGAATTTTTCATGAATTTAACCGATACTCAGAATTTCATGACTTTGCAGAGCCACATTTTTGATTTCCAAACTTGGTTATTTGCTGATTACTTGTATTTTAAAAATGAGCAAGTAAGTTCTTTTATTGTATTGAGTTGTTTGGTGATGATTGCATCAACTTTACTTTGGTTTAATCACATTTTCTGGTTCTTGTTGAATCATTCGTGGATTGTGAAATTGTACTGGGTGTTTCTACTTTGGGGGTTTATTATTGCAATGCATCCTAATCAGCGATGCAAGATTTTGTCATGGGTTTATGAAGAAGATACTCGTTTGGATATACAAAATCGGGTCAATAAAATTGAAGACAAATTGACTTCAATCTTGGTTGATGATGGATTACAACTGGATTTACAATTGCACAATAATGGCGATACAAATAAAACATGTCGCAAATTGGTTGAAGTTTATGAGTTACAAAAATTGAATCAAGAATCAAACATTTGGGAACTGGTGGGGTTTACACTGGATTTTTATTCCATCAATGATGGTGTTCGCAAGTATAATTATACGATAAAAAAACTCAATCAAGAGATTGCGCGAGCTCAGTTCAGTAGTGGAAGTGCAATAGTTGACGATAATGGTACTGACATTGCCACGGCTCCAACCATCATTGAAGCCACATCCTTTGGTGGTGGTAGTGCTAGTGGTGATGGGGTTGGAGGTGGTCATGAGCACAATTACCTCACACTAAGCAAACGTGAATCAATCAACTTGGTCAAACCACCACAAGGTTACAAATTCACTTCACAAAGTAAATGGACCATTGATTATGATGTAGCAAATTGGGTTCAATCAAACTTCATTCAAGATTTAGTTATTATTGATGATGACGAGAAATGGGCGTATGATGTAACGATTCAACATATAACTTATGATGGAGATGACGCTGCTGAGGAAGAAAAAAAGCAGCAGGTTGCAGTTGCTAGTAGTGGTCAAGAAGATTCCAATAATGGGAATCATGGTGGTCCCCTGGCTGACAAATTGACTGATCTTTATGATGGTGAAATATATAGACGAAGAAGATGGTTGCGATACGTGGTGCGCGAAACTTACAAGGATATAGATCGTCCACCAGTTCAGCAATCACATCTTGCTTCGTGGGTGACTTAAAAAAAGAAGGTAAAAAGAAGAAAACTTGCATAAAGATAAGGATAACTATTTAATATATACTTGGCTATATCAAATTGCGTGAGAGGGTGCTTGGAATTTCTCTTTGTAGAGGATTTCATTTTAAAAAATCTGACAAGTTTAATGAATCCAATTTTGATGATTGATCAGTTTTACGTTGTTTCAAATTCGATAGTAAATTCAACTCGGCTTTTCTCTTTTTAGCTCGTTGTTTAGCTGATTTGTTCTTGTGATTGGGCTGTTGACTCTCGGACTCTTTTTCAGTACTTGTCTCGGCTGTACTTGTTTTAGATGTTGTGGTTGTGGCTGTTGCTGTCGTGTTGGCTTCAGATTCAGAGGTTGTTGACTCATGCTCCAATGATTGATTCGATTGCTGACTATTTACGACTGTGGATGACGATGAAGGTTCTGGTATTGCATGTGCACTACCTTTGCTACTGCCAGCGGGGGTCGTGATTTTGTTTGCCAGACTTTTCTGGTTTTTACTTCCATCGAGTAATGATTCATATGTCTTGCTACCACAGCTCAAACATTTAAATCTCAATCTCCTCCTACTACTAGCGCAACTAGACGCACTTTTGGTTTCTGTATCGGTGTTAGCTCTACTCTGTTCAATACTATTCTTTTCCTTCTTTTTGTCCTTCATCCTCTTCTTGCTGCTTTTGTTGTTTGGGTATGTGATACGTATAGAAACGTTAAGCCCCGGTATAAGTAGCACACCACAAGCACGGCATATTTTGTGACTAATCAACGATGATGATGCCGGTACTTGTTGTTGTGGAATAGTGGGTGTAGCGTGTGCCGGATTGGTGATATTAGTGGTAGCAGTAGTGTATCCATTCAAGTTGTTGACTTTATCAAATTGAAGTGAATATAGCTTGGTCAATGGTGATGATGATGATGATGTAGACGTTGCATGAATCAAATTGTATAAATGACGTGAACGTAATTGGTTAGCATCTAGATTTGTGGTGGCATTGGCCCTTGTCTTGAATTTGTTGGGTATGGTATTAGTTGATACAGTAAACGATGACATTTGTTTGATACATGTAGCGTTAGGTTAGCGGTTGATCTTGAACTGATGAGCTTTGTCTTTTTTGGTGTCACAATTTATTTGAATTTTTTGGGGTTGCGACAAGGAGCCAAAGTGATGCTACCAATTTGAGAAAATTGGTTAGATTTTAGTTAAAGATCAGTAGTATTATCTACATTCGTATTATGCTACTAGTTAAATACGTTTCTAGAGTAAGCCGAGAGTTAGCTGGTGCTGGTTGGTGTCCGGCATCATTGGTTTTCAAGTGAGCTCAACGAGTCTTGTTGGGATTTTAATAAAAACTTTTTGAATTAGTTTCGCTGCAAAAAATATAAGACGTTAAAAGTGTTGTTTCGGTTATATCACTAGAACCTGCTCCCTTTTATCAACTTTTTTCATCAAAGATGTTGATAAACACTACTACGATAGCTTCTCCTCTTCAAAAAGTGGAGTACATAACATTCTAACCCCCTAGGTATAGAAGCAATAAGTTGGTAGCTCCATGTAAGTCTGTTTTTTTTTTTTTTTCTTTTTTCTTTTTGCAGTCTCAAACAGTAAGCAATTACGATTTTCGGTTTTCAATGAGAACGTATCATTTTTGATTTTAAGCACTACATATACTATTACTGTACTCCATTTCGATAACACCGATATCTTCATTTACATGAAGCCTCATCTTATTCAAATAAGAGTCATACTCTTTACTCTTTTCTTTTTCAGTGCATGTTTCGACGTGGAGATGTATAACCTTTTTGGTCAACAGTGGAATACATTTCAGGGTCTATTACAATTTTGAACCTTGTGATTGGATAATGATATGGACGATTGGGGAGACGTGCCGAATTTCGTATTTAGGTTTCATGATATGAAACAAGTACAATATAAAACAGATAATAAACACACAAAAGTGTACAATTGAGAGGTCTATTTGTTTAAAAAAGACACAAAATATTCCGAACTTTGGGAATGTGATTTGATAGGTCAATGGAAAAGAATATGTATAGTTGTCACTTCAAACACAACACAAGATAGGAAAAAGCGGAAGTATGCACAGTCAGAATTAAGCTTTAGCCAGTGGGATGATAAAGATATATAAAAAACATTCAGCTTACAGTAAAAAGTGGTTAATTATGTGTAATATCAAGAGCTTGATTGGCTTTTTTCTTTTTTTTTTTCCTCATGATGTCGCGCGAGTGTGTAAACACAATCTCGCATCGCCATAGCTCATCTATACAATGATTTCATGGAAACAAAACAACGTCTAGTTAATTGGTCCACTAAGAGGTTAATCATTATAATCAAATGAGAAGTCAATCAACCTTACTTGTTGAGACTAAGGGGAGGGGTGGTATTGTGTTGGGTGCAAAAAAAATTCCAACTTTAAAAAAGATCCAACCAATGAACCAATAAGAAATCAAAGCAGGATATTCAGCCGTTGTTTTAGTTTCTAGTCTCCGCTCCGTGAAATTTGTAACTAGTTTAGACCACGTCTTACATGTTTACTTTGGTGAAAAATAATTTTTTCTTACTTTTCTTGTTCATCTGCATAGAAGGTGATATCGGTCTTTCGAAGGAAAAGGTCCATCGTCAACATTTTGGTGGAGATAGAGAAAAGAAAGGGTAACCACCTGACAGGTGAGGTCCGTTCTCTACCAATGTAAATTTCCTGTTCGTGTGATGTGGTTACTGTCATATATTAGGGTTACATGTATAGTATTGTATTTGTATTTGTATGGTTATTGTTATTCTATTGTTGAGTTGTACCTTTCACAAATCAATTGGATTGGATTGTGAATTGTAAATGAGTTATAAATGAGTTGTTAGTTGTAAGCAGTTTGCGATATTCGGTATTTGCAATTTTGTGTTTATGCGCACGATACCAACCCATTTCATCAACCAATCAAATCTCATACATCTTTGCTTACCAAAATAGATACAATACACACAAGCTGTACATAGCTTCTAATCGATAACACACAATACTGACACAACTACTACTTATAATGAACTAAAACTTCTAGGGTACACACACAGACACAGACACCGATAATCACCAACATTGTATACCCATCTATCATCAAAGGAAGACAACAGCAGCTAGCCACGATTTCACTGATTTTTTTGCAACAAAATCAAACAGATAGACAGCATACATACGACTATACACCAAGTGAGAGACACTTTTACAAGATATAATAGACAAGACACACACCCATTTACTCACAAGCTAATATAACTCCATGATGATCATGTCATTACAATCGCAAAACCGTCTTAAACTAATAATACCGAAACAAAAATCCAATACTGATAGGATCTTAAAGACATGTACTCGATGTCGACAACACAAGACCAAATGCGATGCTTTCCAAACGAACCCCAACCCATGTACTCATTGTTTCAAACATAACGTTAATTGTAATTTAGAAATTTTGAGTAAACCAACTGGAAGAGTCAAAACATTGGATATTGTTGAACGATTATCCTGTGAAGTAAGTGATTTAAAGAGTCTAATGACGGATTTAATACAGCGAAGAAACGACCTTGTTGAGTTGTTGATTGAGAGGGGTAAAAAGATTGAGCAGGAAGCTAGTATACAATGTCAAAAGAAACAACAACTAGGGCAGCAGTGTGAGCAGCAGTGTGAGCAGCAGTGTGAGCAGCAGTGCGAGCAACAGTGTGAGCAGCTACAGCAACTGCAGCAGCAGGAGAGTAGCCGTGAAAGGTCATATACGCCTCCAGTCTCTGCAATCCAATCTTGTCTCAATACCCCTGACCCCTCTCCCCAATCCACCATTGGCTATTTTATAACACCAGACGGCGAAAGCCCGAGTTCTATTGACAGCTCCAAATACACAATCAAAACCAATACCAAAGTCAAACCAATGTCAATAACTCACAAGCAAGCCCAATCACATTTTACAAATTACGAACTCAACTTCAACAAGTATATACCCATATTTCCTGACGAGTTTTTCCAATCGACCAACTTAATTGAATTTCATAAAGAAAATGAATTGACTTTTTGGTGTATTGTCTTGACATCACACTTGAATCAGCACGAACAGGCTGAAAACTATAGAACCCTAGCAGAACACGTAAAATCGCTTGTGGTTGAAAAGTGTTGGTTCAATACACCAAGATCAGTGTATATTATCTCATCGTTGTTGATTTTAACTACTTGGCCATTACCTAATCACCACCACACAAAGATTGCCGATAACCTCAGTGTTAAATTCATCAGTTTGATGAAGTCGTTATCTTATCAGTTTGGTTTACACAAGTTGGAGTTTATCAATGAGTTTAGTCACAAAACTAAAGTAAACTTGTCACAAGAAGTCAACTTGAACAATCGAATCCGAGAGCGAATCTACAAATTCATCAACATCAATTCCAATTATTGGTTAATCAATTTGGGATTATCAAATAATAACTACAATGGGTTCAATCAAGATTACATCTTGAACAAGGCATCCAATATCGATATTCATGATACATCAATCATTTCATCGTCAATAACCGATCATTATATCAATTGTCTTTTGAAAATATCCATGATTCAACTGAAATTGAATGAGAATATGAGTGCGTTAATTGGTGATTCTTTAGAGTATGGAGAAGATCATATGACGATGAAGTTGTTACCTAATCAAATCAATACCACGAAATTGATCAATTTCCACATGTTTGAAATTATAATTGATGATTTGAAAAGAACATTAGCAACAGTGGAGCAGCAAAATATCGATGATGCATTTGGTTCTGATTTATCCAACTTAATTCAAATATCAATTGCGTATTCTAAATTGCAATTATTTATCTACTCATTATCGAAATCAGACATATCATTACAAGAATACAAGGTCTACATTTCCAAATTAGTTTCGTGTTGTCTGGAAATTATGAACCTTACTCAATCACAGCGAATGGATTACTTGGCTTTGCCAATATATTTCAAGTTCCCCATTGAATTGACACTTTTGACACTATTACGAGTTTTCAAATCACCAATCTTGGACACGATTGATGAATATAACCAAATTAAATCTTGTTTCAACAAAGTTTATGAAACTGTGTTTCAATTTGAAAACTGGCAGTTTATGACTACTAAATTACATCGATTGATTGAAATGTTTGATAATTTGTCAAGAGAGTTTATTATTTCTCAACTGATTCGTAATAGGAGAGATTTGGTGGCAGGTGGTGGGTTCATGACAGGCGAGTTCTTTTTAATTACCAAAATGAAGAATTATCTTGTTTCTAGTTTACAATACGAAATGATTTGGTTAATTTATCAACATGAACATGTGTCAAAGGATAATCAACTGAGTCCACAATTGAGTTTACCTCAATGGAATTCTGTTGGAGTGTATGATAACCAAATGATAGAACATTTCAAATGTAATAAATCAATATTTTGAGAAATAGCATAGACGTTGCATTCTGCTTATAGGATTAATACACACGATACACACGATACACGCCATCTACTATCTTCCTCTCCTCTCATCTATTTATCCATTTTTTTTGCTTCCTCACTTTTTCTTATAATCCAACCATTGCGATTTCAATTTCTTGTTTGCAACGTAAGGTTTCGTAACAATAAACACCACAAACAACACAATGATAGTCGCCACCAATTTCAACTTTTCAAATTTGGCATTCAATAAATCAAATGATAAACTAGGTTGAACCAATGAGCAATATCGGACTTGATTATTGACAAAACATACAACCACCGTGCTTTCAAAATCAGTTGGTTTAACCAATATCGAAGCACTTTCATCCTTATTGTTTGATGCAAAGAGTTGATACTTGTGATTGATTGTTTGAAAATTATTCTTGGGAATGATTGGGTCATATGGAGTCAATCTGAAATCGTCTTGATATTCAGTTGGTTTCATTTGATGTTGCGGACGTCTTGAATTTAAAATGAATTTTGGTATTTCGACAAGATTACCCGATTCTGTAAATGCAATTATTGATTTCAAAGTGATGCCATATTTCGATTGAGTTGAAGACAAATCCAAGATACGTTCAGGGTATATAAATGACTCGGTGAATATTTGACCGATTCTTCCATTATTGATTTTATCACTCATGAACAAGTCAATTACATTGATTCTTTGTTCTAACCGTGGCTGTTTTGTGAAATATGTATAAATGATCCAATTATCATCAATAATCAAGTTGATCGATTGAGGATCAATAACTTCTGATTTATTGTGAACTTGTTGAAACAATAATTCACCAGAAATACCATCAAGAAGATGGAGTTTCAATTGGTCTTCTAAAGTCAACACGGCAATCAAGTTTCGGTTGAGATACTTGTACAAGACTGACTTGTCAGTTTTAGGTACGCCGATAGTTGACACTCTTGAGTCTTGATTTATACGTGCTTGTGCCACAATGGGTTCATTAAAGTTGTAAGTCCATGTTGGAATTGATTCCAAAAATCCAGGAAGAATAACATGTCCATTAATTTCATTATTATTGACCGTTTTAGCAAAGTACAAATCTTCACCACTTGGGTTTGCATGAGGTATAACGAATTTATGACCATTCTCAAATGCACAAAATGTATCAACTGGAACAAGATCAGTATAGCCTTCATCGTTGACTTTAACTTGTGCTATTGATCCATTATGAGAATAAATTTTGTAAATCTCAGTAGAAAACACAACAACAATATCACCTTCGCCTTCCTGTGTATTGAGTTGTTTCAAAATAATAAACTCACTTTCAAGACCCAATGGGGATGATTCCCAAACAATTTTACCATTGTAAGAATTTGTAGCAATTACTTTATGCTGTTGTGAATCATAAAAAACAATTAGTTTGTTGAAAACATCCATTGAAGTATCCTCAGAATCAAACCAACGCTTATAATCAACAACATATCTACCCAATTCATTCAAATGTCTAATGACACGATGAAACCAATTGGTAAAAGCCAACCCATTATTAGACTCCTTGGCAAGGTTGTAAACTTCAGATTTAACCTTGTCTGACTCAGGAGCGTCAATTATGATATAGACTCCTTTATCAGCTGAATATTGTGGATTTGCTGGTTTGATTGTCTTGATTTTATTACCGTCAAACAAACTGAAAACCTCTCCATTAAGGTTCTCATCAAGGGCAACATAACCTAATTGGAAATTTGGAGTGGTTGATATCAATTGATAAGGATAGTTTTCATCCAATTTAAATTTGAATTTCTTGATACTCTTTGTCTCATGTGTGTACAAAAAGTCAGTTAGGTCATACACTTGACGAGTGTTCTCATCACTGATAATCAATAGATGCTGCAATGTGGTGGAGTAATGTTGTACCAATGATGTAGTTTTGATTCCGTATACTTGCTTGGCCCTTTTGTCGATATTGATCAATTTTATATCTTGCGAAGATTGTGAATACAAATAACTGGCGTCAATCACAGCCAAATTACTATACTCGTCATTATCAATTCTTTTGAATGATTTCGAACGATGACCAAGTTTGAATATTTGATCATTTTGAGTTATCGCTATACCTGATTTGAATTCTCGAATGGAACCCAACGAGACTTCCTTCTCAAACACCTTTTCACCCTTGGTGGACAATTTGACTAGCAAAGTGCTATCGATGATGAGGTAAATATATCCATCATGGCAATCAACAACAAAGTTTGCGACATTTGAGTGAATATCGTGATGAATTCCATTTTCGTCAATGTATATCAACGACCTTTCGCTAGACAACACAAACACTCCACCATAATCGCATTCATACAAATGGCCCACGCCAGCCTCAGTGTCAATAAATCTGACACCTCCAGTGGCATCAATCTCAAGAATTTCTGGCTCATTGATCTTCCATCCAAGTATCTTATCATTAGTAAATAAAAGTTGATAATCTTTAGTCACATCCAGATTCAACTTCCACTGGATTTGATTGCTTCTCAAGACATCTATTCCAATCCATTGCTGAGCCGCATTCTTGGCTACTAGTATCTCATTGCTCAAAATGTGTAAATCATAAACTGGAGTTTGATAAAGATAATTTATTGACTCAGTTGAGGTGAATGCCTTGTCTATTAAAACTGCAAAGACACAGTTTGAAAATAAGAAGAGGTTGACTAATAATGACTGTGCTAAGAATTGTAGATTCCTCATAGTAGTGCAATGGGTCACCGTCTAGTCAATGGGGACGTATGTTTCAAACGTCTTCTGTGTTCTGTTGGCCAAGATTTTGTCCAGTCTGTATCCCACTCTTCAAACTATACACGTGATAGACACGTGACAATCAATCTCTTCTTTCAACAACTTTGTTACTGTGATGGAAAATTCTTTCTTCAATCACTACATCCATTTCTATTCACCTACATATTCAATATCAATACACACAATTTCACCTCCACACAACCTCAAATCATGTAGACATTCCACTATCACCGTCGCATAAACTTAAGTTGTCCGATACGAGTACCAAACAAACTCATCAAAAATTGATGAAAATCAATTTTGGAGCCATCGGTTCAATGTGTCAATATGCGTAGATTGAAGGGCTTTGATCCAGCACAAATTATTAGCACTCGCATGCTACTAGAATTCAAAAGTAATTGGGAATAAAATCAGCCACTGAATACAGTTTTTCTCCAATAAGATTGATGACTCCGTTTTGGAGTTTGTTGGCTTTTGGGATACCACTTCAGAATCATTGGGAGGTCTTTGGCCAGTTATTGGCTAAGTTCCATCTCAATTGATTTCAGCGTTTTATTTCCTTCCCAATATTGTCGTATAACGAAATATGTGTGCATTGATTCCATGTACCTGAAGTTTATTCTTGGTCGTTCTGATCAAGATTACGAGCTTTAAGGCGATGGATACTTGCCGCGCTTTTTCGGTCAAGTTGGGTTGTTAGAATTCAAACAGAGGGTGGAAGAGCTTTGCTTATCTTATTGATACATTCTCGGTGAAATAATTTGTGCACACTCATTCTTTAGAAAGAGATAAGATTCTTCTATGTAAGTTTCGATGAGATAATATGTCGGAGTCTTTTGTTTAAACGGGATTCTTCAAAGACTTACTTTCAAAGACTATCCCGCAACCCTGTTCTATTTCGCGGATTTAATGAGATACAATGCCTCAATGGCATAATTGCGAACTGACAAATTTTTGGTGTGCTTTTCATCTGCAGCTTCTGTAATACTTTCCACAATCCTCAACTCTTCAACTAAATCCCACATCATTTTTTCAAAAGTTTCCACCATCTCTTTTATATCTTGATTTTGCTCAGTTTCGGAAACGGGTATAATATTCAACTCATGTTTGCCTAATTTATGCAAAATCCTTCCCAACGTTTGTATACTAATACATCGTTGACTGGGTACTACCGAACGCGACAAGTGCACCAATTCACTCAACGTGTAACCAGCCATATGAGGATTTTCTGAATGATGATGTAGACCCAAGTACATAGGTACACCTTGTGAATCATCTTTCTCTTCGTCTATATTGATCTGTACCAAATTTCCGTTAAAATCGAATCTCATGTCGGAAATACTCTCATAAGTAGTGGAGACCTGTTTTGGTAATGGCTTGGTCATCCATGACAATTTTTCAGTTTCTTTGGGTAAATTGGGATAATACTTTTCATGTAGTTTATCGAAAAAGTCAGGGTCGTCCAAGTCCAAATCCAAGTCATCTTGCTTGGGTTTGGTGAAATGTACGGTAGATTCACCCTCATCCATTACTTCATCTTGATTCAATTGGTATCCTTCTGGAGCCACAGACTCCAAAGTTAAATCGCTTTTCCTGTCGTCGTCACCATCGGCTTCATAATACTCTATCTTCTCAACATTATCATCATTAAATCGTACTTTCCTATCGGAGTCCAATCCTAAAGCCCTTTCCGCTTCTTCCTTCTCCAACTGAGACAAATCGGTAAGCCCCTCTGCAGTCTTGATTCCTCCAATCCATCCATTATACCCTTCAGCATGTTCATGATGGTCGTGATCGTGGTCGTGAGTGGTCGCATCTTGTTCACTTGAGTCTCCTTTCATTTTCTTGTTCTTTCTCTTCAACAAGCTTTGAACAAGATTTGGATTTAGATGGTTCAAAAGTTCTTGCTTTTCTTGTAATATTTCGGTTTCAGACATCTTGGCCATTCTCTCACGATTCTCCTTATCAATCTCTTCTGCTTCATTAAGTTCATCTTCGGGTTTGTCTTTGGTGGGCAACTCTAGTGTGGTCAGTTTCGGTTGCTTTTGTTGCTTTTGTTTCCATCGCGACACCTTTTTTACCTTTTGAGGGTCGGGGAACCCACCAGATGCATTAAACGGAGTGGGTTCCGTTGGTGGCTCAGTCTCGTGCTCAATAATCTCTCCTACAAAGTCCATGGTTGATAGTAAAGATGAGATGAGTTTGGAGAAGCTTTTGTCGCGCAAAATCATAAAACGCATCATTACCAAGCTATACACGAACAACGCTATCTACATTACCTTGATTCAGTGTTTGCTACAAAGTAGCTGGGAATATAACACTCTTTTCTGGCGATCTTTTCATCTATCATTTTTCTAAATGCTGGACTAATATCATTGGAATAGAAGTTAAACTCGGCAATCTTTCTTTCTATCCCAGTCAAACTATTCTCCAAATCCAAATAACCTTTCCTTCGACGTAGCTCAAATGGACTTTCCGCAAACGGTATAACCAAGACAATAATTGCTTTTATAAACCTAGCAGTGGTATAGTATTGCTCACTCCTTTCTCGAGCCATATTTCCATTAAGCACAAGATTGATCCAATTGCTTTTCCAACCCATATTGAAAGGGCATTCTGTAACATCATACTCAACCACTAGTCTGAGGTCGTCTTTTTTCACATTAACATATCGCTTACCGTTCTCCTTTCTGGGCGACTTTGGCGCTAAGCAATTAAGTGCCCCGCCAGTTTTCCCATCGTCATTCCTCTGTCGACTTTTCCACCTTTGATAGCGGACCTTTTGCTTTATGGTTATATCATCCAATGTTGTCATATCTCGACAAACATAAAGCACATGTGATGTGAAAAGTGCACCAATACACAATATCCAAAATCCACTCATTATATACAACAAAATGAAATTGTGATTTATTTCACCACGATTGATTGACAGCCTCGTGTATCGGCTCACATAAACCAACATAATGGCAAAAAAGCTCAAAAATGCAATGCAAAATTTCAAAAAGAATAAATAATTTGTCAATCCAATACTGCTCCCAATCCATAGACAGAAATGATCAAATTTCAATACATTGTACCCTACATATTTGGAGTAGAATGATCTCTCAATTCGTAAAGACTGGGACTTGGAATCGTAATAAGGGAACCCAAATTCATCACAAAAGAATAAATCAGGCAACGGTAAAAGATCCTTGTTTCCTTCTTGGTATATGTCGAATAAGGGTAACTGTGGCGATTTACCAGGACCGATGTATAGAATTAGCACCCAGTAGACAAATAGTACAACTTGGCAAAGCCCCGATAAGCACCAAAGTGTTATAGCAACCCCATGTGAATGATGGACATAAATTTCTTGGTATCCTAATGAATAATTCAATGCAAAATTGAGGTATCCTAACCCTATGACTATCCCAATGGGTATTACAGATAGTCGGATCTGTGACAAGGTATCAATGTTCATCGTCGAAGGATACTCATTAGCTGTCTATCGTTTCCATGTTATGAGTTTTTCGTCTCTGCTTGGAAACTAAATGCGATGAAGCGCGAGAAACTCGAAGTATCAAAAACAAAGATGGTTTTTAGATAAACAACAGCAACGTCTAAAGCTATTGCCCGTCGATGAAGTTTCTACTTTTACCGCAAACACTACATGGCGGTGAGGTACACTGTATGACCATCAGCAGTGACAGTACTGTTTTGATTACTGGGGGTAAAGATAATACAATAAATTTATGGAACGTCGCCGAACTACTTGAAGTATCATCGAATATTGAAAATGCAGCCGATAATACAGAGACACGTGCAAGGATTGAGCAACTCCAACCACTACAACAATTCGAATGCCAGGATTCGCATACCAATAATATAAAGTGGGTGCCCGGCTCATACAATAGATTCATTTCAACTACTACATCAGGACATGTATATCTCCACAAAATTGAATTTGGTCCCAAAGTAACTAGTAATCGGATCTACCCATTCACAAACGATGACTCTAGTCCCAAGTCAATCGTGGATGTATCTGTATCGCGGGATGGGAAATTGGTTGCTTGGAGTAGCAACGATGGAAAATTGAATCTTTACGATCTACATCGCAATACATTTCAAAAATTGTTATCACCGGCAGAGGACACCCTGGTTATACAAAGAAGTGTTGCCTTCAACAATACCACAAACTACCTCGTCACCATTGGAGACGATACACAAATTAATGTTTTCCAATATGAGTACGATTCCTCCACTAAATTATACAAGTTTCGATTGGTCAACAAGTTGTCAAAACTATTCAGCAAAAACCCTTTGAACGTGAGGTATAAAAGGGTTTCATGGTCTCCCGGTGGCGAATTGATATCGGTCCCAACTGCTAGCAAGAATCAAACATCACTCATATCTTTGCTTGCAAGCACCCAGAATTGGACCGCGACGGCAAGCTTAGTTGGCCATGATTTAACTTGTGAAGTTACTAAATTCAATCGTCATATTTACTCAGAGTCCGCTGGAGAGAAGAATAATTTTTACAACGTGATTGCATCGGGTGGATCTGATGGAACTGTGGCGATTTGGAATACAGCAAAGGTTTCGCCAATTATGGTTCTCAAACATGTAGTTGATGCACAAATACATGATCTTGTCTGGACAAATGATAGCAGCATTTTCTTTTGCACGTCAAGGGGAAACTTGGGTATTCTTCGGTTTTATCCTGATGAGTTAGGATACGTTGCACCCGAAGGCGTATTGCATCAGGTGAAAGCAATTACAGTTAAGCTGATGAAACCAATGAATCATAGATACGAGCATGAGCAAGTGTCAGCTAATCGAAAAACCCTACCCCCAATTGAGTTTATCGATCAGGCAACTGCAATTGTCGCAACTTCTCAAAAAGAGGTTGAAAAACGCGACAACAAGAAGGTAGAGAAGGCCATTGAACTTAAACCACCTTCGGTTACGGAAACGCAGGAAGTCGTCACTGCAAAGGGTCAAATTACACCTGAAGTAATCTCCCCGACGCCGCCCACTGGAGTGGCTACGATCAAGGATGTGCCTATCACTGAAAAGGAAGCACCAGCTTCTACGCAGAAATTAATAACCGATATGGCGTCCACGAAAGCTTTGGCCACGGGTGAATTACAGGAGTTACCACCACAAATTGCGGTACCAACAACAACAGAGGCAACAACAGCAGAGGCAACAACAGCAGAGGCAACAACAGCAGAGGCAGCACCAGCACCAGAATCAGCGCCAGCGCCGCCCCAGCCCGACCTTAGTAAACAAAAAATCTCCACAAAGGATGGAAAGAGAAGAATTCAACCAATGCTAATTTCAAGTAATGGTACAGCCTCCTCCAACGGTTCCAAAGCTACGTCTACTACTACTATACCACAGCCTTCTTCCAATGGTGGAGTGAAAACTGTCATGGAATTTGATCCTCCTTCGTATTCCGTTTCGGAAGAATTCAATCGATCGAAACGAGCACGTAGTGAAGAACAACATTCATCAAATGGCAATAATGTTGCTTTGACAAAGAAACCGAAGCGAGAAATGGAGCCAGTAAAGTTCATTGGTTCAGTTATTTTAAATCCAAATGTATCTTTTGCCAAAGTTCGTTTACCCACTCCTAAAATACGATTCGGTTTCCATTTGCAGAGTAAGAAACCTGGCAGTGAATATTTCACATTGGATATTAAGAATGGATCCGGTAATGAAACTAAGCCATCTCGGGTTACTTATTTCAAAAGAGATAAGGAAATCTGGTGCGATTTTGTTCCCAAATTTATTCAATTAGCTACAGAAGGAGCAAATTTTTGGGCTGTGGCCACCGCTGATGGTGAAGTGTTGACGTATCTGCATATATCAGGGAAAATATTGTTACCTCCACTTGTATTGGGTGCGCCGGTTTCATTTTTGGAAAGTCATGGCAAATATCTAATGGCGGTGACTTGTATTGGGGAGATGTACGTTTGGGATTTGCAACTCAAAAAGATTGAACTAAAGACATCAATTGCTTCGCTTTTAGAACTTGGTTCAAAACTTCAAGAATCCGGGTTGACAAAATCGGATTTTGTGACATTATGCGCTATTACATCCAGGGGAATTCCCTTGGTTACATGCTCGAATGGATCAGGATACTTGTATAATAAAAATCTAGGGATATGGCAAACCATTACCGAATCATGGTGGGCGTTCGGGTCTCATTATTGGGATAGTGTTGATAACGGCAAGAGCAAAACCCCACAATCGCTAACCATGTTTGATGAAGAAGAATCAATTATCCAACTATTAGAACAAAAGACCAATGAAGAAATTATTAGAAAATCGCGCACAGGAAGAAGTAAATTGTACAATAAGATTTCCAAGAATATGATTATGAAGGAAGGATTTGAAAGTTTGGAAAATACAATTTCAATAAGTCATTTGGAGAATCGAATCTTGTGTTGTGAACTACTTGGTGAAGATAAAGATTTCCATCAATATTTTCGAATGTATGTACAACGCATTTGCGAATTGGGGTACAAGGCTAAATTGTATGAAGTGTGTGATGAATTATTGGGTCCAATTGATAAAGATCAAGATAGCGGTGATGTAAAGGAATGGGAAAGTAAGATATGCGGTTTGGATAAACGGCTGTTGTTGAAGGAGGCTATTGAATTATGTTCACAGTATCGTGATTCGCAACGGGTATTGTATCATTTTAGTAAGAAACTTGGATTGGTTCAAGATGAGTAAGGACATTCGTACATTATCGAGTCTATAGCTTAAATACATTGGAATTATTCCATTTTTTTTCACCAAGTAACCCAGTAACTGGTCCTTGTGTCTTGTGTACCAAATCCTTGGGGCCAGAAACGTACTCAACGTATCCATCCGGACCACAAACGATTGCCAATGCAGCTGATTTCTTAGGCTTAGTGGCAGTAACCATTGCTTGCTCCAAAGCAGTTCCGTATCGTTCACCACGCTCACTAGCAGATTGTATCAATTTTTTAACTTTTTCCGGCTTCATCTCCTCTTCATCCTTCATCACTTGCATTCTTACATTTAATGCTTCTTGCGGTGATAGTTGGGCTGTCACCTCATCTAGTTTCTTTGGCGAATAGTAGTTTGGTTCGGCAGGTTGTGGGATGTCCGTCTCGGTTAAGATTGTTTTTGGCTCACTATCATAATGACAATGGAAACTTATGCGATCTAACTTATTTAAAAAAAATAAGAATCTCAGCAATACACCAATCTCACCCGGTTTTCGAGCCGAATAATGGAGATTGACATATCCCAAGTACGGATTCTTGGAAAAAAGCACTTGCAAAATTGGGGCAATACCAGTTCCAGCTGCATAAAAATCCATGTTATCCACATCGGGTAACTTCAGATCTCGTTTTATTGATTCAATCATATTATCAGGCTCAACTTTGGAAGGTAGATCTTTGAATATAGGACGTTGATGGATTTTCTTTAAAGGATGATAGGGGAACTTGTATTCAATGGTGGGACCCCTCAATTCCAACTCATCGCCAATTTCACGATCAGTAATATATCGTGATACTTCACCTTGTTTGTATCTCTTGACATAAAGACACATTGTACCATTCTTGTCTAAATCATCAACTTCCGGATTCAAGATTTTCAAAAGCGGAGTTTTTTCACCTGATCGAGTATATTCAGATTTCATGTAATACATGGGCAATGGAGTGTATGATCTAACGACATTGATATCCGGTTGCTTCACTTCAACGGACCAAATATGATCGCCATTCCACAAGGATTTCTTGTCGGGGTTAGTAGCAAAACTGTACTCCCATCTATCGTACTTTGATTTGAGTTCAATAATGAAATGTTCATCATCAATTTGTTCCTTGTGAGTAACGATAAACTTGTGGAATTCATTGGGATCTAGTAACTCGTTGCTATCTTGTCCTTCCTCAGGATCATCCAAATACCATACTTTGATAGTATACCCAGCCCAAATAACACCAATCACTGTCAATATCTTGGGTATATATCTTGTCCATCGAGATATTCTCTTGGGTTTATTGTTGAGTGTATTGTATTGATCTTTGTTGGGAAGATCAGGGTATTCAAAAGTGACTCTCTGGTGTTTATACTTTGGAATATACGGTTTATTATTCTTCTTCATTAGCTGTTCAACGCCATTGAACTCCATAGGAGCTGGTGCAGACTTTGAAGTGGTTCGTTTGATCTTAAACTGTTGAACATCGTGGAGGTCCTTCTCTCGTTTGGAGATCTCCGATGATTTGTCATCGTGATTTTTCTCATCCTTTGCTTTGGATGAGTTGAATCTCGAGGGAATTCGATATAGACATCTTCGTAGGAGTAAGCCTTGCACTGAACGGTTTGCCAACATTTGGGTACCAGTAGTAGGTTGAATGAATCTGGAAAAGAAAAAAAATCGATGCATCAAATTTTCAGCATTCTTTTCATTTGATTGCAAAATCAACCAACAAAACCTCTTACATCACAAGCAATGCTTCAACTCATTCAGTCGATACAAGCTCATTCCGATAAAGTGTGGAGCGTGTCTGCCCACCCAACACTACCACTTTTGGCCACTGCATCGACCGATAAATCAACCAAAGTATACAAACTATCATCTGTATCAAGTTTCCCCCAAATTGCCAATCTAGAAGATACACATAGGCGATCAGTACGATCAGTTTCTTTTAAACCACCAATTGGTGGCGTCGACTACAATCTGAATATATTGGATTTGCCCGCGTTGGCTAGTGGGTCATTCGACTCGACCATATCGATATGGGGCATCGATGAGCCAGATGAAAATTATGAAGTGGAAGAAATTATGCATAATCAAGCTGAAATTTTGACAAGTGCATCCAATGAATGGAATTTGATGGCAATTATTGAAGGTCATGAAAATGAAATCAAAGCAGTAGATTGGAATTTTAGTGGTCGGTATCTTGCTTCATGCTCTAGAGATAAGACAGTTTGGATATGGGAAACTGATCCAGAGACATTGGAGGAATTTGAGTGCGTTTCGGTATTGAATGATCATCTGCAAGATGTGAAGAATGTTACATGGCATCCAACACTGAATTTGTTGGCTAGTTCATCGTATGATGACACGATACGTATATATAAACAAGATTTCGATGATGATGATTGGTCATGTGTTGGTATTTTGGATTCACATGAGGGGACAGTATGGTGTTCCAAGTTTGAAAGTCCAAAGAGTCCCAATGCTACAAAGGACAGGATTAGATTGGTATCAGTAAGTGATGATTTAACAGTGAGGATATGGTATTGTCAAGAAGATAGTAACAGTTCTCAATCGAATGGACATGGCTCAGCTTTGCCGTCATCAATTAAACACACTTCAGAAATGGTTTGGGAACAAGAATGCATTTTACCCACGACGCATTCTTTACCTATTTATTCTGTTGCTTGGTCATCGATAACGGGGAAGATAGTTACCGCTGGATGCGACGGAAAGATTGTGGTATATAAAGAGACAACAAGAGGAGAGTGGGAAATCGATAGTATTCAACAATCAGCTCATGGTGTTTATGAAATCAATTGTGTCATTTGGGCAAAAATAGACAACAAAGAAGAAGCAATAATATCTGCTGGAGATGATGGGTTTGTAAACATATGGCGAACCGAATGAATTACAAGACCCCCACAATGTATTGTTGATACATCAAAACATTAAACTAAAATATCAACCCAATCAAGATTATAAACCCCAAAACCCCCATTAGAATCATTAAACAACAAAACAAAGTACCACTTGATCTTTTTTGATATCGATGAGCACTTCTTAATTCATTCGAAGCTTGTCTTGCATTGGAGCTGTAAGTGAATATATTGTTTTCAATACTATCCACTTGAAATTGTTGTTCATTAATTATAGATGATAAATTGGAAAAGATGTTGTTGATTTCTTGTGTATCTTGTTGAATTTGATGAATCTCTCGTTCTCGTTCTTGGATTAGGAGTGTTTGTTGTTCTAATTCTTCGGCATTGACTGGTTCATAAGTTATTTGGATCTGTTGTTGTTGCAGTTGCAGTTGCAGTTGCAGTTGCAGTTGTTGTTGCTCTTCATCCCCGGTATTGCCCTCTTTTGCTCCACCCGGTGGTGGCAATTGGCTTGATTGCTTAGACTCAAACCGACGTTGATAATTTTTGAAATTCCCAAGACTGTCTCTAATCAATTTAATTTGAATACTTTCCTTTTGTTTTAAATAATTGATAATTTCAACATCTTCATGATCATCTTCAACAGATTTTATCGTATTGTTTAATCGTTTAACGAAGTCATTCAATTTACGATACGATTCAGTGGTTGATTTGAAATTAGAACTCAATGTCTCAGCTATTGATGTATCGAGGGGATCTTTTTCAAATTGTGCTAGTTGTTGTTTGATAGATGATAGTTGTGTATGGTTTATATAATGTAATTGATTATCGATACTTGTTGAAAGTGCTTCAAATTCTGGATAGTCTTTGTACTTGTGCGAATGGTTTGTTGCTACTCTCTCGATATCGTTATCAAATGGACTATTGAATGACATGTTGGGAGTTGTCTACTGGAAAACTATATGGTGTTTGGAGGAGCTTGTTGATAAGGCAAAAGGTGTTGGTTGAATGCTTCTAAATGCTTTGTGAATCAAAACTTGATCCTCGTTTTGGTAAAATATACACGACCTTGACTCAAGCAATATATTGAATGAGGAACAAATGAAGTCCTTTGGCGATAGCAATGATCTTAGATGTATTGAGACGTCACTACTGCAAATGGAACCATGTTGATAAAACTACTTTTGTTTCAAAATTAAGAGCTTGATGGCTTTGAAAGGGTATGACACGTCCACTTGCATGATTATCACTCTACTTATTCTATTCAAGCTGCTTTCAAAGTATGGATCTCGAAGAGAGTAAGCATCACACTCCCCCCCCTTACCAAGTACCAGTTGGTAAGAGGTTGTAAGTGATGACAGGTTTGTCAAAAGCATAGCATAGCATAGCAAAAAATAAGCTATCTACCCACAAGCTGCACAAAAGCTAGCGCTGAAATTTTGCAGCAAAAAAACCCAGCCTTTGCACAATTACAAGAACTTCTATCCATCCATAACAATACCCACCACCTCTCCTCAGCAATCATAAGCATAGACACCATACCAAGGAAGTAACCATGCTTAAGAAGAAAAAGTGTAAAGCATCAAAAGGGAAACAGAAACAACAACAACAACAGCCCCCCATAGTTGCACCAATTGATCGAATTTCTTTACTTGTTGCACCAGACGATATTCCTACATTGTACCATACCATGAAATCAATAGTAGCTAAATTAGAGCCATACATGGACCAATCTGGGGTGTCGAATAACACAAACAATGGACTTATGTCGAATGTGTCGTCGGTTTTAGTTGATACTACTGGACTTGATTCTACTTTATTGAAATACGATAATAGTGAAGATGATGTCGATAATGGCGACAATGCTTCTGCTTCGGGTTTAGATTTGAATATTTTAGTTACTTCAAAGGCCAAACAGGATAGGAATTGCAATGACAGTACAAATGACATTGATTTGAATCAATATATCCCATTTGAAAACACCAAACCACTAATTAAAGAACAAGTTTCACAACCGAAGGATTCTATTACAGTTGATGACATACAGAAACGTGCAGTTGTATCTCAAGTGAAACCCCACAATGGAACTATAGATAAGCCAATTGCGACTATCAAAAAAGAATGTAATGGTTGCATAATCGACACCAACCAAGTTTTTGATTCAAACACTGGATTAAACAATTTACTTTATGAGTATGATGTAGAAGCATTTGCATATCAAGAATATGGCGTGAATGAAATCAGCACCGCTTCTACATCGACAATGGAATGTGATGACCAATTTGACAATGTTGCGATTGTAAATGATAATAAACATTGTCACCCAGCACCACCACAAAGAGATGATTATTTGGCAACCATTCTTGAGGAATATTCTCCATTTTACAACTTTCCCATTGATGAAGAAATTAGTGAAGTTGAAAGAACATGTCATAATCCATATAAAATCGTATTTGCTGGTCAATTTTAGAAGGGCTAAAACAGAGGGAAACTCATTCTTATTACTGTATATATTCAATATATCTTGTCTATAAAACATAAACACGTCAACAACTTGAAAACAACGTATGTTTGCATCTCTCCTAACTAATCTTCTTGTTCAACAATAAATTTTTCACATTCCAAAGCTGCCATACATCCAGTACCAGCCGAGGTGATTGCTTGTCTATAAATCTTATCTTGAACATCACCAGCAGCGAAAACACCTTCGATTGAAGTTTCAGCAGTACCAGGCTTTGTCAAGATATATCCACTATCATCCATCTTCAATTGAGATTCGAAAATCTTGGTGGCTGGAATGTGACCAATGGCGTAAAACAATCCATTAACTTGTAAATCAGATGTGGTGTTGGTCTTGTTGTTGTAGATTCCCAAAGAAGTCAATACTTTACCGTCTCCCTTTGCTTCTTTAGCTTCAGTATTCCACAAAATTTCCAATTTGTCATTATTCATGGCTCTCTTTTGCATAATAGATGATGCTCTAAGTACATCTCTTCTCACCAACAAGTATACTTTGGAAGCATATTTTGTCAAAAACAATGCTTCTTCACAAGCAGAATCACCACCACCAACAACAGCCAATGGCTTGTTTCTGAAAATGGGCACAGCACCATCGCAAACTGCACAAGCAGAAATACCTTGTTGCCAATAAGTTTCTTCACCAGGTAAATGCATTCTCTTGGCACTAGCACCAGTGGCAATGATTACAGCATCAGTAGTGATTGGTTCACCATCTTCATTAAATTCAGTCCATAATTTAAAAGGTCTTTGTGATAAGTCACATTTGGAAATAGTTTCAGTAATGATCTCAGTACCAAATCTTTCAGATTGTTTCTTCATTCTTTCCATCAATTCAGTACCATTGATTCCTTCAGGGAAACCAGGAAAATTCTCGATATCAGTAGTGGTGGTTAATTGACCACCAGCAGCAACTCCATTAGCTAAGAACCCTTCGTATAAGGTTGGTTTAATTTCAGCTCTAGCTAAATAAATGGCAGCAGTATGAGCAGCTGGACCTGATCCAATAATTGTAACTTTGTGGTGTACCATTCTTTTGAAATATGAGTTAAAAGTAAGTCTTGTAGTAGTAATAGCTCTTGTAGCAGTAATAGCTCTTGTAGCAATATTTATTGTTAACCAAATGATGGGAAATTGAAGTAAGCTGTAAATGGGTGCCTACTTGTTTGAATGTATTTATAGTATGGTTGATTTGGAAAAGCCGATGATCGAAAAATTGGATTCGTAATCGAATGGTTTTAAAAAATGTTTCTTTTTTCTTTTTTTTCGTTCTTTCGGTCTTATTGGGGGTACGTATTATGTAATCCACACTATTGGGTATTATGTAATACATTACATAACCAATAACTAAGCAGCATCAGATTCTATTTTGTGTTTTGTTCTAGACTCACTACACACACACTCGACAGTAAGCAGTCAACAAACAAACAAACAACAGTCAACAGTCAACAGTCAACAGTCAACAGTCAAAAGATATTTGGACCTCGGCTAAATTAAAACAACATACATTTTATATACACTACACTTACACTACACTTACACTTTTATCTAATCCATCAATTCATGCATACTTACATATATATATATTTGTATATGCCTCGTATATTACAACATACTATTCTTAATAACATATAACCCACATCCTTGTTTCACCCATTATTGTCCAATACAAACAGTTTCACGATTGGCCCTTTTTGCAATACCGGATCTAATAACACACTACTTAAAAACCATTGCAACCCCTTTTTCCTCTCTTCCAACCAATTATTACTCATAACTAGTCGTTCAAAACTAAAACTATCTTTGGGTGGTGGTTTAGGTATCACTATATCATTCTGTGCCTTATAATACTGTTCTAAATCATAATAAAATTGTAACAATTCCAGGTATCGTTTATATAGCACAATGGATGAGTAATCTAAATCATTTATGGTGATTTTGATTTGCCATACTATATATTGACCATTGGTTGAACTACTTGACGTGTTTGTGGCTCCATTTCTTGCATTGCCTTGTACCAAGTGATGCCCTGCTACTCGTACATCAGTTATGTGACTTTGATGATTATGTTTATGGGTTTGCAAATCTTCTCCCGAGTTTAATGCTATGGGTATTGGCAATATATTGTTCAACTGTGTAACTGAATTGGCTTTCTTTCGACTCATTTTGGTTTACAATGTAACGTTTGTCTAATCTAGGTGGTTGGTTACGGAGTTCCCAATTCAGATTTTAATCAATGATCGATGCCATTTGAGCCCATTCGCATCATCAATCATCACCTAAAAAAAATAAAAAAAAAAATAAAAAAAAAAAAAAGGCATAAAAATGTTCATGATCTAAGCTTATCTTATCCCCACCCCCCAGCACAAACTACTTTTCACATAACCCTCTTGGTTGCCACAGCACAGCCACCAACACATCTCCTGCAATGGACATTATCAAACAAAAACATCCTGCTTGGAAGAGACTACTACACAAATGGCAAGCAAGAAGAGATATTCCCTTTCGGCGCAAATTCTTTATCGGATACGACCTATACGGAAACACCTATTGGGAATTTACACTCGATGGCAACATGACTCGATTACGTCGTAAATTAGAACCATACAAGGAAGAGATTTTCAAAGTTGATTATTTCAAAACCATACCACCACAATGGCTTCAATGGTTGAGAAGAACAAGATTTGATGCGCCAAGTTTAGATGAATTGGTACTGGACCAATTACGACAACAACGATTGAAAATATTGGCAAGACAAGCGGATGAAAAATGGCAATTGGAAAAATTGAGATTGGAAGAGGAGAATAAGGTGAAGTTGCAACATGAATTACAAAGAGCTGAATTGGATAATGCACCTAGGATCACTGAAGGAACAGAAGAGCCACAAGTGACTGAAACCAATGATCCTTGGAAACAAGCTGACGAGTCTAAGGGCGATAATCCTATCGAATCAGCTACCATCAAGCCACGTTGATTCTTTTTTTGGCACCACCACGAGTCGCAAATTTATCATAACTGCATAAATCACATTCATTCATTCATTCATTCATTCTTGTATATACATACACATACTCATACAACAGTATTGACATTTCGCATCCAGGCAATTTGATTATTACACACTTACTGGTTTCATTTTGTTTCACTCACTCGCTCACACCACTGATTGACGATCCAGAAAGTTTAGCTTCCACCAATTCAACCAATTTATCACTATACCTGTTCAAAAGATCATCTTGATTGTATACAACAGCTTTGTCATCCAATTTACACCTCACTTCATTGACTTTATTTAGTAATGTAACCTTCTCTTGTTTACTCAACTCTCCAACTCGGTCGATTAACTCATTGAATTGATTCATACATTTATCCATCAACGAAGAAGGTGTCACAGCTGATACTGCTTCGTGCAGAAAACCATTATCCCTTTTCAGCTCAGACATTGTAGACCCAGATTGATTCGATGCTGGTAAATTTGGCATATTACGAACAAATGGTTCCAGGGTGGCTCTAGGTGACAATGGCCGTTTTGGTGGTGAATTTGGTAAAGTAGTCAATGGCTGATTCAATCTGGATAATCCACCATTATTAACCACTTGGCTTTTTGTCGATGTGCATGTCCGTGTTGGCGATGATGAACGAGAATTTGCCAGTGGTCTAACTGGGGACAATGATTTTGAACGTGCCGGAGACAATGTGGATTTTGGTGATGCACAAGGACTAGAGCCACTCCTTCCGTTACGAGACTCAATTCTCTTTAAAGTGGCAGCAGTCAATTTTGGAGTTGGTGATTGAGCAGTTGGAGACAATGATGACGAGGATATTGGTAATTGCACTTTTGGTTTCTGTCCATTTGCTGCTTGTTCCAATCTATCAATGAGTTTCTCCTTGTTTGGTGGCGATGAAGCAAAATATGACAAAGTAGAACAAGAAGTTTTATTTGCTGATTTTGGCACTGTCGGTAGTATCTTTCTGGCAACTTTTGCATACGTTGGTGATGGCAGTTGCGTAATCACGTCATCAAACATGTTCCCATTGTCCTCAACTGCAACCGGTTTCGAAGCTGTTGACTCAGTTATACGCCATGAAAATAAACATCCATCATTGCCAATCGTCACAAGGTCAGTTTCATCTTCTTCCATCTCAATATTATCTTCTGCAACGTCCATTTTCACCAAGAAAAACCCAAGTAGTGAGTCCAGGTGGCCCCAACTCACGCCAACCGGCTCACCACTAACATAATCAAATCCTCTTATTGACTTGTCAGAAGACCAAACGATCAACAAATTATGAAACTTCTCCATCATTTCTACTTGTAAACTTTCATTTAGTTTCTCATTAATTAATTTCATTGATCGTTTAATATCACAATTGGCAGCTGAATCAAATATATGCAATTGTTTATCAATTGTCGACACCACTAATTCTTCATCGAAAATTGACATTGCTATCGGTGTTGATTTTAAAATGATTGATTTCACCTTTGTCATCATTAAGTCAGGTGTGGTTGTTAATGAATGTATTGAAATGGTTCTATCGGTGGAGCACACATACAAGAATCCATTATGATATATCGTCTTTAGCAAATTCCCATTGTGTAAAGGTATAGTTTGTAGCAAATCCCATCTTGATTCCAATTTAGTAAAAACTTGAATCATTCGATCTCTTGATATGCTGCATACAATGTCGTAGCTTTCATGCTTAAAGTATACAATGTCATTTATCGTTGATGAATGAGCCTTTACTGTGAAAAGAACCTCTTTTTTTGAGCCAGTATCTTGTTGAACAATGTATAATGATCCAAATTTGTAACCCAAAATAAAGATATTGCCCACTTTCTCTATTGCGGTTAAACAATCGGCAACAGCTTCAGTCCCTGGTGGTGTGAACTGGAAAATTGGGACCATTTGGCAAATTCTTGGGTGAAATTGCTCTACTATACCAGTTTGGGAAAAAATGAGATACTCATTGTCATAGCTCTGTTTGACTCCACTAATCTGCTGTATAATCGATGTTGCTAACGTTTGACTCTCTCGGGACACTTTGTTACAAAATCTGATTTCTTCATTTGTTGTTAGATATAGTAGATGCTTTTCTGAAAAGTTAGATAGTCGAACTAATGCGTTGCCAGGTATTGCGCTTGGCTCTATTGTAAATGGACCTGATAATTGTTGCTTTAAGGATCCTATTGAAGAGGGAGACGACATTGGTTTCACTTCACTCACCTCATCTGGGGTTAGATTTGCAATTTCAAGACTTTTCAAATTTGTTTCATCTGCACCTAGCCAGATTAACTCGTTTTTCAAATCAGCAGTTATTGCATTGAATCTATAGTCGGGGCTTTTCAATGCAACTAACTTTGGTGAATCAATATTTAACTTTAACAACAACAATTGATTGCCATTGGCAATTAGGACAACCTCTTCATCGTTAATCAAAGCCATATCGATAAAATTTGAATTCATAAAATCACCCAAAAGAGCATTCCTTCCCTTCAAAATGACAGGTTTATTTGCACTTCCATTTTCAAATTTCCACAACTTGATAAATCGTAACCCAATAGTGACAACAACATTGCCATGCCATATGACTTTATATATTATATTTGAACATCGATTACTAGCCTGTAATTGAACGTTGTTTGACCCCAATTTCCACACATTTATACACCCATCGTTTACAACTCCTAAAGAGCAAAGATTCTTTGAGTCTGGAGAAAAAACCAAGTTGTTAATGCCAAATGTGTGTTCATAAATTGCCATGATGGGACTTTGTTGTGAACTTGAAGCGAGTGAAAAGATTAGTATTCGTGGCTGATAGCCTGATTCGCCAATTGCCAATAGACGTTTATTTGGGGAAATTGCTATGCATTTGATAAATCTTACCTTGTCCTTTAACTTTGATGGTGAAGCTTGGTTATTGACTTGGACACTGGGGCTAGCAGTGTTGTTATAGTCATCAATTTCATTTGGCGAAAAGGAGTTCCCGTATATTTGAATAGGTTGATTGGCAATTGGGTACCCAAATTCGTCTCGCATGACTTCCTCTTGTGTATTGTCAAGCCTGATCATGTTTAAGTAGGCATTAGCTGTTGACGAACCCAATTGCAGCAGCAGTTGTTGCAACCTTGACTCATTTGCATTGGCACAAAAAAATCTCTGATTTGTAACTGTATTCGATTCTTTATCAATCTTGCAAACCACAACACCACCACTTGCCGTGTACGCCACTAGATCGTCCTGTATTGATATTTGTTGTTTGTCTGCTGCTGAAGTGCCTATAATACGCTTAATTTTGAGCTGAAAATCATGAGGCAGTGGTGATTGTAATGAGTTCATTGCAGTTGATATCGAGTTGTTTTTGCTTTGACGTGTTTCACCCATCATTGTAAAGAAGTATATCGAACATGCAGGTAAAGGTGTGACTTCTTCTTCTTCTTGTGCTGCTTGATCTTGATCAATTCGAGAGAAAAAGGTAAACAAATACACAAATGAAAAATGATTTTTGTGATTCAAGCAATCCGCATCTCCCACGCTTCAGCCCAGCAGATACGCCAACGACACTATCACAATGCCACAGGAGATATCACTAAGTCTCGAAGAGACAAACAAGATACGAGCAAAGCTTGGACTACAACCTATTAAAGAGCAACCCAAATCTCACAATAATGTTATCGAAATAACACTTGAGGAAACCAATAAAATTCGACTTTCATTGGGATTGAATCCGATTCCCGCGAAGGCTGCACCAAATACAGCATCAAAGGCAGTCGAGTCTATACCAGACAAGGTAACTAACGACGAACTACTATCCCAGAAACTTGCAAAAGCGAAGGTTGCTTCTGAAAAACGTAAATTGTTGGGAACAACTCAAGGGGATGACGACGATAACGATGATGAGATAGACACTGATGACTGGCTACTCAACGTTGGAAACACGCAATCCGCCAAGAAGCAAAAAATTGAAACGGCACCGGCCAAGAAACATTCTAATTCAGTAAATGCTCATATTGGACATAGTGCAAAAGAATTGCAAACATTGCGAAATAATGACATTTTGACATTACAAGATACGGATATATTAGAAGACGATGATGCTGATGATGTTCTTATTAACGAAGCGCTATCTGCTAATGCAAAGGTACGGAAGAATTTGGACGAAAGAAAAGAGGCAGAAATGATAAAATTCAATGGACGTCATTATAAGCGAAACCGCGATGATGAAGACCCTGGGCAAGATGAGTTGGAGAATGGTATGATGAAAAAGCCAGTTGTAATTAACAACTCCAGCATCGACTTAAGACAATCTGAGTCTACATCTAACAAAGCTGAATCAGCACCCCCTAATACAACAAAGTTTAACAACTTATTCGATAACTGGGAAGATGAACCTACTGACAAGATAATCTCAACACCACAAATTAAGATGAAAAAACTAAAGAAAAGGAAACCCCTTGAAAGTGCGGCAAATACAGTCTCTACAACAAGGGTCAAACCTGACGATTTCGAGCAGTTGCCAAATCTTGATGAAGATGATTATGACAACTTGCACGATAATTATATCTCTACTTCCCAGAGAATGAAACAGCGCTCAGCAAAACCAAAAATGACACCCGAAGACATAGCTTTGGAAATCGCTCGAAACAAAAAAATGGCTATGGAGAGGAAACTTGAAGAAGAGTCAATGAGACGTCAGTTTCTGGCAGAAACGTTTGAAAATGTAGAGGATCTTGATACTGTTGGGTTTTTGAGTAATTTGGAAAAAAACATTTTGGATAGAGGACTGGAGGTTCTGGATGATGACATTTTCGATTCAACTAAAAGAGAAGTGAATGGACGACTCAATAGCCATGACACGGCCACTATTGTGGACAATAGAAATGGTTCTTTAGAACTGGAAAAGAAGGAGGAGTCATTAGGAGATACAACCAACGATGATGCAGTAGTAAAACCTCAGGTGCCAAGAGATACCAATGAAGACAACCATCCCAAATTTAACACAGGGTTAGCTGATACATTAAAATTTCTTAGATCAAGATCCAATGAGAGCAACTCGCTCCAACAAACTGACAGGTCGTCAACTTCTACCCGTGAAGAAATTTCCAAAGAAACAGAGCTCTTGAAATTGAAAATTGACATTGAGGAAAGGATACTTCGACAAGAATTAACTCAAAACATGGAGTATATGAAGTTATCCAAAGTAGATCGAGAAAAATTTTTTGAAACTGAGTTGGATAAGAGGTTAGTTGGGAAGGGAATCGTGGCTGAAGCAGCAGCCAACAAAAGAAGGTTCAATCAAGGGAATGGAAGTATCAAGCTGATGCAAAAGACGAATTTGAATAAAGCTAAGGGCAGCTTTACGACTACTACTGCTACTACTACACAAGGTGCCGATGGTAATGACAAGTATGTTACATATAATCCTAAAGTGGAACTAAATTACAAGGATGATGAAGGGAAATTGTTGGACACTAAACAAGCATATAAGCACTTGTCACACAAGTACCATGGCATGACTACCAGTCAAAGGCTAGCCAAGAGCAGGAAAAAGAGGGAAAAGGGTAAATTTGGCGGGTCTACCATCAAGGAAGAGATTGTGGACTAATAAAAGTATAGGCAAGACAAAATATATAAATTTTTAAGGTTCGTCTTTTCATATACAAAACTGTCAAAAAAGCAGTCAGCCTAATCCAGTTTGTATCAACTTTGTATCAACTTTTATCATTAACAAACCGAACATCCCTTGGTGTTTCATCAACAGTCAACTTGAAAACATCGTTTCGAGCATAATGACCAGCGGCATCAAAATCAAGTCTAGCTCTAATAACATCATCAGTGTCAACTTCCGCAGTGATTAACCCTTCTTTACCAACCAACGGACCAGCAATAATTTCACCCATGGGACTAACAATAATACTACCTCCATTACTCAAGTTTTCACCCTTGGGCCAACCAACAGGAGTATCTTCTTCATTGGCAACGGCGGGCATAAACTGGACAGCACTAACCAAGAAATTCCTACCTTCATAAGCAATAGTTCTCATTGAACACCGCCAAATATCTCTCATGTCAACTGTAGGAGCCACCCAAATGTCAATTCCCTTTGAGTAGTAACATTGCCGTAATAATGGCATATAGTTTTCCCAACATATGGCACCACCAATCTTGCCTACTGAGCTCTCAATCACGGGGATGGTTGATCCATCACCTTGTCCCCAAACCAATCGTTCTGAACCTGTTGGCATCAATTTGCGATGTTTGCCAACATAGCCACGTTTGGGATCAATGTAAACTATAGAGCAATACAATGTTGACCCATTACCTTTTTCAATTACACCAATGGCTATGGTGGCATTCAATTTTGTGGCAAAGGATTCCAAAATTTGCGTTTCTGGTCCTGGAATGGTTATTGCTTGTTGATGATATTGCAAAAATTGCTCACGTCCAATTGGTAATCGGTAACCCAAATAACAACCAAATGTTGAACCTTTGGGGTACCCACCCAATGTGGCTTCAGGGATAACGACTAAATCGACATTGGCGTCAAGTAATTCCTGTTCATAACTCAAGATCTTGTCAAGAGTTTCTTTAGTGGTTTTTTCCGGTGCCACTTGTAATGCAGCAAGTACTCGTTTAACCATTCTATGAGGAATAGATTAGTTTCGGCCGGTGGTGATTAATTCTCGAAAGGAAGGGAGAAAATGGTTGAGAACTATCCTTGATCAATATCAGAAACATGCATATGTTTTGAGATGATTATCGTCGTCGTCTTTTATATTCTCTGTATTTTGGAGGCTTCTACCCCACTTCATTATCTGGTCGTGCAATTTCATGCAACCTTTGGTCTAGGCGCATAAGCCTTAGTCTTTGTAATGGTTTTATTATATATATCGCCCCGCTTGCGATGAGCGGCTATCCAAATAATGGACCTGATAACGCTTCACGTGCTAGCACATACAATCTATTTTATGAATTGTAGAAAAAGAAACGTTGAGTCCTACGGAGGTAAACTTTGAAAAGTAAGCTTCAAAGAATCACGTGATATTGACAAAGTTGGCTTCTTGTATGTCGCGAAACTTGACTCATTCTCTGTCCATATTGAGGTGAGTAAAATGCCAAGGCTTGTTACTTTAGTCCCTGATGTCAAATTAAGATCAACAACAAGCTAGATTGATTCAAATACTTTTCTTTGGCTTAGGTGTTCCATACGTTATCTAGGTATGTTACTGGCTGGGGTGGTTGATTGCTTACAACTTAACTCATAAATTTGGTGTGTTTGTATTGGCTGGTTGGGGATAGTTTGTGTAATGATTACGATCGGCTTAGTGGTTAAAAATGTGTTTATTTCTTACTATACGTTGAACAATAAAGTGGTTCTTTATTCAACCAATCAAACTTATGGAACCTTTGCCTATTTGTTTTTGTGACTTGTTAAACTGCTTAAACTGATGGAAAAGATTAAATTAAAGGTAGTGTACTTGGGCTCAAAACAAAGAAGGTTTGTGTAACTCAATCCCACTGTTACTTGATGATGAGAAATGGCATGTCATGTTGTATCACACTCTTCTTAAAGTTTGTTGAAAACAACATACGGTAGAGTGGAAAAGTAAGTGTTATAATTGTAAAGTGAGATGAATGTGTAGTTTTATCCTTTGCATTTCTCTGTCTCGTGATTCTGCATCATCATCCTGTCAAAATAGAATACAGTAGTACAAATTAATTAGCTTTTTTTTCTATTGTTCTTCTTCTGCATTTGATAAAAATTTAAAAATTAGCTTCAATAATCATCATCTTTTATAAATCCGAACAAAATCAACCTACATTTAAATAAAAAAAGACCTTTCTTCCTTTAACTACTTGGAAGAAGTCAGCATTCAGAAGTAAAGTTACTGGCATCTCTGGACTTATCGTCAATTTATTCCAATCACAGCTCAGCTCATACATCACTATACTACAATCAAATCATTTTTTTCGGGATATCTCGGTTTAAAAATAGATCCTGTCTAAAAACCATTCATCTCAAACCCAATAGTCATTACCACTGATACAATTACACTATGGCATCATCATCATCATCAGCAGCAGCAGCAGCAGCAGCAGCAACAACAACAGCCACAGTACATTCTCTTGTATCTATACAAGGTATGACTTGTGGAGCATGTTCAGCCAGCATAACAGAAGCATTGGAAAACCAGGATGGTATAGAAAAGGCTTCCATTTCATTAGTCACTGAAGACGGATTGATAACACATTCATCAAACTATGATCCACGCAATATAGTCACGGTCATTGAGGATTGTGGGTTTGATGCTCAACTACAAAAGAAATCGGCCTTAAAGCCCAGTCCAGCCACAAAATCGGATCTGCGGCAAACCACACTTGGGATAGTAGGGATGACATGTGGTGCGTGCTCAGCTAGTATAACTGACGCATTGGAAAAGATCAATGGAGTGTCATTTGTATCTGTCTCGTTAATCACTGAGGAGGCATTGGTTAAGCATGACTCTGCCGTTTCGTCAGATCAATTGAAAGAAGCAATAGAAGATTGTGGGTTTGATGTGACATATGTACGGACAACTGATGTGTCTGGAGATAGCATTGGTGGACAACAACAAAAGAATGAGGAACTAGTGGATGAAAATGAAGAAACTTGTTTGAAAATCATGGGATTACATCCTGATATGGATTTGACTGGTTTCAAATACAATCTCGAAGCACATCTACAGAGCACCCTTGGAATTACATCGTTTGAAATTTCCTGGCATGATCAAGATGATGAAGTCGCTGAAGAATTGTCAACGCTGCCAAGGACATCAATTGAAGAAATGGCTGTTGGTGTAGGTAATGAATTGATCGTATCATACAATCCAACAATCATCGGAATACGAGACATTGTTGATGGTCTTGATGCTTTGGAAAACGATGTCACATTTATTTTTGTCAACTCATTAGATCAATCTTCAGCAACCCAACTCAAAATGTTATCTAAAATTAAAGATATCAAGTACTGGTCCAATATAGTTATTCAAAGTCTAATATTTGGCGTCCCCATAATGGTTCTCGTCCACACTGAGGGGACAAGCCTATGGAAAAATACAATGTTATTCCCTGGTTTCTATTTGGTGTCATTAATCGAAACTGTACTCGCCACATATGTCCAATTTCGATTAGGTGCAAAATTCTTGCGCAAATTCTCATCATTTGTTAGAAACAATTTCAAAGGCGCATCAATGGACGTTTTGGTGTCCATTTCAACCATGGTTACATATATTTTCTCAATTGTTTCAATTGTGGTTAGTGTATGGCAGGGTAATACTGAGAAACCACCAAAAGTCTTGTTTGATACACTTGTTATGTTAATTACATTTGTATCATTTGGTAAGCTATTGGAAAATAAAGCCAAAGGTGCCACTTCTTCAGCATTATCAAGTTTGTTGTCATTGACTCCTTCCACTTGTACAATCATCAGTAACTCGACCCCATACTTGAAAGAAAGTGGTGCAAAAGAGGATAAACTTCAACAAGATTATCAAACCAGAACCATCAGTATTGATTTAGTTCAGCCAAATGATATTGCCATTGTATTGCCTGGTGGCAAAGTTCCTGCTGATGGAGTCATTGTGTTTGGCGAGTCCGAAATAGATGAGAGTTTAATCACTGGTGAACCACTACCTATTCACAAGAAACATGGAGATTCTGTAATTGGTGGATCAATCAATGGACCTCATTTGATCCATATAAAAGTTACCAAGACTGGTAGGAGATCGCAATTGCAACAAATTATCAACTTGGTTAAGGAGTCCCAAGTAAATAAAGCACCAGTACAAAGATTTTCTGATTACGTTGCTGCTAGATTTGTCCCGTCAGTTATCATATTGGCATTAGTCACCTTTGCCGTGTGGGCAGTGATTTGCCTTACAATGCACATTGACGGCTTGCCAATGATTTTCCGTCAAAATGAAAATGGGAAATTTTTTGTATGTTTACAGTTGGCAATTTCAGTCATCGTTGTTGCTTGTCCCTGTGCTTTGGGGTTGGCTGCACCAACTGCGGTGATGGTGGGTACTGGTGTTGGAGCCTTGAATGGAGTCTTGATTAAAGGGGCTGATGTCTTGGAAAAAACAACTTCGATAAATATCATATTGTTTGACAAGACTGGTACATTAACCACTGGAGAGATGTCAATGGTGAGATCAAAACCTGTACTTGATCAACATTTGTCTAAGCTTTCAACATCTTGTTGGTGGAAATTAATTGGTTCAGTAGAGTGCAACTCTGAACACCCAGTGGGAAAGGCCTTGACAAAACTGGCTAGATCTTATTGTGGTTTAAGTTTTGAAGAAGATTCATTTGACACATTGATCAGGGATGTCAATATTTTGCTTGGTGCCGGTATTGAAGCAAATGTAACTTTAGCTTCTGTTGAGTACACCGTTCATGTTGGCAATTATAACCTTGTAAAGGAAAAATTCCCCCAATTATTAGAACAAATTGACAAGGAAGACATTAGCCCAATAAATACGGTAACTTACGTTGTCATAAACGGTGTCTATTCCGGATTCATAGAGTTATCTGATTCCTTAAAGGAAGGTTCGCGTGAGGTTATAAACTACTTGAAGCAAACTGAAGGTTACATCGTTGGTATGGTAACCGGTGACAATAAAGGAGCCGCTATAAAAATCGGGAGAGAAGTTGGCATTTCAGAACACAACATTTACTACGAAGTATCCCCTATACACAAGGATAAAGTAATCACCGATTTAAAGACAAAATTTGGTCCCGGTGCCAGTATCGCATTTATTGGCGACGGAATCAATGATGCACCAGCATTAGCCAAGGCCGATATTGGAATGGCTATAAGTTCGGGAACAGATATAGCCATTGAAAGTGCCGATATTGTCTTAATTGGTGGTCAAAGACGTCAACAAACAGACTTGTATGGCGTCATCAATGCCTTGAAAATATCAACAACAACATTCCAAAGAATCAAAATGAACTTTGTGTGGGCAGTCATTTACAACATCTTTATGTTGCCATTTGCAATGGGATGTTTCCTACCTTTGAACTTGATGTTACCGCCCGTGGCTGCAAGTGTTGCCATGATGATTAGCTCGCTAAGTGTGGTTATGAATTCGCTCTTGTTGAAATTGTACAAGGCTCCCAAAATTGACCCTGTTGAGAAATTTGATTTGGAGATGGGCGTCAATATTAGTGATGGTAGTGATGATGATTTTGATTTGAAGAATGGTACTGCACAAGGATTCCATTCTTGGAAAAGAGGCAAGAGTAAGTGGATTAGCTGGCTTGGGTTGCAATCGATTAAACGGATTTTCATCAATAGAAGAGGGGCTAATAGGAGAGAGGTTCAAGAGTACCAATTAGTTTCAGGAAGTTCGAGGGTGTGAGGAATAATTTCGATGTTTATCAGTTCGTTTGGTCCTAAATTTCTTAAGTCTATCGTTTTACTTTTGCATATGAGAGGAAAGAAGGTGGTTCAATGGTGGTGGTGATTTTGCGGTTGTTGTTAGAGTACATTAATAGACCATTTTGCTAACATTTTATTTCATAGCTTTATACTTTGTTGAACAACACTAATTTTTTAATACACGTTGCATTAATAAATAGATAAAGCAGAGATGACCATACTACTACGGTGTCTGCTACTCTATTTACCCACCTCCTTTGTTTTACCAAGTCATTTCCATCTATTGAATGATTTGACTAATGTTTTTCTTGTTTGTTCTTATTCTTGAATTGTAGTTTTGTTGCAAATTTTCTTAAAACACCAAGGGGGGAAGCATTACAAAAAAAAGAACCACATAATTCTTTGAAAAAGAATCACCATTTCACACCCTTTGAAAATAGACTATTTCCCCTTTTCCATATCATGACACAAATATAAGGTGAATATTAATCAAGCGAGGTACAACTGAGTGGTGGATTCTGGTGGAATTTTGAATTTCTTGTACATGTCTTTTTTTTTTACGGTCATGAGCACACACACAACAGAAACACACACCCTTGATCAATTTCCAAAACATCCTTTCATCAAAATACAAGCCAAGAACTTTAGAAAAATTGTTCAACTGACATATTGTATCCAATGGGAAGCTCTAATAGCCGAATTAAGGAAACTTTCGTCAAAACTGATTGCTGAACCAATTGAAGTGTCAACGGTGAACTAAAGTGGTCTATAAAAGGATGGACAAGTGCCCAGTTTATTCATGATGTGTTTGGTTTCCCTTTCCCTTCTTCACGTCACCCATCAAGCAACAGTACGCATTCAATCTAGAGAAAAACAGATTTAGGTAAATGAAGGTTTGCAACTTGTTACTTGTTGCTGCGGTTGCCAATTCGTTGGCAATCAGAACCCCGCAGATTGAAAATAGCAATGATGGCTCTAAAAAGACTAGTCATAGACTTGGATTCAAACATCACAAGGCTATGAGATTGAGATTGCCATTCAAATCTTCCAATTCTGCTTCTGCTGATCAGCAAGGTGATTCTAATGAATGGAGCGTTGAACACCAAGCGGATTATGCCTTGAAGGCTAAGTTCAAAGATGATTCTGATAACGAAGACAATGCTCATGTTGATGAATCCAACTTGGGATTGGGCTCTTTTGCCGGTGCTTTGGCTGATGAAGTTTCTGATCCTACTTTTACTGCCAAGTTTAAATCGGGTGGTTTTGGTGACATGTTTTGGCAATTGTTGAGTGTTGGTAAGGATTTGACTATGGAGAAGATTAATATATTGAAGGATATTTTGGCTATGTTGGACCAAATCAAGAATGCTCGTGGTAAAGATGCTGAAGAACCAGTGTCTATTAGTGTTGTTGATGCTGATCCTCAAGACCAAGCTAACTTGAATGCATTTGCCAAAAGAGATGGTGAATTTGCTGACGTTGAAGATTTGAATAACTTGATAAAACTTGATAAGTTGAAGGGTATCTTCAAAAAGGGAAAAGGTGGTAAAGGCGGTAAAGGTGGTAAGGGTGGTTGGAAAGGTAAGTTTGGTAAAGGAAAGCACGATCACGATGATGATGACGACGATTATGATTCCGATTACGATCATAATGATGATTCCAATTATGATGATGATTGTGAAGACGATGAATACGATGGCAGAGATTATGATCATAGAAGAAAGAAATCTGACAATCGTGGTAAATTTGATAGAGGTCACAAGAAAGGCAGTTCCCACAAGGACAAAGGATCGAATTTTAGAAATGACAGAGACTTTAACGATTTTAAAGATTGGGAACGTGCTCAAGATGATTTGAAGCGTGACTCGCGTGACTCACGTGATGGGTCTGGTTCATTATCACCATCGGGTAGAATTGTTGGTGGTGATAGATCGCGCGGTGGTGATAGAGTTCACGGACGTCCTGATGATTGTGATGATGACTTTGAACGTGATAGAGATCATGACAGAGACCACCGTGATGGAAAGGACCACGGAAAAGATCACGGAAAAGACCACGGTAGAGACCATGACAGAGACCACCGTGATGGAAAGGACCATGGAAGAGACCATCATGATGGAAAGGGCCACGGAAGAGACGATGGTTGGAAAAATGCTCCAGACTTTGAAAGAAAGCACGGTAAGAACGATGGCAAAGATTGGAACAAAGGAAAAGGCCACGATTGGAACAAGGACAAGGACCATGATGGAGACCACCGTGGTGGCAAAAGTGATGACAGAGACCATGGTAAGAATTGGAATAACGATGAAGATTGCGATGATTTTGACAATGATCGTCGTGGTAAAGATTGGAACAGGGGAAGAGGGTCTGGTTTCAAAGATGATAGAGACAACCATTCTCATCACAATTCCAAAGTTTCCAAGAATGATGAATTGCATTTGGCTGTGAGAGATTTGAGTAAATTGAAAAAGATGATGGCTGGCAAGAAGGGTAAAACTACTGCCGCTCCAACTGCTGTTGCTCCTTCTACTGTTGCTCCAGAACCAGAACCAACTATGGATGAAGAATGCCCCGAAGAGCCAGAGACTGAAGAACCAGCTCCAGCAACCACTGCCCCAGCACAACCTGCACCTACTGGTAAAGCTGGTGGTTTGAAGTCCAAATTGAAGGGTTTGTTCAATAAAAAAGGAAAAGCCACTGGAAAATTGAGCGGTTTAAAGTCCAAGTTCAAAAAGAGTAAGACCACTTCTTCTGTCGCAGCTGTAACAACCACTGTTGTTGTTGATTGCCCTGAGACTGAAGCTCCTGTTGAAGATGAGGATTGTCCAGAAGAAAAGAAATTGGCTGATGCTAAAGCTGACAAGGAAAAACGTGATGATGCTACTGATGTTGCCATTGACTCGAAATACTTTGGATTTGGTGGTAAGAAGGGTGGAAAGGGAAAAGATGAAAAGACGGAGGAGTCCAAGCCTGATGTTTTTGATGATGAAGATTGTGATGAAGAAGATGAGGAAGAGAATGTCGGAAAACAAAAAGGTGGTAAAAAGGATATCAAAGGTATGTTAAAGGGAAAGCTTGGCGGTTTGAAAGGAAAAATGGGTGGTGGTGCTGGAATGAAGGATAAACTTGGTGGATTGAAAGGCAAGATGGGCGGTGGTGCTGGAATGAAAGATAAACTTGGCGCATTGAAGTCTAAGTTTAAGAAGGGTAAGGGTGGCAAGAACCAAGGCCCTGAAGATGATGAGGATGAAGATTGTGATGACGAATTTGACAAGGGAAGCGGAAAGTTTCAATCTGGAAAAGGAGGAAAGAATGGAGGCTTTGGTAAAGGTAAACGTGAAGTAGAGGACAATTTTTTTGATTCAAGTGCCGAATGGTGCTACGATTCCGATTGCGCCGATGAAAGCTTTTTCAACGATAAGGATCTTGATTCTTCAGGGAGCAATCGCAGAGGGCTGGAACCCCAATTTTTCGCTCAAAGCGTAGTTTCTAAACATGATTTAGTTGAAGATTTGTTGTTGAAGGTTTTCTTGCAATTGAAACATTCTGGTTTGATTAACGATATAATCAAGATGTCCTTGACTGATGATCTTGTAAGGGAAGCGTTGACTGATATTACCATTAAGTTGTTGAATGCCAATGTTATTCCTTGGGATGATATTATTCTTGCTATTAAAACCCATGGTCTTGTTCTTGATGTTACTAAATTTACCTTGACCAATCCTGAGGTTAGACAAGGTTTGGCTTCGTTTGTTTTGGAGCTTATCCCAGGCTTGATTAGAAGTGGTTCATTGACTACCAAGCAAGTCGTTGAACAGTTGAATATTGAAACTCAACGCCCATTTCCAGGTAAAGGTGAAGGCAAGGATTTGAGGGATCCGCGTATCCAACCTTTGGGGCCATTTCCAGATGAAGAGTTTCCACATGACCACCACGAAAAAAACCACTTCAAAACTATAAAGGGTCATGAAGAAGAACATCACTATGTCAAAGTCCGTAATGCTACCCACGACCATGAGATTGAGCATCATGAACAAAAGAATAAGGATATTGAAAAGTTGCACCATGAAGAAAGTCATCATGGAGATCATCAAGAAGATGACTATGAAAGCAAACACCATGATTTAGAAAAAGACTACCATGAAGAATCCAAAAAGGGACACAATGTTCATGAAAAGGATATCCACGAAGTGCAAAAGGAACATCACAAGGAGAATCATCATCAAGATTTGAACAGAAACGGGGAATTGCGTGAAGAACATCACGAAAAGAACAATAAGGAATTGCAAAAGGAAAAGCATGATCAGGATTTTTATGTTGATGAAGATGTTTCAAATAAGCAAAAGAGACATGAGTTGGAACACCATGAAAAAGAAGTTCACAAGAAGGAAAAAGATTTGCATGAATTTGATCTTCACGAGCAATATGATGAAGGTGATGAACACCATAAAGTTGATCTCCACGAAAAGAACAAGCACGGTTTGGAAAAGGATTTCTTTGAAAAGGATGAACACGAAAAGACTGATGGTCACGGGAGAGACCACCACCATGAGGATAATCATGAATTGACTCAAGACTTCCACGAGAAGGATCTTTCTCAAGTGGATGATGATGCTGATGGTACTCACTATGATAAAAACTTGCACGAATTGGATGGTGTTCAAGTAGAGAAGGATCTCCACAAGGATCACGTTCACGAAGTTGATCACAAGAGAAAGAGACATGAAGTTGAGCATTTTGAAGAGGATTTCCACAAGAATGTTACTGAACACCATGAACATGATTTCCATGAAGTTGTTGATGGCGACTCGGTACATCATGAAAAGAATAAGCATCAAAATGAAGACCATAGTTTTGAACATGACAAGCACTTGGCTAATCATCATGAAGAAGATCACGGCGAGTTTGATTATGAGAAGGATTTCCATGATTTAGATGAGTTCTTCAAGGAAAAGGACCACCACTCTGATTATTTCCACGAAGTTGATCACAAGAGAAAGAGACACGAAGTGGATCATTTTGAGGAAGATTTCCACAAAGACATCAAACAACATCACGAAGTTGATCATCATGAAAGTATTGATGATGCCTGGAGTCGTGATGAGAAGACCCACCACAAGGAAGATGACTTTGCCTTTGGACGTGATAAGCATGCCCTTGACCACCACGAAGAGAACCACACTGACGATTCCGACTACAGAAAGGATTTACATGAGTTGGATGATGTTTCAAAGGAAAAGGAGCATCACCAAGACTCTTACCATGAAGTTGAGCATGAACTTGAACATGAACTTGAGCGTCGTGATGTTGGTTATGAGCATGATAAGGTTTCTCAAGGCAAAGATTTACATGAGTTGGATAACCACCTCAAGCAAAAGGATAAGGATCATTTTGCTAAAGATAATCTTTATGGCGGTGAACGTCATTACAAGGAACATTATGAAAAAGAACACCATGAAAAGGAGAATCATGAAACCACTCCTGATAGAAACCACTATGAAAAAGAGGAGCATGACAGAGAGGAGCATGGTAAAGAGAATCATGAAAAGGGACCTTACGAGCATGAAGAGTTTTCAAAAGAGCATGGAAAGATTGTTGATAAGAAGGAGTCTAATAAGAATGCTTTTGGTAAAAAGGAGCATGAGTTAAAGGGGGACTTGGGTTTTGAATATGCCCCTGCTGCTGCTGCTGCTGCTGTTGGGGGTCCATCTCAAGCTCCAGGACAAATTATCCCGCCTATTGGTGCTTAGACAGATCAAAGGAGGAGATTCTAGATTGAAAATGAGGCTGGACTATGTCTCAATTAGAAAAACACAAGATTTTTTTTATTTTCATTTTTTTTTTTGGATTTGAATATTCTATTTTGTTTGGCCACAACACCAATTTATTACTAATACGCTTCTTTTTTTTATTATTATTTTTATCCTGCTTTTGATTTTTGATTTGGTTTGTTGTTTGCTCTTGGAGCATGTTATCTTTTTAGCTTGGGAGGTTGCTCTGTTGATGCAATTTATATTTCAAAAAGTTTTTTCATATTTTTATACCCCATATGTCCTTTTTTTTTATATTAATTTATGCCACTTTCTTGAACAAGCTTCAAATTGTAGATCAATTGCAACTTTTGCGTTCTCAAAGAAGTAACAAACATCTACACGTATTAGTTCCATTTGATGTTACCATTTAAAGGCCTCTATGTAATTATAAAAGTGTTTCAAGAATACGTAATAAAACCCAGTTTTCGTGCTAAAAATTGAATTAAAATAACCAGCGCATGCTTTAATCTTATCTTTCTATAATCACACTTATAAGGCCAATAAAGCACCAGCAGCCAAAGCAGCGGCACCAGCAGCGTATTGCTTAGCGGCACCAGCTTCGAAAGTGGAAACTTCAGCAACAGTGCTGTTTGATGGAGGAGCACCAGCAGATGAAGATTCTTCAGCAACAGTGGAAGCTGGGCATGATGATACTGATGAACCACAGTCTGTGATGGTGGCTAAAGTGGTTGATTCGACGGTCTTGGTGATGTCAGCGGAGACAATAGCAGCGGCAGCAGCGATTAAAGTAACAGTTGAGAATTGCATTGTATTAGTAGTTTATTAGTTAAGCGAAAGACTAGTAGTTGGGATTTGATAATATGATCTGATCTGATGAGGAAAAGAAGATGTAAAAATATGAATGAAATGAGGGAGGATTCATGGGTTTATATATGCAAATTTTGGGAAGTTCATCTTATAGTAAGACCGTATTGTGAGTGACGAGTTTGCAGTATAAACTCATACTGTTGACCCAGAGTACACCAATAGTAGCCTATTGTTGTAGTTGTTGTTTGTTTGTTTGTATGTTTATGTTTATGGTTTGGGGTGATGTCACAAAATTAAAAAAAAATCGTGTCGCGAATTGATTGATGTGTGGCAATTTTGTGACACACTTCAAAAAGTGTAAACAACATTCTGTAGTTTGACGAGTATTTTGAAAAGAGCAGCGTACCAAATGCAAAGCATGTGCTTGGTTTCTTGTACGACTCAGCCTTGTTATGCTGCTTATGACTAGGAAACATCCAGTGAGACTTTGCTTAGTTCAAGCTTTGCAACCAGGAATCCTGAGCTTACAAGTATGCACACCCTGAGTAAGGAAAAGCGGTCAAATTATTTTTTGACACTTTGTATTGTGTCATGAACCCATGATTGAAATTTACGCGGCCGTACCAGGATCTACGCAGCAAGTAAAAAAAAATAATCAAAGCGAAGAACTTTTGTGCCAGATCCTAAACCACTTTTTAGTTCATGTCTCATGCCAAACACCCAGTGGCGGTGCAATATCGCGGTAAAACTCAAATCCTTCTCGTTCCTGTCACAGAGCAGAATGCCAGGAACAAGTTCTTGCTCTCACTGTTTGGGAACATTGTCTTAATCACACGAGCTTATTGTTCTATAGGACTACGCTTTAAGATATCCTATTGTTTCACTCGTGTATCATAAGATATTCTTCCATCATCTCACTACTCAAGTTTTGATCGTTCTAGACTTGTCCCAATATGGCAAAGACCTTTCCAAGAAAAGATGTGTCACATCTCAGGTACACACACACACACACACAGCCATCGCATTAGCTTCAATTCTAGTGCAAAGAACTCATGGCAGCAACATCTAAAGTAACGATTTTCAAGATAATTCCGGTGCACATGAATGTCAGGTACCGTGATCAAAGACTTGGCATGCACTTCAATGACATCACGATTTAAAAGATCGGGTTAATTTAAAGCTATAACACATATGGCCTATACCCCTATTGATCTGCCCGACTCTGTCGGCTTCCAACAGACTCAACTGTATTCTATCCCTCTATCTACAGCAGCTCCATCGGTTACAACCAGTTCGGCCCATAAACAAAAACAGCGAGGTTGGCGTTTCTTGTGTAACTTTTCAGCTTTCATTACACAAAAAGCTGAACAACCGATCGCGACCCCCCACATCCAACTGCAACCCTAAGCAAAATTAATCAAAAAAAAAAAACCGGCGCCCGCCTCAATCATAGGATTACACATTATTTCCGTATCTTGAACCGCTATACCTATTGTAAGACGGTATTGCAATTTATCCGCCTAACGGTGCATTGAACCAAAAATTATTTTTTTCTTCTTCGATCTGAATATGCTATTGAATGGGCTTACTTATATTTACATACTAAATCCTACTGATCACCTGTGGTGGTCCCTCCCGACTCATATTTCTGACCGAGGCGTTACATTCTTTCTCGAGTACCAGCCAATGAAATCTCTCAAAGCACTACGTACTCGCCTATTATCCTTATTTGGAATGGCCACCGAAACAGTGTCAATCAAGCGATTAACCTCGTTGCTTTGAACATTGGGTAAACTTGTCACCACATCACGTAACCAACTGATTGCCAACTCTGTTGATGGAGTCACAACCAAGATCTTCAAAAGCAAGTCACTGGCATCTTGTTGTACGTCAATATGAAACTTGAATATGAGTCCGTCCATTACAACTTTCAACAATTCACCTCCATGGTTGTTGACGGTGACAAAATGTTTAATGCATTCTCTTAATGGTGTAGTATCCTTACTTTCAAACAATGAAATAGGTGGGTGTGGTAACCCCCAGGATATCAAGTCAATGAGGAAGTGGATGCAAGATATGATTGGATTGTACTCATTGATTACGGTCAATGTCACTTTTGCTGTCTTGATAATTGAATCAAGTAAATCCAAATTAGGAATCAACTTGAACGGGAAAAACATCAACAAATCATTCAACATCCGGAAAAAATCTTCAATGACGTCGGGTATATGCTTAACTTGCCCTTCATCTTTAGTAAAGAATTGCTCAAAGAATGATTGGCACTGTTCAAGACCGAAATTGTATGCAGCTGATGTAATTTCTTCTGATGAGTATTCGTCGTCTCCAAAAACTCTAATGACAACCCCTGAAACCCACAAATAACAACCGAATTCAGTTTGTTTGTATCCTTGGTGTAGTATCTGGGCTATCTGTGGCAAAACTGGATTAAGATAAGAACTGAATGACTCAACAGCAATTTTGATCAACTTCATACATTTCTCACTAACTTTGAAGACTGATGCTCTCTTTTGTAAAATTGAAGTTACCAATGGCCAAATCTTTTCAATAAACAACGAAGCCACTGGATGTGTTGGCTTGTCAAACTCGTCAACTTTCAATACTTGAAGGAAAATAACAACAATTTCCAACTGATCGGCTATTTGAGCATTTACTTCATCCGAAATGTTGTCTGAAGCATTCAACTCAGAAACTTTTTGTAATGATGGCTCTAAAAACATGTCAGAAATTTTGTACAAATTCCCCTCCGGAACTTTTGCAACAACATGGGCAATACCATCAGTCAATTCGTAATTTGATTCTAGATCAATCTTGTCTTTTACTTGTCCATACAATAAATACAATTGCTCAAGGTAGTTCACCAATAATTCAGAACAATCTTGACAAAAGTACATGAGGGCATGCGAAGTAGCCATAAATATGTCGTTGTTGTTGGCCACTTCAAACCCCTTTGTAATGTAGTTCAATTGTGGTTCCAAGAACTCTGGATTCTTTGCTGTCCATTCGGTGTATCTTCCCAATACTAATGTGGCAGCATATCTTATTTTGGGATGTTCAGGAAGTTGCACCAACAATGACATGATTGTTGGAAGTATGGTTTTCTCTTTTGTTGATACTTCTTTAGCCATTGTTCTCATTGAGAATAAAGGAGCTTCAAGGTATTGCCAATGTCCTTGCGAATTGGACAAAATTGTTTGTATTTGGGTAAATGGAATTTGTAATGCTTTGGAAGCACCTACTACGGCACAGCAATCTTTCAATACATCGCCCATCTCGTATCGAAACTCTTTAAACTTGTCCTCTTGTTCTTTATCCCCGTTGAAAAGATCGTCATCATTTGGTGTAATTGGGTATGTCAAATGTTTAATTATTATAGATATTAGTTCAAAATAGCAATCGCCCAAAACCTGACGTGCCTCTTGAAACTTTGGTAAAACAATCAATTGTTTTAACAAGTACCAGAATTGGAAAGTGTACTTGACAATATCCAAATCATCGTCATTTTTGCAACAATTTAATAGTATTTCAACCAATGGTTTAAAATGTTGCGGGTTTCTAGCTATTAATGAACTCCACGATTCTCCACATTCGACATATAATCTGGTCAACCCGTCAACTTTTTCAGGATCTTCCAAATTATCAGGATTATCATGCATAAACTTGTTCAATTGTAATATTTGTTGGTACAATGCGTCAATTATTTCGTGGTTATCGATATCACGAGTTTCACGAACAATGGTGACCAAACACTCTATTGCCTTGTCAAAAGTTGTATCATTGGACAAACTTTGAAACACCAACGAGGTCAAAGGATGAACGGATAATATCTTGTCAATAGGGCACTCTGTGATCCAACTGTTTAATGCATCCAAGATTGCCGCATTCAAGATAGGATCATTGCTGGCATTGTTTTCAGCAAAATTCTTCAATGTCAATACAACTGACTCCACTTGATCTGTAATCAATTCTTGTGATCTTTTATTGTATTCCTCATCACTCAAATGCGATTTTTTCACATCCGATAACTCTTCAGGCAAGACTTTCAAAAACTCCAATAAAACCAATGTTAAATCGGATGATTGGGTCAAGTTAGCTACAATCTCTTTCATTGCATCATTCCAGGTTAAATATTGCAATGCAAGTTGTGACAATGCAATTGATAGTTGAGTACGAATCAACTTGTCACCGTTTCCATTGTACAATTTGATCAAGTTCAACACTGATGCCTTTAAAGCTTGATAATTCTCTGACTGAATCTGTGATGACAAGTCATAAATAATCTTAGATCTTAGTGTCTGTGCAGCAAAAAGCTTCAACTGCATGTTTGAGACATTATCCTTATCGCTCAAAATTTGATGGGTGATTTGCCATGCATCATTGGATTTTTGAAAGTTTTCCAAGAAATGAGTAGCATTTGCTTTCTCTTCTCGTGGTGCATTGGAGTACATTGTCGACAATGCATTTTCCACTTGTTTAATCTCGTGATCTTGTGATGACATAGTGATGGAATGTTCAAGGTGCTATATATATGTATATATATATATATCTCTCTCTCTTGTGGTTTGCTTCTTAATGTTTTGACTGCCAAAATCTTTGTGGTTGGTTGGTTGGTTGGTTGTCTTCTATAAACTTCTCTCTTTTACTTTACTATTTTTTTTTTTTTTGTTTCTCAGCACACGACTGTAATACAAATTTTGGGTGCAAAAGTAAGATACTCTAAGTTGATAAAATAGGTTGATCATGCATTCATCAGGGTGTAGTGGAGTGAAGATATTGTTGAGCTTTAAAGTAGAAGAGAACCATCTTGTTAAAATTTGTCAGAAGAACGTGAAATTCCATGTGAGTAAGTGGACCTATTTGCTCGAAATTTAGGCAAAATCTGTAAAGTTTTTGGACTTCTATGACTACGTTGATATTCTTCCTTAGCAAAGCTTCGCTGCTACTGAAGAGCGACCTCAAGAGACAAACACCTATCTATAAACTTATGCCAGACTTTGAGTTTTTATTGCAATCATAAAATATATATCCACGATTCCAAGAAAACAATCGCGTCACAAAAGTGGAATCCAACATGAAACAAATTTTTTTTTTTTTCTACTTCTTCTCTTTGGTTTTGTTTTTGGAAAATGTTGTTTCCATTACGAAATCGACAAGCCACAGCTGTATTATCTTTAGTTAGAGCTTCATCGAGTAGTCGCATAACCTTTTGTCTTTGGCATCCACAAGTTAGAATGTCCTCCTCCACATCTTCAACTAGACCAATTGTCATTTCAGGGCCATCAGGTACAGGTAAATCAACTTTACTAAAGAGGTTATTTGCCGAGTATCCAGATAAATTTGGGTTCTCTGTTTCAAATACTACTAGAAAACCAAGAGAAGGTGAAGTCAATGGTAAAGATTACCACTTTAGCACTGTTGACGAATTCAAAAAGCTAATCGATGAAGCCAAGTTTATTGAATGGGCGCAATTCTCTGGTAACTATTATGGAACCACAATCAAAGCTGTTAAAGATGTTGCCGACCTGGGAAAGATCTGTTTATTGGATATTGATATGCAAGGTGTCAAGTCTGTTAAACAGACCGATTTGAATGCAAGATACCTTTTCATTAGTCCGCCATCCATCGAAGAGTTAAAGAGTCGATTAGAAGGTAGAGGTACCGAAAGTAAGGAAAGCTTGGGAAAAAGAATTGCTGCTGCTGAAGGTGAACTTGAGTATGCAAACACTGGAGCTCATGATTTGATAATTGTGAATGATGATTTGGATAAAGCTTATGCTGAGTTTAAAAAGTTCATTTTGGAGGAATAGACTTATTTAGATAGATTTAATGTATTGTACTCTAGGTTGAACGCGGGAATGCAATGACTCGCAGGGACTTTGTAGTCACTTTGACTGTGATTGTAATCATAAGGCATATCGACAAAGGATTGCCCCTTGATTCAACCCTTTTCGATAAATTCGTGGTTGCAGAACAATCTTGGGAATGCCCAGGACCTTTGTAAACCTATTCCAACCTGACTCTGTTGGTGCTGCTTCTGACGAGTAAAGGTTTTATGTACGTGAGTAATATTCCTACATCGTCCGATTTCTTGGTGAAGAAGAATGCGCCGATCCGATCAAGCGTCACAATACAACAAAAAATAAAAAAGAGAGGAAAGGCACTCTACCTTATTCCCACACTTTTATCTACACTCTATTCATTACATAGAGAATCTCCAACTTTTTCAATAATGACGACAGGACTCCCATCATCCATGAGCTTTGGCGAAGAAGAGTACGTTCGGGGTGTCCTTGATTCCAGCATACCCTTTGTCCATCTGATGATTGCTTTGAAATCGCGTGAATACTAACTACCAATAGAGAGCCAGATTTCATGAAGAAATTGGCTGAAAAGGCCAAAGAGCAACCCTTAGTCCCAATTGGTTCTATCCTTACTGCAGGAGCTGTGATATTAGCAGCAAGGTCGATGAAAAGAGGGGAAAAGATTAAAACGCAAAGATATTTCAGGTACAGAATTGGTTTCCAATTGGCAACTTTAATTGCATTGGTTGTAGGGGGTATGACTTTCGGAGTAGCCACACATGAACAGAAAAAGTCCAAAGAAGAGAAATTAAAGGAGAAGGCCAAACAAAGAGAGAAATTGTGGATTGAAGAGTTGGAGAGAAGAGATGCAATTATTCAAGCCAGAAAAGAGAGATTGGAACAATCGAGAAAAGAGTTGAGAAACTTGGCAAAGCAGGGATTTGAAAATGAAAGGGGAGACGCAAAATCCGACACAATCGATCTGGAGAAAGTTGATTCAAACAATTGAGCAAAGTGAGCTTGGTTTCCCCCACAATTTCCTTCAGTACACAATACTGATCACATTCTTTTGTATATAAATTGTTAAATAAACGACGTAACGGTATTCCCGGTGTTGCTAGAATGCTGCTAGCATCAAAATCGATTCAATGTTGTCACCAGTCCCGCCTCCATTTCTCACCCTCACGCCTACTTATTTCCTCACTGTTGGGTTGATCTTGTAGAACTCTCTCGGCGAATAAACAAATTTGTCGTTCTGGGGAAGCATTGGAAATGTTGGAATCATCTTCTCTTGAGGAATTTTCTCCAAATGAGATTGTACCATGAATAACCTATTAATTGCTGACATGAAATATTTGAATCTGGTTGTTTTGATAAGCAACGATAAAGATACAAAACTCTAACTTAGAAGAAAAGTGAACTCAAGAAATCTGGTTTAAATAGATAAGAAAGGTGAATGCTTTGTAATCCATTTATTAAATTTTCAAAAAATTGCAGCATGTCTCGTGACCTCGGACTTTGATTATAAAAAAATATATTCTCTTTCTCTCTCGAACACCGAAGCCCAAATCTACAAAGACTTTTCTTTTCTTTACTCATAGTTGTAAAACATTGTATTAGATTTTAACACTACATGTAAGTTTGCCCAAGACTTTTCAGTACCTTTTACTCGTCGGCGTTATTTAGATTGTACAATTTGATATAATCATCGTTTAAATCTTTCATCATTTCAATCACTCCATGATTGCTGAAATGGTCCTCTTTGTGGTCCTTACCGGACCCGTCTTTGCTTGCACCACCTGGCAATTTGATTTCACTGTACAATGCCTTGACTGAACTTTCAATCTTGACCGATCCTTCCCAAGCAACCAAGTCACTCAAACTTAAAAGCAAGAATGGTGAGAAGTCAGAATACCATCGATGGTTCCACACCAATAACCGAACTATACTTTCCAATATCTTTTCATTTAGCTGATTCATCATTTTGGAGTAATTTTGAATAAAACTGGGATTACCACTAAATGAAGAAGTGTTTTTCGTTACAAGTCTAGAATGCTCCTTTAAATAATACTTGAGCATTTCACGCTGTGATTTGGCTGAAAACCGCCCACTTAACGCATTTGAAAACGCAACTGCCCCTTCTTTGAAATGCTTCAATCTGTATGCTATCAGACCAAGGATTTCCCATTCTAAAGTTGTCTTTTTGTATTCCATTTGTTGAGCTTGGAAATGCAAGGATTCAGCTTGCCACATAGTGAATGCTCTCAAGTCTTCATACAAGAGCATAAACAAATTGTCCAACCACCTCTCGCACAACCTTTTTTTCTTAAACTCTTCATCATAATCGGTATCATCATCGACAGTAGGAGCTTCAGGTGCAACGGAAGCTGGAGCAACTGAAGTTGCTGCATCCATAGGCTTTTGAGTTGGTGACTTGATCGCAGTAGTTGACTCAACATCGCTTTCAGTGATTGAAGGTGTAGCTGCAGCGGTGCTGTCATTAACGGTGACCGAAGATTGGGTCGAATTTTTGCGAATGTGCCCATTGGCTGTCCCCTTCTTATCCTTTCTGTATTCTTCTTCCATAACAAAAACTTTGGCACGATATTTCAACAACTGCTCCCAGCCTGTTTTGGCAACAATTTCAGTCAACAAGTCATAAGCTTTAGCATATGTGGATTTCAAATTTGTTGCAGGCAAGTTTGCCAATTGGGGATCCAAATTTCTATGCTCGTAACTGATATCATTACTTTGCAAATTGGAAACCTCATCCAACGTGACATCCATTGGCGATGGCAAGTGCAACTCGTCATGAGTCTTGATGGGAACAACTCTCTTTAACTGATATCTCTCCTTGTGAGAATTCATGGGACACGAGTTCAATGTTAGTAAAGCATTTTCAAAGTCACCCAATTTAGTGTAACATTTAACCAAAACTGACCAAGTAAAATAATCAGATGGAGACGACTTGACGGCTTGTTTTGCCAACTCTAAAGCTAATTCTGGCTTCTTTTTATCCAAGCAATATTCAGCTTGCAATACCAACGTATTTGCATCCCTCTTGTTATCTTGAATCCCCTTGTACATGGTTTTCACCGCTTGAATTTCATCCTGTTTCAATAACTGAAGTTTTGCAATGATGGAAATTACACCAGGCTCGGTTTTGTATAATCTCTCCAAGATTTCCAATCCTCGGCTATAACTTTGTGTCAACTCAACAACTTTCAAAAACCCATCAACAAGGTAGTTGTTTACGGCAGTTGGTTGTGGAAATTCAACACTGCATCCCAATTTAGTTCCTTGAAAGAACAATTGCTCGAAACCAATGAAAAAATTGTTCAACAACTCCTTTGAAGCACTCCCATTGTTGAATGGGTTAATCTTTCTAATTTCAACAACGCCTCCTAATTTATTGGCATCTTCATTATCTTCACTTTCCAAAACAGCACGAGTAATGGAGGTGACAAAAGTTTCCAACCACAACTTTTCCAATTGTTTATCATTCAAGTTATCTTGAATCATTTTACCGTCTTGGTTCAATATTTGTATTCCGAACTTACCTGGAATATGAACAGTGACTCTGATGTCAGTCTTGCTGAAGGCGTTGAACGTACAATATGTCAATTGGGGCACTTTCCAATGTTTCTTTTCACCAAACCAGTATTGTGACTTTGAAGTCATTAAATTGGCCAAGCTTTGCAAATGTGCCGCGATTGAAGCTATTGAAGATGTATCGACCCCAACAAAATATAGAAATGTACCAATCTCTCCATGTTCTCTTTTGGCGTTGATTGAATGCTTGTATATATTACACAAATCAGGTGGTCCCAATTCTATGAATTGAAGTAAGCGGGCGGTACGCTCAGTAAGACAGGAACCCGGATATTCCTCCCTAACTTCGGGTATCGATCCTATTGAAGGGGGAAGCATTGGGTAGTTATAAGAATGTGTATGATCAACTATATGACACCTGGTTCTTTGATTTTTTTTCCTTTGGTTTTTTCTTTTTTTCGCTTTTGTTGTTGAAACTTGGCGTGGGCTTTGCTATAAGAGGAAGTGACTTTGGACAACTTGGCGCTGCTACAATACGTCATCTATTATTACATACAATGTAGGATGCTTTTCTACAATCGTTTACAAACTATCAATCATTCTGAATGTGTCAGATTTTTAATTACGCTTGGACTTTTTCCGTTGTCCATCTTGTCCATCTCCTCCATCCGCTTCCGGCTCGTCATATATACTATCCCAATCCTTTGCTGTCAAACAATACTTTTCTGGAGGCAAGTTCAAGCCCCATTTCGGTATAACTGGTGGTAATGGTTTGGAATTCCGTTCTTGTGCCAACTCCAACATTAGTTCCTTTGGTGGTACTGGCTTGAATTGATAGTTACCTCTAGCAGCAATGGCAAGCCTTATGTCATCGGTATTGACTGTAGCGCCACTGTTTGAACTTACATTTGAGCTCGTTGTTTTGGCGTGATCATTGTATATAAGAGCATCTTTCAAAACTGACTTTGTATATCTGTGAGCAAAATCCATCAATTGTAAGGGAACATGATCTTGGTAATTCTGGATACCTTGAGTTGCAAATATCAAGTGAAGTAATCGTACATCTCGAGGAACGATTGGTTCTTTTTCTTCTTGTGATGGTTGTTGTTGTTGCTGCTGTTGTTGTTGGGATGATTGATTCTGTGTAGGTGGCCGGGAAGCAACAGATTGTGGCGCCGATATTGTATCTGCTGACTTTGGAGCTGGAACACTCATGGGAATACAAAACTAACAGCAGGTAGCAAATGCAAACTTGTGAATCAAGGTGTGGTTGATGTAGCACTGATATGGCTTGTTTAGTTTTTTCCCAACATGGATTTTACTTTCACACTGCCGCACTTTTTAGACATTGAAAGTTTCGACATTTGCTTCAACTCACAACAAAAGCCATGTCGGAGCAAGGAGAGGTGTTTGAAAGACCAGATACAGTGGCTGTTGATCCTCCTCTGAAAAGACATCACACAATTGAGCCATTTGCGTTTTTGACATCGGTGAAGGAAAATGAGAAGAAACACAACGTTCTCCTTATATCTAATCAGCCATTTAAAATCAACTTGAAAGCAATCTGGGTCCATTGCGGGTTAGTAGTGTGTTCAGATGGTGGTGCAAATAGGCTTTTTGACTCCTTTTCAAATGACCAAGAACGAGAGGACTATTTACCGAGCTATATAGTGGGTGACTTTGATTCTTTAAGGGACAATGTCAAGGACTTTTACCAATCCAAAGGTGTCAAGATTATACCCCAATATGGACAATATAGTAACGACTTTCAAAAATCAATACGGTGTGTGCAATTGCACTTTTCGCTCTTGGAACAAGGTCGACAATGGCCTTATATTGACGATGATGACGGGTTGAAGGAAATCTGGGAGAATGAAATGGGAGGTACCAGTGATATACAAATACACATTTATGCCTTGTCAGTAATTGGTGGCAGATTTGACCAGTCTGTCCAGTCTATCAATCAGCTTTATATTCTTCACCAAACGGAGCCTAACTTGCATTTATTCTTCATCACCAATGATGATTTGATTTTCCTCTTGTACAAAGGAGTCAACTATGTCACATATCCCGATCGGACTGTATTTTGCAAGGACACATCCTCGCCTCCGTTGTGTGGGTTATTGCCTCTTGGTAACAAGTCTGTTGTTTTGAATAGTTTTGGATTCCGATACGATATCAAGAATTGGTTGACAGAAATGATGGGTCAGGTGAGCTCCTCAAATCGAGTCGTTGGAGAGAAGGGGTTCATTGTCGAGTGTTCTGAAGACATTACAATGAATATAGAATTGAATTTATAGACGGAGTATAGAGGCATAAAGTCAAGACATTCTTTTCATCATATGGTAGCGAGTACTCACAAAAATTACAATTTTTTCCAACTTTGCCAATCAAAAATTTTCAAATTAGATAGAAGCTTTATAAACTGGCTCCCCCTTTATCATCGTTCCCCAGCTGCTCAGCATGTTCAGATCCCTTGCGAGAATACCTTTAAGGGGCTTGCGCCAATCGGCAATTAGGTTTGCTTCGCTGTATATACCACCAAGATCGCCAATACTATCATCACTACCACCACTCTCATTTTCATCCTCAAAACTGACATCTATTTTGCAGACGACAAACTTGGTACCAAATGGCAATGAAGTCACATTGAAGTTACCCAGCATAAATCCCCCCTCGTCATCATCTAAGCTTCCTAACAAAGAGTTACGCATTTCCGTCGAGGTTGAAATAGTAGGTGATGAAATTAAGTTTGAAATTGTTGATGCGGGAAACAATACGGACAACATTATGCATGCTGATTCAGTGTTACGTAAAAGAAGATTGAAGATGAAGAAGCACAAGTATAAGAAGAGAAGAAAGGCCCAACGTGCATTGAGGAAGAGATTAGGTAAATAAGGAAGGAGCTTGTATATAAAGATTTGAATGGAATCGTCAGTTATTGAGAAGGGGATAGAGGCAGTAGCTATGCAGTGACACCAATGTAGAATTATATTTTGATCTAGTGTCTTCTTGTAGACAACCTTCAATTACACAATTCTTATTGAACTCATTGAAAAAAAAAGAAAAATATTAAAAAAATGTGTGTCATCGATTTGCAGCTTACACCTAACCATTTTCCTCATAGCCATGTCCACAATCACATTTGTAACTGGTAACCCCAACAAGCTCAAAGAAGTACTCGCAATATTATCTACATCCTCACAAGATTCCAACAAAGTTGGTAAATTCCACATCATTAACCAATCCATCGACTTGGATGAAGTTCAAGGCACCATTGAGCAAGTAACAATCCATAAAGCCAAATCAGCAGCTGAACAAATCAATGGACCCGTATTAGTAGAAGACACATGTTTAGGATTCAATGCATACAATGATTTACCCGGTCCATACATTAAATGGTTTGTAAAACTGGTTGGATTAGCTGGGTTGGTGAAGATGTTGGCTGGGTTTGAAGACAAAGGAGCTAATGCAATTTGTACATTTGGATATTGTGAGGGACCGGGGAAAGAAGTCAAGATTTTCCAAGGTAGGACTCAAGGTACAATTGTTGATAGTAGGGGCCCAACTGATTTCGGATGGGATTCTGTGTTTCAGCCCATTGGGTATGATCAAACTTATGCTGAAATGGATAAATCAGTCAAGAACACAATAAGTCATAGATATAGAGCATTGGATAAAGTCAGGGACTACTTGGTGTCACTTTAGACAACAAAAAGTTCAATGTAGGTGTTTAATACATCATAATCGTTAAGGTTCATCTCTTCTATACATCTATCCCTTCCTTCATGCAAAAATCTCTTTGATCTTTTCCAAAAACCCGCCTTTCTTCTTTTGTTTCTTTGGACCATGCGATGAAACACTGTACAATGCAGGAATACCATTTTCATGTTCTGATGATGATCTACTCCTTGAATTCAGAATAACATTACCAAACCCACCACGTCCAACACTAACTCCCTTGGAATTTATAGCTTGTAAATCGAGACTCTTGACATTAGATAGATCTTCGCGCTCAACATCTTGAAGTTTTCTCGTCAACTCAGGATCGTTATTATCAACCATGTTTCCAAACCCACCGCGACCAGTGGTTACTTTTGGTGTTGTAAGATGGGGTGTGTTTGAGCTCTGAGGATCTAACTTGGGTGATGGCAACTGGCTGGATTTCTTGATATTGCCTGCCCCTCCTCTTCCTGTGGAGTAGTAGTATGATTTTTGTTCATTGTGTGGCCTAGCATCGCCACCACCACCCGATGTAGTTTTGCGGAGATCTTCCTGTATACTTTCCGGTTGTTCGTGAGTTACCGTGCTTTGCTCAGATGTTTTATCTTTGGACTGGTGTATATTACCAGCGCCTCCTCGACCTGTGGAGTATGTCATTATTGTGATACTGCAAGTATGTGTGTGTGTGGGGGAGGCTAGTCGACGGAGGGGAAGAAATTAAGCGGCACCGATGAGTGTTGTCAGCTGGAACGTGAAATAGTAAAGTAGAGAAGTTGGGAAGCGGGTATATGAGGCACTCCAATGAATGAATGAATCTAGCCGAGCCTTATGTGTTGTCCGTTTGATGTTTTTAAGTTGAAGATGCCAATAAAAAACTGTGGTGGATATTTCAATTTCAATTTCACCAAACAAAAAAATGACCGAAAAAAATAAAATAAAAATGTGACAAGCAAAAAAAAAAAAAGGCAAAAGAAAAAAAGTGATTCTATTGCGGCATGGATTCGAATTAACGCCGTAGCTCTTTACAAAGTCCGGACGAGTGGTGGGGGCCAGAAAAGAAAATAGAAAAGTACAAAGTGCGGAAGATGCCGCGCGGTGATTAATTGCCGAGGCAAAGATGGGCAAATATCATTGGACTTACCTTCTACGAGCCCGTAGACAAAGGTGGGTTTTGCCAAGTAGTTAACCACCAAAAGGACAAAGAGCAAGAACTTATCGGAAATCAATAAAAATTAAACTAGCCAATGACGATCAATAAGTTAATCTTTTATTTTTCTTATCTTTATCCTTATCTTTATCTTTTTCGCAGCAATACAATCGCAAAGATAAGCTGGAACCAAGAAATACACATTGTAAAATCTTTAAACACAAACACCACCATACGAAGATGTAAAGCACCTACACAACCTATAAAACTATACCCGTTTTAACCCCTTTAATAAACACTTTCACATATATGTATACTCAAAACGCTCGATGCAACATCACTTTCAACATACCCATGAAAGCTTTGTTCATCATCACCATCATTAGAGCTCGACTCTTCTTCCGCATCACCGGGCGAATGCAACTCAATCAACGGCGTCTGATTATGTGAGAGCTGTACTGTTGTCGTTGTGTTTGATATCGTCTTGCTTGAGGAAGAGCCATGTTTGAGGACATTTTGCAAATTCGAACCCTTGAGTAGCCCAATGGACGCTCTAGCGTTATTGGAAGCGTCATCATTGTCGTCGTCGTCTTCTTCTTCTTCTTCACCTTCTTTTGTTTCTACTCGATTGCTGGCTTTAGTAAGCAGCAGAGGGGCAAATTTAAACAGTCGTTGCAATTGTTGTCGATGATGACAAAGCAACTTGGACATGCGTATGGAAGATGACGAAGTTGTTGCTGTTGCATTAATTTCTTTCCTACTGCTCTGTACCTCATCGTCTTTATCATTCTTGATAAAGTATATCGCACCAGTCAAATCATCCTCTTTTTCAGTTTCATCACCAACGTAAAACCCGTCAGAATCGACATTGTGGTGATGTTGCATGGAACTTGTGCTATGGAGGTTGAGCTCATCCACAGCAGTAGCAAGCTTCATCATTTTATTACCCTCCTTTTCAACGACATTGATCTTCAGTGATCGTCTATTTTCATGCGAATAAAGACCCGATTGAAGATTTAATGTTGAATTCGACGTTGTTGGAGTTGCAACATTAGCAGAAGGGAGCTCAGCATGGTTAAATGCAATTGCTTTTGCCTTCTCAGTTGCTTCATCTTGCTCTCCAGCTTTACTTTTTTGATGATGTCGTTTGATACGCCTCAATTTAGTCAAATTTGCATTATAATAGTAATGAAGTCGGTCCTTCACTTGAAAAATCCACTTATGATCATTTTTTTCAAGTTGCTCTTGCGATGGAGTATTAGCACCAACACTGAGATTCTGCGATTCACCACCATCGCCACCAAATGACAACGTCAGTTCAGTAGCACCTTCACTATATTCAACATCTCCTGTTCGGGAGTCGCCAGCATCATTTGCAACTTGTTTACCCAATAATGGAGCATTCTCTTCTCTAACCTCGTTACAATCAATAGCATAATTCAGCAACTGCATCAGTGACAGCAGATGCAAATCAGAACCATCAATTTCGTATGCAACTCGACTTCCTGACCCGCCCCTTGGCTTTCCATCATTTAGCTCAGTCTTGATATCTCGGATTGATGCATGTGCACTAAGTGAAGACGATTTCAATCCTTCTTCGACAACACAAGTGAATTTCTTACCAAACTCAACTTCTTGATGATGGAAAGAAGCGGTTGTAGATTTGATGTCTTCAACAAACGAAGATGCTGCTGATGGCGATGATCCAGTCGGTAACTTTGTACCATTGCTATTGTTTGTCGTGTTGGTTGTATTGGTAATCGTATTCGGGGTAGCTACTCGTGACTCCAACGTCCGCATTGAATTGCGCTTGTGGAGAAAGCTTGGCTGGTATGATGCCATATCGGGAATGATCTTTACCTTGAAATCATTGACATTGAAACAGGGATCAAATTGGCTCCCAAATCGAGCTGGGGAGCCGTAAGGAGTTGCCGGTGCAGTTGGGGTAGAAGGTGTTTTGGTTTTGGTTTTGGTTTTAGTTTTCCCATTAGCTGATAAACTTGTGTTTGTCATCTCAGTAGGTATGGAGATGTTGACTGGCTTAGTGGTGGCTGGGCTTCTACCTTTTTGGTCAGATTCAGTCGCTAATGGTCTTACTGCATCACTAGCAGCAGCACCATTAATTGATGCTGTCATTGTTGTGGCGGTGGTTGCCGTAGTTGCAATTGACACAAACGATACATCATCGCGTGCACCACCCCCAGTCTTGCAAACAACTCCAACACAATCAACCACTTTATCGCTGCCGTGCCCAACACCTTCACCTTCACCTTCACCGTCCTCACCTTCTAGAAGACTACAACTAGTCAAACTTTTCCTCCTTCGAACACCTCTTCTTTTACGTCTACTTCTTCTTTTTCTAATCTTTCTTCCATTTTCATCACAAACATAAATATCCAGTCCATTACCGTGTCTCGTTTTGAAGTTCAACAATGTGCCACGTTGTGAAAACTTAAACTTGTCAATTTTAACAAGAGAGTAGAAAGCATCGTGTTGGGCAATTGTTGGTAAATTAAAACTCAGGGTTATTGATGAAGCAGATCCAATTGGCAGCAATTCTAATGAAGATATCGAGTCAAGTTGATGTGGGTGGTCAGCAGTAATGGTGTTTGACTTTACTTCACTTGCAGAGTTATTTACTTGTGTCTTGTTTGTATTGGCAAAAAAGCTTTGTCGGAGTGAGTGCACGGGTGATATTGGTGGGGAAGCCAGTTTCAATGAAGAGTATGGCTTCGATGATGTCGTCAACAGTTCCTGATCCACATCCTTATGGCCATCTCCATTGTGCGATTCAATCAGCCCATTGTGTAAGTTATTGTACAGGTGATTTTTCTTCTTTGCCTTCTTTTGATTCAAGCTCTGTTGCAGTTGACGAGAGAGCAGCTTGTCAATGTATGGATTATAGTTTGGTCCTTCAACTTTTGTTTTCGTGCCGTATTTGCTAGGTTCGGTGATTAACTTGTCAAAAAACTTGCGAACTTTAGCCATTTCTTTAAAGAAACACCAATTATGTGACGTTGAGATTGAATGGTTCTACTGTTGAAGGAGGTATCTTCTATCAAGAAGGTAATATGGTTGAAAATCGTCCGAGCTGATTGATGGACGATGTTTTCACGCCTTGCCCTTTCTTCATATTGTGAGGGGCACAATAAGAACAAGGTACGTTGATTAACAGATTCCAAAAAGGGTGAGGTGGCAACTTTCTTTGCAATTAGTAAGGAGGAATTTACTGGAGGTAGGTACAAAGTTTGATATGCTTGTTATAGTTTCCCCAGAAGATGAATGCCACTAAAGTGGGTTTTTTTTTTTTTTTTGGATTGGGTGCAAAATTGTGTGGATGCGAGGACCTTTCCCTTGGAAGAGATCAGACGTAGTGTTTGAAGAGGGTACAATATGGAGCTATTGTCTGACGGAAGAAGACGTGAAGCTTATAAACAATAATAGAAAATGATGGCGTCTGATTGCCTACATTTTGCATTTGTTCAGATGCAAATTGCGACAATGTATGGACATGATTGGGGTGATTGTGCAGAAAAACTGTACCAATATCGTGTACCACGGGAAGGGTGTCAATTTGCCAATTAAAGATAATCAGGACTCCTTCATTTCTATTGCCACTGAAGTTGACCACCTTTTTCTCTTATCTGCTTACGAAAAAATTGCGTTGTCAATAATTTCAACCATACACAAAAATTGACGATAATGGGTAACACTCTGAAACCCATTTAATGCTTAATCTAGCATAGAAGCACAATGCAATAGCTGTATTGATACCAAATATTAACGAAGAGACTAAAAGACTAAAAACAAAATATAAACAAAGAGAAAATGCAATCAGTACACATGTAGTTGCATAAAGGAGTTGTGGGAGAGAATAAGATTTAGCCGAGGATTTGTCTCGTATGATTTTTTTTTTTCGTTTTGGAAAAGTTTAAAAAAAAAAACAACTAGTGCTTGTTTGTTTTCACCTCTATGTTTGGATTCACATATACACATATGCACATATACACATATGCACATATACACGTGGGATGGATATGATGAATGGGTTAATTCCGTTGTATTGTATTTGAGAATTACGAATCCAATTTCGAGAGAAGTTTACGCGTGTTTCATAATAATCGTAAATTGGTGTTCTGCTTCCTCCCCCTTTCATCGTTTTATTGTCCACCCAATTTCTTCCCTCGAAAAATAGAAAAAAAAAGGAAAAAAGAATAAAAACTTTTCGCGTTCTTTTCTGTTATTGTTTCACTAAATTTTATTTTTGTCAATTTTGGTAAATTGCACATAAAGGTTATATATGATAGACGGAAACATTCCTGGGGGGTCGTGTATGATATTTGAATATAATGCATGTTAAGCACCCACCATTTGCAGAATCGCTTTTAATTGTAAAGACATTTTTTCAAGAGTTGGTGTATATATGATAAGAGAGCCCACTTCTTTTCGATGAGTATATTGTTTTATGGTAACATTGCGTTTCCTGTATATACCACACCACACCCTCTCCCATAAGATTGTGTAATCTAAACACAGCCCCTTTTGCTGTCAAAAAAAAAAAAAAAATAAAAAAAACGAAAAAGGTTAAGGAAATAAACGGTTACAAAAAAAAAAGAAACGGAAATCGTAACTGCAAAAAAGAGTTGGAGGTCGTGTAATTATAGCCAAAAAATTGAGCTGCTATTAATAGCGTTTGTACCAATGAGCAAAAGTTTTTAGTGAATGCATGGCGAGGACTTTTCCAGAATTTGCACCCAGGGTGGTGCCAGCCGTGATAGAATATTTACTCCATGCTCAAGTGGTTCCTGGTGCTAGTTGCTAGGGATACTCCATGATGTGCTGGTGCATTGTTTAGTGTCCGTGTATGAACGAAACGTTTAGCAAAATACAACCTATTTTGAGAGATGGCAATTGGTAGAGAATCAACTCAAGGAAACGTACAACAACAGCACGTAACTTTCATCTCTCTATGAAGCGGTTTTTTTTCTTGAAGTTGAAGCTCGATTCAATGTACAAACAAGAGTTTAGAAGGATTGGGCCAAACACCAGGCCCCGGAGGATGTCTACAAGCAATATGTTGTGTTTGACTCAAAGCCACAATTACACCCATTCTACTCCCTATTGTATTTGTTGTCACAAGACTATAAGAAAATTATGATGAAGTTAGTTATGAAGATGAAACAGAGCAACTTAAACGTTTTTTTTTGTACAATACGCCGAGGGAAAGTGAGTAATGATACATAATAACTAAGTGGTGTTGCATATTCATCGGATAAATGCTCGCTATTATTTTTGGAATTGTTCCATTCAAAGTGGGTGGGAGAAAGAAGAGAACAGACACCATATAGGAATCGTGCACAATCATATTGGTCACTGAACCTCTCTAGAGCTGCATGAATCACCTCCCTTTAGTAGCTGGCAAGCAATGACTAGCTCAAACGAGTGATTTGAGTACTTTATCTATGCGTGTTCCATCCCCAAATTAGAATAAATTCAACCCGAGCAATAAATTGTTGTGTAACATTAAACGTAAAGTTTTACACAAAAGAGTGTTTACCCAAAAAAGAACCAAAAAGAGAACAAACAAAAGATTGAAAGTCCAAAAGATAAACTTGAGGTTGTGGAATGTACTAGAACATTCGTAGTATAGCCAACATATCGGCTTATTGTCTTGACTATTCTCTTTGACTGTAAATCAATTGATATATTACGATGGAAAGACAATATGCCACTCGTGTTTTTGTTATTATAAGATGGGAACAATCAATGGCAAAATTAAGGGCAAACTCACAACAAAGGGAGAAAGTAAAAGAGGGGTGTGGTATAAGCCACCGGCTACCACAAATACTGTAGAAGGACGATAAATTTGTAATAATTAACGAGCTTTGTACCAACTGAATGAAATGATCATATCTATAAATAGAATTACAGGAAAGAAAGGGAATAGGGAATAGGGAATAAGGACAGAAAGAGGCTATGTTTGAAATACACTCAGTTTCTCTCCACTCGCAACTTTTGTTCAGTTTATGATTCCTCAGGTGGCAACTTTGGTGACTAAGGCGGGATGAGAACATGCAAGTTTCTATACAAAGTTTGGTAAAGAAAATCCACTCGCCTTTGGGTTGTATAGTTTGTTAGAACAGGCTTAGCTTTTAACTTTAGCTTAGGTGATATTATAATTTTAAGTTGAGACACGTGAAACACCCCCCCCTCCCCCCCCCAAAAAAAAAAAAAAAAATAGAAAACGTACTAGTTAAAAAAAATTAGTAACCCAAATTTACTCAAAGTGATTATAAATTAACCCAATTGAGAAGATTAACATTGCGCATGAAACTTTTTTTAAAAAAAAAACAAAAAGAACAATAGAGTTAATAGAGTTAATAGAGTTAATATAATAAAAGAGAAAGAGAGGTATGCACGTGATATGACTAAAAATAAAACACATACACAAAAGTGTCTAAGCCCGTCAAAAAACAGAAAAAAAAAGGTCGTGTCACTGTTACCAAGAAATTGGGCTCAAATACACAAACATACTATATGCAGTACGTTGTTCGAGTGAATGCGTGAATTTCTTTTTTTCTTCTTCTTTTTTCAATTGCTAAAATACCTTATGACTAACTTGAGTTACACAAAATGGGCCTATCACGCCTTAGAGGAAGGTTTTTTTTTTTTTTTTTTTTTTTCTTTTTGGGCGCGTAAATTTTTTTTTTTTTTTTTTAACATGTGAGTTCCCCCTAATCAATAGAGAAGGAATTTCATGGTGCAAAAAAAAAAAAATTAGAACGAAAATTTTGCATTAAAAAATTCCCGGATATATAAAGGGACTTAGATATCCTCGACTTACGATCAGATTTCTACTTCTCTCCTTCTTCTTCAGCTATAAACACTTTTTTACAAGCCACCACATATATACATAATCAATAATGCAATTCACTCAAATCATCGCTTCATTGGCTTTAGTTGGATCTATCCAAGCTAGATTCCACAACACTACTGGTGGTGCCGTATCAAACTCAACTGGTGGTGCCGCATCAAACTCAACCGGTGGTGCTGGCTCCAACTCTACTGGTGGTGCCGGTTCTAACTCTACCGGTGGTGCTGGTGGTCAAAAATCAGACAACGCTGCTAATGCTAACGCTAACATCTACGGTGGTGCCGCTTTGGTTGCTGCTGCTGTTGCTTTGTTGTACTAAGCGTGCTTGCTTAGACAAGGGAGCAGGAGTTGGAGGAGACAAGAGAAGAGAAGAGAAGAGAAAAGAAACACTATAACTAATCAACCAATTTTCTTTTTGTTTCTGTATTATAAAGTTCATCAACAACAACCACATCCATCACAGAGTGTAATGTTGTGGAAGAGTTAGCATTTTTTCATTTTTTACAAGGCTTTTATTCAAAAGCTTATTTCATTTTGCTTTTTTTATTGTTATCTAATTATTTTATCAGCTTTTTTGTTTATTATTATACTTTGCAAAAGAAGGGTTTTGTTTTATACACATTTTTTTATCATCATTATCTACTTTTTTGTTTTTGTTTATGTTTTTGATTGCCTTTTTGCCATTACTTTTTTTGCTTTCGTATATTGCTGTTATACTACACAAGGCCTCAGAAGTCTTTATAATATTAATTATATAGATTATAATTTTAACCTTTTAATTTATTCACGAAGATGAAGTTGATGTAGATTGAAGTGCCAGTGGGGAGTGAGATGATGAAATGCATAACGAGGTAAGGTACCAAATTTGCTCAACCTTTTTTCCCTTCTCGAGTCTTCATGTTTTAGGCGATTATTCATCTCGAGAAAAAGAGTGTGTGACCCCCTATTGTACTCTGACGGAAAATCATTTTCCCAGTTGTTCCGAGAATCATATTACAATAACAATTTGTGTACACTGCAATATCAATAACATTTTTTTGCGTTGCCCACGTTTGCCACATTATTGATCCGACTCTTCCATCTAACCAACACCCCTTTCACCAGTAACCACCTTTTCCTTTTCTTACTTTTTAGTTTTGTTTTGTTTTGTTTGGGCATGCAACAACATGGTGACGGCAAAAAAGGAAAACATGGCTGGCTGCATACTTTATTTAGTGTAAACAAAGGCAAAGAACAAAGAAAATAAACTAAAGCGCAAAAATGAGCGAGAAAAATCAGCTAATGACAAAAAGCATTATGACTCAGGGGCATAAAACTTAATGGGAATATATAAGCAATAGAATGACAACCATGGAGCAACAACATTGGTCCAATGGTTTAGGTCGGAAAACTTTTGCACAGTTGATATTTTGAAAGTTGCCTGTTTCTTTTGTTTTCTGCACACAGAGAGGCTTTTTAAATTAACCACAAGCATCCATCAAATTCACAGTATTGATAAGAATGTTGCTTTACTACTTGATTCCTTTTATCATCGGTTCTGTGGCTGCATGGGGGAAGCGCCAACTCAGATGAGGGTCATGTCGATGTATCCACTTCAACGACAACCAACCCTTATACCAAATCACAATCAAGTTGATACTTGCAGATACAAATTGATTTGGAGGATGTTGGAAACGAATGGTTGGAATTGGTAAATTCATCAACAAATTTGACTGGTGGTGATCAATTAACTTTGTTGAGTCATGCATTGGGGGTCAGAAATAGCTCTAAGTTGAAACTTTCAACACACTATAGACCAACCAAGCTAAGTTACTCTCAATTTGCAACGCTCGGTGTTTTCAATTCGCTTGTGAATAGGGTATTCATTACACCAGTAATCAAATTTTTTGATTTCATTCACAATCATCGGAGCAACGTAGCACCTAGATTCGAGATTGAAAAACAAAAACGTCCACGTAACCAGAGTGAAGAAAACTATACAAATGTTCGAATATATGGCCAAGAGGGCCACATACATTACAGTTTCCGGCCAACTTATAAATATCTTGATAAAATTGTCGTTGATCATGAAACCATTCGCGAGGCATTGGCGCTACGTCTCGATAAATTACATGAAGAGAATAATTACGTCTTTTTTAAACCTTATTGCAGTTACCAATGTTTTGCCGTAACGCGAGGTAACAAACTCAATAGCGACACATGGGTCGGCACAGTGGTTTTTGGTGGTAACGATGGTGTTGTTTCCTCTGCTTGTTCAGTGTTTGTTGCTTCAATGTACGATATCGAGTCAAACAGGTTGGTGTGGCGTGATTCTGGACAATATTTGTAGAGGCACATACACACACACACACACACACACACACACACACACACACACACACACACACACACACACACAATTGATGAGGACTTGTTCAAAAGTATTATTTCAAGAGAGGGGATTTATAGGATATGCTATGGGCAATTTGTTGATGCAAAAACATGCAGTAGCTTTAGCATACAGATGGGCGATTTGTGTCGGGTCCCACGAAGAGTACTACGTCGTATAGCAACGAAATTACATGTGTCGTAATTAAGATGATTTTGGCTCATACAAAACTTTGTTGTTTAACACAGTATTCTTTGAGTTTCATAATTTGCCTTGAACCCAACGGGTGAGAGGTGTTTGTTGCAAAACAACAAAACATTCAGAGAAGGTGCTTGGGTCATCAAATCACCGATCAAAATTTTACCACTATACAAATGAATTGCTACAAATAGTTCAAATCGTAACCAAATGTGCTTACTCACTTTCATATCAATCGTCAACATCGTCAACTTTTCACTTTCTTCTTATTCTTCTTCTTGTGCAAAATATACGAATCAATAGTTGTTGAATCAACACTAACCGATTCAAACTCTTCTTGCGGATTGAATATCTCCATCAACTTCTTACTAATTTCATCCATCTTGCGTTGGAAATTGTACTCACTTGGACCTAAGCTTTGATTTTTAGCTGCAGTTGATTGCTCATTGATGGTTGTACCACCACCAAGTTCATGTTCGTTGTCCTCTTTCCTCATGTCATTATATTCATTGTCTTGTTCCATTGGATGCAAATTTCCAAGCTCAAGCACGAGCGTATTGACCGACTGGTTGAGTTTGTACTTTAGTATATTGATATCGTTGTTTTTAGCTAGCACTTGTTGCATTAATGAGTTGTAGTGGCCAAGTAATTTATAAAATTCCGATTTAAATGAAATGCCATTATGACGCAGTGGTGGTGGTTGTGGTAGTGCAGTTGCAGTCCCAGTAACTGGTCTCGACGTTGGTGTCGCGTACCTTATGGGAGTGCTTACTTGCTTAAACTCCCTGGGTGCCACATCCCTCTCATTCCTGTCGTTGGATTCTTTACTTGCATAGTTTCGAGTAATTTGATATGGCGCAGGGATATCAATCGGTGTTAGCTTCTCCACCTCATCGGTAACATTTTGTAACTGAGTAAATACATCATCTAGGATAACCAGTGTTGTAGATACTTCATGAGGGTCTAAATACAGAGTGGTTGGTGTTGAGTTCAGCTTGGTGAAGGGGGCACTAATGGGTGTTGATTTTGAAGTAGCCCTGAAACTGAGAAAATTTTGGTGATTGGGTGCTGGTCTATTTCGATGATGGTATGGCTGGTCGTACATGGCAACCTGGTGATAGCTTTGAGGTGTATTTATTTGATCCACTTGATGTGCTGGTTGTTTATGCAAAGATATAAATTTGCATGGAGGTTTTTTGGCTGCTAAATATAACAGAACCAAGCAGATTAGTCACCCTGTGAAATTACAAGCACAATCTACAACCATCGCCACTGAGCATTCCCCTTAAACACAATCGTATATTCAATACACACAGCAGATCCTTATATCTCTCTCGCCTCTCTTCTCAAAACACATCAGGCAATCTCTCAACCACATACGAATGCCCACCAACACTGATAAGCGGCACCCCAGGCACTTTTCGTATCCTTCTCTTCAAATCAGCATCATTGGTAGCCACAATAAAACATTTATGTTGCATCACTCTATTGACCAAACAATCATCAGCATAAGTACCCGGATGACTACAGCTCAATCGTTGAATTCTTGGATCTTTGGCCAATTTTAAAGCAATCCTATACTTGGATCCTAATTTCTCCAATTCAGCCATTACGCAATCAGTTATAATAGGAATACATTTCGCCATTAAACAGTCCATTAATCCACGAATGATGTCGATTTTCTTTTGGATGCTGAAATTGATGAAATTTGTATCGATAAGTACTTGGTATGGTGGTTTTATCGCATCGTTGAATTTGAAGAAAAGGGCCGATGATACTTGTGGCACGTGTTGGGTTAGTTCTGGGTCGTTCTTATTCTGTTTGGCTAGTTGGTTGGGGTTGACGGATTTATTTTGCGTTAGACGGGGGTCCTTTTTCGATAATGTGCGTTTTACAGCTGCAAACTTTCTTGTCTTTTTAGCTTTACCCATTTGTAGATCGTGGTTGTTATGTGAGTGAGTGAGTTTGTGTGTGTGTGTGTGTGTGTGTGTGTGTGTGCGTATAGAAGAGTATTGGAATTGGAGTTGGGGATGAGATGAGGTTAGTGACATCCTTTTTTTTTTTTTTCGCTTATTGCAATGTCGCTCAATGTGGCAAGATTCAAGAGGAAATTTGTTAGAACTACAAAATACACTAACGTAAATATTGCAACTTCTCTATTACACATATCTATCCTATTTGCTTTTGATATATCAACTGGGGTTCCAACACGTCTTTATCATTTTCTTTTCTCTTCCAACTCAAAATCCGTTTCTTGACAAAATCAACTTCAAATAATCTAATTTTACGTACATATTGTTCATTGATTGTAGTTACACCCGAATCACCCGTGATTGAATTATAACACAACCAAATCGATGCTGGTGAAGTATCTCCATTTCCTGTAGTAGTTCTTGGCTTGGATTTCGGTTGTTTTGACAACTCTGATAATATACAAGCATCATTTTCATGTTCGTGCCCCACGGACAATACTTGGTATCGACAATTGATTATATCGTCATGGAACTTGATATTGGTTTTGGTATCAAGTGGATGTTTTTCATTGTATGCACCAATAATTTTGAAAGTACCTGCTGGTCGAAATTGTGGGATGGGGTAATGGAAAAAGAGTAGCTTGTAATCGGTTGATGTAAAATCATTATTGATGCGGTACAAGTAGTTGATTTGTGTTTCATCAATGAAATGATCTTGCGAATCGAGTATAGTAATTGAAACTGATTGCTCATCCACTTGGTCTTTATCCTTGACTAGTTTGTTGAAAATTTGCAAGTTGTCATTGGTGACTCCATGTAAATTTGTATCAGCAAATGGAACAAACGTATTGAGACAATTGGGCAATGATGATAAAAACTCAATAATGGTTGATTTATCCTCCTTGTTTTGCACTTCATCACCAAATGTATACAAGAATTTAGTATTTGTTGCTAAAATTGGTTGTAAACTCTTCAACAAGATGGACTTGTAGTCCAATGATCGTTCAACATCGATCAAATCACCAGTAATGACAATCAAGTCTGGACGTTCTTGTTGTATAGTAGTTTCAATAAATTTCAATGTTTTCAAATCAGAACTACATTTGACATCAGTAGTACCAGCACCAGTGCTGCTACATCTGCCCAAATCTTGACCAAAATGTAGATCTGAAAGTTGCATAACCTTGTACTTTTCTTGACTAGTTTCCAATATTTGGTCTTGGTTGATCAAACTCTTTGATTCCTGTTGAAGTTGTTGCTGATATTCTTCTTGCTCTTTTATACTCATCATTGAAACTGACAAAATGGGGTGTATTGATTCGTCATTTGATGAATGTAAAGTGTGACGGAATTTTCTCGAGTCGATTAAATCATTACTACCGAATAACACATCGATCGATCGTAGTATTGGTGTATCTTTCGGCAATGGATGTTCAGTGTTATTGATGACAAATTTCTTGTATAATTTGATAAATTGATCATCGTCTTTATCGTTAACTTTAACAACTTCATACCCATCGTCTTGCTTGTCAAAAGATAATCCACTTATAACTCTAGTAGTTTTGTCCAAAGATGAGAATTTGACGGCAAGATAATACTCATAGTCATACAATTTCTTCTTCAGTTGGCTGTTAGCAAACTTGTAAAAAGTCAATGACGGGTTTATGATGATGTATCCCGTTGGTACTTGACAAAACTTGAAACTGCGACATTTAACAATTGTTACATCTGATACAAGTTGATTTTTGGTGCTGATAGTGGTCTCCAAGTCATGTTGTAGTTTTAGTAGTGTGTTTTGCGGTATAGGCGTATTTTGTATTGATTGTACTGTGATATAAATAAGAACAAGTAAACTTGTTGTGGCAATTGTTGTTAGTAGTTTGATATAGTGTCGATTTATAAACATGATACTGGTCTTGGGTTTAGCCATTGTGATACGACTGGTGTTAGGGGGAAAATTTCAAGGTTGAAGATTGGCGATGATAATGTGTATTATTGGCGTTTTGATGGCTTAGCGCTATGTCTTTATCTTGTCAATCGAATCGGGACAGGTAAGCTTATATATATATATATATACAACGTGACAACTCAACTGTACTCTACCCCCAATGGTACGATATTGAGCAACTTCAAATGCATGAAATTGGAGAATGAACTGTGAAAGTGTTCTGGCTTTAAAACCTTAAGACAAGAGAAGAAGCCTCCTCCAATAGTACATCTTTGTGTTATTCTTTAAAGTCTTTTTTTTTTTTTTTTTTTTTTTTTTTTTTTTTCATTAGAATCCGCCTTGAAGACAAGACAAAAATAGACCAAAAAAAAAAAAAACATAGAGGAAGACAGCCAAATTGAGAGAGATATTTTGATGAAGGATCTATTTTTAGTTCATAGTGTTGTTATATGTGAGTCTAGAACTAAGGGTTTGATTAAACTGCCGATAAAGTAGATGTATTTCCAAAAAGAGGGTTTCGAACTATTGGAAAGTGTAGTCCCAGAATCTGCTCATTTTTACTTTGTTGGTTATCTTCTTTGAGATCAAGTGTATTCGCGAGAAAAGTTTGGGGGGTCTAGAACAATTGTTTACTGTTTCTTCGTACAGACTCTCTCTTTACGTCACTCTCTCGTAAATGCAGAAAATACAAATTACGAAAACACTCAAACTTTGTCATTTTCTCTTGTCATAAAATAATTTCAATCTTTTCAAGACACAGATTCCTATTTGGGGAACAACACCCTTCCCCCCCCCTCTCACCCGTTGCTAATGGACTTTTACTTGGGTAGGGGTGGTGCCACTAAACCAAAGTCAACTTCTTCAACAACGATATTCTACTCTCTAAGTAAATCGTTTTAACTGAACCGTTCCACACAACAGTGCTGGCTTATACGCGTTCACAACCCTTTCATGTTTCCAAAAGCATTACGTGCTGACACAAAAGAAATCAACTTAAGTAACTCCAACTTAAGGCATAAAACCGCCCAATTTGGGCAAATCTTTAGTCATGAGTGCTTTCTGTGTTGCATTGAATCCCTTTGTGCTGCCATTCGTTTTTGGTTTCTTGACGATATAATTCACACTTTAACAATGAAGAATTACACTTTTAGGCGAAATCTTTTATACGAATGATACTTCTATTGTGTTCAACACTCCAGATTATACTACTTAAAGACCGTTAGCCTTGATAACAACATGTAGCAGACAGTACCCAATAGAGGTGTTAAAAATACAAGATGTATCGGACATGCTTTAGTCGGCACTGCCTCAAATGCACCAGCAGCATCCCAAACAGATTCCGCAGGGTATTTTTTTAGACGATACCTAAAACAGGTGATGTAACATAAAATCCCGTTCTTTCCTACTACTACAGAAGACGTTTAGTAGACCGATACAGGGTGTTCATTTAGATCAAAGGCTATATGTGTTACTTGGAATAATTGAGACCAGCGTGTTATTTCATTTTGGCTAATTGCAACACCGCCTTAACTTAATGTCCTTTATGGATAACGGTATTCCACTCTCACGTAATCACTTTGGTTTCCGTTACGTTGAATTTTCACATGCAAGTATCCTGGTTGTCTCTTTAATACTAAAGAATGTATATTCAAAAAAAAAATTTGTACAAAACATGATTTCGGACTTGATTCCAATCCACAATGTTATCATATTCGATAAATATACGCTCCCTACTCACACCTCCTCACTTCCCCTCTTCTTATTTAATCTCGCTTCAAACTCCTCCTTCGTTTCACCGGCTTTCCATCTCAACTTATGAGCTGGGTGGGTATCCAACAAAAAGCTCGAATCTTTACGATCAACACCAAACAATTGTTCTCTAAAAGTCAATGGCCGTCCTAAATTTGGATAATCATCCCAAACTAATCCCCTTCTTTGTAGTTCAGGAATCAAAAACTCAACAACTTCCTCAAATGTAGTTGGTTGTACAGCATATGTAATGTTGAATCCATCAACATCAGACACTTGAACCCATCGTTCGATTTCATCAGCCACTTGTTCAGCAGTACCATAAAGCACAGGACCCAATCCACCAACGGTAATTTGCTTGGCAACGTGTTCCCTAGTCTTTTGAACATGTTCTGGCTCACCAGGAGCCTTTTTATTCCACAATTCAAGAAATGATTTAACGGCATTGGTTCCAACTGCAGTTATATCTTCACCATATTGGTATTGACTGATATCAATACCAGTCCATCCCGAAAACAACGCTTGTGCGCCTTCAATATCACCATAGCTTTGATATTCCTTATACTTGGCCTCAGCTTCTTCTTGTGTATTACCAATTATGGGAGTAATCAATTGTAAAAACTTGATTGATCCTTCGGGACGACCAAACTTCTCCAATGCAAGTTGTTTAATCTCTTTTATCAGTTTTGCCAATGCTTCAGGTGCAAATTGAGTGACAAATACAACTTCAGCATGTTGCGCGGCAAAGTTTTTACCAGCGCTTGATGTACCGGCTTGGATAATCACCGGTAATCTTTGATACGGATTAGGTTCAGCAATAAATGGACCAGGAACTTCAAACCATTTACCCTTGTGATTGATTTGTCTAATCTTGTCGGGATTGGAAAAGACACCATCACGTAATTCAACCGCATCATCAGCCCACGAACTTAAAAACAACTTGTAAATGACTTCAATATACTCTTCAGCTCGTTGGTATCTTTCAGCGTGTGGTGGTAAATCCTCCCCATTCAACAAGTTCCTAGCAGCAGAGTCCAAATACGAACTAACAACATTCCATCCAACTCTACCTTTGGTCAACCAATCCAATGTGGCTAATCTTCTAGCAAAATGGTAGGGGGATTCACTAATGGTGGAAAATGTAATGCCAAATGCCAATTCAGTAGTAACTGCAGCACAAGCACTGATTACAGCCAGTGGTTCAATAGTGGGGAATTGAGCCCCTGAAGTAGCAGCAGCCGTGAAATTTTTGGGACCATTGTATACGTCATATGGCCCTAATACATCAGCAATGAATAATCCATTGAATTTACCACGTTCAAGTAATCGAGATAATGATGTCCAATATTCAATGGTGTTGAAGTTGCGTGATTGGTCCTTTGGATGCTTCCAGAGCCCGGGAGCTTGAAGACCAGAACAACCCATTTCAAAAGCAAAGAGCTTCAATTGCTTTTTTGGTTTGGTGGTGGTGTTGCCATTGGTTCTGGATGAAGGTGCCATTGTAACTGAGGCTGTATCAGAAAGGTGTTGTAATTCACTAGGAAATTCATTTCAAATACAATGGAAAGCGTCCCATAATTATATATAGCTCTCAATTGTGGATGCTCATATTCGTAATTTTCAGTGGGGTGTAATCATTCGGTTCGGGGGAGAGAGCATTTTCATTTTTGGTTGTGTGTCGACACACCCGAAAAAACTGTGGCTCAAACTTTTCATCACTTTTCACGCCCTTGACAATGATTCAGCCACATGCAACCATCTTCACCCCCTCCCTGTAGAATAGCCCCCCCCTCAAGATCTACACACCACAAAAACTCAATCACACATCAAATTACCTATTTACAATTTATAACCTTTCCTCCTTCAACGCATTGCCACTGTTTTTGAAAATATTGTATCCCCAAAATCCAACCACATTCAACAATCCTACTCTCCAACCATTAAACAATCCCAATTGTTTGACCTTTTGCCAATTAGTAAGTTCATCTTCATCAGAAGGAGCTCCATTAAACTCAACAATCATATTCTCTTCTGGCTTCACAATAGTAATCACTTTCTTCTTATCATGCAGTTTTGGCGCCAACAAAAACCGAACTTGCTCCTTTCGCAATAAATTCTCCACCGGCAACTTGACAAAAAACTCACCAATCAGGGAAAGCAAATTGACAAAAGTGTATATTGTAGGGGATGAATAGGCATCGATGTTGAATTTGATGTATAACAAATATGGAGCCATTTTTCTAAACACAGTGGTTGACAATTGGTACATGGTAGTAAAGAATATGATTGGTGTGGGTGGATGCTTCAAGTAATAAGTAGGAAAATTTCTAATCGACTCTCTGAAAGATCTGGTGTTTTGAACCACTTCTTCAGCAGTTTTCTCTATAATATCCTCATTGCCTGAAGTATCATTAGTCAAGGCGAGTGAAGTTGGTTGGGTAATCATAAATTTGATCCTTATCAAGTCCAATGGAATCATCACCAACCCAGTAAGAACACATGCCGATACCGACAACCATAACGATTTGAATGGATCATTAGAGTGGGTCAAATCAAGAAAGAATGGATCGGGGATGCCCAAAAATGGTGAAACAAATCCAGTGATGTAAGCTTCAATCATGTGTGACAAAACTTGATAAAGGTAGGACGCATTGACTCCTCTAAACAATGCCAAAAAGGAATCCTTGTTTGCAATCGCCGACATGATCTCCATCGTGTGTAATGACTTTGGCTGTATCTTGTACACCCTAAGCCTCTTTCTGGTACTCAATCGTTTGAGTTGTGGTGGTACAAACTTGTCGGTGACTGGTGCTGGGGCAGGAGTTGCTGGCTCATATATCGTGTTTGGATTGGCCCACACTTGCTGATCACTTTGAGGTTGGAAATAATCAATCGGCTCTTCTTCATCAACAAATCCAAGTTGGTGACCCGACAGTTCGAGATCGGCACTTCCACTTTTCAAAGATGCATTGGATGAAGACAACGAATGCGTCAGATCCAATAATCTCTTCAGTTTCTCCTCCTTCTTTTTACTACTAAAGTTGAACTTACCAACTTGTAGAACCAACCGAGTTATTTCCAATGGTTGGGCAAGCAAGACTTTGACGTAGTCTTTAAACAATGTCCAAAATAAATTCTTCAACAACTCAAGCATATTATTGACTTCAAAATATTCACTAAACTCCAAATCAGAAATGAAATTTTTGTCACCTGCAACTTTGTTTGAATGGATTCCTACACCACCTTGTCTATCAAAAGCTCTTCGTATTAGACCGGGTGATGAACCGAACCCGTTTTCATTAACTTGCTTTTCAATAATGTTTGATGATAAGTTTGCTGTTATTGGTTTGCCTGTCTTTGGGTCGATCAACCCCACACCTTTTTTGAAAATGACAGAGTAACCGGCATCAAAGCTATCATGGTCATAATAAGGCCTTAGTTGTTCAGGTCCAAGCTTTGTGTTAGAAGTAGAAGACATTGCTGTGTGAAAAGGGAACGGAATCAGTGGCAGCACAATCACTGGGGCGATATTTTTTTCTCTTTCAAGATTTACGTTTCTCATTAATTCAGACCAATTTCAAATTAGAGGTGGAGGATATACAATACAATACCATGAAATATAAAGTACCTCTTGCCACGATGGAAAGATGCATTCTGTCTAAAAGGAGATGAGAAAGTGTGATACATTGCTACATAAACGATTCCAAGATGCTACATTTCAGTGAAGTCCTTTGCAGGTACCACGGTGGTTGGATCATCTGATAGAGGGCAAGTCCATCGTTGTTATGATTATCTTGCAGTGCACGTTTCTTGCAACTGTTCTATCCTCTCTAACTGTGTCGTAAATCCCATGCTTGTTCAACTTACCCTTAGCTCTCCTCCTGACTTTTTCCTCTTTCCTCGTCGGACCTTGCAATTAGGAACTCCCCGAGGTACTTCAAAGGGTCATCCGGTTTAACCATTCCAACTTCTTTCAATCCATCTAGCAAATGTTGTGTCAAATGCTTGTTCAAATACCTTCGTATGGATGATCCTCCAACTATTTCGTGTAATGGAGGTAGGTTGGAATCCGGAAATCTGGGTTCCTGTTTCACCTGTTTGCTTTGTAATTGCGGCGTTGGTGTCGTGCCTCGTGGAGTTCCATTAGCTTCTACTGTAACTTGTGGTTCCGGTTGTGGTGAAGGCTGCAATGATTCTTGTTTCACTTCTGATTCAGTATGTTCCTCTCTCGCCAGAGCTCCATTGACGACAGGGGTATCTTCTTTTTCTTGCACAATATCAGCTATGTTCATAATTGAATTAAATGTAGAGTTGTGTGCTATTAATGGTTTGAGCTTTCTGATAAATTTTCGAGTGCACAGAAATTCAAATCTCCACTAAAACATCATCAATTCAAAGCAATTTCCATACCTAACGCTTCGCCCCAACTATGGATCCATTCAATGAAGTTAAAGATGACGCATATTCAGTCATTGACCGGCTAGAATCACTCATAGCCCAACGTATCTCAGGGCGACCTCCTTCTACTGAACAATCACAGGATTTCGACAACAATTATGAAGAATTGCAAGAGATGCGTGACGACTTACAAAGTGCTCTAGAGCAAAGTGCCAAAGACCCATCCCAATTCAATTTAACCAGCGACGATATTTCACAACGACAAGCCATCTTACAGGATCTTAATCGACAGATATCACATTTGCTTCAATCGTGGGACAACAAGAAGCTACGTGATGTCACAACAATGTCCAATCGAATAAGCCAAGATGATGAAAATCCATTTAATATAGATACTGACAGTGGTGGTGGTGGTACCACCAATATGACGTCATACCAACAACAAGAATTAATTCAAGAGCAAGATGTGCAGTTGGATGATATACACAAAACAATGATGAACTTGAACCAACAGGCAACAATGATGGGCGATGAATTAGAGGACCAGGGGTTTATGTTGGACGAATTGGACTACGAAATGGACCACGTTGGTAGTAAGTTGGATAGAGGCATGAAGAGATTAAACATTTTCATTGAAAGGAATAAAGAAAAAGCTAGTAATTGGTGTATCGGGATCTTGGCAGTAGTGCTATGTGTCTTGCTAGTGTTGTTAATAGTAGCGTAAGAAAGCTAAAATGGAACAGAAATTTAAATTAAAATCTAGGGCTTCTACTTTCAACCTATTCAATTCTACTCATACCCCTTCCCCCTCCTTATCCATCTAAAGCAAATCCCAAATTAACACCATCAAATTGTTTTGCCAAATCGACCAATTTCAACTTCAACATTTCCAAATCTTCATTCTTTGGTTGTAAACGAGGCAACCATTCTGCAACACCGTGTTGCAAAACCCCCTTGGCTCTTGCTTTACCATACTTTACATTCCCATAAGATCCATGCAAAGTTAACCTTTTATTCTTTGATGAATATGAAGCACGGTGCAAGATGTTATTGTTGTAAAATACAACATCACCAGGTTTCAACTCCACATTAATCTGATCAGTAATGAATTCTTTTCTTTTTGATTCATCAACCGTCTTTTCTCTTTCCTCTTGTGTACGCACTCTCTTATGAGATCCCGGAACCACAATAAGACAGTCATCATTAGTCAAAGCCAAATTGAATTGAGCACCAGCAAATGGATTTTCCAACAATTCTTTATCTTCTTGTTCTGGAGTTACTTCCGGCTTGATGGTATCACGATGCCAATCCAATTCGAAATCAGTCAAGGGGTTAATCAACATGTTGAGCAATTCCATTGAAATTTCGTCTTTGCCAATTTGCAAAATATCAGACACAATGGCTAAAATTTTGTCATTGGCATAAAGATCATGAAATGGGTACGATAATTCGCCCAAGTCCGGATGAAGCAACCCAGTTACTCCCCAGATATCGGGACTGAAGTTTTTGGGCCATGGAGGAAATTGTTTACCTCTGGTTCTTACATGGGGCCATTTACCAGCACGAGCATATTCAACTAAATCTTCACTGGCTTTAGTGTATCGTTCAATATCTTGTGGGGCTAAAAAGTTTCGAACAACAGTGAACCCTTGATCGTTGATTTCGTCGTGATGTTTATGTGGTAAATTAGTTGGAACAGGCATGATTTTGAAGATTAGTGGGTGATTGATTATGCGACGGATCGCTGATGAAATGCTGCTGGTGTTTAGGGCTCCTATTTATACAAAATTGTGATTGAAGCTGTTATGTTGGTGGATTTTGTGGAGACCTATTAATACGAAAACAGTTCAATCCCAGGGGTGCTACTCTGTGAATCTTGATTGTAAGTTTGTAACATTTTCAATGTATGCATAGAAGGGTAACGGCACTTTCTTGGAAGATCTCGAGTAACAAAGAACAATAGAATGGTTATTAGAAATGTAACATGATTTCATCGACACAAAATTGCGATGTTACATTAATCAGAATGTGGAGATGATGAAATAGGAAGCGCCAGTTGCAAAAGAACAACACAACACGTACAGGGTTTCAGTTCCGATGATAACCGCGGGAGTCAAAATGCAAACGAATGTAGGACAGAATGGTGAAAAAAGTTAGGTACAACTACAAATTTAAAAGTTTAAATCTTAATGCCATGAGAGATACTCCATAATCAACTAAAGATACTTTATGTCTCCATACCATCTACTAATCAACCAGTCCGGCAACCCATTGGTTATGTCAACAACACATTCATATTCAAGTGGCCTACATCATCCATTGCTTCTTCATGCTCATTGTCAAAGTCCACCATACCTGTTTGTACACTGACCAGCAGCAGCGCCAGCAGATGTAGAGACAGCAGATGTATTTGCCTATCAGTACTCCCAAGCAAAGTATCATTTCTAGTGGACGACACAGGCAATGTAGTCGACACAAGTGCTGGATCGAATGCTAATAAAGTAGTATCGTATTTCCAAGAAGCAGAATAAGGTGGGACACTGGAGCGATCGCCATTGACACGAGAATCCGTTAACGATGATAAGGATGAAGATGCTGTTGTCGCTGGTGTAGAAGATTTCGTTGAGTTTGATAAATTCGTTGCGGTGCTTGGGGTAGTTGTAAATGATTTGTTTTCAGATGATGACATGCCAAGATCGATAGTGAACGATGATGGGGCAGGTGCTACCACTATTCGTTTGGTTGGTACTGCCCCTGATGGTTTCAGTATTCGCTTAGTGTTACTCCCTTTCGACAAGTCGGGCCATACACATTCTTGATTTCGTACTTGGCATGCTTGACATACAGATGATGTTTCATCACACTTTTTCCTAAAGAAAGGTTAATTTCAGTTAGTACACGTAGTCCCCTCAGTGCATTCGTTGTGTTGTTTACATACTTTCGTCTGCGACAATTTAAACAACCCGTCTTGCTTCGAAACCTTGTGCCCACGATATTATGCGTCTTGATTTGTCTTTGTTGGAATCCACTAAGCTTTGTACCTTGTATTGAAGAAGTTGCATCACTTGTTGTGGCCTTGGTACGTGCAGACGATGTGAATGTGTTTGGAGCATTTTTCGGAGTTTCGAGCGGGGCGGGTTTCCTGTTTATATTTGTAAATGAAGAAGCATCAAATATTGAAAACATAATGATTCAAACAATGAGATGATCTGGTGATAATCTTAATTTTTTCCTACTAGGAGGGTATGTGTTTGAGTATATGACTTATTCAATGCAACTGTTTCTTTTCCAACTGTCAAAGCATAACCAGGAAAAGGTGGAGTAAAAATGAGTCGGCATAAAAATTCGTAAAACTAAAAGAAAAAACAGAAAAGAAGAAACTCGAAAAATTATTATATCTCCTCCGGAAATGGTTAGCCGCGAGGAATTTTAGCGACAATGAAGCGGAATTACAAAAGCGGAATTTTTAAATGTACAGGACCCACAGTTCAAAAAGATCAAAATATCTCAAAAAAATTACACACATCTCGAACTAGACCCCAGTACCCTATACCTTACAGCAATACTATGCCATCTACTTATTTTAAGAAACCATCATCCAAGTGCAACTCCATCTCATATTCAGGTTGAAACTCAGTATATAAAGTTTCAGGATCACCATCATGGTGCTCACAATAAGCAGCTTCTTCATCGCCAATCAACTTTAAAGATTCACCAGGCAACAAAGCCAGTTGTGCCGCTAATTGAATCTGACATGATTTCTCCATCAATGTAAATAAATAAGCCGCCTCATCAACAGTAGATCCCACAGTCAATAAACCATGGTTTTGTAAGATTATTCCCTTGCCATTACCCAAAGCAGCAGCAATTTTTCTACCTTCTTCAGCTTCTAAAGCCACGCCTCCAAAATCAGTAAAAATAGCATGGCTGTTGTAGAATGTGCAGACATCCTGATTAATCATGTCCAATTTCTTGCCCAATGCTCCAAATGCCTTGCCATATACTGAGTGGGTATGACAAGCAGCATTGACATCGGGACGTAATTTGTGAATCGCTGAATGAATAGCAAAACCAGCAGCATTTAAAGCAATTTGGTTACCATCGGGTAACAAATTACCATCCTCATCTACATGAACCATATCACTAGCTTTCATTAATCCAAAATGTTTGCCCAATGGATTGATCCAAAATGTATCGGGGTTAATTGGATCACGAATTGAAATGTGTCCTGCAGTTCCTTCGGTATAACCTTTTCTGGCAAATACTCTGAAAGCAGCGGCCATGTGTTGTAAAGCCCATTTTCTTTCCTCCTTTTTATTGGCAAATTTAGGGATAGGGAACGGATGAGCACCTCCCTTGGCAATGTTGTGTGATCCTCTAGAGCCCATTTCGTAACCTCTTGATGTTGCTGCGGAATCGGTGGAGATGGATTGATCATCGACAGTGGTGGCCGTCGTATCTTGTTTGAGTGTTGGTGACATGTTACTTGATGTTGCGGAGTGTTTGTGAACAATATAGGAGCAGAGAAACGTGCTCAAATATGCATATATATATATATATATTTATCAATTATTCATGTGATAAGAGGGCATTTTTTGTATGAGATGAAGTGTACTGCATATAAAGTATCTCAAGCGGGACACTTGCCTCATTGGGAATACGATCCATTCCACTAAAGTTTATCAACAGCGATAAGCGTCGATACGAATCGGATTCTGGTACCGTCAATAACCGCAATCTGTACGGGTAGCTTTTTGTTGTAGAGACTACGGGGGAACGTCACCTTCAAGATACATCCTAGCTATATGGCCATATGGGCTTACTGCAAGGAACTTGTTATCCGAGCACAACGTAAGTGTCATCGGATCTGGTGGATGCAATATTATCTTGGATTATCACGTGGTGAGGATTAAAATAAGGTCTCTTGCAACATCTCTTCCTCCCCTCTTTATTCCGCAATGGAAGTTGATGCAAAAACATAAAAACTGCCTCGTAACCTGTATCACAATCGGAAAACAAGAGAGAAAACTTTATTTGCAAAGACAAGGTATTGAGTTTACTTTGTCTAGAGAATGCAATGGGTTTGTTATAGTTAAAGTGAAAGATTAAGCGATGGAAATACTTTTAGAAAGAAGGATCTGAAACTTAACAAAATTAAACGTTGCTGTAAAGATGCTTCTTTTTGTCTTCTCCGTTGTTTTTTTCAAAGGTTTCATCTTTCTCACCTACAATTTAAACTCAATGAAGAACCAACGCAGATGAAATTTTCAATTTGTAAAAATAAAAAAAAAAAAGGGTGTGTTTGTGTTCTGAAACATTTATACAGTGGGTGATATATATCGTATAATTATATTTGCTCTGCTGTTTGTGGCGGTGAACTTTTTTGCGGAAATGCTACAGGGACAAAGGGGGGTCTTCAATGTATCATTAAAGTTCACTTCGATGAGCTTGATGCCTACTTAATCATCCCCTATATGCAGAAGCTATACCGAGGATCAATATAGGCATCATATGGGTTAGCTGAGTGTAACTATTTATGTGGACCCAAACGTGATGCAATATGCATACTCTAAATGTTCTCAGGAACAGCTGACCGGGATAACTGATTATTAAACCCTATGCTTGTAACACTCTCGCCACTACTCAAACGGGTCGAGATCTGTGTATTCTGAGTTGGAGTAGCATTGCTGATAGTAGTAGTGAAATGCAAAGGCGGATGTGGGCGTTACAAGAGAGGGGTGTGTATGCTGATGCTTTCTTGGTGGTGCATATAAGAAAAATGTATAGTTCCCCCATAGTTACACAATATCATTCTACTGTAAAAATGAATGATATGTATGAAAAGAAAAAAAAAGAAATTTATCATTTTCTATACAATTGGTAGCACTTTTACGGATTATTATTTTTCATGCACTAAGTTTCTTTTGATACAAAAACATAAAACAAGTGTCTGTTTAGCAAGAGACCAAAACCTCCATTAGTATATCTCCACTTGTTCTCCCCAGAGTTACAATCCAAATCCCAGACCGACAAAACCATCCCACAGTTGAACGTTTCACATACTACTACGCAACTCTGGTTACAAAGAACCTCACTACCTTTCCCTCAATGACTTCTATTGCTGGCCACCCTAGCCTAGAGCCATCATCAGTTTCACCCCCTCCAACGCAGCCACATCCACCATCGCAGCAGCCGCACAAGCGGGTTCGAAGACTACCACCAGAGAAAAGACAAAAGGTCTCCACTGCTTGCGATTCTTGTAAAAAACGGAAATTTAAATGTTCAGGATCAAACCCATGTGAATTATGCGTCCGAAAAGGATACGACTGTAGCTACACTGTCGTTGATAAACGATCACTAAAGAGTGAACGATTACTAATGTTGAGGCAACAAAAGAGGCTACAGGAGCAAATGGATGTTCAAGGAGGGTCATCACAGACACCACAGCAATACGAACATGATATCAATAAAGGGCCTTTTTATACAACAACCCAAGCCCAGCAACAACGATTTCAGCAACAAGATTTCAACGCACAACCACAAGCACAGCCTTTGGTTCAACATCAACAGCAACATGCACTACAGAATCCACCACCTCCGCCGCCGCCACCACAGCCACCTCATCCTTTTCCAGCCAACGTTGTTTATCAACAACAACCATATCCAAATCAACAGATTACTCCACCAGATGCACCTCCCTACCAGCTGCCGCAAGCCCAACAACCGCAACAATATCCACCACAGTATCCACAACCCCAAGTACAACTATATCAAGTGCCACCTAACTACCAGGCTGGTCCACCACCACCTGCTCCTCCTGTTCCTCTTTCATCGCTGCAATACCCACCATACCCACCTCCCCAAAGGTTGTCTGTGCCTATTTCCCCCAGATACGCAATGCAGCCGTACCCTCCACAAGGACAAGATTCATATGCGGCAGATACCAGACTGTCATACTCAAGCCGCCCTCCATCTTACAGCCAAGGACAATTTTATGACCCGCCTTCCAGCGCTGGCTCTATGGGACCTCCGGGAAATCAATTACCGCTACAACCACAACCAAAGCCGCAGCCGCAGGCGGAGCCTCGAAGGGAATCGCAATCACCTCTCCCTCAACCGTACTACCAAAATCAACACCCAAACGTGCAAAGTTTACCGCCCCAACGCCACCAGAACTATCAATACGGTGCTCCATCCTTTGCTCAAAGTCAACAAGAGCGGTCTCCACGTCCTTCTTCACAATTAGATCCACAAAATCATACATATGCAATACCTCATGTTCAACACGAACAGCAACCGCCCCAACACGTGAAGAAAGAGATTCAAATGTCACAAAAATCAGCTAATATTCTTACTCCAGACTCTCCAGGATCCAATATGGCAGAAAAGCAAGGCGCTGGCTCGTTCCCAAAGTTTCTTCAACCGTTGCTTTCTTTCCCACTGAAAATTCACAAGGAAGGTGATTCATCAAAATTGCCAGAAGCAACTTCAAGTACTTCCGTCAAGACAGAAGTCGGTTCCAAAAACACAAGGAAGGAGAGAACTTCCGCTGCCAGTACATTGCAAAACGAAGTTGATTCAAATGCCGTCCTTGATGAAGAGATTGCTAATGAAGTGGGTGATGGTGGTGCTGACTCACTGGAGTCCAAAGATGGTGTTTCAAACCAGGCGGGTAAAAGTTGCATTTTGTTGAATGACAAGTCTGGTACGTTTAGATACATGGGTGAAACCAGTCCACTTTCTGTCTTGTATGAAACAAGAAATATTTTCTATCAATATGTGGGAAAGACGAAGCTAACCGAAGATTTACGTGGATGTCCTGTTATCGATAAACCACTTAAGGTGGAGGCTGAAGTTGTGGCACATTTACCACCACCTAGAGAGAGAGACCTTTATATTGAACAATTCAAGCGAAACATCAATGACACTTTTTTCGTTTACGAATTAAAAAAGTTTTACATTGACGTTGTTGATCCGGTGTATCTCGATCCAGTCAATGTTGAACATCAACAAAAATTAGTACAATTGTATTTTGTTTTGGCCATTGGCGCAACATATCTTTCCTTTAGCAAGAAGGATCCACATGCAACATTGGGTGCGAAATATTTTGAATCAGGTTTACTTATACAAAACTCGCTTCCAGAAGATTCAGAAATATGGTGTGTCGTTGCCCACTATTTGCAGTTCCATTATTATCAATCCATATTGAAAAAATCAACAGCATGGATCCACTTAAATTTGGCGATAAAGTTTGCTCAATCACTCGGATTACATCGCAATTTTGTTAATGAACAATTTTCCCAATTGAGTGACGAATGTGAATATCGGAAACGGATTTTTCGAAGTCTTTACTGCAGTGATCGAATTTCATCAGTATTCATTGGTAGACCACTAGCAGTGAATGATTATGATTGGGATGATCCAACAAGATACAAACTGTCTAAGACGTTGATTTCATCGAGTTTAAATTTCAATGCCAAGTGTCAAATTGAGTTGGCAAGGATTAGTCATTTGATTGGTAAAATTGTTGCCAATTTTTATCAAAATAGGATCATTGATATTAACAGGACAAAAAATTTGGCAGTGCAGTTGAAACTTTGGTCTAAAAATCTTGATCCATTGTTATCGGTGGAAAATATATTCAAACCAAAAGAACTTCCCCATAATGAAGATGGTGGAAATACGCAAATTGTGTTGATGATGCATTTATTGCAATTGTTTGCCATTATGTTACTTTGTCGACCATTTTTCATGTACGATGCTGTATCTCACGTCAACACTGCTTTTCCCAAGACAACTACATTGAGAGATAAGTCGTCATCAAGACAATTTATTCAAGCAGCTACCAAGGCGTCGATATTGGCAGTAAAGTTGATGAATCATTACATCAACACTTCATTTAAAGAAGTTAAGCGCATGGAGTGTTATATCATCATCACGTGTTGCTTCTACAGCTCCATATTCATTGGTATTAGTATCTTGAATGGTAATTACCAATTTGACACCGTTGGAGGAGAAGAAGAAGAACAAGGAAGCTACACTGAGACAGAAATGATGAATTTACTCAGAAATGCTGTGTTCATATTGAATCATTATTCAACTTGTAATAAAGGTGCCGAAAGGTATGCTGAAATTGGAAGTGATTTAATTGATGCATTGGCAAATAGGCACAAGTCTGGATCAGCAACGAGTGGAGAGTCTATGAATGAGGCTGGTGACACCACCAATGAGTCATTACTCGATGGAGATGAAGTTTTCAATTATTTCAACTTTACTGATGATGCTAATGCCCAGGATTTACAAAATTTGATTGATTTTCAACAATTTTTTGTGTCACTGGATATAACTACTGGATCAGTTTCAGATTCAAGCAATATGCCATATGACTATGGCAATTATGATTTATTTTTTGGGGACAAATACTAGTGAGGTGAGGTAGTGGGTAAAGGATGTGACAGTTTACGAACATTGTCATGGGATGATTACATTATTCAGTTCTTTTTGATTGATAAAAAATTTTTTTGGTTTATAATTTTTAATACATGTTTTGGTATGTGCGTGTTCATTAATAGGTAGAAGCGAGGTGTGTGTCTCACTTCCTACATTGATTCATGTGTAACGTGTTTTAGGCGATGCACTCTTCTCTACCAAGATTTTGCGCTCTCGCAAAAGTTTGTCATGAAAATATGTCTGGTGACAAAAGAGAAAAAAAATTGTAGTGAAAATTCTCACTTTTGACACTTTTCAGATAAAACACACATAAGATACCCCATTCCATTTTGAAACTAATTAAAAACAATCTTGCATCTTTGAGGCTTGAAGATTGCTATCTCGGGTCACACCACCATTGACTAATAACCCCACACCATTATGAAGAACCCTATACTGCTACTACTATCCTCATGGGTTCTGTCATTATGTCTAATTTTTTTCTTTTCATCAACCACAATCTTGGCATCACCAGGAGATGACTTGTACGCATTTATGGACTGTATATACCAATGTGAACAAATAACCTGTCACGATAACCATTACTATATTGAGCTTTATGAACGCGGAAAAGGATTTTGGAATCAAGGGGATGACGCTTATTATTATAATCCGTATTGGCAATTTGTTGATATGCCTTTACCTTGGTATCTACGTCTACTTGGATGGACATGTGAACTGAACTGTGATTACCAATGTCAAAGAGTCATAACTGAGGAAAGAAGGAAACATGAAGAAGAAATTTACCAGTTTCACGGTAAATGGCCATTTTTGCGTGTTTGTGGAATACAAGAATTGATGAGTGTTTTGATGTCTATGGGCAATTTAATCGTCACGTACAAGTTTGGCTTCAAAAAGATATATGCAATAGTTAGGGACAAGAGACAACCAGCGTTGCTCCGCAAGCAGTATTATCATATCATGGTTGTGATTATAGTCACTATGCTTGCATGGACCGCATCAACTATTTTCCATACACGAGATTACCCCGTTACCGAACATTTAGATTATTACTTGGCAGGAGCAACAATCTTGTCTACATTTCATGCTTTGGGATCACGATTATTTTCCATGTATAAACGCAAAAATAAACTTTATCGGTGGTCATTTTCAATCTTGTGTTTATCGGCATACACTTATCATGTTCAGCGATTATATCGGGATTGGTCATATACATACAATATGAGAGCTAATTTAACCCTTGGAATATGTCAAAACCTATTTTATTGCATGATTGTATTCAAATTGTACTCGAAGTACTATTCCCTCGAACAAGAAACGAAACAAATCAACCAAAATCATTTGAAATATGTTGATTTTAAACGAATCATACTACCTAGTTTCTACACCGCAAGTGCAAAGCTTTATACTTTGTATCCGCTTATGTTGTGTATGATTGTGGTGCTAGGGTCCATGTTGGAGATTTTTGATTTTCCACCTATTTTCCACGACTTGGTGGATGCACATAGTTTATGGCACTTAGTCACTATTATACCTCCCTATATGGGCTGGTACGATTGGTTAGTTTGGGATATCAGTGAAAACGTATGGCCAGATATAGTGGAGGAAGAGGAGTTGCAAAAGAAAAAGAATGAGTAGAAGGAAAGAATGTATTCCACTTATTTATTCGTAATCTAGCATTTTAGCATCCACACATCTCTGTAGCCGTTTTCTTTTTTTTTTTTTAGTCACTCAAATCTTCTTCTGGTGGTGCGTACGGAGGTGGTTTGAAATACTCTTGGTCTTTTTCCACAGCAGCTTTGAATTGAACTTTATCGTCAACAAATTGGTATAAATATTCCAATTCCAAGTCGTGTACCTGTCTACCCAACATCACCATAGTATGTAATGGCTCACCAGAATCGTATTCACTCAACTCTTTCAATGTGCCAGCCTTGAAGGATTGTGTTGGTGCACCTAATCTCAGTATGGCCACACATGGAGTATTTTCCGTGTATGCTTGTTCCAGTCTCATTTCCTCGATTTCAATCAATTGACTTGCAGCAGTGGCAATGTCCATGTATCTAGGTGGCTCATAAATCAATCTTCCTCTAGCCATATTCTCGATACTTTGTTCTTTAACTTTAATATCTAATAAGATCAACGTATGCAATCCAATTTTCCGATTTTCCATAATCTTGTTATAAAAAGAATCAGGTTTCCAAGAATCAGTGAAAAACACCAATGAAATAGTTTGTCCAAATTGATACAATTGGAGTCCACATGCACCAACAGCATTCATGATTGACGCATTGTGAATTGTTTCTACTTTGATCCCCAATTCTCGTGCTCGTAAGACCAAGTCGGTATGAGTGGTGGCCCCGAATGGGTCACCAACAACTAAGAATGCAATATCTTCTGTATCCGCATCCTTCAAGATTTCGTCACTGCCACTTTCAACTAATTCACGATCAGCAAGAATGATTTCCCTTCCATAATAAGACTCAAGTGTTTCTTGATTAGCTGCCATAAGAATGGAAGTGTATGCTTCCAAATAGACGCGTGAACATTTCTTAACAGTTTCAAGGCCTCGTACAGTTATATCAGACTCATGTGAAAGCCCTAGACCTATAAGATACAACATCGTAGTTTGAAAGATAGTTGGTTAAGTAGAGTAAGTTCAATGAATTGAAAAAAAAAAAAATTTGGGTAGCACCTCATCGTGATACCAATTACGTACTGAACTTATAGGAAAGTGTTTATTACAATGGCATTTTATTATCTATATCCACAGTAACCCGTACCATTTCGCTAATTGCATTCCTCGATTTTCTGTTCAAACCATCGGCAACGGTATTACTACTTTACACGTCACAGAGAGTCTCGATTAACTTGTACAATTCTGAATTACCATATCCAAACTCTGCGAGCAATGAGTGGAACTTTTGTTTGAACTGCACCAACATTGTATGTGTTTGAGACATGGAGCCCTTCTCATGCAAATAAGTTACTGCCTTTTGTAACAAGTTGGATTGTTTGCTTCTAAGCTTCAGTGACCTGAACTCATATAGTATTTTGTGGACGGGGGAATTCGTTGGATCCGTTTCGTCTCGTAAATTGATCAATATTGGAAGGGACAATTTACCTTCGATTAAATCTTCCCCAGCAATACCCTTCATGGTAGAATAGCGAGCGTCAACCAAGTTCAAATAGTCATCTCGTATCTGATATATAATCCCAGCCAAGTTTGCAATTGCAATTACTTTATCGAGTTTTTCCTCCTCAAGTCGTTTGTATTTAAAAACATCTAGTAATCTGACGGATAGTCTAAACAACCCACCAGTTTTATTTTGCACCATTGTTAAATACTCTTCAATAGTGGGTAATTGATGCAACTCGGGTAAAAAGTCTCGCCAGTAAATATCAAGGCCCTGTCCCTCATGTAAGTTCGTCATTTCGTAGACAAAATCACGATTCAAGTCACGTGATCGCAAATTGCGTTCTGCCTCATCTGCATGCACAAAGTGATCAAGTGTACCTGCTGCCGTTTCCATAGCTCTAAAGTACATCAAATTGGCACAATTTATGGTCAAAGGCTTCCCGTATTTTACATGGGCCGAGGGAAACCCTCGGCGATATTTTGAATTGTCTTCTATATCGTCAATAAGCAATGATGAATTGTGCAAAAGCGAAATGACTTCATTGACAGCCGCTTTTTTGTGCGTATAATCTTCCTCTTGGAAAAATAACTCATGGAATAACTCAATGAATTTCCGTCGGATGTTGTTGTTATTACTAGGTAACCCACTCAAGTAATCGTAAGGTTGGCAGATCGGCTCCTCGTTTGAGCCATGCATACAAAACGTGTAGAGGCGTTTTGGTGATGATTTTCCCTCCTCTTTTATTATTTTGTCGATGTCTATTGATTGGTACATACTTGAGGTGGATCAGTGATTGATTTTTTGATGATTCCCTTTTTCCTTTAAGGGCGAATGATCTCTGTGCACACGCTACCAAAAAATGCAACAATTTGTAAACACGTCAGTAATACTTTTCAGGAAAACCAAACCACAAAGAAGCAGCTCATTAGGTAGGTCACTTGTCTAGGAACTAAGGAATACGCCTAGCTTATCACATTAAATATGGACGCTTTATGGAACAATCTTCCACCTGTGACCAAGGGTTGGTCTGTGGCATGCGTTGCTACCTCGACACTTATTACCATTAATAGATTGAAATTAATGAATTTGTTGTTTATTCCGTCCAAAATATATAGCCAGAATCAAACATGGCGACTAATTACATCATTCATAACATTTGGAGATCTAAGCTTTGAGCTAGTGTACCGTTTGTGGGCTATTTCTACGTCATGTGGAGAAATTGAAAGTCTATTTCAAACAAAATTCACACAATTTCCGTTATACATTGTCGATGCCTTGAGTACTGAACAATTGGAAATTCTAAGGCAGTTGATTGATAGAAACAGGTCGATCGATTTCCTCTATTATGTCATGCAAATATGTTTTTCGATCATTGTTGGTGCAACGATTCTATTTTACAAGATAAGCTTAATTACACCTCAATTGGGACTCGTTTTAATTCAAGTTTTCCAATACTATAGCTCCAAGTTGAACCCATTGGAGATGGTCAACTTCTTCGGATTCCGTTTTAGAAACATGTACCAACCATATCTCCTAGCATTTGTGAATTTATTGATCAGTGATACTGGGGCTGGGCAAAACAACGAGCCGACACAGAATGGAAATGGTAACAATTGGAATTTCGGCTTACGGAGTTTTTGGAATGTTTTTCGAAACCCAATGATTTGGTTTTACGTTATGAGTTTTGGTTTGGGACATTTTTGGTGGTGTAGTAGAGAAGTTATCCTTGGAAGTGTTCATTACAATGATGACGGAGATGCTACACACTTGGAAGCGGATTCTAGAGATGGAAGAATCAAAAAGAGGAAGCTACTCAAACAAAATGGCATTTGGAAGTTTGATTTGGTGAAGGAAGCTTTAGTTATACTATTGCTACCTCCTTGGTATTGGATTATGTTGTCTAAAATCAAGCAACAACATCCCCATGATGTGCGTCGTCCACGTCATGCACCACCTGAGCTCCAGCAGCCTGTAGTAGAGGAGATGAGAGAGAACTTAGAGCAAGTTGACGAACGTGCAGAGGAACAGGTTATACGACATCTTGACCAGGTGGAGTAAAATGATCATGTCTTTGGCTTGGAGGAATTGTCATGGACAAAACGACAGAGACATGGCTGAGCATGGTTTGTATAAGTCCATTTTGAATTTGCTTCTCCGTCACGTGAGCCCTGATTCTGTAGCAATTTTCTTTGGTCCTTTTTTTTTGCAACAAAATACAATTCCATAATCAATCTCTTACATTAACTTTACCATTGAGCATCACACATGGATCCAATCGTCTATGCTCTCATGAGTGCGTCTACATCTTCTCGTGCGTCAAAAGCACGGCTATCACAGAGTGTACGACTTGATGTAATCATTCCACGACTAAAACAGTTCTTTCAAAACAAGCGTATCGAAAAACTTCACAGTCAATCGTTGACTCTCACATACAATATTGCAAATATGGAGTTTTTTGCCAACTCGCAAAGAGAAAAGTACGAAGAGATCCGTAGAGTCAGGAACACGGCAGCTGAAGTTATAAAAGCAATTGTCAACAATTTGGTTTGTCGAATTGATTACTGTTTTGAAATAAGGTCCCTACCACCGATTAATCCTGGAAACCCAACTCGTCTTATCACACCCTCATTGGAGCAAACTTACAATAGACTTGTTGATGCGATACTCGGCAGCGTATTTGATGAAAATAGCATACTCTATACCACAATGAAGCATTATAAAAGATTGGTGAAACGAGAAACGACCAAGTTGGCAAGAGTTGAGGCTTATGAAAGGCAATTGAAAGAGCTTAGAGGTAAGCTCGATTTGGTGAATGAAAAATTGAAGCATTTGGCTGTTGTGAGAGCTGATCGGGAACGGAAATCGGCAATCAAGAAACAAGTGAGGTTTGCCCCAAGATAATGAAAATCGTTTTATATAGATTTGCACAGACTGTGAGCACATGGATAATCGAATGTATGATAACCGCTTGGTTAATGCTATGTGGTCTCTCTTCAAAGTATTGCGGGGTGAGATTTTGGTGTTTGGTGGTTCACACATTTCTATTTTTTTGCAACAAAATTACCACATAAGAACAAACCCCCATTTTTACCAACAAGTCAACATAACCCACAATGTCTTCATCTCTGTCATCTTCAGATGACTTACAAGACCATATAATCTTAAACACTATCACCCCTGCAACTGCAACAACTGCTATTGTCGATGCTCCTAACGCAGCTGATACCCCTGTGTCAACACCACAATTTCGATACAACACATTACCCTATCAATTCCACCAATTTTTTTATGACCAAACACCAGAATCACTTGGCATTCAACTTGAAGACCTTGAGTTACCAACTATGGAAGGAAGACTTCAAGTTCATGCGGTTATGAACATGATAAATTTCATTGGTGATATCAAACTGAATTTACTTGAATGTATGGGGATGATTAAATCAATTTTGGATTGCAAAACAGAAGCACAAATGTTCGATATTAGACTTCAATTGAGTGAGGCTGTTGTTAGGAAAGAAGTGTATGCCGAGGTTATTGGCTTATTCGATTACATTGTTTGTACAAACTTTGACGAAGAGGACATGTCAAACCTGTGGTACTGCAATGAGTTTGATGATGTTGAAGAGTGTGAACGCAATCAATTACAGGATATTAAAGTGTTGGTTTCGAATGATCTGCTGACCTTGAAGAGTTTGGCACATGATTTGGTTATGGTAGTGAGACGTGCAGATACTTCTGTTGGTGTTAGTGAGAATGCAGCGGAAGCGATGAGTGTGGCTCCTGTGATGGTCGACGACATAGAAAGCGGAGGGCGTGCAAAATTAGAGAATGAGCCTATGAATCAAGTTTGTCGGAAGATTGTTGAACTTGATTCCAATCAAGATGACAAAGCCTATCCTGTTAAACAAAATGATGATACTGAAGATGCGAAAACAGGGATAGAAGTTTTTGAAGCATTCATTGAAAATTATTTTAGAGAAACCGGCCACGAGAATGATGGTGCTACAGAGATAGTGGGGGAATTGGTGGGAAAACTTGAAAATGCGGTTGATAACGATTTGGGTAGGTTTGTGGAGAATGTAGCCGACTCGACTGTAATTAAGGCTGATGATAAAGTTAACGTGGCTGCCAAGGAAGACGGAGATGTGGGATGTTTTGCTGAAGTCATTGCTCAAGAAATTATGGATGAAATAGTTGAGCAAGTTGTCAATAAAATAGAAGAGGGGCCCATAGAAAAGATTGCTAGAGATACAGTGGAGCAAAAGATTGACATGGTTGTTCTGGTGGAAAACAATGAGAAGTCTGGAATTACGGATCAGAGCAAAATCAATGATGTTGAGCAAATCAAGGAAATCATTAAGAATGTGTCTGATGAGACTGTTGCAAAAGTAGTTGAAGGTGCTGCTAAAAACCTTGCTGTGGCCATCGTGGAAGGTGTGGTTGACAAACTTGCTAAGGATGTTGATGAAGGTGCAGATTACCCCATTCCCGATACTCTAGGTGAGAATGGCAAACAGGTTGAAGTCATGGCTGAAAAAGCCACACACAAAGAGCATAAATCATTCAGTGGTGTCACAGATTAGTAGCCAGAACATATCTTGATCTACATTGATTGTCCCCTCTAAAAAATCAGTCTAAATATATATTCGCTAGTTTGAATAAAAAGCTTTAATGGTATCTATTTACCGACATCTTTCAACTTCTCAAGTTGTTCAGCTAATCCAACTGGAACTTCAACAGCTTCCGGTGCATCTTCAGGTCTCTTTAACCCCTTAGATTCAGTTTGCTTTTTGGTTTCCTCCTTTTGTTTCTTCTCAGTTGGCGTCATTACCAAATCAGCAAAGTTCAATCTTGAGCCCTTATCATTATTAGCAGAAGCAGCAGCAGAAGCATCTTCGTCACCAGCAGTTTCATTCCATTCAGCCAATTCCTTTTCATGTTCTCTTTCTATAGCAAATTTGACCGCTTCCAAAACATCATTACATAAATGTTTTGGCTTGTATTTGGGTTCAGTGCCTTCTTGATAAACACCGGTTTTAACCAAGATGGAGTACCATGAAATATCATGCGAATTGGCAAATCTAATATCTGATTCAGGAGTATCACCAACGAAATAGACGGTTGATGCTGGTGGTAATTGTAAAGTAATTTGGTCAGGTTTACCAACTTCTGCAAGTTTAGCAAGGTTCTTTTTAGCATCCTTGTAATCCTTGTGTGCTTGTTTCTTGGAAACACCAATGTTAACTTCTCTTTCTTTTTCTTCAGCTTCCAATTCATCTTCGGATTCTTCATCCTCAGAGTCTGAAAAATTGTAGCTTTCCAACTTTTCTTGATTAATAATTTCTTCGCCGTTTTCATTAATCAAGATATCAGCATCCTTGGCATTTGGATCATTTATACTCAATTTCTTCAAATGTTCATCCAAAACACCTTGTCTCCAATGACTCAAGACCTTGTTGGCAAATTTAAAAGTACCAACCTGTGGCTTACCAAATCTATTCACTTTCAACTCCTTACCAGTATGTTCACGATACAATGCAGCAATGGAAACTTGTAATGCACCCATACCATATCTTGATAATTTATAGTTTGTGGCCCAAATGAAATCAGAATGGGCAAAGTAAATTTGTGGGCCCTCATCAAAAGTTGTTGACTGCGTTCCCATTACACCATTCTTGGATAACAACAACTCCAAAATGATTTGTTGATCAGCGGCCCAGTTTCTTGAATCCGCAAATACCAAAATAGCATCAATTGGTGTTTTGCTGAAATCGACATCTCTAGTGCAAATCTTTTCTTCTTCAGTTAAATCGTGGTACGGAGACACAGCTGGATTCCATTTCAAAATATCCAATGGCGTGTAAACATTCTTGAAACCATATGATTCAGCAACATTACGACAAACATTACCCACACCACCAACAACAAGAACATTTTCGTAAACACCAACCAAATCCTTCATTGGCGTGTGACCTTGAATAATTTGATCTGGAGTAATGGTGCAATTTAACCGTTTGCTCAAGTCATCAGCTCTTTGTTTTTCTGGTTTACCTCCACCGTTGGTGACAAAGATGGATGGAACTTTAATATTATACTTGTTTTCACCATTCAACAACTTCATGGCCTCAACAGCTTGTGGGATGGTGTCTGGTCCTCTCAATATAACCCCATCAATATCAAAACAAAAAGCATAAGAGGCAACTCTTTCATGATCAATCACATCCTTCTTATTTCTCTTAATGATGGAAGCATTTCTTGATAATTTGGCCAACGAGTCAACCTTTTTCAAGTTGGCTGATGAAGACTTCTTCAAGTTACTATTGCTACCATTCTTGTTTAAAGATGAAGATGATGACAATTTGGTTAATCCATTTTGCCAGTTGTTTAAATCCGATAACGAAAGTGATGAGACCCTGTGTTTTCTTGATTGTGGAGTCAAGTCATCGATACCATCATTGTTCAAATATGATTGAAATTGAGCGCCACCATCTTCTTCGACAACTGGTTCGTTTTGTTGTTGATCCTTGGACATTGTGTTGATCTAGTAGTGTAGTTTATTTTGGTATGTGATTAAAGTGATTATCAAATAGTAATCACCTGCTTTGTATACGAGATGAAATGGTAAAAGAAAGGGAAGTTCGACAGAAATAGAAAAAGAAAACGAGAAATAGGGAAATCAAATGGTCTTTTTATATCACACTAAATGACTTTTGGATTTTTCTATTTCTCTTTGTCGGGTTGGGTTCATCATAAGTTTACACAAAACAAAGACAAAAAAATAGAGAATAGCTACGTAATGCAATACTCTTCAAAACAAAGCTTGTATGTAAAGAAGCACTACATTAGAGAAAAGTTAGGCCTCACAGGTAGTAGGTCCCAAAGCAAGAACATAATATTGTTAGTTTTAGGTGGTGACACAGTAACAGCAACCAACAACAACTGAGTTTTGAAACTCAGAATATGTAGCAAGAGCATGCAAAAATAAACTAAATCATTACGCAACGAAGATGTAGAAACTGTTACAACCGAGATAATATTTTACGACAACTTTAGTTACATCATTAGTGTTTTCACCTCGTAGCTTGACTGATATTATAACTCTGTAATCTTTTGAAGTATTACATAGAACACTTTTCTTTCACTGCTGGTCAAGAAAATATAATACACACATACTACATGTATGCATATTTGTCGCTGCTGAAACTAAAGTTCTCATTAAAATTACAATTTTAAACTATTCAGTTTGCTCCTGCATTCTGCCTCCAAACTGTACTTTCCACTCTTACATAGTTGTGTCAAAGGTGTCAACTTTTCAATGGTATAATGTTTGTTGGCGATTAGGTTCTTTGATTCGTACAACATGTGATATGCTCTGCTAAACTACTTCGTAATATATTTGCAAGTGATTTTGTGTGTGTCATGTCGTAAGTTTACAGTTTGTGTCACTTGGTTCTTCAAATTATATGCAGTACCTGGGAGCAATATAATTGCTATTCCCATTTGAACCACAGTCCAACTCCTCCATCAGCGAACCATTTCTCACTTTATTGGCTTGAGGGTAATGAAGTGCCATTGTTTTAGTGGCTACAAATTGTCTTTAAGTCTCCCATTGCTAAGACATCTAGTATCAAACTGTGTAGAAAAGCGGTGATGAGGTGGTGTTTCTCTTTCTTCAGCTTCTTCTTCTTCCACTTCTATGCATGGAAGACTAAAAAATAGCGCATGTTTGTTGATATTGAGTGTAGCTCTAAAGCCGACGAAGAAACTACTAACCAACCAACCAATTTATTTACTATTGCCATTACATTATACACCACACTCACACATACACAAGCCTACATTGTCGTTTGTGTAATGGTCTTTTTTATTTTTTTCAAGAACAATAGGACTGAGTACTTTTTATTGTTACTTGTTTCATGTTTAACAAAACTGAAGTCCGAAATCCACCCTTTGAGACTTAAAGGATTTCTTGGTGTGCTTGGTGTTTCTATATATATCTATATATATCTAAATATATGTATATATCTATATATACATATACATATACAATAAGAGCCACGTGCATACAAAACCAAAGCAGACGGAAATTAGATTGGCATAGTCATCTCGCTTAGCTTATCCCAATGTGTATTAACTAGCATGTACCTTTTCTGCTCACTCATCAAACCCTTCACTGATTCGTCGCCTGTCCCCAAATCTGTTGTCCCACTCTGTTGTATACTCGTGGGGGATAACACCTTGTCTCTGTTTAGTTCTATACTCTCTTGAAGCGGACCTCTGTTCACCCATACAAATTGTTACGTAATACTTTACCTAATCAGTGCAAAATGTAATAAATACAAAGATGGTAATTTCCCTATACTGAAATTAGACCCACACCAAAAATGATAAAGTGAGTAAGAAAAATATAGCACAATATTTTGTAGCCTTTTGTGAGTGCAATCTATTACAGATATATTGGCCTAGTCCATCTTCTTTGGCTACTAAAATCTCATTTTTGTCTTACAAGGACTATATAAGGCTAATGTGATTGCCCTTATAGAGATGGTATTTTCCCAACCACGGAAAATCATCTGCTAGTTTTGAATTATTCTCAATCCACCAATGCTCTAATCATTGCATTACATGTTCTAACTTTTGATTGAGGGTGTGAGGCCAATCCCAAAGATTGGGGAAGCTTGTTTACTCTAAAGAGTTTCAATATACTTGGTCTAAATTCAGTTTGATTCCCCTCATAAAAAAAAGTTGCAAAGTGGTGGTTTTTTTTGTTATATCTCCGATCCTCGATTACTGCAACAAATACTTTTCCTTGATTCCAGTGTATAGAATTACCAGATTACGCAAGGCACAACTATGCGATGTGGCATATTATTTTAACATTGACAAATAACAACTACTTCTTTCTTCAAAGCACAAATAAATCCGAAAATTTCCCACGCCCCACAAAGAATTGTCAAATACAGCGGATTTGCGCGCGGATTTAACAAGATCTGCACCGAGACATTTTTTTTTTGACTCCACACAAGGAAAATTGGAGTAGACTTTTGATGTATAAATAGGGAAAAGATTCCCCACATGCTTCATTTACTACCTACACAGTTCTGTAGCTAGCAAAATGATTTCAATCAGGGGTCTTTTACAAATTCTTACCCTTCCAGCTAGGCTTCTTTGGGTGGTTGTAAAATATCCATTCGTGGGAGGAGTTAATAAAAAATTTGAGCACAGTTTAGCCAATTCGTTAAAAATTGAACTTTGTCGGTTTGCGTTAACTTTGTCAGTTCATGACTCGGCTTATATCGCCAATACCACTACACAATCTGTCATTGATAAATTGAAACCATGGTATCCCAGGGTAACCAACTTGAACAACTATGGCAAAAGGTATGATAATCAGAGTATATGGTTAGTTGAAGCACCAAATAGAACCAAATCTGATCCAATTATCATTTATTTACATGGAGGTGGCTATTTTATAAACACAAGTCCGTTCCAAATTGAATCGGTTTTAAGCATGTATAGTTTGCTTGATGAGAAAAAAAGGCAAAAGACATCAATATTGGTTTTGGATTATAAGTTGGCATGCCATGGACACTTGGTGGGTACACAGTTATACGAATTAGCTGCAACATATGAAAAATTGGCCTCAGAAAGGAACGACAACTTTGTTTTAATGGGTGATTCCGCTGGTGGCAACTTGGCAATTGCCTTTTTGCAATACTTGAAACAAGAAAAGAATACCAAACTACCATGGCCCAAGTCATCCGTGTTGATTAGTCCTTGGGTTAAGTTGGTTGGTGATAAGGAGCAATTCACTAAAGGACATTCTTACCACGACAATGAAAAGTACGATATGCTTAGCTCAAATTTTGCCAAAGATCCTGTACGTCAAACTGAACTACTTGGTAAAAGAAGCCCCGCCGATTTGTTGATCTCACCAGGAAATTTGCCATACAAACCCAGTGATTGGAATGATATCCCCACATTAAACAACAAGGGATACTCAACATTTGTTATTCTTGGTGAACATGAGGTTTTTAGAGATGATATTTTAGAATGGTGCAAATATGCCATTAAATCACATTTGGTACCACAGACACAGGACTCGGGTGGAATTTTCAACTCCGAAGTACAAGAATACAAAAGTCAAGGAGTTGGTGATGCGTATGTTGATGTTGTTGTTGAACCTTGGGGTATTCACGACTCGGTTTTGTTTTTCGAGAATAACGTTATCAAGAAGTTGGAGAAACAGCCACTGTTAAAGTTGAGCGACTTGGATGATAAGGAGTATTTTGGAATTGTTAGGATTACAAAGTTTTTAGACAAGACATTATAAGCGGAGCAAGAGGGTTACGTTTAAATGATATCACTTGCAATTGTAGTCGTGCTCTGGAAATAGAACTTGACTTGTGGATCACATATAGACTCAGTTCGCAATCAAAATTTAGCATTGTGTCATAATAAACAGACGTATAACGAAATCTTTTGCAACTATCGATAGCTGATGCACGGATAAACTTATGTATGCGGGAAGCGGCAAGCGGCAAAAGTCAAAATCACTTTTTGTGTTACTCTCTTCCCCATAGTTGAGATTGATTGTCCACTATTGAGTGGTCTATAGCAGAAGCCGAGCAAGAAGGTACCGAGGTGAATGTAAAGATGCCGGTGGAGCAAAGGATGAAATTGGTAGGATGTCGCTGCATTAGGTAGAATTAAAATTGAGAAATTTCCAATTTTTGGATCAATTCCAAGATAAATTAGGAACAATCTTTATATCCGACAACAATTATCACACGAAAGTACAAAACGTATATAAAGTAGCCACAATTCCCCAACTGGCCCTGATAAATATCCATTTCTTTCAAAATCGAAATCCCATTGCCTTCACTAACTTCTTGAACCGACGTCAAAATGGTATCACTCGTTACTATATTAAAGATTCTCAGCCTTCCAATCAAGCTACTTTTAGTGATTCTCAAATATCCTTTTTTTGGTGGTGCAAACTTGAAATTCCAAAACAGTTTGAAAAATTCATTGAAGTTGACAATATTCAGATTCGGTCTTTCTTTGTCTATTAATGATAGTGCTTACCTTGCCAAAAAAACAACTCAACAAGTAATCAACAATTTGAGATCAACCTATCCAAGATTGACTAACTTGAACAATTACGGAAAATCATATGATAAACTCAACGTGTGGCTCGTTGAAGCTGAAAATAGGTCTAAAAGTGACCCCATTATCATCTATTTGCATGGTGGTGGTTACAGGCTCAATACCAATCCAGCGCAAGTAGAATCGCTTTTGAATGCTTATCACTTGCTTGATGAGGAAAAAAGAAGAAGGACGTCAGTGTTGGTTCTTGATTACAGTTTGACCTGTCATGGACATCTTGTTGGAACACAAGTGTATGAATTGGCAGCCACATATAGAAAATTAGCATCACAAGGTAACACCAACTTTGTTTTGATGGGAGATTCGGCCGGTGGTAACTTGGCAATCACATTCTTGCAGTATTTGAAACAAGAAAACGACTCAGCATTGCCATGGCCAAGGTCAACGGTCTTGGTCAGTCCATGGACTAAAATCGTTCCTGATGCCTATCAACTCACACCGGGCCATTCGTATCATGACAATGAAAAATATGATATGTTAAGCGGATCCGTTGCTAGAAGTCCAGAGAGAAGAAAAGGTATGTTTGGTGGAGAGAATTATGCTGACTTGTTGAAATCACCAGGGAATTTGCCATACAATGCTAGTGATTGGAGTGATATTCCAACTTTTAACAATAAAGGTTACTCCACGTTTGTTATATTTGGTGAACATGAGCTCTTCAGAGATGATATTTGTGAATGGACTAAATACGCACTAAAATCACCGTTAATTGTGCCAAAGCAAGATTCAAAAGGAGTTTTCAATCCTAAGTTATATGAATACAAGTCTTCTGGGAACGATGGAGCATATATTGATATTGTTCTTGAGCCATGGGGAATTCATGTTGCGCCATTGCTTTTTGAAAATGATGTGACTAAGCAGTTAGAGAAGCAACCAAATTTGTCATTGAGAGATTTGGATCAAGACAAGTTCTTGGGGACTTCAAAGATAGCCCTGTTCTTAAATAAAGTGTTGTGATAGTATATAATTTAATGGCATTGTTTAGTGTAGCTGTGTTTGAATATCGACCGATAAGTTTATATCAATATCGTTTGTACATCCAAAGTCAACAAGCGCCAGGAAACGACCAATGTAGATCTAACCTTGCAAAAGCACTTATTTCCTTCGTGGAATAGCTTCAAGTGGTGTGCGAAGAAGCGGGGCCCAGCCTCGGTAATTTTACAAAACACAAGAGTACATGCTGGATCATAGATAACGCTGAATGAGACCGACTTTATGCGTATGCTGGATCTTACTAGATAACCCCACCCCACACAAAATAAAAGATTCCCTCAACTAAAATAATTATTTTTAACCAGTCCTATATAATACTCAATCTTTTACCCACATGAAGTCTACTGTGTGAAAGTATATAAGGGAGCCAACGTTCCTTGCCAAGTTGCTACTGATCCATTCCCTCGACACCAAAGCCCGTCAAACTCCAGCTTATCTACTGAATAATCCAGAATGATATCACTCGACACTATATTCAAGGTTTTTAAACTCCCAATTAATATTGCTTGCGTGATTTTAAAGTATCCCTTCTTTGGAGGATCCGGTTTGAAGTTTAAGAATGATTTGCGCAATTCAATCAAATTGACGGTAGTTAGGTTTGTGTTGTCATTATCGCTTAAAGACAGTGTTTATGTTGCTAAAAAATCAACTCAGCAGGTCATTAACGGATTGAAACCAGCATACCCAAGATTGACTAACTTGAACAATTATGGAAAATCATATGATAAACTCAACGTGTGGCTCGTTGAAGCTGAAAACAGATCCAAAACAGATCCAATTATCATTTATCTCCATGGTGGTGGATATAGACTCAACACTAATCTGGATCAGGTTAAATCATTGTTGAATGCGTATTATTTACTTGAAGAGGAGAAGAGAAAGAAGACATCGGTCTTGTGTCTTGACTATAGCTTGGCATGCTATGGACACCTTGTTGGAACACAATTGCATGAATTGGCAGCCACATATAGAAAATTAGCATCACAAGGTAACACCAACTTTGTTTTGATGGGAGATTCGGCCGGTGGTAACTTGGCAATCACATTCTTGCAGTATTTGAAACAAGAAAATGACCCAGCATTGCCATGGCCAAGGTCAACGGTCTTGGTCAGCCCTTGGGTTAAGATTGTTCCCGATGCCTATCAACTCACTCCAGGTCACTCATTCTATGAAAATGAGAAGTACGATATGTTGAAAGGGTCTATTTCTAGAGGTGGAGAGAGAAGGAAAGGGTTGTTTGGTGATAGTAACTACGCTGACTTGTTGAAGTCTCCTGGGAACTTACCATACAATGCTAGTGATTGGAGTGATATTCCAACTTTTAACAATAAAGGTTACTCTACATTTGTCATAGTGGGTGAGCATGAACTATTTAGGGATGACATTTGCGAGTGGGCCAAGTATGCACTCAAATCTCAATTGATTGTGCCAAAGCAAGATTCAAGGGGAATTTTCAATCCTAAGTTATATGAATACAAGTCTTCTGGGAACGACGAAGCGTATATTGATGTTGTTCTTGAGCCATGGGGAATCCACATATCTCCGTTACTTTTTGAAGATGAAGTGACTCAGCAGTTGGAAAAACAGCCAAGTTTGACCTTAAAGGATTTGGATCAAGACAAGTTTTTGGGAACTGCAAAGATTGCCCTGTTCTTGAATGAAGTGTTGTAATTGGGACCAAAATGAGTGCCCTTGTGTTGTTTCTGACTCAAAAGCAAAGATTCTCAGATTCTTAGAGCTTAAAGTAAAATATGATTGATAGTTTAGAATATATATTTATACTAACGAGTTAGTCTTAGTATCGTGTAGTTATTGGTTGAAAACCGGATCCCTTGTAATGGGGTTTAGGGCTTTAGTCTTGCCAAAAGGGTATTGTCCAGTGGACCACGTGCACTTTTTAAAATGGTTCTATGATGCTAATTTTAGTCATTCTGGATATCGTCGATCGTCTATTTCAGGAGTTACAAAAGGGGAGAGTATATGAACTCCGCACATAAAGCCACACCATTGGTTAGGCTTATCTAAAATCTAAAATAGATCTAATTTCATACAATATGTTTGAGACGATGCCGTATACAAAAACAAGGGCAATTCTTTTCCAGGTTCCCAGAATGACCTTTTTTTTGACTTGTTCAACAAATCAAGAGTTTTCATGGTGTCAATTACAGGATTCTTGATCGTCTTGAGTCTCCCATTGAGACTACTTTGGGTAGCCATTAAATACCCCCTTGACGGAGGTGCGAAAGGGGGAAAATACCACAGCAGTCTTGTCAAAGCTTTAAAGTTGGAAGTTTGCAAATTTGCTATATCTTTATCAGTGCTGGATAGTTCTTTTTTGGCCCTTGCGAGTACAAACTTTGTCATCAACACATTCATCAAGACATTACACTCTAGCTTGACCACGTTAAACAACTATGGTAAAAGATACGATAAGCAAAGTTTTTGGATTGTGGAAGCTGAGGAGAGGTCTAATTCAGATCCCATTATTATTTTTTGTCATGGCGGTGGTTACTTTCTTGAGACTCAACCTCAGCAAATCGAAAGTTTATTAAGTATTTACTACTTACTTGATGAGGAGAAGAGACGCAGGACGTCGATCTTGGTGCTTGAATATGGCTTAGCATGTCATGGACATCTTATTGGCACGCAAGTATATGAGCTTGCAGCAACGTATACTAAATTGGCCTCAGAGGGGAATGACAATTTTGTATTGATGGGGGACTCTTGTGGTGGTAACTTGCTGATTGTGTTTTTGCAATACTTGAAACAGCAACAACAGCAAGCGCCAAAGTTACCGTGGCCAAGATCTTTGGTGCTTATTTCTCCCTGGATAAAGCTTGTACCTGATGAATTTCAACTTACACCTGGACACTCGTATCACGATAATGAGCAGTACGACATGGTCCAAGCAAGCTTTATGCTTGATCGCAAGAGGCAAAGTGATTTGTTTGGTAACACCAGTTATGCAAATCTATTCATTTCACCGGGGAATGTTGAATACAAAGTCAGCGATTGGTGTGATATTCCAACTTTACATGGTAAAGGATATTCTACATTTGTAATTGCTGGTGAGCACGAGATTTTTCGTGATGATATATTGGAATGGGCCAAGTACGCATTGAACTCTTCTTTGCAGCCACCGAAGCAGGACTCGGGTGGTAGGTTCAACTCTAAAATACACCAGTTTAAAAACGGTGATGATGATAATGAAGATAATGCGTATGTAGAATTGGTCATTGAGCCTTGGGGTATACACGAATCGGCCATTTTCTTTGAGGCCAATGCCCTCGCTTTGATAGAAAAGGGTGTACAGTTGAAAGACTTGGATACCGTGGAATATTTTGGTACTGTCAAGATAGCCCAATTTATGAACAAGACTTTGGTGGTGAAGCAAAATGATTAGATTTTTCAAACGTCAAAGACGAACCGAGATTGCGAATTTTTCTGTAATGTTGTGTAGTTATATTCAGTAATTGAAGTGAACTGTAGTAGAAACAGAAATGATTATGCAACGAGCAAGCCATTGGTTTCCATTATTGCACCCACGCTTGTGTTGCAAAATCTCATTTTATATTTTTTGTTTCCGCTGCGGATTTAATGCAGTATTTCTGATTTTCCATTTCCGACTCAGAGTTATACCGAAAGGAAAAGAAACCCCACACACACGCTCTTTTGTTGTCGTTTCAGCGTCATTGATGGTACAAAGACACAACATCATTGCTTCTCGTTATGCAGGTGTATAAATGGGATGGGTCGTCTCAACCACGCGTCTAGTCGCATATGTCGAGCCCGAGGAATCAACTAGGTCCACATCATTGTTCTATACGCTTCAACACAACAAGCAACACAGAGTTCCTAGCCTCACTTCATATATCTCACGGAAAATGCTTTCACTTTTGGGCCTTTTGGCCATGCTCAGTCTTCCAATTAAACTACTCTTTGTGATCATCAAGTATCCGTTCTTTGGGGGAGCCAACGAGAAATTTAAAAACAGCTTAGGCAAATCGTTGAAATTGGAATTTCTCCGTCTAGGAATAGCCCTATCAGTTAAAGATGCCTTGTACGTTGGAATCATGAGTAATTTTTTCATCATTAATCGATTTTTAAAATTTTTGTACCCTGGATTAACTAAGTTGAACAACTATGGAAAGAGATATGATAAGCAAAGTATTTGGCTCGTTGAAGCTAAAAACAGGTCCAAATCTGATCCAATCATCATCTATTGTCATGGAGGTGGATATTTCTTGGAAACACACCCGTCTCAACTCGAAACAGTATTGGGGTTGTACCATTTACTTGAAGACGAAAAGAAACAGAAAACTTCGATATTGATACTTGAATATGGTTTAGTGGGTAGAGGAAATCTCGTGGGCTCACAATTATACGAATTGGTTGCCACCTATGACAAATTGGCTTCAGAAGGTAATGACAATATTGTATTGATGGGAGATTCAGCAGGAGGAAATTTGTCCATTGTCTTGTTACAGTATCTCAGGCAACAAAAGAATCCAAAATTGCCGTGGCCAAGATCAACGGTTTTGATTAGTCCATGGGTGAAGGTTATCCCCGATGATTATCAACTAACTCCCGGCCATTCATTTCATGAAAATAAGGATCGTGATTTGCTTCAAGCTCGGATTTTCACTGAAGACCGTCGTGTTGACTTGCTTGGAGATATCAACCATGCTGACCTTTTAATATCACCAGGAAATCTTGAATACAATGCAAGTGACTGGAGTGATATCCCCACTTTGAATGACGGAGGTTACTCGTCATTTATCATTCTCGGAGAACATGAAGTCTTTCGAGATGATATACTAGAGTGGGCCAAATATGCAGTTCGGTCACCTTTGGTGTCACAGCCTGATTCAAATGGGGTATTTGATACCAAAGTGCATGAGTACAAGACAAATGATGAGAATGATGCCTATCTTGATATTGTTGTCGAACCTTGGGGCATTCACGATTCCGTTTTGTGTTTTGAAAACACCATTACTGGCGAATTATCCAAGAATCTGCAATTGAAGGTAAATGATTTGAATAAAGCGGAATATTTTGGTGTTATCAAGATAGTGGAGTTCTTGAATAAGACGTTAGTTGTTTGTAAAGACGAGGAAAAACTGCGACCCTCTGGCTATGCAAAGAGGTCGCGAGTAGAAGGAGTATCCGCTGGTTAGCGACGCTCTAGTTGGTTTTCGAAAGGCAAACAGCTACAGTACAGGGAACTGGCTTATTTTGATTTATAGACGTAGATAGGACTAAAGTAATCAAATATCCCAAAACATTGAGGTATCACAATACAATAGTTCCCAGATTATTCATCCCTATCGGCCTAGATTCATTCAATTGGCGTTGGAAAAGATCCCATGAGGGAAAAGTTTTAGTAATAGGAACGAAGATGAGGGAGTATACCAATGTGGTGGGGATTTTATTTTCGTTTGCCCCGCTGTCTAGTTTTGACATGTTTTGCTTGTGATCTAATGCGCGACAGCACACCCCACACAAATGGAACTAAAAGAATTTAGTTCTTTAAGTGTTTTGGTGACAGGTGACAGACCTACTTGTATCTTTCAGGCTACTGCCATTTCCAAATCGGAGGACGTGTTTTGTCAAAAAGCACCTTGTTTGCTGGGGCTCGTTAGACATCGATTCAATTCAATATTACGAAGAGATCTACACACGTACAAATAAAACCGGTCACTTTTCAGACACAAGCCGCTATGATATCCCTAAGGGGCTTATTGATACTAGTTAGTATACCGATCAAATTGACTCTTCTTGCTATTAGGTACCCATTTGTTGACGGGATCAATGAAAAGGTCCAAAATAGCCTAACCAATTCATTGAAAGTGCAATTCGTCCGACTTGCGCTATCCTTGTCAGTGAAAGATGCTGCTGAAGTTGGCGTAATGAAGAACTGCTTCATCATTAATCGATTTTTAAAATTTTTGTACCCTGGATTAACTAAGTTGAACAATTATGGAAAGAGATATGATAAGCAAAGTATTTGGCTCGTTGAAGCTAAAAACAGGTCCAAATCTGATCCAATCATCATCTATTGTCATGGAGGTGGCTACATTTTTGAAACGCAACCAACGCAAATTGAAGCAGTATTGAGCTTTTACCATTTGCTTGACAATGAAAGGAAACAGAAAACTTCAATATTGGTACAAGAATATGGGTTGGCGGGTAAAGGAAATTTCATAGGTTCGCAATTATACGAGGTGGTTGCTACATATAATAAATTGGCTTCAGAAGGTAATGACAATATTGTATTGATGGGTGATTCTGCCGGTGGTAATTTGGTAATTGCGTTACTACAATACTTGAAACAACAAAAGAACCCAAAATTGCCATGGCCAAAGTCTGCAGTTTTGATTAGTCCTTGGGTCAAAATTGTTCCCGATGTGTATCAGATGGCTCCAGGACACTCGTACTATGAGAATGAAAAACGCGATATATTGAATGGGCGATTTGCCGGAAACAAAGGACGAATGAAGGCAATGTTTGGAGTAAATGATTACAAAAGTCTATTAGTATCTCCCGGTAATTTGCCATACAAAGCTGACGACTGGAGCGACATTCCTACATTGAACAATAAGGGATTTTCAACATTTGTTCTTGTTGGTGAACACGAGGTCTTTCGTGATGATATACTAGAATGGGCTAAACATGCGATTCAATCAACATTGGTGCCACAACCCGATTCAAATGGGGTATTTGATGCCAGAGTGCACGAGTACAAGAGTGATGGTCAGGATAAAGCTTACATTGATATTGTTGTCGAGCCCTGGGGTATTCACGATGCTGTCGTTTTATTTGAGAATAACATAATTAGAAAATTGAGGAAAGCACCATTTTTGAAGGTAGAAAATCTAGATAAAGTAGAGTACTTTGGGGTCGTAAAGATTGTTGAGTTTTTAAACAGGACTTTGATTGTTGGTGAGGAAACAGAAAACCTCGTAAGACCAGTGCACACGGTAATGAAAAGCTCGCCGGTGAGTGCATGACTGCAACTGTAGACAATCTCTATGGTTGTGATGAATAATCAACAATGTAAGATTTATTTATAGAAGTGAATAGAGTTTAAAATATTAATAGCCTTGTGGGCATTCTCTTACATGAGGTCAGGTTTTGGTTGATCCGAGTGACAACACCATTAGTGACAAAACCTTGACAGGCTCAAAGACTCCTCTGAACTTGATTTTCTGGATGTAAAATCGTTGGAAAATTGCACAACCTGTAATACACGAAAGGTTTTCCACACTATTTATGTTGTACATTTGGCTTCCATTCAACTTCAACAACCTCAAAGGTATTCTAATTTCTTAATTCCCCTCAGGGGTCCCGGTTATTTATTTTATAGATGTCCTGCATATACATACTTGCACATGAGCCCTTGGATCTTTTGAGTTTGCAATGTTTTGTACTAGGCCCAAGGTGGTTGAAGAGCAGAATTGTTTGTAAACGTCGGGAACAAGGCGAGGTGGCTCCGAGGGAAGGTTCTTAGGTCATGGGGTTTACTCAAGTAATCTACTTACTGCTCTAATTGAAATGGTTCTCGGTATTATTTTCTTTCTTAGATTGGTTTGGCATGTGATTTCTATTGTGCGACATCTCCCCCTCCCCCACACACTGAATTTGAGAGAAAAGCATCACCTTGTTTCCGCTTTCAATAAAAATAGAATAAATCCACAGTGGAAAACCCTCGTTCTTCCCGGGCTCATGATACAATAAAGAGAACTCATTTCACGTTATTTCCATCCCTTCCCCATCTTAATAGCCCAAGCCAATTACGAGAAATGATTTCACTCAAAGGCTTACTTCTTCTACTCAGTCTCCCAATCAAACTCCTTTGGGTTATCATAAGATACCCATTCTTTGGTGGTGCTAATGAAAAGTTTAAAAACAGTTTGATCAATTCATTGAAGTTACAAATTTACCGTTTTGGTTTATCTTTGTCAGTTAAAGATGCAGTATACGTTGGAATCATGAGTAATTATTTCATTATTAATAGATTGTTGAAACTTTTGTACCCTGGATTGACCAAATTGAACAACTATGGAAAGAGATATGATAAGCAAAGCATTTGGCTCGTTGAAGCTAAAAACAGATCCAAATCTGATCCAATCATCATCTATTGTCATGGAGGTGGATATTTCTTAGAGACGCAACCATCGCAAATAGAATCTGTCTTGAGCTTTTACCATTTACTTGACGAAGAGAAAAAACTGAAAACTTCCATTTTAGTCCAAGAGTATGGGTTGGCGGGTAAAGGAAGCCTTATTGGCTCACAATTGTATGAATTGGTTGCCACCTATGACAAATTGGCTTCAGAAGGTAATGACAATATAGTTATCATGGGAGATTCAGCAGGAGGAAACTTGGCAGTTGTATTGTTGCAATACCTCAAGCAACAAAAGAATCCAAAATTGCCTTGGCCAAGATCAGCAGTTTTGATTAGTCCATGGGTTAAAATTATTCCTGATGAACATCAAATCACCCCTGGTAATTCATTCCATGAGAATAAAGACCGTGATATGATTCAAGCACACATTTTCACTGAAGACCGTCGTGTTGACTTGCTTGGAGATACCAACCATGCTGATCTCTTGGTTTCACCAGGAAATCTTGAATACAATGCAAGTGACTGGAGCGATATCCCCACTTTGAATGGTAAAGGATACTCAACATTTGTTCTTGTTGGTGAACATGAGAGTTTCCGTGACGATGTGATGGAATGGGCCAAACATGCAATCAATTCTCCCTTGGTACCACAGAAGCAGGATTCACGTGGAAGTTTTGACTCTAGAGTACATGAATACAAGACTGATGGTGAAAATGGTGCTTATGTCGATATTGCAGTTGAACCCTGGGGTGTTCACGATTCTGTTTTGTTTTTCGAAAATACCATCATTAGGAAATTGAGAAAAACCCCACATTTACAACTAAAGAATTTGAACAAGGTGGAGTATTTTGGTGTCATTAAAATCACTGAGTTTTTAAACAAAACATTGGTTGTTGGTGACGAAGCAAAGAAGTTGAGAATTGTTGATACCACGCAAATAACCAAAGCAAATGGTAAAGTTGCTGAAAATGATGTTCAAGCAGTTGCTGAAGAAGTGAATAGTGTACTTGATGGGGTTAGAGCTTGAGTATAGAGATACATAGCGTATTGATTAGAGTTTACATCGATGAATTACATTTCTTTCTCTAAGGAACAAAACCATTTTCTAAGTGGTATTTCAAAGGCAAACCCAATTTCAACAAGAGTCATCAGGCTAGATATTGTGTATGACCCTTTGTTTCCCAGGATAAAGTGATCCCCCTCCGGTTATACAAGTTCAATCGATTCTCTAGATGATTTTATCTTTGACCAATAACATTGGCCCCCAAAAGCTGTAACCTCAGTACCTTATGGATTCCGTAACCAATTATTGCCATTGAGTCTAGATCAAGTCTCAAATTTGTAATCGTGCGGCTTAGCTTTTCTTATTTTTTCTCTTTTGCAGCCTTTCCAAACTTACTAATGAGAAAAATAGGCTAGATCTGATTAACTTTGAGTGGAAAAGATGGTCGGTTCCTTACAATATTGCACTTGAGATAACATTAAGGGGAATGCTAGAGGTTCCTACACAGCTCCCCCCCTCCACCCAACGATATTTTTGGCTCACAATTTTCTCCTCATTGCTTAGAATGTGGCACGATCTCCGATTCTTTTGTTAGTTGTTTCGAGATCTACCCATGAACACTAATTCTAAATCTTAACTTTGCCGATGCTATTGTGGATCCAGGCGGGATTTTTGGCTCTTATTACTAATCAACGAGCTGAACCTTATCTAGATATTTTCAATGTGGCTCTTTGGGAGAGTTGTGGGTCCAAAAATAATGGTCTTATATTATTACCCGGGGATATAATTGTTTACTTTGTGTAATGGGTCATTCTCTGCAAGAGAAGGAAATTCATGGCAATGACGTTCTTGAGATTGCAGAATGATTTTGTCATTTGTGTAAACTCTAGGAGACAGTGCAAAAGTAATACAATACCACCTACTAAAGCCAGCAAAAAAAGAAGACCAACACACTTTGAAATACTAGAAATGTATCGGTTTGCAGTTGCGCCTAGAGAGACAAGTATTGTAAGCTATGTAGAGAATACACTGCCCATATTGCCTGTATTAAACCGACTTTTTGGTGGTCCCGAATTAACCCTGAGAAGTAGTCGTAAGTCAATGACAGCCAAGGTGGAGTTAGCATCAGCATAATAATACCGGGGAATACATAGTTCAAGGCTGTGGATGTTTTTTTTGACACAAAATGCTTAAAAAATTCATCTCCCATAGAAGGAGAGCAAAAGCGTATACGCACAAACATAAAGCATGAGTAAGTTATCGTCCTTTTTACCAAACGTGGTAATAGCCAACCCAGATGTAGCTACGTACACCTCCCACCGAATTAGGCATTTCATTCATTGGAGAACATTACATTGGCAAATGACGAATAAGTAGCAAAGATACAATTCCGGAAATATGTTTATGCACACGAAAAGATTTGGCGGCAAAACAAAACGCACCTTACTGTGTGGCATAACTTGTTACATATCTTAAACAGGTGCTATTTCGTCATAAGTGCTTTCACTCGGCAGTTGTTTACAATATCACCGATGATTGCTACTTCCACAACCTGTTAACACGCACGATGGTTTAAATTTGGTCTTGACTTGTTGTTTCTCTCTTCATTTGCTTTCGATAAATATCATTTTTGTGCATTTATCGAACAATTACAACTAATTTATGAAATAGGAGCCATTGAGGTTGGCGTTCTGCATACTAGATGGATATAGTTGAATTATTTTTTTTTTAGCTACAATTATTTCCAATTGAGAGAGCAAAGTTAACGTTATGAAGTAAAATATGCTCCACTGCTTCTTCGCTAATGATGTTTCAAAGGCATCAACCTGGTTTGGCGCAACTGCCTCGAGTTCAATTGAAGTACCCTTTACATGAGTATGTCTCCTACAGTTCACGGAGTGCAGTGATAAAAATTACGACATTGTTAAGGGGATGTGGTTTGTGTACTGTATTTAAGGGCTGGATGGTGCGCTTTGTGTTCTTCGGAACGGATAACGAAACAAACGACTTACCCACGCAACTTTATTTTCCTTCCTGCAAAAATTCCCCTTGATTTACTAACCAACGAAAGGGTTAATACACAGAAGATTACAATTGACCGGGCAGGCTCCACGTTGATGCCACTAATGTGAACGTTAAGCTACTCACTTCCGTGTACAAGGAGAAGTGAGAGTGCTAGTGCTTATATGTTGAGTTTCAATTACTCCTACCATTGGCGGGTAAATTAAAAAAAGAAAACGTTCTTTGATCCTCTCCTTTACAAAACGTCATAACCACAATTGTTTCTAGAATTCGAAATACTTGAAAGTTGGACGCCCTTCCACATTCGGGATCAAGTCGACCGTGCAAGAAGATTACATTCCTTCGTTTTGCGATTGCTGTAGCTTGCTATTGTTTCTTTGATGTGTATCTTGTACGAAAACCGTCTCGAGGCTGTTTCACAAAGAGCTGCAAATGTACAAAATTAAAAAATAGAACATTTTGAAGAATTAATAAGCGTCTAAAAATGAAACTTAATTGCTCTTTAAGGAACGCAATAATACATCCCAGGTGGAAGAGTGGGAGTGCACGGGTACGATTATGATATCTTTGTGAAACAAAGAATCTTCCAACTATGCTTGCTATATCCTCCACCACCACACCCCTATATCCGTGGAATTGCTCCACAGTTTTACTTCCAACCAAACTCCGAATAAGATTATAAATATGGCATCAATTTTCCCATCAATTGATGAGATATCCAACTCCATTCTTTACTTCTTCTCTTTAACAAATTACTATTGAACATCAATCAATTGCAAAGATGGTTTCATTTCACGGTTTACAAGTTTTAGCTAGTTTGATCTTTGAATCAATTTGGCTCATTATTACTTTCCCAATTTCTGGTGGTATCAACGAAAGATACAGAAACAATTTGACTCAATCATTGAAGGTGTTGTTTTGCAGAAAATCATTGGCTTTCCCAATTCTTGATGCTAAAATTGTTTCAGCTTACTCCAACTCATTTTTGTTTTCAGTCACCGCATGACAATTTCCAAGAGTTACTCAAGGTTTGAACAACTACAATGTCAGATACGACAAAAACTCCATTTGGGTTGTTGAAGCCAAAAACAGATCAAAGGATGACCCAATCATTATTTACTTGCACGGTGGTGGATACTATTGTCAAACTGCTCCAACTCAAGCTCAAAGTTTGCTTGCCATTTACAGCTTGGTTGAACCATCAAAGAGAGAAAAGTTGTCTGTTTTGTTCTTGGACTACTCATTGGCTTCCTATGGTAACGAATTGTTGACTCAATTGCATGAATTGACTGCTACTTACACCAGATTGGCTAAGGACGGTAACACCGATTTCAGATTTATTGGTGATTCTGCTGGTGGTCACTTGTCTACTACTTTCACTCAATACTTGTACAAGGAACAAAACCCAGAATTACCATACCCAAGGTCATTGATTTTGGTTTCCCCATGGGTTAAATTGGGTGCTGACAAAATCCAACACACTGAAGGTCACTCATACTATGATAACGAAGCTAGAGATGTTGTTCAATACTCATTCTTTTCCGAACCAGACAGAGGTGCAACTTTGGTTGGTGATTTGAATGTTCAATCTTTGGTTGTTTCCCCAGGTAATACCCCAGACAAGAAGAACTCTGATTGGTCAAGAATCCCAACTTACTCCAAGCCAGGCTACTCGGTTTTTGTTGTTTTGGGTGAACACGAATCTTTCTTGGATGATATTTTGGAATTTTCTGAATATGCCTTGAGATCCCCATTGAAGAGGCCATCTGAATCTGGTGGTGTTTTCGACCCAAAGAAACACTCATGGACCAATGGTGGTGGATCAAACGAAGCTTACTTTGAAGTTTACATTGAACCACAAGGTGTCCATGATGCTGGTCTTTTCTTGGAAAATGCTGTTCTTTCAGAAATTGAAGACAATCCAAACTTGAAGGTTTCCCAAATCAACGATAAAGAATACTTTGGTATTAAGAGAATCGTTGAATTTTTGGACAAGACCTTGTAAGAGGGTTAGCTAGTGCAGGAGTGTCTCTTGTTTTGCTGTTGCTGCTGCTGCCACTGATGCTCTGTTGTCAATGACTTTAGATTGTTTTTTATTATTCATTTATTTTTATATCAGTCATTGTGTACATAAGTTGCAAACCTGTTTGTAGTTTATATACGCAAAGAGAATGAATAGCTTACTATAAAGTGATAATTGTAGGGTTGAGGTTGTCATTGGTGGATTGTTTAACATGATACATTTGACATAATTAGTTCGTAGAAGTAAACAGCTGTAGGTTGGTTTATTTACATCCATTCGACAAAATTATCCTCTTTCACTGCTACATTGAAATCAATACTCCCCATTTCATTGCAAACAACGTTTATTTTGCGATGCCTATTTACAATATCTTTCTCTTATTCACTCCTACGTTTCTTCTTTTAAAACGTCTTTGGAGCCAACGATACAATCTTGTTGTAGTTTAAATCCCTCAACTCTTTGGCAACAACAGAACTGATTCTCGTTCCCAAAGGTTCGCCATTTTTATTGATCAAGACACATGCATTATCATCAAAGCGAACCACTGATCCATCAGGTCTTCTAAAAGGTGCTCGTTGCCTGACAACTACAGCACGACATATATCTCTTCTTTTCACTCTATTTGATGCTTGTGCTGATGAAGATCCTGATGAAGATGCATCCACGTTTGTAGGTCTAGCTTGTTTAACAACACATGTTATTTGGTCACCAATGTGGGCACATGATTTAGGATTGTGACGGAGGACTTTAATGCATTCTACTACTTGGGCTCCGGAGTTGTCTATCACGTTGAGAAGTGTCTTGAGGTATATCATGTGTGCTTCGGGGTATTTGGATTTTTTTGGATAGGGATGGTGAAATTTTTCATGAACTTTTTTTTTTTTTTTTCTGTCACCATAGAACGATGTTGCAAGGTGATGAATATATCGAACTAATAATGTAGCTGAAATGTTGATCATCTAGTGCAGCCACTTCGATCGGCGATGGTTGTTGCACGGAGTGAGTCAAACCTTAAGTGGTTTGTTACCACGTTTGACCACAACGAGAGAGTACAAGAGCCGCTTTGAATCATTAAACATACACGCATAGTTAGACGGTTGTGTCAAACATTCATCTTACAGCTCATAGAGTAACCCCCTTAAGCCTAAACTTCTAATCATTGCATTCTATTTTCACATACCATATAGGAAAAAGATTCCTCTTACATCTCAATTACAACTCCTTTTTGTCTAATTCCTGATCAATCCTTTCAGAAGCGTCTTCAGTCTTGCCAACAATCCAATCGTAAACTCTTCTCATAAACAAAAACTGAGCGAAAGCAACCAATGCAACAACAGCAAACACAAAAATACGCTGACCATCTTTTTCAACATTCAAAAACTCATAAGGGTAACTACCACCATTATCAACATCAATCAAGTTATCCAACAAGAACCAATAAAATGTAGTCAACAACACAACAAACCCTAATGCAGTATTATTGGAAATGGTCCATCTTGGCATAAAGATCAAATAATCAATGAGCAAACTAACAACTGGCATCAAATGGATGCAAAGATCAGTAGTTAATGGTAAGTTGAAATTGGCTGGGTCTTTAGTCAATAAATGAAGACAAAATAATCGTAAAGGCCAATAAACACCAGCAACAATAGTCTCCAAAGCAAGTCCAATAGGGTGTAAATTATTTTTGAAAAGAAACAATGTTTGTGATTTGGTAATGTGGGCAATGAATCCCACAATGAATACGAAAAGGGAGTACACTAGTGACAAGTTTGTCAAGAATTGCCAGTGTCCTGCATCTTCCAAGTGAGGAGGTAGTTGAATTGTAGTGATTTTGTGGTATCCATAGAATCCAATAACAATGGAAATGAAATCAATAGTGGTGATGTAAGGGTTACCCACTTTTCGTCTCAGCGCAGCTCTGTGGCCACTGCTGTAATGTTTGGTTGATGAGATTCCATGTGTAGCTGCCATTGAGGTGAACAGGTGTGATTCTTTTGTGAGTCTTGACGCAGAGCCTGGTTCTCAAAGAAATTAACGATTGAAGTTGAGATTTGGTGGTGATGAATTCTTCGCTTTACAAATTGTTGAATAATCACTGGTATATGGACTCCCAACTATCAGGAGATATGCAATGATCTAAAGTTAGATATGTCGAGTCTAAAGAAACTAAGTGCTACATGAAATGGAAAATATTTCGGAGCAAACAAATTAGAAGCGCCCGGATTTGGATTGATATCCAGTTTTTGTGTTGACCGCAATTTAATAGAAAAAGTGCGTTTCAAAAAAGGTTTACCATTGACTATACTACTTGCTATCTAACTCTAAACTCTAATCTACTGTAAAAGTCTGGGGGACTCAAAGCTAAAGACACACAATGGCTTCCCCTCCACCACTGTTCCCACCATTAATCATCGTGTTTTCGGAAAAACTTGGAAAAAGCAGACCGAGTACGAGAAGTAGATCTTGATCGACTCTCATTAGTCAATCTCAGAACTGGATTCAACGATTGATTACCACTTCTTCCTCTTTCTTCAGCAACCAAATTAGTATACGATGAATTTCTTGAGCTTGTTGGACTGAGAAATGAATTCACTTTACGATGCAACAGACTCAGTGAAGAAGAGCCTTGTTGATGCTGTTGTTGGTCGTCGTTTGTATCAGGTGCTTCTGACGCCCGTTTAAGCCAATTGACAAAATACTGCTCTGAATCAATTGGTTGTGGCAAGTTCTCAATATAGTTGTATGTCGGTTTAACAATAATCACAGGAACCAAGGCACATTCTAGAAAATGTTTTGATAATGACGACTTACTCAAAAACCCTCGATGACGATGATGATGCTTGTCATCTTGTTCAACATAATGATGGGTTCCAATAACCATCATCGATGGCGCATACTCAGCAATGGCCAATTTCAATGTCTTGAGGGGTTTCCCAATAACAACTTCGAAAATCATTGATACTTTTTTAAAATGAACATTGAGTTGTTCAAATTGAGTAATGTTGGCATTTGCTTTCAATTTGTCTATCGTGACATACTTTTTCTCATCCAATACTTGCAAAATGACTATGGTGTCACCATGAATCACCATTTCATCAAATAACCATTCAATGGCTTTTGTTGATTCAGCGTCATTATTGTAACCCACAAGCCATGTCTTGTTGTTTCTTCTAAACTTGTACTCGGGGTGTTTGATCTTGACAGTATATGACTTCTTGGGTCCTTCTTCACCGGTGTCGAAAGATACACCTCTTGATAAATTCGGTCTATTGGCTTTACTCATTGCTGATTTAGGCAATGAAGATAATGAGGTTGATGATGACGAGTTCAAATGGGAATTTAATATGGCACTCCTGGGAGTGGGTGATGTCCCAAAATCAAATTCATTGCCATCGGCTACTGTGTCGACTGCAACTGTAGGGATAGGTGAAATTAATGGTGTATGAGGTACAGAGCTCGCCGGTGATAAAAGCTCTGGTGATAGAAGATTACTATTTGAATCGTAGTCGTCGTAATACAATCGTCCTAGCAAGTCAGTTGAGTTATTTTGTTGTCTGTATTGCTGAATAGATTCATCCGATGTGTGATATAGTGATGCATTGAGTCTGGTGTTCTTGGCGGTTTCCGACTCTTCTTTGTCATTGAGTGGTTTGTCTAGTTTCAAAATTTGACCTTCTGGGGGTGGTTTCTGTATCCGAGGGTGGTGAGTTTCAGCAACTTCATTCATAGTGGCCAGCAGCTATACTTGCAAAATGGTGGAAGTTTAGTTGGATGGTGAGAAAATTGGGTGTAGTTGTTTTATTCTTTGTTGATGATTTTCCGTAAACGGCTGAATCTTTTTTTCTCCCACCCCAACTGAGATCCAATCTATATACAATCGGCATTCTTTTTTATTCTTTGTTTCGAAAACAGACACCAATGTATATACGACAAGGCTGTTCAATGTACATCTACAGAGACTACATAAGCCACTGCTAATGCTAATGTTACTCAAAAAACGATCTTCCATTGTTGATGCCACTGTTTTTTTCAACAATTCCCCATAGCCTATCCATTTTAATACCACCAATGTCATCAACAATATAAAACTCCCTTCTAGATCCATCTTTGTCGCTCTTTTCCTCCCATGTAGTATACGGTTTCCAAAACTTGTGTTGGGGTGAAATCACTAATGATTTGTTCTCAGTAATCTTTAACAACTCGTTATACGTCTTTCCACCAGTGAAATTCAATTTTTCCATAATCAAGTTTTCATCTTTGATCAAATTATCCAATGTCTGAGGAACTTCTTTATTGTATAGTCTGAATATTCTAGTAACATAGTCTTTGGTCTTCCATTGAACTAAAATGATTGGTATTATAGTACCAGCCAATAATGTATATGCAAATGAATCATCAAATTGAGTCGATTCATAAATCAATTTGGATCCATATAAACCAACAACGCCAAAACTTAGAGTTAATCTTTTCAATATGGAAACATATTTAGCTGCTGGTGCTTCATATATTGGATTGTATGATAGTCTATAACATTCAGGTAATTTAGTCTTGGAAATTTTGTGTCTTTCTTGCACATATATTGGATCATCTTCCAAAGTAGGTGACCAAGGATTATTTTCACTAATCAATTCATCGGTATCGACATTGGAATCATTAGATTTAAAAGATTTGGCGTTAAATGGGTTCTGTATTAGGCGCTGGGAAGTTGTAGTGAATGATTTGAGCAATGTGTTTGGTACAACAGCTCGTACTTTGAACAGTAGAAGCGTGGAGTATACTGATCTGTGAAACATCTATAAGGTGGATGAAGCGTAGTATAGTTGATGTTTGTATTCAACTACTTTCTTAACTAAAACAAAAAAAAAAAAAAAAAGAACAGTGTGTGTGTTCCTTTGCAAGAGAAAAAATTTTGATGATGATGGAAACACATCTCTCTCTCTCTCTCTCTCTCTCTCTCAAACAGAAGAAGCAAATATAGATAGTACATATCCCAGTTCAACTACTATCAAATCTATACTTTTATTCATTACTACTCATATTAATTGTATACGGGCCCACTTCCCCCACCCATAATAGTACAGATTACAATACATTACACTACCAAAAAAAATGGACTCAAATGCAACTGAAAGATTTGTACCAGAGTATCGTCGTACTAATTTCAAAAACAAGTCACGTTTCCAAAGCGATGAATTAAGAAGAAGAAGAGAAACTCATCAAGTTGATTTGAGAAAACAAAAGAGGGAAGAAGTACTTGCCAAGAGAAGAAATTTCCATCATGATGCTAATGATTCAGAAGATGAAGAAGATTTCAATCTGAATATCAACAACCACGATGAGAATCAGTTCTACAACAATTTAAAACAAGATTTACCCAAAATGATTGAAATGATCCAAGCCCCTGATTTCGAATCCCAATTGGCTGCAACAGTTAAATTTCGTCAAATATTGTCAAGAGAGCATAATCCACCAATTGATTTGGTTATTCAACTGGGGGTCATTCCAACATTGGTGGAGTTTATGAAGGATGATCATCCAGATATGTTACAATTGGAAGCAGCTTGGGCATTAACAAATATCGCTTCGGGTAACTCGCATCAAACTAGAGTTGTTGTTGAAGCAAATGCCGTTCCATTATTTGTTCAATTGTTGTATTCTCAAAGTCTTGAAGTTAAAGAGCAAGCAACTTGGGCCTTGGGTAATGTTGCCGGTGACTCAGCTGATAATAGGGATTACGTCTTAAGTTGTGGTGCTATGGAGCCAGTATTGAACTTGTTCAACTCCACCAAGATGTCATTGATTAGAACAGCCACTTGGACATTATCAAACTTGTGTAGAGGTAAAGCACCACAACCAGATTGGAACATTGTCTCGCAAGCCATTCCAACATTGGCCAAGTTGATTTACTCAGTTGATTCTGAAACTTTGGTTGATGCGTGTTGGGCAGTTTCATATTTGTCGGATGGAACTTCGGAAGCCATTCAAGCTGTTGTTGATGCTAGGATTCCTCATCGTCTTGTTGAATTATTGGGTCATGAATCTACTTTGGTTCAAACGCCTTCATTAAGGGCCATTGGTAATATTGTCACTGGTACCGATTATCAAACCCAAATTGTCATCAATGCTGGTGTTTTACCTGCATTGGCACCATTGTTAAATTCACCTAAGGAAACAATTCGAAAAGAAGCTTGTTGGACAATTTCAAACATTACTGCTGGTACAACTGAACAGATTCAAGCTGTCATAGACTCAAATTTGATACCACAAGTGATTAGATTATTAATTAATGGTGATTACAAGACCAAAAAGGAAGCTTGTTGGGCCATTTCCAATGCTTCTTCTGGTGGGTTACACAAACCAGAGATAATCCGTTACTTGGTAAGTCAAGGATGTATTAAGCCACTTTGTGATTTGTTATCAGTTGCCGATGTTAAGATCATTGAAGTTACATTGGATTCGTTGGAAAATATCTTGAAAATGGGAGAAATGGACAAAGAAGCAAGGGGAACCGGTGTCAATGAAAATGCTTTGTTTATTGAAGAAGCTGGTGGTATGGAAAAGATTTTTGAATGCCAAAATAATGCCAATGAAAAGATTTACCAAAAGGCTTACAATATAATTGAAAAATATTTCAGTGATGAAGAGGATGAAAATATAGATGATGAAAACTTGGTACCTGAAGCTTATGGAAATTCATTTGGATTTGGAATTGATAATTCAAACCAACAACAAAATTTCCAATTTTAATGGATACAGGGAAATGGACTCAAAACGTGATTTTGACTATTGGCTTCAATTTTTCAGATTGTCATTTGGTGCTTGTTCTTTTTTTTTTTTTTTTCATTCTTTAGACAAAGTACAAAGTTCCACCTTCCAAGTTGGCCCACATATGAAGGTGTGTGTTTTCTTGTTGGGTTCTTTCCAAAGCTTGTGTTCATTGATTGTACTTTACATCATATCGGAGTCACGTCACTAAGCTCATAGGTTTCTTCAATGGTGGTTTTTTCTTCCTATATACGGCAGTCTCGTATATATCTTATATTTACTCTAGCATTACTCTGTCCCCTCCCCCTCGTACAATACACGGTATTTATCTCTTGGAAACGGTGTAGATTACCAAGTGCTTTTTATAGTGATGCTTGATTGAACCAATTGTCATAGAATAGGTAGTGTCGTGAGATATGCAAACATGGCAATGATACCCGATTTTATTGTTGTCCCACGTTTTTGCAAAAAAAGTAAAAAAATTCAGCAACTGATAAACAGGACTTCTTCTGCTTATACTTCTCCAACAATGTCTACAGAACAGTCATTGCCTATTCCTGGAGCCGAGAAGAAAGATAAACAAGGGTCAGATCAAGGCCCAGACTTGCTAGCACCTTCGAGTGAAAGTGGATCCAAAAGACATCTTTTCCAATCGATGTCACCATTATCTTTATCTTTACCTGAAAATGGAGACACTACAACCATTTCGGAACTATTAGATGATGAACCAACTCCTGCTACAGAGAAGGCTATTGCATCGCTTGCGCCTATGTTGGAAACTTTCGCTCCCAAAACCAGTGCTGAGGATTCGGCATCAAGATTAGGGTCGATTTCATCATCACCAGGCGTTCCTGCATCAACTTCAGAATCCGCTGTGGAAGAAGTACAACCATTGACGGCTGAGAATTTGGGCTCCGGTGGTAAATCACATTCAAATCTGGTTTCGACATTTACATCTGTTGAAGGACAAAGGTTAAACAAGACCATTTCCAATTCTTCCAATACTTCACGCAAATCATTTTCTCAAACAACGAATAGAGACCCTGATCATGTAGCCAAATTGCCCAAAATTGGTAAAATTGGAGTTTGTGCCATGGATACTAAAGCGTTGTCGAAACCATGTAGAAAGATTTTGAATCGATTGATTGAAAATGGTGAATTTGAAACTGTTATATTTGGAGATAAAGTGATTCTTGATGAAACAATTGAGAATTGGCCCACTTGTGACTTTTTGATTAGTTTTTTCTCAACTGGATTCCCCTTGGATAAAGCAATTGCTTATGTGAATTATAGAAAGCCATACATTATAAATGATCTTGTCCTTCAAAAGGCTTTATGGGATAGACGTGTTGTGTTGGCCATTTTAAACCATGCTAATGTCCCATCACCTGAAAGGTTGGAAATTAGCAGAGATGGTGGACCGTACTTGGAATTGCAATTACTTGAACGATTGAAAGAAATTGGATTTTCAGATGAGAAATTACATGCATTGACTAATCAACAAGAGCCTGATTGGGAAATGGTTGATGATGATACCTTGAGAGTTGGTGACAAGTACCTCAAGAAGCCTTTTGTTGAAAAGCCAGTTGATGGAGAAGACCATAATGTCTACATTTACTACCCCAAAGCCACTGGTGGTGGTGGGAGAAAGTTGTTTAGAAAAATTGGAAACAAGTCATCGGAATTTGATCCAGATTTGGTATCTCCAAGAACCGATGGTTCATTTATTTATGAAACTTTTATGGATACTGATAACTTTGAAGATGTCAAAGCATACACTGTTGGACCAAATTTCTGCCATGCTGAAACTCGTAAATCACCAGTTGTTGATGGTATAGTTAGAAGAAACACCCACGGAAAGGAAATTAGGTATGTCACTGAATTGAGTCAGGAAGAGAAAATAATGGCTCGTTCGGTTAGTGCAGCTTTCAAGCAAACCATTTGTGGGTTTGATTTATTGAGAGTTAATGGGAAATCATATGTCATTGACGTCAATGGATTCTCATTTGTCAAGGATAACAATGAGTATTATGACTCATGTGCCAGTATTTTGCGCGGTTTATTCCTTGAAGCTAAAAAGAATAGAGATTTGATGAAGAATAGAGTACCAAAGAGTTTACAAACGAGTCAGTTTGAAGAAAAGGAACAGAAATGGGTTTTCAAAGGAATAGTAAATGTGATTAGACATGCTGATCGAACTCCTAAGCAAAAATTCAAGTATTCATTTAAATCGCCATTATTCATCAGTCTTCTCAAAGGCCACACAGAAGAAGTGATTATTCGTGCTGTTGCTGACTTGCAAGTTGTGTTGGAGACGGTCAAGATTGCTGAAGCCAAAAAGTTGGAAGATCCAGCTAAATTAAAACAATTGCGAATTGCATTAGAGAAAAAGATGAACTTCCCTGGAACAAAAGTTCAAATTAAGCCATCTTTGAACAGTGAAAACCCTGAATTGGTCGATAAAGTACAGCTTATCCTCAAATGGGGTGGTGAAGCAACCCACTCAGCTAAACATCAAGCATCTGATGTTGGTGAACAAATGAGACAGAATTTGAAATTGTTGAATCGTGAAGCTTTAGATGATGTTAAAGTGTACACTTCATCAGAAAGAAGGGTTATAACCAGTGCTCAATACTTCACCACTTCACTTCTTGGATTGACTAAAGAACCATTACCCGATGATTTCCTCATTGTTCGGAAAGATTTACTTGACGATTCAAATGCAGCTAAAGATTTGATGGATAAAGTGAAGAAAAAATTGAAACCATTATTGAGACAAGGTGCTGAGGCACCGCCACAATTTACATGGCCGCCAAAGATGCCACAACCGTTTATTGTCATTAAGCGTGTTTGTGAATTGATGAATTTCTATCATCAAATTATGAATTATAATTTTGAAACCAAAAACGTGGCTGAGTTCCAACCTAATTGGTGTTGTGGTGAAGATCCATACTTGTTTAAAGAGCGTTGGGATAAGTTATTTCAAGAGTTTATCAGTGTTGAAAAGACACATCCTTCAAAGATTTCCGAATTGTATGATACTATGAAGTATGATGCTTTGCATAATCGTCATTTCTTGCAGAAAATCTTTGCATATGATCCCCATGATGAAACATTGTTGGAAAGATTAAGAGAAACATGTGGGGATACTGTCAACTCATCAGGATTGGTTAGTGAGTATCCAATTAATATCTTGGCAATGAATAATTTCAAACTTCCTGCTGATAGTAATGGTTCTGCATCAACTTCGCATAGCAATTCAAGTACACAATTGCATTCCACAAACACAGCATCGGCTGGTTCTTTGGGTTGGGTATTGAGTGGTGCGAATCTTGGCGCTGGTGGGGATACTAATGGCAACAATTCAAAGAGTGCCAAAGCTCCAGAAAATCCATTTGATTATCCAACGTATGCTAGATTGAGAGAGTTGTATCGCTTATCAAAAGTCTTGTTTGATTTTATTTGTCCGCAAGAATATGGAATTAAGGATGAAGAAAAATTGGATATCGGATTATTGACATCGTTACCATTGGCAAAACAAATTTTGTCTGATATTCAGGATATGAAAAAGAATGTCTCATCACCATCGGTTGTCAACTACTTCACCAAAGAAAGTCACATTTACACCTTACTCAATGTAATTTACGGTTCCCAGTTGCCAATGAAGATTGCAAGAAATGCATTGCCAGAGTTGGATTATCTATCACAGATCGTATTTGAATTATACGAAGCTGACGATCCGACTAGTCCTTTGGGTAAGAAGCATTCAATCAGGATGTCACTAAGTCCCGGATGTCATACACAAGATCCATTAGATGTTCAATTGGATGATGATCACTATATTGGATGTATACCTAGAATCAGTTTGACAAGACATTTGGATATGGATTTGGTTACTCAACGTTTGAAGTCGAGGTTTTCAAGAGTATCGTTACCGAAAAAATTCACTCCTGTTAATATCTCGAGCCCCCTTGTTGGCGGTATATAAAGTGTTTACATGCTAGATCAAGTCATACAAAATAAATATTAAAATTAACGGTGCTCTAAATATTAAAATCTCTCGTTCTATATATATATATATATATCTTCTTCTTTTACATTTGCTCAAATTTTTCCCAATTGTCAATAATCTTTTTAATCTTTTCTGATTTCGTCAAGTTGTAAACATCAGTAAAGTACTCCTTTGTCAACTCAAATGGTTTTGCTGTCAAATTGGGGATGTATTTACCAATGAGGTCCTGTGGCTTGACTGAAGATTTAGGAATCTTTTTACACAAAAATCTTTGGAATGGTTTAACTCCATTCATCAAGTATGAAGAGTGGAATGGCACATCTATTCCCTTCAATGGAATAACAGCAAAACCTCTTTCCAATTCAATTGGTTGTGGTTTAGCCAATGTTCTTTGTTTAACTTCATCAATAATTTCATAAAGATGTTTGGTGACTTCCTCAATCGAAAGCTGTTGTTGTAATTTGACAATGTCAATCTTGTTCAATTTTATAACATTGAGCACATTGGTTAATGCATCCAATCCACGTAAATCACCAGCAGTAACATATTGTTGATTTTCGACATTGTAATTGACGATTTCCAATAACCATCCAGTTCTTTTGGACGTTTCATCAACAACAAATCTCAAAGCTGCATCATTAAATGTTGGACTAACTCTGCTTGGGTTAACAGCACACATACCATAGTTGGATCTACCCAATTCATCTCTTGGCACGGCAACTTGCATAGTCATACCACGGTAGAAAACAACATCAACCAAAGATTCAATTGGCATCACATTGGCCAAAGAGCTCAATGCTGAATATTCACCCAATGAATGACCAGCAAACATGATATCCAGTGGGATCAATCCTTTCAGTTTGATATCTTCATAAGCAGCCTTTTCCATCAATGTCAATGCCGGTTGAGTAAATTGTGTAGCTGATAACAATCCAGTTGGTGAAACAAATGTAAATGATGTAGAAGTCTCATCAATTCCCTTGAAAATCTTTTCTGATTTCAATTCACCATCTTCACCAATAGTTTCAAACATCATTCCAATATAATTGTCTCTAATGGCTCTACCTTTAGCACCACCAAAATGAACTGTCAATTCCTTAGGGTTATTTTGCACGATATCCAAAATCGAAAATCCATAGTTGTTGACAAAGTGTTTATCAGCTTTGTCCCAAACTTCTTTAGCGACATCGGACGAATTGTACAAGTCCATACCCATACCTTGTTCTTGAGAACCTTGACCAGTGAAAACATATGTGGTGATTGGTTGTTCAATTTCTGCTTCTCCGACCAAGACAGGAGTATCAGTTTCGATATTCTTGGTTTGGAACTTGATAATCTTACGACCATTAATCATACCAGTGTGTTCCATAGTTGTTTGCAATGTATCATTAGGTAAAACCATACCAACGAAGTCACACTTGAATGCTCTAACTCTTGAAGCAAAATTATTAGCAGCCCATTCTTCAACTAATCCTCTAACAGATGCTGAAGAATACATACCGTGAGTGATAGTACCTGGTAATTTTGCATAAGCGGCAAAGACACGTGAAACGTGAATTGGATTGTAATCACCAGAAACAATGGCATATGGTTCATTAGTACTTGGAGCTTTGGAAATCAACTCTTCACTTGAAGAAAGTGGGATTGCATTTTCAAATGAAACAGCTTCCTCAATAGTCTTCCCATGACGGGCAAAATAGTCAGTCACTGGATTACCATACGAAACGCCAGCTTCATAATTGACTTCACCAACTTGAATAACTTCCTTTGTGGGCAACTCCAAGTAAACTTGACCAGTAGTCTTGATTGATGAGTAAACATTGGCTGATTTAAACTTGTACAATGATTCACATCTAAATGTCAATACATCAAATTCAACATCCTTAGTCAAATGGAACCATTCTTTGGATCTCAAAACTGCTAAATCCTTAGATGATTTAAAAGCAACCTGAACTGGAGTTTCAGTAACTTTTTGGAATGTGTTTTCATAATCAACATATTCACCACGGTACAAAAATTGTGAAGAAACTTCCATAACTGGGAGAGAATCACGATAAATTGTACCAACAACTTCAACCAATTTCCCGCTAGGTTGATTCAATACAGCTTTGATTTCTGCTTTTGTTGAAACAACGTCATCCTTCTTCAATGGTGCAGCGCCAGGAATCATCTTGTATCCATTGGACAAATGAACCAACTTCAACAAGTCACCATCAACAGTCTTGGGGAAAATAGCCTTAATGATGGCTTGCCATCCAACAACAATGGCAAAATCCATTGGTGCTAAGGTAACTTTACCTGGTCTATTGACAAATGCCTCACATTTGTTACCAATGGCGTGGGTAAATTCAGCAATATCTTTACCAGTGATGGTAACTTCATCACCTAAAATTTGTTCTTCAACATTGATATCCAAGTTGTATGGAATTTTGGAACCAAACCATAACTTCCAGTAAAATTCTTTAATTCTGTCATTTCTTGAATCCATAATTTCGACAATTGGCGCAAAGCCATCTTCTGGTTGATACTTGTACAAGAACGGCAATGAAACTGGTGCGCCATCAGCGGTTCTGTGTTCAATCAAGGAGAATTGAATAATGTTATCCTTCAACAACTTGATTTCAACAACGGGGACCAAATCACCTTTAACTCTTTCATAAGCAGTCAACGTATGAGTCAGCTTGTTAATGACAACTTGTGAATGTGGAGTTGGAGTCAAGATGTCGTGAAGTGGGTTGGAAGCATGGTTGGAGCCTTGAACAATTCTATCAGTTGAAATAATGGCTTGTAACCAGTTCAATTCCGATCCTTGCAACAATTGCAACCAGGCTTGCTCATCAGGAACATTTGATTTGATTTCATACACAATTTCCGATTTGCCATCGGTGGTAAAAACATGATCAACTGATCTCAACGCAGTTGGCTTCTTACCTCCAAAGTATTCAACAACGGGGATTTTCGATGCATCACCGTTATACTCATCTTTGATTAACTTGGCAATATGTCCCTCATGTATGGAATCCAAAATTTCTCCAATTGGCTCATCAACTTTGTTGGTAAATTGAGAAGCAACAGGACCATGCAAAATACATGTTCTTTGCACATCTTCATCAACAACAGTTTCCAAATCTTCTGATTGCCACAACGAATCCTTTTTGAAAAAGAATTCAAAACGTTCATCCAAAACTGGTACAAATGGAGCTGGTTTTTGAGTTGGTCTTGAAGCACACATCAAAAAGAAGTCACAATCCTCTTCTGAAATCAATTGGGTCTTGGCTAATGGGAAATGGTTGAAAAAATCATCAGTAAACTTTTGAGGTGAATTTTGCAACTGAGCATAATTTTGAATCAATGACACTGTGTTTGCATCAGTAGTGAATCTTTCCTCAACACGCCTAAGATAATCAACAAAGAAATTTCTCAAAGAAAGGTCAATCCATCTGTTTGATTTCTTGACATACATCAATTCAATCAATCTATTGGCAACTTCTTGATAAGTCATGTCTTGTAAATCACAGACACCTTGACTGTTTTTACCAAACCATGGTTTTTGGAAATCTTTATTCAACTTGTCGATAATGTAATCCCTCTTTTTGTTCAAGCCTTCGATGAGCTTATTCTTTGGCAAGTTAAAAATTGTCTCATCCAACTCTTTCCAAAACATAACGGCTTTGGTGGCAATCTTGTGAATTGGCTCTCCCATTTCTGACTTGACGGTAACAATTCCACCAGTTGGCTTCTTATAAGTTTGTTCCCATTTGGAATCTTCAACACCAGGACATTGAGTAATCAACTTTTTGGCTTCCAATGAGGTCTTGGCTTCCTTGGCAGTCATGACTCTTGAACCAAATAAAACACCGTCAAATGGCATTGGTGGGTAGTTGAATTTGCTGGACCATGAACCAGTCAAGTAAGGATAGGTATCATCAGCAGATCCAAATCCAGAACCAGCAACCAAGACAATATTAGCACATCTTCTAATCTTGGAGTACATTTGAAAGATTGGTTGGTGGAAATCTTCAAAAGAATGGTGACCACCACCTCTTCCACCGGTCCATTGCAAAACAATTGGGAAATTTGGATGGGCTTTGGCAATAGTGATAACTTGACTAATGGCATCGATAGAACCTGGTTTCAATCCCAAATGAGTCAATCCCAACTCTTCGATGTATTCAGTCGCAACTTCCAATGATGGAACACCTGCACCAATAGTCAATGACTGAATAGGGTAACCTTTTTCTCTCAAGTCTTTGATTAATGGAATACCCCATTGCAACATTCTTGGATTGACATAGATCAAATTGATTCCCAATCCGTAACCTGGCTTGATATTAGCAACAACCTTGTCAATCGCCTTAGTCATCAGCACTGGTTCAAAGTAACCACCACCAGCAATTTCAATATGATAACCAGCATTCAATGAAGCAGCAACAATATCTGGATTGACCGTAGTTGGAGTCATACCTGGAACCATCAATGGTGCTCTTCCTAATAATTGAGAAAACTTGGTATTTACATAAGTCTTACCTTTGGAAGTTTTAACCAATGTTGGTTTATACTCTTGCAACCAGTTTGGAGCCCATTTGATTTTGCGGTCTTCTGATCTATGAAAAATTTCATGCTTAAAACCATATTCATCATCCAATGGGTTAGAGTCCAATGCACCGGCAATAATGATTCTTGCACCGGTACCTTCCTTGTTTCTGTGAGTCAAGATACCCAATCCGGAAACACCACCTGGTCCAAAGTCAAGAATATGAGTAGCTTCGTGATCGGTGGCCAATTCCCAATGAACTGGTAACTCAGTAATCAATTTAACCAATCTAGCATTCAAATCAACTGGTGATTTGCCTTGCAAGTTGCTTCCATCAAACGTATCATAAACTGGAATCTTCAATTCATTAAAGGCAATGTTTTCGATATCTTGCAAAACAACATCAGTGGCATCAGCTAAAAGATGGGAATGGAAGGGACAAAAAATTGGCAAAAATCTGTTGGAGCATTTCAATTTTCTCTCACTAAAAGGTATACGTGATTGATCCAACCCATTTGGAGCCTTGACATTCCTCAAGTTCAAGTTGAAACCATATAATGATTCTGGTGGACCGGACAAGACCAAGTTTCTTGCACCATTGATTAAACTAATGGCAATATGCTTTTCCTTTGGTAAATGAGCATTTGTTTGTTCAATAAATTTTTCAACTTTTGAAGTTGGTAAATCTCTGACAGACAACATGGGTGATGGTCTGCCTTCGCCATGGTTTAACGAATCTTGTAACATGGTCGGTGGCAAAGTGGTTCTTGGATAGGTACTCAAGCATCTGGACCCAATGAAAAACATAAATGAACAAGCTTTAATACCATTAGATAAGAATGATTCCCACGAGGAAGAGCCAGAAATGGCAACAGCTGTAATCAAACCTTGAGAATGACCAGTGGACCATGATGTCAAATCTCTCAACTCACCTGGGTTTAAACCCAACACTTTACAAGTGACAGCATAATGACACAATTGGATTATACAAATGATGGGACACGAAACGGGGACACTTAATAAATAATCTTGATCAGGGGTAGTTTCTGGATGTTTTAACCATCTCAAGATATTCAAACCTTGAGTATAAATCTTGTCAAATTCAGAATCTTGTTTAACCAACTGATTCAACTTATCAGTGATTGGAATCAACAAATCGTCAACAATCAAATTGGCTGAAACATTGTAAATTTCTCTCAATTCTTCAAAATAATCATCGGTATTACCTTGACCACCGAAAATTGATGCCAATTTTGCAGTCTTTTTAGCTGCGTGGTATAATAAATTAGATTCGGTTCTGGGGATATTCTGAACTGATTGATAGTAATTCTTGACAAGATTCTTAATCTTTGATTGAGTTGTTGGATAAGTTTCATCTTGTAAAATCTTGACTGCAAATGAATGAATATCATCAGTATCTTGTAAAAAAGTGGATTCAAAGTCTCTAATGGCATGGCGCAAAACTTCATCTTGGCTTGGTTGTTGTTGTTGACTTATGAATCCCAAAAACTTACCATACAATTCAACAGGACTAGCAGGTTCGTCATCGCCAGCAAATCCTTCAGTAGGTTGTGGTAGCGTCTTGGCAAATTCATCCTTCAATTGTGAATAGTTGGCGTATAAGGAATGAGGAACTAAAAAAGTATGTTCAATCGATCCATGATTCAATTGGAAAGGTCTATGAGTTGACATTGTTTTATCTGTAGTATTCTAAATATAAGGGTTGATGTGTTGAATCGGAACTTGAGGGAAATTAATATTTTAAAGTCAAACACGTCTATATCAATGAAATCAGCTTTGGTTTCGCCTGTGTTAGGTACCAAAATAAGTGAAAGGGGAAGGGGGGGAAAAGGGGGGGGGGCGAAGGGGACGTTGTAATCAAAAGTGTAGTTGAATAAAACCTAATCAAAAAGGAAGAATTCAAATGGTAAAAGAATAAACAAGAAGAATTGGAATTATATTTATACAATCATTTTTTACTAAAAATAAGGGTTAGTTGGTATATATGCCTAAATGTTGTATTGTAACCTCTCTCCCTCTTGTGGTAGATGCATAATTTTTTTTTTTCAACTTGTTGGCTTTTTTCTTAATTTTGGGATGGGCCATAGGATGGTTGATGGGAATTTGGCTTTGTGTTATCCAACAAAAATAAAACACAACATCAAAACAGAGGGTCACGTGCATGGTGATTCAACCCAAGCGGGTTATACAAGCTTAAATTATGGTGGGTTGATGATGGTGTGGAGGTTCGGACAACGGAGGGAGAGAGGGAGAGAGGGGAGGGGGGGCAGTTCAACGGTACTTTTTGATGCTTATAGTTTGTCCGGCGCTTACAAACCATGTGAGCCGCCTATGCCTACGCCTACAAGTATAGCCCACCTGCCTTGTATCATCAACTTGTGTATCCTTTACTTCCCTCTAAGTTTCTTCAAAATTAAAAAAAAAAAATAAATAAAAAAAAATAAAAAATTGAAAAAAGTGATTTCTCGGAGTTTAAAACAAATCAGCGCTTGTGTTTCACAAGTATTTGGCTTTCAGTTCTTTTTCTATCTTCTGCATCTATACCACACGTTTTTGTTGACGCTGGATGCAATTTTTGTTGTATTTAACAGAGACGAGTTTTTATATGCAGGTATCGTCCCAACAATCTTTTTGTAAAAGATTTTGTGTAACACGATATACGCCAACACACCAACAAAAATGTAATCTATATACAGCCAAACCTATGTTACCCAAAAAGCTGCGGTGTTCGAAACCATCAGTTCATATCTGGGCCGCAACTTATCACTATTGTCTCAACATTCCATGGATATCTTGCACATTTTCTAAGACCGATGGCGTAAAACATAGTCTACAACTCAATTGTTGATAAGCCTGATACAAGTTTGAAGAGCGTGCCTCTTGCTTCTCTTTAAAGTAAAATATGAAACTTCTGCCCTTCATTCAGAGGACAATGTTGTACCAACGCAAAGTTGTAGTACAAGCAGTACCCTCATGTCGTCCCATTTTCATATCGGGCATTTTGTTGATTAGGAAAAGAAATTTCGAACAAACGTTTGCGTCTCTAGTTTGTGCTGCTGGCCATTAAAAACGTTTTGAGTTTTTGCAAATGTAACCAACATGAAAGTCCAGATGGTAATGTTTTGTTTCTCACAATTGAATCGTCGTCTGTGCGTAGTCTCGTGGATATCACGTATTATATTCACCAACGAAATGTGAAGCATTAACTATACAGATGCAAAGTAAGCTTAACATGATTTTGGAAGGGGAAACCTCTTGCGAAAAGCATGGCCCGACTTTGGTCTATATAGTGGTAACCTTTCGCCTCATTTAATGACTTACACTTTAACACATTATCTTTCTTTGCATCAAAAGTTGTGCAAATTAAGAGGAAAAAATAAGAACAAGATAAATTGTTGCAAATTTGTGCAACTATATCACCCAGTTTACATAGCATCGACTCTTGAGATCTACCCACTATACACTTTGAATCGAACTCTCTTCCGTGAACGTAACCCGTGCTAACCCAACCGTCTTGTCTTCCAAAATTATAGTACAAGTATGCATTTCTTAAAAAATTCTCCCCCAATGATGACCACCCAAAATCATCAAAGATGCCGAGAATACATGTGTCTTGATCAGATCTCTTGTTTTGAGTATTGTATTCTTTCACAGTAAGCACAAAATCTGCCAATGGTGCATCGATCGAAGCACCCTTGACGAATTCAAATTTGATGTTATCATGACTATTTTTCAAATCACAATCAATAACGTAAGTTTGTAAAGACTTTGAATAAGTTCCATTCAATTTCTGTGCTATACCTTTAATGATATTTTTGGGCAAATATGAATAAGCAGATCCAATATCTAATACTGGCTCAGTTGAGTTGGTGAATGTTTGACCTTTAAAAGTTGCTGATTTGGATGGCACTGATCCAATTACATACTTGGATGTTATTGGCAATGTGCTTAAATTGCCCTGAAATTTACCATGGTCAATTCCACCAAATAAAATCGTACCTGAGGAGCTTGTCGGTTTGTTCAAGAATTGAAAACAATGCAATCATATTCCACCCACTTGAGCTTTTCCATCGAAAACAAGAAACTGTGGATCCCTTAATCATCATCCATGATAAGACACAAATTGCCGTACCGTTAACTGTCTGGCGGCGATACCTCTTTTTGTCTTGGCCATCAACTTTGAAAATTTATACACCACGCTGTTGAAAAGACCTATTTCGCAGTTGCTTGTTGTCCATTCGAGTAGCTGGCTCAACAAACACCATATCGCTATTGACTTCCAATAATCCCGTCTTTCGTTTTCACTCGTGCAATTGAACCATCAATCCTTTTGATTAATGTGTTTGATTGTTCCGTCAACGGAAATATAAAAGACAATAAAGAGTTCAAAAGACAATAGAGCCAGTTTGTAACGAGGCACGATTCTAATAGGGCGATACGGGACCCTATCAAAAAAGTCCAACTGCTACTTGTCACTTTGTTATTAGGTTCAATTCCGTACTTGTTTCGTGGTATGGATTACACCATTCCCATGTCCACAGTTCGTAGCAAGCAAGAACTAGATGTATTATAAAATAACCACTTTTATATTACTACAATTCCTCAATAGAGCTCTCGTTAGTGTATTTAACCGTTGCAATGCCAACTTTCCTCTCTTCCAAGTCATATTTCATGTAAGCATTCTGCAAGAAATTATCACCTAATGTAGAAGATCCATAATCATCAAAGATTGCCAATACACAATTGTCACTTGAAGACCTTTTACTATTTTCAAATGTAGTAATGGGCACAAGAAAACTCGAAATTGGTGCCTCCACTTTAGCATTGTTGGCAAAGTTGAATGTCAAATTCACGTATTGATGGTGGCAGTCAGCAACATAGGCCCCCAATGAATCCACAAACTTACCTTTAATTTGAATGGCAATAGCTTTTATGACATTTTCCGGTAAATATGACCATGTAGTGCCCAGATCGAGAAGCAGAGACGTCGATGTTTGTATGGTGTGTCCATTGACTGCTACTGATTCGAGTCCGATATCCAAACTATCATTGGACACTATTGGAACGTCAATCAATTCCCCATGATACTTTGCGTGGTCAACTCCCCCAAACAAAATTGAACCTTTCTTACTCGAAGGTGAGTTCAAGTATAAGGAATACGCCACTTTGCCGATAAATCCTTGCTTCTTTAACGTGATTGGCAAATTGTCATAAGTCGAGTGATCTTTGGTTCGTTCAAGTTGAGTGAAACCAATACCTAAAACTCCAACATCTGAAGATGAAGAATTGGCAACAGCAAATTGTTGACTTTGAACGGAAATATTTCCGATTGTTACCGTGTCCTTGACAAAAGTTCCATTAGCTGACGAGTCATCGGCGTAGTGAATGGAGAATGCCTCGTTTAAATCCTCACCAGTGGTGGAATCTTGAAGTGAATAAGTACCGTATTGTTTACATTCAACTTCGACGCAATCAGCTTGTTTGTCAATAACCCACAAATCACTTGACCCAGTATCAAATAAAACATTGTTCTTTGCCTTTGATGATCCAAGCTCTAACTCAATCCCGTAGTAAGTTTTTTCATTCCTTAACGATGACGAAACGTAGCCACGCTTGTCGATAGTGATTGGCCCATCATTGCGAGTCACGTCAAACTCAAACTGAACAAACTTGTTGGATTTTTTCTTAATCGCAGCCCCGTTGCAAATATGGGCACAAGACAATGCAATTAAAGCAACTTGATAAAGTAAAACCATAGTGGGTGCTAAAGTGTTTTTCCAACGAGGGGGATTTCAAATTTGAAACCATTTGCACCCTTATATAGATAGAACCAACAACCAAATCTTAGCTTTGAGTTGATGCTTAACCGAAAGGTACAAACAATGATGGAAAAATTTTGTGACACACGGCATAATTGAACTTAGATAAAGTGTGGCACCTTCGATTACCCCAAATCGAGTTGAAAACGCCAAATTTCTGATTTCCCTATTGTGATCAGATCATGACAAATGTGTCGTTTCAACATGCCGTTTGCGGAAAATGGAATAAGGCGCCCAATTAAATCCGCGCATGCGCATCTCTTTGTCCAACGTGTGACACTCTTCAATTTGCACTGGAACAGTTATGCCAGCTTGCTGCACTAGGACAAGTGGATAGAGATTCAATTGACTATTCGGCCACTTCTCCAATTAACTCAAACAAAGCAGCCGATGACGTTGGACTTAGCAAACTAAAGGAGGCTGTTTTCAAGTCCTTTGTTGGGGGATTGGTTATAAAACTTGTGGTTTTAAAATTGACAGGCTACTGTGTTATTGACTTTGCTATGAAGGACACGATTTTAATCTCGAGACCAACATCCCTCACCGATATACTCTAATAATCTGTTCAATTTTTCAACCCTAGGATAGGTTTAGAATATCATCTCTAAAGCACGATGCTATGAATACTGTACCACGCGTTTCCCTGATAGTCACCTAGCAACTGTTTCTGCTGCCAATTTGAGTAATCTGGTATATGCATCTTTGCATGGTTTTATGTGCTTCAGTTGTGAGGAAAAATTATCTTCCGATCTCTTTTTTACAACCAAGATCCATCGTTTCCTTAGATCAAACAACGTCACCCTAGCGAAGCATTTCCATTCTTGGCGCCCCCACCACGCACTTCCGCATTATGTCACGAATAATCCTCAAGTCGTCATTCGGATTGGGATCACTTGGGATCGCGTCCTACTTCTGGAGTTTTGGAAAATCATCCAACACCCCATCTCCTACGTCGAATCCTTCTACACCATCGTCAAATTTGCCAGGTCCACCGAAATCCAATAGAGACACTGCAGTATTTGACCCTTCATCAATTAATCCTGAAGCTTTTTACAAGTACGGTTTCCCTGGTCCAGTTCATGACTTATCAAGTCATTCTGAGTTTGTTAGTTGTTATGATAGAGCAAAACGCAATCCATATTGGGTGATCGAGCATCTTACCAAACAATCATTGACACGAAACTCTGATTCAGGAGATCGTAAGAAATCCATCTTTAAGGAAGATGAATCGATCCCTATTAAATTCAGAAACAAATTACGTGACTATTTCCGAAGTGGATATGACAGAGGACATCAAGCACCAGCAGCTGATGCCAAATATAACCAATTGGCTATGGATGAGACTTTCTTGTTGACCAACATTTCACCACAAGTGGGCGATGGATTCAATCGTGATTATTGGAGTCATTTTGAAGATTTTGTTCGTAGATTGACCAATTCTTATGATAATGTCAGAGTCATGACTGGTCCATTGTATTTACCAAAATTAATGCCCGATGGGAAATATAGAGTTAGTTATGAAGTTATTGGATCACCACCAAATATTGCAGTGCCAACTCATTTTTTCAAGTTGATTGTAGGAGAGAGAAATGGTGATGACAAGATTAGTTGTGCTGCTTTTGTATTGCCCAATGATGTCATTGATAATAGCACTTCATTGACTAGCTTTCAAGTGCCAATAAATGCTTTGGAAACCTCAACAGGATTGGAGTTGTTGCAAAAAGTGCCATACTTCAAAAAGAAGGATTTGTGTAAAGAGGTAAAGTGCGAAATCATAGTAAGAGAGTTTCCAAAGCAGGTGAACAATGTGTTGGCCTTGCCTAGCGGGAAATAGATAAATGTAGATGTTATTTATAGAAAGAAGTTTTTTTAGCTTTTGAGATTGCTTTGTTCTCTGGGACCAGAAAGAAAAGAACGATTCAACTTCTAGGTACGTTACCTTCATCTAAAATCTAGATTCAAATCTCACATCGGTGAATGGAATACAATTTAGTGGAAGAGCTCACTAAACCCATATCATTTCAACAACCTGATCATCAGGTTCCTCTACACCCCTCACTCTCCTCAAATACACTCATAAGTTGAAAAATTAAAATTAAAATTGACTCTATCTAATAAACATCCTTTTTCTTGTTTAACTTCATTCTCCTATTAGGTATAGTTATCGAAACAAATCTTTAAATATTGCACTGAACAAGTAATAAAAAAAACAAATAATAAAGACTCACAACGCTTTGAATGTGGTAAATTGCTCCTCACTTTGTTTTCCGAATGTAATAAAAATCCCTTCTTACATCAACAAAGCGCAACCAGCGGCAACGGCACCAGCAATGGCGAATGAAGCACCAGAAGCGGTCATACCGGCATTGTTGTCACCACCAGCACCACCAGTAGAGTTACCAGCACCGGCACCACCAGTAGAGTTACCAGCACCGGCACCACCAGTAGAGTTACCAGCACCGGCACCACCAGTAGAGTTACCAGCACCAGCACCACCGGTAGAGTTACCAGCGGCACCAGCGGTGCTGTTATCTCTCTTGACAGCAGTGAAAATTTCATCTCTTCTGTGGTTGTTTCTAACCTTTGATGAGGCTTCCTTCAAACTAGTCCATTCAGATGGAGAAACAATAACGGTGGTGGTGGTTGGGTGAGGAGTCTTGTTGAATCTACCATATTTGTGAGTGGTTTCAGTAGCATAGACAGTGACAGTTGGAGCTGACTTGTGGTCTTTTGGACCTTTACCAGCTAAAACAGATGAAACAGTGAAAGCAGTAGCAATGATTGAGTACTTCATTGTTGTATATGAAATCTGTAAATGAGTTGAAGTAAAAAAAGTAGGAAAAACCAAGAAGAAGAGCAAAGTGAGAGAAAGGAGAGAAATTTTATACTTTTAGTAATAAAAACGATTGGCAATTGAGTTTTCATTCAATTTTTTCTGTTTTTTTCTCAGCGTCTAAATTTCTTTTTTCTGCAAAACAATACAATAGAACTAATAGTGGTAGTGTACGAGTGTCCAATTATCCATACAAATTATTACACAAACTTGAAAATAAAAATTCCCGCAGTGTTTGCCTAATTCGTTACAATACACAACAAAAAAAAAAAAAATATACACAACGTGCAATAGACACTACAAACTGTAAACAACAGTATGTTAGCATATCGATACCCGAAAGAAAAATAGACGATGGTAGCCTCATGAAGCACTGGTCTGAGTAGCTATTTGAATCGTACATTATCTCGTGATTGTACTATCTAAGCGCCGAAAAGGAGTACTTTACCTCCTCCGCCCACTGGAGTGAGTTTTGTTGTAGAGCTTTGATGGTCGTGGAGGAGGGGAGTTGCACAACAAAAGTAGAAAGATTGCATCTTCTAGGTTGATACACAAAAATGCACACTTAGGCGCCACACACTCTTCACTCCGACAACGCTTGTACCATGATGAAGAGTGCTACATGGCGTTATTTTACTATGACGCAGAGCTGGGTCAGGCTTTCCTTTATAGCTGACTTTAAGTGCCCTTTCTGTTGCCGTGCCCTTTGACTAACCAACACACGACGTTATTATACGGGAGTTGCATTAGCTCATTTTTTTTCTTCGTTAGGCGCACGACTTTCTGAATTAATTTAATTAATTTTTTGTTTTTGTTTTGTTCCGTCGGTTACAATTCATTTGCAATAACCGGTAACAGAATGGATACGAAAAAAAATAACCAAATACACCGGCTTTAAAATTATTTCAATATTCAGCTAGAATGAATCAGTTTTAGTTAGACTTTGTTTGTGCAATGCATTACATCAGGGACCGCTCTTTTACTTCAAAAGCTCCTGTTTTACGATTGACTCCGTCGTGAAGGAGCTTTGTCAAATACTCTTCCGCAACGGCCGGACTTAGTCACTGGAATAGAAAACTACTCAACTCGGCTCGATTACTTACACAAAAATAAAAACTCTAATCCACTAAAAGCTCGATACAACAGTACGATATTGTGTCATCAATGTTGCAGTGTTCCTGAGCAGTCGTCAAGTAGAACCCGGTACTAATCTCGTTGCGCGGTGATATGATTCTTTAAAAACCATGCAACAGGCCTCTGTGCGTATCCGACAACAAACAGCCTTATACGTAGTATAAACTCTTTCCCACAACATAATTTTGACAAATGCATCATCGTGGCCAGCGTTCAGGATGAGTGATGTAACCTAGTAGTGGTTTGATGATATCACGAAACTGCTCAAAAGCAAAATCCTCAACATCTTCATCGCTCACAAACACTCTACGCAACTTGGGGCATTTTGCAATCATTTCAGGTATGAATTTCAAGAGACTTTCTCTCCCGGCATACAGGTGCCGCAAACTATTTCTGTATACCGAGAGCAATTGCAAGTTGGGACAATTGATATAATCAGCACAATTGGGAGCAAGGTTATTGTAATCCATTTTCAAAACAGTCAATGACTTGGGCAGAGTAATCAAAAATGGTGGCAACCCTTTGGTTAGACCATGGGGAAGGTCTAGAACTCTGAAGTTAAGAAGGTGCTCAACGGATCCACGAACAGGGCTGTCATTGAAACTTGTCATCTTCAACTCTTCCAAACCTGGTGGTAACTTGTCCAAATCTACATCGTCAAAATCAACCGTTTCAAACGTAAGTGTTTTCAAACGATCATACGACCTCAAATCTGGCCATTGGCAAACAGTGCCAGTTGTACATCGAAGAAGAAAATTAACAATTGATTGGGGTAACTGAATATCGTTGGACTCCTGCGGTTGAACTGAGCACAAATCCAAATAATACAAATTGGGGAACTCAGCAAAGTTAAGATTCTGGATCCGAATAGGTTGATACCATGACTGAATAAAGAGTTTTCTCAAACTTTGAAAAGTATTTGGCATTTGTTTAAGGTAATGACCGTTGACCAACATTGTAACGTACATCAAGGTTGTGGGGAACATTTCCCAATTGAACTCGACTCCTGCTGAGAGTGCAATGTCAATCTTTGTCAAGTTGGTTCCTTGTAAATGACACAAGCGTAGTTCGTTGTCATATAAATTGAGACGTTGCAAGTTTTTGGGAATGTCAATGTTATTGGTACCCGTGAAGCGATTACGACCTAATTCCATCACTCGTAGATTTTTTGCTTGATAAAGATTGGTGTTTCGAATTGAACTCAAAAGGTTACCTGACAAATCAAGTTTATACAAATTTTTGGGGAACTTGACATCATCAATGCAGTCAATAGAAGAGTCTGTTAATGTCAATCGATTCAACTTATCGCACACAGACAACCCGGAAAAGAGTCTACCACAATTGAGTTTAAAGATCTTTTCCAACACCAATGTTTGTAAGTTTGGTAAATTTAGCTTGGGTCCAAAGTAAATTTCCTTATGATTTCTTAATATCAACGTCTTCAACAGTGGCGGTGGCTTGAACTCATGCTCAACCACAAGCACAAATCCACCATTAGCGTACATGAATTTGACCTCGCCAAATGGACTTCTTCCAGGAATTTGGAAAACAACTCGGTTTCTGTTGAATAACCTTTGTTGACAACATTTAAAGCTGAATTCAAGTAAAGTCAATGAAGGGGGAAATTCTGGTGTAAAGAATAATATCAAATCCGGACAATCAATTACTGTCAATTCACAAAGTTTGGCATACGCTTCTATCCCATTCAAAGACACCATTTTTGTACAATTCAACGCCAACTTTTCAATAGTTTGCGGCAATTGTATATCCAGTAAATGTTTCATGTATCCCCTCTCCACGTTGCTCTTGAACTTAAACAGATTAAGATTACACAAATACGTGAAATCCATCAGCGAATGCAAATTCTGTGTTTCACAAATTTCTAACTCGGTTACGGATATCGGTAACACATAATTGTTTACTTGAGCGTCAAAAAGTCCCAATTTGACCAATGTTGGTGGTATTGGATACATTGCCATTGGAAGATAGTGATCAATTTTCAATGAGTCAAGATCAGAAGGGAAAGCCTTCGTCCATTTGAATGCTGTCAAATGATTCACTTGAGACTTCAACTCAACTGTCCTATCAATGCTTAAGTCATACACTTCGACATTGTCAAGAACTCTTTGCATCTGTTCTGTGGTGTTGTACGGCAACGCCTCAATTTTGAATTTGATCCCTTTCAAATCCACACCCAGGTCTAATAATTGACATACAGATATGAAATCCGATTCTATCAACTTGGGCCTGTAATTCAAGTGAGACTGTTGATGATGAAAATCCTCAATGAAAAGTTCCCCCCCAGGGTGCAGCCAGGTCCATGTTTTAGTCACCTTCACAGTTGGCCTTCGATAGTTCAACAACATGGATGTTAATTCTGGTACAGTTTGTAAGTAATCGAGAGTGTCATCGTCATCCATTAGGTAAAAAAGGATGTTTTCTATTATTTCCATTGGAAGCGTGGGTAAGGTTGCAGTGGTCATCGTCTGTATGCCGGTGTGTGTGTGGTATAGTGGACAATGTGTAGGACCTGTGTGCTGGTGTGTGGTACTGATCCTTATCTTTTGTTAAAAAGTGTGGATCATTTTTCCTCGTAAAGTGGGGTACGTATGTATCAGCGGTATCCAATTATGGGAACGCTCCCATAACTAAGAGCCCCATTTTGAAGTTTTCAAACACTAGCCAGATATTCCTCACATAAAGAGACAACGTAGTTCCGTATGAAAAGTTTTCTCAAACTTTGAAAAGTATTTGGCATTTATTTAGGGTAATGACCATTGACCAACATTGTAACGTACATCAAAGTTGTGCGAAACATATTTCAATTCGGTTTCTATTGATTAATCTTTGTTGACAACATTTAAAGCTGAATTCAAGTAAAGTCAATGAAGGTGGATATTCTGGTGTAAAGAATAATATCAAATATGGACAATCAATCACTATTAATTCACAAAGTAATATCAATAGAGAAAAGCACCACCAACTATTGCACTCTTACACTTTTTTACATATATTAGCTATTAAATTGTACACCGAGTCTACTTGTTTCAAATGTCTCACCGTTGCACATTTTATTCTTTACCTCTCATCAGGATTTTAAAAATTGGGAAAAATCTAACTCACTCTCATCATCCTCCTCCTCCTCGTGTTCTTCATGTTCATCAAGGTCAATATGGTTAGGTGATGGCGGAGTATGTATATCAGAATTGAATACTGGAACACTGGTTCTACGTCTCTGTGGGAGACTAATTGTGGGAATACTGCCGGCGCTCGAACCTGGCTCAAATTTGTTTGCAGTGGAGGAATACTTTTCATGAATCTGTGGCGGAAAACTCAACTCACTATCGTCGTTGCTAGTCGTACTATTTGGCTTTTCATTCATTGAAAAATTAGCTCTCGTACCCTTTGGTTGTTGAGGCTTGAATTGATTGAATTCACCATTTTCCTCTTTTTCTTTTAACTTTTTGCTGATATACTTGTCTTGAGCTTTAAATATGTTTTCCTCCGTCGGTAGCTGAAACAATGGAAGCTTCCATTTATTCAAAACACGTCTCCAGTACTTGTAATCATTGATGTCAACCAATGCGGTACTTGCGCTTACCGAATTTCGTGCAATACGCTCACTAGCTTCCTGAGTGTTTGTGAACGGCACTGCACTATATCGATGTTGTTCAACACTGTTTTGAATAATGTTGTCCACTCGTTGTCGATGCTCTTTTTCGAAATTTCGCATGGCAGTATTTCTCCAAGGTTTTTCCCGAATAAAGAAAACGGTTGAATCAACCACTCCATTGAATGGCTGCATAAATGCACCCAAAACATTCAACCAATAAACAGGACTATGAGCTTCTTCATAATTGAATTGAGTGGCTTGCAAAATAAAAGGAAACAACCAAATAAAACAATACGCAAAAGGGTAAATGAAAATCGACCTCATTTGCTTTTGAATAACTTTTTGTCGTCTTTGAAAGTGCTGTAAATTGACATCCTTGATAGATGAATCAGTGTAGTCATCTGCCAACTCTTCTAAATCGTCAACCTCATCTGAGTCCAGTTCGTTCCCACCATTTCCTCTTGCGCCTGCGCCTACATCTCCTCCTCCTCCTCTGCTACGTCCTCGATCAAGAGGTCCGACACTAGTGCTCAGTCTTCCAGTGCGTGCGGACTCTTCCGGTATCAACATCTTGGGGAACAAATGGTCTTTGATCGACCCAAAGAAAAACTTTAAGGAGGCAAAAAAAGTAGGGGCGTCATTATTGAAATGACCAGCATTTCTTTGATGAATATTTGTGAAAGCCCCACCTAAGGACTTGAATTCCTTGACAACACGAATGTAAATCAAGCCATAAAATAAAAAGATTGCCACAACGATGCACCATCTTGGAACCCAACTCAAAACCAACCTATACCAGACAGGTCTCATAGGTAAGTAGCACCAACAAACGAGTGAATCATACCCTGTTCCATTGATGAATGCCAAGCTAGCTAAAATCAAAGGAATCAATACTGATAATGCGTAAACCAAGTATCTCATCTTGTACAAACCACCCTCAACACGATTCGAATGAGCCAGTCGCGTATTCAACGACGGCTTGAAAATCAACAAAAAGGTATGTAAAGCAAATGAAAAAATTGCAATATCTGCCCCTTCAATTGATGTAGCTGTAAAGAATCCCACAACTTGACAAAACTTTCGATTATAGTACGACACTGAATGTGTCAATACTCTACTGGGATAAATTAGTAGAATCACCGCTTTTAGTAGATCAAACAATAACAAGAATGAAATGAGTTGATGACGGAATACGAGGCGCTTGGGATCAATGGCTAGTAGAAAGTATAATGCAAATAAAACGGCAGTGATGGAAGCACATGATGAGGATATTGCCACGACCCGTTGTACAAAAGATTCATGATGAGTGAACTTGTTAATTTGATTGTTGATATCATCAGCCCTTTTGAATATATGCACTATTGTTTCCAAAACACTTTCTACTGTAGTGTGGTGTTCGATTGTGGATGTTGAAGGACCTAAACTCATAGGCACTTTTGTTGTCATACTTGTGAGTGTTTGCAACGTTTGTTGCCGTAGATCCGATTTTGGCCCAGACATCTTCACTAGTATCGGATGGGGAAATAGTTTGTTACTAATCAGGTATGAGTCAGTGGTGAACAAAACAGGTTCATCCCCCTTTTTCCTTGTATCACAACACGATAAAGGGTTGTGCGATAAACGTGATGCTAATTTCTTTCTCTCTTTCCGTAAACTTTTGTTGGCGTCAGACAGAATAGATCAAAGTATATGGTTAAATGTGTGGAATAACCTTCTGTTTGGCCTCTATGTTATTCTACTCTGTTTGGACAAGTAAGAAGAATAGTTTCTGAATGTTGGTCCAAATGGATAGCTCTGAGTATATTTCTTGCATTAAAAAAATTTTAATTTTTTTTTGGGCTGGCTCTGGTGTGAGTGTGTGGTGCGACACAGACACATACAATTCTAGACAATTAGGTTATGGATTAGTAAAAAGATTCTAACAGAACACTACACGCTCTTTTATTTTTCTTTTTTGGGTTCTTTGTTAATAGACTACAATGGAAACTAACTTGTTCCTACCAGGTTTACAGCTCTGGCTTTCACGAGTTCAGTTTACCCCAAAGAAGAGTATATTTTGTGTTTGAGTTGGGGCTCAAGGCAATTAATACATCCACTGAAAGGTCGTGCAATTCTAATCGTTTCATTTTCATTGTTTGCAACCGCCTTAGCCCTTTTTAAACTGAATAACACCACCTATCATCGATTGAACAAGTTCGTTGGGTCTTATTTGTATAATAATAGTCCTGTTTACCTTAGCAGAGAAATAAAAAGCAAACTCAGCGTCAAAGAATAGCTCATATATATTTATATTGACTCAATTATAAAAGTACAACCGAAAATTTGCTAACTCAGCCTGTTCACAAGAGCATTGGAATCATAATAGCAACAACACCAGCAAGAGCTTTCAAACTCAAAGCGTTCGTTGAACCACTGTTTTCGAAAGACTCTTCTTCACCGGCTTCTTGGTCTACTGGAATACCAGCAAGAGTTTGTGCAGCTTCCTCTGGTGCGACTTCTTCTGGGGCAGCTTCCTCTGGTGCGACTTCTTCTGGAGCAGCTTCTTCTGGGGCTTCTTCTTCTGGTGCGGCTTCTTCTGGGGCTTCTTCTTCTGGTGCGGCTTCCTCTGGGGCTTCTTCTTCTGGTGCGGCTTCCTCTGGGGCTTCTTCTTCTGGTGCGGCTTCCTCTGATGCTTCTTCTTCTGGTGCGGCTTCCTCCTCCTTTGGAGCAGCTTCGCCTTCTTCTTCCTCTGGAGCAACCTTTTCTGGTGCTTCGGTAGCTTCAGCTTCACCTTCTTCTGTGAGAACCAAGTATGTAGTCAAGGTGACAGTGGTGTAACTTGTTGTGTGGATCTCAGTAGTGTAAACCTCGCATTTATCATCAGTCAAACACTCCTCAACAGTATAAGTAACGTCAGTAGTGCATGGAATAACAACGGTTTCTGTTACGTATGATGCTGGGCAGTAAGTAGTAATGACAGTCTTCTTAACAGTGACAGCTTCGGCACACTTGTCTTCCTCACATGATGTAACTGTGACTGTAGTTTCTTTGGTCAAGGTGGTGAGGACACTATCTGGAGCATCAGTAACAACAGCCTCGATTGACTTGGATGTTTCAACTTTTTCAGTACAGACCAAATCTTCGTCACATTCAGTAATAGTCACAAGCACGTCAACTGTTCTGGTAACTGTAGAAGTGGGTTCTTCAGTTGGTTGGGGACCTTCAGTAGGTTCCACTGGCTCAGTAGGTTCCACTGGTTCAGTAGGCTCAACTTCAGCTTCAACTTGACGAGCAACAACTTCAATTGGCTCACAGCCAGTATCAGTACCAGCATAAACAATATAACCCACTTCAGCTGGACAAATTGCAAATGGAACAGGTTCGTCACGTTTCATTACATAACGACGTTTCAAGGCAACTTCAAATTCAAGCACATTTCCAGCCATACTCCAGCCAGCGGTAGCATCAGCTAATGCAACAACCAGTAAAAGGCCATCATCCCCAACCCTCACATACTGGTCTTCACCAACTTTCAAGTAACTATTTTCGATAACAAAATTTACAGTTTCTCCATTAGCAATGGTGATGTGAGTACCATTTGAATCAAAAGCTTCCAAGCTTCCAGAAACAAGAGCGACTATTTCAAATGGCTCTTCTGGGTTAACAGCATCAGTAGGGAGCACAGTATCAGTTGGTTCTGTAGCGTCGGTGGGATCAACTGGGTCAACTGGGTCAGTAGGATCGACTGGGTCAACTGGGTCAACTGGGTCGACTGGGTCAACTGGATCAACTGGGTCAGTAGGATCGACTGGGTCAACTGGATCAACTGGATCAACTGGGTCAGTAGGATCAACTGGGTCAACTGGGTCAACTGGGTCAACTGGGTCAACTGGGTCAACTGGGTCAACTGGGTCAACTGGGTCGACTGGGTCTACTGTCTCTTCATTCAAAGCTGTATCAAAACGAACCAAATCACCCAAAGCAACACAGTCAAGTTCTTCATTGGTACTAATTCTGTAAGGAGCAGCACCACCACAAGCAAAAATTGGCATATTGTAGGCCAAAATTTCATCACCAGCTTCATTGGTTGAAAGTGTCCATGAATTGTCAGTTTCAATTTCTTGAGTAACTGGATAAGTCTTGAAATAAAGATCAGCTGGTGTCACTCCAACCAATAGTGATTGATCATTATTCAAAATCAATTCGTTAGTGTCAGTAAATCTAAATCTTTGGTCAACATCAGTACTGATGAATTCAGCATATTGAGTCTCGGGGTTGATTTGTACGTAAACTTCAACTTCATTGATTGTAGCTCTAAGTTTGAAATTCTGATCGTAAGCTAATACACTAGTTGCAAATAGTGATAACACTGTTGATGTCACTTGACTCACTCTCATTGTTGATTGGAAATGGGATACAAGTGTGACTGTGTGGAGAAGGGAGGTTCAAAAAAAAAAAAGGTACGAACCAGTTGGATTCCATCAAATAGGAGGAGATCTGAAGTCATATTAATAGTCAGCCAGCATCAATAGTAAATTATTATAATCTCACTTACCCACGCACATACTCACACGCATGGACACGGGCAGAAACACACACGCGGTATTTGAGTAATTGTACACTTGCATAAGCAGCTGATCACGCTGCTGGCTGGGCAAAGAAATTATTTTTGACTTTTAGTAGCGGTGGAGTAAAACTTGAAAAATTATAATTTGTGGAAATATCGAGAATAACCTCACTTTCTATGTATGCAGCAACGCCCTCATTTTAGCCTCCTTTACCCAAGAAACCCAATCCTGAAAGTGTAAGCTTTGAAGTAAACAAACAAATAAAGCGTGCATAATGATAATCAATGTGTAACATCTCTCCGCAAAATTTAAAGCAGCAAAATGGGCCAAAAAGTTTAATCACGAAGGAGACCTGCCATTTACGACCAGTAAGTAACGATGGCACGAGTAGTGGTAGTATAGCATGTTAACAGTATATGCTTTGTATGTCTTTATCCTTTGTCTGGGCGTCTCAATTGGGAATGAAAATATTCAAATACGTGTAGGGTAAAAATAAAGGTAAGAAAAAAATGTTATATGGAATGATAATATTGTCTTGGGTTTGACGCTGGATGACAAAAAAAAAAAACAAAAAAATCCTAAATCATTAAATAGTACACAAACTTTACTCACAATTGCACCCAATGCTTTTTTAGTCACGAAAGAATCAGATGTTTCTTTTTATGAAATAAACGTTAATTCCTTTCGAGTTGTGAATAAACAAACAAAGTCGATGGTGTGTGTACGGACTAATGATCATTGAATGTAATTTAGAATAACCTTGCAAAACAACAACAGAAATGCAAGATGATGAAAATTATAATAATTGATTATAACAATAACAATAACAATAATGATAATAATAATGATAATAATAATGATAATAATCACTAAAGCCCAGAAACTTTAAGCTAATGTAGGAATAGATGCCTTGTCGATCTAGTAACAATGACGTTGCATTCCATTATCCCATTGTCGTATCTTTGTCGTAAAATTGCCCTAAGCGAGCATAGTATCAAGAAAAGAATCAGCCTCGTGTCCGTAGGGAGCACCATCTTTGATGTTTAAAACCCTCGTGGCTGCACCCACTTAACCATCTTTTATTTAGTCGAAAGATTCCCCTCTTTGACTCGACATTACATTCTGCACGTAAACCGCCATGAACTACTAATGGGGGGGGCGGCATAATGTTTTGTTTACCCAATACGCAAAACCTAAAACTAATAATAACTCGAGATACAACAACAAACCACAACCAAAACCAAAACCAAAACCAAAACCAAAACCAAATTTGCGAACTACGCACAAAGTAAACGCCAAAAAGGAATAATCTTAACCGGAATTTGTGTAAATACAGTGTAAACCACAAACTAGTAAAGTCAGAGTAGTACTCAACGCAGTATCATCAAATCTTGTCAATGTTTACATGTTTTATGCAAAGACCAGATCAGATGAGATTTAAATGGGGATCTCATCTAGCTTATGCATGCATAAACGTGAGTGAAAATAAACACAATCATCACGGAAACTTCTTCGGTCAGCATTATCACAAAAACACGATATTTAAATACTGCTCCTGAAGGACTAAGAGAAGAGGAGTATGAGAAGTAGAGAATAGAATTTAACTAAGATGACATACGTGCAATATAAACAGAGGTTTTGTAAAGTTTAGATAAATCATAGTGAGATTCTAAAATGTAAATCTTTGTGGTCATTTCGATCTCTTCGATGGATCCAGTTCGCAACCGCTACTTCTTCTTTGCGAAGTAACGTAGGCACGTTAATCAGCCAAGAATCCTTCATTCACCCTGACGCTATCAACAACTGTGTGTAAGTGCTGCATTCAAATGGGGAGAGAGCACACCCCACAATGTTGAGCGAGAATGAAAGCGGGGTGAGGAGACGATTCTGACATTTTACAATTGGAACTAAACTTCGTAAAGCTAGGACGATGTTGATTTGAGTAATTTCGTATCTGTCATATTTTCAAGAGAGGGGGTGTCAAAGCAATAACAAAAATATTCAATCAAATTAACGTAAATGACATCTTTTTCCAAGGTCGAAACACTCTTACCCCTTAAATTTCATTTCTCATGATATAAAGTGTATTATCAATCAAGTCAATCTAAAAATAGATCATTCAAAAAGAAAAGGACATCAAATGGTGTTAAACTTTACACGAATTTACTAAGGATGCAACGTGGGGAGTGATCGTCCAAAAAAAAGTGTACCTCGTAATGGAGATGGGTAAACAAATGTGGGAAATACTAACTTTCTCATTGAATCAGACATCACACAATGCACAGAAACGGAAAACGGCATAGCTCGATGAGAACAAGCTCTCTTGCCTCAGATGCTTCCTTCTCTTATCCGGCCTCATGGAGTAGACTTGTTCCTGTAATCATAAACAAACCCTACACCAAATGTCGATCTACAAAAGCTCTCTAGTGGCATTCTAAATCATCTTGAAAATTTTTCACATGTATAAATATATGTATATATTAGTATTAATTATTAGTATTGATTGAATTAAGGTAAGGAGGTAAAAGTCCAATCCCAAAACAAAAAAAAGCGAACAGTTCTGCAAAATAAATCAAAAAAGGCCCAAAAATTTAGTATCAACAAAAAGGCAAACAAAGTAAATCAAATTTTAAAACAACAGTGAAACCAAAGACAATAAACATGGTAAATAAATCTTGTAAAGTGGATAGCAAATGGGGGCAGTGGTATATGAGAAAAAGGAGGGACACTTCCAAGCACACGTTCCAATAGTCTTTTCCAAGTTTCAATACATTCTAATCCCATCTCAGGTTGTGAAATAGGGGTTCTTGTACAAATTCGTAAAAATCGTTGAATCATCAACATAAACATCATCAAACATCGTTATAATCGAACTCTTCTAGACAAATGCAGCCATTAAAAAAGAAACGATTACTCTTCTAATACATCTACCCTTTGTTCAACCATTGATTCCAAGTCTTGATGACTTATCGGTAGCTCCGTTGCCTGCAGCTGATGCTTGTGTATTATTAGTCAAGTCTTCAACGGAGGTAGTTTGAGAAACGACGTAATTTTGTGTATCTTCTTCAAATACTGAGGGAGTTTTTGATGATCCTGAACCGATATCTTCTTCCTCATCAGCAAGGTCAAAGTTCTCTTCAGCAACATTGGTGCTACTTCCAAGAGAAACAAAGGACCTTGGTGATGATCTTGAACGTGAGATGGTGCCCATTTCAAACACCTCCTCTTGTATGTTTTCTTGATTAGACAGTGATTGTTGTTGTTGTTGCGGATGCTCTTGCAATTGTTGCTGCTGTGACAATGATGGGTATACTCTTGAATATGCAAAATTTTCCAAATCGCCGCCGCGAACAACTCGAGTGGCAGCACTGTTACCTCCTAAAGGGTCATCATTGGTTGTGCTGTAGTATTCCAATTCCGTATAAGACCAACGACAACGCTTGTTAGCCTTAGGTAGGTATTTAAACTTGACAAATTCAAAAACAACCAATGATAATACAGCACCACCAGTTAAATCAACAAAATAGTGATGAGTCAAGTACATTGTACTCCACCATAACCAAGATGCATAAAACACCCAAAGTACTTTCAAACGGGGAAATAACCAACACATAAACAAAACCTCCATAATACAACAACCTGAATGTAATGATGGGAAAGCACCAAAAATAACCGGTGAGTTGGAGAACCCAGTGGTGTACATATCGACTCCCAATAATTCATCTATACGGCCCAATCCACCTGGTGAGCCATGCATGGTATAGTTGGCTGGTTGTAATCCATACAAATTCTTGTACCAAGGTGGAGCAGCTGGAAACATCATTTGAATAATAACCCCAAACAAGTTCATATAACCAAAAGCAAACGCAAATGATCTTAAACTAGTTGGTGGAGCAAAGAAAAACATAATTGCAGCTACAACAAATGGAGCACCAAAATGAAATAAACCATAAGGTAACCAGCCCAAAATATCCAAACCACGGTTAGTGATGGTTGCCAATACATTTGATAAATCATCACCATACAAGATAGTCTCCATGGCTGGTAAAACCTTGACTGAAATAGCTGGTTTCCAAGAATGAGGTATTTTGGAACTAGTGAAGTAAAAACCCAACCAAGTCAAAATGGGAAGTGCTGGTAAAAAAAATTGTGAAGTTGCTGGAATAGTAATAATGGTTAGCAATGCAAGTAAAACTGGAATTTTAAACAAGATGGATGCTGGGTATATGGTAAAGACAAATAACCAAACAAAAGAAAGAAACCCATAGTGTAAAATCTCTCCCTTTATGAATTTGTGATGTCTTAGTCTATGAAGACTAGTTCTGATGCTAGTGTTTGTTTCTAAATCAGGTAATGTTGAAGTTGGTGATTTTTCCAGTAGAAAGTAGTTATTGAAAAATCGACGTGGTTTCAGAAATATTGATGAGGAGGAAGACCCATTGTAAGTGCGTGACATCCTTCAAAGCAATATCGTTGTGTGGTGAAAAAAAAAAGACGGGTATTGGTATTGAATGTCAGCAAAGTACTGTGTTGTGTTGTCTTGTGTTGTGGTTTGTTTTGGTTGTACAGAAAACAGTTGTCGTGAAGTTTCAGATTGCTCTAATCCTGTGTGTGTGTGTGTGTGTGTGTGGGTGGGTGGGTGTGGTAGTGCTAACAAACAAGAAATGTGGTGTATATATAAACTCAGGAGGTATACAAGTCTAGATGATGGGTAGATGATTGATTGATTGATGATTAAAGAGTAGAAAAAGTTGGTTGTAAAAAAAAAAAAACCTGATGTTTGATGGATTGAGTTACATTCAATCCAGTCACAATTACTTCCTTCTGTCACTATGTGCGTCTATGTCTATGTCTGCTCTCTGTTGGAAAATGTCGTTGTAAGAGGAAAAAAAAATAGGAGTAAACGACATTCCACGACATATCTTTCATAAGACATTTTAAAAAGCAATTTTTTTTTTCAAAAATAAGCAATTATAACTGAACTACGACATCTCTATGTGTAGAGTAGTCAATCTTGTAGCAAAACTATAGAGGATTCGATATTGTAACTTTAAAAGATCAGGTGTTGAAACGTATCTGTTATGTAGTAGCAAACTTACAAATAAGAGAATCTGATGGTATTGTAGGTAGAAGGAGAGCAAAATAAGAGTGTCAATGTCGTAATGTACGGAAAATAGGGGAAGATGGCAGAGGGAGAAGAATTAAAAAAGGAGAGATGCACATGCATTATCGTAATATACCTAGTTACGACACGACATTGTAATTATCTCCGGTTATCGGTTATTAATACAAAAGAAAACAATGTCTTTTCTTTTCTTTTCTTTTCTTTCTTTGTCTTATTACCGACGGAATTCAGCCGTCATTTAAATAGGACCTCCCCTCACCCTAAGCCTCATATACCCATCATGAAAGCGAACACTTAGCTCCATCATAAGAAAGAGGAGAGAAGTCACGTAGTTTGAAAAGTTAGTCACTTTACCTTTGAAGGTTATGATCACTCTATCGAAACGCACACACACGAAAAGTAGCGTTTTCCGACGTGAAACCAGCAGCCCGTTGCATCATCACAGGGGGGAAAGTAAGACCAAAGGTTTCAGCCTCTTTGCAGTGCAGCATATTACTCCTGGCATAATCAATGAACTTCGGAGCTAGTATCTAAAATCAGAAAATTTGTCCGACTTGATCACGTGACTTGTTTTCAAAACAACCGCTAGGCTTTATAATCAACCACCGAAACGAAAACGGTATGGAAAGAAATTAGCATTGAACTTTTCTAGCCCATAGCTACTAAGCAAGTAACAGCACTGCTAGCCTCTTTTTTTTTTTTTTCTAAACAACCCACAATCTTCTTCAATGACAAGCGAGGAGAGCATTTTCCAACGATTGAGAAATGGTGAAACCATACAATTCACCAACCCACAAAGTCACAGAAGGCTGCAAGAATCCTACGCAACAAGAAGGTTACTTTTGCGTTTGAACAACCCACCAGTCTCCCAAATGAAGTGAGACGATTGCCAAGGGAAATCACTGGCAACCCCATTGACACCACTGCCAATATGTTCACATAACTTTATATCAGCTACGGCAAGAACATGATAATTGGCCAACATGTATTTATCAATTTCTATTGCATTTTTCTCGATTTTGGTGGGATTACTGTTGAAAGCCATGTGTTCATTGCTCTCGAGGTAAGTTCACTTTCAGAAGTTTAGCCTCTGCAACGACTTGCGCTTACTGCTGGGCATGTTCATATCAAGTCAAAACGTATGGATTGGTGCTAATGCTACGATTATGGCTGTCGTTACTGTTGGTGAAGGTGCAGTTGTTGCTGCTGGCTCTATGGTTTCGAAAGATGTCCCCTCGGGTACAATGGTGGGTGGAGCCCCAGCTAAAGTGAATAAGCAACTAGCTTAGCAAAACACATTTGATTGAATACAGTCAATCTAAAACCATAGTGAGTGAGTTTCTTCCCACTCACGTTGGTCTAAAAGAGTGCTGCGAAATAATTTGAGTTCTTCCGTCTTTGTGTAGCAACAACTTCTTCTGTCTCCCTCACTTTAGTCAACGAAAATATCTTCAAAATCCCAATTTGCTATTCTCCCTTCAATACACCCACATCCTATATCTATTCCAACCACCCAAAACGTTTCTACTCCAATTACGATATGCCAGTTGAAGAATTAGAAGACAAAGTCATCATAACTGATACCCAAGATGCCAGCACCAAATTAACCATTTTGAAATACGGAGCCACAGTCATTTCATGGCAACATCATGGTGAAGAGAAATTATGGCTCTCCAAAGCCGCCAAATTAGACGGATCCAAACCAGTCAGAGGTGGTATCCCCTTGGTGTTTCCCGTTTTCGGTAAACAAAAAGATGTTAATCATCCAACGGCAAAATTACCCCAACATGGTTTTGCTAGAAATAATACTTGGGAGTTTTTAGGTCAAACTACTGAATCTCCACCCACGGTTCAATTTGGATTAGGACCAGAACAATTGGACCAAGACACAAGATCTAAATGGCCCTATGATTTCACATTGATCTTGACCGTATCCATCGCTGGAGATAAATTGATTGAGAAAATTGAAGTTGAAAACACAGGATCGCAACCATTTGAATTCAATTGGTTATTCCACACATATTACCACGTTGAAGATATAACTGATGTTTTAGTCAACAATTTAGTTGATGTACCAGTGTTTGATCAATTGATTGCTGAGCAATACACTGAAAAGGCACCAGCAATTTCATTTCATGAAGAATTTGATCGTATTTACAAAAATGTAAATCAGCATCGTATAATTCAAATAATTGACAAGGGTAAAGTATTGTTCAATTTGCATCGTACCAATTTACAAGATTCAGTTGTATGGAACCCATGGTTGAAGAAAGCTGAAGGTATGGGTGATTTTGAACCGAAATTGGGGTTCCATAATATGGTTTGTGTTGAACCGGGTCATGTTAGTTCAATGGTTGTGTTGCCACCAAAGGAAAAATGGAGCGGTGAGCAGGAGATTGTCATTGGCGGGGAAATCAAAGTGCAGAGTAATATTTACGAATGACTGAGGAACAAGACAAGTTTTTTGAAATTATAGACTTTTAAAGGTGAGGAGCTACATTCATATGACGTTAAGTTAGTATACATTTATATCGAATGAAAATTAGATTCGTTGTCAATGAAATTTATCTTTAAACCGTTGATACTTGTTTAATGATTTCTGTGACGATGAAATTGTTGGTTTATCGTAAAGGGAGAATGGTTGAGGAATAGTAATTGATTTCGATTTGGGCAATGTAGAAGTAGTCTTGACTGAAGTATCCATCTTCTGAGCACCATTACTCATCAGTTGATTCTTGTTGTTGTGTATAGAGGAGTTGTTTTGTGAATGAGACTTGAATGATGAGAATGATTTTGATGGACTCATTCGTGAAATGTGTGGTTGATTTGATTTTTCATTGGATCCTGGATGCATTGACTGTTGCAAGGCACCATTTTGATGATGAAGGGTGGTGGATGATGGAGGTTTCATACTTGTCTTTGTAGTTGCCGTTGCCTGTGTAGATATCGTTGCGTTCCTATTGAAATGTTCATTATTATTATGAAATTGGGGTATCAGAGGTTTCCTTTGTAATTGTGGAATACTCAGTTTGCGTTGTAATTGGGGTATCAGTGGCTTTTTCTGTAATTGGGGTATCAGTGACTTTTTCTGTAATTGGGGTATCAGTGACTTTTTCTGTAATTGGGGTATCAGTGGCTTTTTCTGTAATTGGGGTATCAGTGGCTTTTTCTGTAATTGGGGTATCAGTGGCTTTTGATTCAACAGTTGTTGTTGTTGTTGTTGCTGCTGTTGCTGTTGCTGTTGCTGTTGAGGAAGAAGGGGCTTGACAAACGACCTGGAGGTTCCTGGTCTACTCAGTAGATGGTGGTTACTCTCAGTACTTTGTTGCAGTCCACTAGCGTCGTTGAGTTTCAGTGGCTCCTTGAGCAAACTCAGTACATTGCTATTACTCATTGGTTTGTCCATGTGCAACATCAGAGACTTTAATGCTCCTGATCCTGCTGCCGACCCCAACCCTGGGTCATTATATCTCGTAGGTGACGAGTTAATCACTCCAGCCATTTCCAATGAACTAGGGCGTTTTTTCAATTGTGGCACTTTAGGTGGCTGTAGTAATGGTTTTGACCATGTTTCTTTATTAGGCGATCCAGTATCAGTAGTCTCTCTCAATATTGAATTTAAATTGTATGAAGCTTTACTTGGTGATATTTTCCGATGATCTGTCGGGTTCTGTGGGGGTTGTCGGTTTTCTTGTTGATGCATGATGGGAATTGCCAAAACTTCATTCTTCCCATTCAATGTTCGTCTTCGTTTACTTGCACTTTCAATCCCTTCACCATGCCCAGTAATTGATCCTGTTTCTACTCCACTCTCCAAGTTGTCCAATTTCTGTGGCGATGGCGTCTTGTTCCTTCCATTGTGGACTGAATAATGATGTGATATTGATTCCATTTGCTTGAATTTCGACATGTGTATTCCACTATACCGTTTATTTCTTCGTTGACTCACCTGATCATCTAATCCATATAGTGGTGAAGTGTTTGAGTTACCGTCACTACCATGTTGGCCCGCGTTGGTGGTAGTAGTGGTGATTTGTTGAGCACGCATATGTAGTTCTGAAAGCACATTGTTGGTCAATTTATGCGAGTAACCTTTATTCAACATGGATGATTCAGTTGGTGACTTTTGTAAATCTAGGCTAGGGTATAGATTTGTTGGTGCTTGTGGTTGTGTTGGGAGGATAAACATGGAGGATTGTGTTTCCTGTGGTGCAAACAACCGACGCCTTTGATGATGCTCTTCCTCATCCGGTTGATACTCATGTATGTCATAATCGACTGGTGATGAATTCAAATTCAAGTTTCTAATCTTTGCAATTGGAGTATTTAGCGATACATGTTGTTGATGGTAAGTTTCAGTCATACTCTCATAGCGGGTTGAGGAAGCTGTTTTATCTCCACCTTGGTCTTCCACTGTATATTCTAAGTGCAATGGGATATGTGTGATGGTGTAAATTGAAACCCTTTGGATAGCTTTCTACATTTTTGACGATGTTGTAAAATTTAATTCAAAAACACAGTGATATTCCCAATTGGGACAAATTGTAAACAAAAAAAGGGAGGGATCCAGCGCTACCGTTTCTTATCACGTGCAAAGATGGTTTGAAAGTGGAGTATTCAAACTACATTTGGCAATTTTTAGCTCAGAATAGGGTCGGTCCTCATCGTAGTACACTAACACATAGTCCAAGTGCTTGAAATAATAATTGAAAATGGTCAACACTTTTGTAAGATCTTTAAATTTTGCTTCATTTTTTTGCAAAATAACTGCCGAAAGTTTGATGTAATGAAAAGATTCAATTTTTAGTCAATGTTATGAAGAGATTATAAGGGATTGGGGGAGGGGGAAGGGGAACTGTGTTCCTCGGTTACCAACCCAATAGCTACACCAATATCATTTGAAAAAATTCCTCCTATCTAGCAAAGAATACATTTATCTTGAAGCCCGGAGAACGGGACAGGAGAGAGGCTGTTTAGCGATTGCGCTTGAACTGGATCTAAGGAAGTCTCCCTAACAATGTATTTTTTTTCCAACAATCCCTCCTCGTTTATGATTAAATCAAACGTTTGGTGGTAAAAGTTTCAAGGAGATGATTGTTGCAAAAAACAAAAAAAATTGAAACAACTAAAGTGCATTTTTTATCTTTTTTTTTTTTTATTTTCAATCAATGCCGAGGAAGTATAATCTCCGCTTTCTTCAAAAAGTAGGGGTTGTAAAACCTTTTATTCATATATGACGTCAAAATTGAGACTATATTAGGTTTGAAGAAGACAGGCATATATGCGGGTGGGGGTCTAAGCCGTATCAACAAACGAAACTCTTTTTGAAACGACTAGGGCTAGGAGTTTATGCAATGGTTAATTGTAGAAGAAATTTTTTTTGATATTCTCCGATTTCCGATACCCCACATAACTGATAAACAATAGGACTTTATGTGTCGTGTGTTAAAAATTTTATCGACGGAGTTTTAAGGGCATAAGACACAAGGAAGAAAATAAAGGGAGAACAGAAATTAGCCTCAGTGCTTGTTCCTCGGTTCATCTTTTCGATTTTTTTTTATAGCTTCTTCATAGATGCACTCGGGCTTAAAGCGAAGCGGCTCTGGGGTATCCATTTGATTGCATCAAAGCTCTTGGTTTGTGTTAGTCAACTCTCGCTTGTTTGTAAATTTAGCACATGCAAATCGAGTTTCGGCAAAGAAACTGGAGGATTCGACTGGAAGAAGGAAAAAGTCGTATATTGCACAACACCTTGTTGCCTGTAGACGCTTCACTGAAGTGCTTTAAAGCAGAATGGCAAGAATCGTTGTTGCTTTCTCTCTGTTCTTCACCCTCAGCTGCTCCATATTTCGGAGACGAAAAAAAAAAAAAAAAAAAGAAAGAATGCGACATTGAAAAATTCGACATTGATTTTTGGTTTCCTCTTTGTTTAAATATTTTGTGACATCTTTTGCAGGACAAACGGTCCGTTTGTGGTGACTCATGTGTGGTTCAAAATAAGAAGGTACTACAGATGGAGAGGCGTTTGTGGTATTTGCGTTACCACTGGCTACCACTATATGCAACATAGATCAAAGAGGAGATGAGAGAGGTTGATAGTTGCATTTTGTATGTATGAGACAATATGTTACATCAACCTTGTTGCAATCTGTATTGAAAGTTTTGGGTTTAAAGGCTGTGCAAGAAAGAGAATGGGGGGTGGGAAGAAAATCTGACTAAGTATATTGACTTGGGTTTTTTTTGTCTCTCCGCTTTCGCTGGTTTGCGAAGTCAACCTATTCCAAAACAAAAAAAAAAAAAAAAACAGACTCCGCAACCATCTCTCTATTAGCTCGATTAATAATAGAATAATGCTTTGGTAAATAAGGTGGAGCAGGAAGTTAGATGGAGGTAGGAGGAGGATATCGGATGCTTTCTTGGAACTCAAAAGCAATCTGCCTGTCTTTTTCTCTGACTCCTATGACTTGATTTTCGTTCTCCTCATTTGCTCCCATTTTTTAGAATTATCTCGGGACAAAGGATGTCACTGATGAAATTACTCAATTGGGATTATCCACATCCAAACACACATACGTCGGAGTTTTCTCAAGTGCAAAGTTTAAATTCTTTTTTTTTTTTTTTTCTTTTTTTTTTCGATTCTCCGACGTGTGCTCCCAAATATCATTGAAACCCCTAAAATCAAATTTTTTTTTTTTTTTTTTTAATTTTTTTCTTCCTTTGAGAGGAAAGGGAAAAATGAGGAGAAGTTGAAAGGAGGAGACACGTATAAAGAAAGGGATAGGCAGGCTTTAACGGACGTTGTTAGTTCTGCTGCGCCCTTTGTAATAGACGGGTGTAGAGGGAGGGGTTTATACTGAAATTTGTAACTCAAATGGGAGGAGAAAGAACTCCGAGGTATAATGTAAATGCCATTTCATTGCATCGTGTGAGTTGCGTTGCGTCACTACTATTGTTTAGTATTTGGGGGAAAAGAAAGGAAATAGCATATGCCGGCTATGAATAACTATTGCTATGGAAATAGCTCGGTTCAATAACATGCGAAACATACCAATTTTTTTCCATTTATATTATCGCATGCAACAAACAAAGCGCTGCGATTTCCATTACGGATAATAGTCAACCACTGATACAATAGTAGCAGCAACTCTGTTTGTGTTGTGTTGTGTTGTGTTGTGTGTTTATACGTCAAATGCAGTGAAGATGATTCATTTTCCGATTTTTTCCGTTAACCAAAAAAAAAAAAACAAAAAAAAAAAAAGAAGAAAAAGGAAGAAGCGTTCGATGTTTTGTGTAACCGAGCTTTAGTACAATGGAATACATACTCCGATTATCACAAGAACAAATCACAGAACTTTAGAAAAGACAGATACATAGAGGACATAGAGAGACATAAAATAAAAAAAACAAAAAGAGAGAGAGAGAGTCATCTGCATTGCGTCTAAATCTTTAATTTTTTTTTTTTCTCTTTCTTTCTTTCTTTCTTTCTTTCTCCGAGTCACATTGAGCCGAGGGTTTTCACCTTTCTTTAGTTGTTCTCCTCCCTTTTTATTTTTTAGGCAGAGGTACAGCGGGCAAAAAAGGAACTGCTTTGTTTCAGAAGGAATCATCATCTTGATCAAACTGAGGCGGTACAAACGTAGTCAGTACTCCGATACCCAAATAAGGGTGAAACTTTTAATTGCATAAGATTTTTAAAGTAAAATCTCACAGTAAAAGTTCTTCCCCTACTTCTCGGCATATTCCAAGGTTGAACGGAAGACATCACAAGAGTCACTGAGACTGAGGTAAGTCAACTCAAAACATATGTTTTCTTCATTTTATCTAACCTCACTTCAGGCGATGTTAGGGATATTAGGTGTATATCTTTGTCAAAATGAGGGGAAAAAAAAAGAGCAAGCCTTATGGTAAATCGACTCTTGTACTAGAGCAAACACTTTTTTTTTTTTTTACAAGGGCTCAGTAACACACTTCTCCTTGTAGACTCCAAACTCAGCAGCATTAAACTCCATATATAGAAATAGACAGACAGATGTTAACACCAGAGAATGGGCGGCTTTTACTTCAAAGAAAACTGGTTTATATTATCCAGTGGATGATTTTCAACATTTTTTACAGTTTATATGCAGGATGAAGCCGAAACGAAATTCCCCTCATATGCAGCGGATAATTCTACACAAAAACTATGAATTTGTTTTTTTTTTTTTTTTTTTTTTGCAACTCTAAAAAAAAAAAAAAATCACAGTTTTACCCGTAAGACCACAAATATCAAAAACCATCGTTTGACAATTTGCCGCCTGTAAGGAAATAACCAGATGTATAAATATACATTAAAAATCCCACCAATCTATATATTTTTGCAAAAAACACCCTTATCGATACCTTGTCTCACTTTTCAAATAACAATCAACTGTATCGTTTGAGATTCCCAAAATATTCTAAACCCTGTACCATTATTACTAGCATTCTACAACAACAACTATGTCTGACTTACTTAATTATTCTATTATGCAACCAAGATCACCAGTATCACCTAATGTGTCATCATCATCATTTAGCAGTCCCAAGTTGAGTTTTAATGCACCACCACAAACAACAGTATTGCCACCAATCAATACACTTATACAATCGGCATTGCCTAGCCCACACCAGCAGCACCTGCATCATCAACCACAACAAGCTTCTTCATCAATAAAGTTGCCACCAATAAGCCCCTCAAATTACACATTGGCCAGACCAAATTTGCCAAGTCTGACATCAGTTTGCGCACAACTTACAGAAACAAACTTGTCTCAATTTCAGTCAAACAGAGATTCACACGGTTTGGGTTTATTGAGCTCAGCTATCTTTTTGGATCAACAACAACAGCAACAACACCAGCAACAAACTCAACCCCAACAGTTCCAATCAAGCTCTAGATCGTCATCGGTGCCATCATTAGTCTCTTCAGTTTCTTCAGTGGTTTCATACATGTCATCACCAGCAACACCTGTAATTGTCCATGCTAATGTACAACCACAACAGCCACAACAACCAGCAAATATCTCAACACCAAAACCAAACACCACTTCCACTTCATCATCATCTTCTTCTTCCCCCACCAACAAAAGAAGACAAAGACTAGGTCCATCATGCGACTCATGTCGTGCCCGCAAAGTGAAATGCGACGCCGAAATTACAATCTTATCCACATCAACATCCACATCATCAATTGCAGCCACATACAACCTCAACTCACAACAACTTCATACTTTATCAACAACAAACAAATTATGCATGGGTGATTTCCAACTTCTACACAACAATAACAAATACATTCACTTTAAACCATGTCGTTCATGTATTGGAAAAAAGATTGATTGTTGTTTTTCTCTGGGTTTTACTAAAGAAGATATCTTGAGTAATAAAAAGAAACTGAAGAAACTGACATCATTGGGGGGATCTTCTTCCTGTGGTGGTGCTGGAAAAGTATCTAAGGAAACCACAAAGAGATCCAGTGTTGCCAAGAATGCGAATGCCAATGGAATATGTTTGGACAAATTGTTGAATTGTGGTGCGTTGACTGAAGCTCAAGTTGGTATCACTGCTTAGTGGAAGCACACACATACGAGAAGCTCATTTACTTCTGTACTATTTTATTTCCTTTCTTGGTTACACTTTTTGAAGCTTGTTGTCTTTTTTTTTTTTTTTTTTTTTGGTTGGTTGGTATAGATCCTTTAACTGAGGGAAAAACTCTTGTTGGACTCATTCAATTCACAATACATTCTTGATTGTGAGTTATCTTTATTTCATTTTAAAGCTTTGTTTTTATATATTTTATTTCAATTCCTTAGATAAAAAGTCGTATATCGGTTTTTCAATTAACACGCAGAGTTTGTATTAAAAAGTCTCTAGCCACTGCGCCCCACCCTCTCCTACATCTTCCCTTCTCTCCAAATTGTCAAATTCTTTATTGTAAATTTATACACAAAACGACCCCCTTTACTTTTACTTGTCCATCACGTTAACGTAACCTCTACGTCCAGCACGTTTGGCTTTACGTCCACCTCCTCCAGTTCCTTCACTCATTGACAATAAATCATCTAATCCAGCACTGGCCAAGTCGGTGCCCCCACTAGCACCTCCTGCTGCACCTCTTGTTTTAAGTTTAGACTTAGGTTTGGGTGTTGGTCTCGGAGTCGTCAAACTAGATTGACCAGTTGCATTGTCAGAAGCAGGTGTTGGTGCCAAGGTATCAGGTGCAGGTGGTAAATTAGCATTCGGCAACGATGCCGACGATGATGATGGTGGTGCTGCTGGTGGTGCTGCTGGTGGTGCTGCTGGTGATGCTGCTGGTGGAGGCGCACCACTAGATGCAGGTCTTGGCGGTCCAGCTGCCGGCGCGGCAGGCTTCTTCTTCATGCTTGGTGGAGGTGGGGGTGCTTGGCCTTCTTTTAATTGCTCCTCAATCGACCTAGACTTATCTAGCCATCTCTTGTGCTTCTCATCATAATAAAATGTGCTTCGGTTTCCCAAATGTGCTCTTGTTGGCTTCTCTTTACCATCATTTCGGGAGAATAACCCAGTAAGCCAACCATCTTTGCCCTGCTTTTGTTTTTGCTTCTTCTGCTCCTGCTCCTGCTCCTTAGACGAGCCAGCATCTTGGTTTTGCTTTTCCAGTTTAATCTTTACATTCTGCTCATCAATTTTCGCCTTTTTCTTCCTTGCCTCAGTATCGTATTCATCTTCATCATCCTCTTCTTCAATCACTGGCACATAATCACGAACAGTATCATCTTGAACTTCGTATTGTTGGTATAATGCACTTTGTTGTGACTGGGACAATCTGGAGGAAAACAATGCACCACCACCGCCATGCGATGGGCCATGAGTACCACCAAAAACAGAATTGGCACGTGTGGTTGACTCTGGACTTCCAGGGATGGGAAATCCATCTAATGCAGGCCCCCTGCTATCATCAACGAATCCCGGTGTCACGACACTCGATCTAGGTAGATTCATTGGATCATATGCACTACGCCCTTGGTTCAACCTCAATGGTCTTGACCGTGGTGTATTCAATATATTTGTCGACTCAGCAAGCGAAGGCTCTTCAAAACTATCATCTATGCCAGAGATTACACCCTCTGCCGGTTGTCGCAAAGGTGGAGCTGTGTTTTCCTCCTGCTCAATTGGCTTGGACTCATCTCTCTGGGGCTCTGAGTAAATACCAAAACTTGTATCGATATTAGTTGGTGGGTTTTGTGGAATGGGCTCTTGTACAGTTGGAGCCGGTTTCATATCATTTTCACCTCCGGTTGTGTTGCCATTCTGGTTGACAGATGGTACCCCAGGTGGTCCGTACTTGCTACTCGATGATGTTGCAACAGCCGCAGGACCATACTTATTTCTCCTAGTGGCCGGTTTGGCTCCGGCCTTTGGCGCGTAAGGATTAGCTCGCACGGTAGGTGGAGCCGACTTGATTTTAGGCATGGGAGGTGGAGGTGGTGCAGCAGCTACATCCTCATTCTTATCTGGTTCCTCGGGATCGAGCTTTTCAGTAATTGGTTCATTCAAATCAGTGCTTTTAGATGGTTGTGATACTTCAGCAGGCTCGTTGGTTTCGACTTTGTGCGGCAGCAATTTCTTCAATGATGGCGGTTTCGATGATGTACTCATTTGGTTCTGCAAAGCTTCAGACAGCAGTTGTACGGTTGCTTTTAACTCGGGTGATTCCGTAATCGTTTCAATCCTCTCATCCTCATTCTGCACATTTGGTGACTCGCCAGTTGGCGGCTCCACACCTTCTTTAGTGGCTGCGACACTATGCTGGAAAGCATCCCCGGAAATGACACTCGATATGGAGTTACTCTGACCATGCAGGTGCTGCTGTTGGTGTTGGTGCTGCTGTTGATGTTGATGTTGATGTTGATTTTGAAGTTGATGTTGATTTTGATGTTGATGTTGACGGTTATGTTGAGAATGCAGAGGAATTGAGCCAAGCGATGAGGTAGACACTTGTGCTGCATGATTTGTGTATGGATAGGAAGCAGTTTTGCGACCAGAGGGTGAAAACCCTTTACTTTGAGGAAACGCTTGATGAGCAGAATCATGCATTGGATGGAATTGGGAAGTGTTACTAGCTGGTGGCACATATGGTGAATACCTATCAGATCCTGGACCCGCAGTATGTGGAACTGCACTAGGTGTGGTAGCTGCTCCAGCAACGGTATTGTTTTGGAAAGAAGAATTGGCAGCCAAGTTCGGTGGCGCATACTTGTTGACAGATGTCGAAGACAATTGCGATACTAATGGCGGAGCAAATGCGCTGGATGTAGCAGCACCACCAATGGCACTACCCAATGGATAAGTTGCATGATGAGTCGTTGGTGGTTTTCTATCAAATGTATCTGGTGTCCTCATTGCCGGTGAAACATGACTATGCAACGTACCCAAATCCAAAACTGATGTATTTCTTGACGTTGCTGGACTAAATTTGCTAAACACACCGTTATCACTACTCTTTGGCTTAGCTTCATCTCCAGCAATGAACTTGTCAATCTGACCCCAAACTTTATCCAAATTGACTTTGCTCATTTTACTTCCAAACCATCCACCTTGTTCAGTTGATCCCAAATCACTTAATCTCATTATAAGATTTTGAAACTCCTGAACCAACTGTTGAGACACAAATGGAGATCTATTACCCAAGGCTTTAAGAATCGAATTGATATAATCAATATACTTTTGTGATTCGTTGATCAATCCATAATCAGCCAAAGTGGATGCGTGTTTCAATTTGATTGGTAACAAATGAGGCAATGATGACGACTTGCCATTAGTGGCTAAAACATACTCGTATAATTGAGTGTACATTGAATTTGATCCTGATGAAATCACCATAAATCCTTGTTGACCAAGAGGTAAACCAGCCAATATAAATGAAACTTCTCCACCCAACTGATTACCACGAGTGATTAATAATTTACCAAATTCGATTAAAAATTCCTTTGATTTCACAGTATTAATCATTGCTACCGATGATACAATATCTCTCCAATGTAAATCAGCATAGTCTCCTTCATTCACCACGCTAGTCAAATCCTCAATGACACTTTGCACATTACCTGCAAGAACTTTCAATAAAACAGGCATAATATGCAACACCTTGTTGTTGGCTTTAGAAAATGGGAATGCATTTCTGGCATATTCGGACGCAATTCTAGCAAAACTTTCAACACCATTAAAATTAGCAAGGACTAGAGCCATGGACCAGTCTCCCTTGGTAATTGTATACTCTAATGCCTTATCAATATGACCTGCTTGAATCAATGCAAAAACTGTATTTATGCTTGCACTATCCAATTTGTATGCATTAGCAGTTCCTCCAGTCATGGGGAAATTTTGGATACTGAAGTTGATATTTGGATTCAAAACAAGGCAAATTTCTTTTAAACAATCGTGTGAGGTCAAATTACCATCGAAATTGACAAGTTGTGTCATGATGTCATTCAATAAAAGCTCTTGTTCTAATGCATTGGCACGTAAATAATCACCAGCCACCACCAACCAATTCAAAATATCCTTCTTTTTCAGTTTACCTTTCACTAACGGACCTGGGAAATTGGCATACAAGTCCTTGTCCTTGCACAAATTGCTGATCGATTCAACACTAACTACCGGGTGATTGTATGCTTTATTGACTCTCACAACAGCAACATTTTGGGAGGTGCTCCAATTGAATACGGGAAATTGTCTATGAACCAAGTCTTCAGGATTGACAACCTTGGGAGCGGTTTTGTAAATGTTACTGTGCCTTGAATTTGAAAATCCGCGCACTCTTCCAGGGGGTGGTACCATGGATGGAGCTGCTACCGGTTGAGTTTGTTGATTTGATAATAGCGGTGATCCATCACTAACCACAGGCGATATTACTGGAGCATATGGATTAATCTCTTTACCCTTACCACCAACAAGTGAGTTTGTACGATTGTGAGATTTCGGTTGATTCAGTGGTGCATAGGGACCAGCATTTGGAACGTAGGGGCTGTTTGAATTAGGCAGTCCCGATCTTCCCACATTGGTATTTATCGAATGCGACGCTTTTCTATTTCCTGGTGCACTATGAGGAGCAGCTGGAGGAGGGTTGTTCACGGGTGGAAATGGTTGCTGACCTGGCGGTGCTGGACCTGAAGCAGGTGCGTACATGTTTGAAGGCGGTGGCATAGCCTTCGTGTGCTGAGCTCCTTGCTGCATTGAATGCGAAGCTGGTTGATATTGCAATTGTTGGTTAATGTTCCCAGCACTTGGAGGGAAAGTATATGCAGGGTGGTTGGGGCTAGTGTCTAAATGTGGCGGTGGCACATTCACACCAGGTTTAGCAATACCACTATGCCCAACACTTGGTATATGCTGTTGATAAATTGGAGATGTACCTGTTTTCGGCTTATATGGGTTTATCGGAGGTGGTTTATTACTAGTTTTTGGAAGTACTTGGCTTTGCAATGATGGAGCATTTGAAGGTTGAATGTGTTGCTGAACCGGCGATGTAACCGGATGGTATTGATTGACAGCCTTGACTGGAGCAGCAGCTCTGGCAGCCTTTTTAGGTTTTGGCAAACCACTATCGGGGAAATCCTCGAAAAAAGATTTCTTTTGCTGCAGAGGTGGTGGCAAAGGTTTATCCTTGGTTTGTGACTGAGATGAAGATCTCGATAATGTAGATGCATGTGGAGCTGGAGGTGGTGCAGCAGCATGGGTTGTTGAATTCAATGTCTCTATTGAGCTTTGTGAAACTCCTGCAGTAGGCGCATACTTGTTTACCATATGTCTAGGTGCAGGTTTGACTTTGTTAACAATTAGTTCATCAGGAAAGTCATATGCATCACTCTTCTTTTTTGAGCTCGCCAAATTTTGTACAAAAGTGGAAGCATCCTGTTGGGAAGCCGTTGGTGGCTGTTGCGCATACAAGTTTGGTCTTTGATTCAGTGGCATGTACCTTGGTTGGGTTGAGGCTCGCGCGGGAGCTTGAACAGGAGCTTGTGTTGGAACTTGGGCTGGTGTCTCCTCCAAAAAGTCATCATCAAGCAAAAGATCATCATCCAATTCCAAATCCAAGTCAGCGAGTTTATTAGCAAGTTCATCAGCTGGTTCTTTTGTATTGACTTTACCAATTATCTCAGATTTTGTGTTATCATCGTTCAAACTGGCACCAGCATTGTCATTGTTACCATCCGCAGCTAAATTAGTACTTTTTGCACTCAAATGCTGTAAGAAATCGATACCGTCATCAGCATCATCTTGGAACAACTCATCCAATTTAGATTCAGTTGCGGGTTCGCTTATATTGGTTTGCTCGACTTGTGGTGTATCCTCATGCTCCGCAACTTTATCATCTTCTACTGTATTTTCCTCTTGTACGTGAATCGAAGGCACATCTTGTGATTCTTCTTGAAGCACTTGTTGAACTTCATTCGCTTGATCAGCAAGTTCATCTCTTCCACCCAAAAGTAATTCCAACTCATCTCTGTCATCACCTTGTTCCCCCTCCTCATTAGCTGGAAACTCATTAAATAAACTATCGTTGTCTAAATCAAGCTCATTCAGTGGTGGAGACAGCGGCAATTTCAGATACTCTCCATCACCATCATCAGTATCAACATCATTGCTTTCGACTTGGGGATTAACCTCTTCACCTAATTCCAACGCTTGTGTAAACGAATGGTCATCAGCTCCACTGTGTTGATCTTCGAGTGTTGTTGGTTGATGATCTTCTGGCTCTTCTTGAGACGCAACTTCTATATGCTCGGTTGTATCAATACTACTTCGAAAAACTTCTCTTGGTTGAGGTACAGAAAGGTTGTTGAAAAATGAATCGCCTTCATCATCATTGTGGTCATCATGGTCATGAGGCAAAAAACCAGGCTCTTTATGATCTTGTGGCTGATCTTGACTTGCTTGATCTGGCCATAATTGTTCCGCAATTGTGTCGACTTCATTACTCAATTCTTGATTCCCAGTTTCCCCATCTTCCTCGTGTGTTGGGTAGTTTATATCATCAATCTTTAAATTCTCGTGTTGATCATACGGAGTTATTGGATGATTCTGTTGAATGGATGCATAGAAATCGTCCTCGTGGTCATGCGCTGTTGCTATTTCTTCTCCTCCTCCGCTTCCAAATAGATCGTCAATCGTAGGATTTGAATCTCGTACTGGAGATTCGTCATGTGTTGACATGTTGGGGTGGTGTCAGAGGCGGTTGTCAGTATTTGGATAGATTGGAAATGTTATTTCAGTAGATGATTAAGATAGTATTGTTTGCTACAACTTATGAATTGATGTTGATTCTGCTTTTGCGTTTATTGGTTGTAAGAATCATGAACTCAGTGTATGAAAGACTTTTCTTTGGTGAACACGAGAAGGTAGTGTACCTTGATCCAATATATTTTCTTCATTAACGTGTCTTTTCCTCCCAACTTGCGACACTCCTCTACCAACAAGAGATTGGTACAACAAGTTAACGGTGCAGAACGTCAATGGCAAAATGAAAACGTGGTCAGATACCTAGAGCTGACTTTTGTTTTGTTTTTTTTGTGGTGTCTATGATCCGTGTTGCTTCAGGTTGATGGTTCACGAGTTGGAGACTAGTCAAGTGTAAACATTCACAAACGTCTCAACAGTAAGTCTTTCTCGCAACTGCGATCCATGCTCACCAATTATTATGTGAGAATGGTCTTAATCTGGGTGTTCGCTGAACATGAACATTTGAATATAGATTTTAGTGAACTTTTCGAGTTGAAAGGATAAGTTACTCTAACAATGAGATGTGTAAGAGTTTGCAGGAGACGCGTTGATCACTAACTTCATTTGGTTATATGACGGGTAGCATTAGATTTACCACTCTTACTTTAACTGATTTAGCATTAAAAAAGTAGAGCAAATATGGTGGCTTTGATTTGCGCAAATAGAAAACTTTAAAAGCGCAAAACTCATGTAACGGTATTGGACCTCCTACGAATATGTAGTCTGTCACAGGACATCAGTCAAGACAGAGATGTTTAAACCCGCGGCTATCTTTGTTAAATATAGGGCGAGAAGAAGATTTCCCAATGAGGAAATAATCCTTCCCAATTGAGATATGAGTAACAAAAGGAGTAGGTCTCTACTAGTAAGGTTTGTGCTATTAAAGTTTTGCAATATAGTACAAAGCAACGCTAGTGACAGGTTTTCAAATATTGACGAGCAAAGAGATAAATAGTCGTTATAGTACGGGTCTTAGCGGTAAGATTAGCTGAGAAATGTATGTATGAATCGTAGAGTGTGTTGTAGCTGGATGGTAGAGTTTGAGTTACTCCCGTGAAGTTTGACCAAACTGGTGACTGTTTAAACATTACACGGCATTGTAATGAACGGCTCTCTTCACGGCTCTTTGTTTGAGATTCGCGCGATATTGTGTGTATTTATGTGGTGCGTGTCGATTGAAGGTACGAAAATGCTCCGTATTCAGAAAACTCTTTCAATTTAAGTTCAAAATAAATGGTTGACGAGATATTTTAATTGAAATAGAAGTTGCTTTGTTGAGGACGTAGCAAACTTTAGAGGTAAGTAACTCTTTTTAAAAAATATACAAGGCTTCATCAAGCATAACAAAAAGAAAGATATGCACACATTTAGCACGCCTTGCTTTTAGCTTCTTTAACTTTTTTGAACAAGGGTACACGCCCTTGCATCTTTACATTCCTTTTGTTTCGATGAATATAGATAGTGAAATATACTTGAGATAAAAGTAAAAACAATGAAGAGCAACTATAGTTATTATCTATAAAAGGGGAGAGTAGGGGGGTGGGGGGGAGGCGTTTTAGGGCTCAAACGGATGATATCACTCGGTGGCTCTCTTGTAAGTCAGTAGTTCTTTTTTTGAAATGTGTCAAAAGTTGTACAACTGACTTTGATCGTCAGTGTCAAAAAAGAAAAAAAACAGAAAAGACACACACACACACACACACACATACACACACACACGAGAAAAACAAATGTCATGATGCTACAATGTCACAAAGCTAAGAATAATTAATATAGAGCGTCAAGTTTGTGACTACTTTTTCACCTTTGTAGCTACCAACTATTGGTTTCTCCACTTTTCAGCATCAGTCCTCATCAGTTCCGTCATTTGATACCAAAACGACTAGTATCACCCTCTCTCTTTTTCACTTGTAAGTTAATCTCTGATAAAAAGGCGGACGCCTTTACTCTCAGTAGCTGGTTAATATCATAACAAGATCTCTTTTCGAAGAAGCCTTGTTATTGTCCCCCTTTTTTTCCTTTGAAATGAGCAGGGCTGAAGGAAAACGTTCTATAACAACCTACAATTCGTCAAAACCAGACAAACAAAAGCACGATGCTGGTTCGTTGTTGAGTATAAGATGGTTACGAGATGAGAAGAGAGACTGTGTGTGTGTGTGATGTATATTGAAATGAGATTATGTTGATGGTGAAGTATGTTGTGAGTAGTATAGTAGTAAGTAGTCTATTGTTGTATTTGTTACCCAACACAATAATCCATATGCACAATCACGCATTTTTCTAATTCTACAATACAATACAATACAATACAATAGCTCTTGTATAGTGTGGGTATATATATATATATATATGTATGTATACATAACCACAACTATATCCAACAACTCATTATCAACAAACAGAATAAACAGCTCATCATCAACAGAATAAACAACCCATCAACCAACCAACACCACTACACCACTACCATTTTCAACTCATCCTATTCCTACCAACACATATCCATTCACCACACTACCCTAAACGGTAACTATTATTACTCACAGCACAAAAAGTAAAAAGGCAGTTGCATCAACCTACATATTACTCACTTCAATATATAGATCTCAAAAACACACACACACACTAACACTAACACACACAGATCTAAACTGTGCTTAAATTTCTTCACCAAGATAGTTGTTACAAAATCATCACAAAAAGTACATCCCGTTAGTCACTAAAAACATACCTTTTAAAAATAAAAAGAAAAAAAAATCAAACGATATTTAAATACCACCAGTGGGTAGTACTAGTCATAGTAAAGGCTACCAGAGATTAACTGTTTTATGTCATCCAGAACCAACCACACCACTATTAGAGAACTATGCTGAGATTCGTGCCACTTCAGTATACCAATAACAACAATAATAACAATAACAACACACATGACACCACTACTACCACCACCAACACACATGACGAAGATCGATCAGTACCGCATCCACTAGCATTGGGTATTGATACTACATCAAATGTCACTCAATCATCACCTTTGCATCACCAGTTCTCTTCATCTTCGTCTCCATCTCCTTCACCTGCTCCGGCTTCTGCTGACGCATTACCTCGTTCTATTTACCACAGTCCGGTTGCCACTACCTCATCTACTCCTAACAGACTACATGCAAAGAACTTGAAAATTGATGTACCACCCAATGATCAGGACACACATCACTTAGAACAACCAATGCAACACCACTCCATTAGATCATTACAGAACCTTCTTGGAGAACCACTATCGTTTCAACAACACCCGGGTGACAACAGTGATGCCGAATCATCCACTAGAGCTAAACTAGCAAACAACAACACCAATCCCAACAATCACACTGCTACTGTTCCATTGGAGGATATCACTCAACTTCCCACGCCAGTGTTGCCAAATGACTCATTTGCAAACTATAGCCATTACCAACAACAAACGTTGTTATCATCTCCGCCTAGAAGAAAAGATTCTGCAAACTGGTTCAAACCTGCTCAATCTGCATCTCCAAGAATCATTTCTGATTTCAAACCAATTGCCAGAGCTCATAGTTTGACTTTGGGTAAAAGAGTGGCTTCTAATCCTGTTGAATTGAAAAGTAGAACCAGTACATCTAGTACTGAATCTTCAACTAGTACAGATCGAAATCAACAAAATGACCAACATCAACAACCAAGTAGCTTAGAATCACCAATTACACCATCTACATCCCCCGTTATACCTCAGCAAACATCCAAATTTGATAATGTGGAATTTGTTTCACAAAGATATCACACTACATTTAAGTTTGTCAAGGAGTTGGGCCAAGGAAATTTTAGTACTGTTATTCTTGCTAGAAGTATCAAAGATGAAGTTGCAATCAAAGTGATTACAATTCCAGAATCTAAATCACAAGTTGTCAATTTCAAATCCTTCATTTTACGTGAATTGAACATTCTCTACCATGTGTCTTATCATCCGTGTATTACATCACTATTGGAATATGTCATCACCTTGGATATCAAAAGGGAGGAAATAGAAGCGGAAATTATCCCTGAGGACCTCGAGTCACAAGAAGAGCAGAGCAACTCATTGGAACCAGTACCACAAAATCGTGACCAATTGATATATATCAACTATTGTCACGGTGGGAACTTGTTAAACTTTCTCTTGGATCATAATCAATCCATGAATGCAAATAATGTCAATTACTGGATCTACATCCATCGTGTTGTTTGTGAACTTATTTTAACCACATCATTCCTTCATCAACAAGATATCATTCATCGAGATATCAAGTTGGAAAATATATTGTTGCTTTATTCAGCAGAAGAAGTCGACCAAATCTTTGCCTATAATGAAACAATGTCAACTCCATTTATGAATCTAAGTGACTTTGGTTTATCAAAGAAGCTCACTTCACCTGACCAATTACTCCAAACGCGATGTGGATCACAAGACTATATTGCCCCCGAAGTACTTATGGGCTTGCAATATGACGGACGCTCAACTGATACATGGTCGATTGGTGTTCTTGTTTACTCAATTTTGGAATCTAAATTACCCTTTGATGTGCGATCTCCACCCGGCGCATCTGCTTCCAACTCAGGTATATCCCCCTCGGTATTAAAACGAAGAAGATCGAAAAAGGTTAGTACTGCTCATCGGATCGCCATGATTGATTGGGGCTGGCACGATATCAATGAACGTATCAACAATGAGGCCATCCGCGAAGACATAAGAGTTATGCAACAGCAATTGAAGTCATTTGTTGAGACTGTATTGGTGCGTAAAGATAGGCGTCCATCAGTGGGCCAAATATTGGAAAGAGAAGAGTTCAACTGGATAAAGCAAAGTGTGCCATCAGCAATTGTCAGTTTTAACTAGATGCAATGATAAAGGAGCATTATTAATTCATTCATGTCTTTTTTTTTTATCTCAGTATACTTACTTTTCATTCGCTAATGTTGTATTATTTTTTATATATTTTTGCTTTAAAGAGATCGAATTGAATTTAAATGAAAGTGTATATAGAGTAAAGTTGTAGAGAGTATAGAATCAAAGATGTCGCAACAAACACTCTCTCGACTAAACCATTTTTTCAAAAGCATGAAAGAAAAAACTTGTTTGACAAAATCTTTACAACTAAACTCTATACCAACCAACTGATACTTTGTTGTAACAACACAATCACATCAGAGGGTAGACATCTGTGAAAGGGTATTACACAGGCAATCCATTACATATAGAAGCATTGTATTGCTCACACACTCATTTACATTATACCATTAGCTACGACTCTGTGAGAATTTTTGATTTTGTATACAAACACAACCACAAAGACAGCCAAGCCGAGTATCGTTTTCCTTTTCATATACCGATACTACGCATCAATCATAACCTTGATGGTCCATAATGGGACAACCACAGAATGGAACTATAGCAGAACCACAAAATGGAAAAATGGACTTTATTTCCACAACCAAACAAGATCACGAGCATCCACCTAGTATTCCTCACATCACCGCCAATCTAATACCCTTATCCAATATTCTAAAATTTTATGCTCAAGAATCGTACAAACAGTTGACTACTGCCATAGAAAATCTATCAACCAATGCCGATGAAGAATCCGACGTGAAACGGAAAAAGTACTTTCTTGATATCATTGTTTCTTTACGACAAGATCTTCTCAAGGTTTATACATTGATCAAATGGGCAAGTGTGTCACAAGATGTTTCCAAGTTTATTGATTTGTTAAATTGGTTCCGATTACAAGATTTCCAATTTGATCGTCTAACGCATCAATTGGCAGGATTGAGTGGATTTGGTGGTGCTAAATTACCCAATTTCGATATTGAAACAGCATTGGAGGTGTTTTACAAAAAAAGACCGCTTTTGCCATCGCATAACTATATACAACAACCAAAGATTAGTTCCCGAAAAATATTGGAAGTGTTGAAAGATTTGAATTTAGCATTGATGACTAAATTCGCCATGATTGATGTACCGACACAGTTTCAATTTGAAATCAAAGATGGACGAGCTTATATTGATGTACCCAAGGAGTTTCAAGTTCGTATTACCATGGCTAATGATGATCTAAGTACCGATAATCCATTTTATATGATTGGTTTTGAATTTTTGTTTGGTATTGATCAAAATGAGACATTGGTCACCTTGGGAGGCAATGATTCAATTGCTACTAAACTACCGACACAATCTTATGTGCGATTGGAAAAAATCGCCAATCGCGTTTTAAGTGTACTGGGACTTCACGGATTGTATGAGTTATTACACAAGTATGCTATATCTTTCAAGTTGTACTTGGTTTCAAAACAAATTCGTGGGTTGTTGAATACATTGAAATGGAAAAACAATCTACAAATCAAGTATGCAATGGGGAGTTCGTTGATTATAGTTAATTACTGGTCACTGCATTTTTTGAATTCAAGCTGGAAGTCTTTTCTTGAGATTGGAATTGATCGTAAATTCAATTTGTCTTATAGATGGTTCCGTAATGGACAATACGAAAATAGTGAGATTGTTGAGAAAATAATACGGAATAGAGGGGAAGACGAGGAGGACGAAGCGGACGAGGCCGACGGTTCAGATGACGAGGATTCTCTCTTTAAAGAAGAGAATGACTTAACGAGCCCTCGTGATGAAGATGATCCAGTCCAATCTGTGCATATTGAGTCAATCATTAGCTCGTTCATGATTGCACATTCAGCTAGTATCATGAAATCAATACACAAACTTCTTAGGACTAGGATAACTGGGGATATTGAAATGGTTAATTCACATCGAATCATGTTTTCTATATCACCCAAGAAATCAGCTGTGTTGGCCATCAATCCATTGACGGGGCTATTCTATTTCGTCAACCCAACCCCAATACAAAATCGACTTTTGAAACGGATTAATTCACCTCCATCGACAGCATCATTGATGAAGCAACAGCAGCAACAACTACAACAGAAGCAGCAGCAGCAGCAAGTTGTCACCGAAAATGGCTTTATTGAGAGTGTCGTTGTCGTACTACAGCAATTGATGTTGGAAACTTTCACTAAGGAAGTTAATAACTACTTATCCACCACTGAATGGATACACAATAGTATCATCAAGTTGAATGAAGGAGAAGTTAATAATTTGTTGAAATCGATTGACAGAAATAATACTAGGGATCAAATAACGGTGCAATTTTATCGTCGCAAGCATTGGCCATCAACTTGGTTCCTTATAGTTATGGTGAACGGACTATCTGCTAGTACAGCGTGGTGGGTAGCACGAATCAAGTCTGTTGATGCGAGTTGGGTGGTTAGTTATTTGCAAAATTTGGTTTATAATCCGACTTTGGATTACCCATTCTTCAAGAACTTGGGTAAATCTACCTTTAAAAAGATTATCAATCATGTAATTTTGGACGAATTGCGTGCCAATGGAATCGAATACCATCATGTATTATCCGACGAGGAGCAAAGTGGTGGAGTTGATGATACGGGAAAGGAAATGCGATCAGAACTTGCGGAACTTGGTTTGGCAGAGTCAATGTCGAATGGGTCTAATAATGTGGGTGAAAATGGATCAAATAATTCAGTCACGGTGATCTACCAGTCAATTATCAAATTGCAAAATACAAACTTGATTCCAGTTGAAAATTCATCGTCTCATTTTTACTTGCAAGTGCAATTGATCAACCAAGATAACACCAACAAGATGAATTTGAATTTGTTTGGTAAGTTGAAAAACTTATCAATCAAGAACTCGCCCGAATTGGCTAAATTTAATCTCAAAATTGATCACGATAAGCAGAATCTCGAAATTGCTACTTCGGTTGACTTGAATCTGATTATCAATGAAAGTCTGCACCGCCATAATCAAAAGCAAGGCTTTTTGAATCCCATTTTTAATAATTTGAACAACCTCAACAATTTACTTCGGATTTTTGATCAATTGAACAACAACAATATCGAGATACTAGATAATGCAATGGACAGTATGGTGATTAGAGTCAATGATATCGTTGATAAATTGTTAATTCAATTGCCTCAAAATCCAAAAGATGCTATACAAATCAGTACAGTTGAGACTAAACCATGGGAGATTGAAATTATTATCCATTTTTTGAATCGGTATCTCCAACTGTCAAAGTCAACAAACATTGTTGGTGTGATTCATTATCTTGATGAATTTGACCCTATTTATCGTGCAGTTAAACAAGTTCAAAGCTTGCTCAATGAACAAGAAGGTGGTGGAGCCAATGGCACCAGCTCAAGCACCAACTCCAAGTCCGATGACTTGAAATTGAGTAACGGTTTGCACAAGATTTATTTCGATGCCATTTTCAAAAATCTCAATCTGATTCAATTTATGTTCAATTTATCATCAACAGTGGCCAATTCACGCAAGATACACAAGGATAAAATCTTGATTTCATTATCTTTTAAACGCAACAAGTTTAATAGACTAAATAAAGATGGCAACAATAGCCAAAATTTAATCAAAGTGTCATTGAAGAACAATCTCAATTCAAAAAATGTCAAATTTAAACATTTGTTTGAGTTGATGTTTAAAAGCATTTCGGAAATGGAACGAAATGAACGTGATGAAATCATCAATTTACAAGAAAATCATTTATTGATAAAATTGAATTATGATTTTTTGATTAGTTGTAATGTGATTGAAGAAATGATGGGTAGGATTACCAAATGTTTTATTCAGTATTTGACGGAGGAATCAAAGTAAACCGAAATGATAAACGGTAAAAGGACAATTTTGATATACGGGTCAAAAATAGCTTTGATTATCATACACCTATATATATATATATACATTCACACGAGTTATACGTAAAACGCCTCTTTTGCCGCTCAATTGAACCCTTCAAGTACTCTCAATGCTTTTTCTAACCTCTTCAACCCAACATCATACCTCTCTTGATCCAAAATCATATCTGACGTTAATCGAGATAAACTATCAATGATTTTTTCAATCAATTGTTTTTCTCGAATGGGGATATTCAATGAATTAAATTCTTCACCAATAATGGTTCCATTCATGCTCTCAAGTAATGAAACTAGGGTTTTGTAGCTGAATGGTCTTAGTTCGTTGCCCCTGGATGAAACGCCAGTAGCACCACCACGATGGTGGGGGTGTTGTTGTTGTTGTTGTTGTTGTTGCTGATGTTGGTGGCGGTGGTGTTTGGTTTTATCTTTACTTCTTTTCTTGTGTTTCTTGTTCGTTGATGCTTTAGAGTCGCGCTGTGGTTCTTGTTCATCCGCGTCGTGAGCAGTTGGCGTAGTATTAGTTATGTTTCTTGCTGGTCTTCGAATTGAGCTCTTGACGGATTTGCCTCGCGATGGATGTTGGATTGGTTCGTCAATATCGTAGTATTCGTCATCGTTCTCGTGATTTTCATCATTGACAAAGTACTCTTCATGTCCTTGCTGCTGTTGCTGTTGCTGTTTTCTTTGAATGTTTGCCGATACGTTTCTTGCTCGACGTATATCCCCTTCCGAGGGACGCGGGGGTAATGAAGTCTCACGCTTCGATATGGTGATTAAATCAGACTCGTTTCCGTGTCCACTATGCTCATCTTCATCAAAGTGTTCATCTTCATCTTCATCTTCCACTGCCAATTTGTTTAGTAATGGAGTCATTTTTGTCGATGACGTGCCAGTGCTATATCTATGAGAAGGAACCTCAGGTCCACGAGATTCAGTATCTGATAAATCACGATCATGAGGTCCATTTGTATCCACAACATCAGCAGAGTGCACCCCTGTTTCATCATCTTCATAACGCTCTGGCTCCAACCCAATTGGTTCATTGTGATTCTTCATTGAGCTGAATGTGGATATTGAAGTAGCGTCTTGCATTAACTGATCCAAATCATCAGTGATTTGCATTGTTCTTCTCCTTGCTGCTTTATCGCCAACGCCACTGACAATTTCATTTGAGGTCGTGCCTGGTGGAAGCATCGATGTAGGACGTCTCGGTGATCGTGCAGGTATTGCCCCTTCAACACTCGTTTCAAACGTCTTATCGGGATACAATTGCAAATTGTCGGATGCATTCGTTGTTGGTAGTTTCCCCATTAATATCGAACTTTCGTCATAATCAGACTCGTCTACGTCAGCGTCAACATCGTAGTTGTCTTTTGGTACCAGAGGTGAAGTTTTCAGTGAAGTTCTCCCCATCCTCAAAAGTTGACTAGTTTCGACCAGATCTGCTGTATTTACCGACTTCATTTCAGAAGGTTCACCTTCCTGGTCGCTATGGTCACCTTTGGTATTCTTATTTCTCACCCTTTTGATCTTGGTTGAATCTGATCTTTGCAAAACAACAGGAACTGCTTGTGCGCTCAGCTCCACTCTTCCCGAATACTGACTTATATTGCTAAATACTGATTCCCTATTCAGTGCTCGTGACAAATTAGCTGGCTGTTGATGTGCTGGTTTAGCCAATAGACTTTCGAGACTGGATGTATCATGCAATTGCGACAATTTGACACTGACAGTTCTTTGGAAATCACGACTCAATATTGATTCTTGAATTGATGGTGTTGGTGAAGTAGACCTCTTCTGTTTAGTGGGTGTTGCTGTCGGTTGTACAACAGTTACGTCATTACCTTCTGCACCTGCTGTTGTTGTTATTGTTTCCGGGTTGACGACACGCAATTTGTGGGTACGTTCCCTTTCCTTATCGTCGACAGATTCAATATCACTGAGATTACTAGGCGGCAACAGGTCTGTCACAGGAGGGGACTTGTTAGATGAGGCCGATGATGTTTCAATGGAGTCCAATTTGGGTTTGATCACCGGCGTTGAATGATTAAGGTTATTATCGTAGTTTGAACTTGAGCTTGTATGTCTAGATTGTGGTGATGACATGCTGTCCTGGAGAAAGGGTTCGGTTTTATGTGTGTCCAGAAGTTGATTCAATTCAAGGAATGGGAATTTACGATAGAAACTTTGATGCTTAAGTCAAAATGCATCCCTTGCAAAGACCATGAAATATAAATCTGTATTTCTTCTTTTATGCTTGTGCATTATTGTTTGGGTATTTCCTAATTAGGCGATTTGATTACAAAAAAGGAGAAATAAGATCTGTGTCGCAATGTATAACACGACATTGATCTCTTTTACGACACACACACACACAAACGCAAACACAATTGTCATGTCATTTTTATCTTTTGTAACGAGAGATGCGAAATTGTGAATAAATGACCCAAACCCCACCCAAAATCCACCTTTTAACGATCAATTGTGCATATACACGATACGAATCAGTATGGATTCAAACAGTGACTTTATTGATCTAACAACTACGAGAAAGAATCTTGATTTGATATCGGATATCAAATTCTCCAAAAATAATCAATATCAACTTTTGATTGGTACTTGGGGTAGTAACCTACTCCTATACGACTGTCGATCATTTACCAATTACCCTCATGAGCCATTGCCAAGGGATCCCATTTGTGAATTGAATACTATTGACACTCCATTGAGTATACTATATCCAGGAAATAATAATACAAATAGTCAGGCACCACCAATTGTAGGATTACTTGATGGTTCAGTACGGGAAGTTGATTTTGAGAATGTCAAACTTGGCAAAAACATGGGTGAATCCATCGAGGGCGAAGACGTACGGAATGGAATCAACCACTTGTGTCAAGTAGCAAACAATTCCATCATTGCTAGTTCTTTCAGGGGTAATTTACAACTTCTAGATCAAAGATTGCAAAAACCATTAGCCAGTTGGAAAAATGAGAGGAAAATCTTGACAATGACATCAACCGAAAAATACTTGATCCTTGGATTGGCGGGGAATATAGTTGAACTTTATGATTTGAACAAGTTGGGACCATCCTCAAAACCAATGCCAGTGGAGACCAGAGAAGTTGGATTAAAATACCAGGTGACTGACATTAAAGCCTCACCTGACCAAAGCGCGCTTGCAATGTCGTCAATTGATGGTAGAGTATCGATCGAGTACCTTGATATCTCACCCGAAGCACAGCAGGAGAAAAATTTCGTATTCAAAAGTCATCGACATTTTGACAAAGAATCAGGAACCGATTTGGTCTACCCGATAAACTCAATGGCATTCCGAAAGAGTGTTAGTCGTAGCAATTTGCTATTTACCGCTGGTTCGGATGGATATCTTTGTTTGTGGGACATCAACAAGAGGAAAAGATTGAAACAGTATCCTAAATTCCAAACTTGTGAGATTGATGGGTTACCTCTGGAAGAGAGTACGACTGAAAGCATAGCTAAAATCGATATAAGTCATACGGATGATTTGATAGCTGTGGCTACCAGCGATGACAATTACAAGAGAAGGCGGCGATTATCCGAGAGTGAAAACTCTAGATTGCCCAGTCGCGTCTACATTAGACACTTGAAGGATTAAATGATTTGGCTGGTGCTGGGATTCATTGATTAAATATTTGACAGTGAGTAGTTTATTTTTTTAGAACCATATCGGCTAAATAACCTTGAATGTCCTGTAGCGCAAGGCTTGTGCTTACACCCGAGATGATTTCCGTCATAGATTAATTAAACCTCTAGCCGAGTAAAGCTCACTCCGTTTTGTGTCTACCATTTGGTATAGATTTTTTGCGATGTAATGAAAAATTACAGCTAAAGTCTGATTCATTAGCAAAATAGCTTTACAGGATCTACCATTACATATCTAATTACTGGTTAGATATGTCTACAGCATCACAGGCAAAAGATGAATTCAATGAGGCCACTGCAAGGTATCTCGATTGGTTGAAATCTCACAATGTTGACATATCACCTAAAATCACCATACATGATTACACCTCAATCAACCAAGGACGTGGAGTGATTGCCTTGGATAATATTAAGGAAGGAGAAGTTTTGGCTACAATACCTAAAACAGCACTAATCAATGTCAAGCATAATTTGCTTGTTGACAACTTCCCCAATTTAAAGCATTATTTAATGAGGTTGCCTCACTGGGAGGCATTGATAATCATATTATTGTATGAATTACATAACAAGCAACAAAGTCCGTGGTTGGAGTATATTAATGTTTTACCGCAGCTGGGTTTTGATCAATTGATGTTTTGGAGTTCAAATGAATTGAATTTGTTACAGCCCAGTTGTGTATTGGATAGAGTAGGGAAAGAAGCAGCAAAGGAAATGTTTCACAAGATCTTGGACATTGTGAAAGATTTGAAAATTGAAGGTCTCTCTGATGTAACTTTTGAGGAGTATAATACTGTGGCTACGCTAATCATGTCCTACTCGTTCGACGTTGAGTTGACGAAACAAGAGGAAAAAGAGATGAAAACCCAACTTGGTGTGGCAGATGAGGAAAATGAGGATGGCTTTGATGATGAAGACGATGATGTTCCTGAGTTGGTGCAACATGGGAACAACTCGAATACTGACGCCGCTGATGTGAAGACATTGCTTGAAAGAAATGGAATACCACTAGATGAGGCTGAGGAAGGAAGTGTTGAGCCTGTAGAGCTTGCGGTTGATGAATCGGAGGATAACGATAATGAAGAAAGTGAATTAAAAAAAGGCGAAGATGAGGGTAATGAAGAAGAAGAAGAAGAAAATGAGGAGGAGGAGGAGGAGGAGGAGGAGGAGGAGGAAGAAAGCGATGACGATGCTGAATCTGGATCACCAGAAATACTCAACGATGGATGTATCAAATCAATGGTTCCATTAGCTGACACGTTGAACGCTGATACTCACTACAACAATGCTGTAATAAATTACGAAGAAAACAACTTAGTAATCACCAGTATAAAGGCCATCAAAAAAGGCGATCAAATCTTCAACACATACTCCAATCACCCTAATGGTGAAATATTACGCAGATATGGCTATGTCGAACCACAAGGGTCAAAGGGGGATTTTGGTGAAATTCCGATTTCAATCATATATCAATTTTTTATCGAAAAGTATGTGGTTCGTGAATCTGAGTTGGGTCATTTGCTTGAACTCATTGGTGAAGTATCGTATCAGGAACAAATGATTGATGATGAAGATGGAGGGTTTGAACTTATCTTGGACTCTTATGACTGTTTTAGTACTGGTGAAGTCACTATTGAATTGGTGTTTTTGATTCAATTTTTGACCACTTATTTGACGATACTCAAAGACAACGATAACAACACAGTGGATATCACATTGGGTTCAGTAAAACGTGTTTACCGAAAAATTTATCAACTTATCGAATCGAAAAAGGTAACGTCAGATTTGATTAAAAATTTGACGGAGATTTTTGAAATTAGATTGGACCAGTATCCTGATTATGCGTCAGAACCATTCAGTAAAGACCTAGAAACAATGACTCGAGATATTATGGCGAAAATTGTATTGCAGAGTGAATTTCAGTCGTTGCGGGCGTGTCAACAAGATGTACAAAAGACGGTGGGAAGGACGTTGGATGCATCGGTTAAAGTTGTAGCTAGTGATAAATTGGTTAGAGCTATAGCCAAGAGTGGTGAAAGTGGGAGCAAGAAAGATACCGAAAGGACCTCAGGGGAGAAGAGAGGTAATGAAAATGAGGGAGGAAGATCAAAAAAGACGAAGATGAGAAAGAATTAGTGGCTTGTTGTCCTAGATAAAGACACCTTCTGGCTATACTGACTGCGTTCATTAATTAGTTACATCTTCATCAATGTCAAATGCTATTGGGATATTTAGCTATTTGGCTTTTTCTTTTTCAATCAGATAATCAATCGAGGAAACAGGGTAAGTGTTTTCCATGGATGAATCTCCACTAGTATCCGGTTCTTGTTTGTTTTGTTTTCCTGATTGCACCTCTTCCAAAGTTTTTACAATCAAAGGTCGAGGACGAGAAACAACGAATGCACGTTCCATTCGTTTTGGTTGTTGTTTATTAACAATATTTCTCAACCTGATTCCCAACAACGAGGAACGTTTTTCCTCTTTTGCACCACCACCATTTCGACAATGGTTACCCCCACTGCTGCTGCTGCTTCCGGAACAATACGCCCCGTGGAAAATTCCATTGGCTAATTTTCGACTCTCCCATAACTCTTTAACTTCAGGATCAATTTCATCATTGACAAAATACTTTTCGTAAACTTTATCAATTTCACGTACTCGATAATCATTCTTCAATTTGCGCAATTCAGACTCTCGCAATTGTTGAACAAATGATGATTGAATGGAAAAAGAGTCAGAATTGCCAGTAGCGTTTATTTGATCATTCGATCCCTCATTGATGTCTGCAAGTCGAGTTCCACGACTGCGGAATAAAAACTCATCTTCGCCAATAGATGACATCCCATCATCATCAGCAACGTCACCACTTGATATCCAAGCTGGATTACGGTACGACTCGTTGGTGATTTGTCGTTTCACTTGAGTGAATGGTGAAACTACTGCTTTGTATTCAAATTGTCCTTCAAATTCTTCTTGACTATTGATGGCGCTAACTTGTTGAAGTATGGGTTGAGCCTTGATTCGAGACTTGTATATGGAAATACATGTTCTGATTAACCAATAAATCAACTGAGTGGTGAATATAATAACCACAACACTATGGATAATCAATTGAATATACGCCACGTACGTTTTAACGGCTTCACTAGCATTGACTGATGAAATAAATGGGATGCATAGTGTTGTACACAAAAATTTGGCCACTGGAAACATAAATTGTGAAGACCATGGAGTAATGGGGACAAAAAACGGTTTCAACGTAAACAAAGCTATCAATTCGACAACAGAAGTAACAATCAAACACGAAACTTGAGTAACACCACTGTTTTGAAGTGCACCAACAATAACCAGATTGACAAACATGATGACTATGTCGAATATGACATAAGTGACTCGTTGTGGTTTATACTTATGATACAAAAACGACCAAATTAAAATCGATTTCAAACTGGTGTACAATTTAGAAACATTCGATGACGTTTTAATCTTGAGCCAGCCATAGATTGAAATCAAGTAATGGAAAATGAAAAAAAGCACCAATCCGAGCCACACAGCTAGTAGTATGGACGCTAGTGATAAGCTGACATTGGGGATATTCAAATAACTGCTAGTGTGGTCATGATACCGCGAAGTTCCATTGATATATTGAGCATTAGAGCCGAATCGACTTAAAACACCTGTACCTGGTTCCTGCCCAGATGGTGATGATGATGATGATGATGGTGATGACGGAGTAAATAAAGTTGCTCTTTTGACTTTGGAAGTGACAGCTCCAGTGGAATTACCCCATCCAGTTATGTAATCTCCCCAGGGAGTAGCAAAAGTTTCGCCAAAAGAAAACAACTTGTGTGGAATTCGCAATTCGTCATAGGGTGTTGTGAATGATAATGCGCCTTTTTTTAGGTCATGGTAATTTGCAAAATAGCGATGTTTACCGTTCAAGTCATTAGCAGCAAGGAACATAAACAAGCTCAACACAAGAAACGGCATCCCAAATACCGAAAGCCAAATTTGTAGGATTTGCCCTACTACCAAATACAAATTCTTTTTCGATAAAAACACAACTGCTGATGGATTTTTAACTAGTGATTTATGGTAATGCCGTTTCAATATTTTGTCAAGACATTTCTTCAAGAAGAAAAGTAACTGTCTCAAAACAATTGCCATCAACATAACCATGCCCAAGTCAGCCATAAAGTTTGGCCAAATATCTCCTATTCGCGTTTGTGAGTTGTATTGTGTCAAGCTTGGCAATCCTCCTGCCGAAAGTGTCACATATACTCCGTCATCTGATTGAATTTGATGACTAGTTGATTCTTGCTTCACCAAAATGAAATCAATCAATGCACACCAAGAAACTTGGCCAATCATTGGTTGATAAAAGCCAGGGTACAGTAGATCCAATCCGCCAAGAAAAAGGGCATATTGGAGGTAGGTTATAATGCCCGATAAGCTTGCGTCACCTTGCTTCAAAAGCTTTGCATTACATATTGTGGATGCCTTAAACAAATACGGGTTTGTTGATTCTTGATATGACGAATATGTCACGGTGAATGTGTTGACAACCAAGGTGGTGATCAATAGCACCAAGACGCCAATATTAATTACGTCATCGATAAAGGCCGGCTGTATCAATGTGATGTAAGATTTACTGCATCCTATAATATCCCTTGATTCGTTATTGTCGTAAACGATGAATGTCACTTGGTATGAACCAAATCGATGGAAATGTTGACTAATATCAGCTTCATAGTAAATCATGATTGAGTCGTTGTAATATAATGGACATTGTACCAACTCACCAGTGGCATTGGAGAATAATTCTGAAATAGTAGAGTCGGATGATCCCAAATCAGTGTCATTAAAGTGTCCAATTAAGGAGTTGTTGTTAAAGGTTTCTTGCAAATGTAATTCGGGAATTGTGTCTCTAGGTAAAAAGCTGCTCAGATTGATTGACTCCGATACAAATCTTGGACCAGTTCTGTACGCAGGAGTATCTTTAACCGACACAACATCACAAAAGTTTTTCGTTTCATCGATAATTTGTCGTCCCATGTAGTTTACCTTGACTCGAAAAGTGGTGTATAAATCTGTCGTCTCGTTAAAGTTGGTAATGGCTGCATTTGTGTCACTATTGTTTCCAAAGTAGTTGAGCACTTGCGAGTTCATAAAAAACTTGAGTTTCTTCAGTTCTTTATCAATGGCAACATCGGTAATAAACGGTCGTAGCTTGAACCATGCTATTTTTGTTTGACACATCAGACTATCGACAAACGTAGATGATACAATTTGGGTATAATATGTGAGGCACACGAAAATGGGCAAAAGTAGTAGATTTAGCCGACGCATGATGAATCAATGTCCCCTGTAAACGTTATCTTGTGATGAAGTATAAATGTTGCAAAGCTTAATCTTATCTTGCATCGAGCAGACAAATAAACCAGGGCAGTGCACAATTAAAACTCAAACTTTTGATTCTGCTTGTCGTTATGAGTGTCTTGATGGTTGACTATATACGAGTCTGTTTTGCGTTGTTAGTAGTATGTATCTTCTCTCCTGGTAGTAATGGTCTAAACAGTGGGGGGGAATGCAATATGTTTCTAGTTTTTGTAATTGGGAATCTGTAGTCGTTTCTTTTGTTCCTTTTGTTTCTTTTTTTTTTTTTTCCTTTTCGTATCTGCGTGTACTGCATACAACATATACACATTTGAACTTCAGTATCAAGGGTGAGGGGGAGGGGTCCCATTTCCTAAAGTCTAAATGCAAGGAAAAGGGACGCATCTATAAATCAACAGAGTTTAATGGTTGGAGTATCTATTGAGCTTCCAAGTTTTGTCATGAATCTCTCTGGGATGATCGAAAATGTTGATGTAGTGATCATTTGTTGGAGACAGAATATTCTCTACTAGTATTGGAACTAAACAAAATACGGTGGAGCTCAAAGCAAACATGTGTAAAGCTCAAGTAGATGTCCATTGCAAGAGTGTTCTACACAATGATGAAATTAAACATTCGAAAAGAGTGGGTGTTACTTGTGGGAGATTGAAATATCCCCTCTTACATGATCATCTAACGAGGTAAAGTCACCTCTCGAACGGAGGTACTATTGCTGTAAAACTATGCCAATACATCTTTTGACAAGGCTTGTAAGTCAAATATAACCTATTTCAAAATGTCATCCCACTGTATTTGATTTGGGTGCAAAAAAAAGAGAAACACGTGCGTGTGTAATGTGTGAAAGGAAAACAGTAGCCTTAATGCACACACCCTAAAAGATGTGAGGAGAGAAAAAAAAAATTTTCCATCTTCCTTCTCTAACTTAAGGTGGTGTTACTCTTATTCCACAACTTATCTCAACACTGCAATTGACTTTCAACTGTAGACAACCAATTGATCATGTCTCAAGGTACTTTATATGTTATGGAACAATCTCCAAGATCTTTCATCTTGGCAGATCTCGTTAAACATTTCAAATTGGATGTTAAAATCACTACTGAGAAGGATGGTGCTTACAATGCTAAATTCCCATTGGGTAAAACCCCAGCATTTATTGGACCAAAAGGTTATGCATTGACAGAAACTATTGCTATTGCTAGTTACTTGTTTTCCTTGGTTCCAAAGGAACAATTGGGTGGTCTTTTGGGTAAGAATGCTCAACAATATGCTTCAATCATGAAGTATCTTTCTTTGTTTAATCAAGAATGGATTGAATCTGTTGTTCCCTGTTTTAAAATGGCTATTGGACAATGGCCATTCAACAAGAAGGTTAATGATGAAAATTTGAAAAAATTGGATATTTTGGCAACCAGTTTGGAAACTAGATTGTCGGAATTCACTTTTTTGGTTGGTGAAAGATTAACTTATGCTGATTTGTTTGTTGCTGCTGCTTTAACTTTTGGATTATCAACTATCCTCGGTGCTCCATTTTTAAAAAAATTCCCACACATTGCTAGATGGTTCAATACTGTTTCTAAAGCACCATTCTGGGAAGGTAGATTGAGCACATACAAGCCAGCTGATCCACCAATGGCTTTCACTCCAGCCAAGAAGGAAAAGAAGGAGAAAGCTCCTGCTGCTGCTGCTGCTGCTGCTGCACCAGCTAAGAAGGAAGCAAAAGCTGCCGATGAAGAGCCAGCTCCTGCTGCTGCACCAAAGCCAAAGCACCCATTGGAAGCTTTGGGTAAGCCAAAAGCTCCATTGGATGAGTGGAAGAGAACTTATTCTAATGAAGAAACCAGAGAAGTTGCCATTCCATGGTTTTGGAAAAACCAATACGATCCAGAAGAATGGTCATTGTGGAAAGTTGACTACAAATACAATGATGAATTGACTTTGACCTTCATGTCCAACAACTTGATTGGTGGATTCTTCAACAGATTATCAGCATCAACCAAATACATGTTTGGATGTATGGTTGTTTATGGTGAAAACAACAACAATGGTATTACTGGAGCCTTTTTGGTTAGAGGTCAAGATTACGCTCCAGCATTTGATGTTGCTCCAGATTGGGAATCATACGAATTCACCAAATTGGATGCTTCAAAAGATGAAGATAAAAAGTTCTTTGACAACATGCTTGCCTGGGATGAACCAGTTGTTGTCAATGGTGAAAAGAGAGAAATTTCTGACGGTAAAGTGTTTAAATAAACAGTAGAGTAGATACGGAAATTACAAAAGTTTTGTCATGAAATAAACATTGTTTCATATGTACAAGTAAAATGCATCTTCCCCATTGATTGCAGTTAATATTCTTCAACCTCCTTCAAGAATACAGGAACCGTAATACAAATTTCTCCTCTCCTCAAGCTCCTGCTACTCCTCAATCATTGACTTTACCTCTCAATTTAGGATATAGCCTCGACGCATGATAATTAATCGTACTAATCTGTTCCTTCTCCGGCTTGAAAGTTTCCATACATTTCTTCAAATCTTTTTCAAACCCAGCACAAACGGTGTTTCCTTCACCGTTTGATGCCCAACAATTTAATAAACTTGACATAAATACAAAACATTGATTGGTAGATTTGCTCAATATGGGACGACGCACTTTTAAGCGAGGAAGTGGTGGAAGGTTCTTGGGTGGTGGACCTACTTTCTTATATGGCATGATCTAAGATCTATAAGCTTTGGTTCTTAAGGGATAGATGGGAGGATCTCTAATGGTTGGTGAAAATTTGAAAGATGAAAAAAATTAATATTGTATAGAGGATAGAGGACGTGCACAAAACAAAAAAAATAAAAAAAAATAAAAATTGTATTTCCCTATACCCAAAAGTCAAGACTAAACAAATATTACCATTGTTATTCCAATAGATCCTCCCCAATAACAGCATAATCAACACTAGTGGACGATTTCCTCAAATTGCGACAACGAGTATTGCATGGTTTCAGTATCCAATAAATCCGCTTAAATGGTGATTTCTTAAATGGCGAATAAATAACAGCTTGCTTATTCTGAAAATTGGTCTTTAACAATGGTAATTGAATAGATGATGAAATAGTAGCTGCTGCCGAAGATGCATTGAGTGAGTTTTTAGTGGTTTTGAAATACCGCCATAATCTAAATTTTATAGTATGGCCAATGTTCTTGACCACATTCTTCATGAATTTCTGCGTATCTCTTGCACGATCATACTTGATCTTGAACAAAATGTCGATTTTCTCCTCAAGGTTGATGAGAAACAACTTGAATAAATGATTAGCCAAGTGTCTTTCACGTCTTTTGTTTAATGGAAGCATAAAGTAAACGGGGAGAATACTAAAACTCTTCCAAATGTAAACTGTTCCTTGTAATTCCTCCTTGATGGCACACAAGATATATTGATTCGACTTGATATAGTCATTATGGGTATCACTACTCATTAAATGAGCATTTGAGCTTTCCACTGTGGTTCTGATCTCTTCCAATAATGACTTCTTCATTACACGAATCTCTTGTTCAATACGATTAGTAATTTGATGATTATTCAATTTTAATCGATTATAATCTTCGGTATTTTCCACTTGAATATTGTATCGAGGTAATCCCAATTTACTAGTCAAGTAAGCATGTGTTGCACGTTGAGCTAATTTGGCGGGTGATGAATATATGCCCCCACCAGAATAATTTTTATTTTCATAATCAAACAACTCTTTCAAAGGGGTAACAAAGCTGGGGTCAACATTTATCGATCCATCCTTTTCCATAAAATTTAAATCAAATTTCTTCAATGTAATTTTGGAATCAAATGCTGGTAAATCCTGAATAAATTCACGAGGTAGTACTGCGGTTTTTTCCATGTTCTTGTGCAAGGGCATCCCCATGAAACTTCGATCAAATCCAACAACATTATACGGATGTTTCATCTTGTCATTAACATACTCATGTATGACACTTTCAGGATTGAATTTTTCACTTTCATTACGTCTCAACATTTTAAATTTGGAATTGATACCTCGTATATATTGACCCAACTTCATTAAATCATTGTCATAATCGTAAAAATACCGTTTGAGAAATTTTTCATGCATTGCTGGGTTTGAATCTAGTTGTTGCAACTGGCCGTATATCTCCTCTACCCGCTTCATATCTTTTGGGTCAAGCACGTCTATTTGATCAGGTAGATTGCGTAAAATCTGTTTTGAATCAACAAAATGTGGGTTATGAAACGACATAAATGGTTTGTCTCCATCCAAGCCCATTTGAAATAGAAACTGTTGTCTATTCATGACCGAGTAACTTTCAAACTCGTCAATTTGATTTGTCGGTAGAGTTGAAGAATGACTTGAATCCTCGTCATCTTCTTCCTTATTGTTATTATTTGACTTGTCCTTCTTCTGTTCATCTACTGGACGTATATCACCTTTCTGGAACAGGTCGGCTAGGTTCTTTAATATTTTCTCATCCTTGTATGTGATATATGTTGGATGAAAGCAACGCCTTGGTATATGATGCAGTAGTTTAAATGTTTTAAAATGTAGTGACCTCAACATAATAATACAGTGTGTAGTTACTGGGTATGGATGTAGAAGCTTATGAATACACGCGTGTGAATGTATAGTTTGGTTGATGGATGGAGGGGAGGGGGTGTATATAACTCTCCTGTTTTAGGTTTTTAAATGTGTCTTTTGTTCTGATAAGAGAGTTTTGTAGATTTAACAAATGATTGGAAGAGAGAAAGAAAGTGAACACTATGACTCCCTATTATGCAGGAAATTATAAAAGAACAATCTAAATAGTGACACACCTTTAATAAAACTACGTTAATTTTGTTTTGACACGAGTTCTACTACTGGGATTCTGAGGTGATATTGGTAGAATCTATCAATATATCTGCCGTTCATGTCAGTAAGCTATGTTATGTAGAAGTTTGTTGTTTAGCTATACTAAAGATGCATTGTCTCTCGTTGTGAGAGAAATGTAGAAAGTGATTTGCGAATATCGGAGAGGGAGTCTGTCAGTCATAAAAAAAACTGTGGCATAATAAATCACCTGATCATCAACACGTACTACACTATAAGCAATTGAACTTCAATCTACTTTTGCATCTATAATGATATTACTACGCTTACTCTTATTTGAATATTACTACAAGGATCAAGGTAATCACACAACAAACTATGGCATCAAGGAAAACGAAAAACCACAATAGTCAATCTTCCCCTTTCAATGTGCACGTGACCAGAAAAAAAATTCTATATTCAAGTCTGAAACTCTTTAGGTTACACAAATGTATTTGCATCTCGCTCCATTGTTCTGATTTGTAAAGTCACCAACACATGTAACTCTTATCAGGTGGCAGAACTTTTGTCTCAATTCTTTAACTAGCTTGACAAAAATGGTACAACACTAGATCTATGTGTAAGAACATTTAGTGTAATATGGCGTGTGCACGTGCACCAATTTAACAATTAAGACAACTTTGCAACACACCATGCACATAACCACTCACTACTAGCTATTCTTCTTATTTTTCTTACATCAGTTGCTCTATTAAAACTATGGTTCTGCTGCTCCTATACCGGGGGGGCTTTGAATCCATTTTTACAGCTGATAATTATGCTGCTGATGTTATTGCAGTTGCTGAGACAACACATGAAGTATCACAACCTACTAAGCCACATTCCGCAAACGGTGGTGACGATGGTGATGTTGGAGATAGTGGGGATAAAGATGTTGGTAATCGTGATGATCGTGCTTCTACCAACACCGCTGAAGCAAGTCCTATGGAGGACGATTCCGAACATGATGCCAAGATTGTCGTTAATAGTGGTGACCCACAAACTACTGAAGGTCCCGATATCAACAAGTTGGAATACGAAGACTGCATTAAAATGTATAATCTTGCTAAAACCATTATTGAGGAAGAATTTGAGACGGCATACATGGATGTGGATCCACCTACAATCAACAATTTCCTCGAGTTGAAGAAATACATTGATGTTGGTCTTGAACATTTTTCTGGGGCTGATTTATACTATCTTAATAAGGATTCGTTTGATTTTAGTAAAGATGTTAGCGACTTCCCTCCAACAAGAACTGTGACTGAGCATGAGCTCTTTTTCCGTATTTTGAATGGCTTACTTTGTCAACAAACTCAAGAAAACAAAGTTGATTACTAAATTGACCGAACGGTTGAAAATTTATTACAAGGTGAAAAGTATCAATGCTAGTCTATTGTTTTATTCAGGAAATGAACAATCCAGTTTTTTATTTTTTGAAAAAGGTTGCAAAATAGGATATCATTTTTTGCTGACCACAATTTTTTTCTTTTTTTCCTTTTTTCCTTTTTTCCTTTTTCCAAGACTCAAATAGAGATAATAGGAGCGAAAGCCAGGTGCTTTGGCATAATAATGCTTTGTGGCTATGTAACGTGTGAAAATTGTTGTTGTAGTGTCTGTGATGTATATTCTCTCTGGTTTTGTATTAGAGTGGTGTGTGGCTCAAAAAAGTTCAGCTTTATTTGCATCCTTTTGTGTCTTGTTTTGTGCAGTTACAAAATCAAGTACTCAAGTTTGCTACAAGTTTCAGACGACATTGACCGAATGGAACGGAACGGATAAAACAAAAACACTATGGACTGAGTAAACGTAAAGACCTTAGTTGTGGCTATGGTATGATCCCATACCATATGAGAAATCGCCGTGACTGCTAAAGTTATACCAAGGTTAAGGTTATTACTGTATTAGGTTAGGTCCAATTTTTGTTCATGTCATGTGATAATTTTGTGTAAAGTAAAGGAGTAAGAACCACATCTATCTAATCCATACATCATCAGAGAAAACGAACACTGCCCTTGCGTTCAGTTCTCTTACAATTTTAGGGTGGGATATTGGCAGAATTGCTTGATTTATTTTATGACGTAGTTGTACTCAATTGTGTGTATTGTCTGTGTGTGTATGTGTATCTGTTAATGTCGTGTGAATCCTATTGTTTGTGTATGTTCTGTTAGTTTGCTAATTCTCAATTGCTACCAAGTGCTTTTCGTTTAATTTTCATTTGATTGCCATCCCACCCCCTTTTTAGTCAGAGAGGAAAAAAATTTATAAAGAACACCACTGCTACTTTCTTCTTCCATAATCCACAATTGAGCAAAGATAGTATTACCACTACACCTTCAAGATGTCATCAATTCCACAATACAATTCATCATCTTCCAAAAACCAATCATCAACCACCAATCCAATTGAAGTAGGTGGTCCAGTTCCAGAATTTGATGAGTCAAAATGGATCAATTCTAATGTATCAAGCTACGGTAATCTCCAATCATCAACTTCAGCAACCCACTCTTCTTCTCATGCTGCTCATGCTTCTCATGCTCATCACGGTGCTCAAGCTGCAGAAAATCAACAACATGAATCAGCAATCCCTACTGGGTCCACTATCCCCCCACCAATTGGTGAATCTAGTTCGAACTATTCTAGCGGTCCAACACCTTCCAAGAGTGAATTGCATCAAGGTGCAACTACAGGTGACTCTACCACCTCCCACTCCACTGGCAACTACAATAGCTACAATAGCAACAACAATTCCTCTTCCACTACATCTCATGCTGCTTATGGTGGATCTTCGTCAAAAACTGGATCAGGCTTGGGCTCTTCTGCCACTGGTGGATACACTTCTGGTGCTGCTTCCACTGCTACATCTGCATTGAGATCAGATGCTGATCCAAACCACCCAATTCATGAAGCTGAAGATTTCTTGACTGAATTGTTAACTTGGAAGAATCCAGCTTATACTGGTAAAGTTTTGGGATTGACTCTTGGTGGATTGCTTCTTTTCAAAGCAATTGACTTGGTTCGTATCTTTTTCAAGATTTCCTACATTACTTTATTATTTTCTGCTGGTGCTGAATATGTCGGTAAAGTGTTTACTGGTCAAGGATTTGTTAGTAATTTTTACAAAAATTATTCAACCTCATTTGCTAAGCCAATTAACAAGCACCTTTTACCATTAATTGGAGAATTGAATGTTGCTATTGAACATCATTTGAATTATATTGTTTACTCAAGAAATGTTGAAACTACATTAAAATTTGCTGGAATTTCATACATTTTTTACCAATTAACTTCAGTTGTTTCATTGTTTACATTGACTGTTATTTCGGTCATTTTATTGTTTACTATCCCACCAGCTTATCTTGCCAATAAGAAGCAAGTTGATGCATTTGTTGGAAAGTATACTGCTTGTTTCAAGAATCAAGTTGGCAAAGGTGTTGAACAACTTCATGATGCATTGAAACAAACACCAGTTGGTCCATACTTGTCGAAATTTGCCCCAAGAAGAACTGCTGGTTCAACTGTGGGTGATTCAAAGGCAACTTCATACGGAACTGCTGCTGATTCTCATCATGGTGTTGATGTTAATGTTCCAGTTGGATCCACTACATCTTCATCATCTGCTACTGGTGGTGCTGACTTGAGAGAAAGAAACGCACAAGCCACCAAAGGTGCTTACTATTAGGACTAAGTGTGTTTTATTTTTGATGGAATGTTGTCATTTGGCAGTCGGAAGTTGATGTAATGAGAGCGCAAATTGAGGAGAGAATAAGGGGTCGAGGGGTCAAGTTTTCAGAAGATTGTGCTTTTCCTTTTTATCCTAATGGTGAATGTATCTACATACTTTAAGTTATTTCTTCGTTTTATTGTTCCTGTTTCTACAACTATTGTGTACTATGACGGATGGTGACTGCACCGTCTATCGTTGTTTTTTACACACGGCAGCTCGCTCTTGGTCAAGTTCTCATTCACAATCATCAGGATTGGGCAATCTCTTGAAACAAGCAACGAATTTCGATCCTTTATTACGTTCCACTTTTTGACCTTCTTCAGTTGCATTATACATAATCTCCACACATTTATCTTGTGCTTCCCATTCTTTACTCAACCTTTCAAACAATGGATGTTGTTCAAGATGCGTCACCATCCAATTATGCAAATCTTCCACATCAGTAATTGTGTATATAATACCGCCTTCTTTCAACACATATGCATACTCACTCAACAACGTATGAGTAATGATCCTCGCTTTATGTTTACGTTGTTTAAAATGAGGATCAGGAAAACAGAAAAACATCTTGGCAAGTTGTGACTTGTGGAAAAAATTGGGCAAGAATTTCATAGCGTTGCCTCGTATCACACCAATATTATCGTATTTGTAAACGGGATCCGATTCGTGGAGTTTTTGTAAGGCCAAGATTCTATCTTCAACGTATTGAGTCACTTGGACGCGGATTTCCATACCGAGGATTAGCGATTGCGGGAATTGTGGACCCAAGTCAATCATTAATCCACCAAATCCACATCCGATATCGGCAATTTCCACCTTCTTCTTTTCGTTGTTATCTTGAGTATTGGTTAATGCAGGGTATATGGTTGACCAGTCCATTGAGTCTGGCGATGTGGGGTAATCTAATCGGTGATCGGAAAATGGGTTTGAGTGAGCTCGTTGACGATAAAATCTTTTGCGTGGCAACTCCATTAGATCGGGAGTCAGTTCAGTAGTGGAAGCAATATTATCCGACTGCGATGGTGATGATGCTGCAGTGGTGGCGGTAGCAGTGGGTGGGGGCGGTGTTGGTGATTCTATACGAACTTGTTTGCGGACATTTTCCATTGTTTCTCGATATAGCTTACGTTTGGTGTCGGCATTTCGATTATGTTTTGGTGTCAGTTTATTATTGGAAGCTTGTGGTTTATGTGGTGGCTTCTGTGAATTATCTGCTACTGACATTATGCGTACGTTGGGATGGGAGATGGAGGGTGTTTAGTCTATGATGAGATGCACTGCACATTTGAAAATTTAAATTTTTTTTCCAATGCAAATTTCCTTCTCTCTGCTTTTTGCAACTTAATTAGAGTTATTTGATTTAAGTTTACTACTATTTACAGAATACCTATTCTTCCTTCTTTGGATCTAAATCCTTTGCCCTCTGCTCCATAGTCAAATAAACCATATGGCCTGGGGTCTCCAAAGTTCTAACTAATCCAACACCACCCAACATTGTCAACAATCCAACCAATTGACCCTGTAATCCTTGCTTATTAGGTAAATCCTTAAACTCGTCGATTTGAAACTTATCCATAAACGATTTTTCAACTTTAGCACCAACAATAATCAATTTCTCATTCATTTTCTTTAACAATTTAACAATTTGTTGCACTTTGTAAGGTTCACATTCAGATACGCTAATTACTGCAGTGGGGCCAACAAATAATGGCAATAATGGATGAGTATTGTTTCTGTTCTTGTGTGTCATTCCTTTACTGGCTGGATCTTGTTCATGACTTGATTTAAGATACGTTTGATAAAGGGTGTTTTTCAACATGGTTAATCTACCACCAAACTTGGTCAAATCTTGTCTAATCTTTTTATTTTCAGCCTTGTTTAAATTGTTATGGTGGACAAATAATAAGATTTCATTGGTGTCATTGAGATGTTTGTAATTATCTATGAGATATGTCTTTCTTGAAAATAATGGTTTTTCGGTGGTTCGTTGTGAAAACTTGACATGTTCTGTGGTTGGGACGAATTCATTGTAGACTAATGATGACGATGAGAAAAACTTGGAGCTAAGTGATGGTTTAAGTATGAGGGGGATTGGTATTCTTCGTATACTGTTGTTAATGGTTGACCTTATAATCATTATATTCAGGCTCTATATTGGGAGTGGAGGGTCTATCTGATCAACTTTTGTTTGTGGAAAATTTTTCTTTTTCAGTTGGTACAAGTTTGAGTGTCGTTTAAAACGTCCAATGTCGTGGGATATGATGCGACACAATAAGATATAAACGACCCTATTAACGTCAGCTTGCAACTTTCAATACCCGTGATGAAAACCACTCCTCGATGTTTATGTAGACAAAATACAAGCAGATGCACCCCTTCAAAGTAGCAATGACCATCCTCTTGTCATACTGGAAACTAAGATTCTCAATTTAACTGAGCAAATCACAAATACCATTTTTGATTGATACAGTTCAACAAAGAGCAAGAAGATTCGGCAAAGAGATCATCATCTACAACCTGGCCCATTCTCAACACAAAGCTTCCCAAGTAATGTAAAACAAAAGATATCAATTCATGAAAACATAAAAAATCAACAACCAATACCATCAAAACTGCATCAGCAAACTTAACCAACCATCAAGATAAGTTTTCAAATGAGTATCGCACGAGTGCCGCGATATTCCTCATACATGAAGTCGTTTCTCATCAACACTTGCAGATGTACCAGATTCCAAATATTGAAGTGGTTGCACCTCTGGAACAGGAATGACTCTAACTCCATCAGGAACAAGCTTTACAGGTTCAAGGAGAATGATTATACTGTGTTCATTTTCGGTTTCAGTGAGTTCCAGAGAGCTTTTACTTGATTGAGGTTAACTTTTGTCATTTTGGTATGCCAAATTTTCATGAGCCCAGGATGTGATTTCTTGATTGTTAGCAACAACTTGGCGTTCATTGAGACTACTATTCGTCATATTGTCAATTTCTGAGGGGGGTGGGGAAGAATGTTAGTGAAGAAGAACAAGTGAGATGTAGTTTATGGATCTTGTAATTCGAAGTTGGATTTCTCTATGGTGTGTCAAATTTTAACATATCAGAGTTTTTGCAATAGTATAATGAAATGTATGAGGAGAGATAATTAGGAATATAAGAAGGGAAAGTTGTAGGTTGAAGCGCACACGCTTGTGAGGAGAGGTGAACGAGATGTAACTTGTTGAGCTCAGTGGTGGTTTGATGCATATAATTTCTGCTATACCACTCTATTATACCAACCTTATATGACTATCAGACGAGTATGTAAAATTGTATATATGGTGTCGAGGATCAACGTTTGATTTTTTGCACCCAAATAAACAAAAATTGTGCCCTAATACACGCTCGTACATATTCAGTATTGAAGGTGGTGTTGGTAAGAAAGAGGGGGCTTTTATTGATTGCTGGTTTGTCTCAGAGATTGGTTCGAAGTTGCATCTATTACTTTGGTCTACTTAAAGAGGTCATGTTTAGACTCGCGACTCCCAGAACGAACAACTTCTTCCAAACTACTCGATACGAAGGACCAAGCTTCGATGTTATCAGCATTTGATATCAATGATTAAAGTGCAAAGAAATTTATTCATATCGATGCACGTTGTATCTAGTAGATCAAGATCCGTTTCCAGAGTACTACAAGCAAGCATCTCATTGCCGTTTGTAGCGAGGGTTTCTCTTTGGTAATAGTAATCTATACATTTTCATTCGGTTAGTGGCATTGGGAGCGCAAAATCTGGGTCTTAGTATGGTAGTGGAAACAATCATGCGAAGGCTCTTTTATTTTCTTTCTCTTTTCATCAAACAATTAAATTATCATATACTCACACACGCACACACCCCTTGATACTCGCTACTAACACTCTCAAATCAATACAAACATGGCAGATCCCCTTTTTTTGGACTTTTTACAAAAAGTTCAGGAAGGTGAACAAAAAAGAAATGAGGCGAACGAGCTTCAGCATAGTCTCAGCCACAACGATAACCATTCTCACAAGCATAATGCTAGACAAAATATTTTTAAATCCAGTTCCATGAATAGGAAGAGAAGAGCCTCCAATGAGGGCTACCGAAACGGAAAAAGCGCTGATTCAGCATTGAAGAGGCGTAAAGCAGTTCCAAAGGATGAGGATGAAGTACTTGATGAGCCAATATTTGATGCAGAACCACCGAAATTTATTGGCTTTCTTGACTTGCAGCGCGTTGAACATGCGACCAAGAGTTTACAAAAAAGCGCCAAAGTTATTCTATCGCAAGCCCCTGACTTCGTTCAATTGAGAGAGCTACTAAACTCAAGGGATCTTGATAGTGCCACAAGAAGCGACTTGAAACAAAGCGATTTGATGGCATTAGCATCAAGATTGAAAACAAAATACAAGTTGGGTCAAGCACCAATACTCGATCAGATTATCAATGAAACTCTCATACTTACTGAAGAAGACAAAGAAAAGTTAACTGAATTAGTTGTTGAACAAGGTGGAACCAAAAATCAAATTGCTATAGCACATGTTGCTCCTAATGAGATATCACCAAATGGAATTGAGCACACCTTACCAAACTTACCCCTAATTAGTGATATCCACTTGTTTGAAAGGGTTTTTACCCACAAGTCCAATGTCAATAACAAGACCTATCTCAATGACCGAAACTTGATTAATAGCCACAATGAAAGATTGGAGTTTCTCGGTGATTCGGTTTTGAATAACTTGGTGACTTTAATCATTTACGAAAATTTCCCTACCAGCTCAGAAGGTACTTTGTCAAAAATTAGAGCAGAATTAATCAATAATAAAGTGTTGAGAGATTTTGCAATAGAATATGGCTTTGATCAAAAACTAAGAACCAATGTATCCAAAGAAATGATGCTGATGGGTGAAAAAAAAATATATGCTGATGTATTTGAAGCTTATATTGGTGCATTGAGTTTGGAAAGGGGGCTTGATTTGGCCGAAGTGAGAAAGTGGTTAGAAAATCTTTATAAACCTTTGATTGAAAATCTCGAAAAAAAGTATATTGCTGAGCTTATTGACAAAGAAGCCAAGACCGAACTATACGCACTTATTGGAAGAGCTGACGCGCGTCCAGAGTACGTCACTGTCAGCGACGGCGATGGTTTGAATAAAAAGTTTGTTGTTGAGTGCAGAATGGGAAACGAAGTTTTGGCAAAAGCAGAGGATCACAGTGTCAAAAATGCGGGCCTACGTGCTGCCATGAAGGCATTGAAAAACACTGCAGCTTTGGAAAAATATGTGATAGAAAGACAAGCTATTGAACGCCCGATAAAGCAATCCAGAGTCGAGCGTTTAAGGGAAAAGAAAATAGAGAAAATGAAAAAGTTGAAAGAGCAAGAAGAAGCTGACGAAACGTCAACTGAAGAAACGCCTAAACGTCCCGATTCTCCTATTCGTACGTCCATGTTTCCCATTGAAGTCTTTGATGACGTCGATGTTGACGTTGATGCCAAAAACAAATTGTATGCCACATTGGGTGAGAAAACAGGGACCAAGCCCGAATACATTCTCAAAGAATCCAAAAATGGTGCGCATACAGTGCAATTATTAGCTCGAAAATTAATTGTTGCTACAGCTACTGACAGGTCGAAAAAAAGGGCAACTGCGAGGGTCGCTGATGCTGTGATGAAAAATCCCGAAGCTTTAAGAGAGTTGTGTAAGCGATTTGACTGATTCGTTGGGTGATTTGGTTGAAACTTCTTGTTGGGTGGGTAGTACCTCTTTTTGCCTTTGCATTTTCCATTTGCATAATGAATCTGTTTCATGTAGTAGAATTGTATCCACGTCCCTGCGCATGCAGTGTCTAAAAGATAATATAGAATGTGGAAGTGATTTTGATGAGGCTGTACGTTGAAGTCTTAATTTTTCCAACATGCATTTCGTATGTAATGGTCATCTATAAACTTTATTTCTGATACATCCAATTATTATTGTGACCTTTTTCGGTGTAGAAGTTGTAGAACTCGTCTTAAGCTGTAAGCACTCTTTCGGGACTCGTAGAGCAGTTGATATTATTTTTAAAACAAACTTTAATTACACAGGGATAAACTTTTGTGAAATTGAATGCATGTTTTAGTGGTAAGAACAGAAACACACAAACACCATGCATATCACTTTGTCTACCACGCCGCCAACAGCCCTTACGATATACACACTTAATCTAATCTTCTTTCAATGGACATGGATAGTAACAATGATCAGATAGATCTGCTGGCAAAATCCAATTTGTATGCATTAACTGGCAGTTCAGAATTCGTCGTCCTACCTATCACTGTGTAGCAGGGGGTAACGGACGCGATCGTGAGTTTATTGTTGAGTGCAAAACGGGCAGTGAAGTATTGGGAACTGGTAATGCAATCTAAAAAGTACAGGCTAGTTTAATTGCTGCCATGAGAGCTTTGCAAGATAGATCAAAGTTGGAGAAATGTATTGCAGGCAAGCAGTCTCCCTATGCAATAACGAAGAAGGCAAAAAGTGAATGCCAGAGTGAGGAAAATTGGAGAAAATCTCAAGTAAATGAGAATATTCGATTATTGGAACAGTTGACTGTACTGGAAGAGACTCCTTGGGCGAGGAATGGCGAGGTTTTGCCTAAACGACCGGTTTCGTCAATAAATAGGTCACTCTTCCCACTCAAAGCCGAAGAAGATCTTGCTACTGATGAGATTGATACAGATGCCTAAAACAAGCTTCTTGTATTGGTTGGCTCGAAAGTGAAAATACGGCCTGAATACTCCACAACCACTTTGCCTGATGGAAGGTATATGGCAGAGTTAAAGATCAAGAAATTACATATTGGTTCTGCTATTGACACATCGAATGCATTATCTCGGGATGTAATTAGAGAAATTAATTTCTGTGGTTGCCAACCGCCAGCTATACCTACCGTGCGTCCGCTATTGATCTCGGACATTCTCTAGCATGTACAAGGGCTACCGCTTTATCAAGATGCAAATGGTTGCAAAAAAGAAAAATTTGGTCCCTAGCAGGATCGAACTGCTGATCTTGGCGTTATTAGCACCACGCCTTAACCAACTGGGCCAAGGGACCAATTTTCAACAAGAAAATCCGTTGTAATTCATCATTAAAAAAGCTTTTGATCATGTTCTACTCCATTTTACTTTCATAGTGTTGAGCCCTTGTAGCTTAGTGGTCATATCGGCTAGACCAGTTGCTCTTTACCCTGCAATTAGAGAGCTACGCGTAGTTACAAAACCAGAAAAATGAAAGATGGGATCTAAAATTGTTCCGAATATTCTACTTACTATGTCAGCACTACAATGCACCATCACTTGCAAGTCCTATTTCCAAAAGCTTGTCCCCCAACTCGTGCTTCAATAAATATGCCTTTGTATCTTTGCCATACCTGTATCCTGTTAACTGCTTGTCACTGCCGACAACACGATGACAAGGAACGACAATCGCAATACGATTTGAGCTACATCCTGCGCCAATAACTCGTGCGTATTTCCCCAGCAAGTTTAGTCCATCAGCTATTTGAGTATAGGTCTTCACCTCACCTATTGGTATTTTCATCAACTCTTGCCATATTCTGCGTTGTAGACGCGTCCCAAATATAATCTCGATGGTAAATTCTTGTGGCTTTCGCGGATCCTCGATCAATTGTTTGAATCTTTCGACTGTTTCTGTGGCTTTGCATTTGTCGTGGATAGTACTCAATGGTTTCAATTGGACGTGTTTCTGGTGTTGGAAATCTTTAACAAGAAGATTTTGGAGATTGGTGATGTTTTGGCCCAATGAGGCGTAGTAAAGCTTACCTTCTGGATCCACCACTAGTAATGCATTTACAGGAGTTGCAAAAACACTTGTGTAGTAAAGATGTTTTCTAGGACTGTTGCTGACTTTCATTGTGAGAAAGAGAATTTTGGGAGAAGTATAGATTTATTTTTTTGCACCTCTTGCGATCTTTTGAGCTTTAACTTCATAGTAAGTTTTTTCTTGCCCATAGTATTCTTTACTGGCACCCATTTTGGTTTATGTTAAGGGTCCGGATTGGGATTCGGAACACTGGAGGATATAACAGTGTATTTATTTATGTATTTTTTTGTATTTGAACACATTTTCGAATAGTGTAATAGTTTACGCAAGTTGGATGCAAAAAAATAGATGTTTACGAACACAAACGACAACAATAATGTAAAGAGTAGCATCTTCCAAATAGTTTACAGTAATAGAATAAATCGATTGCAGTAAACTTTTGTCAACGCAGCTGAGTTACATGCACCTCGTTTTCCTACCCCTTCAAGTTCGTATCAATTTTATGCTTGCTGGAACTCGTCTGTAATGGCTGCCACGCGAGAAACAGTTGAGTACATTCAACAACAACATGCTGGGTAAGGGCTACATTTTCACAATCATAATTTACTAACTTTTGAGCTGCAATAAAGCTCATCTTCGTTGGAAGCACCTGTGGTTCAACTGCTATTATACATATCGGTAGCGCTCGAATTAGATGGATGAAAAAGTTTTTTTTACCAGTTGGATTTATTCAAAAGTCATCACTAGAGGCAATTATCCTATAAAACTGCGTAGTTCAACATGTCAGTGATCGGAATTACTTTTGGAAACACCACATCTTCTATCGCCGTTGCTGCCGATGGGAAGGTCGATGTCATTGCGAATCCAGACGGTGATCGTGCGATCCCATCGGCTCTATCTTATGTTGGATCCGACGAATACCACGGGTCTCAAGCTTTATCCAGATTGATTAGAAACCCAGAGAACACCATTGTCAATTTCAGAGATTTCATTGGTAAAAAGTTTTCTGACATCAACGATGAGTTTTCTTTTGGTGCCAAACCCAAAGACGTAAACGGGGAAGTTGGATACGAAATTACCATAGACGGTAAATCCCAAACGTTAACCATTAATGAAGTAACAAAAAGACATTTTAAGCAATTGAAATCTGCTGCTGAAGACTTCATCGGGAAGGAAGTGGAAAGTGTGGTTTTAACCGTGCCAACTGATTTTAGTGAACATCAAAGAGACGAACTCACCAAGATTGTTGAGAGTTCGGGTCTCAAAGTTTTGCAATTGATCAATGAACCATCTGCCGCATTATTGGATCATTTGTCGTTGGAAGACAAATTGAGCCAAGACAAACTTTACGTTGTTGTCGACTTTGGTGGTACTAGATCCGACGGAGCAGTTATTTCAGTGAGAGGTGGTGTGATGACTATCCTTGCAACTGCACATGAACACGGTTTAGGTGGTGACAAATTGGACACCGCTTTATCTGAGTTTTTTGCAAAGGAGTTTGAAAAAAAGACTAAAGTCAATCCAAGAAATAATGCCAGATCCATTGCCAAGTTAAAAGCAGAGTCCATTGTTGTCAAAAAAACGTTATCCAATGTACAAACTTCCACCTGCTCGATAGAATCATTAGCTGATGGATTTGATTTCCATACAAGTATCAATAGATTGAGATACGAATTGACTGCAAGAGACGTACTTTCTAAAATGACAGCATTCGTCGAAAAAGTTATCAAGAATGCTGGTTTGGAAGCTTTGGATATTGATGAGGTTCTTTTAGTTGGTGGAACTGCCCATACACCCAAATTGGCCTCCAACATTTCCTACCTTTTCCCTCAATCAACAAAAGTTATTGCGCCATCATTGGATTCAAAGGCATTGAACCCTTCAGAATTGATTGCTCGTGGGGCCGCATTGCAAGCGTCATTAATTGAAACTTTCGACGAGTCAGAGATTGCTGAATCGTTGCAACCGATTGTTGTTAACACCCAACACTTGTCTAAACCAATTGGAATCAAAGATTCTGAAGGCAACTTTGTCCCAATTTTGGTTGCTGAAACTGCGTACCCAATCAAGAAGTCAATTGAAGTTACCAACGGAGAATCACCGTCAGTCGTTGTTGAATTGTATGAAGGTCAAAGGACAGTTAAAGAAACTGTGATTGAAGCTGAAAAGGATGAGGATGACTCCGAAGATGATTCAGATGAGGAACCAGAAGTTGAAAGGGAAATTGTTTACAAAGTTGGCGATAAATTGGCGGAATTTTCATTGAAAGATTTGAAACCAAACTCAAAATTGGAGGTTACAGTGAACATCACTCAGAATGGTGTTTTGCATGTTTCTGGAAGAGAATTGAAGCAGGGCGCAGTTGCTGTCAAGGGTGAAGTCTCAGCTCAATAGATAGTCATGTGTAGCGTGGATAACGAGAACTGATAGACTCTGAATACTTTCTTTAAGAGGTAATGCGACCTCTTTGTACGTCATTTATATTCTCCTCTCTTTTGGATATCGATTGCTTTTCATCGCAACTTGTCCCTCTTATTCTTTTTTTTTTTTTTTTTTCGTTTTGTTTTTGTGATCAATTTACACAACACTCCTCTCTATACGACAAGTTTTGTCATTGCCTTGCACTTGTTGTTTGTTCATCTACAAAAGGGTCCCCCACACTCTAAGCGCACACAGGTATGGGCAAGAAAAAGCAAGAAATGGCACAGGTATACAGTGGCTCGACGAATGAGTTTATATTCGGAGAACAGGGGGGTAAAGGGAAGAATTTGTCGTCATTTTTGAAAAATTTGTCGTTGACAGGATCAAGCAACAACAATAGTCAGGAATCGATTGATGAAGTTAACAGCACTATCTATGGAAGTTTATCATATAAAAAGGGACGAAATGGATCGAACCCAATGTTGAGCCATGGATCAGGGTTTGCTCCACATCCACCTATCAAAAGAACCATTTCAATGGGATCTTCTTCATTTGGAAGCGACCATCATAGGGATACATCTCCTAAATCCTTCCCAAGGAATCAAAGGCATAGTAAGGAAAAGTATACTGATTTGGACGATGACTGGAATGCGGATTTACGAGATGAAGTCTCCAAGCCTGCTGTTCCACCCCCATTCTTGGATTCACTATACCCTGATTTGATGGTACCAGTATCTGCTCCTCAATCCAACCTTAAACAATCAATGGACGAAGAAGATTACCAAGCAAAAGCCGAGGTCAGCAGACTCAATCAATTAAAATTCAAATATACCAAATTCAAAACGGTGCTATCATCAGAGAATACCATAAACATTCAAGACTTGCGACGTTTGTCTTGGAATGGTATACCCAATGAGCTTAGAGCAATGTCTTGGCTGTTGCTATTGGGATACCTACCGACGAATAAATCCAGACAGAGCTCAACTTTGAAACGCAAGCGTCAAGAATACATGGACGGCATAAGTGGTATACAAATTAGCTTTGACGAAAACTCAAAACCAGAAGCTGGTTCAAACAGCAACCGAGAAGGCTTAATATACCATCAAATAAATATCGATGTTAAGCGAACAAACCCAACTACCAAGCTATATGCGTATCAAAGTACGCAGATGTCGCTCCGAAAAATTTTATTTTTGTGGGCAGTGAGGCACCCTGCAAGTGGATATGTACAGGGTATAAACGATTTGGTAACTCCGTTTTATCAGATCTTTTTAAACCACTACATATGGCAACTACAGAGGAAAGTGTCAAAGGAACTGGAAGGTGATGATAGCGATTTATTAATTCCAGGTTATGTATCCGACGGTGATGACAAGGCGGAATATGCATTACTCAAAGATCCCGACTTGGAAAACTACACCATCAATAACTTTGACACTGGAAGATTGAGTCAAAGAGTCACAACCATCATCGAAGCCGACACCTATTGGTGTTTATCTCGATTACTTGAAAATATCACAGATAACTATATCCATGAACAACCAGGAATTATAAGACAAGTGAATGAGCTTAAGAACTTGGTTTCAAAAATTGATTATGGATTGATTAAGCATTTCGACGAGGAAGGTGTGGAATTTTTGCAATTTTCATTCAGATGGATGAATTGTTTACTTATGCGGGAGTTGCCAATTGACTTGATTATACGAATGTGGGACACGTACTTGAGTGAACAGCCTCTAGGATTTAGTAGCTTCCACACATACGTATGTGCTGCGTTCTTGATTAAATTCAGTGGAGAATTGAAGGAGAAAGATTTTCAAGAAATTTTATTGTTTTTGCAAAACCCACCAACGTCCCATTGGAAGGAAAAGGACGTGGAACTTATGCTTAGTGAGGCATTCATGTGGCAAACCTTGTATAAAAATGCCTCAGCACACTTAAGATAGCCTTTGGCTGGTGTCAAGCTTTGCTGCTGGGCTATGATTGTGTTATTCACATTGATATTGGAGAATAGCACGTGTGCACAACTCTGCTTCATCTTTAAGAGATCACTCATTCGCTAGGGCGCCTCTACAAACAGGTTTAAAAGATGTAGCTAGCATGATTATAATAGAGTAAGTACCACCCCTTCAAAAACTAGCCTACATTTCGATTTTGTTTTAGTTTTTTATTATTAATTAAGGGGAAGCAGTGTTTGTGCATATAAATTGAAAAAGAAGTCAAAAAATTGCGCACTGAAATTTCCAAAGTTTAATTTAAAATGAGCATCACTCTCTGCCCGGTTTGAGACATCACATTGATACAACCACTTTTCTCACACGATACCCACTCATCCTTTCGATCTTACTCTTTGTCTAGCCCAAACGCTTTTACTCACAATCACCTCAATCACCATATACACATAAGAATGTCAAGACCTGCTGGAAGAACTATTTTGGCGTCTACCATCGCCAAACCTTTTCAAGAAGAAGTCATCTCGGCTGTAAAGAAATTGAACTTCAAACCAACCTTGGTGGGCCTCTTAGCAAATGAGGACCCAGCTGCTAAAATGTACGCCAATTGGACAAGCAAAACTTGTGAATCCTTGGGCTTCAATTACAAATTGATTGAGGTGAACAAAAATGAGTTGGAAACGTCGTTGATCAAAGCCAATAGAGACGATGATGTAAATGGTATTATGGTTTATTTTCCAGTGTTCGGAGACAAGCAAGACCAATATTTGCAACAGTTGATTTCTCCTGAGAAGGATGTTGAAGGGTTGAATTTCTTATACTACCACAATCTTTATCATAACGTGAGGTTTTTAGATCCACCTAGGAACCAACAAAAATCGATCTTGCCCTGTACCCCTCTTGCAATGGTCAAGATATTGGAATATTTGGGTGTTTATAACAAAATCTTACCATACGGGAACCGTTTGTATGGGAAAAAGATTTTAGTTGTTAACAGATCGGAAATAGTAGGAAGACCATTGGCAGCTCTACTTGCAAATGATGGTGCCACTGTATATTCTGTCGATATAAACAACATACAACAATTTACACGTGGTGATGATTTGCTGGAACACAGACATTTGGTTGTTGATTTGAACGGTGACGACTACACCGTGGAGAAGCTTGCACCTCAATGTGACGTTATAATCACCGGTGTCCCATCCGAAAACTACAAATTTCCCACCAATCTCGTGAGACATGGAACAATAGTGATCAATTTTTCAAGTTCAAAAAATTTCGACGATGAAATCAAACAAAAAGCTGGTTTGTATGTGCCTTCAATTGGTAAAGTCACAATTGCTATCCTACTTAGAAACTTGATACGGTTGATCGATAATAAGAAGATCAGAGCAAACGAGGCCAATGAAGAAACATCAAGATAGAGAGGGAGAGAGAGTGAATGAGTGTGAGTTCGTTGGGATGATGAAGATTTTGAGGCGTGTACGGGTGATCAAATTATGTCTCAGTTTTTTAATCTTTGTTTAGATTATTTACATATAGACCAAAGCCATTTGTAGATACAAAAAAAAAAACAACATAAAAAAAAAGGTGGAGTTGATTAAAACCCCATAAGTCAAAATAAGATCGTATTACAGTCCATTGTCCGATTGACGGGGTTGATATAGTGCAAAAATTTAATGCAAGGGTTACTTCAACCATTCGCTTTTCTATCAAAACTTGTGGATAAATTGATCAGGATTCAAGACTGGTGAGATTTAGCATCTATAGACAAAATTGGCAGATACAAAAAATGAGCTACGATGATTCAAAGAGAGGAAACTATTCAAAAAAGAGGGTTTTGCCGATAGACCCTTTGGAAGTGACAGAATCTTTGGGGTTTCAAACTTATAGAAAAGGTGCTCGTAAGCCATGGACCAAAGAGGAGGATGCCGAGCTATCCAATTTGGTATCGAAAGAGTTGGAGTATGGTCGCGACTTGGAATCATTAGATTGGGATAGAATTGCAGAAACAATATCGCCAGATGGTTTGAGAAAGAGTAAAGACTGCAGGAAAAGATGGAGTAACTCTTTGGACCCCGCTCTTCGTAAGGGGAAATGGACTCCCGAAGAGGACGACTTGTTGGTAAAGGCATTTGAAAAATTTGGATCTGCATGGTTAAAGGTTGCGCAGGAGATCAAGGGTAGGACGGATGATCAATGTGCCAAGAGATACGTAGAAATTTTAGATCCAAAGACAAAAGACCGGTTGAAACCATGGACAGAGGAAGAGGATCTTTTATTGATAAAACAAGTTAAACGTTATGGGACCAAGTGGAGAACCATATGCAATGCCTTCGAAAGTAGGCCATCCTTGACATGTAGAAATCGATGGAGAAAATTGGTCACGGAGGTGGTGCGAGGGAAAGCGAGCTCCAAAATAAAGGAAGAGGTGGAAAGCGTCACCAATGGGAACTCTTCAAGTGTGTTAGAAACATTGAATCGACAACAAGAGGAACTCGTGAACAATAGCATGGATTTTGATGCGAGAGGGAGCATAAAGAGACGGAAAACCAGTGTGGGAGTCACGCATACGACTAATTCACAGTTTTCTACAAATCAAAATAAGCTCAGTACCAAGTCGGAAATAGAATGGCTTTACTCAATTGAGCAAAGTTCACAAGACCATCTCCATCTCAACGCACAAAGCAAAAAGCCTCATGTTGGAGAAATAAGTGATCGTGAAACGGTTAGGCTTCTCGTCGAGTATGCCAAGGCTCATGGTGTCGGAATTTCATTGCACCAGCACATTCATCATCATTATTCTCAGGGATCTCAAAACCAGCACAATGAGCTCACTTCTCCTGGGAGCTCAACGAGTGGGACTCAACTCCTTGAGCCAGAAGAGCAAATATCCCGCTTTCAACATTTCAATTACCTACCTCCAATGACACAAATACCCAAACTAAACTCATCCACTGATCAAAAGAGCAGCAATGACACAACACAGCATTATCATCATCATCACCACCATCATCACCATACAGAGAGTGCCAAAGAGAAGCGATCAATCCAAAGAAACAATTCGCATCGAGAGGGTTTTACCGGTGATAATGACTTAGTGAAGGAGTCGAATCTTCAGAGGTTGTTGAATGCTGATGAATTCAGCGGGGGCCACATGGGATCAAACCCAGCCCTAAATTCAAACCCAAACCCAAACCCAAACCCAAACCCAAACCCTTTGACACCTTTAACGCAGGCAGTGGAGATTGTCAGGGCAGCAGACGTGGCAAGTTATGCTAATGGTGGAGGCTTTTCTGGCAATGATTTCAGCGCCAATCATAAGGGTAGTGTTTATGATCCTCGAGGAAGGAATGCTCAGGAAAGTCCTGAATTATGGGAGCTGACAAAAACATCAACCCATCATAAAAGGAAGTCGCATCGAAATTCTTATATTGGTAATGATGCACGTCGGTCGTCCCAAACTAGTGCACAAACTCAACCGCAAGACAATGTCCATGACCTTACAAGAACACATACTACAAATCACGATCCATTACAATACGCTCGCAATGCATCACATGGAGAAAATGCAAACTCCCAATTCCAATCGAGGTTTTCTGAAAACAATGAAGAGGATGGGGAAGAGGAAGTGTTAGCGAGGGAATTGGAAGAGACTGGTATTGATGAGGATGTTTTGAATTCATATGGGTTATTCTATAATGTCTATACAAAAGAAGGATCGACATTTCCAGATGCACAGCCGAACCAACAGCCGCAACTGCAAAACACATATGGACAAAATGGAAATGCGTACGACCAATGGGGTAGTGATTTTATCATACCTTTTAATCCATCTTAAGAAAATATTCAAAGAAAAACGTTGATATTGTTACGATTCAATCACATACACGTCAACTCCAGACGATATATCTATGACAAGAAACGGTAATTGTGACAATAGTTGTTTAACCTTCGCAATTTACTTTCTCTTAATTATCCTCTTTAGCCACATGAGATGTCAATAAAGTACATTCCTGCATATAAAATAGCCGAATTTTATGTTCTATTTTTCTTTTTTTGCGTTGTGGTTTGTTCTTCTTTTTGGTGTTTACTTACCAGCTCTAGTTTTATTACCATAAAACCTATTGGATTCCAACCTATACTACTAGGCTGTAACAGGAACAATCAAAATCTGTGAGCCACTGAGTTCAAGCTCGTCTTGTAATAACCTGAAGTATCCTTTTGGACATTGGAACATTTATGTTAAGTCATAGTGTTATACGTACACGGACCCATCATGTCGAATGATACACATAACGAACTGAAAAGTGGAGTCCGTCTGGAAACTCTAGGATTGGACAATTCGAGGACTACAAATACATCTAACGAACACGAAGTGATAGGTTTGAAAAATAGTAAACTTCAAGATAGTAAACCAGGAAACTCGCCGTCAAAGAATAAGAAAAACTTGGAGATAGCAACAAGTGACCATAGCAAACTAGACGAACATTCTGGTAGTATGGAATCACCGAATAGAGCTAAAAAACCATTGGAAGATAAAAGGGTATTGAGTACAAACACAGCTGAAAAACAAGCTCGAATTTCACTGGTTAACTCTTCAAATGGTGGTCCCCAAATTGGAGCAAGCCAACACGTCCCTTCAAGCGGCAGCACAACACCATCGAGGGCAACACACTCTATACAGCCCAATGCCCAGCTAAATAGAGCCACGATCAACAATATCAACAAGTCATTGAAAGCGAAGCAAAAAGTTATACATTCAAAAGAGCCACATCCAAAGAACTCAACACTTATCTCTAATATGATTAATAAGTCACCACAGTCATCAGTTTTTCCCAACTTGTCAGCAGGACCCAGTAAAATCGATTTGGAGTTGTCGACACCTTCACAGTCAAACGCCAGCTTGACAAAGATTAATGGTGTTATCGCCCCTGCACCAACACCAAAGACGGGAAATCGAGTCGGCAATGATGAAAATGCAAAACACGATTTGACGCGACTACCACAGATGTCGTTAACATCACTTCCACAGTCACAAACGGAGGGCCAAACAAGGCAACAATCACAACTGGGGCTACCGTCAGCAAATTTCACACTCCATCCCAATATATCCAGTCTAAATACATCTTCCATGGCAAATTTGAATGATGCCGATACTTCAAACAAACAAGTAAAGCAAAAAAAGGTTGCCAAGCAAAGCTCGACAAAAACCGACTTTTTCGCTGCCAAACTTGCTAGTGCAGTGGACGATGTAGAAAGCAGTGATAGTGATGAAACTTTTGTTTATGAAAACAATGATGACACCTTTGATACGACAAATAACGCAAATCAGATGAATCCAGCTGACGGCGTGAGTATAAGTGGTAGTGTAAGTGGTACCCACACAAATCATCCAGGCGGTAAGAGACCCGCTTCTGTTTTGGAAGCTGAACAGCTCAACGACGTCAAACCGCATAGACTCATGTCAAGTAAAGCTCCATCTATTGCAAACTCGATGAATAGTCAGGTGCATATGGATACTCATGTATTGAGACGACCTGCACAAGTGCGCGCACTATCCGGGACTTCTATCATCGAAAGTGGTGAACGGAATTCTTTACTCAGTGGAATGCCAGACCGAGTATCGGTTCAGGACCTCAGTTTTCAACAAGGTGACAAAAATAGGAGAAACGTGAGTGTTGCAGAATCCATTGATGATGGGTCAAATGATGACGCATTTTCGATACAGGAGAGTGAAGAAGAAATGGGGAGGGGTACGTCCACGGAAGATGAGAGACTGGACAGAGCTAACGCTTTACAAGGAAGTACAGCACCTCAGCAATACCTTCAAGTTTCACAAGCCACAGCAGATTCGTCGGTTGGACAATCCGTATCTAGCAGGAACATTTCGAAACGAGAGCACAAGTCTTCGACAACATCATCAAAATTGAGATCCACCACGTCGAAACTATTTGATAAGAAAGGATCACAGCCTAGGAGGTATAGTACAATCCCCGATGACATTGATATCGAGGACTTTGATGACGAACTAATATATTATGACAACAGTGTCAAATTTCCCCACCCAGATGAATCTTCGTCTTTACTCAACTCAAGTCAGAGGATACCACATTACAGGTCGTTGAATTTGAATTTTCCAAGAACAAGAGGACAAAGTAAAAGATTTTTATCTACTGGTCAGCCATTAAGTCCTAAAGATCATGACTCAAACACGAATGGTCATCATGTTTACCCTTTTCCGTACCACGAGCAGCAACAGCAACAATTACAACAACAACAGCAGCAGCAGCAAAATTATTACTACGACGTTGACGACTTTGACCAAAAACCCGGATACAGTCCCAATTTTGATCTACCTGAACTAACGATGCACAAGAAAGCATCAAGAAATTTCAGTCCCATTAGTCATCCATATGCAAATGGAGTTCATAATTCATTGTTTATGGGTCATGCACCCATTAAAAAGAAATCGAGCTGTGTTCGGTCTTTCTTTTACACACTCATTTGCATACTTGTCGTTTTAACGGTGGGATTCATTTTAGGATTTGTCATGGCAACCACGAAGGACTTGACAGGAGTCAGCATTAACTCTATAGAGAACCCCATTGTCAGCAAGGATGAACTAGTTTTTAATGTGGTGGTGGAAGCGTTTAACCCTGGATGGTTTTCAGTTGATATCAATGAAGTTGAGTTGGATTTGTTTGCTCGAAGTGGATACCTCCCTGACGACGATAGAGTTGATATGGAAGAGAGTGACGCTAAAGTTGAAACGGTAAAGTTGGGAACCATACGCAGACTAGAGTCGACGATGAACTTTCGTGGCGGCTTTTTCTCTAGGGAGTCCACAATTCAAAAGGCAGAGATTAAGCTTCTCAATCCAGGAAAGGATGTGACAGAGCAAAGAGTTCAGAGCCACAATGGAACAGATCTGGATAATACCGAAAAGTGGGAAATAATCAGCGAGAACCCTTTTGACTTGATTATATCCGGTGTGTTGAAGTACGATCTTCCGTTGGTGTCGAGCACGAAATCAGTCGTTGTTAGAAAGATTGGCTATATAGACCCCACGTTATTCATTTGAGAGTAATTTTGAGCTTTTTTTGTTTTGGCACTTGTGTTTAGCAAAGTCCTCAAATTTCATATATAACCCTATCTCACTAACTCTGTATCATGTAGCCATTCTTGATTCCGCGATCGTCGTAGCGTCAACCTTATATTGTGACTGCGTGGTTCGAAAGATGTTGCGTGTGCATTCTCATTGCTAAGAAAAGGATCTGCGATCATCAACTTGGAATCAGGTGGATGCACTTCAAACATCAACAAAAACTTGACCATGAATATGTACATTTCCTTGACGGCAAAACTATACCCGGAACACATTCGTGACCCGGCACCAAACGAAAAATGTTGATAAGCTTTCGCAGTAAAGCTTATTTGGCCATTGGCATCTATCCATCTTTCAGGGTTGAATTCGAAAGGGCATTTAAAGTGCTTTGGATCATGATTAGCAGCATATGCATTCATGAACAATTGAGAGCCTGCTGGAATTTCCACTCCATTGTATATGATTGTTTTCGTCGTCGTTCGCGGAAGACTCAAAGGAAGTACAGTAAACTGTCTTAACGTTTCCAAAATCAATGCATGAACGTAAACATTCTTCAAGGTTGATTCATTCAGCTGTTCCCAAGCTTTTTGCACATCTCCACCACAATTAGCGAGAATCTCGTTAATTGCCTTTGACTGATATGCTTTTCCAATGCTAGGTTGTGAAAGTATCCCAAGTAAGTAATTCAAATTGAGCGGAGTATTGTCTAAACCAGCGCTTATAAAAGTCAAGCAAATGCTGTAGACTTCTGCATCCGTCAATTGTTTGTTGCCAGTTTCTGCTATCAATTGCCCAATAAAACTGCCTATACTGTCACAATCACCTAGATTCATTTTGTCTTCAAACCTTGCGAAAAGTTCACTCATATATCTCTCTCTTTTATTCTTGCATTGCACCGCCAAGGAAGCATTTGTCAAATTTGGGAGGTATTTCAACAATGGCACCGAATCTTGGACATTCGCAATGGGCGACCTCATTCTTATGATCTCACTTTCGTTCGATATTATTTCATTGCACAATGCATTATCTACCCCAAAACAGTCTAAATGCAAGCCATACATCAAGAACACGCTACATCGCAAGACAAAATATTTCAAATAATGACACACATCTACATCAACATTGATAGCAACGTTTTCAAGTCTGAACAAGGTCAACTCTATTTCCCGACAGATGGATAGTGAATAAGACGAGATTGACTTGGAGTTGAGAAACTGCGCAATAGCTCTCTTCTTTCTTTTGTATGTTGTACTTTGTGGCGTTGAGCCCACAGTGAAACTTTGATACGAGCTAATTAAGCCATGAAAAGTGTAACTCAAGGGCCTCGAATTATTTTGGCATGAGTGGTTCATCCAAAGCTCCACCACGTCATCATAATCGTTCACCACGATGACTCTTTTATTTCCTAATCTAATTTGAAACACCGATTTATCGTAGCGGGTAGCCCACACCAAAAAGACCTGTGATGGATTGTTTCTCAATAGACGCAAATGACCGATGATTGGTAATTCTCCCGGGATCGGGTAGATACCTTTAATTTTCAGTGGTTTATAAATGTAATCATAGACAATGGCAATCATCAAAAGCGCCACCGACACGAAACAAGTCCACCTTGTAAGCGGACTCCTTGCAATGCTATGAATATAGAGGAGGATACCATCCACAGTAGTCCATGGCATCAGAAGACCTCTTTAAGTCAAGATAGCAATACGTTGATTCGAAATAGCGAAACAATTATGTTATGTTTAAGTAAAATTTGAAGTGAAATGGAAATACAGAAAAATGATGGAAAACAAACTGGATTCTAGCTGGTGTTGTTATCTAGGACGACAACGTCAACGGGTAATTTTTGATATGTATTGAATGATGCACAAAAATAAAAAGATACAATGTAGTAGATAAGGTAACGTGTTTCTACCGCCAATCAAACCATTTCCTCCTTCTCTCCACCAAGTTTCTGATCTTTGTAAAACTCTCTTTGTGCATTTTGCCTCGCCGATTCAGTTTCTTCGGCTATAAGTTCATCAAGGTCATAATCATAGCTATTAGGATCAGTATTGAAATCCAACTTTTCAGCTTTTCTTCTTCTCAAACCAGTGCCCTCATCTCCAGCAAAGTTTTTTAACTTGATCCTGATTGGGATATCATCCGAGTGCAATTGAAGCTTCTCTTTTAATACACGAGCTTCCGTTTTCAAAAACCCTTCATCATCCACGTCATTCGAAGACTGCGCGAGTTCATCTGGTGGCACGTATCCATACTGGTAATCATCCTGATTCTCAACTTGCTTCTTGTTGTTTGGCCTGTGATCCTGTTTATGATGATGACGATGAGGGGTTTCAACACTGACCTTGGTTAACCCCGATAACGTGGGTAGTAGTAAGATAACGACGACGAGAATTATTGCAATACTGATTATGAGGAAAAACATGTTTAGAGTACCAGTGGATGGTGATGATATCACAAGATAATTTAGGGTTGTAAACTAGTTGCTAGGGGTATTTCAATTGGAACAGAATGAAAAAAAAAAAAAAAAAAAAAAAAAAAGAAAACGAAGAAAAACTAGTTCTTGCACAAGTTATCTCTCATTGGTTTGAGGATCGATTGTGCTGCAACCCAATAATTGCGTCAAATATACATACTCACACATTGAATCCATGCTTAGACGACTCGGTAAACAACAACAACATATCCTTCGCCTGGCTTTGAATAGCAAACTTGTGACAACCACAAGGTTGCCGATTTTGAGACTTCCACGTATTCTGGGAACCACAGTTACTAGATTTTATTCAATAAGCACACAAGGCGAAAATCTTGATGGCAAAATTGATCAGATTTCAGACGGAGAGTACAACAAGATTTCTAACGAGTATCTTGAAAATTTGACTGATGAATTGGAAACTTTGAGTGAAGACTATGAACAAGTAGATGCTGAGCTTAGTCATGGAGTTTTGACTTTGACCTTACCTCCAAACGGAACATACGTTATCAACAAACAACCTCCAAACAAACAAATATGGCTCAGCTCACCAATTAGTGGACCTAAACGGTACGATTTAATACAGGGCCAATGGAGAACTTTGAGAGATGGAAGCTTGCTTACAGAATTGTTGCAACAAGAAATAGCGGAAGCTCTTAAAATAGGCTTTGAGTTTGAATCAGTTAGCTCGTAAGAGGAGGAGGAGGGAGCCTACTTGGCATTTCGAGATTAAATACAGAAAATGGTGCTAATCATTAACTCATTAGACATGTGTATACAGAGCAACTATTTATCACTGCATCGAATTTGACATACCATAATATGGTATTGTAGAAAGGGCATCATTTGCCACAACCGTATTCGTTATTGGAAACAACAATGGTTTATTAACTTCTTTGCTTCAGATGACTTTAAAACTATTGAAGTGTCATTGTCGCAAGTTTCTTTTGCTTTTGCGTCATTGACGATAAGACAAAGAAAGGAGAGATTTCCAGTCATCGCCTTTGCCTACAAAAAATCAGATCCAATTTTTCTGGCTCAAACTTTGACCGTGTTTGACACGTTAATTATTACAAATATAGATTACTATAGGGAGATGCCGAGACTAAAATCGGTCCGTGGACCCAAACGATTGAGCAAAAATGTTATCATTGCACAGGAATACCATAGACAGGATGTGAACAAGTTGTTGATCACCATAAAGTTGCCCCCGGAGAAGCTAAAGCATGCCAACGAGAAGCAAGACACAAGTGCTCCAAATAGCATTCTCCAATCAGTGTCTATACCCGGGCTTGACTCAAACACCACAGACTATCAACAGAATGAAGATGCTACAGACTTGCTGAATATATTTGACTTCGATGCAGGGGAGTTTGAAGAGCTCGAAACGGCATTGAACTTAGCTTTGAACCAACCTCACACTGACCTACTAAGGAGCAGCGGAAATAGAGGTATGGATATAGTTGAAGCCTTGAAAGCTAGCCCGAAGAGAAAAGCTCTGACAGGAGAAGGGAGTGAAAAACCTAAGGTGCAACCTGAAAAAGCTCCTCCGCAACCTGCAACCCCAGTGAAACGTCGAAAGCCCAACAAGACTTCTTCTCGCCTGCCTAGAAAATCAGCTGACAACTATAGGCCCATACCTGCAAATATAGTGCCTATTTTGGAGTCAGAGTTACGAGGACTCGAAGATGAAGATGATGACGATGATACACCACAAATTGAGGTGGTGGGGTTTTCTTTGAAAGATCCTCTAGGTGGTAGTAAAATAAAATTACCTGTCAAATCGAGGTTTTGCTCACATTTTGAATGCTTCGACTATGAGAATTTTTGCCTTTTCCATAAAATACCGACGTCTATCAAGGACATGACGCGGAAAAGACTAATACAGAACAATTTCAACGAGTTAGCAAGAAGAAAGAATAGCACACAGTCATCATCACAAGAGTCACAGAGTCAAACAGCTCACCAAACCACCTATCAACAAATAATGCCGTGTCTGACGAACTTTGGTGTCAACTATAACTCACCCATGGTTATACAACAACTTAAACTTTCTCCATATGTCAAGATTGTTGATAATCCATTACCAGGAGATAGTTACACTTCGAAATTCGTCACACCGGGGTATCAAAGCTGTCCATTTTACTCTTGCCCCGTGTGTGACACCAAGTTTCCGTTGAATGCTTTGCTAATTAGTGACGCGTTCAATTATTTTGTCAAGATTACTTCTCTGCTGGCGGAGAGAATAGAGTTGATCGGACTGCAAAAGTATCGAGCTATAGGAGAAACAGACCCGATACTGAAAGCAGCTAACACAAACGATGAAAACGTCTTTGTGCTCAGTTCAGATGACGAGGAAGAGGAGAAGATAAGACAGGAATCGGCAACAAAACAGAAAATGAAACTCGGCAATTTTATCAATCGTTCTGCTCCTCCACCACCGCCCCCTGACTGGTTTGCACCGCCATATAATAGAACGAATCATGACACAGATCTGAACGACCAAGGAAACAGTCGTGAAGATCCAATAGTTTTGGATTGAGCGGTGCTTGGGTGTTTCATCCGCAATCTTTAAGAGCGGAGTAGTTGTGAATGCTTCTTGTCCTATGTAGTCTATGGATAGAATATGGAGCAGGGTGGTTGTTTCTCGATGGGGGTGTTCCATAAGGACAAATCAAGCGTGCTTTTGGTTGTAAGAAGCGTTCATCTCTACATGAGGAACTTAGGTCCGATTGCTAGGGTGATACGATATGGGTAACTTTACCCCCATGCTCACATAATGCAAGAATCTTGTAACTAACGACAGAGACGGTTGTTTATAGGAAAGTTAATGATATATAGAAAGAAAATGAATTGACATAACTGTTCTTTTATTGGCATTGAATTCGCAATCGCAAGCGAAAAATGTCAAACAAAACGAAGACACTCTTCTTCTGATAATTTACTATAAACATGTCCAACATAGAGGATATAAACAAGAAGATTCAGGAGCTCGAAGGACTCATAGAAAAGCAATCGAAGGTGATTGCCACCACCGGTCAGAAACTATTGGAAATACAAGTCAAAGATGTCAAATCTCGCATGACAGAACTCGACTCAGGGTCCAACAAACCACATTCGTTTGATGCTGCTGATTACGTTGGGAATGATGACATCGTACAACTTGTAACCGAGTTACAGTCACAATTGGATAATTTAGAGGATAGAGCTACTCGTCGAACTTACAATTCTACATTGACCAAAGACGAACAAAAATTAGCTCCTTTAAGCAACAAAGACGGCGACGAACCGCAATTTACACTTCCATCGACATTGAAAGAGTTTAAAGATATGACTAAAGACAAAGTGCTCGAGCTCGGTATATTCTATGAGATCATTTTGCCCAATGAAGAAGAGATAAATGAAGTTTTGGAAAGGGATACCGGTAACAGTAAAAATGACATAATTAATCTCGCCAAAAATAAGGATATTTCGAAATTAGAAGACCAATTTAGTGACGAACAAGTGGACGAGGTATACGATGAATTGGCCAGGTATTTTGGAATCAGACATAGAAAAGTCAGTGACGGCTGGTAAAGGACGCTACCCGGCTAGCTTCGTGTGCTCTCATCGTGGTTTATATAGACTGAGCGTTTGTATCTATCATAAAACGAACAGAATTATTTGCTCGATTGCATTAGTTACGTCAACCGTACTTCCTTGAATTCAGCGTAAGTGTAATTTCTTTCATGTATGTATGCAGGATTCGGATGTGGTGAAAAAAAAAAGACAACACATGAAAGAGAGGACCTTAATTAAGATACGCTTCTGGACCATCACCCATCTTACTGTCCACGATGTCGGAAGAAACACCTACTCCAGAACCCGAGTTGGTGAAGATATCTATCTTCACTCCGTTGATATATGTTGGAGTAGTATTGTCCATATTTGTGGTCTTTTCAATATTTTACAGGAGACGTAGACTTGCCAAATTTCAACAAATTGAACCTATCTTCAAAGACAACTATAATGCCATTTTGTACCAACAACTAAAGTCTCAATACACGGATCCTGATTTACCTAAAGATCAGAAACCACATGAGAAAGTGATGAAAGCTGCTTTGCTACGTAGAGGAGTTGAAGCTATCAGAAGAAGCATGAAGTTGAAAGAAAATGAACCAGTATTCAATAAATTGTATCAAAATGGTCTGATTGGAGATGATATGTTTAAGCAATTGGAATTTGAAATCAAGTTTCAGGAATTGGAGTTGCGGGAGATTGTCGCAGAAACTGAGCAATATAAAAAAGGCTGGTCGCAAACGTTCTTCCCCTTGGCTCAGGAAATATGCTTTAATGAGGCATTAAGACGAAGATTGAATGCAGTGGATGATAGAGCTGAAAAATTGTCTGAACTCTGGGATTTGTAGGTGCATGATGATGGATTTATGCGGGAAATACCAAATACAGTTGGGGTACACCACTGCGAGTATCCACTTGTTGGTTTCTAGGAATTCGTACTAGCTTTGTAGATACTTAGAACTAACCATTGTCTCACTTGAAATAAAGTTGGCCAATTAGCAGCTCATTGTAGTCGTTTATTCACTTCTACAAACTTCTATAGAATTCGCAACGCAGAAAAAGGCACTGACAATTGAAAGTTCATCGAAAAAGCGTAGTTCAAGGTACAACATAACATTACGAGGTACTTTTACAAACTTGCTGCTATAGAGAGAGCATGCTTCGGACTACTATGTTACACCGTCTTTACATTAGTGGATATAAACAGTTCACACGTTGCAGGCCTGCACCTTTCACAAGACGTTCCAATGCAATTCAAGTTAGACCTTATGCTTCCTATCGCCGTTTCAACAACTCACAATCATCAACAAATATCTACCAATACTACTTGCTGTTGCTTACGAGCAGAAAAGCAATGTACATAGGAGGCGGTCTTTTGGGGTTTTACCTTTTCAATCTTCACGAAGCACCTTTCACTCATAGACTTCGATTTATATGGATTCCATTTTGGATTGAGACCAAAATTGGTGATTATAGCTATAGACAAATAATGTCCCAATACGGCTCAATGATTTTACCCCATCTGAACCCACTTTATGGAAGAATTACTACCATTATGAATAAATTACTAGCAACAGCAATTGCTAATGATGAGGATCAGACCCAGAAAAGGCATTTACAACAATTGCATTGGGAAATTAACATCATTCAGAATGATAAATTACCGCCGAATGCATTCATATTACCAAATGGTAAGATCTTCATATTCAGTTCTATCTTGCCAATTTGCGAGAACGACGACGGTTTGGCAACTGTTTTATCTCACGAGCTATCACATCAATTAGCTCAACATTCAAGTGAGCAGTTGAGTTCGCAACCTATCTATATGTTCTTATCGGCGGTATTATACTCATTGACGGGAGTTTCATGGTTCAATGACTTGCTCATCAACGGTCTTTTCACAATGCCCGCTAGCAGAGAAATGGAAACAGAGGCTGATCACATTGGATGTGAATTATTGGCTAAAAGCTGTTTTAATCCTGATCAGTCCATAAAGTTTTGGGAAAGAATGGGGCAGGAAGAACAGAGATTGACTCGACAAATGGGTGGTGGAGGTGCTGCCAATTCAGTTTTGGGCCAATGGTTCTCTACACATCCCGCTACCACAAAGAGAATTCATGACATTCAAGAGTGGTTGCCCAAGTTGAGGGAAATGAGGGAAAGCAGTGGATGCTACGAATATGGAAGGTTCCATGACTTCAGCGCTAATTACTTCAAGAAATATTGAGACATATTCACATGGTTGTTATAGATGTGTATATACAAGAATTAGACCTTGTTAAACTTTTTGTACAACTCACTCTCCATATATTTAACCGACGAGATTCCACGTATCCAGGTGGACTTTGACTTCCATCCCAACGGTGAGATTTCTAATGACATTACCCAGTCATATTCATTAAGCTTTAGCAAGTATACAGAAACAACTCCTAATCTTTTTCGTGTTTTGAGACTCTTTTCGTCGTAGTATGGAGTCAGGAGTTTGATGAAACGATTGTATTGATCTCCTTCTTTGGCAAAACTTTTAGGCAACTTTATCTGACTCGTCACCCAGCTCTCAACTTCGTTTTCAAATATATTGATATTGAATTGTGAGTCGTCAATGAAAGTCGACAATATTTCATCTCTATGAATGGCGCTTGCATTGCTCGTTACATATTCGATTATTCTCTTCCCTATCAAGTCCACCACCTGCTTCTTCAACGAGTCATATTCATTATCGATATTCTCCTGAATATTGTAAATTTGTGTTTCATCAAATGGCAAAATCTTGACGATTTCTGAAGGGGAGTATTCTCCTGTCTGTGTGTTACCACAATCAATTATTTGACTAGAATTCTGTGTATACAAGTCACGTTTGATTTTTCTGTTTAAGTAATACCCAGCAATCAGTATAGGAGGCACCAAGGTAATCCAAATTTGTGGATGTAGATTAACAAATGCCAAAACCCCTGCACCCAATACACTTAGATGTTTCAATTGATATGGTATCAAATTGTTCCAAATTAAAAATGGGTAAGTCTTGTTTGCTACGTATGAGTTCCGTGGTATCCCGGTATAAGATTGGAATAGTGTACGTTTCGAGGCTTTAAAGCATATCGGTCTTTTAAGCATTTCAATGTCGGCAGCTCAGTACGCGATGTAAGTAATATTTTTAGACAATAAGGATAAAATGAGATTTTGCGCTCCCAATGCCACTAACCGAATGAAAATGTATAGATTACTATTACCAAAGAGAAACCCTCGCTACAAACGGCAATGAGATGCTTCCTTGTAGTACTCTGGAAACGGAACTTGATCTACTAGATACAACGTGCATCGATATGAATAAATTTCTTTGCACTTTAATCATTGATATCAAATGCTGATAACATCGAAGCTTGGTCCTTCGTATCGAGTAGTTTGGAAGAAGTTGTTCGTTCTGGGAGTCGCGAGTCTAAACATGACCTCTTTAAGTAGACCAAAGTAATAGATGCAACTTCGAACCAATCTCTGAGACAAACCAGCAATCAATAAAAGCCCCCTCTTTCTTACCAACACCACCTTCAATACTTGATATGTACGAGCGTGTACTAGGGCACAATTTTTGTTTACTTGGGTGCAAAAAATCAAACGTTGATCCTCGACACCAAACATACAATTTTACATACTCGTCTGATAGTCATATAGGGTTGGTATAATAGAGTGGTATAGCAGAAAGTATATGCATCAATCCACCACTGAGCTCAACAAGTTACATCTCGTCCACCTCTCCTCATAAGCGTGTGCGCTTCAACCTACAACTTTCCCTTCTTATATTCCTAATTATCTCTCCTCATACATTTCATTATACTGTTGCAAAAACTTTGATATGTTAAAATTTGACACACCATAGAGAAATCCAACTTCGAATTACAAGATCCATAAACTACATCTCACTTGTTCGTCTTCACTAACATTCTTCCCCCCCCCTCAGAAATTGACAATAAGACGAATAGTAGTCTCAATGAACGCCAAGTTGTTCCTAACAATCAAGAAATCACATCCTGGGCTCATGAAAATTTGGCGTACCAAAATGACAAAAGTTAACCTCAATCAAGTAAAAGCTCTCTGGAACACACTGAAACCGAAAATGAACCCAGTATAATCATTCTCCCTGAACCTGTAAAGCTTGTTCCTGATGGAATTAGAGTCATTCCTGTTCCAGAGGTGCAACCACTTCAATATTTGGGATCTGGTACATCTGCAAGTGTTGATGAGAAACAACTTCATGTGTGAGGAATATCGCGGCACTCGTGCGATACTCATTTGAAAACTCATCTTGATGGTTGGTTAAGTTTGCTGATGCAGTTTTGATGGTATTGGTTGTTGGTTTTTTATGTTTTCATGAATTGATATCTTTTGTTTTACATTACTTGGGAAGCTTTGTGTTGAGAATGGGCCAGGTTGTAGATGATGATCCCTTTGCCGAATCTTCTTGCTCTTTGTTGAACTGTATCAATCAAAAATGGTGCTGCAACGCTTCCGTTTTCAGGGCATTTGAATGTTGGTGCTCAACGGGCCAGACTTTCATATAGAATAAAGTGTTCATCTGCGTTCTATCTATACATATCTAAAAACTGGTACCTCGAAGCTAACAGTCGACAGGGTGAGTATCTAATTTGGGGACTTATACGAACTGGTGCGCGAATGTCTTACTGAATCTTTAAGAAGAATAGGTGTTTCGCCTCTAATTCTCAATAAAAAACTAGCAAAGGCCCCACTCTGGCATTTAGGTCCATAAGGTTTTCCATAACGATGATATATGTACGTTCTTGTTTTGCGATATCACTCACAAGGAATGTGCTCTCCGGTATCTTGGATAGCGTGAGCTTAATTGACTATGGAGCTAACCAATACCCACCGTCTCTAGAGGTCCAGTAATTAGTCAAGACAACATGTAAGTGATGAGATGTACGTGGATTTTGAAGAGCGTTGCTGGCTTTCCATTTCTCGACAACGTCGCGTTGCCGTTGAGCTCATCCCTGCTTCAGTCAGAGAGAGTGCACTCTAAGTTCACATATCTCGCTATATTGCAGCGTATTCATTAACCAATCCAGCTGATGCATAAGATTCAAACGCCCAATCTAGATGGCAAACGTGGCAATTATCTTCTTAACAACAGTACTCTATTCACTATCATTGTCAAATGCTACTTTCAACCTTCCCACTGACTTCTTCTTGATATTTAGCCTGATTGGTGTTAATGTTCTACTGGTGGACTCTCTACCCCCTTCAGGAATGATTGTGCTTGGAGCAGATTCTTCTATAGGAGAGTCCTTTCGTTTCTTCATTTCCATTTCTTGTCCACGTTTGATCTGCTCTTGAATCAACTTATCATTCATCTCATTATCCACCCTTACATGTTTTTCTTCTTCTCTAGTCTTTAATTTCTCAACTTCTTGTGAGTCAATTAACCTAATCTCCAAATTGAAACCTTCACTATCCACTGACTCATCATCATCGTTATCATTAGTTTTGATCACTTTAACTAGCCCATTTTGGCCCAAGTGTTTAACAAATGAAGTCAAACTTTTCCAACGTGTCACATTCATGTGTATATGATCACGCTGTCGGATATATTCCTGATAGAATCTATTGGCATTAATTGATTTGGTACCATGGCTGACCCGTAAGAGGCTCAAAAAGTCAGTTTGAAATTGCTGGGAGTAGTTGGAAACTATACTATTAGATTTTCCACTAGATTGTAAATTAGATATTCGACCTAAGTGAGACTTTGATTGAAGATGGTTTTTGAACCCGTTGGCATCACGACATTGTTTGGAACATATTTGACAATAAAACTTTAACTTTTGTAACCCGCTTGCTTTCAATTTTTTGGCTTCATATTTAGAAGTACCGATTTCTGCTCGAGCCATAAGAGATGTGATGTGGGTGTCTGGGTGGTTGGGTTGATGCGATATATGTATAGAAAATTGCGTTTTGTAAAATCTCGCTTAAGAGAGAGGTTCATAAAATTAGGAGGGCAAGAACACAGAGGACAACAAATGCTTACATCAGCTGTAGCGAAAACAATGCTACACGTCGCGAACAAAGAAAACAGTGCTAACATATCTGCGTTCCTTTGTTCCAATATACATCAATTGGTAGAGAGTGGCAATGTATAATGACCCAGTGAATTTGCGGACCTCTACACGAGATATGGTTTTAGTATGTTGAACTGTCTAATCATTATATTCTATCTAAAATGAAGTATTCCACTGATTTTTCTCTGCTAATCGCTCAACTATTCAAGCGTCAACACGTTCATAACACAATACATACACATCTGTCGATATCATTTGTGTCACATCTTGACCGCGTCCATCAACACCAAACCTCAAGGTACCGTTGCTGAGATTTGGTCGGACATTTTCGTCATCAAAGTTACACCAACAAGGGTGTTTTAAATTTTCCAAGTCATGTTTCAGCTCGTTTACTGTCGATTTGTTAATTAACGCAGTATAATGACCGCTTTTCAAATTACCATAGTGGTTAATGACCCCAGAAATCTTGTACACAATTTTGTGTCCTTCATTGTTGAAGTGAAGCTCAATCGGATACCGAATGGGAGTGTTTAGTTTATCAGTCAAGTTGTACATCGAAAACCTTGACAAATGGATGAATAATACTGGAGGCAATTTAACAAAACTGAGTGATTTGGTAGATATTGTGTCTGCTGATGAAGATTTACTGCCATCGGATGTTGATGATGATTTTTTTGATTTACCTAACTTGAATAGTCCCTTTTTCTGCACAAATACTGGATGATTCTCTACCGTTGGTACTTCTCCATGGCATTTGGGGCATCTCCATGCATTTTCCCCGGAAAGTGTTTCATCTTGAATGTAGTAACTGAGGCATGACGTTAAATCAACAACTTCATTGGCTCTCTTTGTATTTGGTATAGGCAATGAGAGTATCGAAAATGTTGAATAGGTAATTGATTCATAACCGCACTTGTTACAACGAAGTTTGTTTTGCAAATGCCCCTGAAACAAGTCCAGTATTGGGCTTGACCCTTCTTGTTCGTGTAAAGACTTCCACCACTTGAAATAAGACGGCTGACTCTCAATAGACACATTGATATTCCATTTTGCACACAAAATCGCAGGATCAAAATTATCCGTAGTTTTGTCACAAAGCTCAGCATGTAGTCTTTCTAAAAGAAACAAAAGAAACTCCTGCGAATCCTGTTGTTCATGGGGGATGTTAAAGTTCGGTTTCAACAACGAGGTAACGCGAATGAACTTCGTGGGTGAGACTGAAACACCCCCATTTTGTTGAAAGGTGCGCAACAATCCTGCAATTGCCTCACTCAATAAAACCGAATCCTTCTTGTGAGAGTTGGGATGTTGCATAACCTTTACAAAACTGGGATCCCTGACATATTTTTGATACCCACGATTGAATATGACTTTGAATGAATAGACACCAAAGAGCATTTGTATGGTGGAATTGATATAGCATGATGATCCAAAGTTTCTCAACCCGCAAATAGCGTAATCCTTTAATATGCTCATCTTTCTCAGTTTGATTTGTTCCTGTTGTTCTAATACATGAGCCGGTATCATTGGATGTCCATGTGAAGAAGGATGAGCGTATAGTTGTGGGTAATTGGACTGATGGTATTGTTGAGGGTATTGGTAAAAGTTGGTAGGATATTGATATTGCATAGTACTGCCATTACTATGGGATGGACCGAAATCTGGATACAATACAGGCTGATGCTGTGGTTCTGAAGGAGGAGGAAACGACGGCATTGGGGTGGTAGAATGCTGATAAAAAGATGCACTAGTTTGTGGATGCAAATGTTGACGACCGTTCGGCGCAGAGTGGGTTGTCTGGAAATACCTCTGATTTGTCAGTGATGGATCAAGAACATCACGTCTTGCGTTCAAGTTTTCAGATTGGGTTGTGGAAATGCGGGGTCTAGTTGATGCACGATCGTACCGCAACGGATCATTGAGCAGACCAGTGTTTTCAGAGACATTTGTTAGAATTACATCCTCGACACCTATTTTTGAAACAATGTCATCTTTCGGGTATGGGTTTTCATGATTTTCAGGACTGTGGCTGCGATTGTGGCTGTGGCTGTGGCTGTGGTGGTGGTTGTGATGATTATGAATCTTGTCAGACTCCTTGACCTTGCCATTTCTACCCAAATGACCATTCGTCGCACGAGAATCCTCTGCAATGTTTACTGAGGCAGAAGTCAGCTTCTGATTGGGCAAATTCGGCGGCACTGTAAGCGGAATAGGTGGAGGTGGCTTTTTCATTGCTTTAGCATTGACTGTCTTATCCAATGGTGGATTAATCAGACCGTTCTGTTTTGGCAAATGCACAGATGGATAGCGCACTTTGAATCCGTCAAGAGAACCCAAGGACGATTGACGAGAGCTTTGACCGACCCTCAGCACCGGTGGATAATCCGTTTTAACAAATGACAACTCATCATCAAATTCATTAGACTCATCACTTGAGCCATTGTTGGTGCTTTTGGTGCCATGAAACTGGTCCTCATATCGACTGCTAACACTGCTGCTTTCAGTTTCATCCACAAATGCCCTGTTTGGTTCCAGGGCATCATAAGATTCTTCTTCACCACCTCCAACCTGGTCTTTCTCTCGGAGGTAGTTTATATACTGAAACAACCACTCATATAATTCTTCGAGATCGAAACTCAACAAATTCTTCTTGGTAAGATACAGTTTGATGTACAGCCGTAACTCAGTAGACGTCACAGTATAATTTCCATTTTGGAAAACTTGGTCGGTATTGTAGAATGCAAAGATATTTAAATATATGATGAAATCTTGTTCATTCAGTTCAATGAATGCATCAAATCCATCGAAATGAAACATGACAAAACTGTTTATGAAGTAATTGAAAATCAAAAATCCCTTTGTATAACTTTTGATAGCTTGCAAGTGATCGGTCGATTCATTGGCACTCTCATATAGAGATTCGCAATAATCAATGAGATCAAAAAGTGATTTTGTTTGAAGATCAGTATCCAATTGTAGGCTCCTGAATTCGTAGTTGATGACTTTTGTATAATAGTATTCAACATCCTCTTGACTTAGCATGGAGTTGATGGATCCTGATTGTTGTATCGGTGTTGCGTTGAGTGGCTGGTTTGATGGCGGCGAGGAAGACGAGGTGGATATTCGCAGTTTGTAATCGCGTACATCAAGGTTACCATTGCTGATGCTGCCATTACTTTCGGGGCTAAAACTGCTGCTAGTTTCATATCCAACATCAACGTGGCTGTGTCGCTGGCGATGGTCCTTACTATCTGTGGAATTCATGACGGGCACTGAACCAAGCTGTGGATGTGATTTGAGAATTTCTGAAGTCTCCTTGTGGTGTTGGCTATGTATTGGAGGGTCATGAGGTGGTAGAGGCGGAGGCGGTGGTAATTTCTTAGATGACAAGTATGTTGCTGATAGTTTAGATGGTGATGATGATACAAATGTCATGATTTATGGTGAGTTTGGAAATCTATATCTTCTAGAATAATGGGATCGTTCAGCAGTGAGTCATTGAAAGCGTGGCTTGTCGATAATTTGTTTCGATACTTGAAATCTGGGCTTCAAGGATTATATGCGGAGAACTCGAATAAGAAATGAGCAACACACGTTTTTTCAAGGTAAAGTCTTGGAACTTTGAGCGTATCCCTTGTCAAAATATGTACCTGGATAATCCGATACGTCTTAAACTTTGTGGTGTACCTATTCTATATGTTTTTCTCGAGGCAAATGTTTAATCCATGGGGATCAAAACTTTGATCACTGTTTCGCTTTTGAGATAAATTTTGACTGTACTTCCAATGACGCAATTCACTGCATTTTTCCTCTTTTTGCGACATTGAACACATGGGGCCATGATACAGTAATTATAGAGAAAGATGGGTTCTGTTCGAAAGCTTGATCTACAATGCAACCATTCCATCATTGTTTGTCCAACTTACTCTAAATGCAATCTAAGCTACTTAACAGCATCATATGCCTCAAAACTCCGTTCTACTCTTGACATTTGTGATTGATGATGAAATCAGCAACTATAGGGCGATGATCACTCATGTAACGTCCGTTAAACTTGGAATGCAACATTCCAAATTGAATCAATGCTAAGTCAGCCTTTTCTTCAAATATATTTGACTTGATACTTTTGTCACAAATTGAAGTAGTTCCGCTTGTGCCACCTATTTGGTCAATTCGCTTTGTGTACTTTGGAGCAAAAATATAATCAATGTTCTGACCACCGTCCCGCAAAACTTCCCCCTCAAATCCCGTTACCGTTGATTTGAAATGTCCGAACCTATTTCCAACAGAGGCTAGCGAAACACTATCAACCATAAATTCTTTGATCTGTTTGATACAAGCTTCATTTGGCTCAGCGTTGAAATCGCCCGCGACAAAACTGGGCCATTGATTTTCACTCCACTCAACCAACTGATTGATTTTCTTCAATATTAATTCAGATGAGCCAGATTTTGCAGTTTTGCCAATGTGGTCGAAATGGGTATTGAATACACTTATGATGTTGTTCAGTTGCTTATGACGAAGTGTTACGACTGATGCGATTCTGGTGTATATTGCATCCCATCCCTGTAAAGAAGACCTGGGGTCCTTGTCATTTAGCCAAAATGTGTCATTATACAACAATTCCCATTGATTTGTGTTGTATATTATTGGAACTAGCTCTCCCAACTCCTCCCCATTGACTCTCCCCACTCCGTAGAATGTCCATTGTTTGTCGAATTTATTCAACTGAGCAAGAATATCTAGCAATTGATATTTGTAAAGTTCTTGCAAGGTAAAAATTGTGGATTCGGTGGAGTGAAATTTCATGGACGAGGTTATGTCTTTCACTCTTTCATCCCAGGATAGTTCTCCGGGAATTAGATCATGTGTCCCACCATTCTTCACATTGTGCGAATATATTCTGAATTTCAATGGCTTGATGTAATTATTTGCCAACGTTTGTGTCAAACCTTTCGGTACCGGAGGCTCAGATTTGGTGACAGTTTTGAGGAATAGATTTTGAGGTGGAACCCCTAGTAGTTCCTTTTTGCCAGAAGATACTGGTGGAATTTCCAGTGGTGGAACTGCATTAACTTCACCAAGAAATTTCTTGGGGTTACTTGGATCATCTAATTGTGTTGGTGGTAATGATGGTAAAACATGCGAGCTTAGTGTCTCGGTAGCCTGTTGCTGGGCAAGCTGTTGTTCAAGTAGGTATTCTTGCTGCTCCAAGGACTTGTATGATTCATAGTCAAACCTGAGGTTTCCTGCTGGATTCTTGGTGGATAGTTCAGACTTTTGAGACACGATGTAATAAATAAGAGCCAAAGCTGTTAAGGTTACCAACAGAGTGATCCTAAACCGCGATTTCATGGAGCTGGCCATATTCAAAGTTTTCAGATCGAGTGCTCGCCTTGTTCGTGTCGGTGATTGATTAGGTCGGTTGTGGAGTGCAGTTGTGGAGTGCAGTTGTTGTGTATCCTGTATTTTTTTTTCGGCAGATGTCGTATAACTAGTCAACGATGCAGGAGACGTATATATACTCTATTGAATAATTTGCTGTACACTGGTACAACAAAAGAATCATTTTGTTAAATGTATTATTTTCCACTTTAGTCTGATAACTACGCTACCACTTTGATTCAAAGGGGAGAGGTGGAAAGGAAAATCCTTGATAAGGTGAACCTAAGCATTCAACACAAATGACTAATTTTCCTTGTATACCCATCTACAATATCAACACCTCAAGATTAATTCTTAATTACATAGCTTTTTCATTTGAGGATCAACACGAAGCTCCCCTTCCTCCCCGACGGTGGCAATGTTGTGGGATTTTTTACATCTACTCTATGTTTTTACCTATACTTCTATTGTGGGTTTGTGTCATTATAATTTCTAATTTCATAAATCAAATGATGTCATAGATTGTAACCTCTTGTATTCAGTATACACCCATCTCCTACTTTCTCTTTTGCTTTTTCGCTTCCCCAGCATTGGCAAACTTCTATTCCCTTTTTGAATTGGACAAATAAAAACGGGTGACTATGGTCTATTTCACAGTTGTAGATTAAGATGGGACGATTTATGGGCCAAAAGCAGCAAGCATTTCCTTTTTTTCATAATCCTGTTCACCTAACACTTATACTATAAAAGAACCTTTCCCGAGCTTCATGCTCAATGTTGTGTTGAATAGAAACATGTTCAATCGCCTTCCGTCTAGAATGTAACCATTTACCACATATAGTACAACGACAAACCATGATTTTATTGCCTCTATTATGTTCAACGCGCCTGCGTATGATTGGAAATTGATGGTGATCAAGGGAGTCGTCAAATGGACTAGAATTATAGGGTGACACGTATGGATAATGTTGTTCGTAGAGATGCAAAATTGAAAACTCTTTACCTTGCTGATGCTGGCGATGAAGGTGACGAAACTCTAATAGGAAGGAAATCTTTCACTTTTTATTCTTTTTAGACGACAGCTACTGTGCTTAATTGTATTTGTTCTTTTTCGTGCCGATCCCACCCTCTCCCTTTCCGTAAATTTTGGTTTGTGGTGTATTAATACTATGAATCTACAGTATATGTAGGTAGAGTTAAAGTGATACGTTTTTGTCAAAAGAGTGTAGCTAATTGGACCAGGCCATCCCTTGAAACTTCAACTAAGTTTTTAACAAAACTAGTTATCACTTGCGGAACAAACTCATCGATGGACACGATGCGACGGTGTACGGCACGTAGGATCAATATGAATAATGGAGTATAGTGCTTTACGTAGTTATTACAATTGAAATAATTCTGTTTCTACTTCGCACCCCTATCACAAAGAGACGCTCTTTTCAAAAACACACAAATTAGAACTCGAAAAGGATCTAGACCAAATTTTCTTCTAAAAAGAGAGCTCTCCATAGTCAAAAACGACTGCAGTCTTAGTTCATGTATGGTCACTTCCTTTGCAACTGGTAAAACACGCTCTGGGGTTCAGTTTCTCAAGAAAAGCGACTACACACGGATATTTTGCACAGTGCATGAACATCGACAACTGATTGAAAAGAAAGTAAATGAACAAAGAGCAAGAAAATTCGGCAAAGAGATCATCATCTACAACCTGGCCCATTCTCAACACAAAGCTTCCCAAGTAATGTAAAACAAAAGATATCAATTCATGAAAACATAAAAAACCAACAACCAATACCATCAAAACTGCATCAGCAAACTTAACCAACCATCAAGATGAGTTTTCAAATGAGCGTCGCACGAGTGCCGCGATATTCCTCATACATGAAGTCGTTTCTCATCAACAATTGCAGATGTACCAGATTCCAAATATTGAAGTGGTTGCACCTCTGGAACAGGAATGACTCTAACTCCATCAGGAACAAGCTTTACAGGTTCAAGGAGAATGATTATACTGTGTTCATTTTCGGTTTCAGTGAGTTCCAGAGAGCTTTTACTTGATTGAGGTTAACTTTTGTCATTTTGGTATGCCAGATTTTCATGAGCCCAGGATGTGATTTCTTGATTGTTAGCAACAACTTGGCGTTCATTGAGACTACTATTCGTCATATTGTCAATTTCTGAGGGGGGTGGGGAAGAATGTTAGTGAAGAAGAACAAGTGAGATGTAGTTTATGGATCTTGTAATTCGAAGTTGGATTTCTCTATGGTGTGTCAAATTTTAACATATCAAAGTTTTTGCAACAGTATAATGAAATGTATGAGGAGAGACAATTAGAATATAAGAAGGGAAAGTTGTAGGTTGAAGTGCACACGCTTGTGAAGAGAGTTGGACGAGATGTAACTTGTTGAGCTCAGTGGTGGATTGATGCATATACTTTCTGCTATACCACTCTATTATACCATACCTGCTGGCCCATTGCTACTCGCCATTTTACTCAAATAAGATATATTTCAATAATACGGTGAGCTGAATCAATTTGAAACACATTTACTACTGCAACGAGCTCACTCTTTTACAGGTATGGCGTAAGAGTATATAAGGTCTTTCTCGGTTTCAGTATGTCATGCGCATAGGAATCTTATGTGCTGAGAAATAATTCTTTTCTCAAGCACCATTATGGCTTGCAATAAATATCATCAACAACCTGCTTGCTTGGAATGCCGTTCATACTTGGTGTTTAAATAAAACATGCATTTGGTTCTTGTTCTCCTTTTGGAGTGTATTTTCGGCGTCGGAGCTGCCAATTAGGCTCTATGAGAATACTCGGCATCGAAAAGAAGGCGAATTCTTATTGAGACATTTTTTAGCGGAGATTGCGATAAAACCGTCGACAGCCCAGTCCGGAAATCTTACATTACAGTCTTAATTACGTTTTTAAAAACTTTTGCGGAGCAATTGAAAGACAGGCTTTAAATCCGCCAAGCTTTGTACGCGGTTGTATAAATGTGCCGAACCGATGTACCAGCGCGTGTTAGTGTCAGTAGTTAAAACAATATGGCAATGTCAAACCCCTTCTTTGTGCAACCCGACGAGGAGCGTCTTTACGTTTTCGCCAACAATTTTGTTTCACTTACAATGATAGTGGTTATATCGTACAATGGGGGTATGGGCTTTAAAGACCATTGACAGATAGTGTTGTTTTCTAAAGTACGTGAGAAGGTTAAAAGTTTTGCGAGTCTCCACATATAAAGCACGCTTTTGAAGCTTGTTTTAACTTAAAATCATCATCTCTCACCTTAAAATAAAGAATACAACTAGGAAATTTTATTCTTAAAAAACAGTAGTATTTCTCAAACTTCACTCGATAGTGGTATATGGAGTAGTGCTTCTAAAAATAGATTCTGAAATTTTTAATTTAGATGCGGCTTTTCTTTTACATTGTAACTCAAAAACCCATTGTCCGATTTTAATTGTGGGAAGCAAATACGTCGTCTATAAATAGCAACGCATGAGCTATCGATCAATTACAAGCCTCATTCAAGAAAAGACTTTTCAAGAGCACCACTTTTTAATATTTTAGGACAGACATGTTAAATTCAAGAACACTTCGAAACCATTAAAGCTGTTGAGGTCTTCAATAGAAGGAAATCTCATGATAGCAAGAAATTCTCACTTCATCACGAAGGATCTTTTTTTTCAATCTCATTTTCTATTGTTTTTGAGCAACCCGTTTCATCGCTTTTTGACCTACACAAATAACATAGCCTCGATTCAATGGTGATGAGGTATTTCCTCGTTTTCCTTATCCTAATGGGGAAAGTCTACTCGCTAATATGCCACTTTACCGTTTGTGTTGCAAACTATACTTATAATTGTGCTTTTGTAAATGTAACCCAGTCAACTGTCACTGGCTACCTCTTTATTCTGGGTGATTGTGTAAGCCTTCTTTGCGACCATGCCGATATGCAAGAACCAGACTCATTGATTTGTATACTGTCTCGATTTAACACACACGACATGAGTCACCCTATGGTCTGTTCCAAAGATAGCAACTTCTGGTTCTAGACTATCGTAGGAATGAGAGCCTAGAACGAGATTTAGACTGGGGCGAAGAATCAGCGTTGTTCTTCTCATTGGTGGTGTAGATCTGCCACCAAAACCCTATGCACTCGACAATCCTCTACATTTGGGCTGATGGAAATCATGGCACATTACAAGCTCATCAACAGCCACTCAAGCAAGTATATATATGTACGCTCGTGTCATCTCTTTTCCTCCCTTCCCCTCCCATCATCATCCAAAAATAGGAACTTTGGTTCTAGTACATCTTTGTGTTAGACAGAACTAAGGATCCTCATCTTCTTCTTTGTTACTAGTGGTGTCGTAGAAAACCCTCACAAAAGTAGACGCATCGTTTCTTACCAAATCCTCTTTTTTTTTTTTATTTATTTTTTTTGGTGAATGATTGAGGTTAATTTCAATTGGTATTTAAATACACAACAAAATATTGTTAGACATTGTACTTGCCAAGGGTATTGAAGCCAATCAACCATCTTGTTGTAATTAGAAGATCACATCTGTCACTCCTTCACATTCCATATATCAGATTGGAAATAAGAGAAAAAAGAAGTTACTATGGGTAGGAGAAAGATCGAGATCCAGCCTTTATCAGACGATCGAAATCGAACAGTGACATTTGTCAAGCGTAAAGCCGGACTCTTTAAAAAGGCTCATGAATTGGCAGTTTTATGTCAAGTGGATCTATCTGTGATAATAGTGGGGAATAACAATAGGATTTATGAATACTCTACCGTGGATACCAAGGAAGTACTCAATTGCTATGAAAAGACATTAAACACTAGAAAACATGTGCATGAAGCAAAATCACCGGAAAATTATCTGATATATCGTAAGAAGCGTCATTTGCATGAACCACTAACTGATAAAAAAGGACGTGTTGTTGGTACCACAGCACATTTGCATGATGACGATGTTGATCAAGATATGTTTGGTGAGGACGAATATGAAGATGATGACGATGAAAGAGATGATACATCTGAAGGGGAGATACTGACACGTACGAGGAAAAGACCACGCAATCGCCAAAGTACAGCAACAACGAATAAAAGTCGTAATCCCAAGGTGTTCAATAGCAAGAGCTCACCCCCGCCTCCGCCTCCATCACAAATATCACTAAACAACGTCCCACCTTTCAACAAGTACAAGAAACCCAGTATCACCGTTTCCAGCCACCTGCAAAGTCTGCCACCTCTGCAACTGCAGCAAAATACTCCATCGCCGAACATGGGACGCAAGGAAAACTCATCACGACCAGTTTTAAGGGTGCAAATTCCTACCGACGCAAAAGGGAATCAGACCAAGTCGGGAACATTCAATTTGGATATAAAGGAAACAGGAAGTACTGATACCGCACGAACAATTACTGCAGTGGAAAACACCAGTTCTTCAATGAATCAATCGTCAAATAACCACACAGGCGTAAGTGGTAGTACGAGTGGAAGTCATCATGGCATTGGTAATGCTCAACATTCAATGCATCTTGGTGATGGGGATGTGCTTCATAATACTGCAAACAGCAAATACGGAGCTACTAATCACTTGATGCGTACGCAAACCCCATCGGCAAAATTTAGTGGCTACTCCTCTTTTCGGTCTCCTGATTCACGAAAGCCAACTTTACCACTTCCAATCAATTCCAAATCGCAGACGTCATCGCCAGCGAGCGCTACTTATCCAGGATTACCTAACCCATTAACCCAATCAAGCGGAGGTGGTGTTAATAGCCGAAGCAGTAGTGGTGGGAGCAACGTAAATGCACCTCATATAGGAGACAACATTCAAGCGGGGGAACGACAAAACAACAACTTGGGCAACAGTAATAACAACAATAATGAAGTCATGAGTGCGGACAATAATAATTTGTTTTCGCCTTCGGGGGTGAATCTCAATTCAGGATCGTTTTATTCCATGAACCAGGGACCATCCAGTAGCTCGTATATGAACTACTCAATGCAGGGATTTAACCAGCAGTATCAGCAGTATAATCAAAACGCGTCTAATCAACAAAGTCTGCAACTGCCGCACCCACAAACGTATCAGCAACAACTGCACCCACTACTGCAACTGCTGGCTTTGCCTCAAAGTGCCGTAATTACTAGCGAGCTGCTGGGACAGCTTCCATCAGCACAGCCACAAGATTCAGCAACAAAAAGTCGTCCACAGATATCATTCTTTGGACAGCATGGTCAACAAAACCTACAAATGCAACAGCAACAACAACAGCAACAACAACAGCTGCTGCAGCTGCAGATGCAACAAAGTTTTGGCAATAGCGGTGGTGGTGGTGTTGGTGGTGGTGGTAGTGCTAGTGGTGGTGTCAATGGAGAGCAGACCCCAATATCAGCATTACCATCTCGCTATGTGAATGACATCTTTCCATTCCCCTCACCTTCCAATTTCTTGGCTCCTCAAGATTGGTCCACGGGTATGACTCCCACAACATCTCAAGCTCCACAATTTTTCATGAGCATGATGCCATTGAATAGCGGTGGCGGTGGTAATAGTGGTGGTGGATATCATTCTCAAGTTCAACAACAATCACAATCGCTTCAGCAGGATAAAGGTTTTTACAGTGACGACCGGAGTAGACCCAATGCGGGAATCGGTACAGAGCAGGCGCAGCCAGCAAGGACTGCAACAACAGGCGTCGTTTCATCAAGAGAGGCTACTTTTGGTGCTATCGCCGAGGAAGATGAGAACGGCAGTGGTAGTGGCAATCATAGTAGTGTTGCACCTACCAATGTTGATGATGGAAGCAAGGTTACAAGTCATGTCACCACTGAGGCGACATCTACTGGTGCCCCATCGGATGTGTAACCGCTTTCGAACCTGTTTTGGAAAATGGTTCATGCAAAGTAACTTAACTTTTCACTATGGTATGATGAACATTTAACTGGGGGTGGGGGTGTTGTTATACACGCAATTCATGAATCAATTATGTATTTGAGTTTTCGAGTGTTTGGTTTTAGAAAATTAGTATTTTAGTTCTTGGGGCATGTATAGCTTGTTTTATTTACGATAATGTTCTTGTATACACTGAAAGCACAAAGTGATTGTACACGGTGAACTTCGTTGTACATTACGTATCGTACTGTACCTATTACTACTACCTAATAAAAAAAAGAGAAAGAACAACAGCCAAAACAAAAATCAAAGGAAAAAAAAAAAAGTCAACAGTGTGGTGAACCCTTTGTTCTCAACACTCGGCATACATCACTCTCTCACACACACCATATTTTTGACCTTTGTTAGGTTGGACCATTTTATTCCAAACAATTGAGTATGTTTAGAAGTCCTGGTAAATCTAAGCTGAAACAGCAACAAGCTGATGACAATCAATACTATGCACAGCGTCAAGCTCCACAACAATACTCGCATGTACCATACCCCCCGCCACCCCAACAGCAGCAACAGCAACAGCAGCAACAGCAGCAACAGCAACAGCAGCAACAGCAACAGCAACAATTCCGTACTCCTCAACAAGGCGCTTTTCACCCTCACCCTATAACAACCACAACCCCAGTTGCGAATGTTCCGGTTGGCGCAACCTCTCCGATTAGATCGTCGTTCCATTCGATTGGTCGTGATAGTTATCCGAGAGGGCTGCCTACTCCTGGCTCCCCCAGTCAAGCCAGCGCCCACTCCAATCCGGAACAGCAAAGGAAACAAATTACCGATAAAATCATTACTGATTGCTATTCCAAAACAATTCAAAATAACGGACAAAAAGTACATGAGGTTTCTTATATTGCCCACATTAGTGTACAAGAGTTTTCTCACTATTCCAGCCATCCCCCACCGCCAAACATCAACCCGGGACCATCAAAGAGTAGAATATTAGTGTTGTGCAAGAAGTATTCAGGTAGAATGTTGTTGCAAAAAGGGAAATTTCTGGACGATAGACGAGTTTTCCAAATTGGAAGAACTTGGGATTTATCCGAATTGCTGCTCATTAGAAAAGTGGGGTCCGATGGAATGATCTTGATCATAACGAAGGAATATTATTGGAAGTGTGATGAAGAAGATTCGAGAATTTGGAAGTTTTGTCGATACTTGTGTCAGCATTATGGAATTGCAACAGGAAAGTATCCCCACTTGGATGGGTTTACATTGGATGAGTTCATGTTACCAGCTGTACCCAAGTCACCAACCCAAGTTGCGAGTCCAACATTCCAGTCGATTCCAAGGCATGAAACAGTACCTAAGCAGCAAAAATCACCGAAATCAGAAACTACAAAATCAACCAAAACTTTAAAGCAAAAGATCATCCACAAGCCGTCTTTGTTTTCTCTGGATAAATCATCTCATAATGAAAAGCACAGCATGGCCAGTGAAGCTTCACCCACGACTAAAACTTCGCCCTCGCATAAAAAAACACTTAGCGGTGGTATGTACAAAGGCTTGGATTTCACCGTCAATGGACAATTGCCAAAAAAGCCCATGCAGGTTTTGCAAAGAGAGACGCCACTGGAAGACCATTCAAATGCGAATGAACCAAGACATTATCAACTTCAAGAGCCCTTCAGTCAATCACAAAGCACACTTGCGCCTAGTCAAAAGTCATCTCCATACGTTTCTCAAAGAGATCTTGATTCTCGACAACAGAGCTTCAGCCATTTGGCAAACAGGAGTGATAATACTAGCTTTACAGCAACAAATGATCAAAGCTACTACCCCAATAAGCATAATCTGTCCCTAACGAATGATAGTACTCGTGCAGATAGCGTGCTTGTCGGCAGTGGGCGTGCCGATAATATAAGAGCTGACGCTGTCAACGAGAGACACAAGCCTCATCCATATGCTCAGAAGGTAGGAAATGATGACGCCAAAAGCATGTTGAGTAGTGATTCTCACAGTTTTGTTTTTGGTAACACCGATTTAAAAGATGAGCAATATGACAAGTCCATAACTGGTGCGGATATCAGTAGCTCTCCCTATAAGAAAATGAAATCCTCACAACAAGGAGCTGTTAAGAGTATGCTCGAACCACTTGAATCGGTAAAAGAGCAAACTCCAAAACCACAATTGAATATTGATGATCAAAATGCACGGGAGAAGTTTCCATCTATTGAACTTGTGAGTGATCGAAAGGGATCAACGTCGTCGGTCGTTGCTTCTACCAAAACCCAGAATTTAACCTCCAGTGATAAACTTTCCGGTCAAGGAGAGCGTCAGTCAAGCGCATCTTCTCAAAAGAGACCACTGTTGTCGGGGCAAGGGAGCATTTATGGTCATCAACGACAACGTCTGCAAGGAGGCTCATCCTGGAGCTTGAATGATAGAAAGAAGGATGCAAGTGACAAAGGCGTTGCCATAAACCAATCCGATGCCTTGCAAAATGTTTTGAAAAACGAAAAATCCCCCAATTCCACAATGTTCATCGAAGAGTCTACAAAATTGGAGGGGGGTAATAGAGTGGACGAACATATGCGAGAATTGGAAGGTATGTTGGATTCCCACATAAATGGAGCGCATGACGATTCGTTTGATTTCAATGACGCAATTGACTTGAATGACGAGCCACAGAGAGACGTACCTTCAAGAGCACCACCAGCGGGCAATGCGAACTCTACATTGGATGGTGATGATACTCGCAATGTGTTGCAAGAACCATTTGAGCCTGGGTTAAACATATCCAAAAAGACACCATCTGCAACACCCGAGCCCACGATTCGTACTTCATTACCCGATTTTGAGAAAGACGTAGAAGCAGAAGAATTGTTGAATGATTTGAATTGGAGCTCAAAGATGGATGCCGATACACTTGTCAAGAATTTAACCAAAGAATTAAACAAGACTAAGCAGGAAACAGTCAAGAAGTTAGTTGATATTGATTTATCTAGTACGTCAGCCAATGATGTTGGTGTTGCTTCCAGCGAGGTTGAACATATGCTTCGCGTATTTCAAAAAATGGATCTCAATTTTAAGATGTTGAATGCGGATGTAAATGTCATTGATAAGCATTCCAAAGGATTACAATTGAAATTTGTCAATAAAAAATTGTTGTACGATGATTTGAATGGTATTTTGTCAAAGGTGTCCGTTGGAGCCGAAGACTTGCACTTCATTGGAGAGTTCAAAAATTTTGATGTGTTTAACCAAATTGGTGTTCTCGAATCCAAGTTGTTGAATTTGTATAATGGTTTGATTACTATTAGATCGGATTCGTCTCATGCTAACGATGGTCAAGATTTGAGCTCATTGAAGGCTTTACAACAATACAAAAGTAAGTATGAAAGTGTTAGCAACAGGTTTGTGAGACATTTCTATGAATTTATAAGACGGAGAATTGATGCAATCGGCAAAGAGCTATTGAAGGATATCGAGAATGCTGACCCGAGATTAATTTCCTCGAGGTTATCTGAGCTTTTAGTTTACAGTGGAATCACCTATTACGTGAAGGAAATTGGAAGGGAATATTTTGATGAAATTAACGGTCAATTCAATCAAACGTTTTCAAAAATATTGGAAAAAATGTTGAGGGCAAAGTCCAAGAAGTTGAAAGCTGATCAGAAAACGGCGCGTTCGACGTTGCATTCTCACTATGATGCAACATCATTACTGTACTCAACTAGGAGACTGGAGAGACTGTCCTTGTCTCCTTCATTGAATGATGGCTTGTATGAAGGAAACGGTGATCATTATAATGATGATGATGATGATGATGACGACGAGGATTTTGCTCCATTGAGGAAAGGTAGATCACTGAGATTTTCAAGAAAGGGAGGTCGATTCAATCAAAGTAGTGCCACCAGTAGAGAAGTTGATTCCGATAAACGAGAACAATTGGAATCGTTGAAAAGACACATTATCGGCAAGGGGTCTGCAAATGGCGAATTAGAGAGCTCCAAAGCAGTTATTGGCTTGATTGAGGAATCCAAAATGATTGTCATGATTTTCCAGTATTTTATTGTTGTATTTTTCCATTATGATGCAGCTACGCTTGAGTTTGCTGAGTTTTTAGAAACTAACCCCTTTGGTACAAGAGAAGAGTTTGCTGATCCTGCATATTTTGCAAACCTTGATTTCACCGACATCAATAACAATTATTCTGTTTCGAATGACGTTATTGAAAATCTTGATAAAGTGTTGGGTGGATTTATTGCCAGCTTTATCAAGAATGTCAATCCTGTTGATATCAATATTCCTGTAATTTTGTTGCATGTGGAGGATATAATGAAGTCGATTCAAGAATCGGTGGTGAACCAAGACTTTTTAATTTACAACTTCCTTCAATTGCTCAGCGACAAGTATCAACAACAATGGTGGAAATTTGTCGATTCGCAAATTGAGTCGATCAAGAATTCAACAATTGTGCCCAATAGTGGTATACTTTCATCGGTGAAGCAAGTCAATTACATTCTTTTAATTACAGAATCATCAATTGGCGGTCGCGATATCAAAGGAACCAAGGTTCGTAATATGGTTGACAAGGCATATGTGCAGTTGACAGATGCATTGATTAGTTTGTTTTCAAGACAGGATCCATTGGTGAATAGCGGTGGATTTGATGACAAGGAACGCGAATACAAGAATGTGGCCATTTTGGAAAACATTTTCTACATTCTACAGCAACTCAATGATATTGGCACTGGCAACAGTTCGACCAAAAAGTTGCTGGAGAAGTTATCGCAAAACTTCAAACGAATTGAAGATGTTTATTTTACAAAACAAGTGCACAAGTCTATTGGTAAATTGGTTGATTTTATTGAAGATTGCGAAAAATTAGCAGCACTTGGCGGCTCAACTCGTGACTTGAATTCAAGTTCTCACTCAATCAAACAACAACATCACCAACATCAACAAAAGAAGCTTGCCAAGTCACTCTTAACCCAATTTAGTGAAGATGATATCAAGTACAAAGTAGAACTGATTCATGAATTGTTTGAAAAACAGTTCCGTAAAACATATGATCAATCAACTGGTGGTGGACGTAGTGGTAATGATAACTTATTCACTCGTGATTTGATTGATAAGTTGTGGAGTGATTTGGAGACATTATTTATTGATTACTTTACCAGATTGGGCAAGATTTTACGACAACAGTTTGATAGGGACTTAGACTATCACGTGGGAAGACAAGATATACATCATATATTCAAGTCAATTAGAGGTTAAGTAGAGAGTGAGTGATTTGAAAAGAAAAAAAAAAGAAAGAATGTCTATAATCATTGTAAGCTTCGTAAGAGTTGTGTTTCACCTCATGCTTCAACTTCATCCAACAAGGCAAACTTGTTATTAGCCAATGTCTTTTTCTCAACCTCGCCGTCGCCTTTAGCTTCATCAGCACCAGCAGCATCAGCACCTCCATCCTTCTCCTCAATGTCATCATCCTCATAGAATTTCCTCACATACTCATCCTCCTCCATTTGGTCAATCTCCTCCTGCGTCAACTGCTTCAGTTTACCTTCCTCAATCATATGATTTCGTATTTCAATACTAGCATTTGTCTTGTCCCAGTTTGATTTTCTGGCATTTTGAACATACTTTGCCCTGGCTATACTAGCATCAATTTTGGATGCCAATATTCCTTGTAATTTATCACTACGATCAACTTTATGTTTTAGTGAAGATGACTTTTTTTTGGAATCTTGTTGTTGTTGTTTGCGGATACGTGATGCTTCAATTTTCTTATTGAGTAAAGTCTCATTTTTGATTTGAGTCCGTATGATTGACTTGCGAACGCCATCGTTTTCGTGTGATTCTTTTGTCGAAGTGCTGATTATCGGTGCTTCATCAGTTATGTCACCTCTTCTTGCTGCTCTACTTCTTTTAGAAACTAAAAAAAAAGGAGTTGTCAGTTAGTATCTCAATAGAAATTTGTTATGTGATTGAACATAGTACATACTCTTCTTAGCCATTTTGGGTAATAAGCTTTGTAATAGTTTATCTTTTCGTCTTCCTCTTGGTTTGATGCCCATCTCAAAGGAATGGATAAATCAGAAAAAAAAGGTTCTTCAGCTTTTGTGGCGTGTCACGTGCATATCACATGAAATTTGGAAACTAATCGAGTTCCATTCTATGCGGCTCAATTTTTTTCAATAAGGAAATTGTGAGCGCATCTCCTTTTGAAACCTATACATCTCCCCTATAAGGGAATTTGTAACATGCGCTCGTATACAAAAGTCAAGATTTTACCAAAGAGAAAACTATATTATCCATATTCCCCTTCCTTATCCACTCTATTCTCATTAGCATCCAACTCGTCTTGCCATTAATTCAATCAGCTCATAATCCCCACGCAAATACCTGCCAAAAATCATTCACCATGAATCTCAATCCAGCACCTAATACTTCATCATTAATTAAACCTACAAATACCATGTCACCACCAGTGTACTCCTCAACACGACACAACACAGGAATCAAGTGGTATCTTTGACTTCGCAATTCCCCCCTTTTGTCACCACAAACACAAATGTCTCATTATTGATTTTAATGGGCAAGTACAGCTCCATGGGATAATCAATAATCTGAATGTGTCAATTGTACTTGAAGATGAGTTACTCGAGTTTGTTAATGACAGACAATTGATTATTGAGTTGGTTGATTTGTTAGTTGATGAGTTGAATCTACAAAGTGTTTATATCCTCATCAAGAGAAGTGACGATTTGTCCAAAATGAAGCGAGTTTTACAATTTATGAATGCTATATTTGTTTGTCTGTTGATCTCTGATTCACTGCAAATGGCAATCGATATGGAAAAGTTTGATCCATACGAATGGATTGGATTGATTTGTGAGTTATAGTGTGTATCTCTTTATTAAAATGACGTGAATGAATATTTAATTATTGTATCCTCTTAAGTCAAACTAAGTTTGCGATACTATTCCATCTTGTTCTCTCGCAGTTGCAGTTGCACTCTTTACAGCTTCAGCATATTTCCTCAATGCCGTGCCCAAACTAACCTCCATTGGTTCCAAGCACGCATCGAGATCCTTGTGAATCTTATCTCGTAGTTTTTCATTCACAGCCACAATGTCAATAGCATCCAATTGTGTTAAACTTTTATTCTTGAATTCAGTTAGTGAATTTTGACAATTTTTCAAACTAGTGAATATTTTCTTCAATTGCGTTGGATTGTTGCCATTGAGAAACAATTTCCAAAAATGAGATAAAAATTCAACAATGGTTATATTGTAGGTGATTATTTCTTGATACATGGATTCGGGAACAATATTGTGTGGTTTTGTCATTGAAAGTGAATCGTCTTTGTTGATCAGTTTAAAAGTCTTGAAATTGTGTCTCACGAGTTGTGAGATTTCAGTGGATGTTTTGTTGATATCTTCTTCTTTACCTTTAAATGTATCTGACAAATCAATTACCGACTCCTGGGGAATTTGACTTTGCAAATAATTTATCAAGTCAGCATCATTCATTTCAACATCAACAGTTTCACCACCAGCAACATCAATTGAATGATCTCTGATTTTATTAGTGTTGATACTCAACTTTATGTACTGAGTATCATTGACTACATTCAAATCATGCAAATCCAACTCTTCTTCATACTCATTTACTTCAGGGGCCGATAAGCCATCAACAGTAGCTTCAGGCTTTGCATCGTTATTCTCAGCCGCACTCATACTCATCATTTTCGAAGACAACTTGTTCATATTTTTCATCAATATAATCATTTCATTCTCCTTGGTGGACCCCGACCTCAAATTGAGTGCATTTGTCACATCATCCTCGTATCGCATGGTCATATCAGGTCGATTACCCAACTTTTGTGAATTATCTTGTTCGTTTCCAAACAAGTCAAGAAATTTATTCACTGCGGGCTCATTCAAGGAGCTACTCCTCAGACTAGTGCTGATTTCTTCATTAAGTTTCTGCCTCTTGGGAGAATTACCATCTTCTCCATCTTTCTTTTGCGCAGCTTCCGCATTTAAACTCTCCTCGTCAATATACAAATACTTGTCCAAGATCACATCCCCCCTCCCACTGTATAGTCCAATTTTATCTCCTCTCAATCTTCGAAACAATTTGGAATTAAAGAAACGAGACCAAAATTCACCCTCCAGTAGCTTTTGCGGTACTAAATCAGAAAATGCCTTTTTAATGATGGGATAAATGTCAAATATTTCATTAATGGTACTACGGGTCACATTCACATTCACTTGGTTATCAGAAGTTGCCACCGGTTTTATTGTACTTAGTACGTTGTATGGACCACGATGCTGAGATATTGTTAGTGCAAATGTACGCAATTGGTTTATGCGACTTGACCAAAACATTGTTGGCGATAGTTTGAATTGCATTACTGATTTAGTAAATGTGTTTCGTAGATTCTTGTCTTCTAGTAATAGTTTCTGCTGTAGATCAAAGTTTTTTAACAAACTGGAATCAGTTAATTGATCTTGCGATAGATTGAATGCACTGGAAATGAAGGAACCAGCAGATGGGGTTGGTGTTGCTGATTCATTTGCTCCAGAAGTACCTGCCGAGGACACGGGTGAACCAGAAGCATCAGCCTGAGGTGTTGGTGTTGACGATCCTTCAACTCTGGTTCTTGATCTGGCAACGATTGTTTGCAATGCATCCTTGATATTATTCATTGTGGGTCGATTGTTGAAGTGAAGTTTCATCTTAATTGGTTCTTGCCCTTCTTGTTGATCATCCAACTTGTAGCTAATCTGTAGGATCATCTTGGGAGATGATTCTTTTGTTGCTTGTAAAGCAACAAGCATATTTAGAGGAATTGCTATTGTATTCTTTTCGTCTTCAATGGCTTTCCATTCTAGCATGGAGGGGACTATGTCCTCCCTTATGTATACCATCCCACCAACTTTATCTTTTGAGCAGGCACCTCGTATTATATCCATTTTGAGGTTGACGCGTTGTGATGACAATGCACGGTTACAAGTTCTTTAGAAGAGGAAATTTTGAATTTTCAATTTCTCTTCATCAAAAAAAAAGTCAGCAGAGATCTATGAACTTTTTGAATAGACTCCCCATACACAACCGATTAATGTTATCCAGATCAATTATAAACAGAGTTGGGGCTGTTTCAAGAAGTCCGCTACTTGTGCGACCACTCAGTCAGTCAGGAATTCTTTTACAACAAGCTGCTGCTGCTGCTGCTGCTGCTGCTGCTGCTACTTCAAAAACTCCTATTGGTAGTGATTCCAAGCCAATATATAAACCACCGGTCACCATAGACAGAGAGCTTCCAGACCCATTTATTAAGCGTAATGAGAATCGAAAATACTTTGTTTTGTATTCAATTGCATTGGTAGTCACATGTGCTGTTATATTCAATTACGAGAAATCATCATCACCAATTATCAATTCAACATTGTATTTTTTGAGAAGATCGACGATTGCTCAAGACGCCATTGGTAAAAACATTGAGTTTGCTAGTAGTTGGCCCTGGATTTGGGGGACATTAAATACAGTTCAGGGTAATATTGATGTTAAATTTAAAGTTAAAGGAGATGAACAAAAGGCATGGGTGATTTTAAGTGCAACTAGAGAATCAAAGATGCATCCTTTCCAAGTACACAAGTTTGCTTTAGAAGTGGATACTAAAGATGCTAAAGTTGAATATAATTTGATGGATGATCCTGAGTTTGAATTTGACTTGTAAACTGAAGGTTTGTGTATCACATACTTGTAAATAGAGGCATAGGCGATAGTAAAAAGCGTCGACCGAATAATAAAACCATAAAGATTGTGGTAAATGATACCAGTAAACGCGACATACAGTAAGTATGACTAGAGCAGAGATGTAGAAAGCTACGTATAGTGTCAACATATAAACAACATTTCACAACTTTTAATTACATTGAAAGAACATATTATAGATACCAACGGTCTTCAAATCTTCAACAAAACTTTACTGTTGGCATCCGATGAAAAAGTATTATGCATAGACTTTGCGTTAATGCCTATGTACGGAAGACCCGAGGTCTGAGTTGGATAACAGAGAAGTTGGATTGAAGAGAATGTAAACTATAAATAGAGTCGAAGTTCATCTTCATCTTGTATAAGTCTTGGGTAGAAATTAACTAATTATAATAACAAAAGTTTACATTAATAACGTTAAATTAACAGTCAAGTAATTACCATTATGGACAGAGTCATTATTTACAAAAATGAAGTCGACCAACTCACTTACCGTTTTTCAACAACATCAACAAGGAAGAAGTAGAAAACTTTATCTCAATCTCAAAACATATACGAGGCACTCGGCAGCACTCTCTTCCGCTTAAAACAATATAATTGAATTAGATCTTGAGTAATAGATTGATTGGATGATTTGGCCACTTTGAATAAAGTGGCCAAAAATAAACCCCATTTCCCCCCCACAATTTGTAAATCAAAAATAACAAGGTGTAGAATGTCACCTTCCTTTCAGCTAAACAAATAAGGGACTGCTGTTGATATTGAGATCATCATCCAACAATTACTCCTCCGCATACTTTAAATGTACGTATAACTTGAACCACTATCTTTGATCTGAAGATAGGGGACATACAGATCATTAAATTAGTTCTAATAAAGGGTTATTCATGAATTCAACACCACGAAATTTCGTATTGAAATGAAAAAGGGAAAAGAAGAAGAAAGAGAAAACATTTTTAAAAGTTGGTGTGGATAGTTGTAGTTTGTATATAATAGTGTACACTGTTGTATTAGTTGTTGTTGTTGTTGTTGTTGTGCTTGTGGTGCAGGTGATCGTGGTGGTGGTTTGTGGTAAATAGTACACTACTTTTTCTCAAGGTGCAGTTGGATCTCTTGGGGATTGAAATAATAAACAATAAAGAGAAAACCACAATAAGGGAGAGTAGTGTACTGAGTTACAATAAATCAATATATAAATATATAAATATGTATATAGTACAAGCCTTGTGTTATTGCAGCTTATTGTGCATTAATGAGGAATGCAAGTGTTACATGTGTTACAATATGTTTTATGTGTTGTGTGGGTGCTATTGTTGATAATTTTAACTGTGTTGGGTAAGTTAATTGTGTTTTGATTTATTCCGATAGGAACCGAAATACCCACACCTCCTCTTTCCCCCCCCCTATATCATCTTCATTCTCTCTCCCTAGATAGTGACTACAGTATTGAATTAGTTGTTGAAAGAATGGCGTTGAGTGCACTGTTTTTTTTGGGGGTAATAACTTCCTCACGACAAGAGTGTTGTAGAGTTTAGTTAGCAAGGCTTATAAAAGACAACTTCCTCTGGATGGTATGTATTACTTAGTCTCTGATTCTCCAGAATAGATGGATGTATAATAATAGAATATCAAAAAACAGTATTGTGTTTTTTATACCAACTGTACACTACCTACTAACTAACTCACAGTGTAGTCGTTAGTCTTTTGTGTTGAAATAACGTGAGAGTGCGAGAGAAAAGCAAAAAAAATCGACAAGAAAAAATTTAATCAATCAAAAAGAAGAAGAAGAAGAAGAAGAAGAAGAAGAAAGGTGCTTTACACTTGGCTCATATTTTATCACTAAGATCATCACATTAATATACTTACTCACTTAAAGGTATATACACCCACTCTTGGAGGAACCACTAAACTACTTCACACCTACCTTACAGACAGATAGTCTCACTGCTGTGCTCACTATATTCACTCGCTTTTTAATTTATTAAGGTTTTTTTGTCATAGTATATATTTTCTTGATTGCTGTCAAATCATAGGAGAGAGTTATTTACTACGCCTCAACCACCACAACACACCACACACACACGTAAGCACACACGTAAGCACACACAAGGCACACGAATAACATCCGCATACACACATACACACCAAATAGACCCAACAAAACATTCACCAACCCTATCCTAGATAATGGTCAATAGACAAGGTTTGGCTGTTGGTTTAGCCGTTGGTGTTCCATCTTTTATAATCCTTCTGATTGTGTTTGGATTCTGGTATAGAAATCAACGCAAATTACGGAAAGAAGATCTCGATGATTACATAGACAAGGAGATTCAGAATGATGATAGCAGTTTCCAACAATTCCAAGAACAACTACATAAACCACAATGTGACAAGAAAGAGAAATTGGATGATGGAATACAATTGAAGGAACACGTTGTGGCATTAAATGGAACTAGTGATTCATCAAATGGAAGTTTAGAATCTGTTTTGCATGAACCTCATCACTCACAACATTCGCAACATTCGCAACATTTGCAGCATCCACAACATCCACAACATCCACAACCAGTGGTTGCAAAACCACTGAAACATCCATATGGTCAACACTTACAATATACACCGTCATCAATACAACCACAAGAGGAGCAAGGATCACAGTCTTCTTCTATATCACTAAGTCAAGTACTGGATGTCATTTCAAACACATATGATCAAAGCCATGATGAATTGCAACAACACAGTCCTCAAAAAATACACAATGGTCGCGGTGGACCTCCACCTCCCCCTCCACCAAAACGCCAATCATCAAACAAGACATCTGTGTATACCTTTTATGACACATTCATCCCTACTTTCAGTACACAAGAACCATCTTCACAACAACAACAACAACAGCAACTAAACCAAAACTCACTGTCGTCACATCACAATTCAACTCACAACTCATTTAGTGACCTACTTAACCAAACAGCTCACAGTTCATTAAACATCCTAAAACACAACTATAATAAAGAAACCAGCAACAATGTCAGCAGTAGTAACCAACATAAACACACAAACAGTTCATCTGACTCAAACACATCACTACTTCAGAGTAACAATCATAGTGCATCACACTCACGTGCACCATCAACCGATTTAGGCACCTTGGCCAAACAATTAAACAATCCGGTGTTTTTTGAAAAACTTCCTAGTAAAGCAGCTGCTGCTCAAGGTAAAGTGTATATCAAGCCACGTGTGCCATCAGCAAATCAGCCACACAATAATTCAAGTTCAGAATTGATCAATAATTATCTTGTTGGTGAAAACACCGCCATTAATGATCACTTCACTTATGAAGCACCAATGGTTGAAACGGCCAAAAGCACCGATAATTTAGCCCAAGTTAGCGGTGGAAACCTCCATAACAATGTCTTGACGTATAATCAACATCTTGCAGCAAAAGGAGCAAAAGATGCTATTGCTGATGGTTCATTAAGGCCTAAACAACCACAATCGCAATCGCAAACACAAGCTATGCAAGAAGCTAATCCCTTGAATGGTCAAATTGGTAATGCATTTGATGCCAATATTACTATGGAACCAATGGCTATGAATAAAAAGAATGCAACTACAAATGACGACGAGGATGTAATGCCACCAGTTGTATTTCAATAGAGCATCTTGAAAAGAGCGAAAATGCAGTGCATTTTTGCGAGCGCAGATCCTGACTGAATGAGTGAACAAATGTTCAAGGAAAGGGGGGGTTTGGAAGTTGGAAAGAGTCTTTTTGTTTAATTTATTACCTTTGATTTGGTTCTATTTTGGTTTGCTTTTATCAGCCTTTTCACTATTTGTTTTCATCTTTTATTTATACTTCGTCATCAACCCTTTTGCTTTTGATGGCTTGAGTTAGTTTCCCTTTTTATCCTTTCTTTATAATTAATAGATTTGTTGTTGGGGTTTTTTTTATATTTTTTTTTTTGAGGTAACCCTTGTATCGACTGATGGTAGTCTTAGGTCACAACAGAAACACAACAACTTCGTTGTCTTGTGTTAATATCCCCATCTTTACTTAATAATCATTCTATTTCTCTCCTACCTCTCCTACCTCTCCCACTTCTCCATCGTGCCAAGAGTCTTTTCTACACGGTATCCATAATTGTAACTTAAATCTCCCTTTTGAGAATTATATTATACACACTTTAAAACAACCAAACACTCAACTAAAATCAAGAGAATAAACCAGACAGGATAACTACTACGCGGGGTTATGTATCATAACCCACACACGCACGCATTTGCCCAGTACATCTAGTTTTTCAAAGATTCAGCTCTCTTCTTCTTAATTTGAACTTTTTCTTCCTTTCTTTCATGCAATCTCTTGGCCAACAATTGAGCATACTCGGCAGCAGCATCTCTTTGGTGTTGAGCATTCTTAACCTTTTTAGCCTTCAAAGCTCTCTTTCTTTGTAAAGTTTGTGGAGTAACCAATCTTTGAATCTTTGGAGCCTTGGTATAAGTCTTGTCACCTTTAGTAACTTCTCTTCTAACAACGTAATCTCTGACATCATCTTCCTTGGTCAAACCGAAAAATTTTCTAATGTGGTTAGCTCTCTTTGGACCCAATCTCTTTGGGACAGTGGTATCGGTTAAACCTTCAATATCATTGTCACCTTGTTTAACAATAGCCAAAGCCAACACGGATAAATCTTGAGCAACAATACATCCTCTAACTGATTTTCTCTTACGTTCACCAGTTCTTCTTGGTCTATAACAAGAGTGACCATCAGACAACAATAATCTAACTCTGGTTGGGTGCATGACACCTTGCTTCATTGGGAAACCTTGTTTATCGTTACCACCAGTGATTTTGAAAATGTATCCTTTGAATTCATCACCAACTGAATCACCTTCAACTTCTTGGCCCATTCTCTTTTCGTAAAAGACACGCAACTTGTGTTCGTCATCGATATCAATACTCTTTTGAGTACCGTTGGCTGGGTAGGAAATGTTCAACTAGATGAAAAAAAGTTAGTATTTTAAAACTCAGTAAAGCATGTTGAATTTAGAATTGATAGGGATAGCTAATGTCAGAAAACATAAAAATGATGATTCTTTTTATGAGTGGAGATTGACTCCCAGTCTGTTGGGGCTTTCAACTCATGTTATACGTCCGCTTGTATAGCTCTATGGCTCAATGATTCATAACTCCATGATTTTATTTATTGATGATAGTTCTCTTGTAAGTGATGATTGTCCCGCAAGTCTAAAGTGGTCCTTAGCTGTCTGTAAAAAAATAACAGATTCTAGAACTTGTTTTCCATAACCCTCTTTCAGTTCAATAGAACCCTTTCTAGTCCTGCCCTTGGTCCTGACATGCTTATCCTTGTCATCTAAATTCATTCATTGGCTTGATTTTCACTGCATACCTTCATGGTGTCCTGCTGTTAAAGTACGGTAATGGGATTGTATAGTAAAATTCCAAGACTGTATTTTATGAATTTTTTTTTTTTTCAGTTTTTCAAAGAAGCACAGGCACACTGTACAAGTTTTTTCGCTCCCCTATTGTGGTAATAGGTAGCGCATTAGACTTTTGTTTGTAATGGCTATAGCCCTAACGACATGTGATTAACAGGAGGATAGATTTTAATTTGCAACAACTTGTTGATAGAGGGTCTGAGAGTTGCACAATACGCATTAGATTTCTATAGACACATCGCCATTATAGTAGGCTAAGAAGACTACGCACTATTTTTTGCCGTCTGAGACAACCAATTGAACCATTAGCCCTACAACTACAAACAACAACAGTTCTGTTGGTATCTAGTTGTTTTGTTTGTGTTTTCAAATGCCCAGATTCGTGAATCGAAGCTCACCAAGTCGGAAATTCCCACAACTTGTGGACGTTGAATTAAAAGCATACCTAAGATAGTTTTCGAGTGTACGAGTAACTCATGTATGTATAATCCCTTTTTCCGGTTGCAAATTTGATCAGAAATGGATTGTAAGAAATTCACGGAAGCTGTTAAATCATATTCGCAAGAATTAAAAGAGGGTTGGCAATTGGGAAACAACGCCCACTAACATTTTGATGTGTCAACGGTTCGTTTACATTGACTGTTCCTCTCACGATAATCGGCGTACCTCCAGATCATCTCAAAGGAGCAATACTTGGCATAGGGACAAGAATTTAACACAATTGTTTGTCATTCTTCCTTTTATCCATGTGTTGATAACACGGCTTTGAGATGCAAGAGGTGGTACATGCGCTAATGATGCTGCTGTTGTATGATTGATGATTCATGGGTTATGTTTCATAATTGATGATAAATAGATAAACATACATTTATGGAAATAAAAAGATTAAATCTAAAAGCTATTTAATTGATATGTTTGGTTACGGCTGGTTGGTTGTTTGGTTCGTAGATTCCACTACTGTTAGTGTTGGTGACGAAAACATTGTTACAAGTTGCTTCTACTTCTGTATTACGGTATTTCCCCATACACCCCTTTGACTCCTCTATGATTACTCTCCCTAGTTGCAACTTTTTGCCTCTAGTGTCTCCTGTTTCAATCTCTTGCCAAATAATACCCTTCATTGCTTCACTTTCACAACTAAACCTACGCTCCTCTTCCCCTGTCATATCTGTAAAACCAACCCATGTGAAGATTTCTATTCAGCACTGTGTTCCTTGAAATCTGACAAAATACCTGTGCCATAAGCAAACATTTGGTGTGACAAACTCACCACCAAACCCACCTTTCCGCATTGGATGGGACCCATTCTGAAGGCTTGATATTTTTCAAGCATTCATCGAAATTAGTTGTTCTTTCGATGACGATTTTTTGGTGCATTCATGAGACTGTATCTCATTGGATGTCATTAGCTAGGATCTAAGGAGCAGGTGGACAAGCTCACCAATAACAAACGAAAACTGTCAATTAGTTGTCAGCACAGATTAATAACAAAACATTTTTGATGGACATCCAACTTTAGTAGGTGGTCATTCCCACGCTCGCAATCATACGTGATGATCTCAACATTCTTGAACCAAAAACATACACAGGACACCATTCAAACTCGATGGCACAGACAGCTACGGAAAAAGCAGTAATCAACACAAACATTTCAATCGGTTCACCCGATATATACCTTTCATAGCTTCCAGCAATCAACTTGCGAGCACAGCTTAATCCCTCTCATTATGTGAGTTGTGTTTAACTTTCACTTGGCATTGGTAAATCCCCTCATATCTATATTTGATACGTTGGTGAAGCTCTATAGTGAGCATGGAGCTTCAAGAAAATCCCCCATGGTTATAGTCTCCCAGTAATACTTTAGCTATAGCACATAATGATTAATGTTGAGTTGTTACAAGGAGTGAGTCTTGATCATGGGACAGTTGTCTGTGACCATGTTGCAGTTCGAATCACCATTTTGTAAAGAGTAGCTGTTGCGATCTCATATCTACAAACCTGAAATTAGCTCAGACACACTAACGGTCTATTTTTTCTCTTAGTTTGGCATCTTGAGGATGTGTTTCTATAAAGCAAATGGTTGGTGGGTATGGTTTACTAGAGATAAGAAGGACAAAAAAGAAAAAAAAATCTAGAGATGCCTTTTTATCAAAAGAAAACATTGTCAACCTAAAATACAACTCATTCAGGACATAGACTCACCAGCTCAACTCATCATGGGACTTGCCGGTACAAAAGTAAAACAAAAATTTGGTCTAGATCCTAGGAACACAAATTGGTCCAATGACACTGGAAGATTTGGACACCAGTATTTATCCAAAATGGGTTGGGCACCTGGTTCAGGTCTTGGACTAGTTAAGGACTCATTAACTACTCACTTAAAAATTCATATAAAGACAGACAATGCAGGACTTGGGGCCAAATTGAAAAAAGCAGACAAGGACAAGACGTTGGATGAATGTAGTGGTCTTGATGCATTTCAAAGGATTTTGGGAAGATTGAATGGTAATGAGGATAAAGTTAACAATGTACTTGATATGAAAAGGAATGATAATATTTTGAATGGGAAATGGGGGATGCGATTTGTCAAGGGAGAAGTGTTGCTGAGCACATGGGATAAGGATAATAAGACATTAATTTCGTACAAGAATAAGGAAGAGAATAAGAAACGAGATTTTGCTGAAGTGGAGGACGTTGGTGTACAGGAGCCATTGACGAAGAGACAGAAGAAAGATACGGTTGAGACTGGTAGAAAGCTGAATAAACAAGCAGAAGAGAAGGACAAAAAGAGCAAGAAGAAGGAAGAGAAGGACAAGAAGAGCAAGAAGAAGGAAAAGAAGGAAAAGAAGGAAAAGAAGGAAAAAAAAGAGAAAAAGGAAAAGAAAAAAGAAAAGGAAAAGAAGGGATCCAGGAAGGACAGACTGGGTAAGTCCTCCAATTCCACCAATGACGTATCCATATCGCTACTACGAGAAAAGTCTTTAGACTCACCTACACCCGTTCCTGACTCACTGCTGTCTCGAGATTCCACCCCAACACCCATAGCATCAAGGTTATCGGGAAGAGCTAAATACATCAAACAAAAGCGAGCTTCAGTCATGGACCCAAAAGCATTGAATGAGATTTTCATGATATCTAAATAGAGCTTATAATATATATATATATTGGTTAGTATAACGCTACATTCAACATCGTCAGCCTTTTTCTTTCATTTCCATCTACTTAAAGAACGAATGAAATTCCACCCACAATGGCGGTAACGAAACCGACATAAGAGACCAATCTGAACTTGGACATGTTCGGAATGTGGCTGTTGTTTGCATCGTTGGTGTTTGATCTGGATCCCGATGTAGTGGATTGGGAGTTGCTATTGGTTGAAGTTGCACTTCTAGTACCTTGTGATCTTCTACTTGATCCAACACCACAACTTGAAGTTGATTCAGCATCTCTGTTGACTGATGCACTTCCATTGAAGTCACAAGCACTGCTATTTTCATTTTGATCATGGTAGTACAAGTTCAATACGAATGACAATTTATCACGATGGGAGCAGAATGAGTAGTCGCCGTAATCACCCGAAGTACCATTGACACTGATATCAGAACAATCAATTCTTCCACACACGTCAGCATAAATTTCACCATAATCTTCTTCATCAACGTCTTCAGCAACTACACATTCAAATGACTTGGCAATACATTCACAAAAATCCTTGTCGGGAGTAGGTGGTAAATCAGCTGATGCTTGCCAAGTTGTGCTATCTGTGTCGGGACAAGTAATGGTCAGGGTTGCAGTTTCCTCATTGGATGCTCTGGCATAGCTGGGGCTGATATTGTTAATTTCTGAACTATAGTACTTGTAGTCATCCAATATTGAAACCGATGATCCATCAATTGAAACCAATCCATATTTGTTGTCTTCTTCAAAATACATGTAAACAATACCTCCTGACCAAACGTCTGACATTAAAGGTGAATACAAAGTTTGCACTTCAGTAAATAATCTTGGTCTTTTTTCATTACAACCATATTCTGAAAAAAAGATTGGGACTGGTAAATGTTCAAATTCTTCAGTTCTGTCTTTGTAACCACTAGTGGCATATGTTGAGTTACCACACCATTCATACATATTGATACCAAAAAAGTCGGCTCTTTCTTCAACTGATCCACAAGCAAAGTAATCAGCAATGGCAATTCTAGTATCTTCATCATCATTTGAACTGTAACCAACTGGTATTTTCCTCATTCCATTGGAGTCTTCAATATATTTCTTCATATCTCTAACGGCGGCTTTGACAAATGGTGAGGCGTCAGTATTTGATTTGTTATTGGTAACTTCATTACCAGCGAAAAAACCCAAAACATTAGAGTATTCACTCAATTTGTCAATAACTTCAGTATATCTTTCATAATGGTCTAAATCCCACAGAGGGTCATTACGATTGATTGAAGTCTTAGGTTGTGATAAATCAGCAATGATGTAAATACCAGCTTCACTTAAAAGTTCCATACATTCATCATGGTCCAAATCGGGGTCAATAGCATAGACACGCAAACAATTGGTATTTAGAGCTTTAAAATGCTCAACGTCACGTTTGCATGCTTCAACATCGGCCAATGGATCTTTGTAACTAAGGTTTGTATTGGAAATCAATGAAGTATCTTCTTGGTAAGCAATACCACGCATGAGAAATTGTGAACCATTGTTTGAGTAGAAAAATTTGTTGCCAACAATTTCAATTGGCGGAGTTGTGTCTTCAAATTTTGCCCAAATTGGTGCTGAAAGTGAAAGCAAGCATGGAAGGAGCTGAGTGAATCTCATTTTGATAGTGTAGTAGTGGTAGTGCGAAGTGTGTGTGGTGTGTCGTCTTTATATGTATACTTTTTGAATACTGGACAAGTCGTACGATTTGTGTATGGCCAAAGCTTTTGGTTGCGAAAAGAAAAAAAAAACGGTCTCTCCTGAGTGGGGGGGTTGATAATCTCAATTAGAGGGCGAGTAAAACAAACGAGGGTAGGTTTTTTGGTATTGGTAGTACTCCTTGATTCTTTCAAAATACAATGAGCATATCAAAGTTATTATGTTTCATCTGAGTAAGAGATCTCTTTAGGGTATTTATATTGCAGAAAATTTTCTCTGATCTGATAGAAAGCTTAGTGGTTTGTTCTGTTTTAGGTTTGTTTTCTTTTTTTTTGGGGGTGTTTTCTGTTTGTTTTTGTATTACTATGAAGAAATTTAAAAATTTCTTAGTCTCAAAGTTGATTATTTTTCTTGGGTTTGAACGCCCAAAATATATCGTGTTATGTGTTGTATTACATTTCCTTGGCTAATCAGCGGATGCTGCTGTTGACGTGTACGTCAGGAGGTATCTGCTCAGTCATGAGAGCTTTGGCTACAATACAGAAGAGATAACAGAAATAGGGACATCAACTGCAAAACTCTTAAGTAGATATGAAAGGGACCAAATGATGAAACCTTTTACGTTGACCTACAAACTCATAAGTACATGGTATTGGTCTATGGATGTGGATGTGCGTCGAAAATTGGGCGTAAAGTGGCGAGACGACTATATGTTTGTTTAGTGTATACCGTGTCCATGAAAAGAAGGAAAAGAAAATTAGCCGAGAATTTCTAAAAGAGACATGCACGTGACCTTGTTAGGAGAAAATTAAAAACAACCAGCTAAAGTTCAATTGTACTCTATTCTTTGAAGCTACTGAGCAATTCATGTCTACCACAAATATTTTCTAGTTATTCAGTTCTTTCTTCTCCATACCTTCAAAGTAAAGTGGCTGAGTTTTGAGATTAAGTTAATGTATATGCATATACGCGTGATTCTTATGATGCATAAGAAATTATTCTTGAAGAAGTTTATATTTTTAAATTTTTACTTGGCAATTGAAGAGGAGTAGTACAAAGACACGTAACTGTTGTGTAGTTGAAACTTTATACCAAGCATTTGATGACTTGAACATTTGAAGGGGGTCAAGGGCATATATATATATATAGCAAAGCCATTGAAAACAAAAAAAGAGATTGCTGTCAAAGGAAGGAGGCAGTGTCATTTTGAATCAATTTCACACACAACTTATACAAGAAATTGGAGCTACCGCCTCCACTTCTTTATTTATTGTCTCGTATATATACGACCTATTCAGTTCTTCACAAAAGTCATGAGTCGAATATCAATGACACTCGATATATCAATCTATTTTGCGTTTGAAAAAGGGTACAACTATGTAGAAAACAAGCAGGATATCAAGACTTGAGAGCGACACGACACGACACGACACGATACTACCTTAAATTAGTTACAAAGTACCGCACCACCCTTTATTGCAAAACATTGGTTACTATGTATATATGTAAATTGCCAAAAGTGACTCGTTCATATCACGTTCTTTCCTAACCAAAATCTTCTTTCCACTTGTTGATTTCATACTAGTTTGTGTATGTGTCTTTATTAGAGTTCACTTAAAGTTTACTATTGCCACTTTACGCCAAAAGTAGCTTTTATCGAACATTACGCAAGATATTAAAGGTCTTAATTACCAATGTTTGGTAGTGTATTTATTCCAATTCTAAGTTGTCAAAAGGTGCCAAGGCGCCACTTCAAGTTGAGGTAATGTAACTATATGGAGAAGGACGAAAACAATACATTGACACCACCTATTTTTCAAAACTCAAACTTTCATATAGATTACAAAATTTGAAATTTTACATTACATCAACTCATGTGTCAAAACTACGATTCACCGGTGTAACTTATCCAATTAATTTATCGACATGTGCAAGCTAAAGAAAAATCTATTATAACATCATGAATGATATTTAATTAGCGAGTGCTTTTAATGCACACATATGAAGAAGTCGTTGTCGTGCTAATTGTTGTCAGATTCAAGCACTACGATGTTTAGCTAAACTGTGTATATTTAATTCATGACCACTCCTTTAGCCTCGCATTTACGATCACATCGCATCAATTTTTCCCCATCATCGACACCACATAAAACCTCGTTGACATAAAAGAGCTCCAGAATACTCAACTTTCACTTGGTTTTTAGCGATGCTTGCTTTCTCGTTCTTCCCAACCATTTGGGGGATCAAAATCATGATTAGGTCTTGATAATATGGATGTTTAGTAGTCTGCAAATAAGAAAACAAACAAACCTACAAATGAGGTCCGAGCTCCACAATAAAACTGGAAGCTTTCACCGCTATAATCACAAAAGTTTGGGTGAATTATGATATACGTATAGATTCATGTCGATTCTTTCAAAGAGATCAGAGAATAGAGTCAACCACTCTACAAGTGCCATAGGATAGTATAAACCACAAAAAGACAAAAATAGACATTCAAATTCATAAAGTGTTATAAAACAAAACGAAAAAAAATCATAACAAATGTGTGATCAGGGGGTGGTAAATGGTGACGAACAACACTAACGATTTAGTGCAATCAACTTTAGGGGGAAGGGGAGCATCCTTATTGTGAAGTCAACACTAGAATCATCAACTGTGTTTTCCAGCTTCTTGGCATTCCGGATACTAGAGTGGCCAATCCTAGCACCATGTTTCCAAAAAAACCTTCCAACCACAACGAATCATCTATTCTTCAGGAACCTCTTCTCATTGACTCGATGATGGACCATACTCTGGTGATGTTATTGAAACCCTTTAGTGGGATTTCCTTATTTGATACATTGGCTCTCAGTGAATTGAATGCTTTTCAAATTGTTGGCAATTTCAAATGTGAAACACTTTTTGATGTAGTTTCATGTATTGGTGTGGAATTGGATATTTGATGTTTTCAAATTGTGACTTTACCGAGAGTGAGTCTTGCAAGCAATACCCCATGTTTGCCAACTATTTCTGCAAGAAACGACGTATCGTTCTCACTCTCAATGACGCAGCATCTTTGTCATTGCGGGTCCGTCACTATGTTTTCAATCTTTGCTTCATTCTAATTTTCTTTTCCGTCCATACCAGTAAATTTGTGTTCCAAATTATTGCCCACTGTACCATTCAAGCCATTCAATATCCCTTCATTTTATTGACTCGGTGACTGCTTATTTTTTCCCAGTCTCAAGTGAACTCTTTTCATTATTTCATCATGAGTATATTTGTTTCTAAAATGGTCAACCAATCGTTCTATCTGTTCAAGTTTTTCTTCCTTGGTCATAAGGCTTGATCTTGGAGCTAATTTCGGTGGTTCACAAATAACAGAAGTTTCTTCCTTTTTCATCAACTTCTTGAAGGCTGTTTTGATTGATTTGAATGGTTTCTTCAACACATCACGTTTGCGGCTTTTCAGGTTGTTCAGTTTGGGGATATATTCAGGCTCATCAAATCCCATGTAGTTGGTGCCATAACGTTGTTGGACAAATTCCTTCTTTTCTTGGTTGTTTGTCAAATCAATAAACTCGCTGGTTGGATTGGTGTGCATGGGTGAATTAGTGCCTTCATAATGACCACGTAATGATCTCAAGCTGAATTTCGGTTGTTGTTGTTGTTGTTGTTGTTGTTGTTGTTGTTGTTGTTGTTGTTGTTGTTGTTGTTGTTGTTGTTGTTGTTGTTGTTGTTGTTGTTGTTGTTGTTGTTGTTGTTGTTGAGTTGGTGGTAATTCAGTAGTTGGTGGAGTTTCAATTTCAGAATCAACATTTGAATCACTGGTTTGACCATCACCATTTGTCTCAGTTTCGTGGTTATTCAAACTAACCGGTCTTGAATTGTCTTGTTCTTTAATCAGTGCTGACAACTTGGTTTTTTCGGTGGCATTGTTATTTGATTCAATTGCATTTGTGATGTATCTCGATGGTGAAGTTTCCAATTCATTGTCATCATTTTCATTACCTTCATGACCAATGTGACCACAATTCTCATTCAAATTGGGACTTCCAACATTTGATTCCTTTTTATTCCTAATTGAAGCCAATCTTTCTGCTGCAGCTTTTGCAGCTTTCCGTTGTTCATTCTTCAACCTGAATGTCTGATACAACTGCTTGATCCGATCAATGTTTTCCCTGTCCTCCTCAATTCCTGCCTGATGAGAAATATCACACAAATCGTTGATGACCAATTTTCTTTCATAAACAATGGTTTTTGTTTCGGTGTTTGCCCCTGATCCAGTAGTAACTTGTAAAATGTGGGTGAAATGAACAACAACAACTTTGTCGCCATCTTTGTAAAACCTGACATCTCTGCTCAAATCATCGGTAGGATGCAATAATTCCAAAATGCGGTAAAGTTGACCTTCAGTGATGGGTCTGGTGATGACGGTGGTGGTAGTAAGCATTATTTAAACTTAGGTGTAAATGTAGTTTGTAAAATTAAGTATAAATGCAGTTCGTAAAATTAAGTTTAGTTCGTAGTTCTTAAGTTCAAGTGTGAGTGGAAGGGTAAAGATGTGTATGGAGACAAGAGAATCATTTAGAGAGAATACAACTATCGTGGTTTCAATGGCATTTTATATGATTTCTAAAGTATAGTATATCAAAATCATGATGTCCGCAATACTTTATTGGACTATAGTTAAGAGCGCATAACAAGTACCTCATGTTCATGATATGATAGGCAACGAATGGTACAAAAACGATTGTTGTTATCAGTTTGTGATTGCAAAATATAGACAGTTGAATGCATAGGCGAGTTTACGCAAAGAGTACCTACAAAAAAGGGCCCAACACACCAGGGCATTGACATTATCTTCACACTTCATCCATGATTTGTGTATCTCATCAAAGTCTGGTACTGCTCAGTTCAGCCAGGGTTCGCAGTTTATGTTCTTCTTGCTCTTTCTACACTTTCTCCTGAATGCAATAAATATGACACAAAGTCTGGATTTTCTTCTGACTGCAAAACAAAATACCAAAAAAAGGTAGAGTACGAGAAACAGCCATCTTTTAATCTACTCAATCTAGTTTAGAGGGGCATTGTCAAATTTTCAATCTAGACCCCACCACAATCAAAATGTCTTGAGTATTCGTAATGCACTACTTACAAATAAAGCATTTGTATTCAATATATACTCTAGATGCTTACTGTCAACTGTTGGTAACTAGATCAATCAGTCTTCTTTACTATGAGCTTTTCAACACTAGTGGGGGACTACACATTTGAATCCTTGTAGAACAGCTTCATTGCTGTTACATTCTTGTGGATATTTTCAGTCGGATCATTTAATATGACTTATATAATGTTTTGTTCCTGGCTTGTAGTTTCCTGACTTTTGTTCTTTCTTAATTTAGTTGTTGTTTCCTTATTTGTTATTGTTTCCTCACTGAAAAATGATACAATTTTGGGATTCAAAGCAAAATCCAAACTCTCGTTGAAAGAAAACCGAGGTACAATTTGAAGTTGGTTTTTCCTTCCCTAACAATTGTGTAGTTGTAGATTAGTGTATAAAGCTACCAAATGAATATAATCACGTGCTTTTCGATCTCTTTTTTTCTTTTTTTGCTTCATCAGATTACCAAACATGAATACTCCATACACTGTCATCACTACATATATTCAGTCAACGTATTTCCGTGTATTCAATTGCCTGCTGCCTTTCATCTATACCGCTGTTAAAATCATCATGCATACCGAAACTTAATGGGTAATATTTTCCATCGTTTTCACAATTCAACGACGAACAATTAGATGGCAATTACTGGTAGAATAGCTACAGGAAGCACCACCGAATACAAGTTAGGCCCGGATTATTTGTCGAGAGTTGGCTTCATTCCATGAGCTTACCATTTGAGATAACTTAACTGGATGTTCTTGCTACCCTTGAGAACAAGCAGAGGAATGATACAGCAGATATGTAGCTATCAACAATCATCTCGAGTTGATCATCTTCTACATGTGGGAGAGCTTTTATTACTGCTTCAGGGTCTGGAACATAATCATAGCCAATTGAATCAGCAGTGTGTTTTGCTGATATTCTAACAATCAACCTAAAAAGCTTTTTACTGACCAACAAAACTTTAGAAGTTTACAGTCGATGATCCACAAAAGTCGGTCAATAGCAATGTGGTCTTTTCCAAAAACCAGAATTGTGTGCCGCTTGATTATGATTTTCTGTTTCTCCCTCAATTTTGCAGTTGAATCGCAAACACCCACAAATTTGCAATTTCACTGGTGGTATTTCTTTTTTTTCTTTTCCGTCTACCCATTGCAATCATATCAAACATATTAAATCAACAATGACACTCCAATTACGCAACTTAGTCTTACTATTTGTCCTCATTTCAGGTATCTTTGGTGCTACTTTGAACAAGGTTGGTGAATATGGTACTTACATGAATCCAAACCCTCGCAAAACTGCCAAATGTGAACCGAATGATTTAGTCAAGCTATCCACTTGTTGCAACGATGTGCTTTCAAAATTGGATGAATGTAAACCCAACGACTTGGCTTGTGAATGTTGTGCTTTGCAGAGTATTGATGATGAATGCTATCACTTGTGTCCTGGAAACCCAAATACCAATTTCTTAACGGTGTTGTTGCTGGACTGTGCTGAAATGAATGAGGTCAATGCATGTTCTTTACCATTCAAAAAGGAAGATCCCGAACCACCTAGAAAAAGTATTGTTAGAACAGATGAAGAAGATCCAAGAGTTTTGGATGATCCTGTTGATGCCAGCTTGCAAAGCAAAGTATACAATGTTGAGTCCTTAACTAAACAACCCCAAATTAAAAATCAGAATTTAAATTTGTTGGTCAGTAACGAAGGGGGCAAAGAAGAGGAGGATGATAAGCAAGTGAATGAAGTTAATGTTACAAATGAATCCGTTGTATTGGACAACATTACTGTAATAGTTGTTGATGCTAACTATTCAAACTCGACAACAGTGAATTCTTTGAATGAGCATGAATCCGGTACAAACAATTTTAACTTACCAAATGTGGTGATGTTACTCATGTTTGGAGCGCTTTATTGCTATATGTGTTGACGCAATTGATTATTCAAGACTAAACCTTGCTCTTTACAAGAGTGAAGAGCGTTTTACTTTGAATTTTTTTAATCGATGAACTAGGTATATTTTTATATAGTCCATAATATAATGTCTCTCATAATTTCTCATTCATCCATTCAAGAGTATTGATGATACCCGTCTCCAAATCCACGGCAGGTCTATACCCCAACAATGTCTTAGCTTTGGTGATGTTATGGTATCTTGTGGCACAAACAACCCTTACTCTAAATGGAGTTAATCCTGGTTCTTTACCCAAAAAGTTGGAAACAAATTGTGAAATGTAACCCAATCCGATGGCAACAGTTCTATTTAACTTGATATAATAAGGGTCAATAATTCCGTCGTTTTTCCATACTGTCCTTGCTAATGTCCAAAAATATGTTGGCGCATCATTAGTGATAAAAAACGTCTCTCCGCTAACTTGATCTCTTGTGGTCTCATCTAATAGTTTTTGCGCCGCAAGCACATGCGCATCAGCAACATTTCCAACATAGGTCCAATCAAATAAGTTGTTGTTGTCACCTAGTTGATATTTGGATTGACCTAATTTGGCACTCGCTTTCAAACCAGGGACCAATTGACGATCACCAGGACCAAATATACCAGCCGGTCTCAAGCAAACAGTCCTGAACCCGTTTGCGGGATTGTTTGCTTCCAAAACTGCCGTCTCTGCAATAGCCTTAGTTTCGTTATATCCATCCATGTGTACTTCTGGGTATGGCCACGTTTCATTGGCATTTATGACATTCTGGCCATTGAAAATAACACCTGCCGATGACGTATACACAAATGATCCAACACCTGTTTCTCTGGCCACTTTGAGTAAGTTGTTTGTACCTTGCACATTAACTTTTTCGTAAATATCTTGTGATAGTCCATGCATTGGTGATGCTGAATGGACAAGTACATCACATTGCGATTTTCGAATAGCTTCAGCTACGTCATCAGCATCGGTTAAATCCCCTTTAAAAAACTCAATCGTTTCGGGATCAAAGGTAAAAAACTTGGATAACTTATTGGGCAAGGGACGAACATCAAACACCGTAATCTTTATTCCTGGGCAATGAGAGACAAATTGTTGAATCAAATGAAGTCCCAAAAACCCAGAACCACCAACTAAAAGGACAGATTCTAACTTATTTCCTGCCATCTCAATAGCTCACTGCACAATAGTACCAATTGGGAGGTTTATTCGAATATGACTAGGGTAAGGTGTTAAATCAATTGTCTAATGAAGAATGCCTTCAGTCGATACTGACAGAATTTTCTCATTGAAATAAATCGCGCGTCGTATAGTAAAACTCTGTTGTGTATGGATTAAACACATTAGCTGTGATATTCCCCCACGCAGATCCTAGAGTGTGCTATCAGTAAAACTGAGTAGTATATACATGTACAAACTCATTCAAGAATAACCCTATTTCTGCCAAGGCTGCTCTTTCAACATGGCGGTTCACTAATTTATCTTTTGATCACGTGAGATGTCATAAAGGTATAGTCAAAAGTTTCCATCCCAAACACTTAGAGCCAAGTTATAAAAAAATATAGTGGCTGGCTAGCAAGGAAGTTGACATGAGTGATTTACGCCATTATATCATGGTATGGAAGTTGAAAGATCTGACAGGACCCAACTTTTTTATTCTCTCATTTCCATATACTTTTCCTTTCCTCCTCTCCTCCTCCCTTCTCTCCAAGTGTAAAACACGAATCAAGTGAGAGAGAGACAGAGAGAGAGAGAGAGAGAGGAAAAAAAAAAAAGGCAAAACAAACAAAAATCTTACGACCAAAACAAAAGTTTAGCTGCACAAACACACAACTACCCATCACAAGCCACTATATATATATATCAACTCCACCTTCAAAGAGATGTCGTCGAGTGACAAAAGTTCCAAAGATGACATTAGGTCGCAATTGTCCGACATGCAAAAACGATTGTTTAGCAAAAAGTCTTCTTCATCACATCATGACGCGTTCAAAGAATCAACAAGTTTCAATCTGCTGCAATTACCTCATCAACATCCATTGTTTCAACATCATGATCAGGAAAACGCTCTTGCCACTTTACTGCACCCAGAGAGGAGGTCTGGTGATGAATTGCCATTGCCAACTATCAAAAGATCGAAAAAGGCGGATAAATTGCACTCTTCATTACCTTTGGGAGCAGAATCGAAGGGTAACGACATGAACTTTGTAGTTGGTTTGAGTGAAAATTTGTTGACTGAATGTCGGAGATTAAATGCAGATAACACGAAGTTGAAGCTGAAATTGAAACAAGCGTTACAAGAAGTACAGACGTTGAAGGAGGAAACTGGCAAGTTGAGCAATTCAAATCAAACATACATTTCCAACGAAAGTGAGTTAAAGGACAAAAATTGGCAATTGGAGAGTCAGATAAGTAGCTTGAAAGAAGATATAAAAATACTCGAGAAAAGTAATGACAAATTGAAGGTGCTACAAGAAGACATGAGTGGTCAGTTGAATCAAATTACGAAAAACAATGACGAACTAGATATTACAAACTCATTGCTACTGAAAAAGCTTAAGGATTTGGAAACCAAATATGAAAAGGATACCAAAGAGTTGAGTGAACGTGTGGAAAATCTTAACGATGAAAATGATAATTTACAATCTAAGCTTGCTGCCACTACCGTAGTGGAACCAGATGCGGGCACCGAAGGTGCTATCAAAACCTTTAAGGAAGCACAAAATGCTCCGGACGCTAATTCAGGTGTGTATGTTTCTGGACTTGAATCAATTTTGAAAGAATTGGAGCAATTTCAAGGTACAAACAACGGCTCAAAAATGGCAACTATAGACAATGCAATTTCACGATTGAGAGACCACATAGATAAGGTATCGTCGGGTGATTCAAACACCCGCTCTCTCAAACATACACAAAGCACGCCGTCAAAGTCAGAAGAGGAAGTGTACGCCTCTCTGGAATTTCCTCTCAGCAAAGCTCTTGCTGTTCTGCATGCAAACAGTGTATCTGAACCTTCTGTTAATAGTGACGCTGGTTGGGATCAGTTTTTGGGACAAAACGTTGAAAGAACCCCTTCGAAGCCCAAGCACGGTGATATAATTCAACAGTTTGACGGTGATGAAGTCGCTGATCAAAGCTACCATCTCAACATATCAGTCGAAGGCTCTCCAACTACTATGGAACAAACTACTCCACACAAGAACAAACATTCAGTTGAGGACGTCTTTCAGTTAATTGATACCTTGCTCAAGAGTGATGAACAAGACAGAAAGTTTAGGGACTTATTTGAGAGTAGAGGTATGAAACTATTGTCGACTGTTGAATATCAAAAGTTGGTTGATCATGCGAAGACCATTGAACCAATAATTGAAGAAACTCCCGCTGTACTGAAAACTAAATTGATGGAGCTTGATCAAAATGCCCGTTCACTTAATCGCCCTGACTTAAAGTATCTCACCGATCATGCTAAACAGCTAGGATATGTCGTTATTGATAGTGAAAAGTATAACAAATTAAACGGTTTTGGTAAAAACCCAAGCATCGACTACCTAGTCAAGAAGGCGAAAGAACATAACAAGGTCCTAATTTCAAATGACGAGTTGGATAATATTCTCAATCCTAACGAAGAACAAATAAAGACCCATGCGGAAAAGTTGCATTTGAAAGTTTTCACTGAATCTGAGGTTGCAGCTTTGAAAACTCCACCATTATCAGCCGTCAAGAGTTTAGCATCTGAGCATGACCACGTTCTAGTGTCATCAGATGAACACAGTACTACGCACAAGATGATTGACAGTCCAACTTTGGACTACTTGAAAAAGCATTTAGACACACATGAGCATACCTCAATGAGCAACAAGGAGTTACAAGAGTTGCTCGAAAGAGCTAAGAACCCAAGTGTAGATGAAGTCAAACAACACGCCCATAAGAGGGGATTGACAGCATTGCCAAAGGAAGAGCACGAGAAGTTGTCTTTTCTTGCTCACAATCCAAGTTTGGGGCATATAGAACAATGTGCTGAAAAAATGGGTTATGCTGTTGTTGAAAGAAAGAGCTGGGACACATTGAATACAATGTCGTCCGATCCCCCAGTCACCCACATACGTGATCTTGCGACAAAAAACAAGATGATGCTTCTTCCAGCATCTGAATATGATGAATTGAAGCGTTTGTCTAGCCAACCAGATATGGAGCACATAAAGAAGGCAGCAGCCAAGATGAAGTACTCTGTGATAACAAACGACAACTATGAGGAGTTGAAGAGAAGGGTGGAAGATCCAAGTGTTGAAGAACTCGAGAGTGCAGCTCAAAAGAAGAATTACAAGATGGTGACTAATGATGACTATCTGTCTATAATCAAGAGGGCGGATGAACCAGATTTGGAGCACATAAAGGAGGCAGCAACCAAGATGAAGTACTCTGTGATAACAAACGACAACTATGAGGAGTTGAAGAGAAGGGTGGAAGATCCAAGTGTTGAAGAACTCGAGAGTGCAGCTCAAAAGAAGAATTACAAGATGATAACTAATGATGACTATCTGTCTATAATCAAGAGGGCGGATGAACCAGATTTGGAGCACATAAAGGAGGCAGCAACCAAGATGAAGTACTCTGTGATAACAAACGACAACTATGAGGAGTTGAAGAGAAGGGTGGAAGATCCAAGTGTCGAAGAACTCGAAAGTGCAGCTCAAAAGAAGAATTACAAGATGGTGACTAATGATGACTATCTGTCTATAATCAAGAGGGCGGATGAACCAGATTTGGAGCACATTAGACATGCATCCAGTAAACTCGATTATCGAGTCGTCAGCAACTCCGATTTTGAAGAGCTACAGAGGCGAGTGAATGAACCTACGATAGAGGAAATTCTGTCTAGGGCAACAAAATTGGGAGTGGTTGTTGTTGGTGGTGAAGTGTACCAACGGTTGTGCTCTCCATCTGTACAAGATCTTCAGGCGCATTGCGATAAATTGCAACTCCATCTATGTCCACGAACCGAATTCGAGGAAATCTCCGATAAACTTGACAACCCTAAGATGGATTACTTAGTTGAATGTGCTGAGAAGCATCAACTGACAGTTATCAATAATAAAGAACTTGCAATATTGAAAGAGAAGGCAAATGAACCTGATTTGGCACATTTGGAGGAAAAGTCACGTTTGAGAAATCATGTTATCGTTCCTGAGGACAGATTTAAATTAATGGAGAGGCAAATATCCAATCCAAGCGTTGAGGAATTGAAATCGCTAGCCAAGTCCATCGATTACGTAGTACTTGACGAGCAAGAGTTCAATAAGTTAAAGAATCCTTCAAGAAGCATGCTTGAAAAGAGTGCTGCTGTGTACGGTTGTTCCTTCGTCACCACAGACGAGCTCGAAAGATTGAAGCAGCACGAAAAAGCACCCACAAAGGAATTTATTGTTTCCAAGGCATCTGAAAAAGGTTTAGTAGTAATACCTAAAAAGGAATACGACGAGTTGAATGTCGATGCGAATAATCCGTCTAAGGAGCATTTGGCTCAAAAAGCAAAGGAGATTGGTTTTGTTGCTATCCCCATGCGGGACCATGAAAGCTCACGTTCGCAATTAGATAACCCCACGATTGATTTCTTGAGAGAAAAGGCCAAATTATATGATCAAGATTTGATTTCGTCGTCGACTTTAGCAGCTATGCAGGAATGTGTGAGCAATCCAAGTTTGGAATTTTTGAACGAAAAAGTCGCAAATTACAATTCAACAGTTGTGGATACAAAAAGATACAATGAGTTGGTCGAATTAGACATTTCACCAAACGCAGAGAAACTCAAAGAAAAGGCCCATGAGATTGGTTGCGATGTCGTAGAGCAAGAAGAACTTGTTGAGTTGAGGAGAATACGAGATGATCCTAATGTTGATGATGTGAGCAGAATGGCTGCGGCTTTGGAGCTTGCTGTTTTGTCGGAATCAGAACGCGACGAACTTTCTCATTGCATTGAATCGCCCACTGTTGACTATTTGAAAGAGCATGCCAACAAATTGAACTATACAATGATAGAGACACCAGTCTATGATGAGTTGAAAGTTTTTGTTGAGTCTCCATCGAAAGAATTCATAACTGAAAAAGCTCATTCTGCAGGTTTAGCGGCTGTACCGGAAGAAGAGTATTTGCTATTGTGCCATAGAGCAAACGACCCTGATTTAGATGAATTGATGGCCCAAGCCAAAACTAAAAAGATGACCTTAATCAATATCGACGAGCTTGAGAAGTTGCATTCTCAACTCACGGACCCAAACATTGAATATTTATCCCAGCACGTTGAGGAGGCGGGTTGTGTTATGATGACAAAGGAGGAATTGGCTACAATGAAACTACAAGTTGAATCACCTACTGATGAGTACTTAAAGGAGAAATGTGGAAAACTCAAATTGGCAACACTTCCAGAGTCAGAACTTATCAACTTGAGATCAATGGTTGAATCACCATCTGTGGGCTTTTTAACTGAAAAGGCAGAAGCCCAGGATTACAAAGTGATCAAGAATTCAGACTACCTTGCGATGGTCAGAAATATTGAAAGTCCGGACTTGGAATACTTGAAATTACATGCAGGTTCCAAGGAGATGCAATTAATTGGAGTGTCCGACCTTGCCAGCTTGCACTCGCGTATTGAAAACCCTAGTAGAGAATACTTGTCGGAGCATGCCGAAAAGGTGGATAACGTGATGGTATCTAAAGATGAAATTGCGGCATTGAAACTACAAGTTGAATCACCTACTGATGAGTACTTAAAGGAGAAATGTGGAAAACTCAAATTGGCAACACTTCCAGAGTCAGAACTTATCAACTTGAGATCAATGGTTGAATCACCATCTGTGGACTTTTTAGCTGAAAAGGCAGAAGCCCAGGATTACAAAGTGATCAAGAATTCAGACTACCTTGCGATGGTGAGAAATATTGAAAGTCCGGACTTAGAATACTTGAAGTCTCGCGCAGGGCACCTTGATCTGGTACTCATTTCCGATAGCGAACACAAAGCATTGCTTGAACCTGATAGAGCATCGATTGAAGCGAGTGCATTAGCTCTAGGGTTGGCAACAATCCCTCAAGCCGATCTTGAAAAGTTGAAGGAAATTTCAGATGCACCTGACCTTGTGTATTTAAAAGCTAAAGCTGAATCGCTTGGTTATGAGTTGATACAGTGTGAGGATTTGGCCACATTGCACACCACAATTGACAATCCTAGAAAAGAGTTCCTACAACAAAAAGCCGATTCTTTGGGTTGTGTGATTATCAGCAAAACCGAACTTGACCAATTACGTTCGACAACCTCAAGACCAGAGGCGAATACTGGCACGAGAGGTGCATCGAAGTCAGAAAACCCAACAGCCCTTGCCGATGAAGAAGCTCAATCAAGGACAAAACTATCTCACGAACTTTGTGCTGCTCACGATGATGACTCCGCTGTACGAAAGATGAGAGAGTTTTTGAACGACCGGGGCTACACAATTATTCCTATTGCAGTTTCCCGTTCTAGTTCGAACACCACAAATCTGAATGAGTATGATGACGCCGGAAACTCATTTGAGGCAACGCGAAATCAACAATCGCAAACAAACGCGGAAGATTCTACCAAGAACCATCATCAACTACAAAGAACCATAAGCGAAAATACTTTGGCTAATGCCGCTAACCTGCGCTCACTTTCCCTCGTGCCTGACTCCGAATTTATTTCATTAAAGAAAGATCGCTTGGGTAAGGAAAGGCTTGAAAAGAGAGTCAAAGAGGTGGTAAACGAATTGTATGGATTGAAAAGCGCTTTGGTTGAAAAAAAGGATGTGATTAGGAGTCTCGAGAGTGAGGTTTTACAGTTTGAATGTCCGGTTTCCAAAGAACATATTAGATCATGTGCAACAGACCTTGGCCTTTTGTGTATAAGTGCCACTTACTATGTGGGTACCACGACTCATCCTCGACCCGATGTGGATCACGTGAAAATACTTCCAGCAAGTTACTTCAATCAGCTCTTGAAGTACAAGTCGTCCTCCGTGGAAAAAATTTCCAATGATGCATTTGAACGATTTGCGAAAAAGCGAGGATATGTCAAAAAAGATTTAGGTGCTCCAGATATGGCCCTTGTTCAACCAGGAAGTGGTATTGACGCAAAGTTTTCACCACCAAGTCACACTTTGGTGCGTGGTGGTCAAGATGGAACGCACACTCCACCAGTAGTACCCATACAGAGGCATCTTCCCCACTCAAGTTCGCTCAGATCCAATCTTTCGGAATTCTCCACAACTTCGCTCAGATCGACTGGTATGTTCTCCATGGCCACTGATGTGTCGTTTACGGACAAACTGATGATCCCTGCAATCACCCAAGTTGTTATTGGTGAGTATCTTTTCAAATATTATAGGAGATTTGGCTCGGCGTTCAGTGCGATTGCTGAAACACGACATGAGAGATACTTTTGGGTTCATCCGTACTCTTTGACCTTGTACTGGTCCGAGAGCAACCCCGTACTATCTAATCCAGCATCTAGGAAGACCAGAGCTGCCGCCATAGTCGATGTTGATAGTGTTGAAGACAATAATCCTATCCCTACCGGTTTGTACCACAAAAGTATCATAGTACGCTCCACTGATAGGTCGATCAAGATTACCTGTGCAACAAGACAGCGTCACAATATATGGTATAATGCTTTACGCTATTTGATTCACCGAAACATCGATGACTTGAGTGTTGATATGGAGGGTGGTGAAGATGGTGATGCTGATGTTGATACTGATGACGACATCGATGCCTCTCCCATACTGCATATGATGCAGATTCCGAAATCTACCTCCCACAAGAATCTTGATGCTTTGAGAGATACAGGGGATCGACGTGCATTTCCAAGACCAAAACGGATCTCGTCTCAGGAGGGAATTAAAACCCCTAGAACTCCTGGTGGTGTTTCCAGGCTTCTGTCATTTAGACGGTCATAATGCATATGCGAAAAAAGAAAAAAAACCTACTGGGAATATGTTAATCCTGTATGATATTGAATTTAAGTTATGGCTTCTCTATGTACATTTTGTTAATGCGAATGTCTTGTAAAGATAATGTTTTTGGTTTTCTCCTGCATATCATGTCACTGAAATTGAATACAAGGACTAAAATGATTGCGAAGCATCCAACGCCAGCTGTAACGCCAAGGACACTATTGTAGCATTTGTTTCCTAAACTGCACCCCATGGTTGCCAGCAGAGTTTCGCCATCCTTGGCCATGTCCATGAGGGCTGTTTTGCCAGATTTGAGATCATACTCTTTACCAAACATACTAGTCAAGTAATAACTGGGCCCAATAGGCGCAAGACATGTAATTCCCCAATTGAAAGAAAAATCTTCCATTCCAAAAATGTCTCCCACAATAATGGGAATGAGACAAAATGTAAAACCGTAAAAAAGACCGACTAAAAAGGAATTGAGTGGAAGGTTGTTATAGTGAACAGTGTTTGAGGTAAGTATTTGACAAAAGGTTGTTCCCACCGACGGTATGACCAATAACCATGACCTTGGTGTGGAGAATGATTGCGTGATAATGTCACCCAGAATGCCCGCTAGTATCCGACCAATGCAGTTTGCAATCGAAATCATTCCCACTTGAAGTTGTTGTTGTTGTTGAATCAATAACTCAATTTGATCACTAGTGGCTGCAACTTCCAAATGTTCCTCAGTAGTAGAGTATCCCACCAAGGACTTGACAATGTATCCCACAGAGTAAATGTACATCTGGCCCAACGACGCCAAAGACCCAAGGATTGCAAAACACATCCAGAACTTGTAACTTTTGAATAAATCAACTTTGGAATGCGTGCTTAGGTTCTTCTCAGAATCTTCCAGTAATTGATGGTTTCGGAATGTAGAAGCTTTTCGAAGCTTGTGCTCTTTGTCTGACAAATAGACACTAGGAAAGCAGATAACGCAAATGACAATTACGGAGATCCCAACAAACCCCAAAAATTCAGAAGTCTTCCCTGCATAAAAAACTGAAGCTATCACCGAATAAAAAAGAGCACTTAAACCATACAATGCCAACGGTAACGATGTTGCAACCCCTCTTATACTTGGAAAACTTACTGCACAACATTTGAGACAAGCAGAATTGATAAAAGTCGAACCCAAACCTATTGAAAACAACCAAAAACAAGATATTTGAACCTGATTGTATTGGTGATCAAATTGATATTTCATGCCACCATAGCCCAAAATTATCAAAAATGCACCTATTAGTAGCGATAAGGTGTATCCCTTGCGATCTACAACTGCTCCAGAAATTGGGCCTGCCCATGCTGTCCCAATAGTGCCCCATAAAGCAATCTTTGATGAATCCGATGCTGTGTATTGTAATTGCTTTGCTAGCTGAGGACTATATGATGAATAAAGGTATAATGTTCCACATATTAACCCAAGAAATGTACATGATAATAAAACAAGGACTCTGTGCACGTTTCGTGATAGCATTTCAAATTTCGATCCTTCATGTAATAATTACTTGCTCCCTTTAATACTATTGAAAAGTCTCCTTTACATGGTCATTCTCAACAAAATGAAAAATTTGTCCAAAGGCTTTTTCGTGTCAACTTTTGGTACAAAGAATTACACAAAGCCGCGTCCACTATGACCCTCAACAGTGGAGTGACAACTAATGGTTGATAAACGAAAAATTGTGGTATTTTGAAAGGATCTATTAGCAAAAGAGCTCAATTTGTTGGGGAGGGGGAAGGCGGGATAGAGAAATAGGGTTATAGAAACAAAGGCATTCAATTAGTTACATTGCAACAGATCGTGATTGGTACTATAAGTACTTCTTCACTTCGCTTTCCTCGATACCAATAGATTCCTATTTGAGAGTGTATTGTTAGTAAGCTGCTCTCATTGCGGGTGTCATCAAAGTGTTGAGTGACGTACCAATATGTTCTTTTTTTCAGTAAGATCGAGTAAGGTACCACGAAGTAGTTTGAACTATAGATTGTTAGTACATGTATCTGACGTGGCTAGGGGTTATAACATACATATTCTTTGTATTGCTTGTGGATACGCAGTAAATGTGAAATTTGTTGGGCCATTTCAGTACTGTGGGTGAGTTCATGGCTGGACAGTTTTTGCAAATTCGTCAATGCTTCAATTTCCTCCTTAGCCTCGTTGAGACGTTGAACTAGTTCTTCATTAGAAAGGGCTGTTCTGGCATTCTTCAACGCTAAATTCAGTCTGTTAGTACAAGAGGGTGTTGTTGAGACTAATCTATTCGATTATCGTACCTTCTATTAAGTCATTTGTCTCTTGTTCAAGACCTTTCATCTCTTTCTCCATCAAAGGGATCTTCTCCAATAAATCTGCGTCTGAATTAGCACACTCTGGTACTAAGGCCCTGTAACAATAATAACTGGTTTTACCCACGACCTTGACAATAAGTTCATTCAGCTCAACCAAAGTTGTTAACCCCACACTTAATCTTTGTTTTGGAACTTGATTATGCAAATTTAACAAGATATCATTGGTGGAGTAGGGTCTATACTGGGACTTCATGTAGTCGCGAATGATGGTTCTGACGTCTTCTGAACACTGTGTATGTTTTGTTGAAGGCATTCTCCTGAAGTGTTTATGTTTTGGAACAAGAGTCACTTACAACAGATTTTCAAGTGGACACTCATTTTGCAACCACAATTAACACACTTTGTTCTTTTTTTCACCTTGAAAGCTATGTTAAAGCACGTACCCAAGGGAAAACCAGACACCACTCCAGTCTTATTGTACGCAGATAATCCCAGTCACGTACATATGCACATTTAATTACTCTTTCCTCTAGGTAACAACCAAAACAACGTCAAAGAAATAATTTGTATTGAATTTGATGCAAAAAAAGGAACAATTCCTCCATCTCCAAAGCGAACATGACTATTGGACACAGCTTGAGACCGTAAAGTCTGTTATTATAACGTCTGAGAAATCGCAAGTCTAAAGAACTATGCGGTCGCTATGTTTCGAATATATATGATGACAGCCAATGCTTGGTAACTACAGTGTCACAAATTGTTGTGACACAACAATCGTTATTATGATGTTTCTATATTTGTCAAGGTCGTGTAAATTGATACAATTGCATGTTATCTCTCAATAAATCTTTTGTGTGTTTTTTATAATGAAGGACAAGAAAAGTGAACAGGGTGATCGTATTCTGCACATCTAAAACACAACTGAGCTGAGCCCCCCCTCCAACCCACCATCGAAACCTAGTTTTATTCGCATTCACAGCTTGCCATCTTGACAACACTTCATAGCTAGACCAATTCAAAGTTTACAGAAACAATACTTGCTTTGATCAATTACCCGCAACAAATCATACACAAAACTCAGCAAAGTTTAAAGAAACATTATGGCCAGTCGCCAATCGAGGTTAGAGGCAGAGAAACTTGCCATCATACAAAATTCCATGACGAGAGGAAGATCTTTGTCCCCTGGAGCCGCAACCAGTAGTGGCGGTAGAGGTTCCTTCAAGAGCCGCTCACCCTCCGTTTCAAGAGAGGATTATAATGGTAGATTGAAGTGGTCAATTACAAATCATGACCCCCTGGAACGAATTCAAAGGGAAGGGGAACTGGGTGAGTCGCCTTCATGGGAGGATGAAGTAAGTGAGGAGGAACATATTAGTGACGATGATAACAATGAAAAATTTCAATATGATGACACCGGTAATATCTTGCCGAATTATGCTTGCCAAGACGAAATGATCAACGAGGTTAGCTCAATTTTGGAAAACTCTAACTTGAATGATAGGTCTACCGTGAAAAAGTTGGAAGAGTTGACTGCTAATGAACGGGCTCTTGCGGCTGCAAAGAATGCTGGTACAAAAATAGACCCGGATATATTGAATAGATTAGCGAGCGACAAGCACAAGCTTACAGGACTGGAACTGTTGAATTTGATGCAAGCTGACCAGGATGCCGAATCGAGGAGACAAAAATTGGAGAATTATCAAGCTTATAGGAAGAAAATTATTGAACAAGAGAATGGCAACGGAAATGGCAATGGTCATGATATGAGTGCTGCTGCCGAAGGAGGCCCCAAACTGCAATCAGAGACTGGCAAAGATGGCAAAGACGGCCTGCCTAGTGAAGAATTCATGGTCCCTTACACATCAGCTGTGGAGGATAAACTTGATAGCGAGTTTGCTTCACAATTGAACGAAACTATTCGTGAAGGGGAGATTGACTCCAATAAAGCACATTCAAGAGTTATACAAACGATTACCAGAGGAAATTTTTTCCAGTTGGTGAATCCCAAAGTGAAGCCTAAAATGTTTTTGTTGTGCATGGACTTCTCTCCCGAGTCGATATTCGCACTTGAGTGGTCTTTGGGAACAGTCTTGGTTGACGGGTCTGTGTTATTCATTATTTGTGTTATTGAAGACAATGACCCAAACCACCATTTAAAAAGCAACACTTCTAATGAGAATCAACGTGAACAACAACGTCTCAACATGTTGAACAGAGCTAGACAGCAAGTTCTCAATTTGTTAAAACTAACAAAGCTTCAAATCCACGTCGTTATCGAAATTGTTCATCATCCTATACCAAGACATTTGATTTTGGAGTTTATCGATAATTTGAAACCAACCTTAGTTGTTGTTGGATCAAAGGGACAAAGTGCTATAAAGGGTGTATTACTCGGTTCATTGTCCAACTACCTTGTCACAAAGTCAACTGTTCCTGTCATGGTGGTGCGTGAGAAATTGAAGAAGATTAATAGGTTTAAATCTGGTTCATCCGTATTTTCCAATAATATTAAGCCATTGACTTTGTCTGAGGCTAGAATTGATTGATTGATGTCAGTGAGTCATGGTTTGACTTTTTGAGGATATTTGTATAGTGGATTTGCAGTGTTTGTATTTGTCGTACGTTTAAAAGAGATATTCAAATGAGAGCTTCTTGGGTAATCGTTTATAGATTAGGGCATTAAGGATTCCTGTAAACTACTCTAGTTTCATACACTTGCGACGGATACATGTCACTATTCATCCCAGAATGCGCTTTTGTTCTTTCCGAGTTAGACAATACCCTTGATTTTTTCAAAACAACATACAGGGCTTGTGAGAGAGTTCAACATACCTTTTATCGGTATACTCTGAGTTGATTGACCGGTTTAGACAAACATCTACACCTTTTAACTATTTGTACTTGATTCATTTATTCTAATATACACAATCCCACGTTCGTTTATTTCTTGATTCCGCTTCTCATGTAACGACCAACAACGATACAATGATCTCTTTCGTATGGTTCCAATGTCAATTGCTCCAATGGTTTGATTCTCTCTTCTCTTAACTTCTGTACTTCTCTAGCGAAAACGGTTTCAGCATCAACAGTTGAATCGATACAGTTTGCTTTGATAGATATAACCACAATACCACCATCTTTCAAAAACAAGTGTGAATTCAAAGCAATAATACGAGCTTGATCTGGCTGAGCAACATCAGCGAAAACACAATCAACCATTCCCACCAACATTCTGTACTTCTGGGGGTGTCTGGCATCATCGATGATGGGGATCACATTTGGTCTTTTCTTGGCCATACCAATCAACTCTCTACCGGGCCTGTGGGAGAACTCAACAGCGTATACTAAACCTTCCGGTCCAACGACATCAGCAACATGGGAAACAGAGGTACCTGAAGCAGCACCCAAATACAAAACTTTCTTTCCTGGCGCAACACCCAATTCATCAATACCACCCATAATACCAGCGGCCAACTTGGATCTGAAAGGATTCCATACACGATATTCAATTTTAGTTGGAGCTGATCCTTCTTCCTTGGCTGGTTCTTCTACGCTTATTCTCTTTTCGCCATACACCGATTCACCAGGAGCGATGTTTTTGGTGACTAACAAATCTTCTTTTCCTCTGGCAATGAAAACACCAGCATGTCTGTGTGGCTCGATAACAACCTTGGCTCCTCCTCTAGCTCCACCACGTGCGCCACCTCTTCCACCTCTGGCACCACCTCTTCCACCTCTAGCGCCACCTCTGGCACCACCTCTAGCTCCACCACGACCACCTCTGCCTGCTGATGCACCTCCACGGCCACCTCTTCCTGAAAATCCGCCACGGCCGCCTCCACGGCTTCCGCCTCTACCTCTTGGTGCTCCAAATGCCATTATGTATGTATAAATGTAGTCTCAAATGTGAATAAGAAAAGATAACTTTCTTGGTAAAGTCCATCAGGAAAATTTTTTTCATGGAATTTTTTTATTTTTTATTTTTTATTTTTCTCTTCATTAGTGAGATATTTGATGTTTTGATGTGGGAAACCTATCGGGCCATACAAATCACACGACGGTGGGGCATGAAAATGACGACGAAGCAACTTGGAAGCATTGGAGATTGGCACTATGGTACGCTTTACTATGCAATGGCGGAAATTTAGTATTTTGTCGTCTTCAAAGAGTAAATAGAAAATCTGGGTGGTCTTTAGGTTGAGAAATGTACAAAGCTCCTCCTTTATTTAGCCATGATTGGGTGAATAACTTCAAAGGCTCATAATTGAACCAGAAATGAGAAAGGTCTACTTAAGGGGAACCTGTGATGATGCTTTTTATACTGTTTGGTTCAAATCATAGGTTGAAAAGTGATGCTCATCGTGCGGCTTGTTTATGCACGTGACTTCACACTTCCTCTCTGGCAATCTTTGGGTGTTCATCATCATTAGTAAAAAAGCACACACTTCAATTCTTGGAAATATACAAACGTAGAGTCAATGCTAGAGTTACAATGGGCGGTATCAAAACCAAAGATAACCCAATCCACTAGCATGCCTATTACGCTTTGGAAAATAACGAACTAAATAAATATACAAATAAATAAGCATGCACGTTACACCGAATGAATGCACTTCGCCACACCCCTCCTTTGAGCTACTCATTTGATTTGAATGTCTAAGTTTTCTGGTCCAAAACTTAGTGGAAGAAGATCTTTCAAATAAACCTTGATGAAATCCGAATCATTGTTAAATAGGAATAGTGCGATATTTTCGTTAAACTCCCGCATAAATTGCCGACATATTCCACACGGCACAATGGGCTCTGGTGTGTCTGCTGCAATTGCAATGACTCTAAATTTACGATACCCTTGACTCTGTAAACGACAGAAACTTTTGTTAGTAATTGCGCTCAATAATGATGATGATGGTGATGATGGTCAACCATGTCGTCCAAGTTCAACTCTTGGTTCAATACACATACCACTGCTCTTGAAATAGCTGATCGCTCAGCACATATACCTGCGCCATAAGAGGCATTCTCGACATTAACTCCTGTTATGAAGTCACCTGATTCGGTCAAGACACAACTAGCTACTCTTTAAGATTAGTTAGTAAACCTGACTTTTGCAAAGCATGAATATCCATGTAAGCTGCAAAACGTACCTAAACTTGGAATACGGACAATATGCTAGGCTCTTAGCTACATTTTAATTGAATAGTTAGTGTTGAGTTGCGTAAATTCGATTATTTTGCTTTAAAACGTACTCTCAGTGACCATATCCTTAAGCTTATTAAATTCATCCAAGGAGATCTCTGAATGGTCATGATATATTTGAATAGTCATCTTAGCTACGGTACTTGGCACGAGTGTCTGATAACCTCCTGATAAGATCAGAATGGATCAGATATTTTGGTCGTGCGACATTTAGAAAATAAAAACAATAGCCTGTTGAAACTACTCACATTAGCGTGTACTTATGTCACAAGAGTGCAGTTTCTGACAGTGCGATTGCCGCCAATCCCGTAGCTGGTACCCTTTGACTGGATGTTGTATCTTTTAATACAGGCTGTGTCTGGCTTAATTAAACATATATGGCAGACATCGAATTCAAATAAAGGCTCAGAAACAAAGTCGTGCAATTATGGACAAGAAAAAAAAATCAAACCAGTGGCGAAAAAACTCAGACTCAAAAATGTGTGTAGTTATCACCACCACCACTGAATCTTTTCCCTTCTTCATACATATAGTTTATCATACTGATTCATTTGTCGGTAGATAAGCTTATACTTTTACAAGACATAATTGACCGAATAGCGCCAATAATTAAAATACTATTCTTACATCAATTGAAGAAGTATCCCCTCCACCCAATACTTCAAACTTCATTTACATTCATAGTTTAGTCGGCACAGCACTGCATCGTACTTTGATATATATCAATCAATTATGGTAACCTTGGAAGAATTAGAGTCTGCTCAAGGAGAAGACGACACTATTGACATGGAAATTCTACAGTCATCCACAGCTGATATCGTCAATAGAACCAAATTACTAGACAATGACATCAAAGTCATGCGTTCAGAATCGCAAAGACTCACTCACGAGAAAACCATGATGTTGGAGAGAATAAAGGACAACCAGGATAAAATAAATAACAATAAACAACTACCATATTTGGTTGGAAATGTGGTTGAACTTTTGAATCTTGATGTGGATAAAGAAGCCAGTGAGCAAGGTGCAAATGTTGACATAGATGCTGCAAGATCTGGAAAATCGGCTGTCATAAAAACTTCAACTAGGCAAACCATTTTTTTACCAATGATTGGATTGGTGGATCACGAAAAGTTGAAACCTAATGATTTGATAGGTGTCAACAAAGATTCGTATTTGATCTTGGATACCTTACCCTCCGAATATGACTCGAGGGTGAAGGCAATGGAGTTGGATGAGAAGCCAACGGAAACCTATTCCAATATTGGAGGTTTAGATAACCAAATTGAGGAATTGATTGAAGCAGTTGTTTTGCCCATGAAGCAAGCTGATAAGTTTAAGAAATTGGGTATAAAACCACCAAAAGGTGCGTTAATGTATGGTCCTCCTGGTACCGGTAAGACTTTGTTGGCAAGGGCATGTGCAGCACAGTCGGGTGCTACATTCTTAAAGTTGGCTGCTCCACAATTGGTGCAAATGTTTATCGGTGATGGTGCCAAGTTGGTGAGAGATGCATTTGCTTTAGCCAAAGAGAAAGCACCAACGATTATTTTTATTGATGAATTGGATGCTATTGGTACCAAGAGATTTGATTCAGACAAGAGTGGTGATAGAGAAGTTCAACGTACGATGTTGGAATTATTGAATCAATTGGATGGATTTGGATCAGATGACAGAGTCAAGGTGCTAGCAGCCACAAATAGAGTTGATACTTTAGATCCAGCCTTGTTGAGATCAGGTAGATTGGATCGTAAAATTGAGTTCCCCTTACCATCCGAGGAGGCTAGAGAGTCAGTATTGAAAATTCATGCGAGAAAATTACATTGCGACAATGAATCCATCAATTGGCGTGAATTGGCTAGGTCTACAGACGAATTCAATGGTGCCCAATTGAAAGCTGTGACCGTTGAAGCTGGTATGATTGCTTTGAGAAATGGTAAGTCAATAATTAGGCACGAGGATTTTGTGGAGGCAATTGGTGAAGTACAAGCAAGAAAATCAAAGTCAGTGAACTTTTATGCATAAAACTTGTCCACTGGTGTTTTTTCGCAAGAGGCTTTGGTCAAGGTACACGAGGGTCAACAGCATAGCTTTTGAGCCTCTACTGTTCCATTTTGGGTGCAAGCGGAAGTGCTAGGATAAACAATAGTAAGGAACTTTACAGAGTAGCTAAAGAAGAAAGACAAAAAAATATGTACCCTCTAAATCTATAGTTTATACAATGCATAGCACAATGTTCCCTTCAAAAGCTAAACAAAGATTTGTATCTGTTAACTTCCTCCTCGTCGAAATCATACACAACAAGTTTGGGGGAGGGGAAGGTGAATTCAGACACGGGAGGCGACGACTCATTATTTGTACCATTTAATTGATTCGTAGTTGACACGAACCCATCTGTACTTGATTTGATACTCTCAAAAGCTGGTGTGGGTGTGCAAGACAGGCCAAATGTGTTGGGTAATTTTCTCCTTAAATTTTCACCATTCCCCTGGTCATCAATCAGATAGGACTTGTTCTTATGTTTATCACCAGACAGATTGCTTTCTTTGTTCGATACTCCATTCACACTCAATGACCCTGATGCTGTGAACAGCATGTTTGAAACACTAGGTTCAAAAAAGGTACCGTTTCTTGGTGCATTCATCGCATATTTCCCAACTACCTGTTCATTTTCCCCATTATGGTCACCCTTGTTCCCGTTTAGCTCTTTACTGAACGAGTGATGAAAACCGTTGGAAAAAGTAGGCAGTTTCGATTTGGGTTCATTGAAAATGGGTTTTGCGAGGTGATTTGATTGAATGAGTGGCATATCTGAAGCTTTACCGGTGTTGTTCTTGGGGTTACTCGTACTAGTAGTATTCGACTTTTCCTCGCCATTACTTGCGGGTAGCAGGTCCATTGCGCTATAGGAGATAGTTTTGCCAATGGTCAGCGCCGTTACGCCCGACGCGGTCAAAGTATTGCTCAATTTGTTTTTGTTTTTCTTTTCTGAGCTAGACCCATACGGATTGATAAACAATTTTAACTTGTCTTGATGTTGTTGTTGTTTCTCATCAACAGGTTCTCCGTTTTCTTCCTTACCATCCAAAATACTTAACAAAGTTTGAGCGGCTTTGCTGGGTGGCTTTGAAGCAGAAGTTTGTATTGCACTTGTGTTGCTCAGCTTGAAGCTCAAGTTATTGTCCTTTTCATCCGTCTGTCTGTCGTTTTTGACGACTGAATTGGATAAAGTAGAGCTTGTGATCCTACTTTTGTAAGGGGCAGGTCGTCTCGATCTCATACTTGCTCTTCTCAAGGATGGTACAAAGTGGCTCCCTGTTGTGTTATTTATTATCAGGTACGACCTCTCAAATGTGTCGTTGTAAGTCTTGTTGTACTTTGGGGTATAACCTGGTGTATTTAAAGTGGTATTGCCATTCGTCTTGAGAACATTCTGTTTTGATGGTGTAGATCCAACGATTGATGTCTCATTGCCCACAATTATTGAGTCATTACCCAAATGTCTTCTCTTAAAAGAAGGTTCGGCATTAGTGAAGCTCAACTCGGCAAATTCTCGTTTGTAAGGTGTGCCTGTTCTAGATTTGGACATCAATGCCATTACACCTTCATATTCCACATCTGTAAGTTTGCCATTGCCCTTTTGCTTGAAAAATGCTGATAAAATGTCGTTGGGGTTTTCAGCAGTTTCATCCTTGTCAATAGTTGATGTTGAGTGTATCGGAGATAGTTGCTGCTGCTGCTGTTGTTGCGAGGTATCGACTGGTGTATTAGATGTTTCCTTATAGGCATGAAACGAGCCTGGTAATTTGACTGCCAGTGTACCTAAAAACCCTGGATCTTGTTGTGATAATTTGCTAGAATTTGATGTGCTACGATGTGATGAAACAACTTCATCAGAATCTGGTTTATTCCAAGATGTGAAGATGCTTTTTAGCTTCGATCTCAAGGCAAACGAATTTTGCCGACTTCCTGAATTACCCGACAAACTATCCTTATACTTCTGATACCTCTCTCTGTTATCCATGGTCTGTCCCAATACTAAAGATGAGATGAGTGGGAATAAGAATTGCTATGATTTTCAACAGGTGATGGATGAAAGATGAATGGAATAGTCAATGTAATTTTTTTTTCCTTTTTGTCTCTCTTTCATTTCTTATTTCTTTCTTTCCTTCCCTTCTTTCGCTTCTCTCTCCTGCGTATTTCTTCTCTTTAAAGCTCATCTTGTATGCCCTTTTCATTACAGTAATAGTATTAATATTAAAAAGAAGTTTAGGAGTCTGTTGTAAGTAAGAGAAACTGTATCATAAGTACAATGTCTACCTTTACTTAAATTATATTGTATGAGAGAGCAAAGTTGCTTGTTTAGTTAAAAGTTTCCAGCTAAACGAGTATCGCAAACATGATTTATACGACATTGTTCTGTCGCGTCAATTCTATTCTCATTTTTTGTTGTGCTGTTTCTCTCTCTCTCTCTCGAGATATCCTTCGATTCCTGACAAGAACTGCATGCCAATTGACAATTTGTTCTTGATATTCACTTTCGGTTGAGCTTCAAGGGTTAGATTCATACTAATGGTTCTGCTAATTGAATTGTTATACAGGTTTGACACGTATCTCACAAGTCGTCTAGAGGCAAATTCTTTTACTTCCAATTTGTTGATAACTCCGACTTCGAAATTCATAACTGAGATTCTTGTTTTGACATTTATTGGTCTTTTGAGTTATGAGATCATTTATTGGAGTGGTATATATTTGAATTTGTGGGAATATCATGCGAAAGATGTCTTCACTGAGGTGCCTATTCATTGTGCCCACGTCAATATACGATTGAACATCATAGATCGCACAAATGAAGTGCGATTAAAGGAATATTATGACATCAAGAATAAGTCACGATACCACAATCTTTTGTATTGGAAACAATTGAGTGACTTGAATGCCAACTTGTTTAGGCTAAACAAGTTTGTAAAGTATTATTTTGAATTTAGTCCTGATGATTTTGAAATGAATAAAGAGCCCGAGTTTGGCTCTACAATACTGCATTTGAGAAACAAGATTTTAAAATTGTTCAATGAGTCGGAACTCTATAGAGACTACGAAAGAGATGATGTTGTACCCAATGATGTCAAAATTTTCAATAATCAATATAAAGAGGTGCTGATAGGTGAAAACGAGAATTACTTGAGCAAGTGCAACATTGAAACAGGAAACACCATTGATGCCATTGTTGTATTGTAAGGAATGCCCTATATGTATATGTACTTACTTTTATCCTATGTGTCTTCCATACGCAAGCCAATTCTTAAAGGACTAAATCACTCTCCTCGATATTGAATGTATGACCAGCGGATGATTGTATTGATTGTAATTTCTTCTCCGTCAAAACAAACAATTTGACAAGACATTCCAACTTGCTTTCCAACGCTAAGCCGACTAAACTCTCCGTCTCATCCTCATTTGTGGCAGTGGTGTCTTTGCGGATCAATTTCTCGCCAGTATATAGTTCTGATGACGGTTTGGTAATTTGCTGACTCAGGTTCATATCAACTAACTGCTCCCAATCTGTGATCTCATCATCTAGGTCATCGAGATCGGAATCAAACCCATCGTCATTGAAAGACTCAAGGTCCTCGAAAGCAAAGCTCTCATAACTTGGACCGGTATAAACGATGGATTTCGTTTTTGACTCATATATACTTTCATTATCCTTCCCCGGCACAATCTCATCAACATTCCCAAGTTTAACTTTGACATCTTTTATTAGCTCACCTTCTTCGTATCCCTGATTGTAATCATTAAAACTCTTTACTTCATACATTCGCAAAATCTCCTTATTAACCAATCGAAATACCTGATTTCGTAAATTTATATTAAAGAAATTTCTCAATTCTAACGGAAGCTCCTTTTGATCGCTCAAGTCCTCAATAGAAGGATCAAACCTAAAGCACAAGAGACTCATTGTGAACTCTAGCTCCTTCAATAGTTTATGCAGGTTGGAGATTTTATTAATCAAATTGCACCTCACAAAGGTCAAAATCTCACTTAAAAACCCTCTTTCATCGGATTCCAGATGTGACGAGAATTTGTGGCTTCTTATCATCTCTATCAAATTGAGGCGTAACAATTTGAAGTGAAGAAGGTTATTTGAATCAAGTATGGTTGGGAACCATTGACTTATTTTAGTTATCGCCATTGTGATTTCCCCATTCAATATTAATCGTTTGATCTCCTGTCGTTGACTGATTGTAGAGTATCCAGAAGCTATCTTGATGTTTCCCGTGTAGGGCAATGTTGACATTTCATTCATGTTGCTGTCGTTGTTGTGATGGTCTCGAGGCTGGTGGTACTTTATATTGCTATAGTAATTCAAAATTACATCTGAAAAGTCATGGTCAGGAAGCTTGCTGATTTGATTCAAGTTTTTTTGCAATATGCTATGGCGAGTGGGCTGATTTAATGAAGTCGAACTTACTTGATCGTTGTTACTGGGAGTAAGTGATTGCTGCCATGAAAGTTTTTGAAAGTCCAAGTTCAACTCCTCAGCAAAGGCAAATGCCCCTTCCTCATACCCCTCATGGATAAGGTATTCAAGGACCAATTGGTCTATGTATCTCTTTTGTATTGTTTCGTCAACTTCAAGGGGCATGATTTGAGATGATGGATATGGTTGAAAGTTGTTGATAAAGAATAACGAGAAAAGGGAGTGAAGAAGCGGCGATTCGATCTAGTGAAAGGCAATGATTCTACGAGTGTCGCATAAGGCAAAATAACGACAGATGAAATCTTCAACCCAAAGAAAAAACACGTTACCAATAAGAATCAAACAAACACTAGTACTTTTGAAGGGGTCAATTGCAATAAAGCTATTTCGGCTTGACAAAATAGTACCACCATGTTTACATTTCGGGACAGACTTCATTCACCTTATGGAGCGTAATGAAAATAACCAAGGACTGCGTAGAAGTTACGCAACACCCTTCGATAAAACACAATTAGAAGTGCTAAGGAAAATCGTGCTTTATGCTGGAATTGAAAACTTGATTAAGCTTTTGGTACCCACAAGTCATAGCTTTCTTGACGAGAACCCCAACTTCAAATCGACCATCAATAATGTTATTGAGTCGAGTAGGCCCCAATACAATAATCGGATCTTGAATCCAGAACAACTTGAAGACTATCTTGACGACGACGAAACCTTTTTCGATAAAAGAGATCTACAGCTATTAAAGACTCCGGAGGATTTTGTTACAATGTACAACTACTGTGTGAACCAAAAGATTTCAGTAGTAATAAGTCTCGCATACTTGATCATGTCCCTAGCCGACGAAGAGCTGTTAGAAGAAATAGCTACACAATTGGAACCCGGTGGAGACGTGAAGTTGACCCTTGATCTTGATGGAAACGGCAAGGATGGTACTGAACATGTTCTTCGATTATTTTTTACATATAGGATCTGTAAATGGATTGTATGTTGGTCCGAAGTTTGGCAATGTCAAAAAGATTGATCTCTGCTTTCCTGAGTTAAAGTTTGCACATCTTGAAAGATTTCTGGTTGGCATGTTCGAGAATTTAAAGAGCACTAAGCTTGAGTTTTTGTGTGTTTCCAATAGAAACGGGTCAAAGGAGACCCTCGATTTAGACAGACTTCCCGTTTCATTGAAATGTTTGTGGGTGTGCTATCTTCTGGCAACTGTATATGAGCAAAGCTTGAAATCACCTTCGGTACCACGATTGGAACGCATTAACTTTTATGATGTTTCCGTCGAGGAGAACGCAGTATCGAGAGTTTCTAAATTCATCGCAGAGCAACTAAAGGCCAATACCAAGGCATTTGAGTGGCAACCTTACTTTCATTTGGAGACTTTGGATGCCACGGAACTAGTTTCGCATGCACTAATGGATGTCGCTTCGACCCCGCTCACGCACTGTTGTATCACACGACGGCTACCAGCAAGAAGCCTTCATTGGCTGCCATTTCAGCATTTGAAGAGATTAGATATAATTGATTTGGTGTACGACACTCTGCTTATCTGGCTGTTTCCTATGGGCTTGGAAGAATTAATAATTTCCGGGGGGCTATTTACAGAATTTACTCCTTTTGAAGATGCTTTGCCTCCAGAGTTGAAACATATAGAAATTAACAACTTAAAATGGAGAGCTAATCTGCCGGCTCTTAAACTTTTACGACTTGAGAAGTTGCAGTACCTTAAATTGTTATGTATGACCCCTGGAGAGAATATCGAGCAATTTGTGTTTCCTGACTCTGTGAAAGAGTTACACTTTACGGAAAATCCTGTTGGCTCATTTGATGGTGCCGTGTTTCCCAAGAGTTTGTTGTCGTTGAATATATCATCCTCTGAGTTAACTTCAGTGGATAATGTGTTGTTCCCGCAATGTTTGGTCTCATTGGATATTGCGTGCAACCGGCTGAATTCTGTCGATACGGTTAATTTCCCACGAAACTTGGAAGAGCTCGACCTAGACCATAACGAATTGAAATCAGTTTGCAAAATCAAGCTTCCAAGTACTATAAAAGTTATTTCGTTGAACGGTAATAAGTTGGAAAAGGTTGATTTATCGACAAATTTCGAAGGCCAAGCTCTAAATCTAGACAAATTAGGGCTACAGGGGAATATTTCATTGATCGTTGATAACCTAAAACTTCCACCTACTTTGAAGTGCTTGAGTCTCGATGGTTGCAATTTGAAAAGTTTGGATGGTATTCAATTTCCAGTTACAATTGAAGAATTGGATCTTTCAGAGAACAGCCTCACATTTTTTGATGCCACAATCATGAAGGATTGTAATTTGAAGAAGCTTAATTTGAGTCTGAATGAGTTTCAATTTATGGATGTTAATCTTCCGCCATCAATAAAAGTATTGAGTCTTGGTGATAACAAACTTGAAATGGTTCCCACTTGTATCAACGGTCTTGTAAACTTGATACATTTGGATTTATCCGAAAATCTGATACGGATGGCTAATGGCAAACTCAAATCCAAAAAGCTAGAGTATATGAGTTTGGAGGGGAATAACATTGAAGCACTTTGGCTCGAGTTCGAACAAGTTTGTGATTATGGATTACCAGCAATCAATTTGCAAAGGAATGCGCACCTTGTGAGGGATATTTATATGCAGCGTGTGGGAGAAAGGGTGATTTTGTATACTAAAGGGATGATTGGTCAAAGTGTGGTAAACAACCCGGTTATCATCACCTTGGAGCAACTCGTGGGAAATTCAGCCATAAAAAGGGAGTTGTTTTGCCTAAAGTAAAGTAGATGGAATCTAGTACGCTTTCTATGTCATGAGAGGATATAAGGAAAAGAAATTACACAAGAGAAAGTCTGTGAAGTAGTAAGAAAACGTATTATAAACCTACATTTACCTCTATGAATCGTTCTGTTATGTCTCTGTTTTGGTGTCCCCATAAAAGGCAGAAAATATTAGTGGCATCAGTTTAAACGAAGACGAATCCTAATGACTCGTTCCTGACAGGTATGAATTCCGTCTGCATTATATTTGCACCAATTTCTAAGCAAAAAAGAAAAAAAGAAGAAATAACATATCCCAGGGTCAAATGAGAGACTTACATAGAGGGAAAAAGAAGCTAGTACAAAATTGATGAATTATAAGGGATGATGGTTAGTGAAGAGTATACAAATAATGGAGAAATGGTTCATTTTCCACAGAAGTGTAGAAAAGGGCCATGAGCAACTTAAATGAAAATGAATCTAAACAAATTGAATACATTTGTTGTTTCATCTCGCACAAGGTATACGTTTATTACAACTGTTGTGTGAGTTCTGGTGTTGGTGAAAAATTAATTGTTCTACTATACAACAGCCTAGTCTTGGATCCGGGTAACGATATTGATGCAAAATAGGCTTACTTAATCGAATACTCTCAAGCCTGAAACCCAAATCACAACTAAGGTAGCAAATGTGTTCTATTTCAAGAAAGTACTCTAGCTGCGGCTAGAGCTTCTAGAGTAAACATGCCGTCTTGAGTGGAACTCGTTTATCTCAAGATTGAGTTTAAGGAATCAAGAACTTCTTTTTCAAATTCTTGAGCAAAATTCTTCAAAATGATTGTAGGATGTGAATGTTCATCCCTGTTGAATGCGAGTGCTTTGATATGGGCTTCCAACAAATTATATAGGCAAATCACACCGTGTTCTAATAAAAATGAGCGGTGTTTATCATTCATGGATGCAAAATGTAGAGATTAAATGTTTCCCCTTAATTACGTTGTGAATACATTAACAGACTCCCCCACATCCTAGAGCTTTCTCTGCTCTACTATACTATACTGCTGACAAGAGTGAATGTAGATCGATTTCTTGCCTCATCGAATAGCCTGCTATACTGTCTCCACACACATTTTGCGTAATGAATATCAATTCTTGTTGCAACTCTATCCCCCCACAAAAAGTAGTGCACAAACCTCAATGAGAAATTGGGAAAAGAAAGAAAAAGACTAGCCAACATACACGCGCACACACACACACACACACACACACACACACACACACACACACACACACACACACACACACACACACACACACACACACACACACACACACACACACGCACACACACTATCTATCTCTCAGTTACTCACTTTGTATACTCAAACTGTCTATCTGTGGTTCCTCTTTTTGAGCTACAAGTAGCCGATAAAGCGTTGGACGATGAAATCGAGGACCTCCAATTAAATGCAAACTACGTATCAGTACCACGGTTCACGAATGTTACTGTCCCTGCTTATTGGGACCTCATAATATTCCTTTTCTGATTTATACAGCGAAGAAGCCAGCGGCGCAAATGATGCAAGCGACTTTGGTGAAACAAGCGGCGCCGAAACTGTGAGTGTGGAGATAAATCCAGCCAACCTCATTGATGCGCCTTGCAAGAAGGTTAAGTTGAGAATTGAAATGTTGTTGAAGCGATGGAGAAGGTTTTTCAAACCGAGTGTATCATATTTTGTCTGAAATTATCTGCATTGGCAAGGTGTGTGGTCTGGCCAGCCATGCAAGTATAAGTCCAAATCCAGACGATGATGATGAAACGGTACGTGGTTTCTACTCCATCGTATATTGTCCCACATGTTATCCATAATTGAAAGCTGAATTGAAGATAATCCTCCAATTGGGTTTCTTATGTTGCCTAGATGTTGCCTAGATGTTGCCTAGATGTTGCCTAGATGTTGCTCAAACTTTAATTTTTTTTTGTATATAGTGTTTAATGAATTAATGCACCTTTCAAACAATGTTGTTTCGTGTTCTGTTAGGTTTCATTGCTCTCAATCCTAGAAGAATGCTTCTTTATTTAACTAAAATCAAGTATCATAGAAGAACTTCAAAGCGCAAGTTTGATGATTTTCTAAAGTGCTATTGTCATGACATCTCATATGATCAAATTTACATAGCTGTCATAGAGTCACTTCTGCTGAATATCGCCTTCTTGGGGTTTTCTAACGACACCGCTACTCTGAGTCGAACTATTGGGATTGTGTAGTATAGCGATTGCGAAGATCATGAGTTCGTGTTATTAAGCTAAGGGATGTATTGATATAAACCTAAGTATATAGCAAATGGAGATACTAAAGTTAGGTCCTTATGTGTCGTGTCGCGCATTAGTTATGACAAGTCCACGACAATCGACACCAAAAGTTGTTTGTTGTGTATAAACATATTTGCTGAGAGCAAATTAATCATGTACTTTATATTTATAAAGTAAAGTTGTTTGCGCAATTGCCTAAAGCTAACGATAAGCTACAGTAATATATATATATATATGGATAGATAGAAAACTATAACATATATAAACGAGTACGCACACTGTATGTTAGTTTCTGAATCATTGTCGTGCTTTCTTATCTTGTGACAATATTGATAAATTCCTCGTGTCTGTTTTGTTTTGCGTCATTCTTTTTTTTTTTTTTTTAAAAAAAAACTCTCTCTTTATCTCTATCTCTATCTCTATCTCTTTTATCGTTCTATATATATGTATACTGTATATTACAGTTTTAATTGGTACAATACAGTAAGAGGTTAAGAGATATATGTATATATTACTATACAACTATTATTCAATAACTAAATGTGTTACATGTTTGAGTATTCGATTAGTCATAGTACATACATGATAACGTAGTATACAGTCTATGTATTTGTTATAGGTTATTGTAATACATTTATATTATACAGTGTACAATAGATATATTACTAATATAGTTTATACAAGTTATAACGTTATAATGTATATACAAACACTCTTACTTTACATACAGTACACACACAGTGTTTATCATTTTAATCTTTTTATTTTTTTATTTTTATTTTTTTTTAGTTTTTAGTTTTTAGTTTTGGTACAACTCACTTACTCACTTACTTACTTACTTACTTACTCACTTACTTACTCACTTACTTACTCACAACACTGTACAGCACTCAATACATACACCAGTGGCAAACACATTTTCATCAACCTCACTACATTGCACACCACACTAGAATCTACAAAAAAAAAGAAAGAAAACGATTACTATTACTACTGTAACTAGCTTCCTTGTCTGAAAGTAAGTTTCATTAGTAGATGACTTGGTACTAAAAATGTCAGACAACCATAAACAATCAATACCTCAAAATAACCACCACCAAAATCAGTTGCATCAACACCAACAACGACAACAACAACGACAACAACAACAACAACAACAACAACAACAATCACCTTTTGGTGTTAGTAATCGCTTTATCCAACACCATTTCCCCAATACAGTAGCAGCAGTAGCAGCAGCAACAACAGCAGGAGCCACAACAATAACGTCTGCACCAACAACGACGCCACAGCAACAATCTCCCATGCAACAACCCCCTTTCTACAACGACAGAGCAACACGAGTACCTGCTGTTTCTCAGGCAACTTCAACTGCAACAGCCAGTACCACAGCCACATCTACACTATCTGCTAGTCTAGCCTCGAATGCAACAACTACTGGCAAAACTGATTATATTGGGATCTATGCAATAGGACGTGAAATTGGCAAGGGATCTTTTGCTATCGTATACAAAGGTTATGATACGACCACTAATAAACCAGTGGCTATCAAGTCGGTGTACCGATCCAAATTGAAGTCAAAAAAGCTTGTCGAGAATTTGGAGATTGAAATTCAAATTTTGAAAACAATGAAACATCCTCATATAGTAGGGTTACTTGATTATAAACAAACTGCTGCTCATTTCCATTTGGTTATGGATTACTGCTCAATGGGAGATTTGTCTTATTTCATACGAAGAAGAAGTCAGCTCGTCAAGACTCATCCCGTTATTTCAAGTTTATTGCAAAGATATCCCTCACCACCTAATTCACATGGATTGAATCAAGTATTGATTTTGCACTTTCTTCGTCAGCTAGCATCAGCTTTACTGTTTTTGAGGGAAAAAAGCTTGGTACATCGTGACATTAAACCGCAAAATTTACTCTTGTGCCCTCCTTTACATTCAAAACAAGAATTTATTGACGGTAGCTATAGTGGTATGTGGGAATTACCAATTTTAAAAATTGCTGACTTTGGATTTGCTAGATTTCTACCTTCAACATCGATGGCGGAAACTTTATGTGGATCTCCCCTTTACATGGCTCCTGAAATATTGCGTTATGAGAAATACAATGCTAAAGCAGATTTATGGTCAGTAGGAGCTGTGTTGTATGAGATGGCTGTTGGCAAGCCACCGTTCAAAGCGGGGAACCATATCGAGCTATTGAGGAATATTGAAAAAGCTAATGATAGGATAAAGTTCCCATCGGCTGCTGAAGTCCCAGAATCATTGAAGCAGTTGATTAAGTCGCTTTTGAAGTATAATCCCACTGAAAGAATTTCGTTTCAAGAGTTTTTCAATGATGATTTGATTACTTGCGATTTGGATGACACTGATAAGCCTTTAGAAACGTCCAATATGGACGAGGACTTGTTTATCAGTGAATACATTAGTCCCATCAAGCCATCAGAGAGGTCTCAGTTTGTCAAAAATGATGCCACGGTAACTCCGATGACACCTGCATTTAGTCACAATACACAAGAGACAGCCCCTCTTCTGATGCGTAACCAGACAAAACAGAGTATTACCAAGACTGAATCGGATAAGGCTCCTACAAACGGTTTTGAGTTGGGCAAAGCTGACGTGAATAACAACGAGAAAAGAAATGATGGCGATAAGATTGCCCAAGGAGGCTTTCGCCAAGACGGATTCAGAGATGAACCTTCACATGATGATGATATCAAAAGATTAATTGACAATAATAGTCCTGACCCGGAACACCTTAGTCAGTCAATAGTTAATAAGAATCCAACCCGTTTCAAACCAAGAAGGGATGACTTGATTCTTGAAAAGGACTACGTGGTTGTGGAAAAAAGAGTTGTTGAGGTCAACGCAGTGGCTGATGAGCTTGCTCGTGCAGGCGCCGGTGCCGATGCGATGAGTGATCCAAGGGACCACTTTGGTGAGGGTAGATCTAAAGAACAACATCGATCTTTACAAAAGAATCGCAAAAATTCATCTGGTGGATACCAACGAAGACCCAGCTTTACTGATCGCCGAATATCTATTTCTATATCGCCTACAAATGCCTTGAGCAAAGCGATTGGTCTTGCTCTGCATCGCCTATTCGGAGCAAACAATGTCCCATTCTTGAGCAATCAAGCAACCCAGAGTACTGCAACAACTGAAGAAGGAACCGATGGTCAAAATAGCAACAACAAAAGCGCATCATTTTCAACAGTAATGTCTAGTCCTAACTTTGCCAACAACAATCTTTTGCAAAAGTTGAATCTTCCAGTATCGTCGACATTGGCTACCACAATCCCTGGAGATGATAAACAACTTACCCCTGATGAAATTGTCTTGAATAAATTGGAAACCATTGCTACGAAGTCGCATGCAGTGAACTTATTCGCTGATGTGAAATTCAGTCAATTGATTCCCAGCCCTCCTTCGTCTGATGATGCGGGTCACGATTTCTTGAATCAAAATGACGCTTTGCCTCCTAAAATTGTTCGTACCATATGTGAAGAAGGCATTGTTCTTTACGTGAAAGCTTTGTCACTCTTGGCGAAAGGAATGTCAGTTGCCAGTGAATGGTGGTATGACCTGTTCAACAATGCAGTAGGCGCTGATCTTGGCGATGTTCATGACGCAAAACGGGATGTTCGGGTAACAATGAAGATAAATCAATTGGTCCAATGGATAAGAGATAAGTTCAATGAATGTTTGGAAAAAGCAGAATTTGTAAAGTTGAGGCTACAAGAGGCTAATAAAGCCATTGCGAAAGATGAGGATCTCCAGTCCATACCTGAAAACGAGCCTGATTCACGAAAGGTGATAGCTGAGAGATTGATTTTTGATAGAGCATTGGAGATGTCCAGAAATGCAGCGGTTAATGAGTTGGTGAAGGAAGACTTGAAAGGTTGTGAATTGGCATATAGTACCGCGATCTGGATGCTCGAGCTGCTTTTGGATGAAGATGAACCCACGGATGACCACGCCAATGAACACAAGTTGGATAATGAGGATAAAATAATGGTTGAGAAATTCATCGTTAGTATTGGCAACAGGTTGTCGGTTTTGAAGAAGAAAATGGAATCAATGTAGGGGTTCGGGGAGACTTTGCAGGTGCCATGTTTTATGCTTGAATCAATTGTTTGGGATTGTTTTTTGTTTACTCCGTTTTCTTTTTTTTTTTTTTCAATGAATTTTCATTTCTGGCGGATTTAATAGAGTGAAAGTATTTTCTAATGCAATTATGGTTTTTGAAATTATATTGTTTTTGACGTTTGTGGATGATGAAGATTGTAGCGAATAATTTGCGCAATTAAGTAAGGTCATTTGTTCACTCTAGTGTCTTCTCATAGTATAAAAATGCCATATGGGTAGGTTAAATCTATCCATATTGACCAGTCTTGTAACTAGTTTTATATGTATAAATGCGAAACTTATGCAAAGAATAATACTACTTCCATAGAGTGGAGGTTGCAAAGACATGAATTACAATATATATTTCTTCTTAGATAGTTTTGAGACTCATTTTATTGTATTATATTTGTAATTAAACCAAAGACAATGATAAAATGGTGTATATAGTCGTGTACAATTATTGTTGCAAAACAAAGCGTGTTGCAATGTATTTATTTTTTTCTCTTTAATCATACATAATTGTTCATGCCTCCCCACAAAGACACAAATCCTGATACTAAAAACGACACAATTATCTACGTCATTGTGACAATTTATCCAAAGTATGCAACTAGCTAACATATTTCCCCATACTGATCCCAATAATACTTGCTGTTAAAAAGAGTTGGCAAACTCGAGGGCTTTAAATACTAACCTGTACTGTTTCACTTTTTAGTTCTCAGGTTTTAGTCAGCTTTACTTTCATTTCTCTAAAGTACAGGATGCACTGATCAAAACGTACGTGCATCGAGTTTGTAAAGCATCATGAAATCCAGGAGACAATGTGGGGCTCTCGAAAGAAATAAAAACGTCAATGTAGAGACTGTCCTTGCACTCAACCAGCCGCCGCAGCAGTGTTGCAGGCATGAATGTGTACAAGCGCCTGTAATACACCTCCACTTAGAAGCGGCGAATCTACTGCACCAAAATCTCTGAGGCTCCAGTAACGCATAATATGGTAGCAAAACTGCCAGATTCTGCACCCACCTGGTTTGGAAAGCTCCCACACGTCAGCTCGAGCTTGATTCTCGTTTTTCGGTGTTAACGCATGTGTCTACGATATATAAACTCTAAACCTCACTGATAACAGCCACAAGAAGGAAAAGGACCCGAGATGTCTGTAGCTTAAGCTGCAGCATAACATGTGCTCTGAAGTGAAACGTATAGCTGCAAAAGAGATGTTCGATCAGGTTTCGATTAGGTGCAATTTTTTTTGGTGAGAGTGGTTTGTATAGTGCACCACTTTTAGGGGGGAAGAAAGAATGTGTGTGCACTTTGTTTTTGTGCATAACAAATTCCCACACAAGATTGCAGTAATTGAATACCACCTCCTCTTCAAAGGATAGCTTGTGAACTTTCTGTCTTCCAATACGGGACATTACAATCATTATAGAAATTACTGTAATCACTAGAAGATGGTGAATACTACGTCTGATGCCATTCAAGGTTAAGTTTCGAGACACGAGTTAAATAATACTAATGTGCCAGTTTTATACACCAAGGTTGAGATTTATCATCCAATTGAGTCTCTAGATGACAATCAATCAGTCAAGCTGGAGTATCATCAAACGAATGAAGAGGATGGAGGTTACAGTTGACAAAGATCAGTGGCTACGGTAACTATGTCGGTCACAGTGGGGGTGTAAAAGAAGTATACCAATTAATTTTGCCGCCAGAATTTAATGTATTTGTTTGGGTCACAACCGTTTGATGAAGTTGATGAAGTTGCAAGAGGTGGACGTTTCAGACATGATGGATACTGATAATGATATCTTGGCCCAAAACCAAACTGCACGTTTCTGGATCCCGAAATGAACCAATCAACTTATGCGATTGCTCTAGTTTCAACTTGCTGCAAGGGTCGCTGATTGTGGTTGCAACCAAACTTCTGTCAATGAAATGCAAGATCCTTACAAGAAGACAACATATTCTAAAGTCAGATTGGTGGATGAGGGAAACCATACGAGATCCAATCATGAGCATTGTGGTGATCGTCATCCAAGTGGACCCCCAACACTCTCTATTCATGGACCAACCCAGAAGCATTTGAAAGTTCATGCAGCCACATTCAGTGAATTGCGTCATAAATAAGAGAGGGAGACCAACTCATTGGAACTGAAACAGACTCGTTGTGGAATACTTTTCAATGGAAATACTGACGAGCCCAATATGTTTATAGATACTATCTGATACACACCTGTTACTTCCTGATGGTTCTCACAAATTATCGTTATCCTGAGTGGACCGAATGTGAGGTGCTTTTTGAGAATATCCACCACTGCTAATGACTTGACAATTACAAAACGGGACATGCTATTTCAAGTAAATTGTGAATTATCGATTAGAGAACATAAACCAAGCAGCAGATCTCAATGTGAAGGCAGTCAAAAGTCTCGCTCCACCCAGGTGAAGCTTTGCCGCACCGGAACATGCAACAAGGAAGCAGACAACCATGGAAAGAAGGAAACTAACATTTGCAAAGTAGCCACACATGGACACAAGTGGAGAGTCTTAGCCAGCGAAAACTAAACTTGTTTATGCACTCTGGTCACAAAAGGAGCAGAGTTAATGGCGCCCATGCAAAGAAAGCATCCACTTGACTTGGAAAGACGAGTTTACACTGAAAATACCAAACAGAGAGCTCGCTTTAACATTGAAGGGCAGTATTAGTTGGCTATTGTTACGTACACAGAAAATGATGATTGCCTCCATGGTCCACGATAATCAACTTGACGATGCCAGTGACTATGGACATCTGAATTCAAAGCTATATCGTCTCTGTAACCTCTCTACGTCCTGTATATTGAACAGCCCTAGTAGTTTGTCTCATCTCTCAGTGCAACCACACACCAGAATGAGCTGCACCCGGACCGCAACTTTTTCTTATCCTTATTAATCGCAAAAACCTCGCATTTATACATAAACTATTTTGCATCCACACACCAAATATAAACCTCATCAGCACTCGAAACACGTTCACGAACCAAAAATGAGTGCTCACCCAAATCAATTTTACACCCCTTCATCAACAACAAACGCATCCGTACCCCAGTTGTCGGTGCATATGAATGCCAGGGAAAAAACTTGACCCCGTACTTAAAACTCCCAGGATAATTACAAGAGACTATGTGGTTAGTAAAGAGAGAAAAACCAAACCCTGGAGTCACAAATACTGAGCGAATGCGGCTCCGATTTGGTACAAGTCTGTGTCATGAGAGCTTGATTCCGAGACAAGAGACTGGAATTGTAGCATGAACAAGATCACGACTTTTTGCATAACGTATTAGATCTTATAAACATACTAAACTGATTTTTGTATAAAATATTAAGTAAAACAAAAGAAGCAACGAATTAAACTGGAAACCACTTTGGTGCACTGGCGCACAGGTAACTCTAGAATATTAAGGTTTACACACAAAGGATCTAGGATTGGAGATATTCTAGATTGGACAACATTCAAATCCTACTAATATTTGCTTAACATTGAACGGGAATGCAGTCTCTTGAGGACCAGCCAATGCTATGTTAGTAAGCTATGCCCTTTTGAACTATACTCATGGCAAGTAAAGTTTCAAATGTAAACCTAAAGCTGGAGTTGGTGAATGACGTGGCTTACGATAGAGAGGTTCGATTTGATATAGTAAAAAGCGCAAAAGCATAAACTTCACCGTTTATTTGTCCAATGAAAGACTAGAGATTTGAAGAAGGATTTAGGAAAATTAATAGCAAATTGTGAAGAGTAATACTAAAAAAAGATCTATCGGGTTAGATTTAAAAAAACAACGACTAGATTAACTCCACGTCTATCGAACACCATAAAACTTTGCTTGGCCTCAACGCAACTTATTCGACTGCTAGGACCTACATCTTGCGAGAATTTTATATGCAATTATTTTTTCGTACTCTACAATGTCCCTGAAATTAATCTTCAAACAAGATACTTTTGAATTCCGACAAGTAATGGCAACAAAAACCTATGAAAAGTTTGTAGCATACCCAGAAAGCATCCGATGAAACTGATCTCAACTACCTCTCTCATATCTTTATTTTGAAATTCTTCTTGAAAGCTGAGTTCTTTCTTATTTTAGTTCTTAAATTATATCCCCCTCACATGGTGGCGTTTCCGATGTTTCAAAGAAAATGCAGAATTTGTTCACTTTTCTTTATGCTCTGATCATCTTAAACCAATATTGGTGAACTTAACCAAACAAGTTTCTATGAAATGCAGTGGTCTGCCCCTCAGAGCAACAAGCAACGAATCCCCCTTCTGGAATTGGTTGTCCAAGACGCTTCAATTTAGTTAGCTACTTTACTAAATATACTACGTATCAATTGTTTCGTTTGTTTAAAATTGTATTTGTGATGCTCAAAAATTGTGATGGTTCCTACATGTTTGATTTTGTGCCTTGGGGTCGGGAACTTATGCCACAGATGTGCACCAAATCGGAGTTGGATCTTTACACATTCCGTTTTTTTAGCCCCTGGGCAACTTCTTTCAGCACTCAATGTGAGGTACTGTGTTGCCTATGTGTCTCGCTTGTATGGCCAAATTTTTTTTATTCATGCTTGGAAACACTAACTGTTGTCGGTATGGATGCCTTTGTGCTTGATGAACATTTGCATGATGTGTGGATGCAATTACCCTTGGTTTAAGTATAGTGAGTAAACACAAAATCGTTCCTGTACGGGTGCAAAACCGTTGGTGTACGGGTGTAATATCATTGGAGCTTGGGAGCGAAATCTTTGCGCTAAGGATGCGATGAGGGTGTAAAAAGGTTACGGTGGAGGTGCAACTTGCATTGATGACCGGAGGCAATGAATACTTCTGTGTGGGTGCGTGCTATGCTGAGGTTAATTTCCAGTGTGATCGTGCAAATATACAAGACGTAGATATATTACAAAAAAAAAAAAGAGATAATGTTGTATTCAAATGTCATCATCTCGTGGGTACGCGATAATATCCAGTTACTGTTTTTCAATATGGGAGCGAACCTCCTGTTTCGTTTGATAGTTTAAGCTCTTTTTTCTAAGTTAATGCTTATTTTGCATGGGTGCCATCACCTCTGCCTTTAGTAGGACCAGGGTGCACAATCAGACCGATCGTCGTCGTCTTTTGTTTATTCTCTCCTTTTGTGTTCATTTGCGGCTACTTTGCATACATTAGTTTCCTTCTTTCCATGGTTGTCTGCTTCCTTGTTGCATGTTCCGGTGCGGCAAAGCTTCACCTGGGTGGAGCGAGACTTTTGACTGCCTTCACATTGAGATCTGCTGCTTGGTTTATGTTCTCTAATCGATAATTCACAATTTACTTGAAATAGCATGTCCCGTTTTGTAATTGCCAAGTCATCACCAGTGGAGAATATTCTCAAAAAGCACCTTGCAGTCGCTTCACTCAGGTTTTTGATCATCTGTGACAACCATCAGGAGGTGGCAGGTGTGTATCAGATAGTATCTTTAAACATATTGGGCTAGCTAGTATTTCCATTGAAAAGTATTCCACAGCGAGTCTGCTTCAGTTCCAATGAGTTTGTCTCCCTCTCTTTTCTATGACGCCATTCATCGAATGTGGCTGCATGAACTTTCAAATGCTTCTGGGTTGGTCCATGAATAGACAGGGTTGGGGGTCCACTTGGATTACGATCACCACAGTGCTCATGATTGGATCTCGTATGGTTTCCCTCATCCACCAATCTGACTTTAGAATAAGTTATCTTGGTGCCAGGTTCTTTCATTGACAGAAGTTTGGCTGCGACCACAAGCAGCGACCCTTGCAGCAAGTTGAAAACTAGAGCAATCGCATAAGTTGATTGGTTCATTTCGGGATCCAGAAACGTGCAGTTTGGTTGTGGGCCAAGATATCATTATCAGTATCCATCATGTCTGAAACGTCCACCTTTTGCAACTTCATCAACTTCATCAAACGGTTGTGACCCAGACAAATACACTGAATACTGACTGCGTAATCAATTAGTGTAGCCGAGGTACACCTCGCACTGTGACCGAGATAGCTTGTTGGCTCGTTAACCCCTAACAAATGTAGCCTCCATCCACCTCTTTGAGATTCACATTTAATGGTACTCCAGCTTGATTGATTGATTACTATCTGCACACTCGATTGGATGATAGATCGCCATTTGGTGCCTAAAACTGGCACATCAGTATTACTGAACCCGTGTCTCGAAACTTAGTCGTAATTGGCAGGCATCAGGCATAGTATTCACCATCCTCTAATCATTACGGTAATTTCCATAATGATTGTGATGTCCCGTATTGGAAGATAGCAGATTCACAGTTACCCTTTAAAGAGGAAGTTGTGTTCAATTACTGCAATCTTGTGTGGGAACTTGTTTATGCACAAAAACAAAGTGCACACACATTCTTTCTTCCCCCCTAAAAGTGGTGCACTATACAAGCCACTCTCACCAAAAAAAATTGCACCTAATCGAAACCTGATCGAAACATCTTTTTTGCAGCTATACGTTTCACTTCCAAGCACATGTTATGCTGCAGCTTAAGCTACAGACATCTCGGGTCCTTTTCCTTCTTGAGGCTGTTATCAGTGAGGTTTAGAGTTTACATAGTTTAGACACATGCGTTAACACCGAAAAACGAGAATCAAGCTCGAGCTGACGTGTGGGAGCTTTCCAAACCAGGTGGGTGCAGGATCTGGCAGTTTTGCTACCATATTATGCGTTACTGGAGCCTCAGAGATTTTGGTGCAGTAGATTCGCCGCTTCTAAGTGGAGGTGTATTACAGGCGCTTGTACACATTCATTGTCGCAGATTTTGATGTCGGAAGACTAAATGCAGAGCATCGCGTGAATGCTGAAGCGTTAACGGTGTGAAGGATCTTGTGTTAGGGAATGCAGGGGAGCCCACTAGAAATTGTCTATTGTAGCTTTGTTGAATTTGATTTTTTTTTTTAGTGAGCTACTTGTAAATCTATATAGTGATCACCTTCTATACCAACGGAGAAATGAAGCTAGTACAGCTTAGATCATCCAACTGTTCAACAATTTCAATTTTCGATAGTGCTTCGAAGATCCTTCCATACCAAAAGCGAGATCTTTTAAATACCAAAAAGCAAAAACAATCGAAGCATAAACCACTATATAAATGACAAGTTTGAAAACTCGAGGCACGTACCTATTGCGTCCAGCTAGTTTATCCATGAAAAACCCCGTCAGGAAGATTGCAAAATATAAAGCAGGAACATAATGATGCAAATACTTGACTCTTCCCATGACGATAAAGGGTAAATAGTGCAATACCCATCCAAGAATTGGTAAAATACACTGAGCAATCAAGGTATCAGTTAAGATGCCGGTGTTTTCACATTGTCTTTGATATTTGAACAATGTAAACAACATATAAATTGCACCAAAAACAATTCCAATATTCGACAACCAAGTAACAACTGGGTTCCCCATCAAGAAAAACTTGGTGTCATCATCACCCCATCCGCACATTCTTAATCCAGTATTTAAAATTGGCCATTCCCACCACTCAGAACTCAATTTATCAAATTTGTCTGGGTCGGGAACAAGAGCATTATTTGACGCCATCATTCCATAATTTAAAAGCACAAATTCCTTCCAAAATTTCGGATTTGGAGGAACATATTCAGTTTCAGGAGTTGGCAAATGTTCATTGCGGTGTTCTTCTACATTCCACCATGTGGTTTTGTCCTGGGAAAAAAAAGGGTATTTGCAAACAACTTCACCTTGTTGGTAACCCCATGAAGGTAATGAGTTACCCGTGGTGGCGAGAAAACATCCAAGTTCTTTATGTTTCAATCGGAATGCTGTTGAGATGGGATGTAACTCCAATTCGTTTTCATCTTGGAAATGTTTTGATCGAGAAATCTCTTGCGATTGTATGTCGAGTACCCAGTCATGGGCTGTAAATGATACATTTGATAAAGGTGAACAGGAAACTTCGAAATATTTTTTGGTAATTGGTGCTGCAATCGGTTGTGCTCCCAAGTAATACCCAGTTTTGACGTGTTTTATCCTGATGGAGCTATCCTGAGTTATAAACTCACCAAGCTTTGAGCCACTGGCAAGTTCGACTTCAAATTCGTTGTTTTCATCCTTGAATCCGTATGTGGTGATTTGTTGATCGCCTGAACCTTCAGGATAACTGTGAGGATGTGAATGTAACAAGTTGGGAGACAAACCCTGCGAGCGAATTGTTACAATCGAGCCATCAGCAACAGTTCGTGGTCCAAATTGTAAATTATTTCCAATTAGTGATGCTTGTAGTAGCGTAGATATAGAACCATCTCCAGGACCAGTATGATTCAACACCATAAAATGAACTTTAAAAGCGAGCATATAAATAACGATTGGAACAAAGATCAATGAAGCAACTCTTAGTAACCAGTGTTTCACATACGACTTCAAATTCATGGAATCAGTTGAGGTCAATTGGAAAAACTTTACCATCAAATCATACACTATATACAACCCTACCAATACGGTAACAAAAAGGCCAACCCACTTTACAGAACAAACGCATCCAATTGAAACTCCTGTTAGTATAAACCATTTGAGCCCGGCTTTAGAAAATTCCTTTTGTTGAACACATGCCTGGTGGAGGTTGATCAAGCAAAAAAAAGTAAATACAGTAAAAAAAAGCAACATCGAATCGAGCAAGATGAACTTGGACAAGGTTAATGACAATTGCTCAAATATAACCATTAATGATATAAACCAACACGTCCAATGACTGAAACCCGCCAACACCGCCGTTCTGTATGCCAACGGTGTGACTAGTATACCAAAAACACAATTGAAAACCCGCATAAACACAAAGTCCATAGAATCAGGAAACTCTTTACCACTCTCAAACACAAAGTTCCCATCATATCCTGCCAAGTATCCCGAAAGAGCAACAAGAAGTTTGCCCAAGGGAGGATGAACGTCGAAATAGAATTCCCTTTTCAAATAGTAGGAGGCAAATTTACCAAAATGTGCTTCATCCCAAACCACGTACTTGGCTGCATCGATACGATATATTCGAACCAAGGCTGATAAAGCCGTTAGAATCAAGGGACTGAAAAATTTGATGAACTTTGAAGATATCGACAGCTGGCTCTGTATCTGCAACTTTGAAGTTTTTTCTATAATGTCCCTAATTTCATCGTCTTCGTCAAGTTTCTTTTGTCTCATGTTGTAGGATTGGTGTTGATTCAATGTAGTTTGTTTTCTGCGAATGACTGATTCTTCATGATTTTTGGAAAAGCCTGTAGAAAGAGATACAGGTACTGTTTCATTCAGTAGTCCTGACATATTGCACAATTGACCGTGGTGTTCACGTAATGGAACTAGTGCGTTGTCAAATGATGTTGTATGTTTCTTTTAAAGTATCAAGCATTTCTCACTGATTCACAACCTGCTTTTTTTTTTTTTTTTTTTTTTTTTTACAGAGATCGGCTTTTACAATGCTCCGCCCATTTTAATCTATATTAAATATGTTGATATATTATCTATTAAGTACTACAAAACGGTGACACCAATCTACGAAACTAATCAATTATTTTGATCGCCATATTTACAACAATGTCTCCAGCTTGGATTATTCAGATTGTAGATCCCTTGCAATTCATGCTCAACCTGTAGCCAGTACTTGTATTTCATTCTACTCTTCAAATCCAAATCGTATATGTTGCATGTCACGAGATATTTTTGGCCCTGTTTGCTTTGGTCTTGCGCAGGGCTTTGGGTTTGGTATTGGTCTTGATCCTGATGATTATGTGATGATCCAGAGACTGGTATTGATGCTGATCCATTGATTTGGGTCAGCTGTGACGGCGGTTGTGGTGGTGAAAATGCTAATGGTGGCAAAGTTATCAAGTTATTTATGTTGTTGTGAGAATTGTGAATGTTGTTATTCTTGTCATACTTTTCAAACTTTATAAATAATCCCACATCACGTAAAGTCATTACTAATGACAAGTTTTGTGAGACATCCAGCGACGAAGTTAAATTCTCAATCAAGTCATTTTTGTTGTTGATCTTTTGGTATTGTTTCAACTTGGCAAAAACATTATGATCCGGATTGGATAGGAATTGACGAAACAATTGTTTTAGTGGAAAATTGTTTTGCACTTCAATTAAGTTAATAATATCTGGGGGGATTCTGGAAAAAATGTCATCGATTCCTTGGTCTATTGTGTTTGGATATAGTAAATCAAGAGGACAAAAGTGTCTTTGAACCTTGTGAAGTTGATTTAGTGAGCAAGTGCGACAATAGTTTGCCGATTTATTGTCGTATAGCCATTTAGGTTTGATTTCAAATATGATGGAGTTGATGGTGCTTTCTGAAGTTAAGGGAGCAGCAGTGAATTTACCATTCATCAGTTGGCCACCTGGAATGATATTGTTGTTGAAGTGAGGTTGTTTTTGTTGTTGTTGTTGTTGTTGTTGTTGTAAGTCCTGACCGGAGTTTAGCGGATTGATATCCTGGGTTAATGAGGTGTAATCATTGACATTGGTGGATGTCTGACGACTTTGCGTCAGTTGTGGTTGTTGTTGTAATCGTTGTGGTTGTACTTGTTGTGGCTGTTGTTGTAGTTGGTTTGCAGCATGCGTACCTCCAGCAGTGTTGTTGTCATCACTTCCCAAGTATAGTTGGCAATGTTTCAGTAAAGCAATCTTGGTATAATTACCATCCAATATATTTGGAATTAATAAACCGTATCGTTCATTCAACTGTAGTTTGAAACCAGCACTATCTAAACCTCGAACAAATTCTGAAGTTAATACAATCAATTGAATATCAATAATTTGTTTAGGAAATAAGTGTTTACACTTTAATTCAATAAAGTCATACAATTCGCAAGTACTAATGTATTCTTCGTCCTCTTTGAGTAAACGTAGTCGTAATAATTTGTGGGTTAAGTAGTCATTAGTTCCAGTGTATTTGAACAAAATATTGGCTGACCCATTAGCAAAATATGACCATTCTTTGGGTGAAGTGATTTTGTATATTTCCATATCCCCGATAGATAAAAGAATCAATGCGTGTGAATTATATTTACTCAGTATGGATGTTGTGATTGGTAGATGTGTATATATGTCTAGGGAGAAGTTGGGTGGAATTCTTTTGAGATGAGTTGAAGTAGGAATGTAGTAGTAGTGGTAGTAGTATGTGGAGTGGGAATTCGTTGAAGTTGAATACTAATGGTGATGTTATTGTAGTTATTGGAAGAAGAAAAAAAAAAAAAAAAAACGAAAAGAAGATGGAAAAGTGGATCGTATTGGTAGGTATTGGTGTTTGACTTGGATGATCAAAAGTGGAGTGGTGTGTGAAATGGGGTGGTTGTAAGTTTTCTGAACGTGTCGAATACCCTTTATTTTGTTTTGTCAATAATGATTGTTTTTGCAATTATAGGGAGTATTTTTGGAGTGGGATACAATTGAAATTGATTTCAAGTATGTGTGAGACAGGTCAGATGAATGAGATGATGGTTCAGTAGCAAGCGTAGTGAATATTAATGCTCTTATAGTGGGTTGTTGTTGTTGTTGTTGTTGTTGTATATGTAAGTCTAAGTTAATTGATTTTCCTTGAACAAAATTTTTTTTTTCTTTTTTTTTTTTGTTTGACATTTCGCGCCCTTTGTTTGTTGGATTGATTGATTCTCTTTCCAATCCTATTCTATCTTATTGTGTCTTTGTTGAATCACAACTTAGCACATAGTGTGACACATACATTGATACCATACTCTCAATTAGTAGTAGTAGTCTAATACTAAACTTAAGTATTTTCTGCGTTAGATATATATCTGTATGTATATACTAGTTACAGTTGCGTATACTCCACCAAACCAATGATAGTATTGTTCCAGCACAAACAAATAAGCTATTAAAGACAATTACAATATAGACTGAGACAGAAATAAAGTTCTGTAAGGAGAAGTAAGGGGAAGATGTTATTTAAAAATCGTAGCATTTAGATTAAGCATTTAATGTTAGTATATTACTGTACATTTTTAGTCTAAACTTAGTCTATACAGATTATACACATAGATATAATACACTACTTATGATATATAATATGCCAATTGTTGTTTCCCTACAAAAGGTACCAACATAAAGGTATTAAAATAATAATACACTTGTGTTATGTATACAATATTATATGTTATAATATATTTATAAAGGGGTTGTAGTAGTAGTAGTAGTAGAGCTACCAAATTATGTAAAAAAATACCCAGAGACGCGATAATTATCTCCAAAACATCTTTATTTGTGTGCACATAAATGAGAAAGAAGCACATCTTTTCCATCTGTTTGGTTTATGAACACATCAGTTGCAAAGTAACACCAACTACATTGCTCTTCTTCTTACTGTGCTAATCACAAACTCATGTTGTTGTTGTTTTTACTTAAAACTATTCAGTTCTTTTCATTTATTTATTTATTCATGTCTTTTTGTATGTTGTCATTGTTTGGTTTATTGTATTTTTCTATTTTTAACAACAACAAACAACAAACTCATAATAGACAAACTACAAAGAGCGGGTGCTTTATCTTAGTGTGGTTTTAATACAAAAAATCTTTCTTTTAATGAATTATATTACTCCGCTAAGACGTATACATTATTAAAGAAGATTCTTTATCACCTTCTCATCTTTATTAGTGACAATTGTGATTATACGTGACAAAAGATGTAGATTATTAAGAGAAGAAGACACTAAAATGGCAAAAGGTTTTTAAATTTTTCTTTTCATATTTTGCGTTCACGTGACTATTAGTTACACACCTATACAGTTATCAAATCTAACTGGAGTACCCTGCTTCACCTGCTCCAAAAAAGACTGCATTTCGGATCACACAGTCAATATAGCTAAGGGTTGCATTATCAGAATATTGTGTATATCGGGGTTTCATATATTGACCACACAGACACACTCACTCTCTCACTCACTCTCACTCACTCTCACTCACTCTCACTCACTCTCACTCACTCTCACTCACTCTCACTCACTCTCACTCACTCTCACTCACTCTCACTCACTCTCACTCACTCTCACTCACTTATTTTCATAAACCGACTTTTACTTTACACCTACTACGAATCAAAGTATATTGTACTTTCAAGTATTGTATTAATGTTTTATACCTATACAAACATGCTGTACATGTACTATCTACTCTTCAACAAACTAATTCAACTACGCAAACTCTAACTGAGCATAAAGGATGCATCCCCAGAAAACTATCAAAATGTTCCATCTTTTCTATTCCTCTCCTCACCAAAGTTCAAACAACAATACTTACCAAACATCTTCTTGATATCTGTTTTGCACTTTCAAACTTCTAATCAACTCAGCAGCCTTTTCCAACTCAATACCTCTTTCTTGACTCAAAACTTTAGCAAATGATGCTTGTACATCTCTAGCCATATGACTAGCATCTCCACAAACATAAATTATACCCCCATCTTGCAACAATTGATTAATCTTTTTAGCTTGTTCCAAAATCTTGTGTTGAACATAAACTTTCTTGTTTGGATTGGCTCTTGAAAATGCAGTAATCAATTCAAATGATTCACCCAATTCCTTGGCATACTGTGGCCATTCATCACGGTATAAATAATCCTCATCTTCATTCCTACATCCATAAAATAACAATGATGGACCAACATTGACTCCATTCTTCAATTGTTGCACCCTTTCTCGAACAAAACCTCTCAATGGTGCAACCCCTGTACCCGGTCCAACCAAAATTATTGGCGTTTTGCTACTACTGGGCAATTTAAAAGTAGATCTTCTCACATGAACTGGTAGTTTATAATTTTGAAACTTATTTCGTGGACCTTTCAAATCATAACTAACAATTGGCTTATCAGATGATGAATTCTTGTTGATTTCAACATCTTTCAATAAATTAGTCACAACACCGGTAACAACTCTTCCATCTGATTCAGTTTCAGCTTCAACAACTGCAGTAATATCAATGTGAGTCTTTTCACTCAATGATGACGACGAGATAGAATAATAACGAGGAGTGAAATGTTGAACATTTTCAATCAAAAATTCAAATGGAACTTTTGTCCATGGCTTCCCATTGGAAAAATACAATAACCCATCTGCAATGTTGTACTTTTTGTGAGTAACTTCTTCAGCATACTTTTGTTTATCATTAGCAACAGTGGTTAATTTGGTCTTTGTTTCTTCATCTGGTGCAAATGCAGCAATTGAAAGGAAAAATTGTCTCGAAACAGGACCACTGATTTCCAAATGGTGTCTAACAACAGCTTCATAAGTAATTGGAGTTGGGAATGGGATTTGATAAGTAGAATCAAGTGCTTTCAAATCAAACACCACATCACGTTGTTCAGTTAAATCAAATGTCTTCAAGAAAAGCTCAACATATTCATTGGCATTGGATGGCCAAATGGCTAAATGATCACCAGTAGTGTATTTCAAATTAGAGTTGGAAAGATCAAACTCAACATGAACACAAGATCTTTCCTTGGTGAAAAACAATTCTTTAATCTTGGTGATTGGCGCCAAATATGGATGAGAATGATCAAATGGACCTTTAGTCAAATCAGTACCAGCTTTAGTATTGACATATGACTTGTCGGGTTCACCCAAAGACACTGAAGAATCATCAATAGTCAAATCATCTCTAATTTCCAATTTCAAACTTGGTTCATACTTCAATTCTTTTTCTTCAAGGTTTAAATTGTTTCTTAATGAATCAAAAACACCATCTTTCCAAGCAAGGAAATCTTCATCCATAGTACCTTGTCCATCATCACCTTCACCATATTCTGCAAATCTTTCGGCTCCCTTTGATTCCAATTTTTCATTGATTTTTCTACCAATGGCATTGAAAAACTCATAAGTAGAATTACCCAATCCAAAAACAGTAAATCTCAAAGTACTCAAAGTATCAGCTTCATTATCCAAGAAATCAACAAATTCAATGGCATTGTCAGTTGGTTCACCTTCACCATAAGTAGCCATAATGAAAAATACCAAGACATCCTCTTTAATATCGCCAAAATTGTCCCAATCATAATCAGCAAAATCAGCAACCATTGTTTTCAACCCAAATCTGGCACTCAATTCACGAGACATCTTATTACAATAATCTTCAGCAGTACCTGTTTGAGACCCAAATAAAAGCAAAGTATTTTTGTGGTTTTTGGTCAAGGTTGCCAAAATATCACGAGAATTACCTCCAGCTGTGTCAGTGTTTAAAAACCCACTTGATTCAGGTTTACTGAAATATTGACTTTTAATGAAGTAAGCAGCAACGGCAACTGCCAATACAATGACCACTGTCAAGTCTAATCTGTCCAATGCCATGGTTTTCGCTGAGATATAGTATTTTATTATGCTAGTGTTGGAAAAAAAAAAATCAGGTGAAAATTATGTCGTATAACTTGATGATGGTGTATAAAGCTCTATTATATCCTCAATTGATGTTGATTATTCTCCAATAGTAAGTTTCAAATCAAACTGATGGAAAAGAAGCAAAAGAAGAAAAGAATGTGTTTTGGGTTTGTTGCTGACAATATATGAAAAAGAAAATTGGAGAGAATAAAAAAACAAACAAAAAATCAACAGAGTGAAAGAAGTGAGTGGTGTGGTGCGAATATCGGGAAATTCATAAGGACAATCTTCTATACACACACAAAATACACCTTGTATATTACTCCACCCACATTCTTTGACAGGGAATTTTCCCTTGTAAGCATAGACTCAAGTCTTGATACAGATCATAGAGATAGTAAGATGGAAATTGATACAATTTTGTTGGAAATATAATGGTAAATCCTTCCATCGTATAAGCATATTCTCCATTTATCTTGTGATTTTTTTTCTTTTCCTTTCTTTTTCTTTGTCCCTTTCCTTTTTTTTTTTAATTTTTTGACGTGTCTTGGAGTAATTCACGACATTAAAATCGACACACACACACACACACACACACACAATACAATTTGATGTTAGTGGGGTGGGGGTGGGTAGAAGCAACCCACCCAACACAATTAACTTCAGTAATGTACTACTGCAAGACTCTTTGTTCTTATTCTAAACAATGTAACTGGATCGCTAGAGCCCATTCTCATATGTATCTTTTGTACAGAACTCATTTCCCCTTTTGGAAATCAAGTATGTGGAGGAGCAGTACTAATTTAACACATGCGAAAGAAGCACAATCACAATCGAAATTATTTGCCTAAACAACATTCACCGGAGTTAGAAGAAGGAATCTCACCTGCGATAGAAGCTTAACTCCCCCTTTTGCATCATATTTAACAGTAGTGCATGCTCTATATATCCCCACAATACAAATTTAACAGCAATGCTGACCGTTACCTATCAGTTCTTTTCTTCTCTCAGCAGTAAAGACAAGAGCTATTTTGGTACAGTTCAGCACAATACTTTTTTTTTTGCATCAAGATGATCCAAAAAGATGGAAACACTTGCCAGGATATTTGCTCACTGGTCCCATGTAAATTTCAATAGATAGCATATCTTGTCATACACTTACAGCAAACAGTCCAAACTATTAAAAGATTCCTTGTTACTGAATATTCAACGGCATTTCATCACAACGAAAATCTTCTATTGTCCTCTAGTTTAGAGTGGGGTAATCAGACGACGGAATTAACGTAAAAGAAAACCACAAAACTGAAATCAGAGATAACTCGAAAATTGATTGAACATGGAAATCAATGACAATGTATGCCCCTCCAATGAAGTTATTTACAATCTGTTGAGCCGCCATGCCTACGAGAACCAACGCCCCTTGACTTGTGGACTCTTTGCACCACTCCTCGCATGCATGGCTTCATTTTTGACTGGCATTATGAACCTACCACAGCCATACATAAATGACCATCAAAGGTGTGGGGGGAATGACTTCATCCAAAATCGGGATGTAAGCATTTGCATAATTTGTTGCGGTCGTAACATTCAAACGGCTGTAATAATTATGGTCCTGAGCTTTTCTTCTCGTCCTTGTATTCCACCTGGTGTGCGGACCAAAGGGGGGTTTAGGCACCAATGATTCGGTCATATTGCTGAAGAGGGAAGAAGAAAAGAAAAAGAAGAGGAAAAGAAGAATCATTCAAAGTGTTTTTGGGGGAATTTTTTTGGCGGTTTGTATTTGATTTTCAAGAGAATATCAAAAAGGTGTAAATGGTGGATCACTTAATAGAGGTAAGCTATTCAATTTTGAATATCAGATGCTATCCCATCTATTGGAACTAAGCTTTTGTTGTTATGGAAGTGAATTATGTAGTTATATAGTTTGTGTTGACAAGAGCATCAACTTGAATGTGTTCAATCAACAGATCTACACTGGTGCAATAAATTCTCCACTAGGTAATACAGTGAAGCTCATCCCGATCCTTTTCTAGCCTCTTTCTAACTACCAAGTCTCAGTGTACAAACATCAGTGCGTATTCGTGCTTGTTTAAAAAGTTTTGCAACCAAAATTTCAATTGGAGAGAAAAAGAATGCATGACCTCTTTATTAAGTAATTTGTTATGCTGAAATATTGTAACGAATAACATTATTGAAAGCATACTCAAAGCATCCAGATACAGAGTTGAGGAGCATAATAATGTTTAAGCTTACCTTTGTAAAGAGGGGGTGTTATTCTTTCAATGCTTGGAATGAAAATTTTGTTTCAAAATCAAGAAAAAACAGAAGATGCTGCAAATTGGTTAACAGATTTGTATCAGATACAAATGAGCGAGATCAATCCGAAAGCAAAGTATACTATTCATCTCTTCACTGAGCTATAGGGTCATCTTACATAGTGCGTACATTTAGCGTGGTGGCAGTTCACACAATGTATACCTTAAAGTAGTGACAGCTTATATAATGCGTATCTCTAGTTTTGTAAATCTTGTTGAAGCATCGGGAGGGAGCATCATGCTAGTGCTCAACTAGAACCGTGATCTCTTCAAGAGATCACGTGAGCTTAACTAAAAGGAGTTAGCTTATTGAAGTACATGTTCATCAACTTCTGTTTCTTCAAACCATTAGTTTATTCTGTAGCAATGTTGCCGAGCTACGATACAATTACTCAATGTTTTTTGGTTCCTTCTGGTCGGCACCTGCTTTCGCTTGACACCATCAGCCTGATTTCAAAATACATTACAGGACTTTGCGCCCCACCCTTCTCTCGCAAGCGATATGAAGCTGAGTTCAGTTCAATACTTTCGTGTGCTGCGTCACCTACCCAATCGCAATCCCAGAATTGTTCGTTAGTGTAGCTTTTCAAACATAACCTGCCTCAAACGGTGCTCGATATTGGTGAAATCATAAAAGACTTTACAGCTTCTATCGGCCGTTTATTCATGAATATCAAATGTTGTCGTTTGACAGTGATTCGTCTCCACTACGAATGGCGAACTCTTACTCATGGAGTTTGCACATTACGAGGGTGTCAATGTATCGAAAACTGTTTCATGGATTGTAATGTCTGACCAAGCCAGTTATTGTTCACCTATGTAGGGTTAATATGCAAAGGGTGTGGAATGAGTGCGACAGTTTTTCAACAATACCAACACGAAATAGTGTTATCGAGTACTCATAAAGACGAAATCTAGAGGAGCAAAGTGTGCAGCAATTTTTCATTCCCCTTTGAAAGAAGCTCTTTAACTACATTACCAGGTCTCAAAGGTGACAATTGAAAGCCAAACAGACAAACATTGTAGGGTTTTGAACACTACTAAACACAATGATTTATCTTCACACACAATTATGTCATACGTTGAGCTGGAGAAAGTTATGTTCTTCATCCATGCAAAATGCTACTGTCGTCGAATGCATCTTTACATTATCTGTGTTGTCTCTAGCCCTTGACCATTAGATATTTCTGCATGTCCTTGTGCTTCTGCAAGTCCTTGTGCTTCTGCATGTCCTTGTGCTTCTGCAAGTCTTTGTGCTTCTGCTTGCTTGGCTTCCTCTTTCAAGTCAACCTTATACGCTCTTTCAATAGTCACTCTTGTCCTATCGGCTATTACTTCATTGAAATCAGACCCATACAATGTCTTAATATATTCATACACTCCTGTTGGCTCTAGTTCAGCTAAACTTCTTCTCCCCAATGATATCGCATAAATTTTATCCTTTTCTGAATCAGCTAATTGCAATTTGGTTAAATATTCACGACTAACCAACTCTTTTAAAACATCTTCCCAATTCATATTTATATTGCTATTCTTCATAGCGTTATTGTCAGATATACCAAATTTTCTCAAACTCCGGATCAATTGTGATTCCATGATGTGATTCTCTGATAATATAACTAAAGTGGTTACAAGCATCATTATCCCAGTTTTAACCAAGTCTGAATTCAGTTTGGGTAAAATGCTTTGTTTAAATTTAGGTAAAAAGAATCTGGTGTCCCCAATCTTGGTCTTATCTAGTGAAGAATTTACTGTTGTCATCCATAAATCACCCAATACTTGTTGTGCCGGTTGCAGAAGATTACTAACCAAAAAGAACCTATTTCTTGGTGGGGTTTTCTTTGTGATTTTGTCACCATTTCCACCATTTACACCACCATTGGCATTCAGGGTATCAATCACATTTCTTTGATCTCCGTGACTTGCATTAAACTTTTTTTCTTGTTTAGCTGTGGGCGCATCGACCAAGGTTAATCCATAAACGTTTTCCAATATAGCAATAGCATCATCTAGCAATGAATCTGATTTGAATCTCTTGTTAGTAAGATACTGATTTATATGCTGTTTTTGAAAGTTTTGACCTCTAGCATCTTTTGTTAAAATCAACTTGACAATATAGTTGACATCATGTACCTTCTCTCCTTCCGGATCCAAACCAAGTACACCATTGTCTCTGTTATTGGTATTGGTATTGGCATCTTCATAATCTAAATCAGTTTCAGTGCTATGTCTTTCATGAGTACGCTGCTGCCTTTTAGTGCGTAGTTTTTGTTGTTCATCAACATATTCCTCATCGGCAACTTCATAGTCTTGGTCATTTCCATCAACTCCTAGTTCTTCTAAAGGAATCTTTCTTTTAGGCATGATATATTGGACGAGGCAGAAGCAGTTATGTTTCTGGAAAGACAAGTGATTAGTATGATTTGAGTCAGTTTGCTTTTGATAAAGATTTCTCTTGCTTTTTGATGGAGGGAAATTTAAAAGTTATTTACGACACGCGTTTGTGTTACTTTATTTAATAAAAGGAGTATTCTCCTTAATATACTAACAACCATACTTTACTTACTTACTTACTACTAACTCACCACTATCACCAAATACTACTACTACTACTACTAGTTGTAGACCGTTTGCTCGAATATAGTTGTAGTAAGATAGAATACGCTGTAACCTACATATATAACTACATCTATTGTGACAGAATATGGTTACTTTACCAATAGTAATAACTAAACTATGGGAGGGAAGGAGACTTATGTGTCTCTCCCTGTCTCTCATGATCTCTCAAGATCTCTATCTCTCTAATGGTTGTTGTTGTTGTTGTTTTTGTTCTTGACGTTGTTGTTCTTGACGCTATTGTTCTTGACGTTGTTATTGTTGTTGTTGTTGTTGTTGTTGTTGGGTGTCTTTTATGAAATGTGTTGCAAAACTTCTCTTTTATCACCAAAAGAATATATAACTCAATACACACAACATATACACATCCTTCAACTCCTTTTACTTGTTCCCTTTGTTTTCAAAAGAGTATCAACGTATTTCAATCTAAATGCCTTATTTCAAATCAAACTTAAATACCACCACCGCCACCACCAATAACAACAACAACACACAGGTAACAAATAATAAACAGAACCGATTTGGTGGTAACCATTATCATCATCATCAAGATACAAAGAATTACTACGCAACTGGTCAACAAAACTATCGTTACCTGTCATTCTTTCCTGGATTTGTTACTTCTGCCACACACGGATTACCTGTTGCTTCTCCCTCTGCTGCTGCTGCTGCTTTTACTACTGCTGCTCCTACTGCAGTTCGCCCTATTGTCAACACAAACTCAAGTCAAATGACAGCCGCCAAAGAGAAAAATATCCCCCAACTTAAAAGTCCTCTACACCAAGTTCCTGAAGATGAACAAGAAGATGAACGGGAATATGGAGTGAGAGTGGACAATTCACGACAACAACTACAACAGCCATCACCAGGATTTCAAATCACCGACCCTGATTTTCACCATCCACTTCAAAAATTTGATATATTTGGTTGTAATGATGACAAAATTCCTCGGAATTTACCTGGTGATGCTGAATTGGAATTCTCAAGAGCTGGTCACCACTTGCATCATAACAACAACAACGACAACAACAACAACAACTCTTCAATTTTGCAACAACTACAAATCTTGCCACCAGAAACTACTATTGATGTATATGACTTTTTAAATCCACGAAAATCAGCAAATATGGGATATAGAGAAAAGATTCGCAGTTGGTTATCGTCAGTTCCATTGGCAATTGCTTATGATGAAGATTCAACCCAATATTTCAACCTCAATTGTTACCCAGGAGTAGTTTCAATTTCAGATTCAACAACTGACTCAGATGTAGGTGTTGTTATTGATTTGGGTGATATTGATGATGTATTGGAATTACAAGCACAAAAGGTTACGCGATATGTCAATAGATTGTACTTCAATGAAGAAGAAATTCCCTTGCCCAAAGGTGAAAATGGTGAAAACTTTGAAGAAGATGACTTGGTGGAAGAAGAAGAAGAAGAGGAAGAAGAAGTAGATGATGAGGAGAAGAAGAAGGGGCAAGAGCAGCCAGTAGAGGAATACGATGGGAGAGTTCCTCAAGATGAGGAAGGTATGCTTGGGGTTGAAGTTTATCACCATCTCTACCACCACCAACAGAAGCAACACCAGCAAGACATAGCATCTCCCTATAAAAGTGCACATATTTGCAACAACAGGCAAGTCAACGATACTACTGGCAATATGCACCCCAGTGGTGCACAGGAAAATCGCACCTTGTCCCAAGTGGAAGCAATTTACCCAATTAGGGTCGAACCCACCTACACACAATAACACCAAAGCTAGCATTTAATTATACCCCCAATGTTTACTTTTTGCACTTACTCATCTAGAACTTCACTTTGCATTATAAATACATAGATACATACATATAGCATCCAGTCCTTCACAATCGTAAGTCTAACTCTTCAATCTTGAACCGAGCTTCTTCCTGTTCCGGTATTTTTGACAAATTAGGATAGTATGGCACAAGAGCATCACTGCATTGAACATATGCACTATTGAAAAGCTTCCAAAATGGGGTTCTTACTTTCTTTGCCGGATGGAAAAGTCCCGCCCACACATAATTCATAAACACGCCAGACCCCAATACTAATCTCAACGAGTCCAAACTCTCCAAAATACGAGCAATCACATGTGGGGAAGTCTCATAAATATTTGGCATAATCAAATTCAATAAATGAGTGAAAACTTCATCATATTCACAACCAAGACCCATGCCGAAACAATTTGAGGCAATGTGACTAACTACAGTGGCGGAAATTTGACGATGAACCAAGTCTCGATCAAGCAATGCGTCCTCCAACAAGGGAGTAATGGCAAACACGTAATCCTTGGTGGTATTACCATCAAGATATTCAAACATAAAACTCAATGCTTTTAAAACACCATTTTGAATATTTCGTTCCGGAGTCTTGTACTCGTTCATAATTGCTGGCAACACCGTAAAAGGTTGACAGTTTTCTGCAACTATTGCCATGGCAACAGCTGTACATACTCTCAATTGTCGCTCTTGTACTTTTAAATTGTTCAATAACATAACAATGATATCCTGTGGTCCGATAGTCTTGGCAATATAACCAAATGTTGCATTTGCAGCAATTCTTATTCTCTTTTTATTTGATTTCAACATTTCCAACAAGTCAAAACATATACGCATCCATTCTTTGGCATTTATTGTTTCAGCGTTTTTAGTGGCAATCAATCCAATTAATCGAACACTAGATTCCTGAACTTTTTCGTGTCGATTCTTCAATATAGGAGTTAATGTGGGCAAAATTTGATTGATGGATGGATTATTCATCGACAACAAGGTTTTGGTGTCAATGGAACTAATACAAGAGTGTAGGGCATTTATTATTGAACCCAACACATCGGGATACACCTCACCCAAGGATTCATACAAAATCAAAATCAATTTTTGCAACAACACATCGTCATGCTCAAAAGATGATTTAATTGCGGGGGCAATGATGGAAATCAAATCCGAAGATTGTTGTCTCACTTCTGGGGACTTATTCTTCATTCGGTACAAAACAGAACTAATGATGGAATTAAGATGCGGCTTCATTCTCACTCCCAATGCTTTTGTAACTGAGCTAAACGCTAGTAAATAGATCTGCCGTTGAGCTGTTTGCTCTTGAAATGCAAACAAAACGCTATCAACCAAGGACTCAACTTGACGAGAGCTTAACCCGATTGTTTCATCAGGTTTGCTTCCGACAATAGTATGAAGTGCTTCTACCGCTAATCTTCTTAGTTGTTCATTTTCATCCTTGGCAAAATGTATAACATATCCCAAAATGGTTACAAAATCAAATTGGGCTGCCAATTTATTAGTTGCAGTAACAACAAGCTTTGTCACTTGTAAATTATCAGAGGCTGTACGTCTGTTCCAAAATGCCTGAAAAAATGGTTTAATAAGTTTCACATCATATTCGGGCACAATTTTTTTGGAAAGAGGTAAATTCGTAATAATTCTTAAAACCGTTTTTCTCATATCCTCATCAGGTGCTTGAAATTGACGAGAAATCAAAAATGCCAACTCGGCTGTATAGAAATTGGTGTACTCATCGTATCGAGGATCAAAATTCATGAGCGGAATCAATGAACCAATACATCTCAAAAACGTTGCTAATCCTCTTCCTCGTTGTCTCCTAGTCTCATTCCATAGTAGCTCCAAAACTGGTTCGAAGGCATCAATACCATAAGGTGCTACATTTTCTGCCAATTGAGCCAACGATAACGCGGTTATATTTCTAACTTGCGGAGCTTCGTCGTTGATTGCTGGTGCTAAAGTTTTGACAATGTAGCTCAAATGTGGCAAAATCATTGACCCATTTCCGTTACCTAAAAGAATACACAACTGCTGGATCGACTTGATACCTGTGTGTCTCGCTGTCCAATTTTTTCGTGAAGTGACAACCGCCCTCAAGAATTGTAAATACTGACCAAGGCCGAGAGTATTTGCCACTATTGCAAGAACCCTAGAGGTAAGGTTCCTCACATACTCGTCAACATGATCCAAATCCGGTCTCAATGATGAAATCATACCACCAAAACCAACAACCTTGGTCAAATTTGTCAAAATATCACGAGTCTCACTACGTATCGTGGAGTCCTCTTCAATCAAGAACGGAGATAGAACGTGAATTAGCTCTTGGGTGAAAGGTTGAATTGACACATTCAACTGAGTGATGATTCTCCCTACAAGTTTCACCAACAAATGGCGCTCTTGTTCTCCTAAGACAGGCTCCAACAAAACAGGGAGAATTTGCTTTAAAAGCAACTTCGGTCCAAACTTTTCCGCATTTTGGGTCAATGTCCTCATGGCTCGTTTCCTCACTATTTGAGAGCCATTTTTAACCTTGAGTATTAGCTTCATCGATTGAACTTCTCTTTTTGTATCCCCTTCGGCGTCCTCTTCTGATAGCTTTAAGAGATGCCCAAAATGCTTTACATCCTCTTCCTTAACATTTTCAAGATCCTTGTGTGCTAATGATATCGTTGGGACCAACGATGAGGGAATGTTACTGGATTGATTCATGGGGGGTATGTAGTACTTGCTTTCTGTCCCTACGGCATTCTTTCCGGGTTCTGTACTTTGTTGGTGGTCACGAGGAGGTCGGAGTGGCGTAAATCCTTCAGGGAGTATTTTTTCTAACACCTCATCCGTAAGTGGTATCCCCTCCCCTACCGGCAAATTATCTCCGCTTGAGATTTTGACGATATCAGAAGACGCTGTCAATTTCGATGCTAACTCCACCTCATTATCTTCGATGGCACTTGATTTTCTCTTTCGTGAAGTTTCTCGAGTATCGTTTTCTATGATGGCAGTATTTGGTTTCCCTTTTTTCAACTCTATCAGTCGTAGATGAGATTCATCGTGTTTGGGTTTCTCTTTATCAAAATTCAACTCAACGCTTCTTTGGAATCTTTGCTGATTGTAATCATTTTGATGTATATCATCTTGCAAGGCCTTGCTTGATATCGAATCGTCATGCTCAAATTCCTTGATTAGCTCCTTCTTCAAAATGTCCAGTATTGAGTAGTTCCCCGCTAGGCTGTTTTTACCCCCCTTATGTGGCATGACTTTTGATGGCGTAGGTTTGTAGCGTGTGCGTATATAGATATATATATATATATATATGTGTGTGTATGTGTGTGTGTGTGTGTGTGTGTGTGTGTTATTAATAATTTTTGCTTTGCAATTTGTAAAAGTTTCATGTCGCACGCAGGGTTTTATCAAATCTGCAAAAAGGCATCATCTCTCCAGAAACGTCTTTACTTTTCAAAATACATTGTACCTAATGTCCAACCTCAATGCTACTGTTTTATTAACCAGACTTTTGTCACTACGAGGAAACTCATCTTTCCACTTGATTCTAGATTCTTTAACTCAATCGTCGTTTCACTTAATACAGGAATATGCACATCATCTTAGTAACAACCACAAGATAATCTACATATCATTTGAAACAGTGAATCAGCCACAATACGCGACTGACTTTTTTGACTGCACTAATGAAAATATTGACCAGGCTATACTGTTTATTAAATCGCATACAAAGAATGGCTCTCCAGCCCCCAAGTCGGTTGTTATGATTGACTCATTAAATTACATTCCAAATGAAAGTTTGACTCACTTTATAGCCAATATTGTGGGCCCAAACGTGGTTATAGTCGCTACTTATCATACGAACTGTGTGGAACCTTTCACTAGGCATGTAAATTATCCATCGAGTCTTTCCTTGCTCATGTATATTGCCAGCACCATTTTGGAAGTTGAACCATTATTGAACCAGTCAATCGACAACGAAAATTTGCAACAAAGCGTACTGAGGTTGAACTTTACCATCAATGCGCAGTTGAACAGTGATGCTTTCAAGTTAATTTTAACAAATAGAAGAAAATCTGGCCGGTCACTCATTTACAAATTTAGTATACACAGCAAAAGTCATACATACGAAGTCTTTAATGAAGCTTCATCGGCAGAAGTGGCAGAAGAGGAGGAGGAGGTGGAAGAGATGTTGAGAAATTTGACTACATTTAACTTGACCACCAGCAGCAAACAAAAGTTGGCCAGAGAACAGGTCGAATTACCCTTCATGCAAGCACAAGAGACGCTCGGGTCATCAGGAGGAGCTATTGTTTACGAATTTGAGAAAGATGATGATTACGATGAAGAAGATCCATACGAAGATCCTTTTTAAGTACAAATATAGATGCTGTAGGAAAAAAAAAAAGGCTCTTTTTGTCAATCTATTCTACTTTAGTTTTGAGCATGTTGACCCTTGAGGAAATGGCTCGCTTGAGTTTGGCTAAATTAGTTTGCTGTGAAGCAAGCTCAAATTCCTCCTCTGTAACCGTTTTTTTTGTTAATAAATTAAACATGGTGCCAAACGCCAACGACAAGACCGTACATGTCAATATAATCACATTATAGGGCATTGAAAAATCCGGAGTCGGTAATGTCAATAATAAACTAGTTGTTCGAAATTCATAAACACCACCATTGTTCTCATTCTTGACCCTGATCACAGCTGGCTCAACATCAAATCCGTGATTGGCATCTGGCGGGTACTCTCGATATAGTAGCAACGATTTATCAAAATCATACGTTAATGCCAAAGTCAGCAACGCAGGAACGCTAAAGACAAACTCTAAATGGGATGGTCTCTCACGATCCACAGCAGGTTTATAGCACCTACTCCTTATAAACTGTGAATGATCTTTGATATGGAAGGTCCCAGTCGAATTCTTCAAAGTGATGTCCAATGTACTCAAATATAACCTCATAAACCAAGGTAATGACTCAAAGTAGGTGAATGTGACATCTTCGGTCCCAGGATTGGTGAAAACAACACGTAAACCTCCTTTATCTAAAGAGTATCCCGTTAATGAACGTGAGACATACAACGGAGGGGCTTCAATGGGTACAACCTTGCTGGAGTTGGATGTCGAAAATTTAAAATCATAATCGTATGGCTCTGTTATTGACTCCACTATGGTGTTTGAGCCATGAGTATCGAAAGATCTTGTCGCCACAAAAGTCGGACTTTCCTTTTGCAAAGTGACATTCCATACGGATGGATCATGGTCGATTATAACCTTGCTGACTTCCTGATCACCTTCGAATGCTGGTCCTTTGATAGTTCGACCATACAACGTTTGCAAGCTCCATTGCAATTCGGTTGGATCACTCAATGGAAAGCATTGCCATATATTATAATCCTTGGAAGTATCACATCGCAATTTTTCACCTGGAGTGGGCTTTGGAATCCCACCTTCTTCCTTTTTACGCAAGGATCTGACAATATCGATCACTTGACTCACTGTTTGGTACAAGTTCAATTTGCAAAGGCCTTCCCCAGTGCATTCGGAAACGATATCCACTGACATTCCGTGCCATAACGAATCAAAAACTTTATGACCATCTAGAAGTGATGATATCCCAGCTTTGCCTCCAGTAGGCAATAATTTCAAAAAAGGTGTCAAATTCTCAGTACAAACGGGCTCACTAGGTAATGCCGCACGGAGCAAATAAAGTTTGTTGCCTGCTTCAGGCTTGTAATTGCCAATGTTTGAATCCTGGATGGCGTACTTGGGAAAAGTGGTGATATCTTTGTCAATGAAATTCAAAGATGCACAGAAAAATCCCGATAGATTTTTTGTCAACCTCGACCAGTGTTTCCGCGCAACATCTATGCTTGGTGCTTCAATCAATGCCAAAACTTCAACACCAGTTCCACCACTGAATGAACCATCGTAGGGTAGTTTGCCCCACGATTGAGCATCCCACCAACCTTGCGTAAACCTGAGAGACAATTCTCTAGTATTTGTTGATTCTATTATTGGACCGAGTGAGCTTGGGAATAAGGTATAGTGATTTAAATTCTTTTGAGGGCCGTCGGGCGTACCCTGGTAGGAGGGATCAAATGGCAACGAATCTATTTTGAAATCAAAAGTAGAAAGTAATTTGTTTCTCGGCAATGGCCTCAAATTCAAGGTTTCTTGGTAGGATGCATCTCCGTATGCGAAGCTAAAACAACTTAGCACAATGAGACAAGTTCCTAAAATGCCCATGGTGAATGATGACAAATGGAATGCAGAATGAGAATCGACTTTTGCGTGTGTGTATTTTCAGAAAATTGAAAAAATTATCATCACGATCTTAAAAGTCGCGACTTTGTTTATACTTTCGTAAGGCACTTTCTTTATACTACTACTGCTACTAGTAGGTTAAGATTATGCATCGACCAAGTCTGGCGCCACAACAAACTGCCAGAGTTATAGAGGAGGAGAAAGAGAATATAATTCCATTACAAGGAGGGAGGCCAGTAACAAAATTGGCGAAAACATTGGTCACTACACGCAACCTTTCTCTTGATGGATTGAAAACAAAACTTCAACACGAACGGAATCAGTTTGAACAGGAATTGAAGGATTTTGAAGAATTGGACGATCCGTTACAAGTGTATTTGAACTACATAGATTGGACGCATAGAAATTTCCTCCAAGGGGCTAGTTCATCAAGTGGATTGTTTAGTCTTTTAGAACGGTGTGCATCAAAGTTTAGAGACGTTCCCCATTACAAGAACGATTCTAGGTATTTGAAGGTTTGGCTTGAGTACATCGAGTACCATGATACACCTAGAGATGCGTACATATATCTAGCGACCAAAGGAATTGGAACCAAATTGGCTCGATTTTATGAAGAGTTTGCCCACCATTTGGAGCTAAAGAATAAATATGCAGATGCGAACTGCGTTTACGAAATAGGGATTCAAAACAGTGCTTTCCCTCTCGGGCGACTCGAAAGATCATTTCAGAATTTCAGAGAACGCTTGTCGGCAAGGAATGTATCCGTTTTGTCTCCTAGCGAGGATATAAGAAGGGCATTAGACTTAAAACAGGGAAGGAGAATTGAATCCGAAAGTGAAATGAAACCGATCAAAAGGAGTAAAATCGATGTATTTCAAGACAACGCGGAAACTGATTTGAATTCTATACAATCAGCATTTGAGAACGAAAATACTCTGGATCAACCATTAGAGTCTAGAAGATCGCGTGTAAAAGAAAACACCATAGCCCCAACGAGATGGAGTGGTCAGATTTTGCCACAGAAAAACATTGGACCCGTTGTTGCGAGTGAGAAATTGCAAATCTATTGTGACGACTCATCCAACACTGCCATTATTCAAGTTGAAGATACCGGGACTCACCGACTGATACAGTCATGCAAAGATAGTCGCCATGTGTATACATTAATTGAGGCTCCAGGAAAAAGACCAGAAAAGGTAATGTTAAACATGGAGTTATTATACTCGAACGTGGACTCTGAAATTAGCTCAGTTGAGTTGTTGGCTATGCAGAGGAGAACTCTCCAGACTAGAGAGTCTGAAACAAAGCATGATAAGAAGACAACTCCAAGTAGTAACCGAGAAATAGATGCAGGAAATTTCACTCTTCCTACGATGGATGACACAACAAAACTTGCTCCTAAGGACCCTACTGTTACCATGTACTCAAAAATGGCTAAAAACGAGGTGTTTGATATCTTCAATCAAGCTTCGCAATCATGCGATCAGAACGGCTTTACCGATACCCGAATTGACGACCCCACTATCACGAATTTCGATGGTTTCGTCACCGAAACCATGCACCCACAAATGAAAGCTGTACAGCAGAAACAAGAGCCTTTAATTCCAACTCAAGTTGATGAACCCCATACTCATGCACATGCCATAGACCACGTAAGCTCTCCGTTCCGTTTCCACCCTTCATCGAAGGAGGGGGCAGGAGAACACAACACGAAGATTACAGATCCTTACAATGCAGACATTAGGCGAGGAATTTTGCAAAACTTGGTGATCCCCTTGACCACATATCCTGGATATTCTGATAAAACTGGTAAGAATGCCAATCAATTTTTCAAAATTTTGGATTCCTTTGATAATTTCAACTCGCAATCTTCCTCCCATTCAATGATTATCAGATGCTTAGAGGATGAGATGTATTCTTTGCTTTCATGTTTGAAAAGACAGGAGCGTTCGCTTGTATGTTTGGTTGAGTCGGAGTCAGGATGTTTGAAGGTTTTGAAGATTCAGCGACCAGCGACTTCGTGGGAATACTTTATACTTTGCCGAATTCAAAGAAGATTGCTAAAATATTTTTCACATGAAAAACAGTTTGTGAGAGCAGAGAAATTTTACAGCTTTAGCGATGAAAGCTATTTGGTGCTTGAACATTACCCACAGGGCAATTTGTTGGATGTCGTTAATACTTATGAAACAAAAGGGAAACCAATCGATGAGTGTTTGGCAATGTTTTTGTCGATAAGACTACTTCAAGCCACTGAAGCTTTACACGGAATGGATATCATACATGGAAAGATAAGTCTCGAGAACTGTATGATCAATTTTGCAAAATGCGAAGATAGAAACTTTTCCAAAAATTTCAACCGGAACGGAAGAAATGGTTGGGACAAAAAGCAACTCACGTTGATAAACTTTAACGAATCGATTGACTTGACAGAATTTCCAAAAGGAACTGTATTTTCTTCGTTCAATGATCAACTCGACACCAACTTTATGACGTGGATGACTGCAAATTCATGGACTTTTGAAATTGATTATTTTGGTCTTGCCAATTCGATTCATATTTTACTATTTAATGAATGCTTGCAACTAACAGAAGTTGACGGCAAGACTCGATTGAGACGTAGTTTATCGAGGTTTTGGCAACCCGTATTGTGGCAAAAACTTTTCAATGATTTGTTGAATCCGACTAGCAAAACAGGTCATGAGCCCAACACGTTGAAATTGCGAAAGATACGCGAAAAGCTTGAAGAGTGGTTAGAGGATTATGCAGAGGCTGGAAATTTGAAAAGTGCCATCATCTCGCTCGAAAAGGAGATGGGGTTGGCGTAGTACTCAGAGGCCGCTCAAAATGTATCTGAGGTAAAGAGAGCTACTGGATTCTCAATACCATGATCTTCGAAGCTGGGTGGCACCGGATACGGCTGCCATTCGTAATCGATCTGTTGACTTTGCTTGATGTTTGATGGCAGAGATATGGCTCACCACTCTATTCTCAAGATTTTGTCGTCTACGAATGAGCATGAAGGTGATATTTTCAAACTAAGGTTTCTTTAATGGAAGTGTTCTAACACCAAAACCCATTGACGTGGGTGGGAGTTTAGAATAATCGTATGTTGCACTACATCAAACATTATCGGATTTTACAGTATGGACATGTTCTGTTTATTGGACTAAGAACTTAACGCATCGAGCTACCTCTTTGTTATGAAAACAGAAACTGGGAGACAAAGTGATCAAAAGAAAGCGCTCTTCAGAGAAGGAGTGAGAGAAAGATCAAAATTTTATGTCAAATTAGACAAACCTGTAATATACAGCAACAGCATTAAATGTAACAAGCAAACATAGCATCTCTTTTTTCAATAGTAGAAAGACATCAAAAAGCTTTTGTGACTAATATAACCAGCAATTATAACAAGGCAAAGAATGAATTTGTTCGGGGGAAACCAATATCAACATAAACCAAAAAAAAAGACCAGATTGTGAGGTGGCATGGACAACGTGTTGAATCCATTCCTATGACGAACGATTGCGTATCTTCATATAATATCTTCATATAATATCTTCTTTAATTTTACTTTTATTTTTATTTTTAATTTTTATTTTTATTTTTTTTTTTAATTTTTGTTTTTAATATTATTTCTCTTTTTTTTTTTACCACAATCGAGTCGTCATTTCATGAATTCCTTTTTCAAGCAAGGGAGTAACAATCAAATCATGCAGTGCTTTATTGATCCATACCGGAAGAACCAATATTGAACCAACTCTGTTCAAAACAACATGGTCCCTTTTCTGTCCGTGACAAGAAACCGGTATGGTCAAGTGCTTTACTTTCTCAATTGAATTAATTTGCAAGTTTGTTCAACTTCTATTATTCCCAATTGCTAACACTAGTCATTTTCACAATTTATCTCATCAACAACGTATCCACTCACTTGGCTATCAAGTGCAGAGCCACCCCCAATTTTATTTTTTGGCATCGTTATTTATACGCCCACCCCTTCTTCTTCTTCTTCTTCTTCTTCTGCGCCGTATCGTTAGACACAAGATTGACCTCTTTGGCATTTTTTACCCCGAGTTCAATCACAGTTTCACTTCTCTTCTCTGAAGACCCCGTTACTGGAACAGAGCTTTTTATCACATTTACGAACGAAACATTTGTCTCTGCATTTTCATGCTGGACACAGTTCACCTCATTTTTGGACGGGAAACCTCTTTTTGTGTTTTCATTGATTTTTATTTTTTCCAAACATATTTTTCTTTGTATGCTTGAACCATTCGTTTCACTTCCCTTGTTTACTGGGGATGACATGACACCGTCAATGCTTTCAACAACTTCGCCAAACTTTCTCTCAATCTCCTGCAACAAAGTGTCCAATGCCTGGTTCGTTGTTCTAATATACCTTATACTGCAAAAGGGGAGTTCATCCCATTTTTTCAATAACTGAATCAAGAACCTGAAAACTTCATTAGATATTTCGCCAAGTGCAACCAACCTTTCAGCATTTAAATTTTCATGGGAGACATTATTCTGCTGGTCGCCGACTTGTGCGAGCAGCCCCATAACAAGATAATACAAAGACAAAACTCTTTTGTAAATTTTCTTTTCGATTTCGTTTCGCTTCGTAAATCCTTCATCAGTCCCTGTACACAACAAATGATGGTGAAACATTTGATGAAAGAAACCAATTTCAATTTGGCAATCGGTCTTGAATTTCTTTTTCATGCGAGCAATTTCAGTGATCTCCTTCTGTATGAACACAAATGAGGGGTCGCTCTCGCTGGGTGACTGTCCCTGCCAGGATGGCGGTAAAAAGGGTTTTACTTTGGTATCGAATAATTCTTCAAATCTCTCCACTGTCTCCAGTTTCAAAGGACTTGAATCTTCTATTGATACGTTTCGCGGCTCCATGGAAATGGACTCTATTAAATCCGTGGATTGTAGTTGATTCCCTTCCCAGTAATCAACTTTGCCTCTTTCAACAGTGACACCTGGATGTAAGTCTTGATTCAATTTATCAGTTGGGATGCTTGGGCGAGCACAAACTAGTTTTTCACTCGAGACCATAAGAGCACAATCTCTTTTCAGTGGGTCTGCATCGGTAGTTTTTGGAACCACAGCTTCATTATCTATTTTCGTCAAACAGACCAGTGATTTAAATTGTGGAGATGAGTTGGGTCGCGGTTTTATTTCCAGCAAGTCAACATTTCGTAAAGTACTAACGTCTTCGAGAGATCTGGTACACTTTTCAAATATGTAAGTTGCTTCACACATTCTTCGGCCCCCATATTGTACCTCGGGGGTGCACAATCTTGTAACTCTGCCAATTTCGGGGGCATTTTCACGAAAAGTTTCTTCTGCGGGCACTGATTCTGCGACAAGATTTGCATTATCAGGAATCTCTTGTACATTTTCCACAACACCGATATTATTCGTCAAGGAGTGATCAACCTTTTCGGTGACAACAATAAGTTGAGATGATTTTGTGGATGCAGAAGAATCAAGTGCTGCAATTGGATTGGTTGAAATCACTTCATCTGCATGCTCTTCATTGACTTGATGAACACTCTGAGAAGTGCCGTGCTTGCATGAATCCAAAGCCATGATGACATCTCTATAATCCTTGTCATAAATATCAGCGTTTGTTGATAACCAGTTGTCTAGGGCCAATAGTTCTTTCCTGAGTCTTGCCCATTCCGAACTACTCAACCGTTTGATATTAGCTCGGAATCTGCTTGTATATAACATAACCATTTTGCAGCAAGACTGCTTCACCTGTGGAAAGTTACGTTCTGCATACCTGGCGACCAATGTGCTATATAATTTCCCTTTAAATCGAACGCGAACACAATCCTGATAAACTTTCTTTTTAATCTCTTGAATTTTGTCGACTACAGTTTCACCGAAGTCATCTTTATCTAAATCCAAGACCACACACTCCTCAGAAAAGTGCCACAAATTTTTCCAAAAATCGTATTCTTCGGCATCGTTCTCGATACTATTCAATTGTGAAGATGAAGCCTCCTGTGATTCCGAGGAGCCTGTAGAAATCTGTCGCTCATGTTGCTTTATTTTTTTACTCGATTTATCGCGAAGTTCTTTCAAATTCTCCTTCGTTTTACCAGAGCAATCGCGAATGCTAGTGCTGGCCCCACACTCTAAATCAGTCTTAGTGGAGGATATATCTGTGCTTGAATTATTTGTAGCTGTATCAGAATCTTTCGAACTAACTGAAATGTTTTGGACTGTGTTTCTTGAATCTACATTTGTCGACTCGCTATGATTGTTGACGACAACTGAATTCATGGCGGATACGTAAGTTTTGTTGATGTTTTTATCTTTACTGTCATTGTCGTTTCTGTTGCTGTTTCTGTTGTCGTTTTTGATTTTGTTGTTGTTGTTTTCGATACTGCTATTATTGATGTAGTTGTTGTTGTTGGCATTTTTGTTGGCTGTGGTGGTGGCGGTAGTAATGATGATATTTGTTGGGTCGATGCTGTCAGGAGTGATTTTTATGGTGGTAGAAGTGGCGGTTCTGCTCAGAGTTGAAAGCGATGTTGAGGTGGTGATTTCATTCCTATCTATATCAATTTGATGGGAAATAACAGGGAATGCATTACATGGTGGTTTGCGACGAGAAGACCGATAGTAATTATCGAGAGTTGATTGAGTAAGCATTCTTCTGAGGTTAGAAAGGAAGAACTAATGATGTGAAGATGGGTGCTGTTTTTGATTTTTTGGGTTTTCTTGGGGAAAATGTGTTGCAAAGAATTTGCATTGACGTGTTCATAGATATTTAAATCCTTCAGAAGATGCTAGTTTCCTCTGGGTAATGGGTTGGTATATAAACAGTAATTTTAGAGCATATATGTTGTACGAGCTTATAAGGTGTCTACTTTTATGTCTATGGTTGTTTACAGCTCTTGGTTCTCTTTATCCAAAATATCACCACCTTCACTAAATTTTGCAAACAAATCATACGCAATTGGTGTTGCAACTCATGTACAAAGGCAGTATCATTATGCCGTTTTTTTCTAACATCTGCTTTATCTATATCATCATTCCCCATTCTCTTGTTGATCATTTGGTTCAAAACGAAGTTTTGCAACCAACTTTTTTTACACCAAATCAAAAGAAAAAAAATGAAAAAAGAATTGTGATCACGCATTTTCCATTTTGAGTTGCCAGCACAGCATTAAATAAAGAGTAGCAGAATGATATAAACTTAACCTGATGATGATTGCAGAGGAGTAAGACTTTTAGAGGGTTCAATACATGGTAATGCTTTTGGTCCAAGCTGTGTGTAATTAAGATGTCTTCACACCTATATATTCTAGCATTTGTTGATTTGTTAGAACAATATAATTCGGTAAATAGCGACAGTTATACAAACTGAGTTTTCGTCTACCCGATTCAATATCGCGTGATCACTCCTATAACTGTAAGTTGTTACCTCCGGTTTGCTCTATACTGCTATACTATTCAACTATCAAAACCTGCCTCCTTTACTCCCGCATATAGATAATAGATAGAAAATATCAATATCGATCCTTGTCTCTACTAGTTATATATTTTATTGGATCATTAACGTGCGTTTGTATTACTCACTCCAAGCACTTTATCATTGCATTCGCTACCAGGATCTACTTCAGCTCACCACACATTTTGGACGGACATATTTTTGTTTCTCAATGAATAAGCCTTCTCAGCACAAGCTCTGATTACATTACAAAGGTTGACGCAAGTTCCTCAATCAATGAGAAACACGGGAGAAACATTACCAAATTGTAATGGTGGAAATCTTTTTCAAACTCTCCGAACAGAATTGAACCCATAGATAATGTGACAAGTATATGAACTTCCCCCTTCCATCCTGTCGTATTGCGGTGAGCAATTGCGTTTAACTCTACCAAAACTGGAATAAATCTTGACGCATTGAAAATTCAACACGCCGAAGTTATAACCGAGCGTTAATAGGGGGAAGGAGTTACACTCACCATCTGTCGATCTCCGCCTTTTTTGGATTTTGCATATTTTAGTCCACATTAAATCTAGACCTTTTGCAATGTACACCCCCACACACCACTGCCGAGTTCAATACATTTGATGCATTTTTACGTTCTCAGCACAATTCGGAATCACAAACTTCCCCTTAGTTAATCCTGCATACCCTTCCTCATGTACGCCCTATTTTGTGGGGGTCATGAAGATTTAAACTTTCTCCACAACTCAAATCCTCGGAGTTCATGAGTTTTTGTGCTCCATTCTTCACTAATCTAGGTGAAAAAATATTGCGAATAACGTGAGGGTTTTGCTACCACCAGTAGAGTCTAAACAACTTTCCAAACAGAATCAGGTGATTCCAATTGTACGGAACGCGATAACCATGTACTTTCTCCACTTTGAATAGGGGGTACGTACCTCTTTAACGGGGAGTTCATCCACTCACGAGGGATGGAAAAGAAGCACAAAACCAAAAAATTGCAAAATCAAAATCAATTACACCAAAGATAAGCACAAGATTTAGCCAGGTGGAGAAAAAATCTTAACCCGGGAGACATACGATCTTAATTATAAAAGGGCACACAATTTCGCCTTTTGAGCTAATTTTGTCACATGTCACATAAACAATAAACATTATCCATGCTCACTGACAACTGGAAAGAACTTGCCGGTAAGGCACAATCAACATTTCAAAAGTCCTTGAAACAAGCTATCGAACTTGCAGATTTTGATGAAGGCTTAGCTAAGAGATACGGAGCTTTACCTTCTGCTATTGGTGCAAATGTGGAGGACTTTGGATCACCAGCACAGTTTCCATTGGAAGAGTACTTGAAAGCATTACCTAAAAAAGTGTTAGATATTACCGAAAAGGACCCTGTTGAGTTATTAAAGGATTTAAAGAGTAGAAAAGTCACATGCGTTGAAGTGTTGAAAGCTTATACTGCTGCTTCCATTGTTGCTTCCAAGTTGACGAACTGTGTCCAAGAATTCTTACCCATTGAAGCTCTTCAATATGCTCAAAAATTGGACGCAGATTACGAAACAAAAAAGCATCTTCCTTTGTATGGTTTACCATTCTCAATCAAAGAAATGATTCCATTTGTTGGTAGATCTGTGACCCATGGTTCATTGTGCTACCTTGATAGAATTGTTGATTACAATGCTGATATTGTTAACATCTTGATTGCAAACGGAGCTTATCCTTTTGTTAGAACCACTAATCCACAATCATTGATGATGCTTGAGTGTGTGTCGTTTTCACATGGTCGTACTGTGAATGCTTATAATGGTATGCTCACCTCTGGTGGATCTTCTGGAGGCGAGGGAGCCTTGAACGGGATGAGAGCAAGTCCATTTGGTTTGGGTAGTGATATTGGAGGTAGTATCAGATGTCCTGCTGCTTTCAACGGAATCTATGGATTGAGATCGACATTGGGTAGGATTCCCACAGCAGATTACTTCTCATGCAACAGAGGATCTGAATCAATTCTCTCTGTGACTGGACCTTTGTCGAGGTCATTGGACACAGTGAATTTGGTGATGAAAACTGTTATCGAAGCAAAACCATGGTTGATTGACCCTACCTTGGTCCCATTGGACTGGAAGAGACCCGAGAATAAGAAATTCCGTGTGGGTATTTACGTCTCAGACCACATTGTGAACCCATCTCCACCAATCAATCGTGCATTGTCTATGGTTACTGAAAAGTTGAAAAGCTTGGGAAACTTTGAGGTTGTAACATTTGAACCATACAAGCCGGAAAAGGTTACAGAAATATTGGGAAAGTTGTACTTTGAAGATGGAGCTAGAGATTTCCGGGCTACTTTACAAACAGGAGAGCCACTTCTTGAGCAGACCAGATGGGCAATTGAGGGTGCAGAGGATTTAGACATGCATGATCAATGGTATTGGAATTTGCAGAAGCAAGCTTACAGAAAAGAGTTTTTGAAACATTGGTGTAGCTACACAGACAACGACGGCAATGTGCTCGACGCCGTTATTGCTCCTGTGTTCCCTAACGTTGCAGCCAAACACGAGACAACAAAGTATTGGACATACACATCACAATGGAATTTATTGGATTATCCAGTCTTGGCTTTCCCAGTTACAAAAGTTGATGAGTCTTTGGATCAGCCATACAAGAATTACAAACCACTCAACGATTTGGACAAGTACTTCTACGAACAATATGACAGTCCAAGTTCATTCAAGAACGCCCCAGCAAATTTGTGTCTTGTTGGGTTGAGATTTACTGATGAAAAGTTGGTGGAAATCGCTAACATTTTGAGAAATTGAGAAGGTGTAGAAGGTGTGAATGATTGATGCCACTGATTAAGTGTTTTATGTCTTTTTATAGCCTTTATAGTATTGAGAGGATCAATAAAATTATGAATGTGTGAGTAATCAACTGTGGGCCTTTTTTTGGTGGTTTGTAATAAAGGTGAGTTTCTGAAAATTCTAAGCGAAACTGAATTCTCGAACCCTCTTCTTTACCTTCAGTACCGTCACCAATCACTTTCAGAGGCCCTCGAAGTCCATCAATGTCGCCAAATTATTATCACTTAGTCACAAGTAGCCATGCATAAGCCTCTTGCTCTATTCCGAGACTACAGTTACTTATCATGTGGTCACTCCGTCACGCATATTTTCTCGAGCAAGAATCAATGACGAATTGGTTGACGAATCCTTCCGTCTGAGTTGCGTACATCTTCTGTTAACTGCACCACCACCTGCTTAGAGAGCCTGGAGTTTTGGAAATTTGCTCTCTTTGATTGGGTTCGTTAATGACCAAATCAATTCGCATCAAGACGAGGGCCAAGCACAAGTGATCAAAGATCATGTGCTTGCTTTGTTTGAAAAGTGCAAACTGGTGGGGCAAAGAGGAACTGATGTTCATGAAAACTAACGGGGAAAGAAGATGCTATCAAATTTTTGACGTATAAAACATGAGATCTATTGCCACATAGGACTTTCTAGTGTCATGCAAACTACGTATCAGTACCACAGTTCACGAATGTTACTGTCCCTGCTTATTGGGACCCCATAATATTCCTTTTCTGATTTATACAGCGAAGAAGCCAGCGGCGCAAATGATACAAGCGACTTTGGTGAAACAAGCGGCGCCGAAACTGTGAGTGTGGAGATAAATCCAGCCAACCTCATTGATGCGCCTTGCAAGAAGGTTAAGTTGAGAATTGAAATGTTGTTGAAGCGATGGAGAAGGTTTTTCAAACCGAGTGTATCATATTTTGTCTGAAATTATCTGCATTGGCAAGGTGTGTGGTCTGGCCAGCCATGCAAGTATAAGTCCAAATCCAGACGATGATGATGAAACGGTACGTGGCTTCTACTCCATCGTATATTGTCCCACATGTTAACCATAATTGAAAGCTGAATTGAAGATAATCCTCCAATTGGGTTTCTTATGTTGTTTGGATGTTGCCTAGATGTTGCCTAGATGTTGCCTAGATGTTGCCTAGATGTTGCTTGAATCTTGTTATTATATAGCTTTTGATTGTTTCGCATAGTTGGAGAGTCTGTTGTAAAGCCTCTATTAAGCTCATTGTGTTGCTTCTGTCGTGGGGTCGCATATATTTCGAACCCAAAGGTTATTCCTATTATCTACAAGGTTCGTGAAGAGTTTAATGCGTATCCCAGAACATTGCGGTCAAATACGAAGTGAGTTATTATTTCCTGGTTACCTATTTGCATAGTCTTCAATCTTGTGTCGCAACAGCTAGGTAAACATGTCCACTTATTTATTGCGACAAGCTGAACTTTCGTGTTGCAAAATTTGCGGATAGTTATAAATTTGAGACCACCACTGTTATCCACATTCTCTTACTCCACACTCTCAGACAAATATGAGCGTTATTGGAGATAATAACTTGGGAACTGGGGTCCCCATGTTTCCCGGGTGCACTAAGATTGAATTGGTTTACAATTGTTTGATCCCGATTCCAAGAAATTCGAAAGTGGAAGATTCCCAGTTGAATGAGGATAGTCCAAAACGTCTTGAAAATGAAGTTACCGTGATACCAAAGTGTAAAGGGCCGGAATGTTATCAGCCTCTCCAAAACGATAAACCACACGAAAATCTACGGTCGAATCCTACGCAAGTGGAGGGCGAAAGTTTGGACTCGAAATCAATAGCTACAAATAACCACATCGAGTCTTCCATTGGATTTGGAGCAAAGACACTATTTATGCCTCTACAGGGAATGCCTGCCAGAGTGGACGGAATAAGTAAAAGGAATGGCCTACTTGTCGAGGAAAACAAGGCGGTATCAACCGTTGAACGCAACGACCCGGAGTCAGAAGTTGCTTTCAGTCGAAGGGCACACATTCACAGATACAGCAAGTGGTATATTCCATATGATACCAAAGTCAGACCCTTCCTACCACCGTTTTGGCAAGGAGAGCTACCTAAGGAACACGATCCCACATTTGTATACATACAAAGGATAATAACAGAAATTGCCCGTTTGAAAAAGAAGATCAAAAGTGATTGTGAGTTTGAAATGAGTTTTTTTGACCACATGTTACATTTTCATTTGATGTACAAGGGAGATGAAAAAGGATTCAAGTTGCGAAACGAATTTGAGGTGAGAATTTATATGAGAGTTATGTCCTTATATTATTTTCTGATGGGACTACTTTCTCAATTTGAAGGAGAGTCAACCAATTACCTAAATGAAAATGGCAATGCTGAAAAATTAATTGCACTTGGCAAAATATCTAATAGAGCTCTCAGATTTTTGTTGCAGTTATTGAGAAGATGGGAACAGCTTCCTGTTGGCAACATACGGGATATTGTGCAAACGAATCAAACATTAGACACTATGTTGCAAGAGATTGACAAAGAGTTTGGCGAGGTTGTCAAAAGCGTTGATGAGGTAAACAACACATCCGGGATAGAATACGACATTGCTGACAATCTTATTACTAGTAGCACTATTAATGAAGATGGTGGTCGACCAGTGCCAAATCATTGACGACCAACAGAGACAGTCATTGATGTCGCTACTACTGTCTCGTGGCAAATCTTGAATACAGCCAAAGCAGCTCTACGATAGAGTCACTTCAAAGACCTTTAAAGCTTATTCAGCAAGCTATGTAGTATAGTTGTGAATTGATTCGTAAACTCATCTAAGTTTCTCTATATTGCAGTAGTTTAACGAGAGTGCTAACTCCACACAATATGGCGCATGCAACACAAAGACGAAGAATGAAAAAAATAATAATCTTTAATTCTTCAACAACGTTTTATCGAGTTTTTCTCTAATTACACAGAGCATTATTACTTATAAATATGGGGGACCATGAATACATAGAGCTCCAACAGCTCCACGAGACTGAGACGAGAAATACTTCTGAACTGAAGTGGTCCCTAACAAAATCACAGTTACTTCTAATACTTTTGCGTCTTGGTGTTATTAGTGATGAAGTTTATCAGAGTGGGAACTATGCAATACATTCGTTACCAAAAGGAGTTGAGTACATAATTGGTGTCATTGACCACATGCATGTTTCTGAAGCAGTAGAGATTTTACGGAATGCTTTGGTTGAACACAAAAATGATGTCAACTTTCTACAAGAAGATTACCATTTATTGGAAAGGCTCGTACATTCGATTCCACTGGATGATAGAGAGGATAAGGCAAACGTCGCCATCGAGGATGACGCTTCTACACGCAAGTTTCACAAGAACAAGACATATTTGCATATAATTGATTGGTCCTTGCAAAGTCGGCTAGAGGCTTCGTTGATTCACTACCATTCACCCTATCCGGAAATTAGGGCAATTTCAGATCCAGTGGATGACAAAGAAATTTTTGTTGATACTTTCCGATGTTACTTTATTGGATTCTTTTGGACATTCATAGGATCGATAATCAATAGCTTTTTTGTGCACAGAATGCCCAATATATCATTGAGCTCACACACAATACAAATATTGCTTCTACCGTGTGGGAAGCTTTGGGAAAAATTTGTCCCCAATAAACGAATATCATTTGGTACGGTTTCTTTTGATCTTAACCCTGGTGTTTGGACATACAAGGAAATGATGTTGAGCTCCATTATATATCTGTGCTCAGCGGGCGTTCCATACCTGATATACAACATATTCGTCATGAAGCTCGACAGATTTTACGGCTTAAAGTGGGTGACACTTACTTTTCAAGTACTCTTGACCATTTCCACTCAATTTTTAGGCTTTGGGTTTGCCATGATTATGAAAAAGGTTTGTGTTTATCCAAGCAGAGCTCTATGGCCAACAATTTTACCAACAATTGCACTTAACCGGGCTTTGATGAATGAAGATGCTAATAACAGCGTATATGGTTGGAAAATTTCAAGATACATGTTTTTCATTGTCGTTGGCTCTTTCAGTTTTATATACAATTGGATACCAAGCTATTTATTCAAGGCATTGTCAAACTTTAACTGGCCAACATGGCTTGATTCGTCGCTGATACATTTAGTAAACATTACCGGAACATCCGCTGGTTTGGGATTAAATATATGGCCAACTTTCGACTGGAATATTTTGGATGCTGGTGGCTGTTTGACGATTCCATTTTACACTTATGTCAACAGGTACATAGGGAGCTTGATTGGTTTCGTTGTCATTTTGATTGTATACTACACCAACAATTACTTCACCGCCTATTTTCCTATCAATTCCAACAAACTTTACAATAACAAGGCGCAGATCTACGACGTTCATCTGATATTGAATGAAAAGAACCAATTCAGCGATGAAAAGTATCAGGAGGTCGGACCACCATATTTTTCAGCTGCCAACTTGGTTCTTTACGGCGCTAATTTCTGTCTTTACCCGTTTGCAATATTGTATCAGTTAGTTACTGAATGGGATTCAATGAAGGCAAGTTTTGTCAGCGTATGGGTCTCAATTAGTGATGCATTCAGATCCAAGCACAGTGAAAGCTCTTATGGAAGATATGCTGATGACCCACATTGCAAAATGATGTCGCAGTATGAAGATGTACCGGATTGGTGGTTTATCGCGATTCTTGTTGTCAGCACACTGTTTGCCATTGCAGCTGTTGTATTTTATCCAACAGAGACACCTGTGTGGGGGATCTTTTTTACCATATTGATTAATTTCATTTTTTTGATTCCCTTGACCTCGATTGCTTCAACCACGGGGTTTTCATTTGGTCTTAACGTGTTGGTCGAGTTAATAGTTGGGTACGCTATACCAAATTCAGGAATTGCATTGATCACTTTGAAAGCATTTGGATACAACATTGACAGTCAAGCGAGTAACTACATCACGGATCAGAAGCTTGCACATTATGCAAAGATTCCACCAAAGGCGATATTTAAAGGCCAGTTGATATCTACATTGATCAATATCGTTGTTTCTTTAACAGTTGCCAACTGGCAGTTAGGAAATATTAGTGATATTTGTGATAGGCATCAGAAGGACAAATTGAGTTGCCCAGGGGCAAACACCTATTTTTACTCGAGTGTACAGTATGGTGAAATAGGGCCACAGAAAGTCTTTTCCGGATTATACCCGGTTTTAAAGTGGTGCTTCTTACTAGGAGTGCTACTAGTATTCCCATGCGTTTGGTTCAAAAACAATGGCCCAATCAGACTTGCAAGGTACTTTCAACCGAGTGTTTTGATAGGTGGTTTCTTGGATTTCGCTCCGTACAATCTACTGTATTTTACAGGAGGATTGTATATTTCGTACATTTTCATGTATCGAATCAAAAGAGACTATTTATTATGGTGGGAAAAGTACAATTATATATTAACTAGTGCCTTATCGGCTGGTGTTGCTTTCAGCTCCTTACTTATATTTTTCACGGTGCAATACAACTCACATGAAATTTCATGGTGGGGCAACACCATTAGCGAGCAAGGGATAGAAGGTGGGAAATTGCCAGCCGTTTGGAAGGATGCATCGGCAGCACCTGGAGGCTATGTCGGCTTGAGAAAAGGGCATTTTCCGTAGTAGTTAGTTATCAAATAAAGAATACACAGCTTAGGACGCGAACTACAGCAGACTGGAGAGAACTCGATAGGAACCACATGTGTTGAATTCGTATTACTCGGTTCGCTACTCCACTTACACAGCTTATACATCTTCCACTAGAAGCAACCCATTGGGGTAAATTAAATCAATGTTTTGAATCTCTTCATCTCTTTTCAACGACAAGTCTATTCGAGGAGGTAGTGGCGACGCTAGCTTAAACTTGTACTCCATATGGAATTGTTCAAACTTGTTTGTTGCTTCCAGCTCACCTAAATTGGAAGTCAGATCAGACAAGTTTTCTCTAACAAGTTCAACAAATGTGAATATATCTTCAACTTTGAAATGTTTTGGGAAATAAGCAGTTAGTCTTGATGAGTCGGGGAATTTCAACACAACCCTTGCATAATTTTTCGTCTCTTCTTTTGGAGGTGGGTGAGTCACATTTTTGTACAACGGTGCCTTGTATTTCAAATATTCCATTGCCAATTGCTTCTTTTTCTTTTCATTCTTTTTCATCATATCTTGTTGCATCGATGCCATATAATTATATTCTTGTTGTTTGCGCAAAACTTCAGTCATGTATTTATCCTGCAATTCTAGTCGTATTAATTTCAACTCAGGTTCATATTTGGCAATCTTCTTCACAAACTTGTCGCGTATGACTGAATTGGCATCTTCCAACGGATTGATTTTTCCACCTTGAAGTTTGGCAATTAGTGAAATCTTGGCTGGCTCCTTTCTTGGTCCCTCTGGGGTCATTTTCGTAATTCTGGTTAGACACAATACCCCCAAAAAGGGGAATTTTGTTACGTTCAAACTGTTTGCTAGTTGATACGCTTCAGGGTTCTTCAAATCACCGCCCCATATAATGATATCTTGGTTGAATAGCCGTATAAACTCCCGATTCATTATAATGTCATTGAAAATGAATGATGCGCTTTCATTTTGAGGGTTGGTCAAGTACACGAAAAGTATCTTCCCTCGTTGTGTGGCCATGTACAATGCCTGTGTATAGCTTCCTTGGAAAAATGGTGGTAGTTGATTCAAGTTTTGAGTAATCAGTGGTTGAATATTGTCCTCCAAATCTCTAACAAACTTGTTTACTTTGTCGATAGGATCAATCGTTTCATTAGGCAATGGTGATGTGTTCAAGTCTTTGAAATAGACAAAGTTGATCATGGTGGAAAGTAATCGAAATATTAGCAAAAGTAAAATGATCAATGGTTTAGCAATGATAACACTGATGAACGTTGACACTTTTTTCATTGATTCACGAAAAGTGGCTCCTGGCGTAGTAGGTGTCTGGTCTTGCTCGTATGCGCCAGGCATCGCATTGCTGACACTTGAAGGGTCGTTTGAGTTTGTTCTCTGGTACCCTTGCAGTCTAAATGTAGATTGGAACCAGTTGCCGAGTGCCATAATGAATATACAATGAAGTCTCTTTTCTTTCAAATTGACAGAACGCACTCTCTTGTGTAGGACAATCCTTGGTTGGAACTCTGAAGTAAGATGTGTGTTTGTTAAATGTGGTGAAATTGTGCTCCACTACAGCACTTTGTATACAGTGTATTCTCTCTCGCACTTTAATTTTCTACTCAATCATTTATACAGCTCCTCATTGATAGGCACACTTTGTTGTTTCTTATGGCACTCCCCATTAGCTGTCACAAGGGCAGACCAACCGAGCCCCCACATCGTTAAACTACAGAGTTCGCAATCTCATTTAGAGGGTAGAGGACACAACGGTAGTCTATAGCTTACCGATTATGTGATGAACATCTACACACGATTTAATTACTGCTACATCCATGTACATCCATGTTTATGAAGAGGCAAAACGTGCTATGGATGCCATTGACTATGGTGCTCGCCAGTTGCACCAGTAATCTGGCAAAGATATTACTGATACAGCTGGAGTCAATGGAGAATCATTGCAAGGTTATAATCCTAAGTCAGACTTTTCTTCAACGATAAAATGGTTCAGCCTGCTAGCTATTCAACACTTTTATCACATCCTAATCCCAGCGTTAACTTTCGGGTCCAATTTAATTTGATTATTGCACTTCACAGTTCTCATTAATCTGTCTCTTAGCATTCAATGGCTCCACTGCTCTTCCATCGGAATGGAAATGCCGTAAGGTGTGGTCTGAGATAAAGAGTGAAATACCTCCATTTGGGTTTGCTTTTCATGCCGCATGTTTTGACAGTGATTGCAGCAAGACCAAAATGTGCAGAGCACTCCTGGAATAGACTGGGTCAGTCAAGTTGGTCCCCAAAAGCACGCCACCACATCGCGATGCAGGTTAAAGCTTTGTATACGGTTTATCCAACAGTTCGTTAGCTTCTCTCACCACCAGTGTAGAATCATCCAATTAGCTCCTTTGCAATGTGGAAGTCCAATACGTTGTCTCCACGCACATGCCCACAAACAAACTCTTGCAAGCATATCAGCTTCCACCGTTTAAATCCAAAGTGTCTATCAATTCCATTAGTTCCATCTCCTCTTCCCATGCTCTAGCCTCCGCTTCCTCCAATTCCAAACTGCTCCTCTTATTTTCATTTATTATTTCCCATTCGTCATCGATTAATCGATTTATGTCTTCATTATCCATGAACTCACGTGCTTGTTCATCGTACTCTCGTTCCACATCCTCTTTGTATTGCTTGTCGGTGACCTTTTCCCGTTGCAACAGTAGCTTTTCATACCGGTGTTGACTCCTTACTTGGCGTATCTTGTTGTGTTTGTTTCTGGAGTTTATGACAGAGCCCCTTTGCGATAGCTCCTTATCGGTGATATGATGAAACTTTAGACTCTGGGTTTTATGGCGTGTTGGTGATGACGTTGGTGATGATGAAAGTGGGTTGAGTCTGGCTTTATTTCGACTCTTTTGTGTTTCACCCACTTGTTCAATAATACTGGACAAAGGTGATGAGAAGAGTTCCATCAGAGTATTTGTATTGTCGTCATTGTTCGGGTTCATTGTAACACCCTGTACTTCGTGATCAGATAAGGTGTGGCTGGGCAATTGTTTCTTAATGTGTAGGATTTTCATTGCGCGTCGCGTTAAAAAAGATTCACGAAAGATTTTCAGAACAGCTTTATAACACATGGAAGTAAGCTTTGAGATAAATGGGAAAGCTTTCAATGAGTATTCCGAGCAAGATGACAAGTTGAATGAGACAATTGCTGCTGATGTGATACTGAACTTCATGCAAGGTGAATTCGAACTTCCGAGATGTGATGCAACCATCTTGCAAAGCAAAAGTTTACCAAAATCTTTATTGAAAACGGCTGTTGACATTATTGATGAAACGATAGGTGAGCTCTATGCTGAACATAATGGCAGTAATTGGAAAAGAGAAAAGATCAAAGAGCTAGGCGAACCCGGATTGACATATGTTTTTTTAACACACCTGAAATCAAGCAAGACAGTGGCATTCATATGTTTCAAGTTATGTCTCGATACTGAAAATGAATTAGTACTTTATTTGTACGAAATACATGTGACTAGAGGATTTCAGGGCCAAGGAATCGGACAATACTTGATAAACCAATTCCACAATCTCTTCACCGACTTGGTACATTCATCTAATAGATTTTACAACCAGCTATCAGGGACAGCATTGACAGTATTCTCAGACAACAGGAGAGCATTGTCTTGGTATGAGACTATGGGGTACCAGTTGACAGAAGATTCTCCAGTTGACAAAGTATTGAGAAGCGGAAAAGTGATTAAACCAGATTATTATCTACTAAAACGTAGAATAGCTTCTTGAGTATAAGATTTACGTTGTATTTTGTACCATGTAGATTACGTAGTTCTCGCTGAGCTTTCTCTCTTCTTTGTCATTGTATCCACCACAGTTGTTGAAGGTCATGTATTACGTGTAGGGACTGGATAATGTAGCCCTCTAACACCTTATATTCAATCACAAACCTAAAAAGAACTAGGTGTTGTCTATGATGAAAAGCAGGTCCTTATTCAAACTATTGGCTTTCAGCTTTTTTGCATTGATTTTCGCACAAAAAGCTCAAACGCAGCACTATTTCTATATACCCCCAGCTTGCAATTTAGCAACGCTTCAACTTGTTTATGTTTTACACTCACTCACAAACCACTCTTCGTCACATAATCGTCCCGAGTTCAATGATTCTGGTGTTGTTTGTAATTCTGCGTGAGAGAAGAACTATCGCACCCAAAAGCTACCTCTTTTTCACAGCTAGTGTCACCTCAGATTGTTCTATGTATATTTACGTGTGCCGATAATTGCAGGTACACCTTCTTTGCAGATTTCTCTCCAGCTCCTGCAGGCTCTACTAAGAGCGTGAGAAAAGAAAGTAACCTTCAGTACAATGTGAAATACTATTATTTTGTGAGCGTTCAGCTCAAACGGTTGTAAAGTGATCAATCGAGCCAGGAGATCATTTAGTTCTACTCAATCCTCGCCAATAACTTATCTGCACTTCAATTGGACATTGCGAAAATAGCTATTCTACTTGTCTTTATGGATGAATCATAACCGATAAGTATACACATACTTTGTTGAAACCTTCTAAAAGAATACTTCAGTGAACGCCTTTGATACGAATTTCTTGCCACAATCCTTAGCAGGACACTTTGTTGGAGCAAATATGCTAGGATTCTTTATAGTGAAACCTGATGGGGCATCTTTTGGCTTCCTCGAAGGTCGTCCTGCGATATTCTTGACACACCTTCCACAAAACGTATGGCCACATTTAGAAGCAAATACTCTCTTGCTCAAATCATGATCAGCGTCAGTGAATGGGTTAACGCAAAACCACGGTGCTTGAGTTTGGTATTCTTCAGCATACTTGGCAAAATTTAAATCGTATTTCGGGTCTCCTTTAAACTCTTCAGGAGCTCCCTCTCCTAAACAAACACTGCACAATTCACAAACAAGGTTATCATCAGCACTGATTTTGTTTGTGTGCGTGCCTTTGGCATTCTCAGCTTCAGCAAGTTTTTGCTTCTCTGCCATTGATTTTCTATTATAATTCGATTCCCTTTCCATGATTGCATTTGCCGTTCTATTATTATCTTCCTCAATTCTTTGCATTATGTTGTTTTCAAAAGCTTCAGACAGCATGTCTCTTCCAGGCATATTGTGGAAAAAAACATCTGGTATCAAATCAGAAAGATTGAAATTGATTCTCACAAAATCGGGAATGGCACCGTGTGCATATAATGAGCTACGCCTAGTGGGTCTGGGAGGTTGACGTTGATTGTGGGCACCACGACCCCTACCTCTATTCTGCCTTCCAACACCAGTACCTGGTCGTACACCGTCGTTCTCTAAAACGTGAAAATGCATACTATGTGAACCTCCTGGTGGTATTTGAATTCGACGTGTTAAAGTTTGTCGATGTGGAGGGGGAAGCCGACTGCCGCGTGAGCTACGAGCGACAGGAACGCGCCCAACTCGCCTTCTGACATTACGTGGCGGTAAAGATTGATCTTCCTGAGATCGCTGTAGTGAATGTTGGCTTTGTGTCAAGTTGGGATCGGGCTGGTACTCAATATACCCCGATGGCGTATCGATATGCGTGGTCGGTAAATGATCGGTCGACAACAGAGAATCTGGTTCACCAGGTAAACTCAAATCAAAGTAGTTGTCCGGAAGTGCATTTGAACTACTAGCACGGTTTGCCCTACGCGCCGTATCGTTGTATGGTCTGTTTGTATCGAAGTGGTCGTGTCTTGAATTTGGTGTGGTATTGATGGATATAATCTCTATTTCGTCATCGCTGTCATTCTCGTCTTCTCGAAACCTTACTCGTCGCTCTGGGTGAACATGTCCTTGCCCTGAGGGAGACCTTGCTGGAGATTGTATAATTCCAGTAGGCTCGTCACCCCCAAATCTCACGCGTGGTGGTGGTTGCGAACGCCGCGTTTGATTGCTATGTTGACTATTTTGTTCGTTGGTTAGATCTATAACAGAGTCGTCATCGTCCGATAAATTTATGACCTCCGGTTCTCGACCGCTTTCTCTTCTCCTTTTCCTCCTAAAGTCTCCAGATGTAGCTGACATGTTATTACTCATAAAATCAGCGTTCAAATGGGAATATGTGTGGAATGATTGGTGTTGCCTTCAAAGCTTGCAATACCAATGAACTTTTTATGCGCTCAAAAACCCAAAACAAAGACTTGATTTTCTTTTTTTCCGCCCTTCTCTCTTCCTTATCAAAAATATACGCACGTGATTGAATTTATTGTACCTATACAAAGGTACAAGTCTATCTATAATTAATTACTAATACAAATACATACATGCCCTTTTATGATTGTTACTTGGATGGAGTACTCAAGCTTAAATTCAAACTCTGACCAAGCAACTTCATTTGATCGAAAATTGCTTCTTTATTCAAAATCACCTCGTCCTTATCATCATCAGGTTTGACATTGATGCCTAAATTGGTTCTGAATTTCTTCTTAGACAAATTTGAAGGAACAAACAATCCCCCAATAACGTTCATATTGTCCTTGCATAATCCAGTAAACTTCCTTACTGAGAATATAATGGCATCTCCGAATTTCTTCTCCAAGTCTTCATAAAAAGCTTGAACAAAATCACGTTTGGATGAAATGTCATCTGGGTATGAGGTCAAGGGTTCAATCAAATTTTTGAACGCATTTGTCGGTAAAATTCCCGACGAAGTGATGAGATTTTGCGCCTTCACCTCCAAAACGAAATCATAATCCTTCAATGCAGGAGTGAACAATGAATCCAAAAAGCTTTCATTAATTCCATTGTAATTTAACAAGGTCGTTGCTGCTCTTGCAAGCGCGGTTAGCCTAGCAGCAATGGGTAAAGTGAGATTGCTTGACCACAAAATTCCGGATGGGTCATCCTTTGAACCGACAAAAAACTGGGTTTTGATCCCTGTAGGGTCTGCCTCTCTAATCTTGTTGAAATTTTGCTCAATGACCCTATATGCTTGGATCGTCAACTTGTCACTTAACGTGGAGTCAGTTTCTGCGGTGCTCTTAACAGCATCCAATATAAGGGGTGTATCTCTCCAATTCCAATTGGCCAAAAAAAAGAGTACTTGCAAAAACCCGTTTTCCACCGAGTTAGGGACGGAATATGGCGCTGGATCAACAAATGGTTTCAAAGCAATCAACTCAACCAACTCCTCGTCGAAATGCTTCAAAAGTAGCTGAGAGTCTAGCCATAATTTTACCAATCTTACCGTGGGTGAGTAATACGGGAAATGTTGCGCCAATTGACTAATCGTTCTTGTATGCTTCAACGACGTTTGATACTTTTGATTGAACTTCACGTAGACATCCTGTGCAATTGACTTTTGTTTATCGGCATTACTTACAGCTCTGAGGTACAACACTTCGTCTCGTTCAGTAAGCACCCTAAGTCTAAAACCAAATCCCTCTGGAGTCAATATATTCAACACGCAAACATCCTGGTTAAAAGGGATTGAATCATCCAGCGTAATGAATGTGTTGTACTCGGTGTTTTTCAACATTTCAGACATTTTCAATAAAAGCGCGGTTTTGGTCTTTTCTAAGGCTTTTAACTCATCAGGCCATTTGGATGAGATTTCAAACTGAATCACACAATCATTCCAATAATCTGGATTGGAAACTGCAAACGGAACAGGTTGTAGCAATGATGTGTATCTCAATGATGAAGAGGCAGGTAAAACCGACTTGATACTCAAAGGTAATTCCAAATTAATCAATGATTTGGCCAAGTTATCAAAAGAGTTGCGCAAAATGGTAAAACTGGATAATGAATGTGAGACTTGATTTGATGTCGTTGATAGCAACGAAAGCGGAAGTCTTTTTTCATACAAGCCACATTCAGTATGTATCGATTGAGCAACCTCAGCCAGTATATGCAAACCCAACGCGTACTTGATAATTGAAATCACTATGGGCTCCCTATCAACGATATTCCAAACAACACAGTGCTGAACTGACCCATCTTTAAAGCGCCTTAAAGAAGCCTTTGCGCCCCAGAATGATCTGAATGCAGCTCCCTTTTCTTTCTCTTCATTATCAGGACCTTTAGTCACCACCTTGTCACATTCATCCGGATTTAATAATAAGCCAACAGCCCAATTATTGGACAGGTTTGTGGGCTTCCTTTTGTGAATGGAGAAATGGATTTTGGTATTCTCTTTCCAAACACTTACGAGCTTCACTCTATCACCTAAAGCTCGTTTTATGAGGCTATAGACCTTGCTCTTCATATAATTGTCAAAAGTTATAAACCTTATCTTTTCCATCGGTCCAAAACTTTCTATCGAGCTTTCATCAATGCTCAAGGACAACAAAATGTCAAACTTGAGGTACTCAAGATTTGATTTTTGAAGCAAGATCGGATCAAACCTATCCTTAACCACGTCGTTCAATAAATCCAATGTTTGTGTTGCTTTGATTCTGAGCTCTTCGTATGAAGCAATCGTCATTTTCCACAAGACATTTATCTTGGTGTTTTTGTCAAAAATGGTGGGTACATTGAATCCATCTGCCTTGTACTTGGCTGGAATAAGTTCACCTATCTCTGATGAAAAGGACAAGTACCCCGAGTTGAGATCCATGGTGGCCAAGTATTTGATGGCACCTTTGAATAGTTGATAGGACGAAAAACCAGACAATAAGATCTTATTTCCATTCATACCTCCACCATGAAGTAATGCACTTAATAAAATCGCAAATTCGAAGTGTCCAAAACCTCCACCACCGAAAGTCGAGCTGAATCCCCTTTGTTGTAACCACAATCTCCCCAATATACAAGCTTCTCTGAATGATTCGGTAGATTTCTTCATGGAGTACAAAAATTTGAGATAGTAGTCATACGATGATTGCATCAAGATACTCGAGTTATACAATGGAGTTGGTGGTAACTCTTCACTTTCGGATTGGATTCTGATACAATTTTTATCTGGAAGTAGCTTTTTCGACTCAAAAATGTTGAATGGAAATGCTGGAATCAAGTTGATTTTGTACTTTGTTTTGAAAAAGACAAGATCATCAGGATTCTCAGTTTGAATACTTTCGATATGCAAAATAGGACACAATACATCATCGTTGAAATATGTGTAGGTGATCTTGACGGGTAGATTATTTTTCTTTGTCAACGGTATCAAATGGTCTGCCAAATAGGCCAAGTAAAATGCTCGCTTGTGCAATCCTCGGTAGTTCAAATAATCCTTTGGTTGGAATATAGAACTTGGCATCGTCAAAGCAATATCAATCGACAGGCCATGGCTGATACCAGTTTTCAACCCATACGAACCAATCAACGATAAATCCTCTGGTTGCCCATAGGAAAAAGTGTACTTGATGTTTGTAGGTTTTGGATCAGGGAAAGGAATAGCCACCTTCTTGTGGTTGAATAGCCCTTCCGCCTCTTGTAAAGATAAATTTTCAGCAGGTGGGATCTCTTTTATCAAATCGTGTAACCTGTGCAATACTTTGTCCATCACCTCTTCATGACTTTTCTTGACCTTCACCTCTTTCATAAGTTCGTCTATTTGAAGTTTGAAAATGTTGGATTTGAAGAGTTCGGCAGTCTCGCGAGCTAGTTGTATATCCTGTGCTGTAAGTTGCGATTTTTGTTTCCTCGAGGTATCTGCATGGGGTTTATCTTCGTCGACAATATCTTCTTCGCTACTGATTCCCTCTTCCTGACCCTCCTCTTCTTCTTTGACAAGGCTCGATTGGGACTCCTCCTCGACAAGTTGGCCATTGTGGTTGTGGTCATTTTTGATATTTAATTGAATGCCTTTTGACCCTGAAGTATGGTCAGTAGGGTCAACCTTGGCATATTTGATCTTTGATCCTTCAACATTGTCTGACTTCCTCTTGGCCATCACAGAAATGACAAATGGTTTTGATACTGAGGACACGTGTGATAGTTTGAGGGTGGTGTTTACCTTTGAAAAGATTACTTCTACACCGTCTTTCAAAAGGAAACTTTTTTTTTTTTTTTCATCTTCATTCTCTTCTCTTCGCTTCTCTCTTGTACTTTTTCTGAGGTAAAACAAACAGATTAGAGTGAAAAAGATTTGAAAGATAGTTGAAATGTAGATGTAGAACACAGCACACATGAACCGGTCCAACGAAGCTCAATAGAAAGGTCTCTTTCTCGTACTAGCTACCAAGGGAGATATATGGACACAGTCAATGCAAAACCTTGAGTTGCATTAGCAAAATTGATCTGCACACTACTTAACTTTACAGACGCTACCAACAACCCTGAAACTTTTATACGACAAAACAGATTTGTCGTATTTCACGAGCTGTACATCCCCACTCCTCAATTGAGCACTCACTTCAGTTTCTATATAGTTTCACACCATTCAGCGCAATCTTATTCACCCCTTTAAATATTCATAACCACTATATACACCACACATCCACGTTTATCAAATGTACTATTCAGATGAGCTTAACTTGCCAAAGACAGATTCGTCAAGATGGAGACTAAGAACAGATCCAGTTGGAAGGGAAACGTGGCATTACGTATCAGAAGAGGAAAAAACACACGAGACACAATCGTCATATGTTCAATGGCTTTTGAAATCACCAGATTTTGTACCCCCAGCAGCCACCAGGGTTGAATCTCCATCTGAAGCATTGGAAAAGGGTGCAGATTTTCTTAAACTCTTGCAATTGGAAAATGGAATTTTCCCTTGCCAATACAAAGGGCCCATGTTTATGACAATAGGATATGTTGCTGCCAATTATTTCAGTGGTAATCCAATTCCTGAACCATTCAGGGTGGAGATGATAAGGTACATTGTCAATACAGCTAACCCTGTGGATGGAGGTTGGGGGTTGCATTCGGTCGATAAATCTACTTGCTTCGGAACAACTATGAATTATTTGTGTCTTCGTTTGTTGGGATTGGGTCCGGATCATCCTGTTTTGGTTAAGGCGAGGAAAACTTTACATCGTTTGGGAGGTGCAATAAGGAATCCACACTGGGGCAAGGCATGGTTGGCAGTATTGAATTTGTATGATTGGGAGGGTGTCAACCCTGCCCCACCTGAGCTATGGACCCTACCTTATAGTATGCCAATTCATCCTGGAAGATGGTGGGTACACACTAGGGCAATATACTTACCATTGGGTTATTTACTGGCAAATAAAGTGACATGTAAACTAGACCCAACTTTGGAAGAGCTAAGAAATGAAATTTACTTACCCAATCAATTACCGTACGAGTCAATCGATTTCAGTGCAAACAGAAATAATGTTTGTGGTGTTGACTTGTATTATCCACATACAAAAATTCTTGACTGTGCTAATTATGTTTTGAGCAAGTGGGAGAAAATCCGTCCCAGTTGGTTGTTGAATTGGGTAAACAAAAAGGTTTACGACTTGATTGAGAAGGAGTATCAAAATACGGATTATTTGTGTATTGCTCCGGTAAGCTTCTCAATGAACATGGTGGTCACTTTCCATAGGGAGGGTCCACATTCTAAAAACTTTTTAGGATTGCAAAATAGAATGAATGACGTATTATTCCATGGGCCACAAGGTATGACAGTGATGGGTACAAATGGGGTCCAAGTTTGGGATGCAGCATTTATGGTTCAATACTTTTTTATGAGTGGGTTGGTTGATGACGAAAAATACCATGAAATGATTAGAAGATCCTATCTTTTCTTGGTGAGATCTCAATTTACTGATAATTGCGTTGAAGGTAGTTTCAGGGATAGAAGAAAAGGTGCTTGGCCATTCAGCACTAAAGACCAAGGATACACAGTTAGTGATTGTACTGCTGAAGCGATGAAGGCGATAATAATGGTGCGAAATGATGAAAGGTTCAAGGATATTAAGGACGTGATTGAGGATGAGAAACTTTACGATGCAATTGAAGTCTTGTTGCAGATCCAAAATGTTGGAGATTGGGAATACGGATCCTTTTCTACATACGAGGGAATCAAATCTACAGTATTGTTGGAGAAATTGAACCCTGCTGAAGTATTCAACAACATCATGGTTGAATACCCGTATGTTGAATGCACGGACTCGTCAGTGTTGGGCCTCACATATTTCCACAAACACTATCCACAATATAAGCCAAAAGTTATCCAAAGTGCCATTGATAGCGCAATAGAGTATATAAGGGCAGCACAAAGCAAAGTGGATGGATCGTGGTATGGTTGCTGGGGGATTTGCTACACTTATGCATCCATGTTTGCCCTTGAAGCCTTCAACAGTGTGGGATTGAACTATTCAAATTCAGAATCCGTCAAAAGAGGATGCGACTTTCTCATATCAAAGCAATTGAAAGATGGTGGGTGGTCCGAATCAATGAAATCGTGCGAAACCCATACTTATGTCAATGGTGAGAAATCACTAGTTGTGCAAACAGCATGGGCATTGATTGGGTTAATCTTGGCTGACTATCCCGATGATGAGCCTATTTGGAAGGGAATCCAATTGCTTATGGACCGTCAGTTGCCAACAGGTGAATGGTCATTTGAAGATGTTGAAGGTGTGTTTAATCACAGTTGTGCGATAGAGTACCCTTCATACAGATTCCTATTTCCAATCAAGGCGTTAGGATTGTACGTGAAGAGAAAGTCGAGTAAAGAATAGACAACTGAGTAGCAGCTTTTTTGCAAAGTATGGTCAAGTATCCCAAAAGTATTTGTTTTTACTTTGTGGTGAACCGACGCTACCACTTTCGTATGTACCTTTGACGAATCATCTTTCAATGAATGTAAATTACTAATCTAATCGCTACCGGTTGCATACATCTCTAATCAACATCAGTACACGGTTGACCAAACAGACAACTTATAGGCTTTGGTAACGATAACTACTGAAACTTTCATGAACACAAAGTCATTCAGTGCTATTTTTACCGTACTACATGCGTTTATCATTGGTGTTTTGGTTGTGACGTTTTTTGAAACAGTGAAACAAGATGAATCCGTAATTGATGGACCAGCAAGGGTTTTTGGATGCATAACAGTTGGTGCAATAGCTGCGTTGTTAGCTTACATGACAAGGTTTATTTATGAGTTGATTGTGTTGCAACAGTCACACTATAGGTTGGTGTTGACACTCAATGGCCAATCTTCGTATGAGACGTTCTATCAGCCTATACTCGAAGAAGTTGTTAAAATTGCCGTAGTTACATTGTTCCAACAAACCAAATGTCACCGGGCTCTAAATCCATTCGAAATGTCCTTGATGTGGTGCGGATTCATTCTTCCTTCTATGGCAATATATTCTTATAATCCTCGTGGATACGCTCAAAAGTATGCAAAATTTTTAGCCTATTATCAATCTTGGCTCATTCAATTGCGTGGTGAAGTTCCCAGATCGTCAGAAGAAACACGTCGCTTTTCCAAGGTATGGAGCAATTTGGTCTGTGAGAATATGGAGCTGCAAATGCATGACAAAGAACGTCGCCGGTCAACAATTTCTTCAGACAAATCACACCGTAGTGGCCACCGACTAAACGCAAAGATAAGTTCGAAAATGCTTCCGAATGAGTTCAATTTGAGAGATGGTGTGGGTAGGAATAATTCGAGCTCAACAGCCGCACATGGCATCGATATCCCTTGTCCTGTTGAAGAAGGGATTGTTTCTGGTGATGAATTACACTCCAAAACAATTCAAAGAATGTATTCCGTTTCGCCGAAAGACACTTACCATTTGATCCAGGCTGTCGCAATAGCTACTTTTGGTGATGATGAAGAGGACGATGAACGGGAAGAGCCGACTGTATGCACTGACGAAACGGGTGCATGCCCCAACTCATCAAGATTTCTTCCGGAAGTTGAGGAGGTTTTTGAAAACATCGACGACTCATTTGACGAAGGGCAGAGTTTAGTTGAGGAAAATCATGCACATTATAAACAACCCATGTTGGGCGCGCACTTCCAGAGTGCAGTGCTTGATTGTTGTGTGCCGAACAACTCAAATGGCAGAGGGGTACCTGAGACTTCATTCGATACGCCAAGGCGCCTTTATGAAGTAAGTCTGAAGCATGATGCTATTCTGTTTAAACAAAGAACGTTAAAATTTATCAACTGGTGGTCTTGGTTGTGCACCGTGTTACTACCCATAGGTGAAACCGCCCCCCGTTTAAGAAGTTCCACCTCGTCATATCTTACACCCTTAATTTCCAACACTCAGTTTGTGGATGAAAGGTTCCCATTACTCAAACTGAAGCTTTCAAACTATAATATGAATGGGGGTAGAGTACAAGAAGATGAATATGAACGAGAGCAATATATGATTAAAGACAAGTCTGTTGCTAGAGCTTACGACTTTAAAGTTTTCTTGTCGTATTATTTTGATATATCATTGAGTCCGCTTGCGCAGCCATTTGCGCTCGATAAATGGTTTATGAAATACGGCCAGTTACTTACAGATACCAGTTTCATTTGGATTTTTCTAGACGAGTTAAATTCAATGGTATGGCAAATGTTTGTTTTTCAAATGATTGCTCTTTTCTTGAACGATCTTCTGTTTGGCAATATGGCCGCTTTCGTTTTGCCCGTCGTGATTATCAAGCTATTTCGAATGAATTATTTACGAAGTTATGAGAAGAGATTTGATTTTAGGATCATCATCACCACTGAGTTCATCACATGCACGGTTCTATATTGCGGCCTGCTTTTGTATATAATAAATAAATAACTCTGTGTAAAGTCTATATGATCTCAATTTCCGTATAATTTAATCTTGTCTAAGAACTTTGGGTTTGTGTAAGAAAAGTCCTTCATATGGAAAGTATCCTTCAAGATCAGGGAATTTTGCTGTGGCGTGAATGTCATTTCCGTGAACTCATCATCAAAATTTTCCGCAAGAACCGGATCGGTGATGATGGGTAATATTGGAGGCAATATAGCATTTGCAACATTATCATCAAGATCGATTTTCTCCAATGAACTCCAATCAATGTGTCTAAAGAAATTGTGCTTCTTGTACTTTTCCCATTCGCCATCCACATCAAATCTCTTTTCAGGATCGACCTGTAGCATTTTCCTTAAAAAGTCCTTTGCATCGTTGCTCAAATAGAATGGAAACTTCAAAGTCTTTTTGGAGTTTTTAATTTTTTTCAACACCTTATCAGGATCCAGCCCTGTAAACGGAGGAGCTCCCGTCAAAAGGTCATAGGCTACACAGCCTAAGCTCCACCAATCAACGCCATAATCATACTCTTCTCCCATGATGACTTCTGGAGCCATATATTGAATTGTTCCAGTAATTGAGTTTAGCTTATCTTCATCTGATGCAACTTTGCTGAGACCAAAATCAGTCAATACTAAATGACCTTGCGAATTAAGCATGCAATTTTCTGGTTTCAAGTCACGGTAGATTACTTTCACTTTTGTATGCAAGTAGTGAAGTGCCAAACTGCATTGGGCTAAGTAATATGCAGCATTTTTCTCACTCATAAACTTCTCCATTGACAAATGGTGAAACAACTCACCTCCTTGCAAGTATTCTAATATGAGATACAATTTGTTATTGTCCTGAAAGGCGTAATAAAGCTTGACAATATTTGGATGGTGAACTATTCCCAAAATTTGCTTTTCATTCAAAGTTCTTTGGTAATTTTTAGTGTGAATTTTTGGTCCGTCATCCTCGGATCCTTCGTCATTTTCATCTCGGTTTATAATCATTGAGGCTTTCAAAAGTTGTTTTTGAGCAAACAAGTGACCCGTCCTCAAGTCCCTGACAAGAAGTACCTTACCATAGCTGCCTTTTCCCAACACCTTGATGGGCTCAAAGTCGGATAATTTCGGCTTGTACGCAGAGTTTCTTTCATTATTGATAGCAATGGTTGGATCAATATCATTTGTGAAGCTAGTAGAGACATAATCCTCTTGAATTTTCACCTCATAGGAAGACACTATCGACGATCTTCGACGTGGTCTGCCAGGCACCGGCAAGTTTTGAGTTTGATTAGCACTACGACGTTTGATGTGTATCGGGGTTGCTCTGGTGGAAAAGGCGTCGTCTATAGTATCGGTTGCCTCGAACGAGTCAAGAACATCCTCTTTTTGAACCAGAAAGGGGGCAGTTTCGTCTATCAATTTGTAATTCAACGACAGTGAATTATCGATGTCATGAGCTGGAGGTTCATTTTCAAACGTCAAGTGTTTCATTGCGTTCAGCAACTGGGATGCACACCCGTCCATGTCAAATATGTCAGCCATAACTTGGGTTTATATCATTGAGGAACTCCACTTTTTATTTAAGGCCGACAACTTTCTTTCTTTTCAATCCGGTGTAAAAAATCGTGTCTAATCCCATGTGGTCCTTTGTTGCACAAAATTTGCGAGGGAATTTAGCAAAAAAGAACAGTACGCTACCAAAGCATACGACGCTACCACAAGAAAATTTTTTCACACACACTCTTCTCTCTCTCTCTCTCTCTTTCTTGAGAATATAAATAGAGGAAAGAATATCTCATCAGCTAGAATTTTCTCATCTCATCTTGCAATTTTTTTATTTTTCACATTATCAAAACATATCACTTTATTCAAGAATCAATTTACTGCTTGTTGCAAAGATCCTTCTAAAGGTTGAGGTTATTTGTATATATGGATATAACGTACCCGCATACCCAAATGTATTTCAACCTAGAAGGCGACTTTTCAATCAGGTTTTCCAGTACACCTCCAATTTTTTGGGATATTGTTTACATGATGAAATTTTGTTCACTTCTTTCCTAGTCTGATTCTCGACTATGATTCCAGACAACGTCAATTACTTGCTGCTTTTCAAATTGCGCTATTCCTTTTTTGGGATGTGCTTGAATTGCGTGCTTATACTTGCCAGTATCTACATTTCTGATAAACAATTCCAAATAAGAGGTTACTTTTGTGGAAAACCATGTGTCGTGTGATGTGATGTGATTGTTGATGATTGGTTTTTAATTGCAAGGTCGGAACTAGTGTCCACTTTGTAATGATGCTAAACAAATTGAAAAAGATGAAAAGGAGAAAAGTTTTACACAGGTGTTTATGCATTGAACACTGCAATGCTTTTTGCATTAGATGAAGTTTCCAGATATTAAGGTGATGAAAACTGTACCAAAACATTCGCAGTTTCCTCGGTAGCATACGACACGAACCTAATTCTTGTATGTCAGTGACCGTCGAAATGACCTTCCTTTGGATGTCTGATTAATTATCTGGAACTTCGCGAATTGCGAAGGCATTGTAAGTTGATACCAATGAGGTGGCTTTCTCTGAATTCGTTTGATTTGTTTGGCTAAAACGATCTATAGGTTTATAGTGTTTTTACTCTATATACAAACTATTTTCTGTGCCTCCGCAACCGACACACCAATGTAGATTTTTATTAGAATCAAGTTGAAGCACGTGCTCATAAAGCAGAGGATAGAAGAAATAGGTATTAGAGAGCACAACAAAGAGATCATCATCTACAACCTGGTCCATTCTCAACACCGAGCTTCCCTAGGAATGTAAAACAAAAGATGTCAAATCATGAAAACATAAAAAAACAAAACTGACAAAGTTACCAGCAGCAACAAAACTGCATCAGCAAACATCACCAAGTACCGCAACCTTCCTCACACATGAGATCGTCTTCATAGACTTTCAACACACCGACATATTTTCATCATTACTCTCAACAACCTTCAAACTCTTGTCCCCTCTTCCGCCAACTGCAATAATCCGTCATTGGCTGTGGACACTAGCTGGCCAGACTAGCACCCATCACACAACTCGGAACAAAGCAGCTGCTTCTAATCGAGGTTCAAAATTTTCATAGCTGTTTCTGAAACAAAGTAATATCTTGCTTGACATGATCTTTTTGACACAATTGAATTTCAAATGGCAGAAGTGCTCTATTCTAAGTTTCTTTATAGTGGAATCAGTGATGGTTCTCTTGTTCACGAATGGAGCATGCAATAACATTTCAAAAATCACACCCAAGAAAGAGGAATTCTTTGACGACAATTCCGAGAATCGCGTGCTGATTAAAGCACCGTCAAAGTAGTTGTCCAAGTTGTAACCAATCCATCTTCTTGGCATATCATAAAAGTCAAGTTGTGATTTTTACTCCAAAACACTGCCATTGCCACTGTCATTGCCACTGTCATATTTGTCCATGCATCATTAAGCAGACTGGGGTCGGTTCACACGTTGAAAAATCTTGGGACGTTCCTCATCACCATCTAGCTCTGGACTATCCAATGTGATGCAAGATTTGTACCTCCTTAAACCGGTCCCGTCTTCAGCCTCTGTGCTAGGGTTTTGTTTCTTCATAGCTGACCTAAGTCCCTCAGTACTCTTCATCTTGGGGCGCTTTTTCAACTTCAACTTCTTCAAAATCCGTTTAACAAAAGCAAATGGTTTCCTGTGCTTTCGTTCCACGCGCACAACATCCGTGGGCTGTTTATCGTGTAAAATTAACCCTTCTAGATCAGTAATCTCCTTCTCTGTCTCGATTCTCTTGTGTAATTCGTTGACAAATCTCACTTTTCTTTTTGCCAAAACTCGTTTCTCATCAACAATTGCAGATGTACCAGACTCCAAATATTGAAGTGGTTGCACCTCTGGAACAGGAATGACTCTAACTCCATCGGGAACAAGCTTTACATTCAGGGGGAATGGTTACACTGGGTTCATTTTCGGTTTCAATATGCTCCAGGGAGCTTTCACTTGATTGAGGTTGGCTTTTGTCATTTTGGTATGCCAGATTTTCATGAGCCCAGGATGTGATTTCTAAATTGTTAGCAACAACTTGGCGTTCATTGAGACTACTATTTGTCTTATTGTCAATTTCTGGGGGGAAGAATGTTAGTGAAGAAGAACAAGTGAGATGTAGTTTGTGGATCTTGTAATTTGAAGTTGGATTTCTCTATGGTGTATCAAATTTCAGCATATCAGAGTTTTTGCAACAGTGTAGTGAAATGCAAGAGGAGAGATAATTAGGCATATAAGAAGGGAAAGTTGTAGATTGAAGTGTATATGCTTGCGAGCAGAAATGCATCAGATGTAAATTGTTAGCCTTGGTGCTATTTTGACGCATATGTGTGCTGTTATATCACTCTATTACACCAACTATGTGTGTCTCCAGCGTGTTATAGTAAATTATGCGTGTGTGGTTTGTGTTTGTACCGAGGAGAGAAACTAAATTTTTGCACCCAGATAAGAAAATTGTACATTTATGCACGCCCACATTAATGAAGGAGAAATCTTAACTGCGAATCTTCAGTATACGATCCATTACTCTTTCAAATCGATGTTGGATGGTTAAGAGTCTTTCAAGAGCTTTGGTATCTTGTGAAATCTTTGTGGTGTGAAAAAATTTAAGAATCCTCTTTCCTATGTGAGGGTTTTTGTCAACATCTTTTGGAAAATGGTTTAAAATTTTGCTAACAGATTGAGAGCACTTTCGATTCAGTGAATGCTATTCAACTACGAAGCTCAAATTGAAGTTTATAAATTGTTTGCCTTTTGATTATACCTTCGAAGAGACTCCTATCGACGCTAATTAAGTCCATTCAATCAAATTTTGCCCTTGACATCGGGTTCAGTCAATGGCCATTGATAAGTACCAGGAGTATCAAATACATATCCATGATTCAACAAGAATTGCCTCAATGACTTTGGTCCTTTGGAACCGTATGGATATATGTCCAACTTCAAATTCTTGTCACCTTCAATAGCTTCTAATAACGGCGTGAATAATTTCCAAGAGACATCCAATTCATCATCTCTAACAAAATTTGCATGGTTTCCTTGGAAAACATCCCTAAGTAAAGACTCATAAGCTTCCGGAATCCAGAAATCTTTGGAGTAACGTTTCGAATAAGTCAAGTCCAAATCAGTCAAGGAAGTTTGAGTTGATACCCCAGGGATCTTTGAGTTGATCTTCAAGTAAATTGCTTCATCAGGTTGGATTCTGATAACCAATTCGTTTCTCAGGATATCTTTGAACATTCCTTTAGCAACAGGTTTGAATTGAATTCTCACTTCAACTTTACCTTCATCCAAAGCTTTACCAGCCCTCAAAACCATTGGTACACCATCCCATCTTTCATTGTGAATATTGACTGAAAATGCACAATAAGTGACACATTTGGAATCTTTAGAAACGGTATCATCATCAACATAAGCTGGTTTTTTACCATCTTCAGACTTTCCGTATTGACCAAGAATGATATCTTCGGTGCTTATAGCATCAAATGCTTTCAAAACTTTAACTTTTTCGTCTCTAACAGCTTCAGGGTCAAATGAGACTGGTCTTTCCATAGTCAACAAAGTTAAAACTTGCAATAAATGATTTTGCATAACATCTCTAATGATACCAATGTTATCAAAGTAACCACCTCTTCCCTCAGTTCCAAATGGTTCCTTAAAACTAATTTGTATTGATGAAATGAAATTTTTATTCCAAACACCACTAAAAATCTCGTTACCAAATCTTAAAACCAACAAGTTTTTAACCATTTCTTTACCTAAGTAATGATCAATTCTATAAATTTCATCTTCAGAGAATAATGGGGCAATTGACTTTTGAAGTTCTCTTGCCGACTCCAAATCATGACCAAATGGCTTTTCAATGACAACTCTGATAATTCCATGCTCTGCATAAACATTCTTCTTGATTTGTTCACAAACTTCAGTAAATTGAGAAGGTGGCAAAGCCAAATAGAATAACCTTTGTGGTTTATCTATGCCGTGTTGTTTTTCATACTGTTGGCACCTTTCTTCCAATTTCTTGTAACCTTCATCAGTATCATATTGGCCCCTAACATACGAAGTGAGTTTCAAGAAATCCTTCTTTGTTTGCTCATCACCACCTTTGAAATGTTGAGAAATCTTTGCATGAAACTTGTCTTCCAGCAAATCGGATCTAGCATAACCAATGATTTGGACATCATGACTCATTTGCTTTTCTCTAAACAATCCAAATAAAGCAGGGAAAGTCTTCTTAGCAGCCAAGTCACCACTGGCTCCAAAGACGACAATAGTAAAGTGTTTTCCAAAAGCAGTCATTGTATTGAGAGGGGATGGCGATATGTGTAATTGATCTCTAATAGGTATAAGTCAGTTGTGTCTGTATTCTTGTAAACTAGACAATCGATTGTGTACGATAGATGAGTGATTCTTCCTGAGTATCCAATTGAGTGAAAATGCTTTGGAATTGGAAAGAAAGAAAGAAAGTAATGGGATATATCTATTTAATTTTATAGTTGGAAAAGCAATCAATTTCAATTCTTTTATTTTTTTTTTTTTTTTCAAGGGAGAAAAATGAGAAATTGTCATCTTCTATTGTTGTTGTTGTTGTTGAACTTTTTGTGTTGCAATTTGAATCATTTTAATTTATTTATCCGGGAGGTGTATCGATGACAAATTAAAAAAAAAAAATAGCTATATATCCACATTAGCCGAAGAAAACCCAGCCCGTATACAACATAGTACCAGTTGCTTAACTGATACGATGACTCTAGAGTCTTGCACTGTACGTAATTATTATGAGGTTACTTTAGCATGAGTGGGAGAGATTTCTTTGGACATTGCAGTATAATCAGCGGAGATATTTTAAATCTAGAATTAGTGATATCTGGCTAATACACTTTCTCTCAATGGCATGATCACATCCCTAATAAGGGTCGTTAATGGACGAGAATGTCGAGCATGCTCGTAAGCGGAATATCACAACCAGCAATGACTTAAGTAGGAGTAGTTGAGCTCTGCATTGTGCAAATGTTACATCGAAGAGCAAAATTACATCACAGGCTGGAATTATAAGCTCAACAAAAATAAAACTTATTGCAGCACAGTTTTTCTTTGCAAGAGTACTTCACAAAACGGAACCAAACTAACAATATCAATGATTTGTAATAGATTACTTATTGCTCATCTTAGCAATCCTAGAAGCTCTTATAGACTTTGCATCACTGAAAAGTCTCTTACCTATTTCCTTTAGCAACATTCCTTATCGGAAATGATGGTTAATCACGTGAAAACCCAACTGTTTTTTTTTGTTTTTTTTCTCTTATTGTTCGCATTTCGTTCGTCCGAGGCCGCTTTCTCTCTTTTTCTTTCAGTTTGTCCGAAATACGGGGAAAGGAAATACACACACATACACTTAGTCAAATGGATCAATGGAACAACAATAACTTATTCCCCACTTTGCAAGAAAAACCGTTATCTCGCACGAAAGGGTCAAAGGGGCATATCTTTATGGTCGAGTGTCGAGTAAGGTTCTACAGATCAAGTTAAAAGCTGTAAGATAAGTGAAACAGTTTGTCGAAAATGATTGCAAAAGAGATATTTTAGATCTATCTATCAATCAATTTGTCTATCCATCTATACTTTATATACCATCTATATGCCCTCATTTTGCATATTTCGATCTTGCTCTTAATTTTGGTCCATTCAAATAAAATAATACTGGTATAGCGACCATTCCCGCACCAATGAATCCCAAAACACTAGAACCCCAAGCCACAGGAAACTTGTCAATTTTCAAATTATTAAACAACGCAGCGCCAAAAATTGGAAACACCGAGGCAATAGTCGATCTCACTAAATCATTTGACGCAAATACCGATGCAAGATACTCATGCTTGAATGATGCGCCCATATAATTGAACAATGTTTGAAACATTAAAAACACACCTGAAGTTGTCGTTGCAACTCCAAAAAGCGGACCAATCCAATGGGTATATGTCGTTGCCGACCAACCAAATATAAATAATCCTGCAGCAAATAAACATCCACCAACAATAGCAATGGGGATGAACACTTCGGGGTATACTGGTTGATTATTCAAAATTGGTTTAGTAAATTGATAATGCACAACCGGTAAGTATATCGATACCGCGATCAAAACCCCAATTATAATAGCCAAATATGAGACTCCCATTTCAATAATGGTGAACCCACGAACTTCAATAAAATAAATGGGAAATACCTCGAAAAACAAGTAAAGCACACTGTAAACCATGGCAATATAAATATCAATCAACAATACAACTGGCTCCAATATAGTAACTTCTATAGGACGCCAAAGCGCCTCGACCAAAATTTGATGCATCGTTCTCTCTTCATTCTCCAATAACCCCAAGGTAGTAATTCGATCATTACCAGTCCTAGCTCTCAATCTTTTCGCCTTCCTAGCAAGCAATGTAGGCGCATAGGTCTCAGGTAAGAAGAAAGTCAACAATGCCAATGAGAACCCAGATATGATCAATATAAACCAAAAACACCATCTCCAGCCAGCTTTAACTGACAATATAGCGCCAAAGAATGGACCCAAACTTGGCCCGCAAACAGCACCTATACTCCATAATGCCAACGACAAGGGCAAGTTCCAAAATTTCGTCACTTCCCCTACACTAGCACCACCAGTGGCCAAACACGGACTAGCGAAAAATCCACCAAGGAATCTAAGGATACAAAACCCAGCAATGTTGTCAACTAAAGCAGTAGGGATTTGTAATATGACAAATACAAGTAAAGTCAATGCATATATTGATGATCTACCCACTGCGGCATTTTCCGAGATTGGTGACCATAAGATGGGACCAATACCATAACCAAGAACAAATGTAAAGACACCCAATGTACCCACAACTTTCCCCACTGACAAATCATGTTGAAGTTGTTCCATACCTGGAGTATATACCGCCGATGCCATGTATACTGATGTAGTTAAGAATGCCACTTCAAATATGAAGAACCCCTTCTTGAAAAGTGTCCAATTACGAGGATCTTCTGGGTCATCGTCACCATCCCATTCAACAAATATGTAATTGCTGTTGCTGTACTTGTCATGGGGAACCACTGTCTTTTCACTTAGACTAGAATCAGATGAATCCGATGCAGCATTCATCTCCATCTCATCGCCAGATGGATCTTGTTGAACCTGGAGTGAATCTTGTTTAATATCTTTCAAATATTTATCTGGAATGACATAGTCTTCTTCTTCTTCAGGGTACTTGAAATACTTGTGTTTCGATAAATGGTAGATCAACCTACCACCAAAACTATCACGAATGAACTCCTTCATGGTGTGCAAAGTTTATAAATGACAATATATTTCTTTTAATGCTTTAGCTCAAACAGCCTTCTTGTTTGGAAAAGAAAAGGAAGCTTTTTACAGTTTAAATATACATTTCTCTAGATTGAATACCTTTGTAATCACATAGTAAAACAACAATGAGATGGGGTTTTGTTGCAATTTTTCGGTCTTGCCGTATGTAGCAAGCAAATTTAAGCCGCAAAATTTGACAAACATGAAAAAGTTTACTTTTGTGCAACTGTTATACTGTATGTAAAATAAAACCAATTTCTTAGTAAGCAACAACATACACACTGTTTAATACACTTTGTGATGAGGTAAATTAGCAGTGGAAAAAATTTACTCACACCTCCCTTTCCCCCCCCCATTCGTGGTTTTACAAAAGTTTCGGAACCGAAGGATATACATTGCGAGAAAGTCTGTGAAATTTCATTTGCTCCTTTCGTCAAGCTTCGTTCTGATTCTCTCACACCCCTGCATATTAAGTTTGCATATTTGATACTTCCGAGCACCGATATTTTTGAATATCTTGAGCGAAATACATATTGTGGCTGGGCAACGATAGCACAGGCTAATCTCCGCCGAAATCTTTACATATTTTTTACTACCGCATCCGAATAGATCTTCCACTGCCGATCTCTAGAGAAAACTTGGATTTTCAACTTCCGCAATTGTCCCTCATCCATAATGGAGACTCTGGAGTGAGACACAAACTGACTCATCCTAGAAGCATTACTAATGGGATACTTGATTTGACGTGACTTATATCCTTACTAGCTGGTTGCAATATACTTTGAAAGAAAAGCGCAATTCTTTTTCAAAAGCATTATAAATCACCGAACAAAGTTACCACTCTTGGATTATACCCGCACTTTACACAAAACGCAAGGGGATATGACACGTTATGCGACATTTAGCATAAGTGAATAGACTCTAAGATAGCTTTGCCGAAAAAAAAAAGGTTTTGTGTGATTTCGTGTTTGGGCCTACAACGATGCTCCTTAACTACTCATTATGAGGCCAACACGATACCCTACGAATGTATCTTACTCTATATACATGTTCCAAACAATGTTCCCTATTTAGTTTCAACTTTATTGCTTTCATTAGGTAAATCCTGCGGCGTCGAGTCGGTCAATTCAGCATCGAGCTCCTTCATTTGAGCTTCTTTTTCAGCTTCAGTTGCATCTCCTTGTTCTATCTCCTCCTTTTTCTTCTCCACTTTGGCCACTTGTTTCGTGTCAGGTAATTTCTTATTGGAGACAAACGGACAAGCCAATGTAGTTATAGCTGCTAAACCAATACACATGTAAAATACATTTTGAATCGACTTCATCATTTGTTCTTTGATAAATTTCTCAGTGGCTGGATCCAATGTCCTCAAAATTGCATTATTGGACATAAGGTTCGAAATGTCAATCGATTGTAATGATTGCTGAACTTCAGCACTGGCTTTGGGGATGTTTTTCTTGAAAAAGTTGTTCAAACTTGATGTATACACAGCATCAGATAACGTAGCAGCAATTGCTGATGATAAACACCTAGAGGCATTGATAAAGGTTGTTGTCATAATGGTACCACCTGGAGTCTTTGGTGCTTTGATTTGGGCAGACAACATAGCTGGCTGGAATTGGGAACCTGTTGCAGCACCCATGATGATTAATAGCCCAACTTGCTTGGAAAAGGGAGAGTCAACTCGCAACAAACTCAACAAACCAGCACCTATTGGTGCCAACACTCCTGAAAAAACACCCCACGGTTTGACATATTTTAGTTTTTGGATCGCACCTCCTGCAACAATTGATGATATCACAGTGGCAATGATGCTTGGAAGCAAGTGCAAACCAGCACCCATTGCACTTGAGTCACGAATGACTTGAAAATACACTGAAGCATAAATCATTGTAACAATGGATGCTGAATAAACACCCGATATCGAAAGTGCTGAGGCAATAATTTGTGGCGTCGTGATAACATCAGTGCCAATGATTTGGTTCTTGGAAAAACGGAAATTCCATATGGCAAAGATGATCAACAATACCGGACCAAGTACGAAGCACGAGATAACAGCACCTGAATTCCATGGAAAATCTGATGAACCAAATGTGATTGCCAACAAAAGAATAACACTCCCCGAAATGAAGAAAAAAGTACCAATGTAATCAAACTGTTTCAACTCTTCCCAAATATCGACTTTGGGTAATGGAGGGCGGAAAGAGTACAAAAACACTGCCAAAGCAAATCCTCCAACTGGTAAATTGATGTAAAACGACCATCTCCAAGTAACATGCGTGGTGAAAGCACCGCCAATCAATGGACCCAAAACTGATGCAACAGCAAATGTCACAGACAAGATTGTCATACCAAGAGGTCTTTTGTCTATTGGCACCACTTCGGAAAGAATAACAAATGCTAAACCTTGTATACCAGCACCACCAACACCAGCAAGTACTCTACCACCAATCAAGACATTCATTGATGAAGCCAATGCACACATTAAAGAGCCTGCTTCAAAAATGACAATAGCAACAACCATTGACCATTTTCTACCAAATATGATTGATAATTTACCATATGGTTGGATAAACACCGCCATCGTCAACAAAAAACCTGACGATAACCAACCAACATTTTCAAATGCATCGAATTTGTTCCCCACTGTGGATAAAATTGTTGCAACAATGGTTTGATCCAATGCAAACAAGAATAAACAAAGAAACAATGAAACAAAACATAAAGCTAACCGTGGACCGTGAATGTATTGATCTTCACGTAGTGTACCATCACCTGCATCTGATTCTTTGAAGTGACCATGACGCGAGCCAACAGAAGATTGGTCTTCAAGATCTTCAGGTAGTTGTTGTGGTTGTTGTGGCTGTTGCTGTTGCAGCGGCTGTGGGATATCATCAGTGTTGCCGTTGGTGAAAGGTTGCGGTAATCCACTAAAGTCAGTGGATTTAACACTAGAAGTGGCTGAATTAACTTGTTTCTTACTCATTTTGATGAGAGTACTAGTGATCTCAAGTGTTTATAGTCCAGTGAGTAAAGAAAACAAAGATAGAAAGAGACTAGATTGGAAAGCTTTTTGAGTGCTATTTATACAGTCAAAGTTGAAAGTTGTAAATGGGTGTAAATTGCGTTAAAAACAATAAATAAAAGCAATATGAATGTATTACACAAAAAATTTTGCAACTCAGTGAAATGTTATCACTAGATATACGTAGTAAAGGTTATAAACGGAATTAACAGATACATTCAGTAAACCAAATGCAACACTTTGCAAAAAGTTGCAGCCAATGGCATCAAAGAATAGAAAAGAAAAAATCACAACAAGCAATGACACTACTACTCTATCACCTAAATTGCATACGCCTGACCATCAGGTGTTTTTGTCAAGTGCTTTACGTTTACTGTTAGAGAGAAGTAATCCATAAAATACGGAATTAAAGAAGTTTGATGTGATTTATGGATGCTTTGTTTGTGTAAATAAAAGGCTGTCATATAGATGTGTGCGGCGTGTCATTTTTCCATTTCCTGATATGTAAATAAATGCGAGAAGTTAGGAGTTAAGCGTAAACGCCGCACTCACAAAAAGAAATCCAGATCTCAAAGAAAGAAAAGGCTCTTCAAAAAGGAACTGAATACATCATTATCTTCTCGTAAGGATGGTGTTGACACTAATGTTTTCTTCGAATCCCATACTCCTGTTCTTCCAATTATGACACTGCAATTAGAACAGTCTCACCTTAAACCATACCCACTATTACTACTGTACTTGTAACTTGACTTATTTTCTTTCATCTTTTCTTGGTACAATACAAGCGGCATTAGTCGTGGTGCAAAAATGGCGAGAGCGCTGTCGCATGGAACATCCAATACCTATTCTAACGCCAAAATCGCACAAACACCCTGTAATAAACCAAATGTACGGCATTCTTTATCGGAACCGTGACATATTTGTTATATTCGACCAATAATATATTGAAAAAAAAAAAGGTGAATCACAATACCTATTATCCCTTTCCTATGCACACAAATTCTATAAACAAAATTTTCGTAACCTCTTCTTCGACTCCTTCATGGAACAGACTTTTTTGGAACCGTGGGCACAATCGAAAACCTCTTTTCATTAAATGCCAATCCCATTTGTTGAACATTCTTTTGATTTTCCGGCTTGGTTTCCACAAACCAATCCATATCTTCTCGATAAGTATACAAGGCATACTTGGTTCCATAAGGGTTGGTCTCCAACTTGTACAATGAATGAAGTGGCACATCCAATTGAACAATATCAGAGGGTTGCAAATTGAGGAAATATCCAATTAGAATCCGAAGCACAACACGATGACTGATAATTAGTAAATGATCAGTAGTACGTTCGATTTCAGTGATTAATGGACGTAATCGAGTCAATACATCCAAATAACTTTCTCCTCCAACACCAGGGTATCGATAACTCAATTTATTCTCCAATCGCAGTTCAAATTCTCTGGGGTACTTATCTTGAATTTCTTCATATGTCATTCCTTCACATTTACCAGCACCAATTTCATTCAACATACGCATTTGCTTGACAGAATACAATTGCTCATTGAAATATACCCCCGATTCAACAGCACGATGCAACATTGAAGTCCAAACGCAGAAATTAGGCTCAGTGGGGAGTGCAGCAACATCCTCTGGATCAAACATTGAATTGTATTTGAGTTCCAAACGAGTGGAGAATCTTTCCAATTGTTGTTTGCGAAACTCTTCACGTTGGAAATTCATAAATTTGGCCAATGCTTTAGCAAATTTCTTTCCGCGTCTAGTTAAATGCGAATCTCCACCAATTCTACCGCTGACATTGTCTCTACTTTCACCATGACGAGTAAGCCAAATTTGACGTTCACAAAGATTGAAATTGAGCAAGAAATACACCGTTTGTGATGAAAGGAAACCTTGGATATTGAAACTAACAACTTTCTTTCCCACATCAATCATCTTGACGTATTGGAAACCGGGAATTTGCTCCTCTTCTTCGTCAATACTTTCGTAAGCCTTTTCGTAGTTATGTAGTCTACCAACGAAATCTTTCAAAGCCAACTCTGGATCCATATTTTTGTAATCAGGACCACTTAATTTCAAACGGATATTGCTTTCAATAATTGCTGGGTCACTGCAAATACTCTCCAAAAACAACACCTTCAACTCCCCATTACTTCTTTCTTGGATCCTCTTGAGTACTTTTTTTCTTCTATGCTTGGTAGAGTTTGTTGCATCAAATATACCGACCGAGCCACTTCCATTGATTACATAGTCCAATAACATGTCCAAAGTATCCATGGCCCATTTCTCTCTCAAGGCAGTACTTGCTTTGTTATTTGGATTAAAGAAGGATGCGTCATGCTCAGTGGTTTTTGCCTTTTTCACCTCACTCATGCCTCCAGTAACAGCTCCTTGGACCGGTGATTGCGCTTCTGAATTTGGATGAGAATCAGGCAATGGATTTTGCTCAGGTCCAGCATTCAATTTACTCTTACGCCTGGTATTACCAACGTTGAATACACGACAATCGTGTTGAAGCCAGTTGAGATATCGTGTGAGTTTATTAGTAATATATGATTTCCCTCTTGCTGGTAACCCAACCATAACAATAACAAGTTTTGACCCAACATCAACAGAAGCAATTTTACCATCTGGTGACGTCTTTGACTTTGTTTGTCCGGGAATGTTTAAAGTGTATGTTTTTCTTGATGAGACTGGTGGCTTGGCAGTTAAAAGCAAATTCTTTAATTGTTCAATTGAAGGAGTTTTTTCAAATTCTTCCTTCATGTGCGGAGGCACATCTTTCAACAAGTGTGAGAAGTCTTTGGTTAAATTAATTTCTGCCTTTTTGTCGGCTTGTTTTTGTTTCTGTTGTTCCATTTCAATCTCCAATAGTCTTTTTTCTCTATCATCCATCAGTGGTGCAGACTTTTCCTGCTGGTTCTTGTTGTTATCATTGTCTTCGGAAATCTTCACAGTAGGCTTTGCTTTTGTTCTTGGTACTGATTCTGGTGCTGGTTCTGGTGCTGGTACTGGTTCTAGTTCTAATTTTGACTCTGGTTTTGGCTCTGGCTCATTCTCAGTTAGATGAGAATGAGGAGCATTTACCTCTGCGGATTCCGCAGGTACATACGAAGGTCTTCTGATAGCATATTTGACAGTTGCTGATTGAGTGCCCACCATTGAGGCTGCCCTATGAGCGGCAGAATTTCTTGCTTCCTTCAAGGATTCTGTCTCTGAAAGAGACTGATTGTCGGCCAAGTCCGTCAAATTCAAATGAGAAATATTTCTGGCCTTTTGCATCTGTTCTGTTTCACCACTATTTTGGTTACCATTATCGTCAGAGTTGGACTGTTCTCTAGTGATGGGTGATCCCACATACGACACAAATGGCGTATCAGTCAAAGGTCTGTTGTTAAACTCAGGTAGGAATGAATTGACCGAATTGTTTGATTCAGACGGCTCTAGTAGTTGCGAGTCCAATGATTTTGTTAACGCCAATTTTTCACCTCCATAACTGTGCCTGTTTCTGCTACCGACTCTTTTGTTTAATGAAGTTGTAGATACACTTGGCGACACACTTGATGGAGAAGGGGAAATACTTGTCATAAAAGTAGCATGGTTTTGTGGTTGCAAGTAATCGTAACCACTCCTACTCAATTTCAGTTTGCCCCCTGCACCACCCTTGAAATCAGGTCGACGCAAAACAACATCACCAGCATTGTATTTAGCCCGAAGAGCAGATTCACGTCTCTCCCCTTCGTTGTCACTATTTTCATTCTCCGAGTTATCTATTGATCCACTTGATGACGACGGTGATGGCGAGGAAGATTGATTATCCACTGGTGATGAGTTTGCCGAATGCAAGTTGGAAAAAGACACCTTTTTCGAATTAGATCTTTGATGAGCCAACTCGGCGTTGCTTATTGAATGCGATTTCTTGCGATTTGTGTTTAATGGCGAGTAGGGTCTTGTGGGTGAAGGGGTTGCCGTATGCTGTTGACTAGGCGACTCAGTTTCGCCACGTGCTTCTGATTTTGGTGATTGACTTGGTTGTTTGAAGTTTGCTGCAATCAAGTTGCGTATTGATTCGTGATGCTGATTGTTTGGGTTGTTCATTACTTTGAATGAAAATGTTGTTGTTGATGTTGATGATGATGTCAGAATCAGTTTTTCCTTGCGGTCTTTTCGATTCTGATGTGGAGAGGTAGATCTGTGACTGCTTAGGTTTGCTTGCTCTAACCAAAATCCGTAAAGTTAATGGAGTAGTTGTGGTGGTTCTATGCCAACGGATTTGATATACCCAAGATATGCTGATGCGCTCAAAAGAAGATAGCTACCGATTGTTGGAATCAAAAATGTGTGTTGCCTTTCCAATTTGTATTTTGTTTTGTTTTTTTTCCTTTCGATGCGAAAAAGATGATAAATTGATTCAATGCTAATGGTTGGAATAAAGGGAGTAAAACAATTTGATGAAGTGGTTACCCTGGGAATTGAGTGATAGAATAGTAAATGAGTAGAGAAGTTTGTCTATGTTAATGGAGTCTAATCGGCACTTTCGAGATGAGGGGTGCAGCTTTGTTGGGTAGTGCCTATTTCACAAGGTATCGGAGTTTTTTTTTTTTTTGCTTTTCTTGTTGTGCTCCAATTTAGATAAGGGGGGGGGGGGCGAAGAAGAAAGTGTGTGTGTGTGTGTTATGGTCGCGCACGCAATTAATCCGGCACAGTCCCGGAGCAGCGAGGGTTTTGAGTGAGGGAAGGGGAGCCGGTGTAACAATCGATGCGCGATTTTTATTTTTTCTTCTGTAGTAAGCAGATGCCGTCTCTACCAACACTTGTGCTTTTATTCGGTATCAACCGCGATTTAGATGCTGCATTAATCTCCCCCTCAACCTTCCCCTCTCTCCCTCTCTCTTTCTTAGTGCCGACCCCTCTGCAACTGAAATGTCAGTGGTTTATCGATTGACAAGGGAATAACCAATTCGACAGCTTTGGTGTCAACTGAAAGGGCTAATTTCAACAAGGTACACACGTGCAGACAAAAGTGGTCTCGACTACAAGACGGTGTGCAAGCAAGAGACCACAGTTTTAAACAATCTACATAATCCACCAAATTTCGGGGTGTCGACCAACATCTTCTTTGAGTGGAGGGAGAACGGACTGGTGTAGGTTGCGTTTAACAAGGGTTGGTGGTCGATGCATGCAATGATGAGATATGTGACCCATAAAAGCTCACTTGAATATAAGCTATAATTACTATTGCACTACATTGCTTCATAGAAACTTTGCAATCCACTTAATGTGTGGTAGCTTGGGGGAAAGAGATAGTACTCTATAAGCTTGTATAATCACGTTCTACTATAACCTGATGATACAATGTATGTGATCTATTTTGCAACCGAAATGTAAGAAGTCAAGTCATTTGATCCAAGCATTGAAATGAATGACTGTGATAATCATTTATTCTCTTGTTCTTTTTGTTTATCTTTCAAACAAGAAAAAAAAAAAATGAGGGGTAAGAATTGAGAGTATGGCTACAATAATCCAAAACATGAGATAAATGAATCTCGTTCATGGAAAAGTATGAGGTTTGCATCACACAGTGGAGAAGTGAGATTGACCACTGAATTGAATTTCTCCAGTGTCGTATATGTTGCATGTACTAATATCATATCTACCTGTTCTACGGTTGTATTATGATGATGGATGTAATATGAATTTAAAGTTTTTGGTAATTTCAAAATGACCCATATCACCTTTTTATCGTAAATTTATATATTTATATATATATATATATATATATCTTATAGTGTGGTAGTAGTAATAAAGTTTGTCTAGATTCACTAAAAGCTTCAAAATATAATATCTGTTCATACGTACACTCACTCATACACAAAATGATCGTTTTCTTTTCATAGGGGTTTGTTAGTCTCACAAAAGCAGTAGTGTACAATTGTACAAAAATGTAGTAGTTTAAAAAAACAGAGTCACATACACACCACACTATACTACAATACGATACAAGATTACATTGTACACTCATAATAGACTTGATTGTGCTATTCAAAGTACTATTAATAAAGTAATGGATACACTCGATGTACATATATGTAAGGGAATAAGAGACATCTACATATGAAATGTTACATTTGCCAATAGTAAAGCACTTTACGCTGTTTGAAATCAAAAGACCTTTTTGTTATTTGGGGTTTTAACTTTATTTTATTATTTTATTTATTTTTATTTTTTATTTTTTATTTTTTATTTTTTATTTTATTTATTTTATTCTTATAAAATCAATTTACGTAAGAAAAAGTCGATCATGATGCAGACAGACACACACAAACCGGTGTGTGTGTATGTTATGTGAGTGTGGTTGTCTCAGATCCAATTGTGTTTTCTTTTTTTTTTTTTTATGTTTTTGCCACAGAGGATGTACGTTATATTAAGTTCAATACGAAGCTGTTCTGTTGTTTTGGTCCCTAACTCATATTGGTAGACTACAGTTGCAACACTTGCTTTTGAAAAAAGTGTATTTGCTTTAATAGATCAAGAATTTTCTACCAAATAAATGCATTCTTTCGTTAAAACTAAAACTAAATTTGAACTTTGCCTCTATTGTCTTGTCTCTTTTGTGTGTACACAATATTTGTTATGTTATTGTGATTGTTATATTTTATCCACAGGTACACACACCCCATTGTTATAATATAAAAGCAAGAACCAAACGTATTATTTAAAATTGTACATTTTCATGTATATTACGTAAATAGGTTGACATTTACCACAACAACAACAACAACAACAACAACAACAACAACACACAAGATCAACCACACAATTTCAACTCAATTGCACTTGCACCCCCCATCCAACCCCACTTCTGTCTATCCTTCCCCTCTCTCACTCTCACTCTCACTTTCAACTAAAGGTGGGGGTGACAAATCAGTCTATTGCTCAGCAGTGTAACTGATTCCTACCCTTTTGTAAAGTAATTAGCTTTTACTTTTTTTTTTTAACCAAAAGTACACTACTTTTATTTGAGATAACATAAAAAAAGACAATGGTATTATTTTATATTGTGTACATATACAAAAATACACAATAACCCACCCATACATACCAATTATCATATGTTTTATTAATATATATATATATATATATATATATTTATAAGAGAGTACTAGAGATTCCTAAATCAGAATTGCTCTCATAACTAAAAACATTTTACTTCTTCATCTGACCAACTGTCATACAACTGACTTCATCAAGAGTACTCAGAGCAACGCACATTAAGAGAAGAGAAGAGTAAAACTATTAAAAGACCTAAATAAAGTAGTACAATTTATATTTTGGTTATCATAGTTTTTTTGAAACCCCGAACACGCACATTGATAAGACAGCACCACACCCCCACACCAAACACCGTACACCACACACCTTACAATATACACCATTTATCGTACAACATACACTTTACTCACTGTTGAATAACAACCACTCCAGCCACCAATATTACTTTCACAAAGGTTCCAATTGTTGCTTTGCTTTTCTCTACTCATACTGCACAAGCACGTACATAAGCACACATATAGGACTACTAATCACTTTTTGGTTGTTTTTTTTTTTAGACCCACAGCCCAACCTACGAAATAGACCAATAGAATTCAATACACACAAACTACTGTTTTGATTTTGCAACACGGTATTGCCAAACTAAGAAAAACCTTCGACCCACAAGCTTTCAAGTTCAACCTTTCCACAGCCAAATCATTTAGAGAAAACGCAGCATGTCACTGGGCTATCAATCACTATTTGGTAATTACAACCGCAACTACCACCACAATTATGCTAGGCCGTTTGTTGCTAACAATGGCAAAAGTTCAAACTCTACGGATAGAGATGCTAATGGTGTCAAGATTGATGACTTAGAGGCAATGCAAACCTCCAATATTCAAGCATTTAGTGATATTCAGTCGTCATCGTCATCATTATCCACACACGGTATTGCAAATGATTTAGATCCAAAACAAACAGCAACAGCGCATCATTTTTCAAACTTGTCACCAACTTCGAATGAGTCTAATATAACTAACATGTCTGACACTTTTCAATTGAATGATGAAACCTTCTTCAAGAGCAACTACATGATAAATGCATACAATCTCGAAGCTGATGCGCACTTGCAATCTCCTGGGTTGCATGCCGATTTCAAATTGCAACCACTGAAACTATTCAACACTTCGAATTTAGATGTCGATTTGCCACAACAGGAGGAGCTTTATCACTACCAAGGCTATTACAATGGTAAACAGCAACGTCATAACTCAGCACCAAGCTTTATGCAACATCATCAATACTTGACAGATTTGTCCTTTGGCACCACTGCCACAACAAATGATTTGAACTATAAACACAATCATGAAGAAGAAGTTGCGAGTAACGTGTCAACAAATTCCTTAAATCAATATTTTGCCACTCCAAACTCATCAATAAGCTCGGCTTCATCATCCACATCACATGCCCTTGCTGCTGGCTCAGCCATGGGTATTGACAAACAAATGGCAACTGAAGGTAACAACCTCAACACAGGCTCATTGCAAACACAATTAGCAGCACAGGCACCACCAAATGTCAATACCACTACAGTAAGACACACTAGACAATACTCAAATACAGTACCAATTGACCAGTTGACCTCGTTGACTTTGCGAACACCCAGTACCAGTCTGCAACTGGGTCCATCTCGCAAAAGATCGCTAAGCTCGATAGACCACGCACAACAACAACAACAACAACAACAACAATTGACCAACTTGCCACAACCTGATTTCAATCAACATTTCGCAAAAAATGGGAACCATTCACCATTTTCAACCGACCCATCCACAAGTTTGATCAACCTAGATGCTAATACTATAGCTTCTTCTGCGGCCACAGCTGCAGCAGTATGTGCTGACTCAATTGCTGATTTGAATACTTCATTCACTGGGCTTGACAATACAAGTTCCTTTGATCAACAACAAGGGACCATCAATCCACGCCAACTATTTACTACTAAATTGACCACATCATTCAGTTCCCCGAGTTTATCATCAATGTTTGGCATAAAGAGGAATAACCTTCAGCGTTTGCCACAAAATACCGTGGTTACACAACAGCATCTACGAGAGTCACTTGTCCTGCCAAATGATGTACAAGGCATGTCGCCTATGAACCAATTGGAGCATTCAGTATTTCCTACACCACACAATCGTAGCTTATCAACATCATACTATGATTTCAAAACCAATGCAGACTTACATGGAGGTGGCACTGCAAGTGAATCCTTTAATGTCGATCTTGTGGGTGCAGAGTTGGATATATCAGAAGCCTTCAAGTCTGCGTATCCAAATAGAGGTGGCACTCACATTTCCAATGGATATATTGGCAAGAACCGATCACACTCTCACACCAATGGATTGCATAGTAGTAGACAAGGCAACACACGAAGGAATTCATTACAAATGTCCTCCAAGGGGAAACAATTTGCTGGACCTTCACCCCAGCAACAAATCCATTTCGCTCATGCAGTTTCACAACAATTGGATGAATTGAAGGAGCAACAATCAAGTGGAGATGACATTCAACAACAAATGAAACAACAGCCATTTACTGGAAATGTTGCTTCGTTGCAACTTTCTCCCACCAGCACATCCACAATACCATCAACGTATGACGAAATCAAGGAAGGAGAAGGCTCAGTTGTCGTCACACAACTAACTCAACAAAAGCACAAGAGGAGAAAGAGTTCAGTATCCAAATCCAGTATTCAAGCACAGCAACTGTTAATTCAAGATCAATTGGATAAGGAGTTTGAAAATCAAGAAGAACAAGGATTATTTAACAAAAACACTTCCACCTCCAAGTCATTGTCTCCCACTAATCTTACTCAAGTGAATCCATCAAAACAGAGTATGCATAGTGTTACCAAACCAAACAAGCGAGCAAGTACCACTGCAACCACGGCCGCATCGGCTAATTTACAAGAACTTGACCCCAAAGGTTTACTCTCAGCTCCAGTTGTCCAAAATGAAAATGGATGTTTCTCATGCCCTGAATGTGACAAGGAGTTTAAACGCACTGAACATCTCAAGCGTCACATTCGATCAGTACATTCCAACATTAGACCGTATCATTGTCATTATTGCGAACGCAAGTTTTCGCGACTGGATAATTTGGCACAGCATATCAAGACTCATTATAAAGTTGATGGAATGGGGAACACTAATATTGTTTATGGTGATGTGACTACGCTTCATCGTAGGGAAAAGAATAAACCGAAGAAAAAGAAGAAGCAAAGTGCTCTATAGATGATGAATGAGAATGACGCTGATCATGGTGGTTGAGCTGGCTCAACCAATTTTTGAATGTTGAAAGGTGGTAACAAGGAAGCTGATTCTGTTCATTCCAACCAGTATTCTATGGCTAATGTCAAATAACAGTGATGACGAGTAAATGTATTGTTGATATAATTTATACATCTTTAAATACATCTTTTAAACAAATTGTCACGACTTTTGAACCTCTGATCCCATCTCATGACCAAAAAAGACTCACCAAGAGACACCAAAAGACAACAACACAAAATGAGAAGACAAGGTGAGCGTACATTAGAGATCAATTGAGAGCATGATCAAGAACACAACTTGCTATCATCAAGCAAGATCCAAATGATAAAACCAAAAACGGCGTAACAGCGAAATGAAACCAATCAACCTAAAAAAACCAACACCAGCAGCAACTACCAATAACAATCTACAACAATTTTTCCTCTTCTTTTCATATTCTTTCTTCAATTAAAAAAAGTAACCATGATATCAATAGCAAAAGTAAATGCAAATTTCTTCCCTTTTTTTTTATGATTTGATGTGAAATCCAAAGATTTGTACCGGTCCAACTATAACTGTGCACATCTTCGTATGAAATTAGTAAATGGAATGAACAACCACCAATAAATGTCAGCAAGGCAAATGTGCAAGTGTGCAAAGTGTGATAATGTAAGAATACCAAAAGACTGATCAAAAAACCAGCTGCAGTATCACCACCATCAACTGTTTTGTCAACCTTTTTAGTCGAAATGTAAGTGTTGAGAACAGCAACGGGAGCAAAATGTGTCTTTTTTAGGGGTTCTATTTTTTCTAAAGGGTTTTATCAATTTTCTGGGTATGTACGAGTTCACCTCCACAAAGGGGGGCCACCTCGCACCTTTTTTTCTTAGTAATTTTGTAATATTTTTAGTTTTTTTTTAACAGTTTTCTCTTTATCATAAATAATAGCGTAAACTTAGCATCGTCAGCATCGTCAGCGTCGTCAGCGTAGTCAGCGTCGTCAGTATTGTTAGCGTCTCATCAAAGCTTAAGGGGGTTGAAAATACGCTTATACGAATGAGTGATCGCTTTAAAATTCAGTTAATGCTCAAATGTAAGGTTGTATTCCAATTTCAATCTTGGGTGGTGGTAAAGAAAAGAGGAAAAGTGTTGCAAACGCCGTTTTTCTCGATCTTCGTCTCTGCATTCATACTGTGAAGTCAACACGAATATACGTGTAGGATTGAAGGTGTTTCAAGTGCTATGTATCATCATTATGATGGTATTACGACATGTTTGTCGTGAATACAGTTGCTTGATGTAGACATTTGCTCAATTTTAGAATTGAGTGCCAAGTCACGTGCGTCCGTTTGATGGCCCACTGGGTAAAGTCTTTGGAACGCTTGCTTCATACACCAGGGTAAATTTGACGACAAGATTGTTGATCTGCTATAACCCAGTTTGCACATCAGGAAAAAGCATTATGCCTTGGTACAATACAACTCGAAGAAGCAGCAAGATCAAGGGTACATTGTCTCGTGATTGGCCATTGTCTCGTAGTTAAAGGAAGTCGCATGAATATCCTGACCTTAAGTGAACCCAGATGCCACTCTGGATCAAACAAGTCCCAATGCTCGACCAGGTAGTATAGTTCATCTTCCAGTCGACAAGCTAAACCCAAACTACCCTGCGGTTTTATCTTGGAAAGTACCCTTCAAATTGACAATTTGAACTCAAATGGGAATGGCAATGATGACAATATCAAAAATCTCATGACCATGAGACGTTGACATAGTAAATTGTTTTGTTGGGCATCAATTTCGTGTCATCCGCATATGGTAGCCCAGTTTTGGCAACTGAATGAGGAGTACATGGTTGGATTTGATTTGATTTTCTCAACGCCGAGCCAAGTTGGTGCAAACCTGAACAGGGGTTTTCTCAGTAGTCCACAGCTCAAGCGACTCAGTTTTAAGTAACAGATTTCCTCATCGATATCATGTAAATAGCTCTCGAGCACAAATGTGCTCTTTGTGTCCTTGGGCTAAATCGTTGCCTTTTTAAGCGGCCAAAACAGCCTCAACTTTTTTTTTTCAAGCACCAATTACTCAGTATGTTAAGTTGCATCTAAAAAAGAGCAGGTAAGACAAAGCTGTCAACTGTCGGAAACTATAGTGCTTCCCAACTCAATAAGAGAGAACTATATACAATGTCGACATACGAAATGAGGAACTCTTTCAGAGTGGGAGATGTGGACAATGTAAGAGAGAGCCGCACTCCTGCCTCAAAATAGCAACAACATTGAGAAAGATCACCAATTAAAACCATTCGAAAAAATCTTACCACAGAGACACTCCATTCACAATACATAAGAAATATACAACGATGGTTTCAACACATAATAATCCATGGGCTAAAAGAGATGCTTGGAGGTACGAAGGTCAATTCAGTAGGTTGAACAGGTTTAGAAATGCGTTCCCAGGTCTTGGTATAGCTATTGTTGCGTTCACCGCTTATGTGGGTTTTGAAAAATTGGTGTTAAAGAAAGGAGGTGATGAACACGGACATGAACACGAGGAACATCACTAGGCACTTTAAAGAGGTTTTTGACGCAAGGAGAAAGCGTTGGTGATTATAGAGACTAGTTATTATTTTTCTCAATGCATGGAAAAGGCAAGTGTGGTTGGGCGTCTAAAGTACGGACAAAATTTGGCTTTGGTACCTACCGGATTGCGTTTTTAACGACCACTTGTGCAAATTTGAGGGTATCAATATGAAGTGTAGTTACTGAAAATGTGATATTTATTGTAGATAATCTTAAACAACAATCGGTGATTTGTATATAATCTATGTACAGAAAGTCGACTCTTATCTTCTCTTATTCTCCTCCATTGGCTCTCTTCAACTCATCGGACACGTCGTTATTTACCAGCAACAAACTCTCAAATAAAGATGCTCTGGATTTCTCTTCCTCCACCAATGACCCACTTGGTGCTTGTGATCTATTGGCATTGGCTTCCAAAACTTGAGTTTGTTCAGCAGCTAATTTGACCCAATCATCAACATATTGTTGCTCAGTAGTCAAGTTCCAATCAATATTGGTGGATTCATAAACAGCTCCGTACATGGCACTTTCTTCTTTTGCAATATGACTTTCCATTTCTTCAGCCATACGCAAACGATAAAACTCAAATCTTGCCAAATCATAAGCTTCAAAAATATCCTTGACTTTGTCATCATTTTGTAAAATATACATGGCTCGTTGTATAACCGACTCCCCATCTAATGGTTTGTGCAACTGTAACATGTGACTCCAATCACATTTTTTCAATATTTCATCACCGTTGTTCTCGATAAGATTTTTGGGTCTGGCCAACTCCCATGGGTGCTGCAAGTAGAAATAGTTTCTCAATTCATCTTCAAGAAACTTCAATTTTGGAATTCGGTGGATTTCGTTATTTCTGTTCGAGATTTCGCTCGAGCTTGGGCGGGTTTTGAAAAGTTGTGATTTCAGTAAGCCTTGCTTCTTTGGTTTTAGTAAGTCGTTTCTTGGATCAGTAGATTCGGCTTCGTGGACATATGGCTTTTTCACAAGATTGTGTTTGGGTGGATATTTAGCAACGATATCAAACCACACCGGCTTCTGCTTGATTACCCCTGATTGCAAATAAGCTGATGTTCGTGATAGAACATTGGCAGCCTCAGTTTGAAGCTTCATTGTGGTAGAGTTGAATAGTAAAGAGGTTCAATGAGTCCGATGTTCGTAAAAGATTCTTTGAATTATTTTTTTTTTTTTTTTTCACTTTTTTTTTTTTCAGTTCTTGGTGGAAAACACTCTTTGTTGATGAAAATGGCATGAATATCATAAAACAAGCGAAAGCCAAGAACATTTTCTTACTAGAGAAGCCCGTCAATACATTCATACGACGGGTGGGTGCAGAACAGTCCAAAAGTTCAGGGCCATTGTTGAGATGCATAGATTTGTTGATCAATCAACATCAACCTGAGTTGATAAAAAAGTATAGGATAGAGCCTATCGATGATCAATATGAGTTGAAACAACGCATTTGGGATAAGTTAAAGCTACGACGAACGGACCAAGATCCTGTGTTAGTGAAACGGATGAAATATAAGCCAAGCGATGTACTATACACAAAGGAATACAACAATTTCATAAAGGAAATCTACCCAGTCAATGATGATCCATTTCAGTCAGCAACGGCACCGCTAGATTTGAAGCATAATGCTACAAAGTACCAGGGAATCAACCATGAGCATGCATTCAAAAGGTATTTGGATTTACCTAAACCAGCACCACAATTCTTACCTCCCTCAATATTGCAAACATTTATAAACAAATACGTTTTGAGGTATAGGCAGTTTGCCAATAGAAACGTCCTTGAAGGATGCATGTTAAGAGATGACACCAATGGTTTATCGAGTGCCATACGCAAAGAAAATTCTAGGAGATATGAATACCTCAATCTGTGTCAATTTATCTTGAATGACTTGAAACAAGTAGGGTTTGAACTCACGCAACAGGAACAAGTGCGCATGATTTACTTGTCTTATTTCAAAGATAGAAAGGATATAATATCTCAACTTGGTGAAGACAAAGACTTGGGATATAGTCGATTTACATTTGCAGAGTATGATCTGATTTTGGCCACTTTTGGCGACCGAAGGGATTTACTAGGGGTCCTACTTCTTTTAGCTATCAGACATGACCAATTCGATATCATAAGTGATATCTTACCCAAGGTTGGATTAGGAGGAATTATAGGTGTCGAGAATAAGAGCGACTTGAAGGTGATTGACATCTCCCTTATTAACTTACTCGGATACTTCAATACCTTTATCGATAGACCTGAGTATATCCAGTACCTCGCGAATACCATTGAAGTATTGAATCAGATACCTGTCATTACTAATGAGATTGTTGATGGGTTAATCAAGGTATTGACAGACTTGGATTTGATCAAACATGCGGAAATATTATTTGAGACAGCCTATTTTCAACCTGCTTACACCAATGAAGACAGTGAGATTCTCACTGAATGGCGCTACATTTATACCAAATTGAAAGGCATGACTCAAAACGAATCGGTTTTTTACAAGTTATCGCCAAACCATTATTCTTTCTTGACCTTGTTTCAAGGTTATTGTCGTGGACAATCGTTTGACAAAATCAGACATTTGATGCATGTTATGGACAACTTAACTAAGCAAAGAATGAGCACGAAGATGTATTTTGATATCTTTAAAAGCTTCAAGAACAGGAACGATTGGCCACTTAAAGATTTGAATTTTATATTGACCCGCTTAATCAATGAGATTGATTCAAGCAAGGACAATGATGACCTCGATGCTCTCAAACTTCTTTCCAGAATGGGTCTTTTGGAGAATAGTTTCGCTATGGAAGATCAATGGGACGGTGAATTTGCTACAACTTATCACGGTGACTCACCATTAAGGTTGAGTAATTTACTCTTGGAATGTATATTTATGGTCTGTACAAGCAGATTGTATCAAATGGGAGTGACAGCCAAGTTGAGCTCTTTAAAGGATTTGAAAGTTAGATGGGAGGCGATGGTTGAACCAAAGAAGGTTGGCCCATTCGAAGCAGATAGACTCTCTTACATCAACAAAGCAATTTTGATGGAAGTGGTGCACATAATGGTCTAAATTCTCAATTGACTAACTTGCGGCGGTTCAAATAGCGACATCTCGGACAGCTTCACCACTAGGTCGAGTGTTGAACAAGCAATTTCTTGGAGTAGAAACAAAACTTTCAAAGACCAATAATATCCCCAAAAGTAAAGTCACAATTCCCATTAACAAAGTTGAGTTCATTTCAGCAAAAGTAATCATGATAACGATGATACCAATGGGCAATCTCCAAAACACTCGAAGCTTTTGAGGAAGTATGAAGTAATTTGGAGGATCACGACCCTTTTCCACCAATCCCAACACAAACATGCACACCAAAGCCACACCTATTCCTCCAGTATAAAAGAATGCCAACGCATACATGTTTCTTTCGGACTCTTCCCCTTCATTTCTGGCTTCCAAGTGCTGGTGCTTTTTAGTGCTGGGATTATCAATGGCACACAAGTCACCTCCAGCGTCGGCTGATAACACTAGTGCTGCAATTAATGGCACGTGAGCGTATATCCACAACATTGCTGTTGTCCCACTATTTCTTAATGGATGAATAGCTCTGCTATTTGTCCCTCCATACTGATAGAGCCAAAACAAGATGTATGCATCGGCTAATAAGAAGATACCCCTGGCATATTTGGCACTGAATCCCACCCCCAATGACCCATTAGAAACAACTTTGTACAAGTATTCACCGATGGCAATGGTCACAAACACGGAAAATCTTTCAACCTCGTGCTCGATGTTCAATGCCGTGGACATGGTTAGTTTCAACATCCTTTTGGTCCATGGGTGGAAACATACTGAAAAGCATACTTGTTCTAGGAAAAGAAATACAAATGCGAGGGCAATCTTGACTCTCGTGGAGACAAATATCACCGATAACCAACACATTGAAGTTACAAAAATAGTGGCAGCGTACAATCTTTGTTGTGTACGATGTTCTGGTATGAAAATAGAATACACAACCAATGAAACAGCCAAGGACAACCGACACAAAATGTAGGAAACAACTGGTATTGCTGCTTTGCTATAGCTCTCTGTGATATCGTAGTGACTGTTTATGTATAAAGTTAATAAGCAAAGAATCCAAAAAATGTACAACTTCTGTGACAAATCTTCGTTATAATAGTAATTGGTGAAATCTTTAATATCTGCCCACACTACCCAGATAGGTAAGAAGAACAAAACGTATTTCAACAAGGCCAATCCACTGGCATCTTCACTCGCTTCCCCGGCCAAGTTAGCAATCAATCCTACATAAAGCAAATCCAAAAACAATTCAGTCCTAGAGCTTCCCCGTTCACCTTTTGTGCGAAATAATACACCATCTTTGAAGTAGTTGAGTGCATGTGGTCTGATGAACCAAAAATTTTCTCTAGGAGGTTTGATGTATTGAAAATTGATGTCACCAAACCTTCTAATAAACTCATCCTCGTCCTCACTGTCAGTCAAATCTTGCTCAATGTTGGGGAGTTCCTCCTGAGACAATTGATGAGATGTATGTGATCTTTCATGGTAGAAAGGGTCGCTTTCATCTTGTGATGAGGTTCGTGGTTGTGGAGCATTGTTTTGACTATCAGGAGTGGATTTGCTCGATCTCAATGACATTGATGTGTAGTGATTGTGCTTCGTATTCGTGTGAACAACAAGGAAAAGACTAGGACATCGTATGTCCTTTTGGGTTTTGCTAGCTGTGTACAATTTTGCGGAAGCAAAATTCATTCTTGCTAAATGCACAATGTACTAAAAACCGTTTTACATCTGAAATTTTTTCGGTTGCAAAAGTTTCCCGATTGGGGAATTAAATTGTACCAGAATATTCCACGTGGATGAATCAAAAAATAATATGTGGGTGTCACTAGCACTGAACCGGCAGTCATAATTCTTTGGTAAGCGTTGGCGGGAATGATGGCTCTCACTTCGAAGGCGTTCAAAAAGGCGTCTGCGCTTCAGTTAAAGATACGGCTGACCGAAATGACACAAAATAAATCATTGCTTGGCTTTGTTATAAAGTGGTCTTTCCTACGCCAGTGAATGGGTGATAACATAATTAAAGAACAAACTCTATACACAGGGCAGCAAAAAAAACTTGGAATGTTTCTTGTGCATCTACTTTGCCAGTTATTATTGCCCAAAATCTTTGCCTTCGCCACCGTAATCTGATTTTGATTCTTTATGGTATGCCTTCACTTGGAGTTGACTTTGCAATTACGAATAAAAAATGGTAATCTATAAATACCGATTAGTTTTGTTGTCACCTGTTTTCCAGTCTTTCGCCACCTTTTCGTCCTTCGCAATCAACCCTTGAACTCCACTCCCCTCTACTCCCAAGTTGTTCTTCAAAGCTTTACTATTCTTTCTAGCCACCTTCAGGTTGGTTGTATTCTTCCTATAGAGTCAGGAAAGCCACTACACACTTTTCAAAAGCAATGAGATCGTTACCACCACCCAGAATCACTCGAGCAAGAAGATGGAAACGCATCAAACGTGCAATGAAAAACTTGCTCACAAAGGGGTACATTTCAGACTATGGTGTTTTCCATAGGAAGTCATCGCTTTATTCACGTCATTTTTATTCCATCACCAAAATCCACAAGCTGCCTATTTTGTCAAGAATGAAGAAGAGAAAGACAGACATGCAAGTGTTTCAAACTGCAAACTCAGGATTACGATTCGCCAAACATTTCGGTACATTTGTGGCCAAGCTTTCAATTCCTGGATTGAAAGAGGACTTGTTTGGATCTAGAAGGGGGAAAATGAGGTTATCGTTGAAGATGTAAGTTGTGGATTAATTAACTTAATGGACGTGTGTGATTTGTTTGATAAATTTTCTTGTTCTCCTCTGTGCGCGCTTCCGAGTCTCTCTAAATTTTTTTTCACGATGAGCTCCATCGCGATTAAACATCACTCATTACACGATAGAGCACATTCATGCCAACCATGCCAGACAAGAATCAGATAAAGATCAGGTTCACTACAAATGAAGAAGATGAGAGTTTGAAAGTAGAAGGGACACCTTTGTTTGTGCCTATATCGTTGAAAAGATTTGGTTTATCTGAAATTGTAAATCACTTGCTTGGAAATTACAAGACAGATCAAGAAGAAGAAGAAGAAGAACGCAAGCCAATACCTTTCAACTTTCTCATCAATGGAGAGCTTTTACGAACTTCGATTGAGGACTATCTTGTACGCAATGGACTATCAAGTGAAGCATTTTTAACCATCGAATACACGAGGGCCATTTTACCACCTAGTTTCCAAGCATCATTCAACAACGAGGATTGGATTTCATCTATAGACTCAATCAACAAAACATCAACTGCTGTAATAGATTCCCAATTGACGATAACTGACCCCAAAATTTTGAGTGGTTCGTATGATGGGGTAGTACGAACTTATAACATGTCGGGTAAAGTTGAGAAGCAATATGTTGGTCATTCAGCTCCAATTAAATCTGTCAAGTGGATCTCGCCTACCAGAATTGTATCATGTGGTAACGATAAACAAGTCAGATTATGGAAAACGTCGTATGAAGGTGTTGTTGATCAAAATGAAGAGAATGACGAAGATGAAATTGAAGATGGAAGGACATTGGCAATTTTGGAAGGACACAAGGCTCCAGTTGTTAACTTGGCAGTGAATCAAAAAACAAAGAGGATCTTGAGTGCTGGTTATGATAATGCTATCGGTTTTTGGTCAACTAATTACAAGGAAATGGCAAAGATCGAAATTCCAGATTATGATTCAAATGTGGTTTCCACATCGTCTAAAAAGAGAAGGAAAATGGCGTTGCAAGATTCAACTATTAGACGTCGTTCACCATTGAGCTTGTTACTGGGCCATACGGAGCCAGTGGAAGGGGTGATTTTCGATGCATATGATACTACAGTCGGTTACTCGGTTTCACAAGATCACACTATTAAAACTTGGGATTTGGTAACTTCTCGATGTGTTGACACAAGAACAACAGGATTCTCGTTGCTATCGGTGTTGCAACTACCACAAGTCAACTTGATTGCTTCAGGTTCATCAGCACGTCATATCAATTTGCATGATCCAAGAGTTTCAAACACATCCGAAGTGGTTAATGCCAAGTTGGTTGGACACACCAATTTTGTCGTTGGATTGAGTGCATCACCACATAATGCTAACATGTTTGCCTCGAGTTCCCATGACGGAACTGTCAAGGTGTGGGACGTTAGAGCTGATAAATCGCTTTATACGATAACTAGAGAAGATGGATCCACCAAAAAGAAAATCTTTGATGTATGCTGGGACAATGAAATTGGTATAATAAGTGGTGGTGAAGATAAAAAGATTCAAATTAATAAAGGAACTGATATAGCTAAATAGATAGAAGAAATCTACAACTTGTACAGTTTATTTTCTTTTCTAGAAGACGTGAAGAGGTTTAATCCGTAATATCCTTGCCACATACTTTCCTTATCGGTTAAATAGCCCACCAACCCTGTTTGGTTACCAACCGACAATGGATCCCATATGGTGTAAACATCTTGTTCATCAACCCATCCCAATGCTTTACGAGCAGCCTTCAACTCATCAGCATTGAATTCAACTTGTGCCGCTGAACCATACTTCAATGGACCAGCATTGATCCAGTATCCTCTTTCTACATTACCCAGAGGTTTTGCTAGTTTTTCAATTGTCTCCATGTAGGAAAACAAATTCTCAGCAGTATCCAAAAAGAATACAGAAACGACAACGATATTCTTGTACTTGTCCCTATTTGGAATTTCAAATTTGGTAAAATCTTCATTAACAATGTGTAAATTATTTGGCTTGTTGGATTCTCCAATTGACTCATATTCAAAAGTTCTGAATTGTGACTCAGCATTGTAATAGTCTGAGTTTGTATGAATATAAGGATAGATGGTGTGCAGCTTTTTCAGTTGTTTGCTATAGTTGTATCCAACAAACAGGTTCATTAATCCTGAATTTTCAATGGAGAATACTGCTCCATAGTCCCATTTACTAAACTCATAAGCTAATCTGCCCAAGCCACTACCAGGAAACACCAATGCAGTTTCCCCCCTTTGTCTAAAGTCAATAGCTACTTCCAAATGAGAAGCAATATATTCGAAAAGTGGTCTCAATTCAAGGCTAAGCAGTCCACCAGGAGTCCAATCACGAGTAAAGTGACCCAATGCTTCAATGACTCTAAAGTTGTTGCCGCTAGCAACGCTTGCTTTATCATTCTCAATCAATTCGAAATCCTTCAACGATACGCCATACTCTTCAATTGTGAAATCAGCAACATCATCAACAAACTCTTGATTTTTTGCAATCGCCTTGTCAATCAGTTTCAACTTTTCCAAGTAGCCAACATCCTTGGCAATCGATTGCTGTTTTGAAGTTAAGTGGGTAAATAACGATTTTCTTCTCTCATTAACCTCCTCAGCATGGAATTGGTAACTTTTCAACGACCTAATGGCAGACAATACTTCAATTTGCTGATCATTGTTTAGTTTTTGAAATTTGGAGTAATTAGCGCCTGCTGATGTGGGTAAATTGTACAAACTGGGAGAGCTTGACTTGAAATTCCTCAGGGCTGAATGTGCCAATGACTTGAACAAGGAGGTTCTAGAAACCATATTTGTAAATACAAACGTTGTTATAAGTATTGGTAGTTGAGATTTTCGGTAAACCAACGATAGTACGTAGTATATGGAGAAAGAAATGACGCAGATAATTGGAATTGAGTCGAATAGGTTGCGCATTGAGTACTGATGGTGTGGTGTGAATACAGTACGGAATATATTGCGAAATCCTTCCAGTGTATGCGTATGGAGTTATGTTACTATTCTTGGAACAATAAGATTAATATCAGAAAAGAGTGTGGTTTTGGTGCGTAGAAGATATCCGAAAATTCTTTCATATTCTATTCGAGTTTTTACTTGCGGTCACCACAATTGATTAAACACTATTGTGATTTTCCTCAATTAGTTTGAGGTTTGATACATGAAGAGTTGATTTGTCGGGTGGTGTCGAGTAATGGACCATGAGATTGACGTGATGCGACCGCTGTGCTGAAAAATTACGACCATCTGGTAATGGGAAGAGTCACATGATCAGATGCATACACAGTTGTACCGATTGGGGAAAGTTAAACACGGTTAACACCTTAACTTGGTGATTGCCACAAAGTTCATGTGATTTTCTGATCTGTTGTATAGTTTTGACTCGCATTTCCGATAACAAGCGTGGTAGGATTACATTCTCAATTGCAATTGTCATTAACTAAATAGGAAAATTGCGTCTCAAACTATTTTTTTTTTTTTTTTTTTTTTCATGTTGCAGAAAATGAAATAAAAAAAACAATACGATAACAACTGCCAGTCCCAAAATACTATAGAAACTGCTGCCAACCTTGAAACAAAGATTTGCTCGTACCAAAGAAGACTGATCACAAAGTGTCTATTCTTCCGCAATGTCAGAATACGATTTTTCAGATATCATACCCGTTGATCTAAATAGTAAAGAACCACAATTATGTCAAATATTGTATGATGAAAATTACAAATCCACCATGGGTTTGCTATTATCACTTATGCAAAAGAAGGAATATTCACCAAGAGCACTTTACTTGACAGAATTGGGGATTGAACAGTTGGCATCGCACTACACAACATGGATATATCGATTCAATATTTTACAAAATTTACCCAACCCAAACTATTATGATGAATTGGACTGGTGTGAACAAATTGGTTTAGATAATGAAAAAAACTACCAGATATGGAACTATCGACAATTGATTATAAACGAAATCTTGAAACAAGAAATCATTGGAGATGTTGCTGAAGGTAAAGGCAAGTTTCAACCCCATCGTGAATTCCCAATTTTGGAAGCCATGTTAGATTCTGATCCCAAGAACCATCACGTGTGGTCTTATAGGAAGTGGTTGGTTGAGAGATTTGATCTATTTAATGATGCAAAAGAACTATTGTTTGTTGACCAGATGATTGACGCAGATTTATTAAATAACAGTGCTTGGAGTCATCGATTTTTCTTAAAATTTGCAGGCAAAGATGCAACTAGTGAATTGATTAATGGAGAAGTTGGGTATGTCAAGGATAAAATAAGGCAGTGTCCTCAAAATGCCAGTTCTTGGAATTACTTATTGGGAATCTATGACAAATATGATATGGAGATATCTGAATTGGAAGACTTTGCAACTGAGTTTGTTAAACTTGACACAGGCAAAGTGAAAAGCTCGTTTGCAGTGGAATTATTGTCACAGATCAACAAACAAAATGGTAATGACGAGAAAGCAAGTACATATGACAAGTTGTTGAAAGACTTGTTTAGTAAGTAGCTCAGTAACAAAAATAAAAGTGTTTTATATGGCTCACAGTATCATAAACCTTTGCTAGTCTAGTCAAGTGAAGCGTAAATTCGAATGCTCCGCTGAGATATAAAGAGACATATTTGGACCTTCCATCATTAGATTGATCAACAGGGTCAAAACTAAAAGATTATGGCAACTCAGTGGTTGCTCCCTGAGCTCCACAAATCAAAGTTGTTCCAGCTCTTAGAAACATAATTTCCGTGTTCGGAAACTGTTTATGCACTTTTGTTTTAAAAGACTACTATTGATTCTCATCTATCTTGACAAAATTAAACTCTAAAGCTAAACTGATGTCTAAAAGAACACCATGATTTATATTTAGCAACAAATGAGCACGGATTTAGCATTTAAAAAGGATTTGGTTTCTTTTATGACTTGCACAATAATAGTGCGTGATACGAGTTAATGTGATTTCGAATGCAAGGTGGGGCGGTATTATCGTTATCGGGTCGAGTATCGGGTTGTTCCCGTCTATTTCAGGTGATACAATTTTTGTGCTACACTTTTATTTTGTCTGTTACCAAGAAAAAAAAAAAAAGGAATTACGACTATTATCTTTTAGCAGAGTAATAAGTGTGGTTTTAAGGTAAGGCTGACCTAATAGTGGTGTCATCGTTAAAAGAAGTAGGTATCATGGAATTCAAAGTAAAACACCCAAATGGCAACTCATTGAAGCAAACAATAATGTTATCCAGTTCCTTTTGGGGCGTCTTCTTTGATGAACTGTAAGTGTTCTTTATTTTTTTGTAAGCACGGCGTTTGCATTTTTTAAACTCCTAACTTTCTCGCATTTATTACCATATTGGGAAATGAATACGCCGTACAAATGTCTAAGTGGACAGCCTCGCCATTTTTATTGTTTTTGCACTGATCACAAACTCCACTTTAAATCCGTATTTCTATGGGTCACTTCATCTCTCTCCTCATAAGCAAGCGTGATAACACTTCGAGAAAATCCCCGTGGTCGGAATATGCATTTTCGGCGATAGCAAGAAAAGAGCTTCTTCTTGTTTATTGATGCCATCGGAGGTAACCTACTACCTCTCAAGTGTGTACAAATAACCTTGAATGTTTAAGGCTAAATCCGTATATAATCACTTTTGCGTATATTCAGCCTTTTCACTAAAAGTTTCTTCTCTTTGTGTAAAAGATGAAAAGAAAAACATACAACATACATAACGTCACATATACTTCACTTCATTGTGTTTTATTTATTTTTTACGAAGTGTACCAAACTATATATATATATATATATATCATTGGAAGAACATAGTTTCAACTAAATTCTCTATCTAATTCCGTGCATTTCTACTACTACTACTGGATAACCTAACTAGTCACACGCTTATACTTAACATGAGTAAGAAACAAGTTAATTCAGCTACTTCTAGTGTTAAATCCACCGACTCAAGTGGATTACCGCAACCACTCACCAAAGACAATACTGATGATATTCAACCACAACAGCAACCACAACAACTACCTGAAGATCTTGAAGACCAATCTTCTGTTGGCTCGCGTCATGGTCACTTCAAAGAATCAGATGCAGGTGATGGTACACTACGTGAAGATCAATACATTCACGGTCCACGGTTAGTTTTATGTTTTGTTTCATTGTTTCTTTGTTTATTCTTGTTTGCATTGGACCAAACCATTGTTGCAACAATTTTATCCACAGTGGGGAACAAATTCGATGCATTTGAAAATGTTGGTTGGTTATCGTCAGGTTTTTTGTTGACGATGGCGGTGTTTATCCAACCATATGGTAAATTATCAATCATATTTGGTAGAAAATGGTCAATGATTGTTGCTATTGTCATTTTTGAAGCAGGCTCTTTAATGTGTGCATTGGCTTCATCAATGAATGTCTTGATTGGTGGTAGAGTACTTGCTGGTGTTGGTGGTGCTGGTATACAAGGTTTAACTTTTGTTATTGTTTCCGAAGTGGTGCCAATAAACAAAAGACCTCTTGGTATGACAATCTTGTCTGTGACATTTGCTGTTGCATCAGTTTTGGGTCCATTGATTGGCGGTGCTTTCACCACACATGTTACTTGGAGATGGTCGTTTTACATCAATTTACCAGTTGGAGGATTTGCTTTGGCAGTGTTTTTGTACTCTTTCCGCCCTCCATTACCCAAAGTCGATATTTGGGAAGAGTTGAAACAGTTTGATTACATTGGTACTTTTTTCTTCATTTCGGGGAGTGTTATTCTTTTGTTGGCAATTACATTTGGTTCATCAGATTTTCCATGGAATTCAGGTGCTGTTATCTCGTGCTTCGTACTTGGTCCGGTATTGTTGATCGTCTTTGCCATATGGAATTTCCGTTTTTCCAAGAACCAAATCATTGGTACTGATGTTATCACCACGCCACAAATTATTGCCTCAGCACTTTCGATATCGGGAATTTTTTCAGCCTTTATTGTTACAATGATTTACGCTTCAGTTTATTTTCAAGTCATTCGTGACTCAAGTGCAATGGGTGCTGGTTTGCACTTGCTTCCATGCATCATTGCTACTGTCATATCATCAGTTGTTTCAGGAGGTGCGATTCAAAAACTAAAATATGTCAAACCGTGGGGTGTTTTTTCAGGGGTGTTGGCACCAATAGGTGCTGGTTTGTTGAGTTTGTTGCGAGTTGACTCTCCCTTTTCCAAGCAAGTTGGGCTATTAATCATCATGGGTGCTGCAACAGGTTCCCAATTCCAGCCAGCTATGTTGTCTGCCCAAATCAAAGCACCAAAGACTCCAGGTGGTACCATCATGACAACGATTTTTGTCAATGCTTCGAGATGTTTATCATCAGCAATTGCTGCTACGTTATCTGATGCTGTGTATACATCAAGTTTGAACAACTTTTTCAAGAAAAACATCCCCAAAGCCAGTGCTGAAGTTCAGCAATCATTACAATCGATTGACATTTCGAACCTTATGTCCAATAATGCAATTTTGAGGACATTGGATCCAGCCACTGAGAAATTTATCAAAGAACAAATGATGAAGTCGATTCAAAATGTATTTTACATGTGTATTGGTTTAGCAGCTATAACTACATTGGCTTGTCCGTTTGTCTCCAATAAGAAATTACCTGACACGAAACAAGTGGCCAAAGTGGAGAAGAAAAAGGAGGAGATAGAACAAGGAGATGCAACTGAAGCTGAAAAAGAAGCTCAATTGAAGGAGCTCGATGCTGAATTGACCGACTCGACGCCGCAGGATTTACCCAATGAAAGCAATAAAGTTGAAACTAAATAGGGAACATTATTTGGAACATGTATATAGAATGGATACAATAATAGGGTCTTATAATAGCATAATAATAAGTATTCAAGGGTAACACTCGAGCTCCCAAACACGAAATTGGAGATCAATTTTTTCGGGGCAGCTCAATCTTTGGTTTAATTTGCTGTCAAATCGACTCCCTTTTTTGATGAAGTGAATCTATTGACTCGCAATTGAGAGCAGCCACCAAATGCGCAGCCTAAGTATCTCAAGATCACAATTCGTTATGCTATTTCAATGTTTAGAGGCAAGCACGTGTTCCAATCATCAATACTTAAATGTTGACAATTACACTAGAATCTTGGACCAAACCCACTATTATTCGTCGCCTGAACTTATTTAAAGAATGCTGTTTTCAGTTGATGTATATCATACAAGATTGGAATGAGGATATGATGGTCATAAACCCATTTTGGAAGGAAGGATTGAAGAATGAGTGTTGCAACCAATAAGGTTGTCATAGCAGAATTATTCATTACTGAATTGAATCATTATACATGGATGATCTCACTTGTTGACAAGTTTGGGAACTCCGTGATAAACATATTGGTCAATCTTGCTTCTACAGGGTATAGTAGTGACCCTTTTATGTTGTCCTGATTGCAATTGCCCATTGACTGGATGTTATAGGGTTGTGATATTAACAACACCACTATAGCACATTCAAAATCCTTGCTCCAGCTTGACTTCTCATGGGCGATTGATTCATTGTGCCAAGGTATTGTCGTCTCAAATTATGAAAATACTTTAATTTTTGCTAATACCTTATACCAACAGTATGATTAATGGCAGAGTCATACCCAGAGGGGTGTCCAAGTCTGCAATACTTTATAGGAACGCTGATGAATCGATTTTGAGGTGACAAATTGCACCATCCCAAAGCGTTTACTTAAACGGTTTGTTGTTTTAAATCTTTGAAGAAGAATTGGAACGTATCAACTGATAGAATGATAGTGATCCACAAAAACACACTAGCTTTATGCAATTTGTAAGAATACCCACTGTTGGTATGGTGGTGCTTTTGAAGGAGAAATGGAAGTCTCTTTTGAAGTTTGTTCAGATTGTACACCGTCAATTTTGTGAATCATCGGATGAGGGTTTATCACACTTGTTGTTCCATTAGTTTTGAAAGTTTTTGATAAAGGGGGTTTGAAACAAGAGAAGAGGAGGATATTGTCCCGCGGGAAAGGTCGTAAATGGGATAAAGCTCCACTAATCTCGATACATGCAACGGAATCATGCAAATAGAGGAACTGCGTGGGTCAACGTTGAGAAAGAACAATCTTACTGCTATCTTGTTTGTCGCAACTTGTGTGAAAGAATCCTCAGAGATGCCCAACCAAAGCCCCGATGAAAACCGTTCATTAGAGATAAAGTGAAAGAGAGATTGAGCTTTGACGTCAATAAAAAAACAAATGTACAGCAGCGAAATCCGATATCAGCAGTCCATCAATACCACCATGTAGCAAATCTGCAATCAGCAAATAGTAAATTGGAATTTCAATGGGTGCACTTCGACAAATAAACAATCATCTTTTTTTTCACACGCACAAACTAAGTAGATCAACTCAATGGTACTTCAGTGAAGCATATAACCAAGAATGATTGCTTTATATATAGACAGCTTTTTTGCAATTTTGCATTTTTTATTTTAATTGAATCTTTTCTTTATTTTTTATAATCTTTTGAACGCTGTTTTTCATAACTTATAACATTACCTGCAATCAAATTCATTCCATTTTCAATTACGGGATCAATCATTGACCGCAAAATGAGGAGACTTGAGGATCAGATGAGGGAAAAATTGGTTCAAAACGCCACCATGATCAAGTCTGAAGAAGCAACCATATCACATCCACCGAGTTAGGATTATAAACCACAACGACAGAATCAGTATAAGCGGGACCTACTTTGAATCACTGGTGCTGTACTTTGTCAAGTGCTTCAGGTTTTCTTCCCTAATCAGAGATATCGAACCACAGGATCGTGAAAGTGAGAGTTATACAGGATTTACTACAGAATTAAAGGCAGAGTTCCTGGTATCAAGTCTTTGATTCCACAACACACCAATTTGATCCGCGAGTTATAGAGATTTGACTTTGAGTGCTTATATGTTTCTATCTTTTTGAGTGTAATGTACCAGTGGAAGAGGCTAGTTACAGCTCCTAATCACCAAATTCGCTCTACGTAAGTTTGCGTTTGTTCTCATACTCAAGATCTTTTTGAAACCATGTTCTTGTCGAAGTGAAACGAACTATGAGAAATTCGAGACAGCACTAAATTGGGTATCCCCTTCTACATGAACGGTAGGCGTTGCTTTACTGCCTTGAATAGGAAACAATTCGCGCGGAAATGCATCTCCACGGTATTGAAAATTTATAGCCAGAGAAACTTTAAAATCCCGCTTTTCTTGAAACCTTTCTTCCAAACTAGACTAAAGAGCCAAACTTGCGAAGCAAAGCGTCACTACTTCCAACAAGGGAAAACCGCAGTATTCCTGCGCATACACTCACTCACTTTCAAAACACACCACGCACATCCACTCATCACAATAACAAATGGTGTTCAAATTCACAATTGACACTGTGCTTGACCAATACGTTCCCCGCAACCAAATACACAAACTACCTCGATTTATAGCCCATTTCTTAGGCCATCACAAACATCCACACAGGGCAGCTCCTGATTATTTCATATGGCTTGAAATTTTGATTGCTACGTTTTCCGGTCTATCCCTCATCATGGGTGTGTTTATGCATCATAATGTGTTTACTGATCATCATCATGCTCCTATTATATTAGCATCGTATGGAGCTACCGCGATCCTTTGCTTTAATGCATCACAAGTACCATTAGCGCAACCACGTAATATTCTATTGGGTCATTTCATAAGTTCAACAATTGGCGTGGGGATACAGAAATTGTTTAGTTTGAGTCATGGTGGCAGACTGAATTATTGGGCTAGTGGTGCTTTGAGTGTGGCCATAAGCTCAGTGGTTATGGCAATCACCAATACCATTCACCCACCTGCGGGGGCTAGTGCATTGTTGCCTAGTATCGATGAACAAGTTCGACAAATGAGTTGGTGGTTCTTGCCGGTTCAATTGGTTAGTTCAGTATTGATTATTGCTGTTGCTTTGATCACGGGCAATATAGTTCGGACGTACCCCGTGTATTGGTGGAGTCCAGGTGCTGGTCAAAAAATTGTTAAACAACTGAAGAAACAACAACCAGTGGAGGCATCAAAGAAAGAGGGGGACCATGTGCCCACTTCAATTGGCGACAAAGATGAGATGAGCTTTCATGGGAAGGATGGCCATGACTTGACTAAAATGCAGCTGCGATTCACTTTAACTGGGGCTGGGATTGATGAAGTTGCTAATGCTAAAAATATCATCATTACATCTACTTCAATAGTAGTGCCTGAAAATCTCGATTTAGGGGAGGTTGAAGTTGATTTACTTCGGTCACTACAACAAAAGCTAATGGATCTACAACCAGATTCAACATCAACTTCGTCAGACACTAATGTCCGTTCGAAACCAGAACACCTTGTATGACAGGGCACAACTGCCAATAAAAAACAACATCTTTTAATATTACTAGACTTACATATATATACCATTTCCACATTACACGATATGTATATCTACATCTCCTTGTATAATAAATCTGTTTGCATTTTACAGACTCAAAAATTTGGTTCTTGTTCAATCTCTTCAACCGGCACGACTCCGCCTTTGAACAGTTCATCTTCTAATTTATCGAAAATGGCATTAGCAACCTGAGTAGTACTAACAACTGGTCTAACGACTCCATTCAAAAACTGGTTGCCCAAAATAGCATTTTTCAAATTAACTCCCAATTTCAAACCCTTCACCAAGACGTCTCTATTCGTAGTAGGCTCATTTGTAGATTTGCCGTGTTCTTCATACATTATCCCCGGTCTCATCAAAATGCTTCGTAAATGAGGCTTATTGCTCAATTCAAATTCAGCTTCTCGTTTGGTAATTATATATCGTTGTGGGACAATTGGTGGGTTTTGATCAGCTGATATATAGACGTAGTTACCCACCACAGAGTTTGATTCCTTATAATCACCAGCTGTTCCAGCTGTACCTACCGAGTCCTTATTGCTCTCTTTCTCCTTTTTCAATGCATCTAATCTAGCATTGATATACTCATCAGCAATCAATACGGCAGAATCGCGTTGTATAGCTTCATAAGTCAGATTAGCTTTGTCCTTCTGCATCGGATTCGATGACCCCAAAACGGCTCGATTAGCAAGTTTCTGTATATCTTGCAAAAACCCGAAATTTGAATTCATCAGTTTCTTGTACGACGCATCTTCAAATAATATACCGATTGAATGAACAATAGTATCAAATTGACTCAATTGAGTTGGGGATATTGATTGTTCAGGGTTGAATATATCGCATCTTTGCCACGATACTTGTTTGATCCAAGGTGGTTGTCGGGAAGCAGGGACGTTGAGTTTTGGTGGTTGGCCAGATCGAGAATATGATGTTATATTGTATCCGCGGTTGATTCCAACTTCACAGATTTTACGGCCTAAGAATCCATTGCCACCGAATACTGCTACTGACTTGGACATGGAAAGGGAGATAATGTTTGTGTCTGTGTGTCTGTGTGAGTTCAGTAGGAGAGAGCAAAAAGGGTCATTTCGTGGAATGGTCGCAGGCAGCAAAAAAGATCAGTCGGTTGCGAGAAACGCTACCACTGACCATACTATTCTGAGACATTCTACAAGGGCCTAAGAGAATGTTTCTACAATAGTTAGGGTTACTTTTCTAAGTGTATGATTTCGTATTATTTATTAAACAACTCTTTTACTAAATCCTCAATGATCAAATCTTTTTCTAAACAAAATTGACTCTTCATCTTCAACATCTTCCAAAGATGGTGAATGATGTTTGCGTAAACCATCACTTGGTCCATTGATTACCTTCAGCACCGGTGTGGTTGGTTTCTCCTTTGAAGCATTTTTAGTCACTTTAGCCTCCGATTTCACTTTGGTTGATTCTTTTTTAGCTGGCTCTGCTTTTTTAGAAGTAGTGGAATCAACTTTGGATTTGGTGTTGTTGTTGTTGTTTTCCCTCTTTGAAGTTATTTGTTGAGATTTACTAGTTCCGTTTTCAACAGATTGTTTAGTTTGAGGTGGTGGCAAATGTGAAGTCAAGACTGGACCCAAATTGAAACCAAAAAACTGATTAAGTAATTCTTGTTGCTGTTTCAAGTACTGTTCATACTCGTTGGAGTTTTGTTGATACTGATCTTCTTCACTGAGGATCTCCAGTTTCAACTCATCTTCTTTGGCTTTGATGGCGGAATCATTGTGATGTTGTTTTTCCAACTCTTCTTGTTGTTTAGCCAATTTTTCTAATTCCAATTGGGCTTGAAGAATCTTTTGACGTTCTTGTTCTTGTTTCAAAGCAAATTCTTCTCTAACTCTTTTGAGTTCAGCTTTTCTTTGAGCTTCGATTTCAGCAGATTTTCTTCTAGCTTCAGCTTCCAATTCAGCCTTCTTTTTAGCCTCTTCTTCAGCTTTTCTCTTAGCCTCTTCTTCAGCTTTTCTCTTAGCCTCTTCTTCAGCTTTTCTCTTAGCCTCTTCTTCAGCTTTTCTCTTAGCCTCTTCTTCAGCTTTTCTCTTAGCCTCTTCTTCAGCCTCTTGTGCTTTCTTTTCTTCCTCGTCAGCCATTCTCTTCTTTTTCTCAAGCACAGCATTAATAGCTTCTTGCGCCAACTGTCTTTGTTTTTCGAAAGCCTCTTGCTCGGCATCATCATCTTGCTGTTTATTCTTCAAATTGTCATTCTTTTCTTCAGCCTTTTCTTCTTCTTTACCTTTACCTTTACTCTTTTTACCTTGTTTTTTATTCTCTTTCTTCCTTTCAATCAAAGCATCAATAGCTTCTTGAACCAATTTTTCGTGTTCATCAAGTGATGAATCATCAGAATCACCCAACTCATAATCATCGTATTCATCTTGATCTTCATTGTGATGGTGGCCAAAATTCAATTCCTTCTCTGCATCTTCAAATTCAGGTGAGTCATGTTCCAAATACAATTGACGTTGAGGATCATCCAAAGTTCCCAATAAACAATTGATTACATCATTTAAATTGGAATGAATATAGTGTAATTTTTTGGGAATGTTTAAACTCAAGATATTGTCTTGTTTGTACCATCTCCAATTGATGTTTTCAATATCGATATAGTTAACGTTGAAATTAAAATCAATTTTGAAATCATCTTGGTGTGAGAAAATGATAACTTTAATCAATGGTGGTTGCAACTTGACAACTTTCACTTCGTAATTGTTGAAGTTTCCGTATGGTTTATAAATTTGAATCTGATATTCATCTTCAGTTTCCAATTTTTGAACCACTCTTGGTCTTGAGTTTCTTGGTTGTTGATGTTGCTGTTGCTGTTGCTGTTGCTGTTTGTGATAACGTGGTGGATGTTGGGTAGCAGTATAATAGTGGGGATAAGCTTGTAACGAACGTGCTTTTGGTTGTGGTGATGATCTAAATTGTTGTTGGTGTAACAAAGACAACAATGAATCTAAATCAACTGGATTAGCATATGGTTGAGCAGTGTAATAGTAAGACATTATTGGTAGAGAAGTTTTTCTTATATCGTTCAGTAGGTGTGATATAGTAGTGAAAAAAATTGAAGTGTTAGTAAAGATGGACAAACTTGGTTGTTATTTATATTCCTTTACCTCATGTTGCCTCGGAAGACAGTGGAATGTTGAGGAAAAAGGTTAGTTCTTTTTTGCAGTCATTTGCTGTTGTAGGGTTTTGCGCATTTTTCTCCGGATGTTCCAGATTATTCTAGAAAACGTTCAGTAATTACACAAAACTGTTTAAATCAATGTCATACATTGCTATCTTGTGACAAAGCATCCACGACAATACAAAATGCATTTAACCTAGATGTATATCAGTTCCGTTTATAGTTTGTTGGAACTAATGACAAATGCAGCCCTTGCACAGGACTGATTGGAGGAAAGGGCGGTTAAAGTACAGGAACATTTGCAATTACTAGAATTGAGACTAGTTATAATTGCAAAATATATATCGAGAGTGGAAAGGAAGTGATGTTAGTTACAAAAGATATACTCAATCAAACTGGCCACTACTATTCTATTCTCTCTACCCACTTTTGGTGTTCCTACTCTTGTTTTTCCAACTGATGATGGTGCGTACAGCGAATATAGAAACGTGAATCTAGAAACCAAAATGTGTTTCAAAATAGACAAACTTGAGAAGAAACTGACACAGACGAACAGACAGCCAGACACGAAAAAAAAAAATAAAAAAAATAAAAAAAATAAAAAAATAAAAAAGAAAAGTAAATAAAGAACAAAAGACGCGTAAAATTGTTCGTGTCTCATTGGAAAGAATTTGACGATGATGTTGAACATGTGTACTATTAGTTGTAACGGCAATGGGGCTAATGGTAATAACAACTAGAATGTAAGGAAGTTATTGTTTTTTGTTAACCAATATGTACTGTCTCATATGGTTTATACTTTTTCACTGCAGATGCAGATTATAAAAGCAACAGTTTTATTGTGTGAGATCTGCGTGTAAAACAACTTTTGACTAAAAGATTACACCCCTTACAGATTCAATTGAGACAAACACAACACATACAGACAGACAGACAGACAGACAATTTTCAGTAAGTCAGTATAGTTAGTAAAATTGTGGTTTGATAGTATTAAAGGAAAAAAGGTGTGTGTATGTATGTGTGTGTGTGTGTACGTGCTCACTTCACGTGCTGCATAAAAAAGGTCAGTCTTTTATGGTGTGCGTCACCACCAGCTATTTTTTTGGGGCAGTGCTAAAAGCTTAATAAGTCTAATATACACATCAGCCATTTTGCTCCAAATTATTAGCAGTTGGTATTCATTTGTGGTGTTATACTCGTCTACCTATATATACGTCACCTATTTACTCAGTATGGATAAGTCAATGTATGTACAATATCTAAATACGAACATCATTGTAAAAAGAATGGGCTTATTTTTGTCGTAAGAAAAGAGAATGCGACACTAAGCTAAAGTACCTTTTGGGAACCTTTTGTGACATCAAGACCAAATAGAAAAATCAAAGAAATTTTTTTTTTTTTTTTTTTGAAACAATAAAAGATCAAACATTCTCCTTAATTGTGGCCTTATACACAACGGTTTTTTTCTTCTTCTTTTCTTACGTGTCTTATTTGTACAGACCAAGAGTGGGATGTGTGTGAGTGTGTGTGGGGGGGGGGGGGGGGGGAAGAAGACAAAACCACCCGCTATGTAAAACTATCGACTTTATAAGTAATTATCTGTATACGAACAACCAAAGGCTGTTTTATTTATTAATCACATTCTCCTTCTTCAACATTCTTTCCCTCCCCTTTCGTAAATCTAAAAATAAAAAATAAAAAAAAAAAATAACAACAAACAAAAACTGACGAGAGATCCACAGAGAGAAAATTTTTTTATAGAGCCAGCCAAAACCAACAAACCACACACACCAAACCATTACTACCTAGAAACCTGAAGATCACGTTCTTCTCCTATCTATCTATCCACATACCTACATACCTACATACCTACATACATCAGTTGAGGTATTAATACCACACACATCTTAGATCTCACTTTACAATCTCACACACATAACAGAGATCTAGAAGGCAGTGTTTTCTTTTCAACATTCGTTCATAGTAAAAGACCCACACACCACCACCACCCACTACGACGAGTACATATTCAACCATCACACTAATCAACATTTAGAATAGCTTACAAAATAGATAGATACACACACTCACCAGGACCTACTTTCCCCTTCCCCCCCTTTCTATAAAAATATTAGACTACATTACATTAGATCCCCATACATTACATTCCTACAATAACAATGTCTGAGAAACAACAGCAACCTCATCATCACACCGAACACCATCACCACAACAACAACATTACACCTACCTCCAAGAACAACAAGGCCTCTAAGTCGAAACTACATCAATACAATACCATCTTTAGATGCTTCTTATTCATGACTATCTTGTTATCATTAGCCTACTTTTACTTTACACCTTTATCTTCACCATCATCGTGTCTACAATCATTAATACCTAATAAAAGCAACAAATCATTTGATAACCATCCAACAACTGTCAATTCAGTTGCAATTACTACAGATGCTACATCAACTACAACTACTTTTACATCAATAGACAATAGTGACAACCTTGAGCAAACTTTGGGGTTCCATAGGAAAAGAGCTCAACAAGAGAAGCAAAAGAGGCAAAAGAGGCAAAAGCATCATAAACAGGAAAAGAGAGCTGATAATTCAACTAGTGATGGACTAACATCTTCCACGTCGAATGGTGGTACATTTGGTAGTTCCACTAGTGGTTTTAGTACTGGATTTGGCCAATCTTCATTCTTGTTTCCTTCTTCATCAAGTTCATCATCATTTAGTAGCTCATCAAGCTCATGGTCTTCATCATCATCATCATCTACTTCATTTGGAGACCAATTTTCTTCCTCCTCCTCCTCATCATCATCGTGGAGCTCATCTTCATCATCGTCTGCCAATTTTGATGCGTCATCATCTGAAACACTGAGTGACAGTTCTACCTCATCATCGTCTACTTCCTCATCATCGTCTTCATTTGCTTCAGAGACTGGTGAGTCTAGCTCAACGAGCTCTACTTCATCGTCATCATCTACAACTGAAGCACCTGAAACTACATCTGAAACTACCGACTCATCATCAACAACATCTTCCTCATCTTCAGTAGAAGATGATGACACCACCTCATCATCGAGTGAATCATCAGGAACTTCGCGTCATGTAACAACATTGAGCTCAGTCGAAAATGGTAAAACAGTAGTTGTCACCCAAACTTCATTGGTTTCTTCACAAGCTACAGAAACATCCAATTCCAATAATCGTGATTCAAATGACAATGGTGGGGGATTATCGCAAACCAATAGAATTGTTGTTGGTGTTGTTGTTGGTGTAGGTGGGTCCATCTTGATTGGTATTATTGCCGTACTATTCTACCTCAAGAGAAGAAATAAACGTGATCCAGAAGCTGGCTGGACATTTTGGAGGAAAAATGAGAAATTGGGCAGTGATGAGTTTTTCAATGGTGAATTGGGTGTTAGAGATAGGAATATCAATCAAGGCTCAAACTTTTAACGTTGCGGCCTCCACTAGTACATTCAATCACATGCGATTACGTGGGGAGTTTTGCTTATATAAAATAATTTTGAGTAGTGAAAGAGACGATTTTTTAATATAGCTTTTCATACATTTTATACCTTGTAAGTGAGATGGACTATTTTGCCAAAAAAACAAAGAAGCAGGAGAGAAAGTAGTGGCCTAGTTGAAGGTGTACAATTGTTTCATTGACTTGCCATTGCTCTATGAAGAGTTATATCCCATATAATCAACACTTATATCCACTTTATTCTTTGTGTATCTCAAGTATATAACCACGATTTTCGAAAAGGACTTCCTGGAAGAGAATGTGCGTAGAACGCCCCCCCCCCCCCCCCAGTGTTTTTTGATCTATAGTAGGTGGGGTTTATTTGATGTAGTGAGGAAGCTAGTATACGATAGCATGACTCTACTTGACGTGCAGTAAAGAATCTGTGTTATTGTAAACTTCACGATTATTTGTTGTACGTTTTTGAGTAACGCAATTTCCAACAAATGACAAAGCACAAAAATTATGTACGGAAGTATCACCCGTATTATAGTAAATCTGTCAATATTCAATTACACCCCCCCGACATCATTCTTTTTTTTACGCGAATTCTCGCTGTGGTTAAGATAGAAAAAGTTAGTACATTGGTTCTCTGATCATTTCCTGTGAATGGAACGGATCACTCACTAGTATATCACAAATATTTTCTTTTGAAAATCAACGTTGGTGTATCTAAACACTGGTCCCTGCTCCTTTCTACATGGATTGTTTCATCTTGTAGTCAGTGACACATACACTCACTTGGTTCTGATTGTGGTTGTCACATTTGGTGGTTGTCACTTTTGGTGATCGTCTTCGAATCTTGGTTGCAAAAAAAAAAAAAAAAACAAAAAAGGGGAGAATAATCTTTATAGTAAAGTTTATTCCAACGATTTTTGTTATGCACATACATTCTATAAGCAACCAAACAGTAATCCAGTGATCAAAGTCCTTATCTTATCTGGAAGTAGTCTGAAATAAAGTCTGATCAACTAGTTCAAAGCTTTATCAATCCTAGCTTCAACTTTGTGTGTAAATCCCTCTCTGATAATCGGTGATCTGAATCATTGTATCATTGATGAGATACATTGCTGCGAATAGATCCCAGTAGACCAATGAGCTCAACCTCAACATCTCTAAATAACTAAATAGCAACAACATAGTCATTTAGCTGGTCAAAACATATCAAAAATATGGCCCTTTTTTTTGATATTCCCAAACTTCACCAAATTGTATGTACAAAACCACTAAAATATTTCCTACAAAAACCCCCTCAATTTCCTGTTTTCCCCCTTTTCCCCTTTCCCCTTATCTCTCTATCCTCACTAACATGCTTTCAAACTACACCGCTGCCAAGCGTAAACTGAAACCAACGCCTAATGTCACTGCCTTTTCACAATTCAAGAACTTGGCTGAAGCGAATCACTCTGATGCTTCAAGAATTGTCGAGAGGTCCAATCCCGGCCAGTGTTTAAACTTAACTACTCCTGTTCCCCTTCCGCCGCATGTTATGAACGTTATCAAAGAAAGTACCCCTACTAAACTGAACTTCACCACAGTTGAATCCACCATAAACAATTCCGAAATTGAAAACATTGCATCAACCACCACTGAGAAAGCAGAATATTCAAGAAAGGAAACCACCACCAAAAAAGCAGCTGCAGATGATAATTCAATTACTGGAACCACCACAGAATCTAAACAGTTGCAAGTGAAGCGTGTCAAAGATTGGCGTATACGCAACAGACAGATCCGCATGCAAGCATTGGTCAGAGCAGATCTGAATCCTGGAAACAAACTTTGTTAACTAGAGGAAGAAGATCGCAATCTGACAGAGTTGAATATTGGAAATGTCCACTTGTCCTCCAAACTGCTGGATCTGGGTAAAACAATCGTTGATGGAACTGGATTGTACAGTAGAGTTCCAGAATCGAATGCTGATGTTGTTAATGAAATTGGTAATGCTGCTGACATTGCATCACCTGGAAAAAATTTGGACACCAACAAAAAATCTGTGCTTGATAATGATGAAAGTACTGGTAATAGTGCACATACCACGGATACTTTAAATGATGCTGATGGAGAAGGTGTCCCCGGTTCTAATGGTGCGATTGTTGGAGATGCTACTGAAAATCTGGAAATCACCAATGAAAATTCCGTTGAGAGAATAGTTACCAATGTCAATCCCCCTGTAACTACTGAAGAAGGATCTCCCTTGAAGGATGCAGTGAAACCCAAGTGGAAAAGAATTTTGGGCAACACATTCAGGAAGAGTCCGGGAAAGGGCAATAGATCACAGCTTGAAGGTTCTCAACAACTTTGTACTACAGTTGCAGTTGAAGCAATCAATGATAAAGTGCAGTCGAATGGCCATATGAAGAGTACTACAGCTCGAAAATGGTCAAAATTTGGAAATGCATTGAGAAGCCCATTTTTGAAGAAAGCAGTCATTAAGGACTCCAAAGATTTGACTGAACATGGAAATACCCAGGTGACTTCCACACTGCAAGTGAACAAAAAGTTTAAAAATTTGTTCAAAAGAAAAGTGAAGGCATCCAAATCTGCTCCCCATGACGATGCTTCAAGTTATGCTGAAGTTGACCTCATACAAACCAAGTAATTGTAGACATAAGTGGTAACCATATCAGTTTGGCACGAGGTTTTAGCTGCAAGTCCAGTCTTTTAAACGTTGGAGAGCAATATATTAGTCCGAAGAGTCGATACGCACGGAAAGGCGGGACCTCAGTAGTTTCTATGTAGAGATATGGCCACTTTTTTGAGTAGTTGTGAAAGTTGTTCCGTACACATCACTGTTTGACCATTCCTTACTCCTACCTGGTATTCCCAACGATGTAAACTTCCCAAATCTCACCTCGGGGCAAGAACAACTTGAAGAAGAACCATGTCCTGCCATTCAGCGGAAACATGCAACCGATATGATCATCATCGAGTTCGCTAAATTTATCAATAAGTAAGCCTCTTCATAAATAGTAGTTTGTTTATGCATCGAATCACTTTTATCTAGGGCCACATCAACTGATTTCAATACTCAACACTCTACTCTTTCAAAACAAATGAATTGTGGTCTTCATATCCACGTCTCACCAGGTGTGACACATATCAATTGAAGCAGCCTTTTTCCAAAAATAAGCTCAATGTCTTCGCTCCGAATATACTTGAATTTGTCCATAGATTCAAAAATCAAATGATTGGAGCATGTGCTGTAAGTAATAGCACGAACAAATGTGACCACAAACATGAACATGTAGGCACATCACTTGAAATCAACTTTCACCACCAAGCAACTCGAAGTCCTTCAGTAAAGGAGGTGGTTTGGTATGGCTGCAAGACCTAACCTGAACAAAAAACAAGAGCACCCATCATAAAAATAAAACCGCAATGTCTAATGTCACGTTTGAACTCGAAACTTCTGTGTATCAACTCAAGAAACGCAGGTGATTAATGCAATGCCGCACACGATCTTTTAAACGCGTCTTATATGAAAAAAAAAGCATTCACAAACTAAGCATTGGCATCGAAAACAGTGCTTAGTCAATACTGTCCCCTTACTTATGTCAAACATGACAACAGTCCCAGTGTATCAGCAGCTACGGCCCGATGCTAACTACACCTACAAACTAATTCAACTACCACCAAACATTATATCACATTTATCAGACTCATCTACCTCAAATGCAAAGTACCTCAACTTGAAAACCAAACCGACAGTTGCAACTGCTACTACAACCACATCGGATGATGGTGATGATAATGATGCAGTTGTGGTGTGTACTGGAGATTCAACGTTCAAGTTGAGACAGAATAATCATTCGAATTGCGTATTGCTTATGAACCAACGTCCAATCAATAATAATATCCATCAACATCAACAGCAACAACAACAAGATGGTAGTGATGAAAATGCATTATTGGGGTTTAGTCAATGCAACTACGTTTACGAATTGACACAGATTCCTGGCACGATTTTGGACGTGGTACCAGAGTACCATGCAGAAAATGAACAAAGAAACAAAAACTTGATGACAAAGACCGAGATGGCTGAATTGAGTCCTTGTTCAAGTGCCGAGTTTGAAAAGATTTACATTGACTTGTGTCTTTGTGAAATTGCCACTGGCAATAACAAATTTGTATACCGGTTATCATTTGATACAATTTCACAAATCTTGCATACTTTAATCACGTACTTAATTAGTGAATCCAAACATGGCCAAAACTTCACAATTTTTGATCTTAACCTACAAGATAACCAAGCGTTTCAAAATTGGCAACTATCAATGATTAATGCCGTTATTCATAAATTTACGACTCCGGATCAAGAACCATCCAATTCACAAGACGGAAACACTGTTGTCAATGGTGTTGACGACGATAACACGACGACGACCTCATTGCGATTGAATGATGATGCCATAACGCACTGGTTTGGCATTCAAGAATTATCAAAATTAAACTACAATGCAGCTCCTTTAACCACAGTGGCTGATTTCTTGTTGAATTGGAAAACGGCATTACCGTCATTTTACAATGTGCCATTGGATATCATCCAATTACAGGGACACTACTATACTACTTCTTCCACTGGAGCTTCCCCATTGATTCATTTTATTGACCAATCATCACTTAGTCGTGATGTATCCACTCGATTCAAGCAATTGCTTCAATTGCAACCAAATTGGAAATACAATGAATTTGTCGCTTGTTTACAACCAGTTTTGGATCATGCCAAAAAAGTTGATTCGGTGATTTTGAAATATGGGAAAAAGAAGCGGGTCAAACGAGATCAGTTTATTGTTTGTGCAAGGTGAAAACAAAATGGCGTATACATGTATACAGAGAGAGAAAATAGGTTGATATCGCGGTTAACATTTGTATTAGTCAAAACAAAAACAAGCTCTCATTCTACGCTACACACTTTGTCTATATTGTATTGTATTCCTTCTTTATCTTAGTTTTTCGTCACATCGATATCCATAGCGTCATCTACGTGATCATTGGAAGAGGAAGCAGCGGCAGTAGCAACACCGGTAGCCATTCCACCACCTTCCTTCTCTCCATCGATATCCACATCCACATCCACATCCACGTCTCCATCTCCCAATTCAGTAATCTTGCTTGATGTAAAAGTCAAGACACTTTCAGTAACGGATCGATTGTTTGAGTTTAATTGTCCTGGTCGCAAACTGGCAGCCAACGTGGCGAATAATCCATTCTCTGAAGCTCCACTGCCTCTTGCTCCGTTGCCATGAGAGTAGTCACTGTAGTTGTTGTTGGTTGAGTTGTTGTGATTGTTGTTGTCTGCCCTGAATTGAGCATCCTTTGGTGATCCACTTGATGTTACATTCAATGCGGGAGATGATCTAGATTGGTTGAATGCTGGTGGGTGTTGATGATGTTGAAGATGTTGCTGCTGTTGGTACTGTTGATATGCACTTCCACCACCACAACCTCCTGGAGATGATCTCGATGGTGAACTAGCATTTGAAGGGTGGGGCGATACCGACGTAGTAGAATCTGTTCTGGATCGTCCACCATTAGAAGCACCACCACCACCGTTGGTTGTTGAAGATTGAATGACTCCCTTTTTCAACTTTTTGGCAAAATCGGTATTGTTATTTTGCTTCGACAACTCCTTCAATTGATTAATATTGTGAATACACTTGTTAATCGTTTGCATCAACAATTTTGGTTTCAATGGTTTTGACACATAATCATCCATTCCTTTAGCCAATGATTTCTCACGATCTCCCAACATGGCGTGAGCAGTTAATGCAATAATTGGCGTTCTAAAAGTTAATGAATCAATTGGGTTTGATTTTTTTTCCCATTGTCTAATCTTTTCCACCGATTCAAATCCTCCCATAACTGGCATCTGTACATCCATCAAAACAACATCATATTTATTCTTTTGTATAGCTTCAAATGCTTCCAAACCATTTTCAACAACTTCAACGTGATGGCCATGCTTCTCCAATATACGTACTGCCAATTTCTGATTCACCAAGTTATCCTCAGCAAGTAAGATATTGTATTTCACTGATTCATCGGTATTTTGCGAGATTGAACGAGACTCCAACGCTGGAATTAATGCGCTCGCTAAATCCGTCATTGAGCATGGAGTGTTTCCATAAGATGAAATTCCCAAGTCGATACAAACACGCATGTTTAATTCAGGAATGGAGTGATGGACCAAAACCAAGGGGATATATTTAACTTCCGACAACAAGCGTAGCTTCTTTGCCGTATCGATAGAATCAATCATAATGATATCGTACCTTATTGGCTCTGATAAATTGGCATCCTCTATATTGTTGACGATTATTGGATTCAATCCCAATTCAATAATGGCATGTTCAATCTCAGCCAATTCTTCATGACTATGTTCAGTAGAAACAAATAACACATAATGATTACTAAATGGCAACAATTGCTCGGTTTGTCTAGTGTACCTAATATTCGATGGCGATACTGAAACAGTAAAATAGAAATTTGAGCCTGATCCGTATTCCGAAGTGACCCATATTTCACCTCCCATCAAATGAATCAATTGCTTGGAGATGGACAATCCCAACCCGGTACCTCCAAATTTCCTAGTAGTTGATCCATCAGCTTGACAAAAGGTATCGAAAATCAAGCCCAATTTATCCTTTTCAATACCAATTCCTGTATCAGAAACACAAACTTCCAACAAAAGCTTATCCGAGTCGGGAACAGTCTTGTCTGACTTCTTCACACTAACACTAACTTTACCTTCCTTGGTAAATTTAATGGCATTACCAGCAAGATTTAAAATCACCTGTCTCAATCTAAATGAATCACCAATCAAGTTATCTGGAAACGATGAGTCGCATTGATACGTTAAATCCAAATTCTTTTCAATGGCCTTGACTGCCAACGTTTTCAATGCTCCAAATACCGTACCTCTTAATGAAAAATCAATTTGCTCAACCGTCATCCTGTTGGCTTCAATCTTGGATATATCCAAAATATCATCAATAATGGTCAATAACGAATTTGCCAAATTGTGAACAATGGACAACATTTCTCTTTGATATTGTGTCAATTCGGTATCCAACGATAATTGTGTCATACCGATAATACCATTCAATGGAGTTCTAATTTCGTGAGACATATTGGCCAAGAATTCCGATTTGGCACTATTTGCCAATTCGGCTGCTTCTCTTGCAGCGGTATTTCTTTGAATCGATTCTCTCAAGTTCAAAACCATTTGATTAATCTTTGTTTTTAATGCATCCATTTCACCCGAAGCTTCAACTGTAATGAATCGAGTGAAATCACCATCAGTTGCAGCAGCTGTAATTTGGGCAAATGCTCTCACTTGTGATGTCAAATTGGAAGCCATGGTATTGACATTGGATGTAATTTCTTTCCATAATCCATCGACATCGCTCACTTGTGCTTGGATACCCAATTTACCATTGATACCCACATCTCGTGCAACTTTTGACACTTCAGAAGCAAACAATTGTAAAGAGTCCACCATCTTGTTGATGGTATTTTTCAATTGCAAAATTTCTCCTTGAGCATGAACATCAATCTTTTGTGATAAATCACCATGGGCAACAGCAGTAGTAACTGTGGCAATTGATCTCACTTGATTTGTTAAATTTGTAGCCATTAAATTGACATTTTCTGTAACGGCTTTCCAAGCCCCTTCAACATCTTGAACATTTGCTTGTCCTCCCAATATACCCAAAGTACCAACTTCTCTGGATAATGTTGTCACTTCCGAAGCGAATTTCAACAATCGATCCACCATCTGATTGATTGTCAATTTCAAATTTAAAATTTCACCTTTACAATCAGCAGTAACCTTTTTAGACAAGTCACCTTTGGCAACAGCAGTGGTAACATTGGCAATATTTCTCACTTGAGTCGTTAAATTCAATGCCATGGCATTTACGTTATCAGTCAATTCTTTCCAAATACCTTCAACGTTTTCAATCAAAGCTTGTCCTCCCAAGATACCCAAAACACCAACATCTCGAGCAACTTTGGACACTTCAAATGCAAAAGTTCTCAATTGGTCCACCATTGTATTTATTGTCATTTGCAACTGCAATATTTCCCCTTGGGCATGAACATTGATTTTCCGGGATAAATCTCCTCTTGCGACAGCTCGCGTCACATCAGCAATTTCTCTCACTTGATTTGTCAAATTGAGGGCCATAATGTTTACATTATCGGTCAATGAACGCCATATACCAACTGAGCCTTCATTTTTCGCTTGCCCTCCTAATTCACCATTGGCAACTTCGGTAGCAACTTTTGTGACTTCATTGGCAAAAGTTTGTAATTGATCCATCATTGTGTTGATGGTAATTTTCACTTTTAAAATCTCAGGGTCACTTTCAACAGTATGAATTTCAACTTTTTTTGACAAATCACCCATGGCAACAGATATAACCACTGTACCAATTTCTGACAATGCTTGTTTAAAAGCCTTGTTGGCAGTTTTGCAAACTTCCAACTCGTTATTGCAATCATTTATGACAAGATCTTGTTGTCTAATTTGTTTGATTAAATCATTTCTAATTTCCATATGCTTCTGTTGATACAAGACTGGATCTTGTAGTATTTTAAGGAGGTCTTGCTGCGAGTAAGAAGAGACCAACATTGATGATGATGATGATGATGTGTTGTTGTTGTTGTTGCGGTGGTAGTGCTCGTTATTGTTAATATTGTTAATATTGTTGTTGTCGTTGGTGTTGATGTTGTAGTAGTTATAAGTATTGGATTCTGATTCAGTAGCTGCCTCGGGTATAGTTTCAGGAACAATGCTGTTGTTATTCAACAGGTTCAGTTGTTGTGATGAAGATGATTTAGGAGATATTGGAGAGTTTAGATTCAAATTTGTTGAAAAGGTACTCTCTATAGGTGAAGTTGTTCTTGAAGATTGGTGTGGCGATGTCGGTGAAGATGATGATGTTGTTGAAGCAGCTAATCTTGCTTTTTTGATTGGTGGACTAATTTTGGAAACGTTTAGCTATGGGGAGGGTGGGGGGGATACGTTAGATATTGAGTATAAAAAGGTGTGTGAGTGGTGAATGCTTGTTGTCTAGTAAAAGGATAAACAAGGGGCTGTAAAAAGTGATGAGTAGGGTGAGGAAATTATTACGTCGTTTGATCTCTTGTGTTGTAGTGCAAGTGGACGTTTAATGTATTACCGATAATTTATGATGATGACGATGATGATGATAGAGTAGTAGAGTGTGTGGTGTAGTTGATTCTTCTCTGTAATGGTGGGTATTGGTGTGTGTTGTGTTGTGTTGTTTTTTTTTTCTATTTGGTCTATGGTATGTACTGTATGTATTGTATGTATTGTATGTATGTGTTAATCTCTCTCTCTCTCTCTCTCTCTCTCTCAATATCTCTCCTTAAATGTCTCTTTTTTTTTTTTTTTTTTCCGTTGTTGTTGTTTTTTTCTCATTCTGCTTTTGTATGATGAAACTGTGTGTATGAAGGGAGTGGAGTACTAAAAATATATAAACTCCTCAATACACACCAATACACAATAAACAATCTCTTAGAGATGGAATGCGAGAAGGGTTACATCGCCATGCTGCTATCAAAGTACAATATACACTAAATGGATGTATTAGATAAAAAATACAACCATTCACATATGGGTACACTACATCTCTATCTCTATCTCTATCTCTAAAGAAATCTTTTGTATTGAGTACAATTTTTAGTGCAAAACTTTCTCTGTTGGTTTTTTGTCTTACACAAAGTGACGTCACCACCCTGTTTTTTTTTTAACTTACATATCACCCCAATTCAAAAAACATAAAATAGTAGTCAATTTGCAACCAACCAATCAACTAAACACACACACTAACACACACACATACACACACACATACACTAACACTCCCTCTCTCTCTCTCTCTCTACTTGTGATTGGCAACTACTTCTACAATAAGTCGGACAGGGTCAAACTTATTAAATAATTGCAATTTTAATTTCACGGTATTGCATTGAATTAAAGATGAGAAGATGAGCGTCGAAATAACACCAATTTGTATAATGCTATTAGTGTAAGTAAGTGCAAATGTACTTGACCAGAACCCAAAGAGGTATGACTCAAAAGAGAAAAGTATATCTCTACCTCTACTCATTTCCCCTTGTGATTATAGATATAGTATTTTGATTTTTGGGGAGATATTCAAGCAAAAAATTAACATTTTTCGCTCAACTTTTATAAACAGCCAACATGGAGGGATAAAATATAGCAGCTACATTACTACCCTTATAAAGAGGATTGAAGAGAGAGGATGCAACCATATTTATGTCTTTGAAGCAACGAAAAATCACCTATACACACTCTTTGTACACTTAAAGACAGTGCAATTACACTACATTCTCAGTGTGGACTTTTGTACTAGTGCAAACAGCTTCTCTTCTCCCATCGGCCAACACCCACCAATTTCGTATCTCTACACACTAGCTTATCAAATCTGCAACATTTTGCAACAATAACCCAATGGTCGTGTTAAGTGACCCAATCGAGATCATTTGGCAAAAAGCAAAAAATAAAAAAAAAAAAAAAGGAAAAATCTTTTCAAACGATTTTCGTCAATAGCTCTCTAATCAAAATAGAAAACAGATTAGCAATTACTACACAGCACAACACAACACAACACAACACAAACCTATACATATATCAACCATGGCTGCTGAATCTACCCCATCAAGAAAAAATCAATACCAATTAACATTATCCGATGAATCCAAAGAAAGAATTGTGAAACTTTTGGATTATTCAAAGACCATTGCTCATTATGGTTTCATTCCATTTGTATTGTACTTGGGTTGGGCTGCTTCACCAAACAAACCATCGATCTTGAACCTATTATCTCCTTTTCCATCCGCTTAAGGGGATGAAAAGTTGAAGCGTAGCATAGATGAGTGAAATTTTGGATTATTAACCTTTCAACGCCTTTGACTTTGTAACAAAAGAAATAAAGGTGGTGGATATGAAGCGACTAGAATCTGTTATAACAGGTAACAAAGACACATCTTCTTGAGTGGAGAGATGGATAGTATGAGGTTGGCGAGTATTTGTCGTGAGAGTTTATTTGTTTTTGATCTTGTACATACATATAAATAAAAACAATTGAAAATTTAAAAGTAGCATTCTCTAGCTATCAATCAACCGTGCGTCGCTGATGCTTGGTTCCCTTTTCTTGATCTTGTGGGACATATAACTTGTAGTTATCTATCAATTATCGCCAGATTCGCAGTGATGACAAAATCCTAAAAAAAAAAAAAAAAAAAAAAAAAAATAATGAGTCCTTTGCAACCCATCACTCCCCCCCCCCCCACCACAGATTAGATTTACCCACATGCACCCAGAAGTGTATCCACTTTTATAAATGAATAAACAGGATGCTACAACAAACCATCACGCTAAGCAAACTTCTACCGCTCCTCGATTCTCATCAAGACAAGTTGAATCGATAGCAGGACTATGTGCTGGGTTTGCAACGACAATTATAACTCATCCCCTCGATATCATCAAGATACGACTTCAATTATCCAATACTGCTGCACACCACAATGGTACTACTAGCAGCAAGCCATTCCAATCAGTATTATACATCATCCGGCAAATCAACCACGATGCGAGATATCAAGCACAGAAACAACAACAACGTAACCCAAGAGGAGCTTCTTTTTTACGCAAATCCGTCGGTGTCAACTATTTAATTCAATATTATCGCGGAATCACCCCGAATTTGATTGGAAATATATCAGCATGGGGTTGTTATTTCGCCCTTTATGCTGAATTCAAGAATCACATCCATACCCTGAACTTGACAATAAATTATTTTGCTAGTTCTTCAATGGCAGGGATCTTGACTTCAATATTGACCAACCCGATTTGGGTGCTCAAGACGAGAATAATTGCCAAATCCACAAATGAAGCTGGTGCATACAAGTCAATTTCCGATGGAATACGAACCATGGTTCGTAATGAAGGTGTAACTAGTTTTTGGAAAGGGTCTATACCGAGTATGTTTCAAGTTTTCCAAGCAAGTTTGCAAATTACAATTTATGACCATTTGAAAAATTATATCTTTAAGAATAGATTGGTGTCAAGTGGTCAAAAACTGGATTTTGGCGCACTTGAAGGGGGTGATGGCAATGGTGTCGTGGCTTCTCATTTATCAACAACACAATACTTGTATACATCAGCACTATCAAAGATTATAAGCACATTGGTGATGTATCCAACCCAAGTTATCAAATCACGATTACAAAATAGTCATCAATCAAGTACAACTATATTGCAAGTCACTCGTAACTTGTACTTCAATGAAGGTGGACTACGTGCATTTTATAAAGGTTTAAGTGCAAATATTGTTAGGGTTGTTCCTGCTACATGTATCACTTTTGTAGTATATGAACATGTGAAACGAATTTTAACAGAATAAAATATAGACTCAGAAAGTGGAGTACAGTGCAATGTTTTGTAGATTTACCTAGACCCATCAATAAAGAAACTACAACTCGATTGAACTTTTAAATATTAGTATTTCACTATATAAAACTCTACTTAAAAAAAAACACAATCAAAAGTTGAACGAATGCAGCAGCACATTGCAAGCACTACACATCAATAGAAAATCAAACAAAACGAATTCGACAAAGAAAGGTAACTTCCAAACTTCTTTTCACTTCCCTATCTTTAATCGAAAAAAAAACAAAAAATACACCATGTGTCTCCACTTACAATAAAGCAGCACCAACTAAACCAACCAAAGCTCCCAAACCAACCTTGTTGGCACCAGAACCTTCAGTTTGAGTTGAAACAGATGGTACTTCGGATGATGAAGTAGTTTCTTCAGCAACTGATGAAGTTTCCAAAGTGGATGATGATGGTTGTTGCTCTTGTGAAGTTGAAGATTCTTGTCCTTCTTCACCAGCACCGCCACCGTTGTTGTTACCGGCAGTTTCGGATGCAGATGGTTCAGATTCTTGAGTAGATGATGATGGAGCAGCTTCAGATGTAGATTCAGCTTCAACAGTTGATGATCCGGATGGAGCGGCTTCTGATGATGATTGTTCTTCTTCACTTGATGAAGATTCAACCTCACTGGAGCTTGATGGAGCCTCAGAAGAAGAAGAGGAGGACTCTTGAGTAGAAGAAGACTCTTGAGAAGATGAGCTGCTAGAGCTAGAATCATCATCAGTGTGTCCAGAACATGAACTTTCAAATGCCTTTTTAGCAGTATCAGCATCACCATTTGGACAAATATTGTCTAAACAAGACTTGACATCGTCACCTTCATTGGAACAGATACATGCCAAATCATTCAATCCTGAACATTGAGATGATGATTTTTGAACTTGAGCAACACAAGCTAATAAACAAGCTGGTGGTGTAGCAACTGTCAATTGTTGCAATGAAGCAATGATTGCGAGAAAAGTGGAAACTTTAGTGAATGTAGCCATGGTGTAGATGTGTATATGTATGGGATTCAAGCGATGGTAAGTGGGTGGGTGAGTGGGTATCAAAGACTAATTGGTGTGTGCAACGAATGGTTTGTGAATACTGATCAGGAATGTCAAAGAAACGGGTCGGTCAATTGTTTTTATTTTATTTTTTTTTTTTTCTCTATGAATCTCACCATTCAACAATATTGTTCTATTCCTGTATATTAAGCAGCACTCTTTTTTGTTTGTTTTGATTTTTTTTTTTCTTTCTTTCTGTTCTACTAGATTTATTAGGGTAAAGTACTGCAGAAGGGATCTCTTTTTTTATTTTCTTTCTTTCTGTTCTCTCTTTACTTGAGTCGTGTACGTGTGCAAAATTATTCTCTTTTGATTGCATGTATGTCCTAATTAGGTAATTAACAACAAAATAATATTACAATATTACAATATGCACAATCGCTTGAAACATTTACTACTGCGGTCGGGAGGTGGAAAAAAAAAAATGCACTATAAATAGATTTGATGGCGGACACTGCCCATGAAAAAAAATTTAAAAAAAGGAATCTTTTCATAAACAGTCTAGATCCATGGGCGCTACCGGAACATACGAGTACCGGTCTTTTTATTTTTATTTTTATTTTTATTTTTATTTTTATTTTTTTCATTCATTGCCTGTGCGACATAATTATTCCAAACCCATATATAGGTTACCTAGAACTATTCTACGTATATTTATCTTGATTAAAGACCCTGACGTTATTGAACTAAAAGATGACAACCACGAAAGCACCAAACAGAAACAAGTCATGAATTCGATTTGAAGTTTCTCTACATTTTATTCTTTTCTAATTTTACATTTTTCGAATTATTTTGCAACCACGAGGAATTTGCTCAGGTTAAAAGTAGTGTTCTTTCTTATTCATTGGTTTTGCAATTAGAGCTCTTGAAGGGTGATTTTTCTGTAACTTTTCTTACCCTTGACGTTAATTGTTCTTTTTTCTAGCTAACTTTGACCGCTTAACTTTGGATTAGCACACAAACTCTTTAATTGGGTTCATTCCCGGTGAATACCGAGGCAAAAACATTAGATCCATCCCACTCAATGCTACCAATGGCTCGAGATCGCGACATTTATGGATGACTGCGGCGTCAAGTGTCAATACTTGATTTCCTTAAGTGCTTGGTTGGTTTTTTCGACCATTTGTAATCCCGTGTCATACTAATATTAAAACCAGCTTCATCAATGAAAACACAGTTTTTTTTTTTTTTTCAAAGTCAAGTTTATCCTTATGTTCGAGTGCCCATTGAAATCTTTCCTGTTTTGATTCTTTCAGTTCCCTCTTTTCAGACCAATCAAAGAGTCTCTTGAGTCTAAACTTGCAAATGGTGGTGAGGAAGTTATAAAGAGCCGAGATTTCCTTTCACACTCTGGAAAACACGTCTTATTCGACAGGAAGTTTACAGTAACAGTCGGGCGCGTAATTTTGCACTCCGACACAACTTTGTCAGCTGATTCGATATCCGAATTGAAAGGCAAGACACTTAGTTTCCTATTGGTTATAAAATAGAATCTGACTGATAAAATGAACCAAATGACCTATTCCACGAGCCCGAATTACCTGCAAGTGTTTCGGAGCGTTTGAAATATTTTATCTTAATATAGGTCATTTTTTCTGTCGCACATCCTATCTTTAATTTTACATTACAATCAGGTAATTAGTTAGGTAAGTTGTGCAAAAGGTAATTCTAAAAAAATGGTATCACCAAACAACGGGGGATTTTTTTTGCAGCCACAAACCTATAAATACATACCCACGTAATGCTCATTAAATCAAAAATAAAATACACTCTACATACGAATAAACTTAGTCTGCATCTTGCCCTCTCCTTATAATCTAATCTTTGACACTAACTGCTTCCCCTTGTAAATCAATCGCAACTCAAATAATCCAAACCCAACATTAACATCAGCCATGACATCAATGCCGAGATCTCCATTCAAAGCGCGTTTTAAAATATCTGATGCAGCACCATTTTCAATCTTTATGGGGATTCGAGGAGTGACATAAAACCCAGGTTGTAAATCGATAACTTCACGTCGACTCACGTAACCCAATACTATATCCTCATGTTTAGCAAATGCTTGGAAAATTTCCAATCTTACTTCGGCATTGGAGATGGGATTGTAGATTTTCAATTCAAGCTCTGATGTAAATACATGGATGGTTGTTTCAATGATGAATGCTCCAGCATCCTGTCTTGCTAGCTGTTTGTTTACAATAATGTCTCTGTTGTTGTATTCAGGAATGAGAAAAGTTACATTGGGCATAGTAACATCTTTGATCTTGATTTGATTCATAAATGCATTTAATCCTGGATTCGCCAACACTGAATTGTTTGTCAAGTCGATTGTCAAGTTTTTAGTGAATGACGATACATAAACACTGATGAAATCTTGCAAAAATAACTTGTCAGAATATGTCTCATAGTTGAACTTGACATTCATTTCCAATTTTGATCGTTCAAGCTTGGTTAGAGAAACTTGTCTCAAGCTAGCATGACCAAAGTTAGTTTTGTTTTGACCAAAAGCAACCAAAATCTCCTGGTCATGTAGCTTGGGGATTTCCAATGATATATTAAATGGATTGTAAAGTGATGTCAAAACTTGAAATTCAACTTCTTGCTCATTAGATCGCAAAAAATAAACTTCCTCAACCGCGACATCTAGTTGAGGCACAATGGAATCAAATTGAACACCACTCACACTTTGCAATATAGCAAATGCTTCTGGAAATTTGACAAATGGAATCTCCAATTGTTGCAATGTTGTATTTCCAACTATGGGCAAGGCTACATCCATATCTGCCAAACTAATATTCACATAAACATCATTCATAGTCACACATTGCTTTTTGGCTATTATAGAGTTGACAACTTTACCAACATACACTGGATTGTGCACCTCGACACCCAAGTTAGAAATATTTACATCAGCGTGAACATGATGCTTCATCTGCGTTGTTTGAAAATACACAAAATCTCGTGACCATGCTTGTATCAAGGTTTCATCACTCGACCCCACGCTGACATTGAATCTCAATTTATCAACATCAACTTGGAAAGGTGCTGGATTGATAGCTTCTATAGAGCAATGACTTTTCACGTTTCCTGCAACTGTATGATTGTCCTGTTTTGCAATAACCGTTGGCCCGGGATCAGTGTAATTCATGCTCAAGTCACAGAAACCAATACTGATATTCTCGGACACGAGATGCGGTCTCGGCAACGTAATAGCCAATTCTGCCGGAGGCATACGTTTCAATATATCGAGTATCCAGCGCAAATCATGCCATACATCACCCACTCTTTGATCTTCACTCAAATGTAGGTGAAACGTGATTGGCTCTTCCTTTAGATATCGCTCAATCAATGCATTGATGGGACTTATCAGACCCTTGCATTCATCCATTAGTTGTTGTGGGACATCTTCAACAACCCCTTCAACATTCACCATAATTGCATCGTCACCTCTTTCAATACTGATTGGTAAAGTCCGCCACGTTCCCACTTTGGCCAAGTCCGAGTTACAATCTCTGAACAGCAAGTCCCATTGTAAAGGCGGAATATCCAAAGAGAACACCCCCCATTGATTTTGTACCTCCATTTGCGCTGATAAGTTTATGATATTCGCACCAGGCGAAGTAACACCAAAGTTGTTAATTTTTAATCCTTTTTTTAAATCAGCCTTGTTTATTGTCAAATAATCGCTCACTTCAACATTGTGCAATTTCAAGTTGATCAATCTCAAGGTCTGTACGTTAACCTCTTTAGCAAGTATCTTGACCCTCAAATTTATATCATCACCACTTAATTGATAGTAGTATTTGAGAAAATCCAAAAAATCTGTGTTACCAAATGTACACTCCGTTAAAAAGTTCAACTCAGTCTTGGCTCTATTACCAACATATACTGTAATTGGTGGTGGATTTGTATCAGCCAAATAAAGAAATGGACTTTTCACGTCAATCAATTGTGTATGCAATTGAACCGGCTTCAACAGTGAAAGTTTCAATGATCCTAGCACAAAAGCACCAAGCTTAATCATGGCAATTTGAATAAAATTGGTGTGCATCAAATGATACTTCATTTCTACTGAACCTTGTACATGTACATTGACTCCCTTGCTTGTGAAATTAGCAAATGTAGCATTGTACACTTGTAAATCAATGGCTTGATTAACCACTGCTTGTATATTGTTGAACGTAATTACAGTTAACCCAATCAAGATGATGACAGCAACGAATGCAACATGGAGCCAATTAGGATCAAAGATTTTTCGTAGAAATGAGTGTTGAGGTATTTCAGTTGCACTTAGTAGTGGAGTTAGCTCATTAGATCGGGAACTGCATTGGCTCGTAGTGGTGCTTGTTGTGTTGATACTATTTTGGTCAACATTGGTGTCCAATTCTCTCACGTGGGGTTGGGGTTGCGGTTGCAGTTCTTGTTGCTGTTGCTGCAACAAAGGAGACGACTCTTGGGGTGGTTGTGTGTGCTCATTTGGGAATATATCGTTTCCTTCTTGTTCACAGTTAGTGGGTTGTGATGTCTTGGCCATTATTGCCACATAGTTCAATAGTAGTTTCGAGATGAGATGATTAATGAATAAGACAGTGGAGAAGCAAAAGATAATTGAATTGGTGGTACAAAAATCACGATATGCTGTCTTGAAATCATTGTCGCAAAAATAGTGGTCATGACACACATGCTTGTGAAGACTTGGTCAGTCGTTGCGTTTCAACCAGGTTGGCTAATAACAACTTATAACCGTAGCTTAAACCTCAATAGACAATCTCGTGATTGTGACGATAATTCCCAACTTCCGCGCTTGTGGTGGTATTTGGTACAATAATTACATCATTTCCTGCAATAGTTAACGCGTCTTAGAAAAAGTTAAACCCAAAACAAAAGTCCACCATCACCAACCTTTCAATCGCCTAGTCCACAATGTCATATTACGATATTGACGATATTCTAGCTGATGCGGAGAAACTACCCTGCCAATTCAACCACACTATTCCTGGTTTGGGCTACCTCGAAGGTAATCCCGGAAAGCCAATTCAAAAGGGAACCAAACTCGAACTACCATTCTGGCTAGCACAAATCCTTGCGGTGCTAGATGTACATTCCTCCTCCGACTCAACTTCGTTTATTTCATTGATCGATCCCGACTTCATCAACGATAAGGTCCTAAATGCTATTAAAACTGATGCCAAATCGCTCGACTTGCATAAATTATCGTCACAATATTATTCCATGATTATCAAATGGGGCAAATTGTTTTATGAACCGAAATTGATTGAGCAAGCTATGGAGATGATAAAAGAGCGAAGTTTTGAAATCAACAACTATGCAAGCAATATTCATTCAAAACATTTCAATACTGAGTTTATTTACACTTTGGATGAATTTGAAAAAAAATTGTTTAGAGACACTAGTGACAGTAATAAGCTAATGAGACAATGGTTAAAGGAGTAAAGTTTTACGAGTTTTACGTGTTATGCTGAGAAATAATGTATATTAATACTACAACAAGTTTAGTGAAATCTTCTCTATTCGTTATCACCGTTTTCTTCACCCATCTCATCACCGTTTTCGTCACCATTCTCATCATCATCTTCGCCCTCTTTGTCATCACCGAAAAGATCATCATCCTCCAATTCCTCATCACTGTCCTTGATAAACTCATTCGACAAATGTTGCGTTTTCTTCCTCTTGGAGCCATTTGACACTGGTTTATCTTCGTCCTCGTCATCCTCCTCATTGGATACCCGTTGTCTCTTACCATTCGATTTTGATTTATCAACATCAGAAAAGTCAGCTTCTTCTTCCTCGTCTTCGCTATCTGAAACAACCTTTTTAGCACCTTTGCCCTTCTTTGATTTACCTTTACCTTTGCCCTTTGAACCTTTACCTTTTTTCTTAGCCTCACCTTCTAGCTCCTGTTCAAACAATTTGTCATCATTCTCTTCTTCCTCGTTCGCCGTGACATCTATTCTGGATTCTTCGGCCCATTGTTGCGCTTGTTCTTGTAGGACTGCTCTTTGTTTGGCCAATTCTGCCTCTTTCTCTTTCATGGCACTGATTCTCTCTTGTTCCTTTTGAAGCTCGGCTTCTTTTTCCTTTTCTCTCAATTGTTTTGCTGTCTCAAGTCTTTGTTCAATTTCTGCAATATCCTCCTTAGTTTCATCAAGAGCATTGGTGAGTCTGTTGAGTAATGTGCTTGAACCTAAATTGGCCCTACCACGTAGTTCATCTTTTGGGTATGGTGGATGTTTTTCCTCGTCGGATGATAACTGTATCAAAGTTTCAATAGCTTCACTTAATCCAGTAATGGCATCACTTATATCCTGTGGTTGTCTTTTTTGAACTGGTTGCTTGGTGATAAAATCGGCAATTTGGAATTGAATGTATGAGATATTGAAAAGTAAGGCTGATTTCGACCCTCTTGTCAAGTTGAATGCCCGTTTAGTATAGTCCAAAGCAGTTTTGAAAAAATTTAGACTCTGCTCACTGATACCTCGAAGTGTCCAAGCTCTACCCAAAAATGTCAAAATTTGAACATCTTTACCATCAGTGTATCTCGTCAAGGCAAGTTCGTAGTTCTCAATAGCCTTTCCATACTGTTTCACATCACATAAAACATGTCCAAGGTTCAAGTATACCGAGATATCATTCAATGAATCTCTAATTTTTCTCAAAATGTCTAATCCTTTAGTGGATTCCTTGTTTTCAATGTAAACTATAGCCAACCCTTGTGCTGCATACACATTTTTTCTATCAACCGTTAAAACCTTGGTATACAATTCAGTTGCCCTCACATAGTATGTCCTCTTCTTTTCCGCCACACTTGACCCCTTCAAATCTCTAGCTAAAATGCAATAAATGTTGGCTAATGAAATTAAAGCATAACAATCGTGTTTATCGTATTCAACAAGAGTCTCTTTTTGAAAGGCAGTATCTGCATCTGGCTTCAAGCCCAACTTCTTTCCAAAATTTTTGGCAAACCACCCATAAAATGATCTAACTTCCATATCAGAAGCATTTAACTTCAACAACTCATCAATTTCAGATTGAATTTCCTTTGGTGTTAACCCATCTTCCAGTATACATGACAAGAACAAAATACGCAATTTGGCAGAAAAGTAGTTGGGGCACTCCGATAATAACGATTGATACATGTCTAAAGCGTCTTTTTCATTCGAGAGCTCCTTTGTTCTGGCCGAGTTGAAAGTCAAAGTGACTTTCAAATCATTTGGTAAATCCACCAACACATCACCATCAGGACTTAAGAACTCAGCACCATCCAATTTGTCAATAGCTATTTGGAAATTTTCCAAAGCGCCTTTAAAATTCTGTTTTGTAAACTGAAAGACACCTATATTGTTGTAGATTTCCAATGGTACATCCTTTCCAATTTGCTTTCTTGCTTCAACAGCCTTGTTCAAGTACAAAAGTGCTTGCATTAAATCAGTGTTTTCGTATAAATTGCTCAATGTCAAATATGCATTCAAAGCAACTGGTTCTTTGTTCAACAAAAAATCAGCGTCATTTTTACTAGCTGATATCCCTCTGTTATTGGAAAGTTTGATATATCGTTCCAACGCTTGAATAGCGAGCTCTTTCTTCTTCTTTGAACTTTGTTTGGCGTAAATGATACCAAGTGAATAATTTGCTTCCAAGCAATTCGCATTACTGCGCAAAATGGATTCAAATGTCAATGCCGCTTCATCAATTGATCCACGATTGTATTGCGATTGACCCAATCCCAATTTAGCTACTATGTTTAAATCGTTGAGCTTGATTGCTTCTTGGAAATACTTTGCTGCCTGAATGAAATCGCCTTCTGAAAATTTGATTCTTCCCAACCATGTACCACATTCAGACAACACATTGAGTTCATATTTTGAAGCTTTCGAATATGTAATAAGCTTACTCAAATTGTCATCCCCAGTTATATCTTTCACAACTTTTCTCAACAATTTTTCAACCGTCTCAAAGTTATTTTTGGAAAAATAGTACGATGCGAGAACCAACAATACAGTCGAATCGCTAACATTACTCTTGTGAATGATTGACAATTCACTCAAACATTGTTTATAGTTACTAACAAACTCTTCATCACTCCAAGAATTGTTGAATGCACGATGGAAATGAGCCAAGTTCAAGTATATCCTTGCTTTCAAATTGTTTGGATCTAGTTCAAGTGCTCGCTCCCATGCCTGAATTGCCATTTTCTCATCATTCAAGAACCAACAACACAAACCTATACCCAATCTTGGGTCTGGTGTCGTGGTTGGGTTCAATACCAAAACTTGTTGATACAACTTCAACGCATTTCCATAACTTTTCGATTTGTTTAGCATAGCCTGTGCTTTGCCCAACAAAGCAAACGTGTTATTCTGATCCCTCTTCAATATCTTATCAAAGATCTTTAATGCCTCTTCATCATTGCCCTGAAACAAAGACAATACCGCTTGTGACAACAAGGTGCTTGTGCTATTGACTGGAGAACTCTGTGTATCATTGTGTATTCTTGTTGCCAAATCAGCGATCCCAGTGCCTGCTTCTACCAAATGATCAACCTTGTCAATTCCCAAAGAAGCGTACTTGAAATGCAACCATACTAAAAACGACTGGAGGGTTTTGATATCTTCACTGCCAAAAATATTTGAATCCAAAGCTGACTGGATGATTTTGGCAGCTTCCTCTAATTTGCCTAATTTGGCATATGCCCGAGCCATAATAATCCAATAATGTTTCCCACTCTTGGTTTCAACTAAAAACAGGACAATTTCGCTAGGATCTTGTTCATCGATATTTGCTAAATTAATGGAAACAACATCTCCTTCCTCCAAAGGCACATCCAACACTCTTGAAGCCTCAACTCCATCTTGACCGATGTAGTATGAAATATCACTAGCCTCCTCCATATTTTATAATGTAGATTGTCGCGCTACGCTTTTAATTGAAGTAGGTTTGATGATCCTTCCCTGACGTTGTGATCAATAGGAATTTTTCTTCCTTTTTTTTTCAACCAGAACAAATAATAGCGAGAGCATGGGTCACGTGAAAGATACATCTATACTGCTTCAACATTCTAAATCTATATACACTATTTGAAGACACCTCACCATTGGTTACGGTTGGAGCAGCAGCCTTTCAGAGTAGTAGTGGCTTGAGGTTTTGTACTCGTCTCGATGTGGTTGGGAAAAAAATCTTGCTGCAGGGACCAATGGCCATTGGTTTGTGATTGCATCTGTGGGTATTGTAGTTTGTTTATCCCGTACGTGTCGTCACAACAACTTGTAGACGTTGTGGCAGTAGAAGTGGATTCTGGCTTGATTTCAGGAGCTTTGTTGTCCAATAGCATGAGCGTGTTGAAATCAAAGTCCGAAACTAGAGCATTCATCAACTTTTCTTGATCAACAAAGTATTCATCCAACTTGTGACCATCGATTATACCATGTACCTCACAATTGGTGCAATCACACGCGTCTGGCGGGCAGAGACAAGCGCCAGGTGATGGCTGTGTGGCAAAATCAAATTGCGGCTGGTTGAGCATCGGTTGCGGCTGATTCAGTTCAATAGGTAAAGCCTTAGGAATTATATCAGTATTTGGCAACGAATTGAATACGAGGGTGTCGGACTTTGAAAAACTATCTATAGGTACTCCGCTAGACTGAGATGGGAGTAATGGCGGGTTTGTAGTAACTTCGGTGGCATTGCCATGAACCACGCATCCAGCGCACTTACAGTCACTTCCACAACAACATGTACCAGGTATGGAACAAGATGATATTGGAACAACCTCAAATACGGGTGCTCCATTACGGTCGACTCCATTGTCATTTGATTTTTGGTGTGGCGATTCTGAAATAAATTTCACCTGCTTGGGAGGTATAACGACATCCTTATTGAGCCTCTTTTCAATGTACGTCTGTAGTATCTTCGACTTGTTTACATCCTTCTTTTTGTTTCCACAACATCCACACCCTGAACGTTTTGATACTTTTGGAGCACAGCAACCTGATGATATTATAAAGCTTTCGTCATTGATAATTGGTTGTTGTGGTGGTGCCTTTTCAACTGTGCTTTTGGTGGTTTTTGATTCATCATAAGGACCTATGATCTCCCCATTGGTCAAGTCTATCACTTGCTTTGACGAGGCTTTTAGTATGACTATAGGTTGGGATTTACATGATCTTGGAGTCAATGGAGGGGTTGAAGTGGTACCCTTATCTTCTGAGTCCGTGTCATCCGTTGGTGTGGCAATTTCTTCAGCAAATACAGCCACTCTATGGTTGGGATTACCATTGGCATAAACTCCTGGTCTTCCTTTAGATCTAACTTGTAGTAGTGGTCTATCGTGATGTTTGCATGTGGACGACCTATGACCTCGTATACACTCCATACAAGAGTATTTGACATCGTTTATCAATATCATTGCTGAGCTATTCTATTTTGATACTATATCTGACTACCTCTGCTGTTCATGGCTGGGCCTAGTCCTTTTGAAGTCTGTTTGGCATAAGTTTTCGTGAGACGATTTATTCTATGCTACAGAATTTTTTTACGACACTGGTTTAATCTGGTTTTGTGTACGTTTATGAGCAAATTATTTATGTACTAAACAGGCAAGTCAAAAGACTCTCTATTATGCAGAGTTGAATTCATTGGCATAAGGGTTCTGGGTAGAGAGAATGATATGGAATGGCCCAGGAGGACAGCAACGGCATGAACTTAGCAGGGACAGAGAGATGATTGGCTACAATTTCGGTTCTCTGGTATCGACTAAGGTGGATCTCAGACAACCCACTCTCGGCCTTGTTAATCTAAGTAAGCAGAGATGTATCTGTGACCCCCTGTGTCATATTATCAATGAACTTTGTCTGGTAATGAAATATTCCCTCGCTCCGTATTGCGTTTGCAGTCGATTCGTAATTGCGCAGTCCCTTTGATCCTTTTGACAACTTTTGTACGACACAAAATTTTAGAGAATCCGGTTCTATCTCATCTCATCTCATCTCATTTGAATTTTGAATACAGTCAAGCACCAACCACATGCCAGTCAAGCAGTATACCGACGATATAGAAACTGACAGCAATGTCATTCCAGACTCACAGATCAATTATGATGATGCCATTACATACTGGTCCTCAGTGCCACCTTCAGTCGATGGAGTATTAGGAGGGTTTGGGGAACAAACGCCAGTGCCAAAAGTTGATATCGTAGGATCGCTCACATTCTTGCGCAAATTATCATCTCGAATGAATAGTGGTGACCAGCTTAAATACACTATTGATATGGGTGCTGGAATTGGAAGAATAACCCGCGATCTCCTTTGGAAGGTTAGTGATAAAGTTGACTTGCTCGAACCTGTTAGACCGTTTGTGGAACAAATGCCTGTTGAATTGCAACAGGTTGAGCTACTGGGGAAATTAGGACAGATTTACGATATTGGTATGCAAGAATGGGTGCCTGATAAAAAATATTGGTTGATTTGGTGCCAATGGTGTGTTGGTCAATTGCCCGATGATGTATTAGTTGAGTTTTGGAAAACATGCCGTAGTGCATTAATTGACAATGGAACTATTATAGTTAAGGAAAACATTGCACCAATAGAAGACATATTTGATGAAACAGATAGTTCAGTTACCAGAACAGACAAAAAATTTAGAGAATTGTTTATTAAAGCAGGATTGAAATTGATTGCTAGTGATGTACAAAAGGGATTACCAAAAGAATTGTACCCTGTCAGAATGTACTGCTTGAAAGCGCAATAAAAACCGACTAGGGTGGGATTGGTGAATCAACTGAGAGTTTTAAACCCTTCAAGCGACTCTAGTTTTACTTGGCTCAAATGGAAACAACAATGCGAGAAACCCAACAACACCAACAAAAGTACCACATATCCATATAGGTGCTGCACTGGATGTATCTGAATAGTATGCAATCAAGGGTACTATAACCGCGCCTACTCTTGTACATGCAATTGCCAATGCATTCCCGGTACCTCTTGCTGCACTAGGCATAACTTCAGGAGTGTATGCATATAGTGCTGCGTAGTAGATATATATAGTTGCATACGAAATCGATGAAAGTGCAACATTTTGCGGCCTAGTTTTGATTTGCGTGTATCCGTACAAGAACGCCATTGAGGTGACACCTCCAATAAACAAGACACCTCTTCTTCCAATAATGGGGAAGAAATACAACAAAGCACCAGCGATTAAAGGTCCGCCCATCGAAACTGTGTTTGAAATCAAATTGTCTCGGTAAACTCCATGGGTTGTTGATGCCGAGATATTTGCCCCTCTGGTTGCCAAATATTGTGGCAAGAAGCTCGAGTATAAGGGATAGGATATGCCTAGTAAGAACCACGAAAGAAATACCAATACTGTTGATCTTGCCATCTTTTTGTTACTGAACAAGATGGTAATGTGGTGTTTCATCAATCCAAACAATCCTTTCCAATCAATATGTTTTCTAAAATCATCATTGACCTCAATTGATCCCAACAGTTCCAATTTCTCCAAGGTTAAGGAACATTTGCGATTATACTTTGTGGCAATATTATGCAATATTTCCACAGCCTCTGCATCTCTATTATTTGATACAAGGAACTTGGGTGTTTCTTTTAAATTTACCACCGTTAATCTTAAAATCGACATAAACAACACAATTGACCCATTAGTATAGTAGACATATCTCCATCCACGATTGATATGCGATGGACAATAATCTGCCGATTCACACGAGTTGTTGGGCAAGAATGCAAATGCCAAAGCAACGGCAATCACTTGACCAATTCCCCAGAAGAATGCAAAGAAAGTCAACAACCATTGATTCTTGTGTGGCAAGTATTCAAGAAACACGCATGTGTCCAATACTAAATTACCACCAGCAGCAAAACAACTCAAAAACACAAATATACAATAACTGGCCATTGATGACATTGTTCCGGTGATGATTGTAAACAACCCACTCAACAACAATGAGATATTAAATGCCACTTTTCTTCCAATTAAGTCAGCAGAGAACCCCCAAAATAAAGCTCCAAATAATAATCCTGCCGCCAACATTTCGTTACTCACGGGGAACTTGAAACCAAATTGATAATTGATAAATGTACGTACTGAGCTCTCCAAGTATGTCAATTGCGTATCAGTCCAGTATCCCATACCGTTTAAAAAGAACAATTTCAAATGGTATGGTGTGAATCCAATTTCATCAATGGCATCATTAATCAACTTTATCTTTTTCGATAACACTTCATCTTTCAAATGGTAAATTTCATTATCATCATTCAACGTGGCGGACTCAAGTGACAGTCTGGGAGTGATTGGTGCTTGTGGTTGTTTCTCTATATCTGACATGGTTGTGATATCAGCTTGGCAAGAGGTGTACCCTCAAATAAATAAATGGAGGAAAGAAATAGTTTGTGGTAAAAGCGGTAACTGCAAGGGGTACCACACGGATATAGTTTGGATCTGTAGTAGTTAATATGTAAATTAAATTTTGGATTCATTGGGATTTCCCATCTTATTTTTGATAGATAGATGCATATATATACAATTGTCTTACAAATGAACAAACTCTTGTGACAAAGTAAAAACAATAAGCCACCAGGATATGTGAAAAAGGTTATATCTTGATTTCAATATTGAACGAGAGTAGTTGCCGTTTTAAGTAATAATAATTATGTCCCATGAAAATATCTAAAATTAAATTGTTGCAAATAAAGGGCCCACGTTTTTGGCATCCTTGAGCATCTTTTGTCTCATAACCAATGGCACAAGTGCCACAAATGTGGGCAGCCACAGTGGTGGCTTCATGAATTGTAGTAATACAACAACAAATTCTTCTAACTCGCGTGAGTGATTACTGGAATCGAAATGGGACTCTCCCCACGTGCGTCGCGTTTTATCAATTTCACGGCGTCTACACAAAAAAATCTGTTTGCTTTTGTTTTTTTCCGTAAAAGTGGGTAAGATACGCGCGGCGTTTACAAATTTTACAAATCAAAAGCAAAAAAGTGCTTTTGAGGGGAAGGCACAAATTGGAAGAGGGTAGAGGCCCACGCACAAATCTGTCAAAATGCAAAAGAAGAAAGTGTGATTGTTTTTTATTTTATTTTTTCTTTTTCAAAAGCCCCTCTCACATGGATCGTAGTTCCTAACTTCTACAGCTAATCAAAGATAAACTTTATCGGAGGGGCAATTGCTAATGCCTCATATCTACATTATCCGTTTGTCATGTTGAGATGTTTTATTATTTAAAAACTTAAAGTATAAAAAGTACTTCAAACGTACCCAAGAGAAAAATTAACAACTGACCGACAAGCATAATAGTTGTGTCAAGTTGTTGCTTAAACGAAATTGAAATGAACGAATCAACATGTTGAATGATTGACTTCTATTTCTGTCCTTTTTTTTTTAATGCAAATAATTTTTTGATGCAAAAGAATAAAGAATAGAACAAACCAAACGTATGTGTGAGTGTATATGTGGTGTGAGTGTGTCCTCTCTTTAAACAACTCTTTGCTTGGTTGGCTCAAACGGTAAAAACAACGCAATGATACCAATGACACCGACAAAAGCACCACAGATCCAGATAGGCACTGCTGAAGATGTGTCTGAATAATAAGCAATAATGGGAACCATGGCAGTACATATTCTTGTTGCGAAAAGACATAAACAATTACCGGTTGCTCTGGCAGCACTAGGCATAACTTCGGGAGTGTAAGCGTAAATAACACCATAGTAAATGTACAATGCCACATAGACACTAGAAGTGAATCCAACATTTTGCGATCTAGTTCTAACTTGAGTATACCCAAACAAAAGCGCCATAGTGGCAATACCACCAATAAACATTACTTCTCTTCTTCCCAATTTAGGAATGAATTTCAACATGAGACCAGCTACAATTGGTCCACCAACAGAACAAGCATTGGCAATTAAATTATCACGATAAACACCGCTAGTAGTTGATGCTGATATATTAGCACCTCTAGTAGCTAAATATTGAGGCAAAAATGATGAATAAAGTGGATACGAAATGCCAAGGAAAGCCCATGAAATAAATAGTAAAATCGTTGATCTTGTTGCTTTGGAAGTGGCAAATAGTATCTTCATGTGCTTGAACATGAGTTGAAAAATACCTTTGAAATTGAAGTTGTTTCTATAATCAGAATTACTCTTGATTTCGCCACATTCTAACAATTGCTCCAAAGTCAATGAACATGGACGGTTGTATTTGGCAGCAATCAGTTGTAAGACCGCAACGGCTTCGGCATCACGATTATTGGCAACAAGAAACTTGGGTGTCTCCTTCAATCTAATAACAGTCACACGCAATATGGCCATTGCCAAAACAATCGACCCATTAGTATACCAGACATACCTCCAACCTCTATTAATATGGCTTGGACAATAATCAGCTGAATCACAAGTGTTGTTGGGCAAAAAGGCATACCCCAAGGCAGTAGCAATGGTTTGACCAATACCCCAAAACAATGCAAAAAATGTCAATAACCATTGATCTTTATGAGGTAAAAATTCAAGAAACACACAAGTATCTAGAACCAAATTTCCACCGGCGGCAAAAGCTGACAACAAGACAAACAAAGCATAACTAGCCATATTACCCATCATACCCGCCATAATGGCAAAGATGGCACTTAACAAAAGGGATAAATTAAAAGCCAATTTTCTTCCAATTAAATCAGCACCAAATCCCCAAACCAAAGCTCCCAAAATCATACCACCAGCATAAGTTTCAGCAGTGACTGGGAACTTGTACCCAAATTGATAATTGATAAACTGACGAACAGTACTTTCCAAGAAATTCAACTGGTTATCAGTCCAATATCCCATACCGTTCAAAAAAAACAACTTCAAGTGGTATGGTGTGAATCCAATCTCATCAATGGCATCGTTAATCAACTTCATTTTGGCGTGCAAAATCTCATCATTGGCTTCTAAATCAACCATATCAAACTCCAGTGAAGTAGAGTCTTCAAAATATTTTTCATCTTCATCTACGGCAACGCGTCCCATCTCCTCATCTTTGGACCGGTTGGGAGATACGGCACCGGCACCAGCAGTAGTCAAGGCCTGCTGTTCTTGAGCTTTAGTTTCTTCTTTATCTAACATGTTTGGGGACACAAAGGAAGATAGAAAAAAAAAATTTTAGTGTGAAAAAAAAAAAAAAAGTTGAAAAAGTTGACTATGTGAAAATGTGGAGTTGTTGGATGAGTGTAATGATTGTATGGTGGTGAGTATGAGTTCGATAGTAGTAGTTGTAGTAGATAATTTCAATCAGGATACATGTAAAAATTTACAAAGTGTATATATTCTCCAGTACAGTGTAATGAGAATGAGATAAATTTAAATTATGGTTTTATGGGAAACTATTTAAAGTAAAAATTGTAGAGAGACAGAGAAAGACACAATAAATTTTTCTTCTTTTTTTTATTTATTTTAAACCAAGCAAATTTGGTAGCGTTTATAGTACCAAAAAGAAAAACAAGCTTCATTTGGTCCTTTGTGTAACTTTCCATATTAGATATACTTTTCTATTAGTCTAAGGAAAAAGACAAGAATGAAGATCCTATAGTGTAACACTGAAAAGAAAACATCAGTTGTTCTTTGTTCCTATTAAATCGAGTGTAGTTCACTTTTCCTTTTTTTTTTTTTCAGTTTTCGTAAATTAAATTTCCGGAGATGCTTTGTGGGAGAGAACAACAAACGTTTGAATGAAAAATAAAGAAGAAAATCGATTTAGCCGAGGAGCGATAGATGGAAAACAATTGGACCTTTGTGCGATGAGATGGGTCCTATTCACTTGCGTAGTAAACACAACTTACCTAGCTTTGAATTGATACTTGGTTATGATAGCCAGATGGGAATGCATAGCGTACAAGCCACTAAGACTGTAAGGTCAGTCGTGGGTTAACCTTTGAGGAGAGATTTGCGAAAGCATGCATGCGCCCCGGGTCGTGCCTTGCAACTTTAGTCCTAAAGTGTTGTTCTTTTCTTGTAAAGTGCTATAACAAACTCTGCTTGTAATGCATGTGTATGTAGTGTGATTATCGAAAGATGTGTACAAAACATGCAGTTGATACCAAAGCTCCTTAGTCTATGCATTTTCATTGAGCCCTTACAACACTTTATTTACGTCATAACCAAAAAATCATTTCAGATGCAATCTTATGCAGTAAAAATCTTTTCCTTAGTCTCTGATTATCCAAACAGGTTTGATTTCAGCTATGTTTAGTATCTACCCCATAGAACACAGCTAAAGCCATTTTTGGCAAAGTAGATGCACTAAAAACTTGTTTTGTGGGGGGACAAATGAATAATCGTAGTACAAAGAGGACTCAACACCAAAAAATTTACATTTTGGAACCATCGTCTAACTTTGCAATTTGTATTACAAACTCTATGACTCTCTACTTTAACCATGTCCTACTTCATCCCATTCATCTTTACATCACCTGCTTCTCGCTTATCAACAACCTGTCTCCCATTGCACCATACACCAACGCAATTACGATCATCACCACTAAAGACCCACTTGCCCAACAAGTCAATCATTTTGTCGTACTTGGCATCAGCGGTATCAATATTACTAGGCACTTGCCATGGAAACACATCAGTTGAAACTACTCTGCTACTAGTCAAATCAATCAATTGACAATCAAACTTCTTACCCTTTTCGAATGATCCAATTTGATCTTGCAAACCAACTGCTTTTGCACCACCCATGGTTGACATATATAACCCTTCAGTCAAGGATAACTTGCAATCAGTGGCTTCGCTTTCCACTCCTGGCTTCATAGATAAGTGATGACTGACTAAAATTGCATGTTTGATAATGTGCAATATACTTGAATCAAACCCTCCACTTACATCAGTGCCCAAAGATACGTTAATATTGTAGTCGTACAAGTACTTGCGCACTGGAGCTTCACCACTGGATATAAACGTATTTGAAGTAGGACAATGTGATACCGAACATTTTTTGTCAGCAATAAGTTGGCACTCTTGTGGTGATAAATGAATACAATGAGCCAAAATAGTTGATTGATTTAACAAGTTGTATTTATTGTACACTTGACTATAGCTCTCGCAATCAGGAAACAATTTCGCTACAAGTTCAATCTCCAGTTTGTTTTCACTAATGTGCGTTTGTATGGGCAACTTCTTCTCCTTGCTTAGATTCCCCAAGTAGGTCAACATTTCCCTAGAACAGACTGGGGCAAATCTGGGGGTTATTATTGGCTTCACTAAGGATTCATGCACAGGATTAACCTCTTCTAAATGGTCAACAATCTTAGTCATTGAATTTACACAGTCGTCCAAACTTTCTTGATACTTTGGATAAGGATCATTACAATCCATGCACACTTTCCCCACAAATCCTCTTTGACCTAACACCAACAACAATTCAGCAAAATAGTTTGTAGTTTCCGGGTCAATCGTGGTGAAATATGATGCACATGTAGTTCCATTCATCAATGTACGTTGAATGACCCTGGTGTACACTTGCTTGGCAAATTCCAACTTCTTCAGGGCGTCATTGCCACCATTATCAGCAGTATCGTTGCAAAATCGATTTTCGAGGGGGAATGTATACTTGTTTAACCAATCTAGCAAAGGTGTATCCAACCCAATGCCAATATTGGGAAATTGCGATGCATGAATGTGAGTATCTATGAAACCAGGAAAGAAAAACTTTGTATAATCTTGAGATAAATCGATAAACTTGATCTCTTTGGAACTTGATGATGAACGCAACTGGAAAAACTCAATAGGTGACTCTCCCTCATGATCCAGTGGGTTATACTCTTTATATATGTAATCAATGACACCATCCGAACTGACCCCCACAAGAGTGTTAAAACTGATGTCCAAGTTATTTAAAGTTGGTGTATGAATAAATGTTCCATAGTATAAGGTATACGGTATTGGTGCAACAGCTTTAATAGAAAAGTCTTTGGTGATTGAGGGCATGGTCTGTGTCATTGATGCAGAGTCGGTGAAGTAGGAGGAATTGTTGCCGCAATTGTTGTGATTTATATAAGTTGGGGCAATCTTATCGTAGTCATTGTTTGTTCTTTTTTTTTTTTTATCGTGTGAAGATGTTTACGCTTCCATCGGAGGTTCCGAAACACAAACACATACACACATTGTGGAACCGAACGCTACTCAATGCCGTACGAGTCTATCGTGAGTGATTAATGCAGCGGGTGATGAGCCTAAACTGTCGGTGTGGCTGTGATGTGTTGGGTCTGTTTGAAGAAACGCTTAATGTTAGAATTGTCAAGATAATACTACTTCGGCCATTCATGATGAAAGGAACAAATGTCGAGTTGAGCTGTATTCCAAATGCCTAATTTAATATGTTAACTTGGTTGTTTCTTGAGGTTTGGGTGATGATCACATTTAAAGGTGAATCTCATTTCTTTGGTGTGAACATTACACTCAACATATTTTTTTCTCAATGGATCACAATGTACTTGTCAAAGTTAGTCAAGACCGACTCCAATAGAGTGCCCTTCTTTGCAATTTTCTCTCTTTTGTGTACTACGCAATTGAAAATACTGCTGCAATAAGTAGTAAGCATATCACACACCTCACTTCAATGTATCATTGTTCGACATTTATTTCATTGCATGACTGCATTATTCATGCTCACACTACTCTGCCTCGTACAGTTGCGTTTGTATGATCGTCATTATTGACTAGAGCTTGGCAAAAAGCGCAAAAATGTTTTGCGTTTGTTTAGTTACCGGGCACTCCATACATTGACGATACAACTTTACTTGATCTTTGAATATAGAACACAATTGATCATGTTACTCATCGGAACTTTCTGTGTGGGATGTTAGTTAGCTACATATTATAATCTTACTAATCATTACTAAGTGAATAGGTCATGTGGTAGCTCTATCCATGAAATGAAGTGTGGAGATATGTAGGGAAGAATATTTATCCAATAGGGGGCAAGCCACACAAGTCTACATATGAAGCCCGCGCCACACCTTATTGAGGAATGATGTTCCTAATAATACAGAAGTATAAATAGATCCCCTAACTCCCATCAACTTCCATCATTAAAGTCACACAATCTACTTACTTCGATTAATCTTCATTACACAAATAACCCTTATTAATATACATAATGTCTAAAGTCTCAATAGCTATCATTGGTCTCAACGGATTCATTGGAAAGCATGTTCTCAACGCTATCAACTCTGGTGTGTTTGACTCCAAGATCCAATTCCCCGTCAAAGCAATCACAAGAAAGGAAGGATCTCAATCAACAGACAAGATCAAATACATCGTATCTCCAGAGACTTCACCCGATGATGCTAATTTGATTGATTCACTTAAAGGGGTTGATGCAATTGTCGAATTGACGGGTCCTAATCCAGAATTATTTTCCAAGATTGAAAAGATTGTTGAAAAAGTGAAACCCAAATTGTTCATTCCATCACAATTTGGTGTCGACATAGCTCAGGTCAACTCCTATGCACCTGGATTTTTAGCTTTGAAAACTCAACACTCTCAAGCTGTTCGTAAATTGGGAATCAAGGTTGTTGATATAATAACCGCCTTTTTTGCCGTTCCTGGATCATTTCTTTACGAACAAGCAGGTGGAGTTGGTATTACAGAAAAAGGGGTAAACTTGATTGGTGACATTGATCAGAAATTCCATGTTTCCAAATTAGAAGATGTAGGTAACGTGGTTTTAGCAGTCGCTACTCATCAACCATACTCAGACTTGCCTGATACTATCCATGTTGCTAGTGAAGTGATCACCGTCAAGGATGTTATTGACAGGTATGAAAAATCCAAAGGTATCAAGTTGGATATTATTTCCAAGAAGTCTGCTGAAGAGGGTAAGAAAGAATTTGTTGATAAATTAAACGCTGGATTCAATCCAAAAGATTTCTTGTTCTACTTGCAGGTGATTGTTGCCCAAGGATTAGATAAGGGGACGTATTTCAGCAAATTGGATAATGAGTTGGTTAACCCAAACGAGTCATTATGGAATTGGGGTAAGTTTTAGAGACTGAGTTTGTGTAGAACTTCTTCTTTAGTGCGTCAATTATTACACTTCAAACAGTACATCTATTACTTTCCACGTCATGCAGGACCACATCGATCTTTGCCGTTTTCAGGTTCCTAAAGCAGCAGGTTTTGTGAAGCGCGCAATAGTTCTAACAACCGTCTTTGAATACAATGCCTACTAGTTCCAAGTACCAATTAAGTAACAGTTAAGCAATACTCTTATTTTGATTCGGGCAATCTCACACTGGTTGTCAACCCCTTTTAAGCATTATCAAGCAAACTCACACTTTTGGTAATACTACAAAAAGCAATCACAACCACATTTGTTTTGCTGTTTCTGTAGTTAATTAAAGTTTTATTGCAATAATTGAAGCCGATTAATCCTACATTAAAGTTTGTAAACTCTAACCTACACCATATAATCAGAAAGTCTTACTAAGAACCCTCCTTCAAATATTTGTCAGCTAAACACAATGACATATTGCGTTCAACAAACCTGTCAATAAGGGGATTTCTCAAAGTAATTACAAATATAGTCTTAGTAAGCATTAGTAAAAGTAGTAAGCAAGTTGGTAGCTCTGCTGATAAATCCGTATTTGTCACACAAAAGTGACAGCAGTTGCTCACAGAAGACAATAGAACAAATTAATGGTTTGTGGCACATGACCTTGGGCTGAGTTACTTTTTGTTTGATTACACACCATGTAGGATTCATAAATCCCAACTCTCAGGCTCATAACCATCACTAGCCAAAATCATATAAATATCACAACCAATACCTTCTTTTAGTTGCTACAACTCAAGCTTTAGAAATAACTTTTACACCCACTATACCACTCAGCACAATGTCCACATCTAAAGCATCAATTGCAATCCTTGGTCTCAATGGTAAACTAGGAAAACACGTCATCAATGCCATCAACTCGGGTATATTTGACTCCAAAATTCAATTCCCTGTCAAAGCAATCACTAGAAAAGAGGGCCACACCTCCACCGACAAGATTGAATACATTGTATCACCAGAAACATCAGTCGAAGACACCCATTTAATTGATTCACTCAAGGGTATTGATGTCTTTATTGATTTAACTGGTGCATCACCTGAAGCTTCAGAAAAAGTCAAGCAAATCGTCACCAAGATCAAACCTCAATTGTTTATCCCATCTCAATTTGGATCAGATGTTGAACAAGTTCAGAAATATGCACCCGGATTCTTGGCCAAAAAGACCCAATTATCGCAATCAATTCGTCAATTGGGAATTAAAGTGGTTGATATTTACACCTCATTTTTTGCAATCCCTGGATCTGTGCTTTATGATATGGTTACTCCAGTGGGGATTTTTGAAGATGGAATTCATTTGATTGGTGATATTGATCAAAAATTCAGTATATCGAAATTAGAAGATATTGGCAGAGTAGTCTTGTCAGTTGCCACTCATAAACCATACAAGGATTTACCTGATACCATTCATGTTGCTAGCGATACCGTTACCGTTAAGGATGTGATTGACCAGTACGAAAAATCAAAGGGAACCAAGTTGAATATTGTGTCCAAGAAGTCTGCTGAAGAAGGTAAAAAAGAATTTCTAGACAAATACAATGCTGGTTTTGATTTCAATGATTTTGTATTTTATTTACAAACAATCATTGCTCAAGGTGTGGATAAAGGTGTATACTTCGGCAAACTCGACAATGAATTGGTAAATCCAAATGAATCATTGTGGAAATGGAGCAAGTATCCATAGGACACTTAGTTGTATAGAGAATTCTGTAGGAGACCCTTTTTGAGAATCAATAACATATTACTTTGTCCTTTATCTGTATAATAAATTTGTATATACCTTTATATAATCTGTCCTTCGAATTCATAATGAAAACTCTAAAAAATGTTTTGTAATTAAACTCAGTCACCACCTTCTTCAATGGTTTATAGAATCAACTAAACTCTTTAACACCAATTTTTCATCCGATGATTGTTGCATCATCGATACATCGTCGTCTGCACCATCTTCACCATTAGCACCTTGGTTCCGCCTTTTGAACTGATCTTGCACTTGCTTTTGAGCTTCTTGCTGAACTTGGAGAATGTGTTGTTGCTGAGTAGTCAATAGCTGACCTAGCGTATGTGGCTGCTGCTGTTGTTGTTGTGGCGGTGGTGGAAAAGGTTGCTGAAGTGACCAATGCTGCTGCTGCTGCTGTTGCTGCTGTTGCTGTTGCTGTTGCTGTCCCAGTTGTGGGTACTGTTGCTGTGACCAACGCTGATTGTACATCTGTTGCAGTTGTTCAGAATCAGATATTTGACGAGGTATTGCTTCAAATTGGTAGTCATTGTATCCCATTTGTGGTTGATGCAGTGCTCTGCGTTGAAGTTGTGCTGATGAAACCCAAGGTTGGTTACTATTGTACTGCGTCCGACCCTGCATCTGAGGAGCTCGATTTTGGAAAGTGCTACCCTGTTGAAAACTTTGTCTTCTTCCGAGTCCTTGTTGTTGTTGCTGCTGCTTCTGCTGCTGCTGTAACGTGACTGATGATGCTGTTGGTATAATCGGTTGCGACATAATTTGCTGTTCAGCCATTTGCGGACGTTGCAGAAACTGCAATGGATGCTGAGCTTGTTGCAACGGCTTCAGGCTCGGTGAAGTTTGACCCAACCCAACATTGTTATTGGTGGAACTTCCTCCTCCAGGCAATGTTGCTCCAATTCCAGTACTCAATGGACTCAAGCTTGTTCTTGAAGCTTTAAAAGGCACACCGGTCACAGCACACATCCAAATTCTTGTCTTGTAAATTCGGAACAATTCACGCACCAAGTCTCTGAAATCAATCCTCTTTGATGTCGAATAGTAGAAAATCAATTTTTTTCGATCAAATTGATACTCTGCATCAATCAACTTCATTTGCAACAAATCTTGAGTTGTTGGCGATATGGGCGCACCACTCAATAAACAGCCGCTAGTAGCACTTGAAATCTTTGCAAGACATAATCGACATGCTTTCTCTTCATCTTGCTTCTTGTTCAAAATTTGAAAAACTTCGTTTGGTTGAGCTAGTGCCAATATTGATTTAGGAAATTGTAAAGTTGGTGGTGCAACTGAACTTGACAGGCTATGATGATGTTGTTGCTGCGATGCTAGGAAATGTGACCCAGGAGAATGTTGCGAATTAGTTAAGCTCCTCACTGATACATCATCCAACAAATTGTTCTCGACGTGTTCATTCAACGCTGCTTGCTGTTCTTGGAACTGCAACAACTTCAACAATCGAGCCTCATCAATCGACACATTCAACTTGAAAACCTTGCCCAAATCACGTCCACGATCAGCTTCAACAATAACTAAATCCCCAACTTTTATTTCAAATGAATTCTGACCCAAAGAAGCAGTTGCAGATGTAGGTGTCGTAGTTGTAGCTCCAGCTGTCATTGTAGGACTCGATATTGTAGTTGAACAAACCCCATTCGAAGAAGGGAGATAAAACACATCAATTCTCCCCGCCTTGAAACCAACCAAAACCAATTGGTAATTGCGCAATGATGACTCAATAGGAAACTTGGGCAACTGATATGCATCATTCAAAAACTTTTCTTCGTCAAAAAACCGATCATTCAACAACTTCATTGTCACTTTCACACGTTCATGGGGATCGGATTCAAAATAGTCATCAACCAATTGCATTGTAGCTGCATCATTTTTGGATGGTTGTTGTTGTTGTTGTCGTTTGGTCAATGTTGGTGAAACAACTTCATTATCTAATGTACGACCAAGAAGCCCTTCTGTATATGAATGACGTCTTATGGACTCAAAGCTCATTGGCGGTGATGAATTTGTTGCATCATCACCCATAAATGTCGTACCGGCTGCAGCAACTTCTTCGAGTGATGTAGGAGCAAATCCACTGATTGATGAAGACCTATTCTCAGCGGTTACAGCCGCGGCCGTATAATTCTCCGCATTTGAAGTACTCAATGGTGTGCTACGCATTGACATAGGAGGCTGTTTATGTGAAAAATATTGCGTAGTGAAGTTCAGTTGTTGTTGTGGTGGTGGTGCTTGCTGCTGTTGATCATGTCCATTCAACCTTGTTGGTGACCATATACTGCTAGACGACACGGGCGTTGGTCCGCTCGATGCTGATGGATTCGGCAGTGTCCAGATACTGGAATCAATAGATAACCCCCGATATTGTGGATGCAAAGGTACAACGTCTCCTCCTGCAGCACCTGTGCTTGTTGTTCCCTTTGAATCAGATATGCCCGACATCGGTGTGTTCCAAAAAGTATTTGCCCCATTTGATGCAAATCGATTAACTGAAGATCCTGAGTGGGGTGGTATTGATGACAATGCATTGTTCAATGGTTGAAATGAAGGTGATGACAATTGGTCTATATTGGGTATATTAAATTGGGAATCTAAACTAGGCATTTGATGGAATAATCGCTGTGAATCCTCAGTCTTTGCATGACTAGATTCAGTATTCAAATTCTGATCCAGTCTTTGATGATGAAGGTGATGGTGTTGTGGTTGGTATTTATAGTCATTTGATTGTTTGCTATTTTCCTGAGTCGGCCGTAATGTCGCCGCTACTCCATAATTATGCGCCATCGTAAATTGTTTCTGTAGGGGGGAAAAAATAAATCTCTAGACAATGAAACGTCCTTGTAAATATCAAAAAAAGAAAACGGAAAATGAGGGGGGTAGTTAAAAAGGAAAGCAAGTAAAATAGGTCTCCTCAGCTCTTGAGTAGCTAGTAAATGTGATCTCAGTATGAAAGTTTGTTTCTTTTTATGTAATCACTCGATATCAAAAAAAAAAGCACAACTGGTTTTGTAAGGATATCTCAAACAAAAACTAACAAAACTTTGATTCAAAAATTAATGGGGAAACTCCACACAAACAAAGTACTTTGTTTCCTTTTCTCACTCCTTTTGGTTCCTTAAATCTAAATCTGTTTGATACTGTATATATGTCCTTTCCCTCCTTTTGTGTGTAGAACCCCGGGTTTTGGCTTGTATTGACGAATGATCTCGGAGTATAATACAACGTAAACGTTTGAGTTCTGCTTTTGTTTCTCTCCTCTGAAACAATAGGAGTAGTCTCTTTAAGTGAAAAAAAGGATCTGGTGATTGATTTTGTGTTGAATGCGTCTCGGCTTAAATCACTAACTTTCAGAAATAAAATGGAATGATCCTAAAATGCGACCAATTAAAAGCACCTAGTTGTAGAACTCAATGTAGTCTATGAATGCGTTGATGAAATGTAGAAGTTGTAGCTCTCTATTTGCGACTTCTTTTCTCAAATTGAAGGGAAGATGCTTGGTTGATATCAAAGCAAATGCGTTTTTTTTTTTTTGTGAATACGGCACCGTTTGTCGTCAGTTAGAGTCACTCTCGTTGATGAATTTCGTCTTACCTCTGAAAGGGGAGTGTGAAGTAGAAATAATGACACGTCTATGAATAAATATGAATCAGAAAATGAGACCAGAATCACTGATGATCAAATGAGTGAAAAAACTTGAAGCCAAAAGGATATATGTAAAGGCGGTCTCGATGAATATTTTAAGCTCTCGGTGTTGTTTAAATTTGACTCTATCCTCTATACCACTCTTCAAATTCAATCTCTGTGATGGGGTAGACCCTCTAAAGAATAAATTGTCAATGGATTATAACAGTGAAGGTTTTTATACCTCTTTATCCTTGTATTGAACTTGGTTTTTCTTTGACCTAGCAGTGACCTTTGATTTTAAGGTTTTTTCTAAACTTGAAGTTTCTTCTTGAGAAGTAGTCAAATTAAATCTCTCTAATGATAATAATAATTGTAATAATAATTGTTATTAAAGTAGTATACTTGATATGCCTCTTGAGTGAAACCGCGTGTAAAAATCAGATCACAAGAAAAAAATAAAAACCTCACGCAATAATTTTATATCCAAAAACAAACTTATTATTTTGTCTGATTTTAGTCTAGTGGTCTCTTCCTTTTAGTGTGGTTTTACAGTTTCCGATACTCGTATGAGATGTATCACCTGTATGTATATATGTAAGCTGCACTCTGAAGGAAAGACCAAAAGCCACACCTCTGGATGTTAAAAATCTTGGTAAAGCTTTTTATTATGCACAGTTCTTAGCCGAAAAAAAAAAAATAATATGACTTGTCCTTAAGCCGGTTTTATCCAATAATGTACAGTTTCAGACTTAAAAGGGTGCTTCACTCTTTTCTTCTATGATTTTTCAAAGTGTAAGACGGTTTATAGATTGTGTTGGTTGAAGAAACAAGTTTGAATTGTAGTTGTAGTTGTGTATGCAATAATGACCTGATAACTAATTTGAAAAACCACTAAAGATTGAACTTATAACACTGTACTAAATCGCATCCAGAGAAACTCTGGACCCGTATATATATATATATATATATATATATATACAAAGTTATCTTTCGAAAGGGATATAGCAAATTAAGCACACCCCTTCTGAATAGGGTGACGGATACAGCATTGATATGTGTTTTTATGTGTGGGCAATTTTCCACAAGAGTTGCATATCTTTACAGGGAAAAGGAGTAAAAGATTAGACATGAATAGTACCTTTTCAGCAGAAGGAAAATATAACAACGGCGTTTTTTTTGTCACAGAGAGGGGTATGTAGTCTAAACTCTGTTCATGGTATCAATAGTGCAATCTCCCAATCATTAGACGTAGCGCAACACATAAAAACCGATAAAGTGAGTTATATTACACCATGAGGAATAATGATTTCGAGCTCAAGGTCCATGTGCTCACTATAAAAATAAAATCTATCAAAAGGAAAACATTGTTTCTTGATAATAATACATCAAAGATGGAAAAGAAACTGTACAGTATAGCTTCAAATGCCCGCATTTCTTTCTCTAGCTTCAAAGCCAAGCTATGCATCCATCTTCAAAAGGGGGTTGTCGAGACAAAGCAATAAAAGCAAACCAAAAGCAACCGAAAGCAAGTCCAAGCTTGGTCAATGTAGAAGAAATGAGTTTCCTTCCTTTACTTTGCTTCTGCACTCTGAAGTGAGAAGTTACAAATGACTAGTCACTGTATGTGAATGCCTCTCTCTTCTTGAGTTGCTTTTTTTTACGCTTTTCTAACTTGCTGCCATTGCCATCCCCTCTGTTGTAAACCAAACTCCGCCACAATAGAGTGACTTTTCAACTCATCAGATGAAATGTACAGTGATTTTATACGCTATTTTAATAGTCACGTGTATTACTACTTTTTTTCTCTTCTTTGTTCGCACCAAATGTTCATTTCGAGTAATTGCAACTACTTGATTAGGAATTGGCCTGAGCCACTCAACCAACCCGATCTAGAAATGAGGTGAAAAGAGTTCACAAAAATTGGGTGAAGGCTCAGTTTGTTGGTTTGTCTCAATTGGGTAACTTGGGTGCAAAAAAAAAAAAAAGAAAAGTAAAAGAGCACAGAGTAGCAGCAACCACTAAGTGTAAGGAAGGCCATTACAAAAAGATTGGGGAGAAAAGGTATTCAAAACATGTTGTGTTGAGGACTTATGTCAATCACAATCACTTCATTTTCTTTTTTTGAAAAAGTTCATTTATATTAGTTTGAAGCAAAAGACTATACAACTTAAAAGGCTTATAACGTAAACAAAGGTGCAAGTAGGAAGAGAGTCTTGGAATTGAAAATATTCAAAGCAACAACAGTTGGATTCAATTGAAGTCAAGTGTGGAAGTGTTTCACTATAACACTGAAAAACGTCTCTTTTCCTTCCTATTGATATTGTTGTTGATTAGGTATGTTACTATTCTGCATGTTTGAAAAATATGCATAGTCTCCATACGGTAAGTTGCCAGGTTGACCTCCTCCAGGTTGACCGGGTTGGCCTTGAGGTCCAGGTCCAGCACCACCAACACTACCAGGATTGCCTCCATACTGAGGAATACCATGAGGACCACCAGGTCCAGCAGCACCACCGGGTATTGGTTGTTGATGATGATGTGGTTGCTGCTGGTGGTGGTGATGTTGAGCAGCTGCTGCGGCAGCTGCTGCATGTTGTTGTTGCAATTGTGCATGTTGCTGTTGAGCTTGTTGAGCTTGTTGAGCTTGGTGCAGTTGTTGTTGGGAAACGGGAGCTGGAGCAGCAGCGGATGGAGCTGATGCAACAGGAGGAGCGGGACTTTGGTCAGGAGATTCACCTTGTTCACCATCACTCTGATCTTGATCACCACCAAGCCCTTCTTCTGGTGCATTCAAGCACGCTTGAATCAAATTCTTACCTTCTGGTTTTGTCACCAATGGTTGTAACTTTGGTGTGGTGAACGTATACACTAATCCAGTTTCAGAAACAACCAATAAAAGAACTTGGGTCCCAGTCAATACACTCAATTCATACGCCTTTTTCATAATCCCAGCTTTTCTTTTACTAAAAGTGATGTGACGTCTGCTCTTGTCCTGAATGAACTTGATTTCAATCTTTCTTCTCTCCTTCTGGGTCTTACCTGATGAAGGAACATCATCATCGTCGTCGTCATCGGGTGGGTTGGCTTGAGTAGTGTTGTGGATTGGATTTCCGTTGGCGCCGGTTTCGTACTCGGCATTTTCTTCAATCTTGGTAGACATCTAGACAGTTGGTTAGAATTTAGTTCTCTCACTCACTTGGTAAAAAGTAATAAACCATAGAAGACAGTTTTTTGCATAGCATTTCCTAATTGGTACACAATGAATCAAAAAGGAAAAAAAAAAAGGAACCCAAAACAAGACAGAGCCCAATAACAAATAGAATGTTTAATCTGGGCTTGCGTGGGCTCAACTGAATTCCCCATGTATCACAATACATTCATTCTGCAAAGTGGGAATATACATACGGCCACAGTTTATATATATATATGTGTGTATGGGGTGTTTGGACAAATGTTTATACCTCAATCTTGTGTATATTTTTGATGGTTTCCTAGTTAGTCAAAAAAAAATTCTTTTCTGTCTCTCCCTTTTTTTGTTGATCTTTGTTTACTCGATCGGGTCTTGTTTTTACCGCTATTTTGTATGTGTGTATGGATGTTTTTATCTATTTCACCCACAAAATTAGAGGTCGTGCATAGAGCTACAAATTTATATACAAACCTTATATATCATAACCTGTAGGTTGATGCTATAACAAAAAGAGAAAGAATTACTCTATTACTTTACTTTTTCACCTTGCTGTGTAGGACCTGCATGTATGCCTAATTACCATTGATTTGAACTTCATGTTTCAAAGGTGAGTCAACTGAGTTGACAGCCTCGGATTCCTGCTTTACCACAATCTCTTCCTTCCTCACAGGCTCTGTCACTTCGGGAGTAGATTGTGCTGTACTAGCAGGTGTAGACTGGGCAGTACTGTTTTCACTCTTCACTACAAGTTCATCCTCAGTATTCTCTCTAACTTCAATCCCCAATCTTTTCAATATTTTTGCCGTTTTGTCTTTGAATTCGTGTTGAGCTTGGTCAGAACTGTGCTTTCTTTGGTCCAAGATTAGTGCTCTTAATAGCTGGCTTTTGGTTATTGAAGATCTGGGTAATTTCGAAATCAATGCCAGAAATTGGGTCAATAAATGGCAAAGTTCATCAGTATTGGGAGTGGCTGATAGTAACTGTTCAATCACTTGTTCTTCAATCTTTTTGAATTTTTCAATTGATTTTTCATAAAGTTCTGAAAACTGGCTTATATCAGGGATATTGTCAAATACAGCTTTTTGTTCTGCTAGACTGTCGAAAATGTAATTCCCTTCTTTGATACTATACTTGTTAATATCTTGTAACCCCCAATCAGAATCGTACTGGGCCAATAGTTCCCTTTCTGCTTCCCTTTTTGCCTCTGCAATTGATCTCTTACTGCTTGTCAGTTTTGAGGTAGTTGATACTTTTTGCTTTTTGCGAGCCGGTGTCTTGACCACAACAGTCTCCTCTTCATCATTTTCATCATTGTCATCATCCTCATCCATTTCTATGACATCTGGCGCACCTTTCGACCCATACTTGATAAACACCTCCATGTCCAATGGATCACTGGCAAGTCTAAATGCCTGATCCAACACGGTGTCTTTTCTCCTCTTTTGTGAACTTTGAACAAAATGAGCAGCAATATCATCTTTACTCAATGGTTTGATATCATTAGATTTGATCCATATATATGTATCATCACTGAAGAACTTGATTGGTAATACATTTGGTGTTGGCTCTTGTTGTTTATTCTTGGGTCGTTTGTTGAGTATATGTGATGGCAAGAGGTCTGGGTCTAATACCATAGCTGGCCATGCTGGATACCCTTTAACTTTAGCTATAACAATGCTTTTTGGTGGATACTCTTCTAACATGAGTGTATATATGGTGCTAAGCTGGAAATTAATCTAGACGTGTGTCGGACAAATTTTTCCGATGTTTTTCATTTTTTTTGGTTCATATTCAATGTCGTGTTTATTTATGCGATACGACACACCAACTGGCGACAGGTTTAATACACAATCACATGTTAGAAACATACACCTTGTTTTGGATCGTAATTGCAAAGTTGCAATAATGTAGTAATGGACTTGCCAAAGAAGAAGGTGGTCACTTCTATAAGGTTATATCATGTGTGATCCGCACCTAGTTGAAGCTGTATCGTACCCCATTGGTTATTGAATAGAAATAAATTGCACAAAAAACAGTCTTTTGTAATTTGTTTCCGAACCCTCCCCACGTTCTCCGATGTACACAAAGCAACTATTCTTTCTGTTGGGTACACAAATATATTTGTATACTTCTTTCCCATATATGTGCCAAAGAGATGCTTTTTCTTTTAAGTACGAAGAAAACAGTTTGGTATGTGGGACGATTGGGAGCCTTTAGAGCAGTGTGTGTTCTGTCAAAGTTGAAGAGTTGTACGTTTGAAAGATGCTCGAATCTTGCTCTGTCTTTTTTATTTTTCCAATAATCGAACGATTATCTCGGATAGACTTTAATGACACAATTCAGTCAAAGATGAAGGTTGAACTGAAGTGATTTCCAGTTAAAATAACACTGTAGTGCGTGAGAATCCGTAAAGCAACTTACTTCCTCTGTCCCCGTAAGACAATGGTCCGATAAGTTAATACCGTGAATAAATTCAATTTAGGCAGTTGATATATCTTTAACTCCGAAATTAAAACTTCACCCTTTTCTTCCTTTTGTTTTTTTTTTTTTCTCTTTTGATTGAGCAATGTTTCTCTCTCTCTCTCTCTTGTTCACTTTTATTGTTCACACAAAACCTTCCCTTCCTCCCCCCCAAAAAAAAACTAGAACGAAAATCATACGTCCGGTCGACAGACGAAAAATCTCTTTCCCTCTCACCCTCTCAGCCCCCCTTTCTTTATAAATATTTCATCAATTGACCATCCCTTGTTTATCTATTCTGCATTAACTCAATTGGTATCACCTTTGTTTTCTTCCCTTTGCTATTGCTTATTACCATCATGTCTCAGGATTATCTTACTCCGTCAACTTTACCACATCCTCCCTTGAAGAGAACCAACACTGGGTTCACACCCAACCAGATTATTGCCTTGGATGCCGAAATTCCTGCTTCGGCAAAGGAAACTTGGTTCAAGTACTCCCAATTGGATATCTTGGATTCAAATTATAGAGGACCACGTCACAAGAGCGATAGTGTGCACACAATTGTTGACGATGCAGATAAGTTTGAAAAGGAATTTGTTAACCATGTTGAAACTTCATTGGGAAGATCCATGTACAATTGTGACGACTTGGCTGCTTATCAAGCTGCTGCAAATACTGTTAGAGATGCATTGGTTATTGATTGGTCCAACACTCAACAAAGGCAAACTATTCAAGATGGGAAAAGAGTATATTACTTGTCATTGGAGTTTTTGATGGGAAGGGCTATGGACAATGCATTGATCAACTTGAAGTGTGAGAAAAATACTCGGAGCTCATTGAATGAATTGGGATTCAGCTTGGAAGACGTTTTGGAACAGGAGCCAGATGCCGGTTTAGGTAATGGTGGTTTAGGTAGATTGGCTGCTTGCTTTGTCGATTCATTGTCTTCGAAAAACTATTCAGGTTGGGGTTATGGTCTCAACTACCAATATGGTATTTTCAAACAAAAGATTATCGATAGTTATCAAGTTGAAACTCCTGATTATTGGTTGAGATACACTAATCCATGGGTTTTGGACAGACATGAAATTCGTATTCCTGTTGACTTTTATGGCTATGTTTATCAAGAACAAGACCCCAATACTGGTAAAGTGAAAAAAAGTTGGAGTGGTGGTGAAAGAATTTTGGCAGTTGCTGCTGATTTCCCCATCCCTGGTTACAATACTGATAATACCAACAACTTGAGATTGTGGAATGCCAAACCAACTCACGAATTCGACTTCACTAAGTTCAATGCTGGTGACTATCAACAATCTGTAGCAGCTCAACAAAGAGCAGAGGCAATCACTGCCGTTCTTTATCCTAACGATAACTTCGAACAAGGTAAAGAGTTGAGGTTGAAACAACAATACTTTTGGGTTGCAGCTTCATTACATGATATTGTTCGGAGATTTAAAAAGAACCACAAGACCAACTGGAAAAAGTTTCCTGATCAAGTTGCTATTCAATTGAATGATACCCACCCAACATTGGCAATTGTTGAATTGCAAAGAATCTTGGTTGATTTGGAAGGCTTGGAATGGGACTATGCATGGTCGATTGTCACTCAAGTGTTTGCCTACACCAACCACACGGTGTTGGCTGAAGCTTTAGAGAAATGGCCAGTTGATGTAATTGGTCATTTACTTCCAAGACATTTGGAAATCATTTATGACATTAATTACTTCTTTTTAAAGTTTGTCGAGCATAAATTCCCTAATGATCGTGACTTATTGAGAAGAGTATCCATCATTGAAGAAGGATACCCTAAATCAGCAAGAATGGCTTATTTAGCAATTATTGGATCTCACAAAGTCAATGGGGTTGCTGAGTTGCACTCTGAATTGATCAAAACCACTATTTTTAAAGATTTTGTCAAGGTGTTTGGACCCGACAAGTTTACCAATGTTACCAATGGTATTACTCCAAGACGTTGGTTGAGACAAGCAAACCCTGAATTGGCTGCTTTGATTGCCAAGAAGTTGGATGATCCTAACTACGAATACTTAACAAACTTGGGAAGATTGAAAAAATTAGAACAATTTATTGATGATGAAAAGTTTTTAAGAGAATGGGATGCCATCAAGTTTAACAACAAACGCAGATTGGCGGCTTTGATTAAACAAGAAACAAATGTCGATGTTGATCCTACTTTACTTTTTGATGTTCAGGTTAAGAGAATTCATGAATACAAGAGACAGCAAATGAATATCTTTTCCGTCATTTATAGATACTTGCACATCAAGGAATTGCTTGCCCAAGGTGTGTCAATCGACGAAATTAAGGAGAAATACTACATTTCTAAAGCATCAATCTTTGGTGGTAAAGCAGCACCCGGTTACTACATGGCCAAAACCATTATTCATTTGATTTGCAAAGTGGGTGAAGTTGTCAACAACGATACTGAAATCGACAATCTTTTGAAAGTGGTGTTTATTCCCGATTACAATGTTTCTAAAGCAGAAATTATCTGTCCTGGTTCCGACTTGTCGAACCACATCTCAACTGCTGGAACTGAAGCTTCAGGAACATCCAATATGAAGTTTGCTTTGAATGGTGGATTAATCATTGGTACCGTTGATGGAGCCAATGTTGAAATCACACGTGAAATTGGTGAAGAAAACATTTTCCTTTTTGGAAACTTGGCTGAATCAGTTGATGAAATCAGACACAAACATTTTGTTGAAGGAGTACACATTCCAAAGACTTTGCAAAAAGTGTTTGATGCTATTCAACAAGGTCAATTTGGAAACGCTGATGATTTCAAGCCTTTGATTGAAAGTATTAGAGATCATGGTGATAATTATCTTGTTTCTGATGATTTTGATTTGTATTTGGATGCTCAAAGAAAAGTTGAAAATGTATTTGGCCATCATGGTGCTGATGCTGAAGATGAAGATCATTTAAAGAGATGGGTTAGAAAATCGGTTTGGAGTGTTGCCAACATGGGCTTCTTTTCTAGTGATAGATGTATTGATGAGTATGCTGAAAATATCTGGAATATCGAACCATCTAATATTTAGGTGGCGGTGGGTTTTAGTGATAGATCAAGGGAAGGAATGTTTAGTGTATAGAGAGAGAAAGGAATGATTAACAATTGTTCGTGTGATTCTTCCGTCGGATTTCCGAGTCCGTGGCGTGTGTTTCTTGTTTTCTGGAGTAACAATAGGTTTGTAATGAATTCGTTGCACAAATGCACCACACTTTTTACTGTTTACCTTTGTTGCAAACTTCGGCATTGGTGTATGTCCGGTTCCGAGCTAGTTCCGATGCTATACAAGACGTACACCAAATATCCAAAAGAGAAGCTCGAGCGATGTGGTGAAGATAACGTGGTTTTGCTGTTAACCCTACAAACAACAGATCCAATCATGACGTAATAATTGGACTCTATTTTTAGTTTCATGCCACCCAAGAACTAAATGGAGAAACGTGACTTTGTGTAATTATTAAATCCGATATGCACAATTTGCCGTGGATAAAAAATGGGGATGCAAGGATACGAGGCTTAACTTGGACTTGGTGCCAGCTCACACGACTCCCGTGAATATCGCAAGTGATGTACTTTCTATCCAGTGTCCAGTGCCATGTCTATGAACCTGTTCACTTTTTACATGGCGCGCATTTGTCATGTGTCAAAAAAAATTAAAATTCTTCAAGTCTGCAACCATGTTGAATCGTGAGAGATTGGAATACCCTAGCAACGCATCTATCTTCACCTTACCAAACCTCCATAGCAGGTATAGAGTTTTTGCTTAATCACGTTGTTTTCGCGAAGTTGCACTAGAGCTGTAAAAAACAATAGAGAGCTGATAATGCTAAACAATAGCAAGAAATCATCTCGGTGGAATTGTATGAAATTTGCCAAACACAAAAGAAAGTCCCCCATACAAAAGAACAATGATTCCCCCACGATTCCTGTATATGAAAGTTTCCTTTTGTTCACGTTACTAAAATTATCTTCCCCACCTTCTCTTGCTTACCAAGACCATAAACGAAGGAAGATGATGTCTGCTTCAGTTTTCGAGACTTGATCCAAATCCTTTATCAGACTACAGTCAAATGTGTCACATGCCACTATGAATGCTACAGTAGCTGTGGCTGTTACATTTGCATGTTCTCCCCACTTGCCACTTTGCCGTGTTTTTTTTGAGTTTACATGCAAGGAAGCTAAACATATGGCTAAAATTTTTCCTTCAAACATTAGCAGAATCAATTTTGTGCACCGTTTCTAATACACTAAGCGTGACAAGTATTGCACAATGAAGTGTGAAGACATAATAGACACGCACACATTAGCAATAACTCTGGGGTTCCAGTAAACGCCGTGTATAAATAGGATGCAATTCGCCAAACAAAACACCACTGCAGCTACCTCATCCACATTCACCTGCTGTACAACATGGACTCCGACGAAGTTAAAGCTACCGTTTCTGAGAGTGAACACTCAGAAAAGTCCAAACAGTATTTAAATGTTAATTTGAATGACTGCGAAGACCCAAACAGAGTACATACGTTTATGGGATTATCAGGACCAAAATTGAACTATGCAGTCTCAATATTTGCTGGTGTTGGATTCTTATTATTCGGTTATGACCAAGGTGTTTATGGAAGTTTACTCAGTCTTGATTCTTTTGAAGACACTTTCCCCTCAATGAAGGCATCAGTAAACTCAACTTTGCAAGGTGCAGTCATTGCCGTTTACGAATTAGGTTGTGGGTTTGCTGCCTTGTCAACTGTTTATCTTGGTGATAGGTTGGGAAGACTCAAATGCATGTTTCTCGGGTGTGTTATTGTTATAATCGGAGCTGCGTTACAAGCATCTGCATTTACAGTTACTCATTTAGCAATAGCAAGAGTGTTTACTGGGTTTGGTACTGGTTACTTAACCTCAACAGTGCCTGTGTGGTCATCGGAAATGAGTAAAGCTAAATCAAGAGGTAAATTGATTATGATGGAAGGTAGTTTGATCACATTGGGTATTACCATTTCATATTGGGTTGATTTTGGGTTCTATTTTGTTGACAAGGGTGGTGATCCCAAAGCTATATCATGGAGAATCCCCGTTGTGCTTCAAGCTATATTCCCAATTCTTTTGATTATGTTTGTTTTCAAATTCCCCGAGTCACCACGTTGGTTAATGGCAAAGGGAAGAGTGAGAGAAGCCAGGATAGTTTTCAGTGCTTTGTATAACCTCCCTGAAGGAGACGAGAAAATAACGGACCAATTGACAGAGATTCAAAGTGCCATAGAATTGGAAGAGGCCAACGATAAAGGCTTTAGTCTTAAATCATTGACCAGTCAAGGCCCAACAAGAAATTTTCATCGTTTGAGTTTAGCTTGCTGGTCGCAAATCATGCAACAAATTTCAGGAATCAATCTAATTACATATTATGCTGGTACTATTTTCCAAAATTATCTCCACATGTCTCCCTTCAATTCGAGAATCTTGGCTGCTTGTAACGGTACCGAATACTTTTTGGCCTCGCTCTTTGGTATTTTATTTATTGAAAGAGTTGGAAGGAGAAGGCTCTTGTTTTGGGGAGCTGTTGGCCAATCCCTTGCCATGGTTGCCTTGACAGTGGCGGCATGGAAATCCCAGGTGGCTTTTGATACTGGTGGAAACAGTACACCACCTGGAGTTGCTGCTGCGGTTTTCCTTTTCGTGTTCAACTCCGTATTTGGTATGTCGTATCTTGGTGCAACTTGGCTATACCCACCAGAAATATCGGCATTGCAATTGAGAGCTCCAACGGCAGCATTATCAACAGCAAGCAACTGGGCTTTCAATTTCCTTGTTGTTATGATTACTCCAGTTGCTTTTGAAAATATTCAATATTACACCTACACAATCTTTGCTGTCATTAATGCATTGATGGCGCCAGCAATTTACTTTTTTTATCCGGAAACTTCAGGTCGAACCTTGGAAGAAATGGACTTTATTTTCAATCAATGTCCGGTTAAGGAGCCATGGAAAGTGGTTCAAATTGAAAAGAATACACCAAGGAGACGTTATGCTGAAACCGACTTAGAAAAGCCAACCACGGAGCATATTGATAACGTGGAATCGGATGGTATACTTGATAAATAGGTCTATATATGAACGATACAATTATACAGCCTAATTTGCATCTCTGCTTTTCATAACATGAAGCTCTTTCTTTTTTGTCTCTCTGGCATCTTTCTACGCGTTAAATTAAATGGCTTTATTTTTTTTTCTAGATCTTTCACATCTTCTGATCCCATCTTTTCCTTTTCATACCGTACAATAATGCCAGATATACTTCAATTGATAGTCAATCAGACATCTCCGGACAACAATGTTCGTAAACAATCGGAGCTTGAGTTTAACGAAACCGTGAAAAATAACCCATCAGAGGCTACATATTTGATACTAGATGCATCAGTAAACAATACACTTCCCATTGATGTTCGTCAATCATGTCTACTTCATTTGAAACGGTTGGTGCCCAAATTTTGGTCAATGGGGTTTTCATCGTTTATTGGACCACCAATTGACCAAGAATTGAAGAAAGTTATTAGGACAAAATTATTGGAGTTGGTTTTAGGGTCTGGAAATTCCAAAATTAGAAACGGTGCCGCTTACGCTATTGTTCAGATTGCGTCAGTGGACTATCCTGATGAGTGGCCAGATTTGATTAATCAGTTATACTCCGCAGCTTCTGACTTGACTAATGAGGAAGCGATGTTGGGTGGTTTGCAAGTGTTGACTGACTTGGTTGATGATTTGATTACTGAAGAGCAGTTCTGGGATGGAGGTGTAGGCATTGGTATCAACAATCACTTAAATCAAATCTTACATAGCTCTGGGGTTGCTATTCCAGTAAAGAACCAAGCATTGAAGTTGTATGAAAACGTATTGGCTGTATTTCAAAGCCCTGAGGCATTTGCTAATGCCAATAGGAAGGAGACTGTTCTTCAACAAGTGAACGCAACTTCGGAGATATTGTTAAACTTGATAAAGTCACATGGTGTCAACTTGGTTCAATTGGATTTCAAAAGCAACCTTTTCAAGGTTATTGGTTCTATCATTGGCCATTTTCACCAACGAATCTCAAAAGAGCTTAAACAGAGCGTTTTGATAGCTACTTTACAAAACTTGCATTTGTTGGCTCCAGTCTACAATGATGTGGCTTTGAATACTTATGACGCGCCTGAGTTTTCTGAGTTGGATGCACAAGAAGTGCTTAATACTGTAATTTATAACTTGTTCAACACGATAGCTAGTATTCAACATGACGTGCTGATTTCACAAGTGAGCTCAATAGGTGAATTTTATAAAGATGCAGTTGTTTGCACAGCGTTGCCGAAGGACCGATTGGAGGAATATGCAGACGACCTCAACCTGTATGTCAGTGATGTTACTGGTTTGTCAGTAGCTATAAATCCGCGTGATGCAATAATTGATTTATGGGGTGAATTGAATGAAACCGATGCTTGTGAAATTTGCAACTTGATCAATGAGCTGTTTTCAAGTGATGAGAGAATATTGGAGGCGGAGCTTTACACGTTGGAAGGGTTGTTGTCCAATGACGTACAATTACCCGAAACTCCACTAAACACATTGCTATCGTTTATAAAATACGACCAAAGGATAGTGGCATCAAGGTGCATTTTGTTATTACCCAAGTACTTTGAAAACTTTATGGAAAAGGAAGCGAAAAGGGTATTTGCTGATATTCTTTTGTTTGCGGAAAAGGGTAACTCTTTGATTCAAATGTCCACGCTTGTCAGCTGTAGCTATTTCCAACAAGTAATTGAGTTTTCTACCTTGGAAAGCACGCTACAATTGATCATCTTCAAACTTGCATACGCATTATTAGATGAGTGCGAAGAAGATGGGCTCCCTGTTTTGTTGGAGGCAGTCACGCTGGCAATTTCGATTAATCCAAAGCTTGCATCGGAGCAAAACATTGTGTCCCGTGTCAGTGTGGTGGATGTTGTTTTCAAGATTGCTTTTAAGGATCCAGCAAACGTGCAATTGATATCAGACTCATCTGATTGTTTGACTGCATTGTTACAAAACATTGACACCCAAGACTACATAAGTGTTTGCGAAAAGTCGTTGCCGTTTATATTTGAAATCATGGAGAAGAGCAATGGTGAATACACACCCCAATTATACTTGAGCTTAGAGCTTCTCAGCATCATTATAAAATCTTCCCCCGGTGAGCTACCACCAAGGATATTCGAATACGCATATCCCATATTGCAGAATGTTTTACTTCGATCATCAGATGATCAAGTACTTCAAAGTGGAGGTGAAGTGTTTGATGAATTGATTAGAAAGGCGTCAAAATTGTTTGTAAATTACAAAGATCCTTCAACTGGTGTCTCTGGGCTTGAATCAATGATGCAGCTTGTTTCAAAATTTTTGTCACCCCAATTGTCTGATAGCGCTGCAAACAAGTGTGGGTTAATAGTTGCATCACTAGTGAATGAATTCCAAGACTATTTGTCACCCCAGCTATTAGTTCAAATACTAGAGGCAACTGTTAATAGACTTGTTATTGCCAAAGAATCTATCACGATTGAAAACTTGATTACGGTATTTTGTCAACTAGTGCTCAAGTCTCCCGAAGATACGATAAATTTCTTGAGCAGTATGGTGGTGAACGAGAAACTGGGATTAGAAGCTGTTGTACCTATTTGGTTCGAGTCTTACGAAGTTACTCGAGGGTTTGATCAAATCAAGCAAAACTCTTTAGCCTTGGGTAGAATATTTACATTGGGTGACCCAAGAATTGCCAATTTGACTGTGAATGGGGAGATAATTCCATATGATGGCGATTTGATCATAACAAGATCCATGGCCAAAACAATGCCTGATAAATATACCCAAATTTCAGCCGCTTTGAAAATACTTAAGCTTTTGGTTAGTGAGTTGCAGTTCCAATGCCAACAGCCCAGTGCTGGCGATTTCACCCATGCAGGAGAGAACAATGAAGCTCAAGTTGAAGAAGAAGATGATGATGACGAAGGTTGGGAGGATATGGATGATATTGGAGTGCCCAATTTCGCAAAGTTGAAGTCGTATGTGGACGACGATCACAAGGACAGACCTGAAGATGATAGTTTGAAATCATTGTTGGTGGAGTTTTTCAGAGAATGCACTAGTAAGAACTTGGGCAATTTCAGTCATTACTATGAAGAGTTGAACGATAATGAGAAAAAGATTGTTGGTGAATGTCTTATATTTTAGGAAATGCATAGTATTATATAGTTACGACACAAAAAAGATTTTGGCTTTTTGTCATCACATCGAATTCTTTTTTTTTTTTTTCAGAATCGCAAGTCTTCACTACATTTCCAGTTAATGAAGAGTCTACAACGAGCTATGTCTTTTGCAACGAAACTACTCAAAGTCAGACCTGAATCTATTGTTTTCACGAAAGATCAACCTCTACCTCAAATCAGTGACAAAGAGACCGAGGAAAATCTCAAAATAGCGGCAAAGGAATTGCAAACGACAAACAACGTCATTGGGTTTCCTACTGAGACGGTATATGGACTTGGAGGTTCAGCATTGTCTGATGAGTCTGTTAAATCTATCTACCGTGCAAAAAATAGGCCAGCAGACAATCCATTAATTGTACATATTTCCTCCCTTGCTCAACTAAAAAGCAAACTCCTACCGCCAAACTACGAGATACCTCAACTTTACAAAGAATTGATCGATGAGTTTTGGCCAGGACCATTGACAATTCTACTACCAGTGCATCAAGGGTCACCGATCTCCCATTATGTCACTGCAAATCAGGATACATTTGCCGTGCGAATGCCACAACACCCGGTTGCAAGAGCGTTGATTGCAATAAGTGACTTGCCTTTGGCAGCTCCTTCGGCCAATTCATCCACTAAACCTAGTCCTACCATGGCACAACACGTAATGCATGACTTACTGGGAAAAATACCATATGTTTTAGATGGTGGACCAAGTAATGTGGGAGTTGAATCAACTGTTGTGAACGGATTATGCTCACCACCAATGTTGTTACGTCCCGGTGGGATTTCAGTCGAGGAGTTGAAAAGAGTTGGTGGTAAAGAGTGGGAGAATGTGCAAATCGCCAAGCGCACGGCTGAAAGCAATGAAGCTGTAAAGACACCTGGAATGAAATATAAACATTATTCGCCCAATGCAAAGGTTATACTATTTATCAACTGTGGTGATGGGGAAGAGCTGATTAAAGAGTATATCAAAGCGAAGAACATAGATTTGAGTCAAACTAAAGTTGCACTATTAAAATCAAAGCGATTTAAAGATGTTGAAGGCATTAAAGTGGGTAAGGAGTTGGGTAAAAGCGGTGAAGAGATTTCAAGAAACCTATTTAAGCTATTGCGACAAGTCGATGAGGAGGATAAGGTGGATATTATATTTGTAGAGGGAGTGGACGAGACCAATGAAGGGTTGGCAATAATGAACAGATTGAATAAGGCTGCCGTTGAAGTAGTTGAAAAGTGAAGCGATCACAGAGAAGGAGATAAGTATTATAGAATTGTGTTGATATAGCTTGTGTACTATAAAGAGGCATTCTCAAAAGGGTAATTTTTTCTCACTTAATTTGCGCGTGGAATGGGGGCGGCCCAAAAGGAGGGCGACTGTGGAATTTTGCAGGGCGGAGGCGAGAGAAAGAGAGACAGACCAAAAAATGTGTCAATCGTTGAAAGACATGTGTCTCACACGTACAAGCAACAATGAATTGATTTCCTATAGCAATACGCGTATGTAGCTGTTGCAATCCACAATCGTTTGTGTATATATCGTAAAGGTGTAGATTGCATTCACCTTCACTGAAATTCTACATTCACCAAATTTTTTTTTCTTCTGTCTCTTCACTCACTCACTGACAATCTTTTGCTTTTCTTTTTTTTTTTATTATTTTTTTTCAAACCTTTTCAACATGTGTAAACGTAAACTTCCACGTCTTTTGGAATTTAAAAATCTTTGCAACACGCTTTCAAGACAACATCACAAATCTATTTGATCAGATTCTACTTTCCTAATACACATCCAAACACCCGAAAGATATAACGCACCATACATATGGAAGTATGAGCAATCCCTATGATATAGATCCAGATCAAGTGAAACTTCCGCACAAGGCAAATACCCCATCACTAAAGTTTTGTTCCAAATCTATTGCAGATACAGCATCAGAGCTAGCTACAGACCTAAAGCTAGGGTTGAGTAGCAATCAAGATGTATTGAATCGAAGATCGATATACGGGGCAAATGAATTGAATAGTGATGATGATGACAGTTTAGTATGGAAGTTTATTTCATCGTTTTATCAAGATCCATTAATCTTGTTATTGATTGGGTCGGCCGTTATCAGTTTTTGGATGGGTAATAGGGATGACGCCATTAGTATAACATTGGCGATCACGATTGTTGTCACTGTAGGTTTTGTTCAAGAGTACAGATCAGAAAAATCATTGGAGGCGTTGAATAAATTAGTTCCAGCAGAGGCCAAGTTGACTAGAAACGGTAATACATCACACGTGCTAGCATCAACTGTTGTTCCTGGCGATTTGGTGCATTTTGCACAAGGAGACAGAATACCGGCAGATGTAAGATTAACTGAGGCTGTGTATTTGAGTATCGATGAGAGTAATTTGACGGGGGAAAATAGACCAGTGAAAAAGACCATTGATGAAGTTACCATGAGAGACCCACCAGTGAATGAAAGAACGGATATTGCTTTTATGGGCACGTTGGTGAGAGATGGTCATGGAAGTGGTATAGTTGTCGGAGTTGGTGCACAAACCGTATTTGGTACTGTTTTTGAGATGATGAGTGAGATTGAAAAGCCCAAAACTCCATTGCAACAAGCAATGGACAAATTGGGTAAAGATTTGAGTATATTCAGTTTCGTTGTCATTGGTGTGATTTGTCTTATTGGGATATTCCAAGGGAGATCGTGGCTTGATATGTTTCAGATTTCGGTGTCGTTGGCTGTAGCGGCTATCCCTGAAGGTCTACCTATCATTGTCACCGTAACTTTGGCATTGGGTGTATTGAGAATGGCTAAACAAAAGGCAATTGTTAAGAGATTACCAAGTGTTGAAACATTGGGTTCAGTTAATGTAATTTGCTCAGACAAGACGGGGACATTAACACAAAATCATATGACAGTGACGAAAATATGGACTGCTGATTTCAAAGGTAGTTTCAATACACCATTTCTTGTTGTTGAAAAACTTGACGATAATGCCTTGCATCACCAATTGACTGATAACATGAGAAAAGTATTGGAGTGCGGTAATATTTGTAACAATGCGCGGTACTCATCCGAAAGTGAAAAATACGTGGGAAATGCCAGTGATATTGCCTTGCTTGAATGCTTGCCTCATTTTGGACTAGAAGATATACGTGGGCAAAGAGAGAGGGTGTATGAATTGCCATTTTCTTCAGCTAAAAAATACATGGCCGTTTGCGTGCATAGAGGTGATATGGATAAGCCAGAGACATTGGCAAAGGGGGCAACAGAAAAGATATTGGCTCATTGTACGAAATATTACGACGAGCATGGCCAAACCAAACCTATAACTGGTGCGATAAAAGAGCTTATTCATGAAAAGTCGAAAGTGTTGGCTCATGATGGGTTGCGAGTTTTAGGGTTTGCACAAAACAACAAGAAGTTTATCAATGAAAAAGATGAACATAGCGAACCAGAAGAATTGATATTCTGTGGTTTAATTGGTATGAAAGATCCACCAAGACCCAATGTTGGTAAATCTATTTCCATGTTGATGAAAGGTGGAGTTCATGTCATTATGATTACTGGAGACTCTCCCTCTACTGCGGTAAACATTGCCAAGCAGATTGGTATGCCGATAACGGGAGATCGTTCAGTGATGACCGGCGACCAAATCGATCAACTCAAGGAAGGCACCCTAAGTGAGGCTATACACAATGTATCTGTTTTTGCAAGAACAACGCCTGAGCATAAAGTCAAGATTGTTAAAGCGTTACAGCGAAGAGGCGATATTGTTGCCATGACTGGAGACGGTGTTAATGATGCACCGGCATTAAAGTTGGCTGATATTGGTATTGCCATGGGTAAGAATGGAACTGACGTGGCCAAAGAAGCAGCAGATATGGTTTTAACTGATGACGACTTCAGTACTATATTGAGTGCCATTGAAGAAGGTAAAGGTATATTCAACAATATTCAAAATTTCATCACTTTCCAATTGAGTACCAGTATTGCTGCATTGACATTGATAGCATTGAGTACGTTTTTCGGATTGCCTAATCCATTGAATGCTATGCAGATTCTTTGGATCAACATCTTGATGGATGGACCACCGGCACAATCATTGGGAGTTGAACCAGTGGATCATGAAGTTATGAATAAACCACCAAGGAAAAGAAATGACAAGATTCTTACTACGCATTTAATAAAACGCGTATTGCAATCAGCCACCATTATCATTATTGGAACGTTGTACATTTTCGTAAAAGAAATGAAGGATGAGCAAATCACCGCTAGAGACACAACAATGACTTTCACCTGTTTTGTATTGTTTGACATGTTTAATGCATTATCGTGTCGCCATTACTCGAAGTCGATTTTTGAATTGGGATTGCATAATCAAATGTTTAATGTTGCCGTGTTGGGCTCATTAGTTGGGCAACTTTGTGCTGTTTATGTACCATTTTTCCAAGGCATTTTCCAAACTGAAGCGTTGAGCTTGGGGGATATTTTGCATTTGTTGTTGTTGACAAGCACGGTTTTCATTGCTGATGAAGTGAGGAAATTCTTTGTTAGAAGGAGAACAGTTACTACTAATAATTACAATTTTGGAGTATGAAGATGATAGAAGCGGGGAGAAAAGAAGTTGTGTACAGTATATATATATATATAGAGCAGTTTTTTATTTTAATTGCGACACTATCGAATGCAAACTCTTGTTGACGCTGCTAGTATCATCTTGTTGTAAACGAGCAATGATATCATCTTGAGTCCAATTTTTCATTTCGTATGCTTCAATTTGTTTAGCAAGGTCAACAAACCGTTGATAAAGTTTACTATATCGATCAATTAATTTTTGATCTAATTTGGGGATTTTTGAATTTTGAAGTAGGTAGTCACCACCAGTGTTTTGGAAAATATTGATTATTAACGCAATAAGATCGAAAAGCTTATTCATTCGGGAATTATGTTTCATGGCAAGTTCCGATAAGTTGACCGGGTTGGAGCATAATTGTTTGGTTTTGGCACGAAGGTGGTACTTGATGGGATCAAATTCGATATCGTGACATAGGTTGTATAACCATTCAAATTGGAATTCTTTGGGGTCGATGGTGATTAAATGCGAGTACTTGAAATCTAAACCTAGCATATCCAATGATTTGTAAAGAAGATGGTATTTGGAAGTACCACTGGGGAATCGATCATACACACTTGAACAAAGTTCTTGATCCGGGTCAGGGAAATTGGCGAAATTCTCCATCAATTGTGGCGATATGTCAATATTTGGTACTTTTAATTTATACAATATCCCCTTTATATTTCCCCAATGAACACAACTTTTCAAAGCCACCAATACATCAAGCGAGGTTAATGCTTCTTCTCCAAAGTATTGTTCAACATATTGTCTCATATAGACTCCTTCCAATTTAGTGCCAATATGATGATCAGTATGCAAGAAATTCAATTTGGAACATACCATCAAGTTAATCCCCCAATCGATATGTTGTTGTGTAATGGGGAATTGCTTAACAAACGCGTCCGCTTCATGTTGGACCACTCTTGGATCATGTTTGGCATTTCTAAAATGGATAATACTTGAGTTTTCCTCCTCGTACCAATGATTCTTTTCCAATTCTTGAGCCAAGCCAAGGATGGTGCAACAAAATTGAGGGTGTGTATTGAGTATATCGCCAATATTGATCAAGATGGAGAATGCCGAATAAAATGAGAGTTTTAAATCTAGTTGCTCAGGGCAGATAACCAAGTGTTTATCTTCTTGTCGTATACGTTGAAATGCATTATTGACAAATCGATATTTGCGACCTTTTTTGTTGTATTCGACTTTGGCGAGGTTGTCTATTTCGTCAAGAATATGATCGGCGTAGTATATGAGGGCATCTGATGTGGTTACAGGTTTGGAGATATCGATCATGGCAGTCATTAGGGGAAGGGCGTGATGAAAAAGCTTAGATCGAATGGTTTAGTTTTCGTTGTTGTTTTTGTTTGTTTACCTTTTTTTTTTTCAATGTCTTGTGAATTTGCAACAAGTCAGATGCGACACGTACACGAAGATGAAATTGGAGTGAATTAGAAATGTTGTACCAAACAGAAGAGTGAATCTGTGGTTGTAAGAGTGGTTGGGGAGGCATGGTCTGTTTTGTACTGTGATGATACTTCTTGATACACTGAGTTTATAAGTGGTCTGTATTTTCTTGCTCAATTTGACACCAAAATGATGCAAAATGATTGACCGACATGTCCATGAAATTATTGAACGTTATCAAATAGGAAGACGTATTATCATCAGTCTGCCTGGACAGTAGTATTCAAGTGAGTATATGGCGAGAGAAGAAAGATGAAAGGAGCGGAATTTACGAAAAAGTGTACGAGGTGGGGGCACGGAGGATCCCCCACGGATATAATATTAGACAGACATCGAATCATTGTCGTCTAGCAGCTATTGTTCTTCTTGTTGGCACATTGGTGCCATTGGTTTAAAATGGAAGCACTGGATTCATCTAAACGCCTTCTTTTTTGGTAAGCCTTTGCCTATCCACTTTTTTGTTTTAATCTCGTGCCGCATGAGTGAGTGTGATTAGGCAAAAAAGTGTCAGAGGGAAGATTCAAGGAAGCTTTACGCTTCGAAATAACACAAGAGTGAGGCTCTAAAATGCAGACATGGAATTATTCAAAGGTGTTTTGTGTGTTATGAGCTTACTCATTTATTACCTCTGTTTGATGGTACTTTTTTCGCAGTTACATTGACACCTGTCAAACAACAATAAAATTGTTAATATTTTTTTGCTCTCTTTTTGTGACTCTCTTTTCTTCACTGTCGTCAAAAGATTACTAATTTTTCACAAATGCCGACGAAACAATAGAAAAGAGTGAAGGCTTAGATAGCAATGTTGAACAAATCTTAAAGAGTTTCGGTTACGTCCGTGTTCAAAGGCATAGGAAGCATTGGGAAGGTGACGGGAGCAGTGTTTTCGGGAATCGGGATTAGGGCTCCCAGACGGTAGTTGCTTTCGAAAATAGAGACTCTTAGAGTGTGAGAGCTACCAGAGACTGCAAACGGCCAAGACCCACAGTCGTCAATAATGGTTGGGTAGGTTAAGGGACAAACAATTGTCGTCTAAGCTAAGCTTGGTATTCAATTTAGTTGCGAGAGAGCCGATATGGCCGCGTTGTCCGGGTTTAATACCTGATTGGGAAGAATATGCATTTTTTCTTTGTTTCTCAATACCAAGAAAAATTTTACACACAAGATGGTTAGGGGAAAATTTTACTTTTATTGTGGTTTTTCTATAGATTTTGACTTTGACAGCTAGAAATAGGAGACATGACATTGACAATACGGCTTAAGACAATAAGCTTAAAAGTTTGGGCATTTGATGTCCGAAATTTGATGTCTGCATAGTTCTTTATTTGACGCATGTTGTGCTAAGGGAGAACGATATACTTTGACATTAGCTTTGAAATTTAAAGTTACGAGAAAAGGAAACAAGCAACAGTCTTGGGCTTAATAACCAAAAAACGTCGCCTTAGGCGAATCAATGCGGTTAGGAGCCAATACATTGTTGATTTAGGTTTTTGCAAAGATGAAATTTAAAGGGTGGTTATGAGCCTTCATTTCTTGGAGAATGACTTTTGAATCCTTAACAGAACGGATAGCCTCATGTGGTGTTTCAGTTGTCAAAAGCCAAGCTCTATGTCACATTGAAGAAACCAGGAAAAAGGCTTATGGGGAGCAAGACGAGAGTTAAAGTTTTTTTTTTTCTCGCTGTAATTTTATTCCAATGCTCGGGTCAACTTTTGGCCAAGTTACGCAAAACATCCCCCCATCCTTGACCAGTATTTACACTACGATCTTTATTGATGAGCAGCAGAAATTTTGACAATCGTGCTTTGCCAATTACGAGAAATTGAAGAAAGAGAAACTTGTCACAAAGTTTGCAAAAATTTGGGATCTACTGTGATTACTATATACCCGTGGAAACGTTTCATTAAGAGTGTTTTGTTTTGTTTTGTTTCGTTTTTCTTTTTTCGCATGGACAAATTCTCCCCATATGGGACAATTGATGACAGGCCTCTATTGAGTATTTTGATATATAGCTGTAGTGGCAACTGTTTCGTGGTCCAAGACTTAGCTTCGAATTGAGATTGTAATTGAATTGACTGGTCTGTCATGAAGCGGGTAATGCAAGTGTTGTAACTATATATACTCGATACTTCCATTGTACCTAATGAAATTCTAGGTTACGCTTTGAGATATGAAATTTTTGTCACCAATTAAACATCTTGAGTGATGGAGAAATTTGGGGTAGTGTATACGTGGAGTAAAATATAGAAAACAATGAACAAAATAAATTAAAATATTTCAAATACCGAATCGAGAGATTGAAAGCATCATTTACACAAAACACAAAGAAGAGAATAAATGTCTGATAATCTCAGACACAGATATATGTGTAGATGCAGACACTAAGAACTTATTACTACTACTAAGACATGCCGGACACAAATTTTCAGGATATTGTGTGCATAGGGAGAAGTGTGTATAGGGGTTCTGTATATCTTTTTCAAAACCAGGAGGTCTTGTCCTCAAACCTTTCAATCACACATGAAGATATAGTTTAATTTTGAGATATTCTCAATTGTTACTTAACCCTGGATAACAAAATTCGATACTTCTCATGGCATTTTTTTCAAGGCTCTTCTTCAATTTAGTAATCGCCAGCTGTCTTATTGTTCTTTAGAACAATTAAATAACCACATTTCCATACTTGACCCCCTTTTTTTTTAAAAAAAAAACACAACGAACAAACGAATACTCCTACTAAAGCCCTCTATTGTTTTAGTTGTGTTTGAGTTATGTGATGACGCCCAGTGTTTTTGTTTACCACTTCTATTATTAAACCACACACAATAGTGGACTTAGGTTTATTGTTCAATACTTTTTATTTTATTCTTTAACCACGAGTTGACGTAAGATTATGGATTCTATTTTCCTTTTTTTCTTAGCGTTCAACAAAGATGATGACTCAATGTTTCACAATAGTATTAATAATAATAAAGAACAAATACGTCAAAAACAGAGAAAGAAAAAAAACAACAATAGGATACGGATATAAGACGGGTGATTAATAACCATACTCCGTGTTGCCTCGGTCCGAGCAAAACCATAGCCACTCTCTCTCTGTGATCTTTGTGGTTGAAAAAGTAGTTGAAACGACACATCACAGCAACAAAAGGTATGAGCCGCTACAGCCTCAACTACTTTTATTGTTTGTAGCAATTACGGAAATTATTGAGCCTTGGCTTGAGCTTATAAGTATCAACCGTTGTACAAGCACTTTTCGTTCGTAAACGCAAACAAAACAACAGCGAGACGATGCCGAACCTTCTTTCTATTAGGTCATGATACACCTTCCAAGCTCAAATAAGGACAAGCAAAAGGACAAGCAAAAGGATAAGCAAAAGGACAAGCAAAAGGACAAGTAAAGGACAAGAACACTTTCCAAGAAATGTCACAAAAACTTCGTTCTAATAGAGAAACCCCAGTCGAGTGTTACAAAAACAAAAGAAAACGACGATCCTTTCTTGTATTATAATATTTTCTTCTCATTTTCTAGATACAATGGCGATGTATTATTTTAACTTGGTGCCTATATTGCTTAGACGAATTGGGAGAGAGTTTACATTGATTTCTTGGTCTGTGTGTATGTACTCATTTTTTCTTGGTTTTGGGTCAAAAGTCAATTTTTTGATAGAATGGAATTAAAATAAAGGAGAAGATAAAGTTACTCAAACTCTGAAGCTTGAGATTTGCCAGTGCGTGTGCTTGCTTACGCACCCATGCATGCATTTCTCGAGTGAGTTGAAAGCAGTCAATTTGCAGCGCTTGACACCCTTGTAAAGAAAATAAAATATACATTACGTGGGCTTTACGAAAGTTTTAATCGCTGTGGAAAGGGTCATACGGTTTTGATTTGTGTTAATGCGTACTGCATTTTAATATAACGAATTGGGAACGGTTTACGATTTGCTAGTTTTCCTTTTTTACTTCTCTTTTGTGTTTTTTTATTTTTAATTCTCTAAAGACAAGTAGTGACCACGTCCACATATTGATAGTGGCAATTTTGGTGCCAATTGAGGTACTCATTATACACCAACTGCAATTGCAAATGGACATGCCTTGGCTCTGTTGTTCTTGAGTGTAGTTGTACTTTATTAGGTTTTGTTAGCGTTGTATGAATGGGGTATATTTTAAGTGACATTGAAGAAACTGAGAAGCAATCACAAAAGGACATTTCCAAGGGTGATGTTGAAAATGTCATTTTTGAATGACGTTTGTAGTTACACCCGAGTGCCAGCTATTCTTTATCTTACCTAAGCATTGTTTCAAGATTGTTTGTTCAAGAAAATGACCGTGAACCCTCCATTGTTTAGGAGTCTTATGTGCCAAGTCATAGTTCAATTAATGACGTATCTTTCCTCTTTATAAGCTCATTAGTTCGATACCTCCCAGTAGCTGCATCTTTGAGCATAGAAAGAGAGTTTCAAAATTGATAATGAGCATATTTTGAATTACAAAATAGGCAAATTGACAACTAAATCTATATTTTTTTAGACAAAAACTAAACCAAATTAAAATGGTTATCACTGGTAGCTGGTGGCTTAGGAAAGGTTTAGTTTGCTTCTTGTATAATAATTTCAAAAATGTCAACCTTTCTATATGTGAGTGTGCGTGCGGTTTTCGTAAATAGCAGACAGACGATTACACAAAATTGAAGAAAATAAAAACAATCTCTCGACAACAACACACGTTACGTAAGCGGGTACTGTTTCGAGGATTATGATAAAGACGATAACCCCGAAACTTTACGAGAGTGTCGGTGGTATTATCAGCAAAAAAGCCAACGGCTCAATTTATTTCTTGGTGAAGATATACATTTGTAAAAATCACCTCCGCGATTTGATGTCTGCATAACTTCGTTATTCACATTCGTTTACGTACGATAACTGAGCATAACATTTTTGCATTTTCTTTTTAGGTGTCACTTTTTAGGTTCAATTTTGACTGGGAAGCTATTTTTTTTGGGCTATGCGTCAAATCACATAGGGTGTGGAGGTGCAAGAAAACTAAATGATTGTGAGAAACGAGCTATGTGAGTGTGTCAAATTTGAAAGAAGGCACAATAAACTAGTCTAGAAAGATACGAGTGAGTGCCACATGAACACGCAGAGATCTTATGGTTATAAAGCAAAATTTCCTTTCGAACATCTGTCTTCTCTCCTCACGACTCTGTTGCCTCCTTGTCGAACCACAAACGTAAAGGAAAAATCATTTGTCTGTTTTCTTTACTCAGCAAAGTAGTCCTGGTATTCCTCACTTTGATCACATTATTTAAATAGGTGATAAGTAATTGAACCACATTTCTGCCCCCCCTAATATTCAATTTTTGCACATTCTTTTCTTGTGTGCTATCCTGTTATGTCATGTCATGTAATGCGCTGTCAAGTCAAAGTCAAAGTCAAAAACTTTGGTTTTGATTCTTTTTTTCTTTAGCGCCAATGCACACAAAGAAAGGCATAACCGTGCACAACACATACAAATATCGTTAATTCTTTACATCATTTTTGCAAAAAAAGCAAGAGCTTCAGATTTCGTGGCAGTTTGATTTAGACATGAAGGGAACCAAGTTGGAAATTGACGGAAGATGATGTTTCATTTGTCGTTTTTGTTGACAGATGATCAAGAAGTTTCCCCCACCTTTCTTTTGCTTGAATGAGTAAGTTTCAAAATACGGGTGTGTCTATTGACTGCGAGAGATCTATAATTCAAGTATTATACATATCCCTCTTTCCATCATACGTCAAGATGAAGAAACATTGCAGAAAGCACAAATATCAAACAAGCTTTTCATGCTTCAAAAAAAAAGCTCTAGTTCTTAAGAAAAAAGCTTATCTAATGACATCTGTGATAGTTTTTATTTTCTTTTTTTTTTACCCAGAAAATAAAAACACATGGTACGATTTTTCCTTCCCCGTTGTCTTGTGTGGTATCCCATTCACTATTACTTGAAGAGTGGAGTTCATAGTCTAATCAGTCAATTCATACGCTTTGACACGTAGGAAAAATAATTCGTTTCCATCATCAACAGATTTGTATTTGTGCGTTTCGTGCAGTTTCTTTTTCTCTTTTTGTCGGCCCGGTATCGTCGAATCATGAGCGTAACAGTACACCACCGAAATTAACACATTCGAACCTCGTCAATCAAAGTTTTTTGCATCAAAATTGCACAATCTATAGTAGTTTTCTAACCAACACTTTACAAATTCTATCTTTTTGACTCAAAAATTACTCTTATTTGAACCGGGTCCGATATTTCGGCGATTTTTAGAGAATGTACTTTGGAATTGAAGAACAAAAGGATAACTTACATACTGAGATGGTGAAGCAGTACTTGAAGAAAAGAATACTACGTTGATGCTACAACCTTTTTTTCAGACAAATTTACATTCTTAGAATACTAGATACACACAAGAATACATATTTATTTCTCTGTTTCACAAGTAAAATAAGAAAACACATATAAACCCTAATAATAAACAAAAATCTCTTTCTCTTGAACCAACAATCACTGATTGTTGTTTTGGAAGGTAAGATTGCAATTTGTCTGTTGAAGAACTGAAAAAAATAAGAATAAACACCAAATACAAAAACCAAAAACCCAAAAGAACAAAAAAATCTCTCACCAACACTTCATCACATTGATGACGCTCCCCCCTTAGACCAAGTGCATCATACGCTTCTGTTCTTTCAAAGTCTTAATTTTCCTTCTTCGAGCATTGATAAACCAATTACTCAATTGTTGTTGATTCAAACCGGTAGCCATCATTAATTGATTCTTTTCAAATGAATTTGGGTATGGGTGATTTAAATGATCATTGAGCCAACGCAACAAGACATAGGTTATTTCTTTGGGTAAGTTGTTTCTGGTTTTGCGTTTGTTACTGTTGTTGATGACACCATTGTGGTTTGGAGAGTTATTAGTGTTAATTGCTGCTGTAGCTGCGTATTGCGGGTGTTGTTGATGGCGAGGGTAGTAGTCGTGTGATGGGTAGTTAGATAGTGGGTGGTGATTATAATGATGTGAATGTGGAGGAAAATAACTTTGATCGTGACCAAGGGTGGATGATTGTTGTGGATATGAGTTTGAGCGCATCATCGATGGTAAATGCAGCTGCAGCTGCAGCTGCTTCTGCTGCTGTTGCTGTTGCTGTTGTTGTGAAGGTGCATTGCTGTGAAAGTAGTGCAGTTGTTGGTTGTGGTATTGTTGTATTGACGATGGTGACGAAATTGATGATGATGTACTATATCCTGGGTTGGGAGATCTGTTCAAGTATTCCGAACTATTGTTGGTAGCAGTAGCAGTGGTGGTGGTGTAGTAATTGTAATGTTGTGGAATTTGGTATCGTTGTTGTTGTTGTTGTTGTTGCTGTTGTTGTAGCTGCGTAGGTGGAGGAGGAGTAGCCAATAAATCACTGATCGGTGGTAAACTTATTCTCTTGGTCAAATGTGATGGAACTTCTTTAGACTGCAGTTGATCTTGTCTTGATGGTAATGGTAGTGTATGTTCTGGAGAGCTAGTTGTTGTAGTAGCAGTAGTAGCAGATATGGATGGTAAAGTAGATGATCTACTATGATGAATCAATTCTGTAAGTTGCATATTGTTGTAGCAATGTTAAACTAAAGTCTGGTTTGTATGTTTGGTATTGGTCTGAAAAGATGGTCGAAAAAGAAAGTTATAGCTCGTGAATTTATGAATGAGGTTAACGGAGGGGAGAGTTAGAGGGATATCCATTGGTTTATATATTAAATGCTTTGCAAATAATAGCCTTCATTTACAGAGCCAAGCCTTTGAATGAAATTTTTAAATGAAAATAGTATTGTTTGTGTATAAGTAGATATTGTGCTACATACACTGAATTTGTCAACAAATTAAAGGGACACAAAACCAATAATATTTTCTTTTTATTATAAGTTACACAAGATTTAGCTAGACACAAAAACAAGAAAGAGGAAAAACCTTTGAGTAGTCAGACACTACTTTTTGATGCACTGACACTAAACAGCTTCTTAGGTAAATACATCAGTCAGTCATTCAGCTCTTTTCAGACACAAGTCAGCTGACCTAAAACGGCGTTTTACTCTTTTTCTCGTTTCAATCTCATAAAGATCTTACCAACATACACATGTACTCACTGCACAGCCACTTATATTCTGTAGATCTCTTCTTGCTGTGGATCTTCCTTCAAACCTTGTTCATTAGTCAAAATGGATATATAGTAGATGATATAAAATAAAATCATACGTCTATTTACGTCTAGAGTAAATTCAATAGTTATTATTTTTCGGCAAACCCCTCAAAATTTCAGAATACAAGATAGAAAAGAGAGGGTCAACATAAAATAAGGGAAGGAAGAGTAGTGTCATCGTATATTAGATCTAAGAAAGAACAAAAAGCATTAGTTGATATTGGGGAGGTTATATAATATTTGTCGCTAATGACATATGTATTAGTGTACTATTATTATATAGCCTGTGTCTCTTATTATTATGATTATCAAAGTGTCATTGGAATTTGCTGGGCACATGACTTGGTTTCTGTGTCTGAATCTAAAGCCATTTCTGTCTGAGTACCCTTTTCATGTGAATATGCAGACACTTAATAGTTGCATATTATCACTTTAAGTTGAGTGGCAGATACGAAACAATTAACAACTGCACTCATCTTTGTGTTAATAACCTTATACTCCTGCATAATAGCAGAAAACTGTCAAGTCACACAGATCTACTACTTACTAACAAGGTACAAGAGTCATATGTTTTTGAAATTAACTAAAATACAACCATACTTTGAGGAGATAGCGGGTGGTCTGAATCTAGCTTTTTTCTTTGGGGATAATATGACAGATACAACGATTGATCACAAAGTTTACATTGATACAAATGTCATGTACTATTAGTGTCATCTTTTCGGGAAGAAGGGGGGTGGGATGATAGCCAAGCATTGTGAGCAGCACCGTAAAACCCATCCTAAGAAAAAGGGGGAATAGCTAAATGTGTGGATAAAGTTGGCTTAGACAAAGCCTCAGGAGAGTAACAAACCACTCTCTTTGTTAGAACCTAATATTTGGTGTAGTATTTGCTCATTTCCCGTCTCCTCCGTTGGTAAGAGGCTATTGTTTCCCCCTTTGTTAGTTGGGATCCTACATACAAACATTGTTTTGATTTGTCATTTATTTTTATTTTATTACTATTTTTTTTTTATTTTAGTTGTTTTTTTTTCTTCGGTTCAATCCCCGAATTTCGCACGGCGTTAGGCACTAGAGACTAAAACCTTATACTGACAGTCATAGATAGATAGATAAGGGCACCCACACACGTACCACCTCACTACCATAGCAATCCAAAACCAATCAATGCACATGCTTATTCTATTCTTGGATGGAGATGCTACTGCCTCTCTTATTAGCTGTCTTCCTTTCAAGCATACAACAATCTCCATAAAACACAAAAGAGTGTGCATTTACGAAGGAAAAAGTTTACCTTGATGAAACTATTGCTATTAAACTTTGGTTAGAAAGACAATACTGTCAAATCTCTTACTATTTTTAGTTCACAAACAACAAAATAGATCACCATTTTACTAAGCTCGTAGATCCTCCTTTTTTTTCTTTTTTAGTTTTCGGCATGGCTTTGGTTTCATTTCAAACTTCTTTCACCTTGTTTCATTGTGGACAGCTTATTAAACGTTGTTGTTGCAGTTTAACAGTATTTTTAGTAACAAAACCCTGGAACGCTCAGTCTGGCACTATTTATTGCTAAAGGATGTGACTATAAAACAATTGACGAACATAAAGAATCAGTACACCTTGTACAAGTTTAAACGATTCTGGATGCATTTTGGCCATTAGTTTTTTTTTTTTTGAACTCACCCCTCATTGAATAGTAAATTTGTGTAGACAAAAGTTCTGGGTACCATCATAAAACCAAGTCACAAAATAAACAAGAACTATTGCAGAAAACATTCTCTTGTGTTTGCGTATATATGGGGTGTATACCTCGGTACAAAATCCATATATGCTTACAAACGTTTTATATTGTAGTTGATAACTTGATGAGTTTTAGATGTACCAATTAGTCATTCTTCTCCCTTGTGCAAACAGTTCCCTCCCTTTTTTCTTAGGGTATAATGGCAGTGATGCCTAACAACCAACCGTCCAAAATGACGTCGTGACAGTTGAATGTAGAGCGATACGTTATTGATTTAACTGATAGCTCCAGAATGATGACAAACGCCGCAAATCAATTTTCTAAACCAGAAGCAGATTTATCGCAACCATTTCCCGTCTTACCCTATCAAGAAAGCTCCACCCCTCTTCGCCCCACCCCATGGCCATCTCATTCAAAAGAACAATAATCATGTTGCCATGCAACAACTTCTAAAAAAAATGAGATTTGCCAAACCAAAGGGAAAGATTAAGAGAAGAGAGAAACAAAGCTTGTCATTTCTTTTTCTCCTTCTTTTGAAGACACAAATACCCCAAACACTTCAAAACTGAGGCGGTAAAAGATGTCATCTTATTGCATTGTAACTTCCCATATGTGACTTTGAGATTTTACGTCTTTGATTTTAAACTTTTACGATGATTATGGGTGAAAATCTGCGTAGATCCTCTTTGATTATTACGTAAAGTGGGGAAGCATTGAAAGAGTTTCATGTTTCATTTTTTATGCTGCAAATGACAGTTTGTGTTGATTGAATCAAACAATTAGCAAGGGAAGTGGGGAGATGATTTTGTATGCATTTCGACATTTCAAGCATGATGTTTATTCGTAATTACAATTGTTTTGCGCAATGTTATTGCACTATTATTTTGTAACTTTTTGAATGAAACTATCTTTCCTCTTTTCAAATACAAATTTACTACTTTTAAATTTATCTTCTCCGGGTTTGTGGACTGGAGTACGTTGCATCTTTCGCCAATTCTCTCCCCTTGTTGAACAAATCAAGAGACGCTTTTTTACGCTGATTTATTTTTGACGTTGGATTTCATATCCAGGTCATGCAGCTCCTTACTTGATGAACAAACGTACAAAAGGTCCGCAAATATGAAAAGATAGATAGTAACAAGGCGTATCCACAAGTGCAGCTTTTATGTTGGTGGTCTCTGGATGAGGTTTTTCTCTGTGATGGAGCTTACCAAATCATCAAAAGTCTTTTAGTTCATTCATTTAAGGTTTTGTGAAATCAATTATATTTTGTATTTGTCTAAAGGATTTTTTTTGTTGAAAAGAATAACATTTCAAAAAGGCCCTCCAAAAATTGAAAACGGAAAGCCTAACCGGAGGCGGCATTGTTGTAGTCAATGACATTAGAGATTGTCGGACAATTGTGTTTCTTACATTGTTCTTAGACTTGCACATTTCCGTATAGTAAAAGAGTCAAGAATTATTTGGGAAAATAGGGAATATTTGATTCTGAGAGTAAAATTAGTATGAAAGGTTAGCACCCGATCCAATGTTATCTTTGGGAGCAAATGCCATAACATCGAATCGGGTACCTAAAGATGGTTTGTGGTTGTGAGACTCCTAGTTAAAGGCTCTCAACTAGTTACTTGCATCAATCTCGTATATATTATATAAGGTAGCGCACACTTCAAGATTTCTGAAATTCATCACACAAACTTTCCTGTTGAGAACATTACACGAGCAAAAACCCAAAAGGCAAGACCGAACGTTCAACCAAGAGTAATGCAAGTGCTCGAAAGAATTTCATAAGATCGATCTCTGATCGTCTAACCGAGATTTCGAGGATCGCGTGTGTGTGTTTCAGAGTTGAGTTTAGTTTGGAATGTGTAAAGGGATTTACCATACGCTCTTTTTAGTTCAAAGATTTTAGATTTTAGTTCTAGAAGTCAATTTAGTTAAAGGGTCAAAAATTTTTAGCTCAATAGCAAAGAGAAAAACAAACAACAAAGAACATCGAATATCGGCACTACGAGATCACCCCCTTTACGCGATTATCGTCCCTCTTTTTGTCCGTTATTATCGAGCGATTGTTTCGACTTAGATCCAATTATGAATAAACGAGATTGTGTTAGATCGAAGACCTGTGAGTACTCGAAGATCAAACCAGGCAGAGCTTTTGGAAAATTGGAATAAAAAAAAGGAAAGAGTTATACGAGCCATGATCCTTTTTCTCAGTAATTGAGTTTGACTGCCCTGTCCCTAGTTCTCAAAAGTGATCAATCACCTTACTTTCTTGGTTGACGAGACGGGAAAAGCGGCAATCTCAACATTAAAGATTCGGTCAATAGCTTTCAACGCTCGGACAACTCAATTTTCACATGAACGTTGCTTAGTATCAGCTCAGAGAAGTTTGTGGGAGGGAGAAAATCATCCACTTAAAGTCCAATTGAATGCAATGGTTACAAGTGCTCGCCTAATGGGGTATCTGTGAAGCAGAATTGAGCAACATAAAATTTGCACAATTGTTTAGAGCATACGTCTTGGCAATTATATGAAAGAGGAACTCGGTACTTTTAGTGGAACACCGACGAGTGGTAATTAGTCTAGTAATTGAACGTTAAGAGACGTATGAAGCTCTCTCTGATTTCAATTGAATTGGTTGTGTATTTTGCTTCTCAAGTGGGTAACAGTTAACAACATAAACATCGTATAAGTGCTGTCAGGGTTAAATGAAGAAGTAAACCAGTACCTAAACCACTTTTTCACCCGCTTTGTCAACTTACAATCCCACAAGATACAGTGTTAATAAACCTTAAATCTGTCGTCAACGCAACATTTAAAAATAAATTCGGGGACCCTGTTTAGCAGCCAATGATAATCAAAAGTAGCCACGAACCAGTGAAGCACAAAGCATTCTACTCAAGTGAGCTGATTTCTTCTTATTAAAACGCTTGGTCACAACCAGGTTTGGAAATTGTATAAGTAGCCCATGAATTTTCCAAAGATTTGCAATTTACCCATGAGATTTTTCATCACAAGCAAAAGTAATTCCTCAACTTGCTTTTACCGTCATTCGTTTTCAAGCAAGCCAGTTGATTGAATCATTACAATGAAGTTATTGTTACAAGTTCACTTGGTGTTGTGGTTTTTGATTGCCACTGTTTGCGGTAGAGATTTCCGTAGAGGAACATTTATTGACTGGGGTAGTAAACGTATTGGTAAAGGCGATGTCCACATTTATTCCAAAGCTGTATGGTCAATCATCAATAATCATGCTTCACATTTTGATGGAAATATTTACGTTGAAGCTCATGCTGGTCTTTACGTTTCTAGTATCTCACCACGTTGTTCATTATCTGCTACTTTGTCCTCTCTGATTTATGGCTTTGTCAACCACGGTGTTGTTTCCTTCAATGCCATTAAGGGTGCTTCAGGCTATGTGTTTAAGATTATGGGTAGCAAATTTGAAAATAACGGTGATTTATTTTTTTCTGCGTCTGGGTTGAGTTCTGTTACTTGTGGTATCAAATCCAAGCGCTGGTACAACAAAGGTTGTATCCATGTTTACCAAAAGTGGAAGAGTGATAGTTGTACCCATTTAGGTTATGATGGGTTGACAATTGTAAACAATGGTCAAATTTGCTTTACTAACCACAATTGGAAACAGCTTGCTGGTATCCTGGGCACAGGATGTGTTACTGCTCATGGCCAATCATCATTTTATTTCTTGAAAACCAATTTGAAGATTGCCGAAAGTCAAATCTTCTATTTGGCTGATGGTGAAACTTCAATCATGGCAGTGGCATCACGTTATAGACCCCAAACGTTCCACGTTAGAGGGTTTGGTAAAATCAATGGTGTTGCCAACAAGATTGGCTTGTCATCAAGATTATATTCTCGAGTTCCGGGAAGAAAACCATGGAGTTACGATGCTAGACGTGGTATATTGACATTGTATACCGGATTATACTCACAACGATTTGAAATTGGAATAGGGTACGATGTCACCAAGTTTGAAATTGTTACTGATAGATGCAGAGGTTTACCTGGTGTTCACTTGGGCGCTTTGCAATACAATGGACCACCACCACATCCAGGCATGCCACCTCAATGTCAACCATGTAAACCAATCCCAAGTATTCCAGGGGAGGAGAAGCCACCAACTAGTTATACAATTGATACTGCTACAATTGAACCAAGTGAAGAGCCAAGTGAAGAACCAGTTGATCCAACTACCGAACCTACTGACGAGCCTACTGTTGAGCCTACTGACGAGCCTACTGTTGAGCCAACCGTTGATCAACCAACCACGTCATTGACCCATGGACTTATCTTGACAGTAACCGTTACTTCTACATCCATCACAACTACTACTTCTACTACCACAGCAATGGGCACAGTGACGGTTAGAGGATGGTTTTGAGGTGCGTGAAAAAGACTCACGTGATCGACTGTAGTGTAAACCTCAGTAGTTTTATAGCTTTTAACACAATGACAGTTTCTTAAATCAATTATCAAATCCCTCCTTCACATTTTAAGTTATAAAGCTGAAATATTCAACAAACAGTCTGGTTGCGATTGGCGAGATCTTCTAGATCTACGCTGTGCTGTGTCAAACTTAATTGTTTTAGGAAATAATATGGAGATGAATTTGACAAGGTTTCACTAAGACGATCTCTGATACTAATAACAGAAGCTTTATCGCCGATCATGTGCACTGATGCCCAGATAGAGTACAAGTCTCGCTGATGATGATTAGCCTCGGTATGATTTGTTCAAATGTGAAATTTCCATATTACACAACTAGTCAAATTAAGGGCACCAATTGAACGTACCAGAATAGTTAAAGTGAAAACAAAGTGCTGTATAGAGGCCAATAGTAATAAAAGTCTTACAGTGGTTGCTCTTTTATTAGCACATTGGTCTTTATTAAACAGTATAGACTGAGTTAAAATAGCTAGTAAAGCTAAGCCTCGATGACTCTCGTATCATTAGAGATTAGGTTTATGAGCTTAAAAGGCGTTCTCAGAAATTCTCATCAATCCCTTCCTAATGGTTCGATTAGTTGAAAAGAAATCCAAATTGAGTAGTTGTACGATGCCAATATAGAGTTATCAATAGTAGAGGAAGCCAAGCCAAGAGAAATTCAACAAAGTTTCAATTTCCTACGAAGAAGAACCCTACTTGCATTCAACGGAGCCTAGTTTCGTCTCGCGATGGAAATAAGTCACTAATTACACAAAACCTTACTTGGAGCGCATTGAAAAATATCACCACAAACGAGAACAAAACCTGCATCAATAAAAATCTCACTTCAAAAAAGCTTTAGAGTTTGCGCGAAGTCGTTACTTGAAATAAGTAGTGTGAACAACATCTACTAACACTCAATAACACTGCCTGATAACAAAGCAACCTCGCTGCTTTGGTTTCAAATTCGGAGAATTACCTAACGATATTTAAACGACGTTTTTTTGATGTTTTATTAGTTTGGGTAAATGCTTACGATAGCACCATTCTTAAAAAAGTTTATTCAATTAGAGGTCTCCCTAAAGGCCAAGTAAATTGGCAAAGCATAATAAGCTGATGTTATACTCAACCGATGTTATCGTCTCGTCAAGGTTTTTTCTTCATGTGTGTTTGCACATCTTTGTTGGTCAAGAATACCCGATAGAGTTTAATCAAAAGTCTAAACACATACTCCTCCAAAACAAACTACACACACCCTTGTTAGTGTAGATTTTGTTAAAAGCCATGGAAAGGTACTGAAGCTAAGCTCTTTGGTGTGCAATAATGGCCATGTCTGAGGAAGTTTGATGCACTTAGTCGCCACATTTCAAGAAAACACGACCATTTTGGAAATAGAATTGCCTTTCTGGTGTTGCAAAGATGGTGCACTGCTCAGTAATCCATAAAACTAAGTAGTTCTACAGCAAATGATGTGATACATCACCATATTGGTATGCAATTTGGGATCTAGAGATGGATTTTCACTCGTGAACAATCTAGCTGAATTAAAGCTTGGCTAGACCCTGTCGTTTCTTCAATCTTGTGACGGAAAATTAATTGCGAATTTTCGAGCAAATTCGAAAGGTCAACTCATGTTATGAAGGTTCCAATTGACATCATCATCAAATGATTATCATAGGTTGTGCCAAAGAGGTATTTACACAGCAATTTCTGACCCGGCCCTGTTTCTGAAATTAAAGTTAAAAAATTTGTGCCAAGAGATGTCCGGCTAGGGGATATTTGAAAGCATAATGCACATGGACCTGGGGCATACATTTTCAATTATACATTGGCCAAGTTTACATCTTGGCAAGTCCGTGACGAGTAGAAATCTTCACATTGAAAAGTCCTGATAACAAACCAATTGAAACATTTGCCCATCAAAATGTGTGCAATTGAACATCAAGACGATTGGTGCTCTTCCCTTCAATAGAGTCTAGCTGAAACTAAACTATCATTTGTTTGGCACTCCCTTCGTCTAGTCTTCAATGGATCCTTAAAAATCATCTTGGCGAAAATTGTTGAACCAATAGCCAACGCAGAATCTAAAGTTCAGGACCCTATAAGCATGTTTTCCAGAGTCACTTACCATGAAGAAATCGTCCAATACTGCTTTTTTTTCTTGGGCAGTACTTTCCTTCCCTCTGGATGAAAGAAGCAGACAACATGGGTTTCGGAACACACATTCTGGAACTGTATAAATAACCCATGAATTCACCCAAAACACCACTTGTGGAAAACAATCAATATTTCTAAAAATCAATAACTTCATTCATTTTAACTTGATACAGTTCGATTTATTTCCAACCAATCAAGTCACTGAAATATTTCACTTATGCAATTATTCTTACAAGTTCAAGTAGTATTGTGGTTGCTTGTCACCACGGCATGGGCTAGGGATTTCCATGGCGGTGTTACTGTCGATTGGGGTACCTTGAATGTCGCTAATGGAGATGTTCACATCTATCCTAATTCCATTTGGTCCATCATCAACAATCATGCTTCCAATTTCAATGGAAACATTCAAGTGGATAAAGATGCTGGTCTTTATATCTCCAGTGTTTCACCAAAGGTTTCCTTGTCAGTTACCTTGTCTGCCCTGAAGTGGTTTTTTATCAACAATGGTGTTGTTTCTTTCAATGCAATCAGAGGAGCTTCAAGTTATATATTCAGAATTGTTGGTAACAAATTTGAAAACAATGGTGACTTGTTCTTTTCCGCTTCAGGTGAATCATCTTCACATAGTTACATCAAGTCAATCGACTGGCACAACAATGGGTTAATTCACATTTATCAACAAATGAAGAGTGATAGTTACACCTACTTGGGTTACGATGGAAAAACAATGGTCAATAATGGACAAATTTGTTTCACCAATCAAAACTGGAAGCAACGCTCAAGCATGTTGGGATCGGGTTGTGTTACTGCGCAAGGTAAAGCTTCATTCTACTTTATGAATACCAAATTGAAAATCTCTGAGGGTGAAATCTTTTACTTGAGTGGTGGTGAGACATCGATCATGACTGAAGGATCAACCAATGACCCACAAACTTTCCATGTTAGAGGTTTCGGAACATACAATGGTATGGCCAACAAGATTGGATTGAATGCCAAGTTACATTCCCCTGTTGCAGGCAGGGCTCCATGGGAATACGATGCTAGAGATGGTATCTTGACCTTGCACCATGGATCATACTCACAAAACTTTGAAATTGGTACTGGCTATGACGTTACCAAGTTTGAAATTGTCAGTGACAGAAGCAGAGGTTTGCCAGGAGTCACTTTGGGTGCTATGCAATACAATGCACCTCCACCAAACCCAGGAATGCCAGCAGAATGTAAACCATGTAAGGCAATCCCAGGTATTCCAGGTATTGACCAACCACCACCAACTTATACAATGGACACTGCTACAATAGCACCCACTGAAGAGATTGATGAACCTACTGATGAACCTTTGCCAACCGATGACATCGATGAACCAGAACAAACCACTTCTACAAAACGTGGACTCATCAAGACTGTTACAGTTTTTGCTACAGCTACTGCTTTTGCCACCTCAACTTTCACTATCACCAGCACTGTTTCTCCTTGAACGGGCTAACATTGGTGAGAGTGGAGACACTGTTTAATAAAGTTTGTAACATATCGGTTCTATTACCAAGATGTTTTCATCAATGTTTGTATTTACCGTATTCTCCTTCTTTCGAACTCTCTTTTGTTACTAAAGATCCGTTTTCGGAATAATCTTGCTCAGATTGAAGAGATTAACGAGATCTGCGCAAATTTCAATAAGGACGCGCAAACTCTCGCCGTTGTCGTTTAATGTAAAGAGGTAGTAAACGTTTTGCCAAATAAAACAGGCCCCTAAAGCATATTTCTTAGGCTCTTTCATGTGATCCACAAAAAAGGAGTAAAAGCATGATGGTATAGGCCTCACAACATGGTTGTAGAAAGAAAGAGTACATTATCAATCTCCAAGTTCACCAAATCGTGATCATCCCAATTCGGCTTGGACTAAAGTCTCCATAAATGAAAGCAATGAATTTCGAATCAAATATAGTGAAAGGAAGAGGATAAATAGTTTCCTGGCGCCCTGTTGAAGGGTAAAATGAGCCCTTGAGTAGCAGAAATTGAAATAAAGTGAATTAGTGAAGCCTTTATTTAAGCAACTCGATTATAATTTATTGTTAGAGCTCAAAGTAGTTTCAGTTATCCCATGCTTGATTAAAGCCAATGAGAAAAGCGGGACATTATTTGCCGTATAATATGGCGCTACAGCCCATCTCTATCATCAAATTGAAAACTCTCCTGGTATCTTACATCGCAATGGTGTTAGTTATCGGACGATAAAAGACTCTAATTACACAAAACTCGCATGGTGGTTTTTCACAAAAACCTCTAAAACTCCACGTCAATAAAGAATACACACAGGGAACAAACTCAATAGTTCATGAAACTAGTGCTTGTATTTCAAGGCGTCCCTAAATTTCCGATTAAATTGTCGTAATATACAAGCTCGCTTGAAACATTGTGTCCAGCAGTAGAAAACTTTACTAAACCATGACTAAGTTCAACTATGTGAGACGACAATTGATGAAAGATCTTTAAAAATCTGCTCGAAGGGAAAATTTTTGGAGACACGACGATTGCCGAGCATTTAAAGCTTCTGCTACAGCCAACAAATCTGGATAATTAGTTGAATCTTAAACATCGCGTGTTTAAAGATTCTTATGTGCCAAGAATCTGCCCCGAAATCCGATCTAAAACTGAGCTAACAGAAACACAAAAAACGATACCATGTCTTCTTAAGTTGCTTTTTTCGCTCGGGGTTATGAGCTGTCGAATTATGGGCCATAATACTGGCAATATTGCTACTAAAGGCAACTTCTGTTGTCGCCACTTTGAGAGCCACGCAATTCGGGAAGAATTATTTCCTTTTAAATATTGCGATGGGCTAATTTATTCTCCAGATGCTGTCAATTGACTACACACCCACTTGCAGAAAAAGTCGTGCTTTATCACCCTCTCGATGCATGCATGCATGGTACGAGTGGAAAAAAACTTGCATTTAAACAGATCCAATTTTTGCCTGGCTCTACTGACAAGTTTCGAGTGTAATCTTGACTGTGCGACTATCAACGTATGTCGATACATGGTAGTGATAACGAGGACCTTTACAAAAGATAGAAACAAGTCTTGTTGGGGAGATGTTTTTCCATTCAATGTCTCATCTTCAGTGCTACTCACTACCTTAGTGAGCAAGTTTACCAAGTAATATTTAGTTCGTGCATAGCAACAGAAACATAATGAGCTTAGGGTAAGCAATTGCAATCATAATTCAGGTGAGCTCATATTCTGACGCGTCGGTATGGGGAGTCTAGTCACGTAAGTGGGCATCGAAGCATGTACTGCTTCTCCCGAATCTGAACACCGTTGACGAAAGGGGATGATTGCATAAGTGCAACTATGCGGACTGAACTTCAAGCTGGCGGTATATGGCTACGTGAAAGTTATGAATGCTCCACGTATCACAACTAAATCTAAAGCTCCAAATGGTTTACCTTTTTCTGGGGCCGAAGAGGGTAGTTCACACGCATTTCGAGAACAAGAGCGATGAGTTTGTCGTCAGCGCAAGATCTAAACTTTGCACCCTTCTAACCAGTTTTATGGTATTCGGAAATGCAATCGAAAAATGGGCCAATACTGGTTTTCCAGAGTCACTGGGTTAAAGCACACACAATTGCAAAGGCTATAAATATTCCGTAAATTTCTTCAGCTCATTTATCGAAATGAACTTTGTCTCCAAGAATCAGCAAGTTAGTTCGGTTCAACTCGCTGCACTTTTGTTGACTTCCACCAAGCTATCTCAATCAAAATCATTTTAATGCAGTTGTTGTTAAACGCTCAAGTAGTGGTGTGGTTATTCATTGCCACTGCATGGGGTAGAGAATTACAAGGTGGTTTTATTGTTGACTGGGGTTCCCAAAATGTTGGAAATGGTGATGTCAGCCTTTATTCTAAATCTATATGGTCCATCATCAACAATGCTGCAACAGATTTTCATGGAAACATCAAAGTTGATGCCACGTCTGGTCTTTACGTGTCTACTGTTTCACCACAAGTGTCTTTGTCTGCTACCTTGTATGATCTGATTTACAGTTTTGTGAACGATGGTATTGTCTCCTTTAATGCAATTAGAGGTGCTCCAGGATATATATTCAGAATTATGGGTGACAAGTTTTTAAATAATGGGGATTTGTACTTTGCTGCTTCTGGTGTTGGCTCTGCTGAGAGTGCTATAAAGGGATCAGATTGGCACAACAATGGGTTAATTCACATTTATCAACAAATGAAGAGTGATAGTTACACCTACTTGGGTTACGATGGAAAAACAATGGTCAATAATGGACAAATTTGTTTCACCAATCAAAACTGGAAACAGCTTACCGGTATGTTGGGATCGGGTTGTGTTACTGCTCAAGAGAAAGCTTCATTCTACTTTATGAATACCGATTTACAAATCTCCGAGGGTGAGATCTTTTACTTGAGTGGTGGTGAGACATCGATTATGGCAGTTGGGTCTATTAATAGACCCCAAACTTTCCACGTTAGAGGTTTCGGAACATACAACGGTATGGCTAACAAAATTGGATTAACGGCGACTTTATCCTCTCCAGCTTCAGGAAAAGCTCCATGGGCATACGATGCTGAAAAAGGTATCTTGACATTGTATGTTGGATCATATTCACAAAACTTTGAAATTGGTACTGGATATGACATTACCAAGTTCCGGATTGTCAGTGACACCAGTAGAGGACTACCAGGTATCAATTTAGGTGCAGTACAGTATAACGGTGCTCCACCAAACCTAGGCGTTCCTGCAGAGTGCAAACCATGTAAGGCAGTACCGGGTATTCCAGGAGTTGACAAACCACCAGCAACAACTTACGAAATAGACACAGCTACAATCAAGCCAAGTGATGTACCAAACAAGTCGACTGTGGCACCCTACACTTCTTCAAAGGCAAGCCATGGACTCGTTAAAACCGTAACTGTTTTTTCCACAGACATTGTCATGGCCACATCAACTTTCACAATCACCAGTACAGTTACTCCTTGAGTGAGCTTGGCTCTACGAGAAGGGGGATTTGTACGCTTTTATTTGTAGTTTGTATTAGTTACCAATTTGTTTTCGTGTATTGTTACTTTTCCCTGGTCTCCGTTCACACTTAGATAATGTATGGCTTGTACAAACATCAACGCCGTGGAAAAGTCTTACCAGGGTGAGCGAGAGAGCAAGAATAGTGAATATTCTGTGACCTGAAAGAGCTTTTCATACATACGACCTAACGCAATGAAGAATCAAAAAATTTACTTGATTCAATATATTGTAAAACTGTTTGAAAACTAACGTTGCATCGTTACCATCATCTTGAAACACGATTGATGGGCTCGCAGAAATTTTCCGTGAAGTGATTTAGGAGCTGTACAGAAGGGGCTTGCTTTCTTAAGTTGTCGAAGAAAAGCTCATAGGTTATATTCGAATGGATTAACGAGTCGTCGCCCAAGTCTTTTGAGTTTAAAATGGGATCTGTTATTTTAAAATACCCTGGTCATATCCACGGCCTAGATCATTGCAACCGAATGCATGAGGTGCTTGATGAAAGGTGCGGATTCAAATATTGTAACGAAGCTGATACTTGCTTGTAAACAGCTGTCGAAGACATATGGTTAAAAACGAGCAGCCAAGCCTTTATGGTTAGAAAGAGATCGGCTAAGCATGCATGATTAGAGATTGAGCTACTGGACATGTATGGTTACAAAACACTGCAGTTACATCTCGTTTGAAAGATCGACCCTCTGACGAATCAAAATCTTAACGGTTTGAGAACCTAACCAGAGCATTTGCAAGTTACACAAAACTCTATTTTGTATCCTGTTCCAAAGTCCTCATCAAATATTTGCTCCAGAACCCTGTTCCAAAGTCCTCATCAAATATTTGCTCCAGAACCCTGTTGAGAACTTGAAGTTATTGAAATCTCTCTAAAAAGTAAGCAACGGTCCCAATGGACAAGGGCACCACACAAACAAGGAGGAGCAGTTTGTTGTTTTTTTTCAATAATAGACGAGCGAATTTATTAACCGATAGTGACAAATCTAAAAAACCATACGATTTAGTAAGATGTCAAATTTCGGAAAAGCGTATGCTCGCGCATTGGCAAAAAGAGTGTGGAGAGCCAAGCAAACTGTAGCATAAGATACAGGCCGTTTTACATTTAAATTTCCTTTTTCTACTAACTCAGGGTCCAGAAATCGCGTGTTGAAAAAGAGAAAAAGTTTTTTAGAATTGCCAAGAAATGGCAAAGGAACCGAAAACAGACTAACTTTAGTCACAAACAAAACAAAACAACAAAGCATTACGATTTTGATAATCAATTTTTTTCTTGGCAGGGTTTTTGTTACAAAGATCCCTTTATAAAGAGGCGAGATGAGGTATACTTCACTTCAAAATCTCACCACATTGAACGATGGTTGCTGCAAGTTATCGCCATCAAAACTTGAAAAGAGCTTACGCCTTAGGAGATATCGTCGTCCTTCCAGTATCACAATAGACCGAAACTATGTTGAAAGTTGCTCATACTCGGCTACGATAATAGACACTGACACGACTTATCACAATACTCGATACACGCAGGAAATCAGACGAGGAAATTAGCGAAGAAATTCTCGACTCATTGACAGAACTCAATGTTCGCCTAAACCTGCTTGTGATGGAGCAAAGAAGTGGGCTCAACTGTTGAAGCATCTGGTGGACCTCATATGTTGTTCACCCTGTACTGGTAGTGTATTCTTCCATGACATTGGTCATGCCATCATTACCCATCCATTTGGCAGTATCTCACGTTAAGGAAGGTTTTGAATGATTGACCCCTAATAATGCAGTCAATGAGTTGCGTTGAAGAGAATGTTCTGTTTGCCAAGAGGTAACTACCGGATCTAATGGAATTAGCTTCGAGTTGCTTGTGGCAGCTCGTTTAGGAAAACTGCTTACCCAATTGGTCCTCGACTTTAGTCAGTGACTTCTGTTGAATATTCATATTTTAAAAGTTATTGCCAAGAGATATTGGTTAAGGCGACAAGATGCATTCTATTAAAGAACTTTGTTTGCAAATAGTGATGTTACATGTCTATTAATTCACCAACGCAGTAAAGATTATCACTACCCATCTTTGAACCTTGAGGTGTCTATATTACCCTGTTGGACCCTGATCGATGGCTCTACTGGTTAACTGAAACGATTGCGTCACTTGGGTCCCGTATTTGTATCAATCGTCCCTGTACCGTTTGTTTCAAAAGGTTGCTTCGTTAGGCGCTAGACGGTACTTGAATACTTGCGGGAGTGTGCAAAAGGAGATACAAAAAGTGGCCTAGGTATTTTACTAATATTCGGCTGTTCATTCTTTATTTCCAAAATTTGAGATTACACGAAGCTACATTCCGACGCCTCTTTCAGTGCAAGATCTAAACCCTTTTGAACAAGCTTACAAATACCCATGGACACTTACAATCCAAGAATGGGCTAATAATGATACGTGGGCGTTGCTTCTTCTTCTGAGTGAACGGCCCTTGGTCTCACGCTTTCCGAAACCATATAAATAGCCTTGGAATTCACCCAGAGGTTTCAACTTTCAAAGTTTGTCTCATTAGCTTGCTACACTTTCGTTCATTTTCAGCAAATAAAAGTCAATTTCAAGTATGCAATTAATTTTAAAAGCACAGGTTGTGTTGTGGTTTTTGGTTGCTACCGCTTTAGGTAGAAACTTCCAAGGAGGTACCACTGTCGATTGGGGTAGTCAAAATGTTGGTAATGGTGATGTCCATATCTATTCTGGAGCCATTTGGTCTATCATCAACAATGCTGCGACAGATTTCCATGGAAATATTCAAATTGATAAAAACGCTGGTCTCTATGCTTCAGTCGTCACACCAAGTATCACCTTGTCAGCTACCTTATACGATTCAATCTATGGTTTCGTCAACAATGGTGTTGTCTCCTTCAATGCAATCAAAGGTGCTTCAGGTTACATCTTCAAGATTATGGGTAATAAGTTTGAAAACAATGGTGATTTGTACTTTGCTGCTTCGGGTCAAGGTTCTATGGAAAGTTGGATCAAGGCACCTGACTTCCACAACAACGGGTTCATGCACTTCTACCAAGTGATGAAGAGTGATAGTTACACCTACTTGGGTTATGACGGAAAAACAATGGTCAATAATGGACAAATTTGTTTCACCAATCAAAACTGGAAGCAACTCACTGGTATGTTGGGAACGGGTTGTGTTACTGCTCAAGGTAAAGCTTCATTCTACTTTATGAATACCAATTTACAAATCTCTGAGGGTGAAATCTTTTACTTGAATGGTGGTGAGACATCGATCATGGCAGTTGGATCGACTAACAATCCACAAACTTTCCACGTTAGAGGTTTTGGAACATACAATGGTATGGCCAACAAAATTGGTTTGACTGCAACTTTATCATCTCCAGTTTCAGGAAAACTTCCATGGGCATACAACGCTAGAGATGGTATCTTAACTTTGTACGTTGGATTGTACACTCAAAACTTTGAAATTGGTACTGGATACGACTACACCAAGTTCCAGATTGTCAGTGACACTAGCAGAGGTTTGCCAGGTATTTACTTGGGTGCTGTGCAATACAATGGTCCACCACCAAACGCAGGCATGCCAGCAGAATGTAAACCATGTAAATCAATCCCAGGTATTCCAGGAGTTGATCAACCAGAACCAACTTCAACAACTGAGGCAACTACGAAGACTACTCCTCCACCAGACAAGACTACTCCTCCACCAAACAAGACAACTCCTGAGCCAAACAACTCCTCCAAACATGGACTTATCAAGACAGTTACTGTGTTTGAAACTGATGTTGTTTTGGTTACTTCAACCTACACTCTCACTAGCACGGTGAAACCTTAGGGAGGTTCCGATGTGAGGATACGGACAAGCGTCACGTCAAGTGTTGTGTATACTTTGATAAAATAGTTTGTAGTACCGAATTAATTGAATTCTTTCCTAATTGTTGTTTTTTCGAGTCTGTTTTGGTCTCTTAGAAATCCGGATTTTTTCAATTACGAAATCGCCTTAGTTCAAATTTAAGAAGTGCAGGTACTTTTTATATCCGTAAATATATTATAAATTACTTGATTGACAAGGTATCATCTTGAAAAGGTTCTAGGCATAAGTGGTTGGGAGAGCAGTGTCTTTGGATCATTTTTTTGAAATTTGGCACGAAATTTGAGTTAAAGTGTGAAATTTTTGTAAAAAAATCAAGAGATCTTTTGTTGACACCTGTCGCGTATGTTTTTCTTGGGGACAAACCACATACAATGGTATACTCGAGGTTAATGCAGCTTTCCCTTCTTTGGTGTACGATCATTCCATGAGTATGCGAGATTCGAGCTACACGATTCAGTCTCTCGACTCAAGAACTTTTCGTGGATTCGACATTCTCAAAATTGGTTAGCTATTTATATACAAAGCCAATGGTACATCCTTTTGCCTCGAGCAATCTTCTTTGACAGATTGATTAAGGCTTGAAGATTGCGGCCTGTCTTCAACACGTTCATCCAAAAGAATTGCACCTCTATAAGCACACCCAGTGTTTATGAAGTAACCTACAATGAAAGCACGTTTTTTGTCAATAAAGAGCTTTGCTTGAGGGGAGCATTAGGTTTGTGATGTTTGCAATATAATACACAAAGTGTGATATAACTACTGTGAATCCTTTTGGTGCCGCATCAGAAAAACATTCCATTTCACCGTATTTAGATAGTGCTTTTACTTCACGGGAAAAACTTGAGTGCAGAATACTGGGCCCATTCAACGGGATGTTTACATAATGCTTTACATAATGCCAAGAGAATTGTTGAGTGTTGTGAGCTGTTGTTATTGGCGATCTATCAATTGGTCTAGCGAGGTCTCAGGCGCTGCTACTTTGAAGATCTGTGTTTACGAGAAATATCTAACAAAAGTTAATCAACGGTGGATTTAGGTCTACTAAACTGACAGCACCAAATCAAGCACCGTTACTACTACTTTCACTAAAATTTTCAGGAGGCACTTCCCAGTTGAACACTCTTTGCAAAAGTCACCGTATACGCGGCAAGTTTACTGCAATTGGTCGCCAGTGTCTGGGAAAACCAAACCCTTGGAAAATATCATAACCATTACAGAATGGCAATACTATTAATGTGTTCAAGATGTTACTTGTCAGCCATACTGACTCGCAGAATATGGCGCGACTTATGCCTACATTGGCACTTATGACTGAGACGAGGAGTGAGAATACAGTCTGAGGGCTACACAATTAAATCTTCTTGGCTAATTGAGGACTTATGGGTGTAATCAAATTTCGCGTACACTATCGTCATCTTGTGGCTCCCGATCAGCATCCAAGATTGTGACAACTTCAAGGGGCCGATATAACATGTGGTGGTGAGGTGTTTATTCACCGATGCGAAGCTATGCTCAAGGGCGATTATTGCGGTTCTTATTGAGAACTTTGCCAAGAGGATCCACTCGAGTGCCGTTGTAAACAAACGCGGCATGCTTTTAGAGCATACATGTGCAGGTACGTCCAAAGTAAGGCCACATTTTTGACGGTTGAGTGACGAGAGAACGTAGTCGTCACTGAGCTCTGATACCCATCACATTAAACAAGAGCATGAGGTTAGGTTCAAGATTGCTAGTTCAGGGAAGAAGTTGTGCAACTTGGCCTTGAGGTTGGTACCGTCTGACAACAGTCGTGTTAAAGGTGCACTCTCGTATCAAATTAGAATGAAACCTCAAATAGTTCAATTGTTTACTGTTCTATGCACCGAAGCACCCGATTTTCAAATACGATGCTAAACACACTAAGCGTGTTTTGTAATGCAAAATCTAAAATGTGGACCCTGTTAGCATGTTCAATGATTACACACCACCAAACCAATGTATCTGTGCTTATTCCCAAGTTTCTTTCGAAATGAAAAGTTATGAACACACACGCTCGAAAATTGTATAAATAGCCCAAGGTTTTTCCCATCCTACCAACTTCCAAACTGATAAAACTACTTAACTGAATTCGTCTCAAGTTGCAATACTAATAGTTTAGTTGGTTTAAACTTTCGCTAATGCAATCATTAATTAAAGTTCAAGTTGTGTTGTGGTTGCTTATTGCCACAGTTTGGGGAAGAGATTTCCATAACGGTGTCACTGTGGACTGGGGTAAGCAAACAATTCCCAAAGGTAACATCCACGTTTGGTCCAATGCTATTTGGTCTATGATCAACAATCATAATGCAGAGTTTCGTGGTAACATTCAAGTTGATAATGATGCCGGTCTTTATGTTTCCAGTGTTACACCCAAGGTTTGCTTGCATGCCAGAATGCCTTCCCTGAAGTATGGTATTGTCAACAATGGTGTCATTTCCTTCAATGCCATCAAGGGTGCTAGAAACTACAGATTTAAAATCATGGGTAACAAGTTTTTAAACAATGGTGATTTCTTTTTAGCCGGTTCAGGTGAAGGTTCTGTTGAAAGCTATATCAAATCAAGAGACTGGCACAACAATGGTTTACTTCACGTTTATCAACTGATGAAAAGTAAAAGTTATACCTATTTGGGTTACGTCAGAAAGACAATGGTTAACAATGGTCAAATCTGTTTCACCAATCAAAACTGGAAACAACACTCGATCATGTTGGGAAAAGGTTGTGTTACTGCTCAGGGCAAATCATCACTTTATTTTAAGAAGACGGATTTAAAAATTTCTGAAGACGAAATCTTTTACTTGAGTGGTGGTGAAACATCGATCATGGCAGTTGGATCAAAGAAAGATCCACAAACATTTCATGTTAGAGGTTTCGGAACCTACGATAATGGTGTTGCAAACAAGATTGGATTAACTGGAAGGTTGAAATCTCCTGCACCAGGCAAAACTCCATGGTCTTACAATGCTAGAGATGGTATCTTGACATTATACCATGGATTATATCATCAAAATTTCGAGATTGGAACTGGTTATGACTTTACCAAGTTCCAAGTTGTTACTGACACTAGTAGAGGATTACCAAGTGTTACCTTGGGTGCTGTTCAATACAATGGTCCACCACCAAATGCAGGCATGCCAGGAGAGTGTAAACCATGTAAGGCAATTCCAAGTATTCCAGGAGTGAGCTCGGAGCCTCAAACTTATGCAATTGATACGTCTGGAATTGCACCAATTTCACTCGACGACTCAGACGATGAGAAACCAGTCGATGACAACGATGACGATTCAAATGACGATTCAAATGATGTATCAGATGATGAAGGATCTGATGAACAAGCCGATGACTCAAATGACGACGCTGATGTTTCTTCCGCACAAGAACCTGTCAGTATAGTCAAGGTTATTGCTACAGCAGTTGTTACTGCCACTGCCATTCAAACCGCTACTGTATCAGCATGAGTTTATTCTAATGTATGAGAGTGGAAAGCTATAAAGCTAGGTAATATTGTACATTGTTTACAGTCTTTAACACCATGATACCCCTTCTTTATTATCTCTCTTACATTTCTAACTTAAAACTCTTCGATCAAATCAGTAAAACTAGAACCTATTTCTTTAGAAACAATCGCAATGACGATTCCCCTTCAAAGAGGTGATCTTGATACGATTTTCTTTCATTGAAAACATTACAATAAAAAGGAGATAACTGATGCTTAAGATTGTTCTCGAAACCAATCAAAAGCCTCTTGTTTTCACAAATTTTCCAACAGGACTTGTTCTTTGTTGAATACTGGAGACGTCGTATCGACTCCAGTAGGCACAGAGGTGCAAGGGAATTTAGAAACAGATTGTTTTCATTATGGAAGAATTCGGAATTCTGCACCTCGGCTGACATACCGAATGGAAGTGGAATTATTCTCGGTGGCTTTCACCAAGGTGCACACGCTGTACCATCTTTCAAGAACGACGCTCACATTGCCTGCCCGCTCACTCTCCTCACAACTTCTCATTGAGTAATCTTTCGAATTGCAATTTGTCCCACCTGACATACTTCAGTCGATTCTTGGTGAAATCGGAATTACCGTATTTATCATACAATTTGAAATACGCATTCAAAATCATCTTTTTCACTTCATTACCAAGAAAGCTCTTGAGATTGGAATCGCCAAAGTCAAGAGCACGATAGTTGGTCAAAGCCTCTTCAAACGAGTCGTTGAATTTTTTAAACAATTCCTTCACTTGTTCTCGTTCCTTATTAGACAAGTTGGTTGCTTGACCGCCCCCAGTACCAATGGACGTATTAGGATTAACACTGCCACTGCCTGCTTGTGTAGCAATAAGAGTCATTCGTTCAATGATAATGTACGAAGCATAGCTCCAATCTTCAAGGAATAATTTGAGGAATCGGTTTTTCAACTTATTGATTCGCTCTTGTCCATTAGAACCTAGCATGTGAAACAAGTCTTGAGAGCGATTAATGATCTGTTCAGCAATAAACAAGTTTCGTAGAAGAATAAACCCCTGGGTGGACTTCTTCATGGCGTGCTCTCCATGTGGTTTCTTTAGTCCAATTTCAATATTAATCATGACACAATCAATAATATCAGCAAAGTAAGAAGACAAAAGAAACTCAGGAGATTTGTCATCAAATGTAGTATTTATGATAATCGAGTTAAATACAGCAATGTATTGTAATGGTGGAGACTCCAGAATCCAATCCCCTGGTTTTCTCGTTTGAATCAATTGTAAAAGTGGTTGTTTGAACTCAGCCATTTTCTTAGCTTGAATCATTGAGTTACTAGTGGCGCCAAATGTTGTGGAGTCGTTGAATTGGATAATGTGTTGAAATTGTGACTCAATTGAGCGAATACAATTGGGGAAAATTGAGGACCCAATAGCTATAAATTGATCAAAGATTTTGCTAAATGAAGTGCTTTTAACCACATAACGATGTTTCAACTGATAATCTACGCGGAGCAAGTTGTCAATAATTTCCAAAAGAATTAAATAGTTGTCGTTGCTGGCACCCAAGGATGTGCTCAATCGCGTCGCCAAAGATTGCATCACTTGATTATATTCACGTATAGCGTACTCCAGGATTTGGGCAATCAACTCTGGCGGTAAAGAACATTGTTTTAATACTAGCACCTCCTCTTTTAATACATTATCCGTAGCATCAGTGAATTGATTATATCCCTTTGTACCCTTTTCGTATGGCCCTTCGATATTTGTAGGTTGTAATTTATGCTCAGCGAGCTTCATACTTTGAATGGCTTTATTACCTCGCTTTTCGACATACTTATTGACAATGTGTTGATCCTTACCTTGTTGGTTGAAATACTCAAAAATCACTTTCACCTCATGTTTCTTATCCATCATTTTATTGGTCTCCAAGTTGAGTACCGTGTCAATGTAGTTTTGCACTTTTAACTCGCTTCTCTCAATTACACTTTGAAAGTTGTATAGAATCCCTTTAAACTGCTTGAACTTTGGTTTGATACGATTGTATAACTCCTGCGATTGATTCAATGTGTTTACGTACTTCATTAAGCCCACAACTTCAATATTGTTGTTCAATGCATTTTCGAAATTGTTGATCTGAGAAGCACTTTGACTCACTTCAGATAGTAGGTCCAAGCCCCCTTCAACTTCCTTTTTGGCCGCAGTCAATTTATTGACTTGTCCAAGGACCGGTTTGATTGTGGTGTGAGCAGCTTGTGATTTTTTGGAGATTTTTGTGAGTGACTGGTTAATGCTCTCAAAGAGAGCTTTTGATTTAATCAAATTTTGATTGAGAACGGCAACATCGGCCTCATCTACGTCCACTTTGTAAGCCATTGGTGTTGACCATGAAGAAAGCGAACTGTTAGTTTTTTGTCGTTGAATTGATTGTGGTGAAAAAATAAAAAACATAAGAATCAAAACTAAAGTGACTCAGGATTTTCCTTCTCATTCAAAACAGTACTTCTGATTTCAAACATATGCGTGATTCAAAGGAGGAAGTAGAACAACTTTGTCTAAAGCTCCAAGAATCAACCAAGCTCAAACGCAATGGTAAATGTATTAAATTCACCAACTATGCACACAACACCACCATTGCTATCGATTCATGGAAATTTCTTGATTTCGATTATGGTAAAGACAAAGTACGATTACCAATTCAAGCTAGAGGGTTGTTCACCATCAACAATGAGTACATAGTGGTGCGTGGATACGATAAGTTTTTCAATGTTGGTGAAAAGAGTTTCACCAGGGAAGATGACTTGAAAAAGACATCAGGTCCTTATGATGTCACACTAAAAGAAAATGGTTGTATCATATTCATCAGTGGGTTACCCACAGGCGATATTCTAGTTTGTTCGAAACACTCTACTGGGTTAAGAGACGACAACACAAGGAACCATGCTTTAGAAGGTGAAGCTCAATTACGTCAACATTTGGGTGACGAGAGAATGGGCCAATTAGCACGCTATTTGTACAAGCACAATTTGACCGCGGTAACTGAATTGTGTGACGATGAATTTGAAGAGCACGTGTTGCCCTATCCAAAGGACAAGTCGGGCCTATACCTACACGGTTTGAACTACAACACAATTAAATTGCAAACTGTGCCAATAGGTGAAGTGGTCAAGTTTGCACAAGAATGGGGCTTCAAAACTATTGAATATCTTCTGTTTAACGACGTTGATGCCCTTTTCAAATTTCTTCACAAATGCAGCGAGACCGGCACCTACAATGGACGTGAGGTCGAGGGTTTCGTTGTTCGTTGCAAACGTAATGGCGATGACTTCTTTTTCAAGTATAAATTCGAAGAGCCATATTTGTTATATCGTCAATTCCGTGAAGTCACGCGACAAATGTTGAATGGTACCCCTTCTCATTCTGTAAAGATTAAAAAGAACAAGTACATCACTAAGAAATATCTTGAATTTGCTGACAAGTTATTCACTGAAAAACCGAAATTAAAAGAGTGTTTCCAACAGGGCCACGGTATTATCCATGTTCGTCAATTGTTTTTGCAAGATTTGCATGAGACCAATGGTATGAACTTGTTAACAATTGATGCAAAACTCACGGAGGAGATGAAGAATCTAGATTTAGAGGATGAAAATACCACGAAATTTTTACTTGTGTCTATATCTACATTAGGTTGCGGTAAGACCACCGTGTTCAATACGTTGCATTCATTATTTCCCGATTGGATTCACATCCAAAATGACAATGTTGCCAAAAAAGCCAAGCTAAAAATTACCGACTTGGCCTTACAAGCTTTAGATAATTACCCGGTGGTGATATTTGATAGAAATAACTCGGAATATAGAGAAAGGAAACAGATATTCACCACGATTTCAGAAAAGAGACATTTATACTTGGATGATGCGATCAATATCAAGTATATTGGTATCAATTTTGTTCATGATGTGAGTCAGGAGGAACTTTGGCGCATCACATATGATAGAGTGAAAAAGAGGGGCGACAACCATCAACTGTTGAAGGCAGCCTCGGATGCAGAATTGACGACCAAAGTAATGAAGGGGTTTATGTCACGGTTCGAACCAGTGAATACCGAGCGTCTTCCGGACTCTCAATTTGACCACGTGATTAACTTGAAGTTAAATGAGAATGATTCTTCGTTGGAAAATGTAAAGATCATCATTGATGAATTGTCAAAGGCGTATCCTCAGTTGGTCAAGAATCGACCAACAGACGAGGAGATTGAGGCAAGGTTCCGAGAGAGCTTGGAGTATAAGCCAACTTTCACAAAGAATATGACATCCAATGGCAAGAGATTGGACCCAACATACTATGCAATCTCAATCGACCGACAACATGTTGAGGATTTGTTTTATGACCTCAATGAAAACGATGAGTTTAATCGATTGAAAAATGAAAAGCTAGTGCAGGAAACATTCCATGTTACGCTAGCTCATATAGCTAGTTCAACTTTACCTGGAAATAAAGCCAAGTGGAAAAAAATCAAGAAATTGTTGGTTAGTGGCGAAGGTAGGCAAGGAGAAAGAAATGTGCTCGAGTTCCACGCCAAAGTGAGGCTTGTTCAATTCGTGTTCAATAGGGGCAAGCTCATCTGCATCAAATGTGAAATTATATCAATCCATCACAACAAAAGTAATGAAGTGGTTGAAATTGAACCTCTTAATAAACATACGCACATCACAGTGGGATGTTTTCCACCTACAAAGCCAGTTGAATCAAATGCGACTTTGGAGGAGTTATACGGCGATGATTCAAAGCAAATAAAACAAGATGGGGTTTACGAAGTTGGGGAAGATGTGATTGAGGTCAAAAAATTGACCACTGATGTGGTATTGGAGAATCAGAAGCTATTTGTGTATTATTAGACTGTATAGAATAATGTCGTGTAATCACAACATTTCAATTTCACGACACGAAGAATCAAATCTCCCAATCGCCTCACCTGAATACCCACGCTACTTTCTTAACAGTTGACATGTTTCAATCCATCAAGTCCTATATTGTTGCCTTATGGCCTGGCCCAGTCTCCCCGGAGCTAAAGAAATCGGTTGAATCGGCCATCGAATCAAACAAGATCTTAGTGTATTCAAAAACCTACTGCCCTTATTGTACCGCCACCAAGGATTTACTAGGAAAGTATGGAGTCGATTACAAATTGATTGAATTGAATACAACTTCAGATGGCGGTGAGGTTCAGCGTGCACTACAAGAAATCAGCGGTCAAAGAACTGTACCAAATGTTTTCATCAATGGTGAGCATATCGGAGGTAACTCTGATTTGCAAGCCTTAGAGAGTAAAGGAGAGTTGAGGAACTTGCTTGCAACATTGTGAGTACGCTGGTGTTGGTTTTTCATTAGATGTATTTGTTTCGAATTGCCAGATTAGATTCATAAATAAAGATTTGTATTCAGAGACTTGTGAAATAACCACCTTGTAGCATCCACACATCATTTAAGCGTATCCTTCAACGTTTCAACTGCCCAAAGATGATATTTTACAAAGATTTGATCATCATGGGTGAGCTCTAGCAAAGACTTTGGTCGAGCCATTGATCTCCGTAGATACCTCTCATTATCAACGACTGAACCGCCGTTTAATTTATGCGACTTTTCATTAGTCTGAGAGACCCTTTGCTGTATCAAATCAATAAACTCACTCATGTACAATGTTAAAACGTCCCAATTTTGTAGTAGATCCGCTTCAGAATCACACACCATCATCATGCTATATTTCCTTTCTTGTCCTCTAGCATTGATGTCATATACCTTGAAAATCTTATTCAAACAATAGCCATATACAGCATCACCGAAAAACATTGACTTGGTTATATCCGATACTGTTTCTACTGACAACGATTTCATCATCAATTTCTTTAAAGCCGCATACCGTCTTTGAGAGCTGGGATAAGCCGTTGAGATGAATGACTTTGAGTTGGAATTTGTCACGAGACTGGCGGCGTTGTCTGGCAAAAACAATTGACATGAGGCACACGCACCTTGAGTTGAGACTGATGTGTGTAGGTACTCTTGAGTCTTATCTTCGGTTGTCGCTTGTGTACAGACAATGATTTGTGGACCATGTAATTCACAGAAATGACTCAAGCATAGTATAAAATTTGGCATTGATTCATCAAGTTGTTAACGAAGTTCATCAAAATTCTACGGACCTTTGTGCGGTTTGGTTACATTTTTTTTTTCCAAATTTCGAAAAAGAGGTTCACAAGAACCAACAGCAGCATTCTTTTTAATAAATTGAGGCCAGTTAACAAAGCATAGTTGAGAGAGTCAATAGAGATTGAACCATGGGGACGCTATCTCTCACATTTTGATCTATGCAAAGTCGAATGATGGCGTAGGATAATCACATAACGACATGTTTTCAATAAGGTTGTGACGATGAGTTTCATAGATACTGAGAGCCCCACTGACGATAGCATGCGTTGGCTTTTAGTATGATGGAGAATCCATATAACCAACTCCAACCATGATAGAGCTGCAGTGGATAGTTTCCTATCTTTGTAAGCTTTTATTGAAGGTCGGAGCTAGTAGAAGTTTATGGATGCAGTCGCTTGGGCAATATTACGTGCCGTCAGTACCTTTCTGAGGCATACCAGCTACTAGGCAATAGCAATATCGGAGTTTCTGCAGGCCTCCACGAGCTTTTGAGATGTTTGGAATTTTCCTTCCAATTTAGACCAATAATGGGTTAACGTGTCCAAGTGTACCAAGTTGTTCAACAAAGTTACATACACTACCTTGATTGTGTGGGAAAGTAATGTCACCCCTTGCTACCATTGAGTAAATCGGCGTTGCGAAATGTGGCTCGGTTGTTTCGCCAAAATTTACACAATTCAGACGTGCAGTCAAGAGAGTAAATTTGAGTTTGCGGAGAATACACCTGAAAGAACACAATCCATCAAATATCGCTAAGCTCCAAGGTGTCACATAATTTTACTGAGGGTGAAGGTGTTGCATTATGCTGGTCATGAAAAATTCGTGGAACCGACTCTTTTTACGAAGTTGTATGATGGTCCCAGGTATCGGTCGAACAACATCCCCTAAGTGCTTCCACTTAGTCTCACCATTTACATATTAACTTACGTTTTCACGGATCATGCTGTTTCAAAATATGCGCCATAATTGAGAAATGTTGCAAAGCCTTGCACTAACCACTAGTTCATATTTTACATCTCTGCACCTACAAACTCCGCCGTTGGTCTATGTATCCACAAGACTTACAAATAGGACAAAATACATGCCATGGCTCTCTTCCCCAATTCGTATCCATAAAACTCCTTGCAGAATTGAAATTCAGAAATTTTGAATTTTTTTTTCTTTTTCTAATCCACTTTTCTTCCGTGAACCTGTTCAACGACAAAACCAAATCTAGAATAACAAGTAACCCGGCGTGTGTGTGTTTGCTGAAAGGGTTTTTCGCATGGGATCAAGAGAAAGAAGTCGGAGCAGTTCCGCACATTCACTCAACGGAGGCTCAACAACGCTGCTGCTGCTGCTGTCAAAGTCAACAACTAATGGGAATGGGAAAAGTCAAAACAAGAAGCGAAAGTCAACTGATGTCAACGGCTCAGCAAAGAGGAAGTCAACCCGTTTGGCAAAACTAGAGCTGAATAATACTCCCAAGCTATCCGCCAGTCCATACATTAAGGAACAAGACAAGGTTGACGTGATATCCGACAGTGAGCCATCGCTGATCTCGTCGGGTCTGGATACCAAATTTACTGAGCCAGAGCTTGCACCACCTACACCTAGTTATACGGGACTACCGTTGGAAGAGTTCCCCTCTGCAAAGATAAAGAAGGAATCACTCTGGCCACAGAAGTTTAAACGAGGTAAGAATAATGTACTGGATACGTCGCGAGAAGTTTCACAAGCTCCTGACGAAAACAAGGAGGAAAAAATGGAAGAGTTCTATAGGTCACAATTGAAGACGCCAGTTACACAAGGCATCACTAACGAAAGTGAAGTTCGAACACCTTCGTCAGGGAAACTGCGAGCGTCGAAAATATCCAAGTTGAAATTAACAGTGCTGACTCCGAAGCAACCAATCAACAGAAAACTGAGCAACAAGACACCAAAAAGTGCACTCAAGAAATTGAAATTCACATCACCAAAAAAGTCGCCGAGTACCAAACTACTAGCGCCTGATACAAAAATTAAAAATGAAGCACATCATGAGGAAGATACACATAAAGACAATGACGATTTCTGCTTTGCTTGTGGACGTCCCGGTATTTTTATATGTTGTGAATCCTGTCCTAAATCGTTTCATTTTACATGTTGTGATCCACCGATTGAGGAACCACCGGAAGATGACTGGTATTGTCATGAATGTTTTGCAAAGAATCACCCTCATTTGATACCCAATTGGAGAGATATAGGGATATTTGGAAAATTGTTGAACGATTTAGAAGTCCGCAATCCGAAGGTGTTTCAACTTCCAAAGCAGTTGAGAGATGATACATTCGTTGGTGTATATACTGGAGAAAATGGCGATTATGCCGATGACACAGAAAAACCCGATTTGCCCACAAGTAAAAGAAATGGGCAACAAATACCTGGATGCAATAGAAATGAAGACTTGGAAATTGATAGTTTATATGATGAGATGGGGTACCCATACTTGTGTCACAAATGCGGAGAATCGGGTCAAAACCACAGGACATTGATTAAATGCGACTATTGCCCCATTGTTTACCATGTTGACTGTCTTCCGTACCCAATGTTTGGTCCGAAAACGATTGGAGATAAATGGAGGTGCCCTAACCATATCAAGGATTTGTTGCCAAAGGGGCTACCAGAATTAAGACAGTTTAAGGACACGGAAGTTTTGGAGAGCTCATTGCATAGCAATTTCATAAAGATATTAGCGACAGAGAGTTTAGTTGTCAAGTTTGATACTGATCAGTACCTCAAAGATAACTCAAAGCACACATTAGACGAGTTTGACATTTATCCTGATGATCTCAGCAAAACGCAAGTGCTTTCCTCTTGGGGGGATGACATGGATGCAATCCATCCCAAGTACAAAGTTCCAGCTTACTTCCAGGCAGAGTCTACACGTGATGGTGTTGCAGCGACAATGCGTGCCAAAGTCGAGGCGATACCAAAATCAGGCTCTGAAAATCTAACCACATATCGAATACCAGAGAGGCTGATACTAGTCGATTTCGTTCAAAAAGTTCATCGCAAAAATGACATTTTAACCCTGAACGAGGAATACGAATATGCCAAAAGGTTGGAAGAAAACCCAAGGGAGTTAGAAGCCGCAAGTGGATTGCAATCCATAAAAGAGCGACAGAAACAGTTAAACTTGGATGCATTACTCAAAGTGGTAAATCTAGAAGAGCCTATAAAATCACAGAAATTGACAACCACCGAGATTGATGAGTTGTTGAAAATCAAGAAATTGATGGAAGCTAAAGGGCAAGATGCCTTGCTTAACTTTTTGAAATCTGGTGAACATTGAGGTTCTATATTTCGTATGTACATGAGATCACTAATGCATATATATTTGGCACATTAGATGTCTTTACTTTTTAGCTGGTCTAAGTGGAAGCTTTGGGATCTCTTCCTCTGTTAATTGTCTCGCATTTGTGAGCTTGATTAGTTCTGTAAATATTTGATGTGGAGGCTTACTAGCACAATCAATAGTCGAGCTATCTGCATCGGTTTGACCGTGAATATGTAGTTTCAATGGTAGTTTAGGCAAATCTTCTTCGTTTTCAACAGTTACATTGGTAACAGTAAATTGAACGTCGGGATTGTGATATCTCAAAGTGGGTAAAGACTCTTTCCAAAAGTATCTGATTCCATGTGCTGGTTTATAAACAAAGGGACGTTGTTGATATACAAACAACTCGAGCTCTTTGTATTTTGATGCATCAAATTTGTAGCTGTTTTCTGGCGTTCCTCGCAAGTTGTTTATCCTCTTTATTTGTTTGAGAAGATTAGGATTGTACTTGTTTTTTGGAGTTATTAACATTTGCATGGACATCTTGGCTTAAGTGTGTATGGTAGGATTGGTATAGGCTTTTTTGTGAGAAAATTTTTTCAATCAATTCAGTCTCTTAATTGCATGGGAATACCGCACACAATAACGGCATGGGTGGATGAGATGTTACACTACGTGTTAACACGAATAGAAACTCGACGCGGTTAACGAGTGACTGGTTGTATAGGTATAGTTTGTATTGTAAATATTTGCTGACCGATACGTAAATATAAGAGCCCTCGCCCCCTTGTTCTTTTCACATCGTGTTGCAAAATACATTACCCCCCACATGTTCTTTACAACGTACCTACTCATACGCTTCATATACTGGATCAATTACATCTTCAGACAACTATCTAACTTGCTCATTGGAACTGTTCTTGAACATAAATTTGACCTAGCATTAGTCACTGGTGGCGGTTCAGGATTGGGCAAAGAATTTGTGTTGCAACTTGTGAGTAGAAAAGTTAGAGTGGTGGTACTCGATATTACAATCCCACAAGAGACGGAGCGAGTGGTTGGTGTGACCTATTTCAAATGTGATGTGAGCAATAGAGAGCATGTTTTAGAAGTTCAAAAACAGGTCCAACTGTCGATCGGAATAGTAACCATTTTGATTAATAATGCTGCAATTGCAACCGGGAAACCATTGTTAGATCTATCATTTCAGGAAATTGAGAAAACCATTCAAACCAATCTCATGTCAAGCTTTTACACGATAAAGGCCTATCTACCCAGCATGATCCTGATTGAACGTGGATACATTGTTACAATTGCGTCAGTTTTGGGATACATGTCGCCAGCACGATTGAGTGCATACGGAGCATCGAAATCTGGTCTCATTGCATTGCACGAATCACTCACGTATGAACTTGGATCACCGACTTTTAGCTCCAACGGAATTAAAACGTTGCTTGTTTGTCCGGGACAAATTAGCACAACAATGTTTAAAGGAGTGAGAACACCGACACAAATCTTTGCACCAGAATTAGATCCCAAGTTTGTCGCTTCATATGTTATACTGGCAATTCTGCAAGGCAGGAGGGGCGAGATCAAGTTGCCCTTTTACGGTAAGTTCCTTCCACTATTCAGGGCTTTTCCATGGCCAATTGTTGCGTTGGCTCGAAAATTATCGGGGATTGATAAGAGTATGGCAAATTTCAAAGCTAAGGTGTCAAGAGTTGCTAGTAGCGTATCGTCAATGATTAGCAGATCGAGGAATGGATCAAGTGAAAACTCTCCAATGTTGTTGAGGGGATCGCTGATTGCCTCACCACAAGCATCAATCTCGTTGAATGTTGAGGAAGAGAATAATGTGGAGATGTCTGCGTAAGATGACGGTGCAATACAAAAGAGGTATGTCTTTCAAATGTGTGTCCACGTTTAATAGCTTTGGGTATGTGCTATATAGTTTCAAGTACCATCTTTGTCTCAGGCCTCTATGATCTGTAGTCACCATTTATAGTAACATACTCATGAGATAAATCACATGTCCAAAAATCGGCACTTTGCCCTCCACCAGTGCCCAAGTCAATCTCTATCACGAGGTCTTCATCTTCCAATATCTTTGATGCTCTTTCCTCGTCTACTTTCTCTGGCTCTCCATTGACTAGCAAGTCCAAACTGCTGCTTCCATCTACTGGCACGAACTTGACGCTTGTTTTGGAAGGTAAGACTGAATCACCACTTGAAACTTGCGCATATCCAATTGCACATAGTATGCGACCCCAATTCGCATCTTTGCCGTACATCGCAGTCTTGAAAAGTGAAGAGTTTGCCACGCTTGATGCGATTGACTTTGCGTCGTCATATGATAAACTGTCCTTGACTTTAATGGTGATAAATTTAGTTGCACCTTCTCCGTCTCTGACGACTAATTGTGCCAATTGTTGGGCAAATTCTGTAATCTCTTTTTGTATAGCAAGAAATCTATCACCAGAAGAAGCGTTAAGGTTAATCAATTCACCACCAGCTGCACCGTTGGCAATGGCTGCGATTGTGTCATTGGTGGACATATCCCCGTCCACAGTAATACTATTGAATGATCTGTCAACCGAATGCTTAAGAATCAGTTGTAAAGCTGAAGGTGAAACTGGTGCATCGGTGACAAAAAAGCCTAATAAGGTGGCCATATTCGGACAAATCATACCAGCACCTTTACATAATCCGGCTAAGGTGTAAGTGTCGTTGTCGATTGTGAATTGTTTACTGAGAAGCTTTGGAAATGTATCAGTGGTGCAAATAGCAGTAGCACAATTGGTCCAGTCTTGATGAGTATTCCCCAAATGGCTCAAGGCTAGTTTCGGTATACCAGATAAAATTTTGTCAATGGGCAAGTTGTTTCCTATTACACCAGTTGACATGACTAACGTAGAGCTGGGTTTATTGCCAAGTACTGAATCTGTCACCAACGTCATGTCTTTTGCATCTTTCATACCTTGTGCTCCAGTTACTGCGTTAGCATTACCACTATTTACAACAATGGAGTTGATTCCTGCCCCTTTGGTTTCCTTTATGATTTGCTGAGATACTTGTACAGGAGCAGCTTTGAACTTGTTTTTGGTAAATACAGCTGCAGCCGATGCGTTTTTGCCAAAAGTGTTGTGAACAATAGCCAAGTCTAAAGATTTTCCGTCCTTTTTGACACCGCAATGGATCCCACCCACAATGTACCCCTTGGGGTAGACACCAGTTTTCGGGACAAATCTTTCTGCTTTAGTGGATAAAAGCCTTAATGTGATGAATCTATTCATGCTTGGGTTTGCCAGTTGTGAGTCAATTTTTTTTTTTTTTGAATATTTTCAAAACTTTTGGTTAAGCGCGATAAAGTGGATTTCCGGATTGGGATGGAAAGAAAAGAAAGAAAAATAAAAGACTTCCCTTGACAATTGATACAACAAAACTGGCATGATGCTACTATGATAAGAAACGCAACAAGAGAGTCATGGTGTTTACTTCGACGATACAAAGAGGTGGCTTCAATTCGACGGTTTGTGGCAACTGCTCCATTTCAGCTCGAATCGAGCTTGTCTATTTTTGACCCAGAGAGGTTTACATTTCCGAACCCTGATCAAGAGAGATGGGATAGTCTAGTGAGGAACTTCACACGTATCTTGTTTACGCAAGATGTGTCAGCCATTTTCAAACAGTTGTCGGAGCTTGAGAGACAGTGCACAAGTCTGTATGACACTGTCAAAACACGGCAAATGCAGATGTTGGAGTTTTTCCAAGGGGGTCTTTACATGTATATTGAGGCCGAGAAAAGGCATAATGTCAAAGAAGTGATTGCAATAGCTCAAGCATATGCTGACTTTATAAAGCGAGCAGCGCATTCAGGAATTGACAAGGGCTTGCTACATTCACACATTGATACCATTTTGACTGCTCTACTACAAGCATTTCATTTGGAACGAGAATGCCGCAAGAGCCAAATATTTTTACCACCAATCAAAAGTATTTTCAACCAAGTTGTTAAAGAGTTTGAAGTCGATCTATCCCTATTCTTTATACAGTTGACTCATGAGCACTTGAAGAAGAGTTTGGAAACACTCAATCTAGGGACTGCAAAATTGAATGCTGCGACGGCGCGTGAGCCCGAATCGATCTCTTTTATTCCAATAGACCCTTACTTGGATGCATTTGGAAACCTATATTTCGACAAAGCTTGCAAATATATCAGCGAGAACAAATTCCAATGGAAAGGTGAACCAGTCACATGCAAAATTTATGACGTTTACGACAATTTACCACAGTATGAAAAGGAGGACTTCCTATTGGAGTACCTTGAGTTTAACAAGATCAAACAGTCAACTCTAGAACATTATACTCACAAATTGATCAAAAGTGCATCGCATGATAATGCAACATCGAAACAGAGTGCAAAGTTCATCCTTCATGAGCATAAGATGATCAAAACTTGGGTCAAGCTAAGCTGCGATAAAGTGCAGCTGTCGATTGTCGATGCACCGGCATCGGAAGAAGAAAAAGTATTATACCATTTCCGACAGTTTGTCGAAGCTTTTCCGATTAGTACAATGGTAAGCAACATTATCCACAAACTAATATCATCTGTCTATTTGGAAAAAGTTGGTGTTGTGGAGATTTTCAGCAGTATGAGGACTACGTTCAAACGAGATGTTTCCTTGATGAAAAAGTCAGACCACAAATCACAACTCTTTAAGTTCATTTCAGATGACGATTTCGATAAGTTGTCTAGCATATTGGTCAAATCGGTGATTGAATCGTGTATGATACTGAGGGTGAATGCTGAGGGATCCGATGCTGACGATGTTGCATCTGGCTTTACAAATGAGGATTTTGCATTCCATCTTGATACGATATACGTATCCCCCGTTAAATCCGAAACTGTCATCAACTTCAATCCGGTACTCAAACAAAAAGTTACATCGATTCCAGTTGGCTCAAATTCCCATCATTTCCCGCTATTATGTCCACCAGAACCATGGCTTGGAGTAAACAAAGGTGCATATATGGAAAGAAACACTCCCTTCTTGAGTGGTTTTGATCAGTTGCAACACCGCATCTTACAAAATGCACAGCATTTAGGGAAACTAGATTCAGCATTCAAATGTCTTGATCAGATGGGTCAGACGGCTTGGGCGATCAATCCAGATGTGTTGCTGGTTTTCAATCAGGTGATGGAATTACCAAATGGTTTTCTTGACATCCCACCAAAGCACTGTGACGAATCTACCAAATCGAAGCAAGAAATTATTGACATCAAGGGATTGAGGCTGAATTTCGAAACTGTCAATATGTTGGCTAATACATTCGATCGCAACGGTGATATGTTATATCATTGTTATGTATTCGACTTCAGAGGTAGAGTATACCCATTGTCGCCATTGACACATTATGGTGGCGATTTAACCCGATCTTTGTTTCAGTTTTGGTATGGTCAACCATTGGGTGTCAATGGCTTTTATTGGGTAAAGTACCAACTAATGTCAGTTTTCGGAAATGAAACTGATTGTGAAAAGTTTTACAACCACAACAAGGAGCAAATTCTCGCATCTGCGTCTGATCCATTGCACAATCATTGGTGGATGAAAGCTGACGAGCCGTTCTCAGCATTGTCAGTTTGCATTGAGATTCAGAAAATTTTACAATTTGTTCAACACGGTAAAGGTTCTATTGAGGAGTATATATGTCGGTTACCTATTCACCAAGATGGTTCATGTAATGGGCTCCAGCATTATGCAGCCTTGGCTGCTGATGAGCTGGGTGGTAAAGCAGTCAATTTGGTTCCCATGGATACAAAACAGGATGTATACTCAACCGTGAAGGATATAGTTGAGCAAAAAATCATTGCTGATGTTGAAAATAGGCTCATGGGGGAAGATCGTGATCATGCTGCATTTATGTTGAAGATTTTGGATCGTAAATTGATTAAACGACCAGTTATGACTACTGTGTATGGTGTTACTTTAGCTGGTGCCAGTCGACAAATTTTGGAAAATATTGAAGATGTCGTATCTGATTATGATGAGAATCCAACCAAGCGTGGATTATATGACGAGGTTACAATTGATAGATTACGCCAGTTTAATTTGAGGTCGACCATGTACCTAGCACGAAAGATTTTATCATCAATTGATGAGCTTTTTTTCAATGCTAAGCAAATGGAAAAATGGCTCGTTGAAAATACCAGACGCATATTGACCAGTTATAACGTGAAAACGTTGGATTACCTTCAACTGAGGACCTTCACATCAGCATCGCTCACATCAAGCTTGGCATCAAAAGCATTAAACAATTGGTACAAAACGCCAATAAGCTATTCACCAATAAGTTGGATATCAGCGAGTGGGTTCCCCGTGATTCAAACGTATCGGAAACGACAACAACCACATAGTGTGACTGGTGCATTGGGATCAATAATGCAACTGGCACTGAATAAAACTGCTCCTATGGATCGACGTAAACATGAGTTGGCAATTGCTCCTAATTTTATACATTCATTGGATGCTAGTCATATGTTTATGACATGTGATGCGTGCGCTGAAGCCAGTGCAGAAGCTGAACCTGGCTCTGAATGTGGTACTGGTCCTGGAGCTGGGTTAATATTTGCATCGATCCATGATTCATATTGGACTCACCCTAACCACGTTGAAAAATTGTCACGGATATTACGTCAAACATTTGTCAAGCTCCATTCATTCGATTATATGACCCATGTTCGCAACGACTTTGTCAAACAAGTGCAAAAATCGTATTGTTTCCAATTGGTTTATTTCGACAAGATGGAGTATAGGGAACTTTATGCTGAATTGCGTGCAATTCGAAAAACGTATGGGGACTACAATAATGACAACAGTAAGAAAGTTTCTGATTTGTTGAGTCTTGAGTTGCGACAGCTACACAAACAAAAACAAGATCATCCAGTGAGCCAATTACTCAAGACACATGATCCTAAATTGTATCATATTGTTGGAAACTACATACACAAGTACACTAACGATATTGATAACAATGCCGATGGATCGTCAGTTGGGACGTTGGGGTTACTACGTAAGAATTTGGTTCCTGTTTTCGTTCCATTACGAATACTCAATCTTCCTAAAAAGGGTACGTTGGATATTACACAAGTTTTGGATAGTAAATACTTTTTCTCTTAAATGGAAAATATTTAGATTTGTAATTTATTTGTTTTCGCTAATCATTTTCTCCAATTTGCCAAATATTTTATCTCGATGTAGAGCTAATGGATCATCCATATCCGATTTGAAAAATCGGTTTCTCTTTATGTCGTGCTCATCGACATCGTCATCATCTTCTTCTTCCTCGTCGGCATCTTCTTCATCCAACCCCATGAATCGCTCAACGTCACCATAATCAAAATACTCTTCTCCATCCCAGCCAATACCATCATGAGGCACATACCCCGCATCATTATCATCATCACCACCTCCGCCTCTTCCGCCACTGTTGATCTCCCCATCACCAATATTCAACTTGTCAAATTCATCCTCAAACGAATTCAATTCTTGTAAACCTTCAGCGTCTTCGTCACTAGGGTAATCATTCTGATAAAAACTTTCAGCATTTGAATCTTCATCATCAGTTAAAACGCTAGGCTTTTTTACTTCGTCTAAATCCTGTTGTGTTGTGTCCAAGATGTTGGAGTCATTGTTTTCGGAATCATCGTCATTGAAAAAACGAATGTAGCCTATTTGAGCCAGTGGATGATTTGCCGTAGTAAGAGGTTCGGCATCGGTTAGTTGGTAGACATCATAAACGTACTGATCGTCATCGTCGTGGTCATTGGTGGTCTTATTGGTGGTGGTGGTAGTGGTAGATTGTGTATCTTGAGATATCGAATCCTGCGATTCAGGTAAATGCTCTTCACTAAGTACATTGGTAATGTCTCTGTGAATTTCTGTATGGCCCCTTCTTTTCCTCTTTTGCTTGGTCCTGACACCTTCTTTTGAAACTACATCTTTAACCATGTTGGCCAATTGATCAGGTATCTCTTCATCAGCAGCATCATAATCAATCCCGCTTTGACGTCGTGTCTCTCCAGGTTGGATAATAAATCGTCGCTTAATCTCCCCTCGGGATGTAGACTCATTGTTGTCACCACCCTCTTGTTGTTGTAAATCCGCTGTAGTCGCTGCCTCTGCCAAGATTGTGTGTAACATAGACTCATTCAACTCTGCATCATTACCAAATTCGGTCTTGGCCAATTTGAACATATAATTGAGTCTATCATTATCAGATTCATAGACAGAGTTGTTTCCAGTTCTCAATTGCTGTTGTTCTAGTGGTGTATGACTACGTGGAGTTGCAATGGGTGATGTGATTGGTGTTGATGGTTTCGATCGTTTAACATTGCGGGTATCTTCCAAAATCAAAGCTTGAAGCGGATCTTGTCCTCTTTTTCTTTTGATTCTTAGGATTCGAGGTGGAGGTTGTGATGTAGGTGTAAGTGGAGGTACATTCTCAGAATTCATGATTTGAAAAGGAAAAGCTGTATATCGTGAATGATGGATTTTTTTGATCATTGTTTGCAACTTGAGCGATCCCTTTTTAAATTAGTACACACATGGAAATGTTACACTATGTTGGAATTGTAGTAAAAAGGGTTCTCAACTGTAAATCACTGAGCATTTGCATCTCTTAGTTTAAAAAGCACCTCATCACCTGAGCTGCTACTCTACACGCAACCATGTATTTATTCTATTACTCTAGTTATTAATACTTGTGTGGATATTAAACATGACTGATGGAAACAGGGTGATTTCAGCCGATACATTACTTTCTACACCAAAACTCATCAAAATCCCTCTAATCACACCACAGGGAAACCAAAGATAGACTTTGGATTTTTTCAACGTATCGTGATCTGAAGAAGCAGCAGCAGCAGCAGCAGCAGCAGCAGCATTAGCTCCACCACCACCAACTCCCGAAACACTTGGACTACTAAACTGACTAATCAATTTGTAATTGTTATCAATCAAGACAAAAGTACCTCTATGATTAGTTCGTAAATTATCGATTTGCTTATTATAAAAACATTTCCATACATCACGACATATGAACTTCATTATATCCAAGATATCAATGATTTTCGTTGATGAGTTTTGGTAGAGTAGTAATTCGGCTATTTTGAGACCAAGGTTATAGCCAAGTGTTTCAATGCGAATGGTGACTTCGTCAGTAGGAAGGGATGGTGTGTCTAGTATATTAACAGTTCCTGGAAGATCATTGGGAAATGGTGACAATTGAGTGTCTATTCTTGTTTGATGCGTGGTATTGGATTGATCCTCTTCACTTTCTTGAGAGGCTGATGTAGATGTTGCGTCTGATTTTGATTCCGATTCTGATGTTATTGATGATGGTTTGGATGATTGTATTGATAGCGTCTTTGATACACGGATTGAAGTTGGGACAAGTTCCTGAAGAAGGAATTCAAAACTGGAGTAGCTTATCTGAGATTGATGAATGTCTTCGGTCATGGTGATAAAGCAAACAGAATTTGGCGGGGTTTTGCAAAGTGAATCTGGCTTTTGGACTCTATCAGCGTTTGGCTTCTGGTTTTTTCGCAGTACAGTCTTTTGTTTTTGTTTTATACTAGCGCGACATAATTGTTCATACCAACGCGACATTTATTATGCAAACCACACAATTACCCAAAAGAATTTCCCTACCTCTAACCCGATCCTGTCGAATTAGGGCAATTAGTTTAAAAGTATGGAACAATATCAAACCAGGAGGTCTTTTTTGTTTGAGCTTAGTCATTTTCTTCTGCCCTCTCTCAGAGTTTTTGCAGTTACTTTCCCAAGCTAAAAGCTGTTTCCATCCTATTCGCTGGCCTAAAAATAAGGGCCCATAGTTTAGAAAGATCTCAGTTCCAAAAAACATTGTATATGGTTATTAGCACGTCTACAGAAGCCTTGATAACTTTCTCAGGTCATCTTTGCTGTTGCTTCTTTTACTCATGGGGTCAATTGTTTTCTAGATAAGTTTGACCGCTTAACTTGAGTCTGACATATAAACCATAGCTCTTCAAATGCGTTTAGTCTGGGTGAATAAGGAGGCAAAAACACTAGTTCCTTTCCTCTTTGGGCTACCAATAACTCAAGATCACGACGTTTATGGATGGCTTCATTGTCAAGTATCAAAGGTCTCGAGCTCTTCAAGTGCCTTGTTTGTTTCAATTCCTCTAAGCACTGACTTTACAAATGAGTAGAAATGATCAACTGTGGTACCAACCCTTGACTTCTTTTCCGAAACTGTGGTGTTGGAATCAGCTTTTCTCTTATTGTTAGGAGCAGTCTCGGCTAGGAGTCGCACCTTCAAGTCAACACATCCTTTTGAAGAGATAGCACCTAAGAATGATACCTTGAGACCTCTTGTGACAGAAACTTTGAGGACAGCCTTTTCACCTACTTTTGGCCATCCGTATTCCCGTCTCATACTAATGTTGAAACCAGTCTCATCAATGAAAACACAGTTCTTTCCAAAGTAAACTTTATCCTTATTTTCAAGTGCCCACTCGAATCTCTGCTGTTTTAATTCTGGCAAATCCCGTCATGGTCCATTTAGAAAGCTTCTTGAGACTAAACTTGCATACATTGGTGAGAAAGATACAAATAGTAAAAGTACTTGCCTTCACATCCTCAAATGTACTCCTTTCGTTTATCCAACAAGAAGTCTCAAATTACAATCGGGTCCCAAAGAACCAACTCTTTCAAAAAGAATTTGTGTTCCTTAATAAAAAGAGGTTTACGACCACGCTTTTTAGGTTCGTCATAAATATTACTAATTTCGTTAACAATACGGCTATTCCAAATTCTTTTCCAAGTATAAGCTATTGGTAAATTGATGTCTGTTACTTGCGTAGCCTTATAAACACCGTTGCTCAAAAACTAATTGCCAGAATCTTTGCTTCTGTGCTTCAGAGAAGTATGTGCACAGTTTTATCTTACGTTTGCAAACTTCATCCTGTTTAGAGTAAATGTCTACATCTACGCCATCGCATTCTATGTCGGAATGTAAATTGTCAACTTCAATTTTAGTTGAATAAAACGCTTCATTGTAATCACTGTAACTAAAACACGACTCCAATGGAGCTGTCTCCCTTCCCCGACCCATCAGGTCTGACTCAGAATTAAAGCAATTACCAAGTCCATCCACATATCCGTCATTACGAAATGTCAACTTAAAGTTCATGTTTTTTCGTGTTTGAATTTATTTTGACCTAGCAAAAAGACAAAATCACATAGGAACAAAAACAACAATGTCCTAGTGTCGTGTCGCTTGTAAGTTACCACAACGACACGACACAATTGGGACTATATCTAGATTCTCCATTCGTTTTGTATATAAATTCATTTCCCCTCAGTTTATATCTATAATATATTCCTTAACCTAAGAATACTAACTTACAGTCTTTACTGTGGCTATATTACACGTAAGGTTTGAAATTTTATGTCTCAATAGTATGCAACAAGATATGAAAAGACTGTAAACAGTTGAATATTTCGAACGTGTAAAATAGTTTTGAGAGCTGATGGGGATGTCAACAGACAAGTTCCTCATAATTAGGGTGAGGATGCTCTGGTACGCTGAAGCCCGTGCTGTGAGGGCGAATGCCTCCTTCCAGGAAGGGGTCGTATTGGTGCTTTGTAAATGAACGGTTGTCAAGACAAGCAACCATCTTCTTGGAGGTATTGTTCACTTTCTTCACTTTGGGTGTTACACATCAGCCCCAAAGTATATTCTAATTTGGAACACGTCAACCATGGGCAACTCCAGTATCTGAATAAGGTCAAGGCTAAAGGTATAGAGGGCTCAGTTTTATCGTGATTGTAGTGTACTTAGCTCAAAGAAAGATTGGTTTAGACACGACTTTGTTGTTGTAATTTTTTTCACACGCATGCACAAAAAAGAGTTGTAAAATGCATGACCTATAACACATAACGCACTCTTTTGTTAATTTGAATAATTGGCACGACCATTTTAATAATAATAATAATAAACTGTATTATGTGCGGTATGTGTATATTCATGTTGATTTTCAACTCAAACCTTGATAATCAACTATTATACACAAAGGGAGTCAATGTAAGAAACTCTAATTTGATTAATAAATCAAACAGAAAAAAGCGATTGATTAAGTAGGATTCATGTACAAAATGTAAGTAGTGAAATGGTGGAAGGTACAGAGACGAGGCAACTGTCGGGTATAGTCAGAACATTTGCTTCAGTATTTGAATTGCTCAGAAACATATGAAGAGCCACTTGGTCGAAAAGTGATTGTGCCAAGTCATGTAAATCAGCTTTCGCAACAGATTCCATTGATAGAAAGTGCCTTTTTGTAAAGACAAACCCACGTTGAATGCTATAGAGGTTATCTGGCATATATGCAAGAAAACAATCAATTGCGTGGGGTTATTTTGTGTAGTAGTCCCTTTGAGAAAACACAAAACACCGCCAGTAAAGTTGAAGAATACTCAGTAGTGTGAAAAACAAACAAAAACAACATCCTACTAAAAGGATGGTAGTTGATGAATACACCCTTGAACATATCACTTTGGCTGATTATTTACTTACATAGATGTAGATTGGTGTGTTTACGTAAGTGCAAAGGAGTTTGGTCGTGTACTTTTGTAATTAAGCTTTATACCATATTATTTTGTTATGTTAATGTTCTGTTTAAAAACGTTATTTAGCTACTTTTGTGTTAAATGATAGTAAATTAATATATGTGTGTATGGATGTTTTGCAAAACACGTACAACAAATAGAACAAAATAACTGACAGAAAGAAAACAACACTCCCAACCTTCCCAACCCAAGAGACAAGACAAGACAAGACAAGACAAGACAGAACAAAAAGTAAAAAGAAAAAAAAAAAAAAAAAAGACAAAAAAGAACGGAGAGACAAAAAAATTTTGTATTTCTTGCAACACACACCTTTGTTTACCACACACCACACATACTCACACATACTTACACAGCATCACTATCATAACGTACAGTATCACAAAAGAGTCAGTGTATTGAATTACTACCGCCACCACTACTACTACTATTACCACTACTACTACTACTACCACTACCACTACTACCACTACCACTATATCAATCTAGAGATAGTCCTACTTAGAAAAAGATTTAACAAAGACAGGTTCCACTGCCAGGGCAGGACATACACACCGACAGTTTTCCACCAACTACAATCTATTCATCCATAGCCTAGGGGCTACTCTACATTTTTGGCTAATCAATTTAATAGCACATTTAGCGCTTGGGCAAAATCACGTCTTAGTCTAGCAATACACTTCGAAGTTATATTATTTTGCTACTGTTCGTGTTTCGTTTAACACCTGCTTCCATAAAAGAATAAGCTTATCATCGCGCTCTTATCTTATCAATATTGGCTCATCAATACTGTTTAGTACCCTCAACTACGAAAAGAAGAAAGATCTTAAAAGTCACAACTACAGACGAAGAGGGAATTGACATTTCCCGACTCAATTACTAGACCGCACTATTTCATTCAACTAAATTTCATTCATCTACGTGTATTATTTCATCACTCCTTTTATTTTTGTTGGGCCACATTTTGCAATCAACCTAAAGCATCATTTTAACAACAATGTCATCAGAAGCAGCTATCACTTACGATAACAACTTGAGCAGTAAAAATCAGTTTAGTCATCTCGCATCGTCATCTGGATCAGCACCAGCATCATCATCACTTATGGCACACGACGGCTCAGCGGGTGCGGGTGTGGGTGCTACTGCTGGGAACCTACCCCCAGGATTATTAAACAACTCATCACTATATGCAAATCTGCCACAGTATTCACTTGCACTGCAACATCAACATCAGCATCAGCATCAACAACTGCAACAACTGCAGCAACAACATCAACAACATCAACAACAACAGCAACAGCAACATCAACAACAACCTCCACCATTGCAGCACTCTCATTCGCATCAGGAACACTTTAGCCAGCCGCAATACCAACATCAGCACTCATCGCATGGACAATCCCCACCAATTACTGGGTTATTAAAGATTTCCAATCTACCTCGCGATCTTACGAGAAGAGAAGCAACTTTGATGTTTGCTCTTGTTATTGATGAAATCTTGAGTATTGATGTCAATGATTACCAGGTGTATGCGTTGTTCAAGAATTTCAATTCATGTATAACAGCTGGTAAGCTTCTTGATGGTCAGCAAATCTTTGGACCAGAATATGCCCCTGTGAAAGTTGAATTTGAAAATAGCCTTCATTCATTAAACTCACCACAAGCTTTGGCACAAACACAATCGGCGTTTAATGCGTTGTCGTTATCATCGACCAACAACATCTCCCCACCAAACAAGTTCAATAGTATTTCCAATTCGCATGGATCATTGCCCTTTTCACAATCGCATCAACTTTCGAATGATTTTAATACGTCTACTCAGAGCGCTCATCCTGTTGCCCCATTTGATGTATTACAAAAGCGACTGTCGGTGGGTACACAGCGATCTAAATTTGCCTTCAGTGATCCATTTTTACACGAGCAGCAGCAGCAGCAGCAGCAGCAGCAGCAACAAACTCACTTTCAACCTCAACAGCAAAGACTTTCCGGCTCTGGGCTTCAATCTGGGCTAACAAATGGCAGCGGCAGTGGCTCTACTCAGTCGCAAACACAACTGGGCTCCAAGTTTAATTTTCAATCGCAGATGCTATCTGATGGGTCGTCGCAAGTTGGGGGTTTAACAAATGGATCATTAGGGTCAAGGACTAGTGCTGGGGTAGGTGACTATTCCGAAGCAACGGGAAAATCGATTTTGTTGATGGAGTCACAAAATGACGCCAGAGATTATGAACAGTTGGTTAGAGATCCGTGGACTTCAAATCAAAACAATGATAGGTTGTCTGCGGCACATAGCCCCACAGTGTATTCCAATCCTGATTGGAACACTTCAGCAGGAACTTCCGCCACTAGTGGTGCATCTGGCTTTGCTTTACAACAACCACCAGACCGCCGAAGAACCTCGTCTTCGTTTTTCAGCTCGCAATTGCCACTGGACCATTTACTGCAACAATTGTCATCACCACCGCATCGTGCAATAGCACCGAACCAAACTCCACCACATGGTCCTTCAGCATCCGGATTGAGGTCAGCTTTGCAACAAGCAAGTGGAGTCAATAGGACAGATTACTCTAGTGGGAATCAGCAACAGAAGTCACTCGCGAATAAAGCTCAAACTTCACCAGCAGCCCTTGTCAATGCTAGTCCTTCAGCAAATGCTACCTCATTTCAATCGGCAAGCAAAAATCCCACCTCCAAAGACATCCCTGAGCTTTCGCTTTTGGCGAGAGTTCCTCCACCTGCCAACCCAGCAGATCAGAATCCGCCATGTAATACATTGTATGTTGGCAACTTACCTCCCGATGCAACTGAAGCTGAATTACGTGCCTTATTTCAACCACAAAAGGGATTTAGACGGTTATCATTTAGGACAAAGAATTCAACAAACAATAACACTGGTAGTTCCACTTCAACATCTACGTCAACAGGATCAGGAAGCTCAAACTCCAGTGGGCACAATCATGGTCCTATGTGTTTTGTGGAATTCGAGGATGTAGCTCATGCAACCAGAGCGTTGGCCGAATTGTATGGACGAACTTTACCACGACCACATGTTGGTAATAGTGGTAAAGGTGGGATTCGATTATCGTTTTCCAAGAATCCGTTGGGAGTTCGAGGTCCAGGAAATGTGCGGAGAACTTCAACCAACCCCTTGAGTGGAGGTAGTAGCCAACAAGGAGCAACAAATGGCGCAGGTGGAACCACCACTACAAATGGTATGCAAGAAAGTACCACTCTGCACAAACAACAATCGTCATCACAAACTCTGACACAACAACTGAGTAGCGGGAATGGGACTACCAACGGTTCAAACGGAAGTAAATGGGGATAATGCCAATTACAATTGTACCTTCCTAAAGTGAGAGTAACCGAGTTAGTCCACACTTTTTACATTTTTGTTCAATTTTTCATTTTGTTTTAATTTTATGTTAATTTTCTTTGCATTTTTAAGTGAAGTGGTTTTGGATAAAATCAGTGGCAACAGACTCACTGTTTTGTTGGATTGCACTGGTTTTGCTCCACCTTGCACTAGTGTCATTTTTCGATTACCAAGTTTCTCTTTTTTTTCTTTCAATTTTTTACATATTGGTTGTATTTTGTATAAAGAATTTTGTGTATTTTATGTATGTATTATGTGTTTTGAAGGTGTAAGTGTAGGTATAAGAGTATCGAGTGTAGCAAACTTATGGTTACCATGAGCAAAATCACTCCATTGATATTACACATTTGATATAAACGTACTAAACAAAAACAAGTAGGGACCGAAAATCCACGTGTTTTTCTTCAGCTGAATTCATTTCATTAATTTGATCAAATCTTTAGAATTGGCATAAACTTGACTCAACCATTTCGTTTCCAACAACTCCTCAGTATTGATCCTTGATGTTGGGTGTGGATTTAGGAGTTTTAAAATGTACTCACGTGAATCGTAATGGAGGCTCTTGAACAAGTTGATTGCGGAGTTTGATCCTGTTGTTGCTGGTGATGAAGGGTGCGATGATGAAGCGGAGCCGGTAGCGGTGGAGGAGGAAGAGAATGGGGAAGGGGAATGTAGATTGGATGATGATGACTCGTTGTTATTGATGTTGTGATGCAGTTGGTGTAAGTTGAGTTGTGATAGACTAATTTGTGAGTGGCTTGTGCTTCGATTTCGGTTGGAGTTACCAAACGTCGACGTGTGCTGTTGTTGTTGTTGATGATGATGGTACAGTGAGTTGTTGGTGAGGGTCGATATTTGAGGTCGTTGATTCGGTGATGTAGTAATCCCACCAGAGCCCGAGCTAGATGCACCACCTCCTACAGCACCACCTCCTCCCCCTCCACTGCATCGATTCAAATCAGCCAATAACGATTTCAATTGCTCAGGAGTACGAGGATAACTCTGTACATACTTGATAAACACCAAATTTTTGGGATCTTGTAAATTTGCCGACGTCCACGGCGACTTCATCAAGTAAATGACAAAATAACAAACTCCCAAACTCCACAAATCAAGTAATTTCAAACTTTGATAGTCATGAGAAGAAACACAATATTGATTAATACTAAATTCATTCAGTTGCAATTGCACATCGATATCAAATAATTCAGGAGCTTTAAAACTAGGAGTTCCTGAAATTAGTGAATGTGGATTAGTTTTGAATCCAGTGGTTATTGCCTTTGGGTTGCTAATATTTAAGCTATACCCAAAATCACTGATCTTTAATATTCCATCATTGTCAATTAGGATATTCTCTGGTTTTAAATCACGATGCACTATATTGTGATTATGAAGGAAATGGACGCCACGAACAATTTGTTTGAAAAGGGAGTCACGTAAATTGGGCGAAATCTCAATTTGGAATCGTCTTGATTTGGACAAGAAATCAAGCAAGTCTCCTCTGGGGTAAAATGTTAGAATCAAAGCAACTTCATTTTCGAGTCGTAATGGAGTGTCACGCGTCCGCTTCTCCTCTTCCTGGTCCGCTTGATCCTCTTCTCCTTGTTGTTGTTGCGTCTTTTCTTGGCTGGCACTTCTGTTCAGATTATTACTACTACTACCGCCACTGCTATATGCAATAGCAGCGATGTCCAATATAGAAATGACGTTGCGACATGAACTGGATGCTTGGATATTGCGATATTCTCGCCATACTGTCTCAAGATAATTATTATGTGATTCATTAGGTTTTTGTTTGACTCGTTTGAGAACCACAGTTTTGGTATGTTTAGCATCGGTGCCTTTTAAAATTATCCCATTGGCTCCTTCATAAATTGGTTTTGATGAGGTTTTAAAGTAATCGCGACCGATTACTGGGAGAGTGGATAATTCTGGAATTGTGGGGGAATCTTCGTCGTCGATGATGGTGGCGGTGGTGGTGGTAGCGGTGATGACAGTGGTGGCGATGGATGATTTGCACTCTTGTGGTGGTTCTGCTGGTTGGGTATCAGCAAAGCTTCCTCGTTTGTCGTTATTGTTAGATGACATCATCATATTCCGTGGAGCCAATGTATGTTTTATATTGGTTAAGGTGTGGTGTTGTAATTATAGCGAATCCGGTTATTCTGTTACCTCCTGTTTTGAATCATCGAAAAAAAGAAGCTTGTAGTAGTCGTTCATACAATGGTGTTGTGATAAAGAAGATTTAAAGAAAGGGGATGGGAAACTTTCTGAAGATTTGATTATTTAAGTTTTTTCTTTTTGAGATATTTTATTTATGATAAATCAAAGAGATGCGAATTTGGTTTATTCAATTTCGGGTTAAATTAAGCGCCAGGTTAAAAACAATGGCCATAGTACGGTGAAAAGGAAATGGTGGAGATGAACTGTGAAGCATGTAAAGCGCCTTGGTAGTACATTCCACGAGGTGTAGGTATCCAAAGGGAGGTGCTTTGTTACCCCACAGCAAACTTTCAAGTGGCATTTTGATCGCAATGACATAAATGACAAAACGGACCCCGTTCTCCCTTCATATAACAACTTTCTATTTTGTTTCTTTTTTTTTTTCATAGCACAGGCAATAAAACATGCTTTTACGCATATGAAACGACATATTGTTGTAAGTAAGTAGCTGTGAGAGTAAAATGCAAAACGAAGCTGTGATAACGGTTTCTATGATGTATTAATCGCTGTGTTGCTGTAGAATACCGTGTTTCTTGCGGCATGCGGCCAAAAGGAGCAAGAATGATTGCGCGTCATTTGTCAGTCGGACTTCAAAATCCATATGGAGGAGAACTTTTTTCTGAACCGGAGTTAATCCATATTATTATGTCCGATTTCAGGGAAACCTTTGAAATGGAGTTTGATGCGTATCTTTCAACACCAACTATGGTTAGGTTTGGGTTAGTTATCCACACGTCTTTAAAAGGTTCAATAACTTGTTCTATTACATTTTCCATTTATATATTTTTTTGCAGCAATTTTAAAGCAAAATTTGGAGCTTAATTTCTTTGTTATTTCTTCAAACGATTAAAACTATTATATAGGAATTTGTTCTTAAATACTACAACCATAGACAGGTCTTGGATTTTGGACCATTTCAAGTGGTACTCTGTGTTCGCATTTTGAGTCGTATACAATCAGTTCGTTGCGATACCAAATTTCTACTGCACTATCGTTGTTTGACAGGTAAAATATAACCATAAAAAATGTTATACTGGCCATCGTAAATGGTCTCTTGATTTCTGTAAAAGGAATTGACTGAGATATCCAAGGGTATGTAGTGTATGAGTATGTGAGTATGGATGTTATTTACCTAATTCGTTAATGGTATTTCCTAATTGGGAACTTAATTATCCAAAAGTACAGCAATTGTTACACAAAGAAGATAATGTGCAGCAATCTATGGGTTTGTCACGCAAACTGGAAAAGAGAGGATAATACGTCATAAAATCCTTTGCGGATGATGGAAGGGTATTTCAAGAGATGAATATCTAATAATCACAACGTAATTTAGGGGACAAATCTAAACAACAATTGACGTCCTTCAAACATATTGCGCCTTGTTTTTTCAACGATACAGTTTGCAGACGTGCCGGGGACTTGCAATTTCGCGGATATAAAAGAACAATAAACTATTTGCGTAGAGACAATAAACCACAAATGTAAAATAGAACATCCTAGAAGAAGAATATGGGAAGAGGCCATTTGTAGTTATCCTTTTGTTGCGAGTTGGCACTTGTACGTTGGCGCTTTCAAAGCTATGGCTCGAGGGCAATCATTATCATCATCTACATCATGATGTATGTATGTGTGATTTTAAGTCACACGAAGTTACTGTTTTGATCGCAACTTTTTTTTTTTCAGCCTTGCTATACATTTCAAGTGCATTGCCGTGACAAACTTTTCACGTTTGTTTGCTTCTTGTCCCCTCCCTTCTCCGAAACTGTTGAGTCCTTCACTAAGAAAACCTACCTTAAATTACATTTTGTTTCTCTGTTTTCCATTTTTTGCCTAGACTTTTTCTGTAATCCTGGGGTGGGCTGTACAAGGAAGTAAAAAATTTCTTGACTCGAGAAAATCTCACTCAGCCAAGTCATATGATACCATTCGTGATCAAGTTCGAAGTAGAGTTGACTGATCTCACAACCTTTTGAAAAAATGCCATGATTCCAGAGATTGCTATCTAGTAGCGGACTAAGTTATTAATAGAAGCGTATATGTGATCTATAATACGTCTAGACGGTAGCTCTTGCATGTAGTTGCATATATATGGCGCTTATATGTTTATTTATTTTTTGTTGGTCATTAACTTTACACTTTAATGAGTCCCACCAGTCTAGACTCAAAGACATAGTAAGTTTATTCTCTTTAATTACATACGTCTATAACTTTGTAACGTAGGTGTTCTGTCACTCTACTTTATGTAGTGTTTATTGTTTTTGTTGTAGTAGTAGTTTGTTCTTGTGTAATTGGCGTATATTACTTTGTTTGTCCAAATTAAAAATAAAAATTGGTATTGTTACTCCTTTGCTATTGCAGTAACAAAAATAGAATTTTATGTATCATTCATTATTATCCCAAAATTTCATTCCCAAAGCCAAGTTGGTCAGTTCTATATATATATATATATCTCAAGTACCATACTCACTTAAAAACAGCCCCATCACAACTACGTAGAAAGCGGTTGTCAAATCTATATAAGTCGTTTCCACTTTGCAATTGGATCCACTACATATTTTTTCAAAGAATAGGTCACGTTTTCCCTTGTTCTTCATCGCACAGCAAGTATAAACAAAGACACACACCATCTAATACCACTATCGCACAATTGACAAGCTAATCGCTGTTACTACTACTACAACATCTTTTCCCCCTAATGAGAGCATTTACCTTAGTTCCCATATTTTTCCTTTTAGGTTCGACCTTGTTGTTGATTCTCACAGTAATCAATGGTTCGGGAACCTCATCTATACTTGGTAAATTCTACTGGTCAGAAACTGATACTTCGGGCATACCAGGAGCTCAATTTGGTCGGACTAGATGGACATTTTATCGAAGCTGTGGAGTAAGAAATGGTCACAATGCTGATTGTACCAAATCCTCGGCTGCTTATCCTTATTCTCCGAAGGATAATTTCAATTCTGAACAAGGATTGCCTGAATCTTTCATCAGTTCAAGAAAAACCTATTACTATTTGAGTCGTATTGGTTGGGCATTTACTCTTGTTGGGTTATTTTTCACTGTTGTTGCATTGATTGTTGTTCCTTTAAACTTTTGTTTTGCAATTGGTGGAGCCTTGGCGGCAATTTCAACATTTTTGGCTTTCTTGTTTGTCATTACTGCTGCTTGTTTAATCACTGCTGCTCATGTCAAGGGAAGAAATGCTTTCAACAATGCTGGTCACAGTTCCAAGATTGGTGCAAAGGCATTTGGTATCTTGTGGGCAGCTGTTGCTTGCTTGTTGATTACATTTGTTACAACCATTATTTCTGCTCTTGGTACGAGAAGATCAAACAGAAGAAGAAGATCAGGATCGGGTGTTGGTGATGGTGGTGCCTATGGTGCTAGAGACTCAAATGTCTACAATAAGGAGAGTGACGGTGATTATGCACAAGCTAATTATGATGAACCTACTACTAGAGGAGGTGTTTCTGGTGTTGGTGTTACTCCAGGAGTTGCCGGAGCTGGTGTTCATGATGAACCTATTTCTGATGCATCTAAATTTAGATTCTTTAGGGTCAAGAGAGCCAAACCAGAAGAGATCTAAGAAGGGTGTTTTTATTTACCTAATTACTGAAAAATTATCACTTTCCCTTTGATGCACTTTAAATCACGTTGATCAAGTTGCATAATACTGTTCAAAAAGGGGACATGACTTAATCACCTATCTTAAAAGATCTGCAATACGCCACCACCACAGATACCCACGACCTACCAATAAAGCTCGCTTTTATCCACAAGTACGGTTGACAGTTTGTTCGATATTTTTTTGTTTATTTATCCTTTTCTTTTCATGATAATAATTCTTTCATCCGTTGTTTTGTTTTGTTTAGTGTTTTCCGTTTTTGTACTTTCTAATTATTAATATCCTATACTTTTGGTTACAAGGTATTTGTGTCTCTTCTCTACACTCTAGCGTTTCTGTGGTTGTTGTCTTGTAGTTGCTATTGCAATACCAGCCCAATGGGTGAACCTACTTAAGTGACATATTGTTTGAAAAAAGCGATTTCGCACTGGTTACTCGGCTAATACAATATCTTCCCCGAGAAGATAACCAAATCGGGAAGGAACAAGTGTTATATGTGTTTTTGCCACTAATTGATTTTCCCCGTATACAGAGAAAGATCCTTCGTATCGTTCTACATAAGAAAAAGAAAATGGTAAAGGCTGTCTAGTATTAGAGTCTGATGACTGATGAGGGGTATATTTTTTGATTCTGCGCAAAACGAGGACCCTACTGAGTTGTGTATTGCTTGGCATATCAGAAAAATGGTTCCAGGAAATGATGAATGTATTATAGTTTTAAAAAGAAAGGGTTTATTGAACTCTTTCTCGTAAATTTTCCCTCGTAAAATTGAAAAAGTTTGTTATGCACAGCGCAAAGCGCAAAAATGAAAAGCCATACTTACACCCTGACCACAAAAGCTTAACAACTCTTCTATAGTTTCCTCGAATAGATTTACCAGAAGACCTAGGCTCTGTAAAGCTTAAAATGGACTCTTCTACAACAGTTACAGTCTTGGATTGTGCGCTTTACTTTCTTCCCCACTGCACATTTTCTTTTTTCTCATTCAATTTTTTTTCTGTATTGCCACAAAACGCAGAAGCGAATGAACTTGCAAATACCAGCTGTAAATAATTTTGTCACTTAGATGAAGACACATCCAACCAACTAAATGGAATCGGACTGTGAATTGGGCAAAGTAGAGTAAAAGAATAAGCTCCATCGACGAAAAGATGGTGTAGACAATCGACTTGAAGAAGGTTGTAGTGATGGTAATTTATCTCTTTTTTTTTTGCAACTCACTGTACACAGATTGTAAAAAGTATATACACAAATACCGTAAATCACATAACTCACATCTTCCCTTCTTCCATTCAAAAAAGAAACCAGACCACAGTATCTAAAACACTTTGTCTTATCATTATCCCACATCAGTCAATACAAAGACTTGGTTCTTGGAATTTCAAATGTCGTCATTTGATCCCGAAACCATGCTTGATTTCCAATTGCATGATGATCTATTCCCACAATTGCATTCACACCGTCAACAACACTTGACAAACTCAGATCATAACAATAATTCAAACGGATTCAACGGAGATCACCAACACCAACACCACCATCATCATCATCGTCGTTCTCAGCATCAATCGTCGCATTCACCAAGAGCATCAAGTCATGGAATCAGTTACTCTCGATTGTTGCTATCTGATATATTGAATTACGATATTCAAGCAGCAGTTGAACAAGATCATCAACAAACTAAGGCGAAGTACTTGCATCAGAATTCATTTAATCGAGGTTCATCGAATGAAGATCCTCAACAACTGCTACCACTACCAGCACCAGCACCACCAGCACCACCAGCACCCTCATCACGACCAGCATCGGTGTTTGCCAAACACAAACGCAATGATTTTCTTGTTGATTATGATGGTGATGACCTTGATTTGGTCGATTTCGTCAGTAATGAACTCAGAATCACTAGTCCTACCGAGTCAAATACCAACTTAGTCTCGGAGCGGTCATTTTTGACTGATACTTCACATTTAGCTCACGATGAATTGTTGCAAATATTCCAAGATCATGTTGAATGTGAAAACAACGGCAATTCATTTAAACCAACAACCCCAATTGATGATAATGACTACTATGACGACTATGAGCCTGGGTTTGACGCAACTTCATCAAACACAATATCACCTGAATCTTGCATGAATGGGTATATGAAGTTTATAATCGATTCATCTCAAGCACCAACAACTACATTTGACTTCAATCAAGTTGCAAATGGTTCTGGCTCCAATTCAAGCAACTACTCCACTGTGGAGAATGATTTACTTAGCTTGCCCAGTGTCACTAGTCCCAAACAAGACTTAACACATGATCAAATTATCCGATTGTTTGAAGAAACATGCAAGGAGATTGATGAATGGAAACTGAATTCAGAATCTGATTCACTAAGTCGAGTTAGATTGCATCCAATTCGAACAATCAATGGGTATTCAAGTGGGTTCAATACTATAACCAATGGCAAATTTGATCGTGGTGTTTATGATGGGTTATCACCAGTTGATGAGACATTAAAGGCTAGTCCCGATTTGAAGGAGACTCCATTTGGTGATGCCAATAGTCAAGTTGCATCCAATGATCAATCACCACCACCACTTTTCCCCAATGACTCTTTTGACGATTATGAAGAAGATTACATCCATGACGTATCGATACCACCATTTGTAAGGCAATCTGATGTTATCACCAACAACACTACCGCCATCCTAGCAACTAAAAGATCATCTTCAGTCAGTTCATTGAAATCTGATCAATCGCATTTGTCATTTAACCAAGTGCAGCTAAACATCAGTTCAACTTCAAGTTCACCATTAGAAAAATCCAACAACTCATCCAGTACTTCAACTCCTGGCAAGCATCGCCGCAAAAATGGGCTCAAGAACAAGGTGGGTAGTCCCATAAGGCAAAAGAGTCTTCAAAAAAACATGTTTAGATCTAGCTCCAGTGTGCCCAAGATCGATTTCAGTCAAATGCCAATTGAGTCGACTCCTGATGTTGAATATTCCAAACTGTTGTCATCCAAATCCTCCAAAGTGCCCAGTGGTTCCCATTGTTCTCAATTGATCGAAAAATTGATTGCCCCACTTTTCAATACCGTAACCTGTCTGATTCAACGAACATTATACCTCAGAAATAACCTTGACAAAATTTTTGCTCAACAAGGTTTAACTGATTATGATATTTCCTACAATACCAATTTCAAAAAGACATCATATGAAGCCCAATTCATCTTGACTAAAGTCGATCATAAATTTGGTAAACCAGACAACACTACTCGTGCCGGACTATGCCCCTATTGTGAATCCATTGAATTCTTTGGTTTGAAAAACTCCTCCTATGGCAATCATTTGGCTTATAAACATGGCATTCTCACCAATGGCAAAGTTGTCCCTGATCCAAAATACTATGGCTTGTATCAATTCAAAAAGGGCGAATATGATGAACCAGAAAAAAAGAAGCGCAAGACAAATGCCCATATGTTGGAACGTGAAGGGGTCTTGTGTACCGATTGTTGGCAAATATTAGAAGTCAATTGTACTTCACGATCATCAATCTTGGGCCATTACCTTCGTCATTATCGTGATTCGCATGTTGGATACAAGAAGGAAAATAAATTTGATGGCGAATCAGATGAAAACGAGGATGAAGAGGTGGTTGACCCGTTGGTGTTGGAATTTATATCTCATTGGGAACAATAATGCATCACTATGGTGGACTTTTTTTGCTAATTCATTTGTTTATAGTTTTGATAATGCACATTTTTTTGTATTATGTTTATATTGTATTGTAGTTGGATAGATAGACGTTGTAAATGATCGCATGGTTTGATACAAGGGAGGGGTTTTTCTCCTAGCGAGAATAAATTGATTTATAGAAATCTTTTGAACTAGAACACACGATTTCAAGATCTACGAAAAATGAAGAGATAGAAGACGATCTTTGACCCATCTACACAATAAGTCTAACTGTACAGTTCCACGCCATTTTCGAGCTCAACAATATCCACTGCAATTGAAGGGAAAGCTCGTGGATCTAGATAGCTGGATGAATGATTGGCAAGTGATGTACAAAGGCAGATTCTCTTCGTGTCTAGCACTATTCTACTTAGAGTCACTTAAGTAATAACTACGATGCAGAGCGGATGAGCATTTCAAACCGACTACAAACACAGTTCCGGTTTAGGTGCAAGACCTGCACGGCATTCTAGTCGATCTTTGGCAAAAAACTGTGGACACTACAACTATCTGCATGGAGGTTAATCTGATCATAGCCAGTTCGCCCAGGCTGTGATTTATTCGCCCGTCATCAGTTGCTACAATGAGAAAATGATTGTGTTGTAAGTAAAGCAGATAAAGCCACAGTTTGTACTATTTTTCAATTCATTAATCTCGACAAACACCACAGTTTTTGCAATTAAATTTATCCACACTCCTGTTCCAGATGACACAATCAAATGCCAAATAAACGCAAGACCAGTGGTTTGCTCACTACATGCACTCCGTGTCACAAATAGAAAGAGAGGCAAGTACTAAAGCAGTAACCTGTCAAAATTATATATGAATAATAGATGTCAAAACCTTGGCAGAACGCAATAAGTTGCAGACCAAGCTTAGTTGCAAAAGATGACTAGACCCAAGGGTCAATCCAACATGCTGGACCCAAATGCAGCTTGGATTGAGTGCGCTTAAGCTTATCTCTAGTTGTGCAATCAGAGATAAATTAACAATCGTTAATTTACTGATAACAATAACATTTTGCAATTTAAGCCCAATCTGCAGGAAATGTGCCTTAAGTCATTGTTTAGAGAAGTATACGATCAGTATACAACCAGTATAAAAGCTGGGAACTCTCTCTTCTCCCATTCTTTGTAGGGCCTCTACAAACCCAACTATGTCCAAAGAGATAAAGGCTAATTCAACGATTGACGTAACCGCTCAGTCGTCAGATATCGAATCCTTGAACTTTTCAGGGTACTCCAAGGAGGATATTGATGATGCAAATGAAATATTCCATCATGAGAACCGTCTCAGTTCCAAGTTGAATGCGAGGTTGATTTCCATGATTGCATTGGTTGCAGTTATTGGTACAGGATTGTTTCTTTCAAGTGGTGGTACATTGCATACCACCGGGCCCGTTGGTATGCTTATAAGTTACATATTTGTTGGCACGGTTGTTGCTGCGTCGCAAATCTGTATTGCTGAAGTGAGTTGCTTGTACCCAGCTACATCTTCATTTGTTGCCCATGCAGAGCACTTTATTGATAAATCTTTGGGATTTTCTATGGGTGTGATTGACATTTATTCAGCCGTGATTCCCAGTGAACTTGCTGCTGTTTCCGTTATTATGACGTATTGGTCCGACATTAACCCAGCATTATGGATTTCCATTTTTGGAGTGGTGATCGTTGCCATAAACTGCTACAATGTCAAGTGGTATGGTGAAGTGGAATTTGCTTTTGGAATGTTGAAAATTTTGCTTTGTCTTGGACTTATCTTGACTGGATTAATAATAGATCTAGGAGGTGTTCCAGGTCAGCAAAGACTTGGATTTCATTATTGGAAGCATCCTGGTCCATTTGCTGCAAAGTATGCGTCTGGATCTTTAGGCAAATTCTTGGGGTTCTGGAAATCAGTCAATTCAGTGGTGTATGCTTTTGGTAGTATTCAATCGATCTCAATGTTGGCAGGAGAGACCGAGTACCCAAGGAGAGCCATCTACAGGGCTGCCAAGAGAGTGTTTTACCGTGTTTTTACATTGTACATCTTAATGGTGTTCATTTTGTCGATGATTGTGCCTTATGACGATCCAGTAATTGCTAAACCAAGTGGTACAGCGTCTGCTTCTCCATGGGTGAGAGCCATTTCATTAGCTGGTATCAAAGTGTTACCGCATATCATTAATGCTGTGGTGTTGACATCGGCATTGTCTGCGGCCAACTTAGGTATCATCAAAGCCAGCAGGACATTATATGCACTAGCTTCAAAGAAACAGTTGCCAAAGGTGTTTTTAAAGGTGAACAAACATGGTTTACCTTATGTTGGAGTAACATTTGCGTCCTGCTTTTTACCATTGGCCTATCTCAGTGTCAGCAATACATCAGCAAGCGTGTTTAGTTGGTTTCAAAACATTTCATCCTCGGCGATATTATACAACTGGATCGTGATTGCCGTAAACCACATTGCAATGCATCGTGCACTAAAAAGGCAAGGTTTTTCACGAAACAACCTACCATACACATTTTATGGTGGACGCTACGCCGGTTTCTATTCGTTGTTCTTCTCCATCATTTTCTTGTTGACAGGAGGTTTCCCAGTTTTTATTCACGGGTATTGGGATTTTGCCACTTTTTTCAGTGCCTACTTTGTGATTCCATTGGGTTTGGTGTTATTTGTGTTTGCAAAGTTATTCTTCAAAACCGAATACATTAGACCTAGTGAAGTGAAATTGAAGCCGTTGTTCTACGACGTTCAAAACAGACCAGAGCCTAATTTTACCAAATTGAGAGGATGGAGGTGGTTGACTTTGTTATGGGGGTAGGCGTTTTGTAGGGTATGTGGAGTGTGTAGTGTTTGTGGAGTGTGTAGTGTTTGTGTTTAAATTGATGTTAAAGTAAAAGCTGCAAATTGTAGAACACAAAAGTTGATTTTAGGCGATTTTCAATTTGGAGCCACAGTTGCAAATCATCAACGTGAATTAAAATGCGAAAGTGCTTATGCTCAAGGCGGATGGTTATCCCAATAAACTTGGTGTACCTCGAACAGTATAGAGCTTAGTCGAGCAGCACGCCTGACTAGAAGCACACTTTGACGAGGCAATGTATGACAAGGCGGTAGAATACATAATACGTTGAAATTTAAGCTACTTATTGATCAAATCGCAAAACAATATGAAGAAGATAAGTTGGAAAATCGAATCTAAATTCACTCAAGCTTTAAAATTCTTGGCGGTTATCTTTGATACTGATGTGCTCATAATTGGTTTTTGTTTATCAGTCTTCAAAACAATAGCGCCACGATTTACAATGAAACAGCCTCGATACCGTTGTAGATTAAGATATATAAGGGGTATACTTCCTCTTTGCCTCTTCTGTTGTGTATGTACCTTACGTAATCATAAATGTCCATTATTGCAAAAGGAGACAAAGAGCAACCGCTCAACATTGATGTCATTGCCGACGCATCAGACGTTGAGTCATTAAACTCAAAATACTCTAAACAAGATATTGAAGATGCCAACGAAATCTTCCACTATGAGAACAAATTGTCCTCGAAATTGAATGCAAGATTGATTGGTATGATTACATTGGTAGGAGTATTTGGTACCGGGTTGTTCCTTTCCAGTGGTGGAACATTACATACAACAGGTCCAATTGGAATGTTACTTGGCTATATTTTTGTTGGTTCTGTCGTTGGCGCTTCTCAAGTTTGTCAAACTGAGGTTGCTTGTTTGTACCCTGCAACGTCGTCTTATGTGACACACGCTGAACACTTTGTTGATAAAGCACTTGGGTTTGCAATTGGTATTGTTAGCACATATTCTGCTATTGTTCCTGGTGAGTTGGGCGCTGTGTCGGTGCTTATGACCTACTGGTCAGACTTGTCTCCTGCGATATGGGTCACCATCTTTGGTGCTATTGTAATCGCCACCAATTGTTACAATGTGAAATGGTATGGAGAAATTGAATTCTTCTTTGGTATCCTCAAACTTTTACTCTGTGCTGGTCTTATCCTAACTGGTTTGATTATTGATCTTGGTGGTGTTCCGGGACAGGAAAGGTTAGGGTTTCGCTATTGGAAAGACCCCGGCCCATTTGCTGGTAGATATGCAACTGGATCATTGGGTAAGTTTTTGGGCTTCTGGAAGGCTGTCAACTCAATTGTCTATGCTTTTGGTGGAGTCCAAACAATTGCCATGTTGGCGGGTGAAACCGAATATCCAAGGAGAGCTATCCATCGTGCAGCAAAAAGAGTATTCATTAGGGTCTTTTCAATCTATATTTTGATGATCTTCATTTTGTCATTGATAGTGCCATATGATGATGAAGTTATTGCTAAACCGAATGGAACTGCGTCAGGGTCGCCATGGGTGAGAGCTATTTCGTTGGCAGGAATAAAGGTACTTCCACATATTATCAATGCCATTGTGTTGACCTCCGCTTTATCTGCTGGTAACTTAGGTATAATTAAAGGAAGCCGGACCATTTATGCCCTAGCTAGTAAAAAGCAATTACCAAAGGTTTTTTTAAAGGTAAACAAGCACGGATTGCCCTATGTCGCTGTAACCTTTTGTTCCCTTTTTATTCCATTAGGTTACATGGCTGTGAACCATACTTCTGCCAATGTTTTTTCGTGGTTTCAAAACATTACATCAAGCGTGTTGTTATGTGATTGGATCATCATTGCGGTTAATCATATATCTCTTCACAGAGCGATGAAAGCGCAGGGGTACACAAGAAAAGACTTGCCGTACACATTCAAGGTTGGTGCTTATGCTGGTTATTACTCATTGTTTTTTTCAGTGTTGTTTTTGCTAACTGGTGGCTTTCCTGTTTTTATACATGGTTATTGGGATTTCGCAAACTTCTTCAGTGCTTATTTCGCTATCGTTTTAGCATTGGTGTTTTTCATCTTCGGCAAGTTGCTTTTCAAAACAAAGTGGTTAAAGCCGTCGGAAGTCAAGTTGAAACCATTATTTTACGATGTTGAATTGAGAACAGAGCCACAATTCCGGAAATTGAAAGGCTGGGACTGGATTGCGTTGTTGTGGGGATGAAAGAGCCATGTAGAAGTGTATAATTGGCTGATTTGACATCACATTGTATCTCTACACAATTCTTATACAATACTGCTATTCTTACTTTTTGGCACCGTATCTTGACACAGTCTTTCCGTCAGGGATGCTGAACAAAACGGCTGGTTTACCTTCTTCGTATGGCACATCGACTCTATAGTAACCTTTTCTCTCAAATTGGATAATGTCGCCCGAGCGCAAATGAGCAACATTCAAATCAGCAAATGCTTTGGTGTGGAACTCGGTTTCCGGAGTGATGAAATCTTCAAAGTTGTCGTCCTCTTCCAATTTATCCTTGGTGATTAAGTGATCAAAATCAACCAAGTCAACGTCAATCTTATCTTTGGTATCTGCTAACCAAGTCAACTTCTTTGAAGTTTTACGGAAATCACCTTCCAAATGCAAGTTTGCTTCAATTGACTTGACAATATCGCCTTCCTTGACGACTTTAGACACAATGACGTTACCCCAGTCCATGAATGTAACTTCCTCTCCTTCTGTCAAATCAGCATCCTCTTGATCAATGAGCACTTGATTAGCGTAGACGACTGACTTTGTACCAACTTCAGGGTTCTTTTTGTGCTTTGGTTTAGATTCAGTGTGTGGTTCTGAGGGACCGTTTAATAATTTGACAGGAACGGCATTTTCTGTTTCAATGGCAGTGAACCTTGGTGCAACGGGGTCAATAACCTTCTTGTTCAATGCCCAAATGACTGACCAGTCCAAGTTGATGATGTTCTTGGAAGGACCTTGTGCCATGATAAAATTTCTCAACCCTTCAACAGTCATACCTCTTCTTCTAACACCTCTCACTGTTGGGAATCTCGGATCATCCCAGTTGGAAACATAGTTCTTGTCGACGAACCATTGCAATTTTCTTTTTGATAACAAGGTTCTAACAAAATTAACTCTTCCAAAATCCCAAATGGCAACTGGGCGTAAACCCAAAGCTTTCTGAATCCATTCATATTGCGGGTTACGATCTCTATACTCGTTGGTTCTCAATGAATGGGTAATACCTTCAATGGAATCAACAACAGGAACACAAAAATCATAGATTGGGTACATTTTCCATTCAGTTCCAGTTCTATGATGAGGAGTCAAGTTACACCTGTAAATAACAGGATCTCTCAAGGCCTTGTTCAAAGCCTTGTAATCGATTTTGGCTCTCAAACAGTTCTTCAACCCTTCCTCAGTACCATTTTTCATTTCCTCAGTAAAGATTTGCAAGTTCTCTTCAACTGATCTATCCCTTCTAGCTGATGCGTCACCCACCATTCTTTCCTCTCTCATCTTTTCAGTGGGGGTATCATCACAATAAGCTTTTCCGTCCTTGATCAATTTGACAGCTAAGTCATACATTTCTTGGAAGTAGTCAGAAGAATAAGTGATTCTGTCACCTTTGACACCCAACAATTCCAAATCTTCAATGATTGAATCTTGGAACTCAACTTTTTCCTTGGTAGGGTTGGTGTCATCAAACCTGATGATCAACTTACCCTTGTATGCATGAGCAAAATATTCATTCAAAATTGCTGCTTTAGCATGTCCAATGTGTAAGTATCCGGATGGCTCGGGTGGGAATCGAGTAACGACTTTGCCAACTTCAGCACCAGGCAAGTCAATTTCAAAACTGGCCTTGTGGGTTTCCTTTTTACCGGAACCTTTAGCACTTTTGGCGGCTTTTTTCAACTCATTCAACGAGTTGGTGAGTAATTCAGCAGATTTGTCGAATCTGCTATCACTCTGTGACAAGAAGTTGTACCATCTGGAAACGTTTGGGTAAGTTTCACTCTTTAAAACAGAGGCCATGATGGGATTTGCTCGCAAGACACCCCACAAGGCAATATCAGCTAAAGTGACTTGGTAGCCAATAATGTATGATCTAAAGTTCAAATGAGCATCGAGCTTCTCCAAGTCTGTTGCCAAATCTTTGAAATTCTTGGTGTAAAATTTCTCCAATGCAAGTTTAACCCACTCTTGAGATTTTGATTTCTCCAAAAGTACTTGAGGGAAAGTTTGAGCTAAGTAGTCCAATGCATCCAATTGGTCAATGAAAGTTTCACCACTTGGTGTAACCAATTTGATCGCTGATGGGGTTTTCTTGTCGACTGATTTATCATCGACGAATTCAACTGGGATAGAGACATCGGTGTCACTGGAGTTGACAAAGAACACTGCAATCAAAGTTGGATATGGGATAGCAGCTGCCTTCCCGGCCACTGTTAATTGAAACGACATGTTGATAAATGGTGATGTGGTGTACAGTAGTGAAAAAAAATTTCTCATTGGTATATCTTTTCGCAAAATATTGTCGCAGAGGATATATCTTAACACATCCGCCAACACACACACACACACACACACACACACACACACCTGAAAATGTCGAATAGTCAATCTGGATCCCCCCTACCCGAATTGAATAGACCCACTGCCAAGAGGTCTCCCTCTATCTTGGTCACTGATGCTCGTAGTCACCAGGTAAAGGGAGCAAGAGCACCATTTGCTGGTCATAGTTTCAAAAAACAGCAACAACGTCAACAACAGCAACATCAATCACCATACAGCTTTGAGCAACTGCAACATCAGAATGCCTTGCTGAAACGCTTAGCTTTTAGAAATAAATACACTGATATCTCAGTTGACAAGTTGCTAAGTAATTCAAGCGATATACCTTCTGGTCAAAGTCGACTCCCACCAAAGTTGGGAAAAGGTCGTAGTTTTGACAGGAATAGCTCATCTTCGTCTCCACCACCACCACCCATTGTTAGCCCATCGAATCCAGAGACGAGGAGGAACATCAGAAGTATACCCAAGCTATCACAATCGCTACCATCAAGAACGTCCAAAACTTCACAAAAATTGGTATTAATACCCGATGAGCAAAGACATAATGGGTCTCCTCCTCCCAATAGCGGCAATGACGAACGGATGACAGAACCTCCAGACAGTTTAGATATACAAGCTCAAATTTCCAGGTCAAGGGCAGAACTAATGCCAAAGGAGAAACGTGCAAGAGAATTCAGTCGAATGACTGCTTACTTCATCTGTGAGGAATTCGATCTACCAGCTGTGGCGAAGTTCCTTAGGAAAAACCACGAGGTTAAGCCCAGGCTATACGATGAAGCATTGTATGTTCCTTATACATTGCCATTGTTGCCAGGAACCGATGGATTACGTGTTAAATCAAACAACTCCATAAAACTACAAGCAAAGAATAAACACATGGAGAAAATGATAAACAAATCAGAGCAAACTGACCATCTTTATGAGTATTATTCAGGAGTGGAAACACCAGAGGATGCAAACAATTACTCAATGGATCCGGAGTTGGAAAATTTTGACAATAGCAGCCCCTTTGACCCCAGTGAGCCACAATTTTTTGCTCCTCCTTTAGATTCGTCGAGAATCAGCGATGATGGTGATAGTGGTGATTCAAACAGTGACAAGAGTGATGAAAATCCAAAGAAAAGGGAAGTAATACACAGCTCACTGTCATCATCGGTCCATAATCTGTCCGATGTGTCCAAACACCACGCAGAAATGTTTGTTTTTGCATATGGTGTTGTTGTGTTTTGGAATTTTTCCGAAGTTCATGAAAAGAATATTCTTGCTGATTTGGCATTTGCCGACCAGGAGCTTCTCATTAATCCTATTGATGAGCAGGATATTGAAACTGAAGAGTTTCATTTTGAGTATGACAGAGACATACACAGGCCAAGGATATACAACGATATGATCACCTTGCGGTCCAGCGACCACTTGATAAAACTCACAATGTCTCATGCCATTGCGCAACTGACGAAGCTAGGATTATTTGAGAGCAGAATGGTAAACATCTTGCATCTGATTAGTAAACTTCCCAAAAAATTGGCATTGACTGGAAGACTAGGCCTCAAAAGGAATCAATTATTAAAAAAATCTGGAAAACTATTTAAACTACGTGTGGATGTCAACTTGTCAAGCTCAATTTTGGATACTCCCGATTTCTTTTGGTCATTTGAACCTGCTTTGCATCCTTTGTACAATGCAGTTCGAGAGTATTTGGAGATTGATCAGAGGGTACAAGTGTTGAATGATCGGTGTAAAGTGTTTTTGGAATTTTCTGACATTGTGACAGACAGTATGAACGAAAAGAATACAAATCGGATTACCTGGATGTTGATCATCATTATATTTCTCAGTCTTTTTGTTAGTGTTTTTGAGTTTATATTGGAAGTAATGTAAAAATGTGTGTACGACTAAAAAAAAAACATATCGTTTTATAACTTTGTTGCAAACCGCCAATGGTCCTACCGTCCATATACTCCCACGAAGGACTTTCTCGGACAGATGCTAATAAACCAATCACCTCCGGGAAGAAGCGAGAAAACCTTCCTACTGAGTATACCTTGAAAACTATCGACGATAGGGTTCAAGCAGCAGTGGAACAGCAAGATCACGATGGAGATATAGAGATGGTTCCTATGGAGAATGAGCAAGAGGTTGATCTAATAACGTCGTATGTGAGTTATTCCCGTGATGCAAATTATTATGACGACGATTTGAATATGAATATAGAGCATGCCCCTGATTTCTCGTTAGTAGAGGGAAATATATCATTCTTGATTATAGATACCAATTTTTGCATATCGCATCTAACTATCCTCGATGAACTCAACAAAATAGCAAACGACTATGGCCTTATGATAATAATTCCAGTCTATGTGATTCAAGAGTTGGATGGGTTAAAGAACTCGACAAAGTTGGAAACAGGAAACGAATCAGTCAGAAATCTTGCTAGATGGGCGAATGAGTGGATATATAACCAGCTCGCCAATGGTCTGACTATAGTGAAGGGACAAAAACTAAATCAAAGACTAAATGCAGACTTGACAAAGGATGATGCTATTCTAGATTGTTGTCTTTATTTTCAACACCACTATGCACATCATTTGATTGTTCTTTTATCAAATGACAAAAACCTATGCAGTAAGGCTTTGATGCATGAGATCCTAACTGTCAGTTTTCGACAAGGCATGGAGGCGAAATTGATTGGTCAAAAGATAATGGAAGAAAGTTTGTCGAGATTTGGCCAACGTGAAGCAAAGTATAAGCTCGTTGTTAACCATGAAGTGCCAACCCAGCCGCAGTCTTTGGCGCCCGAGATTACTGAAGTTGCAAATACCATAACCACTACTGAAACATCACCACTGACAGTAATTTATACAGAGATTCAAACGCTTTTACTGAGTGTCTTACATCGTTGTATGGTTGCAGAGTACCAAGAGGACCTTGATCTAATACGGGACTACAAAAAGGACAACTTGGTGAATTTACGTCAGTGCAGCCAATTATTAATTCGATTTTGGTCTTCCGTATTTCAACAATATTTCAAAGCGATGCCAGGAAGATTTGTGCCTTTTGAAGAAATCGGCCAAGGTAGACGGCTGAAAAAGATACCTGTATATACTGACGAACCAACTCCCCAAAATGTCGCAAAATTTGTTGCTTTTTGGTCAGCAGTGTTGAAAGTGTTGTACCATGGCATCATGAATGAGCAAGAAAATGAGGCATTGGATATTTTTATACTCCGGTGGAAGGATTTGGCACCGAAAATTTGATCAAAGTTGGCCAATCTTTTTACGCTTTGGAGATTCGTTTCGAGATGAGTTCGTGGACTGTGATCGTTTTGATGGGTTTACAAGCATACCTATTGGAGCTTTTTTTGTGGGTTGGGGAAGTTTTTGCACTGGCAATTGTGAGCCGTCCTCTGTGAGGGGTGTTTTGTCCTTTGTGAGGGGCGTTTTGTCCTTTGTGTTGGCCACCCATGTAGTTGTAATTGCAATTTCAATATCATGCTTGACCGAATCCAAGTCTTGTAATCTATGCCTCTTGTAATCCTCTCGCACTTTCTTTTCCCACCGTTTCTGGTCAAAGTCGCCAATCAAATGAAGCACTTCCTTGTTGTTTTTCTTGTACTGTTTGATCAACTGCTCACCATGTGTTTGTTTGAAATTCAACTCCAAGAATTTGGCGTAGGACTCTTTGGCTTCCAGGATGCTCTTCAACTGCTCTATTTCATACAGAAGATACGAAGTGTTGGCAAACTGCTGAAAATTAAGTTTGCATAGGAACTCAATTGTCACCTCAGGTTGTTGTTTCTTTAATTCAAATTTCCAAGTAAAGTCCAAATTAAATTGTGCAATTAAGCTGGGGCCATCGACGAAGGTGATTTTTTGGGGTATGTTCTTTGCCAAAGTGTCCAATACCAAAACCAATTTTTCATCACTCAAACTATCTATTCCCAAATCACTAGCTTTCTTTGACAAGCTTTGCTTGTCTAATTCCTCCATCCAGACCGTTTCGAAATTACTAAAGTAAAATCCGCAAGTGAGTTGAGTGCAATCATAGACGATACCATAAATGCAATCACATGGTTGTACAAATTCAATCGCCTTGTAGTGCCATTGTGTTGGGAGTTCATACATATAGAAACGTTTTGCACCAATACATTTGTAACATTTTATTTTTCATCCACAAAGTATGTCCTCCAATCAATTAATAATAACCGACAAGCAGTGGCAATTACTTGTCGATAGAGTCAAATCACACCAACAATCGAATGAGTTCAGATACCTTATTTCCGTAGCAGGTGTGCCCGGTGCTGGGAAGACCACGTTTGCAAATAAAATGGCAATGGAATTGTCGAAACAAGTTGCACCGACCATGGTCCTCTCTCAAGACGGGTTCCATCTATACAGATCTGAATTACAGGCAATGCCTAATGCAGAAGAGGCGATAAGACGAAGAGGAGCCCCCTTTACATTCAATGCAAAGGCATTTGTCAGTTTGGTGTCCCAGTTAAAGGACAAAAGCAACACAGTGAAAGCTCCTTCATTTGATCACAAAGTGAAAGATCCTATTGAGGATGACATTGTGATAGACCCATCGGTGGATATAGTGATAATTGAGGGCAACTACACATCCCTTAAGGATGAAAGTTGGGCCGATCTAAGTCTTTTTGTTGATGACACCTGGTTCATTTCCACCCCAGAATCAGTCGTGAGATCCCGGATTATAAAACGTCACTTGGAGGCTGGTATAGCCAATAATGAGGAAGAGGCAATTGAGAGGGCTGACGGAAGTGACTTGCAAAATGCGAAATATATCATCGAGAACTCAAAAATTACAAATGTTTCAATACTAGCTGAATAGATAATATATACACCTACTTTGGTTCAACGTTGTATCTCATCTTAATACCCATTGCTGAAAGCTCACTATCCAAATATTTCAATACGAATGGAATAGCGACAGTGGTGGTATTATCACCGCCAACAAATTTAACACCGTGGCCATCTTCCCATATATCGGAATCTTCAGCAAAACTGTCATATTTGTCCAATCTAATAGAGCATCTCCTACACCTGATGCTGGCCATTGATCCAATTCTAGGAACCGACGTTTGTGTAGTTAGTATTGAGCCACATGACTTACATATTGAGGTTTGCGTATAATCTGAACAGTTCAACAACCTATCTTGCAACAAGAATGCAGTACCATGACCGATCAATGCATCTCTTTCCATTTCACCCACACGAATACCTCCTGATCTTTTTCTACCTTTTACTGGTTGCATTGTCAATGAATTCACTGGACCAGTTGATCTTACTTGAAACTTGTCATTAACCATATGTCTCAATCTTTGATAATAAACACATCCAATGTATATATCACAGCGCAATTCCTCACCAGTAGCACCTGAATACATTGGCTCATTTCCGTGGAAATTGTAACCTGCCTTCAACAACTGTTCTCCGAAATAATCAGCCGGTGTATCTGATTCACTGAATTTCCAAGGGGTAGCATCTTGTGCGACACCGTGCAATGCACCGGCTTTACCAGCCAAAGATTCAACAAACATACCAATGGTCATACGCGAGGGGAAAGCGTGTGGGTTGATAATAACATCAGGTTGCATTCCACTTTCAGTGAATGGCATGTCTATTTGTGGCCATTTTCTCGAACAAACACCCTTTTGCCCATGTCTGGAAGAGAATTTGTCCCCAATAATAGGTTGTCTGGTGATTCTGTACTTGATGGTGACTTGCTGACCCTCATTGTCACCAGCGTCATCTCCAAGCAATTTAACTTCTTCAATATATGCAGGCTCACTCGAATGATACGTCTTGACCTTGGTTTTTCCAAGAGTGTCATCGTAATATGCAAGAATTGGATCACCTTCTTCCACTTTTACTCCAATCACTGGGAACCCGTCGTCATCTAGCTTGGTCTTCCACGCCTCTGGCCATTCATCATCACCAAAACCAAAATGTTGCGTGATTGGATCACCTCTTCTTCTTGATTGAGACAAATCAATTTTCTCCACTTTGTAAACAGTACCATACCCGAAACCCCTTTCATCTGATGACTTGTTGATGATCATTGCATCGTCCATATCATAGCCTGTGTAAGATATAACAGCAACGATTGCATTCATACCATTGGGGAAGTTGTCCATTCCGTAATCATCATACAAATTGGCTTTAACAATTGGTGTTTGACCAGTTTGCAAACGGTACAATTTATTGTCTGACCTGTGAACCAATGCGGTACCGGGAGTACCCATTGTTTGCTTACCCATCTGGCATTGATACATATTTCTTGGTGATTGATTGAAATCCGAAAATGGTGTCAAATTAGCCAAAATAGAAAGAATGTTAGTTGGCGAAAACTCAACGTGTGAATGTACATTGTTTTCGATTTCCTCTGGGGTAACAGCAACATTCATGTAAACTTGTTCAAAGGGACCAACAATGTCCTCTTTGCCCAAAGGCAAATACTTTACTGGTCTCATCATTCGCGAGTGGCCACCAAATAAGTATAAACCAGGGTATTGACCTTTACTCGATGGAGGAACGTATCCGATTTCCAAATCCAATGGCAACCCATGAGTACCTTCAACTTTCCAGAATCTCAATGTATCTGCCACAATTTTACCTTGTTCATGAGTTGTCCAACCAACAATTTTACCATCTAATTGCACGCAACACAAGTTTGGTCCAGCGGCAAATGCACTTGCTGGTGAAACACCGAGTTGCGCCAAGGCAGCTGGCACTTGCGACACGTCAGTAGCGCTAGTGGCAATGATACACTTGTGCGATAAATGGTTCAATAACCCACATGGTGATCCATCGGGAGTATGGACAGGGCATAAGAATCCCCATGACTCAGGTAACAACTTACGAACCGTGGTTGTTTTCAATTCAGCAAAGAAAGAACCCCTATGCACCATTCTGAAATGTGAAATAAAACGATGAAAATTGATCTTTTCGGCAACAACAGTGTAACCAGAGACTTGTTGCAAATCTAAACCAGATTGAGATACCAAATTACCAGTTGACAAGAAATATTGCAATTTTTGACCAATGTTTTCATTGATTCGAGAAAACACTCGGGTAATGTACTTACGGTCGGAAAAATTCACACCAACACCTCGGTTTATATCTGATTGCACTTGAAGTTTGAAATTTTGCAAATACTCATCGATTTTTTCTTTGATAATCATACCATACAAAAATCCACCCAATAGAACTTCTTGATGCTGAGTGGCATCTGGATTATCAGGGGCACAATCACCAGCCACTAGCGAGTACAATTTTCGAATCATAAACAACAACATACGAAATTTGTCCTTGTTATCAGGTAAATGTACTAAAACAATTCTTTGTAAAACTTCTTTTCCCACGTCAATATCCGATACATCAGGAGTGGCACCAAAAACAACTCTAAATTTGTCACCCAAATAAGCCAATGTTTCCTGTTGCGAGTGCAAATGGTACGATTTAAATGTTCTCAACAACAACTCCAAACGATCAGTCAAGAATGAATTTTCAACATCATGGCCAACAATACCATCGAAAATTTCACGATCATTAGTCTCAACGAGAGCTTTCAAAATCATAACAACTGGAACTAAATACTCGTTTTTCTTCCATGAAAATCTGAAAGTGACATTACCATCGTTGAGATAATGTAATACATTTGTTTGTGAAGTTTGGTCTGGTCTCACTGATCTGATTTGAATACCAAACTTGGTGTATGATGCACCTCTATTGGCAAATGACGGACGAATTATTGCCATAGGATGATTCCTCCTTTGCACAATCAACATACGAATCAACTTTTCAATACCGTTTACAATAAAATACCCACCTAGTTCATCACTCTCCTCTTTTGCTTCAACCAATTGATTTGGTGACATTTTCTGTAAATGACATCTATTTGATTTTAACATGATGGGAATTTGTCCTGCTTCTCTGATTTCACTTTGTTCTTCGCCATCATTAACACTCCATGTTACGTTCAACATTAATCTGGCTTTATAAGTGGTCATTCTCTCACGACACTCACTGGGCATTGTCTTTCTGTTGATGGATAATTTGTCAGTTGGTGGAACGCTTGGCTTAGCTATGGATACCGATTCAACTCTGATATTAAGCTTATTTCCTAGCCTGTCTGTCTCTTTGGAATCAAATATCGTCTTTGATCCAATGTCCTTAACGGCCATGTTTAGCAACCCACCATCTTCACCATCAGTCAATGCGTCGAATGATCCAATATGTGGTGCCACTGCATTCTCCAACAATGGATATATTTCAGATTTGTTTTTAGGGGGATTCTGGAACCTCTGTTCTCTTGTAAGAGTACGAAATTGTGCTTGCGTCATGGTGCAATCTGATTCGAAAGGGTACAGAAGATGTCAAATTTTTTTTTCCAAGTTTTCACGAGATGAGTTTGAGATTTTGGTTGCACAAAAATATAATCACAACACCAACCAAATGGCCAACTCAAGATATGAATACGTGAAAGCGTTTGAAAGGGAGAATTATCTACTCCCTGATACATTCATTGTCATACGTGTTGATGGGAAAGGTTTCCATAAGTTCTCACAGCATTATCGTTTTGATAAACCAAATGATTTACGGGCGTTGGGAGTCATGAATCGAGCCGCTTTAAAGGTAATGCAGAAATACAGTGACGTCTTGATGGCATATGGCGACTCCGATGAGTATAGCTTTTTATTACGGCGAAAATGTGAGTTGTATGAGAGAAGAGAGATGAAGTTGTGCACGCTTTTTGCCAGTTTGATGTCAACTTATTATATGTTTTATTGGAATTTGGAGTTTAGTGAGAAGTCAATTGAGGAAGATATGGTGCCAACGTTTGATGCAAGAGCAGTGGTTTATCCCAATTTCCAAGTGGTGAGAGATTACTTTAGTTGGCGACAGGTGGACTGTCACATAAACAATCTATACAATACAGCTTTTTGGAATTTGGTTAAACTCGGACTCACACCACAAGAATCGGAGCAGAGACTAATGGGTACTGTGTCATCAGACAAGAATGAAATACTATTCAAAGAGTGTGGGATAAACTATAACAACGAGTTGGAGATATTTAAAAAGGGAACCATCTTGGTGAGAGAGCTCAAAGATTATACCCGCAAGGTTGATCTCAGCTCCAGACAGAAGCAAAGGGAAGAAAAAAGTAGAAGGAAAGCAGAGATAAAACAGTATCATGTAGATATAATCAATGATGACTCATGGTGGGAGTCACGCCTTTGGTTAAATGAATAGAGCCGCATTGAATAAACAACAAACAAATAAGAGCGAAATAAATTTTTTCTTTTGCTCAACTCTACTCTTATCATCCAAATAGCCATGTCATCAGAGGAAGAATTGATTGTATTATTCAAAAACGTTGGTTTTGATGAGAAAAAGTCCAAGGACATTGCCAAAAATAAGAAAGTGGCAGGGTTGTTACAATCTGTGTTGGAGAAGTCATCGGTTGAGTCATACACTGATGAGAAGAAATTGACCTTGTTGCATCAATTGGCTATATTGGAGAATAAGAACGGTAAGCCAATCCCTCATATTGACTTTTTGATCAATGGAATAAACAATGATGAAATAAAGACAAACTTGCAGATCACTGAGGGAATTAAATACTTGCAATCACATAGTGAGGCTAAACAAGATGAGTTTAATGAAGCAACTGGTGTTGGGATCGAAATAGGAGAATCAGAAGTGAAGCAAGAGATTGCTAAATATCTTGACTCGATCAGCTCCAAATTGGAGTCTGAAAGATATGCTGTTTTACCAAAAGTCATGTCTGAAGTTAAAGCGCAACCTTCATTAAAATGGGCGCCACCCAACTTGTTCAAGCCCATTCTCGATGAATTATTCTTAGCAAGGTTAGGACCTAAGGATGAAAGGGACGTTAAGAAAAAGGAAAAGAAGAAACCAGTTGCTGCTGGTGCCGCTGGTGCTGCTGGTGCTGGTGCTGCTTCTGCCACATCCACTAGAGAACCAGAAACTGAAAGGTCAATGTTTTCTGAGGGTTTCCTTGGTGATTTACATAAACCAGGTGAAGAGCCTCAAAAGTTCCCCGAGCTATTAAAGGAACATTGTGAATTCATTAAAGGTCAAGTCTACACTCGTTTCCCGCCTGAACCAAATGGGTTTTTACATATTGGACATTCAAAAGCAATCATGGTTAATTTCGGTTTCGCTCAATTTCACAAGGGCAAGTGTTATTTGCGATTTGACGATACCAACCCTGAAGCTGAAGAAGCCAAATACTTTGAATCTATTAAGGAGATGGTTTCCTGGTTGGGCTACAAGCCGTGGAAAATCACCTACTCATCAGACTACTTTGATGAACTTTTTGAATTAGCAGTGAAGCTCATTAAGATGGACAGAGCGTACATTTGTCATTGTACGCCAGAGCAGGTAAAACTTGGCCGAGGTCAGCGTGAAGATGGATCTATGGGCGGTGAACGTTTTGCTTGTGAGCATCGCTCACAATCAGTTGAACACAATTTGGCAGAGTTTTTAGCGATGAAGGACGGAAAATATGCCACCGGTGAGGCTACATTACGTATGAAACAGGATTTATCTAGTCCATCGCCACAAATGTGGGATTTGGTTGCTTACAGGGTATTGAACAAGCCTCATCATCGTACCGGATCCAAATGGAAGATCTACCCCACTTACGATTTCACCCATTGTTTAGTCGATTCGTTGGAGAACATTACTCATTCATTATGTACCACTGAGTTTGTTTTATCAAGGGAATCATACGAATGGTTGTGTGATACTTTGCATGTATATAGACCAGCTCAAAGGGAGTATGGAAGATTGAACATGACTGGTACAATCATGTCCAAGAGAAAGATTGCCAAATTGGTCAACGAGGGCTACGTCAGGGGCTGGGATGATCCAAGAATTTACACCTTGGAAGCCATTAAAAGAAGAGGTATACCACCAGGGGCAATATTGTCTTTTATAAACACCTTGGGAGTGACCACATCAACCACCAACATTCAAACCACCAGATTTGAAAGTGCTGTACGCCATTTCCTTGACCAAACCACACCTCGATTGTTTTTGGTCTTGAATCCAGTTGAAGTTCACATTGACAATTTGGCTGATGATTTTGAATTGGAAGTGGAAATTCCTTACAAGCCGGGCAAGGATGTCAATTCATTAGGCAACAGGAAATTGAAGTTCACCAATAGAGTGTACATTGATCGTGGTGATGTTCGAGATGAGCCAGCTGATAAGGAATACTACAGGTTGGCCCCTGGCCAACCAGTTGGGTTATTGAAGGTTCCATTTAATATTATTTACAAATCGATTGAGACTGTTGATGGTAAAACCATTGTCCACGTTGATTACGATGCTGATCAGACCACCAAGAAACCCAAGACATATATCCAATGGGTACCTGTCAACGACTGCAAATCGATTAAGGAAGTTAGAATCTATAACCAATTGTTCAACTCTGAAAACCCAGCAGCACATCCAGATGGATACCTTGCTGATATCAATCCTGCCAGTGAAGACGTATTGACCAATGCCGTGATTGAATCAAACTTTGACGAAATTGCTGCCAAGTCACCAATGAATTTGAAAATTCCGGATTCCCAATTCAACATCAAAGAGGATGCAGGAAATCACACAATCAGATTCCAAGCGTTGAGAGAGGGCTACTTTTGTGTTGACAAGGATTCTAGAGATGGCGCTTTGGTCTTGAATAGAATTGTCACTTTGAAAGAAGATGCCAACAAGTAGAAAGTGTGTCCATTAGTGTGTCCCTGTGGCAGGTAAGCTGAGCAGATGCTAGTCTTCTTGAAGATATGGACGTTGATGTATAGTTCCTTACAAAGAAGCATTCTTACAATAAATTGCCCTGCTTGTATGGTACTCGAGTAGGCGCAGTAAAAGACCAGGATCTAGTATTCGGTACTTTTGTTTCTGTGTTGATCTCTTGGTAGAGTTATATTTGTAGCAATGTATACAAGCTAGGACAATACAATATGAAAAAAATAATTGGCAGAATATTCGCCATAACTTTATCGTTTTTCACCGTGAGATATCTCTTAACACTGAAAACAATATATATATATATATATATATATATAAAGTAAAAGTGTACAAGCTAAAGCATTGATTCCTTAAAAAGAGCAAGTGAACTTTGTGTATGATTCGAGAGAACGGTCCTTTTGTTTGAACTTGCCCTGCACTCATTGTAAGTTAATTTTGAACATGTTGTTTGCCAATGTATGCGAATTGCGGGAAGGAACCTTTACTTTATGATAGTTTTTCTAATTTCGGAATCATAAACACTCACAGTCCGTGAGGATGGAATTGAGGTGAATCAAATGCAACTTGAAAATCATTCATTCTGACTTGCAACTCTTCTTGATTAAGTTTGGTTCTTTGAACCGAAAACGGCTATAGCCACGATAACTAATACGCAAATATCGCCGTTTTATTCTTCATTTTTTTTTTTTTTTTTTTAGCAGCAAGTCCTTTGAGGAAATAGATATCAAAATGCTGGTGACGAGTTGAGTTGTGAATTGTTAAACCCTGTCCATCACCAGCATAACTAAACACGCGAGATTCCAATTTCAATTGAAACAGGACGCATACTGATTTGGAACTTGAAGTATTTGTGGAAACTCATTGTGAAGACTTAAGCTTAGATGAGAGTGAGAAGAAGATTGATCGTGAGGCTAAATATGAAGATCGATCCTTTAACATGGAAGAATTTGCTGTTAGTAGAGGGTACTGAAGAACCTGCACCCTCACTTTACTTTTGCAATCTCTATTTTGTGCTTTGAATTGCGCAACGTACGGCACAAATAAAATTGTGTCAAAGAGACAAGAAACAAAAAAAAAAAGGATCAACAACCATTGATATCACTAGACAAGATGGAGCTTTTCCACCTACATATTCACGCAGGGCTTAACTGGCTTCCACATTTCGAAATCAATGGATGGAATTCTCTTGATGAGCAAATCAAGTTGGGCAATATCACTCGCAAGATTCGAGTTAAGAAAAAGACTGAGTATTTGTCATTCACAGATTGTAAGGTTTGTCAGCAAAAAGGACACTTTGATATTATAAGAAAGTAGACTTATACGGCCGTGGATGGAAGATTTATGAGTGGTTTGGGATTCAATGGCGAGCTGTGTGTTTGCCCACTTGCACTCTCTCTGGTGACATTATCCAATTTTGAGAGAAACGGGGCCAATACCAAAATTTTGTTGGGCTTATTACGAGGCTTGCTTTAGCAAGGGGTACATATGAAACATAAACGTTTTATACAACTGTACCTCAAAGTGGAGTAACCCGCTAGTAACACGTACTAAGGCGGGTAGGGTAAAGAAGAGTAAAGAGTAAGTTGAGGGTCGGTGTAAAGACAAGTTGACAGAGGGATGTTTCAAAAATAGAAAGATTAACATAATATGTACGCAAATGTACGCATGTAAGTGTATGCATTGTGTCATAATGGTTGGATACTGTTTTGTGGTTATGGTGATAGATCATCAAAAAAACAAAAACGAGAAAAAAGATATTGCAAAGGATTCATCGGCTGGAGATTGAGGGTCATTCATTCAATGAATAGAGACAAAGGTGCCGATAATGATAATAATAGTGGGAAGTGTAGGGTGTAGGGGTGTGATGTGATATGTACATTGTCTGTTACTGAAACTTGCAGAAACCCTAAGAAGATGTTGATAATGGATGGAATGATGTTTGATTTAATGGAAGTTAATGTCCGGAGATAGTAATACGTTTTTGCAAAGCCTTTGTGTCGATATTTTTTTTTTTTCTTTTATTCTTTTGCGAAAGGGTTGAAATTCACAAAGAATCGTAATTAGTCCGAAACAAGTAATTTTTCGATTGACGCGTTTAAAAAAAAAAAAAAAAAAGAATATAGAAAAGGAATACATTTTTTTTTTTTTTTTAGTCTTTTGTTTCAATCCCATCGAAGCTTTTCGTCCATTGTGTAAGAACATTTACAAAAAAAATAGAAAGTTGTCAACATTCTGTACTTCCAGGTGAATACACACACTTCAAAAGCTCTTATATTTATAAGCTCTTATAGTACCATAGTATAGGAAAGCTAAAGGTCAACTTGAAAATCGAATCAAGGAGAAGTTAGTCTTTTTTTTTAATTTTTTTTTTTTTTTCGTTTCAAAGTGATTTTGGTTAGTCTTTTATTAAGCGATGATACACATAACTTAACACAAAGACACGAACTTTATATTTTTCCAAAAATTACAATGACTTCATTGAATCCAGGTCTACTCGTCTATTTCCCCATAGGGATTTTACACCCCTCAACAAATCGCACTTTTCTGTTCATGATGTCACGGAGTCGAGAGTTATCGGTTCGGCTCCCATGTATCATGCGTATAGAGTTGGTAGGGGTCACGAGTATTTTTGCAGAGAGTTGTCAATTGGAGTTTGGCACTCGTCCCCCTTTCGAGGTGGCCCCCCCATATTTCCCCAACAAAATTTGCGTCCCATGCACCCCCTGGTAGGTGTGGTAGTGGTAGTGGTGGAGAATGGAGTTGACTTGAGATCATAAGAGTAACAAAGTAGAACAATAACGGGAAAAGGTTCCCTTAGTTGAACAAAAGCCTGTCAAAATGGATGCAATCGATTTTTTACATTATCACTTTCATCAGGATAGATAGTTGTAAGTAGTAAACCATTTGAGTTTTAAAATAATTGAGTTTGAAATGATAAGCCACGGAGGTCTATGTTGATAGAATCTTATTTCCTGTCTTTGATACTGCCTCGATTACCCTAGATCGGGAACAAACTATTCCTAATCGAGGCGAATCAGAATTCTAAGACAAGAAAAGAAAAGAAAGTAGGCTTTTTGTGTAATTATTGTTTACAGAAAAAAAAAAAAGTGAAAATTTTTTTTTTTCTCTTCTGCATCACACAAAGGTAGGTGGAAGTCTCTGCCCCATGGCACAGCATTTAGTTTTGAAAGCCAGCATACACACATACACATACACATACACATACACACACACACACACAACACACACAAACAAGCAAAATAATATTCGTCGCAAAACATCGAATGTTCTTTATTTTTGTTTTGCGTATTATATAGCATTGTATTGCATTGTATTGTATTGTGTATGTGTATGTGTATGTGTATGTGTGTGGGATCGAAGGCGGAGGTGGGGGATAAGATGGTGGGGAGACACAATGCCCAAACGTAGCGGGAGGTGGCTGATTGATTATAACTTAGGTGAGGGAAATAATTTGTTGGGTTCTTCATACATTTCATTAGAGACGCAAAATGTACATGTATCACTTTGAAATAGAGTGGGATATATAGCTTTAGTAGATTTACAAAAATGGTGGAATGGTTACGAGAAGGTTGTTACCCACATGGGGATGATAAATGTAGTAATATAATATCGGTAGCAGTCGCAGTGGATAGTATTATTATACTTTTATCATCATTGTCAAGACATGCATTTACGTGCTATTAAACCCCCCCCCCCCCCTCCCCCCTTGTTATAATAAATAATTGCATAGTACACATTCAGATAGAAAGAAATCATCTGATTTCATCGAGGGGGACAGTGAGGGAAAGACGGGGTGTAAAAAAAGTTCAAAATTAAATCAAGAGAAAAACTTTTTTCACCCTTCTGTGAATAACGGGCTTTGTGTAAACTCCTGTTTTCGGAGTCGGACTAAACACCGAAACAAAACACCAGCAGAGTAGTTCTTTACTACGTTTAGTGTGTGCACGTATACCAAGAAAAAAAAAAAAATAGGTGTTGGTAACTTACACAAAAGTGTAGTTAGCAGAACCACAATTTGCGTTTCTCGGAATTCCTTTCTCTGCTTGGGCTGGTCTCATTTTTTAGTGTCTATTGTTTTCATTGTGACTCTCCCATTGTTTCCGGTGATGTAATAGATATCCTATATTAAAGTTGCTATAATATCGGATGATAAGGATCTACACGCTATATACACACACAAAACCATCCCTAAAGTAGTGATCTGATGATTACGCCCAGTCGATGAGTGATGGTCTCTCTTACTGTTGTGATTGAGAGTCTAGACTATATTTGGAGGCAAAATTTACGTAAATCTGCAATATAAAACGTATGTATGTACTGTAACTAATCTCTACATAAAATAAAATTAAATAAGCTTGTTTAAACATTTTTACATCTTTACATCTTTACATTTTTACACCCCCCCTCTCACACCAACTTTGTATGGGAAACGTTTACTAATTTTAACAATTAACCAACAAAAAAAAAAAAAAAAAAATTGAAAAAGAAGAGAGCAGACAGGACTCACACCCCACTTAACCAAAACCTGAAACCTGAAACCTGAAACCTAAAACCAGCCTGTTATACGTTTGATAGTAAACACCTGAACTGTAGAGCTAGCTATGTTTACTTCATACACGAAAAAGGCTATATGTCCAAGATGTGGGAAGTATGAGAAGAAGAGGGGAATACACGAGACAGTACAATAGTACATCACTTCTTAACACACCTGTCATACACCACACCCCCCCTCCCCCTTCTTGCAAATTAAAGCTCCGATATAATCCCGATCGCTTCCTCCCCTTTTTTTTCTTCCCAACTGATTTTTGCAGCACTCATGACCAACCCAGTCATTATCTTTTTAGTATCATATAAAGGTTTACAGGCTTTAATGCAAAATGCATAATCTAAATACAATTGGTAGTTTCAATAATTTAGTTCCTTGATAAGCTTGAACTGAAAGAAAAAGAGAGGGTGTTGTGTGTATGTGTATTTGTATGTGTCTGTGTGTGTGTGTTCTACTCCTAGTTGTTATTGTCCTTTCTTCTATAGATGATCTTGTTTAAACTAACTATTTATCATCTTCCCCCCCCATCCTATCCCCCTTTTTTCGTATTGTGACTTTTTTGTCTCCAACTGAAAATTGAAAAAAAAAATAAACCTTTTAACCCCAATCCATCGCACCCCTCTTTCTCCAATTTTAACTACCAAATCATTAATCAATTCTATTGTTCTTTTTTTTTTTTTTTGTTTTCTCTATTGTCTGTCTATATCACCTCGGCACTTTGTGTAATATTGGCTTTTATTAATTTTTTTATTTTTATTTTAACTCGGTGTGTGTGTGTGTGTGTGAATGAGTGTTTTTTGTTTTTGTGTTTGTGTTGGGTCAGGTTTATTACCAATTACTAAATTTCTTTTTCTTTTTCTTTTTTTTTATTTTTATTCTTTCTGCACACACACACACACACACTAACACCATACACAAGCTGTGGTTTGGTGTTTGATTGTATTTAAACCACACTAAATGTGTCGTTTTCATTTAAAAATTTTTATCCTTTTTATATTTTTGAAGGCAAAGGGACTTGAGTGACGACTATACAAACTATACAAACCCAATCACCATTACAACCACCATTACCCCCAAGACCTAATAGATTGCTGATTCCATACAAGGAAGTCTTGACAACCACCACTGCGTTTCAGCAACTCAACTCAACTCAACTCAACTTTATATACACCACTGGCTTGGTTTATATATATATACACAGTGTACTTTTTATTTTATTTTATTTTGGTTTGAAGGCCTTTTTTTACAGCACATTTATATATAACCACTATTGCTACTACGTTGTGTGACTTTATTGACTAGAGTTTAGCATTTGCAAATAGCATTCATAAAGAAAAAACACCCCCACACAAACGACACACTTTTAAAGCATTACAAATCACAAACTGTACCATAAAGGGGCACCTACATCTACTACAACAACAGCATAACACAATATAACATAACACAGTCCTCACTCAGCATGTCTACTATTGTAACCATAGACCCATCATCACATACATACACCATCAGTCCACCTTCTTCAACAACTTCATCATCACGTTCTTCGTCTCCAATTGCATCATTCTATCAAACTTCATCTACAACTACATCTGCAACTTCATCATCTGATTCTTTGGATACAGTTAAATCAACCACATCAACATCAACTATCAAATTGTTGCCACCAGCTTCATCATCTTCTGCAGATTCCATCACCATTCCAATACTGCGTACTCCAACCCCATCATCTGCATCTACACCGCAAGTGCTGCAGCAACAACACCAACACCAACACCAACACCAACAACCAAAAACAAAGCCAAAACCAAAACCAAAACCAGCACAACCAAAATTCAAATTACCAAACTATTATGTACCACCATCTAAATTGGTGCATCCTTCTATTGCTGTAACTTCTTCTTCTTCTCCACCACCACCACCACCACCACCACCCGCACAATCAAATGCGTTGCAGCTGGCTGCTTCTTCCACCACTATAGCTAAACCACCATTGTTGCGCAAAAAGTCTGGTGAATTGATCAAATCATCACTCAAATTACCAGCATTGCTTCAACGTTCAATATCATCACCTCACATATCAGCTGATGGACAAGTGGATGGCATTGTTTCACCACGTAAACTGGTTAGATTCGCATCAAGGTTAATCAATGTTCGTATGTTTGATGGGTGCGATACACCTGCTTCTGTATCCAGTGCTGGATCACCATTGGATTCACCCGATGAAGGTGAAGAAGAGGATTACTTTTATACAACTGGAGCAAACAAAAGCGGCTCTAGAGCCACTTGTGATGGGTTTGATTTATCAGTTCCCGCTTTTGAAGATTTTGAATTTAGCAAATTCACCAACAAGACTGCCAATTTCGATTGGAATTTCAATTTTGCCAAACCTAAAGATGAGATTAAAGAGTATAGATTGATGTCACACAATATTCCATCAACTACAACACCAAACACTACAAATTCCACATTGTCCAAGATTTGGATGACTTCAGCATACTTGTTGAAAGTAAACAACAAGACATATTTATGTGGATGGTTAAATGTGGTGAATATGGCATTTGCCAAGGAGATTAATTTGAAGTTGACAATAGACAATTGGGCATCGAGTATTATTGTTGCTGGAATCACAAAGTATCAAAAAAGTATCAACTCCTCTTTGGATCAATTCAAATTTATGTTGGATCTTGAACTGTTTAATATTGTTGACGAAAAGACTATTGAATTGTGTCTTGAATACAACACCAATGGACAAACATATTGGGGAAACAATGTGAACCAAAACTACAAATTCGACATTGAAAGGAAAAAGAATAAGACCCAAGCAAAGGTAACTGCACCACCATCAACGTCACAGTATCAAGCTGCATCTAAACCAAAACTGCTGGCTCTGGGCTCAAAACAATCGATAAATTCATCAGGGTATGAAGAGATTTGCACAAAATTGCTCAATCATAAATCGTCATTGGCTTTAAACTTTACCAATGATGAGTTTTCGTTTAGACCAAGTTTGAAAAAGAGTTATTCTGCTAGTGATGTCACCACGACTAGTGGCGGAGCTGCTGGTGCTACAAGTTATGGAGCTCCAAGGTATTCTAATAGACAACGCCAAAAGGACAATAGTAGCAGTAAGCAAAATGGTGGGTCAGGAATTAAGGATATGACATATGCCGATATCTTGCAAAAATATTGTTTTGCTGGAACTCCAAGTTCTCCATCGCCTGCTGTAACCGGAAATGCATCAACTACGGCGACAAGCACGTCTGCTGTTGGTAGTACTACTTCCGGTTTGACTGTTAGTGCACCAGCAAGTGCTCATTCGAGTCCATTAATGGGATCGTCGTCATCATCATCATCTTGTCCATCGTCACCACAACCAGTTGTTGTTTCTGCTCCTGCTGCTACAATTGCCGCACCAACTCAAACAAGCATCTTTATTTGAGAATTGGTAATAGATTTGATGATTGTGGTGGCGCCTTTCATTTTCCATTTTTCATTTTTCATTTTTCAATTCATTCATTCATTTAGGTGATGGAAATATTCCATCAATCTTTTACTTGGCTTTTTTTTGTTTATTTTTTTTTTCTTCATTTTACATTTGTTTGCATTTCATTGTTTGTAATGGTGTTGTCGCTATCTGGGGTCAAGGATTTCAATGACAAGATAGTTTCTCAACAGGCTCCATTACTTTTCCTTGTTGTATAGTTTGAATGGATTTCATTTGTTCGACTTTAATACTCATACGTTGTAGATTTACTTACTTAATCGTGATAAATACAAAGTTGATGACGATGGGTTACAAGATTCCATTTTCGGCAGCTTTTTACTCTTAGAAAATGGGGTCCCACTAGACCTTTCTTCTGAAAGGGGTGCTAAGCTCTTTTGGGATCTTTGGCATAACTAAAAAAAAAAAATAAACGAAGTATATCTATTTTATACTTTCCATAGATTTGGATTACGAGAAACTAACCACGGGATGATCATAATGTATTCGGGGTGAATATATATGTTTGCAGTCATCAACCTCTCTTGTATATACGGAGTACATCAATTGGCTCGGGTTTGACTCCTCAGAGAAGTTAAAATGAATTCTTGATTCTTGGTTGTATCAGTATATTAGTCACGAGTGTAGTTGCAAACAGTGACGTCATGGACAATGACGATGACGATGATGGCACCAATGACAGCGCCACCGACAACGATGTTACCATGGCTAACGGAAAATACCGTGACCGTACACCTTTGCATTCAAACAATCACAACAAGACTTTGACTCAATGGTTCAAAGAATCTGCCAGTATAGCAAAAGTTCAGGTTCAGCATGTCGTGACAACAATGTGTTTATTTGCACTGACGCGGTATTTTATGATGATGAGTCATTTGAATTTACACCATGGCGATAATACATTAATTGGGTTAGTGACAAGGCTGTATTGTATGATGTAGCTATTGAATTTTTGGAGCTAGGTAATTATGATCAAGGGCAAATTGATAATGCTGTTGATAATGCTGTTGATAATGCTGTTGATAATGCTGTTGATAATGCTGTTGATAATGCGAGGAAGAGTTGAAAAAAACCCAATACGATTGGCTAGTTGTTGAGACAGCTTAGGGAGGAGTTGATTATGATTGCTGAAGAGGATGGTAATTGATTATTGCGTCTGATTGAGAGTTATTTTAAGGATTCAATTATTTGTCTTGGTGATGGTAGTGATAATTGTGTTAGAAATGGTAATGGTTAAGGGTACTAAAAGAAGAGAGACAAGTTTTCACACAAGGAATGAGTCACCTATGTTACTTGTTTCTACTACTAGTTAGTTTTACATAAAACATTAGTCACATTCTAAAGTGACTGTTGTACAGTAACTCTTGTGGATGCCAACAAACACGTGTCTCAGAGAGAGAAAAAAAAAAAATCGGCCGGCTATGACAGTCTGTGGCAGGGCAGACAATTAATTTCTGTATTCAAACCGAGCAATAGGTCTAGCTCGAAGTTGGTACTAAAACGCATATCTAATCAACCATAACCGTCACGGTAACAAGAACGAATTAGGCAAATAAAAACTTTGATGCAGATATGGGTAATGTAGCTGAGCCAGAGCTACTAGAAGGTGGAGTTAGATACACGGCATTCCAAGAAGATAACTATTCAACTGGATACGAAGCAGAAGAGCTTGGAACCACAAGTAATGGAGATGCTTTTGGTATCAGTACTGGGGGTGGTGTACAGAACCAAAAAGCCAACAAGAAAGGAGAAAGGAGAGATGCAGATGGAGAAGCGGAAGTGGGAGGGAAAGGAAAACCAAAAGGACAAGGGAAGAAGGGTGGTAGTAAATATAAGGGATCGAGACAAAGAGGTGATAGACGGAAGCAAGTACAAGATCAACTTTCACGACTCAACGTTACTTTCGCGGATAGGCAAGCTGCCTTGGACCAGATTAGTGAATTTTATGAATCGCTATTGCAACCGATTCGTGAATTGTACGTTGAGCACAACAACACACGCAAAAAGAAGAACAATGGATCATCCCTGGTCGACACGATAATGCACAACTACCACAACCGAAATCAAACTTATATAAAAACCAATCCTCGTTTAACTGATCGAAACGCTCGTTGTCAATTCCATAATCAAATACGTCGTGTCCTCAACCAAAGGGCAATATTATTCAGTATCGATATCGAAGCGTGGGAAATCAATAATCAAACAGTTACCGAGATTGGTATCGCCATTCATGACCCAAGGCGTAATGGTGTCTACACCATAGTGCCTCAGTTTACCAAGTTGCATATCCGAGTATTGGAAAATATGCACCGTAGTAATGGAAAATATGTTCCCGATCATGCATTCAATTTCGTTGGCGAACCAACGTTGATATTGAGTATGCGAGATTCTGTTATTTTGATTCAGTCGTTGTTTGATTACTTTTTCAAAGTGCCCGGTACTAGTAGTGATTCTGGCAGTGGGGTTTGCAGCGGTGATGATCATTTAGAAACATTTTTGGTGGGGCATGGACTTTCTGGTGATATAAAATGGCTATCCTCTATTGGAATTGAGTTTCCTCCAAAATATGCTACTTTGGACACATTGCAAATTCTTAAAATCACTCATGGTAATCATCAACTAAGTCTAGCTAAGGCATTGATGAAGCTTGATCTACCTCATGCATTTCTACACAATGCTGGTAATGATGCATACTATACTCTACTACTTTGTTTGAAATTGCTCGATCCTGGTGTAAGAACATTGTACAAGTTGGATTTATGTCTTGATGAGCAAGCAATGATGAGTGAAGAAGAACGACAATTGGCTAAAGAGGAGAAACAAAGAAAAAAGCAAGAGAGGAAGGAGTTGCGTGAAGTGAAGAAATTGCAACAGCAATTGGGATTGGTTGAACTGAGTGATGATAAAAAGGATACTGGCAGTGCTGACAAGAAGCAGAAGAAACTGAGAAAAAAGCAAGTTCAGGATTATAATGTTGCTCCCAGTGTGCAATGTACTGTATCTGATGCTGTATTGTATTTGTTTGGTGGTAAGCCACTACCTAGTGACCATGTGGGTGAAGAAGAAAATGCTGAGGAGGTGGAGGTGGAGGTGGAGGCAAGAGCATTAGCAGCAACTTATGTGTAAAATATGTTGATGCTTTAAGTAGATCTTAATAGACATGATGAGATTTCTACTTTCTCATCTCTGCGGTCTCTCCCTTTACTACTCCTCATTGTACATAAATAAATAGATAAATAAAGCAATTTCTAAAATACCATAAGCCCCTCCTCACTTCACTTGAAGCTGAGCTCACACCCATCCATCAATCTCATTGTAGCCGACGATGTCTTTCTCAATGGTTCCGGACCAAGATGTGATTCACAAGAATCAAACGTTTGCAACAATCGGATGGTAATGTATGCCGCTTCAGTTAGTGCCAAAGATTGACCAAGACAAGCTCTAGGGCCAACGCTAAATGGCATAAATGCAATCCCACCACTACGTGGCAACTGCTCCCATCGTTCAGGGATAAACTCTCCCGTATTTTCACCAAAGTGTTCCTCATTTCTATTTGCTACCCATAATGGATAAACGATTCTTGTTCCCTTTGCAATGAAAATTGGTGCCTTTTCATCAACACCACCTCCACGTGGCAACGTAGTATCAACTGAAGCAGTCTTTGATTCAAATGGCACCGACGGGTTTATCCTTAACGTTTCATTTATACACCAGCGTAAGTAATCACAATTTTGTATTGAATCAAATGTGATGGATTCAACATTGGGGAAATCTTGACGAATAATGTCACGCAATTTGCAATAAATCTCGGGGTTTTTACTCAATTGAGCAAACAAAAATGTCATCAACCCCGATGTTGTGTTTCTACCGGCCAAGATGATACTCAAGATTTGATTGCGCAAGTTGATGGGATCTTTCGTTTCATGAGCCAATTGATAAAGGAAAATTGTTCCATCGTCGGATTTTTCATTCAATTCGTGGCTAGTCATGGCAAGGGCTTTTTCAATATAGTAGTCAACGAATTTATGTTGGATTTTGATGGCATCTTGTAGTGTTTTTGGATTAACTAAAAACATCAATGGTCCTAAAATCATTCTCGTCATGAGATAATTTGACGATTCATCAAATGCTATACTAAATTGTCGTTTCAATTCGGGATCAATCCCCGTGGATGAATGTTGTCCCAATGCATCTTTTAATGAATCACTGCTTTCACCCAATAATAAATCAGTTGTGAAATCCATGGTAAAGAACTGAAACACATCTTGCATGTCAATGGCTTGTCCCAGTTTCTGTTTAATCAAGTCGATAACTCTGGCTGCAAATGGTTCCATCTTGGTGATTTGTTTGATATTTTCCTTGGTGAATGAAGGACGCAACATGACTCGTGAATGTTTCCATTGAGTTCCTTCACTTGAAAAGATCCCATCTCCCAACAAGATACCGAATGCCTGTGGTCGGTATCCAATATTCCATTCATTGAAATGGGCCAGTGACATCATATGACGCAAGTTTTCCGGTTCAATAGTCATTATAAATGAGCTGAATAATGCTGTGCCTTCAAATGTCTTGACTTGAGCTCTATCAAATGCTTCCTCCAACATCTCAAATGTTGTGCCCAGATGCATGAGCTTTTTACGATGAACAATCTCATAAATTCCAAGTCTGTCTAACAAATTACGTGGTGGGATATGTTTAACTGGTTTACATCCTAATTTTATTGCACGTTGGTGGAGTTGTACACGATGGAGTAGTTTATAGATGATGTAAGATGCAATAACTATCAAGTATGGGATATATGTCATTGTTGTAGCTTGGTCAGTTGAAATTATACGGCGGAATGATACACATCTATTGTAGTCTTGATTTGGAGAATGCTTTGGGATATATATGTATATTGTTTGGTGAGTATTCTTTGCATGTGAAAAGCCTACTTTGGGGATTGTTACACAAAAGCTTAAACTCCGTTGATTTTACTCCGCAATTGTCTCTTCTCTCTCTCTCCTCCCTCCTCCCCCCTTGCAGTAGCTTGTGAAGGCTCAAGAACAAAGAGGAGTTTATTTGCTATTGTTATCTCCTGAAATGGAACTAAACTCCGAGTTGAAGACTTATCCTCTTTGTCTGTGTAATGCATCTTCCTAAGTTCTTTCCTGGCTGAAGGAGGAGGTTATAAAAATTTTTGTTGATGTTTACTTCACCACAACAAATAAATGATTCTTGTCTCACCCGCTGCAAAGGAGTAATCTGTCGAAGCAACACAGATATCACAATGTGCCTTTAATCTCGATATCCCACTGTTGTCTGCTTTTGGATGCGGTCTTGAATTGAGCGCCGCTAAAGCAAGAGGTGAGAAATTTGCACAAAGTCAACTAAGTAACAAAGACTAGCGCTCGACTCCAACTTCCAGCAGGAGTGAATGTAATTTGTGATATCATAACTCATATGGTCCTGTGGAAATCTCCTCCAAGATAAAAGCTTATTATATTAATTCTAGGTTAGAAATATCATCCTCGTAATCTCATAAACTACAGCAGTCCATTGTAACAATGGAAACTTTAATACTGTATTCGACTCATTTGCGAAATAGGGGCTGTGTTTAATGGACGCTACGTTATATCCGCAGATGAATAAGGCTTAAGACGGAGTTATGACTGTCGATTGCCAAAATACAAAAAGCACACCAGAAAACAAGAAAACAAAATAGGGTCTCTTGGCTTTCTTCATATAGATTGAAATTCTATCTTCCAACGAAGAACACATGCTATGACATTATGACCCCACGGTTAAACTTTGATTCATATGCACATGCTGTTTCAGAATCGTTGGTGATAAACCAAAGTACTTAATTTATTTGCCCCAATTTTGTTGCAAATTCGATCACCAAAAATTGCATCCCCACAACACAGGTTCGCGTTATTCTCGAGTTTCAGTACTATCTGTAAAACTTGAAATTCTCGTTCTTACTATTGTATAGTGGTACCTTTCATGAAGTTACTTTTGTCGTACCATACTGAAAGATATAGTGTACTTTGCTTTCCTATATACAGAAACACTTCTTTCTACTTAATTTCTCCCACGCTTATCACTCTTTTCTCTTTTTCTGACATATCCATCTTCAGTAAGACCCTTTCTGTGTTGTTGCACTTCCAACCTCTTATTTGCATCTCTTGCAGATTTGATACTTCTCTCCTTTGATTCATCGACAAAATTAGTCACCATTTCTTTGAGTGATTTGGGCAGACTAGTAGTACTTTCATTTAATTGATGGATTGTCAACTTCTTTGGCATACCCAACAATTGACGCAAAGTGTTGCTCTTGAATATAGCACTTTGCATCAACGACAAGATCGAGTTGATTGCAAAGTATAGGACAACAGCAGCTGAAAAGTTTTTGGTGATGAAAATGGAGATGATGGGCACTATAGTCATAACTTGCTTCATACTCTGGGCAATTGCATGCTGACCTGTTTCACCACCAATCCTAACAACAGCTATAACAGCCGCAGCTGCAATAGCCTGTAATCCCAAATATGGATCGACATCACTCAAATTGGTGAACCATGCAAGACCTTGATCAGTAAAGCCTTCGACTGGATGATTGGCCATTTTTCGAAGTGCTTGGAAAAACCCATACGCCAAGGGTAATTGAACCACTGGTGCCAAAGAAGCTAATGTGGAAACATTGTGATCCTTCATTAACTTACGTCTCTTCTCCATCCCCTTCATTTGATCTTGTACATCACCACTTTTAATTTGTTTCATGATTTTATCCAACTGGGGTTTGATTTCTGACATTCTGGTGGCATTGGAACTAGCCTTGACGTAAAGTGGGAACAATACAACTCTGATGATAATGGTAAGTACTGTTATGGTTCCCCACCATGGTAAACCAGTGTAAACATGAGTATACTCTAGCATTCTTTCAATGATACTTGTTGGACCCCATCCTTGAGCTAAACCGATCGATTCAAGGTAACCAATTTGATCCGAATGTAAATTTGTTACTGATTCTACAACGTTGTTTTCATCGGCAAAGGAAACTAATTTGTCTTTGATCTCGTGTACGGTATTGTTGGTGGTGGTGGATGAGTTGAATCGAATACTGGATGCAAACGTAGGAACAGCGACTGCGCGTAAATGCAATGGGAATCTTACCGATAGTCTGGTTTGCCTCCTTAGTACAGACCCAGTGGTGAATCTGGATAGTCCCACTTTAAACATTGTGGAGCCTTTGGTGTTGGTGGTTAGTTGTACACTGAAAAAGGTGAAATTTTTTTTTGATTTTTTTTTTTTTTTTCAACTTCACCAGACCTATACGTCAGATGATAATGGGAGGTTGTTGAACAGCATACCTAGAGCAAAGATTCACCATGATTTATACAAGAGGGAGGATACGATTTAGTCTACGACATCCACCGCTACGCTCCTCCCACGTCAGGACTGTCAATTTCTATCGAAATATGACTAATCAGGCCACTTCCACTGACGCGATAGACACCAAACTTCACTCCATTCTTGAAACAAAACCAAGTTCGGTGATATTCCAATTCCTCATCGAGAATCATACCAGAGTAGACCCGAAATTTTCCCTCACATTCACTTACAACCTTCTCTGCCAAAACAATCTTCAAGCGGCCATTTCGTTACAACATTTACTTTTAACGAATGCAAACTATCAAATCCCGAATGAGTTGTGGAGTGTGCTTCTTGACAAAGTGTGTTCAAAACTGAATTACCTCGGCGCTACGTTTATATTCCATGAGTTGATCGATAGCCATTTGTTTTACGATGAAATGACCCTCGCAGTGCAGGAAAATGACCAGGTTCCATTCGTGGTGAATCCTAATACTTTAATTCACTTGGCAAAGATCTTTACCGAAAATGGCGATGCAAAGAGAATGGAAGGTATATTGCGATATTTTAGACGGTTTCACTCATTTTTGACAAACCGAGAGACATATAAAGCATTGCTTGTTTTAAACGTGGAGGTATATGCACAAATAAAAGATTTGACAATGGCATTAAAAACATTCAAAGATTTAGCATTTGCATCAAAGGGACTTTCCAACCGGAAGCCATTGGGACTTGTGCGGAAAAATATTGCCCAGCACAATCAATGGAGAGTTGGCAACATCAAACTGAATCAGTATCGATTTGATTTCATTCCTACTTATCCACTTGATATCCACCAACAGTTGTTGGCGCAAATCCGTCAAAGTGGAATTTATAACCCAGTGATCCAATACAATGTTTACTCAAGTGTGAATGCCAATTCACCTGTTAATGGTTCAGCCATTGCTTATACCCCAATGCTACTGAGACTAGTTGATTCCACAGAACTACCCCGATTCAAACAACTTTTTACTGAATACATCAAATTGGAAGAAATGTACGAGCATCATAAATTAATACAACTCATCAGGGCCAATCACCACAGTTTACACATTTTTATTGTATCTGCACTATGCGAGTTACAGAAACATGAATTGGCATTCGCCGTACTAAAATCGTTAGCATCATATGGCCAATTATTATGTAAAAGCCCCGCATTTGTGACATTACTTCAATCAACGAAGAATGAACCAAAGTTGCTTTCACTACATGCCGAGATTATCACATTCTACCGTCTGTTGAACAAGGGGCATGTAAATTATCCCATTGCTGCATATATCCATAAAATACCGGTATAAAGAACCCCATCTATATATTAGCATTTACTTGTAAATACAAAATTGAATAAATGTTACACTTATTGTACGTTAGCAATACAAAAAGTCTCCGCTTCACCTTCACCCTCACCTTCACCACTGCTTCTGTTTTCTATCATGTCTATTAATTATCTCGCCTTGGATCAGACATTTTATGAATACGTACATTATCACCACTCAAGTCTCCGACAACGGCAATATCCTGAGGAGTAATGAAAATATTTTGCGATTTCGGATACCGTGCCAATTCATGAAGTAGCAACTTGATACTAATGGATCGATTAACTGAATCCATATAAACATCAAACTCATCCAATCCTCTAATTCTAGAATTCATAGTTCGCCAAATCGCCAACAAGAGAGCGATCTGGGTATATGATTTCTCACCTCCTGATAACGACTCAACAGTACGTTTCATGTCATCTTTCTTAGTCTTGACCGTCAACTCTAAAATGCGTTTCTCAAAATCCATATTCAACGTTCCTCTGAAACCTCGAATTTCCATTGAATCTTCAAATGATCGTTCAGCCATACTTACTGCATGTCTTATGGTAACATTGAAAAACGAGACACGAGCATTGATCTCCTCGGCAATTCCTGTGATTATTTTTTCCAACTCAAGCTCTCTCGCCACTGCTTGGTCCAATTTGCGTTCAGCGGCTTCAAGCTCCTTCAAAACCTCTTCCAAAGTAGATCCCAACACTTGTTCAGCGTCTTTAATTTCTCTTTGGATCTCTGCAAATGCTTCAGCTATCGATTCTTGGGTATCATCCTCAGTAATTGTCACTTCATCACGCCTAGAATGACTCTGAGCAAATTTTATTTGTTCTTCTAGCATGGCTTCAGCTCTTCCAATTTTGGCTCTAGATTTTTCAATCGTTCTGCTAAAATCTTGCTTCATTCCTTCAGAGTCGACGATTTTTCCTCTCAATGTCTTGATGTACTCTTCATGAGTATCCAATTTCTTTTGAGCAATTCTCTGATTTTCAGCCTTCTCACTGCGTTCTTCCTTGATTTCCTTGAGTGAATGCACACATGCATTGCATTTCTCAGTGGCCCGTTCAAGGTTTTCTTCAAGAGATTCAATAACACCTTCAAGTCGACTTATTTGTGTAGTATCTTCCTCAATTCTCAATTGTAACTTTAAAATATTGGATTCATCGATTTCTTTATCAATTTTGTCCTCATAAATGGCCTTTTTACGACGCAAACCATCAATAGTCCGTTTGAGTTCACTTTGCTGATGGTACAATGACTCTCGCTTCTCATCAATTTTTATTTTGACATTTCTGAATTCGCGTTCAATATTACGCAGATTCTCAGCTTCATGGTTGATTTCTTCTCTCAACTCATCCATCAATTCATTCTTGCTTTCGGTTCCGAACTTAGGAAGTTTTCCCAGATAATAAACTGGATCCAGTCTAAGCACCCCATTTTGACGACTTACTCTACTTCCCGACGAGCTACCGAACTGTACCAAAGCTCCATAGACATTTGGTTCATAGCACAACTTCCGTGCTTCTTCAGCTGTGCTAGCGATGATAAGCTTCTCGATGGAGCTGTTATCAATCAATGCATACAACACGGCTTCTTCGCTAATATTAAGCATGTCCAAAACGGTTGTGCCTCTAGCTTTCCCACTCTCATAATGGTATCGTTCTGTTTTACGAACAATGATATTATGGAATGCATGGTGTTGTCTCAAAATCCTATCCAATTGAGCTCGATCTCTTTCATCACGTACAATAAATGCATCCAAACTCTTGCTCAATATTGCATCCAACAATGGTTTCCAATTGTTGTATTGTTTCTTCACCGAAATGTAACTTCCAAGTGGGCCAATTGGTTTCGATTGCCATTGTGTGCGATCAATATCACGCATTACACCTTGCATTTTACGAGCATCCCACGGAGTATATCTTGAAAATTGTTCTTTTTCTAAATCCGATTGTCTAGCACGAAGCTCTCTTAAGTTACGATTTGAAGACTCTCGTGCTTGTGTCAATTCTTCGAGTCTTGGATCCGGATTCGAATGTAACTCCTTCATCTTATTCCTGCATACAGCCATATCTTCTTCACGTTTAGCAAGTTGTTCATCAACCTGAGTCAATTTGTTGCGAATTTCTTCTTTGGAGCCGCCCTCTTGTTCTTCAATCTTTTTACGTTCATTCCTGAGCTTGTCTTGAGTATAATTTATGTTTTTTTGCAAGTTTCCAATCTCTTTTTCATTTTTGGCAATATCAGCTTTGATTATGTTCATTTGTGATATAAATTGTGACCGTACCGCCTTGGTTTCATCATAACGATTTTGTTGCGATTCAAGTGCAGCTTGAGCCAGTTTCAATTCTTCGCGAATCTTCTCTTCTTGTGGTTGCTCCAGAGTGATGAGTTCGTCCATTTGTTGAATTCGTAGATTAGTCTGTTCCAACTCAGCTTCAGCTGTAGCAATCCTCTCGTTGTATTCTTTGATTTTGTTTTCCAAACTTTGCACGTTAAACCAGTACACCTTGGCATTCAAATTTTTGGAAATGGCCCTCAAGTGGTCATTTCGCCTGTGGGCATTATATATTTGACCAATTCGATTATACTCAGCTTTGCACGCCTTAGCATACTTTTCAGCCTGGTCTCTTTTAGTGCGAATGTCATGTATATTCCTGTAAGTCTCATCAAGATTATTGTGAACATCAGTGATATAAGCACCTGCCAAAAAGTATTCAAATTTGGTCTTTGCAGTAGCAGTGGTCAAAAACTCTCTTGCTTTATCCTGAGACAAGAAAGCCAATGGGTTGTCAACAGTGATGTTAAATTTAAACAATATTTCATCCAACACTGCCTTCTTGTGAGATATAATTTTACCACTTTCTGACTTGATTGCATAACTGTTACCTCCTGTCCTCTGCAATTTCCTCTCCACTATAATTTTTTTACCAAATTCTTCCAGTTTGTAAGCTGTGGGACCTTCATTTTTCAAAGTGAGTATAATTCTTGATGTGGTTTTTCCGTCTTTGATCAAATCTCTAATTGAGCTACCTCGATTTGTGTCGTTAGCTTTGGCACCTAATCCAACCGAAATTCCAGTAAGAATAGCACTTTTACCAGACCCGTTCCTTCCAATGATAAAATTTATCTGTGGTCCCAAGCTCAATTCAAAGGAGTCGTGGCACATGAAGTTTTTCAAACTTAGATGTTCAATAATACCAGCTTGAGCTGGTGTTTCTCCATCGTCACCTGGATACTCTTCAGTTTCCGATTCATCTGAGTCTATTTCTGATCCTGGACCCAGGGCAGAGCTTCCATCATCATCATCATCATCATCATATTGTGTCATCATAGCACGTTTCTTTCTTGGTCGGATCATCGATGACATTAGTTGTTGTGACGGGCGTATATTGTCATCCTAATGCATACGCGTTAGTAAAAAGCACTATCGTGGTGTATTCAAAGACGATAACATACTCTTGATACATCATAGTTGGTAAAACCATCATCACGGGGTCGTTTCATCGATGTAGCCAGCATCACTTGTGGGTGAGCAAAAGGGTTCCAAAGTACAGAGCTTCTTTTGTCGTTTTTTTTGTTGTCAATTCCTTTTGTGGTTTTATTTATTCACGTGCATCGCTTCGATGGATGGAGATTAAATCCCTTATTGATTCTACTTCAACTATAGTGAACCTCGTTCAAAAAATTGTTTCGCCCCGATGCCGAAAGCTGAATCTTGTTACCGTTGTCTTTTGTTCTAGGAGTGTGTTTAACAGGAGAAGCCTACCTCAAAAGTGTCACTCAAGACGCGTCTACCATAGGTGCATTTTACTCCAATTCTCCGAAATCACCATTGAAAAAGCCTCCCACTAGGTGAATGAATGAAACTTTATATCCGTCTCTGCTTTGATGGCTCATATTCAGGACCGACTGCTAGTATTTTGCAACTGCAGGTTACGGTATGTAAATTCAGACTCATCTGGTAGCACACTTTACCAATCAATTTGAAAAGAGCGACTGCCTTTTCAAACCATCAAAGACCAATCTTCTTTACCAATCAACAAATCACACAAGACAATACAATGAGTGGCAGCTCCAGAAGAATTAAGTTTGTATCAATATCCTTACCAATAATGTATGGTAACCATGCGTATAAACTTACGCCAGAGATGCGCAAGCCTACAACTCCACTTGACCATACGCATGAATGGACCGTATTCTTCAAACCTGTACTTGGGGACATAGACTTGACACCATTGATCAAAAAGGTTACGTTCAAATTGCATGAGACATACGAGAACCCAGTTCGCACCGTTGAGCATCCACCATATCAAGTTACAGAAACAGGGTGGGGTGAGTTTGAAATCATCATCAAACTACATTTCCACCCAGGAGTAGACTTGGGTATAAATGAAAAAAACTTCCAAATCTTTCATGCTTTGAAGTTGCACCCGTATAATCCGCAGCAACCGCCACGTGAAAATGGCGAAGTACATTCAATCTTGTACGATGAGTTGGTTTTCAATGAACCTACGGAAAAAGTATTTGAAATTTTGACCAAGAAACCAATCAATCTTATACCCTACGAGTTATCGGACCCTGATAAACGAGATCAGGAGTATATACGACCAGATGAGATTGATGAGTTGAGTCGGTTGGATGTTTATATACAAAAAGTTAAGGAAGAGATCGAAAACCAAGTGAGCCAGTACAAGGAGTTGGAACAACAGAAACTAGCATTGACTCAATAGGGTGTGAATGTTGTGTAGTGATAGAAAGATCATAATATGATATTGCGTGACTTGAAACCTGTGTAGATGTTCGAGCCGTAGAAATGCGAATGAAAAAATCATTGTAACTACCTCTAATAACTTTATCATACACAACAAGATATCAAAACGATGCCGGAGTTGACTTTGAATATACCGTTTCAAACAGTTCATCAGGCAAGCATAGCAAAGAACTCACTTAGGCCAGACCCAGTGTTAAAAACAAGCGAGTTACAGATTGATTTTCAAGTGGATGAAAATATCCTCCGATGCAAATTTTCAGGCATCAGTGATAGAGTTATACGAGTATCGATCAGTAATGTATTAGATAACCTTAAGACCGCTATTGAATGTATTGACGAATTTGAAGGAAAGAAGGATAGTCTATGGGAGTTGGATGATGTTGAAATGAATGGATGAGAATTACGATTTTACGAGTGTCAAATGAGCTAGGTTTTGGCAGCTGGGGTTGATCGCACGTGGATGGCTCTCTTCAAACTTCGGGGCTGTGAAGTGTGTTCCGGATTAACTCAATCTTACCAGGTGGTGCTGGTTTGGTGATCTACAAAAAAGGGTAAAAATTTACAAGTTAGCAAGGTGATCACCAAAGGTCTACTTTCATCAAAGAAGCTTAACGTATTATTATCTCCAAAGATAGATGCTTCAATGGAAAGGAACAATATACTCTGTTGATAAATACTGTGTAGATGCTTCCCTCTTTCAACTCCTCATGTGTCGGTAGCGCACCGATGCCAATAAAAAACGTAATCTTTCATTCTTTGTGCAAAAGACCGAGGTGCAAGAAACCGTGTTGTTATTACTTGCAAAAGAATGGGTTGGTTTGGTGGAAATAGCAATGCGCCTCCAGCAAAGGTGTCTATGGTGAGTGAATACAAATCAGAACCAAAACAACAGCAACAACAACAACAGCAATATCTTGAAGACTTGCCTCCAAAATTTGAAGACACCGAAGCACCATCATCGAACATACCTTCTCAAAGGGCCCCTGCACAACCAACGTTAGTCGACGCTGCAAAATCTATTCATCTCTCGGACTTCACTATAGATAGATTCATCACCATGCCATGTTTCAGAGAAGCAATGATTACTGGGTTTCAAGCTATGGGTGTATTGGGAGTAATTACGTTTTTGATTCGAAAGGACTTGAACAAGTCGTTGAATTGGTCGGTGGGTGGGTTCTTTTTGGGAAACATGGTTGGTTGGGAACAGTGTCGGTCTCTAAGACGTAGGTCGATGCATATGATGGAGAAGGCTAAACAGGAGAGGGAAGAAAAGAATAGAAAGAAGTGGCAAGAATTGCAAAAGAGTCAAGGAAAGAATGATGATATGGAGAAGTTCAACGAATTCAATAACAGGAAGTAAGCTTATGGGGGAAGGGTCATTTCATCTTGTATATAAGTTAATAGTTAATGCAATTTTTTAAGGAAGTTACACCAACAGTAAGAAAGCTCTTTCCCAGGTTGAGATACCCTATTGATTGCGTTTGATTTGAGCGGTAGTTCATGCAATAGATAAAGCTCCGCTCACGTACTCTGTTTTGAAAAACTACCACAGATTTGTGTCTGCTTTTTGCAATTTTGGTTTTTCCAATTTTCTTTCCTTCCCCACCCCCACCTTTTTAAGTATGAAAAAAAAAAAAAATCTATGACGCTGACTGAGAATCACCCAGCAAAAATTTCTCTTCATCAGCGGCTACACTGTGCCATACAAAGTTTTACGTTTTCACACGGCTTACTTTGCAATTAGAGTGACTCACCATGGATAACCATAAAGCCACAATATCATTCAAAACTTTGAAATCAAATTTGGTAAACTTGCCCTCAAATTTAACCAATTTGTTATTCACTGCTAATATTCAAGTACAAGATGTCATTATTGAAATCGTGACACCTCCTGCACCGGGTCATCAACTGAAAAGTTCCAAGAAGTCGTATGCTGGATGGTCAGGTATGTCCTCGTCAACTTTACAGAGTTTGGAAATTGATCCCATTTTCGCACAAGCATTGTCGATTTCAGATAAAGCATCCATATATATCAACTTGAAGTTGGGAAATTACGAAGCTTCAAATATAAACTTAGAACCTTTGACGAGCTCTGATTGGGAGGTTGTTGAGTTGAATGCGCAAGTAATTGAAGATAAGCTTTTGAGCCAAACGAGATGTGTTGCATTAAATCAAATTTTGGTGGTTTATCCCAATGCTACTACGTCTGCCAAATTATTAGTCACTGATATTGGATCCACTGAACACAAGTATGGTAAAGTTTCTCCGTATTGTGAGATTGCAATCGCTCCCAAAGTCAGGAAAAAAAGTGAAGTAGCAGCAGAAACTACTAGTGTTGGTAGTCAAAAAAGTTCCACAAAGAAGGAGGATTATAATACATTACCACTGGTTTTGAAAAGAGGAATCAGTTTGCCCCATAGATTGTATAAGGATGTTGATGACACAGGATACAAAGTGTTTGTAAATCGCAATGAAATTCCTGAAGGGTTTGGGTCATTTGTTGCCGTATCGATTCTCCCTGGTCCCAATGAATTGAAGAACACATTAACAATTGAGAATGACATTAAAGAAAATAAGCGCATTGTGGCTGAATTAGTCAATCACAATGGCGTTTCTAATACCATCGGATTATCAAAGAACTTGGCAATAGCGTTAAATACATATGATCAAACGGGAAACATTGTCGTGTTGAAACCAGCAGTCAAGGAGTTACCCAAACGCCCAACTACATTTATAATCCATCCATACCTGATCAACTCAAACAAGAAGAAGGAAGTGAATCTGACAAAAACCTCAAAACTAACCAAGCAATTGACTGATGCATTGTACCCGCAGATCTCCACCACTGCAGTAACTAATTTTGTAAAGATTCCCAGTATTTCTGGTATATTACCCTATGGAGGGCTTTTGAAATTTCGCAAGAATGAAAACTACAATTCCTGGATAAAACCCTATGATCTTGGTAGAAAGAAGCCAATAAAGATTGAAATTGGTGATGACCTACTCCGTCCTCAATCGTTTATACAAGATTTGCAACAGGAAACCACCACTGCAAAGAATGAAGACCAACCTATTGGCATTGAAAAGACAATATCTGACTTGGTGGATTCATTCCTTGTGTCGGCAAACACAGGGACTCTAATCTATGGAAATTCAGGAAGTGGCAAAACATTGTACCTAAAGCAAATTAGCGATACCTTGAATCAAGATCATGGATATTTTGTAAAGTTTGTGTCTTGTGAAACCCTCATGAATGAATCTTTTCAAAACTTGTCCAAAAACCATATTTTTAAATGGTTACAGCAATGTTCTTGGAACAAACCATCATTATTAGTGCTTGATAATGTTGATAAAATCATGAACATAGAAATGGAAAATATGGATGCAACAAAATCGAACCAAACTACTGAATTTTTCATTTCACAATTGACGAAATTGCACAACCAGGCCAATTCAAACATTTCCTTGCTTTGTTCATCAACGTCAAAGGAGAGCTTAAACAAGCTATTACTTGGATCTCATTTGATTGAAAATTATCATCATGTAACCGCACCCGATAAATCTTTACGATTTCAAGTTATTGAAAAATACTTAACTAAGGACTTGAAGTGTAAATTGGATGTTGATTTGATGGATTTGGTTAGTGAGACTGAGGGGTACTTACCTAATGATTTAAAGATCCTTTGTCATAGGATATACCATCAGTGTTTGTCGAATCCTACTATGGAGAATGAGTCTTCCAATGTGGTTGAGACTAGTCACATTGACAATGCGTTAAGTGGATTCACCCCGTCAAGTTTACGTGGTGTCAAGCTTCAAAAATCAGGAACTAGCTGGTCCGATATTGGCGGATTAACTGAGGCTAAAAAGATTCTTTTGGAAACACTTGAATGGCCCACTAAATACGCACCAATTTTTGCCAACTGTCCATTAAGACTCCGATCAGGAATTTTGCTCTATGGATACCCTGGTTGTGGTAAAACTTTACTAGCTAGTGCCATTGCTGGTCAATGTGGATTGAATTTCATCTCCATCAAAGGTCCCGAAATTTTAAACAAGTATATTGGTGCTTCTGAACAGAGTGTTCGAGAATTGTTTGAACGTGCACAAGCAGCAAAGCCATGTATATTATTTTTCGATGAATTTGATTCAATTGCTCCTAAAAGGGGTCACGACTCTACTGGTGTTACCGATCGTGTTGTTAATCAAATGTTGACCCAGATGGATGGTGCCGAAGGTTTGGATGGGGTTTATGTCCTTGCTGCTACTTCGCGACCTGATTTGATTGATAGTGCATTGTTGAGACCCGGTAGATTGGATAAATCGGTTATTTGTGATATGCCAAACTATGAGGATAGATTGGATATTTTGAAAAGTATCACTACCAAGATGGATTTGGCCGATGATGTACAATTGGAAGAAATTGCTGAAAAGACCAATGGGTTCAGTGGTGCCGATATGCAAGGATTAGGTTACAATGCCTATTTGAAAGCTGTCCATGTTCGATTAGAAGAATTGGAAGCTAAAGATAATGCTGAGCAGGATAAGGACGTTGATGAAACGGCTGTTGAGTTTTTCAAAGTTGGCGGTGACCAACTCAAGTTGAAAAACGCAGAAAGAGTCAAATTGTTGCATCAAATTCAACAATTTGTAGCTAATGAGAAAAATGCAAGTGACAATAACCAACAATCAAAACGATCTCACATTGAACAACCAAAAGTACTCATTACTCATGCAAACTTTGTCGAGTCATTGAAGGAGACTAAACCTTCGATTTCACATTCAGAAAAGACGAAATTGACAAGAATATACTCTCAGTTTGTTGACGATAGAGATGGTAATATGCCTGATGGCAGTGCAAGCAATGAAGTTGGTGGAAGAACCACCTTAATGTAAAAAACCCTAATAGAAAATAAAAATTTAAATTTCAATATCAATTTAATCTATACATCGGTTAATCTAGTGTAGTTGGCTTCATTATCTTGATCGAGCTTGCTATTGTTCTCTTCATCCTCTTCTTCAATAATTATCAAATTGACATAACTTCTGTCATGACTAATCCAAGGGAACAATCTCAAGTACGACCAGAATCCAAAACCCAACCCCAAGACACTTCCAGTCAATACATCAACAAAATGGTGACGATAATCTCTAGTTCTACTCAATGCAATGTAAGCAGCCATCAAAAAAGGCGCTGATCCAATCAATGTCCTCCAACTTCCAACTTTAGTATTTGGTGCTTGCAACTGACCAAGTAAAAACAATGCCAAAAAGCTCAAGCCAGCAAAGCTTAGTGACGAATGTCCGGAAGGCGTTGTTCTGAAGCCATCTTCAAGTAAACCCAAGTTATCAGTTGTACACACTTCAATAGATACGAGTTTATTAATTGGAGTCGACGCATCAGGCACACATCTTGCCAAAAAATCAGGACGAAGGCGACCAATCCAGTTCTTTAAAACATCAGTCACCACTGAAGTTATCAACACACTCAAACATAATCCAATCACGGCAACATATGTGTTGTACAACTTGTACTGTGGCGTAGTAAACAACAATGACACCACAATGACAATGGCCAAGGGAATCCATGTTGAATACACGAACAATGCCGTGTTTCCCACCGTTTCAACTTCGGCAAATGGATGTGATATGGTTAAGTCATTGATGTAAAATTGTCTATGGAATGGTTTGACGTTGTATAGTACAAAATATAATATGATTAGAATAACAATAAGTATCAAATCGGTGACTCTCCATTTTAGTATAGTAGGTGAGATGAATCCACCCAAGTTTATACGGTTGAACCGTTTAGTTGGGTTACGAAGGTTGGTTAAAATGTCTTTTAATGCCATGTCTCACTGGAGGAATATGATTCAATGCAATACAGTGGAAGGATGAAGTTGTCGTGGCGGTTTCTCCTTGAAGGAGGAAAAAGAAAAAAAAAGTTAACGGAGACAACACGAATTGAAATAACCGCTGAGGTTGCTGTAAGATAAGTGAAAGATAACGAAACGATTAACGTAGATAATAGAGAGAAAAGAGTAGCCTTGCAACTATGCAAACTAGCTTCTCCAACACCTCTTCTACACTCAGTGATAATTATGGCTTTTGTCACATAAGCTACACATCAAGTGAGATATTGTGTCACGTGACTCTCTCGCGCGTTGTTTTGGTGAAAAACTCTCTGTCTTGGAAAATCGTCATCCCATGAGGACGTGTCTGTCACTTTCATTAGCAATTGCTTAGCACAATACCCCTAACCATGACCACTAGCTCATACGAAGAAGAGAAGCTCCATCATACACCATGGGTAGAAAAATACAGACCCAAAAATCTCAATGACATTGCATCACAAGAACATGCTGTGAAAGTCCTTGAGAAACAAGTTTCAACAGGCAACTTACCCCATATGTTATTCTATGGTCCCCCAGGAACTGGTAAGACATCAACAATACTAGCATTAGCCAAACAGCTATATGGACCCAACTTGTACAAATCCAGAGTTTTGGAATTAAATGCCAGTGATGAACGAGGTATATCCATTGTTCGTCAAAAGATTAAAAATTTTGCCAGATTGACTGTGAGTAATCCTACCCCAGAAGATTTGAAAAATTACCCATGTCCACCTTACAAAATCATCATTTTGGATGAAGCTGACTCAATGACTAATGATGCTCAAAGTGCATTGAGAAGAACCATGGAAACATATGCCAACATTACACGTTTTGCATTGGTTTGTAACTACATTACCCGAATTATTGACCCGTTGGCTTCAAGGTGTTCGAAATTTAGATTTAAATTACTAAACAGTGAAAATTCCTTAAATCGATTGAAATACATCGCCAATGAAGAGCACTTAAACTTGGACAAACTGCAAGGTGAAGATGCGGTTTTGAATGAAGTATTGAGAATCAGTAATGGTGATTTGAGGAAAGCGATTACTTATTTACAAAGTGCATCGAAATTGAGTACTAGTTTACAATTGGAAGATGATGAAGATGGTGATGGAAAAGCCGGATTGATAACTAAGCAATCCATAAGAGAAACTGCTGGGGTTTTACCTGATGATTTAATTGACAATCTAGTCAAGACAATAAGGTCCAAAAATGAAGAGAAATTGGTCGCTGTTGTCAATGATGTTATTCTGAGTGGATGGAGTGCACAACAATTGATTGATCAATTGCACGAAGTTTTGGTGATGGATGATTCTATAAATTCGTTAGTCAAGAATCAAATTGCTTTGATCTTGTTTGATACCGACAAGAAATTGAACTTTGGAACTGACGAGCATATACAGTTGCTTAATTTGGTACTACAAGTGTCAAAGATTATATAGAATAAAGAAAGAAAATAGACGTATATTCAAAAGGACATAATCGTTGGCATCACATAAACTCTCTGCACCCTCTCCCCTTCTACTGTTTCTCCGGATTTTGAGATTGCGATTGTTGCAATTGTTGTTGAGGTTGCTGACTAGGCCCTTGCTGCCCCATGCGTGGTTGATGTTGTTGAAACCCAGGTGGTGGAGGCATCTGTGGTGACCCGCCTTGCATACCCAAGTACTGTGGAGGAATAAATCTTGCATTCGGATTATTTATAAACGCGGGTGGTATTTGAGGTTGACGGAATCCTGGTGGTGGCGGACCTTGCCCTGGTGGAAAATTGGAACCTGGTGGTGGGGGCATAGGTGGCATAAACCCATTGGGGAACATACCTGGTGGTGGTGGCATTGGCATACGTCCGCCTGATTGTTGTTGGTGTTGTTGGCCAGGCCCAGGTTGATATGAAAATCTTTGTTGTTGTTGCTGCAGTTGGGGTGCCTTCGGTTGTTGAGGTGACTGGGTGGAATCACCTTGCTTATCCTTCTCCCGTTGTAGATCATGTTGACGTGGTGGTTGCTGGAATTGATGATGTGGCATAGGAGGTTGAAAACCCGGTGGGAGATTACCCATCTGTTGTTTTGGAGGTGGTCCACTCATCCAAGGTGGCAATTGACCAGGTGGAAACAATCCTGGAGGGAGTTGACCGGGGTATATTGGTTGCTGTTGCTGTTGTTGAGGAGGCGCGCCCCTGAATCGGCCTTCTCCCTCTGTTCCTGAGGATGCTTTTCTACTCAACTGGCCTTGGCCTGCCACTACATCTGATTCAGTTAAGCTTGATCTTTTCTCATCGTGCACGGGATATGGTGGACGTTCAACAGCCGGACTTGACGTTGCTGAAGGTGGAGATGGCTGGACATTTTCCTTCTTTTTTAATAAGGAACGGAAGAAATTGTCATTGGAAGATTGGTGGGGCATTGGTGGTTGAGGCTGCGACTGATGCTGTTGCTGTTGCAATGGAGCACCATGTTCTTTTTGAGCTTGAGGTGGAGGAAGACCCAGAGGTGATGACCAAGAAGATTCCAGCCTTTGCAATCGGGGCAATCCAGTCTCGCTTGCATTCAACAGAGGGGGCTCTGAGGTATATTGTGGTGTTTGTGGACCACTCTTTTGACCTCCAAAAAACTTTGAAAATCCTGGTGGAGGAGGCATAGCTGCCAGCGTAACAGGCGGTTTCTGTTGATCGACAGCGCCCTTGTCAGCTTGTTTAGTTGGCGACGACGTATTTGGTTGTTGAAAAAATGATGAGAAACGAGAAGACCGATGGCTAGCATTGTTGCTTGCAGGGGCGCTTGCATTTGCTTGAGGGGCCAGTTCCTCAACTGTTGCTGAAACAACAACTTCCTCATCAAAGTCTGGCTCCTTATGTGTTGGTTTAATAAATGAAAAGAAATTGTCAACTTCATTACCGGCATTCTTTGCCGCGCTTTCATCATCAGCCAATTTTTGCTGTTCAACTTCTTCATCAACCACTTCACCTTTTCTTCTCCTTTCTTGCAACTTCATCTGATACTTCCATTTCTCAAAGTCTTCAACCGTTTGTCCCATATTCATCATTGACATATGAGCCAAGTCATCATCTGCGCCTCCTTCTCCTCCTCCTCCTGAAGATTTGCCGATTTTACCATCACCGATAATTTCAGCATCCCATTCCGGTTCCAACTCATCGGGTCCTTCGCCTAACAATTGGGAAATTTTATCATTGGAAAGTGAATCCAATTCTTCAGCTCTAGCAAATCCATGACGAGCACCACGACGAGTGAAATGATCCAGTTTATGATTGTTTTCACCATAATTGTTGCTATGAGTTTTCCCTCTTTCCCATGTTTCATTTTGATGCTTTTTGAACTTTTTACTTTTGTAGATACCACCATTTTCTCCATTCAAATTGTTATTCAAGTGTCTTGGGTGAGGTTCACGCTGAGCTTTCAATCTCCAAAATGACAACTCCGGTAATGAGCTTTTGATATGTGGGACATCATTAACTTCAAATTTCAACTTGAGCAATCGGTTGATTGAGTATATATTCTCCATATCTTGTTTTGAGGGGGGAATAAAATTCAAAAGAGCCTCCAATTCCACTGTCTCAGTATCTGCATCTTGTATTGCCTGACCAGCTTCGGTGTTTGTTGCTTCTGGAGTCGACTCTTTAGCTGCGTGAGCCATCGCACTATCCAACAATCTACTCAATGCATTTCCTGGTTCCAAGTTATGAATCGAAGAATGTGATTGTTTTCTTTCATTTTGCTGGTGCGGTCTATCCTGACTCAATGACAGTATTGTAGATGCATCCTTCTCAAGTGTTACAATTGATGGATCCACAAATATAGGATTTGACTGATTCGACGACATTGCAAAAGGGGAGTAAAAAAAGATCAATTCACTTTAGCTATGTCTCACTCTATTGAAAGTGTTGAAATCCGTCGAGCTGTTTAGTACAATAAATATAGCTTTGATCGAAACAAGAAAGATTCTATGTAATTTGATGTTTGAGTGTAAACTTTTGCTTCAAGTATCCCCCTTGATGAGATTTCTCTTTACCACCACCCAATTCGTAGAAAAAAAATTTTGGGTGAAAATGAGCCAAGTTTACACTACCAAATCACATACAAAAACCAAGAGCCCACAAGATACCAAAATCTCTATACCGAAATAAATGTCTAAAATTCATGGTAATAATACATAGTATAAGTTATAGAAGTAACGAGGGGTATCACACGTACTTGATACCAAAAAATAAATGAAAAACAACAACCAAGGAGAAAAAAAAGTGAATATAAATCACACGCCTTTAATTATTCAAGTATGGTAAATTCAACTTCATAATCTCTCGACACATCATAAACCAATCAATTTCTCGTAAGTAGTGGGTTCCATCATGATACGGACCCACTGGGGATTCACTTCCAACATCACATCCATCACATCCATCACATCCATCGCAGCCAGCTTTTGAGCTCTCCTGTAATCTGCCCAACTTCAAATTGTGCTCCCACTTGAACAACTCATACATAAACCTCAAGTTCGGCTGAATAATGATATTAAGTCTGCGTACTCTGACATATAAATAAGCCATGGGTAAACTAACTTGAAACCGTTTAATAATCTCAGCAATAACAACAGTGGCACTTCGACTAACTCCCACTCGACAATGTACAAGAATCTTTGTGTTGCCGTTGGTTTTTACATATTCTTGATTGATGAAATCCAAAATCTTGGGTAATTGTTCTGATAATTCATCAATGCCATCATCTTCTAAATTATTCACCTTCATTATTGTATCGATTGTGGTATTCCAGTGAAGATTAGTAGTCCGATTGTTGTGACGATGATGATGTCGATGGTGCTGCTTTTTGGGGTGGATATGGATTATCTCAATGTTTTCATCTAAACCTTCGTCAACTTGAGTTTCATTATACTTGCGGAATTTGTATCCATTCAACCAAGGTAGGGATTCACCCACTGAAATCACTTTTTTAATTCCCAACTTGTTTAGCAATGGTAGACACAGTGCATGTTTTAATGAGCCAAGGTATAAATAAGGTAAGATTTTTGATGGGATTGATCCTTCAACTTCTTTTACCCAGTCAATTGCAAATTTGCGAGCCTCAGTTTCTTCATCATCATCATCATCATCATCATCATCCTCATTCTCCTCACTATCGTCATCACTACTTGATGAACTTGCCTCGCTCAATGACGAATCCTCATCGTTGAAAATATATCCAAACTTGGCATTTGAATTCTTTTTCGGCACACCCAACAAGATCTCATTAATCTCAGCTGATGAAATCTCCTCCATCTCACCCCAATTGATCATCTTACCATCACCACCACCACGTTTCACCAAGGGGCTATACTTTCTCAACAATGGTTCCAACTTGCGCAATATCACCACGTCACTATTGAATATATAAAATGGTCGTTCATACTCATTGTGCAACTTCAACATTACTTCATCCAAGGGGAGATTCAATGCATACATCAAATAACAAAACACCAACAATGATGACTCAGTATAGCCATCTGAGCAATAAATCAAAGTTCCCAACCCCTTGGACGACATTGATGATGAATACAAGTAAATCAATTTGCAAATATTGACAATCAGTCGAAGATTATCTCGTTTACAATCGCCAATGCCAATGGATCCTGAAGGTGGAAACAGTAAATGATGACTTTCTTGAATTTCTTCACTATCGTGAGATGATATAGTATACTTGAATAACAATTCAGCTAGTTCGGTTAAATCAGGGAATGATGCATCGGAATGGCACTGGATGAATAATTTGTAGTTAAATTTGGGGTGTGGTAACATACTGATATAGTCCAATGACAGATGACAATTGCGCAACATTAATGAGTTTGTTGGCGAGCTATACCCATGTATTACCCCTTTTGAATGATGCTCGGGGGTCACTGAGTTGTTATTTTGTAAATAATGAAGCATTATTTGATGATCCCAATGATTGCCCACAAACACATTTTGGCAAATCTTTGAAGCTGTTGACATCAATGTCGTTTCAACTTTTTCTCGTAGTTGGAAATTGTTGTCCCATAATAGCAAAGGGTCCTTCAACTTGTAGCTTAGATTAACTGTTGACAATTTCGAGAAATGGAAAAAGCTTCGTAGTGGTGCATTTAATGAAACAGATGCCATTTGTTGATACGCATCACTGAAATGTTGATCCAAAATGTAAACTTTCCTTTCAGGTGCACAAACTCCCGAGGATTGCTCCTCATCTCTTTGTGCTAACCAAAGAACTCTAGCAATGGACTGCATAGTATCATAGTCGATACCGTACACAACAAAATCGGAACAAATTGATAATTTAGCAACTTGGATTTGAAAATTACGTAGCGAGATCCCTCTATCTGGATCCAAGTTTAAAAAAAATGGCACCACATTGAGCTTGATACAATCAGCGGTTAATAAATCAATCATTTCCTCTTCTTGTTTATGGTTAAAACTGTTACTCAATTTTTCATGATCAATGCTTTTCCAAATCAAGGCAACAATATCTCTAATTTCCGATTTCGACACATCAATCTTTTGCAAAATTTCACTCAACCGCACAGTATTGTGTAATTCAACAGCTAGGGACCCGTCAGTTACACACATCAAAAACCGTACGTTTTTCGGCTTGGCAGTCTTGTAGTCCATAAACACATTACTGTCTCCAACAAGACCCAATTTCTGTTGTTGTTGTTGTTGCTGATGCAAGAAAAATGATCGTTGAGCAAAATTATCTTCATGTAATCCATGTAGCCAGGGAAACATTTCATTTGTAGGCGGGAGTTGCGAATTGAAATACTCATGAAACATGTGTTTGAGTTGTAGCAATGACAAGTGGTTAAATTTGAAATCGTCAGCCTGTTTGCGTAATTCATCTGGTTGTGACATTGATAATTTGGTGGTTTTGAACCCAATTCCATCACAAACGTCACAGGGGTTTACATCGCCTTCGAGAGATTCTGGTTCATCGTGGCATTCACAGTATCCGCTAGCGTGTGAATCTTTTACCCCGGAATCAACGCCTTCAGTGTCATTGCTGTTTGTAAACGATACGTTGAAGCTTTTAAGTCTAGCTCTAAATCTATCTCTTTCATATATTAGATCATTGGACGATGACGATGACCTTTTGCACGATTTGTGAGGGTTTACAGTTAAGCATGATGATGATGATGATGATGGTGATGATGATGATGATGTTGTTGTTGTAGGCAAATTTGATTTCTGGGAAGCTGGTGCTGCTGGTGCTGGTGCTGGTGCTGGTGCTGGTGCTGGTGCTGCCAGATGTACCCTTGAGGAAGTTATTGATAAGCTTGGTATTGACAATGACGACGCACTCGTTACTGGTGGTTTGATGCTCTCACTGCGGTCACTATATGTATCTAAATTGAGTGATTTGACATCATGGACATGATGATGCAGTTGCGAATCAGCAATATTAGTCAATGACGAGGTGGACGACAACGATAACGACGACGACGATGTTGTTGTTGTTGTTCTTGTTGTTCTTGTAGTCGTTGTTGGTGTTGATAGCATGGATGTAGGATGGCCTGGATCATGGAAAGGAGAATGCAAGTCCAAAGTCCCTGACGATTGATCTACTTCAATCTCTGTAAAATTCCGACTCATTGGTGGTTATTAAGCTATGGGGTTGACTTTGGATAGGGTTTTGATAATCATACGTTTGTATATTGGAAAACGAAGAGTTGTGTAAAAAAGTGCAAAAATCGTTCCCACTCACGCCAATGGTTAGTTTTAAATACTATAGTGCTAAAAGACAGTATGTTTAAGCTGCCGTTATATTGTTCCTTATCTGTGGTTGAACTTCAAGACTTGGTTGGATATACCCCTTCTGAAAAAACTGTGGGTCAGATAATGGCGGGGATGAAATTGCTACTGTTGAAATAACAATTGAATGAAGTGCGATAGCAAAGAAGGTGTAGTTGTGTTCAATCCACTTCTGCTAGGTATAGCTTGTGTCAATAGGGTATGATGTGTTATTTGTGTTGTTGTTAGTGTATGTAGTTTCCGTGTCAATTACGATAAGTAAAGTAGATAACCAACCAACACAACCTTTTTCAAGAGAGTAAAAAGATTGAATTGATTAAATTGGTTTTTTTTTTTCGGGGGAGGAGTTTCTTTCTCTTCTTCACTCTTCTTGTGAGATTGTAATCATTATTATAATCATTATCAATCTATCGTTATCTTTTATCCACACTTTATGCAATTTCCAACAGATAAAGGTGTGAGAATCAGTTCTACTTCTACTTGAAAACTTCCTTTCAAGCAAAACCATAAGCTGTCCACTTTGTTTATTAAACGGATCTCCCATACTTCAAGTCAACGTCTATTTTCATCTATTTATAGTAACTCTCCACACTTTTCTTTACGCTTTTCGATGCTAGACATCTACTACATCTACTACATCTAGAACGATTAACGTTTATTGTCTTATCTATAGACTATTAACATTGTTATGATTAGCAATTATAGGAGCTTCTATTAAAGGTAAAATGATATATACATATATATATATATATATGATGATAGTTACAGAAACAAAGGGATATTCAAATCTAAAAGCATCCCTTTTTTAAGTTTATTAGGATTCAAGAACCAACCCAACCAAGTCATCCACTCAAAAAAAAAAAAAAAAAAAAAGAAAAGAACCTCCATCTGTTTCTTCTTTCCCTTTTCTTTTGATTTGATTGGTGTTTTATCAAAGATTAGCTAGAGCATTGGATTTAGCGGCAATGGTGGCGATATACTCATGTATCACGTAATTATTGATAATTCCAAAGTCCACACTCTTCTCACATGCACCTTGACACTCAATTTAGCAGGATCACCACCGTCACCATTGGCACTACCGCCATTGGTATCGCCACCACTTCCGTCTTCTTCCAATTCCTTCAAATCAGCAACATCAATATTTATAGTAATCCATCCATGTGACCACCAACATTTCCTAGCTGGTTTACGCCAAAACAACAACAATTTGGTCTGATTTGGGTCAGCTTTGGCACTACTACTATTCCGCTTCAGTGAAAGTGAACGTGATGCTGCTCTTGAAGCACTACTTGCCAATTGAGCAATTCTTGATCTTGGTCGTGACCGTGATCTTTCGCCATTGGCATTAGCAGTGGTGCCACTTGCATGTGATGTAGTTGGTGTTAATGAAGGTGAGTCTGGTGGAGTATCCGATGGTGTTTGTTGATTCAACTCTTTTTCCCGTTGTCGTTCTTTTTCCTTCTCCCGTTCTGTTTTCAATCTTACCAATGACAATGATGAAATAACACATTTACCAGGTTCTAAACTCCTTGATCCCCATTTATCTTTCGTATCAAATCCCGAACTACACAACATATCAAAAAGATGTTGTTCAGCAGGACCTAATCCTTTACTGCCATTCTCTTGTTTTTCATTAGCATCTTGCATTATAGATCCATCATCTCCAATCAATATTGGGTCATCCTCTTCGAATTTATAGCCTAATCCTGAAAAGATCAATTTATTCTTGAGTAATTCAACACTGACCCCCTTTTTCAATTGTCTCATTTCCTCTCGGTTTAACCCAGCAATTGGTGGGATTACATAGAAATCCAAATCCTCTCGCAATACAATTATAGCAGGTTTAGTTTGAAGAATGTTACTCTCTTGTTGCTGTTGTGCTTTCGACATCCCACTACCACTAACTTGAGGGCTCAATTGTAAACTTTGCTGTGATGAGGACATCCTCGTCAAATCAGTTTGTGCTTTGCGGAAAACATCAATGATATAATGAAAACATTGAGGATCAAAATTGACATAAACAACATCCTCTTCAGTTAAATTACTAATGATTTGTCCATTTACATCGAGGAAAACACCATTGGGGAAAAGACAAAGCAATATACTTTCAGGTAAACTCATCAATTCATCTCGTGTAATGGTAAATTCGGTGCCTCTTAGATTCAAATGGATAAGTGAGTTGAAATCAACGTCATCGTTGGAAGTGCTGTTGTTAGTATTGTTGGTGGCAGATGCCAATTGTGGTGGCGAGTCTGGTGTAACTTGAGTTATAATATCTTCTTGTGACATTTCCAAAGACGTAGGCGGGTCGCGTTTAATTCATCAAATTGTGGAGGATAAAGAAAAGTGGCCAGCACTTTTGGGTGATGCTGAGGAGAATGGAATATCAGTTGTAGATATTACGCCCCAGTGTTGCTGATGAAACTGTTCTTGTTCTTGTGCTGTTGCTAATACTGCTGTTGCTGCTGCTGCTGCTGCTGCTGCTGCTGCTGCTGCTGCTGCTACTTGTTCTTCAAGTTCTTCTGATGGCTGGCGAAAAAAAAAAAAACAAAAAAAAACGAAAACAACCAAAAACAACCAAAAACTAATTAAGGATAAAAGTGTACAGCAAACTCAGATACGATTATGTCTCTAGTTGACTCTAGTGGTTATATATGTATACTCTGTATAAGTGTATGCGTACAAGTGTGCGTGTGTGCGTGTGTGTTAGTGTGTGTGTGCGTGTGTGTGTGTTCTATAGATACATATATGTACACGCTTTGAAAGTTGTCTTGTGTTTGGTAAAGTGCTTGCTCTTCCTTCCCCCCCACGACCACCAATTGTGTTGTTCAACAAAGAGAGAGACAAATAGTACAACTTTTGTTTTTTTGAACATACTTGCACGACTTCATCGTTTGGGTTGGGTTTTTGATAAACAACAGGCACTTGTAATAGACATAGTTTTCATTTGTGGTGTTAAGGTGTATATTTGAGCCATGGCTACATGTCTGTCTAATCAAAACAACACCTGCTCGTGCAAACCCAATCTAGAAAGTCTGGTGCATCAGTCTAAAGAACAACTGGAAGACAATCATTATGATGATATATGGGCCATCGACAATGATTACGATGATGGTCAAGAGAGCATTCCTCGACGTAGACAGGAACAACTAGCGTACAATGACGTGATACGACAACATCGCAAACAGGGGTATATTGATGGCATAACTGCTCACCGAGAAGATCAACTACAGCGCGGTTTCGACGATGCATTCCCTAAAGGTGCTGAGTTGGGAGTCGAGGTAGGCAAAATACTAGCTAGATTAAGATGCAAACAAGGCAGGAAGGCAAGAGTTGGAGAAACGAGAGGGGGAAATAATGGTGATAACGGTGATGATAATGATGATAATGATGATGATGAGTTCAAACGTGCAATTAATGACCTATCGATATCTAAAGTACTAGATCGACAATATTTCAATGATGAACTAAACCCGTTACCAACTCATGAATTGATTGCAAAATGGAAGAAACAAGATTAGTCTCACCTTTTGAACCCGACAATAGTCTGGTTCGTATTCACTTGTCTCTTTTTTTTTTTTTACCTACTTATTGGCATATCATTGATTAATTCAGTACTCAAACTTTCTGACAAATTGAACAACTTTTCTTGCAACTTGTGTCTACTTTTACACCACTCCACCCATACTTCACTTATCAAATATTGGGTCTCCTGAAACATGACATACTCTTTAAAACAACATTGTTTAATCAACCAATCTCGATTCAATTGTTGGAAAATCTCTTGTTTATCATTTATAATCGATTGTCTTAACTTGTTTAATTCAACTTCTTTACCATTTGTAGGTCCATTGGTTAGTTTTTTGAAATTTAATTCATTCTCCTTGATGCGTTTATTCAACATGTCAATTTGATTATTTGACAATTGTTTACTTCTTTCAAACAACTCCAAAAAAGAGTACAAATAATCCATATAGTTTTTCAATTTTTCCAAAGTCTTGGTGTTTATCGTATAACTATCATCAACAATTGCTTGTGATGATTTGGTATAGCTGTCGCCAATCAAAGTTAATCCACTATTGATGCCATCAATATCATTATTCTGCAACATGGCATTTTGATCTTGTGGATAAACTGTTGTATCTAGTCTCTTGAATTGATTCAAAATTTCGACAAATTTTTGATTATCAAAACTCATTTGTTGTTGTCTTCTTTCATATCGTTCAACAAGAATAACCAACTTTGTCCATTTTTCAATCAAGTTTCGAATATTTTGTTCAGCTTGAGCCCAATCACGTAAAAACTCTTGACTTATAGCTGGCCATATGGTATTTATAAATACAGTCTGGATTTTTTGGCCCTTAAATTCAATGGAGTAATCAATCTTGGCTTGCTTTTTCCAAGTGGTTAAATCGGAGGGAACGGTGAGAAAAGATTGCACAATTGGTTCCTGTTTGAATACGGGGTGTTTAACCAATTGGTTCAAGAACCGATGTAAACCACGACGACGACGTTGTAAAAATTGTGAATCGGGTGACGCTCCTACTGCAGTTTATTAGTATACTAGGTTCTTGAAAACAAAAAAAAAAAGTGGTGAGGGTGTGTCATTTTCGTTATACATACCAGTGAATTTCTTTGGTGGTAAGCCAGGAATCACCCGAAAAGGATACTTTTGTAACAAGTACTCCAACAACCTAAAACATCATAACTAGTTAGTAAAATTTAGTAAAAAAAAAAGGGCGCAATGTGTTGTCAAACATACCATGCAAAATCAGAGTATCTTCTGATAACTTTCTTTTGTCCCGACAGTCCACCACCACTACCTTGGCCCAATACCAAATTATGAGTGATTATATAATTGATATGCTTGAACAAGAGCCCCTCTTTCTCGGGAAGTTCTTTGATCTTGACCGGTGTATCATCAAGAACCAATGGTTTGAACTCATCTCTAACATCCTCGATATATTTCTCAATATACGATGCATCTTGAGGACTCACCCCATCACCATCATCATCACCATCATCTTTGTTACTATTGTCTCCCAAGAGTTGATGTTGAGAGTCAGAATGGTCAGTTAGCACAGGGTCAATTTTACCCCTCTGGTTCCAATCAGCAGTTGTTGCATCAACATCTTCTATATTAACATCATTGGCTCTTGATGTGTTGGCTCTAAGTGGATCATTGATTGCTTCATCATTGGCATCTTCTCTTTTGATCAATTTAACAAACTGTTGAGGCAATTCCGGTAAATTGTTTAATTTGAATTGTAAAGTAACAAAATCTCCTGATCCAGGAACATCAATTTCCAAAGCAATTAACCCCAAGATTTGATAGAAATTCTGAGCCAAGGTAACTGGAATCAAGTCGTTGTCATATACAATATCCAAGAGTTTGGTTTTTTGATAATTTGTCAAATACTGTAATTCAATCAATTTGTCCAAAATGTAAAATTCAAAATCATTGATGGTGGTGATTTTATTGACCAAGTGAGAACGAATTGATTCGTAGCTGGCAGGGACATTGGACATTGAAATTGATGGTCTGGAGTTGCCGCTGGCACCACTGGGCCCATTATCTCCTGCTCTTGTTTGGTTGAGTAGTTCTGATGATGTGAGGTAAGTAGATTGGTACGGGGTGGGGGAAAGTGAGGGGATGGGACTCTTTACAATTGGTTTGGTATCAGTATCATTCCATCCAGCGGTAGAGGACCATGGGTCCTCTTCTTCTCCAGTATTAAATATGCTGCCACTCATGTTGGGGAGAGTCGTATATTGAGGGGGTACAAAGAGTAATTATCGTTGTTATTCTTTGTCATTGTTGTTGTTGCTTTCGAGATTTCAAACGTCGTTGATTTTGGAGCTACCAAAATCAGTCTTTGCACCTACATTCTACAAACGATAATACAACCCATCACCAAAAAGAATAGATGTACCTATACTCTATATAGCTTACTCATAGTCTACTCAACTTCCTCTTGGCTTCCTCGCTCACATCAGCTTGATCACTCTCACTCAACTCGTTTAAAATCTTGACACAAATGCTCTTTGCAGGAGGTCGATACATGCACAAGAATTGCAATGACAAGAATCCAATACTTGATCTAGCAGGATCAAAACAAAGCGATTTAATCTTGGTCAACATTTCTTCATTCAACATTGGTAAATCACTAAGCAATCTGAGGAAAATACGCTTATCTTTTGGTTCCAAGTAGTTAATCATTGAATCGAGTACTTTGTTTGCCCATTTGTAGTAGATGGGGGTAGGTACTTGTGACAGCAAGAGTTTGGAACCGGCTCCAGTAGTGTCAGTAGTACCTCCTCCAGCGCCATTTCCATTGACATTGGTCTCAGTTTTCCCCAGCTGTTTCATTCTATTTTGTTGAAACGTTTGCTCACTAAACCATTCTTCATTTAACCATTCAATAACAACGTCGACCCGATCATGAATATTTTCAATAAAATACTTGAAAATGGCGTCACGGATCATGGTTCCCATATCTTGTTTATTTTGATCATCGGGGACCTTGTCCTCGACTCCATCTTCCTCAGCAATTGTTCTCATGCCTCTAGTGGCTAACCTTGTTAAAAGGAGGACCCAAGTATCTTTATTGAATGATTTGATAGCAACATCGGTTAGGACTTTATTTATAGAGTCAGGGTGTTCCAGCTTGACTTCAGGTTTGGTGGTTTCATTTGTTGGGGTGGTACTGTTGTTGTTAATTTTTGCAAGCTTGAAGAAATTGTCAATAATAATTGAAACGTGGGTCTTTTTTTCATTAAATGATAATTCCACTGGTGGCGCTAAAGTGAAGGATGGATCCTCTTGTTGATCATTGTCATAATCACCGAAATCATCTTCATCGTCTTCGTTGCCATTAGGAAACTCTTTCTTCACTGAGATGGCCCCAGCATTAGCATTAACATCTGGTCCTACACCATTAGCATACAATGGATCAAACTTTTCTTGCTTTACAGTAATTGGTTGAACTAGAGCTGCCTTGTATCGATCACCAACAATTTCCAATGCCTTGGTCAATCTCGATACCGATGCCTTCTGCAATGCATTCACCACCACTCTAGCACAAGTTTGTGCTGGGACAGTGCTAAAATCAAACTCATTCAATTTATCGGCTGGATCATTGAGAGTATACAAGTGTTTATAGTCCATAATCTTGATCTTTTTCGAAGGATTATGAAATCCTTCAAATGGTCTCTTTTTAATACTCTTGTCTTCAATGGAAAGTACATGTTTCTTTCTCAAATCAACTCCTCTTTCAGTTAAAACAGAAATCTGACCTTCGAGTGCAGGTTTCATATTGGGTGGGATCAATGAGTTTCTCTTTGCATAAGTGAGAAAGATTCTAATATTTCTATCAACATATTTTCTTGCCAATTTGAATTCATCGACTGATTGGTAATTTGATTGCTTTTTCGAGTTGGAATCATATTGTTCAACTGCTGCTAGTAATTGCATTGCCAATTGAGGTTTCTTTTTTAATATGATTATACAGTGGTTTAAAGTGGCAGTTACCAATGGTGGTATAATAATATCCAAATAAAACACTTTTAAAACCATTGTCAACAATTGTCGCGACTCATATTCCATATTTTCATACTTGATCAATGAATGATCTGGTGGTACATCATTTAATGAAAATCCAGGTTTGGAAATTGGTTCACCAATAACCAGGGTCTTTGATTGGAAATCAATCACCGTCATCAAGAATTTTAAAAGGTCAAGTTTGGTGATTATATTTCTCATTAAATCATGTTCACTACTATCTGATGGACTTAGTGGGTAATTGGATTGGAATTTGTTAACCAATGAGTTTTTCAATTCCGTCAATTTACTCCAAAGTGAATTACATCCGTCATTTTCACTAATGTATTTGAAAGCCAACTTGTAAACAATCAATGAGATATCAATCAACTTGCCAAAAGTCTCAACGTCGTGCCCTTCTCTAACTTGACCACCTTGCCGTTGTTGTTGTTGTTGTTGTTGTTGCTGCTGTTGTTGTTGCTGCTGCTGTTGTTGTTGGATAGTTATAGGTATATTCATGAGAATAGTCAAAGTTTCAAGAGAGTCAATAGCAAGATCTACTTTATCAACATTTCGTATTTGATAAATATTTTTGATAAAAGTCTCATAAATGAGATCAATACCCCAATGCTTGATGGCATATGATTGATTATTGTTTATAATGGGTAAGATTTGTTTATAGACCCTAACAAATGTTTCAGGTTGGGTGATTCCCAATTGTTTGGCTTGATTTAGTTGACGTATAATCAACTCTGTGGTGTTGTTGTTGTTGTTGTTGTTTACTGACATCTTTGATAGAACAGGGTTTTTGCAATTACTGTTTTTCTGAAATTACAATTAGAAAATAAAGGGAGTAAAGGGGAGGAGAAACACAGCCAGAGTGTGTTATGATTGGTTATGATGTGTGTCTGAGTTGATGTAGCTGTGTGTGTGTGTGTGTGCGTATATTGTTCAATCAGCTATCCTTTTAAGGTGTGTATGGATTATGAAAAAGACAAAGATGAAGTTGAAGAAGAAAAAAATTTATTGTTTGGTAGTTGCGCTACCATATTCATAGTAAAGCACTATAAACGATGAAACAGGTATATAGATAGAGAAAGAGAGAGCGAGAGAGCGAAAGGCGGTAGTAGATCAGATTAGTCATACTCTCTCACTATAAAGAAAGTATGTTGAAACAGATCTCTATGTGTGCTTGTCATGGTTGAGTTTGTTTCGTTGGAAATGAATGGATATTTTGCAGCAATTTCACTACAAACCTATAAAACAAGATATTTATGTTTAGATCCCCTTTGATTCTGATTTGACAGTACTGAAACCTCAACAAAAAGAATGCTAAAGGGGAAACCTTCAATAGTAGATTGTGTTACTCATATTAACGGAAAAGGTAGTAGACTTGTTACATATATGCTGTCATTACACCTTTTTAATTATATGTCAGTTGAGGGTATTTGAAACCATTAATGCTACCAATTGAGCAAGTTACACAAAAATTGAAAACGGTTGAGATCGAGCGAGCAGTGAGTGAGGCTTGTTTCAGATTGGTTTCAAGATACATACCACAACTACCACTACTACCACTACTACCACTACTGCTACACGCAATCACTTGCTTAAACAGCGTTCCATTGGCATTATTGTATTTGATCTAGAGGACATCTTACACATTCTGAAAATACACCACACATCCCAAAAGTGTAACACACTAGATCAACTTATTCTTCTCATCTTCACTCACACGCACTGGGCGTTTAGATTTTTAACCCAAACCACAGATCTACAACACAAATATTGATATCTAAAAATAGGTTTAGTTTACCAACACCATCGACTTTCATACCCCATTTCAATATTCAGAGTAACACTAGTCTAACTCAATAACTTACATTCTACTATTCAATGTACCATATACTCAACTACTACATTTAACATACTACACACAGCCTTTTGTTCTTTTGCCCTTTTTTTGTTCCCCTTATGCAAGACACGTCATTCAAAGATCACTTGGATGCTGAGAGAGCAATCGAAAAGTATGAGTTAAACACATCGACATTCGATGTTGTTCGAGTTGATGACTTCTACAACCACAACTGCTCCACCATGTGTTGGTACTTCTACATGTGGATCCTCGTGTTTTTAGCCATCATCTTGTTGGCTATCGATATTTATTCATGTCTAAACATTCTTGTGTTTCATAAATGGGCTACTGATGATTACCGACCATATGCTTACTCCATAGCCAAGTGGATTTTCACCGGTTGTATCATATTTCAATTTGTCTTGTTGATTTATTGTTGGATTTGGGCCATACACATTTATCGTACTAAAAACATTGCCATGGTGTATTTGAACTCCATTTGTAAAAAAATATACTCCATCAAGTCCTACTCGTGCTTTTGTTTAATGAATAGTATTGATGAAGGAAAATTTTTTGATCAATGTTGTTTCAACACCTATTATGAGATACAAAATGCTCCCCAGATTCTTATTGCTGATACTCCAAGACAAGTTATCAATATTCTTACTTTGAGATACTATGCTACTGGTGGTGAACTAAACAATGATATATTAAGCAACATCAGAACCATTGCCAAGACAAATTTACGACTTTCGATCATCTTGAGCTTTATGTGTTTATCAGTCTTCATTTATGCCATCTTCTTTTTCAAATTCTTGTTTGGCATGCTACTGTATATTCCATTGAAAACTTCACTTAGAAAAGAAGGTTACAAGGGTTTCAAGAGTTATTGCAGTTATTTGGTGAACAAGTCGGTAGCTGATGCTGTAAACAAGCATCATAGACCAAAGAAGGAATTGCGAGATGAAGGATTGCTTTCTGAAGCTGCCATTTCACAACTCCCCCAAATTGATGAGTATCCATCTGATTACAAAGGTTACACTAGAGTATACTATGGAAGATCAGATTCAGAAGAAAGCATTGCCATGAGAGATTGGAATTATAAAGGAAAACCAAACCCATACGGAGAACTGCAACTTGATCTTCTTCATCAGCAACCATCTTTGGACCAATTGCAACAGTCAGAACAAGTATTCTCCACCTTGGGTGGTGGTGTTGGTGGTAATGGTGGTAACAACATACCATTCAGTAAGAGACTCAGCACTCTTCGTGAGAAGAATAGAAATAAACTTTTTGAAAATCCCAAAGTCAGTAACAACAGCACCAGTAGCTTAACAAACATACAACCACATGCTGCTGCTACGCGATATCAAAGTCTCAAACAAAGTGACACCCAAACAAGTTTTGGCAATGACAATGATCTTCACTACCACAAACAACGACTGAGGCCACATAATAAGCTTTTGCAGGATGGTGATTTACTTGAGGATTCACAAACAACAAGAATGCCTAGCTACCCCACAAGATCATACACTGCGGGTAGCTCCTACGACCTCAGCAATCCAAACCTTATGGATTCACAAACCAATTTGCTTTCAGAGTCCAACAACCACGTTGATCATACAATGACAGAGCCCCAATCCTTACATGTTGCCCCCTATATTGATCCTCAACAAACGGTCTCTAAACGGAAACCGATCCAACGGTCATTTACAGAAGAGTCGCACAATCTATCTTCATTGCAAGATCCATTTACCGATGTTGATGATGATCAGGGCCAATTGGTCTATAACCAACCGCCCATTGTTCTGCGAGTCCATGTTGGTGAACACAATTCACCAAAATCACAAAACTCAAGCGGCGAAGTAAACGATATATTGGATGCATATGACACCACCAATGAATCAGCTCCGTACCCCGTCAGAGGCGTATCTAAATATTTTGAATAGTTTGTCACAACTGGAAACAAGAATAATCCTTCATGCATTTTAACATACAAAACTGACTATATACACGACTAGATACACAGATCTCTCTCTCTCTCCCCCTCTCTCCATTCCCACCCCCACTACAACTATGTCCTATGTCTTACCCTCGTATTCACTTTGCAATTTCTTCAATTCTTCATCACTAATGGGTGGAATTGGAATATCACCAAAATCATCATCAGTCATCTTTTGGAACGTGTACAAATACACCCCAAGTGGTATAGCTCCAACGACAAACAATCCAATGGTGTTTCTCCAAAAAAATGGTTGTCTGACCCGATATAGAGCTGGTGTTATTTGATGAGTGACGGGGTCTCTATAACGATCGTGGCCCTTTCTGGAAGAAAAAAAAATGTGTTAGTAAAAATGAATGTAGCGTCTTGAGTGTGATGTTTCTTTACATACGGAGCTCCTACTATTTTACCTAAAGTCCTTAGTGTTCCGTGCATGGATGCCTGTGTGTGTGTATATATGTATGTTAATTGTCGTTTCGTTTTACAGAGTGGAATATTTTTTTTTTTCTTAATTGGCGTGATTTTCTTACATGAGAAGTGGGTTGGTAGCAACATGCTCTTTTCTATATCGCCCTACTTAATAATGATTCAACCTCCAAAGAGTAACCTTTCCTGCCTCATTACCAATAGCTAGGATCTCATTATTTGGTGAAAACTCAACACTGGTGACTTTTCCTAATGGTGTACCACTAGTGGGCCAATTGCTGTATACGGCTCCCGAAGGTAAATGAACCAATTTAAATGCATCTCGTTTTCCCCTAGATGCAATAGCCAACACTTGTCCATCGTTGTTGAAAACAAGTGAAGAAATGGAAGTAACTAGATTTTCAACCGTCTTGAACGGTTTTGGTTGTTGTTGTTGTTGCACTTGGGAATCAAATTGTTGTCGATCATAGAGGTTAACGACCCCAGTATTGGAACCAATAGCCACCCATCTCGTGCTATTATTTCTCCCACCCAATTTGATCTTGGTTACACCAACACCCCCATCGTCGGACCATTTACGTATAATTTTATTTTCAGACTTGGATGAAAGTTTACCTCCCATCAACCCAAATTCCCAAACATCACCAGCTGAATTAACAACAATTACAAATGATTCATCCAATGCAAAATCAAAATCCACTACAGTGCCTTCAATCTTGAATCCCTTGATCCATTGTCCCGTGGTTCCGTTTATTAAGTTGAACCATCCTGAATTACCAATCAATCCAATAAATGAACCACGAGGACTCAATTTAAAACTTTCAAATGACTTCTGCACTTTTTCATGGCCATACATACGACTCATTTTGGAAATTTCTCCAGTGGATAAATTAATCTTATTCATGTATTTCCTTCTTCCAGCAGCATAGATTATATTCTTGTCCCCTTGAGGCAAAAATTGAGAATTCATAATGGGACAGTTTTTTAAGAAGTATGAGGTGATGAAATTGTTGGTCTTGCCGTCGATTTGGTAAAGCCTGATAGTTTTGTCGAATCCAGCAGTGAGTAAGATTGGATGGGTTGGATGGAACGATATTGCTTGCACGGCACCTTTGGACAATTTTTGATAATTTGCATCTTTTAACCTTGTTATCGAGATTCTTGATGGTGAAATCAATTTCAATTGCTTTGTAATGACAAATTGATGCGTCGATGATAGAAGTTTTGATAATGCGGCAGTTTGATTGCCATTCTGTTGATGATTGTTTTGTTCCTCATCATTTTCTTCATCGCCATTGTCAAGTATTATATCATCATCTGAACTATTTCCTTCCTCCTTGTCTTGACCTAGTTGATCAGCCCATATTGGTCGTGGGTATATCTTCTCAAATTGCGATCGTAGCCTAAGCATGTATGCTCTGCCACTTATAAAATCATCATCGGGAGTCTTTCTTAATTTCTTTAACCGATCCGATGAAGTTAGGGACACGTTCAATTTCTCATCATCACTATCGACCCAAGCATAATCTTGATCTCCAAGTTCATCATCTTCTGATTCGTCATCATTGTCACTAGCTGATGAAACATCCTCATCCATACGTTCACTATCATCATCACCTTGTACTCCTTCATCAATATAAAACAAGTCTTCATCTTGTACATCATCTAATCCATCACTGTCATCCCCATTATCATCGTCGACATTGTCGATTTCATCAACCACTTCTTCTTCGTCATCGAAATCATACAAATTGTCAACTTTTCGCAAATTGCTTTCTAACCCAGCAAGGTCTCCAAAAACCAATTTCTCTAATATGAGTTCTTCCTCATCTTTTGGAGGTATTTCGACTACATCGCCATCTTTGTTCTTGGGCATTGTTGAGGGAGGAGTTTTTTTGAGTTAGTGAGTTAGTGAGTTAGTGAGTTAAGATTGAACTGAAAAAAAAAAAAGCTCCAGCAGATGAGATGGGATGGGACGCTACCACGCACAAAACACATCCGTATATACCATCGTATACATCGCTCTACAAATCACCCCTCATCATCCTCATGAAAATCATTTATATGTTCTCTTTTCTTTTTTGTATACACCCCCTATTTACTCCCCTTCATTTGATTAACAAAAGTGACAAAATACTTTTTAAAATCCTTAATGTCCAAATTAATCAAATTAGTGCAGAAATCGTTGAGTAAATCTTGACTTAGCCCCATATTGGTTAAATAAGCAGAAAGAAACTTGATGAAACTTTCTTTCTTTTTTTGTTGATATGTTTTGAGCAACATGGCGATATCTTGAGCAATCAATCTATATTGAGCATCGGCCAATACAAATTCTTGTCTTTGGAACGGCAATTCAAATGATAGTTGTACAACTTTTTCCATTAAAAACTCGTCAACCCCTTCAATCGGAGGAAGGGATTGGCCATACAAGTCCTTTTCGTCAGTGATTTTACCACCATCACCAAAGACATTGACGAGATTGATTAGTTGTACAATTGCCAACTTGGAGGCACTAGTATCGGATAAATCATACGCATATTCAAATAATTTTGACACAATGGTGGCAAATTCGTTCTTGTTGGTTTCAGTCACCAACAAACTCGACAAATGATTAGTAATGATGGAATTGAGAAAATTGAGTAATGATTTCTTGAGCAAAATTTTATCCCTAATAATGTCTGGTCGCAAGTTTTCATCTTCAGCAACCTGTTGATCCAAAGTTTGAAAAACTTTTGAAAATAGCGGGGTGAAAAAATTATTGAGTAATTGGTAAATATTATCATCGGATTTGTACGTGTGCCCAATCTGACCTAGAAAGCTCATGAAATCACTAATTTCATTAATTTTCAAGTTTGGTGATGACCAAATGATGGTGATTAATTTAGTCAAATGGCCACTAATGACGGAACTGCTCAATAATGGAACGAATCTTGCAAATGCAAATCTAGATGCGTCTCTAATCGTTTCGAATTTGGAAAAATTTTCCAAAGTAATTAACACCACTTGAGCTGCATTATTAACTTTTTCAACAATTTCCGGGGGAAACTTGAGATTAGATTCATAATCGTACCCACGTACAATCGTACCCAATGCCATCAACAGGTGGTGGGCTTGCAAAACAATGATTGGTTCTTTATCTTGGATTGAGATGCATTTTTCCAAATCGCTGAAAATTGGCTGGAAAACTGATTCAACAAGTTTCACCTTGACTGGGGTATACTCATGAGGAACAAGCGAGATGATCAACCCAATTGTTTCAAAAAGGTATTGTTGATTGTTAAAATTCCCATTCTCGACAACATCATCGTCTTCATCTCGAGTGGGCAACTCGGCTTTAATCACAAGTAATGGTTTCAATTTCATCACAATTTGTTCGATAAGCTGTTCATTATCTAATTTCGGTTTCGTGAGCTTCATAAATCTGAAAAATAAATACCAACTTCTTAATCGAACTTTTTCGTTATTATTAAACAACCCCAATGGAGATGTAAAAATTTCCAAAATTCGAAGAACCAAATCACGTCTATTCTCATGCGAGTTTAAAAAACTGTAATGCTTCACCACCAACTCAAAGAAGCTTGATTGAATATGTGGATGATTGACTTCTAGTATGAATGATGAGTCAATCAATTTAATCAAAAACTCTTGGAAAATCATGTAGGGTTTACTTTCATTGACTTTGTTTTTAGGCACGTTGATCAAATTCATCTTTAAACTTTCTGAAAAATTGCTCAATTCAAACAATCCTAACTCCAACTTGTTCCAAGACTTGTCTCCTTCAAATAGGGACTCGTTGATAACCACTGGAATTGCTTCTATATACAAATCAGGCGAAAGTCCAGCAATTTGATCTTGGAAAAGTTTTAATCTTGCTCTAAACTCAATAAATTGTCTCTCACTGTCGTCATCGTCATCATAGTCATCGCCATCTTCATCATCTGCATCATACTTCATTTTCAATATAATCTTATTCAAAAGGGTTGATAATAGCTCCACTGAGTACAAGGATGTGTTTTTCTTACAAGCACTTAAAAACATTTGAATAAAAGGAAACACATTTTGCGATACGTCGTCATACTCGTGGCTCAAAAATGTAAGAATAATTGGCCACAATGTGTACAAATGTTCGTTTATTTGATTAACCAAGCTAGGTTCATTGCCCAAAACGTACAATAGTTCCTCGCCGATTTGGTTGGACAATTTGGCAACTTGTTCTTCAAACTCAACATCACCTGCCAATTGTATTGAAGATATGATGTTTGTCAAATTGAGCAATGAGATCAACTCTAATTTATCTTCGGGTGGCATTTTCTTTGATAATATGTGGATCAAAGTGTTGCATGTTGTCTTTCTCTCTTGCTCACGAGTGAGGTAGCCAACGACGGTGTTTATACATTGTGGGGTGACAAATAAGGCAATGTCCATCCAGTCCACATACAGTCCAATGACGATTAAAGTGTTTTCTAGGATTTCTTCACAATGACCACCATCTGTCAAGATTTTGAACCAACTGGACACCAAATCATTCATATTTTTATCTCTCAAAGCATCCTTAATCACCGCGTTTCTCTCAGTCCATGCTTGTGAACGGGCAATATACTTGTCCCCTATTTCGGAATGGATGTTGACCAAGATTCTGGTGTAGTAATCAATAGCCAATTGATTACCTGATGCAGTCAATTTGAGCAAGTCATTTATATAGTTTGGGTAGATGTCTATATAGACCAGTGTGAATGTTTTGGCGTGGATTTGGGCAAACTTGTTTCTCAAATATGTTGGGTCTTTAATGTCGTTTGAAACAAACTCTGATAGCACACGTAGCACAGTTTGACAAAGTTGATGGCACTCGTCACGAGTGAGATTTTCCACGTTTTCTTCAATGACTTGGTAAAGAAAGAATTTCAACTCACTGTTGACTTCTGATGTTGTTGATTTCGAGATCAAATCCAATGCAGTGTTGTACCCATCTTTTGTCGCCTTGACTTCATTGAGAAACTCGTATGCTTGTAGCTGAAGCTTTTGATCTGATGATCCACTCAACGCTATTTGAATAGCATTAATGATTTGACCCTCCATGTAGTTGTATCGAAGGCGAGGGGGAGCCGAGGTTCAGTATGTGTGATTATGTAGTTGGCTTGTGACTTAAAGAAAAACAAAAATACAATCTTTAGGAATGCAAAATTTTACGCAGACTTTTTGGAATGGATGACAAGATGATGAACAAAATAAAATATAAACAAGACAGTAGTGAAAATGCAGTTGATAGTCCAGGATGATCCCTCAAATCTCACTTGAATGAATGAACTAACGTTATCGAGAAAAGCAACGATGATTTCTGAGATGTTGTGGTTCTTGGTTGTTAAATATGATGAAGAACAACCGAACAGAGACACACACACACAGAGAAAAACTTTGAAAAATTAATTGGAAATTTTTACACGACCAGATTATACTTTCTAATATGTATTATCTACCACTACTACTACTACTACTCCAAGACAGCATACTTTTTCAAATGATCTGGGATAGCATCGAATAACCCTTTCTCCTTTAGCCAGCTCTTCGAAAAGATTCTATCGCTGTATTTATGGGCAGAATCTGCCAAAATTGTCACCACATTACTTCCCTCTGGTAATGTTTTAGCAACTTCAACAGCGGCAACAACGTTTAAAGCGCCAGTACCTCCCAAATACAAACCTTCTTCATCCAATAATCTATAAAGCATAGCAATTGAATCCTCATCGGGAATTTTAACAGCATCATCAATGAGTTCAATATCTGGTTTCAAATTATCAGTAACCCTACCTTGACCGATACCCTCAGTGAAGGAAGAGCCCCCTCTTTCCATTTCTTTCCCGTTGGATTTGATGTAAGAATAGAGTACTGACCCGGGTGGATCAGCGAGCACACATTTGGTTTTACCATTGCTTATCGTTTTCAAGTATCTTGAAGTACCAGCAAATGTACCTCCAGTACCAGTAGAACAAGTAAATGCATCTACTTTGCCATCCAACTGAGCCCAAATTTCTGGCCCCGTTGTTTCAATGTGAGCTTGTCTATTGGCGACATTGTCGAATTGATTAGTCCAAACTGCATTATCCAAACTTTCAGCATGTCTTTTGGCTTGATGGTTGTAATTTTGTGGATCTGTGAATGCAACAGCAGGTACTGGGTAAACCTCAGCTCCTAGTAATTTCAAGGTTTCAATTTTGTTTTTAGATTGGGTGTTGGGCATATAAATGACACAATTGTATCCTCTTGCCCGACAAACATGAGCTAAACCAATACCAGTGTTTCCGGCTGTTCCTTCAACAACGGTTCCACCTGGTTTGATCAACTCTTTTTCTTCTGCATCTTTAATAACATAAAGTGCTGCTCTATCTTTTATGGATCCACCAGGGTTCATGAATTCTGCTTTGGCGTAAATGTTCCTTCCAACAGAATCTGATATTCTTGGTAATCGCAATAAAGGAGTGTTTCCAATTGCTCCAGGAAATCCGGTTTCACTAACCAAAGGAACGAATGGTAGTTTCACTTCACTGTTCATCGATATTGAGATACATCTTTTGGATATTCTTGAAAACATGTTTTTGTTTGGAGAATGATGGAGGATGATGGAGGATATTTGGGCAATTTTTTTCTTTTTTTCGATTTTCACGTCGGCAATTATTTTGCTTTTACCCCGTGTTCACGTGATGTTGAGTCATCAAGGCAATGCTGTCGAGCAGTATGAACCTTCAACAGCGATAGACTCTTTAGCCGTCTCTTCGAATAGCAAAGTGTAGTGGAATGACTTCCTTGAGATGCCTACTGTGGAAGAGCTTCACAGGAAAAACCAGAATGTGCTAAAGAAGCATGTCCGCGAATGCTAAGGCGTTGTGTAATTCCTCGAGTAGTAATTTAGTGAGGTCACCACGATTGAAGGACAAAACTGACTAGCTCGGGATTCCGCAAAAGCTTAACACAACCAACATGAAAGAATGAGCTAAACTGCTAAATTGCTAGCGTTGTCATCTTGCTTAGAGAGGAGAAATTTTCCGGAAGTAATTCCAAATCATTTTCGTTCCGAAAAGTTTATGAGTGGAAATGTTGATAGTATTGACTCTTTTGTGCTTTGTAAAATCACTGTAATCACTTGGCGTAGAAACAGCATTGCATTCATCACGCATAAGGCACAAGACCATTCTCTATTGTTGTAACTAGAATATCGTATATGTCTGTAATATGTGTGATAATCAACATCGAATTTCGTAAACTCATTTGGCTCTTTCATTCATCAGCAGATTTTATGTGATTCAAAGCCCAGCAAGAAGGTCTTGGAAGATCGGGAACTGGAGAATACCAAAGTTTTACACAAAGCGGAGCACATCTGATTGTGAGACATGCGTAGCATAGTCTCGGCTACGATTGAAAGAGAAGTCAACCCATTGATTAATCGCATTCAATGATGTAGGCGTGGTGAATTTGGTGGTGCAGTTACAAAGATGTACCATCTCGTATTCGCAAGTGAGGATTAGCATATACGAGCAGAATGCATCCCATGTTATCACTGAGAGAAACAGTTTAATGTTGCCCTTCAAAAATGTAAAGTTGCTTTAGGCTCTTGTGCATACGCCATCAAAAGGAGACAATAATCGTGTAGACAAATTAAATGTGACATTTATAAAAGTTGACTGGATACTCCAACGACGTCTATGTTGGCTTTGTCATCTCGAGTCATCGAAATGCTCAAAACATATTCTAAGCTCCGGTTAATCAATAAAAAGTGGCCACGAAACCGAAGCGTTCCGACAACTCATCCTTTCCTCTAACTACAAAACTATTGTCGCGCGAAGTCCCTTTAGAGCCTAATTAGGAAAGTCATTTAGAAAAAGAATCCCTGCATACATTAGTTCCACAAAACAATAACTTTTCACCGAAAATTGTTCCGAAAAGTAGCTAAAAGAAGCAAAATGTGTAGTCACCAATGTGAAACAGTACTCGTTGACACCTCTGTGCGGGGCGTTGGGGCTACTAATATTACTGCTATGAGGAAAAGCTAACAGCTCACTTCGAAAGCAGTCCATTGAAGAGCCCTTTATACACATTGAAGAAAAACTTCTTATTATACAGTCACCGAAATTGCTTGGCATAATAGATTCGAACACAATAAAATAGTTTGTACTTTTGATTAACCAAACGTTTGCAAAAAGTAAACCTCATCAAGTTGTCTTCAACCAACTACATATATCGGAAAAGAAATTATGCGAGTTTGTTATACAAAATCGAGAAAGGATTAGCATTTCCTGGGCAAGATTTTCGTACTCATATTTTTCTTTCTTTTTTTTTTTTTATTTCCACATTGTTTCCCTTCAACTGTTTTTCCCCCCGAGTCCGTACAACTTCTTTTGAATCCTTTTTATTGATTGCATTTTTCCGACAGGGTCGCTCAGCGCTTGTGAATCCACAGTCAAAAAGCAGAATTTTCGGGTTTACTTTTCGGATTCGAGAACAACTATATAATATGAAATTTTGCTCATGGCGCTCGTAACCTCGGAGTTCATTGCAACGAAGGCAGTGCAACTCAATCGACTCTTCTTTTGTACGCTTTTGCGATTTATTGGAAGGGTTTGAAGACCTTTTAACCACAAATTACAAACGTTTTTTTAAATATTTCAAATTCAACCGCTGGTCACAATTTCAGAACTCTTGGAACTGAACACTAAGCTTGTTGATTTTTGTATCAGTTATGAAGTCAGAGGTGAAACAGTACAAAGTTGAGGGTATAATTACAATGACGTGGAAGATACTGCATCTAGCTGATTGAAAAAACAAAACCCAGTTCACAATCTCGGCTTTCTACGAGTATTATTTACAATTGAATTCTTTGTGAAACCCCAATACCTTTTTTTTCATCAATCGTGGACGTTACAAAACTAAACGATCGAAGAGTTTTTGCATTAGTAGTGAAGTAGCTTCACATAGATAGCAATGGTTATGATACTAAGGCAAAACAACGCTGCATCGAATAAAATAAAAATTCAAGAATCATAGCTGGGAAACAACAAGAAAATAGAAGAGAGTTACATCGTCTTTCGAAGGTTTGTAGCATACAAAGCCCACTACCAGTTATAATTTTCCCTAGTTGCAATGGCCCTCTTCACAAATGGATCAAGAATCATATGATTTTTTAGGTTTTGTGTTGACATTTGCCTCGTAAAAACGCCCTGTATTACTAAACAAATTCCCCGAGAACACAAGTGGTTGTCATGTACCGTTGATGATGCTATGTTGGAGGAAACAAATAAGCCACGATGCTCATCAGTAAGAAAAGGGATTCTTCGTACTTGAAGTGGGAGGAGGGGAGGAAGTAAACATAGATATTGAGTCTAATTTCTTTTTTTTTTCTTAGATTCATGTAATGGTTATAATACTTCATGCGGAAGCACAATCTTTAGCTAAATCCGCGCCCGAGGATAAAAGAAAATAATTCAATTTATCCGTTGGTACTGTTGTTTAGTTTGGTTAGGTTGTTGCCTCTTGGGTGAAGCTAAAAACAGTGTGTGTGTGCAACACGTAAAGAGATGGAAACACTCGATCAAAGTATGTACAGGTTTGAAAAAGAGGATCGCTCACCCCTTTCGGAGAACAAAACTGTTCATTAATAAAGAGGGGATACGAAAAGAACCTGTAAGGTTCTCTTGCATTTTTACAAATCCGTAATTATTGAAAACTACAGCAAACGTTTGTTTTGCAATTGCAGAAAGTGATAAAAGACATAATTTAATGTCGAAAACAATAGCAATGTCCTTTTCTCTTTCCTTTTTCTTTTTCTATTATCTTTTGGTATTTCTGCAGGGTTTAAAAAAAAAAAAAAAAAAAATTGGAATAGCAAATTGAAGATTAGTGATAGTACGGCATCACTTTACAACGTTGAAAATTGATGAACTCCGCGATGAAATTGAGGTGATATAATGCATAATGCACAAAAGGGTATTTCATGCAATGACACACTTTGCTCCTCTCTCTCTACCATTTACCCGCCAGCATTCAAAACACACTCACTCACTCACGCACTTGCACGTCTTTAACCCACAACTTTGCTCCCCATACACATTGCTATTATGTAATCTTTGTCTCCTTCACGCTCAAACTTATAAAGACAATGCTATGTAAACAAGCTTCAAAGCATGGAATGCGTAATTGCTATTGTTTTCGATATATTATGGTTTCTTTTGTGGTGAGAGCCTCGTTATTCAAAGATAGGAGAAAACATTTTGTAAAGACGTGACGAAAGGCAAGAACAAGGGCACAGAGTCAAAAGTCGCAAAAAATAACCACCTCGCAACTTGTGAGGGGATATTATACACAGTCTCCGTGGATAAAGTGTTAAAAAAATGGACACGCGGAGCCTTAACAGGATAATAAGATCTATTGACAACAGATTTGTTCGATGCAAGATGGCGCCACTAAGTTGCAAACTAGTAAAATCTATATAGTTTGTTACATTCCCAAAAAAGAGAACCACTTGTAGGACCTTGGAAGCTCTGTGAATGAAATGCGGTTGGCGTTTTCGTCCTAGAGTCTTTTGTGCTCTTACCCTCACTCTCTCCTCCAACTATGTTTCGTTCCTTCGTTGCTACGTCGAAGTCATAAAAAAAAAAAAGGTATTGTGACTCCTCCAAAAACAAAGACAATCAAGAATTATTCTATTGTTCCAATAACCATGACCCTCAACTCCCTTTGTTCAGTATCTCTCGAATGCTAATTTTAGTCTCGGGTAACAAAATTGGGAAACAATAAAAAAGAAAAGAACAAAATCTCTTGATAGAGATGTTGGGTTTTCCATAATACACATGTACGAAGAGTTAAATACCAATTTTGTCATTTATGTTTCTCAACTATTAAGTTGACCAGGTATCATAACCATTGATTTCTAAAAATGCATGTGTGTGCATACCGTAGCGTAATTTGTTGAGCTTCTCCATGAGAAAGTGAAATTTCATTTGTACGCGCTCACTGGTAACGATCTAAAAATACGTTTTAGACTTTTTACTATTTTGGGAGTGTATCGGTTTTAAATCCGGGCGTAAAGAGTGAGAGAATAAGCGATCAGCCCATGGGTGATGACGGAAAGAGTGTGTTTCTCCTTTCCTCCTCTGTTTGGGTCCAATGGGAATTCTGCTTGGTGAAGCAAGATATTCTGTAAAAGGGAGGGTGTGGCTTGCTTTGTGTCATAACTAAAGTGGTAACATGACAGCCCTTTTTTGGCTATACTCTTCAACAACGTATCTCCCAGTACTCTCTACTCAGTCACAGGGGGGAGGAGGGGGCACACACGTGTCGCAGTACGTGAATGAAATGCTGTCAAATTTCTTGTCATTTACTTTATTTATCTGTACTAGGCTTCGGAAAACCATTAATAAGCGATACAAATTATGGAATAGTTTCGACATAGGTTATGAGCCCTCAGTTGGACAAAGTTAGCCAAAAGCTCTATTGTATACTTAAAGTACATCAAACATGATACAAAAAACAAAAGAAAGAACTGGCATGGCTCTTAACCAG